CTTATCTGAGGGGCCCTGGGGTTTGTTAGCGGGGTTGGGGATGGGTTATGGTAGCAGGGAACTTACCGTGCTTCCTGTAGGACCTGTGGAACCCTGTGGAGATATCGAGTCAGTATTTTGGGGAGTCACGTGGATTGTCACATGTTAATGACGCTAACGTACCGTAGCTCCGATTAATCCGCTTGCGCCTTGGGGACCCTTTTTGAATATCAGCTATTGTCGCTCCATTTCCCCATGGAAACGATTTGATATACCGAAGGTCCCTACGAGAGAGCAAATGTCAGCATCGTGTCACTTGTCACAAGTCGCAAATGTGTGATTGGCTTACGCTTGGGCCCGGAATTCCTTGGCTTCCTTGTGAGCCCTACAGGTCGGTCAGATTCCTATTCATGGAGTTGTTCATCCAGATGATGTCTTACTGTAGGACCCTATGAGAGATGCATTAGTCAAGCTTTCTATCTGGCAGACGGGTTCATTGTACGTACGATTGCCCCAACTTGGCCGCTCATTCCGGACGGTCTACATCATATCAGTATCAAACCTACTTGACTTTTCTTGTAAATCATACCCCGATGGACTGCAAGAAGATCAATGTTAGCAATCTCTGATGTTTTATGTGGCCTGGAAAGAGGATCATACCCGACGCTGCCAGTAGCACCAATTTGGCCGCTTATGCCAGTGGCTCTGAACGATGTTAGCCAATTTAGAAGCCCTTTTGTCTATTCTTGAAGATGAAATACCCGGAAGGACCGCTTGGACTGTTCGATAGTCAGCAAACAGTATGTTTTCTGCCCAGTGAACGAAGTATCTCACCCAGTGCTTCCAGTCGGACCAGTGAGACTGCATATGGTCAGCCCAATCGTCGATAATTCATCCCGGTTCGAGAACTCTTTACCCTGTGGCACCAGCTGGGCTGCACATGGCGTTCGTCAGCATCAACTTCAGCAGCTTCGCATGTGCCTGTTGCTCACCCAATGCTACCAGTCGGACCGGTAGGACTGCAGTCCCGTTAGCTTGCGCACAGCGAAGGTTACTTTGTAGGCCAAAATCACCCTGATGGGCTACGATCAAGTTAGCAGATGGTCATTCGAGTCATTCGTTGTGAATCTCACCCTATGGCCCCAATCTGACCGCTCGCACTGCAGCATGTCAGTCTCCTGATATTGAGTCTCTTGGCTCGACAGAATGTACCCTGTACGTCCCGATGGGCTGTGATTCAATTAGCTGATGGTCAATCGAATCATTCGTTGACGATTCCCTACCCTGAAGCTCCAACCTGGCCACTTGCGCTGCGGAATGTCAGCCGTTGTGTTTTCGAATTGTTCGGATTCGAGAACCGTACCCTGAAGGTCCCGATGGGCTGCGAAGTGTTAGTAGTCTGCTGACATGCATTCAAACATTGACGGCGCTCACCCAATGCTCCCCGTCGGACCCTTCTTATTGTGTTAGCGAAGGAAGTGTTACAGAAGTGACGTCGAGATTCATACGGTCGGTCCCTAGTTTGATGTCAGTTACTCGTATTCAGAAACATTGGATGAGACGACTTACTATTGCTCCAATTTGGCCGCTTTGGCTGCGTTATGTTAGTCTCACAATATCGATTGTCTGGATCGAGGAATTTACCCTGTAGCTCCCGAAGGACTGCTTGTCGTTAGCTAGCCGTCAAATTCTAGTTACATGTTGAGGATGCTCACCCAATGCTCCCCGTCGGACCCTTGCTGTTGCGTTAGCCAAATATCTTCGAGAGAATGAAACGTCTACTGTCATACAGTCGGTCCCTGGTCTCAAGTTAGTGACCCATATTACAATGCTGCGGGCGAGATGACTTACTATAGCTCCGATTTGTCCACTTTGTCTGTTTCATGTTAGTCTTATGATATTGATGGTCTGGATTTGAGGAAAATACCCGGTAGGCCCGGACGGACTGCTTCTCATTAGCTCACTGTCAATATCAAGTCACTGCTAAATGACGCACCCAATGCTCCCCGTGGGACCCTTTGTAGTGTGTTAGCGAACTGATCGTAAAGTTTTGGGACTTCTAATTCCTCACGGTTGGTCCCTGGTCGATGTCAGTGGACTGTGCAATAAAATCTCAATGCAGACGACATACTGTAGCTCCGACTTGACCACTAATACCAGTAGCTCGTAGGGAAACGTCAGTCTAAATCATTCCTAACCGATTGGATAGACATATCTGTAGCTCCTGTGGCTCGTGAAGAAAGGTCAGCCTGAGGAACTTCCATGGGAAGTGGTAGTACGTATCTGTAGCTCCGCTCGGACCTGTTGAGCTGTGGGTCGTTAGTATCATGCTTCGACGATTCTTAGATGTGAATGCTCACCCAGTTTGACCTGTGGGTCGTACGCTTGATATCAGCAATAATTCATGGTGAGAGGATGTGGAAGACTTATCAGTGGCTCCAGAGATTCCTGAAGGTCGTGCTGCACGTTAGCTCATCCTGCCCGAGTACGCCACGCAGGGGATGCTTATCTGTGGGCCGTAGTTGGAAGTCAGCATTTCAGTCTTTCTATTTGAATGGGGGAGACTTATCAATTGCGCCGATTTGTCCGCTTGCACCCTTTGGGGGTCATCAGCGAGAAGGCCCTTTGACAGAACACTTTCAGACTTACGCTTGGCCCCTAAAATTTGATTAGCTAAAAATACCATGACTAGTTCACTCAATACGACTTACAGAAGGCCCACTGCTACCAGGTGTACCTGTCGGTCGTTCGAATTGTCAGCTTGTAGTCCGCAATATCAAAGACTCGACACTTATCTGTTGGTCTATATGACAAGTCAGCAAGGTATCGAGACAATGTGAACATTCTACCACTAACCCAGTCGGCCCCATTGGACCCGTCGGCCCCGTCGGCCCTGACGAAAGAACCAAGCCTTGACAGCTCGACGCGGCGAACAAGCTCAGCTGAATGAATAGACAAGCCTCTGGCTGTGCGTTCTCTTGTAACACGGCGTATACAGTTCCGTTCTGCAATGCGCAGAACGACGCTTGTCCATTGTAAAAGGCTGCGTTGAACCAAGTCAATGTTCCGCCGCTGCCGATGGTGAATTGCGTGGTGATAGCTCCGGGTATCGTGGTTGGTGCGAATTGAATGTAAGGCAGCCCAGCAGTCGCAGAGTAGGTATACATCGTTCCATTGACCGTCGCAGTAAGAACGCCGTTGGTAATGGCGTAGATCGGTGACGTTGTACAGTCGTTGGTAATCGTTCCAAATGCGGACATGTAGACCTTCTTGTCTCAGCTTTCATTCAATCTCCATCGTTTCCTGTCTTTTGACCTACCGATCCACTTTGTCTCTTCTCGTTCCTCTTATCCCCTAGCACCAGCAATACGAATTCTGACTCTGCAAAGGCGGGCGTAGGCGTCGCCGAAATCGATGCTACTTGTGCTTCCGACGCCAATGACGGCGAGCGGACTTTGGTTGTATAAGACAGTAGCTCCGTCCATCGGAACGTCGTAATACCACGGAAACTTGTTGGTGCATTTGTGACCGTAACTCCATGCTCGGGTATCGGAAAGAAGGTTGTATTCCAAAGGACATCGGTGTTGATCGATACCGGTTGTTCGTGGACGATGCCTTGATGCAGATCGTACGTGAGGTCACAGGCATCCTTGGCAGTGCTGGGAATTGGATAGGACAAGATCAGCCCTATGAGGACATTTCGAAGTGCTGGCGATAGGTAAAGCATGGTTGGTGTTGTTTTCGAAAAGCTGCAAAGTGTTCACCACGATCTACGCGTGAGAGACCGTCGATGTTGAGAGTCGTCAGACTGCAGCGACCATTCTGTCTTGGCAAGGCCATGGAAAAGAGGCCGCATTCGGGCCGTAAACTTGTGATGGCTCCGCAAACAGTAGCAGTTGCCCGGGTAAGGAGAATCGGGTAGACGTCGCAGTTCCAGGAATGCGGTCCCCAGGCCGCTTTGGCTCTGGCTGAAGAGGCCGAGGCTGCCAAACGAGTCCAGTCAAAGCTGACGTGTCCTCCTCATGCCACAATCTTCATGTTGCCTCATCTGGATAGTTGCAAGAGCATGGATCTGAGAGTAGGAGCTCTGAGAAACTTACCAAAATGCTAGTGGCCACAATTCCGACACGAGGTTTTTCCTGGACGAAGCTCCGTGGACTGTCTTGACAAGACGGACCACCCGTTCAACAACAATGGCGTTCATGTCAGTGACGATTCAATATGCCGAAGATAGGTCTAGCCTGGTCCCGAATGTGGCGTGAGACCGGCAAGTGCATTCCAACAGCGGCAATGCATTCCTCGGCATGCCGAAGTATACCCGGCCCGTGGTTGCTTTGACAGCAGTGTTGTGTGACTCTTCAATAGATGAAGCTGTCGTACAGGCAGTGCCTAGATCTTTGTAGGCGGCATGTTTTCCTTTCATATTACATGGCTGTAGAGTTGTGGGACGCCCTTCGCAGCAACGTTCAGTCAGCTTGGCGACCGGTCAGAATCGCAATCTCGTGTGAAGAAAACACAAGATGGGATTGTTCTCGGCAAGCTAGGCTTGGCTGATGCTACTAAATGCAGCCCATTGGTGGTGCAATTGCTGAACTGAACTGGCACGAGAGCTTTCTGTGGCCAAGACTCGAGATAGTCGTCAGTTTGGAGGATGGATTCTCATCAGCATAGCAATGAAGTAGACGCAGTTGGAATTAGGGGCAAATTTCATCGTGTTGCAATCCTGCGTGGACAAGAAGTGTTTGGAGCCATGTTAAATGCATCCATTGATTGTTGGATATCATTCGGGTCAGTCGTCTGATCTAATGCCAGGAGCGACCCGTTCCGCCGCCACGAGGAATTTCAGATCGCGGGCTCCGTACGCTGGGAGATGGAGCCTGGCCATCGACGGCGTTGTCTCCGTCGCCAAAGGGATGGCTGTTGGAACGCAGGAGGTGAAGTTGGCAATCATCGCGGCAAGTTGCGGCGAGCAGCGGGACTGTCCGTCTTCCGAAAGTCTAATTCTCGCGAACAAATGCCGTTTGAGCTTTTCTGCACCTCCAAAACTTCGAACTTGAACGTCGGCAGACATGCGATAGCAGAGCCCACTCGCCGCGCAGCAATTTCGAAAACATGGCCGCCGAGGTCAAGGCTGTACCAGTGGTGCTACCTCCGCCTGGACCAGCGACGCAATCCGCTGATCAAACGCACTGGAAAACGTTCAAAAACCAGCTGCTCCTCCCATCTCCTCACAACGCAGGCGTCACGTCGATTACCGTACCTCATTTTAACCCAAATGGACCCCAGAGCGACACCTTCGCGGTAACGAGCGGTAGCCGAGTGCAGACTTACAGCATCAAGACCCGCAAGCTTGTCAAGACAATCAGCAGATTCGGTGTCGACGATACAGCACGATCAGGTGTTTTGAGAAGAGATGGCAGGATTCTGCTTGCTGGAGGTGACAGTGGAATCGTACAGGCGTTTGATACTGGCTCAAGGGCGATCTTGAAGCAATGGAGAGGCGAACATGCACACAAACAACCAGTACACACAGTTCGATGGAACCCGACTGTCCTCACAGACCTTATGAGCTGCAGCGATGATCGGACGGTACGAATCTGGGACTTGACAGAGGACTCGGCCAGGTGGACTGGTGTTGGGCACGAAGACTATGTGCGTAGCGGTGGCTATCTGCCTGGACATGGCGGAAATCTGATCGCAAGTGGAAGCTACGATCAGACTGTTCGTGTTTGGGATACAAGGACGGACGGAAATACGGCTGCGTTGACCTTTAAGTTTGCATCGCCCATCGAAGACGTCTTGCCGCTCAACAGCTCCAGTCTTGCTGCAGCAGCCGGAAACGAAGTGTCCATTGTGAACTTGATCTCTGGAAAAGCCGAGCATGTCATTGGCTCGCACCAAAAGACAGTGACGTCTCTGTCGACTGCACAGAACGGGACACGAATAGTTACTGGTAGTCTGGATGGGCATGTCAAAGTACACAACAGCGCAAATTGGGAGGTAGTTGCTGGCTTCAAATATCCCGCGCCTGTGCTAAGCCTGGCGGTCGTGCCGTCTCCTTCAGCCATCGAATCCGAAAGAGATGATCGTCACTTGGCAGTAGGCCTGCAAACTGGCCTTCTTTCACTTCGAACTCGTCTGGCCGGAGCCGAAAAAGTAAAAACTCGGGAACGAGAGAAGAAGATGCAAGCATTGGTGGCTGGGGAAGCCGATGAGTACGAGCGGAAACAGAAAAAGAAAGACATGCGACAGGGCATACGTGCAAGAGACAGGGGCAAAGACTTCAAAGGCGAAGGTGCCGACATTGTCATCACTGGCAATGATCGCCCCAGAAAGAAGAAGCTGCGGCCCTGGCAAGAGAGCCTAAGAACTGGAGAGTACGCGCGAGCACTGGACCTCGTGGTTCCTTCAGATCGCCACAAACCGTTCAATGCAGTCGAAATCTTCACTCTGTTCACAGCACTTCGTCATCGGAGCGCATTGCGAACAGCGTTGGCGAACCGATCCGAAGAACGCCTGGCCCCGCTGCTGCGTCTGATGGTACGATACATTGGGTATCCCCAATACACTCACATGATCTACGATGTTATGCTTCTTTTGCTTGACCTGTACAGCCATCGAATGTGGGACTGGCGAAACGACGATGGCGAAGGGCAAGAAGTTTTCCGTCTGTTCACGAAAATGAGGAACACGGTCAAGCGAGAAGCCGAGCTAGCGGATCGCGCACAGCACCTTCTTGGAATGGTAGATCTGTTGGAACAAGGCTGAAGATGAGTGGTGGCAATGCCTCTCACATACCAAGTGGACTCCATCGGGGGCCGCCACGCCAGCGAGTCGACATGAATCCATGCAATGGTCTACGATGACTAGCGGGGGAGTTCGCTTCGCTATCAGGTGGCCGGCGTGTTCAGCCCCAACACTACGCGCTCACGTCACCGGATTGCATTACCTGCAGCTGCTTCATTACCAGTCTGCCCGAATCTGTTTCAAACAGTGATACAGACGGACTGCCGGCGCTCCGTGGAAACCGGCTCACGAAGGGTCGGAGATTCTCTGCAAAATCAAACGTCGGCCAAGGAAGAGCAAACGAATGCAAACCTGTATGACCATAGACCAGGGCAGTCCGAGAAAAGCTACCCATAATTGAAGTGTCGATATCCTTCACGACTTCTGCTCTGCAGCTTTAATTGCGCATTCTCTCCACTTCTGATCTCTGAGGATGTGCCTCACTCTCGCTTCTAACCACTCACTGTTGCCCCATTGACCCCAGCTCACTTGGAATCTATGCCAGTCTACAATTGCTGTCTTCCAGTGCATTACCAAGTCCTCCCAAGGGTACTTCCTGCCTGAGATGCCTTCGAGAGCGTCCCGATAGTATTCTAAAAGCTGGCGTTCGCCCTCCTGCATGTCCAAGTGCGATGGAATCTGTGATGTGAGAAGCGACTCCGGCACCGAGCAAGTAAACAATTTGGCGAGATCGCAGACGCCTAGACCCAGACCCACGTATTGGAAGTCGAAGAAGGCTACTTTAGAGCCTGACGTCGTGGTGAAGAGGTTCTCGGACTTGACGTCGCCGTGGATGAGGGTCTCGTATTGCTGAATCGGAGATGATGGAGAGGAATGGACGGAGGGCGATAGGATTTGGGCCACGAGTTCGGCCATACTGAGGCCGGTTTCGCTTTCGGGGACTGGAGTGCATAACGCGCTGCTCCATTCTGAGCTTGTATCTTCCCGGAGAGATTTGTATTCTTTCTGGCGGGTGGCGAGGTATCTTTGAGAAAGGCGTGTCAGTAAGATCCTTGATAACAACACGAGTCTTCTGCTCACGTATATCCACCGTTCAACCATAACCCATCTCTCCTATGCTCCCCATTTACCGTGGCTTCTTCCAACGGCGGCAGCCTCATCTCCTTCCTGTCTATGGACCCTGTCCTCTGCCACCAGAACCCATGAAACCCAGCAAGCCACCTCAGAGCAGCATACACCTGCGTCTCATTCAACTCGCCCCGTTTCTCTCCTTCCACAGGGAACTTCTCCCGTAGATCGGTCAAGATCATTGCTATGGTCGGCTCTGCAGCATTGCTTGTTTCACTAATACTGGCGACACAACTTGCAACAGGAGCTAGACTCAAAGGCAGGTCGGGCGCAAAGTTCGTATAGAATCGTTGCTCGACTTGATAAGAGATGAGTTTTCGGAGATGCCCTTCGTCGACTTGTCTTTCGTTCTTGCCATTTTGATATGGAGGTGTGACAATTTTCAGAATGAGAGATTGCTTCGCGTGTCTATCGTCTGGTGTTTGAGACACAATTCCATCAATAGGCTCAACCTGAAGACGAGCGATGTGTCCATACCCAGCCCAGAGATTTTGGAGAATTTCGTATGTTGTGGCTTTCAGGCCTTTTGGTGTCAGCAGCTTATTGGCGACATCAAGAATGGCTTCCCCGGACGTCATAACGACTCCGATATGTTGGGTGGGCTGCAATGAGTGACGAATGGAGAAATGTTGTACAAGATTGAGCTCAAAAGATGAGGTGAGGTCAAACACGGCCTGCCAAGACCACAACCAAAACATGCCTATCGAGCAAAGCCACATCGCGATTAGTTTTATTGTGTCGTTACGTAGCACCTCATATTGAAATTATATACAGCAAATGCATGCATGTGCCCTTTCCCGACTTGAAGGGTATCTTGACGACGACGTACAACGCCTGACAATACCCTCTTTGCTTCCTCCAAAAACGTGACCTTCATAATTCGCTCTGAGCCAAGAAGAAGAAAACTTCCTTCGAAATGCTGTTGTTGTTGACATGCGTTGCAGGTGCTATACTGTTCATGATTGCGGTTTCATGTGCGGGTACCAGGATTCTTATGCCTCGAAAGTGGCCGTTCTCTTGGCCTTGAGAGTGACGGGCAACGACAGTGCATCGAGCAGTCCGGTCTCGGTGCTAGATGCCGTGGTCGACGTCTCAGTTGCGTTGAAAGCATCGCTGATGGTTTGTGTGATTTGTCCTTGCGCAAGCTCGGCCGACTTGGCGGAAGTGGTGATCGTTGCGAGAGTCGTCTTCGAATGAGCTGTGCCGGTTCCGGCGGGAATAGTTGAGTTGTAGTTGACCACCTTCACTCCACCGCTCGGTGCTGCGTTGGAGGACGACTGAGCTGGCTCAGATGTCCATGCGTGAGCGGTATTCGAGGATGTGGATGAAGACGAAGAAGCAGAGGTTGACAATGCGTTTGCGGCAGAGTTGAAAGCGTGATCCGACGAGGAGGTGGAAGTGGAAGATGTTGAGACTTGGGCTGCTTCAGAGGTCCATTTGCCGGTAGCCGTGGCGGTGGCTGGCGGCTCCGTAGTATCTGTTGAAGCCGCAACGGTGGATTCGACATCGTCAGAGGCCTCGGAAGAGGACGATGAGGATGATGCGGACGTAGTGGTGCCTCCCAGCACGCCAGCCAAGAGGCCTTCAGAGGACGAAGACGAGGCAGTCGTAGTCTCACGGCGCAAAATCTGCAAGGCGTGCAAGAGGTCGGTGTTGGTAGTGGTTGCTTCAGTAGATTTGGCAGACTTGGAGGATTCGGTGGATTCAGACGATGGAGATGGAGTTGTCAGGACTTTGTTCAGCAGTCCCGTGCTAGACGTGGTCTCCGTAATTGTGGCAGACTTCTCATTGGTGCTCTCAGCTTTGGCTTTGGCAGTGTTCGTGGCTTTGCTGGACGAAGATTCGGAGTCGGTTTTCTCAGCTGGAGTTCCAACCTTCTTGACCACACTGGAGGTAGTCGATGTGGTGGATTCTGTCTTTGTTTCCTTCTCAGATGTCTCCTTTGCAGTCGTAGATGTCGTCGTCTTTGCTTTGGCTTCCTTTTTCGCAGCGTCCGAGGTAGTCGTCGAGGATGCAAGCACATCAATAGTCAGAGAGTGGGTGGCAGTGTTATCGGCCTTCTTTGTCGTCGTCTGAGCGGCAACATCTTTCGTTTCTGATGTTTCAGTCGATGTCGTGGTGTCTTCTTTGGCGGCGGCGACACGTGGGAGGACGTTCAGGTAAGAGCTTGGGATAGGCAAAACCCCAGTACCAAGGGTGCCTGATGCGGATGCAATCGTAGTATTCGACGAAGGTCTCAAGAAGTTGAAACGCTCAGCGACTGCGATGGTCGCAAGAGAAGCGAAGAAGAGGCCGGAGAATCTCATTTTGGCGTCGAACGATCGTGATGCCTGGTGAAGGCGCGTATGGTACTCGAGCGAGTGTGTGTGGGCTCTTGGCAAAGAGATGGAGGGTGTGAGAAGACTGGAAGGCAGTTGACAAAAGACTGGTGTAGAGACAGATCTTACCGCATCACAACATGGCGCCTGCTCCACCCTTTCCTGGATTTCAACGGTAGTTTCTACCAAGCATTCGCTAAATATAACGTGTGTACCATGAAGATCTGCGAAAAGACGATAGAGAAGCCGTTGACGACGGCATCACCTTCCGGGCTGTCTCTGTGCAGCAGGTCCAGGACATAGCACGACCAGCTGGGCAAAGGTGTGAGGCTGCAATTTCTGGGTAGCATGGGCGATGAATTTGGTATTCTCGAGATGAACAGTCTGATGACTTTCAGATGTCGTTGGTGATGGTGTTGTTGGGATTGAGTTCAGCCCCTTGCGGATCTCATTCACGCACCGGCACGGATGCTCCCGGCACTAGTCTTCAGGGATTGTGCCGCGACGACAACAGCACAGCACACCATGATGTGTTTGCCTATAACGGCAACGAGAGCACGCCCGTTGATCGTGAGAACACTGGATCCGGACGCATGGGACTTCGGCCTCGATCGGACTTCAATGACCTATCAAAGAGACGCAAGAGAAGGAGGTTTTGCATCATGAAACGTGAGCCTACGTGGCAGGCTCGACTTTGATTTTACTTGCCAGTCACTTCGACATGATTGACAGGAGTGTCTTTCTCCAAATCTCCCACACTCGCTCGATGCACCGTCTCGCCTTCGATGGCTTCGACCGCCTTGGATTCCTCGGACTCGCCAGCCGCGACTGCGTCGACTTGTCCGAAGATTGCATCCATGCGCTCGAGACTTATGCCCTTCGTCTCTGGCAGTATGAAGATGACAGAGACCAACGCCATGACATTGAGACCGAACAGCTGCGGCATGTGTCAGCACCTGGATTCTAGATGAACACCATGGACGGCAATCACTCACCAGCCAATAACTCTTTGCTCCTACTTCCGCGTTGAAAGTCGGCCAGGGCTGTGTGAGAGCGATGAGGCACACAGACTGTCCAAGCAGTGAGATACCAAAGGCCTTGTCACGAACGTGCTGTGGGAAGATCTCCGAGGCAATTGCTGGTGCGATAGGTCCTACTGTGCGTTAGCCGGTTTGATCGAAGCTTGAAGCTGAAGAGTTTCTTTACCATTGGACCAGCAGTAGGTCAGGCCCACGATGAAAAGCATAGCGACCTCCACCACTGCTGCAGCCTTGTTGCCATTCGTTGGGTATGCAGTCGTCAGACTTGACAGGATCACCAACGCCAGAGACTGGATGGCAAAGCCAGCGATGAGCAATTGACGTCGCCCAAATCTGTCAACCGTAAAGGTGTTGACCAGGACGATGAAGAGCTGCAAAACAGACTGGATGCCATTGATCGCCAAAGCCTGGCTTCCGGAGTCCCAGCCGAGAGACTTGTAGATGAGGGTGGCGTACATGGTCAAACAGGCGATTCCCCCCACTTGTTGGAGTGCCGTGGCGTAGATACCGTAGAGTAATCGTTTCCTCATGGCGGCGCTTTTGAAGAGACCAAGATAACCAGTGTCGTAGCGCTTTCTGAATTCGTACGAAGCTACCATTTCGTGGAACTGAAACGAAGTCAGCGACTAATCGACTCTATAGCAGGTCTAACCTACCTCTATTCGGATACGCTCGTCGGTTGGACTGCCAGAGCGAAGCTTGGCAAGGGTGTTCAAGGCACGCTCTGGTTCTTCGGACTTTTTCTCGAGCAACCAGCGTGGACTGGAAGCTGTCAGCAGACGACATTACAACGATCCGAGCGTTATTACCTTTCCGGATACAAGAAGGATATCGCCACGAACATCAATCCAATCGGGATTTGGATGACGTTCGATACTCTCCACGCGATATTGTAGGGCGACTTGTGGAACGAAAGGCCATACCCTGCCCAGAACGCAATCAAGGTGCCTAGTTGATATCCAAACTGCGATACGGTCCCAACGAAGCTTCCTCTTAAAAGGCGTGGTGCGCATTCGGCGACGTACAGATTGGTGGCGATGTAGACGCATCCAAACCCAAGACCAGTGATCAGACGCCCGACGATCAGGACGGCGTAGGTGTTTGGCACGACTTGAACAACACTGCAGCGATGTTCAGTACATGCTCTTCCCAGATCCATTCAGATTCTACTCACACTCCAATACACATGAGCATGATGCTAATGCGAAGAGCCCACAGACGTCCTACAAGAGATGCGAGTGTGCCTCCGACGAAGAGTTGAGCCAACCCAGTGGTGGCCCATGGTATGACTGCAATAACGCCTTGTCGGTCCGGTGTTATGTGGTAATACGAAGTGAATTGCTCGTCCGCGAGGATGACCGTCATGATACCCGCATCGTATCCTGAACGTTGGAGTCAGCATCTCAATCGGCCAGCGGATCACACGGAATCTCACCATTGAAGCATGTGCTGAAGACCATGCCATAGAGCAGCAAGGCTGCGAATCGATCCTCCTTTGGGAGGAACTTCTCGATCAAGCCCATCTTTGGTTAGTGTTCGAATGTATGTTCAAGACGATCGAAGGTCAACCAGGTCGCAGAATGTCACCGTCTTGAGCGGAGCTTGAGCCGGAATGTCAGTCTCATGGTAGCGTCAAGGTGGTTATATAACGATGCTGTGCACTGTGAGGACAAGCCTTCTATGCGGAGAAGATCTGGGGGATGTAATATGCTGCCATGCTCTGACCATGTGGAGGTGGGTCTCCGGAGGGTGAAGCCAAACTTGATAGCCGTTTCCACCAATGGGCTGGGCCTAGGCCGCGTCTTCTTTCCAAGCGCACAGTACGGAGGGACCGTAAGTTCGACCAGAGTGGTTCTCCACTGTTGCGATTCGAGTAGTGAAAGGGACTCTCTTCGCTCGGAGTATTCTTCGTGTCTTATATTAGAGTTTCTCTATATCTAAAATCTTCTCAAGCCAACCCGCATGTGACCCTTTCCACCTCTATTCGCACGGAAGTAGTAGGGAGTAAAGTGAAGCCTACCAATGGTATCCGCCTTGCTCACTGTCGATTCTAAGTCGGCCGCGTTGATCGAGGGATAAGCACAAACGGTCTCTGGCTTGATATTACGAGCCCCGTCTTCTAGGATCAGCGAGACGTACTCGTCTCCTGTCTTCGTGTCCTTGGTTACACTCTCAGCCAGTGAAGCTCCTATATCGATCGAGACGCCCTTTGGAATTGTCAGCAACAAACTTTCAACAAATTTGCCAACTACAAACCTTGAAGTGATCGTCCACCCATTCGTTATGCACGTCTTCGATGCAGTATATGATAGGTCCTCGCGCTAGAGTCACGGTGTTCTGCTCGGTCGAGGGATGAGGCACGACCCATCGTGGTTTGAGAGGAATCTGTAGCTCGAAAGCTCGATTCTTGGACAGCCACGCGGCCGGAAGAGTAAGATATCCCTTGTCGACAACAGCATCCGGACATGATGGGCAAAGCTCGAAAGAAGACGCCCATTGCGGTATCCTTAGCTTCAAGCTGAGATCTTCAGAGGTAGTGTCTACCGTGAACCTGATCCGATCTTCCCATGGCCAATTGCTTTGCTGAGATATTCGAACGTCTTTCCTGTTGGCAGTGAATTCCAGGGTGCTTGGGATGTACAAGTTGACCGTCACATTGTTGTTCGAGTCGTCGCGGGTCCAGATATATCCTCCGATATAGCCCAGGAGACGAAGCATATTAGGTGGACAGCAGGCGACGGTGAACCAATCTTCACGCTTGGACGGATCCGTATCACTGGATGCGAGTTGATTGACATACGTGAAGCCCTTTCCGTCGTGCGACATAGCAGTCAGTACGGCGTTGTAAAGGCAAAGCTCCATGATGTCCGCAAACTTGGCGTCAAGGTCGATCTGTGATCTGGTGTCAGTTGTGATTCGGGTACTAGATATCCTCAAATGCATACCTGGAGTAACCTCTGCGCAAGCATCATGACACCAATAGCTGCACACGTCTCCGCATAGCATCCGCCCTCATCAGTGCCCTGGGGTAGGAAGAAATCCTGTCCAAAGCCTTCCCATTGCTTGATCGCTCCGATACCTCCCGTGACGTACATTTTCCTTTGGATCATATTGTTCCAGAGTGTATACATCGCAGATTCGAGGTTGGGAGATCTTGTGCCAGACTCGATGCGACACAAATCGGCCACAGCTGTGAGAAGATACATTGCCCTGACCGAGTGTCCTTCGATTGTCTTCTGCTCAGCAATAGGAGCGTGAGCTTGATGGTACCTGGAGGACGAAATCAAAATCTCGACCAGTCGTGACTTCCACTAGTACTTACCAAAGGCATTGGGATTCTGGATAAAAGGCTGGCCGTTTCGCTGGATCGTCACCTCGAGCTCTGGCTTCCCACGCAAAGTAGTTCTGGCCATCTACGCCGGCTGGATTCCCACGTTCTGTCAAGAAATACTTCGCCAGAGCCAGATGCTTGGGTTCGTTTGTGCGGTCATAAAGCCGCAACAGAGCAAGCTCGATCTCAGGGTGGCCAGGATAGCCATGGGTTTGATGCGGCTCGGGTCCGAAGTTTGCACACAGCAAATCAACGTATCTTAGTATTGGTGCGAAGAGTTTGTCCTGATGACTTGATTAGTCTGGTGAATTGAATTTGGGATGCACATATCTCACGTTGCGATACAGATCCGAGTGAGCGAGGGCAGCCTCGATCAAATGCCCAGCGTTGTATCTATCTTCGTTATCAGGTCAATTCGAGTCTACATGTACGACCTACTTACAGTTCATGCATGTCTCGGAGGTTAGTAAAGCGTTTGCCAGGCTCCACGACAGTGTAGTGGATATTCAGATAGCCGTCTGACTGCTGTGCAGATCGAATCATTTCCACCAGCTCCTGCACAGCCTGATCGATTTCTGGCAATGCTTGCTGCTTGAGGAAATAGCATGCACCTTCGATCCATTTGGCCACGTCTGAATCCCAGAAGAGATGGTTTGGAATCGGCCAGACCAGCGGAGGCTCGTCATAAACGGGGTGCCATTGAAGCTTGAATGCATCATAACGTCCAGTCTTCTTGAGCACGTCGAGCTGGTACTTTAACGTGTTGGCAGATACAGCTTGTCGGCGTCTTCCCACCAGAGAATCGGCATGAATGGCAGTCGACGCGAAAGCTGTTTGAGGATAAGCCATGTTGTCGTGCAATTCAGAGTGAGTGACACTGGGGATGTTCTAGGAAGAACAGCCACTGATAGTATGCATGCCTCGAGCGCATGTGCATTTCCCTGCCGCTTTGCCTAAAGTCCGTAAAGACGGCACAAACGAGACCGGCCTCTCCGAAGGGGGAGGACTTCATTGGGGACGTGTGGCAAAAGGAGAATGCTGAACCCCGTACCACTGATCTCATCCAAAGGTATCCACGCGTGGTAGCAATCGGCACAACGGATCCACACTGCGTCTGAGTGCCGAACTTCTCATGGCGTGTGTTGTGGCAATGCTGTGAATTGTGAAAGGTCACCTGGACAGGCCGCGTGCAAAATCTACCATTGGCCGCGAGTGACCCTCCGGGGCTGCCGGTGGGGTCCCCGGCCACCTTCTCTCCACTTCACGCTGTGCGACCTCATCAAACATCAACGCCCGACGAACCATGGGGTGACTGCGCGATGGACACAGTCCCACCGGAGCTCAGAGAATATCGATGCTCGTATTGCCCCAAAACGTTCGGCAGAGCGGAGCACAGAAGACGCCATGAGCTGATCCACAACGAGCATAGGCCATTCAGGTGCCAGGCGTGCCCCAAGGACTTCGTACGAAGGTAACTTGCATCAGCTCAAGGCGAATTTTTCCTTCTCTGCTTACCCACAACCGTAGAGACGCCCTGCAACGACACGAGCTCACACACCAGGCAGCACCAAACTTGCTGCAGAGGGGAGGGCGAGCCTGCTCCCAGTGCGCCGCTGCGAAGGCAAGATGTTCAGGCGATATACCATGCTTACGATGTCGAGAACGTGCCGCTCAATGCATCTTTCCAAGTATGAGCACCCCAGATGGAAATGGCCAAGGGCCAAGTAGTTCAATCGTCAGCCCGGGAACGTCACTTTCCTTCGTCCAAGCGCCAATGCCAGCTCATGAAGGATTGCCGGATACTGGAATGATGGGCTTCGATTTCTGGGACCAAAACGTATTGTCTGCTACGAATTGGCTGGACGGTCTGGACAATACAGCCTTCGTTGGATATCCGATGTCGCAAATGGAATCGAATGAACAGCTCTTTGGCCCTTTTGGTGTTTCCAACAACGCGATCACAGGAGCTATTGTGGCTACGCCCGCCAGTAAGAACAGGAGCCAGGTTCAAACCGAGTCGCCTCAGAGTATCTTCTCGCCCCGTTCGGCTGCAGTGACTGAAGGCAACACAAGCCACACGTCTTACGATGGTGGACAAGCCGAGGTCGGCCAATACTATGTTGATGGCGAGCCTGCCAGACTGCCTCGAGTCAAAAGACGCAAGATATCGCAGTCCCAACCGACGCTCCAGTCTGATACCGCAGATGGCTTTAGTCTTCAAATGCGACCGGTATCTGAAGCTCCTGAGCATACTCCTTTCAAGATAACCGCTGGAGATTACAATGCGATTGTGGAATCTTACCAGCGGCTCTGTATCAGTCCACCACCAGGATGGATAGCTTATGAACCCGTCGAGCTTCCATCCGTGGAGATTTTGACATTCTTACTTGGCCTCTATCATAGAAATTTCAGCCAGACGTTGCCTGTCCTGCATCCTCTTGGCTTCGATGCTGATGGCCCTCGGGAGGGCTTGATTCTTGCCATGGCAGCTATAGGGACTCATTACCCGCAAGAAGGCGGGTCTGCCAGACTAAGCAAATCGATGCATGAGTTTGTACGCCGCTTACTGCTCTACCAGTATGAGACTGTGTTCGATGACACTGTGTCCACTTGCTGGACCTGCACAGAATTGCTCAACTTGGTTGGCATGGCATATTGCGATGACCTGAAGCTTCAGCGCTATGCGTTAACTTCGAGACACCGGGTCGCTACTATTTTCGCGAGATCTAGACAGAACTTGAGCTCAGAAAGCCGGAGACCTGCTCAGGACGAAAGCAGTGGGAATGAATTCCGATCTTGGGTCAGACGTGAAACCGCCATTAGGCTTGCCTACGGTGCCTGGATGACAGATTGCATGTTCCAATATCAGTTCCAGTCTGAGCATGTCTTGAGCTTGAAAGATGCTCAGATACCTTTGCCCTGTGAAGAAGGAAGGTGGAACGCTACGAACGAGCAGGACTGGAAAGAGCAGACAAAGGCCGCTCAACCACCAACTTTGAACGAAGCACTCCAGGATCTATATGTCGAAAAGCATATGCCAAAAGAGCGAGGGGAATTCGCGAGAATACTGATCATCCATGGGTTGTATCATCGAATGTGGGAGGTCGCAGACTATTTGTCGAATCCATTGGCTCACTGGGAACCAACCGCGAATAGGCAAGCGAGTTCAGATGTCCTACCGTCGACGCCGATCTGGCTTCCATCTATTCCTACCTTTACCAGATGGCAAAACTCGGCTTGCGACTGTCTAGATGTGCTTCATTGGCAGGCAAACGCGACAATCGGCCAAGCCAGCGGGCTGGAGCATCCAACCGTTCTTCATCTGCACTTGGCCAGAATCATCCTCCTCGCGCCTCATGCAGAGATCACGAAGCTTGCAAAGGCCATGGTAGTCCCGTCTGCGGTTCGTGATAACGACGAGATGCTCTCGAATAAGCGGCTGATCCAGCGATGGGCGATACAACATCAATACAAAGCCAGGCTTGCGATAATCCATGCGGGTGTGGTGTTTTGGCACGTTCGTCGATACTCTGTAGATGGGTTTCACGAAGCACCAGCAGTCGCCCTCGCTGCACTGACACTGTGGGCGTTTGGGACTTTCTCAAACAAGAAAGCTCTTAGCAGATCGACTTCCCAACAGCCACAGAGTACACACCCGCCACGAATGCAGGAGGCGAGAGAGGATTCCGACCAGAGCGATGATGCCTCCTGCAACATAATTCTCCTGGACCGCCCAGCAGACGATGAAATTGTCCAGCAGTTCATACGGAACGGTCACAACATGAAAGCTAATGTCGCTGGAAGCGACTTGTACGCATCGAAAGGACCAGAGCGTGCGTTACGTCAAGGATGTAAATTGCTCGCTTCGCTCAGGTGTTGGGGAACCAGTACCCACTGGAATCGTTTGCTACAGAAACTCGTCGAAACAGTGCAGAAGTCGTCAGCGAAGACATAACGTGAGAGAGAAGAAAAGGGGAAATTCCTCGAATCGAAACTTTGAAAATTTGCATTGCTACAAACTGGTACAGCACTGCCGAGTTATGATGCTACCATGGATGTATCTTCGTCCCAGACCATGTATGTTCTTCAACATTTCCCCGTCAATTGCTCAAGTCGTGGTTGCATGATTTTCAGTAGACTAGCATCGTCGTCTTCCTCCAAAAGCCGGTCTAGTGGTACGTCTGTAGCTGCTAACGTATGTGGCCCGTGGAGGAGGTGCGCAGTACCTGGGTCCATGGTGATATCCGCGAACAGGTCTGGCTCCGTAAGATTGCTTTGGAACGATGTATGTTTGGTGGCTGCGTCGAGGAAAGCACATGGTCGCGTTGTAAGTATTGCCGTCGCTTTCGTTGGATGTGCTGATGGTCTTGATTGTCCTAGTGTGGGTTGTGGAATGCTGGTGGAGGCTTTTCCTCAAGAGTTGTATTGTTGAAGCGATGTTCGAAGGTTTCTGGATGTGTGGATGGGGATGTTTTGTCAAAATGGTTCCTTTTGCTTTGTGATTGATAAAATCATGTGCTACGACCATAGCACCTTATATATACCTTCATCTGCAAGCATCAAAGACATAGAGCAAGAGAATAGTGTCTTACGACGTCTCGTCACATGTCATTCTTGGCGGGACATATGTTGGCCAAGCCATCTCGTGACTGTGCTAACGAACCGCCAAGAAGTAGATAGAGGAACAAGCATGGTAGGGCAACGCAATAGGATCGTATAGAGACCATAGACAGCCCGAGATGTCGTTCTAAAGTGCATAGGTTATTGCCACACCAAGCACTTTTCTCTTGGCACTTGCGTCACAGCCAAGTAAATTCATTCACTTACCACGTACTCTTCTGGAAAGTCCATTGGCCACTCATGTCCTCGCATCTGATGTTCCACTATGTCCTCAGAACCAAATTATTGGTCGCGACAAGACGAGTGCGTCGTAATGGTCTTCTTGTTCGAAAGCTGAGGTCCTTGCCGAGACGATCAAGTACGCCAACGACCATGGACGAAGGTCTCGCAGCTTGGGATCTCCCTCGAACGTCATCGATTCGAGGATGCATTGGGATCATGCGTTCGATCCTGGAAAGGCTCTTACATGAAAGTGGTCCGATGAAGAAGACGTACAGGAGATAAGAGGGTGGGGAGAGAAAGGTGAGGTCAGTCCATGACTCAGCACGAAAAGACCCACACCATTCTCCCAGCCTAAGGCCAACTCCGCCCTCCTCTCTCGCGACTGGATCAATTTTCATGCCACCCGTGCGTGCCACCTTCCTTTTCGCCATTAGCCTGGCCTTCGGATCGGGAAAAGAGGGGGACGATGGAAGGCGGCGAAGGTCCGCCCGAGAGATTGTTGCTCCTCCGCAATTCCTACCATTCTAGTCCTCCTTTGCGCTCACCGTAGCGACAACGAACGAGTGCGTAGGCTAGGCCCCCTAACTTCGGTATCACAGGTAGGGTATTGTGGGGGCCAGATCCGCTAGATACGGCCACCAGCACTTCATCACGGCACGATGCCGGCAGATTGATAGGCAGGTTTGTGGCTTCTTTGCTATCTTGTCCAGTGCGTCAACATTCGAAGGCTTGACAGAATCTAAAGATGAGGTCTTCTCTGTTATTGTCGCTGTCTGCGGCAATCGTAACAGTTGCAGGGCATTCTCCCACGGCAAAACTCAATGGCGTCACGTACAACGGTCTCTACAAAGACCAAGTCGAATTCTTCTGGGGCATTCAGTACGGCCAGGATACCGGAGGATCCAACCGATTCAAGCCTCCCAAACCCTTCGTACCTGAGCATGGCTGCACCGTCGAAGCAACACGTCCTAGAGCAGCATGTCCGCAGGAGAAAGGCACAAATTCCCTGCCACTTTACCTGGGCAACATCACGGAGATCTCTGAAGACTGCCTACTACTGAACGTGGCCAGACCTAACGGCACGACTGCATCCTCGAAGCTACCTGTCATGGTTTATATCCATGGCGGCAGTTTTGTTGCTGCGTCTAAAGACGAACCTGCTTCGCAACCGGGAGGACTCATCTTACAGTCTGTTGAGATTGGACGACCGATCCTGCATGTAGCACTCAACTATCGACTCGGTGTGTTTGGGTTCGCACAATCCGAAGCACTCAATAAGGAGGGATCAGAAAACGCAGGACTTCGAGACCAACGATTAGCTCTTGAATGGGTGCACAAGAATATTGCCGCTTTTGGCGGAGACCCTAGCAAGATCACTATTCACGGTCAATCGTCGGGCGGTGCGTATTCAAGAGGATTCGAAGGAAAGAATAGATTTGCTGACTGTGATAGGGTTGGCGATGGGAATGCAGACAGTAGCCTTCGGTGGCAGGAAACCTGCCCCTTTCAATCAAATCATAGCTCAGAGCCAAGTCCTCGAAGGAGGAATCACTGGCAACTTCACCCGCGATGCCATGAAGCGGGTTACGAATGTGACCAGCTGCAATACCACTGACGTGCAATCGCCCGCAACGATAAGGTGCTTGCGTGGGCTGTCCACCTCGGATCTCTTGAAAGCCCAGCTGGACACCTACACGTCTGGGCCACAAGCCAACATTGGAGACGAGTGGTTGCCTGTCGTCGACGGCGATGTACGTGACCAACCAACCCATATGATTGCAGTGCTGATTCATTCGCAGTTTCTTCCCGCGCCACCATCAGAACTCCTGGCAACAGGACAACACTACAATGTCACGACCATGATCGGCTGGTGCGAAGACGACGCTCAGATATTCCCTGATCCTCTACCTTCGAACGCCTCGGCCGTCAGGCAGTACTTCCGCCAGTATCTCCCCGGCTACACAGAGCAGAACCTCGACCACCTTCTCAACCTGTATCCCATTTCCGACTTTCACAGCAGTTACTTCCCCAACGGCACCATTCAGGTCACAGCTCAAGGCTATCGGACAGGTCGCATCCTCCGAGACATTGCCCTGACATGCCAACCCTTCTACTTCGGCGAAGCACTCGCAAAGTCAGGGAATGATGTCTATTACTACGTGACGAACCAAACGATCTTGACTCCAATCCTGAATCACTATGGTATCTACGGATACGGGAAAGTGCATACGTCTGACTTCGCGTACATGTTCGGAAATCTCAGCCATTACGACATCTACGACTTGCCCTTCCATCCCGAGCCGGCCGATTATGCTTTGAAGGATCGGGCGAGTCGATCTTGGGCTTCGTATGCGGCTCTGGGATATCCGTCTGTTGGTGGTAAGGGGACGTTGGAGGGTTGGAAGAAGGGCGATAACAAGGATGCGAACTATGGCGTGTATGTGATGGGCGGGCCGAACGAGGGCTACTCTGGGAAGGGAGGGAAGAAGGCTACGGTAGAAGCCATGAAGTTGCAGAAGCTGCAGGACAGGTGTTCGTTTCTGAATCGACCGGACTCCATCAAGCAGGATGGCTACTGACGCGAAGGATCAATACGTCTCTAGCAGCAGCACAGCCCCAAGAAGGAGCTTTGAACGACGTTTGTTCGTGTTCGAAATGTGCTACGTCCCTAATCGGCTCTCGTCGAGTATCGTCCACCCTTCGGTCCCCTCACTTGTACAGATTGTACGCAACATCATCGAGCACGATGACATTCAGAGCCTCGCCCGTTGTGGACTCGATCTGGACAATCTCGACCCGCTGGATCGCCGAGAACGACTTATCGAAAGTGGCGATTTTAGGGTCGACGAGCACATCGACGATATTTGGGTTGAAAGAGAATTGAGCAGATGCAACTGGATTGGCATCGTGCAACTTCCGGTAGCCACGGACCTGATCCACCGTATATTAGTATCAGAGTCAAACAGTTGTCGATAGAGGTTCATCGACGTACGTTGATGGTGCACTGCTGTGCCACACCCTCAGCACCTGCGAGCGTATTCACTGCGCAGCCGAAGTAGAAGTACTTCAAGTCGAAGTACTTCGTATCGGTGCCATTCGTACTGAAGCCGGGGTTGATGTCCGTTTTCGATAGCGCCTGTATGCCACTGACGATGTTGTTGGACGTGGTGTGAGGCCTGATGCCCGTGAGCTGAGCTTCGCCATCAACGCCGACTTGGTTGACGTCGAAGTCGGTGTACGTCAGGCCTTCGTACGTGTCCAGGTTGTTGAGAGCTGGGAGCGCTGGGAAAACGAAAATGTCATCATACTAGGCAAAGGAGAGAGCTTGTCAGTCAGGCGGCCTAATGGGGGAAGAGGAGGCTGTACATTTGCGTCGATGACCTCGAATTTGGGCTTTGGTGGAGTGGTGGCAGAGACCAGACAGGCAAGGACCGACGTGGTCAGCAGGCTTTTGATGAACATGTTTGTTGCCGCGTCGAAATGCATGAAATCTGGGCTCTTCTCTGGTCCGAAGCAACCGTACTGAAAGTACTTATGTTGCAATGAGCACATTTACAAGCTCCCAGTGAATCGGTTCCGATGTCCGAAAGGGGCTGAGATCCAAATAACCACGATGACGCTCTGATCTCAGCACGAACCGCCATATCGTCAGTGGCAGTTTGGAGTCTGGCGGATGTTCGCTCAATTTGCACGTGTCGAGCCGTTTGAGGTCTACAGCTGTTCTTGGGCCTTCACCAATGACTCTGCGCGATCTTCAGGACTAGAATCGATTCGATGTCCTTGAAGACGCCTCTCACTTGACGGCATCATTGGCCAAGGAAAAGTTATCTAGCGCAAGCCAGCAGAGAATGTGAGGTGTTGCCAATACTTACTCTGCAGCCTGTTTTGGGCCAGACCAGGCCCTATGTTACATTGGCATCAAGTTATCTGATATGGCTGGTCAAGTTGGGCACGGACTGAATGTGCACCGAGGCGTTGGACTCCTTGCGTAGGGCTTGGTGAGCTCTCGATGGCGACTTAATTTGGAGTAGCGGTGACCGACGGAGAACATCGGGGCAACGGATTGAAGGTCCGGTACAAACAGACTTTCCTTTGTGACGAATTCTAGTTAGATAGGGTCCCTCATCATGTGGAGTCGCTCAACCGCAAAGTACGGTGCATGTTAATGGATGAGCGACCTTGGTACGAGTGTCAAGTAGCTGAATCCGTGTGTAATTACAAGTGTGGCGTGTGGAAACTGTTAATTCGACTATTCGTTCAAAGTCTGATCTGGGGTCCTAATCAGGTAATAGCGAGCACTGCGTAGCGCAACGAAGTGTTATTGTGCTTTGGATCGATTGCAGAGCTCCTGAAAGAGGTGTTCGGAGAGGTTGTGCATCCAGAGACAGCGCATGCCACTGCCATTAATATCAACACGCTAGCTCAGAGCTAGTTGGCCTGTGCGTGTACGCATCCAGAGGGTTTGCTGAGCAAAGCTCGAACTCCGCTACAGTGACTTTTGGGCTGCTGTCTGGTTCCAACGTCTTTTGCATCCTCGGCATTGATGCGAGAAGACCTGAGGGGGCTGAATCGAGTGACATCTCGAACACGCTGAGAGGCCTCGAGGTTAGGCGAGAATTCGTCCGGAGTCGTGCTAACGATGCTTGTCCGCGTGATTGATCTTTCTCGCCGCCGAAATTCGCTCGTTGCTTCATAGACCATCTTCTTCGGCACCAGCTGCTACATCAATAACATCGTCCAAACTGAACAAGAGCGCATCGTCCGCTAGAGCAGGTTGCAAGAACTTGTCGTCCTCCCATAGCTTGGCATCGTCCACCGCGGGTTTCTCCTTCCCAGCCTTGACTTCAGAACGAATGTAGTTCACCAGCTTGATGGCTCCATAGAAGTCCAATTCTATTCAAGTTAGTACCTTGCAACTAGGGAAAGCTCTGCGAGCAAGCAAGGCCACGATTTGAGAGAGTCAACATACTGTGTTGACGTTGCACGTCCAGAAAGTCGAAGTCGTGAGACTCGGTGCAATGGTCCAGCATGGCTTTAGCACTTGGGAACGTTGTTGCGCAAAACAGGCATTGGATGTTCAACGTCTCGGTGTCGTCTTCCAGATCCTCCCATCCCGGCGAATCAGGTCGGATATCCAATGGCTCGCCATTGTCGCTGAACTCGCTGCCATCTTCAGAGTCGGAATGATCAGACTCGGGCGGAGGACCCTTGACCTCGCCGTTGCTGTTCCTCACGCGCCAACCATGTGGGAGTTCCGGCATGCCGAGCAGTGGACGGGACCTTGGTGGATTTGGTAACGAAAATCTGGAGAAATCTTGACGTGAAGTTGCAGCAAAGGATTGATAGGCCAAGATAAGCTTTTGCGGCTCACGTTGCCGGCCCGTTCGAATGTGGGCGGCCGACCAATCCTGGCCCACGATTACCTCAGAGGGAAAGCACGCAACTTGCTCAAGTGACGTTCTCTCACCTCTGCGCATGACCACTTCCCCCCTTCTACACCGCTCGCGCAGGGAGGAGAGGGGATTATACCTGCCATGGCGCCAGATAGGGGTGCTCCGTCGTTCGAGGCGTCACGCGAGGACGACGCCATGCTCGATGGCGAGGATGGACTCGAGCACGAGACCAGCCGAAGCATTGCACAGGAACCAGTTGGCCAGGAGCCGGACGCAACATTTTTGGCGAAGAAGAGCGAGGAATCCCAATTTACATTAAGAGCACTGCTCATGGGGACTGTCATCGGGATCTTGATCGCTTTTTCCAACACATATTTCGGCCTACAGACGGGATGGATCTCAGGCATGGCCATGCCCAGTGCGCTTATTGGATTCGCATACTTCAAAGGCCTTCGCTCGTTTGCGCACCACATGGGAGGTCCAATGAAGAGATGGGGACTTGGAGAAGGGTTTAGTGAGGTTGAGAACGTCCTGGTTCAGACAGTGGCAGGATCAGTCGGGACAATGCCCTTGGGATGCGGCTTCGTGGGTGTAATACCCGCGCTCGAGTTTCTGCTCAAGCCGTCAGAGACCCCAGAGAGCAACTCTACAGATCCACAGATCGTCTCCGTCTTGGCCGAAGGACGGAAGCATGGAAGCATTCATCTGCCTCTTGAGAAGTTGATCCTCTGGGCTCTGGGGTTGTGTTTCTTCGGGGTCGTCTTTGCAGTGCCATTGCGAAAGGAGGTCATCATACGCGAGAAGCTAAAGTTTCCCTCAGGGACGGCAACAGCGCTTATGATCGGCGTCCTGCACGGTGGCACCAAGACTGGTGCCGAAGGTAACATTGAGCAGCACGCGGCTCGACAGCGAAAACAACCTAACACGGGAAACGACGAAGAAAGTCGAGGTCTGTTGTCAGATGCGTCTCCCGCTGCAGGACAAACTGAATGGCCTGAAGAGGAGCCTCTCACAAGACGAGATAGTAGTAGTGAGGAAGCCAAGAAGGATTGGAGGAAGCAGATCCGTCTGCTCACAATCTCTTTCGGCATATCAGGAGGATATGTATGTACAGGCAGTAAGCTTGACGTAGAATCAACGCTGATGTCGCATAGACCCTCGTATCGTACTTTTTGCCACAGCTCCATTCGATTCCCTTTCTTGGCCTCTATATGTCGAAGACGTGGGTCTGGAGTCTCAATCCCAGCCCAGCTTATGTCGGTCAAGGCATCATCATGGGTCCAGCAACCACCATCCACATGTTTCTGGGCGCGCTTCTGGGATGGGCGGTCCTCTCACCTATTGCGAAGAGTGAGGGCTGGGCTCCTGGACCTGTGTCGGATTGGAACACTGGATCCAAGGGCTGGATCGTGTGGGTCAGTCTGGCAATAATGTTGGCGGATGCCATTGTCAGCCTTGGCTGGTTGATCTTGCGGCCTACCATCTACTACACCCGCGAATACGGTCCAGACGTCGTCCATCAAATGAGGCAAAAGGGCCTCGGACGATATCTTAAAGACATTACTCGACCAGTCATGCGTGGCTATAGTCCTGTCAACCTGGACGAGCCCGAGCGCACAACCTCCCTCTCAAAGTCCAAATCGCATTCCATCGACGACCAACCCGAGTACGACGCACCCCCGGAACACCAGATCGGCCTGAAAACGACACTCGTCGGCTTCGTTCTCACCCTCGTCTTCTGCATCTTCGCCGTCCAATACTCCTTCGCCGGAATCATCAACCTCGGCCTGACAATCTTCGCCCTCCTCCTCGCCATGCTCCTCAGCATAATGGGCGTCCGCGCCCTGGGCGAAACAGACCTCAACCCCGTCTCGGGCATCTCCAAACTAACCCAACTCATCTTCGCCGCCGTCGTCCCCTCCCACAGCCCCAACGCCATCACCATCAACCTCATCGCCGGAGGGATCAGCGAAGCCGGCGCCCTCCAAGCCGGCGACCTCCTCCAAGACCTCAAATGCGGCCACCTCCTCGGCGCGAGCCCCAAAGCCCAATTCTGGGGCCAACTCATCGGCTCCGCCATCGGCGCCGTCGTCAGCGCCTGCGTCTACCGCCTCTACACCACCGTCTACAAAATCCCCGGCGGCCTCTTCCAGGTCCCCACGGGCTTCGTCTGGGTCTTCACGGCCCGCCTCGTCACCGGCCAAGGCCTTCCCCCTAAAACCGCAGAATTCGCCGCCGCGGCCGCCATCCTCTGGGCGCTGCTCACCGCGCTGAGGATCTACGGGAATAGCAGGAAGGCGAGCTGGACGCCGTATATTCCGGGTGGAATTGCGGTCGCGGTGGGGATGTATAATACGCCGAGTTTTACGTTGGCGCGGACGGTGGGCGGGGTGATGGCGTGGTGGTGGATTCGGTGGAAGAGGAGGGAGGAGACGCCGATGATTGTTTTGGCGAGCGGGTTGATTCTGGGGGAGGGGTTGTTGAGTATTGTGAATTTGGGGTTGGCGAGTGCGCAGGTGCCGCATTTGTGATGAGAATGAGAATTAGGATGCAGGATGTTTTGATGATGAAGGGATGGGGTGGAGGAAAAGCATATGACACGAATGAATGGATGATCAAGTTTTACACTTCTGTTGAATTTGCTCGTCGCAGAGAAGAAGACGTCTTCTCCCATAAGAGCTATGTCATGGTTCTCAGCTATGCTACAAAGTCATCGCTCTCCTTGCTTGAGCGATGCTGTTCTCGTATGTACACGCAGTAAAGTACGCGTTCAGATATGCATCCAAGACTGCCTCCTGCGAAGAACGCCCATAATGAGCCGGCTATGCTGTGACTGCCGACTGTGAACCTCCCAAAAACGCCTTTCGCTATGCCATTTGTAGACGCATCATCATTTCATGCAGTTGTGTTTTTACTCGTGGAGAAAGCTGCAGCTGTCACCCTTCTGACACCTGCCCTCCTGCCAGTATCGACAGACTCTGGTCTTGTAGTTGGGATTGCCAGAGGCTCTGATCCTGGCGACCTCCGGATCGTTTGGTGCCGGGTTGTTTTGTCCGTAGCTCATCATGGGAGCGGCATTCGGCGCACCGTAATTGCTCTGCTGGTTGTTGCCAGCGTTGAGTGAAGCCAAGATGGCACCCAGATCGAGGCCTGCTGGAGGCGGTGGCGGTGGTGGGACGGCTGCTGGCTGTGGGGCCATGTACGGCTGTCCGAATGCTGGTACTTGTGGCGGAGGTGGAGTAGCCTGAGCTGGTGCAGCCTGCTGCAAAGAGGCCAGGATGGACATGACGTCCGGGTTCATCGAATGGGCAGCAGGCTGTTGCTGCTGATTCTGCTGCTGCTGCTTCTTCATGAACGCGGTGAGGTCGAATCCACTTGGCATGTTGTTTGACTGATTTCTCTTTGCTTGGGCACGTGCACTGTACTTCTCTTCGGGAGCGCCAAAGTACCGCAAAGGCTGACCAGGTTCGCCGTTGTAGGGATCAGCGGGCTCGCGTGGGTTGGGAGGAATCTGGCTCGAATTTGTATAGATGACGATGAGGTTGTTGTTCTCATATTCGTCACGCACAGCTCGTTCTTTGGAGTCAGGCTGCTGCTCCCCGCCACCGTATGGGGCGTAATTACGCTTGCGCTCCTCCTCGTCCACGACGCTGAAGTCGACCAGCGAAGGTGTGGTGAACTCCTTGAGGTCCTCGACCTCTTCAAGCACATCGTCCTCATCGTCGATTTCCATCATATGTGCGTGTTGCTTCAGCACACGACCCTCACCGCCAACATCGGCCATATCACGCATTTGACTGGAGTCGTGGCCAATCTCTTCCTGCGGGTCGTGGGTGAAGTAGCGTATCTGCACAAGCTCATCGCCAGGCTTGAAGGTGACGTGTAGCTTGCGACGCTTCTCCTTGCGGAGTCGCTTCTCGCGCTCCTCTGGCGTCTCTGGCGGCACCTCCTTTTGAGGCTTCGCAGCAGGCTTCTCCTCCTTGGGCTTTGCCAGGTTGGCCATGGTTTCTGCAAACGAGAATGCTGGCTTCGGTGCAGAGGTCTGTTTTGCAGGTTTCACAGTAGATCCAGCAGCCTTGTCTGCATTTGAAGTGCCTGGCTTCTTCGACGCTGATTGTAGGCTTGAGAAGAAACCCGATGATTTGGGTACTACCGTCTTGCGGGGGGCAGCTGCAGTCGTGGTCGGTTTGGCGGTATCGCTGCTCGAGACCGGCTTCTTCACAGCACCGTTCACCTTTGGTACTGCGTTGATACCGTTCGTCTTAGTGCCTGCGGCGGCTACCTTCTTCGTTGCTGTTCCATCTGTAGCCGATGTAGTGGCGGCACGCTTCACTCCCGCAACGGCTTCTGGAGCAGTACGCTTCGCCGGAATGGCAGTCGTCTTGTCGTCAATTGTTCCAGTAGCGGCCTTCTCGTCCGGCTTCTTCTCAGGCTTGCTAGCTGCTTCCTTGTCGGCGATATCTGCGTTAGCCATGATCTTCTTCACGTAGAACTGAGTCTTGGCGTCGCCTTTCCTGGTGCAGCGGGGCAAGACTTTGACCAGGTGCACCCTCTCGATCTTGTCGTTTGTGAGCGTGGTGCAGAGGCTCATCGTTTCCAGCATGGCACGTGGTAGGCCGCCGTTGATATCCTCCGCTTTGAGTCGGTCGAGGAGGAATTGGTAGCAGACGAATATTAGAGGAAGATTCTCTGCAAGTCTAGGCACGATTCTGTCAGTACGGAAATACAAGTGCTGATGCTAGGAATACAAAAAAGTTCAAGGGTTCGTCGTGTCCCACTGGCGGGGGCAAGACATCAAATGGTTCTATATCCGAAAGGTTCACAAGCTGCATCGTGGTTGTGATTGCAACCAGTGCGTAGACAGAACACCTCAAAAGCTCTATGCCACGAGCCTTGTCGTTTTCACAGAGTTTACCTCTGACATTACACATTCTTTGTGCAATGCGATTGCTCGCTGGCTCGCCCGCCCGCCCGCCGCCGCCGCCGCCGATATGAACCCTCTATGTAAATGGCGCACCAGAATTCCACATGTCACGATCGATAGAAAAAGAAAGGGTTGTACTCACAGTTCGAGAAGACCACGGTGGCCATGCTTGAGCGCAGCCTTGAATGCTGACTCCATCATGTCGCGTTGATCCTTGACTCTGCTTTGAAGCATGGGGAGTTGCCCAGTCTGCTTCTTCTCCTCCGCATCTGTCACATCTTGGACATCCTTCTTCCATCGGTCTCTGATGTTTCTCACGATCTCCCAGAAGTCGACCAGACCTTTGCGAATCGACTCTGAGGAGAGGGTCTTGCGCTTACTGCGCCAAAGAGCTTTGATAGTGTCGTATTCAACTCCTTGCTTGGGGTTGTCCGGGCGTTTTGCCGGCAAAGGCGAGTCTTCGTCGTCGTCTTCGTCGGTATAATCGGAGTCGTCATCGGAAGAGAGTTCTTCAGAACTGGACGTCTCTTGCTCGTGCTTGATTCCCCCAGTGCTTGAAGCCGAAGCACTTGCAGATTTGATGTCGCTCAGTAAGGTTGGGTAGGCCTTCGTCTTCTTGCTCGACTTCTTTCCGATCTTGGCGAGAGCTGTCGCGTTGTTGGCTGCGAGCGCTCTCAGCTCACTGCGAGACTTTCGAGGGACGTACGATGGGACTACATTTCTTGTAATACCCCATTCGAGTGGTTCCTTGCCGACATTGACGTAATTGCCCATGCGCTCGGTGTTGGTGGCACGAGCAAGAGCGTCGAAGTTGATGATGCTGAACATGCCTGAGTCGTCGCCTTTGGGGACAGCATCGCTGAGTATCTTCTGTCTGACGGGGCGTGCTTGCAGTGGCGTCGAATTGGGCCTAAGGGATGAATTCTGACCAAAGGCATTGTTCGGAAAAGCAGGGTTGCCGTAGGGACTGCCAGTATATGCAGGTTGCGTGTTACGCTCCAGAGCCTGAGGCGTGACGGTGTTGGTGAAGTTCTGGCCGCTGCCGGGTCGAGAGAAGAGCGACTGATCATACTGTGACTGTCCGTACGGCTGAAAGCTCTGCTGTTGCTGTTGGCTGTAGTTCTGATATTGATTCTGGTTGAACGAGACCGGACTTTGATTCAGAGTACGTCCGTATGGCGATGCCTGGCCGTTGTAGCCTGCATTGGACGACGGGGCCGACAAGTGGTTTGCATTCTGCTGCCAGGTATTGTTGACTGCAGGAAGCTGGCCACGTGACTGGGATCCATAGTCGCTGGCGTTTACGCCCCAGCCAGCCTCGTTGAAATTGGAATCAGAGCCAGCCTGAAAGAGGTTCAGATTGTCATATGCATTGAACTGCTGATTATCCGCAAACAAATTATTGTTATGATCCATTGCGGGCGAGGGTGTGTGGCAGCGTGGTGTCTGCCGGATTGGGACAGGAAAGTGGTCCGTGCGCTGACTGTGCAGCACGAATCTCCGGCGTCAGCTGCGGAGTGCTCGGCAGGTTGGAAAGTCTAAGGATTTGATGACGCTCCAGCTGTTGGCGGGTCTCGCTGCGGGAGACACCAGACCCCAGTGCGCTGAAACGCAGGCTTGACGGGCGTCTCGGCGAGCGAGCGGTAGGTGTTTGCTGAAGGACTGGCTGGTGGAATTGGCGAGTGTGGCCGAGTGTTGAAGGTGCTGGCGTGCACGAGATGGAGGCCCGATTCAGCCAGGCGAGCCCATCCCTGGCCGGATGTATGTCTCCTCTCACTCCCTCGCACTGCTGTCAGATGCGCGCGGCGCACGACTTAAGGTGTCGCTGCTCGCTCAACAAATGTAGTGAAGAGTACAGAGAATACGCTGCCGCAGTGAAGCACAGCCGACGCGGAACAGCAGCAGTAGCAGCAGCAGACGTGCTTGGTATGCAGTCAGAGAGACGCTGTCGCCTGCGCGAGGTGACCGTCGCAATTTGCCCACCCTTTGCCACCGACACGTACACCACGAAGACGCCGTCACTGCCCTGTCAATCGCTCATCACAGACGTATTTAAGGAAAGGGGAGTGGTTCAAGCAGCGGGCGGATGGTGGTGATGAGGGTGCGGGTTAGAGGGGGTGTTGTTGTTGTGTGTGTGGGTGACTGGAGGAAGAAAGCGCAAAGAAGAAGGCGGGCAAGTGGTTTGCGGCGCAGGCCATCGGAGCGGCTCTACCCGTCCTCCGACTCCACACGCAACCGGACTTGGGCAGGAGCAGCTCATTTCATGTGATGGCTGCTGCTGCCAGAGCCAGCTGTTCAAAGTGTAAAGAAATCGCACATTTCCAGGCTCCAACCAATTCAAGACCACCTTGCCTCAAGACCCGCCTCTTAAAAATTCTACACGACTACTCGAAATCCATGCGCTGAAACCGGGCGAGGCTGGGACGCAGCCAAAGCACACCATGTCCACCTACCAGTCCCTTCGAGATCGCCAGATAGGTTCGTACAAATATACTGCCCTGCGCATGCAGACAACTGACAGTCCGCAGTGTCGATCGAGCGCATCCTCAATCTCAACCACGTTCCGCAAGAAAGCTCCGATCTCACAGAGAACACGTCCTCAAGCGGCTTGATCCCCAAGTCCACTCCGATCCTCAATTCAGACGGAGAGCCCATCTGGAAGGTTCTCGTCTTCGACAACTTGGGAAGAGATGTCATAAGCAGCGTACTGCGCGTCAACGACTTGAGGAGTTGGGGGATAACGATACATCTGTACGTACTGCCTGTTGGCGCAGTAGCATGGTATGCTGAGACGAGAGCTGCACTAACAGCCATGCTCTAGAAATATCAATGGCCAGAGACATCCTATCCCAGATGTGCCTGTATTGTACCTCCTTGAGCCTACTGCAGCGAACCTCGAGCGCATCACCAAGGACCTCCAGAATGGTCTATATTCACCCGCATACATCAACTTCCTATCGTCAATACCACGGCCCTTGTTGGAAGACTTTGCCTCCCAGACAGCGCAAGCCGGCACATCAGAAAGCATCAGCCAAGTCTTCGATCAGTACCTCAACTTCATCGTCAGCGAACCGAACCTGTTTAGCCTGGGAATGGGAAAAGAGACGTATTGGTCGATGAACAGTGCTCAGACCAGCGACGAGGACATCGATGCCAATGTGGACAGGATTGTTAGCGGTCTTTTCAGCGTGGCAGTCACAATGGGTATGCAGGACCTCGAGATTGAGCAACACCAAGCTAATGTGTTCACAGGCACGATTCCCATCATTCGATGTCCAAAGGCTGGAGCTGCTGAGATGATTGCAGCCAAGCTGGACCGCAAACTACGAGATCATATTCTCAATTCGAAAGACAACCTCTTCTCCGGCAACCGACCCTCGACATCACAAGGCGCGCCCTCATCATCACGGCCAGTCCTGATCATCGTGGATCGAAATGTTGACTTGGTGCCCATGCTGTCTCATTCCTGGACCTATCAATCTTTGATACATGATGTGCTTAGCATGCATCTCAACCGCATCACCGTTGAAATTCCAGTGGACGAGAACGACCCTGCCAAGGAAACTGTCAAGCGGTCTTACGACTTGAATGCGAATGATTTTTTCTGGAACAAGAATGCTGGAATCCCGTTCCCTCAGGTTGCTGAAGACATCGACGCAGAATTGACACGATACAAAGACGATGCGGCTGATGTGACGAAGAAGTCCGGGGTGAACTCGATCGAGGATTTACAGAACGAGACGAGTGCTTCTGCCCAGCATCTCAAAGCCGCAATCACGCTTCTCCCAGAGCTTCGAGAGCGAAAGTCCCTGCTTGATATGCACATGAACATTGCAACTGCACTTCTCAAGGGTATCAAGGATCGGCAGCTTGACAATTTCTTCCAGCTGGAAGAGGACATCAAGAAGCAAACCAAGGCACAGATGCTGGAACTGATTAACAGCACAGATAAGGGTAACAATGCCCAAGACAAGCTGCGCATCTTCATCATCTGGTTCTTGAGCACAGAGACTGAACTCAAACGATCTGATATGGAATCGTTTGAAGAAGCACTGAAGAAGACTCCCGTCGACACAACACCGCTCACTTACATTCGACGAGTACGAGAAATCACGCGAATGACGATGATTTCGTCCGCGCCCACCCAGCAGACACAGCAGTCGTCTGCGTCCAACGACCTTTTTCGAGGATTCAGCTCCATCTCGTCACGACTGACGGATCGATTCAAAGATGCCGGTTTGGGAGCTAACTTTGACAACCTCATCTCAGGAGTCAAGAACTTCTTGCCCGCGAACAAGGACCTCACGCTTACGAAGATCACGGAAAGTCTGATGGACCCTCAAAATGCATCTACGAGCGCATTGCAGAAGACAGAGGGCTTCCTTTACTTCGATCCTCGATCTGCCAACGCCCGCGGAACGATGCCTCCCAGCGCCAAGGATGCACGCTCAGGCACGCAGGAGAAGCGAGGCATCGACCCGTCCTTTGGCCAGCGAAGGCAAGGCTTTAGTGAAGCTATTGTCTTTACCGTCGGAGGTGGTAGCATGGACGAGTATGGCAATCTGCAAGACTGGGCAAAGCGGACGAGCACTTCCAGTGGAGCAGCTAGCGCCGTCAGCAGAAAGAGGGTTGTCTACGGCAGCACGGAGCTGGTCAACGCTGAGACCTTCTTGCAAGAACTTAGGAAACTTGGAACAGAGAGTGCATAGATAGTACTAGATATCAGGAAGTATCGTTGGTACTCAGGCACTCGAATGATAACGAGTCTAAGAAAATGCACTCAAATACCGTTGCCACGATCTCGAATCTTGAATCTTGATCGACTTACGGACTGACGTCCGAACGGACCGCTTCTTGGCATGGAATCTCGAACCCTCCTCACAAGTTCACGCAAAGTTCCGATGAGCCCGTGACCGGTCATCGAGCAGTCGTTCCCTCGAGGAGCGATATCACTACCTCATCCCACCACCCCGCCGCAAATCAGGGCAGTGCGTAGACTGAGATGACACGGCAGTGGAGTCTCGGCGCGCGCTCTCCATCCTAACAACCCCTCGCGCCACCCTTTCCTGGGTCTTCGATACCGGTGCGCCTGGGCAGCCGGTCGCCCTTTTACGACGTCGTTGTTCACTTCCGCCGCTCCTTGCATTTTTAACGGACACATAATTCGCACATCATGGCGGCTGGACGCTCATTCAAATCGCTCGTGGGTCGCCGGCGACGTGCCGATGAGGAGGGCGAAGATGAAGAGGGCCCGGTGATGGTTGAGGATTCGCAGAGTGAAGGATCGGTTCTGACCGATGGGGATGATGAGGAGATGGACGCAAGCAGCCTGGGAGGAGACGCTGCACCGGTGGAAGGGCAAGCGGAGGATACTGAGGCAGCAGCCAACGGAGCCAAGACTGCAGGCAAGAAGGCACGGAAAGGCAGGAAGAAGAGCGGAAAGAAAGTGGGCAGAGACCAGGCACAGGACGAATTACCGCAGCCGCAAGCCAACAGCACGTTCAAACCGATGGCTGATACCGAGGCGATGATGAATGGGCTCAAGATCGAAGAGCAGCCCGCGCAAGACATGGTGGACTTCGAGGACAGCGTTTCAACCGCAGCTCCCCCTGTCTCGCAAGGCACTGTGATTGTATCTGGCAACGGCGAGACGCCCATGGAGAGGCAGCGACGGGAGCACGAAGAGTACAAGAGAAAGCGCGATGCGGATCCAGCTTTCATCCCCAACCGCGGCGGATTCTTCATGCACGACACTCGCAGCAACCACGGGCAGGGCGCACCGCCAGTCAGAGGCGTATGGAACACAAGAGGCCGAGGGCGAGGAGCAAATGTAGGAGGACCGTTTTCGCCTGCAAATCAGATGGCACACACAGAAAGAGCAGCTGAGAAACCATGGAAACACGATCTCCACGATACGATCAATGAGGAACCGACCGCGCCGGCCAAACCAGTAGATACGCCGCAAGATCACGACGAGTCGAATCGCCTCTTCCCCAGGATGCAGGGCAACAATCAGAACCAGGCATCTCGAGTACTATCCTTCTCCAGCACGACGCTGGTAGGCAAAGTTCAGATCCGTGTCTACCTCCCTGGTATGAAGGCGCCTATTACCTTCTCAGAGGTGCCTTGGAAGCAGTATGCTCGCCTCCCAGACCACAGACCGCCGCTTCGTCGCGATAAACCAGTGCGGATCTCACTGCCAGGTCACACTCAGCGCTATATCTTCCCTTCGCCCGACCGATCCTTCATCTTCATCCCTAGGCAGATGAGGCCAAACCAGCAAGGATTCGGTCGCAATGCATATCAGAGGAGTATTGGTGGATATGGGTATTCCAGCCGGCGGACGAGCATGTACGGTGGTAGCATGTACGCAGCCAGCGTTGCAGCAAGCCGGCGCTCGTCGTTTGCGAGCAATGCTAGGGACACGGCCTTCTCGCCCGTTGGATCTTACACAGGCGCCATGCCGCCGAATAGACCAGTGGTCAGACTACCGCACGGCTCGCAATCGCACTTTTCGGCGTCAAGCACTCCGATGGGGCCCTTGTCCGGACACCAGACCCCTACTGGCATGCAGGTACATACCTTCCCCCTTCCGCAACAGCCAACTTTCCAAGGCACTCCGACAACAACCGTACACCAGCCGAGACCGCAAAAGGCAATTTCTGTTACCGGCATCGAGTCGCCCGCTGTACTGCAGCAAGCACCCGCGCCTGCAGAGATGCAGCCGTTCCAGAACCAGTTGCCTGCGCATATACATGAACAGGCGCCCGCATTCAACCAGGCGCAGCCAGCGCAGGCGTACTTCTCTCCTCGCCAGCAGTATGCATACGCTCAGCAGCCGCCGCCGAACGGTACACCCTTGTCGGGTATTCCTGAGCAAGCCATTCACGCTCCATCGTTTCAACCGCCGATGATGCAGTACGGCCAAGGATACTATCCTCCATACCCGCAGCAAGGCTACTACTACCCTCCAGGCCCCAACGGATACCAGCCAATGCAGATGTATGTCCCACCACCACAAGGCTATATGATATCGCCGCTTGGTGGCCCTATGCCGCCGCCTTCGTCGGCTCCACAACACCCTCCACCACAACCACAGGAGCCTGAGCAGCAGTCGCAGCAAGGACAACAGGCGCAGCCACAATCAGGAATGGTTGCTCACGAAAGCAATGGCATGGTATTTTATATGCCTGCCTCGGAAGCCCAGCAGCAAGCTCAGGGTGAAAGCTACCAACCTGCAGAAAGCTTCGTTCCTTCATATGCAATGCCCGGCTTGCCGCCTCCTACGCCTGCTCCGGACGCGAACTACTACTATCCCTCACAGATGCCGATGGGTGGCATGCCATACTATCAAGGCCAGCCGCAATAGGGGTAGTGGATCCGCTTCTTGCGAAGCAACTGTCGGACACGGCCCTTACGACAACTCTTTTACTTTGTTCTGTTTCTGAATTTTGTATCTGTGCCGTTAGTGGCATTTGCTTTTGTCGTTGATTCCTCTTTTGGCCCAGCAAGCATGGCGTTATCGAGCGGGTATGGAGCAGCAAAAAACTCTTTCGAGTCCTTTTTTGGAATAGGAGGGATGGAGGTGCGTTGGAAAGGTTGAAAAACACCCATGTTCTTGGGCTACCTTCGGCTTATTCTATACAAGACTTGACTACACTGCCTTTTTGGTATTTTTGTCGTGTGGCGATGGCGTTGGTGGATGGACTGTGCTGTGTGTGTGTTGATGGATGGAGCGAAGGCGGTGCGAAAGCTCTCTTTACAATAGCTGTAGTGTGTGAGTGTGAGGGATATGGATATGGGCATGCGAGGAAAGTAGCGTTTTTTCATAGCAGATACCCGTTTGGAATGAGGTTCGCTTTGTATGAATCTACTAAAGTCTCCAACTTGCTATGGCCTCCCTCGAAAGTGTCGTGATCAATCTGGCTGATGACATCTTCGTCTCGCCTACGAGACAGGAACAGCATCATCAACGGCGGCACCTCAACGGAGCCCAAGCCTTAGTTGCTCTTGTCCCACAGTCCAGCCTTGCGGCAGGTACGGTCGAACGGCGCCTTGTCCGGAGATAGTGTGACCATCACTTCGCTTCACGCGCTTTGCGGACACAGATAGCCTGCGACTAGTTGTTCAAGTCATGAGATTACTTGACTGGCATGTATAGTCTGACTTTAGCGGTGGCATTGAGCCGTGCCACGCTGGAGCTGGTCGAGCTACCTACGCCCATGGCCAACGTGAGAGTCGCGACGAGTGTAGACAAAGCAGACATATCGCCACCGAACAATGCTAGGCAGATGGGAGCGTCGTGTGCACATGTATCAGTAATGCTGCGGTTTGCCCCTTTCTCGATGCTTCTCGTGTGCTGACTTGTGATAGTGGATAGGTGAATGTGGAGTTACACGGAAGTAAGGTTTCGCTTGTGAGCGGCGCTTGGACCACTAGCTCACATGATGCCATGCCCTGCTGCCTCCAGCTTGCCAGCTCCTCCTCTCGTCGTCCGCCTCACCTCTTCGACCACCACCACCCACCACAACTCTCCACCACCACTCGCACCTCGTGGATTGCCATTAAGAGAGAGCTGGTCGTCCTCGTTCCATCTCCACCGTCTACTCTCTTCACCACCCCGCTGCAGGCCAGCCGACACCGCCGGAAGCCACTGCACGTCATCACCTACCGACCGCCTGCTCCTCTCACACCTCACACCACAACCCGCCGCGATCATGGCGGCTCCAAACACCAACACCCCCGTCACTCCTGACACCCTCATCACCATCAAGATCTCCGTCAACGAACAGCTTAAGAAGCTGAAGCTGCCGCTTCGCGACCTTGGTGCCGCGGTGCTGCCTGATAAGGTATGTCCACGCAACCCTAACTCGTGACACGCAAGGCTGGAGCTGCCTCGACGACTCACACAACCGCCAACGCAAACAACCACATACTGACACTCTCTCTCAACAGCTCCGCCAGGTGCTTGCCATCACTCCAGAACAGAGCGTCGTCCTCGAGCGGTATTCCGACTCCGCTGGCGGTTACATCAGCCTCGACGAGAGCAATCCGGCTGCCTTCAAGACCCTCATCCGAGCCGCCAAGGCTAAGCTGAAGCTACGCCTCAAGGCCACTGTCACACCCGTGGAGGTTAAGGAGGTGAAGCAAGAGAAGCCAGTTGAGAACATCATGGATGCAGCTGCGGTACGTGACGAATGGCATACTCTATTGATGACGCATCAGCTCATTGATTTCACAGACTACATCTCGCAACTCCACCGCCCTAGACCAGCGTTCCGTTGGCAGCGGCATCTTCCAGTTCCGTGAGGCTCGTGCCTCTCAGCAGACGCTCGTCAACACGGACGAGGCTCCCGTCCCGGGCCCGTTCACGACCGACCGATCGAGCTTCTTCAACGAACTTGCGGCTCCCGCACATCAGCCAGCCTTGGCTTTCCGCCCTCGCGAGCCAGTTGGCCCAGCTTCTGCTCACCCACATGCGTGGTCCGTCTACTGCAACCAGTGCGACAAGGCCATGTCCAACGAGCACTACCACTGCAACGTGTGTGACGGTGGTGACTACGACCTCTGCCAGGACTGCGTCACCTCGGGTAAGATGTGCCCCGGCGACAACCACTGGTTGATCAAGCGTTTCATCCAGGACGGCAAGGTCATCAGCAGCACTACCGAGCGTGTCTCTCCACGCAAGGCCAAGTCTGTCCCTGCCTTCATCAAGCAGGAGCCAGTCGAGATAGAAATGCCAGGTGCCTTCACTGATGACACCAAGACACTGGCCATGGAGCCACGCACTCCAACTCGCACTTGCAATAGCTGCATCATTGCTCTTCCAGAGCGCGAGTTTGTCACTTGCACGTCTTGCGAGGACTTTGACCTCTGCGTCAAGTGCCATTCCGAGGACAAGCACGGCCACCACCCCGCTCACGGCTTCAAGCCTGCCACTGAGGAGACCATCCTCCCTCTCTCTGCCGAGACGAAGCTGGCCCCAGGTCGCAATGTCCGCCACAACGCCATCTGCGATGGCTGCGACAAGAAGATCTACGGCGTGCGCAACAAGTGCTTGAACTGCCCAGACTTTGACTACTGCAACGACTGCATCAAGACTGCTCGCCACACTCACCCGCGCCACCGCTTCGCTCCTCTGTACACGCCAATTGCTGATCAGACCACCACTCAGGTTCGTCACTTTGGCATCTATTGCGATGGTCCACTTTGCAAGAAGCCAGACCAGTCCTATATCCATGGTGTCCGCTACAAGTGCACCATTTGCCATGACACCGACTTCTGCGCCTCTTGCGAGGCCCTTCCTGGCAACCACCACAACCGCACTCATCCTCTCATCATGCTGAAGACTCCCGTCCGCAGTGTGAGCGTGTCGACTGAGAACGAGGACCAGCGTGGTCAGATGCGCGTCATGGGTGACCGCCATGCCACTCCAGCACCGGCAGTTACCAAGAGCATTGCTACTGAGACCACCCCAGTCCAGCAAACCAATGCTGCCACTCAAGTCCAGACTGTCGCCGAGTTCACGCCAACGGAGGTCAAGAAGGAGGAGACCCAGCCTATTCCGATCCCAGTGAAGCTGCCAACCAAGGTCAGCAACGAGAAGTTCACTGCCATCCCCGATGCTCCTACCCCAGCCATCCCGGCGACTCTGCTGAACGCCCACTTTGTGCGTGACAGCATCCCAGACGGCATGTCTGTCGAGCCAGAGTCCCGCTTCACTCAGATCTGGACTCTCAAGAACCCAGGCCCATACGCCTGGCCAGCTGGCTGCAGCGTCCGCTATGTCGGCGGCGACAACATGCTCAACGTCGACAACAGCCACCCAGCGTCGGTTGCTGCCATCAACGATGCCACCGAGAGCAACGTTGTCGGCCGTGAGGTTCAGGTCGGCGAGGAGGTCGCCTTCAAGGTCATCCTCAAGGCCCCACTTCGCGAGGGCAAGGCCATCAGCTACTGGCGTCTCAAGTCTGCTGACGGCACTCCGTTCGGTCACCGCCTGTGGTGTGACGTCGAGATCAAGACGCCAGTGACCTCGTCTCCAACCATGCAGGAGGCTCAGCAAGCCGCTCTCCAGCGCTTGCGCATCCAGCAAATGCAGCAGGCTCGTGCTGTTCGCATGCAAGCACAGATGCAACAGCAGCAGCAATTGCAACAAGCTGCTGCCGCCGCATCTGAGCAGCCACCAGCATACGAGAGCATGAACCTGTCTGCTCGTCTCGCCGCCATGCGTGAGCAGCAGAAGCAGCGTCGTGAGCAGATGATTGCTCAGCTCAACATGCAGCGTGACCAGTTTCAGGCGCAGGGCATCAAGCGTGAGGACATGCCTAGCTGGCCTCAGCACGCCAACGAATACATGGGCAACAAGCCTGCCGAGAACATGAACGACAAGGAGCGCCGCGATGCTCTGAAGCAGCGTGTTGCCCACATCAAGGCCAACATCGTGAAGACTCGTGAGGAGCGCGAGAAGCTTGCTGAGGAGTTCAACAAGCAGAAGGCAGCTGCCGCCGAGAAGAAGAACGCCGAGGATACTGCCAAGGTTCAGAACATCCTCGAGCAGGTCACCAAGCAAGCAGACGAGGAGGAGCAGAAAGCCGCCGACGAAGAGAAGCTTGAGGGCAGCCAGATGGTGTTCCCAAAGCTCGAGAAGGAGAGCCCATCCAGCAGCACCTACGAGTCGGCTACTAGCAGCACTCACAAGGGCAAGGCCGCTTACGTCGAGAACGAGGAGGGTGAAGTTGAGCGCTCTGCTACCCCCGCCACCGCGCCAGTCTCGATCCCAATCTCATCGCCAACCCAGGAGCACTTTGTCGACCTCGACGATGAGTTGGAGGTTCTCAGCGCTGATGATGACGAGAGCTCAGATGGCTTCATGACCGACGAGGAGTGGGACATCCTGGACGCCTCAGACTCTGAGACTGTCGCCTCGAAGTAGGCATCTTGTACTACATACGGCTGTCATTGGACAGTGACGAAACGAGAGATATAACAGACTCTCATCTGGAACAGATTGGAAACACACAAACACGAACGACACGACATGCCTGTACTCACACTTCACCTTCGCTGGTGAGGCGTGATACAGGTCACTTTCATGGTAACGATATGGGCTTGGGAATGGCGAAAGGAGTCTCGGTGGACTGTGTGACTCCTAGTTTAGCTACTTTCCATAGGCTGTAATCTTTCCTAACGATCAGAATCCATTCATTTTCGTGTGATCAGAAGTATGTTTGCATGTGATCACAAGTGAGTATATAGGCCATCAAAGTGAAGGTGGTGGTGGGGTGTTGCCTGCAGCGGGAAGATCCGCACGTGACGCATCTCACTTTCGACGAGCACGCTCTTCTTGACTTGCTAATCAATCACGAGCCAGCTCAACTCCTTTTCTGCTTCTCTCCTCTTCAAACTCATCGTCCTCTCCAAATCTGCGACACTATCATCGGCATCTTCGAGAGAACATCTCCCGCTTATCAAACTCCACTCAACTCGAACGTCATACGACACCTCGGTGAAGGCGCACGGCGCCCACCAATACCGGCAAGATGTTGAAGATATGGAGCATGAAACAGCAGCAGCAGAAGAGTGAGGCAGCATCGGGTCAGGGCAAGAAGAAGAAGGTCACGGCCGCCCAGCTGCGAGTTCAGAAAGGTATACCTCGATCCGTCAACCTCGAACCAACTGACACGGCGAACTGACCTGTGTCACTTTTTCCAGATCTCTCCGAACTCTCCCTCGGTAGCACGATGAAAACACACTTCCCCAACGCCGACGACATCCTCAACTTCACCCTCACGCTGCAACCGGACGAAGGCCTCTACAAAGGCGGCATCTTCAACTTCACCTTCGCCATCAGCCAGAACTTCCCGCACGAACCGCCCAAAGTCAAATGCAAAGAGAAGATCTACCACCCCAACATCGACCTCGAGGGCAACGTGTGTCTGAACATCCTGCGCGAGGACTGGAAGCCGGTCCTCAATCTGAACGCGGTGATTGTGGGGCTGCAGTTTTTGTTTCTGGAGCCGAATGCCAGCGATCCGTTGAATAAGGATGCCGCGAATGATTTGATGATGGATCGCGATCGGTTTAAGAGGAATGTGAGGAGTGCCATGGCCGGCGGGGCTGTTAAGGGGGAGAGCTTTGATCGGGTTATGAAGTAGATCGAGCTTCTTTCCCGTTGGGCGGATAGGAGGGATGTGGGACGTGGGACGTCTGACGAGGGCTCGCACTTCGAGGACAAGAAGTCCAGACGGCCTGGGAGATACGAACGAGAGGATGGAGCAGTTTATGAAGGGAGACCCTCGGCACAGCAGCCTGTGCCAAAGGAAGACACGGATACTGAGACGAAGCCACCACGAGATACCACAGACGTCGGCATGATGCTTTTCCTACTTGATGCTTTGAGCAACGAACGGAGGAGCAGTCTGGCGTTTTCACTATCCTTTTTTCTTGTTGCTGACACGACTTGAGCTTTGCTTTTTACACATACCTGCATCTGGACGGAGCTTGATGAGCGTTTCGTCGAAAAGGAAAGGCAGCGAGCGATATACATGGGTGCATGCATTCGTTTTCAAAGGGCTTATACGTGCAGATAACTTCATTCCCCCAAATTCAAGACACTTTAGACTAGAAAGACTTAACCACCCCCTTTTTCCATATGCTACTCCCACAAGTAAGTACATGACTATTGTCATTCAAAGATCAGCAAACGCCCTCTCATTATACCAATGCTTATCCGTCGTCTCCAAACACTCCACCTTGGCGCCCACGGCAATCTTGCCCTCATTCCTCGGAATCGCCATCATGCCAAAACACGGCTTCCACTTGGCCGGCCCGCCCGTATCGACCCTCCGAAACGACATGAGCGTATCCCAGGGCTGTTTCGGATGCTTCTCCGCCGTGTCCGGGTTCACATTGGGGACCTGGCAGCGCGCACACCGCGCCACGATGTCCAGATCGAGTTTGTACAGCGCTTCCTCGTGCGGCAGCGTCGTGCTGATGCGGATGCGTTTCCAGGTGTCTTCTTCCCAGGGGTGGTCGTCGCGGCCCTTGATGATGATGTTGGGGCGGAAGCGTTCGATGGTGAGGGCGTCTTTGGAACCCGGGGCGTGGCCGAGGCGGTTGTTCAGGTCTTTGATGGAGGCTTCGCTGGCGACGAGGAGGGACATGACGTCGGCGAAGTGGTGGGGGGTGTCGGTGCCGTAGAGTTCTTTGCGGCCGTTGATGGCGACCATGCGCGACGTGGGGCCTTTGTAGATGAGCGCGACGTCTTTGTTGAAGAAGGATTTGAAGATGTCGTTGATGGCGGCGCTGTATTCGTAGCCGTCGGTTTCGGCGCCCCAGATCTCGACGCTGCTGAGGGTGGTGTTTTGCTCCAGCCAGGTCTTGGAGGGGAAGGCCGGGATGGTCACGCGGCCGTCGGTGCCGTGAATGCTGATTTCGAGGAAGGTTTCGCCTTTGTTGTGGTCTTCCTGCGATTCGTAGACTTTGGTGTCGATGAGCGTCATGGAGGGGTCGCTGCGGATGGTGAGGAATTTGCGGTCGGGCCCGATGAACATCCAGTTGCGGTCGAGGAGGAGGCCGGATTTCTTGAGGCGGGTGTGCGTGAGCTCAATCCCTCGGCATGACTTGATGGGGTAGATTCGGAGGGAGGTGACTTCGGTGGGCGGTGGGATCGGGGGTGCATTGGGGTCTTGACGAGATTCGCTGCCGGTTCCTAGGGCGTTGTTTTGTTTGAGGTCGCGGCGATCGCTGATGTTGCCCAGGTTTGCATAGAGGGCGATAGTAAAGATGCCGATAAGGACGGCGATGAGGATAATAGCGGATTTGTTAACGGAGTCGACGCTGAAGAAGCGTGGGTCTTGGACGATTCGTTTCAAGTCGTTGATGAAGACCTCCGGGTTTTTGGCGATGGCTTTCAGGCCATTGATGAAGTCGACGGGATGCCACATGGTTGCCGATGGTCCCTCCGGGAGGTACAATGCTTTCTTTCTCTTGTGTTATGATCCGGTCCAGCTCTGTGGAATCCGAAGAGCGCTGGAGTATAACGAGGGTCTTTCGAAGCGTTGATAAATGAGATTGCCACCGGTGGTCGTCGACCAGAGGAACGAGGTCCTCGCGTGATTATTGACCAAAACAACAACGCTGCCGAATGTGGCAATCAGCAGCGAGCCCACAGCGAGGAGTTTAAATGTTCGTAGGGCGTGATGTTGGAGCCTTTGCTCTTCTTGGAACCGTCCTCAATGCACAGCGAATGCCCTGCTAGACTGTCAATCGATGATCTGAGGTCAATGAAGGAGTAGAAGGAGGTGAGGTGCGAAGAAAGGTGGAGTAGTCTGGAGAAGCCATAGGGGGTCTAGCCTTCTGCAAGGGAATGGTACGTCATGGGTGCACCTTGCTCGCCTTCTCTCTTACATGTTCGACATCACTCTTACAAGTACGGATTTTGCCATTGCTATTCTTCAAAATGTACTACTTGCCATTATGAGAAGATGTCGTGGCACCGCAGTAGAGAGGAAAGTCGACATGGGATGCCGCTTTCGGCATACCGGCTCAACCTCGCCATGAAAAAGAGGTAGGCTCTCAACGAAAGTATGGATTTCGTATCTATTCCATCGATAAGTATACATCGTCTCTCCTATCATTCCTGACAAGGCTTTGGACTCCGTGAGGACGATTCAAGAGGAAGATGCCAGACAAAGACGCCACAACCCCTCGAGTCTTCCTCATCCGCCACGGCGAAACAGTACCTAACATCCCCCAACCCCAAAAACCTCCAACCCATCTTGACCTCCTCTAGGAATGGTCCAAATCCGGCCAATACACCGGCAGCACCGACATCCCCCTCACACCCCACGGCGAACAACAAGTCATCGCCACAGGCAAAATGGTATACGGACCAGGACGATTGATCGATCCGAAGAAAGTCGCCAAAGTGCTGGTTTCGCCCAGGTCGAGGGCGGTGCGGACGTTTGAGCTGTTGACGGGGAGGAGCGATGGGTATGAGATCGAGGAGGGGTTGAGGGAGTGGGAGTATGGGTATGTATGAGTGATGGGAGGGCGAACGGGAAAGGGAAAGGGGCTGATGTATGGCGGTGTAGGCAGTACGAGGGAATGAAGACGAACGAGATCCGTGAACTACGAAAATCTCACGGCTTGGACCAGGATCGTCCGTGGGACATCTGGCGCGATGGCTGCGAAGGTGGGGAGTACGTCCAGCTCATCCCCTCCATCCTCCCCTCAACCATCACTAACGACCCCCAAGATCCCCAACCGAACTAACCACCCGAATCGACGCCCTCATCACCCAGATCCGCACTCTGCAAGCACCCCACATGCACGACGACGCTCCCAAAGACGTCCTCGTCGTCGCTCACGGGCACTTGACGAGGGCGTTTGCGAAGCGCTGGTTGGGTTATGAGATGGCGTTTCCGTTGAGTTTGATGATGGAGCCGGGTGGGGTGGGCGTGTTGAGTTATCAGCATCATAGTGTGGAGGAGCCGGCGCTGCTGTTGGGGATTGGGTTTCCTTTGTGAGGGGAGGACAGGGACGGGGGAGGGGGAGGGTGTGGATAGATCTTGCAGAGGTTAGATCAGAGGGTAGGGGTTTGATAGATGTCAGGGAATTGATAGATTTAGACGTAAGACAATGGCTGTTCATTCTGGCTGAATCGCCTTCTATGCACGCAGTAGCCTTGCCCATTCACGAACTACCACCACAACCCTGCCAACCGATACAATCCAAACCGTAGCTCAACATGCCCTACCATCTCTCCAATGGGAGCCTCCCACCAAACCCCTCGAATCCCCAACGAATCCCCTCACCGAGTAAATCCCTCCTCCACATCGTATCCTGAGACACAGCCTGCAGCTCCCACTTCTCGCCTACATGCTTGTCCACGCGTACCTTGCCATCTGCCCGTCGTATTATGTAAATGCAGAGCTTGAGCTTACTTTGCAGCAAGCAGGCAAGCAGGCAAGCCACAAGGGAGGAAAGAGAGGAGAGGGATGAGAGAACGAGAGCAAGCTCTTGTCTTGACGGACGCTGGTTCTATCTTTAGATTTGGGACGAAAGGTATCTGTATGTTTCGAAGTAACGATACGGACAGGTGTTCTGGGAGGGATAAATGTATCTCATGATCCACCTGATCCCGATCCATCGCGAGATCCGTCCTGATGTTATTCGCTCGTATTGCAAATGCAGGGCATGTGCCTTTGAAGGGCTATATGCTGATCCCTCTCCGTCCTCTAATCCAAATCGAAACACCTCCACGGTCTTACCGATCTTTCATACACGCGCTGACGCTCGCTCGCTCGCTCGCTAGATGATACATTACAATGTTCCCCATTTCGATTATCGTTAAATTCAACAAACTCCTTGCTATATGCTCTCGTGATCGTCGTTATAGATGATGCAGGTTTCGTGGGTATCGCAGAATTAAGGAAGTGATGTTACAGCCAGATGGCCATAGCGAAAGAGCTCACAGCGATCAAGGCGGCGGTGAGTTCAATCATGCGTGAAGAAGAACTTTTGTTCGAGACTTCGGGGGTGGTGCTCGAAGTCGCAGAGGGACTGCCGTCGGTGGCAGAGGCGCCTACTGTTGCTGTGGCGCCGTCCACGAAGGCGGTATTGGTGCTTGTTGGCCCAGTCATTGTTGCTGGGAATAATGTTTCGAAGATTGTCGATGTGATGCTACCATCTGGCCCGATTAGGTGTATCTCCAGCATCGTAGCATGAGGAGAAAGCGTGACCACGTATGTCTGGCCATCGATAACGACAGTGTCGGTTCCACCAGGAGTCAACGTATCTCCATGAATCACATACGTAGGTCCATTGTTGATCGCAGTAAATGTCTCGTCTCCAATAGTCAAGATGGGTGCTTGCGTCGGTAGAACTCCGTACGCTCCCAATATCTGCGATGTCGTCGTTGTGCCCGAGTGAACAGTGACCACAGCGGTGCCAGCTGGAATGAGCGAAATAGTCTCGACGCCGCTCTCTCCAGTAATCACAACAGAGCCGCCTGGTGTCAAAGTCTGTCCTTCGACCACGTATGTAGCGCCGGATCCGGATTCATATCCGACAGCGGTATATGTGTTGTCACCAATAGTCAACGTAGGAGCTCCACTCGGCGCTGCGCCGATAAGGCCGATCCTAGAAGTTTGCGTTATGCCGTTGGCGACCGTGACGAGTTCATTTGCGGCTGCATTGAGAGACACCGTCTCCATTCCTCCAGATCCGCTGAAGGTGATTGCGCCCCCGCGGGTAAGTGTTTGGCCGGATATGAGGTATGATGTTCCTTCATTCGCCGCAAAAGCTGCGCCTCCCACAAAGAGGACAGGAGGTGCCGTGATGGTTGCCATGTTGTTGCCATTCGAGCCTCCTTGACCAATTGCTCTTGTCAATCCGTTGACAACAACGTTTGCAGCGTCAAGCGGTAACGAAATGGTGGTGCCTGATACCGTGATTGCTCCCCCCGGTGTCAACATCTGGCTTTGGACATTGTACGTCGATCCTCTGTTCGCTCGATAGACTGTACCATCGATAGTGAGCAACGGTGCGGGCGTAATGGCCGGAGCTGCAAGCTGTGCTGTCTGACCATTGATCACCACATTAGTCGCACCTGGAGCCAGACTGATTGTAGTGCCGTGGTAGACCACCTTTCCTCCGGGAGTCAAGATCGATCCATCAAGATTGAATTGAGTAGCAGCATTTGCGGTGAACGTTCTCGACCCCACGGTGATGATTGGAATATTTGCGAAGAAGGCTGAATTTGCAGCCGCGTTACCAAGAGGTGAAGTCGAATCCCCAATAGCGACAGCAGTAGCACCTGGAGCGATAGAAAGTCTTGTCCCATCGATAGTGATTGGTGCACCGCCGGCCTTCACGGTCTGGCCGCCAACTACGAACGCTGGAGGCGTGTTTCCTTGTACGACTGAAGGTGTATAGTCTTCAGAGCCAATGTGGAAGACTGGGCGCTGCACTAATGAGCCAGATTCCGAGTCCTGGCCGCTCTGTCCGCCGCCGTTGTTGTTTGAAGTACCCGGTGAAAATCCCGGATTCACGTTGTTGCTTCCAGTAGACGGCCCATTCTCAGCAGGTCCAGTAGTGTCTCCTCCGCCATGTGTACCGGTTGATGGCAGTGGTACCGCACCAATGATCGAAGCGATGTATGATGCGGTGGGATCTGGATTTCCATTCCCACCATTGTGGAATGTCAATTCAGCTTGGCTTAAGACCTGTTCGGCATTGGTTGGTTTGTTGGCGTTTCCAATAGCCGTCAAGATAAGACCAATGTCTCCTCCATTCGAGCCACCAGTCTGTGGCAGCACAGTAGCAGTAACAGTATTGCCGTTGACGACAGCGGTCACCACAGAATGGGACCCGCCAGACTCGACAGGGATCGCGACTGTCAAAGAGCTCCCTCCTTGCTCAACGACAAAGTTGCTGGTGACGATGTTGGCCTTTGTCGTGACACGATTGTCATCGCTATTCGACACAGGTGCAGGCGTCGACTTGGCTGAAGTTTTGGTCGGCACGTCCAAAGCAGTGTCCGAAGATTCGATGTGAGCAGTCATTGGAATCCAAGTCTCACCTGGTTCGGTTGGCGTGCTTCGAGCGGTCTCGATGTACGGAGGGAGCGTTGGTGTCGGCGTGTCGAGGCTGGATGCTGCGATCTCGGTGAACGCAGGCAACACACCCGCTACAGCAAGCACCTTCTGGACAACAACCACGACAGTAGGCTCAGCTACCCATGAGCCTGGTGTTGCATCTGCGAGGCCCACTGCCCTGAGCAACCCAAAGTGGATGTCTCCAACCACGCCTTCATCCGCAGCCGACTGGTCATCGACATCTCCATGGTACTCAAAACTCTGAACTTTGGACAGGCTGTAGGTCTGAGTTGACTCCACGCATTCCACACGTCCGTTTCGAAAACGACTCGGCCGTTTGGTAACGATCTCGTACTTGCTGAAGTGAACGATGGGCGCTCCCGAGGTGTAAGTCTGATTCGTGGTATTCGACGCTCCCACTGTCAGCGAGACTGGTGTTGGAGCAACACCCACGTTTGGTATGCTTCCTTTGGCTGTGGTAGCGTTCAGGGGCTTGTAGAGAGTCTGTTCAACAGTTGTGGTCACTGCAGCTACCGGCGTCGGTGTATCCCAACATGAATATGAGATCATTGTCGAGTTGGCCTGTGGATTGAATGCAGTGGTCGAATGGCATGTTGGGTTCGCAACAGCAGATGTGACGTTGAACGTTGTCGACGAGGGCAGGACCGTCCATCCTGTTGCGGAATCGTTGGCGTTGAACTCGACGAGAAATGTGCTGTCGACCTGAGTGTACGTCTCGGTATACCACCAATCGAGAGAAGCATTCAAGACGTTCACTGTCTTTCCTGTGCAAGCAAGACCAGTCGGTCTTGGCCTTCCAGAGATGTCAGGCCTTGGGACAGTGCCAGACGGGGCGTAAACGTATGGAACATGGCTGCTCGAGGTGTTGAACACAGGATCGTAGCTGAATCTCGGCGTGGAGCTTGATGTTGGTCGTGATTCTGCTGATGTTCTTGCTGGCACCGTGGGTCGAGACGATAAAGCCTGCGGTAGAGGTCGACTGCCGGATGAAGCGAATACCGCACCTGTACTCAGCGGAAACGGTGCATCATACTGCCTTTGATGTCTTGGTGGACCGTAGGGTCCTCCAAACGGAGACAAGGGTCCACGAACGATCTGCTCAGCGGATGCGGTCGCTGCCAAACCAACGACGACGCACGCTAGCAGGAGCATGGCTGTATTAAAACAATCTGTAAACGACAGCGAGTAGTGTCTCAGCACTTAGAAGCCCCAAATCATCGCATGTTAGGATTCAGCAAGCCTGGTAAAGAACGAGTGACTTGGCGAGAGTCAATGAATGGTGAACACGAACTGTGGATGCTAAAACGAAAGACTTGGGGAACAGTAGCGTCGGGTACGGCCAGGACGTAAGTGCGATGGCGTGTCGAATGAAACAGCCAATAGAAGAAACTCACAAGCCAAAAGGATGCAGCGACACGGCTTGGTCTAGGCCCAAATCCCAGATTTCAGGCGGGCAGCAGGCATGTTGCATGATTCTCTTCGCGTGGGATCTCGCCATCCGACGGATTCTCCGCGTGGCTGTTTCACCCAGTGGGTTGAATCGCTAGCACGTCGGGGCATGAGCGATGCCAACCTCTTGCGAGTTCTGGCATTCCTGGTGCAACACATACTGGATTGGGGTCGGTTCGAGGCGCCTTGCGTCAAGTGGCATGCTTTTACGAGACTGCAAGACCTCGATTGGTAGGAGTTGCGGTGACACAGCGTGGTTAGCCACAATTGGCAGCGACTGCGTTGGCGAAGGGATTGCCAGGGTTGAGTGTCCGAGAGCCGTCTAGATTCATGTGCGCAGCTGAGACGTGCAGTGGATGGCGGGCGGGAGCCAGTCAGAGGGCAGCAAAGGGAGGGCCCGCTTCTAATTCGAAGCAGAGCTTGGTCGCTAGAAAACACAGCTGCTGTGGTCGGTACGAACGATGATATGCCTTCGGCCTGGTGAGCTTCTGGAGGAGGTGGCATCGTCGGGTTGCCGACGTTGAGTGCCTTCTTGGTGGTGACGACGACAACGACAAGAGAGGCGTTTTTCGTGTGGGCGTTGGGCGGGCTGGGAGGTGAAGTCGCTTCTTTCCGCGGGTGATCCGAGCGCTCGGAACAACACCACCACCACCATGTGAGACTTTGAGCCTCGCGAGACGTATCAGGATCAGCCCTGCAACGGTGCGCACAATTCGACCTCCTCCATCATATGCATACAGTATGCCTCTCCCACACAGGATGACACGAGCAATGCCAATCGCCACGCAATGCTATGCACGTCGCGCTGGCCGGATACGAGACGAGAGCTAGCTGCGGGCGTAGCGACAAGCACACCTCGCGTTCATCTCCAGCAAGGCACAAGCCTTGGCCGCCCAATATTTTCCGAAGGAACCGCACCCCGTTTCACTCCTCATTAGCCTATCGTCCGCCTGCGCAGTGGCTGGAACTTTCATCAGCCTGAATCTGCTGCTGGCTGCATGAGCCCGCATCCGCACCCAGCGCCACAGCGTTCCTCTCCCCTCGGCTCGCCTATCGGCATCAGACTCGACGCCAGCGCAATGCTGCAACCCGCCAAGCCGACGGCATCTGGGGGCTGAGAGATGTGATTCCGACTGAATCTCGCTCTAATCACCTTGGCGGTGACTTGCTTCTCCATCTTGATGTCTGCGGCGTAGGAACGGACGTGCTCCGGTGCCATTGAGCACTCTTCGAAACAGGCGCCTGCCTCGTGCACGAGCGGTATTCCACTGCCATGGCTTCCCTGATGGGCCGCCTTCTACTTCTGCCCAGCGCTTTACTGGCATTGAGCGCTTCCTATGCTTATGCGAGCGCATTGGAAATACGCGACGATAATTCGACCACAGTCCCAGCGCCCATATCATTCTCCCCGGACCAGAGCTGGCTGGGCATTGACGGATCGTGGTCGACGTTCACCTTACGAGTTGGAACCCCAGCGCAGTCCGTGAAAGCGCTCATATCCTTTGCCTCGTATCAGACATGGGTGGTGCTGCCTCAAGGATGCCAGGCCGCTACGGACGAGGACGCATGCGCGCAGACAAGAGGAGGCATATTCGACAACAACACCTCGTCTACGTTTGAATACATAGGCATATACGATCTGTGGATCGAGAGGAATCTGGGCTATGACGGGAACGCGATCTACGGCTATGATGTTGTCGGTCTGGGCTTGAACGGACAAGGCGGTCCTACTCTGAAGAACACCACAGTTGGAGCATTGGCCGTGGAGGACTTCTACCTGGGTATGTTTGGCGTCAACCCCAAGCCGACCAACTTCACCAGCTTCAACGAGGGATCGCCTAGCTATATCACTCAGCTCAAGGAACAGAACTATATTCCAAGCGTTTCTTTTGGATACACTGCCGGCGCCAAATACCGATTCACTGGAGCTCTGGCCTCGCTGACCTTGGGAGGATACGACAGCTTCAAGTTTGTCGACAACGACGTGACCTTCCAGTTCGCCGCCGACAACAGTCGCGATCTAGTCGTCGCTATACAGTCCATCAATACGCCCTCGCAGATTAAGTCTTCCCCAAACCCAACCGAGCTACTACCCAATCCAATTTACGCGTACATCGATGCCACAGTGCCCCAGATCTGGCTCCCTCTGGAGGCTTGTCAGGTCTTTGAGAACGAATTCGGTCTGATTTACGACAACACGACAGAACTGTATCTGGTCAACAACACGCTGCATCAGGCTTTACTGGATCGTGACGCCAACGTTACGTTCCAATTCGGCCAAGGCTTCACAGGAGCGAATGTACAAGTAACATTACCATACGCAGCGTTCGATCTGGAGGTGCAGCCGCCCTATCCTAACATTGTAAACACCACGAAATACTTCCCGCTTCGACGTGCGATGAACGCTACCCAGTATACATTGGGACGGACCTTCCTTCAAGAGGCTTACATTGCCGTCGATTGGGAGTCTGCGACGTTCAACGTGTCACAGGTCTTGTGGCAGGAGACCCAACAACAGAACCTAATTCCTATTGTGCCCATATCTGAAAAGGGCGGAAGCGGCTCGGGGTACCCAGGGACCAACACTGCGGGTGATAATGATGAGTCTTCCAGTAGTCTCTCTGGAGGAGCCATCGCTGGCATTGCCGTAGGGGCCGTCGCAGGAGTGGTCATTCTCGCGCTTGCAGCTCTTTTCTTCTACCGACGAAAGAACCAAAGTAGTAAGAAGGCAATCGACGAAAAGACGGCGGCAGCTTCAGGTAATGGACCCACTCTGGCCAGACAATCCAGCAGACAAGTTTACCCCAAAGCTGAGCTGGAAGGAAACGGAACGCCCATCATGGAAGGCAGGGGCCTCTTATCAGCACATGCATCGACGCCTCGAAGCGCACCAGGTACTCCGCATTCTGTGGTCTCTCCGGCCAGTGCGGGTTACTTTGCTGGTGGAGCTGTGTCAACCCCTTCGCCTACTACACCATCGGGTGAAGGAACGCACTCCAGCACGCAAAGCAACCGACTATTCTCGCCTCTATCTGAAACAGCCAGCGAGGCGGACAGTCGAGAGCGTCACATCTACGAGATGCCAGGCGACATGCCAGTCATTCGTGAGAAGGATGGCAAAGCCTTGAGCGAGAAGGAGGCACTCGCAAGACGGCAGATGATCAACAATGGCGTCGATTCGGCGTCTAATTCTGCTTCTGTCGTCAATGAAGGTGTCAGGGAGCCGAGACGGATTGACCCTCAGGAGGTCGTGCAGAGTTCTTCTCAACTGAGGGATCCGACGCTGCATCGGCAGTTTTCGTTCGAGATGGACAGTGAGCAGTGAACATGAGTTTTGTAACATTGCATGGAGGTCGTATTTCAGCGAGCGAGGCGTTGGCGGCGGCGAATAGCACATGCACATGAAAGCATGGAGAGATCTTTGAACAATTAAGCTAATGTATTTGAATAGGCTGACGAAAGTAACGATGTATACGACCACGAACAGATTGCAGTCTCAAAAAATCACACAATGGAGCGAAAGAATAACAAGCATGGCACATCGGCAGAGAGAAGCGTTGACTTGATTCATTCGTCACATTGCTTTCCACCACTTTCTCGGTCCACATCGTCATTCAAAGACCCGTGGAGCACGAAAGGCGTCACTCGCAAGTCGCGTGAGAGATCTGATCGGTACCTGAAGATCGTGATGGACCGAGCTTTCGCCACTCCCTTCAACTTCATCATGACAACTTTATGATGCAATATCATAAAGCTGTTCTGAAAGAGCTCTACTTTGTACATTTATTTGTACCTCAAAAGAACATCTTTCTCCTCTCTCTCGCGGACAATATTCTTGACTCTCAACAACCTTCGAATCTCGAAATCTGACTACAAAACTCTCCTTGGCAACAACCAATTCACCCAACCACTAAAGAGATTCTTCAAAATGTCCGCCGAATACCAAGGTCAAGACCCCATCGCGCTAGCCAAGAAGGCCGAAGCAGACCTCAACACCCTCTCCGCGAAAGGAAACACAACGGCCCAAACCGCCGGCGTCTCCGATTCCAGTACGTCCCCAATCCCCCTCTCAACCCACCCCCACTAACCCATCTCCCACAGCCCGAGAATCCGGCATCGACACCAGCGCAACATCCAAATTCCCCGGCGCGACCGCCTCCCTCAAAACCCGCGACGAGATCCCGCCCGAAGAAGGCGGCGGCATCCTCCCCAGCGGCAAGCCGACGCAAGCGAGTGATTTCGAGGGCGTAGGCGGGCCGGAGGATAAGGCCAGGATTGCGAGGGAGGAGCGAGGGGGCGATGATGATGTGAGGGGGAATGTGAGGCAGGGTGGGGAGACGGTGAGGCCGCCGAATGCTGTGAGTAATGAGAGTAGGGGTGGGGAGGGACATCGTGCTGTTTGAGGGGGTGTTCAGGAGGTAGATAATGTATCAAGGGGCTGGTGACCTCATGGATACCATGACAGTATGATAATGAGATGTACTAGTAGGCCAAGGGCCATGACTGAGAGATTCTTTGATTTCATACATATATCGACAGAGAGCGGTGGCAAGAGAGACAGTTGAGAGATTCTGTACTCAAGTCCTTCAAGTTCGACTGAAACCTATATACAAGTAACGAAGAATCTCCCTCCTAGCCAAAACTCAAAACTCACAAACGAATGGGGGTATCACCATCCAAGAAAAAGACAGGCAACCATCAACGCTTCTTGCTCTCAAGTCTCGAAAACCTCCTTCACATCCCCCCAAGACCCAGCCGCACGCTTGTCCCAGTAACTCCCCTCCTCCATCAGCATCCAAACCTCTTCTTCAGGATCCAACTTGGAATCAACAGCATTGCTGGCAACCTTCTCGAAGAACTGCGGTTTATACTCTTGGCCGTGGCTTTCTAGGACCTTGCGGCGGGCGCGCTGTCGTTCCTCGAGTCGAGCTTTCAGGGCTTCGGCCTTGTCGACATCGCCGGCTTCTAGAGCTTGTTGGTCAGGTCGGAGCCGAGAGTCAGTGGGAGGGAGATGACCGTCTTCAACTTCTGTAATTTGGTTGAGAGCCGCTGCGAAGGTGGTGAATCCATAGACCTTCGGTGCATCGGGTACAAGGGAACCAACAGTCCAGATCGTGGCACCAGTATCCGTTCGTTTCAGGTTCTCTGTCCACTTGCCAGTGAGACCAAGGGGCAACGCGGTATCACGCTCAAATAGCTGGACCGTCACATCTTCGCTTCGTCCAGAGAACATTCCACCCGACTTGAAGGTAGCCACAGCGCGAAGGCCGTTGGTCTCGTTGTGGACGGTCATAGTCTGAACAGGTTCGACATACTTCTCGCCGGCGATGACATTGCGCAAGAAGGCCGTGGCCTGAGTCCAGGAGTAGTGCTCCTTAGGCGCATGAAGGACGACTCTCGCGCGCCCGTCATTGTTCAACTCGACAGACTTGCCCCAGAACTTCTGCACAGGCTGTGGCGACTGTGCATACGCCCAGCCGCCGTTGTTTAAGCTTTCAGCTTGGCATGCCATTCGGACTGGATGGTGCGAGACCTTCTCGGCCACGAAACGGAAGCCCAGGTCCTCTCTCACAAGTTCGAAAGTCTCGCCCAACATGGGGTTGAAGGGCTTCCTGATGGCGCGTTCCTTGACTCGATTGTTGGAATAGTATGATACCGCGAACGCCGCGACATACATCATACGTTCAGCCGGTGTGATAGACACCTGTGCTGCGGCATCAAGCAACTGAGGATATTCCAAAGACTCTGCCAATCGCTGTAGGAGCGAAGTTGGTTCGTTCGCAGTCACTGGCATGGAAATAGTGGACAAATCTTTACCAGCGTTCTTTCGCAAAAAGCCAATGAAGCTTGGAGGTGCCTGTTTAGGGGGTATAACAGTCGTTCGGCGCTTGACAGGTGCCAGTGGTAGAGGTGAAAGTGCTGATGGCTTGTTCGGGAAAAGAGGAGACTGCGAAGTTTTGCGCGTGGCTTGGAAAAGAACAGATCCAGCTCGACCATCTCCAGCCTCGCTGTCGCTGTCAGAGTCACCCTCCGAGACATTGTCAAGCTCTTCGTGCGGCTCTGTGAACTCGCTCGAGCGTCGTATGTCAAGTAGTTGCGAAGGGACGTCACCACCCTCTGCGTCAAAGAACTCTTGACTGTCTATCGATTCCAGCGAGAGACGGGAACTTGTGGTCAACGGAGGCGGTTGTCTTCGCGCTTTGCTCTCGGCGATCAGTGATGAGAAATCGGCCACTACAGTGTCCAGATCACGAAGCAACGCCATGCATCTCTCGTGTACATCGACTTCTGGTAGCGTCTGCGTCACCAAGCTGGGACGCTTGGGGATATTGATTGGACCAGTAGAAGGCGAGGTAGGTCCTGTTGCGAGGGAAGGAGACGGCACCGCAAGCTGCGCAGATACGCTTCTGCGAAACAGTGCTGACGGACTACGCTCTGCACTCGCAGTACGCTTCCAAAACGGACGTCTGGCTTGAGCAGGGCTTCGTTCTTCTGCGTCTGCGAAGTAAGGATTCGCGGAATCGTACGAAGTCGGGCTCGGATTATTGCTGCTCGTACCAGAGCTCACTGGGGCCAGTCCAGCTCCATTCGATCCAGAGTAATACTTCGGATCGGTATCCTTAGCAAGCCCTCGCACAGCATCTCTTGTCCCAGACACTTTGCTCACAAGTTGCTCGACTCTCTGCCACTCACGCTCTGCTTGTGGGTCCTGGGGTTTTGGTGGCACGAAGTCCTTGCTTGGCTTGGCGGGAGTCACTGGCAATGATACGTTTGCCGCTCTTTCAAGCGCATCTCTCCATCCCTCGAAATCTTTCTTGTTACTAGCTTTCAGATGCCACACTTCTGCGCCAGAATCGACTGAAAACTCTCGCGTCTTTTCGTTGGCTCCAACAGCCGCAAGCGAGAGCGGAATCGCACCTCGCAGCGCCGAAGAATGTCGATTCTGGTAGTATGACAAAGTCGAGGACGTGAAATCCAATGAGAAGAAGCGTTTCGCAAACCCCTGACCTCTCTTTCTCTTCTTCTTCCACAGAATGCCAGTGTAGAACGTCGTTCCTTCGATCCCTTTGCTCTCCACACCCCCTTTTGAAGGAGGTCGCGGGTCTTCCAGCACCCCTCGGTGTATGCCTTGTGGCAGACTTTCGTTAGAATCCGCAGCAGCCTTCAACGACGGGCTGTTCCCTTTCGAGTTCGGGATACTGCTTGAGCTGTTGTTCGAGAAGGCTTGCGAATAGTGTAGATGGTGTCCGGACTTGGGGGGCGCATTCGTCGGATGCGTCATGAGAACGAACGTCACGTTCTTCGACGTCTGCTTGGAGAACGTGTTGTCGAACACCAGCCCATATGTCCCACCCTCTCCCTCAGGCACATCAAAGCGACCCATAGCCACCTTGTCCGGCTCGCATCTTCCCGTCCAGGCAACAGACTTCATCCCGATTGCTTGCAGCTTTTCCACGACATTGCTCTCACCCACAGAGCCTCGCCTGGGTGGCTTAGCTGGAGGCACTCCATCTAATGCCGGTGTTCCCGGAGTCTGCGCATTGCTCTCGACCGTCTCTTGCGTTGGTAGGCTCGGCGTAAGCCCATTCTTAGTTCCTGGATGCTTGAAGATGCCAAAGTTGATGCTCTTCTTATTCGGCTGTAGCGACCATGAGATGGAGTGGTTTTCAGGGACCTGGATCCAGCGAACGAGGTAGCTCTAGATTACGCGCGACTTTATCAGCATATCTCGAGGTGAAGTCATGCTTCCCTAAGCGGGTTCGATTAAGCTCGCGCAAAGACGTACCTTTGAATGCACGACGATCTGCTCTATGCCGGCCATGCTGCTGTCGCCGGGGGCGCGAGAGTTGGCGACGACAATGCAGAGGAGTCGTCACCCCAGAAGATCTGTCAGAAAGCGTTTGCCGGCCTTATTGCTGTCTCATGATAGCGGCGAGCCTCGGGAGTCAACAAAGCTCAGCTGGCCTTCTCAGGCATCGGTTTATTTGCTGCGCCGATTTCCGTTAGCTGCTGTTCAGGCTCTCGTCATCGCGTTTCTGCTACGCCCGAATGATGCTACTGCTTAGAAGGAGCACGAGGAAGTATCAGCTGATGGAATGGATCACAAATGCTGCGCTGGTGAACGACGGTGCACTTTCTCGTATGATGTGCCTAGCGACGAGGTCAGACCCTTGCTCAGCCCTATTCACCTGCTGCCGACGGGCCGAAGCGTGTCTATATTGGGCGCTGTGGGCGTACTGGGCGATCTTTCAGAATACCATCTCGGACTTCTTCTTCAAAACTCATATCCTTTTCGTTCCGCTAAAGGACAACACTTTCTCCATTCTCCCAAGCTGTCCACGCAACACGGAGTACCATGAAGGGTTTGGTCTGCTTCGAAGTTGAAGGATGATGCGATACGTTCGACTTTGAGCGGAACGTGGAACGACAAGGACAGAGGCTGGAGTGGTTCGTAGCTATTGCCAGCCTCTCTCGAGAGGCATGATGGAATTAGATGTCCAGGATGGTTAATGTCTTATTCCTATCCTTACTGTTGTATTGAGTCCTATCTTTATAGTGTTGTTTTATCACCGTCCTTACTGCTTTCCTCACTTCTTTCCTCCCTTCTGTCCTTGCTATTATTCTTGTATCCTCACTTGCAACGACTTGTGCCCTTATTTGTTCCCTCACTTATAACTCTCACTCCTGTCCTTACTTCCGTCCTTACTTCTTCCCTCGCTTTTACGCTCAATTGTACCCTTGGAAAGATGCTTGAGTAGGATCAGAGAGCCATGCACGTCGCCTTGTCTCATTGCGATCGCACTACGAAGTCACGTACACCCGCAGCGCCAAACCCAAACCCACCCACATGCTAGAAAGCTCACCTCTCACTGGCGACCGCAAACTCCTCGCTCTCCGGTCCTGATCAACACTCTAGTGCTTTGGCAACGTGCTTGGCATGTGGAAAGTAGAGACAGAATTTTAGAAAGTTTGCAGATCTCATCAACTTCCAAGGTCTCTCTCCTCAGAGACATCCATTTCCATTATTATACTACAACGAACTTTTCCTCCCCAAAATGCAAAGTAACAACGAATCAAGCCGTGCTATCGGCAGTGCCCTCGCTGCAAGGGTTGGGTATAGTGCTGCACCACATCGCCATGTGAAAATCAATGTGAGGTCCCTCGCTGGTTGTAAATCCAAAAAAAACTTTTTGTCGTGATGATAGAAAAAACGCCGTGTGCCCAAGATGCATCGATTCCTGTCGAATGATGATGTTACCCGAGATGATCCTCGGATACGCTCCAGATGCAGGTTCGTGATGAGAAAGACTTTTTTGGTTTGACCTGCCCAGCGCCAACGCTTTTTTGAAATGCGAGAATCAAGAACCAGCTCGCTGAAGGTTTGGCCCAAGAAGTAAGAGAGTCGTTAAGTCGTGATGATTAGAGTGGCGAATGTAAGGAGTCGTGATGGTTTACGACGACCGCCGGCTGAAGATGGAGAGGACGCCTCCGCTGTTCCGTCGCATCGCGGTGATGCGCTCAGACTCGGCCGATGAGGATGAGTCGGTGCTGTCCTTGCGTGAGGATGCTGACTTCTTGGTGGGCTCGGTGAAGAGGTTGCCTGCACCGCCACGACCGACGTGGTAGATGGGCGCGGCGTTCGCTGCTCTCTTGTTCAACATCTCCTCGTCGAATTCGAAGATGGACTCTTCGTTTGATGCGGAAGACATGTTGCCAGCACCACCACGTCCGAGAGGGACGGTTCGCTTGAAGGGCTTGGTGAGGGAGATGCGAGAGGCTGGTCCAGTGGCAGATGGGCCGGTAGTGACCTCTTCGGGCTTGTAACGCCTGTAGTTACCGGCACCTCCTCGACCGCCATAGATGTATCCGCCAGACTTGGGGACAGTGGGGTGTGGCTCGGTGATGGAGAGGTTTCGTGGCATGTTGGTGGTGTTGATGGTGTGTGTTGTTGTAGAGTGTGGAGATCGAGGGTTGTCCACGCAGAAAAGTCTTTTTTGTTGTGTTGTTGTTGGATCTGATGGAATGATGAGTAGAGGAAGTGGCAACGAACCTACCGGCGATGCCTGATATATGGATGGCAGCGCAACGTAATCTCACGATCCAGCGGCAAATTCTGCCAGGAGTCATCAAACGCAATACATCACGCGGACTCCGTGCTTCCTTGGCTGTCCACAAACTATTCCTCTAACTGAAGGCGTAGCAGAGAAAGTAGAAACTTTGGTAAGAGTTTGACCCCGGAGACGGCGTCTGCTTGCCGAACCGGGTGGCCTAAGCGCGCTGTTGAGCCGCAGTTCACAGCGTCAGTCGTTCACTCAGAATTTTCTCTTTCTCATTGGCCGTGGCGATGACACATGCGATCTGAGCGATCGTGTTCCAACTGTTTCCATCTTTTTGCCATCACTTTGGGCCGACTTTGGGGCCTCGAGAAGCAGACTTCGGTCAACGGCTACGCGACGACTCGCCCCTCACGTGGATGGCCAAGTCATGCGTGCCCTCAGCTTTCATTGCGACTGGATTCTTGGAAGGCGGCCCGTGACGAAACTTCAATTTCTATTACCCCCAGCTTTTTGCGCAATGCGACACTATTACCCCATAGCTTGCGCTTTTGCGGCTAGCTCCACCAAACCGTGATGGACATCATCCAGACAACGAGGCACGCCAGTCTCCCCGCATGATCACAATGGAGGCGTCGTCTCGATTGCACGAGGCGCTAGGAACTCGAATGTCGGACACGTGGTTCAAAGGCGCCATGTTCCAGTCCGTTGGCACAATGCACATTGTTGTCACGGAGATGCTGCGAACGAGTCGACTTGCAGGAACGATGTCGCTCGTCACCACAGCGAAGCCGACGCCACCATGAGGTCGAGATCCTGCGGTTCTGTTCGGATTCCGTGCTCTTCTGCTCGATTCTCGCTTCCCCGCAAATTTTCCCCTCTAGCGCATGCGTGCGAATAGTGACCGATCGACCGCCATGTGCAGGTACCGGGAGGCCTAGAGGGCTAGCGTTTAGGTAAGGAGACTTCTTTTCTCCGCAGTCCTGCGTCCGGCATCCACATCATTTCACCGTCACTCCAGCAAGCGGACCGTCGTTCGTTGGGCATAGTCCTTGGCCGGTCCGTTGCACCAGCTAAGGTCTTGTTATCCACCGAGAGGGAAATCACAGCAAATCGCGCAATCCATGCACTGCGTTGGGTAATGCCGACGATATCCGGGTCCGGAAGTCAGCAGCCACTTTGGAAACGAACGCTGTGGGTGAGGAGTATGGATCACGACGCAATACGACTGGAGCACGTCAAAGCTGAAACTATTGCGACTGCCATTTGGGTATCTCTTTTACGCAAACTTCTGGTGGATGATGTCCGGATCTGGGGATCATTAGCTAAGTCGAAACACTTTCGATCAAGGGTTGAGGAGGAATGACTTACTCTCATGCCAATCGTCAATCGTTACGTACATCTTCCTGAACGTGCTCAATCCTGCCAGGATGGAACCACCAATCCAGGTGCTGTACAGTCGTTCCGGCGGCGCGAAGATCTTGATGCGCATGTCCTTCACAGCCAGCCGTTGGACCTCGTGGAGCAATCTGTCGCCAAAGCCCTTGATCATGGTTGAGCCACCTGACAAGACGATGTTGCCAAACAGCTGCTTGCGGAGGTCCATGTCGGTGCGAGTAATCGAATCAACAACGATCTGGTGGAGGCCTGGCCATTCGAGACCAATCAATTCAGGGTCGAAGAGGATTTCAGGCGCTCTGAAACGCTCGGGTCCAATCTTGAGCTTTTTGCCATCCGGGAGGACGTAATCCGACACCTTGCTTTCACCGCTTCGGTTGCTCGCGCTATGCCAATCTTTCTCCTCTTTTTTGGGATCGAGTGCCACGTAGCAAGTCTTTTCCTTGATGTTCTTGACAATCTCTTTCTCTGCACTCGTGTGGAAGACGTGTCCACTCTTGCGCAGAAGCTTTTGTAACTCTTCTGTCACATCTCTGCCGGCGACATCTATCCGGCGAATGCTATTTGGGATTGCGAAACCTTCGAATACAGGTACAGCATGCGACACCCCGTCTCCAGCATCCAACACGATACCAGTAGTTCGTCCAGATGCGTACAGGGAAAGGACAGCTTGGATCGACGTGTACAATGCAGGCACATTGAACGTTTCGAAGAGAATTTGGGCTGCAGTGTCGCGATTTGCGCGTGGGTTTAGGGGCGCTTCGGTGAGGAGGACCGGGTGCTGCATGCCACATCAATCCTATTCTCCATACTTGTATTCGTTGACTGACCTCAGCCTTCACATACCTCTTCACTCAATGTCTTCAACTCGTCTGTGTAGATGTGTTGCCATATCTTCTCCATGTCCTCCCAATCTGTGACGATGCCATGTTCCAGGGGATACCGTATCTTCAGGAGCCCCCGTAGCTCTTGTGCGCGATTGCCAATGAAGAAATCTCCTTCTAGCCCACCAGCCAGTACTCGAGTGTGTTTAGGTCGACCGACGAATGAAGGGAAGAAGCAGCGAGGGGAGTCTTCGCCAGCGTAGCCTGCTCTGATGGTGCCGCTGCCGTTGTCAATCACAATGGGTGTGTTGTGCAGGTCGGCCATCTTGCTAAGTCTTCTCTTGCGCGGCGAGGCGCTCTTCTAACGCGCACTGTGAGGCATCCAGAGATATTTCGATCCAGGGTCGTAAGTTCGTGGAGACGGTTGCAAGTCGCTTGGGATGTTGGTGTTGTCTCAGAGCTCGACTTTAGATTCGCGAGGGCGCGTCTCGGCTGCTCCCGCTCAGGCACCAAGGCCGCAAATCAGCAGTATAACTTCTTCACTTCACCACCCTATCCTAAGAGATTACTTCTCTCCACGCCAACAATGCTGAAGGCCACGGTATCGTCGTCTATCATTCTGACGAGACAACAATGAGATTCGATGTCCACTCGTCCCAAGCTCAAATGCGTCGACGACGCGGAGACTCTTCACATACCACCTAAGAGTGGACTAGTACTCGACCTTGGATGGCTATACGCCTGCTATGGCACTCGACACTTTGCAAACCTTGTCCTGTCCCTCGCTATGGATTGAATGCTTTTCTACCTCGCCGATTCGTGGCTAAGATAACGATTGCAGTCCGAGTCGGTCAAAAACCCTCCCGAGCGATGGAGATTGGATGTTCAATTTTGAGCAATACTATACGTCCAGGAACCTCGTCGAACGACTGCCGAATGTCTTCCCTCCAGCAACAATGTGGTCTGTTGCGCTGATCTACTCTTAGTATAATAATAAGCTTTACTCGTTCAAAGCCTAATTCCCCATCCTCTTCGGCTCCACTCAAACGAACTTACGCTTTTCAAAGCTCGACCACCCCTACATCCTACTATACGTCGGGTCTGCCTATGTCTATCATCATACTATGCTCTTCCCCACCGCGATAACACTCGCGCTTGCTGGTGTCGCGGTGGCCTCTCCGGGATGGAGATTCTGGCCAGGTCCATTCTCAAGCTGGGCCAGCGTTACACACATTATCTCATTCGGAGATAGTTACACACAAACCGGATTTGATCCAAAGGGACCGCAGCCTTCGAGAGCTAATCCGCTAGGCAATCCAGATTATCCTGGTGACACTTCCTCGAACGGTCCAAACTGGATCGACTTTCTGACAACGACATGGAATAGAACGCTCGTCAAGACTGTCAATCTTGCCTTTGGTGGCGCCACGGTGGACGGCGACTTGATCCCAGCATTTGCCCCTACAGTGATTTCACTGAAGCAACAAATCAATGATCAATATGTTCCGATCTATTCGAAACATCCAAGTTATTTCAACTGGCAGCCCCAAAGCACCTTGTTCACCATCTTCATCGGCATCAACGACGTCAACAACGGATATAATTTGCCAAATAAGTCGCAGCTCTACTCTCAAGAGCTGACCGAATACGCTCAGCTTGTGGTATGTTAAGAAGTATGCTTTGTTGGGACGTCCGGCTTACGAGTCATAGGACACACTTTACCAGACCGGAGCGCGTAACTTCGTCCTGCTCAACGTTCCTCCTATTGACCGGGATCCCATTACGACTGAGACCGGCGAGGCTGCCGTGGAGAGCCAAAAGACCGACATCGCCGCGTGGAACGGGAAAGTCAACAGCATCGTGAAGAATTTGAACCGCAAGCCCGGTGTGACAGCCTTTTTGTTCGATGCCAATGCGTTGTACAACAAAGTGATTGATGAGCCGTGTTCGTATCCCGAGACGTGTGCATTGAAGGACACTTCCAGCTATTGTCCAATGTATGCGTTCGGGACGCCCACTGTAGGTTGACTCAAGCAGGAACTTCGGCTTCGCCAAGGCTCTAACATGTGGCAGTGGTATTCAAAGGACCCACAGTGTGAATATCCAGTGGATCAATACTTTTGGGAAAGTACTTCATGGCGTATCTTGATCAAGCTTTACTGATGCTTTGCAGCTGAATACCCTACATCCAACTTTCAGGATCCACAATGCTACGGCTCGAGAAATTGCAAATCGGTTGAGCACAGGCAGATACTGGTGGTTATAGTCGCACAAGATAGCCCAAACTGATTCGCTACACTTGAACAATGCAAGACGATTTTGAATGCCCAGCAGATGCTTCAGGAGCTTGTTCTAGCCCCTGATCGACCCTCTAAATTTCGAAGTTTTGGATGAACAATCAACTTCATCTTGTCTTTTGAACCACTTTTTCTTGTGTAACTTGACGAGAATAGCAAAAAGACGATGTTGATATCCATATGCCAGCAAGGACAAAGGATTCGGAACTTACCGAACAACCTCGGTTGTTGCTGACTCGACTTCAGCATGCGAAGTGAACAAACATCTCAACTTTCACGGCAAACCAAGCCAGCACAAGAACCTCGCAAGCACCAAAGACAATATCCTTACGACCCGAAAATGGCCTCCAGAGACTACAATAAAGAGTTCTTCAACGTCACCTTCCCCTACCAATATGTCGCCGTCGTGGAAATCGATCGCCAAAAGAAACTCAACTCTTACACGCAACAAATGTTCACAGATATTGGGACTATCTTCTCCAGACTATCCATAGACCCAGAAGTCCGCGTCATCGTCTTGACAGCAGCCGGCGAGCGAGCTTTCACAGCCGGACTGGACGTCACCGCGGCGGCAAATGGGCCCCTCACAGGCGACGGCATGGCCGACCAGAAATGCGAGGATACCGCGAGGAAAGCCTGGTCGTTACGGAGGCATATCAAAGAAATCCAGGAACCTGTCAGCGAGATTGAGAAGTGCGAGAAGCCTGTCATCTGTGTGATGCACGGGATTTCGTACGGTGCGGCGATTGATATCTCGACTTGTGCGGATATCCGGATTTGTTCCAAGGATGCGAGGTTCTCTGTTAGGGAGGTGGCTATTGGACTTGCGGCGGATGTTGGGACTTTGACGAGGTTGCCCAAGACTAATGTGGGTATGAGCTGGATTAAGGATGTTTGCCTAACTGCGAGGGACTTCGGTGCTCAGGAGGCTTTGTCTGTGGGATTTGTGTCGGGAGTCTTTGAGAATAAGAAGGCTGCGTTGGATCGGGGGTTGGAGCTTGCGAAGGACATTGCGAACAAGAGCCCTGTGGCTGTTCAGGGGACCAAAGCGGTGATCAACTATTCGAGAGATCACTCTGTGAATGATGGTAAGTCTTAGCCGTGACTTGGTGGATCCTACTAATGTTCTCAAGGTCTGGATTACATCGCGGTATGGAACGCAGCAATGCTGCAGACCAAGGATGTCAAGGATGCCCTGATGTCTGGACTGCAGAAACGCACACCAACATTCGAGAAGCTGTAGAACATTATGAGACTCAGCAGAGTGCATACAGTGAAGCCTGCAGCATCACATGGCAGTGTCTTGTTCGCTGTATCGTCCGCATGTCTCGCTGGCATGTGATTGCCAGGCTCAATGTCATTCACCTACACGCAACTGCTCACATGCCAACCACCTGCAGGCGAAACCTTATCCGCCGTCCATTTATTAAGTCCTTCTCTCTTCTCCATTGCACTTTCGTACATACACACACTCTCTCTCGACCACCGAGCCCAGACACTCCTCTCTGCTGCTGCACATTGACAAGAGCATCTGCTGACCGCTAGACTCAAACACCAAGGTCTTTCACAGAAACTCGAGTCTCGATTCACGGTCAGTCGTGGCCGACCCTCGAGTCTCGCCTTGAAGCTCACAATTACACGTTACAGATGGCCGCAGTCGAGGGTCTCCTGCTCGTCTACGAGTACAAGTGCAACGGACGCAACATCATCCCAAATGGCCTCTCCATTCACTTGGAAGAGGATCTCGTCATGCTGCTCTCCATGCGTAAGCTGTCGAGAACACCTTCCGTTCGACTCCACCGCTAACATGAATCAACAAGACCCCGACGTCCGTGCCGTCAAGAAAGCCATCCAGCCCAAGTCCACGAGCGTCGACATCTACAAGGCCGATCTCATGACCGAGGAGGAGAAGAAGGCTGCCTCGAAGAACAAGAAGAAGGGCGTCGAGGCTAGCGAGGAGGTCCCTTGGAAGGCCTTTCTCGGCCATGAGTGGGTGGACCATGAGTACAAGGAGATGGTGAGCAGCCTCGTGTGTTCTGTAAGATGCGAGAGTCGCAGCTGCTAACCCTTATCTGATGGCAGGTGATTCTCGTTCCAGATGTCGTTGCCAAGGGTGGAAAGGAGGAGGTTGCGAAGTGATTGCGGCTTCGGCTGGATGCTTTCACTGCTGCGTCTTTGGAGGCTCATCGGATCACACTGCATGGATCAAGCCACTGAATCGCCTTCGAAGACTTGGGCGAGTTGTATGAATAGTACAGCACACACTCAAAGTGTCGTCCATGGAAAAGGACCGCCGAATTGTCATCCTTGAAACCTCCACTCTGCGTGATTGGATGATTTCGCGACGGTAATACGGAGGATCTTGGCTCGTTACACACGTATAACTGACTTCGAACCTCACTTTTCCTCCTGAAACCATGGTTATATCTGTCACTCGTTTTTGTACTTTGATACCCCATATGCGGTGTCATCGTTCAAACCGGCGACCACTCCTCCCAAAGCACCTTCCATTCCCGGTCCTGCCTCCGCCGCTCTACTAGCTAGTCTTATCTTGCAGACCGCCCAAGACGGCTCCCGCGCCGTACGGTCGCGTTGCCCTGGTTATGCGAAATGCAGCGACAATCGGAGACGATATAGACTGTGATAATGTCATACGAAGAGACGGGTCAATCGGATAGTCGCCATGACGGCGCCCTGAACTCTCGGATGCATGGCAGCGGCGCGCACCAAGGTCAGAAGAAGGAAGGCCGTACGACCCTATGCAAGGGCCGATGTAACGCCCCACCATCCGATATCTGTATGTTCAGGCTACGGCATTGTGCATGATGGCAGAGCCCTTAGAGTGGGTTAGGCTGGTACATGTAGGTCAAGACATTGGGGCGATGCTTGTGCTCTTTCTTTAAAGCTTCTCTCTCTTGTCTTTCCTTCTTTACTCCCTTCCTGGCATTCTTTGCTACTACAGAGTGGTCGAGTCAACATGCAGCTCTTCACCATTCTTGCACTTGCGTGCACAGCGCTCGCAAAGCGAGATAGCAGACACGTTCGAAAAGCCAACCCTCCACCAGAGCTCAAAGCTCGATCCCCAACGCCTGCAGCGAACTGGCAGCCACCGCATTACTCGCACCCACCGAAACCGATCATCCCTTCAAACCCCAAGACTCGCAAATTCGCCGTCGATGGCACTAAGATCCCCGACGTCGACTTCGATGTTGGTGAGAGTTACGCTGGTCTCCTCCCCATTTCAAACGCCACGAATGCCTCCGAGCTCTACTTCTGGTTCTTCCCAACACAGAACCCCGAAGCCACAGACGAGATCCTGATTTGGCTGAATGGTGGGCCAGGATGTAGCAGTTTGGAGGGCTTGTTGCAAGAGAATGGGCCTTTTCTTTGGCAGTATGGCACGTACAAGCCGGTGAAAAATCCTTATACTTGGGCGAACTTGACGAATGTTGTGTGGGTTGAGCAGCCTGCTGGGACTGGATTCAGTCAGAAGAAAGGTGTCCCTGCCGCAACGAACGAGATTGAGGTTGCGGAACAGTTTCTGGGTAAGTGGTGCGTTCAGATGTGTTGGGGATGCTGCTGAACGATGAAGGCTTCTTCAAAAACTTCGTGGATACCTTCGATCTGCACAACCGCAAGGTCTACATTACCGGCGAATCGTATGCTGGATACTACGTGCCTTACATTGCGGATGCCATGCACAACAAGACGGACAAGAGATACTACAATGTGGAGGGTATCATGATCTACGACCCATCGACCACCTACGGTGTACGTTATCACAAAGGCTGAGCCCTTTGAGTTACTCGCTAACTTCTTGTCCAGGTCGTGGCCGACGACATCCCCGCTGTGCCTTTCGTCGACCAATGGTCTGAGCTCTTCAATCTCAACAAGACGGTCCTCGATCATCTCCACGCGAGGCATGAGGCTTGTGGGTATGCTGCATTCATGGAAAAGGCTCTGACCTATCCACCCACCGGACCTCTGCCAACCCCGCCGAATGTCGATCAGCGCGACAGGAGCTGTAGTCTATGGAACCAGATTTACAGTGCAGCGTTGTTGGTCAACCCTTGCTGGGACGAGTACCAGGTCGCCACGACTTGTCCATTGCTCTGGGATGTCCTCGGATTCCCAGGAAGTTTTGGATACTCACCTCCAGGAGCATCCATCTATTTCAACAGGACAGACGTTCAGCGTGCCATCAACGCGCCTCTCATGGAGTGGGCAGAATGCAGCGATGGTGTCCTTGACACAGATACTTCGGATCCATCTGGACTCAGCGTTCTGCCTCGAGTCATCGAGAAAAACAACAGGACCATCATCGGGCACGGAACGCTCGATTTCATCCTCATCTTGGATGGCACCCTCATGATGATTCAGAACATGACCTTTAACGGAAAGCAAGGGTTCAGCACGCCTCCGAGCGAGTGGAGCGATTTCTACGTTCCCTACCACGAAGAGCTGAACCAGGGCACGTTCGCGGGAGCTGGCGTCTTTGGAAATTGGCATACGGAGAGAGGTCTGACATTTGTGAGGACTGAGCTTTCCGGTCATATGGTGAGTACTGCGATCACGTTCGTAGCAAGCAGTGGCTTTCTAACGTTATGCAATAGATCCCACAATATGCTCCAAGTGCCTCGTATCGCCAGCTGGAGTTTCTGCTTGGAAGGATCAGCAATCTGGGCGAGGTGTCTAACTTCTCGACGCAGAAGGGGAATTATGGGAACGGCAATGCTACGATGAAGATGTTCTAGATCGAAAGCGAGTGATATTGGTCGCTCATTCTGTGTGCTCCATCACGGCTGTTATGAAAAGCATCATTGTGTGTATAGATCATCGCCAACTTCAGGTACATTGCAAGCTCGATTCCATTTTCCTCGTTTTCTGAACAGCCTACATGAAGCTGGTGCTTCCTACCTCTCCGAATGACAAGAGGCGGCCACGCTGCCGTTCAGGGTTAAGGCACACGAGAGATGGGGATGAATCAGAGCCACTCAACGCGACCATGGTGGGAGACGTGTACGGTTACGTCACGAGTGAGCGCGAAAATGTCACGTCAGACGAAGCTCATTTGCAAGCTGCATTTCACCATCCACATAGAGCTCAAAGTTCGTGTCTTTCTATTAAGTGCAGTAGAGAGAAAGACAGGCGTCTCGAAATCGCAGCCGGCTTGCTCAGTTTTGGAAGTCACGATCGCGTGGGAGACTCCAACATGATACTCATCAACCACGAACCCCGACCCCAGCAAATTCAACCCATCAGATTCAGATGAAACAATGCCTCCCGTGGTAAGTCGCATCGAGAATGTTGGACGAAATACACGCTGACGCCACTAGACTCCTTCGCCGCATCGCTTCCTAGCTGGTCAGAGGCGGCAACCATCACCGTCCAAGGATGCAAAACGACTCCGAGCTTTGAGGAGACTACAGCCCGAAGAACGTGAAACAACGCCACAGAGGAAGACACCTGCACCAGCACCTTCGCCAGGCCAGTTCGCCGCTGCTCCACGGTTCGGCTTTGGACGACCATCTCCAGCACGACAATCATCACCACCGAAGCCCAGCCTTGCGGAAGCTCTCAGGACATCGTCTCGTCCCGTTGAGGATGTAGATGAAGCGCAGGGCCATGAGGACGACGATGATGAGATGCTCATGTGCGATGATGAGGAAGCGCAAGCTGTTCCGACCACCGAAGACCGTCTACAGGATGTCCAGCAATGGGCTAACGCGCTGCCTTACTCACCTAAACGGCGCAGATTGGATGATGTTCAGACTGAACCGCAACAAGACGCGTCTATCGCTGTCCCTCCCAAGCCCGTCTTCAAGCATCCTACGACTCCAGCATCTCACATGAACACTGGTGCTCACACTTTCAGTCGCGCAGGAAGCGTAGCAAGCACTATCGGCACAGAGAATGGTGCAGCAGGCATTCGTCGCCCACAGTTCCTTCGCTCGTCCGTGGCGCCCTCTGAGCAACTAGAGCCTCTACCAGAAGCTTTCTCGCCGCATCGACGAGGAGAGAAGTTCGTGCCTGGAGGCCTCGCAGCTACAATGCAGCAATGGGTCATCGAGACTGGCCAAGCTGCCGCTCATAGTCGCAAAGGGCAGGGGTATTTAAATGGCGAGGACTACGTTCTGCGGGCGAAAGTGTCCTCGGTTGCTGGGAGGGGGCCAATGCTGGTCCAAGGGAGACATATAGACGGTGGAGATGTAAGATTGATGCTGGTGGCCGACTCGAAGAAGGATGCCATTATCGATATTCCTGTCGGAAGTACGGTGGGTGTTCGAGCTCCTACGTGGGACATTGAGCTGGAAGGTATCAGCTGGACCGTCGGCGTGGATTGGAAGGTGTTGCAGCAACGATGAATGGGACAACAAGGCTTCGGCAGTGGAGTGCCAATGCTTGACGACCATATCCTGCTGTAGCGACGCAATGGCTTTGCTGTCCCCGTTCATGCAGAGCGCAGGCCTCTTTTGGGCGTGTGGATGCTCCCCGACCACCTGTGAATGCCGAATCGCGTCAAGATTGCGTACTCGACAGGCAAACTCGACAAAGCCAAACAGGTATCATGCTGAAGTTTCTGAATCTTGCTGGCGATGTTGGACATGGGATCCTTGGTCGGCGATGAAAGCTGGCGTCAATTGCCGCATTTGGCAAGATATCAACAAGCCGAAGCTCGGCGACGATCGCTGAGAGGAAGACAGGCAGCACCCATTGAGACAGATCCAGAACTCTGATGGCGTTTCAATGAGGATTCTGAGGATGCGATAGTTTGAGGATCAAACAATAATGCGAGTGAGCAACGCGTGGAGCAGAGCTCTTAGCAAGGATGTGTTAAAGTCCGCGGCGGTGGCAGGACGCGATTCTGCCAGCCACCAGCAAGCAAGCAACAGCTCAAGCGGCGCCGATGATGTGAAGCTCCTTGCTCTCCCAAACTCTCAACATTCACCACCCACAACAACAACTCCGCCGCACAACGTCTTCTCTCGTTTCCTTACTCTTACTCGTAATACTCACCCTCCCCTCCAACACAGTCGTTCATCCTCGAGTCAGCCACGGACTGCTGGAGCATTAAGCTTCCGGGTAACTACGCAATGCTCCGAACCGCCCAAGCTGCTGCGCCTTCATAAACACAACCTCCTCAGGCAGCCATTCATTCACCCATTCTCGCCCTCCCTATTCGCCCTCTGGCTCGAGCGACCCCGACTGTCCCTACCACGGTCGCAGAGTCCGGCATGGGCTCGAAAATGGCCAACAATGGTCCGCATGCCGCTGGCATCTTCGCCGACATGACCGTCGACGGTCCTGAGATTGGGACACTGGTACTGGTGGTCGACAGAGCGAAGAATCTTCCCAATCGCAAGACTATGGGCAAACAGAATCCTTATGCGGCAGCGAGATTGGGTAAAGAGGCACGTAAGACAGAGACGGACAAGAGAGGAGGACAAACGCCCAGATGGTGAGTACATCTTCAATCCAATGCCTTAGGCAGAGGCATTCTTTGCTGACAAAAGGATGACAGGGACCAGGAACTGCGGTTCACTGTCCACGACTCCCCCGATTACTACACCCTCAAGATTTCCGTCTTCAGCGAGGACAAGCGCACCGACCTCATCGGCGAAGCCTGGGTGAGACTGGACGACGTCGTGGTGCCTGGTGGTGGGAAGAACGATCTGTGGCAGGGTTTGAATTGTAAAGGGAAATACGCTGGCGAGATCAGGATCGAGTTGACATACTACGACACAAGGGAGAAGCCAGAGAAAGAGACCAAGATAATGTCGGTTGCGGACGAGCTTAAGGCGCAGTATGGGAGTATAAGCAAGGTCAAGAGGAGGCCGCTGCCCGTTAATCCAAACCAGCCCAATGCGAATCCTGTCATGGTGTCGGACAAGCCTATTCCTGGAAGAGCAAAGCATGGGCCTAGAGACTTCGCAACACCACCGAGGGCGAACTCGATGCCGCCGGAAGGACCCAAGACTTTCAACTACCCGCATTCGCAGGCCACGTTGTTTGGGCAGACACCGGTCAGTGGATATGCGTCAACAGGACATTCGCCTGCTCCGATTGAGCAAGTTCCTGAAGAACCCTACTACGGGGAGTTTGATCCGAGTTTGGGACCACAGCCATACGATCCGCAACCTGGACCCTCACAGCCTGATTTCCTCCCTCAATTGAGACCCAGCAGTCGACAAAGAGGTTCTCTGCCACCGCAGCCGCGATACGCACAACCTCAACCGCCTCCACCGCAGCCACATCTTCGGCCACAAAGTCACATTGGCCTACCCCACTCGTACTCGGCGCCAGCAGTACCTACACATCCAGAGCCGCATGGTTATGAAGACCCGCAGCTTCACACGGATTACCCTGAGCCTATCCCAGACGTCGACTACCAGTACCAGCAGGTGCGACGGAGAAATGATGGGTGGGAGAGTGAGTACGGTAGCCCGCAAGGGCAGCCGTATATGGAGGACGACTTGGAAAGCCCTCCACCTCCACCTCCCATACACAGCCATAGCTCGCCTGCCGTTCCACACTACGCTTCTCCAGACAATCGCCCGTATCCACCTGCGGCTGCAGCGAGACACGGAACGACACCGCCTTCAGCTCGACAACAGTTTGTACCAAGCTCATCTCTGCAAAGTATCGAGCGTCATTATGGTACGCCGCCAAGTCATGGCCATCCAGCGAGAGGCCACTCTTTCGACGAGTACGGCGACTCTCCATACAATGCCAGCTACGCATCAACGCCAAATCTGACGCCACCGAATCAACAAAGTCCTCCACAAGGCGGCATACCTTCATATGGCAGGCAGTACCCAGCTCGACACAGTGTGGCAGACCTGTACAGCACGCCTTCACGACCTCATCCGTTGTCGCACGAAGTGCCTCGTGCAAGAAGTCCAAATCCTTATGCATACGAAGCGCCAGGCTCATCGCCGTACCAGTACGACTACCGCTCACGAGATGCTGTGCCATTGATTAAGCCTCGAGCTTTATCGCCGCAGCCAGCACAGCAAGCGCCTCCACCGAGTCAAGCTTCTGCAAGGCCAAAGAGCTCGTATAGTATCCAGCACCCAGTTCGAGCTTTCGAGTCCTCAGACGACAGCCCGCTTTCTACTTCGCAGCCAGGTTCAGCCACGCGACCAGTGCCTCGTGCAGCACCAGTGCGGAAGTCGGTCTCGCCTCGTCCGTCGATGTCTGAGGGAAGCAGGGTCCCATTCTCGCCGGACAGCTTCGGTGTCCACAACCCGAATGCTCCTCATGCGGATGAGGAGTCTCCCACCAGGAAAGGACCTATTGTGGGCTGGCATGGGCAAGAGATAGACCCTTCGGACCACTTGCCCGTGCATTCATGGGCTCCTGAGCCTGAGCAAAAGGTGCCAAACAAGCAGTATGGGCTAGGTCGGGATCGAGACTTTGGACCTCGCACACAGGGAGTCATGAACACTGCTGGTAGAGTCAGCAGAGATACGATGATCAACGTGCGAGGGAAGGACCCAGAGCCCGTGCCAGAGCCACAACCGTCAAAGATTCGCGCGAGACTGGTGAAGAAATCCGGAGGATCGAGCCCCAACCCTGGACTTCGAGATCACGCCAACTTCAACTCCATTCCCAACCCTTACGACCAGCAACCACAGTATGGTCGTGGGTTCCACGAGGAAGATATGTATGGACCTCCATCTCTCCCACCCAAGGTCCCGCTGGATTACGGACCTGATGCCTTGGAGAGGGAAATTGCGGGTATTGATATCGGGAGTAGCAGACGTCCGGCACCTGCGAGTTATGTGCCGGTTAGGAGTCATCGGGATCGGAATAGCTTTTATTAGGTTGTTGCATTATAAATGGAGTTTTGGGTCCGGTCATGGGATAGACGAAATGGAAAGGATGGGATCGGAAAGGGGATCAAGGCATAGCCCGATGGACGCTGGCGTTTTTGGATCGAGGGCATTGCATTGATAAGCTGTGAAATTGCGACAGTGGTTGTATTACAAAAGGGATCGGTTCGACGAATTGAGGGTCATAGATGGCGTTTTCTCTGAATTCCGCATTATATTTGCATCATGTGTCGTTCAGCTTCTTTCTCATCAACGCCCTTCCTATCTTGCTACTCTCTGGTTGTCGATATGAAGTTCAAGTCATGGCCAGCCCCTGGACTTGGGCACATCTCATCATCCTCTCATAGCCGCCGTAAATCCCATACTCCCTCTGGATACATGAAACCTCTACCCTCTCACTTCGCAAAAGCAGTCCACTCCCTCTTCGAGACACGCTTGGCCACCTTGTAGTCATCCAGCTTGACCGAGACTCGACCGTCATGCGCAGCGCACAAGTACACACCGCCCAGCATATCCTTCAACCAGGCATCGCCAGCTTCGTGCAGAGCCTGGACAGCGGAGGCTTGCATGCGCAGGTACGGGTGGAAGCCCAGCACGATGTCCCTGACGAGATCCTTGAATGGGCCCTTGCGGATGCGTGATCTCCCGGCTTTTGGGGCTGAATTATAATGTTAGCATACTGGGAATGGACGAAAGATGACTGGATAGGAGGGCGTTACCTTTGGTGGAATTGGTGGACTTGGTGGACTTCGCGATGCTGGCTGGCGCTGTTGCGAATTATAATGTTAGAATGCTTGGATTGCAGAAATGGGGCTGATAGGGGGGACTTGCAGGCTCGGGTTTGGGCTTGGGTGGCGGTTTCGGGCCGGCCCAGCGGAAGTACTGGGTGTCCTTGGACTGGTGGGGTGGTTGATTCTAGTAGTATCAGCGTAGTTCTGAATGCTGTGGGAGTAGTATATACGCACTGGTGCATGCCATGGTGGCTGTCGATGTGTGGATTGGCTTGGAATTGGAGAAATTGGATCGTAAACGTTATAATTCGGGGAATTGCAGGCGGTTCCGTGGGGCTTGGTAGGTGGGTGGTTGTGTGTATGTGTGTGTGTTTGTCGAGGTGCGAGGGATGGATGGCAAGGGGTCGAAATTTTGTAGATCGCCGCGCGCGCGAGAGTAACGCGGCGCTAAATTAGCGTTGAAGCATGTGATGCATGTGAAAGATTGGAACATCTTTACTTAGTGCTTAACTTGGTGCTTTACTTGTTACTTTACTTCTCGCTTTACTTCTTACTTTAGTCTTTACTTTACTCCTCGCCCTTCCCGCTTCACTTGTCGCCTTACTTGTCCATTTACTTGTCGCTTTACTTGTCGCCTTACTTCTTACTTTACTTCCCCCTTTACCTATCGCCTTACTTCTTCCTTTACTTCTTCCTTTACTTCTTCCTTTACTTCTTCCTTTACTTCTACCCTTACTTCTACCCTTACTCTTCGCTTTACTTCTTACTCTTCTCGCTTTACTAGTCGCTTTACTTCTACCCTTACTCCTCGCTCTTCTCGCTTTACTTATGCCCTTACTTCTACCCTTACTACTACGAGATAAGTAAAAGGTCAAGTAAAGAACAAAGTGAAGGCATATCTAGATACTAGATTTTTACAATCATCACATGCAATCGACGCTAATTTAGCGCCGCGCTAGCCCCATACGTATTCCCCTCCCATCCTCTTCCACTTCTCCCCAACGACAACCACCACCAGCCACACAAGAACCAGAGAAGACGTACGGCCTCGAGAAGCGTAGCCACCCATTCCGTAGGCACCGCAAACCCCTCTTCCTGTCCACCCGAGACCCTGACCATTATAATTCCACAGAAAACCAAGCTATCCCCGGTGGGCATTCCTGCATTCGCCCCCCTTTCTGCGCGTTCAAGCTTCTACCCACTATATTTCCATAGATTCCTCCACGCCGCAGAGAAGCACCAAGTTTCTCATCGCCGAGGGTGCTTCCCTCGACCTGGTCAAGGAGATCGTCAAGCGCGGCGCCAATCCCCGTGTCAAGATGGGGGTCCATGCAGCCAAGGCGCTGCTCGATGCCACGGAGGCCGTTCAAGTGGAGGAGAGGAAGGCTACTTGATGGGGATCCCTCCGGAGAGACTATGAGATTATGAGAGTATGATTATGATGAGATGTGCCATAGTTCGGGGGCTAGCTATGATTTGAGACATTGGACTTCAAGCTCCACAAAAAGACGACAGGAAATGCGATTAATTGGATAGGATTCCAACAAAACCGATTGAGCTATTTATCTGCCTAGTACTGGGTATCACTATCTCTCCGTAGAGCCAGAACGCCACAAAAAAGCAATCTCTCCGCCCGTAGTGTCATATCATCCCTTTTGTACCTCTCCGCTCCATACACCAAAGAAAAGAAAGAAAGAAAGAGGGTAACCCGGCGGTCGTTCTTGGGCTGAAAGTCGTACTTCTCGTCCCTCAACGTCTCTGGCGCTCTCTATACTCGATTCTGGCGCTTGGGTCGTGCGTTACGCCGAAGAGATAGGCAAGCTCTTGAACACCAAGGCGGCCAATTTCGCCCGCCTTCTGCTCGTCAAGAGCTTCCGAGATGAGAGCCCGTTTCTTCTCCTGTAGAGCCAGAATCCTGTCCTCCACCGTGGATTCGATCAGAATCCTGTGAACTGTAACTGGCCGAGTCTGACCTAGGCGGTGGGCGCGATCAATGGCCTGCTCCTCGACGTAAGGGTTCCAGAATGGATCGAGGATGATGACTTGACTGGCCATGTTCAAGTTGAGACCCGCATTCCCAGCCTTCAGTGAGACTAGCATGATGCGAACGTTCTTCTGCTCGCTGCGGAAGTCGTCTACAGCATCGCCACGTGCTGCTGCGCTCATGCTGCCGTCGTAACGGCGGTAACCGTATCCTTCCTTACTGATGGGAACTTCCAGTAAGTCGAGCAACGACGTCCACTGACTGAAAATGAGGACCTTCTCTCCTTCCTCGTCATCCATAATGTCCTTCAAGATTTCCATCGTCTTCTCGATCTTTGCAGAGCTCACCCAGCCTTTCTCCAGACGTTTGAGATACTTCTTCTTCGCGTCTTTGTTGCGATTGGCTTTCGCCTTCAGCTCCGCGAGCGTGACGGACTTCTTCTTGCCCTTGCCCTTCTTCGATTTCTTGCTCGTAGACTTCGACTGCTTGCTCTTCTTCGAAGGACCTGGAGCGCCTTCTTCCCGCTCATCGTCCTCTTCGGGCTCGTAGTCGTCTTCATCGTCAGGGACTATGAAGCCGTCAAGCGTAGGATCCGCGGACTCTTCTTCGTCTTCGTCCTCGCTACTGCTCTCATCCGAATCGCTGGAATCTTCCTCAACGACCTCTGAGCTCTCGCGCTCCTCTTGCGTGAGCAACTCGGGCATGTGGACCTTTTTGAAGCTGAGAAAGTCTGTAATGCGCTTGGCATCGATAGGTCCCCGGCATTCCGGACAACGAGCGCCCGCGTTCTCGTCGCCATTCTGAATGGCGTTGGCGGGGTCAACAATGCGACTGAAGCATTCAGCGCACGTATCATGTCCACAGGGGATGATCAATGCGGGATTGGATGTCACGTCGTAGCATACAGGGCACTCAAAGTTGCCACCAGCTTCCTTGATCCGAGAGACCACAGCCGGATCGAGCTGTCTCGCGAAGTCGAGCATCTGCTCCTCGTTCAGATCCGTCTGGATATTCATCCCGAAATTTCTGATGAGATGAGGACCAAAGGGTTGTCAGCAACTGTCTCAGGGGCTAGAAAGGGGTTTTTTATACGTACTGGCAACAACACTGTCTGAGCCTTAGGAGCAAAGTAAGTATAGCAGAATACTGCTGGCCGACTTGTCCACGGCGAAGGTACTTGTTGAACGTGAGTTGTGTTTGAGATTCGAGAGCGGAGTAAAAGGCCCGTTCATGCTCGTCAAAAACGGGATTGTCGACGGTTGTAGATCGCTCTGGAAGAACCAGGATTGGTTTGCCCTCGAACGTGCTCTTCTTCGTGCGACGGAGCATAATGGCTCTGCATAGAGCCTGCAGTCTCTGCATACCGTTGGCCCTGATGTCGTCATGAGCCGACTTGATGGGCGTATCGATGTCAATGCGGAACTTCTCCCATTCGCAGTATGGCTTGATGCGCAAAAATTTGACGAGTGAATAGTACTCTACGATAGAGTTCTGTAGCGGGGTGCCGGAGAGACAGAATCGGTATTTGGCCCTCAGCAAGCATGCTGCCTTGGCGGTTTGAGTATTCCTGTTCTTGATGCACTGAGCCAGTGTTAGTGAGCACTATTCTCGACAGTGGAAGCTTGACATACCTGGGCTTCGTCCAATACGACACGATACCAATTCGCATTAGGGTCCAGAAGGACACACTTTTCGCGAGGATATGGGCGCGCATCGGGGTCAGAGACCTGGCGACGGCGGAACGCTTCCAGCTTCTTCAACTCGGATGCAATACTGCCATAGGTCGTCAACACCACATCGTAAGTCTGGAGGTCGCTGAAGCTCTTCTTCTTGGACTGCCCGTGGTGAATGATGACCGACAATCTCCGAGTCGGCTTGATCTTGGTACTAATCTCTTGCTTCCATTGCCGCATTAGGGCCACAGGTGCAATAATGAGTGTGGTCTTGCACAGCGGATCATCTGATTTCCTCTCCACGATCAGCGAAAGCATTTGAATCGTTTTTCCAAGACCCATATCATCAGCTAGGCATCCTCCCCGCGTAGAGCCCTCTTCGCAGTTCTTCAACCAAGTTAAGCCCAGTTCTTGGTACTTATGAAGCTGGACGTTCATGTCTCGAGGTGTAGTGACCCTCAAATGAGCCGGCATCTCTTCATCAGGTCTGATGTTCTCTAGCAGCGCCTCGATCTCTGCTTTGGACTTTGCAGGATCGTAGTTTGCCAACGCCGCATAGCGATCGTCGTACAGTGCCTGGTTTCCGGCGTAATTGCCGAGTTGACGCGAACCACCGTAGATGAGTTCGTCGTCATCGTCAAGATCGAGCGGACGTGAACGGCTTGAGCCGTACACCAAGTTGCTGAGCTCTTGCATCTGACTGCCAAGGGTCGCTGAGGCGTTTCGGATCCCAGACATGGCGTCGTTTAGGAAGGGGCTCCTGTAGACATGGCCAGCAGAGCTGGGGCCGCCGTTCTGAGCACGACCCCCATTTGGTGCTGAATTGACGAAGGTCTGGAATCCTGGTGGCGGGCGATCAGACGGGTACGCGCCAGGCATAGTCATGTTGTTGGGTTGCTGCATAGTCGTTGGAGTTGGAGTGTGCAAAGACCTCATTCCTGCATGTGAATAGCCGTTGGGAGCTCGTGGTGCCGGTCGGCTGTTTGGTGTGAAGCGTGTTGGAGCTATCTCTTCGAGTTCGTCCTCACTGTCACTACCAGTGAGGTCGACTACTGGAGGCGGCTCACGCGGCCGCCGCACTAGTTGCTGCTGACTCCCAGCTGAAGACGGCTCAGGCTTGATGAAATTGTGGTTGCTGTTGTTGTGCGAAAGTGTGGAAGATCCCCCGTAATGCGACGGGTGCTGTGCCAGTGGCGAAGGTGACGGATGAACAGTCGGTGGTCGTCGGTGGAAAGTGCCGTCGTGATTGATAGTGGTCTGCACGCTTGGTCTGGATGATGTTGGAGTGCCAGAGGAAGTAAAGGAGTTGGACTGGCTGAGTTGTCGAGCAAAGGCGGCGTCTGCTTGTTGAAGTTCAGCTTGTCTTCTGATAGCGGCTTCGGCGGCACGCTGATGCATCTGCGCTCTCTCACTTGGCCCGCGGGAATCATGTGAAGCATGTGATGTCAGAGTCGAGCGAGACGGCTCTGGTGTCAAACGCTTATTTGACATGTGATCTTCGAAGTTGGAAGACTCTGGCCGCGTGCGCTTGTTGCCATTCACGCTCAGACCAGAAGGACCTCCAAGACCGTGATGATTTACAGATGCAGCGCTGCTGCTAGTGCTGTGGTTGCTGGCCGGGCGAGAGTTCATAGCGACTTGCCACCACGAAGCACCATCTGAATGCTGGTCGGCAGCACCATCCACACCAAAGTGGCCCGGATTGGAAGGCCCTGGATTGGACTGCATGGCAGCGAGCCGTCTCTCCAGGTCTGCTGTCACCTCCTGATACCTGTCCAGGTCGGTCTGATAGTCGTCGGCGTCTGGATCGAGGGTGCTGATGCAGATTGCGTAGTAACCTAGCTCCTCCTCGATCTCCTCCGGAGTGGCGTTGGCAGGAAGAGTCGACATGATGAGAGAGGCGCGCAGGCAGGGCAGAAATATGCGGCCTCACGGCTTGGCACGGTAGCCGGGCGCTCGACACAACGGCGAAGCTCAGTGCCGCATGGTTGCACGGCGGACGGTAGTCGACGGGGCGTGCGACGGGCGCGAGTCGTGGCAAACAAAGACAGCGGGCGATGCGTGTATGTATCTATGTGCGGCGCGTTGCACTCGGTCTCGCGCGAGTGCGGGCTGTGAAAATTGAGAGGTGAGGTTGTGGTGGCGGTGGTGAGTGAAATACGATGCTTTGCCTTGGGTAGCCTTAGCCTTAGCAGCAACCTGCAGATTCACGTGAATCTCTGGAAGTCGCGTCGTGGCGTCATGCCAAGCTTTGCGCTAGCACCGAAATAATTAGCGGGAAAGTGTAATTCCCCGACCTCACCTCTCCTTCCCCCTCCAAGTAGACATGATTGTGATGGATCGTTTTCGAAAAGTTCCTTCTCTTTGCCCACAAATCCCCACTGCTACAGGCAACACTAACAGCGTGAAATCAGGTTGACGGCGTGGGCAGGTCTCTAAAGTCGGAGATGAATCGTCGTTTAGTGAACGGCCTGCCCTATAAATCGTTACATGCATCAGCCTCAACTATTTCAAATGCTAGCTGACCGAGAACGATGTCCTTGACGATCAGTTACGATGTTTATAAACGGATATATGGCTCTGGATCGGCCACAGCTGGGCCCTTCCTTATGGAGGCGCGACCTTGCCTCTTTCCTCTGCTGCCTTTTCGAGTCATGGTGCCGACTAACGGAGTTGCTAATAGCTCCATTGCTGCAATAGGGACCGATAACGAAGACGCCTGAGAAGAGCGTGGTATGGTTGTCACAGTCGGAGATCATGGCCTGGTGGTCGTTCAGCCACTTTAAATCCTGGTCGCAACTCTTGACTTCAGGGCTGCTCCGTGGGCCCGCAAAACTTATCCAGTGTGAGATTGAGGGAACGTGATATCCCCAAATCTGGCGAGCAAAGAATAGGATGCAAGACGCTGAACGAAGCATGGTCCGCCTCTTCTCATCGGAGAGACTCGTCGAAGACCATTTTAGCAGTTGGGTTCCTTACATACACCGTTTCGCGCTTCATCGATCGACACCCTGCGAGTAGATTGCAGACTTCTGAGATGTCGGACAGTCTTGTAAAGTAGCTGAAATTTGAGCTGCACATCTATCCCCATGTCTGGCATGGAGACAAGACAGCGGAAGCTTCCAAGAGTGCACGGCCAGATTTATACATTTGGGGATGGTATCATTGTCATTGCTGAATTACCTATACGCGCACTTTATGAGTCTTCCGCTCGAAGGTCCATCCGTGAGGCGGGGCGTACGTCTGAGGTCAGATGCCACGCCGAGAAACGTCTCAATTATGGACTTCAAATGGTGAGGTAATCCCCTCAATGACTGACTGTCAAAATAACCACCAGCCCCAACTAACTTCCCTGCGGTGGCTCATATGTCATCCCAAGCAAATAACCATCCTCGTCCGCGTACAACAATTTATACAGGCCGTCTCTCCATACATCCCGCTGGCCCGCACTCGCATTCCTCATATAAAGATCCTGCTCGATGAGCCGAGCAATCTCCTGCTGAAGGACCTCAAGCGTCACCCGATGTTCAGGTTCGTGGTACAAGCAATCATCTACCAGCAGGCACAAATCCCGGGGATAGATGTTTTGCAGGCGGTCCGGCACAACGTATCCAAAGCTTCTTCCCGGGCAATATGTCGGCTGATTGCTTTCGATATTAAATTTTGGATCGAGAAGCTTCAGCATGATGGCTCCAATGCCCCATACTTTCTACGATGTTAGTTCTGAGGTCTGATATTTGACGGATCAATACGAAGTGACTTACCGTTGCAGTCCGACAAGATCTTGAAATCATCCACCGCTTTCCGATTCAGTGGATCCTCGAACGGTATTTGCTCAGGTGGCATATATCCCTTAGTACCGACCGCATTCGCCCAGTAGGCTGGATTAGTCTGATCTTCCGCCGACGTCAAGAACGCGAGACCAAAATCCGCCACCTTCGGCTGGGGGTATATTGGAAAATGGTCAGGATCGGGCAAGTCAAGGAAGACATTGTCAGGCTTGAGATCGCGATGCACAATCTCTTCTGTCCAGTCTTTCACGGGCGAGTTCGCCGTGCTGCTTCCTTGCTTCATGATCAGGCACGCATCCACCACGCTTTTGAAGACGAAGTATAAGAACGGTGTGGGAATGGATTGCCCTCGTCTCTCGTACCGCCAAGCCACGTCATTCAAGTCGCGACACGCAGCATACTGGACGCACATCCTGTAGCTCTTCTGACTTTGATTGACATGGCCAGTTCCCAGTACAGGCAGGATGGAGCGGGCGCCGCCGTCGGCATTGCTTGCGAGCGAATGTGTGAGCCATTCCAAAGGGTAAATAGAACCCTTACCATTCAAGTCGCCACGAAATATACATGGTAATCTCCATGTCACTCTTGCGTCGACAGTCTTCTGTACTATACGCTTGACGATCTTGTTGTCACTATCGACTCCCAAATGAAGGTCACCCTCGTTCGGGCCGTTCTTAAATATTCTTCGTGCATTGTGCCACGTAATCCCACTGGATTTATCAGACATAGTTTTGGGCTGAGGATTCAATCGTGGTATGCGGCGAGCCATTGGCACAGCAAGCTCGTCTCGCGCCTTCAGGAAAGCGTTAGAAGCCATTGTGTTGGCCCTCTGCTTTCGACCTGGCGTGCGTCTTTTCGTCTGATCAGTGGCCCGCCTCTTCTTATTTCGCCGCTGCTCCATCTCCTTGACCTTTTGCTCGAGATGCTTCTCGCGGGCGTCCATGTGGAAGACGAACGCCGAGCCGCGCCTGAAGATTTCCCCAAAATTTCTTTTCATCCACTCAGCCCCAACACGCTGATTCTCCAGACTGAGACGGGCAGATTCCAATTCAGCTTGCTGGGCCTCCATCTCCCGAATTCTCTTGCCGGCGTCGGCCTTCTCATCCTGAACAATCCGGTCCCTTTCTCCCACCGTTGATAGTTTGGCATCGTGGATGCGCTGCCAGTTATTGTACTTTTCGGCCTGCTCGAGGAACTTCGTATGTGTTTTCTGATGCTTTGCCAGCTCATCTAACTCGGCTTGAAGAACGTATTTGACGCAACCTGGACAGTGTCAGCGCGAGACCAGTCGGTGGTGATGCGATACAAGCAGAGTCGACTGACCCTCTGCCGAGCTCCCATGGAATTTTTCTCCGACGAAGTCCAGAAGCGACTTGGGCGGCGATGTTTTCTTGGGCTCTTCCTCGGTCTGTTCTGCCATCTTTCCTGGCATACACAAGCCAAATTTTCAAGGTAGATGGAAAGGACAGTGGTTTGAGATAGAAGACAGCAAAAAACTCATCCAATGGATTTCATTGTCCGAAGAGCCAAACAAGGAGCCGGATTTGTAGGGATTCTTCTTTGTTTCTCAAACACATTGCATTACTGTCTACCTTCTGTCAAGAACGACACCCTTTTGGGCATCATCGTGGTGGTAATGCCATTCCAGTTTTGTACCCATCTGACTTCCACGAGATTTCATTCTTGCGGTCACGCGGATTCTCTCCAGCAGCCGCTTTCTTGCAATACTCATCCTCGTTTATGAGCTTCGCGATCTCCGCCTGTAGATGCTCCAGCGTCAGCCTATCCCATGGCTGGAAGTTCATGCAATTGTGAATGAGATCACAGAGCGCTGCTGGATAACGGTCCCTGTCCTGCTGTGTAATGTAGAATCGATTTGCCTTACCAGGGACATACAGCGGTTGTTCCTACTTATCTGCAGTATGTATGAGCGCCAGCATGGTGGTGCCAATTCCCCAGACTTTGTTGTACGCATTAGTCGGGCTTTACTGTAGTTTTGATGGCTCATGGACTTACCATTGCATGGGCACAACATCTCAAAGTCGTCGACGGGAGTTCCGGTTTGCGGGTCTTCAAATGCGAATTGCTCTGGGGACTTGTAACCATGACCAACACTCCCCGTCGCCCAGTAATGGGGATTCAATTCGTCATGCTCCTTCGTCAGAGACGCAAGCCCAAAATCCGACAGTTGCGGTTGTGGATACATAGGAAAGTATTCCTCGTCAGGAAGACTAAGAAAGACGTTATCTGGTTTGTAGTCTTGGTGGATGATTTGTTCCCATTCCGCCCGTGCAGTCGCCTTCAAAAGACTGCCCTGCTTCAGGATCAAGCCAGAGTCGACGAGTTGCTTGAAACACAGGAGCAGAAACGGCGTTGGTAATCGTCCTTTCATTCGGTTCCGTAGATCTAGGAGGTTATCGCCTGGGGCGTACGCGGTGTGTATCGTGAAACTCTTCTCGTCGTCGGGAAATGTCGATCCGCCAAGTATAGGCAGAATAGACTGTGCATCCGTGGCATTGCACGCAAGTGTCTGCGTGACCCACTCAAGCGGCCATATCTTGCCAGTGACATTGCCGCTGACATCGCCTTCTCCGAAGCCATTGCCGTGGACCTCGACCTTGAGGTTGCCTCGAAAATAAGCCGGTGATCTCCTCATTTCTGGTATAATCGTAACGACTTTTCTCACCACTCTGTCACGAATCACGTTGTTGCTGTCAACGCCCAACTGGAGGGATACCTTCCCGCACGACCCGGAACCGATTGATTTGTGAACATTGAACCATCTTAGTTTAGAGTTCCGATCATCCAATGGATTCTTGCGGCCATCGTGGAGATCTGGGATGACTTCGGCGGCTTTGGCAGCCTTCTTTTGAAGTTCAGAGTGACGAGGGTGACAGCCGTCTGCACGTAACCTCTTCCGCCCCAACATCGTCCTTCTGATCCGGTGGCTGTTCAACTTCTTCCTATCTCTTCGATTCTTCGCATCCTCGATCCTACTCTTCAGGGACTTTGCCCGAGATCCGAGTTGAAAGCCCAGCACTGTAGGACGTGTGATCTTCTCGACAAAGAGTCCTCTAATCCATTCAACCGCAACGCGCTGATTTTCTAGAGACTTGTAGATGTGCCCCAGGTTGTCATGTTGACTATCAAGTTCTTTGATCTGGTCGTTCCGCCTGATACCCGGTGTCTGAATGGCGACCTCGCTTGTTTCGACCGCACTAGATCTCTTGTCTATGATGCGCTGAAACTCGTCGAATTTATGGTAGTGCTTCACGACTGACTGATAAGTCTTCCCGTGCGATGTTCGGAGCTCTTCCAGTTCCGCCGGCAGCACGAAGTCAATGCATTCTAAAGCAGATTAGTATTCGAGGAATGTGCGATGAAATGCGGTAGAGCACTGTACATACCTTGCGCTGAATTGCCATCCTCAAAACATTCACTCCCAAAGGCGAAGAGTTTTGGAGCTGGAGGCGGAGGAGGCGTAGGCGGAGGGGGAGGGGGAGACTCAGGCGGAGGGGGAGGGGGAGGCAAATCCGGAGGGGGAGGTGGAGGTGGAGATCCAGGCGGAGGCGGAGGCGGCTCGTCAGAAGCTTCAGCCATGGTTTCGATACAGGGAGAATGAGCCTTCCAAAATGGTCCTGAAAAGTTGATAGCAGGAGGAAACGAGCAGAGAGGCGGTCAGCAACGCTCTTCATTGTCCGAAAAACCAAACATGTCGCCGCATTTGGAGGCAGGCTTCTTTGTTCTCAGTCGCTCCCGTCTGCTAACGTGAAAGGGCGTATTCTGTTTCGATGCCGCGAATGACGAGCGAGATCAAAGCCAGGAGTCATGGCTAGACAAAGGAACAGGGTAAGCAGCAGAGCTAGCGTTAAATCCAAGTCAGAAGTGATGTGTAGAGTGGTACGATTTAAGAAGTGATGTGAATAGTAGTACAGAAAGTGACAGAGCAAGTAAGGGAGTAAGTAATGGAGCAAGTGATATAAGAAGTAATCTGAGAAGTAAGCTGCGAGGTAATTTGAGAAATAATGTAGAGAGTAATATAGAGAAGGAGGGAGCAAGTGATGGAACAAGTAATGGAAGAACTAAACATGAAAGTGAACTTGGAAGTAAGGCTGAAAATAAGACTTTCCACAAAGTCAAAAAAGGGGTAAACACCAACCAAGAAGCGAAATCCAGATGACATCAAGCCCAGAAATTCGAGCAACAATCCTTTCGTCCTCGAACTACCGCTTTCTCTTCGAGGGGGTAGCCTCTGGGTTCAGGAGATCCCCAATGCCAAATCCTCGTTTCCTCCCATTGCTCCCGGGCGGCGGCGGCGGCGGCGGCTGGCTCTGGTGCGTAGGCCACCTTCGATCGTTCACGAAGTCGATATCAAATGATGATGAAGTCGGGCGTCTATTTGGTGGGCGTTGAATTGGTGTGAATTCAGGTTGTGGCCGTTCAGCTTGTTGGGGCTCATTTGGAGGAGGCTGATTTGGAGGAGGCTCATTTGGTGGACGCTGATTTGGAGGAGGTTGATCTGGAGGAGGCTGGTTTGGCGGAGGCGCAGCTGGTGTCAGACGTGCGGGATCGAAATACATCCGGCCCTGGCCGCCAAGGCTATCGTCACTATCCGCGTCGCTGCCGTCGCCATCCTTGGGCTTGGGCTTTCGCCGTGGCGGCCTGGGAGGGCCTCCAGGAGGTGGAGGATTCCGCGGCTCGGCTGCCAGCATGCTGCGCATCGGCCATCCCTCCCGCTTCAGCAACAACCCATATCTCGCGAATTGAGGGTCGTTGGCAGGGGCGTGGCGAAGACCGCGGGCTCCGTCTTGTGAGCCGTATCCAGTTCGACGACTCAACCTCTTCAATACGTCGTCGAACGTAGGGCGAGTATTGGGCAGATACTTCAAGCAGTCCATGACTAGGGTCCGTAGGTCCTCGCTATAGTGCTTCATCTCTTCTGCATCGAACGGCCGTGGTACACGGTGCGTTCTGTAGTGGACGCGAATGCGTTCGCGCCGATCCTCGCTGCCAATGAGATCGTCAAGGTACTCATCGCCTATCATGAGGCTATAGACAGAGAGCGCAATCTCCCACACTATAACATCAAGGTTAGTTGTGATCGTTCCATATCTGAAAGCTGGGCGCTTACCGTTGGTCGCCGCTGTAAGCCATGACTCGCCCGTAGCACCTTCCAGCTGATCAGCGCGAGCTTCCTGTGATGCCGTTAGCCCCTGCAATAGTATGAAGCTTCTCAATGTTCTCGCCAACAGACTGCTGGAGGCTCGCATCTCTGTATCATGAGCAGATACCGTGCGAAGGAACGCGCGATCAAGAACGTCTCTAAATGACCTACCGGAGCGTGAAAGCGATATCCGAAGGTGGCGACCTCTTCACTGCGGACTCCATCGTCACTCATGACGCAGAGCCCAAAGTCTCCAAGCTTCGGCATGTGATAGCCCTTGAAGGTATCTGTGTCATTGAGGCCGAGGAATACTGGGTGAACACGTTAATGACACTGTTCACTGTTTGATAGTAGGATGACCTTACTATTCCTGTGCTTCACGTCTCTATGGTTGATGAGCTGCCAGTACCCGTTACCGCGCTTTTCCAGATCTCCTCGTTCCATCAGAATGCCCGCTTTGGCGAGAGTCTCGAAGAAGAACCACACGAATGGCTCAGGTATGAATCGTATGCGTCGGTAAAGCGCCGTACCATAACCCGTACGATAATGTTCGCTCAACACATGTTGCATACTGTTGAATGGACTATACACCAAAGATCAGTTTTTGTGCCACATCGCCACGTTCAAGCAGCCAAAGTAGTGGGAAGGAAAGGAAAGGAGAGTATCGGCTCTAGGCCAGCGCTCCCCGAGAAACAGAGTCCGACCAAGCCATCTCGAGACTCTTGCAGTCGTCACAGTATGTTCGCCAAACAAGGAGACGTTTACACCTTCCTCTCCACTAACGTGACAGGGGACTTACCAGTATTCCATGTAAATTCGACACAACCGCTCAGGCCAGCTGATCCGCCAGTTGCGAATGCGTACAATCGACTCCGAGCCCCTGAGAGGCCGCAGACGCATCATAGCGAAGACCCTTGGTGAATCCGTCAGTCTCCGAGTGAACTAGCAAAGGACGATTAGAGAACTCACTCCATAAGGATCAGTCCAGTTCGGTCCCAGCGGCGGACACCTTCCTCTGCCCGGGAATCCTTCGTCGCCAGTCTATCGATGATCATACCATGCTCGTTTTGCTTCACCCAAGAGTAAGCTGAGCCATAGGCGCCTTCACCAAGATACTCAGCTCTCCACCAGCCTTCGTTCAGCTGGCCTAGTCGATGACGCCGATTCCTCTCCCTTTCAAATATCGCGCGCTCTTCCTGATAGGCGTTCTCGAGCAATGCATCTACCTCCGCGTTAAGGGGATCTTGAGCAGCTGCATCGGCTGCTGGGCGCTCTGTCGCTCCTTCTTGGGCATCACTGGCGCCTCCTGGGGCTACGCCGTCGTTGACTGGTCCAGCTCCTCTATTCGCTTCATCTGCGAGTCTCTGCTGCAGGTTGGCAAGGGGCCTGGCAGCTTGCTGGTCGAACTGCTGGAGTTCATTTTCCAGCTCTTGCCTCCGCTCGTTCAGGAAGTCCACGCCTTCCTGGTGGAGGAAGTATTGCTCTCCAAAGGTAATAATGTCTAGGATACATTGCAAATCGCTTCTCATGGCAGCCTGGCGCGGGGCAGCAGCAGTTTCAAAGGCGGTCAGCTCGGCAAGGGTAGCCTGATCCTGCGGAATTGCCAGAGGCTGGTCTTCGCGCTGTTGCTGAGCGGCCTGGATCTGCGCATATTGAGGCATCAATGTCACGAGTCTCGCGCGGTCGGCCGCTGGCAGATCGTTGTTGAAATAATTCCGAAATTTCACGACAGCTATAAGTTTCCAGTCATGTCAGCGAGTGCTTCCGTTGCGATTCGAGTACACCTACGCTTCTTTCCCTTTATTTTCGGGCGTACGCGATTGAACCCCTCCAGTTCCAATTCGACCCAGATGTCTTCGGCTGCTGCCATGTTTAGTTCTTGCGCCGATGCTTGGTGGATGCTGTGCTGTGTCAAAATAAAATCGAAAGGGTAAACCGTCCATGCTGGACTACGTGAAGCCAACAAAGAAGTTTGTTCTGAAAGAAGAAAAACTCCGCATCCGACAATCGCTCTCGAGAGTCTTTGTTGTCCAAGCCGTTGAAAGGGAGCGTGAGACCTCAGCCACTGGCAAAACGTTGGGGATAGTAGATCAAATTCGGGTATTGTAGCAAAACCGCATGGCCAACAGCACTCACTACTCAGGCCGTATCCTCCCTCTCCGCCTCTTCATCTCTTCAACCTTCCTCTTATCCTCTTCAAACGCCTTGACAAGATCCTTCGCCTGCTCCTTCTTCTGCTCCCGGACCTGGAATCTGTAAAAGTCCGCCTTGATGCGATCCTTCTCCCTCTTCTTGAGCTCCTCTTCCTTCGCCTTGGCTGCCTCTTCCCTCGCAGGTCCGACCCTACCACCACGTGTGACTGTGATGAATCCATCCTCGTCTGGCTCTGCTCTTTGCCGTGCAAGCATCTTCGTTCTCGCATCTTCTTGTGCCGCGAATGCTCCCATGAATGCATCCACGCTGGCTTGCAGTGTCAAGTGGTCGGGGTAACGCATTCTGTGATGCGTCAGGTACCTCGCCGAGCCCAACGGTGGGAGTTTGTTTCCTATTCCCGCTGCCCATTTTATCTCAGTCTTATTCTTGATAGCCTTCTTCGCCTCTTTCAACGCAAGATCTGCGCTTGGCTTGTCCACGAACGTAATGACGGCTGTGCCTCCACTTCGATGTAATTCCCGATCCCACACATCTGGCAGCAATCCAACTTCTTCTACTGCGCCATCCTCGTCAATACCCTCGATCCCTCGCTTCCTCTTCTTTCCCTGCTTGGCCGGCGCAACAGGCGCGCTAATACCCTTCCCGACTCTGGCACCCTCGAAGGCAACGCTTTCTATTCGTGCGCCGCCCAGTTGATTTGCGAAAAGACTGCGGATGTGCAGCTCTGTTGTATCGATCGGGACGTTTACAGCGAAGACTTCTCGAGGCGTTTTCTCAGTGGGTACTTTGGGAGCGTTGGCTCGAAGGTAGAGGTAGTGGGTTGCCTCTCTTGGCAAGGACTTTTGCGCAGGTATTCGTAGAGGCAAGACGAGAAAGTCGTGGACTGTCCATGGCGTCTTTGCGGCTGTTACGGGAGCCATGGTGGTGCGTGGGAATAGTACATGCAGAAGAAGACATGAGCTTCGAGAAATTCATCAAACGTAAAGCAGATGCAGATCTCGCTAAATTTGCACTAGCTTCTTCGGGTATAGCGCGAACTAAATCCTGGCAGGAGCACATGCTTGGGGAACACGAGCCTGTGAACTGGAACCAAGTTATAGAAGCCTTTTGCTATTCACTGCAAACTCGTTCATCTCATCGTAATATCATAAAGTCGGTAAAAATACATCTTCGTAAAGTCATGCAGCCATCAGGGGTATCATATGCATCATCTCATCCTCCCAAACACCTCGCCAGCAAGCTAACACACAGATCTGAGCAACATTTGGTGTAGACCCTCCACGCAACATGAACATAAAGCAGCAAATGTACAAGCAGATGCACAGGGTATCGTGGTGAGATTCATCAGGCCTTGTCAGCATCGTTGATGCCGCCGTTGGTGATGATGTACGTCGCTTCCGCCTCGGGACAGTCTGGACTCGGGATCAGCAAGGGTTGTCAATGCCTTAGATGGTGTCAATTACCCGGCGAATCCATGATCTTTGCAACACGCTCATCGCCACGGCCCTTTCTGAGCAGCACTCGAGTTGTCGAAGCGTGTGCGATGACGTGGCCGCCGACCGGCTTGCGGCCATCCATGCCAGCGAACATAGCGGCACCTGGGTCAGACTGAACTTGGTTGGACATAACAACAGCGATATTGAACTCCTACGAGGTGGTCAGCTCGGACATCAAGGCTCGACCTCGAGATATACATACGTCTGCGACCTCTGCAAGCTTGCGAAGGTGTACGCCGAGCTTCTGCTGGCGCTCGTTCAGCTCTGCACGTCCGAGGTAATCGCCACGGAACAGATTGAGAATGCTGTCGACCATGATGAGGCGATACTGGCCGGTGGCAAGGTCCTCCGCCAAGTTGCAGAGAATCTCGTGCTGGTGCTCGCTGTTCCTGGCACGCTGGTACAGGACGTTATCGATGACGGTCTCTGGATCCAGCTTGAAGCGCTCAGCGATGGAAATGAGTCTCTCTGGACGGAACGTTCCTTCGGTGTCTGTAGCGTGTCAGCATGCACGTCGAGGTCTCAGGAGAATTGAGGTCCACTCACCAATGACGACCACTTTGCCAGATGCACCACCGTCTTCCTTCGGCAGCTGGGCAACGACCGACATCGTGTGGAAGAGCTGGGTCTTGCCGCACCTGAACTCGCCGTAGACCTCGCTGACACTACGAGACTCGAAGCCGCCGTGCAGGATCTTGTTCCAGTTGTCGCTACCGGTGCCGATCTTGAAGCATGTTCGACGTTGCTGAAGAAGCTCAGTGCAGGTGATCATGCCTCCCTGGCCAGTAGGCTTGGAGGTGTGTTAGTTGGTGTCGACGAGAAGATGACTGGAGTCAAACGTACCGTTGCTTTCCTCGCGGCTTCTTTGACCTTCTCCACCTTGATATCGGAGAAGCCCTTGATGTTGAGCATCTTCTTGGAGTGCGTGGCCATGACGAGCTAGGCGTCTGGTCAGTGGCACAGCCGGCAGTCTTGTACGAGGGAGACATGGCACTCACGCCGACGGTGTGCAGGCCAAAGCCCTTGAGCTTGGCTATGTCTGCTGCGTTGATGCCATAATTCTGGAGTTCGTCCACGTCCACATGGAAGCTCTGGATCTCCTGCTCGTCCTCTTCGCCGCTGGCCACAGACGCAGGCATCTTGCTGGTGAGGGTACTGTAGAGGAGAGCGGATGAATGAGGTGGTGATGCTGGTACAGGCTGCCTGTAGCTGCTGAGGATAGGATGAACGAAGGGATGTGGGTGATGATTCAGCGGGAGATGAAGAGGAACGAAATTCGAGTGCGAAGAGCCATTGTGGCCTCATCGTCGCGGTGGAAGGCACCAACCTGCAGCTTCCTTCCCAAGGTGCACGCGTACGGGTTGGTATGGCAAGAGCGATGGGTCTTGGCGGGAGAAGCCGAGCGGGTGGACGCCGAAGCCGCCAACGATCCAAAAGCACGAAGTTCCTGTCTGTTAGGCATGGAGAGGAACCTCGTGATAATCTTTGGCCAGATATCCCACCAAGCCTCGAGTGCTGAAAGGGCAGTGAAGCTATAGTCAGTGGCATGGAGTGAGCTTCGAGGGCGAGCAGAACGGCGGGCGGCTATCGTGTCTAGTATGGAAGAGCCAACATTGATGTCGAGAAGGCGCATGGAGACATGGAGGATGGAAAACGCCTCCAACCGTTGAAGCAGATTCCCTTGTTCTACTGCGCTTTGCAAGGCGTGAGCGGCTTGGAGCAACGGCGATTCTTGGGGATCACTTACAAGGTACGAGCCTGTCTTCGAGAGCATACGCGCACAAGGGTTTGAACGAAGAGAATGAAGAAAAAGAACGCAACGTGCACCTGTCAAATCCAAGTCCAGTGACAATGCTTTTCTCGGCGAGTTGTTATCTCGCAACTTGTGCCCTACCGCGCCCACAAACACAAATCGGTCCTGGGTTTTTGGGGGAAATTCAATCCACCGTCCTTGAGCTCTCACATCGACACACCGAGCTCGCTCCACTCTCCGCCTCCGCCTCCCAATTCTTTGCTTGCCTACCTTCCTCCTTGGTACCGCCCCGCCTCGAAGAAAACATCAACAAGGGCTACCGTCAACGGCTTCCATCTTCTTGCCTTCGCTCCGCCTGGGTATAAGGTATATGCTGGGTCGTGATGGTCGTAAAGGAAACTTTTGCACGTGTCGTGGTCGTGAGATCATTCGAACGCTCGATCGAGGTTGATGCTGGAAATGCAACCGGAAAGAAACGGGGTCGGCCAGAAGTCAAAAGTATTGAGCATCGCCTCGCGGCCAGCTGAAGCGTGCTTAGTGTGGGTTAAGAAGTTAGGCGACGGCCTGAGCTGGCGCAATGGGCGCCGCAACAGGATCCGACGGAAGGCCAGCAACAGGGGCTGCTTCGCCATTCACAACGCCGTTTGCCTCAGTGGATTGTGGGCAGTCACGGCTGATGTGACCGGCCTCACCACAGCCTAGGAAAGCAGTCAGTCGTGATCATTGCACATCCCATCTTTCAGTACTCACGGTAGCAAGTCTTGCCAGCGCTGTTCAACGGGCCACCGTTAGGAGCCGTGCAGTCGCGGCTGATATGACCAAGCTTGCCGCAAGCATAGCACTTCATGGCCTGAGCCTGGCAGTCGCGAGCAAAGTGGTTAGGACCGCCGCACTTGTAGCAAGTCGCCGCCCGGTTGCCAGCAAAGCCACCGCGGAACCCGCCGCCGTAGCCACCTCGAGCTGGAGGACCGCCGGCACCACGACCAACTGGCGCAGCGTTGGGGGTTGGGCAGTTGCGCTGGGAGAAGTCAGTACATGGCCTTCGATCGTACACTCTCGACACATACCGCAAGATGGCCTGCCTGACCGCACGAGTAGCAGCGTCCACCCTGAGCACCACCGCTCAAACGGAGCGTTGGGCAGTCAGCCTGGACGTGGCCGAGTCCTTGACAGTGGTAGCACTGCTTAGCTGGATCCATTGTCAGTGTACGTCCTCTTCCAATGTGTGTTGTAACAAACATACTCTCAGTCGTCCGTGGGTGTGGGCAGTTGTTGCTCTCATGACCTTCAAATAGCGGTCAGTTCCTGCCTGTATCCGCTCCCAGCTCTTCATCTTACCCGGTTGCTTGCAGTTATAGCACAAGCGCTCACTGCTGGAGCAGACCTCGGCGTAGTGTCCAACATTGCCGCACTTGTAGCAGGCTCGGCGCGAAAGAGACGACATCCTGCTTTCTCCCTCGAATAACTGCAGATTGCCCTTGTCAGATACTTGTATGGTGTAAGTGCGATGCGCCGACGTCCAAGTGTGTGCGGGCGTCATGGTTGAGTCGCGTGGTTGTCGCACAAGGGCGCCGCAACAAAGATTTTCATGGGGTGGGTGAGGGGATCGGAACGTCGCTGGTGGACGGCGGTGAATGTTCTGGAGGGAAGGCGCATACCTCGTAATACCAATAATCTTCAGCCTGCGCGACAGTTAGCAGCCGTCGACTCTCTGCGCTTCATCGCCATCAATGCGCTCCCGTGTCGGATAGCCGCGCGAATGCTCAAACAACCACGCAGCGACCCGATAACGCGCCGATAAGAGCACGCGGGCACGTTGACGGCAAACGGGCGTACCTTCAGAAACCTCGCAGCGCGTCACACTTCCTGCACTCCGTCCTCACTCCTCTGCCCTCGAACCGAAGATGGCAAACGTGAAAAAGCAAAGAATGGCTTGGGATGGAGTGAAAGTGGTCGAGTGCTGCAAATGTGGACAAAGACTTGCGGCCCACGCCCCGCGCTAGAGGAACGACGAGCCCAGTGGCACCTTGAGCTGCAGCAGCAGGGGTTCCTGGGGCGAACGGCTGGCGAATGAAACGCCTGCGAGGTGGCTGTTACCGACGGCAGCACTCAGTCCACGCCAACTCTGCTTTTCCATGCCGAGGACCAGACGCAGAAGATGACCTTTCGACAGCTCAGGGGCAAATGAAGCGTCCAAGACGACCACATGATGGCTCGAAAAGTGTCCGAGAGATGGCGGCGTCGTTGTTTAGAGGCTCTGCAGGGGTCAGTATCTCACACATCAACTCACTCACAGCTGCCCCTGCTCGTTTCATTCAACGAGCCCAAAACGGACTGCAATCATGCAAGTATCGATCTGCTGAATTTCCTCGTGCCTCAAGCACGGCCAACATGGTTTCGTTTCTATCGTCGTGTCTAGCACATAATGTCATCTGTAGATGCTGCCTTTGGAAATCCAACCTGAATCCTCATTCCTGATGCATCGAACGCCAATCATCTCGTGCAACGTCATAAAACCAATCAATCCTTCTTCTCGATGACTGCCGGCGCCTTGATCTCACGGCCCTTGAGGAAGTCGAGACCCTCTCCAGCGTACGAGATGAGCGGCGATACTTCCACACCCGCGTCTGTGCGCTCACTGGTAACTGTGGCGCCAGCCGCTTCCACGAATCGCTTTCCCTGCTGCAGAATGTCTTGCTTCGAAGTCTCTGGGTCATCCTCGCCTGTTCCTGGAGCGTTCTTCAGTGGCGAGAACTCGTCCTCACGCTTCACCTCCATGCAGGCGAACTTGTCCATAGACAGGAACGGGAAGCAGTCGAAGACGAATTGTTCGAGCTTGATGCCGTTGGGCTTCTCCGGCTTGAATGCGTTACCCTTCTCGTCCACGGTAGGAATCTTCTTCTTGGCGATGTGGTGTGGCAGGCGATGTGACCACTCAGGTATCGATCGCAAGAACTCGAAGCTGTAGTAGTGGTTCACGATATTTGCCGCACGGAATTTGAGGAGGTTGTTGTCCTTTGGATCCTTGGCCTCTGCCAGTTCCGTGGAGATCTCAGAGTACTCGACGACGTCGGGCTTGCCATTCTTCTGCAGGATGAGACCTACGCTCTCCTTGGCATTGCGCTTTCGGACGACCTGTGGTAGTCTTGTTAGCTTGTGATCGTCATGGTTATGAGATGCTTTCTCACCTTGGTCGCGATTGAGACATCCTGCTCAGCACTGAAGCCAATGAAAGTAGGGTCAGCAACTCGTACGAGACAGTTGTCGACGCAGTAGGCATGGATGTGCTTCACACCACGCTTCTCCATGTCCTGCACAATGCCAGAGCCAACCAAGGCAGCGTACAACCCTCCGTTGCCATCTGGTGCAACAGCGACCTTGCCCTTACTCTCCAGGAGAATCTTTCCGTCCATGCTGATACACGGTAGAACACCTTGCTCAAAGAAGATGACGTTGTTGCGGTTGAGACCAAAGTACTGGTGCTCTTCGAAGAATTGCTGCGTGGGCTTGCGGGTAGGGCCCGAAGTCATGATGTACCACGGAATGACCACATCCTCTTTCTTGTGCAGGTTGCTGGCGAGGTGCTGTAGCTTGAGGATGCGCTCGGCTTGGAGCTGGAACAAAGACTTCTGGCTGTCAAGGCCGATGTTGTAGCAACCCTTGGGCGCAGAGCTACCAAGCCGAGTGCCTTGGCCGCCAGCCATGAGCACCACGCCGACCTGGTTGTCCGCAATGTACTTCAAGCCCACTTCGTTCCATTTGTGCAGGTTGGCCTCGTCACTGTCAATGGTGGAGGTGGTTGCGGAATCTGGCAGCGGCTCCAGCGTGGGCGCTTCGCTCTCGTTTTCTGTCTTTGGTGGGTTCAGAGCACGGTCGGTGATCTTGTTGATGTGCTCTGGATCGATTGGCTGCAACTGCTGGTATAGTGTGCCCTTCTCTTGAGGGCCAAGGTCGTCCCAGAAGCTGAGGACCTGTCCCTGGCCGGCCTTCTCATATTTCTCCTTGAGCTCTTGAAATTCGGCATCGCTGGGTGGTTGGGCAGGTGCTTCGGTGTCTTGGTTGCCGCCGAGGTTGAGAGCGCTGGCGGCCTAGAAGAGTGTCAGAGAGAAGGAAGTTGCGAAGGGCGGTGTTTGCAAGGCGTTGTGAGGAAAAGTCCATCAATGTCGTCCCAACACTCACCTTGTTGACCAAATCTTTGACAGCGTCCATGGTCCCGCGGTACTAAGTCGTATTTCCTGGTGATCGTGTTGTTGCGAAGAGTGGAGGATATCGAAGGAGAGATTCTTTGTTAAAAGACGGTCAGGAGAAGAAAGTTGAACGCGTTCAGGTGTCAGCTAGCTCTCTGCACGAAGCAGCTCGTGTTTGAAACGTGGGGCGAAGCGATGATGATGATGGGTTGGTGGCGGCCGTCTCGACCTCCTTGTCCTTCTCTCGATGTCGTCCCAGCCACAATATTGTCTCTCTTGTCAACACGGTATCTCCAAAAGCTCAAAAAGTCGTTCTGGTTGTCCGCCTGCTCTGATCTGGGACGAGACAAGAATTTGAAGCAAGACTTTGGAGCCAACAAGGTCTTCGCGCCGCCAGCCGTCGTCTATAATAAGCACGCTGCGCCCCAGTCTACCACAATGGGCATTGGATTAGAAGGCCATTGGCGAGCAGCTAACCATCTCGGTCTGCTGACGGCGCCTGCGTTCTTCGTATGAGGCCTTGCCTTGGCGGTTGGAAATGTTGAAGACGCCCTCATGGAGTCGTGGTCCGAGTCGAATCCGAACGTCATCTCCTGCGCTCGGCGATGATCCAAGCCGTCAGGCCCTCTCTCACGATCGTTCATCACATCAGGTCTGTGGGGATCTCCTTCAATGCCCACTCCGATCAAGGGAGGGTTTCCGACCTCCAAAATGCGATTGACTTCCATCAAAGTTATGTTCAATTGGCTCGTCGCGTCGACGCGTTTCTTAGAGTTCTGCAAGATTCGAGATGGCTGCCCAGCTGCCTGTTGCTGCTGGAGACATGCTGGCAACGCTCTCGGGCACGGACACATATGGCAAGTATCTCGATGAGGAGACATTCAATGGAAAGGGATATAAAAACCTCCTGCTCCCACCGTCAGAGCGAGATGCAGCAATCGCAAACCTCAAATCCAACCCATCCCATCCACAGATACAGCCATGGCATCCGGAGAAAGAACGACAATGCGAATGAACTTGGCCGACCTCATGCGGTTGGCCGGTCAAGAAGAAGCTACATCCTCTGGCAGCACCGAACCAGGTACAATCTACTACTTGAAGACAGCGACACCACACTTGCATGACGTCTCAGTCTCTGGCCCATACAAGGACCTCGAGGCCGTTTATGCCCAAGTCTGGCACAACTTTGGGGACGAATGCCAGCACGGCCGGTCGATGCTCGAGGACCTCAAAGTCAACGACCAACCTGTCGCCTTCCAGCACATCGAGTCGCCCATCTACGGCGACGCAAACAAGAAACGACGAATCGAACTCATTCCAAAGACGAAGCCGGATCTCGCTGCCAAGCTACCTAGTCCCGTCTGGAATGTCACCAAGGCTAAGATCGCCAATGAAGCTCTTGCTGCCGGCCCGACTGGCCCAAATCGTGACGCACTGCCAGTCAAAGACGTGCAAATCATCGACTCGTTCGAAAGCGAGGCTTCAGCAAAGCAGGCAGCGCAGAATGCGTTGCGCGATATCACTGGCCCAGGAGACATGTCTCAGACTGTCTCGACCTCCCCGTTCGCTGCTGGAGTCATCGGTCGCCAGGGTCTGAAGTGGGTCGTCACTGTGAACCGTGATTCCGGAACTACTACGCAGCAGCAGTAGTTGACTGGTCTACTTGGGACTGGAGATCCTCAATTCGTACGCTCGCTGTCGACTTGTTCTTCAGTTCTGCGCTGGGATAACGGCCGCAAGGTCAAGGATGGGGACGTTCGGCTGGACATTTTGCTGTCGACGCCTCCTTGACTCTTTGAAATTCAAGAACAGACAACAACATGAAATGGCAGGGCAAACACTTGTTCTGATGGCGACAGCGCGTTTCTTTAAGCACTTTCACAGATCATGCCTTGGAGCGCAGTGAGAGAATCCCTGAATAGGCCATTCGTTGCTACAACAGGGAAAGAGCAGACTTTCAGGACCACAGCTACCACAGCGTCCAGCCGACTATGTTGCTTTGCAAGCCTCGCGGTCGTTCAATCGTGGCTTGCCCTACGACTGCCTGTCTGGCTAATGGAAGGATTCACATGCTGTTTGATTGCAGTCTTGTCAAAGCGGCTTCTGATTGGCCCACTCGCCATGTTTGAGGCTGGGTTTCGACAACAGCTGGTGGCTGATTCAAAGCAAGGGCCTCACTGCAAGCACAACCACGTGCAAGACTGTGGGACAGACGCTTTGAATAGAGACACTCATTGGACTTGTCGCCAAAATAGTCATCATCACCATCAATGGCCCTGTCTGGCGAGCTCCCTAGCTTCACGATTGCTTGCAACATGGACTCAGCCGCCAACTTCGACGTCAAGACAACCCGCTAGAGTGCATAGTATGCATCTGCGCATAGGTCAAATCGATCAAGCTGAAGATGTACCAATTCGTATATCAATAAGTCAGAGCCCCGGGATCAGATTTCCATTCCACCAACATTGAACATCGAGAAGATTTTTGCAACCTTCCTCATTCACTTCTCTGTTTGATTGAGTTCTGACTTCAGGCCTAAAAGTATGAAGCTTCTTCCTTTATGGACAATCGCAGGAAGCACCTTCGCTGCGTTTCCTCCTGAGCCTGAGGATATTATCACCAAACAAGTTCCTGATCGACCTGGAGTATCAATCTCCTACAAAGAGGTGACTGACTGCGCTATCCCCATCCTGTTTGATGCTAACGACGACAGACGAACATCTGCGAAACCAGAGCAAAAGCCTACGCAGGCTATGTACATATCCCCGCCGACCTCGCTGATAACGATGCCTCTTCGCCTTACAATGTGTCGATGTTCTTCTGGTACTTCCGCGCCAGGCGCAACCCTCAACATGCACCCACCACGATTTACCTAGCAGGAGGGCCAGGCCAATCTTCCATGTACGGAGTGGCAGAGTCAGGCGGGCCTTGTACTGTACTCCGCGACAGCAATAGCACCGAGACGAATCCGTGGTCCATGACAAACAATGTCAACGTCCTCTATGTCGACCAGCCTGTCGGCGCTGGCTTCTCGTACGATACACTCATCAAGTCAACTATGGACTTGACCTTCGTGGGCAGCACCACATCGACCGGCGTCGAGACCTTTGACAGCTACAACGGCAGCGTTCTCGCTGAGAACAGCACTATTCTCTATGGAATATTCCCAAGTCAAGAGACTTCGAAGGCTACCAACAACAGCGTCAACGCGGCTCGCACGCTCTGGGAGTTCTCGCAGATTTGGTTTTCCTCATTCCCCGAATACAAAACGACGGACAAACGCATCTCGCTCTGGGGCAACTCATACGGAGGCTACTGGGTGCCTGTATCCGCAGAGTACACGGTCAAACAAAACGTCAAGATCAGGAACGGAGAACTGAACAACAGCATAATCCTCAACATCGACAGCGCAGGCTGGACAAACGGCTGCACCGACATGCTAATCCAAGGAGAATGGTACCCAGACATGGCCTACAACAACACCTACGACCTCCAAATCCTCCCGGAAGACCTCTACACCGAAATCAAAACCAACATCACCAAAGAAGGCGGCTGCCTCGACATGGTCAAAGAGTGCCGCTCCCTCGGCGAAACCTACGACTCCGAAAACTACAGCACCAACGCCACCGTCAACCAAATCTGCGCCGACGCCACCCTCTACTGCCTCCAATACGTCCTCGGCGCCTACAACGCCGTCAGCAACCGCTCCGTCTTCGACATCACCCACGAGAACCCGGACCCCTTCCCGCCCTCGCACCTCATCGGCTACTTCAACCGCGCCTGGGTCCAGCGCGCCCTCGGCGTGCCCCTCAACTTCACCTCCGACTCCCTCTCCACGCAGATGAACATGTTCTACAACACCGGCGACCCCGTGCGCATCGCGGGCGCCCAATCGATGCAGTACCTCCTCGACAGCGGCGTCAAAGTCGCCCTCGTCTACGGCGATAGGGACTACCGCTGTCCCTGGAACGGCGCGGAGCAGCTCAGTCTTCAGACGAACTGGAGCGGCGCGGAGGCGTTTCGGGAGGCGGGATACCAGTACATTCACACGGATATCGATGATTGCCATAACGACACGAAAGGCGGTCTGGTGCGGCAACATGGCAATTTCTCCTTTTCGCGGGTCTTTGAGGCCGGACACGATGTCGCGGCTTATCAACCGCGCACGGCGTTTGAGATTTTCAATCGGGTGTTGATGAATAAGGATATCGCCACGGGGAAGGTGTCGATTGGAGGACAGAAGAATAATTACAGCACGACGGGCTTGAAGGATACTTGGTGGAAGAAGAATGTTGTGCCGACGCCGCCGCCAGCGCCGGATTGTAATTTGTATTCGGTGGCGACGAGTTGTACGATTGAGCAGTATTTGGCGCTGCTGAATGGGACGGCGGAGATTGAGGAGTTTAATGTTGTGAAGCCTGTGGGTGGGACGCCGGGGTCGTTGGCGAATTATTTGCCTTGAGAGGAACCAGATCATGTAATATCTTCTTCGCTTCTTGGAACAATTCAGCTTGATTGGATCTTGTATCATATCCTCTCATTATATCTACCACCTCACCTCCTCCTCCCTAGTAAAAACATTTCCTAGCTCGTCATACGTACTATAATACACTTTTGCAAGACTCCTCGGCACATCCACGGCGATATCGATATTATGAATCCTCTGTGACTCAGGGACATCCTCCTTCGATCGTACCTGCTCAAGACCCTCTTCCTCAAGCTGGATATACCGTTCAGCAACCGCCGCCGCGGGTATACTCGCCCAAAGCCCCTCCTGCCGCGGAAGAGCGCGGAGGATCTGAATCCCACGCCGTCTGAGAAAGGGGTCTCGACATCTTGTTGCTGTCAGGAAGACGACGATGATGTAGCCGATGTCGTAGCTGAAGGAAGCGCCGCTGTCTCCTATTGCTGCTAGCCGCCTTACGATCTCCTCGCTGACGTTGATGATGACTTCGAAATGGTCTTGGACTTTATCCCATCTGGTTTCAGGGCCCATCAGCTCCGCTTTGCCGATCGCCTGACAACCGTGATACCATTGCCGTAGATTGAGGATAAGTAGTTGCATCGACTGGTCTGACTTCGCTGCGACCCGCTCGAAGAAGTCATACCACAGACGCAACCGTTGTGCGCACTTCTCCTTTTCCGCATGGATATTGGCCATGGCTGCAATGTCCGCGGCATCGAATGCAACGTCTGCCTCTTGGCCGAGAATGAGCATCCAGCGCGAAAGGTCGACGAGGGAGTCCCGAGCTTCGAAGATCGTTTGGAACTCCCAAGGTATGAGTGTCGGCTGCGTGGCGAGGAAGTCTTCCATCGTGTAGTGGTAGGGTGAGCTCTTGTCTGAGAAACAGACCGCAGGTAGATCCAGCCGGAAGAGTGTCTGTTGGATTTCGATGAGATCCTGCCTTCGGTGTCCTTGCTTCAGTCTATTCGCGTGCTGTCTTGCAATGGCTCGACCGTTGTCCATGTGAAGCTGGCTGTCTTTGAAGTTCCCCCGTACACTCTCAAAGCAGATGAACACCACGCAGGCTGTCAGAACCTTGTCGATGTCTGCTGGGTTCGCCGAGGACACTAAATCTCTAGCTTTCTCCAAAGCCATCTGATACTGCCTGTCTGCAAAATCCCGATGCTGCAATTCGGAGGCATGATCTGAATACTGATGCCATGCACTAAGCGCAAGAACTGCATGCTTGACAGCCGGTTCTAGATGACATGCTTGCAACACCGTTCGATCCCAGAAGTTGGCGGCGATCAGGGAGTTCGTACTGGCGACGGTTTTCGACCGGAAGAACTGAAAGTATCGTTTCTCTAGTGTGTCGTTGAAGGCTCTGTCGTTGACAAGCGTATACAATGGCCCGATCTCATTGCTGCTGCCGGGCGAAGGAGAATTGCTTGATCTTGATAGACTTGCAGCGTGCAAATCTCGTCTCGAAAAGGGTAGTTCGCTATAGCCATCACACTTCCTTCCAGTCTTCGTACATCTATTGCATTCGGGTTTCGTTTCGTCACATTTGACCTAGAAGTCAACGATTAGAGCTGATGCCCATTGGCCTCAATGTCAAAGATTTTTCACTCACCCGTCTTATGCGGCATGTGATACAACCACTCTTCGTCCTCTTGACGACTGCGGACATTGGAAAGAGATCTGTTCACCACGAATCCCACTGGCGGAGGCATCTGCATTGTTAAGAGGGAGCAGGATTCTACGCGAGCTGAAAGCCAAAGTGCGTGGATCTCGTCGCGTCCCTGCGGCTGAGCCCGTCGAGGTATTATTAAAAGGATACAAACTGACCAGGCATTCACATACCACTGTATGACGTGCGTACGCTAGGGCGTATGCTTGGAGCTATGTTGATACCAGATGTCGATTTTGATGGATTCGACGTTGAGGTAGTGGACTCGCTGTCGTCCAAAGCTGGCGGTGGTGGAGTCTCACGATGGGCTCACATCACACAGTCTCAAGTCTGCGTTCCCGCCGAAGCCTCAGTCGTACAGCATGTTCACCTTGGACTCGCCGTTCGATTCTGTGTCATCGAGGTAGCGATGATTGTTTTGGGAGGTAAAGGAGTCAACGTGAAAGAGTCCAGATCTCGCTTCCTTGACCAATCACGACAACCCTGTCAGAGCTCATCCACATCAGTTCCACCATTTCTCCGAGTCGTTTTCCGTTGCAATAACTTGCACCAGATTCCTTCTCTGTGCTGAGGCTGCTTGGGAATCTTATCGGCAGTCAAATATTTCAAGTCCGGGCCTCGTCTGGTACTGGCAATGCTGTCAGAGCCCTGAAGTTTGTTGCACGAGACCGATGTCACTCCCCGTAATCCTCTCCTCTCTTCGAAGCCAGAATATACGGCCTCTTCTCCCAGAAGCCGTCACCGATGATATCACAATGCTCAACCTCGATCTTAGCCTTCATTTTCCTCTTCTTCTCCTTCTCGAGCTGACTTTTGCTTCCCTCGGTAGCTTCCTTGTTCCTTTCTTGGCCATTGACCTCCAGATCATACGCCCGATACACGACCGTTCCCTTGCGATAGATCTCATCTTCCTTGTTATAGTTGATCCCAAACTTGGTGAACAAGATCTCATTCTTATCTCCACTAACGGTCCCTTTCAGCTCTTCCTCAGCTTCAGTACCAGTCCGGCCCCCTTTCAGCACCAAGTTCCAGAAAGTCGTGTTGTAAAGATTGTTGATGTGGCAGTCCGCTTGTCTCCAAGCAAGATAATCCCTCAGGATCTTGCGCTTCGGATAGCACACGCATCTTCCATCGAAAGTCGGCCAAGGTCTCTCTAACTCGACGCCTTGCATGTACTTCGGCCACAACATGCAGTACTCTGCCGTGAACTGCGTTGCCACACTCGTCGCCAGTTTCACCGCTCGCCTCTCGAAGAGCTGTGCGCTCTCGTGGAAGATGAAGCTGTATTCATCGCTTTGGCCATATGCAAGCACGATATCGACAAAGGACCTGACGACTTCCACTGCCGCTGCGTTCATGAGATCCAATGCTCGCCGATCATTCGGTTTGGCGAAATCGTACTTTTTGCAGAGTTTGCTGAAACCTCGTCCATCGATTCGTACGACGATCCAGTTGGAGGGTGGTAGCGCATCCCATGTCTCGAAGGACCTGACGTATTGGAACTCGCTGTTTGCCATTTCACGAATTTGTCTTTCTTTTCTTCATGTGTTCTTCAAGTCCACGTTGCCAGGGAGAAGGAGACTGAGCGCTTCAAATCCAATGAGTTCCGGTCAATTGATCTGGCCAGTGGTATTGACCTCGATTGACGCCTTTGCATTTGCATGTTGTTGAACATTCGTGAGTCGTAGTCACCAAATCTGTCTCGGCCGCTGGGGCTATTCTACAATAAGACTAGTGTTAGATTGAGCGCGTACCTAATTGGCTCAAAATGCTCAGGGTGTGAATTCCTAGACACCGTCGTGGTTCCCGGGCAGTCGAACGGGATAAATAAGGGGTCAGAGAAAGCACTTCGACAGCACGGAGGAGGCACCAGAGACGAAGGAGGTGGGATACTAACACACCGCGGAGAGTGTTATGGCGAGTGAAGGCCGGAGAAAGCCTTTTGGTCGTTATCCCAACTCTGCATTCCAAACCCCCACAAGCAGTCAACGATGCACCGCAAGAGGGGAGGAGGCTTGAGCAACACTCACAGACCTGACCCGATCAGATCTCACAAGCGAAGAGAAGACAAGAAAAAGGGAAAATAAGTTTTGATGCAACATGCGCAGGGCGCTCCTTGCAATTTTCATCTTATCTGAAAACAGGTCCCAATTCTCGTCACATGTCGCATATCCCTTTCTTTCTTTGCGCATTCTTGGGCGGAGGCAATGATCCCTTCCTTCTTGCCCGCCCGAAAAAAAACCACTGTTCTGCCTCCCATTGGGTATCATCCGTGGGCTCTACAAGTATTAGCCCAACGTCAACCTTCGACGCAACACACACCAAAATAGGCCACCCTAGCTGCAAAAGCAGCATGCAAAACTCTGATGCAAAAGCAAGCAGTAACAAAGCCTCTGAGGAAAACACAGTGTCAATCTATGAGGCACACAGAAAACACTTTTTTTCGACACCGTCCGAACCACCCATGCAGCATCCACCCCTCGCTTCCACCAAGTCCACCCATCCATTCCAGTCCTTGGTATCTCGTTTTTTGCTTTCGTGTGGTTTCTCTTTCTCTATTGTCCAAGGAAGAGGTCTTCTAATAACGCCGTCCCAATGCATTGCCATGAACGCTCGAAAATAATTGTTACAGTGAAAAGAGGGAGGCCGTGACGTTGGACGCTGGCCAAAGTCGGTGCAAGAGGTGTGACGTGTGCTCAGCTAAGAGTACGCTTTCGCTCTTCGACCCGGCCCCCGTGCTCGAAAATGAATCTCATTTGATGCAGAATGGATCTGTAGTCATGCAGTATCGAAGTCAAGAACTAGGACTCGTCTTTGGGAGAGCTACAACACAATCAGCATGCGCGGTCATCAAGCGTCTCGCGGTGGACTTACTTTGGCGAGTACTGCGGGCTGGTAGGAGAGTACTGTGGACTCGTCGGACTCTGCTTCGCACCCGGTGACGCTGGCGAGTACCCGTTCTGAGCTGGGCTCGTGGGACTGTATATCGGCGACGTGGGGCTGTACTTGGGCGAGGTTGGAGAGGTACTGCTTGGGCCAGCGCTATTGTAGGCAGGGCTCGTCGGAGAGTAGACAGGTGAGGTCGGACTGTACTGCGGTGACGTCGGACTGTACTGTGGAGACGTTGGAGAGTACTTGGGTGATGTCGCACTGCCTGGCGCATGGGCCGGCGAGGTAGGGCTGTAGTTGGGCGATGTGGGCGAGTAGTTGGGTGAAGTTGGAGAGTAATTTGGCGACGTCGGGCTGTAGTTGGGTGAAGTCGGCGAGACTTTGTTGTTGCTGCTGAACTTCGGGGATGTTGGTGAGTAGTTGGGCGATGTGGGCGTGTATGCCGGGCTTGCTGGCGAGTACGCAGGAGACGTGATGGCGAAGGCAGGGCTGGACATGCCTGCCGACGGCGATGTTGGGGAGTAATTGCCGAATGAGGGCGACGTAGGCGAGTAGTTGCTGTAACCTGGGGAAGTCGGGCTCATGCTGCTGAATGGAGATTGTGGTGCATAGCCAGGACTCATGCCGCCGCGGTAAGGACTCAAACCGCCGTCGAAGCCACCGCCGTACGCCGTGAGACCGCCAGTTTCGTCTTGGCCTGCTTGGATGATCGGCGAGAAGTTGGCACCATAGTCTGGTCCAGTAAAGCCGCTCTCGGACATGGGCGAGTTCTGGTCGTAAGGTGTTTGTGCTCCGTCGGCCATTGGTGACATTGCGCCAGCGCCCATACCCATTTGCATGGGTCGCTGCGTGGCACTGACGGACTTGAGCATCTCGGTATCGAGAAGCATGTCGAACTCGCCAGTACCACTTGGCGCCAACTGGCCGAGAATAATGTTCTCCGACACGCCACGGCAGTCGTCCAGCTCACCAGATGAAGCTGCGTCGAAGAGAATTTCGACGGTCTCTTCGAAGGAGCAACGCATGAGGGCACCGGTGTCGGATCGGTTGATACCATGACGGGTGACTGCCATCAGCTCGCCTCGTGCGCACATGACGTCGCAAAGGATGGCCATGTGTCGGTGGTTGACGTACGAGCCGTCGTTGGTCAGCACATCCTTCATCTCCCTCATCAACGCAGCGCGGACTGCCTCGATGCCAAAGACTGCCATGATGGACTGGAAGTGATTGCATGTCGTGCGCGTGGCATCGACACCCTCCACAGCCAAAACCTTCTGCAGTTGCACACCGTCCGTGTCGAGATACCACTCTTTGCACGAGGCTTCTCTGTTGTTGTTCACCAGCTGCCCGTCAGGCTTCTCGTGGAGCTTGGTACCAGACGAGACGAAGACTCTCCGCACGCCTTCAACACCACGAAGGACGACCTTGTCGAGCATGTACTCTTCAAGACGCTTGAGCATGTCTTCTTCCTCGGTCTCAGACTCTTCTTCCTTGTTCTGGTTGTTCATGCGAATACGAATGACTTGCTCGTCCGCATTGTCGTCGGAAAAGATGATGGAAACATCTGACGAGAAGACATTCTTGATCTTTCCAGCCACTTCGGTCACGGTAAGGCCCTTGTCGAGCAGTTGACGACGGCTCAGTACGAGACGCAGAAGCCACCTGCTCTGCGAATCAACAGACTCTGCACCGTCTTCGGGAATGATGAAGTAAGACTCGACCATATCCCTGTCTGCTTCGATGACTGTGCTCTGAATATCAGGGTCGTAGTAGATCTCCGTCTCCTCTGTGACGCCTCGAAGGTTGGTGTGCTCAACCAGAGATCGAAGCTCCTTGGCAGTCTCTTGGTTGTCGTATTTCTCCGGCTGTTGGAAAACCTTCATGTTTGGTGTCTTGATGTTATCGGCAACGTTCAGAATTTCCTTGAGACGAGGCACACCCTTGGTTGTCGTCTTTGCAGTCACACCAGCCAAATGGAAGGTGTTGAGCGTCATCTGTGTGGCCGGCTCACCGATGGACTGCGCGGCAAGGACACCGACCATCTCACCTGGGCTGACAAGAGCTCGCAGGAATCGATTCTCGATATCACCAAGAATGTTGTCCAATGCCAGCTTGCTCAAGTGGTCTTCATTGACCAGTCTCTTGAAAGCCAGTCGCGAGCGGAACAGTGCCTTGCAGAGCAGGGTGGCGTTGAGATCGGCCTCCTTGGAGAGTTCGTCGTCACCTCGGATGATCTTGAGTCTGTCGAGCATCGCCTTGACCTTGGGAATGGTGTCTCGTGGATCCAAGTCACTCTTGCTGTTGTCGGTGATCTTGAACTTATCGCGTGCGTTCATGATCATGCGGCCAACATTGAGTGGAAGATAGCGACTCTCGTCTGCATCATCGACACTGCTGCGGATCTTCACACGGTCATGCTTGATTGCTTCGTACTCGGCATCGAAAAGCTCTTGGACTTCCACATCACCACGGAGCTCAGCGGCCATCTCCAGCACATTCGGGCTGAGAGCTTGGTTCTTGTGCTGAGGATTGATGACATCGAGCTTGTACTTCTTGTCGAATGCCTCATCAGAAGCGCTGATGATCTGCAGAGGCTGCGACTCAATGTACACGGCATCCAGACCGTCTTCACCGTAGGTGAACTGCAGGATGTCGCCAAGCGAGTTGCGAACGGTGCTGTCATATTTGATCATGACTTCCTCGAGTGCCTTGACAAGACGACGCTGGATGTACCCAGTCTCGGCAGTCTTGACAGCAGTGTCAATGAGACCTTCACGACCACCCATGGCGTGAAAGAAGAATTCTTGAGGAGTGAGACCACGGAGGTAGGAATTCTCGACGAAACCCCTCGAAGCTGGTGAGTAGTCGTCCTTGGGGAAGTGAGGAAGTACACGATCCTTGAAGCCGAATGGAAGACGCTTGCCTTCAAGAGATTGCTGTCCGACGGCAGCCGTCATCTGGGAAACGTTCGTGGTTGAGCCCTTGGAGCCGGACTTCACCATGGTTCCGACATTGTTGCACGGTCTCATGCGCTGGTAGGCGACATCACCTCCCTTGTTTCGAGCATTGTCCAGCGCCGCCTTGGTCTTGGACTCGAATGTCTCTCGAATAGTCATACCGGGAAGCGTCTCCATGTTGCCAGTCTCCACTTCCTTGACGTACTCGTCGATGGTGTGCTTCTGATCAAGAACTTCCTTTCCGATAAGCTCGACCATCTCTGCGTCAGGAATGGTATCGCCAATGCCGACACTGAAGCCGTTGTGTAGGAGCCAGTAGCAGACGATTCGCTGTGCTGCCGTGAAGAACTCGACGGTGGCATCAGGTCCTCGGTCGTTGAAGATGCAGTGCACAACACCGCCACCAGAAGCACCAACAATGCCCTTGACCATACGGCCCCAGATGAGCTCACCGTTCATGACAACCAGACCATCATCCTTCTCTTCTCTGAGAGGAATGTGGTTCTCCTTGGGCCGCATGATGTTGAGTCCTGATGGCAGTGCAAGCGATATTATCTGCTTGCCCGTCCATCGGGGGACTGGCTTGATGATTGCGGGAGGTGGAACGACGCCGTCCCAGCCTGGAACCCAAAGAAGGATGTTCATGACTTGTTCATAGTCGAGCATGACATCGCGGCGCGTCATCATGTAGATACCAGCCATGGTGTCTTGCACGATACCCATCAAAGGACCGTTCTTCTGTGGCGAGACAATGTTGTGGGGCACGGCGCAGAGGTTGGCAACCTCAGCGCGGGTCTCGTGCGACTGAGGAACGTGCAAGTTCATCTCGTCACCGTCGAAATCGGCGTTGTAAGGCGATGTGACGGACAAGTTGAGACGGAATGTGGAGTAAGGCATGACCTTCACACGGTGACCCATCATCGACTCCTTGTGCAGCGACGGCTGTCGGTTGAAGATGATGTAGTCGCCATCCACGATGTGTCGCTCGACAACCCAGCCTAGCTGGAGCTGAATCCCACTAGATTTCCTGTGGTAACGCAAGTCGATTCTTGAGCCGTCTTCGCGGATGATGAACTTTGCGCCGGGGTGGCCGTCAGGTCCTTCCCTCACCAAGTCGGTGAGCTTGTGGATGTTGTAGACAGTGACACGCTCTGGGAAGGTGAGAACGCGAGCGATTGATCGAGGCACACCGACTTGGTCGAGTTCAAGGTTGGGGTCACCAGTGATGACGGTACGTGCCGAGAAGTCGACACGCTTGCCCATGAGGTTACCTCGCAGACGACCTTCCTTGGACTTTAAACGTGCGCGGATGGCCTTGACTGGACGACCAGTCTTCTGAATGGCGGTAGGGATACCAGCAGTATCGTTGTCCATGTACGTCGCCACGTGGTATTGCAGCAGACCAGTGAACTCATCGTGGATGTGCTGTGGCGAACCCTCTTGCTCGCAACGACGAACGTTGGAGTTTGCACGGATAATGTCTGACAGCTTGAAGGTCAAGTCGTCTTCTGAGCGCATGCCCTGGCTCGTGCCGTCGATCGAAATACTGGGACGGACTGCTGGCGGTGGGACAGGCAGCACCGTCAGAATCATCCACTCAGGACGGGCGTAGTCGACATTGAGACCCAGGCGCTGGAGGTCTTCCTCGGAGATGTTGCGAAAGATGTTCAAAGCCATCTGCGGCGTGATCGTCCGCTTCTCAACACCACCGTCTTCGCCATCCTCACCCTTGGGGTTCTTCCACGTGCCAGTAAGCTTGAGCTGCTCCTTGCGAATGGTGGGTTGAGTGTTTCCACAGCCACCGTGAGCCCTGCGCTTGTCTTTGTCTTTCTTGAGGTCGTTGGGATCTCCATCCTCAGGCTTGTCCTCGATGTCTGCTGCGCAAACGTCCTTTGGCTTACAGAGGCGTGTGACTGCTTCGAACCGCCGCTTCGGATCGCGAAGTTTCAGAGCCATGGCAAACTCTGGCTTGTTCTGCAGGCATGCATGTGAGTACTGATACTGAGACGATGGCTTACCGTTTGTGAGGGTAATGAGAGAGACTTACTTCATCTTCCAAGAGCTTCCCGCAGTTGTGGCAAACTGATTCGAGGATCTTCTTGATCTTGGTGATGAAGCCTAGTCACGTGATATTTAGCATGTGAACTGAAGGTCAAGGACGTCTGAGCGGCAACCTACCGACGTGGAAGACTGGGACGGCCAGCTCGATGTGGCCAAAGTGCCCAGGACACTCTTGTTGGTTCTCGCCGCAGGTCGCGCACATCTGGCTACGGTCGATGGTGCCCAGCTTAGGGTCGTTCAAGCCCTTCTCGCGCGGCCGCTGGCGCTGCTCATCCAACGTCTCTGCATACTCGATGTGGCATACACTCATGCTCTTGATCTCCTCAGGTGAGAAGAGTCCGAACTGGATCTCTTGCACCGTCTTGAGAGGCGCCAACGATTTCGCGAAGGTCGCCATGTTGACGGTCGGGTGTGTGTGCAATCTTCAGGTGTGCTTGTTCTGATCTTCCGTACGTGCTCTTGACCGCAAAGGTTCGCTTCTGGTTCGCTTTCCTTTGAAGGTGATGCGCTTTGTTGGCACGTCGCTTCCACCTCACTGGCCGGTTTTGTTCTCCGCCACCTCTCCCCTATCAACCTGGCGCGACCTCAGTGAGGGCCGCCCACGCGCCTTGCGCCCTCGAACCAATCGCTCCTTCCTCTCTTATGACGCCGTCGTCGTTTGTGGGATGCCGCTGATGGGACGGTGCGCCGCGCGCTCGTAAGAATGTCGTCGGGCGGGCTGTCTGTCACGCGCCCGGAGGTCAATCGCAGGCCGGCTGGCGACTGAGGGATGGGTTGGAGCGTGTCTCCGTGGTCGACGCAGAGGGTAGAGGCAGTATCGCGAGGATCCGGGCGATTCTGTGATGGTTGACGGTGGGTGTCGAGGGTGTGATGGAGGTGGTGGTCGGTTGTAGGCAGGCGACCTCTTCAGCGGGCGACTGCCAAGCTTTATGGTCCGAGCGCAAAGTGACAGGGATCTTCGCTGTGGCACGCGAACAACACCCCAAACTTGAGAAGATGCGCTCTGCTCCAATCACTTCTGCTCAGATGTTCTCGCACCAGGCAAGAGAGTCGGAGAGTGCAGTGAAGAGGTCGTCGCCGCAGTCGTGAAGTGTCGACCTGAAGAAAGGAGAAACAGCAGCAGTGACTGGTGCCTCTGCTTGCCTCCTGCAGCGCGCATTCCAGTCATTCCAGTCATTCACTATTGCTGCGGCCTGCCTCATATGATGCACCATAGTTCGGCTGTGTAGTCTCTACTCGCATCCTGCATGACTCACTGTAGACTCGACGCTCTACCTCCACGATGAACCTGCCTCTCTCCGACCCGGTCCTGCTCGCCCAAGACATCCCCGAAACGCTCACTGCCCGCCTGCGATCATCCGGCCAGGCAGTCTGCATCCGCTTCTCTCACCGCGGCGATCTCCTGGCATCCGGCACTGCTAAGGGCACGATTGCCATCTTTGACCTCGAGACCAACGGCGTCGCGCGCAAACTCAAGGGCCACACATCTGGGCGCACCGTCCAGTCGCTGTCATGGGAGAAGAGTGGGCGATATCTGCTGAGCAGCAGCATCGATTGGAAGGTCATACTATGGGACTTGAAAGATGGGAGCAGAGTACGGACGGTCAATCTAGGTGCGCCAGTCTACATCGCCGAACTGCATCCGTCCAATTTCAATATCTGCGTTGCTGCACTGTACGAGTACAGGCCAGTTCTGGCAGACTTCACAGATAGCAAAAAGGTCAAGCAGATGGCTCTGCCCAACCTACCGAAGCGTGCGCCGCACGAGATCGAGGGGAACGAGAAGGCGGACGCAAAGCACTTTACGACAGTCGCTGCCTTTACGCCGACTGGATCGCATATCATTACTGGCACGACCAAAGGATGGCTGAACGTCATTGACAGCAAAACGAAAGAGACAGTCTACAGCAACCGACTTTGTAGCAAGCCGATTCTCCTCATACGTTTAAGCAGCTCTGGCCGCGATCTGCTGGTGAATGCTTCAGACACGATCATTCGTACGATCAAGCTGCCAGACCTCTCGGACCCGAACCTCCAACCGGACAGTATACGCCTCGAAGTCGAGCACAAATTTCAAGACGTCGTCAATCGCCTGTCTTGGAACCATGTTGCATTCAGCAGCAACGCCGACTATGTCATGGCCTCTACGCTCATGAATCACGACATCTACATTTGGGAGCGCGGACATGGATCGCTCGTCAAGATCTTGGAAGGACCGAAAGAGGAGCTGGGAGCGGTGGAGTGGCATCCAACAAGAGCTTTCGTTGCAGCAACTGGTGTGGAAAGCGGCAGGATATATCTCTGGTCAATCAACACGCCACAGCGCTGGTCAGCTCTCGCGCCTGACTTCGTCGAGGTTGAAGAGAACGTCGAATATATCGAGAAGGAAGACGAGTTCGACATACACGACACGGCAGAGCTGACGAAGAGGCGACTGGATCAGGAAGACGAGGACGTGGATGTATTGACGGTGGACGAAGAGCAACTAGAGCGGGAAGGCAGGATAGGCAAATTCGCAGGCGAAGAGTTCCGCATGCCAGTATTACTGGACATGGGCGAGAGTGACAGCGAGGACGAGATTGTGGCCATTGGAACCGGCCAATTCAGGAGAAAGAGCACAGCGCAAGCGGACGAGCTGGAATTTGTGGACGGCGACGACGTCGCGGATGGCGACATTGGGACTAATGGCCACGTTGGAACGAAGAGACGACGAGGGGAGTGAGCACCGAGCAAGCACGGACGAATGTATTGAACCAAGTGCTATGAAGAAAGCGAGCAGCGAGCTACATGTTTAGCCGCAGCAGAAGCTTTAGAGACCGACGGTGCATCACACGCAGCAGTAGTGAACACACGTCAAGTACGAAGCAGGCGGCCCGAATATGGTGGAATCCCATGTGCTGGCTCCAGTCCAAGACTCTCAAGCATGGCAGCCAAGCTGCCAGCCAAGAGCCGCGTCAACGTCAGCACTAGAATGGAAGAATACGACATTCAACGTGAAACGTGAGACATGAGCAAGAATCGAGGAATTGAAAGATTGAGAGGGGAATTCTCGAGGAGGTAATGTGAGAAGAGTTCATCGGGATAGACGTCAGTGGCATAGCCAACACGTTATAGTACCAGATCAAAGCGATGAATGATACTACCTTCTTCCATATGATAAATCACTGCACTGGGTATCTCAGCCAACTCACTTACTCGCTCGCCCATTTACTCCCTCACTTCCTTCCACACTAAGTAAGTAAGTAAGCAAGTAGATCAACAAGTAAGTAAATAAATAAGTAAGTGAGGGAGCAAGTGAGGGAGCAAATGAGCGAGTAAGTGGAGGAGCAAGTAAGAAAGTGAGGAACTAAGTGAGGCAGTAAGTAATGGAGTAAGTAAAGGATTGAGTGACGGAGTAAGTGAGGACTCACTCACTCACTTACTCGCCATCAGATCCTCTCCTCAACACTATCGACCCTTTCCAAGCTCCGGTCCTTCCCCTCCCCTTCCCAATCACTCTGAATCATCTCCGCCGCCTTCTCGGCCACCCCATACAAACTACTGCTCAAATGCGCCGAAAGCTGAATCGGCACCACGCTCGCATCAATCGCCCGCACATTCTGCAACCCGTACACTTTCAACCTGGAATCCACAACACCCCCAAGTTCCTCTTTCATCATGGACAATGTCCCAATGTAATGCCAGACGGATGTGAAGGACTTCTTGACCCAGTTCTCCCAGTCTTTTGAGGTGGCGTTCGCTGGAACGAGTGTTTTGCCGGGTGTGATTTCGTCGACGACGTAGTTGCTCAGGGGAGCGGTTTCGAAGACTTCCCTCGATTGCTGGTTGACGCGTGTTTGGAATTCGAGATCCAATGGATGGTGGAAGTAAGACGGTTCGACGATGGGATGATCCCATGCTGAATTTGACTGAATATGAGCGGTTCCTCGAGACAAGACGATCAGATTCCAGTTGTCGATGCCGACTTGGTTGGTGGTCGGGGTTATTGTGAAGAAGATCTCGGCGGCGGCGGAGTCGACCGTGTTGAAGAGATTGTCAAGCTGGGCGGAGAGGATGGTGGCAGTTGCGGTGGCGTTGGTGACGAGACCCGCTTCCTCTAGAGTTTGGGCGTAGGAGGTCAGGTTGGCTTTGACCGAGTTGTACCATGCCGCGCTGTCGTTTCGTAGGAGTTGTTGAGCTGTGACGAAGGAGATGGCAGAGGGTGGGCCAGTACCATTGAAGTCGGTGCCGTTCTTTGCGGTGAAAGTCAGGGTGTTCTTCGTCTGCTCCTGCATGTTCTTGCCGATGCCTTGCAGTGAGTGCTTGGTGGCGATGCCTGCGGCGTTGAGAACGTCTGGATCACCAACACCTGAGAGCTCGAGGATCTGTGGGCTCTGTAGAGAGCCTGCTGCAAGAAGGACTTCACGGTTGGCCTTGGCGAAGTGGACGGTGCTGTTCTTTGAAGCCTGGAAGTGGACTCCTTCGGCGATCAAATCCTGTCCCTCTTTCCAGACGATCTCGGTCACGCGGTGGCCAGTCAGGATGAGGAAGTTGTTTCGCTGCTCCAGCTGGTGCTGAGCATATGCAGTGAACGGGCTCGATCGGTTTTGGTTGTCCTCCACATCGACCATGTTGGGAATGACCGTGCCTCCATTGACAAGTCCTGACGCCGCGTCTGAGTTTCTCGAGAAGTTTGACCAGACCTTCTCTGATGCTTCAAGAGCAGGGATCTGGGTGCCTCCAAACATGCCAGCTCCAAATGCAACTTGAACAGGCCCTCCACTGCCGTGGTACAAAGAATCAAAATTGGCACCTTTGACCTGGTGCTGTTCCTGAGTAGGTTCGTGGAAGTTCTCGGCCTTGAGCATGTAGTCATTGAAGTCGTCCCAACCCCAGCTGTCGTCTCCCGTGAGGAAGGGCAACAGATCGTACTGCGACTTGGCACCCTTCGTCCATGAAGCACCATTCAGACTACCGCTACCGCCGAGAGTCTTTCCAGTTACCAAAAGCAGTTCTTCGCCGTTCTGCCAGGAGACAGGCGTCGAATATATGCTGTGGTCCAGCTCAGAGTCAAAAGCCTGGCCGTAAGCCCGTACGTCGTTGACGCGGGAGTCGTTGAAGTTGTTGTAGCCGGCTTCGATGACAAGGACAGAGACACTTGGATCTTCTGTCAGTCGGCTCGCAACGGTCAATCCAGTAAGACCACCACCAGCGATGATGTAGTCGAATGCTTGCATGTCGACAACGGCAGACGAGTTGGTGATGCCACTGCTAATCCTGGCTTCAGTCGAGCGTTTGGACTGTGCTGGCATAGCAACAACATAGCTGACGCAGGCAAGCGCAGCGATGAGGGAAGCTTGGTGCTTCATGATGGATAGATTGAGTAGAGAGTCTGGTAGTGATGATGCAAGGCTCCGGGGACATCTGGACAGTCTCAACCACTCCTTATATCCTCCTGCTCAATACGACCACAACTCACGACTACATCATCGCTGAACTCGCTCTCAGAGCGAGAAGACGATTGACCTCGTCGTCCACTTTCCCAATCCCGTAGCCAAGTGGCGAAAGGCACTATCTGCCTTGTCGTATTCCCAACAACACATCCCACGTGCGATGCGAATGGATTCCGAGACAGACTTTGTGCATAAGCGCACGTGTAGAGGCATATGATTCTGAACTGGTGTCGGTCGTCTCGGTCGTATTAGCCGTATGCCAACAGCCAAGAGAGGCTAAGCTGAGAGGGCTGAGCATCTCGTAGCTTGTGGTGCCAAGTGCTGTCGGTCTCATGGCGGTGGTATTCTCCTCAACGTCCATCAGAGTTGACGTTAACAGCATCGTGGCTTAACCTTGATGTCATTCTGTATGCAGTGTGTTGCGATGTTGTTGGTGTGTCGATCGTAAGATCGTGTCGCTGGCATGTCGGTGGATTTGCCATGTTGTCCGGAACAGGAAGCTGCGACTGGGTTTCAACCTCACCTCATCATGTTCAGGTTTGAGGACCTCAAACTAGTGCAAAAGCCGTTGTTTTTTCGATTGCCTTGCAACAGAAGAATGGCTGGAAAAGGCGACCGATTTTTCATTCCATTTGTTGAACGTCGGATCGAGCCGAGTCGTCCTGTTGTGCTGCAAGGTCAATTAGCTCCATCAGACCTACTGTTTGATGCCCCATCTCTTCTGAGTAACGACCGTTTCGTTGTCCTCGTCCTCGTCATTGTCCTTCTTAAGTCCGGGCTCCGGGTCTACCATGGGTGTTCCGCTCAAAGTGGGACAATCATCCCCATGACTCCTAGTCCATCTAATCAGCTTACAGCGCAATTGGCAGCGCAGTCGCTGGCAGAGAATCGGAGAGACAGCAGATCCATACGTGCCACTTTGGCCAGAACAAGGAGGGTAATACGGACTTTACTGGAAAGCCAAAACCCTGCCATGTGAGACCTGAATAGCGCTTTCGACCCGTCTTACGATTCTGTTTTATACATGAAGCTCAAAAGACATCCTAGGCACACCAACGCTGCATGATAATGGATCTAGCCAGACGAACGTCCGTCCATTGTCGCCCATCACTGGGTATACTCCTTCTGGAGTAGCTTGGCGATTGTCGTGAGCTGGATATTGCTCGTACCTGTCAAACACAACGTTAGCAGTCGTTTCAGAACGAGAAAACAGACATAATCTACCTTCGTAAATCTGCCCAATCTTCGAATCTCTCCAATACTTCTCAGCCAGGCCTTCACGGACGAAGCCCATACCACCCATCCATTCAATGGCTTGACCCGATACTCGGTTGGCGACCTGCGAGGCGTAAAGCTTGGCCATAGCAGCATCGATGACGAAGTCCTGGCCAGCTTCCTTCTTCCTAGCAGCGTTGTAGACTAAGGCACGAGCTGCAGTGATCTCTGTCCAAGCTTGAGCGAGCTGGTGCTGCATGCCCTGGAATTCACCAACGAGCATGCCGAATTGCTTCCGGTCGTTCCACACGTACTTGGCTGCGTTCTCGAAAGATCCAATGGCCAGTCCGGTCATCTGTGCGGCGATACCAATACGTCCTTCGTTCAGGAGACCAATGGCGTACTTGTAGCCATCGCCCTCCTTGCCCAGCAGGTTGCCCTTAGGGATTTCACACTCGTCGAAGTTGAGAACACAAGTCGAGGAGGCCTTGATACCGAGCTTCTTCTCCTTCTTTGCGATTGAGAGGCCAGGATTCTCCTTATCGACGATGAAGGCAGTGATACCCTTGTACCCCTTCTCGGGGTAGAGGTTGGCGAAGACGATGAAGAAGCCAGCCTCCATGGAGTTGGTGATCCACATCTTACTGCCGTTGATCTTGTATCCGTCTGCAGTCTTCTCTGCCTTGGTCTTCAATGCAAATGCGTCTGATCCAGAAACTGGCTCTGACAGACAGAAGGAGCCAACGGTCTCGGTTGCCAATCTCGGCAGCCACTTCTTCTTGCTCTCTTCTGTGCCGTACTTGAGAATGGCAGTGACCACCAATGTGTTGTGCACATCCACCATAACACTGACACTTGGATCCACCTTCGCAAGCTCTTCGATGCCCACAATTGCAGAAGTGAAGTTCATGCCCGCACCGCCGTACTTCTCAGGTATCTCCACACTCATGAGGCCTTGCTCGAAACATTGTTCTACAACAGCTGGGTCCATCTTCTCCGCCTCGTCCATGTCACGTACTTTGGGAAGAATGACCTCGTTTGCGAATCGTGACACCGAATCTGCCATGGCAGCTTCGACTTCATTGAGGTGGAATATCGGGGTTGGTTCGAGGGAATCGAGATCGACTACATCTGCGTTTCGTCGCTGTGGCGTGGTTGATAGACATCTTGCTCTGTACCAGATGTCAGTAAGAGAATTAAAAACGAGCTATAAAATCTCCTACGCTGGCACAGATCGCGTGAAAGGCGTTCGGACAGTGGGAGTTCTTGATGATGCGTTGACAGCTACTCGGGCGAGGGGTCGCATAGATCTTGCGAGGGAGGCCATTCTGAACGAACGCAATTGGCTTTCTGAATCGATACGGCAAAGACGCGTAAGTAGAAGAAGACGAGGGACTGAGAGAAATGAAGTGCGGTTACAGTTTCCCAGGCGCAGGAATTAAACGATCATATGCCTCTGCTCCTGGCAACGCCGTGCTTAGCCGTTTCTCCATGGGGTGTTAGGGTCCAACCTCGGTCCTCTCGGACATGTCGTGGAGATTTTGGGGCAACGCTCTGCCTCAGTCTCTTACTTTTTCCGAACAACACCACCGCATGTGCAATTCTGATGTGGCTTGTTGATAACATTATTATACCTTATCGATGTTTGCATCTTCCGAGAATGTGTAGTCCCTCCCTCGATGGGCTCCGAAATTCGGGTTCAATGGATGGAACGCAGCATCCTTCCATGGAATTTCCAGTTGAGCGAAATCGCCCTCTAAGCCGAACGCGTACTTTTCCAGAACTATATATCGGGATCTCAGCCAACCCACACACCCACATCCATACCTACTTCTGACTGTCGCTAGACACATCTTCCAGCGGCGGCAGCTGCGTCTTGCGGCTTCCATAACCTGACCTCAATCCCACCGAACGCCAGGAAGAATGGATTTGGCTTCCTACACCTGCCAAGTCATATCCGCGCTCGGATCCACGAGCTTGCAATTTTCGACCACAATCGAGGAGCGGTCTTCTCGTCTCGTGCCATCCCATGCAAGTGACAGCCGATTATCAACGACGTGGGTGTTGAGTTCGTCGAACGGGACCCAGATGTCATTGATGATGATCCATATCTGGGGCTCGTTCGGTCAGGCCGTTACGCTGCGAGCCTGAATCCTTTTCGGCTCTTGAATCTGCCTCCTCTGGCCGCTGGGTTGGTGAAGAAGGCCTTGACAGGGCCTTTTTAGCCTCTACGATCTCTCTCGGTCTCAGTTTAGGCGACATCAAGTCTATGGTCGGTAACGAAATTCTCGCTTCTCTAGACGCAGCGGACAATGCTGATGTTGACGATGAGAACGCATCAATCGTCGGAACACCACTCGGCATTGCAAGCTCTAAGCATTTGTCTGAGCTTACTGGTGTCTCTCACCTTGGTACATCGAAGCTTGGATGGCAGCTTCGCTCGTCAAATGACTACACGGCCCTACCCGAAGACTACGACGAGCATGAGCGTCCCAGAAACCGAGGGAGAAGACCGAAGCGAGACCAGTAGGCTGCAATCTGACATTATATGGACACTTCCGACAAAGACAATTCCGACTGCGGGGATTCAGAATGCCGTGTCTGCTGTGAGCTGCCCATCCACTACCATGACGATAGCATCGAGAACGGAGATACTGTCGGGTTTTGCTGGCTCGAACCTCAGCACAGCTCTGGTTGTCACTGCCTTGGGCACTTCCGTATACCTCGGACTGTTTGCCTGAGAAGCAGTTGAGGCTGCAGAAGCTTTTTACAAGTCGATCTGTACGCCTGATATTGTTATCGGGTCGGCGATCAATGCTGCCCAGCATGCGCTGGAATGGTTCTACAATGCAGAGTGTGGACCGTCGCGGCAAAGGCGAGACTTAGTGCCTCACTCTTGGAATGACTTTGGCCTTACTGTTAAGATCAATTGGTACCTCACTCCAGTCATCACTCAAGATCTCACTCGAGCGCTCACTCTAGGCCTCGCTTATTCTCAGGAAGAGATCACTTGGCTAATCACTTCAGACCTCACTCAAGAGATCACTTGAGGACTTAGCTCTGACCTCACTCAAAGGCTTACTTCAAGGTTCAACTTGGGCTTCAGTTCAGGAGTTGCCCTTGGATTCAGTTGGGCCGTCACTTCCTACTTCACTGTAGGCCACTCGGATAAAACATGCCTTGGTCACAGAACTTGGTCATCTTGGTTCTCTTCTTCAACGCAGCTATGCAGAAGAAGACGCCGACACCGCCGATTGCATACACCGACACATGGCATTTTACCTCTGGCTTATGGTGCAGAGCACGCGGAGACGGCCAACCTTGTCTGCCGGCCACCTCTGCGAGCTCGCAAATATCTTCGTTCAAGGAATGCATAGGCAAGGTTCTAAGATTACCCTGGACAGAGCAATTACTAACGCTGAGCAGAGATGCAGGAGGTTACCTCATGAGCGATGAGGCATCAACTTGCCGCCGAGTTTTGAGCACTTGTTCTATGTGTCTGATCCGACAACGGCATGATGTTGAGACACGTTCAACACGTACACAACTATATCTTGATGTTTGCTTGTGCACGGCTTCCCGAACATCCATAACGGCGTCTGACGTATTATGCACCAGAGTTCGCTTTCGATGCAGGCACAACAGGGTTAGAGCACGATTTTGCTGGCATGTATCACAGGTATGTGTGCATCAAAATATATTGCATGCACGTCTATGCTTCGAACTGAGACGCTTGCCAAACTCTGGTAAGTGGTGTAGCGGCCACAGGTCAACTTCTGTACGTTGGCCATTCGAACTCCTTTTCATACATGCAAAATGTGCAGGCAAAACGTATTAACCACAGCCCTCGTAACTTTGATCTCGAAGGATCAACAGCGTTATAGGCCACAGCCGTATTCACTTTGCTCCAATCACAAGCCATCCAAACACGGCCCGTGAACACCGACCGCCGATATATTCGGTTTTACGCGCGGAGATAGAATCCCTCTGTCGGCGCTGCTCAATGGGGAGTGCGCGAAAAGACGATTTTTCATTAACGCCTGGCCTACATCGGCGCGCTGCAGACTACAAATACGGAAGTACCCTTGGCGACGATAACATGGCTACGATGCCTGTAACAACAAGGAACACCGATGATGAGCGACACGGAAGACTCACGAAAGCCAGAGGACGTTGGAGAGGAAGAGAAAGGCAAAATCTCATCAGACGAGCCGGAACGCGATGAAAACATAGTAAGACTTCTTCCCGATCAGGGATACGCTGCAAGCTGTGAACTGCGCTCATTTAGCTCTTCTAGGTAACATGGGATGGACCGGACGACCAGGCGAATCCCAAAAATTGGTCGTTCAAACGACGATGGCTGGCGACAGGGTTGGTGTCGCTCATAACGTTCATGACACCCATAGCGTCGTCTATGATTGCACCGGCCCAGCAGCAGATTGGCGATGATCTGGGTGTGCATTCGACGTTTGGACTGTCACTTATCTTTTCGATCTTCCTGCTGGCCTTTGTCTTTGGTCCCCTGTTCATTGCGCCGTCGAGTGAGGTACGTCGATATCACCTCAAGTGTATCTTGAGCACTGCTAACGTTGAGCAGATTTGGGGCCGAGTCATTGTCCTCCAACTAGCCAACATCTGGTTTCTGATCTGGAATCTTGCTTGCGGGTTCGCGTACAACAACGGCTCGATGCTTGCATTCCGATTTCTGAGCGGTCTGGGCGGCTGTGCACCACAGACAGTTGGGGGTGGAGTCCTCAGCGATTTGTGGAGGGCCGATGAAAGGGGCATGGCGGTAGCATTGTACAGTCTGGCACCGATTCTTGGCCCAGCTGTTGGCCCTCTCATGGGAGCCTGGATTGCCGAGAAGACGACATGGCGATGGTCTTTTTGGGCCGTCACCATCTTCGGCGTGTGTGTGCAAGTCTTGATTTACTTCACCCTCTCCGAAACGTACGGCCCACGACTCCTGCACTGGAAGGCTGAAAGGCTGCGTAAAGAGACGGGTAACCAGAATCTGAGGACAGAGTACGAGCTGGCAGAACGCACACGACTCAAAATCTTCCAGCACGCCTTCATTCGTCCGCTCAAGCTCCTGACAACACAACCGATCGTCCAGTTTCTGGCACTCTACCAGTCTCTCATTTACGGCATCATTTACCTCATGCTCTCAACCTTCCCAACCATCTGGACAGACATATACCACGAATCCACAGGTATTGGCGGACTGAACTACATCAGCATCATGATTGGCTTCACCATAGGCGCCCAATCAGGCGGGTACTGTGTAGGCTTCATCTACCGCCGACTTTGCAAGACCACCCCAGATGGGAAGGGGCGACCGGAGTTCCGCGTACCTGTCCTCTTCGTCGCTACCGCCTTGGTTGCCGGTGGTCTCTTCATGTACGGATGGTCAGCTCAAGCACATACACACTGGATCGTGCCGAATATTGGCGCGGCCATCTTTTCCATGGGATGCATGTTGGTCATGACGTGTTTGCAGACGTACGTTATCGACGCGTATGGCGTGTTTTCGGCGAGTGCGATTGGGTGTACTGCGATGGCGAGGAGTTTGACAGGTTTTGGGTAAGCCAACCATGAACATCTTGGGATGCGGGCGTGGACTAATATTTTCGATACAGGTTCCCTCTTTTCGCTCCAGCGATGTACAGTGCATTGGGTCAAGGATGGGGGAATAGTGTTTTGGCATTTGCGGCGCTTGCGATTGGATACCCTGGTGCGCTTGTGCTTTGGTTTTACGGCAAGAAGTTGAGGGAGAGGAGTCCGTATGCGGCTGGGAAAGAGTCGTGATAGAGGGATAGAAGTATACCTGAGGCATGTATAGCAATGAGCATGGTGGATTGTAATATACGAAAGTTATGACTTACGGATCGATCACAGAGTGGTCTTAGCAACTTGGCGTGCTCTGTAAAATAATCTGGAGCTAAGTCCGTGAGTGATCTCTCGACTGAGGTCTAGAGTGATTAGCCGAGTGAGCCCTCGAGTAAACTCCCGAGTGATTCCAAGAGTGAGGCACCTAGTGAAAGGCCGGTGAGCATGAAAGTGATCTCTCGAATGATCCCTGTAGTGATGTGCAAAATAATCCCAGAACTGATCTCTCCAGTGAGGACTGGAATCAAATTCAAATAAGGTATTAAGTGAGGTCCGAGATGAAACTCGGGGTGAATTCAGTAATGATGTGACATACATCACTTCCCTTTCCAAGAACTCTGGGCCCCTTTCCGAGCTCCAAGTCAGAGCCTCAGTATACCCTCTCTTTACCACCCGGTAGAGCCTCCATGTCGACGCCTCTACCACGGCAAAGGCGAAGCCAGCGCCCATGCAGAGCTATGAAGCTCTACGAAAGGCCATATCAAGCTCCATGCAAGCCAGCACGAGGATACACCGTGGCTGCTGCACTCTTCGACGACGTTCAAAGGCCTCTGCGTGTGACTGTCAGGACTCGACTGGAACAGTCAATGCTCAGCCAGTACGTCCAGAGTGCGGTCTCGGATGCTTGAAATGGAGATGAAGAATTGTTGTTGATGTTATAGCGGAGGAGTGAATACTGGTGTAAGGAGACGATCAACCGACCTGCTAACTCGGCATCATGAGCCCTAGGCAAATCAATTAACAACACCATCAACGACCATATCGAAACGCCGATGGAGACACCACCAAACGCAAGCCTCGCAGCCCTTCCCAGATCCAGCCAGACACCCTCGCCGTGAAGTCACAAGCCTCCACCCGTACTTCTCACCCGCGGCAACTTGGAAGCCATTGAGACAATGGCTCCAATGGCTTTCAGGCAGCAGAATTTCGAAGCTTTATAGTGGTATGTGGTATGCACAGCATCGACACGAGGTGGCTTGCCGTCAGGAACCTATCTTCGTCAAGCCCTAGTAGGTCTATCGTGAGGGAGGGGGCCCACAATGAGGCTATGTTTAGGTAGTGCTGGTTGCGGGGAGTGAGGTCGTTGTGTGGGTTAGAGGTTTTGAATCTTTGATGATGGGAGGATGCTGTTGATGAAGCCGTGGTGTTCGATCGATGAGGGAAAATGCGGTTGTGTAGATCTGAACCACACGGGTGGGCTTAAAAAGGTCTCAACGCACCTCGAACGTCAATGCTATGCATCGACCGACGATGGCGAGTATCAATGGGTAGAACACTCCGTCTTAGAAATCACCAGCCATTGGAGACTAGCTGACAGATCCAGCACAGCCGTGACAAGTCTTGTCGATCTCTCTCGCCGGAGTCCATGCCGAGTCGGCCACGACTTGCCGAACGACAAAAACTATAGCACTCCATTAGGACCTCCAAAGTTCGAGAATTCTGCTGCCTTGAGATGTTGCAGGATCGAAGGGTGCATCGTGCATGGGCCTGCGAGACCAATGGGAGAAAACGTGGCCCTGCCGGGTTGACATCGAGCGTTGCCTTTATGGGTAGCTTCGTTCGAAGAATGGGATCCTATTGGGTTGGAATCAAGAGAGTGACGGATTGAGGTGCAGTGTTGATGGTTCAGGAAGAGCCAGTTGTGGAGCTTGGGTTTTGTGTTTCGCGATACGAGACAGAGTGTGAGAGGTGACGAGTCCAGCAGTCAATGCTTGGAGGCTTCGCCTCAGGCTAGCAATCCTTCGTGTATGTGGAGGGACGGATCGATGTGCAATGCAGAGGGCGACTTCCACGGCGAATGGCTGGCATGCCTTTTTGGTGCGAGGGGATCGTGTTGGAAAGCAGGTACATTTATGTAGTTGATATCTGCTCTCCTGCTTCTTCTTTTAGTTGCTGCCTGTCTCGCACTACTCGCTCGCTTTCTCGTTCATTCACTTACAGGCAACAACCATGGGTCAATCGGAGCTCACCACCATCTCTGCATATGGCAGGGACAGCAGCACTAGCAGCGTGTTCAGTACGGCCAACGAGAAAGGCAACAATGTTCGTGCCAGGGCGCCTTACAGAATCCGACACCGTGGATGGTTCATTGCGATTATCTCGACGATTTTCGTGACGTCAATTGGCCATCTCGCGATGGGGATTCTGATCGCTTCCGTTGTCAATCCGCATGCCGTCTACTATGACGATGCCGTCCAGGAGACGTACTCGTCCGGGACGTTGATTTCGAGGGTGTAAGTCGGAATTCGCCCTCCCTTGCAAGTGCCCTCAAGCTGACAGTGTACCTAGTGCCCTCGTCTTCTTTTGGGTTACGATCCCCGCCGTCATGTCCACTCTCAGCCTCGTCGAGCTCATCCAGATCTCCCGGAACCGAATGCCGGAGAAGTGGATCGTCATCTCTGCCGTCGCCGCCACTTTGATCTGGGCTGTTCAGATGACTCTTGAGGGAATCTGTATGTGGGGTCTGCCCAATCCCGTTACCCTCTCGCGTGGCGGTATGTGCCTTTGGCGGTACAGTACGAATCCTGGCTGGACGGGTTGGTACTCGGCGAACGTCCTGGCATGGATCGTCGCCTGGCTCGTCATCCCGGTGCTCTGCATGTAAGTCGAAGACTCGCTTCTCTGCTCGTGTAGGTATTTGAGGCTGATTGTGATGACAGGTATATCATCTACTTTTCCGTCGGATTGAGGGCTGTTGTGGTAGACAAGAGAGACCTGAAGGCGCAAAGTGCACCTGAGGCGCCAAAGGCGGATTCCTTGTCGTTGCACACTCTTTCGACCTCGCCGGTTGCTGAGACGCTGGTGACGGACACTCTCCACGCGAGCACTCGTGGTGTCACGCGACCTCCAAGCTACTTCTCTAGCAGTGCTGCGTCCTTTGACTCGTACGATGTCAAGAAGGATTAGCAGAGCATTGTCCAGAGATGCTTGATTGCCCACGAGGGGTTTCAGTAATGATTTAATGACTTACACGAGGAAACAGAGGAGTTGGCGCAATATCCGCATGATCGCATAGTACAAAGGGAATCTCAGACTTTCGAGTATATACATGCCTTTCCCTTGCTTCTATAACACCGATCGATCGAGTGGAGCAACATCATCGTGAGACTTGCGGGCTCTCACAGCGAGTGGCCCGCCAAGTTCCTTCTCTAAACCGTCCTCGAATGTCCGCGAGACCGCAGGCTATGCGTGTCAGTAAGGATGGACGTGTGAGATGATCTGTTTTGCAAGGACATACCTGATCTGGGTAGTATCTGTAAACAACACCGCAAAGAACGCCGACCGATGCTATGAAAGTGCCGAGGAGGACTGCGCCCCAGCCAGGCTTGAAGTGCGTGTACTCTTCTGGCGAGAAGATACCGAGAATGTCGTTATCTTCGTGGACGGTCTCTCCGTAGTTTCGACGTTCTTGAGGATCCCACCTGGGAAGTCTGAAGTCAGAGATTGGCCATGGCTGGTTCAAGCGTTTCCCTCACCAGTCCGCATATGGGTCACGGAATTGCCTCTTAACGGGGAGAGCAGATGTGAGCGATGGATCTGGGTAGTTTCCGTTCTGTAGGAAGTCGATATCAGCCTTGTTCACGTCAAGTCATGCTTCCTTCATCGCATGTTTTCCTCCTTGGTCGCAGTCTTGTATGGGTTCCTCTCCTCATTCCACGTCTGGGTAAGGCATACCATATTTGGGTCCTCGCCCTGGAAGCTCAGATCTTCGGAGGCCTGCTCTGCCTGACTGGCAGGCTTCGTGTCGTCCGCTGGTCTCGGTGTCGCAGAGGCGGCATAGCAGCGCTGGGCAAGGGGAGTGATTCGGGAGGTCGGCGATGGACGGACGAACTGCGCTCGTGGCGCCAGGCGAAGAGCCGTCCTTAAGCTCGCCATGGCGGTGGTGGTACGGGGAGTGGAGATGTCGTCGCCGGCGGTGTCTGGCTGTGGTGGTGGTCTCAATGGGCGGACGGAGTGAAGTCGAAGCTCACGTCGACGACGCCGGGATGCTGGTGCTTGGCAGCCGAAAGCACGCTAAAAGTCTAACTCGATCGCGCTTCCCCCAAAGTCTCCGTTACGCCAGAAGCATTCACAGCCAACCCTCGTCACCTTCCAACTGCCTTCATCAACCGCCCACCACGAACCGATTTCCGAGCTGTACTACCGAGCGCTGGCCCATCGCATGGTTCGATCCGTCCGCCTTTCGTGATGTTGAGCGTGGCCGTAGCTGGAGGTGATGACCGCGACGTCTCCTAAGACGGAGGCGCGCGAAACGCTCGCGGGACCAGACTCCAACGACCTCCACGTCAACGGAGATGCCCTCGATCAACTACCAGACAACAGCGAACATGACCTCCCCGAACCGACCGCGTCGAAAAGCGTCATCAAGACCGAAGATGACCTCCCCCGCGACCCTACCCCTCTTGCGATGGACGACGGCACCGCTACCACTTTGCGCCCAGCGCCAGCACCCAGCGCGAAGAGACGAGAGTCAGAGGCTGCCTTGTCGACGCCAGAGCCGAGCGAGAAGCGCCCTTTTAAGAAGCGCAAGCGTGCAGCGTCGCCGCCTTGGCAATTCCCTACGGCGGAGACTACAACCCTGAAGACTGCCGATGGCCGTCGTGCTTCCGCTCGTGTCAACACGGGAACTCCAGGTGTCAGTGAGGCGGAAGATAGCAGACCTCGCAGTCTGAGTCAGTCAGCTTCGCGCTCGCGACCGCCAAGTCCGCCATGGAGGAAGTTTGAGGCTGAAGGTCCCACATCCATTCAAGTGGATGGAAAGCGTAAGAGTGGTCGCGTGAATAAGGAGTTGTCGGATGCGCCCAAACGTGTCAGCCCGCGCAGCAAGAAACAGGTTGATAAGCTGGGGATGGTGCAGAATGGAGACAAGAAGCCGGCGAACAAGAATGCTGCTGGGAACAGCAAGAAGATTGAGGCAGAGGTCAAGAAGCAGGCTTTGGCCAACGAATATGATCCACTCGAGCGACCATCGACCTCGTCAGCCAGCGCTAAGAGGATTGCAGAGCTGCAGGCACAGATTGCCGCCTTACAACCCACGCGTTCATTTCCTTCACCTACTCCTGAAGCGAAGCCGGCCCACAAGCGAAAAGCGACCAAAGACGTTCCAAAGGAGTCAAGATCTGTGTCGCCGCCTGTACATCGTAAGACGAAGCGAATGAGCAATGCAGATCAGTCGCCGGAGAAGTCGAAGCCATCTCCTAAGATCAAGCTGCGTTTCAATGCCTCGAGATATACCGTTCCTGCACCCCATCCGCAGGCACAGATACCTTCACCCCCGCACCCTCCGAAGCTCAATCTTCATCAACTGATTGAGCACTTTGAGTTGAAGGAGCTGCAACAGCCTTACATGGAGAATGACAGAGGCCCACCTGATGCGGATTTCTTCGTGCAACGCGCGGCGAAGCAGGCTGTTGAAGAGGCTGCTATGCGGCAGAGATTGTTGAAGGAAGCCCAGCCTGGAGGTGCTCTCAGCAAAGACCACTTGAGCCTGTTCCAGGACGATCGACAGCCTGAACCGCCGCAGCAGTACAGTCACCATGACCATTTGGTAGCTCACGCTCTGTACTTTCGCCAATTGCAGCAGCGCGAAAAGACTCAGCATAAGCTTCTTGCCAAAAAGCTTGCCTATGAAGCTGTTGAGAAGTGGAAGACTATCCACGGGCCCACCGAGGAAGACATCCTGGCTGAAGAAATCAAGACCTTTGAGCTTATCAAGAAACAGGTCGTGGCGGATATGAAAGCCATGTGGCAGATGGTTGAACTGCACGTGCAGGATAGGAAGAAGAGGGAGTGGGAAGCGGAGCAAGAGAAAATAAGAGCCGAAAAGCTGCAGAAGAAGCTTGAGTACAGCGAGAACTTACTGGCCAAGCAGCGTGGTGATCTGGATAGCGACGTGGACATGGACGAGGACAGCACCGGGGATGTCGAAGAGCCTGAAGAGAGCGAGGACGACGTTGAGGAGAACATGACTGATTCTGAAAGCGGCTCCTCAAAAGCAGACGAAGATGAAGGCGAAATGGATGAAGACGCTTTGGCTGCGTATCTTGCGCAGAGGCAGGCTGAACCTCCTGACAAAGCCGCAGAGAACGCTGTACATGAGGATGACGACGGAGATGAACGCATGAACGATGTCGAAGCTAGCGAGTTGCCGACGCCCAGTATGGAGAACGACGCCGGTGAAAACCTGGATGCAACGCCGAAGCCACCGGTTGAAGATGAAGAGAACGACGTCGAGAATGACGATGACACGACTGAGCATCGAAGACGAAGCAGCAGGCGAGGCCCAGGGTCCGAATCTGCTTCTCCTACACGCGAAGCGGCTGAGGTGGAAGACCACCTTTCGTCTGACGAATCTACGGATATGGATTCGGAAGACTACGACTCTGACGAGGACACGAGCAGTACTGGTGATGAGGCAGAAGGCGGTAACGATGATGATGAAGATGATGAAACGGCCACCGAGGACCAGCAGGCATCTTCCAAACTGCGAACCTCACTCTTAGGCTTTTACACGCCACAAGAACTGTTGCGAGAGAAGGAAGGAGGTCTGCCGACCCCCATGACCAGTGTAGAGAACGGCGGCGACAACAATACCGAAAATGCTCGGTCCGGCTCTGAGGCCAGATCGGACGACCAGGCGAATGCTGGTGCAATTGCTGACCACAAGAGGAAGTCAAACGACCAGGACACAGCTATTGTGAACGAGCCGTCAACCAACTCTCAGCAAGAGCCAATCGCCGAGTCAGACGCAAAGCAAGACTTAACCGCCGAGCCATCTTCAAACCCTCTGCCTGAAGATGAGGAACCTGGAGAGAGCCATGCTGATGAAGATGTGGGAATGGACAAGAAACCTGACTCAGAGGCAGTCGATGAACCTTATGGAAAATCGCTCGTCCCTACACCAAGTCTGCTGCGCGGCACCCTTCGTTCATACCAGCAGGCTGGTCTCGACTGGCTAGCGTCACTGTACCGCAATGGAACAAATGGCATTCTCGCAGATGAAATGGGTCTTGGCAAGACGATACAGACCATTGCCGTTCTGGCGCATCTGGCAGAAGTGTATGAAGTCTGGGAAACTCATTTGGTGATTGTGCCAACATCAGTCATTCTGAACTGGGTCACCGAATTCCAAAAGTTCTTACCTGGATTCCGCGTTCTTGGATACTACGGCACTGCAGATGAGCGAGCTCACAAGCGCCGTGGCTGGACAAATGATCCGCACCATGATAACAAAGAGAAACGAGGCTACAACGTTGTCATAACGAGCTACAATGTTGCGATGCAGGACATCAACGCGATTCGGGCTGTTCAGTGGCACTATCTGATTCTGGACGAGGCGCACAACATACGCAACTTCAACAGCCAGCGGTGGCAAGTTCTTATTCGGCTAAGGACCAGAGCACGACTGCTGTTGACGGGCACTCCGTTACAGAACGATTTGGCGGAACTCTGGTCACTGCTAACATTCCTCACAGCTGGCGATGATGATCAGTCGCAAGGAGCACTTGAGGAGTTTCTCGGCCATTGGAAAGATCCAGTGAAGGAGATTTTCGACCAGGGTGTCCAGAAGATCTCCGAAGAAGCTCAACGTGTCGTCGGGCAGCTGCACATATCACTGCGCCCATTCCTTCTGCGCCGCAAGAAGATCGAGGTCGAGAAAGATCTTCCCAAAAAGACCGAGAGTGTCGTGGTGTGCAAGCTGAGCAAGCGTCAACGACAGCTGTACCAGGACTACATGGGCCTGGCAGAGACAAAAGCAACCCTTGCAAAAGGTAGTGGCGTGCAAGCTGGCGCTGTGTTGTTGAGCTTGCGAAGAGTCTGTAACCATCCAGATCTGTTCGACCCTCGGCCAATCCAAACAAGCTACGCAATGGAGTTCAGTCCACTCGAAGTATTCGGTGTCAAGGAACAGGTCGTTCGACGACTTCTGGGCGTTGCCGACTCCCTGCCCCAGAAGCTACTTGTTTCCTGTCACGAAGAACGTCGACGCAGCACTCTGCAAAGGTCTCGACGATTGAATGCTTCTGCCATACTGCAACGAGAGGCTCAAACGATGGAAGATGCGCTGGGAGACCGTAACCCAGATCCTTCTACCTTGGCCGGCACCAGAGCACTGCAACGGCTGCGACGACGGGAGGGAAAGCTTCGGCAACTCCGCGCTTGCATCCAGGTGAGCGATTCAGCGTTACGCGACACACCTGTGTATGGATCCGACCTTCGTGAAGTGGTGACCCTTCACACGGACAGGACCTATATTTTCAAGCCTCGCACGCCACCGACGTACACTCATATGCAAAGTCGCCTCAGACTTGGACGCAAACCCCTCAGGTTTGAACACATGAGCGACTGGCATCTCGCCCAGACGACGCAGTTGCAGCAAGATGTAGCAACTCTCGAGAGCTACGGGGAAAGACTTCACGAGACTATCGTGAAGTTCACATTTGTGCCGCCGGCTGCAACAGTTCCAATCCTGGACTACGCCATTCCAAAGGAGACTCAAGAGCTGTTGAGGTCATCGCCAGCCTATCCAGTGGATAGCGACTTTGGTCATGAGGCTCGTGTCCGCGCCTCGATTGCTTTCCCTGACAAGCGTCTGTTGATTTACGACTCGGGCAAGCTACAGCAGCTGGTGCACCTCCTCCGCAATCTGCAATCACGCGGCTCACGAAGCTTGATCTTTACGCAAATGACAGGTACCCTCAATGTTCTGGAGCAGTTCCTCAACCTCCTCAACCTACCCTATCTTCGACTGGACGGAAGCACGCCCGTTGAACGACGGCAGCTGTATTCGGCCGAGTTCAATCGACCTGATTCGAAGTACCAGTGCATGATACTGTCGTCTCGCGCTGGAGGCGTGGGTCTGAACTTGACTGGTGCTTCATCAGTCATCTTCTACGACCTCGACTGGAATCCGCAGATGGACCGTCAATGCATGGACCGTGCGCATCGTATCGGACAAGTCAGAGATGTCGAGGTGTACAAGATGGTAAGCGAGAAGACCGTGGAAGAGAACATTCTGCGTCGCGCAAATCAGAAGAGCCTGCTTGATCAGACCGTCATTCAAGAGGGCCAGTTCACGACTGAGTACCAACATCCGAAGAAAGAAGAGGAAGAGGTCGAGGCAGGCGATGATGAAGTTGGGGTCGCAATCGAGCGCTTCCTCGGCGGTGAAGACAAGAACAAGGCCAAAGTGCTCGAATCGATCGAAGACAAAGAAGACGTACAAGCAGCACAACAAGCAGCGAAAGAGGACCGGCAGGACGACGTTGACTTCGCAGATCGATCGTCGAAGGGAGCGTCCAAGGCTAACACCCCGGGCGTGTTCGGGGCAGACGAAGTCGATCCCATTGAAGAGGAGAGAAATGGCCATGTCGACAAGTACATGATCAAGAGCATGGAGTATCTGCTCAAGGACTGGGTGTACGTGCCTCCACCTGTCCGCAAACTGGACAAGCACGGGCGAGATCCAAGTCACCGGCCAAAGAAGAGGCGGTAGGAAGCAGCAACAGTATCGACTTGCATTATTCGTGGGTGGTGACAGCATAGCGAGGCGTTGGTGGTTGTGGTAGCATGCAGTCCGGTGAGACATGTTTGTAGAATAGGAAAAAGAATCAATCAAAGAATCATTGCAGTGCCAAGCTGCCAGCAAGCACGGGATACTTCAGTACTTCGCAAGTGAGAGTCCGGTCGCCCTGTCATTCGTAGAAGATAGGCGTGAGTGAGTCTGCTGTGCACTGGTGGCGTCGTGGTCGAACGGGTACCTGCGTGGTGAAGAAAGGCACGTGGGCGTCTGTGAGGCTGTGGAGAGAAGATCACCAGGAGGCTCGTGTGCGCACATGCCGAAGCGAGATCGGGAGCGAGCCGCGAGCCGGGGAAGAAAAAGTGAGCAAGCACCAATGGCCGTTGACCTCATTCTCATCACCATGCCACCCCCATCTTCTTCCACCACCCCGTCTGGTCGCCGTGCGGCAGCACACTCCGACCTCGATCTCAGCTTTACCGCCTCCGCCATGAACAAGTGAAAACTCACCACCGTCGCGACACGCCAGCCCTCCTCAGTCTGCGACGACCGCTGCGCCGAACAGTCAAAGTGGGACCCGCTCGACCACTACCGAGCTCTTTGGTTCAGAACATTTCCAGCCTGATTAACTAAATACCTACGATCATCAAACGCGACTAAACGCGACAGCAACTGCCGTCACTCTTCGTCCTCCCTCGCAGCCTTGCGCCCACGACCACCCACCCTACCGCGACCATGGTGCGCAATATCTTGCTCTTCTCGGGCTCCTCCCACCCGAACCTCACCGAAGGCATATGCACGCACCTGGGCATTCCACCGGCCAAGATCCACCTCTCCAAGTTCAGCGTCGGCGAGACACGTGTTGAGGTCGGCGAGAGCGTGCGCGGCAAGGACGTTTTCATCGTCCAGTCGGCATGCTCCACCAAGCAGAATGGAAATGGCGCGGGCATGTCTCTCAACGATGGCCTGATGGAGCTGCTCATCACGATCAGCGCCTGCAAGACGGCGAGCGCCAGGAGAGTCACGGCAGTGCTCCCACTCTTCCCATACTCGCGACAGAGCGACCTTCCCTACAATAAGGTTGGCGCTCCTCTCGCGCGCATGCCTGCAAAGACTGGTGAGGATGGAAAATACACATTCGACTCGAGGCCCAGCACACCAGGCCCGAGCAGCCATCCAAGAGACGAGAAGTTGGAGAAGAAGTTGAATGGCATGCACCTGAACGGAGAGCTCAAGATGCCGAGGAGGAAAGATACCCTGGATAGTGTCCAGTCGGACGTCTCTGTCAGCTCAGCATCGGGCTCTCAAAACGGTGCACCGTCGAGACCAACTCCCACTTCTGCGCCAAGCTCTACCACCCCGACGGCTGTCATCCCACCAGAGTTCAAACCTCAGCGAGGCTACAAGCAGTGGGTTGCGCAAGCTGGAACACTCGTCGCAGATCTCCTCACGTGCGCTGGCGCCGACCATATCATTACTATGGACCTGCACGACCCTCAGTATCAGGGGTTCTTTGACATTCCTGTCGACAATCTGTACGGTAGACATCTTCTGAAGCGGTACATCACACACGAGATTCTGCCGAAGGAAGGCGGCGCAGACAACTGCGTCATTGTGAGCCCAGATGCCGGAGGTGCAAAGCGAGCGACGAGCATTGCAGACTCGTTGGGTATAGAGTTTGCTCTAATCCACAAGGTAAGTTGAAGCGTTGAACCTTACCACCTTTCGGTCGAAATGGCCAAAGGTGCTAATGAATCCAACAGGAGCGTCGAAACCCGGCGCATCAGTCGAACGTGGCCCATCCAAGCAGTGCACTATTGCTCGTGGGTCAAGTCAAGGGCAAGATTTGCATCTTGGTGGACGATCTGGCGGACACGTCGAACACAATCACCAGAGCCGCCAAGCTCCTGAAAAAAGAAGGAGCTGAGAAGGTTTACGCGCTGGTCACCCACGGTGTGCTCAGCGGGGATGGAGTGGATAGGATCTTCCACTCAGTGTTGGACAAGGTATGCCCTTCGAACATCACATGAAACTTATGACGATTCTGACTTCAGATCCAGGTTGTTGTAACCAACAGCGTCCCCCAAGACGACCACGTCCACCGCATGGACGAACTCGCCGCACAACACGGCAGACCAGCCGGCAAGCTCGAGGTCCTCGAAGTCGCAGGCGTCTTTGCTGAAGCGATCCGCCGCGTCCATCACGGAGAGAGTATCAGCGTCCTCTTCCAGTACGACTAGGTGCCTGCTGGAAAAAGGATGCCGTTCTCTACATGCTCCTGATTCGATCGACCTACCTACTACACATGCGGATACCGACCTATGAACTGGCGTAATCAAATCGAGAACCGAGACGTATGTTGCGAGTGTGTTGTGCTGCGTTCACGGAGGAATTGCGTGCGAGGCGGAGTAAGGACAGGAGGCTTTTCACGTGCTGCGATGCGATGCGAGGAGTGGATCGATTTCTTGAGCGTTCTCACATGCCAATGCTGCTCCATAGATGAGCAAAGACGGGTGGTATAGACTACTGCCCTATTCAAACTTGACGAGATTGAAACTCCCTTCATCTCGCTACTGAAGACAATACATACAAACCTAATGATGAAAATTGAGTGAGGACTTGAGAAATGGAAGGAGGTCTTGAAATCATGATTCCCACGCTTCAATCTATACGTCAATGCTTTCTGGTTTGTATGCGATGCGATGCGAAGAGCTGTACGTGACGAAGAATGAAACACCGCTCCCAGTGCAGAAAGCCATGCAAAAGGATGCTGTTTTTGCCGTCCCAAACAAGAACCATGTCACTCCCCATGCCATCATGAATTCAACAACCCAAAACAAAGCCAGCCAACGCCATATTCATGCCCGCCCCTGTCACATTTCATCACCCAACCACAGGCTTCCTCGCCAACGCCTCCAAGAAACCCGCCAAATCCTCCTTCCTCACCTCCACAACACTGTGCTCGAACGAATCGATCCTCATGCGCGCCCCCGTCTCCTCGACGACTTCCTGGAAAGCCTGGCCGAAGCGGTTCAGACCCCGCGAGCGTTTCTTCGAGGTCTCTTCGTCGTCGTCGGAGTCATCCGAGTCCTCGTTGGAGGAGCGCGAGGAGACGCTCTCCGTCTCGGCTTCGGATTCTTCGTCGTCGTCTTCGACGTCCGAGTCGAGCAGGCCGTTAGCTTCCATTCGTTCGCGTCTCAGGATCCTGCGTTCTTCCTTCTTCCGGGCACGCTCGGCTTTCTGTGCGGCTTTCTCAGCGGCTTTGCGTTTCTTTCTCTCCTCCCGCTCCTTGATTTCAGCTTTGGAGCGGATCTTCCCCGTCGCGCTCCAGCCATTCCCGCCTCCTAAACCGACGACGACGTAGACGCTGCGGCTTTCGTCTAACGCACCCAGAACGAGAGCGTCGTCTTTACGTTTGTGAACTTTGCGGCCTTTCTCGCTGTCGAGCACGGCAACGGCTTCGCCCACCCATGCTGCGAGTCGGACGAGGGCGCCGGGGTGGGTGAAGAGTGGAACGTCGGGGCCTTCTTTTACCACGCCCATGCGGAAGGCGCTGAGGTGGCGGATTTGTTTCTTGCTGATCAGAGCGGAGCCGACGCGGAGAATGGCTTTGTAGAGGTTCTGTGCTGAGGAGATGCTCTTTTGCAGAGTGCTCAGGCCTTTCGTGGGTGCTAAGGAGTCGTATGCGCGGAAGAATCGTTGCGTGATGTAGTCTGGTACGTCTGCTGCTGCGTCGTCTCCCATGCCATCGTCCGAAGAGTGAGGCGGTGTTGGCAGGTTGCGTACACGGGTGTTGTAGTTTGGGTCTGAAGAGGATCGCGAATCTAGCTTGAGATCAGGGAAGAGGTGAGCGTCTGTCCCAACTTCCAGTATGGCGCCAACGACAATGGCGACGTCCTCAGCACTCAGCGTCCCTCGCCAGCCCCATGATCGTACGAACCCCCATCCCTCCATACCGTTCCTGCCGTTGTCACCAGGTACCAGGCCATCGAGATTGTACTGCTCTGCAAACTTGAGAATGCGTTTCCGTAATGTCCTCTTTAGTTCAGTGTCCATATGCAGGTACCCTTTGCCAGCTTCATTCAGACTGACGCCCATCTTGGCAAGCAGTTTGTGCATGCGCTTCTTGCCCGAGTCTGACCAGACGTGGAGTCGCGTGGCTAAGTATGGAGAGTGCAGCATGGAGTCGTACAAGCTCCAGTGGCGGATCAACAAGAATCGTGGCTCTGGTGAAAGTCGAATGCTGTTGTCTGTCGGACTCCTGGCTGTCGTAGGAATGATGGCTTCAGCGCTTTGTGATCGCTGGAGTTCGCCTTCTGGTATAGGATTTAGTCGTATAACTTCCTCTTGTAGTAGGGCTCGTATTTGATTTAGCTTGATTGCAGAGCCAGACGGCATGCTAGCAACTGAGCTGACACCGACAATGGCTAACCACAAAAGCTCGTTGTCTTCTTTTCCCAACTCCGAGGCGAGGGAATAGATCATGCTGCTGACACACTCGGCGCTGCTCGTTCCAAGATCATAATACTTGTCAAGTGTTGCTTCGTGTTTCCGTCTCAACTTGAGCAGTTCCTTCCTCAGCTGCTTTGCAGACTTCTGGCGCTGTTTCGGTGGTGATGATGGCATTGGTGGGGGTGTCGAACCGATATCTACTTGCGCTGAAAGTGGGTTACCGCCTGGTGAAGACGGAATCGGGATGGAATCGCTCGAGTTGCTTCGTCGTCTTCTCCTGGGCCGATCATTCTCTTCATCAGAGTCTAGCTCATCATCTGAACCGTCAGGAGATGAGGTACGCTTGCGTTTCTGGCCAGCACTTGACGGCTCATCATCCTCCTGGTCAGCATCCTCGTCGTCCTGCTCACCCTCGTCGAGAGCTAGGTCGTCCTCAGTGATTTCTGGCATATTCTGCAGGGCAAAGTAGGCTTCCTTCTCTGATGTCAACTCAGCTTCAAGATCGCCATCATCCCAAACAATGATGCCGCCTTGGCCGGACTTGTAGCCAGGGGTGATTTTGCCTTCGTGAACTCCAACCCGCCTTCGCACAACCTCAGCTCCATCATCGCCTTGTTGTATGATGGTAGGAGTGCCGAAGACATTCTCCAAATTCCAAGGCCTATGCGAATCGATGACCCAAACCTCCACCCCATGCTCGTCCATTGCTTCTCCTTGTATGGCTCCATCTTCTGTCGTGCCGCTCAGACCTAGCATGTCCTCCAGAGCTACGGTCCCTCCAAGGCCAAGGCAAGCCACTGTCCCACCATCCCCGCCACGTTGTCGCGTGAGAGGGAGGACGAGCTCAGCTCCAGCGCGTTGAAGATCGGCATATCCAGAGACGGGAATGATAGTGTGAGGTATGAAATCGCGTTTCAGCAAGCTTGTGAGTATCCGTGTGGCACATAGGCTGTCCACGGTGAGGGAAGTGAGGACGAGTACGGGCGAGGATGAAGGGTGGGTCGTTCGGATTAGGTCTGTGTACAGTTGCGATATTTGCTGTCGCGGGAGATACATGTTGGTCGCTCACGTGTGGTCGGGGGCTTATGATGCTCGAGTCGTCTGCGTAGGGCTGAATAGGGCATTGAGCAGTTCGTCGTCCGGGAAAGTGTTGTATTCTGTATCCAGTGGGAACAGAGTCGAGTCGAGGCGGGACGCGTCCGGGAGAGTGTCTCTCTTTCCAGCAGGACTGTGGGAATTTAGAGCCGTGATCTCTCTAGCTGACAGCCTCGTGGCCGAAGGGCTGCGACATGCTAGGCCGGGCGCAATTGTTGTGGAAAGCTGTTACTGAAGACAATACATGTGCACCATGTTGATGCGAAGACGCGCTTGGGATCGAGCACGCGCCGTGAGGTAGCGCCGGTCGCTCCCGCATTAGCGTCAAATGACGTTGGGTCGGTCTTGCTCCAAGGCGCAAGGCTGCTTCTTGCAACGACAATATTCTCAAGTACATTCATTGACTTCTCAGCCGACAGCCTAGATCTCAAAGGACACGACTTGCCTCGACTACCTGGGCGAACGACCTGGAGTCTTTGGACTCGAAGTCGCGATTCTGACGGCTCGTGCTCCTCGGCTTGCCGCTGACACCTCCAAGCTCGATCCCGATCGTTCACCTGCCGCGTTTCAACCCAACGTGGTTTCTCTTCCACCATCACATGCGGTTTAAATCATCACATCGGCACCGCCAGCTTACATGACCAGCCCAAGTGGCTGTTCGATGCCGAAACCATTCATGGGGGCCCGTAGCGTCGTTGAGAACCAGCACCGAAAACTGCCTGAGGCCGACCCCGACTCAGCTTCCAGTGACCACGACTCAATGCTCGACGCCGATCGCCTGCGATGAGCCAGCCATGACGTCGATTTCGCGAACCCGCTCAGGAACACATGTTCACGCATTGAGCATCGTATGTCCTAGAGCGGCATTGAAATTGTACCAAAGCAGTGGGAAACGAGAAGGTAATTATATCTGCTGGAGCCAGTCTTTCGGCGCTGTTCTGAGCCGCACTTCCTTGCTATACAACCACCACGAGAACCATTGGCCGCATGCCCAAATACCAGACTGACTCTGTAAACTTCCACATACAAAGCAAAAGCACCCAAAGGAAGACCTGGCGTCCTATTTTCTCTCCGATCTCTCGTGAGCTCTTCTGCGATCATGCCTGACCACAGCGATCGAACGTCACCGTCCTGCAGGTACTGACTCGAGATGCACCAAATGAACATTCCCCGGACGGGAGGCTTGCATACCCAGCCGACAGACCTCACCTGGTTGGATCCTCACTGCTTTCTTCCCTCTCAGCGTTTTGTGCCTGACAGTCGTCGCTGATAGACCTCTGCGGCTCTCAGTCAGTGGCGCTTCCGTCACCCTCGGCCCTCTGCGCTCGCATCCGCCAACAACCATATCGACTTGATAGAGTTTGACTTCATCGAACGATATCGTGGCCTTGGGCGATGAAGGCAACATTGGACATCGTGAGATTGTCACATGCGTGACTCGACATATGTTCGCACCGCTGAGTCCGCACGTCTGATAGCCCTTTTCAGGTACGGTTCAGGAACAGCTCCAGTAGGGAGGCTGGAGACACAAGTCAGTAATCCCTCTGCTCAGGATGTAGATATAAGCCCTCTCAGTTGAGCCGTCTTTGCATTCGACATCAGGGACCTATCTCTTCTCTGTTCTGCTACATCCCTCCTCTTAGCAAGACTGCTATACCTTTTGCCCAGATCGAAGTCTTCCCCGTGCATCTTGTCCATCGTTCCATATCGAACTGCAATAGCATCAGCACCAGGACAGACATGGCCGCTCTTCGAGAGATGCCCTCGCTGGAGGGCCGCACCCTCCACACGGGAAGGTCGAATGAGGACGACTCTACCAAGTCTGGGCCAAAGGATAGCCTGTCCCTGAACAGTCCACCACCAGGAGCATTCCCCAATCTGGAGAATGGTCCACCATCTGGCCGTCGCCCAAGTCACAAGACGTCAATGACCCTCATCCAGCCTCGTACCTGGATGGGTCTTCAGCCTCAAGCACCACTTCAAGAAGAACACGATGAATTCGAGCACAACGCTCTGTGGTGGTCGAAGGTCAAGATTACCCTCAAGGAGCCGTTCGCTGAGATGTGGGGTACCTTTATCTTGGTCCTCTTCGGTATGTGCAGGTGTTATCTTCATTCGATCGTCAATACTAATACATTCGCCAGGATGCGGTGGCATTGCTCAAGTCTCGCTTGGCAAGAACTTCCCAAATACCTCTCCTGATGGCATCGGCTATGGCGACTGGCAGAGCATCAACTGGTGCTTCGGCTTGGGACTGATGTTGGGCGTCTACGTTGCTGGTGATAGCGGTGCTTACCTCAAGTAAGTGAATCTTGCTCTTCATGAAGCGAGCGACCAAGCTAACGACTGCTACAGCCCTGCTGTCACTTTCACGAGCTGCGTCCTACGCAAGCTCCCATGGCGACGCATGCCACTCTACGTCCTGGGCCAACTCATTGGAGGTTTCCTCGCAGCCGGCGTCGTCTACGCCAACTACATCAACAGCATCAACGCAGCCGAAGGTCACAACATCCGCACTGTACCACCAGCGGCCAACGCAACCGCCGGCATCTTCGCCACGTACCCAGCATCGGATTTGACCAAGGCCAGCCAGTTCTTCGAACAGTTCATCGCGAGCAGTCTCCTCATGTTCTTGATCTTGGCTCTGCAGGACGACTCCAACAAGGGCAGCTTCATCGCCAGCGGATCTTGGTTCCCACTGTGCTTGTTCTTCGTCATGGTAAATCATACCCTCCTTCATACAACCTCCTCCTCCACTAACACCCATCCCAGTTCGGCATCGGCGCCGCATTCGGCTGGCAAACCGGTTTCGCCATCAACCTCGCCCGTGACTTCGGCCCGCGCCTGTGGACCTACTGCGTCGGCTACGGCTCCGACGTCTGGTCCGCCGGAGGGTACTATTTCTGGATCCCCATGGTCGCGCCTTTCCCGGGCTGCCTCTTCGGCGGCATCCTCTACGACTTGTTCATCTTCACGGGCCAGAGCCCCATCAACCAGCCCTGGTTCGGTCTCGGCCAGCTCGTCAACCCGAGGAAGGCGATCCAGGACCGTTTGAGGCATCAGAAGGAGCAGGGACTTGTGTAGAGAGGTGAAAGCTTCTTGCACATGAGTATCCTGACAGGATCAACAGAACAGGATTGGAAGAAGAGATAGGGAGGGAATGTACTGCTACTCGTCTCAGTGCATGGGAGGAATTGTGAATTAAAAAAACTTGAAAAAGGGGGTGACACAGCACCTAACTCTCGGGACTTTTGTGAAAATGGGTATCGAACGGCACCATTGGGTTGGGTCTCCTTGTGTAAAAGGGTATTCTTGTACAATAGTATGAATGAACGAATGGAACCAAATCTGACCAAAAAACCGCATGGGCCATTTCATATGTGTGTACGAGCGACTAATCTACTACGAGATCTTGTGTTTCTGGAAAAAGAATGAACGCCTGATCCCCTTCATCACAGATTACGATAAACCTGTCCTCACATCCTCCTTCAACCTCCATTTCGATCGTGTGACAGTTCACATCAAATGATACCTCGCCCCCAAGACCCCCCTCGGCGTAACCGTCGAATTCGACGGCACCGCAACAAACGCCGGATCAAGCCTGACCTCCACAACCGCACACGTCTCCGGATTATTCTCAAACAACTCCCGGCTCCCCAACGCCAACAGCCGATTCTCATTCAACCCCTCACACAACGCGAACACCTCCCCAGCCCCCACGGACGTCGCGCTCAGCGTCCCGTTGCACGCGCTCACGCCGAGGATGTCCTGGTCACGCGGGACCTGCTCGGGGTTCTGCCAGAAGAGGAAGGGGATGTCGTTGGGGGCGACTTCCGTCAGGACGGTGAGGAAGAGGTTGTTGTTGACGAGTTCGGAGTCGGCGTTGATGGCGAAGTCGTTGCCGCCGGCGTCGGGGTAGAAGGCGAGGGCGCGGCCGTCGTTGACGTCGATGGCACGGCCGGTGAGGTTTTGGGAGTCGAGGGTGACGGTTAGGCGGAAGGAGGTGGGGATCGGGGTGGCGGTTGTTAGGGTTGTTGTTGTGTAGGAGGTGCCGGTTGTGGTGAGTACCGGGACGATGTTGGGGACCTGATTTGGGAGGTTTAGCTGAGGGTAGGTTGTGGAGAGGGGGGTGTCTTACTGTGGCATTTCTTGATTCGATGCTAGTCGTTGTGACTGTCGCCAGGGAGATGCTCGTGCTTGTAGTGACGCCGCTGGTTAAAACGCCTCGATTGTTCCGCTGCAGAAAGGTTAGATAGATCCTTTCTTGAATTGATAAAAGGTAAGCTCGACTTACAGTCAAAGTTAACGTGACAGTAGTGCCAGTCGGAACGATCTCTGTCTCAGTTATCGTGGTCGCGGACGGCAGGCTATCGACCACGCAGCTACAGGCCGCATTGATGCCATTGTTGTTCCTGTAGCGGGCCAAGTAGGCCGAGCACGAGGCCGTAGGGTTAGCCTGGCGCTTGGCCCTCTGCGGTTGTGCTGTGGCAGTAGGGATATCGCCTGAGCAGATGTAGTCGTAGGAGGTGATGGTCTCTGTAGCTTGTACAGGAATGAAACTTGTGCTCTGGCCGCTCGTGATGGTGTAGTTTTGAGTCACAGTGCTGCGAATGTCAGGAAGACTTCTTTTGGCGTTTGGAAGATACTTATCACGTCGTCTCTGTCACCACCGAGGAACTGCAAGATATCATTAGCTATGTCTTTTGCAAGAGGGATATGGCAAGCGTACTTCGTGACGATGTTGGTCGAACTGAATGCGGTAGAGCTGAAGATGGTGGTGTAGACAGTCGTTGTAGGGTTCCTAGAACGCTCAGCTCTCTGGGCAATCCCAACGGCATACTAGGTAGGCAAGACACACGTCGTAATGGTGGCTGTGGTCGTGACTTCTGGCACGAAACCATCACAGAAGCTTGGCACGAGCGAAGGAAAGCTATTGAGACAATCGACTGCAGAGCTGGTAGGTCCAACGTCGCAAGTATTGGCTGAGGTGGGCGCCGGTGTCGTCGTGGTGTCGGCCTGCCTTCGCTCCCATTGTGTCTGGGGTATGGCAAGGGCGATGGACGCCAGTGAAAGGATGAAAGTCTTCTGAACGATCGACATGCTTGCGGTGCACAGTGGAGAAACGAGGGTAGGTGAGATGGTGTGCAGAAGAGGAGCCAGGCTGTAGGAAAGGAGGGTACATATACTGTCCCGTTGCTCACCGTCGGCCAATTCGATTTCAGCTTGAGGTGTCCTGATCAGAAATGCCCGACGTTCAGCTCGCCGTTTGAAAGAGGACCATCATGCACACAGCATCTGTTCAATACTGGCTTGCACCAACTGTCGTGGTTGGTGATCAGAACTCGACGAATGATAGCATTGACCGCCACCGGAGTATTCAACTAGCAGCCCCGACAGTCCGGAAGACTTCATCTTCCAAGGCCGTCATGATGAACTTGTAACCTGGAGGCTTTGACTGCTTGCCATCGCGGACACAAAACGTTATGTGCTAGCGTGAAGCCAGCCTGACACAGCATCTTGTTCTTTATGCACCCCTGCACTAGTGGGCGATGCGACACTTGCGGGGTGACGTTCCACAAGCCTCCAGACTTCGATCGGGCAATTATGGCTTTTCCGTGAGACGGTGTGCCATCGAGTACGAAGTCTGACAAAGGTTCCTTTGAAACCAAGAGATGAAAAGGATCGAGGGCCAGTGCAGTTGTCTTCAGCTCAGTCCTTTGGGGTTATGTATCAGAAGCCGTAAACGGGAAAAGGTCATTCTTCAGGAGCAATCGATGCAGCGTGGCAATGTTCACTGCGGGTGCCACGTCTTTGGCTTGAGACGAGGCTTGTCTAGAATCTCGCATCTGAAGGGTGAAGCACGCCCCGCTGAAATGGCCCTTGTCTGCAGTTTTCGGGACGCGGGAGTCTTGCCTCATCTGCCCGATGCGTTTCGCCTTCATGCTTCACTCGGAGCATGATGTCCCTCAGCCGGAAGCTTGGTCATGTTCTACCAGCCGTGATGTCCTGTAAGCCATGTATGACTTCGACCTTGGTGCTCTGACAATGTCCGCTTCGATGCAAGCAATCGAATCACCTTCCAGCGACCTTGTGATAGGGCAATGTGCTTCTGGGCTGCCATCTCTTGAGCAGTCTTCAAAGCGACCTGCTTTGTAAATGGGGGCCAGCAGGTGGCTCACACTGCCTTCTGTCCGCTGTGTTCGACAAGTTGAAGCTCACCCATAATGAGTTGTAAGGAGCTGTGAGCTCTACGTGAGCGACCACAGGCTCCGTTGATGAAGCCTTGATGGCTTCACCAAATCCCAGAGCCGCCTCCGCCTCGCAAGGAACTGTGTCTGAGAGATTTCAGTCAGCGTCGGCGGTCAGGACAGGTTCACCTGAGCCAATAATTACCGGTAGAAGACCCACACACCGTCTTCAGGCTGCCGCTCCCAGAAACTGACACCACAAGATTCTCGTGTCACTAGCCTGCCATTTGACATCCACTTCTCGAGTGTGGTGAAGTACACTTCAGCGGTTCGAGTGCCGCGGTGAACCTTGGCAGTGTAATTGTAGGCCTCCGCTACGTACGTGGGATTTTCTTGTTGGAACTTCTCCCAGACCTTGAAATGGTCTTGCCGGCCACGGAAATGTGGCAGCGGGCCATCGCCCAGCATCGTTCCAGCATCGTTCCAAGTGAAGTCCTTGTGCACGTGCCTGTTGATAAACGAGGAGTTGCGGAAGTTGGGAGAAAGGTATTCAGCCATTAATCTGCGGCACAAATCCTCGAGATAGCGCGCCGTGGAGGTGTAGTTGAGTACCTCGAGGTAGGTTTGGTCTTCATCGGACTCATCAGCCGGTCGTGGTGGAGGAGATTCAGTTGACATTGCTGGAGTGGTTGTTCTTGTTTGTCATATGATTACATGCCCTGCTGGCCAGGATCGCGCTCGAAGTCAACCCCCAAAGAGGTCTGCGGCCGGGGACAGCAAGATGTCAGATCTTGATGTGCAAGCATGCGTCGCGAACAGACTGTCCCCTGGACAATACAGTGAAGGACTCTCCCTGCGACTTGGAGTGGTATGTTCCATGATGCGCGCCACCGAGAAGTGTGTGGCTGTTGGAGAGGATGAGGGTGAAATTAGACTCCATTTTGGCGTCATTGGGCAGTCTCAACGGGCGGTGGCCGGGGTCACCTCGAGGGGAAAATACCACCTGCCTTCCAGGATCCCAATGCAACGTCGAAATCGATGCCTATCAGCGGCCATAAACCATCTCTAGCAAACAACAAAATGGCCATACTTGCCCGATGCGTTCGCCCTTGGTGAGGAACTCCAAGACTCGATGCGGAAGATGGTCGCCATGAAAAGCGGACGCGTGCTGGCTCTGTGCATCGCATTCCTCATATCACATGTCGCTGGTCAAGAGAGTACGCCGATCGGAGGATTGTCTGGTAGCCACACTGATATCCCCAGATGGTGTGGCAAGCCATACGAAGCCGGGTAAGCTTTCAGACCCTTGGACTGTTGTGTCACGACTGAAGTTTGACTACAGGTCTCCCAACTTCAACCCCGGAGGTCAAATCGAACCTCCAGCACCATCGCCGAGTTTGTTGCTCGACCTTAAAGTGACGCCCCGACATAGCATATACGACAGTAGCGAAAGCAAGGCGGACTTTATCGTATCTGCTACTCTGTCCCATACCCATGGAGATCCCATTTCTGGAAATGAAGGCCACTGGTGGTGGGGCGGAAGACCCAGCCATTCTGGCGACCTCGACATTACTATCGAAGTGGAGGGGAACAGGAGCCCGCTAGTATCTGGTAGACTGGCGATGAACTCGACTGCAAAGCTATTCGATTTCGATCTCACCAAACTCGAGCCACGCCTCGAACCATACCCAATCGTCTTGGTTGCAAGACCGGCGCAGGGGAGAGGCAAGCGCTCCTACAATGCGGAAACCGAGCTCTACTATCTTCCAGCAAAGAGTAGTGGCAGCACCGTCAAGATCGACAATCTCCACGGAGGCATGCTTGTTGCAAACAACGTGTCGAACTACGCTTTCGAGCCTATCGTACCTTTCGGATTCTACACCAGCTGCTCTGGATACCTTAACTACAGTCTGGCCAACGTAACTGCATATAAGGATATGGGCTTTAATGCGATCAATCCAGTCTGTGCCTTTACGGACGGCGATCTTGGATACCTTTTCGATTGGATGGACTCCGTGGACCTCTGGTATCAATACGATATGCGTGGCTCATACTTGAATTTAACGTCTGTTGCCGAACAAATACCACTCGTGAAGGATAGATCGAACCTACTAAGTTGGTATACTGCTGATGAGCCTGATGGATGGCAGTATAATCTGAGCTCTACACGAAGAGCCTACGATTTGTTAAAGAAGGAGGACCCATACCATCCGACAGGTCTTGTTCTCAACTGTCAAGATTACTACTTCGAAGACTACACCTCTGGAACTGATTACATCATGGAAGATGCATATCCCGTTGGCATCGATCCCAACTACAGTCGCCGCTTTAACACGACTGTCAACGAGACGTACGGCGACTGTGGATGTGACAATTGCATTGGATCCCTCGCGGACGTCAGTGACCGACTAGATGACTTCTTCGAGTATCAGCAGTGGTTGGGCGACTGGCAGAAACCGTTATGGGCAGTTTTACAGGCATTTTCTGGCGAAGACTACTGGGCTCGAAGTCCTACTAACGAGGAGAGCTGGGTCATGATGATTATCAGCTTCAATCATAAAGCGAAGGCGATGATGAGCTGGACATTTCCAACCACGCCATTGTCCCTCGCCGAAGCACACTCGGCAATGGCCAAAGTCGTTACCGCGACCCCAGTCAGTGACTTTCTATTCGAAGGCGATCCAACTTCGGTCGAAATCCAGGGCAAGCCGCAGGTAGACGTTTCGTACTGGACGAGCGAGGGGAAGTTTATGGTCGCCCTGGCCAACATCGATCAGAAATCCAGTAACGGGAGTGTCTCCATCCGGCTGCCGGCCAAAGCGAACAAGATCTTGAGCCAGCCATGGGGCTCGCTCTCATGGTACATTGATAATGCGGGAAGGCTTTGTACATCTGGCCTTGATGGACTAGCTACGAGCATTGTGGTGGTCGAGTCGTAGGATGTATTGACGCAGCAAGCTCTCGCAGAAGCTCATCACGAAATCGCATTCCAGATGCCTGCGACAACCACGCCCACCACACAACGACAGTGAAGAAGTTTCGGTTTCGTACCGACCCCAGTCTCCTCAATTTCATCCCAAGCGTGATGGAACGGGGTACAACCCTGATCCTGGCCAGTCACGATAAGCGTATACTCAAAAAGCTACCACGTACTTGTCTATCCATTGGGTGCTGCGGTGCGATGCAGTCACTTCAAGATACCTTTCAACAACTGTCATACGATACAACTGCACAGCGGCAGGACGAAGGCAATGTGTAACTACATTATGGTAGGGGACATGGCTCCTGTCCCCTGGCGCAGCCGCTTGGTCGGTCACCGACTGGTGTTGAGGCCATTGATGATCCATGTTGGCACAAGCATGGCCTGCACGAAAACGCCGCGCCCTTCTGAGGCATCCAGGGCAAGATTTGATTACACCCTCACGAGGGACAAACTCACAACGCTTTCCTCTTAATGAAGCTCCCTGCGCTCGTGGCGACGTCGCCGCCGCTCTCCAGCGCGCCCGTTTCCAGGCCGGGAAGCATAATCATCTTCATCATGTTTTCGTATTTGTCGCTCGTTTTGGCACTGTCGCTCCTTTTCAATTCGTTCATTGTCATCGCTGACGCTCAGAAAGGCCCTCCTCCTTACTCGTCTGCACAGTCAGATGGAGCCCCGACCACACAGGCTGGCCCAGTCGTGCCAGACCGGACTGGTCCTGCGACCACCTTGACCTTCACGCTCAGTCGACCGAACCCTCTCTCGACACCGACCGGCAAGAATGCCAGCTGCAAGAATGTCCAGGCCGCTGGCGTCAAAGGCGACGCTCAAAGAGCAGAAGCAATCAAGAACGCCTTCCGTTACGCTTGGGATGCGTACGAGAAATATGCGTATGGACTCGATGAGCTTGAGCCGTTGTCTGCCAATGGAACCAATGGTCGCTATGGCTGGGGTCTGACGATTGTGGACTCAATCGATACTGCCATCATTATGGACTTGCAAGATGTGGTGGAGAGCATGCTCAACTTTATTGCAAAGGTGGACTTTACGACAACGAAAGAGGGACACCCTGTCAATCTCTTTGGTAAGTGAGAATGACATACAGGACTGCCGACGAGCTGACAGCTGATGTTTGACAAGAAACCAACATTCGTTACATTGGTGGATTGATCTCTGCATATGACTTGCTTAAGAGCGGTCGGTTCTCGAACGACTACGATCAGAGCCTGATCGACGGGCTTCTTGAACAGGCTGCTCGGCTGGCCAACATAGTGGCCTTGGGATTCAATACACCCAGCGGACTCCCCTCAGCCGAATTGAATTGGACGACTCGGGCTCCTATTCCTGGCGAATACACCGACGAAGCCACCAACACAACTTACAATTCGACAAACACTGCCTCGTGCGGCACCTTCGTGCTCGACTGGGCAAGGCTCTCCGATCTGACCGGCAACGAGACGTACAGACGCGTCACAGAGAAAGCGAACAGCTATCTCGTCAATCCTTCCCCTCCTCCAGTATATCCAGGCTTGGTTGGCACACAATTCTCAACCGACACAGGCAAAATGTTAACATTCGACGGCGGCTGGCAAGCGGGCGTCGACTCATTCCTCGAATACCTCATCAAAGACTACCAATACAAACCAACTAACACCACAACCGCATACCGAGACTTCTGGCTCCAAGCCGTCCAATCCACCATCGAAAACATCGCCGTCCACCCCTTCGGCTTGCCGGATCTCACCTTCATCTCCTACCTCGACGTCAACGGCACAATCCGCTACTTCGCCGACGACTTCTCCTGCTTCGCAGGAGGAAACTACCTCCTCGGCGGCGCCCTCCTCGACGTCCCCGAAATCAGCGCCCTAGGCATAGCATACACCGACGGCTGCCACCAAACCTACAACACCACCACCACGGGCCTCGGACCCCTCGCCTGGGCGTGGTTCAACGAGTCCGGCCAGGCCTACGACCCTACAGATGAGAACGACGCAGCGGCGTTGAAGTCCGCCGCGAAGAGAGGCTTCTGGATCCCCGCCCGTGTCGAGAACTGGTTCTCCCGCCCGGAACCTCTCGAGAGTATCTTCTATGCGCACAGGATCACGGGGGATCCGCGGTGGGCGGAGTACAACTGGGAGATTTTCCGGGCGATCAACGAGACGTCGAGGAATCGGATTGCGTTTGCGGCGGTGAATAATGTGGATATGCCGGATGGGGGGAGTATGAGTGATGCGTTGGATTCGTAAGTTGCGATTGTTTGAACGTGTTGATGAGTGTGTTGCTGATGTGTGGTGTTGTAGGTTCTTCTTTGCGGAGGTGCTCAAGTATCTTTACTTGACGTTTACGGAGCCGGATGTCATTGATTTGAGCGAGTGGGTGTTTAATACGGAGGCTCATCCGTTCCTTGCGGTTTGTGCTGGTGGTCATGGCAACACTACATCAGCGGGAGGAAGTGGTCGATCAAGCAACGCGATGATCTGATACGTTCAAAGCCTGTTTGAACGCTTTACTGAACCACAGAATCGACTTTTCTGATAAACCCACCGCAGATGACTTATCTTCCTTCTACCAGTCTGTTGGCGAGTCCATTTCAGGTGAGGTCTGAGTCCTCGTTCAGCATCCCACGCTCGCATTCCTCACTCATCAAGAATTGCCTAAAGGAGCCTCGAAGCGATGCCCCCAACAAGAGGGGTTGATCCGAGGAGTGAGTGACGTGAGCTAACATGTGCCAAGCTGTTACCATTTCTGGCTACCTTTGCGCTCCATAGGTGAGATACATCGCCTGCAGTAGTTACACAAGCCTCAGGCACTTCTGACATACTACTATAAGCAGACCAGGTTGCGCCCTCCTGTAACCACCAACGGCTACACAACTGCATAAATGGATCTCGCCATTGTAATCGTTCACGGATCATGGCATGTTCCACAACACTACTCGCTCTTGATCGAAGCTCTCAATAAGAAAGGTTTCGAGAATGTCCATTATCCAAGACTGCCTTCCGCTGTAAATGCCTTGCCCCTCCCACCGACCGCCACCCTCGCCCACGACTCCCTCACGATCCACCAGAAAGTCGAATCCCTCGCCGATGCAGGCCACCCAATCCTAATCATCATGCACTCCTACGGCGGCGTAGTCGGAGGCAATGCCCTCTCCGATCTCCTTTGGCCTCAACGACAAGCTGCGAATAAACTCGGCGGTGTCGTGCACCTCGTCTACGCTGCGGCGTTCGTCATTCCCGGCGGCACGAGTCTCCTCACGCCTTTCAATGGCGCGATGGTGCCTTGGCTCGAAGAAGACACGACCAACGGAACGATCGAGATGCTCGATCCTAGAAGGTCGCATTACAGCGATATCAAAGACGAAGCCGAGGCGCAGAAGTGGCTGGATATGTGCGTGCTGTGTCCCGTGAGCGCCGTGAGGGACGAGACGACCAGTGATCCCTATGAGTTCGTGGGGAAAGGCGTGGATGCGACGTATTTGGTGTGTAAGGGGGATTGCCGATTGACGACGGAAGCGCAGGAGGGTATGGCGATGCTGCTCGGCGACCAGAGGGTGATGATGTATTGCGAAGCGGGTCATTGTCCGATGATCACACAGCCTGGTATCATGGCGGAGGTTGTGAAGGAGGCGTGGGAGAGGTCGAAGGAGCGGTTAGAAGTCGAGGCGCAAGGTTGAGGTTGTTTATTCCTCCCACAGCATGCAACATCGATTGTACCCCGGCTTGACCATGTCTCGCACTTCTCGGTCGTACTTCATCTTCTCTGCGTGTTTTGGTCCCACGGTCGCGGCGTCGACCTCCTTGAACCCGAATTTGCGATACCAAGGCGCATTCCAGGGGACTTCGGCGTAAGTCATCAGAGACACTTTCGACGTCTTGCCTTCATTTTTCTTCCTGTCCCGTGCCCAATCGAGGATCGCCTTCATCAGGACTCCTCCGACGCCTTTGCCCTGGCATTCTAGATCGACGACCACTTCGTTGACGTACAGGACATCGTCCTTGGGGAATGCTGAAGCAAATCCGACAGGCTCATTTTCTTTGCTCGTGTCTTCCACGACAAACACTTTCCCGTCATCGAGCCATTGCTGAAGCTTTTCTCTCGTCAAGCCCACGACATTCCTCAGATTTGATAGCTCAGGTATATTATCATATCGTCGAACCGCAGTGATGCTGATGCGGTCGATGGCTTCGAAGTCATCTGCTGTGCCTGGGCGAAGTCGGAATGAAGAAGTCTTGCTGGATGGCATGCTTGAAGAGTTGACCATGCTTGAGGAGTTGAAGAAGATGGCTGCGATATCTTTTTACTCGCAAGGGTGACGCAAAGATATAGCAGGAGGAAGACTGACAGCATCAAGCTAGTGCCTGCAACATCGGTGCTCGTCCGAGTACCTGCATATTGACGCCGGGTTAGCCGATGGAACTAAGCTGTATTGATGAGGCCGACGCGTGAGGTCTGATCCTTCTGGTGGACCAGCAAGGGTAGAGAAAAGATGCGAGAGCACGTGAAGTCGCGAGAGGAGTCGGCCGACATCGGGAGCATTTCACATGCCTCTGCGGGGAAGCTTCTTCGGTATGGCGGAAAACGACACCAGTTTCCAGGGCATTGACGGCAACGGGGGTTTCCAAAATGTTCGCTCGAAGATTTTCGTTTGCCGCTGTTCAAACACATTCCGAGCGTCGAAAGAAACATAAGGCTCGTTGAGCACTGCCCCCGAGTGACTTGCAAAAGATCGAAGACGGTGGTCCAGACCAAAGATGCCTCCGAATGGCCCTACTGCTGCAGCCAACAATGGTCCTACGGCTCAGGTCACTCCGGCTAAAGGAGGCAAGATCTTGGTGCTTCCCGGCGATCAGTAAGTGGCTGGACAAAGGTGTTTCTCTTTCGATTGCACTGACTTCGATCAGCATCGGTCCAGAAGTGGTAACAGAGGCACTCAAAGTTCTGGACATCGTCGAGCAAGCGACTGGAGCTAAGTTCGAACGAGACTTTGATCTCTGCGGTGGCTGTGCTCTCGACAAGCACAAAGATTCTGTGACCGAGGAAGTCTTGAAGAAGAGCGAGCAAGTCGACGCGGTCTTCTTCGGCAGTGCAGGTGGTCCAGAATGGGGTACTGCACAGCCAAACCCAGAGAGTGGGTTGTTAAGGATACGAAAGAGAATGCAGGTGAGTGATCATTGAGGAAGGTTGACAGGGGGTGAAAGGAGACTGACCTACCCAGATCTTCGCCAACCTCAGACCATGCAAGTTTGCCAGTAAGACGATGGTGGAGAGGTCTCCAATCAAGCGCGAGGTCATTGAAGGCGTCGACTTCATGCTGATCCGTGAGAACTGCGGTGGTGCGTACTATGGCAACAAAATCGAGGAGGCAGATTACGCTTGCGATCCTTGGGAGTATTCAAGACCCGAAATCGAACGTGTGGCTCGAGTAGCCGGAGCCCTAGCCTTGCAGGATGATCCGCCAGTGCCCGTGTGGAGCGTCGACAAAGCCAACGTGCTGGCAAATTCGCGAGTGTGGAGAAGGATCGTCACCGAGATATTCGAGAAGGAGTTCCCTCATGTCAAGTTGCAGCACCAGCTTGCCGATTCTCTCGCCATGCTGTTCATCACCAAGCCCACGGCGTTCAATGGTGTGATTGTGACGGACAATACTTTTGGCGACATCCTATCAGATGAGAGCGGTGGCCTTACAGGATCTTTGGGCCTGTTGCCGAGTGCAAGCTTAGCTGGAGCACCTGGGACAGACCTTGGTCGGAACAGCGTTGGAGGAGTGGTAGGCCTGTACGAGCCAGTTCATGGCTCTGCTCCTGATATCTCAGGCGAGGGCCTTGCAAATCCCGTGGCCCAAGTCCTCAGTCTGGCTATGATGCTGAGATATTCATTCAACATGCATAACGAGGCCGATAGCATTGAAGAAGCGGTCGCGAAGGTGCTGGACTCGAAAGCAGACGGGGGCCTCGAGATCCGGACGGGTGATCTAGGGGGCCGGGCTACCACCAAAGATATGAGTGAAGCGATACAGGCAGAGGTGAAGCGGCTGCTCAAGCTTTGATCAGGCTCGCATCGCTAGCCGTTCGCGAGGTCATTCTCATTAGTGAACTGCTTCGTGAGGAAGAGGTCGGAAGCAGACGAGGTTGCAACAGTGTACTAGGTGCTCCTGTATGCGCTACTCGGTACCCCGCTTGGGGCTTCGTCCAGGATAGAGCAAATTCAGACCTGATTGGCCCATTGCTGTCATCGTTATGGTCATTCCTGTGCATGAGATTCAGATGTAAGGTTCCAATTCGCGAGATGAAGATTGTTTACGCTGAGAAGCGGCTCGGATCTCGAGCCAAGTCCGAGCGCCGTCCGCGGAAGCCACGACGCTCTCGGCTCGCCACGACCAAGAATCGGCTGTGGTCGAGGCCCTGCCGCCGTGGACTCGTGGCTCGGCGTCGTGGACATCCCATGACCTCACCCGCAAAGCAACATTCAGGGCCGAAGGAGCAACTTTCCCCCGTGCAACATGCAGCCCACACGATGTACGAGCTCCGGCCCAGCGCCTCGCGAGTCTCTGGCTCTTTGTCGACCAGCTTTTGACGTTGTACACGCGTGCTCAGGCCAACCGCCCGCCTTGTCATTCGCTCCCTCGCATATGCATCGTCTCCACGGCCTCGCCGATTGAGAGCTGCCTACAGTACTTGCATATGCTGGTGCAGGCGGTTTGTAAGTTTATTCTGTGCACGTAAACCTTCCTCGCTATCCCTTGAGCTCCAACAGGTATAAACCTCCACGGACGCCCAGGCATCTCCTAACATTTCTGTTCTTATTCTTCCTTCCCGTCATTCCATCTCACGGGAACTACATCATGGACCTCTCCAAGTTACCAGCGACCGCCAAAGTCGGGCTTGGCTTGGCGGCGTTCTATCTCCTCTACCGTCTCGTTGCATCAATCACACTATGGAACAAACGAAGAGCGATGAAGCGGGAGAAGGGTGTCATGGCCGTGCCGTGGTACCAAGCCCTCGACCCATTCTTCGGAATCGACGTCGTTCGCGGCAACATCAAGAATATCAGGGAGCACAAGATGCTCGAGAAGTCACACGAACGTTTCGATATCATGGGTGTCAATACGTTTCAAATCAACATTCTCGGCCGTCACTTCCACGTAACAAGAGAGCCCGAGAATCTGAAGGTCATCCAAGCCGTGGACTTTAAAAAATGGAATCTTGGACGAAGACGCAAGACGGACTTTGCACCACTTCTTGGATCGGGCATTTTCACCACGGATGGGGCGGAGTGGCAACATTCGCGCGATATGTTGCGCCCAAACTTCGTCCGCTCCCAGGTCGGAGATCTGGCTACTTTCGAGAACCACATCGGCCATCTGATCCAAGCCATCCAACCGAATGCCACAGTCGACCTGTCTGTGCTTTTCTTCCGCCTAACCATCGACTCTGCTACCGAATTCCTCTTTGGCGAATCAACAGGTTCATTGACGAGTTCCAGTGGAGAAGGTGGTTTCGCAGCAGCATTCACAGCCTCACAGGACTTCATCGCGAACGCGACGCGATGGGGATCGGTGGCCAAGCTCGTCACCCCTGGCTACGACAAGTTCGCGAAAGACAACAAACTCGTGCACGACTTCGTCGACTACTTCGTCGACAAGGGCCTCGCGAAACGCAGCCAACTCCTCGAAAAGTCAAACACCGAACGCTATGTCTTCATCGACGAACTCGTCCGCCAAACCACCGACCGCAAACGCATCCGCGACGAACTCCTCAACATCCTCCTCGCCGGCCGCGACACCACCGCCTCGCTCCTCACCAACGTCTGGTTCATGCTGTCCAAGAACCCCCCCATCTGGACCAAACTCCAAGCCGACGTCACCCGCCTCAACGGCGCCAAACCCACCTTCGAACAGCTCAAAGACCTCAAATACCTCAAAGCCATCCTCAACGAATCCCTCCGTCTCCACCCCGTCGTGCCCCTCAACTCCCGCGAAGCCACCGAGGACACCACCCTCCCGGTCGGCGGCGGTCCCGACGGCCGCGCCCCCATCTTCATCAAGCAAGGCGAGCTCGTCAGCTGGAACGTCTACTCCATGCACCGCCGCAAGGACTTCTACGGGCCCGACGCCGAAGAGTTCCGCCCGGAACGCTGGCTCGATGACCCTGAGACGGGCAAAAAGGGACTGCGCCCGGGCTGGGAGTATCTGCCTTTCAATGGCGGTGCGAGGATCTGTTTGGGGCAGCAGTTTGCGTTGACGGAGGCTTCGTATGCGACGGTGCGGTTGTGTCAGGCTTTTAGTGGGATTGAGAGTCGGGATCCCGAGAGTCAATGGGTCGAGTTCTTGACGTTGACGAGTGTTAGTTTGAATGGGGCGAAGGTGGCGTTAACGCCGAGGGAGGTTTGATGAGGATGATGATATTGATGATTGAATGAGCCCATGTACATCGCTAAAACGCCTTTCCTTTGCTCATTCAGTCATCAATATGGCATGTCTAATAGCAATTACCTTTTCTTCCCTCACAAGCTTACTTCTCATGCATGGATCACGAGCTTCTCTGAGATTGGGAAAAGTGAGTGTTCTTCATAATCAAACGTGTCGATGAGACACTCTTTTCTACAAGAAGCTAACGGAACAGGCTCACATGCATCTTACACCCCAAACGCCACGCTCTCTGAAACATGTAGTAAATACAGTACCCATGCTCTAGAAACCAAAATTATCCAACAGTGAATTGGGATCAGGCTCTTTGAATTGCGTCGGCTCCGGCTTCTTCTCATTCAACGTCGATGTCGTCGTCGAGCCCTCCTTCTTGGCCTTGATCTTGGCGAGAAGCTCTGCAGCCTTTGCTTCACGAGCGGCCTTTTCGTCGGTGGGCTGTTGTGTTGATGGCTCCGGCTGTGTGAAGTTGTCTAGCATTGATGGTGGCTCTTTCTGTCGCGGTGGCGGTGCCTCGAACTCGTCCAGCAAAGACTTGGGTCCATCGTCGTGTACACCATTGGTAACGCCATTCGTCACCGCACCTAAGCTCCTGCTCAATGATTGCGTGTGCTTGAACTCCCACCGGCTGGCAAGTTCCAGCGCGAGAAGCCACAACCCCATCCTTCGCAGAATCCTTGCTGATCTCAGAACAGCGTCGTATTCGTGCTCAGAAGGCGTACTTCGCAGATGCTTGTACAGCAGCATGGTGAGTGGATCGTCTTGATGCCAAGTCTTCACGCCCTCCAATGGCATGACCAAGGTCTCCGCGGCCTTTGACTTCTCTAGCATCACCGCATGGCACCAGCTCATGAGCCATCTGTTACCAGTTTCATGCGCGTAGGGCAAGATCCTGTTCTCTAGCAACTGTCTGAGCACAGGTGACCCGTCGCCACAATACAGCCTTGCAACAGCTATGCCAAGCTGCACATCCTCACACTGTCCAGCGAGGACGCTGCTTGCTGAAGCAGGATCCTCAGCAAGCAAAAAGAAAGCAGCGGCATACTCAAAGCGTCGCTTTCCCATCAAGGCGTAGGCGTTCTTCCTAGCTGCAGTCTTGGCCTCCGGTTGGGTGAAGTCGCGCTTCAAGAAGTTCATGGTAGTCCGCTGCTCTTTGTGCCAGGTGGCCATCCTCCACAACGCCAACAAGGTTGGCTTCTTGTGGAGCGCAAGGAAGTAGAGCGAAGCATTGACAGGATCTGGAGGTTGCTCGGAACGGTATGCTGTCTGACCCAGTTGCTCGAATACAGTCTCGAGCGCCTCGCGTTCAGATATCCAGGCCATGACACCCAGTCGACGGGCTATCGGCCATGTGAGCTTGTTGTCGTGGTGCAGGATCAGAATGTCAAGCAAAGCCTGCTGAGTGCTGCTGTGGTAGGCAAAGCAAATCTCCCGCCAGTGCATGTCAGGAGTGAATTGTTGTTGCTTTGACGGAACACCGTTTGCTTTAACAGAGCCATTGGGAATGATCTCAGAGTCCTTCGCGAACAGCATCTGAAGCTTCCAGTTGAATAAATACCGCAGCGCATGACGATCCAAAGATCTGACATGTTCCCTGATGTACACAAGCGCCTCAATAATATGCTTCAATCGCTGCTGTTCGCTTTGAGATGTGCGCGGAAGGTCCTTTTCTTCGAGTTGCTCCCGAAGATCCGTAACGGTGTCATCGTCAAGCCACGGGTCGTGCTGATCCAGATCTTGCATGAAAGACACAGGCGACTCATCCAGCGTTAGGTCCTCCCCGGTGCTCCAAAACTTCAGCCGTTGCGCCAGTTTCCTAAGAAGCGTGGCCGCCAAGCCAGGGTGGCCGTGGTGCAACAGGTATGTAATCAAGCTGGGATGCCATTCAGGTAAGGGAGTCTTCAGCCAGGTCGTCACTTTCGTTAAATGAAGTCTCGTTTCTTGTTCTGTGTCGGCATCGATGGCCTCCTTGACCTCATTGTCCAGCTCCTGCAGATCAATCTCAGGCGACGCCACAGCAACACCATTCCCAGTGGCAGCTACAAGACTGCCGTCCGATAGCCAAGCAATAGAAGCGATGTCAAGGCCCACGTCAGCAATTGAAATGGTCTTGACCGAGATCCAGATTGGAACGTCTGAGCGATGGTGCTCGTAGCGCCCTTGGGCCAGAATCTCGATGTGAGTATCGTAAGCAACAGCAAGAAAGTTGTGCCTGGGGGTCGGGGTGAAACACGCCAGACGCTGGACCGGCTGCTTAAGGGACTGTCGGTGTTCGATGTAGCCATCAGTAAGATCCACAATGACTATCTCTTTCCTATCGGCCGAAGCTAACACAGCAAATTCTTCGTTCGCAGAGAAGACCGATGGCTTCACGATGCCAGTTTCGAAAGACACAAAGGGCTCAAAGTCAGTTGCCTGGGCATCGTCCTCGGGAAGAAGCACGCAGTCAACGCGGCCGTTCGTGTTCGCGCAGACAATGCATTCCCTGTCAGCATCGAAAGGCACGGCGACAGGCACTGCAAACGACACCGCGTCCCCTTCCTTTTGGCCCGGCAAGGACACAGGCTGGAGGCTGAGCGCGCCGCCCTTTTCGTCGCTTTGTGGTAACGTCACGGTCCATTTCACAAGGACTTTGGCGTCATTCTGTACGAACAAGCCTGCTACACTTTGCTCACTCGCGAGTGTGATGTGGAACCTCCCGCTCTGGTCGGCTTCGCATGATGCTTTCGCAATCCTCTGACCAGATTCGTCCCAGAGCGCGAACGCCGAAGACGTTATAGTAAGCAAGTGTCTGCCACCGTTGAATGTTGTGGCAGCTAACACTTCAGGGCTAACTCCAAATGATCGTCGAGGCCGCAACAGTTTGGCGCTGTTGACTGTCCACCAGGTCACGTCGGTCGCCGATCGAGACACGATGCCATCGCTAGAGCTCTGCAACTCCAAGACATCGCTATCATGCCCACACCACCGACTCATGAGAAGTAGTCGTTCGTTGCCGGGAGCTGAGGGCGAAAAGAACGTTTCCACGCCGCCTTGCCACCACGCGATCTCGCCGTCGGTGATCGTATGCGTAAGCAGGTTGAAAGTATCGTCTTGAAACCAAGCATGACACATAGCTGGGCATCCATGTGGTATCCTCAAGTGCATACCCTCGGCGTGAGAGATGTGAATTGGTTCCCTGGATGTTGGCGTGTCGGGCCGTCGTTTGTGACCGATACTCTGAAGACCCCAGGCGGACATTCTGCCTTGCCCATCGAACGATACAACGACATCGAGCTCTTTCGAACTCATTTCTTTCAGCAACTCCTTGGAATGATTGACTTTTCCATCTTGTGATATTCCAATGGCGGCATTAACAGCAGCGGAGAACTGGTCCCACGACAGCACGACGTCATAGCGTGGTGCCTGTGAAGGTTTCGATTGTCCCTTAATGACCAGGCTGGGCGACTGTGGTATGGAAGCAATCAGGTCAACGGTGGTATGCAGAACCAGGATGTCGAGATCGTGCAGTCCCGCGGTTCGCCATACACGTAGTATACCATCGTTGGCGATCGTGTAAAGCACTTCTGAGTCCTCGTCATGTCGACCGGAAATACCGCTACCTCTCCGCTCTTCCAAGTTCTCTCCTGGTGGTCGCCATTGAAGATGTGTTATGGTGCCAGCATGCGGCAAGTATGTGTGATCGAATAGGCCCTCTTCAAACGACAATCTCCTCCAAATTTTCACGAGACGATCGTAGTGTGACCGGCTGGCTATCATGGCCGCACTTGGGCTGAATTCCGCTTGTCGAACAGCTCTAGCCACCGGTTTCGACCACAATGCTTTCCTCTCTTCAATCGTCTCTCCATCAATAGGATATATCGTTGGCGAGACCGTCCGGGACGAAGGCAGCGTCGAGAATAGAGTGAGTACTCGGCTGCCTCCAACCAGTACTTCCCCATCGTTTCCCCAGCTCAACGAATATGCCTCATCCCCAGCATCCTCCCGCTTCAACAATAGCGTCTTCTCCCACCAAATCTTGGTCCAGCCTTCAGTCACAGGCTCAAGTATCCACACATCTTTCTTCCCAGCAACAATAATCTTCCCACTGTGAGCTTCTGCTGCTATCGCGACCAGAGGATGTGGAAAGGTAATGGCCCGGACGAGGGTATTCGGGGAAGAAAGGAGGTTGAGCTGCGATCCAGAGATGTACGCGACATAGCGCTTAAACCGGTATATGAAGGTGGTGAAGGACTGCAGTGACTCGGTAGGAGCTCCGGGCAATATCTGGGCGAAAGCTGAGCGTGGAACTGTGCTGGAGGCATGGTTGCCGGGAGAGGTGGAAGGCATTGCTGGAAATCGTCATCTGTTCTCGGGATTCATGGCGAAAGGTGGAGCGGTATAGAGGCGGTCAATCGTGCAATCAACAGTCTTTTCCAGCTTCCTGGTCATACGCAAAAGCAAGATGGATGGCTGCAGAGGTCACGCTGTGCATATGCATCACGCATCATCCAACACACCCTGGATGAGGTCGCATTAGGCTCGCTACCCGTGGGCTAGCGGGTAGATCCGAGATCACGTGAAAAAGTCTAAAAGTTGACCAGAAAGGAACCATCCTCCTCATTCCATTTTCAACATTACATCACGATCTCTGAACATTCAACTGGCTACTGTTACAACGCTCTTTAGTACCTGTACATGCTTCGCCCCTTTTTGCTTCACTTCGTGGGCAGCTCCCCTGTGCCGAACAACTCCAGCTTGATTCTGTCTTCCTCGACGCCAAGGCCCTTCAAACCACTCCAGACATCAGCCATGAAACTCGCCGGGCCACAGACCCAATACTTCGTCTGCTTGTTGTCCAGAAACAAGTGTGTCTTGCTGTCCAGGGTTGCCAGATTTAAACGTCCTTCGTGCGTATAATGTTGGCCCTTGACATCCTGAGGAGGGTTTGGATTCTTGATGAAGAACACCGAGTGCACATTGCGCTTTTCTGACTCAATCTGCTGAACATGATCTCTGAAGGCATGCGCTGATGTTGTCCTGGCGCCATGGACAAAGACAATATGTTGTGTTGACCCGCGCTCGATAAGCGTGTTGAGGATCGAGATCATGGGCGTTGTGCCGACACCAGCGGAGAGAAGCACAACTGGCCCTTCGTTGTCTTTTGCAGGGTCGTAGAAGAAGTCACCAGCTGGATGTGAAAGTTGCACGACATCTCCAACATTCTTCTGCTCGTGCAGTATGTTCGAAATCCAGCCTGGATGTGATGGCGCTTTGGGGTCTTGAGGATCGAGTCCGATCTCCTTCTTGACGCTTATGCGATAGTAGTACGCCCTGGGAGCATCGCTCAATGAGTATTGTCGCGATTGCTTGTACCCGAACTGGGGCACATCCGTCAGCAGCGAGATGTATTGGCCTGGCAAGTATTCGGGAAGCTTTCGACCGTCTTTAGGCTTGAGGTAGAAAGACGTGATCTCGTCACTCTCCCTGAATATATCCGCAATTTCGAAATCTCGCCAATCGGTCCAGCCTTCACTCTCAGAATAGAGCTTTGCTTCTCGGCCGATGCAGATGTCTGCAAGCTGCCAGTACGCTGCGGTCCACGCATCGAGGACTTCAGGAGTGCAGGCCGCGCCAAGCACGATTCCCATGGCTCTGAGAAGACCTTCTCCGACCACTTTGTAATGCTCCGGCTGGATGTAGAGAGAGACATGTTTTTGACAGATCTTCTCCACAGCTGGCGATAGAGCTCCTAAATCGTCGATGTGGGCGGCGTAGGCGTAGAGAGCCCCAGCGAGAGCCTTTGCTTGGTGGTTGTTGACCTGATTCGTATGATTGAAGACGTTGTTCAATTCCGGGTACTCTTCGAGCACAGTCTTGTAGAATTGACTTGTGATAGTTGTGCCATGTTCCTGGAGGACCGGAACGGTGGACTTGATGATCTGAACTTGCTCTGGTGTGAGTGGCATCGTAATGAGGATGTCTGCTTTTCACTGTGGTGATAGCCATTTTGCATTGCTGTTGCAAACCTTTAAATACAGCTTTGATAACAATGGTATATCCCTGCTGTCCGCGGAGAAAGCATGCTACGGAGAGAAGTCAGGTCGGCCTATGTGCGGCCTCCTGTGTCCATGTGTCAGCATTGCGAGGTAAGCTACTATAACGAGCAACAAGTTGCGTAGACAGCGAGCATGCAGCGGAATCGATGTCTCGCAACGGGAGACTTCGGGTACGGTAAGCGTGAAGTAGGAAAAGATTGCGCTTCTCCGTGGCTTTGCGGCACCTGTCAGGAGATGGGTGGTGGCCATGTTGGAGAACCACAACCTTGTGCCTCTGGATGTTGTTCGGCCGAGAGTCGCAGAGCAGAAGACTTTCGTGTCTGCGAGATGGCGAAGGCGTGAAGCTGAGGTTCCAAGAATTGACTTCTCGGTCTCGGTGTTAAGCATTTAGAGTTTGAAGCCATCGGAAGCTTCACCTCGAGCCTCACTTCACGGCAAAACGCCGACCTAGCAGAACGACTTCAAACCCAAATCACAGTCACCATGCCTCTCGATAGCTCGACCTACGCTCTCGCGCATCTGCGCGTAGACGGTCGACGATGGAACGAACTGAGGCGCATCCATGGACAAATGTCGACCCAAGCCGCCGCCGACGGCAGCAGCTACTTCGAGATGGGCAACACGAAAATCATATGCACGGTCTTAGGACCACGTCAGCAGACCAAGAGCGGCGGAAGAGACCAGAGTAGAGAAGCCAGCATCGAGGTCGAGATTGGAGTCGCAGGTTTTAGCGGCATGGACAGAAAGAAGAGATCGCGAAACGACAAGTGAGTTGAAGAAGAGAGGTATGCTGCATGTTTGGGACAAGGCTCATGGAAAGGTAGGCGCACACAGGAGATGCAGTATACCATCTCGTCTGCTTTCGCCAGTACTGTCTTTACTTCTCACTATCCCCACTCCACCATCACCATTGTTCTGCACGTTCTTTCTCAAGACGGCGCATTGCTGGCTGCATGTCTCAATGCTGCGACTCTGGCTCTCATCGATGCTGGTGTACCAATGCAGGACTATGTCGCAGCTTGCACGACTGGCTCGACCGCCTCATATGCTTCGAACGACGAGGAAGCCGATCCACTACTGGATCTCAATGGGATGGAAGAGTTGGAGCTGCCTTTCTTGACCATGGGCACGAGTGGAGGAGAGGATAAGATTAACGTGTTGGTCATGGAGACGAGGATACAGATGCCACGGCTGGAAGCAATGGTATCCGTGGGTCTGGATGGGTGCAAGCAGGTTCGCAACATTCTGGATGGCATTGTGAGGGATCACGGGAAGAAGCTGCTGCAATCAAGATGAGAGTATGATCAGCGTACAAGAGATGGGCACAAAACCACAGAACGAGTGCAGAGAGAAGTGAGCCTTCACATCGACCGGAATGGAAGATGTTCAGTCGATGGGAGCATTCGTGGGTGCTTTCGTGGGGGCAGATAACGACTGAGCCGTATATGGTACTGGAGTATGCTGCCATGGGCCGAACAGAGCTCGCCTGGTCTATCCTATAGAGCGAGCGTGATGCAAGAGAGGGGCCAATGAGGTTGCTCGGATTGAGGAGGAGCGCAGAGGGAAATGGAAAGGGCAAGGCAAAGTAAAAGCAAAGCAAAGCAAATCCGTTGTATACCATCAGCATCAGTCTATAGATTGATCATCACGATCCTCTCGATCCCATCAGCGCAGCCAAAACAAAATCCAGACAGTCATGCGAACGATGATATACAAGCACGCAAAGTTCCAAATACCATCCTCCACAATCGGTGAGAGCAAACGCATAAGTAGGCACGTGTGCTTACTTCTTCTCAGCAGCTTCGATACCCTTGGCCTCAGCAGCCTTATTCTTGGAAGCAGGGGACGAAGAAGCAGGGCGTCGAATACGACAGCCGTATTTGGTGCGCTTGCCCTGCTCCTCAGTAGCAGCACCAGCCGCAGTCGAACGGGAAGCCCAACGCGACGAAGTCAGACCCTCACTCTTGCTCTTCTGCATCTCCTTGGCCTGCTTGTCGAAAGACTTGACCTCGCCGGACTTGTCGTTCTTGGATGGCGACGGGTTGCGAGCAGTCTTGGTGCGGGCGACACGCTCGCGCTTCTTGGCGTCGGCGATGTGGACTTCTGGTGACTCGCCGACTGGGACGAAGACTTTCATCGTCTTGGTTGGGGCTTCGGGGCTGCTTGACTTGGTGTTGGAGAGCTCGCGGGCTTTGCTGGTGATGGCGTCGGGAGTGATGCGCTTGGATGGGTCGGTCGTTGTGGTGAGGCTGGTGGGTGGTGGTGTTGGAAGCAGTGGAGTGAACTTGATGAGGTCGCTCCCAGTCGACATCTTGCGGACATCTTCTGCGGGTGTCGATGGGCGAGCTGGTGGAATGACAGGAGAGCTTCCAGCGCTTGACTTCTTTACCGGTTCTTCCTGTGGCTCTGGCTTGGTCCTCTTGAGCAGGACCGGCATGTTGACAGCCTTCTTCTCAGAGACCTTCTCTGGTGGAGCCTCCATCTTATCCTTCTTGACGCCCTTCACAGCCTCCTCACTCTCGCTTGTCAGAGTAGTAGCATCAGTGCCCTCAGAAGAAGACGACCTCTCACTATCCGCATCGCTTCCCTTCCTCGCATTCAGCCAGTCCTCAGGCTTCACAATCGGTCCCGCAGTGGCAGCCTTGCCGCCCATTTTGAATGTAGCATTCTCCTCTTTCCACCAAGTCGGAACATGCTTGATGCCGATCTCATCCAACTTGGCCTTGTCGGGCATCTCGTGCTTGTAGCGACAGCCTTGCTGAACGAAGCCACACCAGCCATGCAGGATCCAGTGGGTGCAGTAGACCTTCTTCTCTTGATCTGGCATGATGCCGGAGGGTGGTGGTGTAGTGTCTCGTGGATGATAGCCGATACGCTCTGCAGTCTCAGCTCCTGCCTCTGAGCGAAGAATGGCGTTGATGGCGTTCTGAGTGGCCTCGCTGGCCGAGGAATTGGGTGCGTTCAGGGGATCAGATCGGCGCCAGGACACTGCTGCTTGAGATGCAGAGACAGGACGCTTAGGGAGGGAAGCAGCCATGGCAGTGTTGGCGAATGCCTGACGCGCGAGAGAGTCTGGAGCTTGGAAGTGTCTCGTGTTGTCTGCACTGTGGAAGCGGTAGTGGCCAGTGTCGCCGCCTGGCTGGCTGATGGAGCGTTGCATTCCAGAGGGAGCAGTCACGAGCTTGAAGATAGGACCGGCGCTGCCAGCAACCCCAACATAGTGCATGCCGTAGGTCTGAGCTGGAGAGAGGACGCGAGGGACCGATTCGAAGGTGACAGGCAGCTCATCAGCTGGGATCAGTGGGACAGGCTGACCGTCGTAGCGAGTGATGAAGTACTTGAGATGAGCTTCGCCAGGCGAGTTGGACATCGTCGATGGTGTAGGCTGTGGGCTGGAAGACCGGACAGGAGCAGTAGCGAAAGGATTGGGTACTGCCATGTTGGTGCTTGGAGGTTTGGTGGTAGATCGATTGGTATAGTGTATCGATTGTCTGGTAGAGGAGTGCGGTAGGAGGATGTCAGACTAATCTTGCTGGCTGAGGCGCTGATATACTGATGACCATCAGCAACAAGCCATGCTCAGTGTTTGCTCATGCAAAAAACCTTGTGCTTGTCTAAGAGAGCAGTCTTTGCCGCACCGTCCAGGCTTTGCAGCAGCAAATGGCATTGCATTGGGCAATGCTTGGATTAGCCGTTGTGTTCGGCGACGCCATGTAGGTCTCATGCACATGCGCGTTTGGCTAAAGAATCTCTTTGAAGAAGGTGCGTGTGTGTTCCAGAACGAGGTGCAGGCGAATATGTTGGCGGAAACATGCAGGAACCCGACGGATGGTGGCATATCCCTGAACGAATGGTGGCGGGCTAATCGATCGCTGACTTTGGCGTTTGATTGCATTGTCAGTGCTGGTCACTGGTGAGGGCATAGAGCAGTGGGAATCGAATGAGCGTGAAGACGCAATGTCGATGAATGGAGGTGGGCATCTTTTGCTTTCCCGCGAAGTGAGACAGACTCGGGATGGGATGACTTGGTTCTCTCGGTGGGTGGCTGCCATACAGCAAGCAGCTTACGGCTCTTAAAAGTTGTGCGAGCCGTAGAGAAAAGGGTTCAATTTGGTCCACACCGATGAGTCGAAGATCTCATAGCTTGGATCTCACCCACCCTAACAATCCAGCTCCAGCCTGACCGTTGACGGCATCCCACACCTTGAGACCTTCTTCCCAGCGATCGTCGGTCCAAATGTCTGTCTCGCCGTCATCCCGCAGTCTCAACATGTCTGTGACCTTTGTCGTGCCCCAATTCACTTTATTGCCCTTGACGAAGTCTGCGAAGTTCTCGTTCCAAGTTGCCAAGATCTTCTTCTCGTCATCAGTCAGTCCATCTTCCAGACCCCAGAACCATATGGACATGTCAGTCGCGTGGGTGACTCCCCAATCAGGAGGTAACTTCGAATCACAGCTCTTCGTTCGCCAGTTGAAACGATATCGCAGCAAGTCTTTGCCAGGCTCAAGGCCTCCTTGTACTAACGCACGATGAAAGCCTCGCTCTAGGCAGTGGACTTGCATGTTGGCATAAAGGCGTCCAAAGGCGTCTTGCCAGTCTTTACTGCCGGCTGGTAACTTGCGTTGATCGCCGCAGCTGACATCTAGTAATCGTTTCACTGCAATTTCGGGGTAGTCGCCGCAAAGTCTGGTGTAGACGTCCTGACACGAGTTCGCTGGAGTTCTCCACGCCTGGTAGAGCTGATGTTCATCTCTACACTCTCCATTCATTAGTTTGATACCCCTTGCTTTCATTCGTTTTGCAAAGTCTCCGCTGTTGATGTGAGCCGTGATGTTCTTTGACACAAAGTCACCGTCTGAGAGTGCTCTGAACTCCGAGATCTTCAACTTATCCTGGACTGCAATAAGATCATGTATCGGGACTGCCCTTAGACGTTCCAGCTTCTCGGCTGCAGAGAGAGATGCTGAAATATCCAGAGCATGTAGCAGCTCATCGAACTGCTTTTGAGTTTCAGAGAGATCTTTGGCTTGCACTCCTGGGGAGTTCGACCACATAATGGCTCTCTTGATGATAGCCTTGTCCTTGGGCACAGCGTACAGCTCGTGCGCAAGTTGTTGAAAGGTACTATGAGAGCCGGCAGAGTACCCTCCCACAGTGATATTGTTGGGGTTACCACCAAAGAAGCCAATGTTCTGTGCAGTCCATTCAAGCGCAAGCCTTTGGTCCCAGAGCCCTTGATTTCCAATAGGCTCTCCATGTGTACGAGCTTCAGCTTGCAGTTCTTTGCTCGCGAGGAATCCAAGTGCGTTGACACGATACGCTGGCGATACCATGATGGCCTGAAACGCGGTCTCGCTGAGAAGTGGTGCTACAGCAGACGGCTCCATGTTCGGATTGCCCCATTGTAGGAAACCACCATGAATATAAAAGAAGACCGGCCATCCTTCTCTCGGAGGAGTACCCGCAGGTATATAAATATTCACTTGCAAGCAGTTCTCATCCCAGTTGGTGTCGTCCGCTGGCCCCAGCCACCCGGGTTGAGGACACACGGCAGCCCTCTTGGTATATATTCCAGGTGCCGCCTTAGTGCCATATCTGAATCGTTCTGGGAGACGGCTCGCCTGGCGAAATCGAGCAGGCGGAAGAGCATAGGGTATGCCCCCAAAATAGTGTAATTTAGTTGATCCGGTTTCTGTGGTCAAAGTTAGGCCTTCGAGCCAACCGAGCGGTCCGGCATCGATGGTATACGATGTTTGTTTCAGCTGCTCTCGAGGCATTATGGATCTTGATATTCCTCCAATGTTGTTGATGAAGGGAAAGAGGAGGTGTTGTTGATTTATCAGACCTCAATGTCTCCACATGCACTTGCCCGCCCCACAGCAGCAGGAGCACCCGTGGCTCCGTCCTCGCTCTCCTTTCGCGAACACCTCAACCGTCGACCGTTCAGGAACAGGCATGGCATGCTTTCCGTTATTGCTCCCTTGCATCGAGCAGCGTTCTAGCCATCTGTTCTCATCAGCAGAGTGATCACACCGACCAGGTAGGTCATTCGTCTTCAGCTTTATATATACCCGTCTCTCCACCATGTCTTCTTGGTTCTTCGGCCGCGGCAAGCAACCCAGCAAAAGCAAAGAGGATTCAATGGATGGACTATCGAACCCGAATCTGTTCCTCGACGACGGAACGCAGGGCTTTACACACGTGAAAGATGCTGGCCCGGACAATGGTACCTTCGCTCTGTCAGAAGTGCGCGAAGATACCCGGCAAGCCGATCGAGGAGGCTCCCGGATCATCGCGCTTCCCAAGGACCGATACCAAAAGCCGCCTCAGGTGAGTTGATCCATTGGAGTAGACGAGCGAGATTTTGATGGAGAACTTCACATAGCTCGCAAAAGGCCTCAAGGCGTGCAACCTGAACTACCAAAGCCGAGACCGCGACGGCAACCGAGCCATTGACCTGGAATTGAACATCGCAACGCACCCGAGGAACGCCTCTACGATACGACCTATCATCCAGGCCCGCAACTCGAGTAATAGCACGCAACTTTTGTACGATGCCGAGATGAGTTGGATGGAGGCCAAGCAGGGCGCGAAAGACTGTATCATCATGACAACGAAATGGGATCTTGCAGCTGGCGAGAAGAAGAAGCGGGTAGACTTTCCACGGGAGTTCGACAGAGATGCGGAGGTGTTGTGTTGGATAAAGGACTTCAGGTTCCTCACATACGACGGTTCGCCATACTCGGTCGACGTCTGGGCCAGTGATGTCACGCCCAAAGGCTTCACCGCGAATGCTAGCGGAAGCAGGTGTGCTGAGCGCCTGGGAGTCACCTGGATCGTGTACTACAAAGGCAAGAACAAAGTTGCTAGTGGGTCTTTCAGCACCGAGGACGTTGAAGATCGGGAAGACGAACAACCAGAGAACGCAGGGAGGGTGGAATTCGCAGCAGCTACATTTAGCAAACCTCCCACTGTTCTGGTCGGGTTGAGCCAGTTCGACCACGCTGGCAGCCGAGACTTAAAACTTGGAGTGTATGTGACTGCAGTAGATGAATCTGGCTTCGATTGGCAGCTAAGTCAGTATCCTGACGCCCTGTCTGAATGTAATGTGCTGATTGTTCTTGCAGATACTTGGGGAGAGAACTCCAACGACGCCCTTCGAAGTGCTGAAGCAACCTACGTTGCCCTCGACTTTGTCTGAATATCCAAGAACGCCAACTTTCCAATGCTCAACAGTGTCCAGGAAAGGGGCAAGCTCATATAAAATGAGTACCCCAAGTCATCTTGCCTCTCCGGAACGGAATGACTTCGAACGAGCCATCAGCGCTGGTCAGGCTCTCAGCAATGGCTTGCGAGCCAAGCTTGAGCATGATCTTCTCCTGCTTGTCATCTTTGACTCGGTAGAAGTCACGGCCGAACTTGCAGAGGAATCCTTCGAGCTTCTCCTTGGTCACGTCGTCTTCGGTCAAGACGCCAAGCTCGATACCCTGCTGCAGTGCGCTCATGATGATGCCGACGGCATGTGGTTGAGTGAAGACGCCAGCTGCGACCTTGTCTGCACGCTTTGACTTGGCTGGGTGAGGCGCCGAATCGGTGCCCAAGAAGAATTTGGGATGGCCGCTTATCGCAGTCTCAAGCAGTGCCTTTCGATCAGATGGGTTCTTCGCGACTGGCTTGCAGAAGCAGTGCGGATCGCCAGCCCAGTCATCGACGATGATGAACATGTGATGAGCTGTGATGGTACCCGCGACAGTATCGCCGCAAGACTTGACGGCTTTGATCGCAGCCGCCGATGTACAATGCTCCAGGATGATCCTCAGCTTGGGGAAACGACGGTGGAGGTCGAGAAGGGTTGGCAAGAAGGCTTCCTCGGCATTCAGGACGGTGATGTCGGCGCCAGCAGAAGGAGGAAGTTCGCCGTGAAGGTTGAGGACCATGTCCTGTCTCTCCATCTCTTCGAAGACGGGGTAGAACTCCTCATACGACATGACACCATGATCAGAGTGGGTGGTCACGCCGTGTGGATACGACTTGATGCCAGCAATGCCAGCTTTCTTGGCCTCCTTGACGGTGTCCGGGCTGATGTTGGGGTGGAGGTAGAGGGACATGAGGAACTTGACATTTGGCTCCAATCCCTGTAGGCGCTTCTGGTATTCGAGGGCATGGTGGACAGTTGTGATAGGGGGAACCAGATTGGGCTGTTGCGTATGAATTTAGTCGCTAAGCAGTATGTGAAAGAAACATATCAGACTTGCCATACCATCACAAACACGGTATTCACGCCGCCTTGTCGGATCGTAGGACTGTGATCAATTAGATCTTGACTGCCACTACAAGCATGCGTAGCCATACACAACTAGCTCGGTCATGTCGCCGTCCCGAAGGTGGACGTGCATGTCCGCGGCAGCAGGCAATTCGATGCCATTGAGCTTCTCAAGCGCCTGCGTCGGAGGCATTTTGGCGACGGTGATCGAAAGACTGGAAGGTCGCAGAGCAAGTAGAGGGTTGTCCCACCAATCCCTCGTCTTTTTTTTTGTTTTTGGTCGTGCCTCAAGAGAGGAGAGTGACCAACAGAGCCAATGCCGCAAAACTTCGGTCCCGCGCCTCGCTGCACCGCCACAATTGAGGAGACTCTCAGCTCCTTTGACTTCCTCCCATCCCCATCAACAAGACATTTCTGTTCTTGTTCTGACTCTACAAATCATGAGATGCCCAAAGTATTTCCATATCACCCGGAACAGGACGCGCCTGCCGGCCATGACTACGAGGCCGACCCGCAATGGAGGAAAAAGCCTCTCACACCCTCTCAGCTCCAGGTCAACGACGTGAGATTGGAGACTCTGCGGCCAGATCGAGGGCCCATGCTAGAGATCAACGAACGAGCGACATCGACCCTCGTGCCCGACACTGCAGCGTATACACCTTCCGCAAGCTTCGTTCGCATTGCCGATGCCACGAGCAACCCCATAGAGAAGCAGAGGTTCACCAATCTCGAAGAGGAGTATGGCTGGATGCGCCATTTGAGGCTGCAGAAGTACCAGCAAAATGCCTACGATGATGGAGACTCTGCAAAATGTCGATGGATTCACTGCTCCTCCAAGTTTCCTGAGTATTTGGCGGGCTTGCTTTGGGCACTTTCTGACGATCTTGAAAGTGTCGCCGATTCCATGCGAATGCTGGATGCCGCGATACAGCGCAATACGCGGTTCTCCAAGCATGGAAAATACTTTGCGCCTTTCTCGCAGTGTCTGGCACGGCAGACAGATGGGTCGAGCAAGGAGACTTATCCATTACTGGTGTCAGTTCCTTTCATGGACTGGACGATGCAGGGACCAACACCACCTCTCCGGTTTCAAGTCGACCGAAGGGAAGGCTTTCTCTCGTCTAGGTCATCCGCGCATATCCTTCGCTCTGTTTTACAGCATTACTATCGCCTGGAAGACACTCGGGACCGTGAACACTCCCAAGTGTTCGCTAAGCACAAGCCGTGGAACACGAATCGAGAGCTGGATCTGAAGGTCCGTCAATGGTATGGTCATTATCCGACTGGCTTGAACGTAGACGAGCTGTGGATACTTGCGATCGATGCAGAGCACATTGTGACCTTCTCAAGTAACCAGACCTGGAAATCGCGCTGGCCGCCTCTCCAGCTCACTTCTAGAATCAGTGATGTTTCATTCCGTGGGATCCGCAATGCATACTTCAGGTCCGGCGAAGCGAAAGAATATACAGCCATTACTCATATGATGGCAAGCCTGAGCGGCGCAGTGGGAATGATGCATCGCAATTTCTGGCCAGATATGGTACTTTGCCTTACCGACCGCTATGCTGGCAGAATGGGACACCTTCAGTATCGCCTGCACCGTTCGCCCAGCACGAAACTGGTGATGGATCTGATTGCATGCCAAGAGGAGCTCTATATCGTGATTCAAATCACAGAGGAGCAGATTGAGATGATCCAAGACCTCCAGACTACCTTGGATACAGGAGAGGCCACAACCGAAGCTGAAGCGCCCTCTCCTGCGAGTCGAAGGCGAGTCTCAGCGACCTACGGAGATTTCGATGAATACGACAGCCCAAGGAGGCTGGTGACTCGCCGCTCGACATATCGACAGCTGTCTACTTCCGTATTGTCGGATCCATTGGCGCAGTTGCTGGACAACCTGCAAAGGGAGCTGGCTGACTTGAGAGACCTTCGTGACAATACGGACAGACTGGTCAACCGAACAATTCAACTCGTCAACATCCGTCTCGAAGATCACGGCAAAGCCATATTAGTTTTCACAGTCGTCACCATCGTCTTTCTCCCCCTCAACTTCGTCAGCAGCTTCTTTGGCATGAACTTCAGCGACATTCGGGATATGGATCGAACGCAATGGCTGTTTTGGGCTGTCGCGATCTGTGTGACCGTTGGCGTGGTGACATCTTCGATCGTTCTGGCATTCTCGGGTGGTGCAATAGTCGAGAAGATGCATATGTGGAGAGACTCAAGACGCGAGAAAACATTAAGCACAACAACAGTATTACGACAGATAGGGGCCAATGTTGGGGAGCATGGCTTTAGGGTATACGGCACCGATAAAGATGGGTCAGGTGGGACATCGTATCAGAGCGACTGGTGATGTTGAAGAACATGCGGAATGAGTATGTAGCAATGGTTGTGGTCGTAATAATTGTACCCACAGGCCCCTGGGGAATCTAACAAGCCAATGATATGGACAAGAAATGAGACTAGTCAGCGTATACATAACCTCGAGAGAACCCAAGGAGTAATCTATGTAAACATTCATGATCCCTCTATCACCAATGTATCGTCCCATCAAAAGGGACGTCTTCACTCCCGTGGCATTTGCACCGCCTCATGCTTGGCAAGTGTTGCCCTCCACGACCGCACCTCACGCATCGACGCGGAGGCGCGCGGCCGCCATGACAGTTGCATCTTGGAACACACGGATGCTTAGTCAATCGTTTGAAGAGCAGTCAAGTCCGAAGCGTTGATCGTGCATCCGATTTCTTCTCCTCCTCGAATCTCACTTTTCCTGCGATATCATCCCTCGCGGCATTCTATTTCGCAGCGGGCATCTTACCGCTACTACAAGACCTACCGACGCCGCTGGCAGGGATGAGCACGCGACCTGAGTAGAACACCAAATTATTGCATTTGGGAGCACAAGCACTGCAGAGATGGCCGCCAATGGCAGTTCTAATGGTCTTGCGCACGATGGTGGTGAGTCGTTCCGCTCGAGAGCATTCCGACCTCTCCAACGGCGTCCGCTCCGCATCCATCACATGTCAGCGTTTGCAGAAGCTCGAACAACGACACATTGCGATCGAGATGTAATGAGTGGATAGAACATATATTGACAGACTACAGAATCGGTAACCTATTCCAGCGGCAATACCTCGAACCCACCGGATCTACGCTTCATTCACTACAACGACGTCTACCATGTTGAGCCAGGATCTCGAGAGCCGGTCGGTGGCATTGCGCGGTTCAAGTCGCTCTGTCAATACTACCAACAAGACGCAAGTTTCAAGGGCCAGTCAGAGCTTCTCACGTTCTTCAGGTCAGTCTGAAGCCCCGATTGCTTTGTTGGGAGATGCAACTGACAGAATCAAGTGGGGATGCCTTCAACCCCAGCCTGGAGTCTTCTGTCACCAAGGGACGACACATGCTAGGCGCCTTGAATGGAATTCGCACGGATGTTGCTTGCTTGGGCAATCACGATCTCGATTTCGGCGTCGAGCAGTTTAGGTATCTGGCTGCACAGTGCAAATTCCCTTGGTTGTGCGCGAATGTCCTGGATCCTGCTTTGGGCGACGAAGTCCCGCTAGGCAATTGCAAGCGGACAGTGATGCTCGAGTCGTCAAATGGAATCAAGATTGGCGTGATTGGTGTCGTTGAGCGCGAGTGGCTCGACACGATCAACACCTTGCCTCCAAACTTGCAATATCACAGCGCCTCCGCGACGGTAGCTGAGCTGGCGCCGAAGTTGAGAGCAGACGGGGCCGAGATGGTTGTCGTGGTATCTCACCAACGTGAGCCAAACGACAACAAACTGGCGACCAAGCTGCAGCCTGGGACCATCGACATCATCCTGGGAGGACACGATCATTACTACCTTCATTCAGTCATTAACGGCACGCACGTCCTACGTTCAGGATCCGACTTCAAGCAGCTCTCGTATCTGGAATGCTGGCGGAAAGTAGACGGAAGCAAAGGCTGGGATTTCGACATCATCCGGCGCGATGTCGTTAGCTCCATTCCACAGGACCCAGAGGCCGTGGCGATGGTTGAGAAAATCACAGCTAGCCTGCGACCAAAGCTGGAGAAGCCGATCGGATACACAGCAGCGCCTCTGGACGCCAGATTCACAACCGTCCGTTTGAAGGAGTCAAACTTGGGGAACTTTATTTGCGACCTCATGAGATTCCACTACGGAGCCGATTGCTGCATCATGGCAGCTGGAACCATAAGAGGAGACCAGATCTATCCACCAGGCGTGCTCCGGGTCAAAGACATGATGAACTGCTTTCCATTTGAAGATCCCTGTGTTGTGATTGCGCTCAAGGGAAAGGACATTCTGAAGGCGCTCGAAAATGGTGTAGGACAGTATCCTGCGCTTGAAGGCCGCTTCCCACAAGTCAGCAACATCTCGTTCTCTTTCGATCCATCCAAGGAGCCGGGAAAGAGATGCTTCGATGTCAAGGTCAAGGGCGGGCCAATTGACCTAGAGCGCGAGTACACGCTTGCCACGCGTGATTACATGGTCAGAGGTAAAGATGGGTTTACCAGTCTGATGCTCGACTCGAATGGCGGCACAGCGAGGAGCATTGTGAGCGATGAGAACGGCATGCTCATCTCCATGATTCTTCGGCAATACTTCATGAGCCTGAAGATCTTGGGTCGATGGAAGACGTGGTCTTCGCACATGGGTGATCATTGGGGCAAGATCCACGACGGCCTGCATGAAGTCCATCCTGTGCAAGAACCGGTCACGCCAGAGAAATCCTCGCCGCCCCAGACGGCCAACGGGAATGTTGACGAGGAGAAGGTCCATCCCAATGGAGAGACGCGCAAATCTCTCGTTGGAACCGCACAGCACGATGCTCACATCCCGTCGCGTCCGGCGAAGAGTCGAAAGCTGCACCATCAACAATCTTCGCAACTGTCGGATTCAGACAGCGAGGATGACGGCCCTGATCACCATGGCGTAGCACCACTCCACCCGAATAGTGAGCGAGAGGACATGCTCAAGCGAAAGTACACCCACAAATGGAGACGCGTTGTAGGATTATCTCACCCGGGAACGATAGCACCGAAGGGTGAGGATTCTGGCGTGCATTGGACCAAGGGCATCTCCCCACGAACCGAGGGCAGAATCACCATGGTTGGCGGCACGTCGTGAGCGTTGTTTTTCCAAGGCATGAGAAAGGAGGCTCGGTGCATAGGGAAGAGGGAGTTTATGGGGCATGCATGGCGACGGGATGAAAAGCGTTGGAGGAGTTGGAGACCCGAAGAGCGAGATTGATCTCGGCGTTTGAACACGGCGAGGGTGCGCGAAATAGGGTCAGACGATATTCTTCTTACTGTCTTGAGTCGTTGCTTCTCTGTTCGATAGACACAGAAGAATCGTACGAATTGAACGAGGTGCCCTGTCCGCTCCACTTCTTTGCAATCAATAGTGGCCCCCCATCACATCACCGCGCAGGAGACCCTTTGAGTTGCCGGCTTTCGAGTTTGCGGGGAAGAAGGAGGCAGCTCACGAGCGAATACACAGACGAGACATCCCCATCACAGCGGCAGACTCGAGGCCTTTGGACGTTGATCACCCGCTTGATAACCAGCGACTTCTTGGAGAGGCGGACCTGCCACACACCCGACTTGGAGCAGTAGCAGCAGGATCAATCGAGCAGGTCATCATTCCGAGTCGCCTTACTTCGCCCCATTACGCCCGCCTGCATGCCACGTGCAGGAGCTTTTGGAGTTGGGGAAACTGGTTCCTGAAGTCATCTCACTTCCGTCGCACAGCGAGCAATAATGAAAACTCGGTGAAGAGGCGACCAGACATCATCTGTTGGATTGCGAAGAGGGGACGAAAGAGCAGACGAGCTGCGTACAAGCGCAGGCGACAAGCAACATGGCGCAACCGCCAGCAGTCGTGATTATTGCTCGGTAAGCGAGCACATAATGGGATTATGAGATGCTTGCTAACACGAGATCTGTAGGCATGGCATGCGACTCGACGCCGCAAACCAGTCCTGGCATCTGTCCACGCCTACCCCTTACGATCCTCCCTTAACGTACGGCGGCTGGAACCAATGTCGAGCCCTCGGAGTGCGCATCGCGAGTATCCTACACGCCCGAGAACAGTCGATCAACAACCTCCCAGCAGAGAGCAACGAGAATGGCATGCCAAAGAGACGGAAGAAGAAACACAAGGTCGTCATACACACCTCGCCTTTCCTGCGATGTCTGCAGACCAGCGTTGCCATATCTGCCGGCATGGCACAGTACGAGGCCCCCAAGGCCAGACCTTCCAGCGCGAGGACAAGGACCGCGGCGACAATGCACTCGGCCTCGCCTAGAATGCGCGGCTTGGACAGCGAGCGGTCGCCGCACCTTGCGCCCATTGCTGAGCCAAAGAACGACTTCGCACACGAGATGGCCAGGAAAGCGTTGTATGATCAGAAGCGGTATCGGAAGTCGAAGCTGAGGGTTGATGCCTTCCTGGGCGAGTGGCTAAACCCTGGATATTTCGATCAGATTACGCCTCCTCCGCCGAGTCCGATGATGATCGCAGGTGCGAAGGCTGAGCTACTTGCCAGCGATCCTGTCGATATGTATACGCCGACTCTTTCGCACAAGTCATCGAACAACAGCCTGTGGGGAGGAGGTGGTAGCCGAGCAGCGAGCAAAGAGAGTACACTGGACGATTGGAGCCATGTCACGGATGCGCTCCCCGCGCCGACTCCAAGGAGAGAACGATCGAACAGTGCGAGCAGCGTGGGGAGTAATGAGAGTTCGGGTCGCAAATCGCCTTTCCGAGCTGGACATGCTCTCCAGCCTTTGACCTCGACATTGCCAAAAGCAGAGCCTGCCATTTACCACCCTCCTACGCCTTCGTACGCCATCTCGAGTTCCGACTACATTCCCCGAGGATACGTAGCACATGCAAGAAACGCGACCGTGAACGTCGATTACTCTTGGGACAGCAGCCGCTCTCCTCAGGACTGGGGCAATGGTGGATCGTTTGGCGAAGAGTGGTCCGCGATGCATAAGAGGTTCCGAAGAGGTTTGAATCATCTCATTCAATGGTACAGCCAGCACAACGCCGATGATCGAGGAGAAGATGCGCTGGGCTTCGAGCAAGCGGACAAACACCACCATGGGGAGGAGGATGAAGAGGAGGAGTTGGTTGTCATCTTGGTGACCCATGGCGCCGGTAGTAACGCTCTCATTGGTGCCTTGACCAACCAGCCTGTCCTTCTGGATGTTGGTATGGCAAGCTTGACGATGGCCGTGAGGAGAGACGATGCACCGGCTTTGCTCTCGCCTCCGGACTCGAATGCTGCTACTCCGAGTCCAGCCGGTACCCCAAGACAGTCTCCCGACCCAGCAGCGATGATGAACGGGCACCGTAGACGCAGCAGTTTGGATATCGGGCTGAGCGCAGTGTACGATATGAAGCTCGTGTCTTCATCTGAACATCTACGACCTGGAGCGGACCCCACAAAGGCACCTGCATCGTCCATTCCATCTAACCTCAGGAATGCCCAAGAGGCTCTGGGAAGGTACAAACAGTTCGGCTCGACTGCCCATGCTGCAGCAGGATCTGGGATCGAATCGAATTGGAACCTTGGCGAGCCTAGGAGAAGCAACACATCAACGGCGATTGGATCCATCAGGCGGCCAAGTGCTTCGAATGTACCTCAGCGGCCCTCGTCAGCGCACAACCCCAAGATCAACCCTCGCCCTCCGCCACCAGACCGAATTTCGACTCCTCCGACGTTCACAGCTGGTCTCTGGACGCCGCCTTCTGGTCGCGGTACTCCAAAGTTGACTGCTCAGAAGGTCGCAGACGACAAGCACACTCTCTTCACCAAGCTGAACGAGGCGAGTGGCGGGCAGAGTCCTGGCAAGGACATGACTCTGAACTTCGCCCAATCGCCCCCAGACTCTCGACCAAACTCCAGCAACGGCATCAAGCCATCGGACCTCCTCAATCCCGTCGACGGCACCGTCGACCGAAGACCCTCGCCCAAACAACAAGACAGCGTCATCAGCTCCAGCAGCGACATCCCCCCCGACCCCACCGCCGAACAAGCAGAATCCGACGACGACCTCGGCGACCTCCCCTCCGTCTCCGACAAACTCCCCACCTCCCTCAGCCGCGGCCTCAGCCAGAAAGGCCTCTGGGGCTCTCGACCCTCCGGCGACAAAGTGCCCCGCAAATTCGCCAAGGAGATGCCGAAGCGACGCTGGACGACGCATGAGAACGATTGACAATTAGAACACTGGCATCAGTCGCTGCGGGAGTATTCGAAGTGAATGAAAAACGTTGACGTCGGTCAAATTTCGTGTTCCCCTCCTTTAATCCTGGAATCTTTGGGGAAGGAAAGGGGGAACGTCCATTCGCTTTGCGTCTCTGCTGTAGTTGTACTGGTTCTGGTGTTGAGTTTTTGGAAAGGCTGGCTTCTTCATTCGTTTGTAGTCGACCGCAGAATCCGCAAGAATGATGAAGAGAACAGGGGGAAGAGTTAGAATAAACTCGAGATTTGAGGTATCGTGAGAAGCGTTCAGAGCGTTCGTTTTAGAGAAAAGGATGGGGAGTAAATTCACGTACGGCGATGCGTGTGATGGAAGGACTGGATCGAGTTTCGTAATGTTCTGGCGTTCAAGAAGGCGATCATGATATCCCTCCCACTTCTTATGATATATCGGCTTAGATCTCTTTGTATCTATAGAGGTAGTGAAGTAAATCGAGATTATGAGTAGTTTTTTCAAGTACTGTAGATGTGTATAGTAAAAAAGGAAGGAGGAGATTCTATTACGAGGAAATGGGGTGAGGGCCCGTCTGGGAGGTGTTGGACTTGATGTTGAATGGTTTGAGCTGGGCATGTATAGACTTCACGAGTCTCGCCGCAATGCTTGTCTTCCATGCAGGCACCCTGCGAGCTCATCATGTGGCCAATCTCTTGGACCGGAGCAGGTGAGGCGGGAGGGGAACGCAAAGAGAGGATGGGTTGATGCAGGCAGTGAAGGAGGATTGGGTAGAGGACGAAAGAACGAAACGAGGAAAACAGGGATTTGGTGTAGGTTGTGCAAGTTTCCATTGAAAGCGACTTTCAATTTTTTCTTCTTCTGAATCCAGCCCATGCGATCCTTGTGTCAAGCAAAAGCACCCTCTTTCGAGGGATTGGTTCATGCCTCCAATTTGCTCTCACACTCGAGGCTTTAGCTGACATGGTATCGTGTTAGCTGCAGTCGCTTCTCACTGATTGTGTGAAGCACATACCCAAAGTTATCCAGAGCGTATGACCAAGTCCTTCGAATCTACTCGCAGCTTTTGTGTCATGTCAGCCCAGATCCAATACAATACTCTTAGTTCAAAGAGCATTGACTTGCCATCGGGCGCGCCTCTGGCGGACTGCTTGGCAGATCGGTACTCGGCAAGTCGCTGCTGCTGCCTGGCCGCAGATTCTCGAAGCGCTCGCGCACGTTGTTCGAGTCATCGACAGGCTGCGCAGGAGTGGCCGTGGTCGTGGCCGTGGGCGCGAGTGTGGGTGCGAGTGTGGGAGTCTCGCAATGAACAGGTCCCACAGCATCAAGCAATCGATCGCTCTCAACGTTGGACGTCTTCTATCGGTCCTTGGGGAGCGCGATGGCCTGATCCGGGCGGAGCGTCTTGATGACGACCTCGACCAGCAGTTCCAGCTCTTCGGAGGTGAATCTCTCCTCCACGTTCTCGATCATCGGCTGCAGCATCTCGACGCAGGTCGGTGCGTGGTTGTAGACCATGAGCATCTCCACCTCGGTCAGACACTTCTTCTCTTGCTCCGGCGCGAACACCTTCTCGACCTCATCCTTCGTCATGGTGGCTAGCTTGTCTTTCCACTCGGCTTCGAGGTGGTCCTGCACGACGTTCTCGGCGTCGAGGGCGAATTTCTCGAATTGAGCGTGGCGCGCCGTGCCTTCGTATGCGGTGGGGTTCTTGACGTAGGGGTAGTTGTCGGACTTGAGCTCACGCTCGTGGCGGTTGAGGGCTCTCATGAAGTTGGAGGGCCGCACTGCTGGCTTGACGCCCTTCTTCTTGTCTTCGGCATCTTCAGCGGCGTGTTGGGCTCTCTTTCGCTTCATCCAGTCGAGGACGTCGGCGTTGGAGAGCAGATGGTCGCCAGCGTCGAGGATCTTCATCTTGGACGGTGTCTCGCGATCGCACGGCCTTGGGTAGCCGTGCAGGTGGAGATGTGACGCGACGAAGGTGAGTCGAAGTCGAAGAAGCGCGGTCATAATTTCCACATGCAAATCGCGGGGTGGAATTTAAGGTTTACGCTAGTCTTCACTGCAAAGCTTAAATCTGTCCTTACGTCCAAACTTCACTCTGTCTTCACTACTTCGCCGGATTCAATGCTCGAAGGAGAATTGCCTTCGCAGAGTTGCTGAGCCATTGCTTTGCATAGCTCCCTGTGATTTAGCTTTTGTACCGACGATTTCTTCTTGAATTGCGAAAGGGATCTTTCCGTTCAAGTCGTCACCCTGCCCATCCGCGTCCTTTGCCTGTGACTTGGCCCGGTGCTGCACTACCTCAGCATTTGCGCCGGCTACTTCTGACCCTGTCGACTGAACGTCACGCGGTTGCGGCTCCGCCTGAGCGCTTTGTGGCTTGTCCAGGTCTGAACTGTGTTGCTTCAGGATTGTGATTGTGCTTTGGTGAAACACCTTCGACATGCTCTCGAACCGCTCCATTCGAACTTCGATATTGGCAAAACACAGCTCGTACACCACACTCTGTCCAATGCGTAAAGGGTCCGTTTCGCGTACTTCCGAGTTATTCTCAATCTGCAATTGGTTCTCCCGCCGCTCGTGAGTACGCTTTCGCCGGTCGTACTCATACGTCCTTGCTGCAAGCTGGAATGGAAATATCGCCGCATAATCTACGTGTCGGGTTCGAGGGGTCTCGAGTAATGCAACGTGGAACGGCACATCGCGCTCTGTGCCCGTGGCGAAGACAAAGGTCAATTGAGAGGGATGCTGTCCCAAGGTAAACGAGATGGCTCCCACCGAACCCCCGATAAACCAGATACATGACGTCGAATCCCACTCATCTTGAGGAAGTACATCGGTGCGCTGGGCAGGTATATCGAAATCGTCGACGATGAGAACCTTCAATCTGTCCGGTTGGAATGGTCGCAGGCTTTTAGGTGCCCTCACGGAAGCTAGCCTCACTTTCCTTTCTTCATTCGGCACACCATACACGCTGGAAGGGCTGCAAATGCGGAGAATAGTCACTCGAGTCTTGTATGGCGTTATTAGGGCTTCTTCCTCCACGATTGCTAGCCGATCGAGGTGGTCGGAGGTGCATTGGAATCTGGCAGGTTCTATGTCACTTGTCTGGACGACTCCAAATGTCGTGGTCTCAAGATCAACATTGTTGGCACGCTGCATTCGTCCCGATGTTTGGGTAGTCCTTTTGAGGTTGATGGCAATTGGCCCTTTCTGTTGACCTTCGAAACGGCAGTTCAACACGGCGTGGTAGATACCAACCTGAGAAGTGCAAGGCACCAAGGGCAGAGAGATCACTAGCCCGGTGTTTTCAATGTTGTAAGACTCGATCCATCCCTTGACGTTTCCATAGCATTCGACAACATCGCCACAGTCCCAGAAGAAGGCGGGAGATGGTGCCAGAAGTCGTCTCGATGCACCTGGTGAAAATGGAGCTATACGCGAAGCGGCCTGTGCTGGATTGGCTGATGCGTGACGTTCACTTTTCCCGTTCATGAGTGGAAGCTTGCCTTCTGCAGCTACTTGTGATTGACCCACGATGAGTGAAGACTCTCTCGGGGTGAACGAGAGCCCACCAGCTAAGGAGTAGTCTACGGTCGGTGTGGCATAGTGGGTAGGAGACGCAGCTGCCACCGTGGACGAAGATGTATCAGAGCCCGTACCTTCGGATCGAAGGCTCAAGACGCCCGTGAAATGCCACGCAAATATGGAATGGTCAGGGCTCTGTCGAATGATCTCTTCTTGCAATCGCACAAAAGCTCGCTCACCTTCACCATAGATAAGGGGAAGGCTGACATCGAACAGTCCGAGGAGACAGTAAGCCTGGTCTTCTACCCTTGTAGTCTGCCGTGACGAAGCCCATGACATCCGTTGGGCAATGCTCCATTCCGAGGGCGCAGAGTCATTGGTCAACACGCTTTCAGGTATTCCTGTGGATCTCTGGAGTTGCGAAGCAATTCGCCAAGACAAATCTCCGAGAGACTTCCAGGCGGAGTCGTAGAACTCTACCCGTGACGGAGCAATGAGCTCTTGCAATGTCCAGCCTCTGGTCATCCATCGACTTGAGCTGATGTCTTTTGGCCACGACTGCACGTCAGCCAGATAAGCGACGCACACTGCAGCGTTTTTGTAGTATGTGAACATAGAATTGATGGCCTCCGTCAACTCCGCACTGCTGGACTTGTCGATACAGCAAGTGTCGGCCCAGCCGTAACGGTACCTGTACTTCGAGCGGACTACATCGCGGAAACCAAGAATTTTTTTATAGCCTTTGAGGTGCGGAAATTCTTTCTGAGCTGGCCAGTCTCTGTACGAGACCTCTCCTCGCTCCCAGGTGTGTGACAGGATAGCATACTCTGGCAAGTTGTTGTCATTCAGCTCTTCGAGCTCCAGTGTTTCGAGATTGATCAGCCGCATTGTCGCTGGGTGGCAGGCGTTGCTATAGATCTTTCTTGTTTCAAGAGCCCGGCAAAAACCGTCATCTCGTACTCGGCGGGGTGGTCAGATCTTGTAAATGGCACGATGCCAAATCTTTCATTCTGACAAGCATTTCAAGTCCGAACATGGGGATCGCTTTGTTCTGTTAGGCGGCAGGAGACCATTTTCTTGAAGCACGAAAAGGCTGATCAAATGTCTTGATGGAGCTGGAAAGGAGGAAGCTGTCGGTCTTGGCTGCCTCTCCACCAGCCCGAAGGCTCTCGGTAACCCGCATCATCGCTCGGTGGCTTGGGCTGATCCTCGGCCACTGCAAGACCTCGACGATATATAAAGTCTGTCCGTCTATGCCACCTCTTGAAGCTGTTCGAAGTTTCAAACGAGAAGTCTGAATTAACCATGTCTCGCCCACTAGTGGTATTATACGGCTACGAATCGTCGACGTTCACCTGGAAAACCCGCCATGTTCTACGGCTTAAGCAGATCCCGTACACTTTCGTCACTGTTCCCACTGTTCGTCGTCGCAGCGAATGTCTTTTTGGCGATCATACTTGGCGCTTACATGATGATAGATGATGCCCCGTCCAATTCTGCGCGACAACTTCAATCTAACTTACCGCAAGATACCAGTGCTTACCATTGGGAGCAAAGACCTCTACTGCGATACGTCGATCATCAGTGAAGCGCTTGAGCACTTCTTCCCACAATCTGAAGGTTTCCAGAGTTTATATCCAGCTACTCAAGACGGAAGGACATATAGGTCGCTGATCAGGGGCTTTGCATCGTACTGGACTGATAGGCCTTTATTCCGAACAACGACGGGCTTGATGCCTGCCAGCATTTGGCGGTCTTCGTTCGGCCAGGGTGCGTATAAAAGATGAAAAGAACAGGTCCATCTTTGTAACATCTGCTGACCTTCGACCGCTCGATCTCAGATAGGGCGCAGCTGATCGGTCACAAGTTGGATCCGGACAAGCTGGAGAAGAAATTGCCTGAAAACCTTTCGAGACTCGACCTCCAGCTATCGCTTTTCGAACCTCTATTCGCCGAGACGGATGGGCCGTGGCTATTCTCCACAAAGACGCCCTCGCTTGCAGATATATCGATATACTATCAGCTCTTGTGGGGCGAACACATCAGCTCTGGCCGCTACTCGAACCACATCTCGGAGGGAGAAATCCAGAACGATGCGCCAGGCGAGATAATGTCTGAGGTTTTCAATGCTGAACGGTACCCTGCTGTCGTGACATGGTATCATAGGATTCGAGCATACTTTGACGAATTGCCTTCGACAGAGAAACAATTGGACATTGAGCAGGTCCTCGATGAGATGAAGAGATCTCCTGCCTTGGGGCCGAAGTCTCTCCTACTGCCCACTCCTCGATCGGCTCATGCTGAACTCAGTGCAAAGACTGGGCTGAAAGAAGGGGCGTTGGTGTCTGTTGTTCCCGATGATACTGGTCGAGACGAGTAAGTGTTGCAAATTCTGCTGTACATGGTGGCATCGGCTGACCGCGAAAAGTCCGACTATTGGCACTTTGTTAGCGATCTCGCCGGAAGAGGTTGTTATCAGGCCTCAAGCGCTGGAGGAGCCCGCCACATTGGAGACGCGTATTCACTTCCCGCGTATTGGGTTTGTAGTTCGGCCTGTGCCTCAGCCATCCTTGTGAGCTCGGCAGGTCGGAGAGCCACCGGGCTGTTGGCCGACTTCTCGCGAGACCGCTATAATGCCGATCGTGACAGAGATACAGGGTTGGGCACAAACGTTACGAACCCCTGCTAGTCTAACTGCCTACACTATGCCTATATCAATACATGATCTTTATCACCATTTAGTATGCCCTCTATTGTTCTTAATAACTGCCTAACACCTCTACCTTATACTTTAATATACTCTAGCTATATTAGAGACTATTAACTTAGCCTATTTAGCTTGTACTACAGCTATAACCTTATCTCTTATTATAGGTAGATATAGGCTAATCCTATACTTTAAGAGGCTCTAAATATTCTCGATTAGATTTAGATCTAGTAAGTTAGCTAGCTAGTTTATTAACTAAATATCTAGGTCCTTAAAGAGTAATATTATTACCTTAGCCTTATAGATTAATATATTATCCTATATAATAGTTATAGGTTATAGGTAGATTAACTAGCTCCTTTAGAGTTAAATACCTTTATAGATAAGAGGAATAACCTACTACTTATATATATCTCTAGTTACTTTCCCCTTATTAAAGATATAATACTCCCCTAGTCTAGTAGCTAATATCTAGCCCTATATTATATAGGCTAAGTATTTACGAAACTATAAGATAAGATAGTTAGTATAGAACTGTTCCCCTACCGTTCTTATAACGTAGACTTATCTAAAGAAGCTATAACGAATCGAAGCTTTATTAGTCTAAATAACGCTAGTCTACTACCTATCTATCTAGTTTATATACCTATATACCTACTATAGCCTAGCCTCCTTTTACTTCTCCGTTAAGAATAGCTTCTTAGTCGTGCTATATCTCGAATACCCCTCTTTCTCGAATATAGCTCGAAGTATCTAGATATCGTAGTTATAGCTTTTAAGGAATACGATCTAATCGTATCTTAGCCGCTTTAAGAATATATTAGTTATAGCTCTATTAACGAGACGACGTCTCTTACGGGTAGTAAGTACTAGAGGGCGGCTACGTCGCTATAGTATATACTATATATCTACTTAATAGCGTAATAAAATAGCTAATATTATAGATTTTAATATATCTAGTACCTTAGTAATCCGTAATAATAGCTAGTGTACGTGCTTATAAAGGGCCTAGATCTAGCCCTTCTCGAAAGGGCTAAATACTTTACCTCTACCTATAGTATTAATTAAAAGAATAAGAAGAACGCGTAGTATAGTAGAGAGCGCGTTATTATAAAGATTAAGATAGGTATAGTATAGGTAGTTAGACTAGTAGGGGTTCGTAACGTTTGTGCCTAACCCTATAAGGAACGGAATAGATAACACTGATAAGAAAGATGAAACACAGTCCTTCATGCGAGCTGTCTAGATTCAAGCTCTGTGTTTACTCATAGTTGGCTTGGAAACAAAAGCGCTTCTGAAAATGGCAGGTGCAGCGAACTCCGAGCTGCCCTGCGAGGTTTAGGCTGCCCTATGCCCTGAACTCCGATAGAGGATCGGGGCCGTCCGAGTTCAAAAGCTGGGCGTTCCCTCTTCCTTCTCCCCCAAAGCCATTATAAACTGCCATTGTCACCGCCATGGTGTTCACGTCGTTGTTACTTGCCGCCTCGGCTGGGCTGGTCGTTGCTGTGTTCCCTCCCAAGCCAGAGGGCGTGACGACCCTTCCATCACGATTTCACGAAGGCGTGACAGTTTCCTACAAGCCAACTACAGGTGTCTGTGAGACCACTCCTGGAGTTCGCTCTTTTGCGGGTACGTATCTACTGTCAATGTTGTGATAGCAGGCTGAGCAAAACCAGGGTACATACATCTGCCTAGCCATGCTCTGAACGAAACACATGAGGACAACCGTTTTCCCATCAACACATTCTATTGGTTTTTTGAGAGCCGCAAGGATCCCAAAAATGCCCCTTTGGCAATCTGGTTGAACGGGGGTCCGGGTGGAAGCAGGTGAGCAGCGACACGTTTGTCTTGAACGCAGAGGCTCGCTAACACCGTCAAGTCTTTTAGGGTGCGGTCTCCAAAAACAGATATTGTGCCACCTCGAAAAGGCATTGACTAATCTATAATGACATCAGCGCTCTATCAGAGAACGGTCCATGTTTCGTTCGTAAGCTGACCGTCATCTTCGCGGTTGAACTGGGCGGTCAAACTAACTTGGGGTGCGTTCAGATAATGATTCCAGGACAACCTACTTGAACCCATGGTCGTGGAATAACGAGGTCAACCTACTATTCATCGATCAGCCAAACCAGGTCGGTTATTCATACGACGTCCTGACCAATGTCACTGTGGACATAGGCCCGCATGGCGAGCAGGATGAGTACATCAAACCAGCAGATTTCTCAGAAGGAATTCCAGAGCAGAACAACACTTTCCTAGTCGGAACTAGCAGCTCTCAGAAGGAATCACATACTGCCAACTCTACTCATCATGCTGCAGTGGCCCTTTGGCATTTCGCTCAGACCTTCTTCGAGGAGTTCCCCGGCTACAAACCTCACGACGAGCAAATTAGCCTGTTTACTGAATCGTATGGAGGCCACTATGGACCAGGCTGTGAGTTATGAACGGATCAATCCAGGTATTCCTCAATCGCTAAACTGAAGCAGTTGTGGACTACTTGCTACACAAGAATGAACTTATCAGAAATGGAACGAGCTCAGAGCCTGGAGCGCATTACTTGCATCTCAAAAGCCTAGGCATTATCAATGGCTGTATTGACGCACCTGATATGTGAGAGCTCTTGGCCTGAACGACTTTGGCTTCACTTGGCTGACACGTTCGAAGGATCGAATCTGAGATCACATTTCCGTTCAACAACACGTACGGGTTGCAATTAATCTCGGATGAGAATTACGAGCATAGCATCAAGGAATTCCACCGCAAGGGAGGAGTTCTTGACGCCATCAACGAGTGTCGAGAGCTTGTACAAAAGACCGATCCTCATGACCATGGAGAACAAGCCAAGACCAACAAAGTCTGCGCCGAAGCGGCGGATCGAGCCATGAAGATCAGTGACGAGCTCTTCGTTGAGGAGAATCGTGGTGCGAGGTTCGATATCACTCATGAGGCTTTGGACCCCTACCCACCTCCATACATGTTTGGTTGGCTGAACCAATACGAGACCCAGAAAGCCTTGGGAGTTCCGGTCAATCATACCTGGGGCTCACCGGTAGTGGCACGAGCCTTTGACCGCACGGGAGACATCGTTCGCGGCGGCCAGTTGGAGCAGATGGCCTACGTTCTAAGCAAGGGCGTTCAGGTCACCTTATTCCACGGCGATAGAGACTTCGCGTGCAACTGGGTCGGAGGGGAGAAGTACTCTCTCAACATCCCTTGGCCGCATCAGGATCAGTTCAAGCAGGCTGGATACACACCTGTGGTCCTCTCCTCCCCTTATCTCGAATCTGCCGGCCTGACTCGACAGTACGGTAACCTTTCATTCACTCGTGTATACCAAGCTGGGCACATGGTTCCGTCGTACCAGCCAGAAGCAGCCTATCGCATATTCATGCGTAGCATTACCGGAAAGGACATCGCCACCGGCGAAATTGATCTCAATGAATATGCTTCGACACATGACGAGCAGTACTCAACAACCGGTCCCAGTTCCACTTGGCACATGAAGAACGACGTGCTGCCTCAACCTCCGCACGAGTGCTATGTCCTGGACGTGCCCTCCCGCTGCACGGCAGAGGAAGCCGAATGGATTGGAGATGGATCTGCCATCGTGAAGAATTGGATCTTGATCGGTCGCAAGAACGACAGCAACGTTGTCGAGCAAGAAGTAACGGGATCGAGCGACGGTGCTCAGATCCCACTCCTGGCGAAGGATTGGTGATCGGCAAAAGAAGTCCAAAAGAAGTCATAGGGCATCGCTGCCATCCCTCATCTTCTACAGCAAGAAGACCAGTCTCGTCATGTCGCAGACAATCCGACCATTACCAATGGCCAAGCGAGCGTTCCGATGGCTTGGTAAACGACGCCTGTGGCTAGAGAAGAGCCGGCACGACTCGTTAATGCAGATGTCTGGCCAGCAGGGCTACAGCAGCTAATCCTACCAAAGCTTAAAGACGAACCAAGAAACATCCGCTGCACTTACTCATCTGCGCCAACAGCAATTTCCCGGTAGGTCGAGTTGCTTCTCGCACACAATTGCACTCATCGAGGTGCTAGGGACATGCTGGAAGTACTTTGAAGCACCAAATGCTGCCCCGCAAGGCTGGGAGAGGCCAATCATATACCGAGGTCCTGTGTCTCTCGCCGTGTCACGCAATTCTTTCGCACACGTTGCCCTATACAAGTAGGGTACAGCAGTGATCAACGGTCGCCTGCAGCAGACATCCACGTCTGCAGTAGTGCAGCATGATCGGGCGCAAGGGTTCCAAGTGTTTTGTGCGAGCGGTACCTTCTCTTATCAGCCGCGCTGGATGAGGGCATGATACCGCTGCAGCCCCTCCTCTAATCTTTTAGATAGCATCTCGCCCGTACTGTCGGCTGCCTGCAGACTTCAAACCTTTGGCAATCATGGCGGCAAGAACAGGCTCCGTGACCGCGCAGGAGAAGGTCACATCGGTGTTCGATAGGACACACGAGCATGCCGTCATCGACGACACGGCGACTCTGGATGAACAGACACTGACAGCACTGGGCTATAAGTAAGTTACACTAGATCATTTGCGGTTCCAAGGACTAAATCAATTCGAAGACAGCAGTTCAAACGAGATTTCTCCATTCTAGAGAGCTTCAGCGTCAGTTTCGCGGTACTCGGGCTCCTCCCATCTATTGCATCGACCATCTCCTACTCGCTCGGATACTCTGGAACCGGCGGTGCAGTATGGGGTTGGTTGATCGCTGGATTGTACGTATAGCAGAGATAGCCGATCTCATATTGAGACTTCTACTAACCTTATGGCTTCTACTTTCAGGGCGATCCAAACCGTTGGGTTCTCCATGGCGGAACTCTGTTCATCAATGCCAACTGCGGGTATCGGAGTTTTCTCTATGAGCTACAGGTCCAGGACTCGTGCTAAACCTGCGTGCTAGGTGGTTTATACTATGCATCTGCATGCCTTGCTCCTCCCGGATGGGGTCCAATCTGCAGTTGGTTCGTGGGTAAGTGAACCTGTCGAAATGACTGCCCCATACCTCTAGACGAGCACATGCTAACAAGGCAGGATGGTCTAATTTCTGCGGATTCGTGACTGGGGTACGATTGTGCTACCAATTCCTTCTCAAGAGAGACATCCGCTGACGGTCCCGGTGACAGCCTTGCTCCCTCAACTACACGTTAGCGTACATGATCACGACTGCCGCTGCCATCTCCAACCCAGACTACACAGCCAAAGACTGGCACATCTACCTAATCTTCCTCCTGATCCTCGTCATCCAGGGTCTGATCGCCATGCAGAGCACCAAGGTCATCGGTTGGACAAATGTACGATCCTGAGCATCCGTTACTGAACCTCATTCTCTGACTTCAAGCAGGTCGCAGGGACCGTATGGAATGTCATCATGATCCTCATCTTTGTGATATGGTTCCCTGTGGGATCTATCAATCACCCAAAGACGAACAATTCCCACGATGTGTGGACGACTTTTGAAGTGGGCACAGCATGGGCTACTGCTTCAGAAGAGTAACTGACGGTGTTTAGAATGGAACCGAGTGGCCGATAGGATGGGCTACCATCATGGTACGATGTGAAGTCTCAAGTTGGAGGCGTTTGCTGACTCCTGCTCCTCGTTTCTAGGGTTTCTTGACTGTGATTTGGACGATGAGTGGGCAAGTCTACCGTTTCATCGATTAAAGCTACGTCGCTAACAGTATTTTAGCTATGACTCTCCTTTTCATCTCACAGTATGCGATCCAATCCAAACGGTCCCGTGAAGGCGGCTCTAACAAATCTTTTTGTAGGAAGAATGTAGCAACAGTGCGATAGCCTCGCCTAGGTAAGGCAGCATTGGAGATATCAGAGAGACATACTAATCCTCGCCTTCCTTCAACAGGGCTATAGTAATGACAGTGCAATCCGGACTATACTTAGGCTTTGCCATCATCTTGGTTGTAGTCTACACCGTCAAGGATATCCAAGACGTCGTGGCCGGGCCCTACGGCCAACCCTGGGGCAGCTTGTGTCTCCAAGTCCTAGGGAAGAAGCAAGGCCTGGCTATGTTTGCCTTGACCATGGTCGCGCAGTTCTTCTGTGGGTTGGGATGCACTGTCACCGTCTCACGCATCGTGTTCGCGTACAGTCGTGATGGTGCGATCCCCTTCTCCAGGGTTTGGTCAACAGTCGACAGGAGATTCAAGACGCCGGTGTATGCAACTTGGGGAGTCCTCTCTGTTGGTGCTCTCCTTGGATTGCTGCTCTTCGCTGGCCCCGTTGCTATTAATGCGGTATTCTCGATCGGTAAGGCTGCATCGATATGAGCTCTTCTTCACCATTGTTGTTTACTGACGATGTGTCCAGGCGCAATCGGGCAGTACACCAGCTTTACTGTGTGTCATTCGGATCTCATCCTCTTAACGATTTGAGCTGACTGAAGCACCTAACAGACACCCATCGCCCTCAAGCTCTTCTTCAACAACGGCAGATTCAAGCCTGGTCCATGGCACTTAGGAAAGTTCAGCAAGCCCCTCAATGTCATCGTAAGTCGAACGACACACGCCATAGCCTATCTCATAGAGACAGTCTAACCGTGAGTCAGGCATGCGGATGGTGGCTTCTCATCGTCCCAGCATTGTGTTTCCCAGCATACAAGGGAAAGGACCTCACGCTCCAAACGATGAACTGGTAAGATTCTGCTCCGTCCAGTCTCAAGCAAGCACTAATGCGTCTTTCAGGACTTGCCTCATCTACGGTGGTGCCATGCTTATAGCTATGGTATGGTATGTCGTGGATGCGCGGAAATGGTTCAAAGGACCTCGCATCAACATCGAACATCTCGACACTTTGACGGCGGAGGATTCTCAGGCTTCGGACGATGGGACGCCGGGCGTGAAGAAAGAGTAGGAAGACGTATTGGGATCGTGAGACGGAATGGCTGCTGTGTTTACATTGATCACTATATGAACCATTCTCTCCAGCCCTGACGTTTTCAGAAGCTGCTATGTCGCGTTGGACGTCTATTCCTATCCGGATTCCTGTCAAGGCACTTTTTGATCACATGGATTACTGATCTGATTACTACTCACACCTACCTCGAAGCGAGGCTATGAGATTGATCCCCTCATAGCAACAACAACTGATACTAGTCACAGTAGTACTACTTCACCCGACGTGGACCATCAAGGTGACCATAGAACGAACCACTACCTCACCAACTATGTCCTCCCAACTCCGAGCAAACATCTACATCGCCCCTCCAATTCCCTTCAGCAAGCCCGACGGCACCGAAGGCGGCAAATGGTCTCCCATCTCCTCGACCTTAATCCACGGCGATCATGAAGCCGTGCTGGTGGACACGCCCATCACCAAATCGCAGAATGTAGCTCTGGGAGACTGGATCGAAGCTACGATCCCAACGAAGAAGTTGACGACGGTCTACATCACTCACGGCCATGCGGATCATTGGCTGGGTATTAATTACCTCCAGAAACGCTTCCCGGGGTTGAAGGCTTTGGCTACTGCTGGTACGGTCGAGCATATGAAGGAACAGATTCGACCGCAGGAGTGGAAGGCGACCTGGGGTTCTCAGTTCCCGGATCAGATTGATGAGGACTTTAAATTTGCGGATGCCCTTCCCTCGAATGGGGAGTTTCAGCTGGAGGGTCATGTGCTCAAGGCTGTCGAAGTGGGCCATTCGGATACGCATGACAGTACTGTGTTGTGGGTGCCTTCCATCAAGCTGGCCGTCTGTGGCGATGTCGTGTATGGAGACGTCCACCAAATGCTAAGGATCGCGAATACAAAAGCCCTGCGTGAGGAATGGATCCGAGCTATCGAGAAGGTCGAGTCGTTGGGACCGGAGACGGTCGTCGCTGGTCATATGAAAGAAGGCGAGATCCCAGGTACCTTCCACCTTCTAGAATCGAAGAAGTATATTCGTACGTTTGGGGAGATTGTGGAGGGCGGTGGTGCGAAGGAGTGGAGGGATGTGTTCAAGGTGATGAAGGAGAAGTATCCGACGAGGTATAACGATGGGGCTTTGGTTGCTGGGTGTGTTGGGGCGTTCCCTAGCAAGAAGAAAAAGGGGTCGAAGATTTGAGGGGATGTCGATGGGGTGGCACGTCTAGAAAATGTAAGGGACAGAATATTATCTGGAGATCTTGCATGACTTTCGTTGACGTCGTTCTATCTTCTTGATATCATCCCTTCGATTTCCAACCGCGCTCACGAAGCCGAATGTGGCGTAATAATCAAATCCACCGGGTTTCCAAGCGCTGCAGCCATCGTCAGCCCAGAACAATCACCCACGCACTCACACCAACAACAAAAACACCAAACTTACTGAGCAAATCCTCCAAAATCGGACTCGAAAGCCCGGCATTGGGCGCAAAACTCGTCTGATTAATCGACGCCGTCGCTAGCGGAATCGGCACAATCCCCTGAAACCTCAACAACGTGCTCGCCTCGCCATCGCACGACGCATTCACAGCCTCGAACAGATGCGTGAACTGCGTGCTGTCCGCGCCGAGGTAAAGCGCCTGGGCGGCGAGGAGCGGGTTCGACTGCGTGACGAGTTTGGTGCCCCCGGGGGCGTAGGCGGAGCCGCCTTGGAGGGTGAATTGCGGGGTTGTGAAGGTGTTGTTGAGGTCGGTGGTGCTGCTGTTGCCTAGGTAGAGGGGGAGGAAGAAGCCGCCGGGGGCTGGGGTGGGGGAGTTGACGACGGGGAGGAGGGCGCCGTCGGGGTTGCGGGCTTGGAGGATGAAGGTCCCATTGAGGGTGTCTTTGCCTGTGCCGATTCCTAGGAGGCCGGTGAGGTCTGGGACGCAGAGGAGGGCGTGGCTGAGGCCCGCATAGGCGATTGCTAGGGTTGCGAAGGTGCGGAATGCCATGGTTGTGGATGTGGAGTTGGGACGTGATGGTCAGGCTCTGGGAGTTACGGATGAAGTCGACGACGAGCATGAACTCGTCATTTAGTACTTTCGATGAGGTGGCCACGACGATGATCGTGACCCCGCAAAGGCATTGCGTTCGAACTGTTGCATTCTTCCAGTTCGAGAGGAGTCTAATCCATTTAGCTCATGCGTAAGTGAGAAACCTTGAGCAGTAGCGTGGAGATCTGCACGTTTCTCGTCGGGGTCGAACGAACCGAACTCATGGCAGTTTCGCAATGAAAAATCGCCGTGAAACAGTGATACTGGTATTGCGGGTTAATCAATCGTTCCGAACGCATCGAGAACCATCCTGGTCATCTAGTTGTATCAACTCCAATCACCCACCCTCAAACTCCAGTCGCAACTCTCATACCTGCAAGCAGCACGCCATCGAGCGAACAAACGCTGAACGAGCCCACCGGCCACTTCGCCATCCGAACCAGTTATGACAACGTCGCAAAAGAACTGTAGAAGAATGCCTCGTGTTGCGTTAGCTTGGCACGGCTAAAAGTCCTGCAAGTCGTGCAGTGCCGAACGAAAAAGTCGGTAATTGTGGCTCTTTTGCGACTCTTTTGGGCGTTTGCCGAAAAACAAAAGATGAAAGTACACAGGCGAACGTAACGATCCTGTGCGGCTCTGTGATGGTTCCGTTTTAGCCTCCTCGTTGCTGCACCAGTGTGACGTGACATCGTTGGTGACATTTGTCGATGTACTTGTTGTTGGACCCGTACGACGTACGATGGCAACCAACATCGGATTCGTAGCGAGACTACAGCCTTGCTTTTGGCCGCCACTTTGCATAAGGATGATCGAGCGTCGAAGGCACCAGATGGTCGACGTCGGACGTGTTGACCAGTCCAGGATGCACTTGAGATAGGTCGGTGATGCCCAGGAGCTTCATAGCACTCTCCATCTCCTCCCTCAAAACTACACCCACCATCGTCAGCGCAGGAACCCAACCCCAGATTCACGCACTCTAAGAAGAACTTACTATCAACCGCCTTCCTTACCCCCTCCTCCCCATAATTCAACGCAAACAAAAACGGCCTCCCCAACCCGACCGCCTTCGCCCCCAGACAAAGCGCCTTCAAAATATCTACACCCCTCCTAAACCCGCCGTCGATGTAGACTTCCATCTGGTCGAAGATCTCGGGACATTGGCGGTGCATTTCCAGGAGGATGAGGATAGAGGGCGGCGTGAAGTCGAGGTTGCGGCCGCCGTGGTTGGAGAGCATGACGCCTGGAAGGTTATGTGAGTGACATGGGGGAGAGGGGTGAGTGGTCACTGGTGGTAGGGGTCTTACCGTCGACTTTGTGTTCCATTGCGAGTTTTGCGTCGGAGGCGGTCATGATTCCCTTGAGGATTAAGGGGAGTTTGGTGAGGCTTCGGATCCATTTGATGTCGTCCCATGTTACGCCTTGGTCGAAGGCGCTGCCAGCGATCTTGGTGAGACCGCCTCCTTTCTTGCCTGTTACGGGGTTGACCTCGTCCACTCGGAGGCGTTCGTCGGATTCTCTTTTCCCTCTTCCAGCTGCGTCTACGGTCAAGAAGATCGCCCTGACGTTGAGCGTGTTCAGCTTGGCGAGAAGCTCCTCAGTCTTCTTCCGCTCCTTGTTAACGTATAACTGGAACATCAAAGGCACCCCAGGAGCTTCATTCAGAATCTCCTCCGCTGGAAAACTCGAGTTCGTCGAAATCTGCAATAACCCAACATCAGCACCCAACCCACCACATTTCACAAAAATGAAAGACTCACAATCTGCGCAATCCCCTCCCCCTCCGCCGCCCTCCCCATCGCCTTCTCCGCCCCGGGATGCATCATCTTCGTCAACCCCGTCGGACAAATAAACACCGGCATCCTCGTCCTCACCCCCAAAATCTCACTCGCCGGATCCACCGCCTTGACATCCCTTAACACCCTCGGCCGGAACCAGATCCGCCGCAGCATCGCGATATTCTGATCCCGCGTCCAGCAATCCGTCGACGCCGTCGATGTGAACGCGTACGTCTTGGGCGAGCTCGTGCGCCGCGAGATGTCTTCGAAGTCGTACAGGTTGATGACGGTGTGTAGGGGCGGTTTTTCGCCGTCTGGGACGGCTTGGGCGGGGTTGGAGGGGGTGGGGGATTGGAGCCATGTGGAGTCTATGGTTGAGCGGTCGAGGTTGCCTTTGAAGCATTCTGGGGAGAGGCTGTTGCGGACGGTGGAGGGGGTGTGGATTTCTGAGTATTCTTTCGTGGCGTCCCGGCCGGCGTAGCGAAGGATGAGAGCTGGGCCTCCGGGATGGTCGTTGATGAACGATGTGCAGTCCCAGACGCCATCGTCGATTACGAGCCAACAGTCTTCGGGGGAATTGTGTTGAGATATTTCTTGGGTGGAGATGAGTCTTGAATCTTCCATTTTCGACCTGGTTATACCAATGAATGGCGGCAAGATTTCTTCTGAGATATAGAATCCAACAATCAAAGAAACCAACCTACAACCCACCATCTCCAGAAGCCAACCTATATCTATCGTCAAAACATTCAGGCAAAACAGCGACTCCCTCCGTAATCGGACTCGTTCTGGTTGGCCAGTTCATAGAATCCGGACGGCGATTCACCGACCTAGCGGAGAGCTCCCGCCGACATTGGGGAGCGCTCCGTCTGTCGAGATGCATGGCCGGTGATGATGGTTCGCGAGAAAAGAGAAGAAGAGGCGAGACGAACGGTTCCGCTGATTTCACTTGTGTGGTCCAAGCGTTGGCGGACCCGGACCCAAGGCGAGCGTACATATAGTTGCGGATACTACTGTAGGTACAGTCATTGCTCATACCGCTTGTCGAGACGGCCAAGGCGAAGCGACATGAATTGATCGTTAGTAGTAGAGCTCAACTTGGAGAGCACAGCACAGCACTGTGAGGGAACGTGACGCAGCAGCAGACCCCTCTCCCAGCGGCAAAGAGGAGAGGGGTCAAGGAATCGTCTTACTTGAACTCCGACAGACAGAACATTAGAACAGCAAGATCTCAATCTCTCAACATCATTATTTGCCTCAGAACTTCGCTATCAAACTCCATCTATTCCAGAACTCCAACGCTATGCAGAAATACGGCCCCGTCCCAGAATTCCCAGTCAAAGGTAAAATCGCACTCATCACAGGTGGAGGAAGCGGTATCGGTTTCGCTCTCTCCCGTCTGCTTCACGAGAGAGGTGCTCATATCGTTATTGGCGATATAAAGCTTGTGTCAGAAGCAGAGGAATGGATCGCTCAAGTGCCAAAAGAAGAGGTGTTCTGGCAATCGTGCGACGTGACTTCCTGGAAAGACCTCCACGATCTCATCTCGGCCAGCGTCAAGCACTTCAACGATGTCCCTGACATTTACGTTCCAAGTGCAGGGGTCTTCGAGCCAACATGGTCCAACTTCTGGGGTGATAGCGAGGACGAAAGCTATAAAGCCCTCCGTATCAACGTCGATCATCCCATCAAGTTGACTCGCCTGGCCATGCGTGCCCTTGCAGGTGCAGAGAAGCAGGGCGTCGTAGCTCTCATAGCATCTTCCGCGGGCATTCGAGGTAACTATCTGGCGTGTCTCTACAGCTCGGCAAAGCATGCGATCGTCGGTCTGGCCAAGTCTCTAGGCCAAGCTGATGTCGAGGAGGGCGTCAAAGTCATCTGCATTTTGCCCGGAATGGTGCAGAGTCCACTTTGGGAAGACCGCCAGGACGACATAGCCAAGGAGACGCAATACCAAGAGCGTTTGAAGTCTGCACTGCAACCAATCGACATTGCCGAGAATATGCTCCTCATGATCGAAAGTCCAGAGTATGATGGTGGGAGCTGCGTCCTGAAAACCAAGGCAGAAGAGCGAATTGTCGAGGAAGGGTATGCGAAAAGTGTTGGAAAGTACGATCCCAGTCCAAGGCCAGAGCCAGATCTGAGGCGGATCAAGGAGCTTCTGCTGCAGCACAGAGGCAAAGCATGGGTATAGTGCGGTCGTAGTCGTAGCCAGTCTTTCGAAATCATTCTTGATCATCAAGGCCCTCGTCCTCGCACCTGTCCCTCATGACCAAAGTCAGTGGTCAGGACATCTGTCGTCTCGCACCACCCGAACGCACCTCGTCAATATTCAGTGCTTTCAAAATCTTCAGCATTTCTTCCTGCTTGCCCGACTCCGTCATCCGCTTCGCTCTGCGTCTCAAATCTGCACAGATCTTCGAATGTGGCTGGGGACCGCAATACTGCCACTTGGGCTGTGGTCGGTGTTTGTCTGCCCGCATGTGTAGCCATTTCCGAAGGCTATCCAGACTCCGCGGCGGCTGCTGACCCGAAGTGGCGAATTGAATGCGTAAATTCTCATTCTTACAGAGCTTGCTTTCCTGGTCGGGCGGTATGCGTGCAACCCACAGCAGTAGTCCGTCGAAGTTGAAGTCGGTGATGGAGCAGCGGATGGGACACATGGAGTGGATCATAGGCAGGACCTCATTTCGGACTTGGCGGCTGGTCCGCGTGAGGGCATGCGGGATGCAGCGTTGGGCGTCCTCGGCTTTGCTGGTGGGGAGAATGTGTATCACGACGCCTTCCAGGGCGAGTTTGTAGACTTCGATGCGCAGTTCAGCAGGCAGGTCGAAGAAGGTGACCCGGGGCAGTTGCGCGGGCGGCGGCTTTGGCGGGGCAGGGGCAAGCGGCCGGTGGGTGAGCGACATGTTGATCGCATGAAGCAGAAGAGAGTTGCAGGTGGTGAGGTGGCCGAAGAAAATTCAGGCGGGTGCGAGACACATGATCCGGTCGTGTCTGCTGCTGTGGGCCAGGAGGGAAAGCCAGTAAGCGCCGAGCCAGAGTTGAGTGTCTTTTTCGATGAGGCTTGCTTTGGTTGCACGCCCGGCGCTTTCCAAATCCTGGAGCACGGGTCGCGGGCGGTCTCAGCAGCAGCAGCGATTCTGGCGGTGGACGGGGTTATTATGAGCAGCGCATGCTGGACCTGTGGCCGGGGCGGGCGATTGTCGGGGGGCGGTCGAGTGAGTCGTGGGTGGTGTCTGTGACAACGGATGACCTGGACAGGGCGACCAAAGCGAAGCAAAGGCGAGGCCAGGCGAGACCCCCCAAGAGGCGGCGACATGAAGTTCCCAAAACCCTACCCGCTAGCGTGCCAGCGAATGCTCCTCGTCTGCGTAATCCACAGCCGTATGCCATTTTTAGCGTCCTACCTGCCGATGCAACGACACGCTCAGTTGAGGTCAAACGCATTGCAATTACTCTATGAACCTTGCCCTTATTACGACCGTCCCAAAAGACCTCCGATCCCTCGACTGGGAGAAGCCCGAACCGCCTCTCGCTCCCACTTGTCCTGCGCAAGATCATACAGCTCCACGAAACCCTCGTAGTCCTTCGTGTACTTGTCCATATTCCCATTCCTCACGGCATCGATATGTCTCGACGTGCCAGCCTCGCGGGTGAGCAGTCTCTGCTTGCCCCAGATGAGATAGACGACATTCTTGCAGATGGTCTTGGAGCGGAAACCTTCGCTGCCGTCGTAGTCGTCGCCATTGCGCTTGAGCTTCTTGCGTGCGGCTTGGACGTCTGGCGGTGCATTGTCTGGGCGGCTCCTCTCCTTGGAGAGTTCTTCCTGTGCGAGGCTTCCTCCAGACTGGCGGTAGGCGTCGAGACCAGGGAAGCAGACGATCTTGACAATTGCTTCTGTTTGGTCGGGACTGGCGCCCTCTCGGGCCACTGCGCGCTCCATGCCACCTACCACCTTCTTCTCATATGGACTCTTCAAAATCATGTCGCGTAGATTGTAGCATTCCATTTGGCCTGGTGCGAACTCCTCGTCCTTGAAGGTCGATGTCCAGTAGTAGGCAACATCAGGTGCAAGACGCATCAAACGGCTAAGCTCGCCAGCGTTTCTGACGATGCCATGCAGTCTTTCGGGAAACGTGGCATGCAGTCTCTTGGATTTGCCGTCGTAGAAGGGAGCCAGCAGCTTCTCGAGTCGCCGTGTCATGGTGTTGACAGCCTGCTTGAACAAGGCCTCCTGGTCGGGCTTCTTATTGAATTCCTGAACCCTCTTCGCCCGTGCCCGAGTACGTGCAAAGCCTAGTTGTGTTGTTAGCACAAGCAATGAAAGTCGTTGAGCTGGAAAACTTACCATCATCACCAGCCGTCTTCTTCTCTCTGAGACTTAGATCCTCTTTTTGATCGGGATCACTTCCAAACCAAAGATCCGAGAAAACATGCTCCTTCAAAGCACGTCCCAAAATGCCAACCACGAGAGCCTCACGCGTCGGTTGTGCAGTCACCAAATCCTCCCAATCCTTCCTTCCGTTCTTGCCTCCTTGTGACAGACAACCAATGTAGCGAATCAGCTGCTCGTTTTCCTTCTTCAGAAGGGAGTCCAGGAAGCCCGCAGGCGGCGTAGTGACCTCCTTGCTCGTCGTGAACTTGTTCGCAAAGGTCCGAATGTCTGCGATGAGTTCGTACAACCTTCCGCAGACAGCCTTGTCTTTGCCGTTGTCGTTGACATCTTCTTTGGAGAAGAGCTTCTCATCATCCTTCGCTTTACTAGCGATCTTGCTAGCGATTTTGCGTGCAGGGGCTCCAGGGGAGATCGCAGGGGGGCGAACGTCACCGGGTCTCGTCATATGCTCCACGATCTCGGAATCGATTCCTGAATATTCGCCTTCTTCGTCTTCATCTTCATCCTGTTTCTCTCCATCTTCCTCTCCCTCTTCAGGACCCTCCTCCTCATCGCCCTCGCCATCACCAACAGGACCACTCCCCGCACCCTGACCCTGGAGCTGAATCTCCACCGGCCCTTCCGCAGTCATAACCCTCCGATCCCCATACTTCTTCTCAACCCACTTCGTCCACGAAGCCCGGAACTCTCGCTCCGCCTGAAATTCTGGTACCCCATAGTGCTTGATACTCGTGTCGAGTTTGAGTTGTAGATCCACCAATACTTTCCGGTCCTCCGGGTCGTGGAGAAAATTGATGTCTGGAACGGTGGCAGGCGTAGAGAAGCTGGGGCGGTTGGGATTGCGCTGGCGTGTGTCTGTGTTGCCGGTGCCGCTGGCTTCTGCCTCCAGGTTGGGGCTCCAGTGGACGCCTTGGTGGCGCTTGCGGCCGGATTGGGAGGTTGATGTGAGTGGACGTTTGCGTGATTTGTATTTGTAGGGGCCTGTGGAGGGCATTTTGATGTATGGTGAAGTGGAGGGTTGTAGGTTGAATGCTTCAGAGCAATGTCTGGCAGTCAGAAGGCGTTATGAAGATGCTGGAACAAAGAAGGGTGAATGTTTGCGACATGGTGGGAGGCCAGGTGAAGTCATCTTCCATTGTTTGTCCCGGCGAGTAGGCTCCGGAATGTACGTCCCTTTGTGGCCTGGTCTCCATTCCAGTGGTTCCCCTGAGCGATGAGAAGCTCGACTGCCTCAGTGAAGTTGGCAGACTGTAGGAGGCAGAGTCGATATCTCCGTGCTGTGATCGCGTTAGCAAGCCTCTACGGCCATCGATAGAGGGAGTGAAAGGGACATGTTGCTTGCAAGAAGCCAAGGCGAATCCTCACCTTCTTGACGCTTTCACTCCTTTCCACAGCGTGCATTCTCATGGTCAAACTGAGATGGAATAGGGAGGGCCCAGAAAGGTTGAGATAATAAACCAGACTTTCATTCATGTCATCCATCGCCATATCCCGGCGGAGCTCGCTACGACCCAGAGGTATAATGCCCACGTTGTCCACCCACGAATTCGCCATGTCAAAAAACGCCTCGAATCTTGCGCTGTGAGCCATTCTAACAAAGACCCCAGCAGCGATCACAGAAAAAGACCCATCTTTTTTCACACAGCCAAAAATCAGCAACAAAAGTATCAAATGCTCTCCATGCTCTTCGTTCAGTCGATCGTCATGCGCTGCGGTACCTGGCCCAGAGGGTGAGGTGGTCCGTTATAGTCTCCAGATCCCCACTTGCCTCCGTCCAGCTCTCCTGTGTTCGGGACCTTTCTCCTCTGAATATGTGGTTTCAGGCCCTTGTTGAAGTTCATCATGCATGCTATTGCCGTTCCAATCGTTACCACCAGTAGCAGAAGTGTCAAAACCGCGAAAGTCGTGAGAGAGCTGCGAATGGCGATGTAGTCCTGCTCGCGTGCGGGTGTGTACATTCGCACCAGCTTGAATACAAAGTACGCCATTGCCGCAAAATACACGATGATGATGCCGGTTTGTCCGATGTGGGATTCGCGGCGGGTGAAGTAAGCGGCGAGGAAGAGGAGGATGATGGTGATTGGGATGGCCGCGATCGTGAGGTAGAATTCGGAGTCGGAGGTGCCGGTAACGACGACGACGAATTGAACGGTGAAGCCGAGGAAGAAGAAGAAATCGAACTTGAGCAGGGCGATGTAGATCTGGTCAGACGTTAGATGAGTAGCCTTGGCAAGTTTTGAAGATCATGCCCACCTGATATGTCAGATAACGCCTCTTCAGACGCAGATCGGCGGAAATGTGCTTGTAGATGGTCCACGCAAACTCATTGTAGAGCTTCCAGGCGATGAATGCGAGCATCACAGTCCCCAATGCCACAACGCAGGGCGCTGCGATGAGGAAGGGCTTGAGGTTTTGCCAGGTCTCAGGATCAATGTCGCCCATATCGACCAGCTTTTTGACGGCTTCGTTCACCTGGTCCATCTGCACGGACGAATAGATGAGCATGCCAATGTTGTACAGGCATACTCCGATGACCTGGATGGTGTTCTTGAGCCTAAGAGCATCGTAGGCCAGAACCAGCTCGTATATGAATCCGAAGATGAACAGAGCCAGATATGTGGGAATTGTCTTCGTAGGCTCAGGCGCCTTGCCATCGCCATCGTCCTTTACGTGCAGATTCGTCTGGAACTCTCCAAACACATATGCCTCCAGTCCCAAGCTCGCAACCGCTTGGCCAAGGACGACGAGCATGAATGCCCATGTCCAGGGTGTATTTGGCACATACATGCCTCGCCGCTTGCTTGTGCTGCCGGCTACTTGATTTCGCGTGGGCAGTCCTTCTCGATCATGATATCCGCCTGATTCGTACGCGGGCTGGTTTCCTTGCGGGTTGTAGATGGGCGGTCGTACAGAGGAGAAAGACGAATTGCCTGAGAGAGGTTGATAGGCAGTATCGCCGCCCAGCAGCGATGCGCGGGCCTGGTGCTTTGGTTTCGACGTGGTGACGGTGGTGTGTGGCCGCAGAGTCGCGGCCGGTCAGGAGGATGGTAGGAATGTATAGTAGTGCGACAGAGTGACCGGGTGGTGGCAGCGCAGTGGTGAGGCTCGGGGCGCTGGGGTTATGGCGAGGTTGCAGCGGCTTACGAAACGCCCTTGGCTACGTTTCTTGGGCTCGCAGGCCGTGTGTGGGCGGTGGTTGGGCGGCCTCTAGGGGCTGCAGACAAGCGAGTGACGGCGACGGGACACAGCGTGTGGCAGCCAGCGGCGAGCAAAGGTTTCAGCTGGCGGTGCGGTGCGGTGCAGTAGCAGACGACTGGTGGTGCTGCGGCGGGGAGTGTCACGGCGTTGATCGATGGATGCGGATAGAGTTCAGCCCGGGGGCGTGGCGATATGTCCAGGCTCGTATCGACGAGTGTGTATGTATCGATGGATAGCGAGCGGAAGTCGTGAGTAGGAGGAGACTGAGGCCGTGGTCAGGCTGAGGAGTTGCAGGTGGTTGTAGGTGTTGGCCGTGATATGGAATCCTCACTCACTGTCGTCTCCTGCGGTCATGGCTCCTTCGGTGCAGGTCCCTTCTTTAGCCTCAACTCTTGAGACACAGCCACATGTCTGCTGCTAATTCCGACCTGTCGTTTGGACCGCCGGCCCAATCAGCGTCCGCCTCCACCACCACCGTGCACCAATTTTCCTGCTTCACGTCGTTTTCCTCCACGCCGAGCACTCACCTGTCAATGGCAGCAAACAATCACCTGCCATTGACCCATTACATCACATGGTACGTACCACCTCCACCCCCCTTTATGCACCTCGTATGATGAACAGACAATTCAAGAGAACCGTTGCGAATGACTCTTCAGGAGGATGATCGTAAACATTACCTATAACCAAACTGAAACCCCTTCCGCATCACACTGTCTACAGAGAGAACGTGGTGAACATTACTGATTGTGCATGCAGTAGATACTGTCCATAATGTCAAAAGATGTCTTCGTGCGTCGGTTTCGACCCTATCTCTTCTCTGGCTTCAAGCGCTCCCAATACCTTCCTGCACGTGCCTTCGCCTCAAAGCCATATCTTCGCGCAAAAGAGAAGCAGCAAGATGTGACACATGATTACGAGAAAAGAGTAGCACAGCTGCAGGCTTATAGGCCATTGTCAGAATGCTACCCTAGACTTGAGAACGTGGATGTACAAGACAGTGCTGGGAAGAAGGCCTTTAAGAGTCAATATGAGCACCTGGAGGTCGACCAGACTGCACCAGATGGAACCAAGACAAGAGTCAGAGGTAAAACTTATCAGAGGTAGGTATCAACCCAGCGGCTGACTCCCTGCTAGGAAGAATACATTCCATACGGACTGCTGGATCAAAGCTGCTCTTCATAGACGTGAAGCAGCCAGACGGCACACTTCAGGTAGTCTGTCAGCTGGGAAAGCTTCAAGACGGAGATGGCAACATCACTTCAGAAGTCTTCAAAGGAATTGCGAAGATAGCCAGGAAAGGTGATGTGTATGAGTTCACAGGATGGCCTCATCGCACTGCCAGGGGTGAGCTGTCCCTGCTCGCCACGGATATGCCTACTCTTCTATCACCATCACTCCATCAGATACCAGAGGCATTCGAGGATCCTGAAGCCCGCGCCCGCGCTCGCCATGTGGACATGCTTGTCAACCCAGATGCCATACGAACACTGCGTGTTCGCCATGAAGTCGACGCAGGTCTGCAAGAATACTTCAACGACAGAGGCTTCACCAGAGTGTACACGCCCATTCTCGGTGCAGGCGCAGGAGGAGCTACCGCACGACCCTTCGAAACCGAAGCTACAGAATTCAATGGAGAGAAGCTGAATCTACGGATTGCCCCTGAATTATGGCTCAAACGTCTGATTGTAGGAGGCATGCATGCTGTGTACGAGATTGGCCCTGCATTTCGCAATGAAGGCGTTGATGCTACACACAACCCTGAGTTCAACATCTGTGAATTCTACAAGGCATACACGACCCTAGACGATTTGATGAGGATGACCGCATCTCTACTACTCCATCTCAGCTCGCATGTGAAGGATTCGTCGTTTGCTGTGGACGCACTTAAGACTTTCGAAGAGGTGGAATTCATACCCGGCTTGCAGTCAAAACTACAGCATCAACTCCCCGACCTCCAGTCCCCGCGAGCCCAGGAACAAGTACTCGCCATCTTCGACAAGTACGAACTCGTCAAGCCGTCCAACCCAACCCTACCTCGCCTGCTCGACACCCTCGCCGCCTACTTCCTCGAGCCGCTATCCAACGAGAACAACCCGACTTTCATCACCCACCACCCCGCCTGCCTCTCGCCGCTCAGCAAACACTTCACCTGCCCCCAAACAGGCCAGATCGTCGCCGCCCGCGCTGAGCTCTTCATCAACGGCCGCGAGTACGCCAACATGTACGAGGAGGAGAACAGTCCTTTTGAACAGAGGCGGAAATTCGAAGAACAGCTCAAACAGCGTGAGACTGATGCCGAGGCGATGGAGCTGGATGAGAATTACTTGCAGGTGCTGGAGTGGGGAATGCCGCCGACGGGGGGTTGGGGCTGTGGGGTGGATCGCTTGGTTATGTTGTTTAGTGGGAGGGAGAGGATGGCGGATGTGTTGCCGTTTGGGAGTTTGAGGAATGTGGTTGGGTTGGGGAGTGGGAAGAGGAAGTAATGAGCAGGATACGTGGAAGCAGTGGGCTTGGTGTCTGGCCTGTTTCAACTGGACGCAATGGTAGGAAAAAGCTACCTCTCAACTCCAAGTGGTTATCAAAGGACCCTACCACGGCTCTCACCTAGCCACTCAATCATCTCTCAACCAACCTTTATCCACCAGCCCAAGCGCCGCCCGCATCGCCTCCAAAGCCTCCAGACACTTCTCCCACGAAACCCCACCACTAGCATTCGTAACCGCATGCGCCGCCGCAATGACCGAGCGCAGACGATTATCGGAGGGCTTCGGCCCCAGAAACCCTCCACCACGCTGATGCACCTCAAAGCACCACTGCACCAAATTGCCCCACACCTTCCTGCCGGAAATGGCAATGTACAGGAGCGTCTCCACCTTGATCTTGCCGCCCTCCCACTGTTCGAACTGCGCGATGTGTCGCTCGAACGCGGCGAGCAGTCTCGCGTCGCAGTTGTGGACCACGACGCGGAAGCTGTTGCGCAGGTAGAAGATCTTGCGGGCTTCGAAGCGGATTTGACGACACGTGCGCAGGAGTTTGGGGTCTTTGAGGCTGTGCGTCACGGTGATGGTGGTGGGTTGGATGAGGGCTCGCTCGTAGATGTCGTTTCGGAGCTCTGGGGGCAGGTCCAGGAAGGAGGTGCGTTTCTGCGAATTCACGGTCCGCTGGGATGTTTTGCGGGAGGGGGGTCAGTTTGAGGCCTACCTTGCCATTGTCATCTCCAATTCTCTTCTTCATCTTGCGTCGCTTGGTTGGGGCTGCGAGCTGGCCTTGCTGGCCTGGCTTGCGCTTGGGCGGCATGCTCGTTGCTGGTGTTGGAGTTTGTTGGTGGGCGAGAGAAAGACGAGGAACGTAGCGTTGGGGAAAGGAGAACATTATACATCTTGAGTGAAGTGAAGTGAGTTTGACATCTTAAGGGGTTGGAAGCCTAGGGGTTTCATCTGCGAAGTGAAGTGAGTGAAGTGAGTGAAATATGCATGTGATATTGACACTAATGGGCTTGGCTGAAATCCTATTGAAGCAGTCTCGACAACTTTTCCCTGGGAAATACCCGTCAAAATTTCCTGACATCGAAGCAAAAAGACTCCCTAAAACATATCGCCAACAAAACGAAGTAAATGAGCAAAGTACTCACAGTCCTACGAACTCACCGCCTGGACACCACATCTCGACTTCACCAAGCACAAGAAATGCAACACCACCTCCCTCAATCCCTAAGCCATCTCCGACCCAACCTCCCCGCCACCGGCCGCAAAAACCCCAAAGCCCGCCGACACCTCGCCCACGAGCCCTTCTTGTAGTGCGACTTCGCAACCGCATGCGCCGCGACGAGGAGCTCATCATACGCCTCATCATCCTCGTCATCTGGCTTAATCGCACACCCCTACCAGTGAACCACGCGACACCAGTCCATGAGGTTCTTCCAATTCGCAGCGGTCTTGGTGCCGTCGGTGCACACCGCTACTTTCTTGCCCTGCGCCGTGCGCATCGGCCGGGTCCACGCCAGAAAAGGCTCGAGGAGTCCGGGGGCGCAGTCGACGATTTCGACGCAGAAGGTGTTCTGCAGGTACCAGATCTTCTTGCACTCACCAGGGCGAGCTCGTAGATGTCGGGTGGTTGCGCAGTTCTGCTGGGAGAGTGAAGACGGAAGCTGGGGCCTTGGAACTGGTAGCTTCAGAGAGACTTCCCTTCTTGCGGGAAATCTCGCGACGGCACTCTGTCTTGAGGCGCTTGATTAGTTCACGGAAGAGACTGTGGTTCTCTGCCTTGCGCTTTGGTGCCATGGCGTTGGTGTGGTGTGGGATCTGATACTCTTGTTAGTGTCAGTGTTGATGCGGATGTCTCTGTCGTTAGTGTAAGATTTGGTTCGGAAGTTGGTGTTGATGCCAGAATACGAAAGACATTGCTCACTCGAAGAGAAGAGTCCACATGAAGCTCGAGTCTCAGTGCGTTATGTGTTATTATATCAGCCATAAAGCCCTCCAGCATAGAAAACACACATTCACACTACAGGCGAACAGCCTACGAGGCGAAGGGAGACAAAGCCCGAGAATTCATTGTGCTCATGAGAAGTTCTGTTAGCAATTCTATCGTACGGGGTCAATGTGCTGTATACTCACCTCGAAATTGTTCAACCTACTACGAAGCGTTGGCGCTAGCGATACGCCAAGACCGCGAAGTGAATGTTCACCCATCGGACCTACCGACGCAGACACAAGTCAACAATCTCGAGTCAGTCCCTCACCGCACGCACGATCAGAACCCCATTCACCTCCTCCCGCACTCCAACCTATCTCAATGGCCATCGTCGGCAGTTCTTCACTATCACTGCCCATGTCAACGTTGAGGTTGAGAAATCAATCGCCGATTCCACACTCGAGTCAGGGAGGACTTCCTAGGGCTCAAAGTAAAACCACCTGGCCACCAATCTGCAAGGTATTACCATGATCACCCCCCTTTGGAAGATCTGAACTCACGTTGGTCAAGGGCCTGAACAAGGTTCTCCAAAGGTTCCTGCAGGTACATCTTCGGAGCAGCGTCCGAGCGAACAACCCTATCATGGAAGGTATCTCGTGATGGTGGCATGGGTCAGATGGGCGGTAGAGGGAGAGCTCCAAATGTCGTGTTTACAATGAAACGAGTTTCATATCAAAATATTCCATGCGTGAACGCTAGGGTACCTAAGGTGGTAGCAGTATCACTTGCTCTTCGCTTTTATACCATACACCGCCGATATGTAACCTTCAAGAGGCATCTTCACTTGATCGCCAAAGTCCCAAAGGCCACCTTGTCTTCCCATATACGCTGCAGCTTTGAGGGCTGCACTTTCTCTGTCATTTCTTCATCTGCCAGTTCACGATCTCATTAGCCCTCTGATGGATCTGAAGCCAGTATTTACCGGTCCTTCTTAGGAGTGCCATCTGCAGTCGAGACTTGGTCACCGAGGCGGTTGTACTCGTCACTCAGTCCCTTACTCTGCTTCTTGAGGGTCTCGATGTCGCGGTCACGCTGAGCAAGCTCCTTCTTCAGGCGGCCAATCTCGCCCAGTCCACCGGCTTCGCCGAGCCCAGACGAGGTCTTGTCGCTCTTTGGGGCCTCGCCCTTGAGCTGCTTAACTTCCAGCTCCAGACGGAGAGTATCGACGATCATGACGTAGGTGCGGTTGAGGATCAGCGAGAGGAAGAGGGTGAAGCCGCAGAGGTACATGTTGCGCTGGGAGTAGAACTTGCGAGCCTGGACTTCCATACGCTCGCTGCCGGCGACGGCGCTGTAAAAACATGTCAGAAATGTAAATCTCAACCTGCCTTGTTGTGTGAACTTACCCAGCCGCTCCACCCTGGTACTTGGCCTGAGCCAGCTCAACCTGCACGCGGTAGACACGGTTGACGCTGTCCACGAACAGGATAAGGATGAAGATGAATGTAATCTGTCCGTGCTTAGCACAAGCCCTAGGTAATGTTCTTCACGTTGAAGCCTACCTTCAAGCCGTATTGTAATTTGGCGACGAGGGGGTTCTCGGAGATGAACTCAAAGAGCTTCCTCTTGACAGTGAAAGGGAGTGGGATGATGAGGGACATGAACACGCCCATCTCGAAGACGAGGAGGGCGAAGACCTGTAATTGGCACAGTCAGCATTTGTTTCGCGTTGTTGGAATAGCAGATATGGACCGGAGCATAGATGAGGCTGGGCATTTTCGTATCTTGGATTGGTGTGGTATTCTCGAAAGAGTATTGTCGAAGAGTTGAGGGACGGAGAGCAGGCGGCAGAAGTACTTACAAGACTGTAGTAGAGCGTCATGGTTGGATCACCTGCAGGTGTCTTGGACCTGCACCGCGGGAGTCGTGGAGCTGTTGCTGCTGTTTGTTGGTGGATTGGAGTCGGGGTTTCGAGGAGGAGTACTGGATGCTTGGGGGGTTTTAGGTATTCTTCTGACTAGGTCGGTGCGACGTGTCCTTGGTAGGCAGACAGAAGCAGAAGACGGTCGAGGGAGGGAGCAAAGGTGTTCACAAGCTGCTGTTCCAAGTTTGCTCTTCCACTTGACGACCCGCCCACGTCATGGCGCTGGTGATCATTGGTCGGTAAGCGGGAAGTCCGTGCTATCGATAAGCTTTGATTAGCTGCTTTTCTCGTGAACGACACTGGGAGTGAATGAAGAAACTCTCCAGAATGACCTTCTACCCTTCATCTTCACCCTCGCCCTCGTCGTAACGACCGCCACCACCAATATGGCATCAGAAGGCAATCCCCTCAATCCCTCCGACCCTCTCCACCCACCAGCACCAGGTGAAGAATCTTCCGCAAATCCTCAGAGCGAAATTCTCCCCGGAGATTCGGCCACCACCAAAGCAGAGAAGATCGAGCGACACGGCGATGTAGACCCTACCCATGTCCTTAAACAAGAATTTGAAGACTCACCACGAAAGAGAATGAAGCTCGAGCACGAGACCACCTCAGAAGAACAGCCTGGCCGCCAGAAAGGCGTCGCTCCAATCAAAAAGGAATACCTCATCGAAGTGAAGCGCAATGGCCAAGAACACGCCGCGCAGTACGACGATGATGCAGCCGAAGCTTCTGGCAAAGCCTCACAGCCTGAGACTGTTGGTGGACGAGGCGGTAAGAAGACTGCAGGCGGACAGAACCATGGCAGACAATTCGGCAGCTCTCGTGATGCCATTGAGCTGTGCAGGTCAAGAGCCTTCGCCAATGAGTTTGACGAGAACAATTGCAGGTTTGGGGAGAAGTGCAAGTATGAGCATGATATTCGAAAGTATCTGAAGGACGGCAAGAGAGAGGATCTCGATACTTTTGGCGGAGTGTGTCCAGTCTTTGAGATCAAGGGAAAATGCGGTGCTGGTTGGAGGTGTCGATTCGCGAGTAGTCACTCCAAGGAAGTGGAGCGGGAGGATGGCAGAAAGGAGTTGGTACTCGTTGAGAAAGAGACCAATGGCACTGCTAATGGCCACGCTTCCAATGGCAAGGCGGACGAGCAAGACGAGGACAACGCTGCGGGCGTCGTTAACGTCACCAGCGTCGGCGACAAGATCAACTTGAGGAAGAAGAAGCATCCTCTTCCAAGGTCTGACGAGTATATTCAATGGCTCAACAAGTGGCAAGGCGGCGAGGATGGTAGGAAACCAAACGGAAAGTCCGACGAAAACGGTGACCATCGAGCGACCTACGTTGAACCACCACCACGACCATCAGAGAAGCGACGCATCTACTACGGCCCAGAGACTCCAGTCCTTGCTCCTCTCACAACTCAAGGCAACCTTCCGTTCCGCCGACTGTGTGTTGAACTAGGCGCACAAGTCACCTGGTCGGAAATGGCAATGGGAATGCCTCTCCTACAAGGCGAGAAGCAAGAATGGGCATTGATGAAAGCCCACGAGTCAGAGCTCTCACCGCCAGCATACTTCCCCAAGAACCCCGTCAAAGACTACGACAACTCCAAAGACATCCGCTTCGGCGCGCAGATCGCAGGCAACAAACCATGGCTCGCCGTGAAGACAACCGAAGTCCTCACCAACCTCTGCCCAAACCTGCGCGCCATCGATCTCAACTGCGGCTGTCCAATCGATCTCGTCTTCCGACAAGGAGCTGGTTCCGCGCTGTTGGACTCACCTGGCAAGCTGGAGAAGATCCTGCGGGGAATGAACACGGTTTCAAAGGATGTTCCCATCACGGTCAAGATCCGCATGGGCACCAAAGACAAAACACCCACGGCGGAGAAGCTGTGCCAGCGTCTGGTCATGGGTACGCATGAAGCGCAGGAGTCGGACATTGGCCCGTGTGGCGTCGCTGCCATCACTCTGCATGGTCGCTCGCGACAGCAGCGATACACCCGCAGCGCTGACTGGGAGTACATCGCCGAATGCGCCAGTCTGGTCAAGAAACTCCAGGCGCAGCATGCTGCAGCTACGGACACCATCCGCGAGCCCGATGCGCGCGATCTGCCAGCCACGAATGGCGGTGTTCCCTACTTCTGCGGCAACGGCGACATCCTCTCCCACATCGACTGGAACGAGCACATGGACAACGCCGGAGTCGACTCCTGCATGATCGGCCGCGGCGCCCTCGTCAAGCCCTGGGTCTTCGAAGAGATCTCCTCGAACCAATACCTCGACAAGTCCGCCTCCGAACGTCTGGGCTACATCGAACGTTTCTGCCGCAACGGACTGGAGTACTGGGGATCCGACGAGATAGGCGTGGGCACCACGCGACGCTTCCTGCTCGAATGGCTCAGCTTCAGCTGCAGATACGTACCCATTGGCCTGCTGGAGTATCTTCCGCCCAAGTTTGGTGACCGCCCACCAGCTTTCCGTGGGAGGAGTGAATTGGAGACGCTGCTCAGCAGCGGCAACTACAAGGACTGGATCAAGATCAGGTATGTATTGAACTGCAAGACGTGCAAGGAAGAAATATGAATATACTAACCCGCTTCGCAGTGAGATGTTCCTGGGCCCCGCCCATAAGGACTTCAACTTCCAGCCCAAACACAAGTCCAACAGCTACGAGATCGAAGCCGAAGGCTGAGGTGGTCCGGAGGCAGGCTGACAGACAGACTTGCAACGTTTCACCACGCCGGCATCGCCTGAGGATGACGACTCCCCGCCGCGTAGGCAGTCCAAGGACAGGCGAGGGAGTCCTCGAAAGTACGGGCTGGCCGAGAGCACATACGCAGTAGTACGTACACATTGGCCTATCTGGCAACGAACAAGAAGGCGAGCGATTCCGCGTCGCGGCTTCGGTCGAATGGCGATCTATACCAACGTGTACGAGTTCGTCGTCTCAAGCTGCTTCAGCCTCAATTGTCCGTAGTTGTTTCGAGGAAGGAGCACCCACCTCATCGTGTGCTAGAGAGCGGTATGATGATGATGATAGTGATCGACATGCATCTGACGTCGGAGTGAAAAGATATAGCCATCTCGCAGTTCCGTAGCCGTCCTCATCAACACTTCATAAGTCTTATTCATGACGCAAAGTGCAGTCATTACTCGGAACTGAATAGGCTGAATAGAACCACGCACCCTAGAGCTCACCTGCACACCCTCGTCGAACGTGAGATTGGCCGGCGTCACATCTAGACCGCCTGCGCTGGAGCTCAGCTGGCAATGGTCGTGTTTCACGATCTTCGAGTGCTTGGTGCAGCGCTACGAGGACAACCATAATGTTAAGGCGTCGTTCGTCTCAACCACCCCAGCCTTGCCGTCTCGAGGCCGCGGCATGCTGTTTCGGGCAGAAAAGGAGTGATGTACGACCAATTTGCCTGGCAGGCGGTAGTCATGTCTCACATTGCACATTGTCATTATTGTGTCGATGAGACATGACATGGGTGGTAAGGTGTTGGGGGCTTGCTTGGGTGCTCTGAAGTCGCTTGACTTGCCCCCCAGAGAGATCCCCCAATGCATGGAGCTACTGCAGCATCTCTTGAGCTTGAGAGCTTCAATCCTGGGCTGGTCACATTATGGCGGCATTTCGGGCTGGACCGGTAGAGTTGGTACGAATGACCATGTCACCTTGTAATCCAACATCATCCATTGATGCGCGAGTGATGTAGGGCTTCATCTTGAGACCCCAAGATCCTGGGATACGACGGACAGACGGCGATGGGAGAGGAGGAGATTGGATTGCCGTGAAGCCATTGGAGAGTTGTGGTATTCTTGGATTTGTCATTACAATCGTATTGGCGTGTCCGGGAGCGGCCTGTATAGACCTCCGAACCGATTTGTGTCCCAGAACTTTCGTTACGGGTCGGCATTCGCACTGTAAGTAAGCGAGTCAGATGGCGAGCGTCGTGTAAGTGGCGAGTTGCAGAAGCGTATGGTGGCTAGATGACCTGCATTGGAATCTCCCGCGAGCGAATTACAGCCATATTGAAGGAAGATGCAGGTGGTGTACATGGGAGGTACAGCTGCGGGAACACATCGGATGTGATCGCAGATTGAACTGGCCTTGGCTCAGTGTTAGCATCATTAATCCGTGAACAGGACATTGTTGACTTGTTCTGAACCCTCATGCACTCGACGGACGGACTTGTCGAAGGCACGCGACAGGACACCGCGCATTCCGACTTACTCACCTCCCCGAGATCTGTTGACAGTGGCGAGGGAGGCGTCGAGGATGTTGCCAGCTGGGTTTGGACAGGAAGCAGCGCGGAAGTCAGTGTGCAATCTGGACTCGCGGATGAGGCTTTGTCACGCGCCAGACGCCGACATTCACACGCGTTGCTCTGGTTGATGGTGAAGGGAAAAAGTGGTCGAACGAACAAGACCGCGAAACAACCGACATGGCAAAGCGAGGCAGCGGCGCCGAGGCATGCTCGAGCCAGGACCGAAGGAGATGCGCTAGAGCGGACCAAGAGCTTTCGAGGAAGCACCGGCGTAAACCTTGAGCTTGTCAGGGCGTCGGCATGTCATCGACGAGCGAGTCAAGTGGTATTGGCGACATTGCTGAAGGCTGGGTATCCCGCGTTTGGACCCGAACGAAGCGGATGGTGGTGTTCAGGGCGCGTGCAGGGAAGTGCAAGGGCAAGTTGAATTGAGATCAAACGCAGGCGCGGGGCGGCGTTTACGAGGGGTGAATCGTGATGTTGGGCGGTGGCTAGGGGCCCATCAGCATCAGCATCTGGTGTGCAGTTCGATTGGGAGCATCGCGCCAACGTCACTGCGCGTGGGCCTGCCGCTAGGGGTCAACTGGCCCGGTGATGGAATGTGAATGGCAAAGTGACTGCGTTTGATCACTTTCTGCGACGGGTAGCACACGCGGGAGCGCTCCTCTCGTGCCCACAGCGTTTGTCGGCGTCGTGTTGTCGAGGCGGGTGTCGTCTCGCCATGGTCAGCGCATGGTCGCAGGCTGGCGCGGGCGAGACCCTGGGCAGCAAGTCAAACCCAAGTGAATGGAAGCCGCCCAAGTGGAGTGGTGTCGCATGCACTGGTAGCTGGAGGCAATCGCGAAGTAACGGCACGCTTCGAGCGGGCTTCGAGAAACCGTTAGCCTGCCAAGCCCAATCCTGACCGGCGGGCGACGAGGGTTTGATTGGATCGCCTCTGGCTGGGCGACGTGAGTGAGTGAGTGATGAGTCGTGGCTCTTTGGGTGCGGCGACGACGACAGCGACGCTGCGGGCGCAAGTGGGTGTTTCGGCGCGTGTTGAGATGAAGATGGAACAGCATCCCCATAGAATTCCCCTACGTGCTCAACACTAGTGCGTAATGGCAGAGGCGGTGGTCGCGGGCTGTAGGTGTGCAGAAGCTTCGCATGGGAGGCGCCCAGCAGCGTGGCCGCACAGCAGCGGTACCACGGCGATGCCTGTGACTGCAGCGATTGATGCTGGCGGCGGACCGCGCTCCCACGCTTTCACCGGCCATGCACTCGCTGCGTCGGATGCAGCCTAAAGGGTGTCTGTGGGAGAGGACATGTCCGGCGCAGCGCATCGCATCGGGCTGCTGGGTGCTGGGAAGCGTGAAACCACGCTTGACGCTGTGCAGCGCGCAGAGAGGCGGTCATGGCGGTAGAGAACCCTCGTCCCCTCGTCCCTATTGGAAGACACGGATGCCCTCGAGCGAGCCCCGTCCAACCTACGTCAAGTCGGCCTGGCTAGCAGTCATATACTACACGCTCGTATCCATATCTTGATCACACTCTCGCCGCCGTTCGCCTCCCGCTGTCTGTCTGCTGCCTCTGAACACTACTGCTGCTGCTGCTGCTCCTGCGCTGTCTCCGTCCGTGGCCCATCATTTCGCGCTCCGTTTATTTATGTCGTAGCCCGCCGCCGTCCCAGCAGCTTTACGTACAGCGCAGGCTTCTAGCGCTGAGCTACCCGCAACCTGATCCACCCAGCCTTAAATCTACCGACATCGCCCTCCGGCTCGTCAACTCATTCAAGCTGGCTTCGACACAGAGCCCACCGTCGCTTTGCAGTCCCTCCGGGCGCTCCCCAAGTATAGAGAGTACGCCCGTCAGCACGCCCGTATCTGCCGCCTGCCAATTTCCGCCGAGGCGCCCGCGAGAGGACGACCTCTTCTTCACCTGGCACAAAAGGGCCGCCGTGCACGCGACCGCCAGCGCCGACGACTTTGACTGTGACGACCTGCTCTTCCCGCCCGACGACGACGACGAGGCGCACCTGCCCCTCTTCCCGACCGCCGACCCAACACCCACCACCACCGTCCCGATACCCCAGATTCGCGAGATGCCGAGCTCATCCTCGCCCATCGAAATCGCCACGAGCCGGCAGAACTCGAGTTCGCCGCGCAACCAAACCTCCAACCTCACCTCGCAGCTGCAGCAGGAAACCACCCAGCGCAATAACGGCTCCATGGCCGCTCCTCCCCTCAACGGACATTCAGACGCCAAGGGCAGGCAGGAATCGGTCAGTATGCTCGGGACCACGCCGTATGGCGCACGACAGATCCCCGCGGCGGCTGGCGGTCGTCGTGAGAGCAGCTACAACCTATCCAACAGCCTGGTTGGTGGTATGAGCTGGGGAGGAATCTCCATGGGCAGTTTTATCAAAGACGAGTAGGTGTATCTGCATCCGCATCCCAACAGCGTCCACCGTGAAAGTGGTACACTGACATCTTCACAGTATCCTCATGGCCGGCACGTCACCTTGCAACTTCCAATCACCATCATTCCACTCATCATCATATCTGCCAAAGATGGAGGCAAATTACATGAGAGACTATGTCTGCTGCGACATCCACCTCGACTCGATGCACGAGCTGCTCCAACACTACGAAGAGGCGCATGCGGCGCAACCGACACAAACGATGGGTCGTACACCCAAAGATCAGCAATACCCCAGCAGCCGAGCCGCAAACGCAACAAGCACTGCACAGGCCGTTCAACAACAAGCGCAGACACATCTGCCACAACCACCGAACATGCCACAGAACCCGAACTATCCTATCAACGCCCAATCACCATTATTCAGCGGTCAAAGCAACGACCAGATCGGCACATTTGACAACCTCGATGACATGGACATGGACGAAGGGACACCGGCACCTCAGATGCATCAGTCTCAAGGCTCGCAGTTCCAGCCGCAGCCACAGTTTGGTCGCCAGCAGCCACGAGGTCCGTCAGTCAATGTCAACCTCGCAAATGCCTTCCAAGGCCAAGGTCTAAACTCTGCAACCCCTACCACCCCCCATGCTAATCCTCAAGGCATGGGCTTCTCCAGCAACCCCACAGTCTCATCGGTCAACACCCCCACTCTATCAACGCAAACGACATCACAGTACACTGGCACGCCAGATCCGTCACAACCCAGCACACCTGCCGAGCTCGATCCTGATTTCCTCGCTCAAATGAACAACCTCACAAATGTCGATTACGCGCAGCTCGTGCCCGGTAACATGGACTTTGGCAGTTTCAATACGGGCAACATGAACAATGGTGGGTCTGCGACAATTGACAACCCTGAGAAGCGGCTGCTGAGCAAACAAGGCTACGGAAACAAGGGCTTGCCCAATCCTGCATTCACCAACGCAGCGAACAGCGAGCTATCCAAACGAGTCCGTGAAAACCAATTGCTCAACGGCTTGGCTGGCGTCGGCGGTTTCGTTGGCGAAGAGATCAAGCCTTTCAAGTGCCCGGTCATCGGCTGTGAGAAAGCATACAAGAACCAGAACGGCCTCAAATACCACAAGCAGCATGGTCACCAGAACCAGCAGCTCAAGGAGAACCCAGACGGAACATTCTCCATCGTGGACCCTGCGACAAGTATTCCATACCCTGGCACCGTCGGCATGGAGAAGGAGAAGCCATATCGATGCGAGGTTTGTGGCAAGCGATACAAGAATCTCAACGGCTTGAAGTACCACCGCCAACACAGCCCGCCCTGCAATCCAGAACTCAGGAATAACATCGCCAATATGCCTGGATTGCCGAACAACCTCCAAAACATGAGCGCCAATGTTGCCGGCGTGCCGATGTCCATGAGCGAAGGTATGGGCTACTGAGGAACATTTCCGCGGCTCGGTTAAACAAAGCGCGTGCATTCGCATGCGCCGTACTTTTTTTCACCGCCTTCACCCCCCCACACGACTCCATTCAACGTTTTGTCACACGACAGCTGCAACGCGATGTTCTCGACAGCACACAAGCTTGACGCCGGTGGTTGACGGATCTTCACCCCTCTTTGGACGAAACAACGCAGATTGATTGCTCTTCCTTTTTTCTTTTTTGATATTACAGTGCATGCATGGGTAGCGAGGCGTCTGGAGCTTTTGGGATGACTCTTCTCCGGGTGGATTGCATTTGTGAGAGGATACCTGGCTTCGCAAAGTCGCTCTTGCTACGATACCCCGCTAGATGGCGAGTCTTTTTGGCTGGGAACTGTTTCTCTTGATTTTGTTTGGCCTTGACAAGAGCCACTGAGCTGGAAGCGTTTTCTTCGCGTGTTGGATTCTTTGATCGAGCAACAACACTCTTACGCTATACGTATGACTGTACGACGGCACAAGACGAAAGAAAAAGAGCGGCATAAAAGTAACATACGATATGGTTTTTGAAATGGCTTTTGGGGCGCAGAAGAAATGGCGTTCGGACGAGGAAGAGATGAACAAAAAGTAGACTTGATAATTGTGGCCACGCGCGGAACAGACCGTATAGATTAGTATTGTGGATTTGGGCAAAATAACCGTATACATTCGGGGGAGAATTGCACATACTGATGAAATCATTGTTCCATCGATCTCGTTTTCTGAACGTGAAGTGTATAGACTTCGTGGTTGGCGCTGGACCGCGGTTGGGCAAGGATGGGTGAAGCTTGTCGTCAGCCTCTCCCTCTCTGCCTTGAACTTGTCTACAATAGACGTTACATCTACACCTCATCCTCTCAAAACATAATCACTTCTTGAACATGTCGAATCCCCCACAAGCATTCTTCATCAACCGCCCGCCCGCCAAAGAGACGAACATAGCATGGAAGGAGCCCCCGCCCCCGAACAACCCCGTGGTCAGAGGCCTTCCGCTGCATTATGGAGCTATCGCGTGAGGTCTATACGTACGTGCCTTCAAGAGCATCGAATGCTGACAGCTTCGGTTCATAGGATTTCCAACCTCAACTTCGTCCAGAATATTTTGTGGTCCAATGCGGGTTTCAGCTCGCTTCGTGATCGAGAGGAGTTGAAGCGCTTTGAGCCGAGATATGGTTAGTTCTGTCTAGTCCAGGCATCAGCAGGTTTACGTTTGGAGGGGGGTTTGGGGGGTCTTGTGAGGGAGATGAGTGTATGAATGCTGATATGATCCAGATCCCACCGTCGTCAAGACGAATGGCCCCTCATCCACCAACATCTCCTCGGCTGAGCTTCTTAAAGGACTCCTCGAGGAGGACTGGACGTCGAAGAAACCGCAAGATAAAGCGTTCCCTTCGACTTTGGATTACTATGAGGCGTATAAATCGGGGAGTGTCACGCCGACGGATGTGGCTAAGGTGTTGTTGCCTTTGCTTCAGAGGGATGGGAAGGACACTCGGGAGCATGCGGTGGCGTTTTTGCAGGTGAGGGAGGATCTTGTGCTGGAGGCGGCGGAGGAGAGTACGAGGAGGTGGAAGGAGGGAAGGCCTTTGAGTCCGCTGGATGGTGAGTTCAGATTTCCTTCACTTGTGTGTGGGGTTTTGCTTATGAGGTGTGTAAGGTGTCCCTGTTGCGGTCAAGGATGAAGTGGACCTTACCGGGTACAAGAAGTGCTATGGCTCGAATCTCGACTTCACCCGCAGCGATGATGTGACTTCGCATTGTGTGAAGATGTGGCAGGATGCGGGCGCTTTGGTGATGGGGAAGACGGTTATGCATGAGTTGGGGTGTGATATTACGTGAGTTGATTTCATCTATGTCAGGCTTTGCCTTGTTGACTTGTCTCTCAGGGGCAATAATCCTACCAAGGGAACACCGCTGAACCCCAACAATACGAACTACTACTGTGGAGGAAGCTCGAGTGGTAGTGCGTACTCGGTGGCTGCTGGGTTGATGCCCCTCACTGAGGGCAACGATGGAGGTGGATCGATTCGAATCCCGGCAAACTACTGCGGCCTGTACGGTCTCAAGACCACCCATGGCCGAGTTAGTGAAGCTCCCACGACTGGTCTGGCAAGAAGTACTGGTGTGGCAGGCCCAATAGCCGCCAATATGGTCGACCTGGAGATCGGCTACAGGATCATGAGCCAGCCAACTCCACTCGACAACGACCCCCCCATCGTCATCCCACCAGGCCAAGTAAACCTCCAATCGAACAGGAACAAAGTCCTAGGAATCTACAAACCCTGGTTCGACCTCGCAGACGAAGACGTCAAGGCCGCCTGCAACAAAGCCATCGACTACCTCACCTCCAAGCTCGGCTACGAGAAAGTCGACATCACCATCCCCATGGTCCACGAAGGCCAACTCGCCCACGCCATGACCATCCTCAGCGAACTCTGCCAGGGCGTCAAAGCATCCGATACGCACAAACTCTCCGCACCGAACAAGGTCCTCCTCTCTGTCGCCCGCAAGACCACAAGCGTGGATTTCCTCCAAGCGCAACGTCTTCGGAACCTCATCATCCAACATCTCAGCGATCTCTACACTAAACGTACGTCCCCTCCCCACCCCTCTCACACCCAAACCCATCCCAATACTAACTCCCCTCCAGACCCCTCCCTCATAATCCTCACCCCCACCACCCCCTCCGCAGGCTGGCGCATCGAACCGGGCGACCTTCCCCACGGCCTCACCAACGCCAACAAACAACTCCGCAACATGACCTACGCCTGGCTCGCCAACTTCTCCGGGTGTCCGTCCATCTCGGTCCCCGTCGGGTACGCAGAGGATCCTGAGGGGAAGGTCCCCATTGGGTTGATGGGGATGGGCGAGTGGTGTGGTGAGGATGAGTTGCTCGCGTTTGGGTATGATTGTGAGAGGTTTGTCGGGGAGGTGCTGGAGGGGGGGAGGGTGAGGCCGGGGGGGAGGTGGGTGGATGTTCTTGGGAGGGCGAGGGAGGGGAAGGTGTAGGGAGATCTCCAGGAGTTGTTTGAGGGGTTGGGATATAGATGTGATTTGATAGTCGATTCGGAATCTATACGATCGTTGGAGAACAGAGCCCTCATCACCACCTCCATCCTATGAACCTTCATGCCGCTCCCCATTCCCTTCCCGTCTTGACAACGTACCCTGACATCCTACCTTCCTGACTCACTCTCGACGAGAACTCCCATGACGAAGAACGATACTCGAAAGTTTGACGCTTTGATGATCAACCCCAAGAAAAGTACACTTTACCTGTCACGCAACCTTCCCCTCCGCTTTCGCCTCACTTCCTCACAACTCAATAATGACGACGCAGACTGCCAATAAACATGAATCATTGATTTTGAGTACAGGGTGAAAGAAGTTAGGTGTTGTGTCCGTCCTTTCAACTCTCGAATCTTTCATTACTCATGTATGCGTCCTCATGATCAATCAAAAGTGCTTCTCCGAAAGTGAAGTTGGTGACCAGTAAGAGATGAGGTCCGGTCTAGGCCCCTTTCTTTCCCATCTTCCCATCTCCGAAGTCGTACCACGAACGCCGTACTCGTTCCTTCTGAAACATATTAAGAACACGTTCCATATACTGTACCGTAGCCTTATGACCAAAGGAGCACAGACTGGACTCTACAACTAATTGAGCATAGACGACGACTCGTTTTCATCCGAAATTGTGGTTGTTGTTGTAGTATTCATAGAATATCGAAAAGGACAAGGGTAGTCTGATGAGGGCTCAGCTTTTCAGGCCGCCGCCGAATGTCATAAAACTATATCCTCCTCTCCCCGTTTCGAGCAAAGTAACAGAACCCTAAACTCCATGCTAAAACTTCGAATCAAAGAAGTGGCGAAGTTGGCGCGGGCTTTTTGTGGTGCATCGCTTTCCGCCTCAAAACCTCGCCCTGCACTTTTCCCCTTTCTCATTTCAGGAAGACCTCCCCCAAGTTTAACGCCGTTTCCCATGCCTAATGTGCCCATGCCCATGCCTTCCCAGTTCAACGCCATACAGAAATGCAATTAGAGTTGGTGGTAATCGAGATGTGGACGGCCATCTGCGTCGTTCGTCTTCGCTAGAAGTGCCGTCTGCCTTATGCTATCGGAATCGCACTTTTTGGTAGAGGTTGTTTAAGCTGCCGCTCGAGATGTTTGCGCTGCGACCACGGCTGCATTACCCGCGGGTGCGTATCTCTGCGAGCGTCGTTGTGCCATCATACGGCCCAGGTCGGAGTCGCTGCGCTCGCTCTGTTCTTTGAGGTATTGCTCAATCTCAGGCGGTAGACTTTGACCTTGCTCCCACGCCGTGATGATACGCTGGTTGATGCGCTGTGTGATGGCCATGTCGCGGCGTTGTTCGAGTTGGGCGATGTGCAGTTCGCGAGCCGCAGCTTCTTCAGGCGGTTCTTGCTCGGTCTCTGTGTCTGCGTCGGCCGGGTGCTCGTCCTCTGAATCTGCATCAATCATCTCCTCGTCATCCTCACGAATGGGTGGTTGACGACTCGTGCTTGACTCTGCCTCCTCTACTATGACTGAGATGTCCGTCTTTCTCGTGATGCTCTGTCGTCTGGTCTCCTCTCCTGCTCTCAATTCTCTGCGATCAACGAAAGGTCCAATCTCATCGCCGGTCGTGTCCACCACTTTCACTCCCTCGTCTTTCTCATAGCGCTCACGTGCCCACTTGGTGCCCTCCCAGCAGCAGAAGTCCTGGATCTCGTTGTAGGTCAAGCCTAGGTCGTCGAAGGCATCGAACAGTCGCTTGTGATGTTTGAAGCGACCCAGACGCATGCGGTGGGGAGGGTGGCAGTAGTTTAGGCCAGGATAGCGGGCTTCGGCGCTGTTCAGATCGCCATAGAAGGTCGCTACTTCAATGCGAACTTCAGGGACCAAATTGCGGGCCAAGTGAGCGGAGAACGAAGGTGGGTCGTTGGGAGTCGGGTGCGGGTAGAGGTGGTTGTAGAGTAAATGCGCCAAGGGCACCTGCCTCTTCATGTTGGCGGCGGTGGAGTGGGTGAGAAGAGGAGGCGAGGTTCAGAATGGCTTCTTGACGAGGTTTCCAGCGGCGGCCTGAGAAGTGGTGCCAAGAGGGTGGTGTTGGTGGGTGAGGTGTTGAGAGTGTCGAGCAGGTTAGAAGTGAGCGAGGGTGAGGGTGGATTGCAGCGATAGGAAGAAGGGCGCCAGCAAGGTGCGCCTGGCGAGATGGTGGTGGATGGGTAGCCGAGACACGTGGCGAGGTGCAAGAGAGACGGGCGGGTGAGGCAGGTACGGAGTGCGAGAGGAAGGCAGGCGAGACGGAGGGTGCGAAGGGGAGGGCAGGAGGAGGGAGTGGAAGATTCAAGAACGGAAACAACGCCAGCCAGCCAGCCAGCCAGCACAAGGCCGGCGACGCAGCGCAGCAGAGTGTTGGAATAAAGTAACTTCCACGCAGCAGGAACAGGCGGGAGGCAGAGTTCGCACTGACGAGCGCCGCATCCGCCGCAGCAGCGACATGATCCAGCAAAGCCATCGTCACGCTCACGGCTGAAGAGAGGCTCGCCCAGCGCCAGTCGTCCGTCGCCGTTGCTGGTGCATGTCCCGCCATGCCATGCCTCCGCCCGCTGTAACTGCTACTACGACCTCGTCTGTCGCTCTGCGCTGGCCCACCCACCTCATCACCTCTCACAACCCCGAGCTTGAACCCAGGCACTGCCAGGCGCGCAGGCGTGGCACACGGCGAACCAACTGCCGCCCTCTGGCACGCCGCAGAAGTCTGGATACGCTCTCGTAGCGCCCCGACTCACCACAAACACTAATCTATATTTCTCCCGGTGTGCTGTCATCCTCTTCCTCCTCCAGAAAATCACTTTGTCCCGCCAAAGTTTCCACGCGACACCACACCTCCTGGCTCTCTCCACCCACCCTGGCGAGTCAGCACCGCGTCCTCAGCCCGTATCGCATCGCATCATCACCCGCTGCCAATCCGCATCCGCTCCCATGAACCACTGCAGCTGAGATCCGCGGCGATGCGACAGCGAGCGTGGTCGGGGTACGTAGGCCAGAGAACCCGACCTCTGCCCGTACTTGCGTCGTAGCCCGTTCCGTGGGTCAGACACCGGCACGCTTCTCACCGCCGGGCGTGCATGCAACAGATGCAACAAACTGTATAGGCGACCGGCGGCCTCTGCGCGCGGCTGCTGCAACGCCCTGCACCATCGCACAAGCGTCGCATCTCTCCAAGCCTATCTGCATGCAGCAGGCCGTGTGAACTTCTGCGCTGCCACAGTGCCAGCTAAAATCTTCCGACCTGCATTTGCTCTCGCCTCATTGGCTCGCTTGCGTCCTTGACTTCACTTCATTCTTTTTCCATGTGCATTCGTCCCAGACTGCTCGTCAACTACACAGCACGCATGATATGCATGCGATGACACGGCCGACCACCCCAGCACATCTGCACTGAAAGACGGTGCTGATCGACTTCCCGCGCGCGACCACTGTTTCAAAATCCTCCTCTCCCTCTCCGCAAAATGGCGAGGCGCATCGCAAGCTCGAACCTAGGTGGATCGGACACGTACCTCTACGCTTTGGCACACTGTGCCGACACCACCTTGGCAACCATCAGCTCGGATGACCGCCTCCATCTGCTGGATGCCACCAACCTCAAGACCCTGCATACTGCTTCACATTCCGGAGTTGCGTGTCTGCAGGCGGGAGGGCGCTCACATCTTGTCACCGGTGGTCGAGATGGGCTGATCCGCTGCTGGGACACTCGTGCCAAGCAGGTCTCTCAATTCGCAGAGCCGCGCTCGAATGGAGTATCATCTTTGGCATGTGTAGACAATTACATCGCTGCTGGGACTGAGAGCACGAAGGAAGGCTTGGGTGACGTGAGCGTGTTGCTATATGATACCAGAAATGCTTCTGCACCGCTGCGGCAGTACAACGAATCTCACACTGATACAATAACTCAACTCACGTTTCATCCGAACCAGCCAAATTTGCTCTTGTCCGGAAGCACAGATGGACTTGTTTCGATCTTCGACGTCAACCACGCGGATGAAGAAGATGCCTTGCAGCAAGTGCTAAATCCAAGGTCTGCTGTGCATTGTGCGGGATTCTTGGCACAGGACCAGGCCTATGTGGTTTCCACGGATGAACAATTCTCAATCCATACGCTGGCCAAGACAGCCGCAGAGGACGAGCAGGTGCCGCCACCCATCGAGTTCGGAAACGTCCGAGAGAAGCTGGATTGCATGTACGTGGTGAATGTGCTGCTCCAGCCAGATGGGCCACCGTTGATGGCATATGGCGACACCGAGAAGCAGAGTCTCTCTATCTCGTCACTTGGGCATCCCGGTGCTTGGGGTTTCGGACAAAAGGTTGACCTTCCTGGTGGTCATGGTGAGGAGATTGTAAGGGATCTACTGTTGATAGGCAAGCGGGCTTTCAGTTGCGGAGAGGACGGGACAGTAAAGGCATGGGATCTTGGCTGGTGATCCCACCACTCGCTTTCAACGAGCCTGACTATGGCGAAGACTTCATGAAGACATCGAGGTTCTGTCGCTAAGTCGCGATGCTGCCGCAACTGCGCTGAGCATGAGCATCAATTTGGCAACCTCGGCTGCTTCCAGCATCCTCCCAGACTGGACCATTCACGGCTCTTCTCGGTTTCTTTGCTCACGAGGCCGACAATGCTGGGTGCACTACCCTCGATGATGCAGCGCTTCAATGATCGTCTCATGTGCGCTCGGGTGTAGCCCTTCATACTTGGCGCGAGTATTGGTGTGCTCAAGGCAGGAAGGCAGGAGATGATCGAAGCGGGTGCATTGAAGTTCTGGTTGGCAGAGGGTCTGAAGAAGTTGATTCCAACGCCCCAAAAAGCTACAGAATGGAGCAAGGTAATCGAATGGGGACGGCAATCTCGCTTTGGCGAGAGACAACGGTGGAGTTTCGAGAGCATAAATTTTTATGAATGCATAAACAAAATTGTGCACAGCCCAAAGCTCACAGCTCACTTCCATCCAAGCTCCATCCCAACCTCACCTCCCCTGCCCGATGTAATCACTACCTAGGTAATGCCCAAACTCTCACAAACAAACATGTAGTCTCACCATCCGCCTCCTCCGTGACATCCATCCACACACCCATCCAACCCTCTCATCACAATGACAGCCACCAAAGACCTCGACGACATCGAAGCGATCAAAGGACTCATCCAAGCCTTCTTCGACCGCGTCAACGCCAACGACCCCCCAGGCCTCCAAGCCCTCTTCGTCCCCAATGCCCACCTAACCATCCTCCGCCAGGATCCCCCTCGCCCACCTCCACCTTCCTCCTCCGGCGCCTACCTCCCACAGCCTCCCACGCCAACCCCAATCAAAGAACAAGAAGAGCAGGACAACAAGATTTCCCTCATCTACCAATCCACCATCGAGGCCTTCATAAAACTCATCCAAGACGGCAACCGCCGCAAGAAACCCGGCGACAAACCCGTCCCGACCGTCCACGAAGTGCCCAACCTCGCCGCGACGGACGTCCGCGTCGATGGGGATTTCGCGCAGGCGTGGTGTCCGTTTACTGTGACGTTTGATGGGGTGTTGCATCATTATGGGTTTTTTGCGTATACGTTTGGGAAGACGCGGGAGAGGTCGGTGGGGAAAGATGGAGGGGAGGGGGAGGGGAAGAGGAAGGAGTGGAGGTTTGAGGGGTTGACGCAGGATTATAGGAGGACGCCGGGGTGGGAGGGGGATGGGGAGTCGGAGTTGATGTATGTGTGATTTTGTGGGGGTTTGCTGTGAAAGGGGATGGTTTGTGTGCTGATTGATTGAATGATGTAGGGATGGAGCGGCGAAGGCGAATTTGTGATTGTAGATGTGAAATGTGAATGGGAAGGTAGGGCAGGTCAAAGATTGACCGTAGCTCTTGGTAATTATGAAGGTGTCTTGACGGCGTATTGCTGATCTCCAATCCATCTTCAAGCTCGAATTCTCCAAAGTCCACACGAAAAGCAAAGAGTTCAACATCAAAGTTTCGATCGATGCTTCCGAGACTCGAACTCACCACCAGCCACCTTCATCACCACCCTCGCACGTACATACACATATCGATCGATCGAAACCAACCAACAAAACAAAAAGGATATAAGACAAAAGAAAGGCAAAAGAACTAGAATCCCCTACCAAGGGATTCTAGAGAAAACCAACCTAATGGTTTTACTTTTAATTTCGATGATCGTATCCAGTTGTTATTCAATTCGAACTCATATAATCTTATGAGAGGATCTTGGAGTTTTTTGAACTCGTACCTTTTTTTCGATCGTGGGGGTTTCGAACTCATATAATCTTATGAGAGGATCTTGGAGTTTTCGAACTCGTACCTTTTTTCGTTTCGTTTCGTTTCGTGGGTCGTCGCGCCTTAACCATCCGTGTTGACTTGGGATCTTTGTTAGCCCGACGGATTTACCACATCAGATTTCTCTGATGTGGTGATGGAGGACGGGTTTTTGGATATATAATGGCTCACTTTGCTGCTGCTCGCTTGTGTGGACTTGTGCTTGTTCGCTGCTGCTGTTGCTGCTGGTGGGTGGGTGTGTGGTGGTGCTGGTGGGTGGATTCGTCTTTCACATGGTGGTTTGCAGGGATGTCTGCGCTTCAGTAGTGTTTTGTACTTCTTATTCAACTGGCATCTAATTCTATTGAGTCTTTTGTTTGGAGGCTTTGCTGTCGCTGTCTTTACTTGACGATACATAGTCCGCGACCGATGAAGATGTAGTACAGAGGCGCCCGTTTGCGCTTGTTGAGGCGTTTGCGCATTTGACGACAGCACGATGGAGGATGAACGAGATGATGGCCCGTTTGCACAAGCGTACGTGGATAACGATCTCTCTATACTTTCGTAACATCCCTTTCACCCGCAAGCACCTTCCCATCCTTCCCGATCTCCTCCTCCCTAATCGACGCCGTTTGCCCCTCGATCGAAACAGTTTGTTCAAGCAGTAGTGCACCGTGAAGCTGACGGCGAAGCCGAGCGGGAAGGCGAGGTAGTAGAGGTTCGTGCAGGCTTCGGGGACTTTGACGTGCGGTGTTACGGCGTGGGCGAAGCCTGGCAAGAGGTAGGACCTGGATGGAGGTCAGTGATATGCGTTTGATGATATCTGTGGAAGGCACGCACCATCCAACAACCCATGCGACATAGCTACGCCAGTTTACGCCGTGCCAGTAGTAGTACAGGCCATCTTTGCCAGGGTGGTAGAGGTCTGAGAGCTTCACGCGGCGTCTTCTCAGAACCCAGTAGTCGCACACCATGATGCCGACTGATTATCATTAGCTCAAGAACACTCCTGTCGATGCAGCATCAACTTACCCATCGGACCGAGGAACACGCTATATGCGCTCAGCACGGAGATGAACGTCGAAGCGGCGCTGAGTAGTTGCCAAGGACACATCGCACAACTCAAGACGAGGGCGATGTAGGCGCCCCTGCGGATGTTAATGAAGGAGGGACACAAGCCCGCCATGTCCATTCCTGCCGAGAAGGCATTGTCGATCGTGTTGATTGCGAGCTGGCAAATGACAAGACCGCAACCCGCAAAGAATGCAGCCGCTCTGGCACCTGCACTGTAGTCGGTATCGAGCCACTTCTGCACGAGGTTGGGCGGATTCCAGATCGGCTCGCCGTATATTGCCGCAGATGCTGAGGCGCTTAGACATCCAAGACTGGGCATGATAGCTGCTCATTGTCAGAGCAATGCGGAAATGATGGACTGATTGCTTACCTCCAAGTAGGATGATACTTAGCCACTGTCCCATCACTTGATCGCCAGGCCTTCTCGCAAACCGAGAATAGTCCATCTGGTTCGTCAATCCAACAGCAATGCCACCGATGACCGTCGTTACTCCATGGACGATAGCCCATCCGAGTTCCCAGCTTGTCGTGGTTCCAGCCGGTTGATCCAGAAGAGGGCCTCCGCCATGTGCAGCTGCCAATGTCCAGATAACCATACTCAGCAATGTGACGGCAGTTACGACGTTGAAGCCAAGAACCACCCATTTCATCTTTTCAGGCTTGACGTACAGGATCGGGATCATCATGATGTTGAACAACACCCAGCCGATGAACTGCTTCGTGTTCATGTTGGCGGACGCAGGGAACGTGTTCTCCATGTGCTGGTAGCTTGGGAAGATGGCAGCCAGAATGTTCTGGACGCAGAGTCCTCCTGTCCATGATTGTACGGCGAACCAGACCAGGGACAGTATGACTCTCTGAATGAGCGCGACATAATGGCCGTATACACCCCAGACATATCTCGATACGACAGGAAACCCGATATGCCACTCTGCGCCAACATAGCCATTTGCTACCGCGACGGCTGCAATGATGATCTTGCCAATGATGATTGCGATTATGGCTTGCCAGACTGCGAGACCAGCGGATACCAATGATGCCCCGAGCTGGAAGTTACTCAATGTCATTTGATTGATGGCTCAGAAGCTGAGATACGCCCATCGTGTCCATGTCCTTCGGGATGGTGGTAGTGGTCGAATGTCTTCGTTGATCCATACGTTTGCGACACTGCGTTCTGTGGATGGGATCCGGATGTAGCTGATGAATGAACGAAAGGCGTTCGCCATGGTTGCGTTGGTGGCCGTCCAGCGATCACAGACACATCAGTTCAAAGAGAAGAGACAGAGAGCTTACAACTGTGAGAATAGCAGAGTTACCCTGCCATGGCCATGTTCTCAGCATCCTACCTGTAGGGCATTGCCGTACTGCTGCTCGGCAACTGATAGGCACTTGTCGTCTATCAGAGCCATCCAAGTCGCAGATCGTTGCCCCGCCACCATCTGCCACATGTTCCCACAATCTGGCTTTCTGCTCGTGTTGCATTTTGGCCGCCGGCGGCACGGCAGCACTGATAGGCGAGAGGAGAGACAGGACCAGGAGGGCGGGCAAGAGGTGAGGAAGCAACGCCGGGCCCACTTTTCTCGACGACCTCATCCTTTGCTGGATTGACAACATGCGACCTGCTTATCGAATGAGCTGCAACGAATGCCGTCGGTAGGGTCACGCCCGCCGGCATTTCGTCTAGCTCTGCCTTACTAGTTGTGGCCATTGTTACGGAAGCAGGGCGTGTCATGAGCCGACACACGCGCCGTCGCTAACAGCTCGGCCAAGGCAGTCCTACTGCATGTGCTGAAGGCATTGCACTTCGTAGGTGTACTTCCGTTCGCGTTTCGTCTTCACTGCACGGTACTGAATAGACCCTACACTTACAATGGCAGCCAGACCTGCAAAGAGCGTGCGTATAGGTAGGACTCGAGCAATAGCTTTGACAAGCTCTTCCTTCCGACCTAATCGCAACATAGGTGTCGATGTTGGAGGAACGAACACCGATGCCGTAGCGATCGATCCGTCTCAGCAACATACTCCCTCCCGCGGAGTCCTCGCCCATCATAAGAGCCCGACGACTGCAGACGTGACAGCAGGAATAGAAACAGCTGTTCGAACTGTACTCGAGAAGTCTGAGCTGCCCTCCGCAAGCATTGCCAGCGTCACAATCGGAACCACGCACTTTATCAATGCAGTCATCGAGCAAGATGCAAGAAGGTTGCGCCGAGTTGCCATTATACGCCTATCCAAGAGCTTCCTTCGAGAAGTCCCGCCCTTCTCGGAATTCCCTCCAGGACTCACCAGCATAATCAAAGGCTATGTTGGATATGTCGACGGAGGCCTCCATATTGACGGCTCAGAAGAGGCGCCGATCAAAGAAGAGCAAGTTGTGGAACGATGTGCCGAAATCAAAAAGTTGGGATTAAGTGCTATCGTTGTGGTTGGAGCTTTCTCTCCCATCGACGAGGATTTCAAGCAAGAGGAACGTGTTAGGGATATCGTACAGCGTGAGATACCGCACGCAGATGTGATCGTTTCTCACGAGGTTGCGAACATTGGGCTGATCGAACGAGAGAATGCTTCGATTCTCAATGCTTCTGTAAGTGCCGCCATCAGTGGATTGCATTGGACCTGTGTCGCTGATATCAGATCCAGATTCTGAGGTATGCAAAGAGGACAGTGAAGGGCTTCAGACGTGCCATGAAGGCCCTTAAGCTTTCATGTCCACTCTTTCTGACGCAAAACGACGGCACCCTACTCGACTCTGCTGCAGCGGCAAAGATACCCATAAGGACGTTTTCCTCTGGCCCGACCAATTCGATGCGAGGAGCCGCTTATCTCACTGGTCACGAAACTGAGAAGTCGTCTGCCATCGTTGTCGATATAGGAGGGACGACTAGCGATGTTGGTGTCCTGCTGCCGTCTGGCCTACCCAGACAGGCTTCAGCATATGTGTCTGTCGCTGGGGTACGCGTCAACTACTCGATGCCTTCACTCCATTCTATTGGACTCGGTGGAGGCTCCATTGTGCGAGAATCTGACGGCAAAGTCACCGTTGGCCCAGACTCGGTCGGCCATTACCTTACCCGGGACGCACTGGTCTTCGGTGGCAAGGTCACCACTTCTTCAGACATAGCCGTCGCGGCAGGAAAAGCTGAAATGGGCGATAGCAAGGCTGTGGCATCTCTCGCCCCTAGCCTCGTCGAACAAGCACAGCAGCGGATTAGGTCCCTACTGGAAGGTGCCGTGGATATCATCAAGACGTCCCCTGAGCCTTTGCCAGTACTGCTCGTGGGCGGAGGTGCAATCCTTGCGCCAGAGTCCCTCAATGGTGCCTCTGAGCTCAAGTTGCCGCCGTACCACGATGTTGCAAATGCAGTGGGAGCCGCAATCTCCAAAGTCGGCGGCATTGTGGACATCATTCAAGGCGTCGCAGATCAGTCCGTCACACAAGCTGTCGACAGAGCGAAAGAGATGGCGATTCAAAGAGCTGTTGATGCGGGTGCTATCAGGGACAGCGTGATCATTGCTGAGGTCGAAACATATCCAGTCTCGTATGTTGCTAATCAGCTTCGTACCATCGTGAAGGCGGTTGGTGAGCTGGATATCAACATGCAGCCTGAACAACTTGACGATGAAGAGGCAGATGACCCGGATCAAGAGCCAGAGGCCGCCAAAGACTTTGCTGTCAAGGTTGTGGACGAACCTCCGGTGGACGTCATGAAGTACACCCCGACGATTGCGAGGAGCAAAGAAACTGACATACTCGAATGGGACATAACAGAGACTGACATCAACTTCCTTGCCGATGGTTGTTACGTGCTTGGCTGCGCAGGTAAGAACACGGAACATGATTATCCAAGACGATTGGTCCGCTGACACGATTCGTCCAGGCGGTGGAAGCCCAGCAGCCAGCCGCATACAACTGAGAGACATGCTCAGAGCAGGCCACAAAATGAAAGTCATCGACGCAGCTTCACTAACGAAGGACGCAGTAATCTACTGGGGAGGCCACATGGGCTCACCCGCAACTTCTAACGAACGCCTCCAGTCCCTCGAGACAGTCCACGCTTTCAACGCCCTGATGGAGTATCTGCATCAGGACTCGTTCGACGCAGTAATGGGCCTCGAAATCGGCGGAGCAAATGGCCTGGAGCCTTTCCTCTGCGGCTCCTCACGCTTCTTCGATCGCCCCGTAATCGACGGAGACTGGATGGGTCGAGCGTACCCGACCTACTGGCAAACTACCATCGCAGTCCACGCTCCAGGCGAATTGGTCCCTTGTGCGATCGATTCCGGCGATGGCAAGACGATCATCATGACGAAAGCTTCCAACGACGAAATTGTAGACCGTGCCCTCCGAGCCTCCTGCAGCGAAATGGGAAGCAGAGTAGGCAAGGCCGCGAAACCAACAACCACCCAAAGGGTCCGCGATTTCGGCGTCCTCAACACGGTCTCCCTAGCCTGGCGGATCGGCCGCTGTATCGCCCAGGCCGAAGCGACGAACACCCTCTCGACTGTAGCAGAAGCCATCGTGCACGAAGTCGGCGGCGAGAAGAGCGCGAAGATTCTGTTTCGTGGCAAGATCGTCGACGTGGAGAGGAGGTTGTTCAAGGGGCACTCGTATGGTTCCATCACCGTCGCTGCTTTGTCCACCGACGAGGAAGAGGAAGCATCGAGCAAGCGAATACCTTCTGTGGTCACGACGGGGACGATCAGGATTCCGTTCAAGAATGAAAATATTTATGCTGAGCACACTGCTGAAGACGGGACTAAGCAGATCATTGCGAGCGTGCCTGATCTTATCTGTGTTCTTGACTCGGCGTCTGGTAGATCACTCGGCGTGCCGGAGTTCAAGTATGGTTACAGAGTGACTGTCTTGGGCATCACATGCAGTCCCAGGTGGTCCGATACGGAGGCTGGGCTGAAGATAGGAGGACCTGGGGCTTTTTGCTACAACGACATCACGTATAAGGCATTGGGTGAATATGTAGAACCCAGGAGCGTGATCGAAGAGTTTGCCCCTAAATAGGGTCGGAGGAATCAAGATCTTAAATGTTCTGTTGTCTGCTTTTGCATCTGGCAGCATGCCTTCCATTCATTCATGAGCTAGCTACGCCAGTAGAAACGCCAGGCCGCCGATCCAGGCAGTCGCCGATCGTCCCAGCCAATGCAGAAAATGCATGAAACGCTTAGTAGAAGGTGTTCGGGCGGGTGGCAGCGAAGACCTTCTTGCCGGTGGTTGGTGGAGCACGGTGAGGCAGAGGGAACTTAAGGTCCTTGGTCGTGAGCTGCTTGATGTATGGTCTCCGGATGTCATCGGTCTTCTCGACCTCGATGACCTTGAGGATCTGCGGAATAACGCGTTAGCACATGTCGTTGCTGATTCGCACTTCCCCATGTCAACTTACGTGGATCGTCCTGAAACGAGCACGGTGACGGGCGGCCATGTCCTGGTAGAGAGACTCGACCGCATCGGTGCGGGACATCTCACGGTACTCCTTGTACATGTTGTGGGTACCAGAGCGAGAGTCGTAGCGGATCCAGATACCGAAGTTCTTGACCTTGAGGGGGTGCTTCTCGGCGATCTATCCACTCGTCAGTATTCCAACACATCCCTCACCCTCTTGCTATCCTCATCTTTTACGCACCTTGTTCAAAGACACAATCTCACCGTTGGCCTTCTTGACCTTTCGGAGCTTGGCGAGGAAGTACCAGAAACGGCTCTTTGCGACAACATCGTTCGGGGCGAAGATGCGCATGCGGTAGAGCTTTGGGGTTGGGTTGGCGTCAGTGGGCAGATGGCGCCCAATGACCTGGTATTCCTGCAGGCGGCCTGTGGGCAACAGGATCAGCGCGCTGTCTTACGGATTGAAGTTTGTGTGTATCCGTTGACAATCTTTCATGTCCACCTCTTTCTGCCCTCAAATGGGCCATTTGCGCGGCGTGCGCAGGCGGTGCGAGGAGTGATGCTTACCCATCTAGAGAGTGTTAGCTGTGTTTAATGGAATATGGGTGTTGCTGGATATTCACTGTGACTTTTGCTGCGACGGTTAGTACTTGTCGTGTCGTCGTGAAGTTGTCGGCTCAGAAGTTCGATTTCTTCGCTGAAAGTGCGCGGGTCTCGCTTGCACGGCCCGCTCCGTGCCAAGCGCACTAGCGCGACATCCCGACCTCGACTTCCGCAACATCGAAGCTCGAAGGTCAACAACACCAAGTCACGTCGCAAGCTGTAACACGGCGCCGTCCAAGATGGCAAAAGTGGATTTGCTGTTTGATGACTTCGCTACCGCTCTGGCCGAAGGCAATGGCTACATGCTAGCCGACTGCATCTCCCCAGAACCACCTGCCCACGACCCAGGCCGACTTTACCACTTTCGCAACGGCATCAACCAGTTCAGCGTTCGCACCGACCTCCAGTATAAGCTCCAATACAACCCTGTTCTCAGGCTCGACAAGAAAGAGGCGACCGCTTGGCTCGAAGTCTTTACCGTCTACCACAAATTCGTCGGAACCCTTCTGCAAGCAGAAGAGCAGCGAAATGTTGGTCATGCCAACGATGCCGACTGGGGAAAGGTCTACGACAGTTGGAAAGATGTTGTGAACGCTCTCTATAGGGGCTATCAGGGCGGTGCTTTCTCTGCATGGACAATTCCCTGTCTGTACGTTGGTGGTCGGTACCTACGAATCTTTGCCATCAAAGCGGATGAAAGAACTGCAAGCCAGCGCGAAAGTGGATTGGGATTCGGCGGCATCAACGAAGAAGACGCCTTCGACCCGAGCAGCTCCAATGACAAGCTCGAAGATGCCGGACGCCAGATCAATCGCATCTTTGGTCTGTGTATTGGTGATCGGTAAGTCCATCTTACCTGCACCGTCGACGCCAGCAGTCTGCTTTTGGCAGATGTTCAGAAATGCTCATATTGTAAGAATCACGCTCATGGTAAGTGCAGTAACCCGCTCGAAGACTCACGCAAGTGGGCGCTTTACTACGTTGCAACTCTCCTCTTCAAAACGCACTTCAAACTCAACCACATCTCCCTCTCGAAGAACATTTTGCGATCGCTTCGTGCTACCACCAGCGACATGCCGCCGTTGTCAAACTATCCGAAAAGCCACCAAATCCCTTTCATGTACTACTGCGGCGTCATACACTTCCTGGACGAAGACTACAGCGCGGCAGAAGAGCATTTGACAGCGGCATACGAGATGTGCCATGCAAAGGCGCACAAGAATATACAGCTGATACTGACCTACCTGATCCCTACCAAGCTCCTGACTTCACACAAGCTACCATCTTCGAAGCTGCTCTCCCAATACCCATCATTGGCACGACTATTCCAACCGTTATGTGACTCAATTCGAACAGCGAATTTGTCGGCGTTCAACACAGCACTCGAGCAGGGCGAGGAAGAGTTCGTCAAGCGTCGCATCTACTTGACCTTGGAGCGTGGCAGAGATGTCATTCTCCGCAACATTTTCAGGAAGATATTCCTCGCGGGTGGATTCGAAGCTCCAAAAGAAGGCGATCCTGGACCGCCCGTAAGGAGAACAAGAGTACCCGTGGGCGAATTTGCGGCTGCTCTTCGCCTGGCAGGTGCAGAGGTTGGGGATGGTGACGGTGGTATCGACAACGACGAGGTCGAGTGCCTGATAGCCAACGCTATCTACAAGGTACGTACACCCTTCATATTCGGTTCACGGCTTGCGGAGAAAACGTGATGCCTGATTAGGCAGGCACTCATTTTTGCCACTGCCAAGCCATATATCCGTCTCTTCCTTCACATCGGCAAAAGTCGGGAAATTGCACAGCTGACAATGGGATAGAACTTGATGAAGGGCTACATCGCACGGGAACGTCGAATTGTGGTGCTCAGCAAAGGTGGCGCTTTTCCGGGCACGGATGTATGAAGACACAAAGGCAACTACTTCGGCTGAGTTGCACCATCTCACCCTCCACTTCGCCATGTTAAGAAGACATGATTCGCCCGACGCAGTCTCCTTGCAGTTCTATGGGGTATGCTGAGTTTATTGGCTTGGCACAGCCGAGGACCGCAGTGTGAGCAATCGCCTATCTAATATGTCCATGTGAGCTTCGGGGCGCTGACAGAGCACTCTAGCCCGGCATGACTCACATGGACTGTGGACACTATGGATCGATGTCGCTGTCGCAAGAGACCAGATGCATCGAGTATTGATTGAGGATCGCAGAAAGCCTTCCAGAACATCGCATGCGTTTGGCTAGAGAGGCGGTTCTGATGAATGAAAGGCGATGCAACGAGATAGCACTTCAACAACTTCATCTGAATATGATGTTACATCCATTACATGCAAGTAGCATGCCAATACCAACAGGCCTCAAGCCCTTCCATATCAAAAGCCCAACCCAAACCCCGAAAAAGGCCCAATTGCCTCCCTCATACTGTGACAATCTGATTGATATCCCTCGGACTTGCAATCTGTTTTCCTCCCAATCCATCGGCCGTGAGAATCATAGTAGTACAGTCTTTGTCTTTGTCTTTTGCCCAAGTCAAATCGTATCCCAAAAACGCCATGCTAGAAACAGAAAGTAATGCTGTCCGATGTTGTATATACAAAGAAGGGTATCAATCGAGCTTTCAAGATGGCAGAAAGGTAGCAAGTAGTCGAAGAAGAGAAATACGAGATGCGAACTGGCTACGACCGGCTGTAGCCAGGAGCTAGAGTGAGATGAATGCAAAAGAAGAACGATCGAAAGCGGAAGCATCGACGGGGTGCCTGCCTAGGCAGTGCGCGGCGTGCGTACGCTGCTGAGGTCGTCCTGCGTAACCGAAGCACGTCAGCTGCAGTTCATCATATGATCACGAAAAGCAATATACTTGGGATGAGTCACTTACGAGGTGGTTTGTCATGGCGACGAACAAGTCGAAGAAGAGAGGGCTGCCGCCCTGCTCCATTTCCATCTGCATCGTGCCGCTGCGCTTGAAGGTGTTCCGGCTGCGGATGATGAGGGCGAGATAGTGCGCCCTTAGCTTCGAGTCCGAAGGCGGCGTGTTGGCATAGGCATATCGGGCCGATGAGAGGATGGTGCTGCATTGGACTCCAGATTGTAGACCTTGCTTCTTCAGGGCGAGGCGTTGAAGTTCGGCGAGGCCGTAGTGATGGGCCGAGCACTGGATGGAGGTTAGTATCGACACACGATAAAGATGCGGAAGGGATGGCAACATACGTAGATGACAGTGTCCTTGAGGATGGCGACGCCGCTGGGTGTGTAGATCGTGTTCTCATTCTTGCCTGTGCCGTCATCGTCCTCGAGATACCAACTGCTATGTTTCTTGTCGAAGTTGATCTTGGGTGTGTAGTCGCCTTTGTAGAGATACTCCAATATGGCTGAGAACACTTCAGGTGATTCTCCAGGAAGGTCGACTCGCTTGCCGTTGGCTTCGAAGAACTGCGCCCGACAGGATTCGGCGAAGAAGGGCGATTTGCAGAGGACGTCCTCGTGTGCTGCGAACAGGCGTTGCTCTTGACCAACGGCAATCGTAACGATGGCTGAGTTGAGGTTGCTACGATGTCTCAGTACGTTGTGGCACTCAGAATGGGGATGACACTTACGGTGATGTTGGCGAGCTGCCTGTCTTTGTCGGAGACGACTGCGCTGATGAAGAAGGTTGTGCGTATTGCTGAGTGACAATGCGTCTCGCTGGAGGATATTCCTTGAACGACTTGTTGAACGACTTGTTGAACGACTTCTGCCTTTTACTCATCGATTTTCCGGCTCGATAAGAGAAGCTGTCACGATGAGACTTGTTTCTCGTGGATGTGAACATCTTGACGATTCGTTAGGTGATGAGAATATGCTGTTGACGATGCTGCAAATGCAGGCAGAAAGCCAAAATGTACGAGAGAAGGTGGAGGAGGACGAGGATACTTATAGTGCGCCCGCACTTACAACGACTGAGGCAGCAACGCACCGCTAGGGCCACAGGAAGGCCGCACAAACGCAGGCCATAGCCGGCGTGATAAGTATCAACCGCAAGTCAGTTGCCCTGGCATTCGAGGCGAACGGCCAGAACTCTGAACAAACTGATAAACATGTTGGGGCTGGGTTGCAAGAAGAGGTGATTGGCACGGAATCTGCAAGCACTTTACGCGAGCGCGCCTCGTCCAATCGCGATATTGGCACGATGTCACGAGATCCCGCGCAGCAGTATTAATCGGGCTCCTTTGAGTCAAGGGCGGCCTCCTGGAAGGGATGCCGTGGCCGGGCGGAGACGGCTGCAAGGGCGGTGCTGTTTCGCAGGACGAGCGCTAGCCTGGAAGCAGCAAGGAATGGTCGGCGTTTTGGTGATGTGACAACGCCCGTCAGAGCCAAGGAAAGTATCTTGTGGTTGGGCTTTGCCACCCGGCGGACGGTCGCTTCAGCAAGACCATGGCGAAGGCGACGGAAAGAAGCCGGTGTATATCAGGCGATGTGCATGCGATGCAAGATGTCCATGGTATTGGATAGGCAGAAAGTGTTACGAGGCAAAGAAGTGTGAAGTCGAGACGGACGTCGTCTGCCTGCGCCTTGACCGAGCTGCAGTAGCGTCGAAGCTAAGACGCAGGAACCAAGGGGTTGGGCGAGTGCTACTGCCGATGGAGGGTGCACATTTATTTCACCAATGGAAATATTTAATGAGATGGCATTGGCAATCTGTATCTGTCATTACTGTCATTGAGTGTCTGTCTAATGTTCTTCATTCCAGTGAATGTGGCGGTTCTGCTGCCAACAACCTCTGATTCATTCGTTCATTCATCCTTGCCGAGTCAAGGTCACATGGCTTGGTCACGAGGGCTGTATGCCAAAGCTTGATATGCGTGGCCATCAACGCGGCAGGTTACGCATGTGAAAGTCGCACTTCATCATGACCCGTTAGTCATCTTGGGCGCCTTGAGCTTCAACAGCTTTTCTGAGTTCTTGTACGCAATCATCTCCAACTCTTCCTGCGTCACCAGCCCGCTCTCCTCCAGATCTTTCATCCAGCTCAGGCCGTTCTCGTTCGGCTCGAAAGGATAGTCGACGCTGAACAGGATATGGTCGATCTTGGTGTTACCGAGAATGCACCTCATCGGATCCAGACTCCAGACGCCCGATGTCGTGATCCAGATGTTCTCGTCCCAGACTTGCTTGAGCTTCCGTTGCTGATCACCCCATCTGACGCTAAGCTTGCAGATTCTTTGCAGTGAGAATGGTATCATCTCGCCAAAGTGCCCAATGATGATTTTGAGATTGGGGAATCGATCGAAGACGCCAGCAGCATACAAACGCAGGACGTGCAGGCCAGTCTCGGTATGCCAACCCCAACTTGATGCGCCTAGACTTCGGCTCGCTCCTCCGGTGAAGTTGCCAGTGTACTGCGGCATCATGTTTTCTGACGGCCACGTGGGATGGAGGTAGATGGCCACGTCAAGCTCCTCCGCCTTTCGCCACATGACATCGTACTCGGGTCCATCGAAGTACTTCCCATTCACGTGGTTGTCGATGAGAGCGCCAACGAAGCCAAGTTCCTTGACAGATCGTTCAAGCTCCTTTGCACATTCCTCCGGATTGGCGACGGGAAGTACAGCGAAGCCAGCGAATCGATCCGGGTGCTTCTGAACAGCTTGAGCAAGTTGGTCGTTACCCTGCTTGCACTGTTCCGGGTTGGGCCCACCAGGAGCACATGCATGTGAAATAACTTGCATGGAAATGTGACCCTTGGCCATCTCACTCAGCCTAAGGCTGTCCAGGTCTTTCAACTTGTCCTTGGCCGCAGGAATGGCCTTGAACTGTTCCTGGTACTGTTCGTCGAAGGCATCGAGGACAGCTTGGGAGAGGAAATGCTCCTCCAATGCAATCAAGGGTGGAACCATGTTGTCTCTGTGCTTATTCTTGACAAGTATTATTCCTGGTCAACCAAAGGGTAGTAATCAAGGCAATGGAATTGTTTTAACCAACAACGACTTCATCGCCACCGGAATATATCGCAGCGTCCCTCGACGGCTGAAGGTGGAACCAGATTCGGTACATGCAACGACGCTTCGGGACCGAGAAATCCGGAGGGGTGGAGCCTGACCGCATCTTCCATTGCCTTACACAACGTGGATCTTCTCATAGCAACAGGCACTTCGTCGAAGCATAAATTGCACCGTTCAGCTTTGAATGCAGGCTTGATTGAGCTGTCCGCCCGCTGGATAGCTCGGATCGCGAGTGTACTGGAGGATGGTGGTAAGCTGCTGAGCGGTGAATGCTGATGCCGGTGGGAATAATGCAAATAACTCGAAGTAGAACCCGCTAACAGTAGATGATATTGAACATAACTCGAAGCGGGGGCTACTGGTTGCTCCTTGACTTCAGCTCTACACCCGAGGTAATGCTGTAGAGTAGTCAACTGTTGCGAGTAGTGCAACGAGTATCTTGTTTGGTAGGCGCTGAACATCACTTGTAGGTGGTCAATAACATCCGACTCTCTTTACTCTATCATTCTCCAAAATGCCTCCAGGAAAGACCGCCCCAGGATCAGACTACATCCACCCACCAGAGCTCCAAGAGATCCCAATCCCAAAGAGCTACTCAGACCTCCCCTTTACCCAGATCAAAGTCACCAATGTCCCAGAGTCATCCAAAGAGGTCACACGCGTCGTGCTGGTCACGCTCTACCGACCCAACAAGTACAATGCCTTCACACCAACGATGATGAGAGAGCTCGAGCACGCATACACTCTCTTCGATATTGACGACCGCGTGAAATGCATCGTGCAGACTGGATATGGCAAGATGTTCTGTGCAGGAGCTGATCTCGATACCGGATTTGTGGGCGCGGAAGAGGCTGTTCGGGACCACAGAGACGGAGGAGGCAGAGTGACCATGGCGATCAACAGATGTCGCAAGCCGACGATTGGTGCTGTGCAGGGAAGTGCTGTTGGTATTGGCATTACCATGACGCTGCCAATGAACATCCGGATTGCGTATGCAGATGCAAAGATTGGGTTCGTGTTTGCGAGGAGAGGTCTGGTCATGGAGGCTGCGAGCAGCTTCTTCCTTCCCAAGCTCATTGGGTATGAATCTTACTCCTTGACAGAATGAACGTACCACTGACATCGTCAACAGCACCTCAAAAGCCCTCCACCTCTGCACCACCGGCGCAACCTACCCAGCCAAACACCCCCTCCTCAACACCCTCTTCAGCGAAGTCCTCCCCAAACCCGAAGACGTCCTCCCGCGTGCCCTCGAAATCGCCGACGAAGTCGTCAAGAACTGCAGCGGCGTCTCCACCTACCTCATGAAAGAGCTCATGTACCGCGGGCCCGATAACGCAGAGAGCACGCATCTCTTGGACAGCAGGATCGTGTACGAGCTGTTCAGCAGCAAGGACAACAAGGAGGGTGTGGCGGCGTTTTTGGAGAAGAGACCGGTCAATTTCCAGGGCACGATGAAGGATGATGCGCCGGCGGCGTATCCGTGGTGGGATCCTGTTAGTACGGGAAATCGGCCTGTGAATTTGGGGTATCAGTACAAGCCCAAATTATAATTGGCGGATAGATCCTGAAGAGAGACAATGAATTGTGAAATGGTCAATTTTAAGGTCGTTTGTGATTTCCTGTTCGTTTCGTATACACGGGCTGCGAGCGTTAGCATGGTGAGTTTACCATGCCTGTCAGCTCCTCCGCCGCGAACAGCAATCCATCGTTCGCATGCTAGTGAAGAGAAAAGAACCAATCGAGTCCGCTTCAAACCTGGGTATCATGTCGAGTGAAAGCATCCCTTGAGCTTGAGTCCCTTGCGACCGTAAGTCATCCATGGGCTAATCTCCATCGTCCTCGCTCTCATCATCCTCGTCCTCGTCCATGTCCTCCAACTGATTCGTGCGAAACTCGAAAGCACGAGTGTCAGGTCCAGCGTGTGAAAGGCCAGCCATGCTGCTCGTCATCCTCTCGCTGTCGACCTCAGCAGTGCTTCGGGCAGGCAAGGTGCCGAACTGGACACGGTCAAGTGGAAGCTTCATGTGCTCTTCCCTCTTGTTGGCAATTCGCTTCGCCACCTTGGCCTTCCGACGTACCTTCTTTTCCTTCGAACCTCCTGTGCCCAGACCAAAACCGACCAAGGCGCTGTCGGCTTCTGCAAGGCCTTGGTTTTCTCCACTGTCGCGCAGCTCGCGAGATAGCCGCAGTGCGCCAGAAACTGCTTCTCGAGTCCTTCGCTTCCTCGCGTCTTTTCTGTCTTGCTTCGTGGCGAGGTTCTGGTCTCCAGCTTCTTTGCACAAGCTTTTTGTCAGATCCCTCACCTGGTCGATTGCATCCCGCACATCCTCGATCATGAGTCCCATCTGGTTCTCTCTGTTCTCTTCGACGATGTCTTGCTTCTTCTTACGATACTCACGACGAGTTGTCACCCACTGCTCAGTGCTTGATTCAGCGTTTGAGTTCCCTTGCCGAAGCTGCCATTGCAGCTTGAGGAGATCGCGACCCCGGGCCGCATCATTTCGGATGAGACCAGCCAATTGTGTGACCTGCCTCAGCAGCTGGAGAGAAAATTGCGTTTTCTTTCGAAGCTCTGGTGGTATGGAGTTGAGCGCGTCTGTTCGCCACCACTTGAACAGCTGGTCGCACAGCCTGCGATACGTGAGGGCGTCGGGGTCACCCCGAAGATCCTGGTCATGGGTAGGGCGTGGTGGCGGCTGCCACAGATCGGGCTCCATGGTGTTGCGGTGTTGGTGTTTGAATTTGAAAGCTTGTGCGGCGTTGTTTGAAGAGTCAAAAGCTCGAAGTGCGGAAGAGTGCGCCGGCTTTGACTTCCCGCTAGCGTCAAGCTAGCACCACTTTCACATGTGACCGCCGCTATTCTCGTTGCTCTCTTCAAGGCCGAGCACATGCGTTTTGATCCTTTCCAAGGCACGTGTGATGAGTTGATGCATTCCACAGACTTGGACCATCACGAGACAAAAGCGCAAGAACACTAAAGACAACTTTCAACACAAGAAAATGGCCGTTGGCCTCGTTCGCTATATGGGGTATCAAACATATCGTACAAGCGTGTCACATCAAGCAATGGATCCAAATCCCATCCCTTCAGTTACCTAAAGCTTTCTTCAGAGCATCATGGTCGATTGTCTTGACAATCGGCGGGTGATTGAGCTTCGTCTCAGGAGCAAAGCCAAGAATTGGACCCGACTGGTTGATACCCGGCGGTCGCTGCTTCGGTGGCTTTCTAGGTGTGTCCTGCGAAGCTTCGCTGGAGGCAGCCGTGCTGCCAGAGGCGACGCTGGTTGTGCGGTTCATCTTTGGAGCAGTCGGTGTTGTGTCAGGGTCTCCCGTCACTGATGGGGTGGGGGAAGCTCCCCATCGACCAAATACCCAGCCTCCGACCTTGCTACCCAAGCCCGGCTTCGTGCCTGATTGTCGAGGCTCTGAGGGATGACGCGGAGAAGGTGCCATGCCACTCAGGATACTAGCGCCGCTATGTGACGGCCTTGATATGGCGGCAGGTCGTGATGCGACAGCAGTGGCGCTGGTCAGTGATGCCTGAGGTGTGAACGAACGACCGTAGGGCGTCAACAATTGGGACGGCCTTGATTTGAGTGTGTGAATGTCCATGCCAGAGAATGAAAGAATCGACTCGTGAGACGTCGCACGTCTGAGTAGACCGGGCCGTTTCTGGAAGGCTTGCTCCAGCTCTTCAGAGAGCGGAGAGGTTGCGCTCGACTCTTCGTCGTTCGGCGATGAACTGGTGTTTTCCCATTCTCGTTCATCCTCCTCGGGAATGACTGCCTCAGCTGTTTGTTGCTGTTCAAATTGTCGTAGGTTCTCGGTACTCATATCCAAGATAGAGTCGAGTGAAGGTCTGTTCTTGTGAGAGGATGTTGATGGTTGCTGCGAATGGTATGAAGCTTTCGATGAGCGTTTTGTGAGAGATGTAGCCCAGACTGGTGAGCTGGGCTCTTCGGTTTCGGGTGTACTGGGCCTTGAAGAATCTTGACCAGCATCGCTGAAGACCCGGTCGAAGAGTGAAGACGAGCGGTGCGTGGACATAGGCGAGCTTGGGCCTGAGAACTCGCGCATCGAGTTGTAAGTTTGATTCGACTGAATGGACAGTCTCTTGGATACGTTCTCGGGCAGACTGGCAGCGGTCGATGAGAGAATGGCAGATGCTGCGGACGGCGTGCCAGGCGAAAATGAGTGTCGTGGAGTGCTGGCACCAGAGGGAGGAGTGAAGTGGCCAGGGGTGAGAGCGCCGTATCGTTTCTTCTTGGGCTTTCGTAAAGCGGTCTTTGGAGCTGAAGAAGGTGCATGATAATGGTGATGGACGTGTAGCTCGGAAGCAGTCGCCCTTCTCATCTCCTCCTTAAGGTGTGGCCGGGCAGCTGGTGTCGGAGTTGGTTGTTCAATGTCCGCCTCAGTGACGACAGGCTGGTGAAGGGAAAGCTGTTTCCTCAAGGTCTCAACCTCTTCGTTGGAAGTATGCAGCATATCACGCAGCTCGACGATGCCCATCTGGAGATTCGCATTGTCCTGCAGAATGTCTTTCACGAAGTGGGACACGACATTCGGGCCACTGCCCTCTGTAGTTCCATTCTTCAAGGCTGCCGCACCTTTGAGCCTGCCAGCCGCCGAGTCTAGTTCCCTCTCCACGGCGTGTCTCCGTTCCATGCGGCCTACGACCTCCACATGCCGTTCCTTTTCTTCCTTTGCTTCTTTCTCAATACGCTCCATCTCATCCTGCAGATCAGCAAGCGTACGCTCGGCCTGCTGCCATCTTCTGAGCGCGGACTTCTTGGCAGTCTCTTTCTCTTCCAGTGTAGAATGCCAGGAAACCTGCTCCCTCTCAAACTCTACCAATTGTTGCTCCAACTTCTCTGTTCGGGCAGCGAGGTAAGACAGCTTCTGTAGTTCCTGCTGCGTCGATCGTAGAGTCGCCTGTAGATTCGTGACCTGTGTATCTGATTCGGCTACGGCGCCATTGAGATTCTCCAGCTGGTCCAGTAGATTACGGTTCTCTTCGATGGCGTTCGCATTCTTCTGCTCCAGTTCCTTCTTCTCCGTTTCCAACATCTCGATGTGCGCGGTCATAGCCTTGCGTTCTTTTTCAGAGTCGGCGATGTATGCCTCATGTCGCATCAAAAGCGCCTGCAATGAAAACATCAGCGACGATGGACCTTCGCTTGACCGCGCAAGATTTGTCGGCGACGACATCTTGGCCCAACTGTCCCGGCCACAACGCTCGACGCAGACGACCATGGCGCAGGAGCACCGTAGACTGGCGGAGGGCGGCGAGGCGAAGTGACGTTCGGTGTCGCAAGGACGGCGCGGCAAATGAGACAACCAAACTTACCTTGCCCAGCTGGGCGGCAGTACACACATCTCGTTCCAAGCCGTCGAGGGCGCTCTGGTTGTGCTTGAGGTACGCGCAGGCCTCGTTACCACAGCAGCAGGTCACGTTCGCCCGCGTCGCCGGAATGCTGGGCGTTAAGGCGCTGCTTTGTTCCAGGAATGAGTGGATGTCGATGGCGCGGTCGTGGTCGTCGTCGTTAGCCATGATGCAGAGGTATCTGTTCCTGATATGTCGTTCATCTCCCGCGCTCGCACCGACGAGTGGTGCTAGTCGCGGAAGATTTTAGGGAGAGGCGCAGGGATGGGAGGGTGGTGTCGGGCAGGCAGTGGGGACAATAAACAACCACAACCTGGAACGTGGCTGGGAAGTGACGATTGCATGCTGAGCCTGCCCCGCCAAGGCTGCAGCGCGGTACCCATCATTCACCCGATCCCGCCATTGTTTCGCGTGTGGAATAGCCGACTGGTTTGATTCGACGTTTGGAACGCTTTTCAATATTGATTCTCATACGTGGTATAGAGCATAATCAGAAGTTTAGGTCAGGAGCCTTGCTGCGGTCAATGCTGCTGTTCCATAGTATCAACCCTGATCCATCTCAGGAACAGGACAAGCACTGATGTCTTCTGATGACCTTGACCCGGTGCAGAAAATGAGGTATAACATTCCTGGTCCAACGCTAATCTCATAGCCCGTGGCATTTCCTTTTTCTGGTGACTGAAATTTCAGAAGCACACCTCGAGATGAAGAGACGGCGAGGACCAGATTCAACAAATGCTTGCCAGTTTCGGAGACCGACATGATTGTCTCTGGAGTCGCCCTCACTCGACTATTGCCCTCCACATCTTCCTGCCAACAAACTTCTCAACACCTTCATCAGCCATGACTTCGTCGGCCGTCCTTCCGGTGATCACGCTCGCTTCGTGGTCACGTCCCATAACGTAGAAAGGCTCCCACTCTCCAATCCATCGGCCTGCGTCTGATCCACGACGAGATTTGCGAAATCCGGACGCTGTTCTGTCCAAGGTCAAGAACCAGTGTCGCTGGTGAACGGAGCCGATCGTGTTGAGGGATCCGGTATAAGCATTGTTGGCGCGGATAGTCGTATCTTCTTCGCCCTCTGAGGCCTGCGCCACGGCCAGATCTTCTTCCTCGATAACAGTCTCTCCATCGGCAGGTTCTAGCGTCGACGCTGTATCAGACTCATTATCACTTGTAGGAGCATTGGACTTTGCAGCATTTCGAGCAGGGTCTGTTCGCCGTCGCTTATGTTTTGGTTTTCGAGGCTGTGCACTCCTGTCATTCGCAGACGAAAGCCTCAAGGAGACCACATAATTCTCCGGCAGTTTCCTCCCACATAAACGAAGTTTGATATGACGTGAACGAAACGCGCTGCAGAGACGTTCACTCTGCGCGTCTGCGTTGCTCGCCAGTGTATCTTCGTCCTCCGATGCTTCATCATCCGTCATCTTCTGTTGCTTCTCTGCGCGCGGAAGAACCTCATACTCTCCAATATCCCAGATGAGAAGTGATCCTGTGGCATGAGAAGCAGATTCGATGATGTTGTTCTGGTTTTGTCAGTTCAACCGAGTTTGGTGCTGAGAAGACAGAAGATGGCAGCGGAGTATTTCCATAGACCTACCCATAGGTTATGCACTCTGGTCTCTATTGCCATTCTGTTGGGCCTGCTCGAGTTCGGATTGCCAGGCAGGCCATACGGTATGGCAAAGGAGACAGCGCTAGATTCAGAGAATTGCAATCGAAGATCATAATGCACGCCTTACCTTCGTCAGTTCTTGGTTCCTTCTCGCAGACATTGCTACTCGATACCTGAGATGGGGTGGTCATGTTGATGAATTACGAAGTGCCGGCCTTTGCTGTGCTGGTTGCGTTTGTACAAATCTTGGAAGCTCTCGAAGTTCATCCTCGGCGTAGAGCATGACCTGGAGACTGCCGATAACTTCTGTACAAAATAGTCGAGATGATCTCGAATTTCGACCTGTCCAGCTTCAATGGCTGCCAGTGTCGGATCCCTGGGCTCTGTATTGTCCTCTTCAGGCGGCGCTGTATTTATAGTCGAGAACTTCCGCAATGGTGGCGGCGACACGTCTCGTGTGAGCGTGGACGGTCGAGCCATCATCAAAGGGCAGCATGGAGCAGTCCATAGAATTCGTGTTTGATGGTGATGTATTCAAAGTGCAGCTCGCAGGCAAAGTGATGTTTCATTCGCTGGTCCAAGCTTCCCGCTGTCAGTCTCGTGCCCAGCTTCCAGGATCTACATCTACCTCACTACAAACACCAAAACCATCGACCGAGCAACAAATTACACCACCCGGCGAGCAGCATCGAACCGCAACCAATTCCTGAGCCAAAAACTTCAACAACCGCCCACAATGTCCTTCCTCTTCGGCGGCCAACGCCCCCAACCCTCCTCAGCGGAAAAGATCGCAGCAGCAGAAGCCGAGATCGAAATGGTCTCCAACATGTTCAACCAGTGCGTCCACCCAACCACCACCATCAAGTGCCTCTTCGATCCCAACTGACCATCTCCCGCATCAGACTAGTCGACACCTGCACGAAGAAATGCATCCAACCGCAATACCGCGAAGGCGACCTGAACAAGGGCGAATCCGTCTGCCTCGACCGCTGCGTGGCCAAGTTCTTCGAAGTCAATATCAAGGTGTCTGAGAAGATGCAGGGAGAGGCGGCGCAGAGACAGGGGGGTGTTGGTGGTGGGATGTTGAGATAGGAGATGAGATGAAATATGAGGCAGTGGCTAGCTGGTGAAAGAGCTTGTTCTGTGATGTGTGCGATAGGGAGAGGCTGACGTCTTGGGCGTTTGCAAGGGATGGGGTGGCTCTGCATAGGGACAAGAGACACTTGATGGAGCGCCGACGGCCCCGAATGAGCGCTCTGAGAAGAGATGAGAGCTGTACTTCTTCAATGTGTTACAAGCACTGGGCACCAGGCGCAAGAGCGGACAGACAAAACTGCGTTGATGAAGGAGTACATTGTACATATATCATGATACCCATCTCAAAAAGCCAACCAACAAGAGCCCAAGGTATCTAATTCTCATCACATCGTAACAGCGCCCAGCACAACTATACAAGCAGCAATCAGAAATCAGAAATGCTCTTTCCAGAACCGGAAGTTCACCTGTCGAACCGTCGCCTCCTTACACGCCTTCTTGATATCCCTTGCGGCAACATTAGGACCACAGAAGTACACACCGACATCAGTCCTGCCTCCGCGATCGAGACCGGCGATGTACGACTGATTCAGGATCCCTTCCCTCATGGCCACAAGCAAACGATTGAAATCCGGACGCCCGAAATTTGTCCTGCTATTGAGCTCCGTGAGAGGATCCTTATCGGTTCCCACCGAATTCAGCACGATATTCTGTGCCGTGTCCGCGTCCATCCTCTGCGTGAGGTATGTGTGGATGCGCAAGAACTCCTGTTGGCCCACACCTCCGCTCATGCTCATACTCTGCGCTTCCAAGCTGGAGAGGAGGGCTTGGAACCATTCGAAGGAAGTCGTGTCCTTGCAGACCCAGATGAACTCGACTCGGCGTAATCGCTTCGGTGGGTTGGGCGACAATCGCATGTGCCAGATGCTCTTCAAGATCGCTGACCAGGGTGTCACGCCAATACCGGTTCCGATGAGGATGGCGATCTCGTTGTCGAAAACGTCCTCTGCGGGCGCTCCATAAGGCCCGTCGATTCGAAGTTTCGGCATCTCCTGGCCGTTTTGGAGCGCGACTTCGTACATTCCCATGGGATCCAGTTCGTCGTACAGCTTTTGTTGCTCTGGTCCTGCTCCGAGGGCGTTGGCAAGTGCTCGTGTGAAGTCTCCGACTTGACGGACGTGGATGCTGATGTAGGGGTCGAAGGGGCAGGAGGTGATTGTAAAAGGGTGCCATTGGTTTTGGCTGACAGAGGGCACGTTGATGAAGAGCCATTGCCCGGCCTTGTACCGCATGCTGGGTTTGCGGAATTGGATCTCTACGGCGTCTGGAGATAGTCAGTGAGATAGAACTCGCCTCAATCTCGATTCGACTCACCGTATGGATGCTTCACGATCTTGATGATCTCCGTCTGCCGCCTTGCTCGAATCTCCCGGTACAGCCGCTCACACAAGTAGAGTCCACCTCCGACAAGCTCCCATCGCCAGCCCTCATATCCAATGCAATGATTCCAGAAGTTGTGTCCCGCAAACGGAGAGTACGGCTCGAGCGAATCACGAACGAAGCATCCTGTGGCATGCGTATACATCGCCAGCAGAAAAGGGATGAACAAGTGATGCGTATACCAGAACGTCTCGTAGCTCTGCTGTCGGATCTTGGCGTGCGCAGTCGTGAACATGAGCAGCATGCATAGCAGCATGACATGTCCTGTGATTCCTCCTGCCTGCATGTAGTGGATTTGCACCGCCGCCTCTTTTCGCACTTGCGACCTTTCCACGTTGAAGAAGTTGACATAGTGTGCGCTGACATGTACGATCGTCCACATGAGCATGCTGTATGCGCATTGTCGGTGAAACCACTGGCTCTCGTCCAAGGGAAGCCATCTGATCTTTGGCCGTATGACTTTGAGGATGTTCCTGCACATGGGGAAGAGGATGATCATTGTGTCGACGGAGAGGTTCAGTCCAGCACCTCTTGAGAACCACACACTGAACTCCAGGGTATTGAGGGGTGCGAGGCGCTGGTCATTCGCTTGGACGTACCAGCCGATAATGAAGAGCAAGATGTGTAGTCCGTGGAAGAGGATGTAGAAGATCAACTTTCGTGTGGTGAACTGCGCGGCCAGCCATGACTTTCTCTGCGGTACCGCCATTGTGGTTGTTCTATTCGAATGATCCCCAGGTGAGGTGTCTCACCTGCAAGGTGCGACTGGTTCGTCGATTCGAGCTGTCCAGCAGCAAGAGAGATTCCTTCTCAGATGCCTTCCTTTATCGCCAATTCATATCGTAGTATAAGTCAATTTTCCTTCTCTTGTAATCGCGGGTGGAGAAATCCAAGACGACCAGCTCGCGCTGAGGAAGGAGAAAGATACTGAGGGATACCGCTCACTTGTGATGGGATCTTTCCAGACTGCAAAGAACAACAAGAAGTCGCAAATAGAACCCCAAGAACGAACTCACATCACCTACCCAAGCCTCTCGAACACATGGCACGGCCATGACCACACCACCCGAAGCAACCGAGCACCAAGAAGAGCAACCTCACCTGCGTGACAGCGATCCTAGAGCCGCTCCAGGCGCAAGTCTGCACGACTGTCCAGCCTCTCAGAAAGCTCAAAGGCCTCCCGACAGCATGAGTGGGCGTTGTGCAAGCGCAGTATCGTGTGCCTGCATGGCAGCGGGGCGAGCCGGGTCTGCTGCACCCTGAACTTCATATACGCGCCGGCGCTAGCATGACTTGGCGGGTGAGTGAATGTTGATTGGGTGTGGTGCGGAGAATTGGGTTCTTAAAATGGCTTGCAGCAACGACTGTTTTGCTGTGCCGCTCGCTCGCAGTAGCAATAACGACTGGGTCCCAGGATATGGGTAACGACGACTGAAGCATGACCTCACCCTCGAGATGCGCGTCGACGGCAGAGTTGTGTGAGCGGGAAAGATTGCGCTGCTCCCAAGCACTCGTCAAGCGCCCCAGATTGAGTGCCGGGAGGAAGCCGTGTCCCCGACCAGCCAATCACTGCCTCCGCCTCCAGCGTCAAGTCTCGGCCTCGTCTTCACCCGACTTCATTCGCTCCAACGCGGCGCTTAGAGGTCTTGAATCTGCACCCTCGCTGCCCACCGCATCTGCCACAATGCACTCGTCAGCTCCCAATCCGGCCAGATCGGGGCTTGTGACGGTCAGCCCATGGGCATGGCTAGCTCCCTGCCCTTTCCCATCTCTCGGTGCCGCCTCGTTGGGCATGCCACCTCGTTCTTGGTGTAGGTTCGCAGCTTCGCTTCCACTATCACTCTGCAGAAAACCACCTTTTCCCTTCTGTACTTTGCTCGTCATCACGTCTGGCCCTCTTGACCACAACGCCCTCGCGATCCCCCATCACAACCGCTTCTAAAGAGCTGGCCTACATACTCCCGCCACTTCTCGCTCTGCCGTTCTTGACCTGCTTTCTTCCGTGGATCATGCGCTTGCGACGATTGAGGCGGTAGCCATAACTTCTACTACAACGCCTGCCCATATCGCCTGGACTCGAGAGTCTGCGCATCATGGGCAAGTTGATCAAGAATCACTGGGCCCGTCTGATATGTATGACGGCGGCAGCATGTACGTTACAACTTGCGCGCATCATACACCATATCCTGACTGAACTCTCCACAGATCAAATCGCCGCCGCACTAGAAGGCTTCTTCTGGCCCAAATTCTTCTTCGACTTCCTCACCAAGAACTTTGATCTCGCCGTGAAACCCGTCCCCATCCTCCAAATCATCAATCTCGTCATCGGCATTATATCGCTGGCGTACGAATGGCCCCTCAAATATCTCGCGGGGACGTCGATCCATCGAAGTATGGAGGTGCGATTGATGTGGCTGCCCTTGGCCAGTCTATCGAGCGTCCTCATCTACCAGGCGACGAATCCCGCGCTGTACTACTTGATCGGCGTGGTGGTGTATTTTTGGGCATATAGTGAGGGCGAGGTGAGTCGGATCCACCTCCAACAGGCCAGGGCCATGCTAACGTTTTTGATCAGATCATATGTGCGGTACCATGGACATTACCCAAACGAACCGACAGACGAAGAGTCGAGAAAGCATGATCGTTACGACTTTCCTTTTTGATACCTATTTGTTTTGCATAGCGCACTGGAACATGGGCGGCACACTGACCGCAGATTCATATGGCAAGGGGGAAAACGCCAGATCTAGACGGACCATTTGAGTCTTATTCACATCCTTGTATAGTGTCTTGATATCGTATGACAGAATCAAATTACGATTGCCAGCACCGATGTTCCTCCTCTCGGGTCATTTCTAGCCAAGATCCCACTGTTTCGACTGCCGCTCGACATGGTGTTACAGCTCATTCGCAAGCTGCCCTCTTTCCAAGCCAATACGATACGCATCCTGGCCATAATCCAATCGATTCACAGCCTGCACCTCCTCGTCAACATCACCGAACATATCAGCCATCCCTCGCGTATGAGGATTGACCTCCCCATCCGGCGTATACGCATCATAATCCTTGGTATAAAACTCAACCAAATCCAACAACTCACTCGGTGTCGGACGCTTGTTCGGCCTAAAGCTAAGACAAACCTGCACAATCTCGAGCAAATGATGCGAATACACCAGCCGATCCTCATCGTCGAAGCTGAGAGTCGTATCGGTCTCTCCATTCCCTAGCCACAGCGGCTGCGTTGGACTAGGCTCTTGCTTCACCAGACAATAAAGGATCATACCGATACCATAGACATCCGTCGCCGAGCGAATCTGCACATTCTGATCAACTGCTCGACCAGAATCACGATCAACCCAGCTATAGCTCTCCGGCGCCCTGTAGCCTTCCGTCCCATTCCCTCTCAGCCAAGAAGGATTCAGAGGGTCGTCTGGTGGTGTGCGAATTCCAAAGCCGAAGTCACCCACAGCGGGACGTGGATAGCGAGGATAGTACCCCGTCGTCGGATTCGAGAGGAAGACATTCGTGGGCTTCATATCGCGATGCACGATACCCCTCCAGCCGTTCTCCTTGCCATTCCGGTTGTGATCGATATGCCCCTTCTCCATCGCCAACACGCACTTGGCCAGACTTTCCGCACAGTACCAAATAAACGGCTCCGGAATCCTCAGCTCATTACCCCTATACCCAACAATGAGATCCCCCAAATCACCAAAGGGAAACCACTCGAGGAACATGGTATATTTCCTCGCCTCATTATCAATCCACCTCCTCCTCGAATGCTCATACAGCCGCACAACGCCCTCGAGCCCCCGCACGTTCGCCACCGCCTCGTGCGTGAGGATCTCCCAGGGGACTCTTTCGTTCTCGTCCTGCACGTCCCCGCTGAATTTCCGCGCGTCGAACCAGGTCCCGGAGTTGAAGAAGTTTTCTTTGCGGGCGAGTCTATGACAACGTTCATCAGTATCTAGCTACCTCCGTCACGAGAAGACGAAGAGGATACTTACATCAACGATCCTGTTGTTATCGTCCACACTCAACCAAACCGCCACCCGCGCCTGCCCACCCGCCATCAATCTCTGCGCAAACCACGTCCCATCCCCAGCATTTTGCGGTCTCAACCCCACCCTCCCATTCGCAGACTCCGTGAGCAGCTTCCTCCTAATCCTCGCATTCTTCGTCCCCCGACTCACCCACTTCTCCGGCATCCTTTGTCGACCAGCAGGATACTCCGGGAGAGGTGGTCGATCGAGCCGGGCTTGCATCCGCGACATCTCAGTGGAGCAATTCCATGTACTCGCGCGGGCGACAGCATCGTCGTGGAGTTTATTCGTAGATTGGGTTGACCTCAACGCTTGCCCCTGATTTTCCTGCTCGAGAGCGAGGTTCAGCCAGGCTTGTGTTTCGGTTTGGTGGTGGGCGTGCAGGGTCTGGTATGCCGTGATGGCAGTACTCAGACGCTGGCGGAAGTCGAGAGTTTGGTAGTCCTGGTAGGGCTCCCCTTCGTTGAATCTGTCCCGGGCGGTTTGGGCTATGTGTTCCTGTGCTCGGACGATGGTGCGGGCGTTGTAGGCTTCTGTGAGTCGTTTGGCGAGGGCATTTCGCTGTTGAGGGGTCTTGGCTGCCCATTCTCGTCGTAGTGTTGTTTCGACATTTTCTGGTTCATACAAGTCAGCTTGTTGTAGAGGGGAGAGACGCAGGTAGTTACGTACTGGATCGGCCCCTGTATTTCTGTTCGTGCTCGATGTAGGCTCCAACCGTTCTGGGCCTGGGCGGCATGATAGAATTTTCAACAGGAGAAAGACAGATGGGAAGAATCGTTTTCAAGGCGTTGTAAGGGAGCTTGCTGGTGAGAACAAAGAAGCCATAACCGGCTTAGGAGCCAACAAGACAAAGAGATGTCTCTTACCTCAACCCTGGCTGTTCGAAGAGACACCCTGTAAGATTGGACAATCATATGGACGGTATCGTCCTAGCACCTCCTACACACTGGAACAACCATCAAATAGCCTCCAGCAAAGCCACATACGCCTCCTTAGGCTGGAACTCCGCATCAAACAGCAGAGGCGTCTCATCATCTCTCCAGCTGTCTTTGTCCGAAACACCCCAGCTCGTAATGCCCACGCACTTCTCCAGAGCCAAACACGCGTTGGCAACATCGACGTAGTCCTGCGGTGCCGCTCCAGCAATGTCCAGCTCCGTGATTGCGACTTCGTCGGCCGCTTCAGCCAGCGCTGCTCGTGCTTCAGTAGCATCGGAGGCTGGCCAGGCGGACCCAAGATGTGTCTGGGAGCCGATGCCATCGATGGGGATACCTGCTGCTCGCCATTCTTTGACTTTGCTGACGAGGCCGGTCAGTTTGGCGTATGAAGCCGAGTCGAGGTTGTAGTCGTTGATGTAGAGTTTAGCGTCGGGGTCCTATTACTATCAGTTGTCGCGCCTCCCGTCCACCAAATATGTTGTACTCACAGCCTCCTTAGCAGCCTTAAAAGCAATGCTCACAAACTCCTCCCCAAGAACATTCGAGAACACCGACTCACGCAACGTCCCATCCTCATCAAAAATCTCATTGACCACATCCCACGCATAGATCTTGCCCTTATACCGCCCCGCAAGCTCAGTGACATGATTCTGAATCACACTCGTCAGAGTCTCCGGGTCAGTGATGGCTTCCACCCAACTAGGCAGTTGCGAATGCCAGACAAGTGTATGCCCACGCAGAAGCTTGCCATTCTGCGTAGCGAAATCGACGAGAGTGTCTGCACCGTCGAATGTGAAGGTTCCTTGCGTGGGCTCGGTCGCGTCCCATTTCATCGAGTTCTCGGGCGTCAGTTGGCCAAAGTCGGACTTGATGATGGCGGCGTTTTGGGTCTCGGAGAGGGTGCCGGCGTCTGCGGCGGTGCCCCAGTAGAGCTTTCCACTGGCCACGAATTCATCGTTGAGGGAGCTGATGTTGCTTTGGCGTTGGGAAAGAGCGGAAGAGCTGTGCGGTGCTGCGAACGCTGATCCAGCAGCGAGGAGTTGGATGAAAGTAAGTGAGTAATGCATGATCGAAGTGCTGACAGTAAGAGATGTAGCAGAAGAGAGAGGAATTGTAGTGATCACTTTTGTCGTCACGAGAAGATCAGGGAAGCAGCCTATATGTTGGAGCCGCTCTTTGCGCCGTCTGGCAAACGTATTGTATAGGTCCGTCGTTTCTGATAGACATTTATATTCGCTATACATGCGGTGCGGATACAAGGAGATTTTCCACGAGAAGAAAAGTTCGGGTCATATACTCTGAAACAATGTCGCTTGCGTTTCTCGTGTTTCAAATGTCTTAGCTTCATTTAGCACGTTGTCGATCGAATCAAGATGCTGCGCTGGTCTTGGCCATGTGATCAAGTCGAATACGCACGGCACGTTCGTGGGCGTGCAACTCTTCGACTGCTGCCAAACGCATCACGGCAGTGCCGACATTCTTCAAGCCTTCAGCTGTCAAGTTGGAGCTGGTGATGTGCTTCACGTATGAGGCTAGGTTGACACCAGAGTATTGCTTAGCATAGCCGTAGGTTGGCAGGCTGTGATTCACTCCAGCGGAATAGTCTCCGACACTCTCTGGTGTCCATTCGCCCAGGAAGACTGAGCCAGCATTCTGCACCATCTCGCGGACACCAACCGGATCTGCCACTTGCAGGATCAAGTGCTCGGGGGCATACTGGTTACTCAAACGCATCGCTTCCTCAATGTCCTTGACTACGAGGGTAACGGAGTGCTCGATGGCGCCCCTGACCATGTCGACTCGAGGCAAAGCCATAGCTTGCTTGTGAAGTTCGTCGTCGATAGCCTGCAACTGCGCATCGTTCAGATCAACCGCGATGCATACGACCTGAGAGTCAACGCCGTGTTCTGCTTGTGACAGTAGGTCGGATGCAACAAACGCCGGATTTGCCGTCTTGTCGGCAATGACCAACACTTCTGATGGCCCGGCAGGCATATCAATGCTGACATTAGCAGACGTATCGTTACTCACAATCATCTTCGCTGCAGTGACGAATTGATTGCCGGGACCGAGGATCTTGTCTACTTTGCTGACGTTTTCGGTGCCGTATGCCATTGCAGCAATAGCCTGTCCACCACCGGCGAGAACAATGCTTTCGGCTCCGACTTTGTGGGCTACGTAAACGATCTCCGGTGTCAATCGTCCATCCGAGCGAGGTGGTGACGCAATGACTATGTTCTTGCATCCAGCAACCATAGCAGGGACTCCAAGCATCATTGCCGTTGACGGGAGCACTGCTGTGCCGCCTGGTACGTACAATCCTACACTCTCGATTGGTCGAACAAAACGAGAGCAAACAACACCAGGCATCGTCTCTACCTCGAGAGGCTTCTCTTCTTTCTGCGCAGCATGGAACTTGCGAATGTTCTCGAATGAAATATCGATGGCTTCGATGGTCTCTTGGGGAAGCTGCATCAAACTGGCAGGGAAAGGCGCCTTGAGGACCGGGGACGTGAGCGAGGTGGCCTTCTCGAACTTGTGGGTATACTCCAGCAGAGCCTGATCTCCTCGCTCCCGGATGTCTTTGATGATTGGATTTACAATGCCCATAATCTTCTCGGTTGAGCGTTGCGAGGGCCGTTTGAGGGCCTCCTGAATCGTTGCTGGATCCTCTTCGGCGGTAATATATCGATGCATCTGGATTCGGCCGTCCTTGTTCAAGCCAGCAGGGTCATCTTTACTCTTGGGTTTTGATTCTGCCTCCTTGATCTCTTCCTTGGTGACGCCATTGGATCCGCCGTTGACGCCAAACTTCTCAGCGTACGGGCCTTTGGCGTCTCCTTTCCTTCGCTTGACCTTTACACTCTTGGCATCGAGATTTCGCTCAATATCTTCGAGGGAAACGCCGGCGGCCGTAGCCTTGGTAAGAGCAAAGTAGAGCACATCTGCGGCTTCTGCCGCGATGTCCTCCTTGGACTCGGCCTCGCACAGCTCAGCCGCCTCCTCCATGACCTTGGCATTCAACATCTTCGGATCATTGAACAAGCGTGCCGTGTAGGAGCCTTCAGGAGCAGAGCGTTTCCGACTTTGCAAAGTCTTCTGCAGCTTGGACAGTCCTCTGTACTGGCCGAAGCATGTCGCCGTTTGCAGGTGACAGAAGCCATGACCTTGTTGTCTGACAATGAAGCAGAGACAGTCTTGATCACAGTCTGCCTCTATTCGCACCAGCTGCTGCCAGTCTCCGCTTGTATCTCCCTTCCTCCACAACCCTCTCTTTCTGCTGTGGTATACGCCTCTGCCACATCTTAAACTCTCTGCAACACTCTCTTCATTGCTGTACACAAGGCCCAACGCAACACCTCGCTCATCTGTCACAAGCGTTGTAAACAGTCCGTCCGGTCGATCGCTCTTGGTGTTGGCGAGGAGAAGAGATGCGATTCGGATTTGTCCTGGCTCTGGCTGAGCTTCCACTGTGAGCCGTTCGGCAGGTATTATAGGTACAGCATCCTGTTGGCAGAGTTCTACCGCTTCTTGCTCAGTGATATCGTCCTTCGTTGCAAAGACCGGAGGTCGGTTCTTTCCCAGTTGCTGCAGAATGACACTGACAGCGTGGATGCTGTTGACCTTGTGCAAGAAGAGACCAAATGTAGTTCCCTCGAGCGCGTGTTCTGCATCGCCGACTGAAGCAGTAGGGTGGTAGACTATACGACCCTGATCTAATCCAGGGACGTTCTTCAGAGAAGCGGCTTGCTGACTGCTCACGAATACTTTGGCGGCGCCCGCGTCCAGCAGATCAATGACATCTTGCTGCGACTCGATGCTAGAGACGTCGAGGTAGGTCCAATATCTTGCGACGGTGTCTTTGAGCAGAGTGAACGCTGTATCGATGTTGGCGGGAGTGACATTGGCTGCGATGCCGCCGGCGTAGGCCAGTTCCTTGGAGCTTTCGATCTGGGACAGCCCAGTATAGCCGGATAGATCAATAGCCGCAAGAAACGGCGGTGATCTTTCTGAGGCAGCCATTGTGTTTGTGTGAGGTGGGTGTAAGAGAAGAGAGTCGAGCCTGAGTCAATGTCCCTCCAAAAGTTTCGCGAGCAATTTCCGCCCCCACATCGTCATCATCTTCTGCTCTGTGCTATTCGCGCTTGGATCTCGTCACGACAAACATGATCGTGAAACAACCAACATGATGGAGATATGCGCATTGCCATCTGCAGGCCGGTCCATACTGGCCACATCTCATGCGAGTATGCCACCTTGAAGATTCAAGCCCTTTCCTTTCGAGCACTGTGTCTCTTCCGACCTCGGCCTCACTGCTCGTGGACCTTTCACCCCAGACGATCGAATGGCTTGAGAAACCCGCTGGAATTCCAGTCAAGACGAATATTCTTCACGGACGCGCTGCCGTCAATCCTCGTCCCTCCAGCTGTATTTACCAGCTTACTGTTGACATTATGGGGATACAAGTGCGTGATGACTGTCCTCTTCCAGGACAAGATCATCTACATGCCTTACATGCCGCCTTTTGCCAGGTCCGAGAAGATGGAGGACTATACAACTGTCTGCAAACCAGTGGAGTGGGAACACAGACACATCAAGTCACTGGATGGGACGAGAATCGCCTTGTGCGTTGGGCAGATACCAGATTCTGATCGCCAGGCTAGAGCTGTTATGCCGAAGAAACATGTCGTGATATGCTACTTCCAAGGCAACGGCAGTTCTTTGCCACCAAGACTCCCACTACTGAGCAACGTCCTGAAGGCTATTCATGCTCGGCAAGCCGTCCCCGAGCAAGACACTCGGTACTCATTAGTCGCGCTCTCCTATCGCGGGTACTGGAAGTCATCCGGCCGAGCTTCGCAGCGTGGCATCGAACTCGACGCACAGGCTCTCCTGAATTGGATATCGACCACTTTCAGCAAGCCGTCATCTAACCTTGAATTGGTCCTGTGGGGTCAGAGCATTGGAGCTGGTGTTGCGGCTACAGCAGCAGCCACATATCTGAAGGATCAAGCCCCGGAAGACCCTCCTGTCACCGGTCTGGTGCTAGAAACACCCTTTTCCGGGATTAAGAGCATGCTAATCGCGCTCTATCCGCAGAAATGGCTCCCTTATCGCTACCTATGGCCATTCTTGTGGAATCACTGGGACAATATTGCAGCTCTCCAGACAATTGCTACCTGCCGTCGAAAGCCACAAGTCCTCATCCTTCCAGCCACTCGAGATGAAGTTGTTCCTCCAGGCGAAGCAGACAAGGTTGAGCGACTGAGCCATGAGATAGGTTTGCCAACACAGCGAAAAGACGTAATTGGGGCTTTGCATACGGAAGCAACGACTAGAAGGGAAGGTCAAGATGCCGTTGCTAGGTTCGTGCTTGATGTGAGCAAGGGAAAACATGTTCGATAACCCGCTTCGAATTCATCTGCTATCAGGCGTCTTCACTAAAGGTCTACTCTGGGGCCTCTTTCGATGACCTTGTGAGCCTATAAGTGAGCTGGAGACTGAAGCAGAGTTTGGACCCAAGACTAAGGCCAATAGTGAGGGACCAATCCTCAAGCAGAAATTCCACGGAAGCAAAGAATCGTCTGCGTCCAATGTGACTAGATTGGTTCACACCTCTGTATCTCAACGAAGGATGTTCTGTCTATCCCTCTAAAACATCATGATTGGTTGGTTTTGCCGACATGGAGGCGCTAACTTGAATAGAAAACGCTAGTATTTAGAGTTCTAGTAGGGTATATAAGTGAACTTCACTAGTTCGTAGCACCAAGTTCTCTACTCTACAGTCGAAACTAAAGTAGTTAAGAAAAATCACAACACTTCGAACGGCGGCAATGCTTCACTGGAGCAATGCCTCGTAACACAAGTGCCACGAGGGACTGAAGGACTTCGACTATCACATGCCGTTGTCGCGTCGCGAGCGCGTCGCGATCCTGCCTGTTAGGGACGTTCCTTCCCTATAGGTGCTGCTGCAGAAGTAAAGCCAACTCTTTGCTTGCACATCATACGAGAAACATATAAGCAACAAACACAAGATCAAGACACGTTCCTTGACGAACCTCTGGCGGCCTCTACGGAATCGACAACAACTTACTCACTGTTGTTACGGCTTCACTCTATTCTTAGCCGTCCCAGCAAACAAAGAAGTGAACTGACCACACTACACTGAAGCCTGCAACTTGGATTACTACGCTCGCAAGCTTCAACTCAGAGGGTTGCTGGAACACAAGTTTGCCCGGGCTGGAGGCCCCCCGGCTCTGAGACAACTTCGGAGCGAATCTGCAAGTCAAACAAAGATTGCTAGAGCTCACTGAAACATTCGAATCAAAAGTCACAAGCCAGTACTTCCTTACCTCTCACGGCATTGAGAAGACGCCCTACGTCTATTCATTCTTGCAACTGCTGCTTAGCCGAACCCACTGGCAAGATCTCATCATGGGCAACGTGCAATCGAAGGAAGAGTTTGACGCCGCTCAAAACGTCGCACGCGAGCAAGGTCGTCAAGAAATGCGGAAGAAGATAGAGGAGTATCAAAAGACTCGCGAGGACAGACAGCGACAACTGCAGCAAACAGCCCCGGAAGAAGGCGAAGTCGCTGACGAAGGAGAAGTCTCCGAGAGCTCTCGCAGAGACAGCGGCGCCAATGGAGCTGACATTGGCGTGAAGAAGGAGAAGACTGAGGAAGATGAAGATGTGATAACTGTTAAGCGAGAGCCGAAAGTGAACGACACAAGCGACAAGCAAGCGAACGAGCGAGCTGCTGTAAAGGCTCGGCTTATAGAAGCAGAGCAAGAGCTGGCTGCCGCAAGAAAGAATTGTTCTAGCTCTGCAGATCCACTGTCCGCATGGAACGCAAGGAAGCAGCCACGTCAGAAAGATGCCCCCACTCAGGCACGAAGGGATACCGCTTCGTTGCCGGTACCCAGTAGAAAGGGAAGCGTGGAGGAGAATGTCCAAAGCCCCAAGAGGACGGCACCGGATTCTGGCTTTAGCGACGACAGACGCCCTATCAAGAAGAAGGCCAGCATCTCGACCTCATCGCCTGCAACACCAAAATCTCCCGATGGACCTTCGGAACTTCGACAGCCACCCGAATGGTATAGGAAACTGAAGGTCACAGGAATTAGGGACAAGCAAGATGCTGAAGCTGACCCGCTGCTGAACGGACTCAAGAATCAGATTAGGAAGGCACAAGACCAGCGAAGCGGCCTACAAGCCGTGTTCAACGAAGCCCGTGACCGGTTGCATAAGATTGCATTCACTCAAGTCACGAAGCAAGGCCTTCGGAACACTCGGATACTGGACAATGAGAATGGTCTTCCGCAAATATTTGACGGAAAGTACGATCGCGGAGTCTCATGGCCTTTTGACATCAAGGCAGATGCGGAAGAACTGTACAATAAGTGGTGCAGAGAGGACTTTGAGACGGACTTGATGCGTGGAATCAACTGTGGCAAGCCCAAGACAGGCAAGGACAAGGACAAGAATGACCGCAGTTCTGACAGTCTGCTCGAAGGATATCCCAGGCCTGACACCCTTAAATACGGAAACGGAAAGCTGCTGAACGGACAATGGTGGCCGACTCAGCTCACTTGCTTGCGAGATGGGGCGCATGCGAGTACCCAAGCGGGCATTGCCGGCGGCAGCATTGACGAGGGGGAGGGTGCCTACTCCTGTATCATGTCCGGTGGACATGAGTATAATGATGACGAGGATCATGGAGAGTGGGTGCTTTACTGCGGCACGGACAGTAAAGACGGACAGACCACAGAGGCGACGAAGCGAATGATCAACAGTGTTGGCAAGAAGCCCGTACGCTTGATCCGCAGCCATAACCTCAACTCTCCATGGGCCCCGATCAAGGGCTTCAGATACGATGGTCTCTACGATGTGGTTGACAAGGAGCGGATCGATCCACCGGGACACGTTCGAGCTCGCCACCGATTCAAGCTTGTGAGGAGAGAAGGTCAAGATCCCATTCGGGGTGGAGATGGTCCAGAGAGGAGGCCGACTGCCCAGGAGGTTAAGGCCTATGAGAAAGACAAGCATCTGCGAGGCTTCTAGCTATCGAAGGCTTTGCTGATAGTGGGGTGGGTCTGGAGTGATGTGGATTGTGATGGAAATGTCTGGATGCCATGCGGCTGGTGCTACGTTTCCGCGGATAGAGAAAAGTCATGCGACGGAGACCACGATTCAAGGGAGGGCAAGGGGGTTGCGGGAAATGCTGTGTAACGAGTGTAGCTAATAAGACTATCACATGCTGAGCGGAAGCAGCACATAGCGAGGCACTGTCAGAACTCCCTCATATCAATTGACTGTCCAGATCGAAGATAGGCCAGAGGGCAGAGGACGAGGACCCCAAAAGCCTATTCCACGTGAGCATGAGGGAACCGACGTCTGGATATACCCAATGGATTATTGACGACATGGGTGACCTCAAGGTCAGGAGAGGCTTTGAACGAATTGGTGGTGTTAATCAAACTTTCAATGGACAAGGAAATTGATCGATGAATGTCGACACAGTGAAGGAAGGGGGCGCATCTGTGTGAAGACGACGAATTGTCTTCCATGATATGGAGAATATGCACTCCTTAGACGGGATGATCTGTGTTGAATTGGAGTCTTGGGTCGGGTTTGTGTTGGTTGAGTGTTCTGATTGACAGCGGTGGGAGCTGTTCAAAGTTGGGGGAAGCTCTGTTGAGGACGGGCCATCCCGCGCAACTCCTGTGCGCAAATTCGCTCGCACCAGCCTCCCATTTCATTAATCCACCATCATCACCCACCAACCCATCGCATCCCCAATATCACCAAAAGGTGGTCTCACAATACCGCGAGGATGAATTACCCACCACCGCCACCGCCTCATGGGCCCCCGCCGCCTGCGAACATGGCGCCGCCGCCGTATCCGCTGGAGAAAATCTCCGTCGTCGTGGACAAGAACAAGTTCATCGCGACGAGGAACGCCGTGAGTAGCTCTCCGCCCAAGCTTCCTTCCATCCACCACGCGCCCAGACGCGTCGCGAAATATCGCCGACGACATGCAAAAACACCTGACTGACCTCAACAGCTCACCAACGCATTCGTTGGCCTTAGCGGTGCCATCGACACCGCCGTCAAGGCCTATGTCGCACACACAAATGCCGTGCTCGAGGAGGGCAGCTCGCTCGACGTGGGCTATCTCATGCAGCCGCTCATGAACCTGAACAACGTCGCCCAGATCGCCCAGCAAGCAATCCTGCAGAACGGAAATGCCACGCCGAACCCACAGCTCAATCCGGATGGCACGAAGAAGAAGCGTCAGTACAAGCCTCGCGATCCGAATGCGCCGAAGCGTCCCTTGACGGCCTACTTCCGCTTCCTGCAAGAGCAGAGACCAAAGATCTCGGCGGAGATCAATGCACGAGGCCCCACCGCTGAGGGCGGAAAGGCAGGCGATATCTCCAAGCTTGCAACTGAGCGATGGAATGCCATGACTCCACAGCTTCAGGCTCCGTACCGTGCGGCATACCAGAACGAGATGAAGGCCTACAACGATGCCGTCAAGGTGTACAAGGCGGCCGGTGGTCAGGTCGAAGACGAAGACGCTGCCGCCGAAGATGACGATGAGATCACTGCCCCTCCACCACAGACAGTCGTGGCTGCTGCTGATCCAGAGGAGGAGGAGGAGGAGGACGACGACGACGACGACGACAGCTCGGACGATGATTCAAGCGAGGATGATGAGGACGAGGAAGAGGTTCCAGCCAAGCCAGCACCTGTGGTCAAGCCCAAGGCTGAGCCTGCTACTCCAGCCGCCGCGAAGAAGACTGCCAAGAGCGGACCGAAGAAGATCAAAGCAGGCGCTGATCCAGTTGAACCTGAGCCTACTCCAGCCTCTGCTCCAGCGAAGAAGCGCAAAGAACCCGCGACCGCGAGCGAGGACCAGGGTGGAAAGAAGAAGCGTGGCCGTCCAAACAAGGCAGATCAAGCTGCCGCTCCCGAACCCGTCGAAGAGACTCCTCAGGCTGAATCCACTCCTGCGACCGACAAGAAGAAAGACAAGAAGAAGAAGCGAAAGTCGGAAGGCGCGTAAGCTTGAGAGCAACGGAATGTCGAAGGGCGTTCCCCTTGAGAAGAAAGGCGTTCTGCTTGAAGAAGGGCGTTCTCCTTGAAGTCGGATTTGTGTTTTAGCCCTGCGTGGTTGCTGCTGCTTGTTTTGTTTCGAAGATTCCCATTGGCGCCGAGATACCTATGCGTCCTTCGCTTTGATTGTAATGGATGAACAAATGCAATGCTTACGTTGAATGTGCTACATCTTGCTAGCCCTGTATCACTTCCGTTGTGAGGATTGACATGGTTCTGCAGACGTCACCTCTTCAATAATCCACTCGCAACCCTAACTTTCTGTCAGCTACCGAGTTACTCACTGCGATGCATGTTCAGCTAACAGACTGCAGTAAGCGTTCCTTAGCGGGTGCTCATGTAGGTATATTATAACGTTCTCGGCGCTCGTTTTCTTGGCCATCATGCAGATGAATATTCTCGCGGTACCAACGATACCATGGCAGCTAATAAAGAGTTCAAGGTGTTGATCATTGGAGGCGGTGCGTACCTTGTGTATCTCACTGAAGTTCTGCCGGACGAGCTGACATCTTTCAGGCAATTGTGGACTGCTCATCGCCACTGGTCTGAAGAAACATGGCATTAATTACACGGTCTTCGAAAGAGACAACGAATACGACTTCGTCCACAAACCTCGCGATTGGGGTATGCAACATACTCAAGCCCTTTCGATCGCATTTCGCTGACGTCCAAAAGGCATGTTGCTTCACTGGGGTACAGAGTACTTGTACAAGCCGTTACCAACCCATCTTCAAGCTCGGTTCAAAGAGCCACGTGTGGATCCTTCCGTTGAGGTGTTTGACCCGATTCCGTATTTTCATGGTGCTTCGGGCGAGATTCTGAAAAGAGTGACTACTAAAGAAATCAATCGAGTCTCGAGGAAGAAGCTTCGGAAGTTTTTGTCAGAGGGGGAGGATTTGAATCTTGAGGTATTATTCTTCACGTTCAATGTCAGGTTGGGAGTTGTGGTGCTGATGAAAGTGCAGTTCAACAAGAGAGTTCAAGGCGTCGAGGTCAAGGACGATATAGTCAAAGTGACGTTCGAAGATGGCACGACCGCCACTGGAAACATGCTCATCGGCGCCGACGGTTCGAATTCCAAGGTCCGCGAGTTCCTGGTCGGTCACGACGCAGCTCAAGAAGAAGAGATCGGCCTCACCACGATCAACTTCCCCTGGGGCGGCTACACCGACGAACAAGCACGTTTCCTGACAAGCCACCACCCCATCGTCCAGCTGAGTTTCGCAGAGAACATGGGCTCCGCCCTCCTCGCCGTCCTAGACACCCCGGATTCAAAGGACTCCAAGGAGTGGAAGTTCCAGCACTACACGTCTTGGTGGGGACCGCCGTACGCGAAGGACTTGGAGGATCCTGCTGTGAGGACGAAGTTTTTCAAGGAACGGATGGCGAGGTGGTGTGAGCCTTTCCGGACGGCTGGCGTGGCTGTGAGCGATGATGCGGTGATTCCTATCTTTCCTGGACGGCAGTGGGCGCCGACGATGGAATGGGATAATTCTGGTGGGAAGGTGACTCTGGCTGGAGATGCTGCACATTCGATGCTTCCGCATCGTGGACAAGGGCTGAATAATGCCGTCAAGGACGCTTCAGATCTGGTCGATGCGATCCAAGCTGCTGCAACCGGATCCAAGTCCCTCAGCGAGGCTGTGACGGCATATGAGGCTGAGATGAAGCCGCGTGGTGCCAAGGAGGTAGCTCTGTCGCTCGAGCAGGCGAAGTCGTCTCGGAACGTCGAGACGTGGAAGGAGAGTGCTATGGCGAGGGTTGGACACAGTAGAGTGTAGACGTCTAATGTAGATCGGCGCCGAACATTGGGACTAGGGCAGACCATTCTCCGTTTTGGAGTTGGTGCAGGAGGAACATAGACCTTGCTTCATTGATAATGCACGTCTTCTCGTCTCGAGACGAAACAAGTCAGCCTCGCGAAGAGAAGCGAGGTCATAGTCAGCCTCACTCGTCTCTGCACGATACGTTGGCTAAGGCTGACTGTATGCTAACATCCCAATCAGCCTTGCTCACGTTGTTCACATGTTTTGTCTTGATTCGGGCAGAGAAGTTGGATTGACAGCACTTCGAGCAATTTTCGGAGCCGAGCTTTTCGTAAAGCAACTGGGTCAACGTGGTAGCTTCGCCCGTGGAGAAGAGCTCGTGGATTGAACTTACCTTCAATCCTACTAGCGAGAGCCTTCAAGGGCAGGCGGCTGATACAACCGCCGGCATCCGTCTCCGGTTATTCAATGAGCAAGCTGGATGGAATTCCTGGAGGAAGCGGACATAGGACATTGACACATATATAAGGACCCTCGACCGCATCCGTTGGGCTGCTCGTTACCCACTCTTTGAACGACTCGACACGCTGAAGCTTCTACCGAGGTTAACGGATCCGACCATGACAGACATCAGCAATCCTTCGACCTGGCCGTCATTCGCGACGATTAGTAAGGAATGGGACGAGGTGAGTTCGGAGGGTGTGCATTTTCTGCTGATGGGTGATGTCGAAGTCGAAGATCAATTCTTCAGAGGATAACGGCCGCGATTTCAAGAACATCCACTCACCTTGATGTTTCCAGGTTGTCAAAAGCCTCCCAAATGGAGCCCCAGATGTCGGCCAATTCCCGGACATCCCCTCACTGAGGAAGTTCATATCCGATGCGAAAGCCCAGGCAAATCTGTCGCCTACACCACCCGGCGTCAAAGAAGAAGAACGCCAAATCTCCATGAGAGATGGCCACAAGATCACGGTCAGAATCCACAGCCCCGAGAAGGCGCCTGCTGGGGGCAGTCCGTTGGCCGTCATGTATCACGGCGGAGGCTGGTGTATTGGAGGTCTGGACGATGAGCAGCCTCTCATTGGAAGACTGGTGACTGATTTTGGATTGACGGCTGTCAATGTCGATTATCGCATGGGGCCGGAGTTTACATATCCTGCGGCTCATGACGATTGCTATGATGCGACGAAATGGGTATGTTCAACGATTTTGTGGGTCTTTGTCTGACCCTCGCTGATCGACTCGTTCAAAGGCTGCAGAGAACGCCAGCGCCCTCGGCGCCGACCCATCCAAAGGCTTCATAATCGGCGGCACATCTGCTGGAGGAAACCTCGCAGCCGTAGTCTCCCACCAATGGCTCGATGACAAATTGACGCCCAAGATCACTGGGTGTCTCCTCAAGATCCCGGCTGTGCTCAATTCCTCCGCGTATCCTGAGAAGTATCGCAAGGACCTGCAGTCGTGGGACCAGCTCGAGTTCGCCGCGATCCTCTCCCGCAAGGCCTGCGATCTGCTCATGAATAACTACGTGCCCAATGAGGACGATCGGAAAGGCCCCCTGATGAGCCCGCTGTTGTGGAAGTCTGGGCACAAAGGCCTGCCGCCCCAGTACCTCCAGATCTGTGGCGCTGATCCTTTGAGGGATGAGGCGTTGGTTTATGACCGGGTGTTGAGGGAGGAGGGCGTTAAGACGCGGGTGGAGGTGTATCCTGGCGTGCCGCATGGCTTTTGGAGTCTGTTCCCGCAGATGAAAGCGAGCCAGAAGTTCATGGATGATTCTGTGAAGGCCTTTAAGTGGCTGCTGGAGCAGAAGTAGATCTCAGAGCCTGTCGTAGCTGTTGTGGTTGCGGATGTTGTTTCCAGGGGAACGATCCATCGTCAGGGATGGCGTGCCAAGCTTCACGGGCAGGCAAAGTTGAGTGAGTGTTCGGAGCTCGGAGAGCACAAACGTGTTTCGTGTGCTCGTTCAAGCCGTCGTCTACCCGCACATAGTCAGTCCGCTTCTTCAACCGTGCACTTCTGCGACATCAAACACCGACGTCAAACACCAACTTCTCATCGAAGTCTTCGTTGTTGTTGCTGTGCCAGCTCCGTTCGACCACGCCGATCTCTTCTTCTGCAAACGCCGCCATGTCGCAGCAATACACCACCACCTCTGAGGCTCGCGACATGAGAGCAGCACGTCGCGCTGCTGGTCACCCAGCTGCAACCACCACCACCACCACCACCACCACCACCCCTGAGGCCTCTACCATGAGAGTCACACGTCAAGGCCTTCGCGCCTCTCGCCGTTGTCCGGCAACCTTCACCGCCGCTGCGCAAGCAGCAACCACACCACCCATTTGCCATTTCAAGAAGCTGCCAGCAGAAATGCGCGACATGGTGTACGGCCTCGCTCTCGACTTGGTGTACGAAGATGCACAGATGCTGGCCAACCTGCCAATTCCGGTCATTGCTCAAGTTGACAAAGAGATCCGCAACGAGGTTCTCCCCATCCACTTCGCGAAGACGAACTTCTCGATCGCCGTCGGCACCAACAGCAACACACCAGGCAAAGACGCCAGACGTAAGTTGTGGTCCTCACCATCACGCCGTGCAATGTGCTAACGAAACCAGGCGTCTCCGGCACGATTGGCCTCAAGCGCGAGGTCCACGCCTCCTTGCGCGGCCCCCTTGGCGGATACACCGGCCTCCGCTCCCTCACCTTCCATATCTTCTCGAGCCATGACATCCGCCGCGCGCGCGAGAGACTTTCGCGCAACGACCCCGATGCGCTGGAGTTCCTCATCGCTAGTCTCCACATCACACTCGAGAAGGGCGAGATCGTCACGAAGCGGACCGAGGGAAACGACCACCCAAGCCTGCGCGAGGTGTCGAATCCGGGCAGGCTCATCGAATGCTTTGAGAGCGCTGACGATCTCGCTCGCGAGATTGGAGGAGTCGAGGGTTTTCAGGGTTTCGATGTGGACGATGGTAAGTGTGATGAACCGCACCGCTGTGTGAGGCCCTTGGCTAACACCGTCCCCCTTTTCTAGTCGATGACATCGCGAAGGAGTTTCGTGTCTTGAGCCCTCGTACCAAGGCGTCGAAGAATGGCAAGAGAGGTCTGAAGTAGCTGTATAGATGGGGAATGGAAGGGGAAGTGAAGGAGATGGGTTGATTACATTGCTTTCGTTCCGGGCGCGCAGCATTTCGAGAGCGCATGGGCTGCGACAGGCGTTTGGGGCTTTCTTTACATTGATGACTTTGCTTTATACCCTGGGAACTGTTTTCAGCGTTTGGATTACTTGCACACATGGAGAGAAGCACGGGACAGGGGATCAACACACGCTGTAGCTCAAATTAATGCTTTCACTAGAGCTTACTTGAAACACAGCGCTTGTTGAGCTTGTACATATCACGCGTGGTCGATAGGAGAAGGCCCGACGCCAATATCGATCGTGAAAGCGTACAACGGCTTCGTGACGTTGCTCTTCCCATTTCCAAAGGGCGTCCCTCGGTTGAGTTGTGCGGCAGGCATCCACAGCTTCGTGCCAGCAATCCACATGGCGTCGATCCAGAGCAGCCGTGGATCTTGGACCAAGACTGTCTTGGTTCCGTTCGGTGCAACCGTGATGATACGTTGGCTATCAGTGTCACTCACGTAGATGTTCCCATGAGCGTCGATGGCAGTTCCGCCCGTGGATGGTGTCAACGCGAATGGCTCCACGTACCCGGCCAGTTGCTCTCCAGCGAGCGAAGAGTTGTAGTACGCCTGATCTAGCCACTTCGTTTCGAGTCTGCTCATCCCTCCATTGGCTGGTTGGAAGTAGAACCATTTTGCATCGGGAGAAACCTCGAGCTGATCTGCGTAAACGTATTGGAAGCCTCCTGAGGCCGAGAGTAGGTATGTCCCTTCCGCTGAAACAGGTGTGGCTCCTTGAGTGCTGACATCGGTGTTTAGGACACGTCTGGAAATACCACTGGCCAGATCGAGCACTATAAGACCCGGCTCTCCAGCGTCTGTGAGATATGCTAGGCCAGTCTTCGGATTGAAGCGTACATCGTCCAGCAGACTGTTCGAGAAAGTGGAGTTTCCCATATGGTATATACGCGAGACTTCGTTCGTATTTGGGTCAACTTGTACCAGCTTTGGGCCGAGCGGAAGTATGACAGGTTCGCCGAAAGCAGGAGAGCCAACATCGACCAAATAGAGCTTCCCATCTGGACCGACCCTCTGCGAGTTTATGCGCACAAGATGCGTTGCTGGATCCTTACCCTCCGAGTACGAGTTCCATTCCTCGTTGGGGTAAGGTGTCATAGTCTTGGATGTAGTATTGTACTCGACGACTTGGGCTCCTTTTGAGCCATCGACTCGAGCGAGTACAAGGAATAAACGTCCATCTGGCGTGGTACTGACTCCATTCGTGGGAACATCCAGTGTCAAAGCCGTTTCAATGCGTGGGTCCCGAGGTCCAGTATATATCTGTCCATCTGCATGGGCCGCAAGGAAGGCTAGAAACGTTGTCAAAGTGGACAACCTCATTTTGAATGGTGCTCATATATTGAGGCTTTAGAGATATGAGGCTCTGATGCTACATATATATGTTCTGCGGCAGATTCAAAGGCCGGTCGCACATCGATTAAACCTTACCTTCTTTCTGGTACCATTTTGCCCATCAATGACGTTTTGCAGTTTTGAGAGGGGGTTCTGCGTAGATCGCTGCGGGTAAATCATATCCGACTTCCACGTTCCGATGTGCACAGACGCTGTACGCCATGTATGGCATGTTGTGGTTGAGCATGGACGAGAGTGAATGTTGATATGAGCAAGTGAAAGAGACATCGAGTCGCCGAGAATATCATCGTGTCCGGTCAAGTCACGTGCAACCGTTCCCTAGCGCTGAGCTCGGCTGCACTACCGAAAGTCAAAGGTCGCGTCACCTCACCTCCTTCGTCTCGACTTCAACACCGCCTCTTTTTCAGACAACGACAGCACCAACTCGTGCGGGAAATGAGACGCAACAATGTCGACCTTCGACGGGATCGTAGCAGAGTTCCCTGATATCCGGATCGACCATTTTCGCAAGACGCCGTCCACCAAACCCGCCCACGCCTACTTTCTCAGCCATGTTCACTCAGATCATCTCATCGGTCTCGACTCGTGCAAGTCGCCTTTCATCTACTGCTCTCCAGCCACTCGTGAAATTCTGCTGCGTTTGGAGAAGTATCCTGTGAGCAACATGAATGAGTCTACCGTCGACATGAGCTGATTGTCCCTAGCATCGGATGAATTTCTCCAAAGGTATACTCGAAAGGCGCGTGCAAACCTACAAGCATTTGAGAAAGCTTTTGAAGCCCATTCCCCTGGAGACCCCGACTGTGCTTGAGCTTGTACCCGGACGAAAGATCAGGGTCACATTGTTCGACGCAAACCATTGTGTCGGCGCTGTCATGTTTCTGATAGAGGATGAGAGCAAAGCCGTCCTATACACGGGCGACATTCGTTCCGAAGCTTGGTGGGTCGATTCACTATTACGGAACCCTATTCTTCTTCCCTACGTTGCGTCGAGCGATCAGCCGCCGCTGAAACAGCTCGACAACGTGTATCTGGACACGACATTTGCATCAAAGCTTGACCCCTACGTTCAGTTTCCCTCCACAGCGAGCGGTACCATGGAACTTTTACGGCATGTGTCTAAATATCCTCCAGACACCTTGTTCTATGTCGATGCATGGACGTTCGGATACGAGGAAGTTTGGCAAGCTCTTTCTACCTTTCTCCAGTCGCAGATCCACGTCGACGACTACCGCTATGCCTTGTACACTTCCCTGCTGTACAACAAGGAATCTCGCGCTCCAGAAGCCTTCAAGCTGATTGGAGCGAATTGCGGTAACCACTTCCAAAAGGGATGTCTCAGCAGAGAGCAATGCCGGATTCACAGCTGCGAGAAAGGCACTGGGTGCAGTATTTGGAACAAACGTGAGTGAGACGTGAACTAATCTTTTCAAATGGCACTAACAGATCCAGGATTCGTGCGTATCACGCCAATCATTTCACGATACAATGGTAAGTGCCATTGAACTTCTAGAAAGGGAGACATCCCCGAAGGATACCTTCATCTTATTTTCTTTGGTCTCGCGATGTTACTGGCCAGGTTGTGGTCTAACATCGGCTCTACAAAACCTCGTCGCGGACTTCCTTTTCGTACATGTCGTGCTAAAATCCAACAGGACAAGATATGTGTGAGGCCGGAGCTGGGGGAGGACACGGCGATCTCAATCAACAAAACGAGCTGGAAATCGATGACCTCGGCATGTTCGCCGACTTGATGGAGCTGTGTTCCGCCAAGCTCAAATGCCAACCGCAGCTTCTTGCGAGCGTGAGGAAGATGCTCACAGATGCCATGGGCGATGCTCGACAGAAGATTTCTCTAGATGGCACAGAGTTCGGGGCGGATCAGAACGGCTACTCACAACAAGATCAAGACGATACAGACATGGATGACATACCTCTGGACAAGCTTGTCCCAGCCCTCGCCAAAGCGGCCGCAAAGATTAAGCAGAGTATGGCACCAGCAAAAAGGCTCAGTGGCACGGATCCCGCGTCAGAGCTACCCAGCAGGATCACCTTCCCATATTCACGGCACTCATCGTACAGTGAACTCTGTATGTTGATCGAAGCATTCAAACCCAAGGACATATATCCATGTACCGTCGATCACAAGGGCTGGAATTCGAAGCAGTCAATGGAATACCTCTTTGGTCATATCTACGGCGCTCGGCCGCCCACTTTCAGCCACGACCAGCTGATGCTGCAGCACTACAACGATAGAATCGACGACGTAGCACACCCCAAACCCGACGAAAGTCGCTTTGATCAAGACACTCAAGACTACGAGGAAGCTAGTCCTCGCGAAGAGCCTCCCAAGTCTTCTCGAAATCCTTCGACTCGACCTGGTTCCCGTCGACGGACGAGCGAAGAGGAGAATGATGAGGTCACCGCCAAACGCCGGAAAGTCGAAGCCCAGGGTGACTTCTGGCCTCCACTAGACATCGACCACTACTCGCCGCCACGAAATGGTTCCAACAGCAGACGGCCATCTACGGCACACTCACGACGCAGCGCCGATCACGCTAGCAGACCATCGACACGACAGAGTCAAGATCGGCGTGAAGAGAAAAGAGCGGATCAATCTCCAATTGCTGATGACAAGCCTGTATCTCCGACACGACAGATCAACGAATGGCAGACACGAATGACTGACTCCCATCGCCAAAAGTCACTGGCATTCAAGCAAGCATCACAAGGTGCGCGGGCAACTGCGAGTAGTAGCAGAGGTGGACGGAATGAATACTACGGGCGTCTCTCACGGGACAATAGCACGACACCAGAGCTTGTCGACTCCCCAGAAGAGGATTATGAAGTACTGGACGAGGAAGAGCTCAGACTTGCTATTCAGCAGGAAGCGTACAATGCAGCGCTGGGGAAGGGACTGGACTGGTCTGAGATTGGGCTGGTGAGTGTCAGTGGGCATCAAAAGATAGAAGAAGAGCTATGATAGTCGTATGACTGTCTCTGAATTGAGCATGAGCTATGTCTTGAGCTTCGTTTCTGCGTGATCGTGGGATGTGCCCCGTCTTTCTATAAACTGAGGCCACTCCACGGGCCCTCTGCGTTCGCGGATGCTAAGCGTACCTCGGTGTTTGGCAGGCAACAGGCAAGCCATGAGGTGATCCACCTTGCTCTTCTTGGTGATTGTTCATATGTCAACGGTGTCCTTCCTACTTCACCGCTTCAATCGGCCGAACATGCCACCGCTGCCTGAGCTCTTCTTCCGCCCACCCCCAGCCGTCCGACCAGGCTCATCCACGTCCATCATATCATCATCGTCGTCATCATCTGCCTGCTCTCTCTTCGTAGCCCCTCTCGAGCCCAACCCGGTCCTGCCCCCCGCCAGCGCTCCTCCGGCAGCAGCGCTAGACTTTCCATCATCCGTCACAGCCCTGATCTGCTTGTCTGCCCTGTACTCTCGCTTCGCACGCCTCTCAGCCTCGCTCTTGACTTTCTTGATCTCCGCCTCCAGGTCTGAGAGCACGGAATCGCAGCGTCCGCTCCAGGCGTTGAGCTCGGCGATCATCGCCTGTACGCTTCCTGGAGCAGGGTCGCGTAGTGGTGCGACGGATGTAATGATTACAGTTTGGGAGGCGGGATTGAGAGTCCCGGTTATGAGGTCGTTGTAGATTGCTTGCGTGATGAGATGTTCGAGGTCGATCGGAGATTCGAGGTTGAGGCGGGAGCAGAGGGAGGCATAGCTGAGGTTCGAGGAGGCGGTCTTCTCTGAGGCGATGGTGAGGAGGGAGAGGAAGCGGAGTTTGAGGGCTTGGGCGTCGCTTAGTTGGGGGAGACCGCTGGTCGCTGGATATACGTTAGCAAGTGGGTTGGTGGGGTTGGTGGAATGGATGACTGACATTTGTAGCTCTCCCACGTGCCCCAGGCAAAGATCTGAAGGAGGGTGTGGAAGTTGCCATATTGCTCGTGTCCGGCGAGTGCTTGGACGTTCGGCTGTTGCAGGAGTTCCGAGAAGACGTATGTGTTTGCTGCTGAGGTTGCCTGTGTGACGAGATCGGCGGCGGCACGAGGTGAGTTGGCGGATTTGGCGAGGGCGATGAAGGGTGCGAGGGCGTTGATCGCTCGAGATTGGTCCATGGTTGGTTGCGTGTGGTTGTTGAGTGGGTGTTGCTTGGTGTTGGATGCTGGACTTTGAAGTGACGACGAAGCGACCCTCAGGCAGCTCGACGATAGAGTTAAAGCTTATCTCACTGGCGTAGAGGCCTGTGCTTACGGGCCGCTTCCACCTTCGCATGTGCCATCGACCTCACTCCATCGACATTGAGTCTTCGACCATCGCGACAGCGTCAAGCCGGCCATGTTCATCAACAATACGAGCCGGGTAATACTGGCACAGTGCTTTCGAAAGCCTTTTCCTCGTCCGAGCTGATCTGATTCGAGAACGTTGACATAGCGGATGGGACGACATGTGACCGTCGAAGGCAACCGAATACTTGATGACACGATGTCGACTGTGGCCTTCAGATGCGGGAAGCATTGATCCTCGACGTTCTGGACTGCTCGGGTGAGCACTGTGGTTGTGCCGATACAAGGCCTCCGCTCGACCTGGTACGATGCTCAACACCAGAGCTTCTCAGAGTGCGTTGCCTAGAGTAGCACGATTGGCTACTTGTCACCTCTGCACGACTAAATCTGCCGGATATACCAGATTGGTGCTGGTACTGTGAGCACAAAAGCAAAGCTTTGCTGCGCCCACAAGATATGACATGTATGTCACACCTCGAATTGGTATGCGTTCTTTAAAGCTTCATTTCTTTCAAGTACTGCCTTCTCCACCCTCAATCAATTCACTATGGCTCCAGTGGTGTCAGATAGCCATGCTGTCACCGTGACTTACACAACAACCTATGTCACTATAGCTTGTACCCCATCCTCTTCAACCTTCGGCTGTGCAACATATTCAACGTCCATCCAATCCTCTGAGCAAGGGGATGCGACAATAGCATTATACATGCAAGCCACGAGGAGTACGATTACTGACGGCGCTATTGGATTTGGGCCTCTTGAGATGGCCTGGCGGACAACACCGTACGTTGCTTCATGTCTTTGTATCTGTAGATGGCTGACTCGAGTAAGCCTAGCAACATTCGCCAGCTGGTTCACCGCCGCCCTTGTCGCGAAGCCTTCTGGCTTTGACGGCTCCTGGGAGAGCACCCTCGTCACAGCACTGCCTACGTAAGACGTTACCCCAAGTTGGATAGCGCAAATGCCCTCGGATGTCAAGGCCTACTATGCCTCTGTCTCCTTGCCCATGTATACGACTTCAGTGGTGTACTATCAATACTACGAATTCGTTCTTACACTACCTCATCCGTCCGGGACATCCGTTCTTGTGGGCGCCGGTGCGACATCGGCGAGCGATTTCAACAGCACGCAAGCTGGCTCGACATTGACCCCAATGAACTCTTTCAGTACCACGAGCCCATGGCCGACATCAACATCTGTCGTGAGCCTAAGCGACGAAACAGGTAGACCCGCGGCTCCAATCGTGACTCCAGGGCAGACTGCAGCTATCTCAGTGTCCGTCGTCATCGTTCTGTTCGCCATGATATGTGGGCTTATTGTTTATTACAAGAGGATCCGTCCAGCTCGCGACAGGGCTCTGCTGGAAATCAGTCAAGCCCAAGGACAGCCGTCAACCGATCGCGATACGAAAAGCCCTCACTTGCTCGAGCCTGCCACACTACATGCAACTGTGGGCCATCGGAGTGAGAAGTCTGGTGCGTTCACTTCTTCTCCTGGTGGACTGCTCCGGCCGACGCCGTCCCAACTACCAGAGTTGGACAGTATCTCCCGGGCCGCAACAAGTGGAAGAAGTCCGATGCACCATCATAGTGTTGAGCTCGAAGGCTCTCCTGCATCCAAGCTTGGCACTGGCGAGTTCGTGATCGATGCCGGAGTACAGTTGCCTTCCCAAGCTACCGTTAGCAACAGATAACATTGGCTTTGTCGCCAAAATAATCACACAAGTCTCTACTTACGGCTGTATCTTCGGCCACACCTTCAGTACGCGTTGCCTTTGCAGTACTACTGGTTACACTGAGGCCGCTTTTTCGCAGACACAACGAGATCGTTGCCACATTGAGCTATTTCTCCGACAATATGAACGCGGTCAATACCACGACATCTGCGCACACTACATTGAGTACTAACTGGCAAGCTGCTGTGGTTTGATGCTCTGCAGATGCGGACCAATACACTGCACTGTACTGCGCCATCAAAACAAGAACACGAAGTCGCACACGCCGGGTCTTTGCATGGCTAGTCGCCAGCGACCATGCAAGCTCACGGTCTGTGGTCTGCCGCCCCTCCCACGCTCCTGCCACGCTTTGATCGAAAGTCATAAGACTGACTGTTCAAGTATCACTCTTCAGTCATCGAGTTGGTGCAAGGCCATGGCTTCATCGAGTTCATCTTTCAAGTTGTGTGGCCCTCCGCTTTGCAATGCTGTTGAGGGCGGTGTTCAGGTACCAACTACGACCGAAACGAGCACAACTCACGGCTCGACGACAACATATTCCGGAAAGTCGGTTCCAGGCCATATTATCTTCACCATACCCACTCTCAAAACCACATCCACCACGGAAGGTACGGCACTAGCATCAACTTCTACACCAAGTCCAACGCCGACCGATAATGTGCCGTACTTTACATACTACGTCTACGAGGAGCCAGTCTTCTCCGCTGACATTCTCGAATCATGGACATCCACCGCGATTCCGTGAGCGACTCAGTTGTACTGCAGATCCACGTTCTCAACTAACCATTGCCCTCCAGAGCAAGCGTCTACGACAACTGCGTGGAGGCAAAGAACACAGCAATGCCCACGACTGCGAGGGAACTATACGGCAGCAAGCAGAACAAGTCTTCAGAGGTGACCAACCAGACTGGCTTAGAAATATGGCTGGAGATCGGAAAAGTGTCTTTGTCTCGTTCTGGTTGCCGCAATGGATGCCCTCTGTTAAGGTCGATGAACATTCGGTACCGGCCACAGAGCAACAGGCTATATTTCCGACGGACTCACAATCCCATATGCTGGGTCTTGATGAGACGGTTGTCTCATCGACCTCTTCGCTGAGCCCTTCGTCGACCCCTGAGGCTACGGCAAAGGAGAAGACGGTTCCTCAGAAAGTCGCAGTTGGGGTTTCGGTTCCGTTCGCGGCTGTTTTGCTCTTCATCCTCATCTGGCTCATCATCAGACTAAGATCTCGACGCCAGAAGCACCAACAAGACGAAGAGCAGTCGCCATCACCATCAACGAAGAACAGAAAGCACAAGCGCGACTACAACACAAAGCCCCTCTACCCTCACAAACCCCTGACCGGCCTTTCAGAAACGAGCTTCACCACCGACCCACAACCAAGCTACGGCGCGATCCTGAAGCAACGAGCCCTGGACAAGAACGAAGAAAACCCAATCCCTGTACGAAACCTGCCAGAACTTCCGGGTAGTCCAACAGAGGAGACTGAACTCCTCCCAGCTATCTCAAGCGACGACGATGACTTCGGCACGCATTTCAGTGGACTCGAGGATCCCTTCTCGGATCCTCGACCCGCTGATTTCGCGGAAATACCGAGTCCTGTCCCAGAGTCTGGGATACGAAGGGCAATGACACCAGGCGTATCTCCCTCGTCCTATCCATTGAGAGATCGTCTAAGCCACGAGTCAAAACGACGAAGACACGCCATCGAAACGGTTCGACGGCAAACTTCATCCGGCTCAGGGAGTTGGCGGGGGAGTGTAGGAGAAGAGGAACTGAGGAAGATGCGCAAGGCGTTTGAGTTGGAGGGAGAGGAGGTGGGTGCGAGGAAGTTGAGGGGTAGTCGGAGTTTTGACGATGTTGTTGCTGCTGGTGGGAAGGATAAGGATGATGGTCGTCGTCGTAGAGTGGGATGTTTCAGGCCCTCGGGACGCCAGATGTTGGATAGGGATGTCGAGGGAGAGATTGTGAAGGCTATGACGGTGATTATGGATGGGTTGGAGGGGGAGTTGGGTTATGGGAGGGATGGTTGATCTAGGTACCGTATGGCTAATGACTCCTGCATCTTCCACTGAAGCATCGGTATCTCCCGGCTCACTCTGCCGTTTCTCTCTGCTTCTCTCTTCACCTTATCACTTGAATCCTCTTAGAGTAACACCAAGGCAACATGATTTGCCCAGTACACCCAATCCGTACAACCCCAGACCAAGGCTCTGAGACAAGGATACGCAGTTCCGTACGACGCTTTTGCAACGTTAGGCGAAGCGCAGCAGGGTGAGTCCTGTGTCATCGTTGCTGTTGCTGTTGCTGTAATGCCGAGGATCCTTGAGGGGTTGTGCGGACCGGGAAGGTGAAAGATGGGGGAGAGACTCTACAATTCGTCAACCCATCGAGACAAGATATACCACGGCGATTGCGAACCAAATGCTACTCTCAAACTCGAATCCAGACGTGACGACCCCTGTGCAAATGGCTGGAGACTTGCCCTTTCTTTACGATACCTCTACCCTGGACAACCACGGATCGCCCTCCTCCATCGCCAGAATGGTCCCATCTACAACAAGCATTCACTATTCCTACGCACCATCAACGACCGCCTCCAAACCGACAGTAAAGTACGGCTGGCCTATAAGCGCACACCCTTCCAGCACTCACGCAACACACTCGCCAACATGGTCCCCACGCTCTACGACGACCGAAGCACTCATTCGAACTTCAGCTTCAGCAGCACCAAAGGCGGAGGAGCGGTCAACGATGTCGCCGCTGTTCATCGCGATTGTCGTCCTGGGCGTGGTGATTGCGGTTGTGATTGTGGTGCTTGTATGGTTGACGTGGTCGCGGCGACGGAGGCAAGGGGTGGGGAAGGGTGGGGAGAGGGAGGTTGAGGAAGAAGCGGAGAAGCCGGTGGTGCGAGAGCCGGAGTTGAGCTGGGCGACGGGACCGACTTTGATCAATCAGGGAGAGAGGGATTCGCATTGGAGTGCTGGGACGCTGGTCGCGTTGAATGAGAGTAGTCAACGAGGTCAGGTTGGTCAGGGAGTTGCGAGAGGAAGGTCGCCGGCTGCACCCCCCATTCCACCGCGAGCGGTCAATAGGAGACCGGTGCCAGAACCTGGTCGGGACCGCGAACTTCCATCGACGCCAGCGCCTTTCACACCTCTGATGACGCCGGTGTCGCCTATCAAACCTCAGAGGCGAAGGCCTGAGGTGATTGATGAAGATGAGATTTTGCCTGTCGTCGACCACGAATCGTATCGACCATCGCCCGTGTCGCCATTGGAAAGTGACAGCTTCACAAGGAGTCGGTCTGTGAGGTGAGGAGCTTCGGTCTAGGAGGCATGCAATCGAGGGGTATGGTGCGAATGACTGACCTTTGAGGGACTGATTGGGAGAAGACAGGGCTTTGCGATCAAGCTTGAAGTATCTCACAGACTGCTATGAGCTGTTGTTCGGACACAGCAATGCTTCTTTGGGCAGATAGCTTGGAGACAGAGAGACTTTGTGTATTTCGTTGTACTTGCCGCAGTCGTTCGCCTGTACGATACCATCTGGACGGAATTGGCAGACATTGGGGCCGCGAATCGTGGTACCTGTGACACTGTAGCAAACAATATGAACAACGGCCGTGTGCAGAATGTAGTGCGGCACGTCATGCGCAGATGCATTGAGGTTTAGCAGGTACGAAGACACAGCATCGTGGCCGTGCTGATCACTCCAAGGAAAGCTCATGCTCGTATACTTCAACAGCGTGTCGTCCAAGTAACGTTCCTTCACCACAGCCTTCACGACTTGGATCCCTTGAGAATGTCAGTAGTCGATCAATCGGTGTCTCTTGGCGTCAAGATTGCCATCCCATTGTTGATGGGACTTCTCGTTCTGTTCATGCTGGTCTTCGTTTTCTGGGATCGGTTGGAAAGATTCTGCCCATGCATTCGACGCAACCAAGGCCATGATTACAACGCACCACCGACAGGTCAATACGATTCTCTCAAAAGATGGTCGAACACGTCTTGGACAACGTCCGTAGCGGGACAATCTCGCAGACAGCCCAACAGCCAGGACACCCTATCCTTAGCAGAGATCGGAGAGCAAGCAACAAACCTATCGCCGCCTGTCAAAGCTGCTGACGCTGCGGTTGAAGCGCCTACTGCTCTGCACTGGCACACCAGGCAGCAAAATAGGACTGCACTGAACAATACCGCCCTCCGCACCTTGCGCAAAGCTGCAAACCGGGAAATGGTGAGGTCCGAGCAGGCCGATGAATGGCCGCAAGCAGAGGGAGCCCGGTCGCCCAAGCGCGATGTGGGAGGATTCGCGTGAGGTCGGTATCGGAGACGAGACTGATGACGCGACGCGATCTGCTGTTCGCGTTTCAGAGTGCCGTGCGAGAGGGAGATGTTGGGAGTGAGGATGGAGGCGATCAGCCCAGCGACGCAGGACGAGGTGCAGCTGATATAGGTGCGAGAAGACGTTGCGTTTCATCGACGCTGCAGGTTTGGTGCAGAGCTGGTGGTCGCGGAGGACGTGACGTGACGTCCGGTACGCGACGGGCAGAGGTCTTGTTCGCGGTTGAGAGTTGGGCCCCGCATGCATGGGTCATCCTGGTCGATGAAGTGTCACGTTCGGGCAGCTCGGTGGATCCGGATGTGGAAAGAACGTTTCAGAAATTAGTCTTTCGCGGTCCGCTCCTGCAAGTTATGACTCGCATGATCAGGACGTCGGGCACTAGGGCATGGCAGCAGTGCAGCAGCAGGCTTGGCGGCGTGGTGAGATGGGATGAGGTACTGTTCGCAGGTAGATATGATGAAAGACGCAAAATGGACGATCGCTGCAAGAGGCAAGCGCATCGTCCATTGGGCAGGAAGGCGATGCTGCTAGCGATGGGTTCGGCGTCGGCTACGTTGGAATGTCTAAGATGAGATGTGACGGGAGTGGGGACGGTGGTAGAGTTGGGGCTAGACGAACAACGTGTTCGGCGACTCGTTGCTCGGCGCGGGAGTCGCGATGCGCAGATACAGCAGCAGAGGTGTTGACGAGGCGGCGCAGGTGCTGCAGGTGTCAAAACAATGGGCGGTTGATCGCAGGCCGATCATATAGCAGCAGCCTCGTCATGACGGTCGGGGTGGGAGAGGTAAGTTTGGCGTGGGCGACACCAGAATAGCGACGCAGGCCGGCGGTACAAAGAGCGGATGGCATCGTCGGTGCGCGCTCAGGAAATTGGAGATCGAGCAGGACGGCGGCCAAAGCGGCACTCCAGCCACACATTATCGCAGAGCCCGCCGCTAGCGGGCGGTCATCGTCGTTCGTCGAGTCTGCTGGCCAGAGTCCAATGCTGCCATCCTCTCTCTCTTGCGTTGATACACCATCCTCGCCGCCATTCCTCCTGTTCTTGGTGCAGACCGGCCTCCCTCGTCGCACCGCAGCTCGAGGCCTCCGTGTCGCCGCATCGCTCGTCGCTCGTGCTCGTCATATTGCGGTGGATCCCATTGGGCGCGGCTGCTCGACTCGCTTGCCTGCCGCCGCTGCTGCGCGCTGCTTCCTGCGACGGCGTGTGCGAGGATCGACGGACGGCAACGACCGCGACAACAAAACACCACACCTCACAAAGAACACGGCCACGAGGACCTCTGCCTCCCTCCCTCCCGCCACGCGACGACCTGCGACTGCCACGCCGACCCGTGTGCGAGCAGCAGGCGTGCATTCACAGGTGCGACCCAATCGCCCACAGCAGCTCTACTGAGGTTGGAGGTGAACTGCTGCACTCACTGCACTGAGCTTGCTCTCGACCCTGCTCCACCCACCGCTCCGCGCTCCAGCACCACAATCCGGGTCGGCACCTAGCGTACCGCCGCCAGCGACACCACCACCCATTCGAGTCCCGCGGCGCATCTGCAGGGAGACGACGCATAGACACGCTATCCAGCAATCACACATCTCGCAATACCATACATACACGCGGGACTCGCCTCGCGCCTGCCCGCGCACACGCACTATCACTCCGTCCTGAGCACCGCGCTGGCAACACATCCACACACACAGCCTGCTGCATCCAACTCGCACCGCCCGGCCATGTCGTCGGCTGCCGTGCAGCAGTCGAGCTCGCCTCCACAGCAGCAGTACGCCGCAACCAGCCAGCACGATCGCTACGGAACAAACCCCGCCGCCCAGCTGGCCTCATCGCCGCCTTCATCACGGCGGGCTGCAGCACCGCAGAACAATGCCTCGCTTCCGAACACGCCGCAACACCCCCAGTTCGCGTCGACCACTTCGCCCCGCAGCCAGCCAAACGCAACGTCGCCGAGCATGAACTCGTCGACGTATGCCCCGTTCTATCCAGACCCGGCAGGTTCGTCGTCAGTTCCAGCACGGCCGGCGTCACAGCAAACACCCACTCATTCTGCATATGATAATCGTGGATACACATCGCGGCCGTCACAATCACGAGGGCAGTCAGGGCACGGCAATGACAGTGACAGCGAGCGTCAACGAAATCAGCGATCCCCAAGGGAAGATGGACGCAGTCGACGCAACGTACCTACGACGAGTAGATCGGCAACTGCTGTGGGCCAGCCACCCATGAATACTGACCTTCCGCGAGAGAACAGTGCCGTTATCAACCGCATAGTAGTGGACGATCCACAGGCAGATCTGGCTCGCGAAGAAGCTCGAAAGGCGGAAGCTCGACCACACGATGCAGCGGCACAGATGGCGGCACTGAACCTGCAAGATGCTGCTGAAGCTGCACCTGTCCAGAGAAGCAGGCAAGAGCATCTCAAGCACTCTTCATCTGCTAGGAAGGAGGTGAAGTTTGGAGACTACATCTTGGGCCAGACGATTGGAGAAGGAGAGTTTGGCAAGGTCAAGATGGGCTGGAAGAAGGACTCTACGGTGCAAGTCGCCATCAAGCTGATCCGGAAAGAGAGCCTGGCGGGCAACACGACTCGACTTCCTAAGATCTACCGAGAGATCGCTATTCTTCGCGAACTGCAACACCCGAACATCGTACGCCTGCACGAATTCGTCGAGACCGAACGTCACATGGGTATTATATTGGAATACGCATCAGGGGGTGAGCTTTTTGACTACATCCTCAATCACAGATATTTGAAGGATCCTGCGGCGAGGCGGTTGTTTGCCCAGCTCGTGTCTGGTGTGGGCTATCTTCATAAGAAGGGCATTGTGCATCGTGACTTGAAGCTGGAGAATCTGCTCCTTGACCGGAACAAGCATATCATCATCACTGACTTCGGATTCGCCAACACATTCAACCCTGAAGATGAGCTGGGTGAAGAGCTGGAGAATCGAATCACAGACAAAGACTTCGTGAAGCGGGAAGGACTGGACAAGATCATTCCTCACCGGGATGGCAGAGATGGCGGCCACAGACGAGGAGATCTGATGCAGACCTCGTGCGGCAGTCCATGCTATGCAGCCCCTGAGCTTGTCGTTAGTGACGGTCTCTACACTGGCCGTAAGGTCGATGTTTGGAGTTGCGGTGTAATCTTGGTAAGAACCTGTCACATCTTGAGTTTGGCCAAGCTAACGTGGAACAGTATGCTATGCTTGCTGGATATCTGCCATTCGACGACGACCCCGCTAACCCAGAGGGTGACAACATCAACCTCCTCTACAAATACATCGTCAGCACCCCTCTGACGTTCCCCGAATATGTCACACCCCATGCCCGCGATTTGTTGCGAAGAATACTCGTACCCGACCCGCGAAGAAGAGCAGACTTGTTCGAGGTTGCACGGCATAGCTGGTTGAGCGAATACACGCATGTGGTGGGATTCATCGGAAGCAGAGTTAAGAGCGATAAGGACATTGTTGCTACTGCCTTGTCAGGTGAAGAGGAACCACAACTCGGCAGAAGTGCTTCTGTTCGGGAGCCGACCAAGATACCAGGAGCAGACAGGTCATCGATGCAACAGGTGCCGAAACACGCTCCTGCAGCGAGTATGGGAGGTGATGAGGCCAGTGATGTTCGGAATAAGCAGCAACGAGATGCTAAGAGACGGACTGTACAAGTCGAGTACGTTGCACCATCTGCTCAGACTGCTCGTGGGGAGCGAAGTCCAGATGCGTCAGCCGGGCCAAAGCAGATTCCAATGTCTGCAGGCTCAAGCGCGGGCAGGACAAGGGCGAGAGCAGAAGGATCTGGCCCAGTCGAAGTCACACCCTCATCGAGGCCAGACTCGTCAATGGCGCCACCCCCGTCTCGACCAGGCAGAGACCAGTTCAGAGCTGCTTCAGACTCGGCACATGCGTTTGGCACATCGGCTGGAACATCTGCCTCGAGACCAAACACGAGCGGGACCTTTGGAGGCAACTCTCGACTGCCGTCCCGTGGTAACTCATACAGCCAGCCAGCCGCTGCCCAGCCAACCAACACCAACGCGCAAGGCTCATTCTCGCAACCAAAGTCTAGCTCTGGATACATCATTGCCGGTCAAATGTCGTCTGAGCCTGGTGCTGTCGATGCGAGCGGGCGTCCAATGTCTGAGCAGAATCGGAGTGGCGGTCAACACCCTCAACAACCCTACCCACAGGGCAAGCCGCCTGGTCACCGCAGAAGTAGCACGCTCGGCAGTATTGTGGACAAGGCACTGAACCGCAGCAACTCCAAGCGTCAATCACAACAAGACAATGCACCTACACCAAACGAGAAGAGAGACCGTCGATACCCACCAGTCAGCATGAAGAACGCCCTTCCATCAGGCGGTGACGAGAATGCACCACGGCCTTCGTCAGACAGCCGACGGCCCAGTTTTGGGTTCAGTCGCAAGGCGTCCAAGGAGCGCGACTCCAGCGTGCAAGGACGCCGAGGATCTAGACGATTCTCGTGGTTACCGGCCAGCTTCAGTATGGGCAGTTTCTCTGGCAAGAAGGATCAGGGTTATGAATCTGGTGACGACGGCTATCGACCGCCCAGGGATCCTTACCAACAACCGCCGATGTCGCAACAATCGCAGCAGTCACGCATGGGCAGCAGACCTCAGAGCAAAGGCATGGCGTTTGGCCGTGGCACATCTGAGAATGCCAGCGACGAGACTACCGGTAGCACCATCCCGCTGTACTACGAGGCTGATCGAGAGCGGGCCCGTGAGCAACGTCGACAACAGTCTCAGTACGACAAGGCCTTGCCACCATCTCCTGGCGGCGACCAAGCTCTCGGTAGCGCGCAGCGACCTGCACAAGGTCAATATAGCCCGCCTTCAGTGCAACGTAGGCAGTTCAGGGATGACGGCTATGGCTCGAACCGTCTAGACAGCGCAGGCCAGCCGCAGCAGGACCCTGTCGAGCGGTTCTACACCCCAAGCCAAGAGCCTGAGCTGGCGGCATCATCTTCCGGACAGTACAATCTCGGCGATCACGGTCAATGGGAGCAGTATGACCAGCCACAAGGCCAGCTTCGACCGCAACAGAGGAAGTTCGGTTATGAAGATCGAGGCCATGCTGGCAGTTCGAGCGCGACACGACGGGTGATGAACTTCTTCAGAAGACGTGCCGACAGGAGCGATGCCTAGGAGCTGCCCCTTGTCGGCAAGATCAACAGTCGCAAGCGAGCATCTGACAGTGCACTCATAACGGGAGGGCGGCAGCAGCAGCAGTAAGATACGACGTGGCTTATACATTAGACGAGCATTGCAGGATGAAACCAAACCACCCGACCACAGAGTGGCGGGGTGAAAAAGAAGAAAGATGGCAGTGGGAAAGGCGATGGGCAGCGATTACAATTCAGGGTCGAAGGACGGGTTTCTTCACTTCTCACGCAGGTAATGGGTGGACGACGACGGCGAGATTCTTCGGACGCCTTCTTTTTCATTCTTGCTATGGGATTACGGGTGTAATATGCTCTCTCTTTTCTCCGCATTGCAAGCGAAGGCGTTCATTGGAGGTTCGTGTTGATGGGGAATGGGGAAAGGGAAGGGGAGAGGGATTATGTATGTTTTTTTCTCTCACAAGAATCAGAGTGTGGATAAAGGAAAGGCATCGATTAGCTTGTGTGCGTTTCTTGGGCGGTTTCTTGATGTTTTTGGGCGATGCGAGATAGATTGGCGTGAGATGAGTAAGAGAAGTGTCTTGTTTCAATAGGCGTGTGGATTTTGGCTCACGTGTTTCTCAACTTTGTAACTGCCTAGTTCGGAATTGGTTGACCATTAGCGCTCACCTGGAGTCGTAGACTAATGTTTCCACGCTCGAAAAATATAAACAAGCCTCTCCAAACACAATCGTCCAATGCTCGTCCATCCATCCAGTCCATGAGGAATCAAAATCTGCCAAACGCACACAGGCACAGGATAAGCCTTCGCGCAGGCTACATCCGCATGCTCCTCCTCTTGTGCCCCCAAAACCACCACTTCGACCAGGGGCAATCGGCTACGTTGGTTTCAAACGAGCATAGATAGTGTGGATACAGAGGACGCGGTATCCACAGCGGATTCCAATGTTTACCAAATTCAGCTCGATTGTCGTCGATCATGTACTTCAACATCGAATGTTGTCGAAGGCTTCACGAGGCGTGTGTCGTGTGTGCATATGGCAATCTGTACTTTTTGGGGAGCGTCGAGTGTCTTTGGCAAATCGACCATGCTCAGGCCTGGAGTGGAGCTTTGCCGATGGTGTGAGAGATGCATCGAGGACTGACTATGGGCAGAGAATCGTCTTCAGGGTATTTTATGCCATATGCCGTACTCAGGGGTATTGGAGAGCATTTTTGGCTATATTGATGGCGTGTGCTCTTGAAAGAGGAGAAATTCGCGATGGTGGATTGGGGAAGGGAGGAGAGCCAGATCAGACGTCACCGGGGAGACTGTGGCCGCGCTTGAAGTTGCATTCAAGAAATGTCGGTGATTTTGGCAGGTCATGATCGATGGCGTTTAGTGGCCTGGCGACGGAGTAGTCCTGAGCGAGAGGTGAGGTGAGGTGAGCAAGTGAGTCGGGAACGGGAATCCGGGTAGAGATGCCGACTACCCGTTTCGGATGGCAGCCTGGAGAGATTGTATGGCGGCAGTGGCGTAATAGGAGAAGGCACTTTTGGAGTCTGGACTTAGATTTATATGCTTGGGAAGCTACGAAGATACTGGTAGGAAATGTCGTGGCGGTCTTTTCCTAGTACAGAAGTTGATTCTGGCGGCATCCCTGCGTCTATCACCATGGCTGCTTCCCGCGCGGTAACTTGGAGGGATCTCGTAGTTTGTAAGCACCTCAATTAAGACCACCTTCATCAAACGGCCGTTGGACACGAAACATGCGCACGCCCGAACACACCACCCCCTCCTGTTCTGCTTCACCGCGACACCGTCTCGCGTTCGGTTCTTTGTCCTTGCGTTCATCCAGAGCCTGTCCCGCGCTCTGAACGACCCGATCGCCAAACAATCCATCAGCCGCGCACGACATCATCGTACTTGTACCCGCAACATTCCACATCCCTCGAACCCTACCTTCACCCCTGCGACACCCATTTCGCAAACATTTTGGTGCTGCTACGACCACTGGCGCCATCGCGCCCAGTTCGACTTCTTCGCGACCGATAGTGCCCAGTAGCACCAGTAGCCATGGCCTCTTCACGACCCGTCAGCTCGGCGCCCGCCGCACATATGACCACCACCACTCTGCGAGTAGATGGAATGACCTGTGGAGCGTGTACATCGTCTGTGGAATCTGCATTTAGAGGGGAGGACGGCATTGGGAGTGTGTCTGTCAGCTTGGTCATGGAGCGGGCGGTCATTACCCACGACGCCGATAAGATCAGTGCCGAACAAATACGTGAGATGATTGATGATCGAGGGTTTGACGCCCAAGTCATCAGCTCAGGCCGACCCGAATCACCCTTATTCGACGCTTCCGAAGAGGACGACATTCTTTTGGACGACGCCGAGTTGGATATACTAGGAAACGGCATGTCTACAACCCTCATCCATGTAGGAGGCATGACGTGCGGAGCCTGTACATCAGCAGTCGAAGGTGCATTTAAAGGCGTGGCAGGCGTCAAGAGTTTCAGTATATCTTTGCTTTCAGAGCGTGCGGTGATAGAGCACGATGAGAGCATCATCAGTGCGGAAAAGCTGGCGGAGACTATTGAGGATACTGGCTTCGACGCGCAGGTCCTGGAGACGAAAGCTGCTACAGCAGCTGCGAGCAAGACTAAGCCGAGGAGGAAGAGCGTGTCCAAGAGATTGATGACAACGACCATTGCGATCGAGGGCATGACGTGCGGTGCATGCACATCCGCCGTGGAGAGTGGATTCAATGACATGCCCGGGTTGACGCATTTCAACATCAGCCTTCTTGCCGAGCGAGCGGTCATCGTTCATGAGCCTGATGTCCTACCGGTGGCCAAACTTGTGGAAGCGATCGAAGACCGGGGATTTGACGCCACTGTTGTCGCCAGCGTGGAGGAAGGTGTACAAACATCGAGTTCGAACGCTTCAATACAGCTCAAGATCTTTGGGTTACCGAGCCCGGAATCTGCCTCTGACCTTCAGGCCAACTTGAAAAACATGCCTGGAATCGCTTCGGTCAACGTCAACTTCGCTACTTCGCGGGCATCCATCACCCACTCTCCTTCCAAGATTGGTCTACGCGCAGTGGTCGAAGCAGTAGAGAAAATGGGTTACAATGCGCTTGTAGCTGACTCCGACGACAATAACGCCCAGCTGGAATCACTCGCAAAGACCAAGGAGATCCAGGAGTGGAAACGAGCCTTTAGAGTATCGCTGACTTTTGCTATCCCGGTTTTCGTGATCAGCATGCTTTTGCCGATGTTCATCCCGTTCTTGGACATTGGCAGCATCAAGCTTCCCATCATACCTGGCGTCTGGCTCGGCGATGTACTGTGCTTGCTTCTCACCATTCCTGTGCAATTTGGCATCGGCAGACGATTCTACATCTCGGCATACCGCTCGGTCAAGCATGGATCTCCGACGATGGATGTTCTGGTCGTCTTGGGTACTTCGGCAGCATTCTTCTTCAGCTGTGCTACGATGGTGGTCTCGATCCTGGTACCTCCTCACTCTCGACCCGGAACAGTCTTTGATACGAGCACCATGTTGATTACCTTCATCACGCTGGGTCGATTCCTCGAGAACCGTGCAAAGGGACAGACATCGAAGGCGCTTTCAAGACTAATGAGTCTTGCGCCGCCCATGGCCACCATCTACGCTGACCCCATTGCTGCTGCCAAAGCTGCCGAGAGCTGGGAATCGCAGCAAGAAACCCAGGAAAAGTCAGCTGACAAAGAGGCTACCGGATCTGCAGTCGAAGAGCGAACGATTCCTACCGAGCTTATTGAGGTCGGTGACATTGTTATTCTCAAGCCTGGCGACAAGATACCAGCCGATGGTACAGTGACACGCGGTGTAAGCTATGTCAATGAGAGTATGGTTACTGGTGAGGCCATGCCAGTCAACAAAACCCCTGGATCTCTACTTATGGCTGGTACTGTCAACAATGCTGGTCGTTTGGATTTCAAAGTTACTCGCGCTGGCCGTGATACCCAACTCAGTCAGGTCGTTCGACTGGTGCAAGAAGCACAAACCAGCCGAGCACCCATTCAACGTATGGCAGACATCGTTGCTGGCTACTTCGTGCCCATCATCATTACACTTGGACTGGCTACGTTTGTCGGTTGGATGGTTTTGAGCCACATCCTACCTCACCCACCACAGATCTTCCTTCAAGAGCACAGCGGTGGCCGGTTGATGGTTTGCGTCAAGCTTTGCATAGCAGTCATCGTATTTGCCTGCCCTTGCGCACTTGGCCTGGCCACACCGACTGCAGTCATGGTTGGCACTGGTGTAGGCGCAGAGCAAGGCATCCTGGTCAAGGGCGGTGCTGCGCTGGAGACAGCCACCAAGATCACGCACGTTATCCTCGACAAGACCGGTACTTTGACCATGGGTAAGATGAGTGTGGCTCAATTCGATCAAGCTACAAAGTGGAAGGCAAGCCCCACGCAAGTCAGCTTGTGGTGGACGCTTGTCGGTCTTGCCGAAGCGAACAGCGAGCATCCCATCGCAAAGGCCATTCTCGCGGGTGCCAAAGACAAACTTGGCCTGGGCCCTGATGCTCAGGTCGAAGGATCCATGGGCGAGTTTGCAGCAACGGTGGGCAAAGGTATCACTGCAACCGTCGAGCCGGCCGGTACGTTTGACCGAAACCGATACGAAGTCACAATCGGCAATGCTTCATTCCTGAGGAAGAAGGGTATTCAAGTACCAGCAACACCAGAAGACGAATACGAAGACTTCGCCGGTACACGAAGACCATCGATGTCGGGTCCGTCATCCTCCAAGGCAGCCCAAAGCGCAGGAATCACAACCATTCATGTGGCCATCGACAGCGAATATGCGGGTTCAGTCGGTCTGTCTGACACCTTGAAACCGACCGCAAGGGCAGCAATAGCCGCGCTCAACCGCATGAACATTGGTACTTCACTCGTCACTGGAGATCAAGCTGCGACTGCGCATCATGTTGCCTCGCTCGTCGGTATCCCACCAGAAAATGTCTACGCCGGTGTGCTCCCTGAAGGCAAGAAGAGCATCATTGTAGACTTCCAGGAGCAAGGTCAGATCGTCGCCATGGTCGGAGACGGTATCAACGACTCACCAGCCCTGGCCACGGCAAACGTGGGTATCTCACTCGCCAGCGGAACCGACGTCGCCATGGACGCTGCAGACATTGTCCTCATGAAGCCCAACCAGCTCATGGACATTCCCGCATCGCTCCATCTCAGCAGAACCATCTTCCGCCGCATCAAGCTGAATCTCCTCCTCTCCTGCGTCTACAACGCCGTCGGCCTACCCATCGCGATGGGCTTCTTCCTCCCTTGGGGCATCACCCTCCCTCCTATGGCTGCCGGCGCTGCAATGGCATGTTCCAGCGTAACAGTCGTCGTCAGCTCGCTCTTCCTCAAACTCTGGAGACGACCAGAGTGGATGCTCAATAGCGAAGTCGACAGTGCCTTGGCCAGCCTACGCAAGATGAGCTTCTCATCGAGAATTCGTGGCTTCCGCGATGTGATTAGTGGGAGGAAGAGGAGGGATTCCGAACGTGATCGCGGCGCTTATGTCCAGCTCGATAATATCGAGGCGGTTTGATTATGGTTTTTCTTTTTGTATGGCATGGAGTTTGGGAGAGCGACGGGGCATTGCATTTTCTTTTTCAAAAGGCGTTCTATTTCTGGAAGGATACCCTCGACTGCGCGACGCATTAGAAGAAGATTACTTTAGCTCCTTACAGAATCAGAGACCTGAGATGAGGTTTGTTATGAAGCACTGAGAAAGTTGATTACTGTTTACCTACACTTTGTCACTTGCTGAATGATCCCTGACTGTTGACTCGTTACTCATTTATCAATCAGCTAGTCTTTCTTCCGCAGCATGCGCATCGGCACTGTCCGGACTTTATCATTTGTGCCTGAGCCTGTTTGCATGAGATCGGAAGGGTTCCCAAGGCTCTGCGAACTCCATGTTGCCCCACATAAAATTGACGTCACTTTGGTCACGCTTAAGTGAATGGCGGGCGACAACACGCGCGCATCTTGGCTGTGGAATCCCTTGATCAAGTGGACAGTCCCGACTCTTGCGATCTCCAACACCCTCTTCGCTACCACATCCCTTCTGCCGACTTCTTTGCTGCTCTCGCTACGTCACTCCGCGAATCCAAACGCCACGCGACAGAACCGAAGCGAGACACAAACGAGACGAGCATACAAAGAAACATTCCACAACCATGACGCGCCGGAAAAGGGAAGACCCCAGGGCGACTACTTCCTCCCTCACAGAATCCTGGGACGACATGGAAAACAGCGACGAGTCACTCGATCACTCGAAGCAACCCATCTACAGCTCCGACGAAGAGCGCGACGAGATGGGCTCAGAATACCGCTCCCCGCCCCGCCAGAACGACCAAGAACTGCGCCCGCGCCGCAACCTGCGCTCCTCCGTCGAGCCCGAACTCGTCATGCCTGCCTCGCCCAACGCCGCTTCGAAACAGCGCGCTTCGACGCCGCATATGCGGTTGAATCAGAGGAGTTTGACGAGTGATGCTGGGGAGATTAGGAAGAAGACGAGGAGTTCGACACAGAGGTTTCGGATGGGGGATCGGAGTTTGACGAGTGATGCGGGGAAGATCAAGAAGGGGGGTTCGAGGTTGAGAGAGGAGGTGGAGGATGAGGAGGATGAGGAGGAAGAGGGATATCCGAGTTCGGTGTGGAGGAGGGTGGTGAGGCCTTTGTTGGGGTATGTTTTCAGTATTCTGGGCTTGGTCATGCAGAACCTAAAGCCGATTTTCGCGACGGGCGTGGTGGTGTATCTGCTCGCTGCGGCGGTGGTTTTTGGGAGCGGGTTCTTGACGAATAGTATCAACCATGCGCTGTCGCCGATTTGTCGATTACCGTTTACGTCACATTTGGCGTTCTGTCCGGTTGGGGATCGCCCGGAGTTGAAGGGGCCGGCGGAGTTTGACAAGTTGGTGCAGGCGCAGGATGCGTTTCAGGACGTGCTGGCGAGTACGTCTGTGGGAGCGAATTTGCCGCTGGATATGAAGCGCAGTGAGGCGAGCGTAAGGGATTTGAAGAATGTGGTGCAGTACAGCAGTCTGCCTTCGAGGAATGAGCTGGTGTTTGAATTTGGGGGGTTCATCGATACAGCGAGGCAGGCGTCGCAGGATCTGAGCAAGTTCAATTCGAGGATCGGACGGGCTGTGGATCACATCCTGAGCACGAACCGCTGGACATTGAGTGTCATCGACGGCGTGAACGCAAACGAGGCCTCTCGAGGAGCCATCGCGGGCTGGGTCGCCAAAAACTTCAACGTCTTCGCGCCCTTCCAACCCATCAGCCTCTCGCGAAACGTCCTCCTCGACCAATACCTCCGCCACACCAGCGCCGTGGAAGAACAAATCCTCAGCCTCATCAACGAAGCGCTCGCCCTGCGCGACATCCTCGAAAACCTCGACGGCCGCCTCGACCTCATCTCGGGCATCGTCACCCGCGACGACATCCGCATCAGCACCTCCAAAGACGAACTCTTCGCGACCCTCTGGACGAAACTCGGCGGCAACCGCTCCTCGGTGCAAAAACTCAACAAACAACTGCAACTCCTCAAAGACGTCAACAACTACCGTCGGGCGGCCTGGGGACACGTCACCGCGACGCTGCTGAAACTGCAGGAGATCCAGCATAGTTTGGAGGATTTGAGGGAGCGGGTGGCGATGCCGGAGACGGTGGGCGCCGAGAGGGTACCGCTGGAGGTGCAGATTGAGAGTATTAATTTGGGGATTGAGAGGTTGGAGGGGCAGAGGGAGAGGGGGAGGTTGGTGGAGAGGGAGAATTATCGGAGGGTGATTGGACGGGGGGAGGGGGAGGGGAGGGGGAGTGAGATTGAGGGGGGTGAGAGGGAGTTGTGATGTGTTGTCTGATGAGTTATGGGCGATGATCGATGTTGGAGTGTGAGGTTTGCGAACAGTGTGGAGTTCGGGATTGGGGATTTTGTCTGGCCATTGTTTTTGTTTGATGAAACGATGATACCCATAGGTTAGCATAGCACAGCATACAGCGTTAGGCTTGACAGAACAGTAGCATGTAGCAGATGAATCATGAGTACTCTCAAAGTCGTCGAGATTCCAGTCGTAAACGAATCATGACTGCGTACACACACAATCTTGCGTCTATCTTAATCCTCCACCGGCAATCCCACAGCCTCATAACTCAACTTCCACAACTTCTCCTCCAGCTCCGGCTGATAAACATGCGGTCCGTACCCATCAGCCCCAACCTCAGCACCGTCCGCCATGGGTCCACACTCGGCACACTCAGCCAAATACCGACCGCCATTCTTGCCTTCAAAGTGCTCCGACACAGCCGCCCACGTCTGCGTCGCGGCGCCTTGAGCGGGCGATTTGAACATATTCGCGAATCTATCATTAACACCCATAGCGTCAAGTTCAGATTGCTCCATATGGCGGACGAGTTCCGTCTTGATACCGCCGGGGTGCAAGGAAAGACCGTGCAGGTTCTGCGACCCGTAATGCCGCTCGATGGACGACGCCATGTAGATGTTGGCGGTCTTGGACTGGCCGTACGCGGTCCATTTCTCGTAGGTTTTCCCGTCGGAGAAGTCCATGTCGTCGAAGCGGATGCCGCCGTAGCGGTGGCCGGCGGAGGAGACGGTGATAACGCGGGAGCTTGTGCCCGAGTCGGCGGCGGATTTTAGGAGTACGGGTTTGAGGAGCTGGAAGAGAAGGAAGTGGGCGAAGTGGTTGGTGCCGAGCTGGAGTTCGAAGCCGTCGGCGGTTTTGGTGTAGGGGCAGGCCATGACGCCGGCGTTGCAGATGAGGATGTTGAGTTGCTGGGAGCGGGTTTTGAAGTCTGCGGCGGCTTTGCGGACGCCGGAGAGGGAGTCGAGGTGTAGTTCGAGGGCTTCCGGGCGGGGGTTGGTTTTGTTGGTGCCGTTGGAGACGATGTCGTCGATGATTTTGTTGAGTTTGGGGACGTCGCGGCCGGTGAGGTAGAGGGTTGCGCCGGTTTCGTAGAGGGCTTTGGCGGTTTCGATTCCGAGGCCTGCGGTGCAGCCTGTGATTAGGATGGTTTTGCCTTGGAGTTTGCCGATGGCGTTGCAGTCTTTGACGATTTGGAGGGCGGTTGGGCGGGCATCTCCTGGGCCTTTGGTGTCTTTGTGGACGTCGTTGTAGGGTCTGTAGGGGTTCTCTGGCTTTTGAGACATGGTGTTTCTGTTGTACTGTTGTTGCGTGTTGGAATTGATGGCTGGGGATGAGGGAGAGTGAGGAGAGATAGTGCTTCTTCGTGCCTTCCTACCGTCTCTTATATATGCAAGCGCCTCGGGACTCACGCGAGCTTGTTCATCAGCATGCCATGCTACACGGGTGCCTGGATTAGAGTGCTTCAAAGGAGAACCAAGCGAGCCAAGCGATTCGTGCCCTACCAACAGGCGCAGTTGGAGGGTGGATTGTTGAAGTGAAGTCGTCGCCCCCCATGCAGAGCACAGACCAATGACCCACTTTTCCCATTCTAAAATCCTTTAGCTCCGTCTTAACCTCAGCTTGCAAAGAAACACCAACTACGGACATCGTCGTTGCCGGGCAATGGCTTTTCAATTTGGCTTCGCGAATGATGCGAATAGCGATGACGAAGATCCAGCCCCAGCGAGTGGCATTCAAGCATCGAATGGCGCGGCCGGTGGGGCGAATACGAGGGTAAAGCAGCACAAGCTGGAGTACCTGGTAGGTATGCATTCCACACTGTCTCCTTGATTTGATATCATCCAGACTTGATCTCGGCGTTTATCTCTTCTGGCAATACTGCCCGGTGCAAGGTCACGACATATCGACTGACTCCATCCCAGCTAGCAACCTTACCTGAACGGATCAGTTACAGCACGGTCAAGGTCGAATCGCCACTCGGTCGAGTGGTTCACATACCTCGACGAGAGCTATTCGATGTGCGGGTACAGCTTTTACAGGAAGACACCACGAACGATCAGGTTATCGATCAAATAGACAAGTCCGATATCAAAGCTGGAGTCTATGAGGGTGGTTTCAAGACTTGGGAATGCTCGATTGATCTTGCAAGCTTGTTGCTTGATCGAGGTCCACGGAAAGACATCGATGAGCTTGTGAGGTGTGATTCAATCATTGAGGTGAGATCGATGTATCTAATCATGACTGAGTTGTGCTGATGAATTGGCGTAGCTGGGAGCTGGAAGTGCTATACCCTCACTAATTCTCTTTCGACATGCCATTGAGAACGCAGTGTGCGGACTGACCTTCACGCTTGCAGACTACAACGAGGAAGTGCTTCGACTTGTCACGTTGCCCAACATCCTTTTGACATGGATGGCGACCACAGAATATCACGATGTGCACGCGGAACGGCCACGAACAGATGCCGAGAGCTCTGGTGAAGTCGAGATTACACCTGGCGTGATTGAGCGCTTCCTTGCAGAAATCAAGTGCAAGACCATGACTCTCAATTTCTTGTCCGGTCCTTGGTCACCACGATTAGCGGATTTCATTCCTTCCTCAGCTCCGGACATGGGCTCTGTCATCTTGGCCGCCGAGACTATCTACAGCCCAGCATCAACCATGGCGTTCGTGGAGCTTCTCGCGATTCTGCTGAAGCGGGTGAAAATGGCAAAGGCCATGATTGGGGCCAAGCGAATATACTTCGGCGTAGGCGGGTCAGTAGATGGGTTGAAGGAGGCGTGCCGAGAAAAGGGCGCCGTGGCTTATGAAATCGAGAATCATAGTGTGCCTGGGATGGACAAGGGCGTCGGTAGAGCGTTGATAGAGGTGCAGTTGTACTGAGAGTAATGTTTGAGCATAATGTTATGCTGGCACTCATTGAGCGGAATCTCGGCCCGTGCGTCCGCTCCTCTACAAGGCTCCGCTAGAAGCTCTGGCCAACGCGGCCGCTTTGGCTTTCGGATGCTTGGCCGGGGACGGACAACTTTAATGGGAACATCATCCGCTTCAATTCAATCTCGTCTTTCTTTCTTTCTCAGACCTATCCCTCAGTCGAAACAGGCCGCCGCCTGATGCCTGCGGTATTTCTCGAGTAATAACGCGTGAGCCGACTGAATTCTCTCAGTGAACCGGCCGCCATGGGCTCATCCGCTGAAACGATAATGTCTTCCTGTGACTGACAAAGAGCTTTTCATGGCCTCGTGGTGTCTCCACGACTTTGGCTTCGGCTTCAGGCGGCATATGAGCTCTGTGAAAATTCGCAAAAAGGCGTGTGCACTGATGAGCGACCGAGTTGCCGGCATTCCATAGTGTTGATCCTCCACCCCAGCCTCCCCATAACATCGAAGCTTTGTGGAGAAGGCACCCGCATCAACCGTATCGGCAGAAATCTCGCTGCAATAGAAGGTGGAGTGCATGCCAGGTGACGCTGCCATTCAGAGAAACATTACACACGTGGCTTGCCTTCGGTGGTATTTGCGGCATAAACGACGAATCGCAACTGCTCTGAGCTGCAGCACGAAGCTTCTCAAGGCCCTTCCGCTCGGCCAAACCAGAGCTTAGCTACAGCACGCTATACTTGTTCCTATTGACATCTCTTAGACTCGCACCCTTCTACGCTGCATTTGTCGTGACTGCGGCGGGGGATACAGTTCGATCGCCAGCGTCACAGCGCGCAGTCTTCGCCCGGCGCCCGCAGCACGCACGCTGAACGGCACTCTTCGCCCGTGTTGAGGAGAGGGGAAGTCAGAGCCAGGTGGGTGAAAAGGGCCATTCAAAATGGAGGCGTCCCTCTTCCGCAACTGTTCTTCTGCTTGCTCCGACAACCTGGGAACCGCCTGGCAGCTCGCATACGACGGTATGGCTCGCTTTGGCTGGAAGCAAGCTCTGCTTGCCATCTCTTCTTCGCTCGCCTATGCCCAAGACTCGACTTCTTCGAACCCAGCAGATGGCCTAACGACTACTGCGTACGGCTCTTCGACGACTGGCTCCATTGCGAGTGCTACTGTTTCTGGCGCCACGAGCACTTTTTCTATACCCTTCACTGTACCCGCGTCTGCCGACATTGGACCCAATGTGCTGCCGAATGTCAAGGATCCAAATGCAAAGCAGGCACAAGCTTTATGTCCTGGATACAAAGCTAGCAATGTGTCGAATACCGAGTTTGGCTTTACAGCCACCTTGGGCCTTGCTGGAGACGCTGTAAGTCGAAGGAAAGAAAGGAAACTTTGGGAGGACACTGACATGAACAGTGCAATGTCTACGGAACCGACATCGAAACTCTTTCCTTCGAGCTTGACGTGCAGTCGGCGCATAGAATGCGGATCTTGATTCAGCCAGCGTACCTCGATAACACCAACAGAAGCCAGTACATCCTCAACGAGAACATTGTGCCGGCTGGGCAGCAGGGTTTTGCACAACCCGAGACACAAAGCATCGACTTGCAATTTTCGTGGACGAACGAGCCGACGTTTGCCTTTACGGTTGTAAGGAAATCGACTGGAGACGTGCTCTTCGACACCACTGGTAGCGTCCTTGTATACGAGAACCAATTCATCGAGTTTGCGTCTCAGATGCCCGAGAACTACAACATCTATGGCATGGGAGAGCGCATCCATGGCTTGAGGCTGGGCAACAACTTTACTGCTACATCTTACGCTGCTGATGTTGGAGATCCAATCGACCGTGAGTGCATTCGCATGGTATACAAGTCTGTTTTGATCAAATCCTAACCTACTCACAGAAAACATTTACGGCGTTCATCCTTTCTACCTCGATACCAGATACTACGAAGTTGACGAAGAGACTGGCGAGCATACATTGGTCACGACGCAAAACACCACAGCTGATGGCGAATACGTCGGCTTGAGCCATGGCGTTTTCTTGCGAAATGCACATGGAATGGAAGCCCTCATGCTCCCGACCAATCTCACCTGGCGCACCATTGGTGGTAGCATTGATCTGTACATCTTCGACGGTCCTACACAAGAGAAGGTGACGAAGCAATACCAAATTGGAGCCATCGGCTTGCCTGTAATGCAATCTTACTGGACATTTGGCTTTCATCAGTGCCGTTGGGGCTACGAGAACTGGACAGAGTTGGAGGCTGTAGTCAACACCTACCGAGACTTCGACATCCCTCTCGAAACCGTCTGGACCGACATCGACTACATGTTCCAGTACCGTGACTTCACCAACGATCAGAATACCTTCCCTTACGGTCCCGGTCAAGAATTCCTCAGCCGTCTCCACGCCAATGGCCAACACTACGTCCCCATCGTCGACTCCGCCATCTACATTCCAAACCCCTACAATGCCTCGGATAACTACTCCATATACACGGATGGCAACGATCGTGGCGTGTTCCTCAAGAACCCTGATGGTAGCCAATACATTGGCTCTGTCTGGCCAGGCTACACAGTATTCCCTGACTGGCATGCTGCTGAGGCTGTCCCATGGTGGACAGACAGCATGGAGGCACACCACAAGAACGTCCCATGGGATGGCATCTGGATCGACATGTCTGAGGTTTCGTCCTTCTGCATAGGAAGCTGTGGGACTGGCAACCTTAGTTTGAATCCAGTCCACCCTCCCTTTGGCTTACCGGGTGAAGAGGGCAACAAGATCTTCACCTACCCAGAAGGCTTTAATTTGACCAACGCTACCGAGGCTTCTGCGGCATCGTCTTTGTCCGCTTCACAATCTTCGGCCGTCGCTGCTGCAACAACTGCGGGACCTTCAACCACGGCATATGTAATGGCGCCAGCCATTACTCCTGATATTCGCAATGTCAACCAGCCTCCTTATGTCATCAACAACGTCCAGGGCGATCTTGCGGTCCACGCAGTCAGCCCAAACGCGACTCACATTGACGGAGTAGAAGAGTACGACGTTCACAGCTTGTTCGGCCACCAGATCTTGAACGCAACGTACCAAGCTCTCCTGCACGTCTTCCCAGAGAAGCGACCTTTCATCATCGGACGGAGCACCTTCGCTGGAAGCGGAAAATACGCCGGCCACTGGGGAGGTGACAACACCAGTCTCTTCGCGTACATGTACTTCAGCATCTCGCAAGCCCTGAACTTCGCGCTTTTCGGCATCCCGATGTTCGGCGTCGACACCTGCGGTTTTAACGGCAACTCAGACGAAGAGCTGTGCAATCGCTGGATGCAGCTGTCGGCCTTCTTCCCCTTCTATCGCAACCACAACACCCTCTCTGCGAACTCACAAGAGGCGTACGTGTGGGCATCGGTGGCCGAAGCTACCAAGAAGGCGATGAACATCCGCTACTCGCTTCTCCCCTACATGTACACGCTCTTCTACTACGCACACACCACTGGAAGCACGGTCATGCGAGCTTTGTCCTGGGAGTTCCCTAACGACCCGACTTTGGCTGCTGTCGACACGCAGTTCTTGCTTGGACCTGCTATTTTGGTGGCACCAGCCCTCGGACAAGGCCAAACCGAAGTGCAAGCCGTATTCCCTGGCGTCAAGCAGGGAGAAGTCTGGTACGACTGGTATACGCAAGAGGCCATGTCTGCGAAGCCAGGCGAGAACGTGACCATTGCGGCGCCTCTTTCGCATATCCCTGTGTTCGTTCGTGGCGGGTATATCCTTCCACAGCAGGAAGCTCTGTACACCACGACAGAGTCCCGCAACTCTTCTTGGAGTCTGATCACCGCTCTTGACAAGGACGGCTCAGCTACCGGGCAGATCTACCTCGACGATGGCGAAAGCATAGCACCACCGTCCAGCTTGCTCGTTGAATTGACCGCATCGAACGGAACTTTGTGGGCATCGAGTCGTGGCTTGTACAAAGACACCAACAGCCTGGCCAACGTGACCGTTCTCGGCGTACAGAGCGAGCCCAAGTCAGTCACGCTGAACGGAATGTCCATCAACAGCGGGTTGAGCTACAACAGCACGAGCAAAGTCTTGAGCTTGAAGGGCCTCCAGAATGTCACCAGCAGTGGGGCTTGGGCGAGTGACTGGACCTTGAAGTGGTCTTGAGAAGGATATGTCTCACAATCCTAATAAAAGTTGTACAGGAAGTTATGAATAACGACGAATGAAGAATCGCGGAACTCACTCATCATCCTACCTCCATATGCTCGATTCTCCGAACATGATGTGAGGTCGTCTGAAGCTTTGAGAACAAGCCTTTGGTGCCATGATGCCGAGAATATCATGACGACCCCCAACTTGGCATCTGCCTACTCCCTCCGTTGCGAATATCTTCCCCTTTAGGCTTCGCTCGACACTTCAATCTCAAGCTTCGACGACCGGTGAGCAGTGCCTACCTGTGCTAGCCCATTCCCGAACCACCTTCCTCTCGACAGCTCAACTTGATAGTCTTTAGAATCCTGCTTCTATTGTCATCTCGTTTCGATTCTCGCCTTAGCGTATCCTAATATATATTACCTTCGTGATGCCTTCCGAATTTGGTATAGCAAGCGTGGGTTAGGGGCCAACTAGGCGGGTCCTTCTATTAGCCTTTTCAGCCTCAACCTCGACGGTGGATGATGAGGATGGGGCGAAGAGAGGATCTCGGGCTGAGAGTTAGGCTCATAGCGTGGCACAGCGGGCGAGGATAGTGAGTAGCGTTCAGCTACTACGTTCGTTTACTTTCCTACCCTCTTGTTGAAGAGGTCACTGTCATTTTCTTATCCCCTTGTGGCGGCGATATGAGCGCTCTCTGGTTGCTGCTTTTGCTGTCTTCTTCCAGACTCGCTCGAGCGGCTTGTGAGTCTCGCGGAGGTATCATGGGCTTCGAATGCTAAGGAAGTCTTAGCATCCACGGGTATTGGCGGCTATGTGGCACAAGGGGTGGGCATGAGCACTGCTGCCGCGCCAGCCTTCACGGGGACGGCGACCGCCAACAACGACGATGTGGACGTATGCTATTCGTCCTGGAACGAGTATTGGTCTGCAAGTCAGGCCTCTTTCAACGCTTCTTACCTCCACGCAAACGTCACATATGTTCCTACAGCAACACATGTCTCGACCGAAACATACACATTCTCTCAGCGTCCCGAAGCCACCTTCACCGATGTCACTAGTGAGCAGCTGCTTGACCGAGTCTTTCATCACTTGCTAATCTTTCCCAGCCATCGATGAAACCACGCCGGTGATCAATGGCGGCTTCACCATCAGCACCCAGACGATAGACACGACCTCTACCACCCTCTACACGCAATCCTATATGCCAGCTTATACGGACACGTCCACGGAGACATTCACAGAGCACGGCACGTCGGCCATCGCGAATACCACGAAGGTTTTTCCCAAGCCTACATGCACGTTGCCGTCTGTTGTACAGGACTGCCAGAACAAGTGGGAGACGTACATCACCAGCAGACTCGAGCCCTCGCCCACTCCACCACCCCATTGCGATATCAACGCCGGCTTCGAGGGCCGCTTTGTCGGTATCGATGCCACTCCTGCGTGTGCAAAACCCTATTGGTCTGCTGCTGCGTCTTACTACGAAAAGTTCGAAGATGAGACAGTGGGGCTCAAGGCACCACTGTGTACAGCGGCCTCGATCAGTGGATCGCTCTGCCAAAGCGTGCGAGACGCGTATCAAATGAGCGATGTGTTCGCACCGGCTTTACCGCGAGAAACCATGGCGAATTATGCTTCGCAGTATCTCTTCTTCAATCAAGGTACACAGGGCTTGTTGCTGGGTAATAAGACGGAATGGATCTGGCCAACTTCCTCGACGATGGGCAATGCTCCGAGCTGCACGCTGGGGTGTGGGCGGTGTGCGGTGACTGGTGGGACTGTGCAGTTGATTTACTGGCCGCCGACTGCGACTCCAACCCCTACCCTGACTGCTATGCAAGGCAACAATGCTACGATGAAGGCTAGGGCGACTGAAGCTCCGGTTGTTACGGTGGAGGCATTGGGGACGACGTTCACGTCGCCGACTTTGTACATTGCGTATAAGTCGCTGTATGCTGAGAATGCATGTGGGACTGTTGGCACACAGATTGGAGAGACTATCTTGGCTATTCCGACCGACAAGCCTTTGTCTTCTGTTTATGGTATGTTCTCTCGAAGACGACGAAGTACCTTGCCTACCCTGAACATTTGCTGACTTTGATAGCGGGAACCGAACCATGTGATGCGCACTTGTACGTATATCCAAGGCCAGAAACATACCCCTTTCCAATATCAAGACGGTTGCTAATCCGTCTACGTTCATTCTAGTCGCGTAACCTCAGTATGGACCGCCACAGCCCCCTTCAGCGTGCAAGACCTCCACGAGCCCGTCCCATACAGCATCTACTCCTCCCAACCATGGTGCCAGACATACCTGCGGAATCACGGCTGTCAAGGCACCTGCCCAACAACAGCGCCCTACAAGCCCATTCTCGTCGTCAACAACGACCTCCTGCGTGGTCTGCAGAGCGATTGGAATGACTGCTGGGGCGATATTCGTGGCGTGTATGATCCGCCTTTGGCGCTTACTGAGGCGAAGACGGAGATTAAGCCTGGGAATACGTTTGGTGGTCTGGAGCAGTCGGCGACGCCGGCGAGCGGACCGGTTTCTAATAGTGCTGTTCCTACGGCGACTGCTACCTCTGAGGGTGTCCCGGCTAGTGCGAGTGGCGAGTTGCAACCATCAGTGCCTAGGCAGCCGGAGTCGTCAAGTGTTCAGCAGGAGAGTGAGGCTCCTGAGAAGAGCGAGGCGACTACGGAGAGTAGTGCGCCTCCTCCACCACCAAATCAGCCCTCTCAGACCGCGAGTCCGAGTGAACCATCACCGTCAGTCCCTAGGCCTACCGAGCCCCCGGAGCAAAGTAACACACCTGCTCAGCCGTCTGATCACCCAGCCCAGGCATCAGATCCGAGCGCACCATCGTCATCAGATCCTCAGCCTACAATCGCCATCCTCGATCCTCAATCAGACTCGGCTTCCCCAACCGCCATTATCGTCGACCCTCAATCAGCGTCTCCTTCGCCAATGACAGGGTCACCCCATGCTATTCAAGTCGTTCAAGGGGATCACACAGTTACTCTCACCGTGGGAGCCCCTGCCGTAACTGTGGGTGACCAGATCATGCAAGCAGGACCTCAGGCCGCATCATCATCGGCACTGGACAGACCGCGAGCTTTATCGATGCTGTTCAAGGACCGACTGTTGCGACTGTGGACAGTCAAGTCCTTTCAATGGCCCCAGTACCACAACAGGATGGCACTGTCCAAGTGGTCAATGGTGCTTCCGCGGCAGTGCTGACGGTGGGAGCTCCTGCTGTCACGTTCGGCGGACAGGTCATGTCTGCCGCATCATCTGGCGGTGGTGTGGTTGTTGGTACTGGAGCGGACGCTAGCACTATCAATGCGGTACAGGCTACGCATCTCGAAGCATTCACCATGTCCGCGCTGCCAAGCGGCGTAACGGTCATCAACGGAGACCAGACCGAGACACTCACCCCAGGCGACTCTGCAGTGACGATTGGAACCGAAATCCTCAGCGCTGCGTCCTCGGGCAAGGTCGTAATCGGCACAGGAAGTGCTGCCAGCACTGTTGATGTGACGCAGACTTCTTCTCCGTCAATGCGCTCCTCTCAGGGCTCGCAGAGTTCATCGCAGAGCTCACGGGGCAGTTCTGGATCATCAGCGAGCTCTAGCTCATCGACAGCGATCCCTTCGAGTACGATTCCCAGCGAACGACCGAGTGATACGACTGCGGCTGCGTCGTATTCCAGTAGTGCGGCCTCAAGTCGAAACATGGCATCGTCGAGCGAGCTTGTGGCTGCACTGCTTTTTATGGTGTTTGCTCTATAAGATCTAACGATGAAGAGTTTCGAGAAGCGTTCTGATAAGTGGGATGTGGCATTGCATAGCACGGCGTTCTGGAAAACCCACGGGCAAAGAAGTACTACAGGAATGAGCATCTAACAGGTACCACAGCTGGTCGACATCATACATTTCGATTCAAAGATCCGTAAGGTTCAACCATGCCCCAAAGAGATCCTACACAAGCGAGGCTGTCGTTCTTACAGCCCACGTTCTCAGCGCCATCCTCCGTACACGCGTCGTCTTACTGTATTTTCTAGGTGCGATGCTCTTCACGGGATCGATCTCAGCTGGTGAGGTTGAGACTGTGCAAGGACCTTCCCTGCTGGGAGGGGAGTGAGATTCCTAGACGGGCGATTAGCCACTGTCGTTTGCAGGGACATCCTGAACACGAGATTTGCTGGGGTGCTGTATTGAGATGAGTGGCGAGGAGCTCGAGGACCTTGACCTAAAGGTTGAATGAGAAGGGTAATTGCAGGAGGGATGGAAATGGGATGATAAGGAGATTGAGGTTTTGTTGAGCGTGGTTGTTTCGGTATGCTGTTCATTCGACATTCGTGACAGCGTATAGATTATGTTCGTACAAGTACAAGAGTCATTATCGATGCCATGCAATGCTCCAATCCTTCGCTATGCTCTACTCAAACAAATACGCAATCAAACATTCATCGCCTCTAAGCGTTGAACTCGATCGAGCGCTTAGGGGTAAGACCACACTGAGAAACGTCCACCTTGGTGACAGTGGCGTCCACACGGCCAAGAGCGTCAGCCTGGTTGTTGGTGAGCTGGTTCATGGCGCCCTTGGACAAGTTGAGACCGTCGCCGGCGTGGTCGATGGCGAGGATGTTGATGGTCTTGCCGTTGTAGCTGACCGAGTAGCATTGGCCGCACTGGGCGCTGTTCCAGCCGGCGATGTCGCTGGAGCCACCGACGAGTGGGAAGTTGGGGATGGCGCCTTGGGTTTGGTAGCCGTATCTGGGTGTTGTTAGCATGATGTTTGGTGAGTAAAGGTGAGATGGATAGACTCACTTGGTGATCAGGCCGTTGGCACCGTCAGAGCAAGAGACGGCGGTCATGGATCGGCCAGCATCGTCGTAGCCTGCGTCCCAGGAGACAGTGGTCGCGCTGGCGACGGCGGCGAAGAGAGAAGTAGCGGCAGTGAACTTCATTTTGGCGGTGGTGTGGTTGTTGATTAAATATTAGAGAGTATTAAGTTGGTCGTGATATCTTGCTGGGTTGGAGAGATTATGCTGGATTGAATGCTGATGAAGAGATTGACTGATGAGAAGAGAGGAGATACTTTATATGCCAGCAGAGTGCATGTGCTCGGATACTTCTCACCAGACTGCATGTCACCTTACGTGCCAGAAGGACCTTCAATACGAGAACCCATGACGCTCGTCCCGTCGGATGGCATGTCAGATAGAAGTCACGACGGCAAAAGCGGAGACGCAGCATCGAATACGGGAGGTTGAGGGCCGTCCGCAAGGCTTGGCTCGGCGAGGATGTGCGTAGTAGGTGAGAAGTCGGCGGATGTGTTGTTCAACTGCGTCTTCCGCCTGAGTTTAGCCTGGGGCGCTGCAAAGCGTGTTGCTATTTCGAGGAGGCGTCTGGGGTGCATCATGCTGTAGCGCCACAGGAATTTCGTTGCCCTTGCGTTATGTAACGCTGGCCAGCTGCGGTGCGCGAAACTAGAAAACGCTGGAGAGACGGCGACTTGAGCCTTTCTAATGTTAGGTTGATGGAAGGAGATGGATTCTTCTGCGATGTGAGGTCAAGATGCAACGACGGCATGCCGTTTCCTCCAGCCATCGAATATTCTATACCGCTAATGACTTGGCCTCAGAAGTCGCGGGACATTCTTCTTGTTGACTCCTATCCGACTCGGTTCCGGCCATCAGTCATCATCAGTAATGCCTTCTCTCATCGACCAGTCCTACAGTGGCTGCTCTCCCAGCTATAGACAGGAGGCTAGGTGCTATCTGGGCTGATCAATCTCACGTGCCGAGCAGAGGCGGCTGCTCAGCACGATTTCGTCAGTCCCGAGCTGTCCGGCTACCACCACTCTGTGGCGACAGGTGATATGTATAGCAGATCTTCAGCTATCTTTGCATCGTCCTAGAAACACGACCTGAGAACATCCTTTGGCCCCTATTTCTTACCTCGTATCATTCCCTCTGACATCATGCTTGGAGGCTCCAAGGCCAACATCTACGTCTCGGTGGCACAAGGACACGATCGGGCTATACAGGGAGAACACCACTATCGCCGAGGACAACCGGAATGGTATCTTAGCCTGGAGCCGCACAAGCATCACGTCCCCGGCCTGCCCCACAAGAAAGATCCCGAGCCGATTCACTACCATGCCAGTATAGATGAGTCTGGATCGTACTCGATCACGACTTACGGCGTCAAGGGCGAGCCAGAGATCTTGGGCAATATCTTGGTAGCCGAGAATGTAAAGACGACGCAGGATGATGTCCATAATGCCTTGAAGGAGAGACTTGTCACGGGGCCTTCGAAACTACCGTCTGAACAGACATCCGAAGACGAGCCTGAGCACTGGATACGCAAGGGTGATTAGGCCGGTTCGTCTTGTGTTCTTGAACTCGTATTGACTAGACACTAGCATTGCATGTCTTACAGGCCCATGAGGTCGTCGATAAGTTCGATGTTGGCGAATTCATGACTTACGCTCATGGTCGGTGGAAACAAAATGCCACTCCGAACTCTTTTGCTAACTGACGAGGACCACAGCATACGCAGCGAATCGCGCAGAGCACGAAGCACCTGCGATGATCGCATATCCACGTTTGAACAAGGACCACGAGAAAAAGGCACAGAAACATCAGTTCTGGGTCACATATCCAATGGCGAGCAAAGTTAGCCCGCGTAATGGGTTTGGGAAGTACGGAGGTCTGATGTGATATTGTCAAAGTGTTGAATCTTTTGTTGTTACTGATTGATTGAGATGATACAAGAGTCAAAGATCTGTAGGACGTGGCACGTACGTACTTTGATGATTGAAACACGAGCATTCTATGATACTTTCACAGTCTCATCAAGAACGAGGGACACAGTCCTGTCGCACAATGGCCTCAGAAGGATCTTGTGGGCGATCATGTTCATGTTGAAAAGACTCGGACACGTGACGCTAGGCAACCGCTTGCGTGTGACTTTGGACCCTTTGCGCGTGAAGCTCCTCAGGCTTGCAACGTGGGAGGCTGTGCCTCTCCCGACTGGTGAGTTACCTCTTGAACTCGCTTTTCATCTTCTTTCACGAAATAGATCTTTTCCAGTTTAATATCAACTTAACATCAAAACTCAAGATGTGCCCTCCCGGTACCGACCAAACAACTCGGGGCCCACAGCGGTGGCATCTTCTCGCGCCATCACTCAAGCAGAGCTTCCGGCCTTTCCAGTCTACCGGATGGAGCGAGCGCAACTTTTCAGACCTCTCGCTGTCGGATTTGAAGAACACCACATTCGCCTTTCGGAAACTTTCACGACTGAATGTCACCTCATCTGGCGTTGGCGAAGGACCCATCCCTTCCAAGAAACAGCTTTCCCCGATCGAGGACTTACCAGCCGAGCTACTTGCCCTCATCAACCGCAGTTTGGGAGAGACAGATATCCTTGCTCTAGGAGCATGCTCTCGGACCCTCTGGATGCATGCCCTGCAACATATTCAAGCCGATCATCGAAAATCCATCGCGGCATGGGCTGGGACACCGCTGATCTTCACGGGCAGCTATCTGACAACCTTACCTTCGACGCTCTACGAGAAGTTTCCATATCTCCAGCAGGAAGAAATCGAATATGACAGCCGACAGAGGTTCGATATGGGCCGCGGATGTCCTGCGAACGGCATGTGTCCCGCGCGCAGATGGAACTGGGATGCTGTCAGTTCGTACGAGGCTGTAGATGGCAAGACTTGTCATGAGAAATGGCGAAGTACGCTTTTGACTGTGCCCGACTTGGAGCAGAAGACACTACAAAGGCTTCATGGCGACCTTGACAAAGTCTTCCGTGCGTCTGTAGATGGCCGATGGTTTCTGAGGAACCTCACACTCAAGCAGTTCGTCAAGCTCTACGTCAGTGGCACAAACGCACCAGGACAACTCCAGGTAAATGTTTCAGGCTCGCCATGGCTCTCACTCGACATGGCTCTTCTCGTGCGGACACGCTGGTCGACACCAGGGACGATATCTTATGAGAAAGAGGGGGAAGAGACAGGTGCGTGGGCTGGGCATTGTTTCGATGTAGTCCAAGAGCAACCCGAAGACGAGGATTGGGAAGATGCAACGGTGGCTGTCAGGGATGCGGCTAGAGAGATTGTGGAAAAGAAGCAGTCCTCTGAGAGCAATCCTCTGAGAGCAATCGTCTGAGAGCAGTCATCTGAGAGCAGCGTAGAGAACGGCGAATGAGAACAGCCCGGACCTGAGACCGAACAGGGAGCGCCTCGTTTGCGCTAGCTGGGTGAAGCTAAAGGCTGCAGATAATATTGTTTCTTCACTTTCTTTCTAAAACCCATTTCTTACCAAAATGGAGGAGATATCGGAGTTTATGGGCTTGGCTTGAAGTCAGTATTAGTAAAGAACAAACAACATTGAACTCACTTTCAAAAAGACACATCTTCCTCAAACATCAAAGCCAACCTCAACACCCAATCAACCAACCTCAACAATGGCACCACCCTCAATCCTCGTCCTCGGCCTCGGCGAACTCGGCCACGAAGTCGTCAAAAGCCTCGCCCACCACCCCAAACGAGGCACCACCACCCTCTCCGTCCTGCTACGATCCCAAAACCCCACCCACCTGCAACTCCTCCGCGCCTGGAACATCACCCCTGTCTTCGCCGACGTCGTGCAGGACTCCCCCGCCACCCTCGCCAAACTCTTCAGCAACTACCACACCGTGCTCTGCTGCGTAGGAATGTACGCGCCGCCAGAAACGCAACCCAAAATCGCTCGAGCCGCGCTGGAAGGCGGTGTGCAGCGCTACTTCCCCTGGCAGTACGGCATCGACTACGACGTCGTCGGACGGAACAGTTCGCAGAACCTGTTCGACAGCCAGCTGGACGTGCGGGAGCTTTTGCGGGGGCAGAGCGCGATGAAGTGGGTGATTGTGTCGACGGGGATGTTTATTTCGTTTTTGTTTGAGCCGGCGTTTGGGCTTGTTGGGGAGGGGAGGGATGTGGTTATGGGGATTGGGGGGTGGGGGAATGAGATTACGGTTACGGCGCCGGTGGATATTGGGCGGGTGACGGCGGAGATTGCGTTGGGGCATGAGGGGGTGGAGGGGGTGGTTTTTGTGTCTGGGGATACGGTTTCGATGGGGCGGTTGGCGGATGTTGTTGAGGGGGTTATGGGGAGGAAGGTGGAGAGGGTGCTGAAGACTGTGCCTGAGTTGAAGAAGGAGTTGGAGGAGGCGCCGGAGGATTCGATGAGAAAGTATCGGGTAGTGTTTGCGGAGGGGAAGGGTGTTGCGTGGAGTAAGGCCGAGTCTTTTAATGAGGTTCAGGGGATCACGACGCAGACTGTGGAGGAGTGGGCGAGGGAAAATCTGAAGAAGCAGTGAACATGCTAGAGAGTCCGTCTTACCAGATAATCAATGCAGTTGGAACATCGCATTTTGTGTAGCCGAGGCAGACGATGCTGCTGCTGTTGACCAAGGATCCACACATTGAGCTTGGCACGATAAGTGAATGACCCAAATCCTAAAGGATCACTCACATATAAGGTTTCTGCACGTCATGAAGGAACTCGCCTCGCCCATCCCAAATGCAAATTCGCATCACGAGCAGATGAAACATGCCCATGAGAGAGGTGCAAGACCACCGAAGTACCTAGGCACTAATGCTGTTTTGCCGCCTCGTAACAGATACGAGGCAAGAGATCGACATCACTAACGCAAGATCAGTAGTCCAATCATGCATTTTGCGTTGATGAGGAGAAGTAGATTCTGATGTGAGCAAATGCAACGTACGCGTGCGGTCGAATGCAGAGTTCCACGGGGTGTCCACGGCAACGTTCTTCCGTTTGGGCGCTTACTACATGCTTGATCGGTTTCGCCAGATTTCAAGATCTCCTACCTTGCAAGTCCTAATTCTCTATCTTGTGTGTTGGTCTTATTGGAGCGTGATGGCGACTGCGACTGCTGTAGAAAGACTGGAAGCGAACGTCCCAGCAGCCGATTTGAACGGTCCACATGTGGCGAACTCGGTTGATGTCGTCGAAAAGTATGCCCAAGAGCGAGAGAAGCGCATCGGCAAGGGTCTTAGCCAGTTCGTCGACCTCAGAGAGTCAGCGAAGTTCAAGTCGTTGCTTGATGATCCCTGGGTCGAGCCTGGCACTCCAATCAACGAAGTCGTCTCCGATGGAGGCCACTGCAGAGTCCTCATAGTGGGAGCTGGATATGGAGGTATCTTGTTTGCTGTGAATCTCATCAAGGCAGGATTCAATGTGTATGATATCGTGATCGTCGATCCTGGTGGAGGCTTTGGAGGGACTTGGTATTGGAATCGTAAGCGCTGACCTGCTGTCCGTACATTCGCAGCTAACGTCGCTTGTGGCAGGTTATCCAGGTCTGATGTGCGGTGAGATGATTTGATAACCTCACCGAATCTCATAATGTAACTGATTTTGACCTCTGCCGTACAGATGTCGAGGCATACATATATATGCCTCTTCTGGAGGAGATGCAGTACATGCCGAAGCACAAGTACGCAGGGGGCGAAGAACTCCGCGAATACGCCGAGAGCATATGCCGCAAGTACAACCTCTTTGATCGGGCCATGTTTCAGTCCAGCGCCAAGAAGATGTCATGGGACGATGACAAGCAAGAATGGAAGATCGTGATATCTCAAACGCCCAAAGGACTGCAGCCCAAGGTCATCGACGTTTCTGCTGATTTTGTCATTCTTGCGAGTGGTGTCCTTGACAACGCAAAATTGCCAGATGCGGCGGGCATTGAGGAGTTTCAAGGCGATATGTTCCATACTGCTCGTTGGCATTACAACGTTACTGGTGGCGGCCCTACAGATCCAAGAATGACGCGTCTGCGAGATAAGAAAGTCGGTATCATTGGCACAGGTTGGTAGAACAACATGATGCGGCCGATCGCAGCTGATCTAGTCCCAGGTGCAACGGCCATCCAGGTAGTCCCACGATTGGCAGAATGCTCCAAAGAACTTTACGTGTTCCAGAGAACCCCATCCGCCGTGGCAGCGAGAAACAATCGCACAACTGATCCGTTCGACTGGACGACAGAGATTGCCAACAAGCCAGGGTGGCAGCGGGAGCGAAACTTGAATTACTTCGCATTTGTCGGCAATGCTGAACCCAAGCCAGCCGTGGATCTTGTCAAAGATGGCTGGACTTCAATGCCGAGCTTCAGTGCGCTGATTGCTGGTCCAAGCTATAATGTCACTCCAGAGAATGCTGCTGAGCATGTGTCGAAAATGTACGCTCTTGATCGTCCGATCCAAGATAGGGTGCGGAAACGAGCCTTGGATGCTGTGGACGATCCTCAGACCGCGAGCAAGCTGCAAGCGTGGTATGCTGGGTGGTGCAAACGACCTTGCGTAAGTGGTTTGATTTCTTCAATTGCACGCCCTGTTTTGACCACATCCAGTTCCATGACGAGTATCTGCCTGCCTTCAACCACCCGCACGTCAGGCTCGTTGACACAGATGGCAAAGGCATAGACCGGCTATCACGTAATGGAGTCATTGCTAGTGGTCATGAATACGAACTTGATGTGATAGTGTGGGCATCGGGATTTGTGTCACCTGCTGTTGGCACGCCGGCATCCAAGGCAAGCATCGACTTGACTGGCAGGCGAGGGGAGCGATTGGAGGAGAAAGTTCGCGAGAAGGGCGTTTCATCGCTTCATGGTGTTGTTAGCCGAGGGTTCCCAAATATGTTCTGGCCAGGTCCCTTCCAGACCGCTGGTATGTTTTCCCTTTTGATGTTCCTGCTTATGCATGTGCTGATCAACTGCCACAGCGAGTCCAAACCAGATGTTCCTGTTGGAGACACTCAGTTCCCATGTCGCGTATATCGTAGCCGAGGCAAGTTGCCGGACCGGAGGCAAAGCTGTAGTTGAACCTACCGCTGAAGCGGAGGAGCAGTGGGCAGCGCGTATATTGGAAGGCGCAGCCGTCTTCTCCAGCGTGGCGGGCTGCACCCCAAGCTACATCAACAAGGAAGGCGAGGTCGATAACATGACCATGGAAGAGAAGATCAAGGCGGCTAAAGGCGGCGTCTGGGCCAAAGGCATCGTTGATTATGTCCATGCCCTTGAAGCCTGGCGAAAAGAGAACACTCTACACGGGCTAGAGATCAAAAGCGGCTGAAGACAGGCGGTAACGAGCCTTTCATTCGCAACGCAACGCCTCAGGTCCAGCCGTCAAATCAAATATGGTTTGTTTCAACTGAGTTTTTGAGGACTGCCCGAGCCACTGTGCAATCGCCAGAGCCAAGCAAGACAGAAGCTTAGCGCCAGGTGACGACTGCTTGTCTAGGTCCAAAGACTGAGCCAGGAGAACCGACCATATTTCGCAAACAGGACCAATCCGTACTATCCAGATCTCGTGGCGTCTGTTGGCATCGTTCCAGTCGCGTCGACATCTCTGCCACGGTTGTTGATGTGCATAAGGAGAAGACAGGACGATGGCTGTCACGAAATGAACACCAGATAAGGTTCGGCCCGTTAGACGAGGCCCATTTGGGTGAAAGTTTCCCACGGGCACAGGCCTCATGCTGTGTTATCTCTCGAGGTCGATAAGCATCAACATGCGTGTTGGAGCACAACAGTGCTTTTGGCGTGCGTGTGATAGCCGTTCGAGGATGTTCGCAGCTCCGATAAGCCCAGGCGCCATGTCGTCGGGTCCTTTGAGCTTCTATTTCAACGACATCATCCTCTCTCGCTGCACCTTGTACGACGATTGTTGCAGGAATGAGTGCTGCTGAAGAGGAAAAGAAACTCCCCGTCGAGGATGGCCAGCTTTCACCGGCGAGACGAGGAAGCGTCGAAGAAGGCGATGTCCTTGAGAATGTGCTGGGTTACAAGCAGGAGCTGCATCGCAATCGTTCCATGTTCACCCTGCTATTCCAGTCATTAGCAATTGCCGCAATCCCTTACGGAGAGGGAAGTCCTTTGCTTTCGGCCATATATGGCGGAGGTCAATTGTCCATCTTTCTGGGCTGGATCATTGTTCTCATTCTGGACCAATGCGTTGCAATGTCATTGGGCGAACTGGCGAGTCGATATCCAACTTCAGGAGGCCCGTCATATTGGTCCTTCCAGGTCGCGCCGAAATTCAAGACTCAGCTGGCCTACGTGAGTGTCGTTCAAGCTGATCGTTCCCATCGCGAAAGCTAACTGGCGACAGTTGACAGGCTGGACGTGGTTGATTGGGAACTGGACGATCACCCTCTCAGGTATCTTGAACTCTCACGCTCTCATGAGCAGACGCTGACCAGCAAGCAGTTAATTTTGGATTTGCGTCGTTGCTGTCTGGGACAATAGCCATGTACCATCCGGATTTTGTCCTCAACGACTGGCAGTTGCTGTTGGTCTTTTACGCCGTAACGCTCTCGACGCTCGTGATATGTACCTTTTGCAATCGATGGCTACCAATTGTAGATACGATATGCGCTGGTAAGAGTTGACTCGAGGAAATTTGCAAACGCCTGCTGACACTTTTCGTAGGCTTTACTGCGTTTTCAATCTTGATCATCTTGATTGCGCTCTCTGTCCAGGCCAAGGCGGGTAGACATTCTGCAGCGTACGCCTTGGGCAACTACGACGACAGTCTGAGTGGATGGGGAGGCTTCTCGTGGTTTATTGGTTTGCTTCCAGCTGCCTACACCTTCAGCGCGCTTGGAATGTGGGTATAGTTAGCGTCGTAGAAACTTCGAAGACTGACAACGTCCCAGGATATCGTCGATGGCTGAAGAGTGTGCGGATCCTACCGTTAAGGTACCGCGCGCCATTTCTCTGTGCATACCGGTCGGTGGCTTCTGGGGGCTTCTGTTCATCCTACCCATCTGCTTCACGCTTCCTCCGTTGGCAGATATCCTGGAGGCTCCAGCAGGCCAGGCTCTGCCGTATATTTTCGCAAGGGTCATGGGAAGTCCTGGAGGCGGTCTTGCCCTGATCTTCTTCGTTTTGGTCATAACCATCTTTTGTTCGATCTCGATTACCACCGCGGCTTCTCGCTGCACTTGGGCCTTTGCTCGTGAGTAGCACTCCGTCCTTGAAGACTTGCTCCATTGTGCTGACTGTATGGACAGGCGACGATGCTATTCCTGGGGCGAAGCTGTGGGCACGAGTGGACAAGAAGCTCGGAGTTCCTGTCTGGAGTCTGGTCCTCATCACAGTCGTGCAAATGCTCCTTGGGCTCATAAACCTGGGCTCGACAGCTGCCTTCACAGCGTTCGTCTCAGTCGGCGTGCAGGCGTTGGCCTTGAGCTATGGCATTCCAATTGCCATCAGCTTCTGCTGTGGCCGGCGGGCTGTGATGCAGGCCAAGTGGCATCTCAGTCACGGAATTGGATGGGTCGCCAATGTTATCGCACTTGCGTGGATCGGCTTCGAGCTGGTGCTATTCTCCATGCCGACAGCTCTGCCGGTCACAGCGACTTCGATGAACTACGCGAGCGTGGTCTTGTTTGGGTTTCTGGCCATTGCCGCTGTGTGGTATGGCGTGTACTCGCGGAAGTCGTACCAGGGCCCTCCTGCCAGCGAGGGATTGTAGATTAGACAAGAGCAGGAAGATTCCTGTGCTGCATGAGTTGAAGCGATGGATGTAGATGGATTCTATTCGAGTAGATGTTAATGTTGATTGTGATCACCCATCGCACACCCGGATGAGAAATTACGCCCATCGTGGATTATTGGAAGAGCTATTGTGGAACCTCTCGAGATCCACACACTAGCTCGAACTGGCAGGTACCCATCCAGGACCCACTCATACGCCCTGTCTTTGACTCCATCTTCGCTTCACCTTATATCAAAGTCTTGCCTTCATGACCTTGGCATCTTCTCTCCATCATACCAAGACCGGTTGCCATACCTGCTGAACTGTCTCGGACCGTGGACGAACGGCTACGTACAGTACAGTGGCCTATCTAGATCTTGCTCGCCGACGACGGGCAACACTCTTGGCTTCTTTCCCAGGGGCATAACTTCTACCAGTTCCTTACACCTTTGACAGTATTCCAAATCCGATCCAATCCTTCTCAAGACAAGATGCCAGAATTCGACGTTGCAAAAATACGAAGCCAATTTCCTGCTCTCAGCGGCAAGCAGGTGTACTTTGACAATGCTGGTGGAAGTCAAGTCTTGAAAACAGTCATTGACGCGTGAGTGATTCAAGGTCGGTTGAATAACATGTGGCTGTGCTGATCAAGCCTTTTAGTGTTGCCGCTTACCTCTCCAACAACAATGTCCAACTAGGAGCCAGCTACCCCATCTCCCAGACATCGACCGATGTATTCGAGCAAGGCTGTGCGGCGGCGGCGAAGTACATCAATGCCAGTCCAGACAACGTTGTGATAGGACCTAGCACGACTCAACTATTCAGGAATCTTTCACTGGCTCTACATGATTACATTACGCCGGACTCTGAGATCATAGTGTCACTACTGGACCACGAAGCGAACATCGCCTCCTGGGTTCACCTTGCCAAATGGCGAGGCTGCACGCTCAAACGGTGGGGAGCTGAAGACAAGAAGAACCCCCAGTTGGATACCAACATTCTTCGAGGACTCATGACGGAGAAGACGAAGTTGGTGTGCTGTACTCACACGAGTAACATTCTCGGCACACTCCACGATGTCAAATCGATTGCGAAGACCGTCCACGAAGTTTCAGGGGCTCTCTTGTGTGTGGACGCCGTTGCTTACGCACCGCATAGAGCGATCGACGTGGCAGATTGGGGCGTGGACTTCTACTCGTTCTCCTGGTACAAGCTCTACGGTCCTCACATCGCCTCCCTGTACGCCTCGAATGAGGGCAAGAAGCATTTGTCAACTTTAGGTCATTTCTTCAAGCCGACTGATACATTGGAGAACCTTCTCAATCTATCAGGTGCAAACTACGAGCTGGCTGCGTCGATTCCGGAAGTTTGCAAGTACCTGCAAGAGGTGCCGTGGGAAGAGACGAGCAAATTTGAGGAGAAGCTCCAAGGCATTTTGATCGACTATCTGCTTTCAAAACCTGACACGTACCAAATCTGGGGCGAGCCAACTGCCGATCGAGCCAAGCGAGTGCCTGTTATCAGCTTTACGGTAAAGGGCAAGAGCAGCAAAGAAGTGGTGGATGCGATTGAAGCGAGGAGCGACTATGGTTGTCGCTGGGGTGCATTTTATTCCAATCGTCTTGCAAAGGACGTCCTTGGCCTGGACCCAGTTGACGGCGTGATTCGAGTGAGCCTGCTGCATTACAACACCGAGGAAGAAATAAAGGGATATGTGAAGGTTCTGGATGAGGTTGTATTTTCATAGTCCACATAAACGCATCGTCAGCGAGCTGCTATAGATTCGTCTAGACATCCCATCACTACATTTCATTTCAGCTTGCAGAGAGCAAGCATATCGTAACGTGCGAAGAAGTGCCGACTTTTCTTTCCGAACACATCTGTACAAGTGTATTAGCTTTTCATGTCCATATACGTGACAGCAGACGCGAGGACTTACACATAGGAATCGTCAACGCACAAATGCCAACCTCTACACTCGCCACCGCGATAAACAGATCTCTGACACTCGACTCCTGGAGCCACGTGTATCCGCTGTAGCAGACCCCGAAGGCAAAGACGTTCTTGAACAACAGCAGGCAAGTGAAAGCCTCCACAGTGTACTCGCGAAGGGCATCGACAATGTATAGAGCTGTGGCGACCGTGCCGAAGACCATGCCGCCGCACAGCCATCCGAAGAAGACGTCGACCAGGATATATCCATAGGACTTGTCCGAGGCTGTAATACCGAAGCCGTACAGACCGCCCGCGCCGAAGATCAAGAGCGGCAGGACGAGAAGCATACGGAACTCGGGCTCGTCTGTGGAAAGTGTTAGCATCTCACGGAGTATTGAATGAAGAGATTGAGGAGACATACAAATTCCCCCATTGAGCTTTGTCAACCACTTTGCACTCGAGTCGCTCAAAAGGCCCGAGAAGATCATTCCCAGCAGCGCGCCGATGAAGCCTCCCGTGTACAGGTATCCTGTGTCGGCTTCGTTGAAACTCCACTGGATCGCCACAAACGCCATCATAACGCCAACGAGTACGGTCCAGGCGATGACAGTCCCTTGGATTAAGCAGGCCCAGAGCACGGTCGGGTGCAGAAACATTGGGAAGGGACGGAGGAACAGTTTCCAGAAGGCCTCATCTGTCTTACGTCCGTTGAATGGCATCAGTGATTCTCGAGACAAGAAGGTTACCCTGCTGTCGCGATGGGAGCTGTGAGCGACGATGTGTTCTGCGAAGTGGGCGTCGTTCTTCTTCTCAGAATCTGGAGACATGTCAACGCTGCCGGATGAACAGTCCGTAGGCGTGAGGTCGGGATCGTCATCACGGACGTAGGCGGTCTCAGGGCAAAACAAGACCACAGCAGGGAGGAGGACAGCCGTGAAGATAGCCACAAGCCAGAACGACCATTGCCATCCTATCGCAAGCGTCATGCTATCGGACAGCTGTTAGTGGTTCTGCATGAAGTGAAGTGTTGGCAGTCGAAAATCACATACCGGCCAACAATAATAGGGGCGAAGAAGGACGAGCCAAAAAGGCTCATGTTAGTGAGGGCCATGCGCTTGCCGCTTTCGTGGACGAAGTAGAGATCTCCGACGGTGGCGTTGATCAATGCTTCGAAGGGAGCCAGTCCAAGGCCCTGGCCGATCGTGAACATTCTGAGCTTGGACAGGAAGTCATATGAAACGTACCTGAAAGAATCGCGCGGCGACAATCGACTCATAGCTATGCCCACTGCAGCCGGCCCAGACCGAGCTCAGGATGATGATCAGAGTCCCCAGGAGGTAGAGACGACGTTTGCCCCAGACACGAGCGCTGGCAACGAAGACTGGACCCCCCACTCCAATGCCGAGTAGATGCCAGCCCGTCAGCATTGACATGTCTGTAAAGCTAATGCCCTTAAACCACAAAAAGTAGGTGATGTTATTGGCGGCCATGATGGATGTCAAGGCTGCCCCAAGGACGGCGACACCACTCAGAATGCATGTTATCAAGTCTCTCTGCCATAGAGGCCAATTCAAGGGGTCTTGAGGGTCGTCGCTGGGTTGTGGCACGAGAATGATGCCTTCTTTGCTACGCTTGACATTGTAGAGGGTCGTAGTGCTCGTCGTTCGTCCACCGAGGTCTTCTAGAGTCGCAGTACCTGTATAAACGTCAGAGGACTGTCTAAAATCGACAGATCAAGGGCTATCATGCCTGGCACATGGCGAGTCGCTCGGACTTCCAGAATTCCCAGACCCATCTTCGAAGCAAGTCTCAAACGGTGTGTCGTCTGGTGGGGTGTACGAGCGCTTTACGAAGGACCCCTGCATCCCATATATCTTTCCAGCATTTCTTTTGCACACGACCTGCATGTCTATCAGTTCGCTTTAGAATTCACCTAGTATACGAACCATACGAGGCCGAGGCATAGCAAAGCTCTATAGCACACGCAACGTCGAATCTGATCTGCTTTTGAGCTCATAGAGTTCAAACCGTGTACTGACTGAGTTGAGGGGAGCGTATTTGGCCTACTGAGATGCGCACATGGTGCGCGAATGGACGTTTCATGCCGAGCAGGAGAAACAATGTCGTGTGACCTACTCCGAGGCTGCAAGTGGCCGATTACTGCTCTTGGCAGGACTTGTCCTTGTGAATGGACCATGGAGGCTCGGATTTTTTCAATTAGTTCTCTGTGTGTGGTCGATATCCGGTTGTATGAGAGCCGCCACATGCCAATAAGGTATATCGCGCTGGCTATCTCAGTGACCATGCGCTTGCGATGAACGTCGGCGCCGCCCAAGATCAAGAAAAGTTGGGGATGCGCCGCAGAATGACTTGAAAGTGATCCATTTCGTTTTCTGTCTTGCTTGCGTTGGCTTTGCATGATCAGCGACAAGTGCCAGATGCCAGATTAACACCGAGGCGAGGGTGAAGTTGAGCGTGAGTTGCATGTGGAAGGGAAGAAAGCCGGTCCGGCTATTTTGACGCGCTAGTCATGCCGATTCTGACCCTATGTGGGTTTTTTCAACCGGAATGTAGCCGAGTGGACTTCACGTCCTGAGAGTGAAAAGACCTTTCCATACATCTCACTGCCGTGGCCTTCGGCATCGATAAACGGCTGGAAGGAAACTCAATGGTGTCTTGCTATACATCTGAACAAGGCTCGGCGACTAATCAAAAGATAGTTTCCAATGCCATCGACCGACCCCGCTCCCCGCTTCGCTTTGCAGTAGCAGCTCCCAGCCTCGTAGCAACAGCTCCACTTGGTTCCTGTTATGTTTTCGTTACCTAACAGAAGGTAAGATCAGAAGTGTTCTTACCTGTCAGACCTGTCACTATGCAGTTGGCACCAAAAGAGGTACGTCAGACCTGAAACAAGTGTTTCACAAGATGCCTCTCCACGACCTTGAAGCTCTCCGTCCGCCGTTCTGATATCCACCTTTGGAACAGCTAGATAAGCTCGTCATTTCACAAACAGGTTTCCTCGCCCAACGACGACTTGCACGAGGAGTCCGTCTGAACCACAGCGAAGCCTTGGCCTTGATCGCGAGCGTCCTGCACGAATTGATAAGAGATGGCGAGCACACGGTTGCGGATCTCATGTCCCTGGGCACGACTTTGCTCGGGAGACGACATGTTCTACCTAGCGTCCCGCATACACTCACAGAGATGATGGTTGAGGGCACGTTCAGGAATGGAACATATCTGGTGACAATCCATAATCCAATCGCAACGGACGATGGGGATTTGGAACGGGCTCTTTATAGCTCCTTTCTACCTATACCCAACGTCGAGAAATTCCCCTGGCCCCCGATCGAAGGCTTGGACGCATGGAGTGAAGAGAAGATGCCAGGTGCTATCATTGCTGTCAAGGGCCAAAACGGGAGGATCAAATTGAACGAGGGAAGAAGGAGAATACGTCTGAAGGTCACGAGCCAGGGAGACAGACCAATACAAGTGGGAAGTCATTATCACTTCGCAGAGACCAATCCCAAGTTGGAGTTTGATCGTCTGAAGGCCAGAGGCATGAGATTGGACATACCTGCAGGGACGAGCGTACGTTTTGAGCCAGGCGACAGCAAGACTGTCACTTTGGTCGAGATTGCCGGCAACCAACTGGTTCGGGGCGGCAATGCTTTGGCAGAGGGTCCTATAGGAGACGAAAGTGCGACGCAAGCTATATTGCAGCGACTGCAGAGTGGTGGCTTCTTGCACAAAGAGGAGCCGGCGAGCGATCAACCACTTGATCCATTCATCATGGCAAGAGAAGCCTACATTGCCATGTTCGGTCCAACCACTGGGGACAAGATCCGGCTCGGACCCACCGATCTGTGGATCCAGGTTGAGCGAGATTTGACAGTCTATGGTGATGAATGTTCCTTCGGTGGTGGCAAGACTCTTCGTGATGGAATGGGTCAAGCATCTGGACGCTCTAACAACGAAAGCCTCGACACTGTTGTCACCAACGCCCTCATCGTTGACTGGACCGGAATCTACAAAGCTGACATTGGCATTAAGAATGGCATCATCGTTGGGATTGGCAAAGCTGGTAACCCGGATGTCATGGCGAATGTTGATCCGAATATGGTAGTGGGAAGTGGTACCGATGTCATTGCTGGAGAGCACAAGATTATCACCTACGGTGGCTTCGACTCACATATTCACTTCATCTGTCCTCAGCAGGCTCATGAAGCTATCGCCAGCGGCATTACGACATTTTTGGGTGGAGGCACAGGGCCAAGCACTGGGACGAATGCCACGACGTGTACACCAAGCCCGAACAACATCAAGTGGATGCTGCAGACTACCGACGCTTTCCCGCTGAACATTGGTGTGACTGGCAAGGGCAATGATGCTGATCCTACTAGTTTGAGGGAACAGGCTGATGCTGGCGTATGCGGCCTCAAGCTCCACGAAGATTGGGGGACAACCCCCAAAGCCATCGACACCTGCCTCTCAGTCTGTGAAGAACACGACATTCAGTGCCTCATCCACACCGACACCTTGAATGAATCTGGCTTTGTCGAAACGACCGTAGCTGCCTTCAAGAACCGCACAATCCACACCTATCACACCGAAGGTGCTGGAGGTGGCCATGCTCCTGATATCATCTCAGTCGTTGAGCATGAGAACGTTCTGCCTTCGTCTACAAACCCAACAAGACCCTACACTGGCAACACTCTGGACGAGCATCTCGACATGCTGATGGTCTGCCATCATCTGTCGAGGAACATTCCGGAAGACGTAGCGTTTGCAGAGTCCCGCATTCGAGCAGAGACAATCGCCGCAGAAGACGTGCTTCACGATCTCGGCGCTATCAGCATGATGTCCTCAGATTCCCAAGCCATGGGTCGTTGCGGAGAAGTCATTCTTCGAACATGGAATACTGCCCACAAGAACAAAGTCCAACGCGGTTTCCTGCCCGAAGACAAGGGTTCCGGCGCGGACAACTTCCGTGTGAAGCGATACATCAGCAAATACACCATCAACCCAGCCATCGCACAAGGCATGGGTCACTTGATCGGCTCCATCGAAGTGGGCAAACTGGCGGATCTCGTGCTCTGGAATCCCTCCAACTTCGGTGCTAAACCAACACAGGTGGTCAAGGGAGGGATGGTTGCTTGGTCGCAGATGGGTGATCCGAATGCTTCGATTCCTACAGTCGAGCCTGTCATTATGAGGCCTATGTTCGGCGCTTGGAATCCGGCCACTGCAGTGGCGTGGGTCAGCCAGTCGAGCGTGGAGAAGGGAGTCGTGGAGCAGTACGGCTTGAAGAAGAGGATCGAGCCTGTGAGGAAGTGTCGCGGCATTGGGAAGAGTGACATGAAGTGGAATGATTCCAAGCCCAAGATGAAGGTTGATCCGGAGCGATATGTAAGTTGAGGCCCGCTCTTTGATGTGATGATTTGGTCCGCTAACGTTTTGGACAGACTGTCGAAGCCGACGGGATGTTGTGTCAGGCTGAGCCGGCTGCGACTTTGCCTTTGTCGCAGGCTTATTTCGTGTATTGATCTCTGTTCCCTTTCTTGAGCGTTGTGATGATTCGCGAGTCTCATCAGGAGTCTCAAATAGTCTGAGCCCATCCAACCCATCGATGGAGTATTCGTTTCCCTTTCATCAATTTAGTCGATGGGATGCCACGAGCCTCACTTGTTTCATTCCTATCAACAACGATATTCAAGCAAACTTGAGCGCATGCTGCCTCTGCGTTCGCAACGCCGAAGCCAAGCTGCGAATCCCAACGTTGACTGGACAAAGGAATCCATTCGAGTATGTTAACTCGGCCAGTTGCTCTCAACTCCTCAATCTGGTGTCTGTCTGCTCCCCACCCATCCCCTTCACGTCTCTTCCCAAACTGTCCCGCAATGCAAATGGTATCTCAAACTCAAACTCCATCCCGAAAGCTCTGAACGCCTTGCGCCTTCCTGATGCTGTTCCTCACTTATACTGCGGTTGTCCCGGCTGTGCATACGGATTCCCACTATTCCAACCTTGCGGTGGTCCGTTCTGCATAGGTATCTGTTGTCCTCCTCCGCCGTTCATCTGCTGCTGGACGTCCGGTCGGTACTTCAGGTCTTGATGGAAGTGGCAGATGTGGCAGTTGACTTCGTGCCAGGGTTTGAGGGAGAATGGGATGATCGGGACAAAGCAGAAGGTGAACCATTCCCTAGCAAGTACAACAGCGTTAGCGTGTGTACCTTGATGAGCGCCGAATCTTTGCGAGCTCCTTGTCCGCGCAAGGTATATGAATGCTTACCATCGCTTTACTACCTTCCCGCTGAAGTTCCCGCAGTTTTGACACTGTACGGTAACGGATTCATATCCTTGGAGCAGAGACTGGAAAGCTATCCATGGGTCAGCATGTAGCTCGGGTCTGGCGCGAGGATCCTGGATATAGTAGGAGTTGCGACTCACTATGGGTGCCGCATGTGAAGATGAACGCCATCGAAGAGCCTTGTCGAGAACTGTATTACTTGTCGAGAAGTTGTGCGAAGGCGTAAGTGCTGTTTTCAATGAGTGGACGAGTGCTGATGATGTGCCTCTCCAGCGGACGTGTAAGTCGCGATTGCGCGGCAAGTTCTGGGCGTCACAGAATGCTCGTTATCTCAGCAGGGACGGCCCGTGTAGATCTGGGGTTCGCAAACGGTAGGTCCGAACTTTATGCCCAGGCGTAGGACGAATGTCGTTCAATCTGTGGCATGGACGAGATAGGGGAGCTGGTAAGAAGCGTAGGTGACTCGGAGTATCGAATGGTTTGAAAGAAAAGCACAGGATCAGCCGTAACGCCAAGTTCCAGGAGCGTATCTCATGCAGGCTACATTTTGTACAGTGACTCGAGGAGTCGTGACGAGCACGACGCGTCTACTGAGTCTTGAACAGCAGAATTGCGCAGTGGCCGAGATAGAAGTAGATGAAGTGCTTCGTCTCTATGATGTTCGTCAGCAAGTAGATCCCCAGATATTCTCAGGTTGACATTGTTCAAGACTAACCGTGCGTGACGAAGCTGCCAAAGTTTCGGCCGACGATGCAGTGCCAGGTCGCGCCTTTGCGCTCGTCGAACTGACTGGCGTTAGATGATGCCCTCGAGGCGCTTGCCATGGATTCGGACGTACGGTTTTCTTGATGTAATGGGCGATTTCCTGCGGTTGGCTGTCAATAGCTGAAGAGTAGCGAGCACCGGAGTATACTGACCTTCTCAACTGTGAACTGCTCCATTGATTCTCGTGCTGTGAAGTGTTAGGCTGGCGATTGGTTTTAGGCAGTTGCAACGACGACTGACCAACTTCAACGGCTTCCTGCTGCATGTCCTCGCTCTGCAGAAAGCAGTATCAGTATCCGGCCCCGCAAGTCCGATTGACCGAATTTTTGAGCATACCATGTCGACTGACTTGATTTGCGCTATTGGACCTGTCAGTATTGTGTTTTGACTCCCCTCAACACGGGTCGCGTTCTCACCCTCGAGTTTCTCGGCCTTGAGATCGTCTTTCTCCACGGCAGCCATGTCAGCGTTGTTTGTAGACTCGGATTGGAATGTGACTGAGTTGGACAATGGCGTGGCACCGGCGGCTTGAATTGTCGTTGTGGCAGGGGCGATGTTGTGGTGCAAGAGATGGTGGAAAAGCGGCGAATGGGAAGCCAGGCGGCTGGAGCCGTGCATTTTAAGCGGACGTCACCCTGTCCTCGCCCACTAAGCCGACTTTTTCTGCGAACACTACCTTACATCTGATCGTCCACACCCTCCACCATGGCTTCGTCGCGTGTGTTCGTGAAGGGCTTACCCCCAACCTTCACTGAGCCCGACTTTCGAAAACACTTCTCTCAGAATGGACGACACGTTACTGATGTCAAGATCTTCCCTTCCCGTCGAATAGGTGGGTGCAGACACTTTGGCCATACTCAAACTTTGGAGCGATATGGCGAAGAGCTCGGGCATGTATCAGTGACTAACATGTCTTTGCAGGATACATTGGCTACAAGACCCCGGAGGATGCACAGAAAGCCGTGAAGTATTTCAACAAGACTTTCATTCGCATGAGTCGCATCGGAGTTGAGTTGGCACGTCCAATCGAGGAACCCGAGAGCTTGAAAGCATTAGGCGCCGAGAATAAAGACAATGATGGAAGCAACACAGCAGACGATGGGAACAAGCTCAAGCGTAAGAGGGAGGACCTAGTGAAGAAGGGAGACGAGGAAGCAGACCCGAAATTGAAGGAATTCCTCGAAGTGTACAAGCCAAAGATCAAAAAGGCGGTCTGGGAGAATGAGACCGAACAGTCAGAGACCGTAGCTACTGCGCAGGACCAAGAACAACCGGCTGCTGTCGTCGACGGGGAAAGCGATGACGATTATGAACAAGTGCCGAAGAAGGCCAAACGAGTGAAGGACCAATCCAAAGCAGAGGACTCGGTCGTCCCCGAACAGACTCGACATACTGCCCAAGAACCCGAAGTTGTGGATGCGGAGGATTCAGGAGAGCAGCCCAAATCAACGCCTGACCAGCCAGCCTTGTCTGATGCCGATTGGGCACGGTCGCGGACAAGCCGCCTTCTGGGTCTCCTCGACGATGATGAGGACGCGGACGTCGCAACTACAAAGCCTCTGGCCGGATCTGAAGATGACTCTGACGTGGACATGGATGCTGAGACCTCATCAAATGAAAAAGCCGTTTCGGCGGCGGCAGCAGCAGCCTCGATTCCTACACCTGGAGACGCGACACGAGATGCGACAGAATCTAAGGACGATGCTGCAACTACCGCTGAAGACTCAGAGGGCGTTCGCTCAAGCATGCGTTTGTTCGTTCGAAATCTTCCGTTCGACCTCCAACCTGAGGAACTTGAGGCTGAATTTGCCCAGTATGAGAACTTGGAAGAGGTAAGCTAAACTTTTCTCTTCGTTCAATTGCTTTGTGATGATCATCCAGATAGGGACAGCTTATGCTTCGGCATTTGATTAGATCCTGGAAAGAGTATTTTAGTAGATGCCTCTCATGTCTGACCAGCAGCTATCAGCACAACCGTTCTTGCCATATCAATAGCAACAGCAGCTGACAATCCTCGACAGGTCCACCTTGCTCGCGACAAGAAGACGGGCACGGGCAAAGGCTTTGCGTTTGTGCAATACACAGACCCTGACTCCGCCGAGCAAGCACTTACCGACCGTGACGGGAAACCCTTTCAAGGCCGCCTCCTACATATCATAGCTGCGAAACCACGTCGTCAGCAGCTTGACGAGTTCGAAATATCTAAGCTACCTCTGAAAAAGCAGCAGGAGATTAAGCGTCGTAGAGAGGCGTCCTCCAAGACGTTCAACTGGAATGCCCTCTACATGAATGCCGACGCCGTCGTTTCCAGTGTTGCCAGCCGCCTCGGCTTATCCAAGTCGGAGGTGCTCGACCCCACCAGCAGCGATGCGGCAGTAAAGCAGGCTCATGCCGAGACCCATATCATCCAGGAGACAAAATCGTACTTCAGACAACAAGGCGTTGATCTCGATTCCTTCAAGAGAAGTCAGCGTGGCGATACGGCCATCCTGGTCAAGAACATACCATCTGACTGCAGCAAAGACGAGCTCAAACGACTATTCGAGGAGCATGGGGACATCAAGAAGTTCCTCATGCCTCCGTCTGGCACCATTGCTATCATTGAATATGCAAACTCGGCTCAATGTCAAGCCGCATTTGGTGCTCTCGCATATCGAAAGCTGAGAAGCTCGATGCTGTTCCTAGAGAAAGCGCCAAAGGATCTGTTCTCGGGAGCGCCAGTCGCTAGCGAGGTGACAACTGATGGCGTGAGCAAAGTCTCGGGGGCAGATCTCAAGGACTCTGAGCAGACTGTTCCCGACACTCTTGGTTCAGCCACCCTTTACGTGCGAAACCTGAACTTCACCACTACGACTCAGCTTCTAACGGACACCTTCAAACCCTTGAGCGGCTTTCTCTCTGCTCGCGTCAAGACCAAGACCGACCCAAAGAAACCTGGTCAAGTTCTCAGCATGGGCTTTGGCTTCCTGGAGTTTCGATCTGCGCAGGAGGCCCAAGCTGCTCTGCAGGCCATGGATGGCTACACTTTGGAAGGTCATAAGTTGCAGATCCGGGCCAGCCACAAGGGAGCCGATGCTGCTGAAGAGCGCCGGAAAGCCGATGCTGAGAAGAAGGCTGCCGGCCGAAAAACCAAGGTCATCATCAAGAATTTGCCATTCGAAGCCACCAAGAAGGACATTCGAGCCCTCTTCGGTGCTTATGGTCAGCTTCGCAGTGTACGAGTGCCCAAGAAGATGGACCGTGGCGCCCGTGGCTTCGCCTTCGCCGATTTCATGACCGTCAAGGAAGCCCAAGGTGCCATGGATGCCCTGCGCGATACCCATTTGTTGGGTCGCAGGCTTGTGCTCGATTTTGCTGCAGAGGATCCCGAAGATGCCGAAGCTGAGCTCGAGAAGATGCAACAGAAGGTTGGAGCTCAAGTCAACAAGGTCGCACTGCAGAAGCTCACCAGTGGTGGACGAAAGAAGTTTACCACACAGCAAGATGAGGACGATGGATGATTGATGCCCTCAAAGGGTGCTGGGTGAATCCCAGAATTTTGAGTGTTTCGAAAGATGCTGAGACGATGCACTGATAATCAACAGCGCAACCCAGAGGGATGTCACTCCTTGACATGTACTCGAACATGATCTACTCACGTGATCCGACGTCTCAAGGCTGGAGTCACAGCAGAGCCCTTGCTTCCTTCGATGCGACCACTTTGTAACATGCACCTGCACGACCGATTTTTGGCTTTTGCTGGACTTTTCAAGATCTTGCGTCAACGAGACGACTTCAGCGCGGGGCCTAAACTTATGAAAGTAGCTGCTAACGACGCGGTTGTCAACAATGCTGCATTCCACCGCACTTGATGCCGCATTCCTGCTCTCGTGAGGATTGAGACATTTGGAGATTGCCACCACGCCAAGCTCTACAGCATCCCTTCCCCGATCAATTTTTCCACTGGCAAAGTAACGTCACCTGCCATGCCCTTGCACTCACTTTTATGAGGTCGCCTTGCCGGTCTAGGCTACGCTATCTGGAGATGTTGATGCAGGCAATCGGTTATCCAGCCGAACCACCTTTTAGACTGCTTGAGCAGGCAGGGCCGAGATTGCATGCTCTGCTCCTGGGCCCCTGGCGGCGACACAAGGCTAAGTCAGCACGCACACCCTTCCTGTCTAGATGGTACTTTCAACGAGGCCTGTGTATATACCGTCTTGTTGGCTAGCAACCACGGCATGACCCGTGAGTTCCCTTCAGCCTGGAGGTGCTGCCACTCCTTTTCAAGTCCAACCTAGTCGTTCCTTTTCTACAACCCAAACGATCCAACTTCTTACGTTCCTTTGATTTCGTCTGTCACAACACATACATCTGGCGAATCACGGCGAGACCGTCGAAGAGGTCCCTTAAACATTCTTGACTTTGCAAGCATTCTTCTGCTGCATGCCTCTGCAGCTGGATTGCTCACACACAATGATTCAACCGGCGCCGGTTTTGCCTTCGAACGGCTCACCATTACTGAATGCCGATACGGGCCGCACGTCGAGGGCGCTACAGGAGCAGTCAACGAATCGACAGCACAATGAGTACTCCTATGTCGAGGGCCAGGAGCAAAAGTACTCGTCGTTGTTGACAGAGAACAACTATCCCGGTCATCACCCTCAACCACAGCCACAACATATATACCGTCAGACGCCGTTGCAACGAAACCAATATCGACACAGCAGCTCGAGGTATCAACTGGGCCACGACACTCATGATGCTCGGGCTCGGGCGAAACAAATTGCATCGCAGCTTTACGAACGGTTCCGAGCGTCGGACCATTATATGAAGTATCGCAATCGACAGCAAAAGGATGACAAGAATGGGCAGGAGCAGAAATGGCCGGATCATCTGGAGTGGGCGTTCTTCCAAGGTATGTATCTCGTCAGGAGAGACTACCGTCGCCGTTCATGACTGACGTTTGGTTGCAGCTCTCGTCTACTGGCGACCCATGGGACGTCGTCAAATCCCACACAAAGACAAGAGAAGAGGACGCAACGAGCTCATTGCCGACTACATCGAAGAGTTGACCGGCGAGGCTCGCACCAGAAAGCAAGTTTCTAGTCACATCCAAGTGTTGAAGCCCTTCGTGGAAGGCGACCCCGTCATCATGAAGTTCTTATCCAAGGAAGACATGGGCCACATGGGACATCCCGGTCGAATGTACGGCGGACGAGCAGCGTCGTATCACAGCAGTGTCGGTCGGGTCGCTTCTTGCTATCCGGCCACAGCACCAGTACAGCGGGTGCCTGCTGCTCCAGTGGCACCCATGGCGAACTCGCATGAACTGGCCAAGGTGAAGGGATACCTCGCCGTATTTGAGCCCAGAGACTTTCAGATGTTCGTGCAGCGCGAACTCCCAGATGGGAACATTGAGCGGCTTCACGACTATACACATGCGATTTCGGATCCACGACAGGACGACGAGAAGCCGGAGGATATGACTGCGTTCAGTCAGTCACATCCATTTACAGCACTCCTGCTTTGGCAACGACGGCCTGGCTGTAACATTGTTCTCGCGGAGGCGTCGCTTGCTTTCCCGACGATTGAGTTCAAGGATGCGAAGACGGGCAAGACGTTGCCTAAGATTCGATTGGCGATATCGTTCCTCTGCAAAAGTCGATACCTTGACATCAACGCCGACGTCTCCTGCCGGAACACCTTCTACAAGAATGGCGAGCTGCTGGTAGGCTACAACGCAACAACAAAAGTTGACATCTTCAGTTCGGACGATGGAAGCGCCGGCGTAGAAGCACAGCTCAAATTCGGCAGCGAGTTCTGGGCGAAGCAATGCCAATGGATGGCCGCTCGACTACGAGACAGCGAAGACCTAGACAGGGCAGTCGAAGAAGTTCGAGACTCGATCAAGAACATCACTGCCATGCAAGAAGTCTTCATCAACACGGAGCAGGGCCCCGAACGACTCCTCGTCATAGTGTGGTCCTTCCGCCTGTCACGAGACGTTCGAGGAAAAGCATACTGGCGACGTCTCAGACTTCCTTCATCGCCCTCCTCGTACGACTACACCTCCCAACAGCGAACGGAGAGAGTCGACTCCGTCTACGACTATAACCTCGACTTCACCACAACCTCCTCTATGCCCCAACCAGCCCTCCAATCTCCCTTCGAATACGACACGAGCAGCTCAGGAGGCTCCGCCCTTCCCTCAGGCACCTGGCCCACAAACCTCGACGACGGCACGAACACCGCTCCCCACAGCGCTATCGACTTCCCCGGCGCCGCAGATAACGGCTTCGACTTCAGTGGCGGGAATATCAACATCTCCTACGCGGACCCTTCAATCATGGATTTCAGCAACTTCGACAGCTCCGCATTCAACTTTGACACTGCGACGACGGACTTCGTGGCGGATCCAGCGCTGCAAGACTACACGCAGACGGAGAGACAGGATACAACTTTCACACATGATGCTTCGCAGCAGTCGCAGGATTATACGCAACAGACGGACTACTCGTCGCAGTGGTGCGATAGCTATACCGCGTTTGATCCCCAACCCTCGATATCTGCTGGAGCGAGTAACTACGCCACCGGCCCAGAGTCGCAATCACAAGTTCTCGACGGATACTCCGGCCATTATGACCACACGTATAGCGAGGGGCCGTCGGATGGCCAGGCGTACGGAGGAGCAGGACAGGATGTCCACGGTAGGGAGGAAGATCCTTTGGCTGCGTTGGCAGAAGCGAGTTACTTGAGAGGAGTGAGTCTGCCTTCGCAGCATGAGCAGCAGCAGCAGCATCACGGGCATGATCATCAGACGCAGTGATGAAGTTACGAGGGCGTTTGGAGGTTTTTACCTAATTGCTTGTGCATTCTTCGTCGATCTCTCCGTTTTTCGCGGAGCACTCTTTTAGTATAGCTAGCCAGCCAGCCACGAACGCGCAGATAATGATATTAATGGTAGAATGTTAATGACTTACGAGAGGCCAAATGAGTGGACTCTCACACCTTGCATCTGGAAATGACAGCGGAGACACTTCAAGCTGTAAAGCAAGACCAAGCTGAATGAGATTCCATGTCGAGCTACTGTGAAAATACTTGGGAAACACTGCTGTGCGGGTATCCGAATAAAACATTATCGTTCGACATCAGTGACGAAAGATTGACGCCTCAGAATCAAGTGGCAAACGCTTGACGGTCGCCTTTGGTTCTGTCGCAGCCGTGGTCTCTTGCTCCCATAACGCCATCCGTAAAGCCGCAACTCAAAGGCGTTTGCCTGGTACAAAAATGAACAAACAACACAACGCAGCGTCAATGAGGGCAATCGACAGCAAACATATCAGTGAGCGCCGAGTCAGAAGCTTTCTGTACGTTGTGTCAGTCGGATGATCACGTAGTCTCCCGTTTAATGGTGATGCTTACCGGATGAACGGCTCCTTTATCCGTGCAAAGCTGAGGAATGTGTACTCGCTCAGCCCAGCCAGGGCGAGAAGTGGGTCCAGCAGATACTGGTGTGACGCAAGGAGATAAATGCCAACAGTGAAGGGCAGGATTAGCCAGCATCGCGTAGCTCTATCCTTGTTCAGGAAGAGGAGAACGAATGCAGTCCAGAATGCTCCAAACATGGAGACCAGCCCAGCGATCAAGCGGAGCATGAGCGACGGCTGAACGATGTTGCCCAGAGCTTTTGCTCTAAGGAAGCCGGGGAAGGCATCTCGTTCCATTGCCTGGAAAACATAGTCCTTTGCCGCATCAAAAACTTCAGGGTCATCTCGCCCTTCTCGCTCGATATTGTGTGTGATTTCATTCAAGATGCCCTGCGGAAGGATGATCTCTCGTTCAGCGCCAGGCAAAAGGAAGGTGTAGAGAATCTTTTCTGCCGAAGCACGAATGTCGGCACGAGCAACAGTGTTTTGCGGGCTGTTGTTGCTATGAATGTTCGGCGAGGGCGAGTTCGAATTGCCGGTCATAAAGCTCGGTCTGGGTGGCTGCTCGGCTCCAGGCGTTGTCCCTTCAGAATGTCTGCTTCCCTGGCTATTATGCGGGCTATGTCCTGTCCCATTGTCCTGCCTCAGGAATGCGCTCAAACGTTGGTCGGGCGTCTGCCTGTCCGCTGACTTGTCGCGATATTGTGTCCCACTTGGGCCTTGATCTGACGATGTTCTCTCGATGTTGTCCAGAATCTGTGAGGATCGTTTTGAGCCGGACTTGTCGAGGTCGGGGGTTGACACGAGGACTGATCGGCGAAGTTCGCGGACGTAGTGTCGACATAGCGACATGTGCTGGGAGACGTCGAGCCTGTGATTTGTTAGATTGATCGCCTTATGACTTTCGCGTGCCCTCGCCGCTCAAATTTCTTACCAGAAGTCTAGGTAGTCGACACTGCGCTGGACATCGCGCATGTAGATGTAGAATGAAAACAGGTCCACCGGCGCCAATGTGCGGCGGGACAACACTTCCCAGAGGTTGGGTAGCCTTTCTCGCGCGCCATGGTCGGGAGTTGGCGTTCTCGACGCCATATTGCGCAGGAGTCGTGATGTGAGTAGTGAAGGTGGTGATTCTGGTGGTGGTGCGTAGAAATGTCCTCTACAGATCCGCCGTGCGGACGTAGTGCGGTTCGCGTGTGTGGCTAGGGGTGCCGGGTCCTCTGCTGTCGTCGTGCATGCGCGTGATGTTCGAGTTGAGGCGGTGGTGATTCTGGAGTGAAGGTGTGGTGTTGTTTGAGGTTAGGAGATGAGCTCGGATGCACTGGCCAATTACAGATCTCCATCCCTGCACTTCGTCTCTTCCCGACGCTAGCGGCGGCTTCAACCGCTCAATACAGGCCGCTCCCTCGTCAGAAACGTTTGGTCTTCTTCTCCCTCCTCCTCTTCGCTCAACTCCATCTACAGTGCCTAGAAAACATGCTGCTGCAACCACATGTCACACTTTGGGCCGCACCATTTCTTTGTCCCTTTCATTCTCATTACACTAAGATGATGGTTTGTCAACGATTTGTGCAGTGCCAGGCAGTCACGATGTCTCCATTCCCAGCAGGAAACCTGGACCAAGGTTGCCATCAATGGCTAGTCCGGTAGCTATTGTAAGTCGTGAATACAACTAGCGAGTGTACTCTTGCTCCTTCCAATGGCCTACCGTGTACAAATCTGATCCGATGATTGCAACGCATTTCGTGGGATGTACAGAACCATCGGGCTCTGGCATTTGGCATCGCGGGATCCACGTTGGGCTCGTCACACATACCATACCAACAGCAATCTTGTTTGCTTGTACTCGCTTTCTTCACATTCATTAACGTGAAGACGGCGCGTGCCAATCCGGTGTCCCTAGAAATCGCATCCATCGATCAACATGTCGACACCCAAACAATTGCCGGCCATGACAAAGGAACGTACCCAGGACAGCTCTGACAGCGAGAAGTCGAGCCCTCACAAGGAACGACACACTGGACATAGTGTGTTCATCAGGGACAGCATAATTGGTTTCGCAGACGGCCTGACAGTACCCTTCGCATTGACAGCCGGCCTGTCAGCCTTGGGGGATTCGAAAATTGCTTTTCTGGGCGGTCTGGCCGAGCTATTCGCTGGATCGATCTCCATGGGACTGGGTGCTTACCTTGCTGCTGTGACGGAGCGCAAGCACTACGAAGTGGAAGAATGCCGCGAGTGGATCGAAGTCAGAGAATGTCCGCAAGCTGAGGAACAAGAAATTTTTGAGATCTTCGATCGTTATGGCATCTCGCGACAAGCATCCAAAGGTGTCGTTGATGGCCTGAAAGTGAACGAGGAGATGTGGGTCCAGGTGAGCTTGGCCATCAAAGACTTGATTTTAGAGAACAGTGCTGATCACTCCAGTTCATGATGGACTTTGAGCTCAAGCTGGAGAAACCCGCAGTCCGCATGGCTTGGATCGAAGGCCTGGTCATGGGTCTCTCGTACTTTTTTGGTAGGTGGCTGACGACGCACGCCTGATGTTCATCGGCTGATAAATCATAGGAGGTCTTCTCCCTATGATTCCCTACTTCGCTTTCAAGCACAACGTTAACAACGCGCTGTTAACATCAATCGGGATCACGGGAGTTGTTCTGCTCGCCTTCGGCTATACCAAAGCACTTGTCACAGGCACTTCGCATCGAGACGCAGCCTGGAGCGCTTTGCAGACGTTGACGATAGGCGCTCTGGCGGCTGGAGTCTCGTACGGTATAGTCCGTGGCGTCAACGAGAGCATCGGATGATCTGTCCGGCAGCGCGAACGCATGGCAAGGCGCGGAGCAAACATGTGCGTCTGGCGTTTTCCGTGGATCTCGACTTGCGCTACCGTATTCCTACTCGAGGTTCATCCATTCAGCTCACATTCTCAGCTCCGAATTGCTCTCTTGGTGTCGTATGTAGCTTACGTAGAATGAAACCTAAAAGCGTTCTCTCGGCTTCCATCAGCCCAAGCAGAGGTGGCAGCAAGATGGTGCTCTTATGAACTTGGGTCGCTGTGCAGCTTTTCCGGGAGGTATCCTTGCAAGTTGATGCCACGCTTTGGAGGCAAAATGCTGTCAACGCTGCCGATTGGTCCCAGGAGAAGTGCGTCGACTCGGAGACAACCAGAGAATGACATGCATAGCCTTCATGTGTGTCACGCAGGTACGGTGCGGAGCTGGCCTCGTCTGACGGCCACCACCAGATCTCAAGACATGGTGTGTAGCAGAAAGGGCGTCTGCGGTCTTTCATTTGCTGGGTGCTGTGGCCAGATGCGAGACCGGCTTTCACGCTCAGACCCAGCGATTGGCTGAGGGGCTGAGCTTCTCACGACCTCACCCTCCGAAGGCCGTCGACCTTTTCTTCGTCACAGCGACTGCAGCAAGCAGCATCTTGCCTCCACACCACGCTGTCACGTTCGGCTTGGCGTGAGAGTTCGTGATGCCTTCGTGGCCACAGGCGCGGCAGTGGGTCCTTCCTGCGTGCTGGCTGCCGAACCGGGCTCGCCTTCTTCCTCTTACCTCGTGTACTCTTTCATGTCCGTAGACTTCCCGCCGTAGGGCTGTTGGTAACGTTCGACCTTTCTTTGGCAGACTTGGTTCAAAAAGGTGCTTCCATTTTCGTGTGTTTGATCTTTCGACAACATGCCCGTGACGCCTCCAAGCAGCCGGGTCAGACGAATCCTTCAGAAGAGGCTACGAGATAGGATATTTGAGGAAGACGCTCGCTCAGCTCCGAAAGGAAATTGAAGCAGATATAGAGGGAACTTGGGGTTTTGGAAGTGAGTTTGATGATGACTTTGGTCTTGAGCGAGACTGACATGGCGAAATATATCTTTCCGATCTCGAAACTTGCCAACCGCGAAACAACAACACCTTGGAGCGTTGACACGCCTTTGGAGAAGCTGGCCGTCTCCTGTCTGGTTGCGGTAGTGACTTGGATCTGGACGACGTGAGCAACGTGCTGGGTTTCCCGGGGGTTTGAAGTCGCTTCTGCTCTGCGCACCACCACACCTCCCTGCAGACGTCGAAGGATACGAGTATGATGGAGAAATGTCGTCTTCAGTCTGGCCATTCAACGATCTGTTCGTGAGAACTCGATTGCACGTGATTTTCCGAAATTCAGGGTCCAAACATGGCCGCGCCGCTGGACGTGGACGTCTCGTCTTTTGCAGCGGCTTTCAACCCACCACCACCCCACCACCACCGCGAACCGCAGCTGACGCTTCACGACTACCACAAGCTTCAGCAATCCCCGCTGTCTGCGTCGCCAGACTTCGACACCAGGCGCGTGAGGCGGAAGCCATCGGTCGCCAACCTCGCGGTCACCCCGGCGCAGGCGGGTTCTCCGTGGCCTTCGATCTCAACCTCACCACACTTCATTCACTCATTCGCCCCTCACCCGCTTCTGCTTTCCTCTTTGCCACCTCCACCCGCCACACCTCGACCTCGACCAAACACAGCATCACCCTCACTGTCATCGACGGTGACGACGCTGCAGTCAACGCCAACACACACGCCCGTTCACCGAGGTGGCTCGAGCTTCGAGCAGCGGAGGGTGAACGAGCGGATTGAGCTCACAGAGCCGATTCGGACAAAGCGTAAGTTTGACAGCCTCAAGCAGGCGAAGCGTCTACCGCGACGAGCGCACGGTGGAGGTTCCGGCGACAACCAGCAGAGCATTGAGCGTGACGGAGCAATTTGGGAGGTTTACGCCGCGGTGTTTGAGCCCTCCGCCGTATATCAAGATTTTGCGAGCGACCAGCCGGACCTGAGCGAGCAGAGCAGCGAGCAGAGTTTGTTGCAACCAGCGCCTTTGTTCGCTCATCAGAGCGTGCCACCTAACGCGACGACTAGAACAGTGCGTTTCAGAGAAACAGAGCCGATAGCCGACGAGCAAGACCACGAAGTCGAAGCAGCAGCAGCAGCCGGCAGAGCAGACTTCAGCACACCGAGTGCTCGATCACGCGAAGAGAAGGACACTGCAGCGACGTCGTCCTACTCTCTCTCGAAGTTCCAATTTCCAGTAGCTCCTGGACAGAATAACTGGTCGGGCACCTTGGGTATGTTGTTTCGCCCCAGCTTGCTGGAGCAGATGCAAACGCTGACTTGCACGCAGGACACCTCACCGAACCAAATTCACCAAGTAGCCCAGCGGTACTCCACTATCACGGCACTTCTTTTGACGTTGTGAACCCTCACGCGTCCTTGCTACTAGAAGGTCACAGCTTTGAAACCCCGGCCGAGATAGACGGCCTGCTCGACGAGTATTTCGACGAGAAATCAGAAGACGACAACATGTCGTACAACGCTCTCACCGGCGAGGCGTCGCAGAACTCCCTGCGCATGGGCAGCGACAGTTCCCGTCATGCTCGTGTGCTGTACGGAGACCCTGACAGCGCACGGCGTCACATCTTGCGAGTTCAGGAAGATTTGCAATCTCCTCCAAAGGCCGTTGTGAACGATTCACCCCTTGCCCACAAGAACAAGGAGTTTGAAGCCCCCAAGAACGGAACTTTCGCTGCACTTCCAGCTCAGCGTGTCAAAGTCAAGCCGAGCACAAACCCATTCAGCGATTCGCAGTCCATCTCCAGAGCCGATCCATTTGGAAACACCAACGATGATCCTCCCATCAAGCACGAAGGTCCCGTCTACCAGGACTGTCGCCCAGTTGTCAATGCTCCAGCTGTCGACAATGAAGAGTCGCACTTAAGCCCATCTAGTAAGCTCTACCACTCCCTTCACTGCGCATCCATACTGACATTGCCTCAGCTTCCACCAAGCTCAACTCTGAACCTCTCCTTCATCAGCGCTACACTCATTGCTCTGATCCTTTCGACCTCACCATTAGCGAGAATGGTTCCCGGCCCAATCTCATGACCATCGAAGAAGTGCTGAAGAAGGACCACGATGCTGAGAACACGCCCAACGTCGTGACGGGAGCTGACCCAGTCAGCTCTCCTTTTCATGATGATGGTGCAGTATCTCAGGCGTATGTTACTTCTTCCCGTCGATCCCGTCTAAAGAGCGCACTTACCAGATGTTTTTCTTCACAGGACACACGCAGATCAAGAGTCGGATCCCACTATCAAAGACATCATCGGTAGCTACGACTACACGAGGGTGCCATCCTCGCCAGAGAATGATGGCTCGGCTCAGAACAGCCCTTCCATTGAGCATAGCCGTGCTATAGTCACAAAGGGCAAGGGAAAGCAGCCTATGTACATGTTGTACGCCCAAGCTCAGAACGTGGATTTAGAGGAAGTCAAAACCCCGGACTCAGCAGTCGCTCTGATCCGAGACTTCCCTACGCCACCGACCCCGGCATACACTGGCGTCAAATACTGGTCGAACTGCAGCGAGCTTCCCACGAGTGATCGGACGTACGGTGAGACAAATCACCTTCTCAACATCACTACCGCGCCCAATGCCACTCCCGTGGCTGACGAGATCCCGCCATATGTCCCTGACGAAGGCACGAACCCCTTTAGACCCTATTGGCTCGGTGACCAGTCCAGCCCCTCGCAGTGCTCAAGCAGTGGCACGGTCGTGTACCATGAGAGGAACAGCAACGTACCGGAGCAGTTCAGATTCGTCGACGACGATGAGCTGAAAGATGTCCATCGTCCACTGCCAAGAAGCTCGAGCATTTACCCGTTCGATATCATCTTCGACAACGCGCCAGGTGGCGACAACGAGAGTGCCTGGGAGACAGAAGTGTCCAAGTCTTCAGCTGCTCTGCCCCGCAATAATAGTTGCCAGAGCGAAGACAGCTATGCTGATACAAGCGCGTACGGAACGGAGAATCGCCTCAGCGCTGGCCCAGATGCTTTGGCGCAAGCTCCCCAGGCTTCTGGCAAGCAATCTCGCCCTACCGAAGGCCCTGAACGCACCAACTTCGAGGCACCTCCTGACGCTCCAGCCGACAAGTTTGACCATCGCCGCGATACTCAGAAAGCCACCAGTCTTCTCTGTGACAACATCCTCATCGAGGGCATGCGTACGAAGCACGGTAGCGTTCCAAATATCGACAAGGAGCAGCGCAAGCTGGACCTCCAAGAACTGGAGCGTCTGCGCAAGACCAACCCTGCCGCTGTTCGTGAGGCCTCCGAGTTTCTGGCTAATCGGTCCATTGAGAATGTGGCCGAGATCAAGTCGAAGACCCGTGCCAAGCTCCAGAAGCTGGTGCCTTTCAGACCAGACTACAAGCCGGAGAACATTTTTAGCAAGGTCAAGGAGATTGGCAAAGGCACGCCATCAAATAAGTCTGTGACTGCTGCCTCCGAGCGCCGTCTGTTGGGCACACCGGACAGCTTCACAGGCCAAAATAACCTCGAATGGAGTGAGAGCCTCTGCGACTTCGTGACTGTTCGAGACGGACGCTCGCCAAACCACTGGTCTCCCTTCACGGAGAATGCCACAGCCCATGCGCTCGCCGTCCCCGCCCAACCAAAGAGCACTGCAGTGTCTGCTAGCCGCACCGCCGTCGATCGCGGCCACCGTGCAGAGGAAGCATCAAACAAGCGGTCGCGCCGTCCCGCTATGAACGGACAGGTTCGCCTGCATGAGTTGAAGCTCCTCCCACCGAAGCGTAACGTCCCACCTCGCGGCCGTGGCCTCACTGATGCCGAGTTGGCTAGACGTGAGCCGGCGTGGACTCTGCAGCCTAAGCGGTTTGCCAGTACCCCAATCGCCACCAATGTGATGACCGCACAGTCGACTGCGCTACAGCCGGATATTGAACTTCAGCCAAGACTCGGCATGCGCGGAGATTTCGCCAGAGACTTCGACTACCTGGCCGAGCTGGATGTCTCCACGCGCAAAGAAGTCGAGGCATACTCTGAGTCCTGGAGGATCTTCAGCTTCCTCGTTCCAGGCCTGCCTTTTGTGTTCTGGTGTGGTGGATTCGACTGGCTCATACGCAAGAAGTTCAACAACCGCGTGCCTGGCATGAGGCCCAGCGACAAGAACCAGAGTCTGATCATCTGGCTTCCGATAAACCTCATCATGTGGGCCTTCATCGCAACTCTCGGCGTGATCTTTGTCAGAATCTTCCGCAAAGACCTCGTTTAGACGGTTTGAAACCAAACACTGCACTCACTGACTCGACCTTGCTCACCCACAACGAGCCTCTTGCTGAACAAGACTTCACGCTTCACACCAACGCTGCGTCCACAGCGACGCCTCACACACTTGCTTTGCTTCACACCCAAGTCCACCCCAGAAAATGACGAAAACATGGAAAAACAGAACGACGGAAAAGGAGGCGACACATCACCGAATTCGATGGTACATGGGACTGGAAAGGAAGGGCGGCGCTCATGACAGGATGCAAGTGCCTTGGCCTAGTTGCCTTTGCGGGAAAGTATGCCTATTGAGCAATGCACAGCCAGACTAGTCCCCTTCGTACATACCCCCCAATGCAGACGCGGTAAAGTCAAAGGTCGCGCGCTGAGTTAAAGTGATGGTCTCACTCCCTTTTCTTACGTCTTGTGTTCGTGATGTTCCATGCAACAATGCGTAGAAGAAGAATGTCGTAGGGCTGGTTGATCGGTAAGCAAGACCGTGAAGTCGATGATATTTGTTCGTGCAAAGCTCAGACGTTTGAGGCACTGAACGGTGGTGTTCTACTCGATCTCAACGAGCATGGTGTTGAAGGCCTCTCTTTCAATGCCATCGCCAAGGTCGGACGCCATTTCGCTGTCTCCATAGTCAACCCGTGTCGTCCAGTCGAAACCAACCAATAGCTCCGGTGATATTAACAATCCTTATCGATAAGCAAGGATCCCTCCATCACCATGACGCACGAACGGCCAATCAGCAGCAATCAAGGTGTAATCCATCTCTCCATCACAACATCACCTCACAGCTCCCCCGAAGCTGGCCTGCATTGCCCATCTGACGTTGCGGACGTGGACTATCTCCGTTGGTGTTTCATGCCTCTTCTTCACCGGACACTGCTTCTTCCTTCTCTTCTACGACAGGCGGTCTTCAGACAAACGCTTCCGTTCCAACAACAAGCACCGCGGGCTTTCTCTGCGATTTCGAGAGCTATGGCGACTGAGTTCAAGCTTAAGGGCTTGACGAGCATTGATCTCAAGAATGGACAGTTGCAGGAGGTTGAGGTTGAGGGGATCGAGGAGGGCAAGGTTCTGCTTGCGAAGGTCAAGGACGAAGTGCATGCTTTGAGTGCGAAGTGTACGCATTATGGCGCTCCGTTGGCGAAGGGTATGTCTGGATGGCTACTGGTATTGAGGTTTTCGTATTGATGTCGTATAGGTGTCTTGAGTGGTGACGGACGGTTGACATGCCCTTGGCATGGCGCTTGCTGGAATGTAAAGACTGGTGAGTATAAACGTTGTTGACGGAATGGATATAAGTTGCTGATTTGGATTAGGTGATATCGAGGACGCCCCGGCTCCAGACCCTCTCCAGAAGTTCGAAATCGTCGAGAAAGATGGCAGCGTGTACATCAAGGGCGAAGAGGCAGCAATCAAGGCCAACAGACGTAATATGAGCATCAAGTGTCAGGCCAAGGGCAATGATCAAGTCGTCGTGGTCGGCCGCGGTAGCGGTGCGTTTGGTGCAATAGACGGACTGAGAGCAGGAGGATACACCGGCTCCATCATCAACATTGCTGAAGAAGAGAGCACTCCATTCGACAGGACCAAGCTCTCGAAGGCGTTGATCGGTGATGTATCCAAGCTCGAGCTCCGGAGTAAGGACTACTACAAGGAAGGCAGCGTTGATCTTGTCACCGGCACAGTCAAGTCCGTTGACTTCTATGGCGGCCAGCTCCAGACACAAGATGGCAAGGATTACAGCTTCACCAAGCTCATCCTCGCTACCGGTGGTACTCCTCGACAATTACCACTTCCTGGTCTTAAAGGAGATCTCAAGAACGTCTTCCTCCTGCGAACCGTTTCCCACGTCCAAGAGATCCTGAAAGCAGCCGGTGAAGATGGCGGCAAGAAAGTGGTTGTTGTTGGCTCGAGTTTCATTGGGCTCGAAGTAGGAAACGCTCTCGCCGGTAAGAAACATGATGTTTCAATAATCGGAATGGAGGAAGAGCCAATGGAGCGAGTTATGGGTAAAAAGGTTGGCGCAATCTTCCGCAAGCTGCTGGAGAAGAACGGCATCAAGTTCTATATGAGCGCGGAGGTTGACAAGGGTGTTGAGAGCGAGACCAAGTCCGGATCAATCGGCAAGGTAACCTTGAAAGACGGCACTGCTCTGGAAGCAGATCTGGTTATCGAAGGTGTTGGTGTCCGACCCTCGACGGACTTCCTCAAGGACAACAGCTCGGTCCAGCTCGAAAAGGATGGCTCAGTAGCTGTGGACGAGTCGTTCACTATCAAGGGTCTGAAGAACGTCTACGCCATTGGTGACATTGCAACATACCCCTACCACGGACCTGGCGGCAATGGCAAGCCTGTTCGCATTGAGCATTGGAACGTTGCTCAGAACGCCGGCCGATCCGTTGCCAACTCGATTAACAACCCGGGCTCGAAGCCCAAGCCATTCATTCCAGTCTTCTGGTCTGCCCTTGGTGCTCAGCTGAGATACTGTGGTCATACTCCAGAAGGCTTCGACGACGTGATCATCCAGGGCAACACGGACGTGAGCGAGGGCAAGCAGAGCTTTGTCGCCTACTATACAAAAAGCGAGACGGTTGTTGCTGTCGCCAGCATGATGAAGGATCCATACATGACTCAATCGGCAGAGCTCATGAGGAGAGGAAAGATGCCGAGCAAGAGCGAGATCTCGAAGGGAGTGGACATCTTGGAGATCTCAGTGCCGGCGGAGGTTAAGATATGAGTAAATGAGTAATGTATGTTGTCGATGAATGACGTTCGGATTTCACAAGAAGTCTCAATGTATGCTGTGAAGATCATGTTGGGTTAGGACGCTACATCATGGTTGAATTTTGAATCTGAAGCTTGACATTTCTTGTAGCGATAGAGTTTCAACACCCACTAGCGCTTGATCACGTGTGACGACTCACAGGTCGCCCTTTCCTTCGGAGACAGGTCCGCATTTTAACCATATCGATAAAGCACAACAACCGCGCAGGCCGCGCGACCTTATTTACCAACCTCACCTCTCGACAATGATGTAGCCGAGACACAACCAGAGGCCACCGGTCTCAACGAATCACAACAATGCTAAAAGCAATCTTCTATGCCCGCTTTCACCAAGCTCGTGGCGTCTCCGTGGTCCACCAGTATCCCGTCGGCTCAATCCTCTCGACGTCGCCTGAAAAGAAGCCATTGATCACCTGGAGCGATATCTCGTCCTATATCATACCTCCATACGACCTATGCAATGACCCTCTGTCGATCTGCTCCAATGGATACCGCGTCTTGGCATTTCCCATTTCGCTCGAAGATTCGAAGTACGACCGCAATCGATTCACGTTCAACATATGCTTCGTGCTGGACGAAGATGAGGATGCACAGCCGTGGGATCGGATTGTGAGGAAGACAGCGAAGCTTTTGACGTCGTTGGAAGAAGAGGAGGGATTGCTGCAGAAGGAAGAGGATCTACCTGGTTTGAAGTGGGCTGGTGAAGAGCGGTATCCTGCGGACGTGGGGATTGTGTATACAATGCTGGAGAACATATTCGAGGATTTGAATGCGTATGGGGAGGCTTGTGTCAGGGTCGATGATGCCAATGTGCTGAATCTTCGACTTGACTATGAGGAGCCTGCGGCGCCTAAGATTCATGCGTGGGATGTGCCGTTGCTGGTGCGTTCTCTACCTTCGCCGGCGGATTGGACGTGGGACCTCACTCTTCAGCGTATAAATCCGCATATTGATGGCATCAAACATGTTCAGAGGATCGCTGAACTGGCTGACGTGGAGTTGAAACTCGTCAAGCGTGCCGTGAAGGAGCTTGTCTACTATGGACGTGCCATGCTGCTCGACATCTTCCACTTTCAAGCAATCTACACTTGCAATGATGAAGCTGCTTCGTTCGCAAAAGATGAGGAGCTGCTGGACGAGTGCCGTCACTATGTCGCCATTACCCCTGAAAAGAAGGCTACTAACAAGTCGGATCCCAAAGACCTAGCATTACCTTCCCGAGAAACCATCATCGAGCTCTACGCCCTGCTACAACCTGGTCTCCAACTCTACGAGTACTGCATTACCCACAAGACTCTCCTCACCAGCATCGATGTCCGCCGATTCATAACGTTCGGCATCATCAAAGGCTTCCTCCGCCGCGTCCACAAATACGCCCTCGCCATCGAATCGCACCCCACCGCTCCACTTGGCTCGACAAAGAAACATTCCTCAGGCTCGATATCCAGACCTCCTCGCTCCAACGAAGATGCCGTGCGAGAGTTCGATCGAGCATGGAAGAAAGCGGCTCTGTCCAGCGGATGGGCGACGCCGCCATCAGCACCGGCAAATGGCAGTCTGATGGCTAAGAGTTTCAAAAGTGCGGATCGATTGAGAAATGAGGAGGATGAGCGTTTGAGGTGGTTTCTGGATGGGACGCACTGCTTTGATGAGATTTGCGTTGCGATGCATCTGAGCGAGAAGAAGGTGGTGGAGAGGTTGAGGAGTAAGGCTTTTGGGGAGGTGGTGTTGTTTAACAAGTGAACAGCTTTTACCATCTGGATGTGGAAACTCTATCGACTCTGAGGATAGTGGCGAGCACCATCCGAAACGTTCATCTTGAACGGTTCCTGGAGATCATGCTTTGACGCGACTTCTCCAGAGAAGGCCTGGAGGTCGGTCTTCGATTACCATGACGCATGGGATCATGAGACCGACAGCTTGCGAGGCAGAACACTGGTCTTACCTTGCTCTTGAACACCACACTCATCGGCTCAATTGATAGAAGGCTTCAGTCTCAACCCTTGATGCGATTTTAGAGACAGCGTGGCTTCTCACTGATCTTGGAGCTCCCTGCAACGCAACGACTGCCACAAGCGACATACAGCCACTGTTCATGCTCGTATTCTTCGCCACAGTCAGATCGCTGGTCGTTGAGAAGGCGGGCGATTCTAGTCGACACATTTGTCCTCTTCGCACGCCTCGATTTGTGAACAGTGTCTTTGGAAAGAATTGATAAGACATTTCACGCTCGACAGCGTTGCTTTGCCACCCGTGACATATTGTTCCCAGCATGACGGAGACATACATCAGAAAAGAGTATAGTTTGCGTCTCGTGGACTGCACCTTCAACAAGTCCTTCTTGAACAGCAACTTCCGCGAACATCCATCGACGTGGCGATATTAAGACCCTCGGCGTCCGCGCGACACATGGCTTCGTACAGAGTCGGAGACATATTCTTTACGCGGACATTGGTATCATGGATGGTTCGGGTATAGCCTTACTAAAGTAGCTCGTGCTTGCGGCACAGCTCTCGCTCATGTCATGTCGTACATCGGCGTCTGCACGCTTCGGAGGAGTAGCTCCAGCAGTGCGGTCGACCCGGACTGAAATCTCTAGGCATTCTGGCTCGGTCCAAATTTTAGTCCCAATGGTGTTGGAGAGCTTCAGTCGTAGATGCCTAATCACTCCGACGCGTACAGAAAACGTTGTCATAAGTAGCTGCTACTCGATTCGGAATCCTTTGAGCGCCTGCGCCGACGAGGGCTATCTAAGCGCATATCGATTCCCAGCTCTCAAAAATATATTTCGTGGATAGGCTTTGTGCGATCTTCTCCTCAGTCTTTCAATCACTTTCCTATTCAACACCCATCATGTCACCACCCAAGCCCAACTTCGTCGTCACAAGGGCGAAAGCCGAAGACATGGAGGAGATCACTGATCTCATCTACGACTCCTTCTCCAGAGAAGAAACAGCACTCTTCATGGGCTGTCCCGATCGAACCACCATCCCCAAATACCGCCAACGAGTCCTCAACGCCATGGAGTCGGACAAGAGCGATGTATGGATACAAGTCAAGGATGCCGAAACGGGCAAAATCGCGGCTTGCAGCAATTGGAAGATTTTTGTGAATGGGAAGCCGGATGATAAAGGTGATCAGGCTATCGATTGGTATGAAGGGGAGGAGAGGGAGGTGTCTGAGAAGGTGGCGAGGTTCATGAATGAGAATCGGTGGAGGGTCATGACGGGCCCGTTTGTTTGTAAGGAAGCTTTTTCGTACGATGGGAGTGTCGTGCGCTTTGACTGATGAGATTTTTCTTTTGACAGACCTGCACATCTGCTGTACGAGCCCGGAATATCGACGCATGGGCGCTGGATCTTTGATGATGCAGTGGGGTGTTGACTTGGCCGATTCCCTGTTCTTGCCTGGTTGGATCGAAGCCTCGCGGGATGGAACCGCTCTGTATAAGGCTTTTGGATTTTATGTCGCTGCGGAGGTTGATGTCCATGGGCTTCCTACGGCGCACATGAAGAGAGATGCGAGGTCGAAGGGGATCGATGGGACCGCGTTGAGGAAGAAGGCTTGAAGTGATGACGAACACGATTAGGCTGTATTCCTAGACTTCTTACTTCTATGCTGTAAATTAGACTTGCGTCCAGTCTGATTGTAACTTGAAAATCTGATTGCCGTGGTCAGTTGCTCGCGCACAATTCACCCCCAGCTCCCACCACCACGGACGGAGGAATGCCGATACATCAACCACACTCCATCATCCAGACGCCGTTCCCAGTGGAGTATACAGCAAGCTTCCCGTCCAATCTCCCGGCCAGACCATCGTGCAGTTTCGCGAATGGTACAAAACACCTCAGCGAACCGCGTCCCGCGGTGTACGACCGCGGTGACGTTGTACGGCTCGACACGGATACACGCCATGTCAGTCTGCCTGAACCTTTCGATCGCGTCAAAGACCATGCGGAGTCCTTTCGTTGGGGGAATTAGGCAATCGAAGATCGTCTCATTGGCCATGATGAAGTTCTCATGCGTGTGTCTGCGGACAAGAGTAGATGTTGACAGCCTGTCGCTGGTAGATTCGGCGATCATAGATTGCGTGAGACGTTCGAGATAGGATTGTGTTGATAGCCCTTCGTGAGGACGAGTTTCAATAGTGAGCTCATCGTGGCCTCGTGGATTGTCGTCGTCGTCGTCGTTGTTGCTTGATGTCAGCGGTTCATTTTGGGCCACCATGTTCATCGTTCGCCGTTTCGAAGCCGGGGCGGGTACAGTAGACGTGGCTACCCCTCGCCAATGTTATGACCATATTTTTGTGATTGCGATGATGACTGGGAAAGGCTCCCTCTCAAATCAGTGCAATGCATCGCGGCTGCCCAACTGAATGTGTCGAGGACGGGAGGTGAGACCGGGGGCAGGGGTCATCGACGGCTGCTCCCGAGACCGGCAGAGATGCCACGCGACGACTGCTGCATGACGCTGGCTGGCTTTGAGGAACATGAAAGCTGTTCTCACCACTACATGCTCCAGATAGCTGCGAGATAATGCGGCCGTCGTCGCCTCGTTCAGGCGTCGTCTACATCCCTTATTGCAAGTCAAGATGAAACGTCCATTGCTGCCCATTCTGCTCCGTAAGCCAGAGCCTCCAACCAACGATGCCATACCTTCTAATCGCCTGTGAACAGTCGCCTTTCTCTTGTTCGCCGCCGTTCTCGCACGTGATATCCTGGACGAACGAGACGATGTGATAGAGGAGCAACAGCCACTGCAAGAGAGTCCTTCGCCATCGAAGGCGGCGCAATGGGAGGGATCGACGCACGGCACAGAAGATGAGGCCGCGGATAATAGCCAAAGTGTGGCAGTGGGAGAGGCGATATCAATATTGCGGAAAATCAAACCTCCGCAAGCTTCGAAACTGGCTCGTTTTGTTCGCAAGCCGAAAGGTGTTCTGGGAACTGCTGCATACTACGCAAAGGAGGCATTCGTCCTATTGTTCATGAATGCTCCGAAGCAGACCAACCTAGTGACCACTTCTACGAGCGAACGATCTGCGAAGCTTGGACAGCCTTTATCGCGAGCTGTGCGACTTCTCGAAGATGCAGCGAAGCAAGACGACGCCGATGCCGTGTTCCTCCTCGCCGAGCTCAGCTTTCATGGCAACTATAGCCATCCAGTCGATTACGATCAAGCGTTCAAGAGATATAAGCAATTGGCGGATATCAACGGCAATGCTACAGCACAGTACATGGTCGGCTTCCTGTATGCGACAGGCTTGAGTCCAAGTATACCTATGGATCAGGCGAAGAGCTTGCTATACCACACATTCGCTGCGGAAGGAGGCAATACAAGATCCCAAATGACACTGGCGTACAGACATTTGACCGGTATTGCGACACCTCGCAATTGCGACGAAGCTGTCGTTTGGTACAAGATCGTCGCGGACAAGGCAATTCGTTACTATCGCTCGGGACCACCTGGAGGCCATAGTCTGGTGCGCGACGCCTATCGAATCGCTGATGAGGAAGGTGGCGTATATGGTGAAGGAGCCAGTGTGGCATCAGCTGGACACAATGCGAAGCAAGGTGGTCCAACAAGCGATGCGTATGCCGATGTCGAAGATGTTCTGGAGTACCTCCACCTGCAAGCGTCGAAAGGAGACCTCAAGGCGACTCTTGGACTCGCTAGACTCTACTACGACGGTGCCAGGGGTCTCAAGCGCGACTTCAAGCTCGCCAAGCAGTACTTCATGGACGTTGCCAGAGAATACTGGACTGCAAACAACAGAGTCAGGAAAGATGTCTCTCACGGGACCGAGAAGCTCGCGGCGAAAGCTGCAGGCTACCTGGGCAGGATGTTCTTGCGCGGCGAGGGCACTGAACAGAGCTTCAGCAAGGCAAAGATCTGGTTTACTCGTGGCATAGGCAGCGGCGACGCACTGTCACAGTACAGTTTGGGCTTGATGCATTTGAACGGATTTGGTGTCCCTCAAGATACCATCAAGGCAGCCGATTTCTTCGCCGCGGCAGCCGATCAAGATTTGGCAGTCGCTCAGACGAATCTTGGCATGCTATTTCTTGACCAGGGAGACACTGCTACAGCCACCAAATACTTCGAACTGGCTGCACGAAACAGCCACATCGAGGCTTTCTACTACCTGGCTGAGATGAACAACAAAGCCGTTGGCCGCGATAGATCGTGTGGAAACGCAGCTGCTTTCTACAAGATAGTGGTCGAGAAGGCGGAAGCCATCTGGTCATCGCTCAGCGAGGCGGCAGATGCCTACGAAGAGGGTGAAAACTCTCGTGCACTGATCGGGTTCCTGATGGCGGCAGAGCAAGGCAGCGAAAACGCCCAAGCAAACGTCGCATGGCTGCTCGACCAAAGCCAGCCCAAATGGTCTCCATTCACCTGGATATCATCCACCCAAAAGGCCGCAAGCAACGCTCTCAACGACGCCAAGATCGCCCTCATGCAATGGACCCGATCCGCCAAACAGCAAAACTACGACAGCCTCGTCAAGATGGGCGACTACTATCTCTCAGGCATCGGCACATCCCCTTCAGCAGAAAACGCAGCCGCATGCTACCAATCCGCCGCTGAGACCCTCCAATCCGCCCAAGCCATGTGGAATCTCGGCTGGATGCACGAGAACGGCATCGGTATCGAACAGGACTTCCATCTCGCGAAGCGATTCTACGATCAAGCTCTCGAGACGAATAGAGAAGCATATCTCCCGGTCAAGCTCAGCCTGTTCAAGCTCCGCTGGCGGTCGTGGTGGAACGGCGTCACGAAAGGCGGCGTGCACGGTATCGAAGAAGAGCAACCCGAACGCAAGCGAAGGACGTTTGCGGAGTGGGTTAACGATTTCCTCGAAGCCGATGCAGCGTACTATAATGAAGTCTTCGAGGCAGACGACTGGGACGCTCAGCACGACCCCATGCCGGGAGGCGATGAATACTGGGACGGAGAGGATTACGATGATAGCGTGTTGGAGACGTTGCTCATTGGTGGGTTTGTCGCTGCGCTGGGTTGGTTGATCTATTACAGACAGCAACAGCAACGACTTGCTGAGCAGAGACGGAGGCAAGGTGTTGAAGGACAGCAGCAAGGCCAAGGACAACCTCAGACGCAGCAGAACGGCGGCGAACAAGCGCCACAACAGCAGCAACAACCTCCTCCCGCGGGCCAGCAGCCGGAAGGAGGCTTCTTCCCTCAACCGGGTGATCCAGCGTGGAATGATTGGGTCGCTGGTGGGATTGGGCATTAAGAAGAATCGAATTGTATGTACACTCTGTACCGTTATGAACAAGAAAAACTTTTCTTCTTCATCGTTCACTGTACAAGCCAATCCGTCCCATTATTCCCCTCCATGCCATGGTAATCCATAAAAGACTGATACTCGGGCACCGCGCCCTCTCCATTAACACCACCTCCTCCACCGCCATTCCCTCCCATCCCATTACCATTCTCACCACCCGACGGCGCAGAGAATGGCAGACGAGGCATGTTAAAGAAATCAAACACATCCAAATACTCGAGTTCATTCGGCGCCGGGGTCCTCGCGGGCGTGACAGACGAATTCCCCTGTTGTTTCCCGTTGAAAAACTGCCGCGGCTGCCTTGAGATCAAGAAATCCAAATCGTAGGCGCAGCGACGCATATCCGCCAAAATCCTCACCGTGGAGGGCGTCTCCCTAACGCCGCTGGCGGGGACGGGGCCACGCTCGGATTCGTGGTACTCGTCTAGTACACATTGCAGGAGGGTGGCGTAGCGTTCGGCGACTTTCCAGTAGTAGCCCATTTCACGCAGGGTTTCGACGAGGGGGGAGATGGCCGGGTTAACATTGTGGTCGATGGTGCTGCCGTGGACGAGGAGCAGACGGGCGGCGACCCACAGGCTGAAGGCGAATGGGGGACCTAGTTTCGTGAGCATGCTGTTGTTGCGCACGTAGGTGCATAGTGCGCAGATGTCCTCGACGGCGGTGTGGCAGCGTTGCGAGGCGCTGAAGGATGGGGTGAAGATGGGGGAGCGGCTGGTGGGATAGCTGATGACGAGGGTCGTTAGTATTCTATGACGTTTGTGTATGTGCTTGATCGATTGGGATACAAGACTTACGCGGCTGAGGAGTGGAGTCGGATCACGGTCCTGTTGGCAAGGAAATTGCTGACGTTAGCTTTTGATGTATGTCCGGTGAGGCGAGCAGGGTGCATTAGAGGTGCATAGGTTTGCCACTGAGGTTGCTTGGGCGTACGAGACTCACGTGTGATAGGTGATGTGCAACATAATCCAGATACAGTTGACGATCTTGTTGCCACCATTTGGATTGAAAAGCCTTGACATGTTGCCGTACTCGCTCGGCAGGCTGAATTTCCAAGAGTTCAGCTTGCTGTCCAGCTGACGATATTCCTGTTGCCATCGCTCCACGTCTGATAGGGCACTGATATCAACGGGCTTCTTGAGAAAGCGGTGTATCTGCGAGAGGATGCCAACAATCTCGATGTAGTAGCTGAATGATCCGAGATTCTCTGGATGATTCATCTCGCTAAGATCATGCTGTTCGCCTTCGATCGTTTGAAACCAGCGTGTGTCGACAGGTTGGTTGCGAGCAAAGAGGTCGTCTCGGCATGGCAACTTGCGGTCGATCTCCTTGTCATCAAGTGCGAACTCGAAGGCTGTTGCAATTGTGGCGTAGCGGTCGAGTAGATAGACCATCCAAAACAGTCTTCTTCGGCTTTCGTCCTCGATAAACGACTTTGATTCAGGCAGGACCATGGCGCGCAAAGTGTAGATTGATGGGAAGAGAGGAGCGATGGAAGCTGAAGTCGTTTCGACCGCAAGTCCTAGCTGCACGACGCTCCTTGTGATCAACGCCAGGAGGTTCCAACCTGGAGGTCCGTTCGAGTTGCCGACCGTGTCGAGAGCAAGAATTACTAGTGCTTGCAACGCCTTGACCGAGCTGTTTTCCAAGCCATAAAGCAGGACCTGAACCACACAGGTATATCAGAAGACTGAGACTGTAAAGAAGAGGTATCACAAACCTTCTGCTTCGACGTAGAATGGTACCGCTCCCGTGCCTGATCGCTCAAACGAGCATCTGTCGAGAAGCGCAGAGTCGTAGCGACAATCGCATGAAGCAAGATTCTATCAGCTTCTTCTAGCGTGTTGGGGCCAAACAAGGAATCCAGTGTACTACGTCGATGGAGGATCGGACACCAGGTATTGATGTGCTTGAAGAAGAGATCCGTGAGAGCATATAACAAGTCATAAGGCGGGAAGTCATGATCTTGAGAAACTGCTTTCATTGCTCCATCCTGGTTGGCCGCGTTGATGTTAAGGCTGGGTGACTCTAGTGGTGGATTTGTCGCCGCGTAGAGATCACTGGCTGTGGTAGGTGGGATATGAATGGAGTGTTGAGAGCCATGGTGCTGGTGTTGATGCTGGTTCATGTCACTGCCTTGTGACTGGAGACGGTTGTATTGAACTGCTGTCGCCGTTGGATACATGTCTGGTGTCTGCATGAACAGTGCTGTCTGTGCCTGAGGAGCATGTTGAGACTGAGGTGATACTGATGATTGCGGTCCTGGTAGATGGGCAGCGAGTTGTTGGAGGACATGTTGCTGGTTGCTAAGGACGCCCTCGAGTTTGTCTGAAGGCTAAAATCAGCATCGAACTCCATCGCAAACCCATCTCATCCAAGTAAAGACGACCATTTCGGGTCTTATACGCACCAAGACGAGCCTCAAGCTCTTTGCCATATCCAGCACGCAGACCAGGCTTCTTACGCTCCCTGTACTCGCACGTCTGCCCGTTTCGCAAGCACCAGCCACACGAAGGCTGGCCTCTATCGCATTTGACCTGGCTTTCATCAACATTCCACACCGATTGCTTATCTCACGTGTCGAGCAGGCAACGTGATGGACGTAGCACAATAATACTCACCTTGCGCTGCTTGCACAACTCACAGCTGACGCTCATAGGCCGCTTGCGCTTCCTGTCGCCGCCCTCAGCAGCGAGCTCGGCATCGTCTTCCCCATCGCTCCAGCCCTCGTCCTCCTCGGTGCCATTCTGCTTCGGCGAAACCAGCTCTCCTCCTCGCGGCGTGCTGGAGGACATGGCGTGGGTTCGAGCGGGCGCAAGTTGGAACTTCGGGGCAGAATTGTGACGAGCAGAGGTGCCAACTGCACCGAGGAGTCTTATAGGCTTCGGTGGGAGTGACCCCGCACGCCCGCCTTCTGGCGAGAATGGACAGCGAATGTTCCGTCTGGACTGCACCGACAGCGCCTGTGATTCCCTCGACACGCCTCTGGTCGACTGTTTTTCCCTGCATCGCGCTGCTGGGAGACCCACTGGCGCCATGGGAGAAAGATAGAACATTGAAGCGAAGACTTTCCGTCTTCTTTATGAGCTGTTCCTGCCTTTCTTCCTTTTCTGAACATCAGGTTACGAAAGACTCACTTATCTCACTTCTACTCTCTGCCTTGCCAGGATTCTCATCCATACTGCGAAGACCTTGAGATTACACATTCACATGCCATCTGCCACCATGGCGCAAGAAAAGAGCAGCGTGGTTTCTTTCCCCAAGATCAAGAATGTCAAGACCTTCATCATTCAAGGCGTGGGGTCCGGAGGCGATTACCACAATGTCAAGGGCGGCCACTGGCTGATAGACTCCAAAATCTCCACGCCAATGTCCGGATATGAAGCTTACCGCAAATCGAGGACGAGCTGGGGCATCAACGTGCTAGGCTCTTTCTGCGTCGAGATTGAGGCCAGCGACGGCACGAAAGGTTTCGCCACCGGGTTTGGCGGACCGCCAGCTTGCTGGCTGGTTGCAGAACACTTCCAAAGATTCTTGATTGGAGCAGGTTGGTGGCTTGTGATATGAAGGCTGAAAAGCAATGTGCCGCTGACAAAGGGACGCAGATCCACGGGATACGAACCACCTCTTCGAGCAAATGTACCGCGCATCAATGTTTTATGGTCGCAAAGGTCTGCCGGTAGCCGTTATATCTGTCATCGACCTCGCGATATGGGACTTACTGGGCAAGATTCGCAACGAGCCTGTATACAAGCTGATTGGCGGCGCGACCAGGGAAAGGCTGAGCTTCTACTGTACAGGTCCAGAGCCCGGGGCTGTAAAGGAGATTGGATTCAGCGGTGCCAAAGTCGCGTTGCCCTACAGCCCTGGAGAAGGTCCTGAAGGGATGAGGAAGAACGTGGAATACCTTCGCCAGAAACGAGCAGAAGTCGGACCTGACTTCCCTCTGCGCGTCGACTGCTACATGAGCCTGAACGTCCCATACACAATCGAGTTGGCGGAGAAATGCAAGGACCTGGACATCGACTGGTGGGAAGAGTGTCTCTCTCCTGACGACTTCGACGGACACGCCCTCATCAAGCGCGCACACCCAACCATCAAGTTCACGACAGGCGAGCACGAGTTCTCGAGGTATGGCTTCCGTAAGCTCATCGAGGGCCGTAATCTGGATATCCTGCAGCCCGACGTAATGTGGGTAGGCGGTATGACTGAGCTGTTGAAGATCTCAGCTATGGCAGCGGCGTATGACATCCCAGTCGTCCCTCATGCGAGTGGACCGTACTCGTACCACTTTGTCGTCTCGCAGTCCAACAGCCCATTCCAGGAATACCTGGCCAACTCGCCGGACGGGAAGAGCGTGCTGCCTGTATTTGGCAACCTCTTCACCAACGAGCCGATTCCAGTGAAGGGGTATCTTGATGTGTCAGTGCTTGACAAGCCAGGGTTTGGACTCGAAATCAACCCGTCAGCACCGCTGATTGATGCGGCTGGTATTTTGAATCCCGCGCCTGCCAAATCCTTGCCGCTGCCCTCACAGACGCAAGGTCAGGACGTTGATGATAATGGCGGGAAAGGAGTCAACGGGGTTGCGTAAGAGCCACGAAGGAGTGCCATGTGGTCGGCCGGCCAGATGAGGGCTCGCAAAGAGGCGCAATCCGGAGTTGGGTGGCGTTCTGGGCGCGCACATGTCTAGATTCTTCAGAAACACATAGCATCGAGCAGGCCGCTTACATGCAGCGCACTGCTCCACCTGTACCCCGTAGAAAGCGCAAACTATGGTCAGCAGGGCTGAAGAAAGTTTCCAAAGTAAGGTGCCTAGGAGTATTAGGACGAATCGAAGGCAGTAGATGCGATTCCAGCGTGAGTGAATGGATTCTCAGCTGATCTAGGTTGCTGGCCGTGGCCGGAGCTGTTCGGCATGCGCATGGGTGGAGTTGGAACGCGAGCGGTGCCGGCAGGGCTCGTCATGACAGATTGCAGTATCTCGTCCGACATGGCGGTGTTGCTTTGATATGGAGGTGTGGCGAGCGATTGTGCGATGACTTGGCCTCCACGGCGCGTTGTCATCAATGTCGCGATGGTTAGAGAGCGATGACAAAGACGATTGGGCGTGGGCGGCAGACGGGGTCGGGCCAGTCCCAGCGACCATTCTCCTGGCTCCGATCCTGCAGGAGTTGGATGCCAGGCCAGGCGAGTTTGCGTCAAAAGAACGAAGAGCCGCATGGTGGGCAGATCCACGTGCCCGCATACCGAACAAGCAAGTGGTGGTGGCCGGCTGTGAGTGGCCGCGGCCTTGATTCCTGATGCGAGGGTGTGCTGAGGGCCTGGCATGGGGAGTGTAGTATTCGTACGACGCCGGCGGCGGATGTTGATGTTGTAGTCGCGATTGTGTCGTGGTTTTGTTGCGGGTGAAGTGTGTTGGCCCCCGAATTTGAGACGAGACATTCTATTTTAGCGTTCGCAAACGATGGCGTGTCCAATAATCCATCATCACACACTTGTTTTCAGTACGTACCCTGCTCCTCTCCATCACCCAGGATCGGCAGGGCACTCGTGACGCTGCAACTCCCGGACATGGTCATCTCTCGGCGTCTCGACCTCGCGATGCGGCGACGAGGGTGAGATTGCCTGCGATGCGATGAGCCACGTCCTGCCGACGTCATGGTCGGCCGGTCCTCGAACGACATACCGCTCCTGTCATCAACCTGCCTTCACGACGCTCCATCATCATCAGCGTCCTCACGATTCGTCTGGCTGGGCTGGGGCTAAAAGCTGACCTCACGGACGGGGTCGAGTGGAGGCATCTCGTAGGTCGACAGGAATCGCGGGCGGTGTTGTTTGAGCATCTGTGAATCGCCGGTCGATCGCCTCGTGGCCTGCCGCCAGGCGAAGACGTGCATTCGACGTGCATCGCAGTGCATTGGCGGCGTATGCATCGCGGCACGGGGTTGCTTCCTTTCGCCTTGCCCTCAAGGCCACCAGGGCCGGTCTGTCCAAGCCATCCATCCCTCCCGCTCGTACTCGTCCAGCTGCTGCAATTAGGGAACCAACACCGACCGCATCCATCGCTGGCTTAGCCCGCGATGGCGGTCCAACCCTCCCGCGAATACCAGGCCGCCGCGCTCCCCTCCATCAACCGTCCCACCACGCCGGCGCACCTCTGCCCCGGCCCGTCGTCTGCCCTGGCCGCGTGGAGGGCAGCCTGTGAGGAGCCTCGCACGCCTCGAGCAGTAGCTGCTGCATGCCGACCGCTGCCATCCTGCCAGAAAGTGCCCCCAATCTGCACCGCGCTAGCATCGACTACGACCCTGCCGGCCTGCCCACGCCTGCTGCACCAATGCGAGCCCTCTATTGCGCCGCAACCTATGGCAGCTCGCAGCAGTGACAGCCGCACTCTGCGTGCGGTATGCGACTGCGCATGATATGCATCTGCCTTCATCTGACTTATCCACTGACTGATCCTCCCTCGTCTTCCATCTCTCCTCCATGGCTATAAGAAACCACAGCCACGCCGCCCCGACGCCGCAGCCTAACAACCAACAACCACCCGAACCACTATCCCCTTCTCTGCTTGATCCGCAGTCTGTTGTTGGTGTTTGTTTCGTCCTTGCTTCCTTCCGCACATCTTTTGATTCATTAGCGTTGCAGGCGCACTTGTGGCATTCCGTCTAGCTCGATTGGGCTATTTGCAACAACATGTGTATCCAAGTCGTCGAACGATACTCGGTGTGTCGATGCCTGTACTACCGCCATGCCATCGATCCATGCGCCGCACGATCACAACGAGGCCACTCAGTCCAGGAGAAGACCGTGTTCGTCGGATACGCCTGTGCGAACCATTCCAAAGGACGACCGCAGCCTGAGACTTACGCACGAAGGACAACTCATCCCGATTCTGGCTATTCAAGTTGGAATCCGCATTCGCGATGAGTGATCATCAATTCGACCTACGTGCGAGACTCTACGTTGGCATCATGCTGGACTTGACGACATTGCACCATCTTGGCAGAGCGGACTGTTGGACAGCATGCAGCCATCACTGTGTCTCGGCATCATCACTCGTTCTGGTGGTAGCACTACGCGGCCATCGCGGTAATCACCACCGCAGTCACCCTCTGCCAGAGTCACACCAGATCCGAGGCCGACATTCGAAACGATCTACACTCTTTATAAATCCCGCGCTTGGCTTTCCACATGGGTTCTGGAGGGATACCTTAGGGCAGGCACGATGCTGTTGATTACTACGCCAAAGCAAAGCCAGACGGCAGAGATCGACGAGGAGCTGTGCTGCGGCGTGCATATACGCGGCCACACATGCAGCGACGCATGCACGAAGAATTGGTCAGGTGACAGACAGTACTGGGCAAATCATCCAATCTTTACGAATAGGAACGAGTGAGGAATCACGGGTTACATTGGGGGGTTGTGCGCACGCTCGCATTTTCGGTTATTGGTACGCATTTACCTGGAGCTCTTTATTTTTGGGGGGAGGATGGATGATGGATCGATCGTTTTCTGTCTGGGCCGTGGGTTTCTTGCAGCGTTCTCGCGAGCTCTTACTTGCACCGCAGCTGTCTCAACACTTTCTGGCTTTTTTGAGTGATTACTCCGAGCACAACTCTGTCTCTGGCTGGACCAGGTTCAAACCAATCGTCATCGACTCGCTTTCTCCGTCTGCGAGGCACGCGCAGGACACGTGGGGCAGCATTTTTATTTTCTCCAACTTCATATCCATTAGACTCTTTCTTCCCCTTAGATAGGACTGTTTCCCCCGATACAATCATCATTCAGTTCAAACTTCACAAAAGTCTTGGCACGAATCGCTTCTTCATCAGGCAGGAGCGTGGAAGAAAGCGCCGACGAGATCGACAAAAGTCTGTTGGATCAAGGTTGGTCTTTCGACCAGCATCTTCCCTGAACAAATCTGTCCTACGTCCCAACTGACTGGGCTCAACGAAGATTGCTTGCTTTGATCAACACACATCACTACTCTCTCGGATATTATTCATCATCATCAGCAACAGAGTGAAGCTCTTCACACAAGCCCACCGCGCCTCTCACTCACTCGACCAGCTCCCTAGCTGTGCCCTAACGACGAAATGGAAACCTTCACACCACGCCGGCGAACAAACAACGTTCGGTATGCCGAATCGAGGCTCCTCCGTTCTTCAGCCAGTCCAGCGAATTCTTCCATCACAACTCTATAGTCAGAGATCTGTACAGTATGAAGACATCCTTCCGACAGCAGGCACATACAGCAGTAAGCTCTGAAGATTAGGGCCAGAGAATCCTGCTGGATGGATGGAGGAAGCGAGAAAGTATGTGTGTGGTGCAAAAGTAAGTCGGCAGTTGTTCGCAGCGCGATGGAAATGGCAGGACCGTACGAAATCACAGCACAGCACAGAGTGCGAAGAGTTCCCGAACTTGGATGCAAGCTCTCTTGAATCCAAGCCCGGACGCCGCAGTCCTCATTATCGCCTTCACCGATGCACGGGTACTGTACTATGCTGTACTGTAATCGTCTACACACGAAGAAGAGACGGCCTTCTTCGTTCGTTATGTTTCACTTCCTCGACGAAGCCCTTCACTCTTGCATCTCGTTCGGGAAACGACGCCCTAAGGCGTTATCGAGCAGCAGGACTTATCAACAAGCACAAACGAGAACACTTCACGAGAGCCTAAAGCGAAGCTACTAGCAGAACGATGACTTTGCAGAGCAGAGCGGGATGGGACGAGAGGAATTAGTAATTGCCATTATTGCTTCGAGCGGGCTGGTGACTTGAACGGTTCAGTATGTTGCAACGATCGACGACGGTACGGAACAATGGGTAAGAGTTGAGGCGACGTCGCTCACGGGTCCGGCGTCGGAGACGGTGATGACTGAATTGGGATAATGGAAGCGCAACGGCGTGGTGGATGATCAGGAACAGATGCAGTCAATTACTTTGCCTGGTTTATGAGCCGAGTGAAGAAGGTACCAGAGTATGACACCAGAGTCTTCCACGACTCCTGCATTCGACTGTCCCATCCTCCTCCTCATCCTCCACATCATCACATCGTTCTTCGTAGCGCGAGGTCATCTCAAACAAAGTCTGTATTGCAGATCTTCGAAAGATGATGATGACTCGGCTTTCCGTCTCCTTCCTCTCCCTCTCCCTCGCGCCCCGATCATCTTCATGCATCCGGGACGCTTCTTCTCCCTCATCTTGTCCTTCAAGTCACCACCGCCCGGCATCACGAATCGATCGACATCGATCGCGAAGTGCGTGTGGTTGCTGGTCGGGTCGGGTCTGGCTGCTAGGCTGTGTGCGTAGCGAGTGAACAGGTGCAGCCAAGTTGGGCATTGGACAAATCCAAAGAAACGCGCATCGACGCCGCGAAAACACTGCAAGCAGGCCGGCTGAATGTAGAGCGCGGGTCAAGAAGATGATGCGCGCTTCAGCAGAAACCAAAAAATGCGAATGGATGGACAATGGACCGCAGGCGCGAAAAATCAATCCAGCTGTAAGTGAGAGTGGTCCTTCTTCTCTCCGTGTGTGTGTATGTCGTCTCTCAAACCGCCGTAACTCGTAGGCGACTAATGGCGGACCACGATGCCGTGGCGGCGTGTAGTGCCTTTCTTGTAGTCGTCGTCGGATTCGCTGCTGCATTCAGAGCCGTCAGAGTAGCCGCAACGAGATCCACCACAGTCGAGCTTGACCCTGGCACCTGCGCGTGTGATGCCGTAGCGTTCGCAGGTACAACAGGATGATGTACTGGAGACCGAGCTGGGTGTACTGGAGTTGCTGCTGCGCGAGCTGAGGGATGGTACGTCCGATTCGACGTCCGATTCGGAGTCGGACTCTTCCTCAGACTCCTCACTGAGTTCGGCGGCGGCAAACTTCGCGCTGAGTTGCTCCAGTGTCGGGTGTTGGAACTGTTCGTTGCGGACTTTCTTTGTTTCCTGAGGCTTGTATGGTCTGGGAGAAACAATCTCGGACTTCTCCAGTGGCCGTCCTTTGGGAATACTGACAGACAACGAGGTCTTACGAGAATGTCGATGAGACTTGGACGATGTACTGTGACTGGCAGGAGCGGCAGCGGGAGGTTTCCCAGATGGAATGTCGAGGACATTCAACTTCCGACCTGTCGTCGGCTCCGTGACAGACTCGCGAGCTGGATCATGGGAGACATGATAGCCATCGATGATGTAGTAGTACCAGTATCGTTGGCCTTGTTTGAGCGTCTGTCCTTGAAAACGGAACGTCCCCTTCCAACCGCCCGCCTTGGACGAGTCCTTGGAAAGCGGCAATTGTCCGGAGTAGTTGTCCCAAGAGCCGAGCAAGTGAACAGTCTTGCAGTTGGCCGAGGTACGGAGAGTGAAGTTGAGCTGAATTGAGGCCATTGTGGTGTTGGTCCTTCGCAATGTCTTGGTTTCTTCGAGCGAGGATCGAAAATTACAAGGTTCGTAATGGTGTTGGGTTGTCGGGAAGTCGTGCTGAGCAAGCAAGAGCTGATAATTAGGTGTAACGGGGGTTCAGTCGACCAGCGACTGGGTTCGTAGAATGCAAATGGATCGGATATGAATATCGAATTCGTTTTCTGGGTTTCTTCTGGGGGTATTCGGTGTTGGCGGTTTGGGGGCTGTATTAGAGAATGGGCGTATATTGGACGACGAGCACCAGGCTCTGGTATTAACAAAAGGGCAAAAAAGAGGATAGAAAACCAAAGACCAGCTCTTGAGATTGACACGCTTGCTGAGAAGAGAAAGAGAGGAAGGGCATGAGGGAGTCGGCGGGCGACTATATGCTCCCGTGGCAGCTGAGCCTGCTGAGCCTGTGGTGTGGCCGACACGACGGGCACAATCATGCACTCGTCCGTGGGCTGCACAACCCAGCGAGCCCGCTATTGGAAAGGCGCAGGAGAGCGCGAAGAAGAAGCACCAAGGTGGAGTCCAACACATCGCCCTCAGCGGCAAGAACGAGGCTGCGATTGGCCGCCGTCCGCGTCGGGAAGGATCTGCACAACACTTCACTTCACCTCACATTCCCCTCCCATTCGTCGCTCGTCCACTCTGCCAAAAGGCACGCCCCGGCCCATCAATCACTGAGTCCACACCAGCTCTAGTGCCATGTGAGCGGGTGGGGGGGAACCTTGACGGTATGGATGCATTCCGTGCAGCATCCTCCTGCTTTTGGACATTGGCCGGTGCGGACGTCGTCGCATGGCTGACGTCCTCGATCATGCTGTTCATGCACACACGATGATAGCCTGAAATCTGGGCGGTTACGGCGCATCATGGTGGGAGCGTCATATATTACACCTTGGATTTCGCAAGTTGGCTCGGTGTGTTGAGCAACACACACCACCGGTCAGTCCGTTGGAGGAGGCTGGCAAGCCATGCAAGGGTTCCTGGAATGGGCTTGTGATATCTTCACATGGCCGAGCGAGTCGGAAAGCATTATCCATGGAAAACGATGGCTCGTCGGTGGTACAACAACGTCAGTAGCAACCGATTGCCTTCTGTCAAGAGATCGAGTTTAGAAGCGAGGAACGACCACGCTGATACGAAAGTTTGACTGTGCTCTGATATGGAAACGTGGTCGCTCCAGTTTGCATCAAAGATCTACCTCGAAGAGCGTCCAACATGTTCTCGAGACCCCGCTCGGCTCTCGTTCGAGGCCGCCCCGGAGTTGTACGCCTCCATGCAGCCTCCACAAAACCCAACGGATCACTGAACCAGGATATATCAAACAAAGGCGTGGCTTGCTCGATAGAGGGACCGATAGCTCCCACGCGAGGCCAAAGTGGACTCATCATTCATTCAGAGCGTTATCCTACGGCGGGCCGGCACAAGCCTCAGCTGGACTGTCACCACTGCAGTGTAACCAACAGCCATGGATCGAGATGGTGGGACTCCGTAGCAACCACAACATCCCGACGTTCATGGTCGAGTTGCTGTCGTGCCACACATCTAGTCATCACCGCCAACGATCAAGCTCGCAAACTCGTCCGGAGTCAACGTGCTCTTCCTCTTCTTCGGCCTGCCCTTGATTTTCGTCCTCTTCCCCATCGGACTCGGCATCTTTCCCAGCGTGTCATCGTCCCTCTCATTCGATAGCTCATCCAAGCTCCCATTCAATTTCGCCGTCGGTACCTGTTCTCGCCTAGTAGCTTTGCCTTTACTCTCACGTGCATTGGCTGCATTGGCTGCAGCTTGCTCCGCTTCTTCTTGAGCAGCGCTTAACTTCTCTGCGATTGTCATCTGAGGCACTTCGAGGTCTTCGCTCTCGTAGTCATCGTCCAAAGGTAGAGAAGCTGCTTCGTCACTGTAGCTCACAGGGCGAGGATCCGATCCATGCTTTGGTGGAGAAGGTGGTGCGGACTTGCTTGCATTGGTCGGCGGCCTCAAATCGAAGAACGCTGGCGGCTCGAGCACATCGTGCTTCCTCTTTGGAGGGCTTCCTCTCGTTGAGACTGACCGGTCAGGTGGAGAAAGGCGTATCTTGCTCGCCTCGGTGACCTCCTCGATGTCTGGCAGTCTGATTTCGCTCGTTGACGTGTCCATCAAGCTGTTGTCGCCCGCTGTCGCCCGCTCCTCGTTTCGTTCTCGGTTTGGTGAGACGAGACCCATGCCTTGTCGCAAGTCGTCGATGTTGATACTATCACCCGTGTTCATGCGTTTGAGCCAGCCCTCCATCATGAACAACACATCTCGCCAGCGCTTCTCCATGTGATCCCAGCCCTCACGCAAACGTGCAATCTCTTCTTCTCGCACCTCCACCTCTTCCATGGACACGAAATTCGGGTTTGTCAGGATGGTCTTGAGTTGCTCGAGTGTGGATTCTATTTCGGCAGACAGCGCTTCGTACGAAGTCGGCAAAGCATGGAGCATGCTATGAGCACCTTTCTGCTTGCCATTGATGTCCTCCTCGCTTCCCATACTACCCATCGCGCTGTCAGGATGCTTCTTCGTCCCTTCTGGTACACCCAGCAGCGGTCTTAGCGAACCAAGCGCGTTGCGAATAAGACTGATCAAGCCGTCATTCTCATCGCTGAGGCTTTGACTTAGTTGTGTCAGAAACTCCGTCGTCTCTTGCCGCAAGCTGTACTCTGGGTCTTCGAGATTGTGCGCTGATGAACCATTGATTTGCTTCTTCACTGTCATACTCGGTGCTGTCATGCCCGCTCTGTTGCCTCGCTGTTGTCCTTGCAAGTACGTCTTGAGCCGCGCCAGTTCCAGATCTCGTTTGCGCACATCATTCGTACACTGCGTCTTGACTTGCGCCAGTGTTGTCTTGAGCTTTGTCGCCTGGTCCTGAAGCGCCTTCATGGCCTTCTCCACCTTCTTCACCTCGTTCTGTGCAGCACGCTCTGCTGCTTGGGCTTGCGCCGCTGCCCGGCCCGACTCTTCATTCTGGCTGGTCAGACGTTCGATTTCGTGCATTTTCCGTGCATCTTCCGATCGTAGGTGTCGTATAGTCTGAGCTACATGGTCTTGTCGGTCTTTGTCGCGGTCTTCGCGTAGTATCAGGTCGTGAACGAGGTTGATGATCTGGGCTCGGCTCTCCTTCGAAGGCTTGACGAAATCAACCGGCTCGCCATTCCGTAGTAATCCTCGCGCCTGCAAGAGATTGTTGAGGTATGTCGAGGCCGTTCGTAGGCTCTCGTGGTCCATGGCGATGATGTCGTGGTATTCAACATCGACCGTGTTGAAAGGCCAATGTTTCTCGAATTCGATTCGTTTGTTTTGATCTTACTACTGGAAGAGGACTAGACTCAACTTTAATTTTAGATCATCGTTTCGCCACGTGACACTTGAAGCATCCCATCGACAACCAGCAGAACTCTTTCGTCGACACTTCTGTTGCCGTTCCATGTCCGTTCGGACCACTGCATCATCATGTCCATGTCAGACCGCTTCGGTATCGAACTTCCATCCTGCTACACGCATCCTGAAGAATAATATCAAAGCTGCTGGATGCAATGCCCGCCATTCGGCACCGAGATGCCCACTTCCTCTCGGCCTTTCGGTGCTCGTCTGTGCCGCCGCCACGACATCTCACATCTCCTTTTAGACCCCTCTGACCTGCGCTGCTGCAGGAACCGTCTCCTCGATATTCTTCGGATTTGGCTCCAAGCCCTCCCTCCCCCCTCCTGAGAGCCTTGACACGCAACCACCAAAATGCTGGTAGAGGATCGATTTCATCTCCTTGTCGCTATAGGAGCTCGCAAAATTACCACGGTGGGATGGTCAGAGACGACTTCACTCGCTGCCGCGAGCCTCCCGGCCCCACCGCTCCGAACTCAGAGGAACCAGATCGCGGCGGACTATGGTGGGGAGAAAGGCGGTGACAACAGCCATTCCACGCCAGTGTATGCACCCTGAAACTATGTACCTGCTCCCAGAAATTCCATAAGAAGGCCCCTGGCTGCTGGCGGTTGGCCTGAAGCTGCTCTTGGTTCATCCCTGGTCTTCAAAAACACCTCCGTACAAGCTCCATCTACCATTACCTCTCCAAGAAAAGCACCGCCCAAGATGTCTCCAACACAGCTCGAGCCCGTCAAGCTCATCAGCCTTGAGGGTGAGTCTCCGAATGCTCTATCCTCCTCCTGCTTGATGCTCTCTTTCAAGCGGTGGAAAAGTTGCAGTGATGAAGATCTTTTGCGGATTTATACGACGCAATGCAATTGCGATTGATTACAACACATCGTACTTGAAGACCTCCTGATTCCCTGTTGAGGGTTGTGTGTGTGTTCCCTGCTTCTGCAACCCTCAATGGCTAGCAATTCCCTCAACAGCACCAGCACAAAGCAGCTCGCGTGACAGCGAGCCTCAAGTTCTCGCAGCATAGCTAACGCCACTCCCCACCTCCAGAAATGCAAGGCTGCATGGCCGCCGTCTACGAATGGGCCGACAGCTACGACAGCAAAGACTGGGACCGCCTCTCCAAATGCATCGCCCCAACCCTCCGCATCGACTACCGCAGCTTCCTCAACAAGCTCTGGGAAGCCATGCCCGCCGACGAGTTCATCAAGATGGCCTCGGACCCGCACGTCCTCGGCGACCCAACCCTCAAGACCCAGCACTTCATCGGCGGCACCAAGTGGGAAAAAGTCAGCGACGACGAAATCATCGGCTACCACCAGCTGCGCGTGCCCCACCAAAAGTACACCGACGCCACCATGACCAAGGTCGCCGTCAAGGGCCACGCGCACAGCTTCAACCTGCACTGGTACAAGAAGGTCAACGGCGTGTGGAAGTTTGCGGGCCTGAACCCGGACATCAGATGGTTCGAGTACGACTTCGACAAGGTCTTTGCGAGCGGCCGTGACAACTTTGGCGCCGAGGCCGAGACGGCCGCCCAGGCTTCCGGTGCGTTGTTGAACTTCAAAGATTTCGACGACCCGCTCCTGATGCAGGCTAACGCGATTGTTCAAGGCATTCCTCCGAGCGCTTAGACTCGTTCTCCCGCGTCGCCGGCCTGCACTTGCTTTAGGGGTTCTTTGATGCGTTGAGGGTGTAAACGGGAATGCAAGAGTGGCAGGAGTTTATATGAGTTCAACGACAGGACATGGGATTGTGTATTGCAGAGTTTCGTTGTACAAGCTTTGCTGTTACAGAGTAGTATCGCAGCCAAAAGAGTTCTCTACACAGCGCTGTACAGCCCTTCTTCGTCCCTTGCATGAGCCATTTCACGTCAATCGATCAGTCCAATAGCAGTATGCAGTGCGTTGTGTGTTCCATGCTTCTTCATGATCCGTCAGGTCCAGCCGTCACACGCCGGCGCAGCTGAAAAGTGATGAGTTAGCAATGCTTGGATAAAGATACTTTCAAGGGTCCAGCACCATTGACTCCTCATCAGGTTGCACGTTCTCCTTTTCAGCTTGCGCCGATGCTCTGCTTACCTTACGCGCTGGCTTCGACGTGTCCTTGTCGACCTTCTCGGGTGAGCCCTCATTGACACTGGTAGTCTTCGTCTCAGAACGGGTCCGCTTCCTGCCCGAGCTGTGGGCCGGGCTTGACGACGTGACAGAGTCGTTCTTGACTGGAGATGAAGACGATGGATGCGTGACAGAGGCAAGGGGGTCTGCCGATGCCGGATTGAGGACGTTGGAGAAGAAGTCGCGGTTGTGGTTGTCAATCGTTCCCTCCTTCCGGCTTCGCACTCCTTGAGCTAGATGGTGTCAGCTTACTTCACGTCTGGAAAGAGTATTGCCATACCTGGTGGGTTGTGGACGACGCGGCCTTCGGTGTCTTCGGAAGTGCAGACTGGGTACGACTCGCAGTCAGGATGCATGCTGATATCAGAGCCATTCGCCAGACGTCGATCGACGGCGCCGGCCGCTTCGTTGCCAGTAGCTTGGGCTGCCGCGATGACATGCTGAGGCAATGGGGGAGGAGGCATGCTGTGGTCGACAGCCTTTGGGGTACCGATCGCGCTCAGTATCTTCTCGAGCTGGTCGCTTGGGATGCGCAGCTGGACGTGATCTTGAAGGGTGGAGTTGCTGGGGCAGGCCGGGGATCTGGCAGCGGCGGCAGCAACAGCGACAGGCAATGGCAGCGAAGAAACAGGGATGGTCGAGTATGCGGAAGAAGATCGACTGCTGTTGGCGTAGGTGTTGGGTGGAACAAGGCCTGGTGCGTAGTTGAAGGAGGAGGGAGGAAGTGGGCCGCCAAAGTAGGATGGGGAGGACTGCATGCTGTTCATGCTGCTAGCGCTCATGTTGCGCTGGTGCGTAGCGCGGCTGGCAAAGGCTGGCCCCTGACCAAATACAAGACCACCGTCAGACTTGATGGGGTTCTTGAAGATCGCCGTGTTTGGCCAAGCGATGGCAGCGCGCTGGAGGACGTCTGTAAAGTGTCAGATACGATCATGTATAACGAGACATCATACATACCCAGTGGGGCTGGTTGAAAGTTGAACGTGGCGTGGTTCATCAGCTTGACGAACACCTGCTTGCCCTGCTCAAGCTTGACATAGCCCTCAGAGATCTCGACCTTGATGCGACCCTTGAAGTCGTTGGCATCCCAGTGGTGCTGAGACATGACCGACTTGTAGAATTTCGGAAAGCGCAGTGGCTGCATGTTTCCTTCGGTGTCGGTTGGAAACAAGTTGGCCGCAGGAATGACCTTGGGCCAGTGGACGTTCTCCGGGTAGTGCTCGATGCTATCAACTCATCAATACTCTGGCATGAAGCACGACGAAAGACACTGAACTCACCACGCATCGAAGCCATCGACCATGATCTTGACCTGCCACAACTGAGTTGGCGCACCAGCTTGAGTTCCTTCGAGGCTGGAGTAGAAGAAGGGCTTTGGAGTCCAGGAGTGGACGGAGACCTGTGGATGTTAGTAGCTTGAAGGGGTGCAGCAATGTCAATTGGCATACCTGGAGGCTGTTAGTACATAATGCGCGCAAGTATATAGATCACGATTGACTTACCTGGAACGGCAAACCCTCATCGATGCTTGGAGTGAAGCACGTAATCAGAGGAGCGATGCAGTGGGCTACATTCATCATCAGCGCATTGCATCTCTTCCCTCTCCGACATCTACTCACCGCCCGTGAGATCGCTAGTCGCAAGCGACGCATCCTCAAGCGCATAGCACTGCGTCTTGAACTCCTTCAGCGGAATATGGCCACTCTCCGTGTGTTGTCCGTTGAACAGGAGGACATCCCAGTCTTCGTAGCGCATGGTCGCGGTGTTGTTGCTTGCTATCGACTTCGGACGGCAAGCGATGCGAAAGTTGTTGGCGAACAATGGTGCGTGGTCGGGGGAGTGGAAGAAGTCGATCGGAGAGACGAACGAGGTTGTCCGGGATTAGATCGACCTGGCAATCGCGTGTTCAGAATCAGGAAGGCACGACGACTGGTGACGCGCACGCCATTGCCATTCGGAACAAAAAGATCGCCCCGCGCCTGCTCACTTTGTTCGATCGAGGAAAGAGCAAACCCCGAAGAAAGTGGCCGTGGAAGGCACGTCCAGCTTCAACTTTCACATGCTTGGCTTGGCAACCACCAGCAAGACAGCCGCATGTTCCAGGTGCTCCAGGCAAGTCTTCGGCGCAAAACGAATGTAAACCAATTCGAATGTTTGAAGTATCTTCATAGAGTTATGTGAATACGTCGAGAGCACTGCAAAGTGGTCAGCCCAAGTACACAAGAAGTCACAACCATTCGAAGAAGCAGAATCACAAACACAAAAGGACAAAAAAGACACTAGAACATTCCAAATCTGAGAAATCATCATTTTCTGGTAGCTGCCTTGCCTCTGCAAAATCAGAAGCATGAAAGACTTCCCCGGTGAGGCCCCTCGTGAAAGAAGACCAAAACCAGCTATCTAAAAACAGCCACCCCTCTTCCGCGCGCCATCGCTGCAAGGCCAATCTGTTGTACAGCAAAGCAACTTCCCAAACTTGGCCGCAGTCTATGCAGAAAAGAAGGGGTTGCTCCGTGAGTGTCGAGGGGTGAAAAGGGTTGATCGGGTGGTGGTCGGTGGGGTGTGGTAATGGTGTCGAGGGTGGTGTAGTTATGATGATCGGGTTGTTGAAGGTGTTGTAGCAAGTCGTTTCTTCTGATTGTCGAATAGCAGCATCAAGGAAGGAAATGTGTAAATGAAACTTTTCTGTAATCCCAGCAGTCTGACCGCCCCGTTGCCCGTATGCATTCATGCCATGAGAGAGATCGTTCGTGCTGTTTGAGTCGTTCTCGTGGGTAGTCGTAAGAAAACGCGATTCGAGCATGCAGATAGTAAAAGGCAGATCGTGAACCTTTGACCAACTCCCGCTAAAGTGCAATCTCACTCAAGGCATCAAGGACGAAAATGCGCTTACTGTGATGAAGTTAGTCCAAGTTCTTCCTCAAGTGTAGCTGATTTCTTACCTTCATGGGTGCAAAGTTGCCGTATGGGTGCTGCGGAGGCATGCCCATCGACGGATACACAGGTGGTGGAGGCGCAGGACGATATGGAGTGCCGGCTGGGCCGGAGTTGTTCTGCGAACGACCCCAGCTCAACCGCACACGAGAGTTTCCGATCGGGTAGCCTTGCATCTGGTTGATGGCCATCTCGGCAGCATGGCGCTGGACGAACTGCACGAAACCGCATCCCTTGCCTGGAGGAATCTTGACGTAGGTGATCTCGCCGAAGCCCTGGAAGAACGAGCGCAGCTCATCCTCGGTGACATATCCAGAGAGACCGCCGACGAAGACCGTGGTGTTGTTGGGATCGGTGAACTGGTTCATGGGTTGAGGTGCGCCGTAGAAGCCCATGGGTGGAGCACCCATCGAGTAGACGCCCATGTTGGGGTTGCCAGGCATTCCACCCATTCCAGGACCGCCGCCACCGCTCTTGTTCTTAGGAGTTGCGGTGGAGATGCGCATGGGTCGGTTGCCGCAGTAGACGCCCTGCATCTCGTGCAGTGCCTTTTGCTGATCGCCTTCGTCGGCGAACCGCACGAAACCGTAGCCACGAGACATGCCGCTGATGGGATCGGACATGATCTTTGCCGACTTGCATGATGTGTACTTGCCTTGGAAGAGCGACATGAGGACGTATTCGTTGACTTCTGGGCCGAGATCGCCGACGAAGATCGAGTACTCCGGACCCCTGTCATCGCGGCTGCGATCCGCTAGACCACCACCGGAAGCCCAGTTGAGCTTGAATTGACGGTTCGAATTCGGAATGACCTGGCCATTGAGCTGCAGCGCACGAGAAGCCTGCTCCGGGTTCTCAAAGTCGACGAAGCAGTAGCCGGCATTGCTTCTAGGCCTTTCAGTCAGTATTGTGCATGCGCCGCTAGGAATGGACATAAATGCGCGCATACCCCGAGAACTTGTCCCTAATCATCTTGACGTTCACTTGATAGCCCATGCCGAACCAGACACTGCGCACGAAGTTCTCGTCGATCCATGGCTCCAGCTCACCCATCCTGTGCAATGTCAGCATGTGCGCTTCACTGACACGTGACTGTGCTTACCATAGGGTTGTCTTCTGTTCTTGACCTGGCTGGAGAGCCTGCTGAGCAGCACCTGGTGCGCCCTGTGGTGCGCCTGGGAACTGGCCTTGCTGCTGACTTGGATCCATCTGCTGTCCCAATGCCGTCGGCTGCTGAGGTGCGCCTGGTGCTGCACCGAAACCTCCTTGCTCTTCGCCGCCTTGCTGCGGTGGCTGCGCACCACCCTCGAAGTTCGGAAAGCTCATAGCTGCGGTTGTCGTCGAGTCGTGGGCGAAATGGATGGATTGGTCGCGTGTGTGCTTACGTAACGGAGTTTGCTCGTCTGCGAAGCTGTAAGCCGATGCGCAAAGTGAGTCGAAGTGACGCAGCAAACCAGGCGCCCATGGTTGCGACTGACTTGAAAGACAATAAGTATGCTCGACCGGCCGTGGCTCGTGAAGAGTAGGAAATGAGGCTGCGCGCTGGCCGCGAAGTCTCGTGATTGCCGCAAAGGATTCCGCGGATATGTGGTGTGCAGAAGAACTGCTGGTCGCTTGCCGTGCCAAAGACGCCGCTCGCTGAAATGAAGTCGCAGTCGCAGTCGCAGAATGAGCGTCCTGGGGAGCAGATTGTTTGGCCGAAAGATTCTAAATCTGCAGAGAAGTGAGCCGGGGCGCTGGCGATGAGGTGCAGCGAGCAGTCCGAAAGGTGGGAAGGAAGGCAGCAAGGCGCTTCGAAAGGCGGGAGGGTTCCGTGTAATCGCGAGAGGGACTCGGGGTGGTGCGAGCACAGTAAGGACTGCTTCAGCGGCGACGAGGTGTGTCGCGCCAGGCGAGCAGTGTGCGTCGACGTGAGAGAGGGAGGGTAGTGTAGTGATCAGGTGACTGGCAGCGCTGCTCCGCGCAATTGATGTGCGCGATCCAGCGATGGGTGCAGGGATTGATTTGGGCAGCGGCTCAGAGCCTCAGCTCTCGGCCCAGCCGGGGCAGGACAGGGCGACTTACCAGTGGTGTCGGTAGTATCGCAACGCAGAGGATCAGAGGTGCAGCACCGAAGGTATCAAAGCACGAACACCCGCTTGCCTGGAAGTACGCCGGAAGGAGAGATGATTCGGTTGCAGAAGGGACGGAGAGACAGGACGACGAGCTGGACGTCGAGGTAAGACTGAGAGGGACGGCAAAGGCGAAGCGGGCACTGGGCAGTGGGGTCTACGGCTCTACCGTCCGTTCATAGAAAACTCAAAATTGCTGCAAGCCTTCCTGAAAACCCCGTCTGCCCTCTCCCAGCTTCGTCACGGCATGGCGCTCTGGGCAGTAAAGGGGCTGTTTCCGCCGTCGCCCACCTGTTCTCGCCGAACACCGCTCACGGCAGCAGCACCAGCGACGCCTTCGTGGGTCGTGACTCGGAGTCGACAGCCTTCGCGAGAGACGTTGGGCTACCTCCTAGCGCTGACACGACTTACAACCACCACCACCACCATTATCTATATGGTCCGGGGGGAGGACGAGCCTCTTCCGGCCAATACAGCTATTGCAGTATTATAACCCGCCCCTGAGATACCTATATCAAGCACGCTCCCATTCTCCCTTCCCTCACCATGCCTTGCGTGGCCAGACTCGCTCTCGTCGTTGACCAGTAATCCGGATCACAGCCTCCCTCGGAGAGACGTTGTATTGTACCATGGAGATCACGAAAGCACGCACATAGCAGAGGGGATTGACAAATGCCGAGTCATTCATGACACTGGTCTTACTGTCATCGTAGCAGCGTGAGGTAGTTGGGTAGCAACATTACTGGGGAGTCAGAGAGGCCGTGGGGGTTGGTTTCATCTGAAGAGCCGCATGCCACGAGTACCGGGTTGCAGGTATTTTCCATCGTCAATCTCGATAGTATCGTCTTCATCGTTGCAATTCATTCCTTCAAATACATTTGGGGAGAATAATCGCGCTTGGACGTTGGGAGACGTGCCTGGGGCAGCAACGTCCACATTCGATCAATCCCACTCCTTGATCTTTCCGTGCCTGATCGCAAATGAGGTATACTTGCGCCGAGCAGTCGGTAGACCGAGCATGTCCAAGCAGCACAGCCGCAAAGCTGTGTTTCAGGAATGCTGTGGCAAAGCCGTCACGTCACGATCCCAAAGCCAAGTGAAACGCATGAGAGGAAGTCAAAGGTATCAGTCTTCTGAATTTGTTCATTTCAGGCTTGTTTTTGGGGTTTTCAGAGTCAGGATCGAGGTCTGTAGGCATAAAGGGTAGCTACCGTGATGCAAGATAATCCGTCTCGCACCCTCCAACCTCTACGTCCAAGAAAAGAGAATGCTCCGCCAGCTCCGAGCAACCACGCTGCTCCACCCGCTCTCAACGAACGACCGTCGATGTATGTGAGAAACTGCAGAGAACAACTACTGGGCAGGCTTGGCCTCCTCACCAGCAGGCGCATCGCTGGTGTCCTTGCTCTCGGCCTCGCCAGCGGCGGCTGGCTCTCCAGATGGCTCGGCCTCAGAGGACGTCCAGAGGGTCTGTGAAGATGTCAGCAATTGTCTCATATATATTGCGTGCTGCTGAACTTACCAGGTTGTCGCGGAGAAGCTGCATGATGAGGGTGGAGTCCTTGTAGCTCTCCTCGGACAGGGTGTCGAGCTCTGCGAAAAGTTAGCATTCATCACGAATCCAAGATGGCAAATTTGAACATACCAGCAATGGCCTCATCGAACGAGGTCTTGGCCATTTGGCAGGCCTTGTCTGGGGAGTTGAGGATCTCGTAGTAGAACACGGAGAAGTTCAGGGCCAGGCCGAGACGGATTGGGTGAGTTGGGGCAAGGTCGGTGCCAGCGACCTCGGTGGCGGCATGGTACGCTTCGAGGGACTTGTCGGCGGACTGCTTGCGCTTGTCGCCCATGGCGAACTCGGCGAGGTAGCGGTGGTAGTCACCCTTCCTGCGTCACAACCCTTATCAGTACTGCAAACGGCCGTCTGTTTGTATATTGACTCACATCTTGTGGTAGAAGACCTTCGACTCGCCGCTCTGAGCAGATGGGATCAAGTGCTTGTCCAAGACCTCAAGGATGTCCTCGCAGATCTTTGCGAGCTCGGCCTCGATCTTCTGGCGGTACTCCTTGATGAGGGTGACCTGCTGCTCGTTGCCCTTGCTCTCCTCCTTTTGCTCGATGGACGTGACGATGCGCCAGGAAGCACGACGAGCGCCGATGACGTTCTTGTAGGCGACGGAGAGCAGATTTCGCTCCTCCACGGACAGCTCCTGGTCGGCCGAGGCGACAGCCTTCATGTTCTCAACCATTTCTGGGAAGCGGTCAGCGCGAGCTCTGGAAGGATCGGCAGCGTGCAAACATACCCTCATAGCGCTCAGCCTGCTCAGCAAGCTTCGCGAGGTAGACAGAATCTTCGTAGCCCATTGTGACGAGGAGGATCGGTCAGTGTCTGTGTTGAGGTGTTAGCTGAGTCGGTAAAGTCGTCGCGTTGCAAGGACGAAAATTGCGGCGACAGGGCTGCCGCGCCGCACACAGGCAGTATCAGGCCGATTTGTTGATTGTGCAGTCGCGTTGGGCAGTTGTCAATGGTGGTTTACTGGGCGACTGCTGTGTTGCCCTCTCTCTCGATGCCAGCAGCTGCAGATTGTTGACCGCCGCGCAGGCAGGCGTAGTCGGCCGCGCAAATGCCACGTGCCTATGTTGCCATGCTCTTCGACAAGGACATTGAGTCCACTGGTCTGTCGGCCGCGGTCGATCTCCGCAGCGATGCGTGTTACAAGGCCCAGGTATCTGGACCAGAGCGCATTTGCGACGGCGTAGTGGTGGAAGCATGCTCGCGGTGGAGCCGCTCGAGGCGCAACCAAGGAGGAGCCAGGGACGATGCGACTTACCAAACTGGTGTATTGGTTTCTGAATGAAACGAGTGCCGGCAACGCTGGACGGATTCGGATGGAGTTGGGAGGTGCGGTACGTGGGGAGAATATCAGAACGAGGTGCTGGCTGTGAAGTGCAAGGGTCTGTGGAGGAGTTCGATAGATGTCATCAGCCATCGCCCATCTCCTGCCCATGGGCTTCTCACGTGACTCAGCGTCCGTGCTGCTGCGCTACACGTCTCAATTGCTAGGCTGTCCATCATTCTATTTTAACAGACACAGATGTTCATCATCGCACAATGCCTACTAGTACTGTGTATCCTTGCCAGCTACATTCTGCCAACCTTCCACATGTCCCTATCTGCTCATTTTTCACAGCCACGAAGGACCTGTGTCTCCTAATTTCAAGAGCCGACCAATCAACTTCACGTTACGCAGCTGTACGCGGCATGGATGGTTCACACGAATCCACTGCCTTCCTTATCCACGCGTTGCCATAGCACAGTCTGACCAAAGAGACTCAACAAGACACAACACGACCGGTGTTCTGCTCAAAGTGGAAGATTCATCCCCATTACTCCCAGTCCGTCAAAGCAGCTTAGAGTGCGATGAACAGCACGATCGCTCGTGAAAAGTCGGGGAGATGGCAGTTCTGGCAGTTTCATACGTTCCACTTTGACCGGAACGAGGAGGGTAGCCTTGTCGCGTGAAGCCATTCTGAAGAGCCCCGACTTCGTGACGTACATGTCGGCGATGTACTCGACCAGAGCAAGGAGGATTTTGAAGATCCGGTCTTGGGTTCGGCTATCTCCCTCTCTCCAGACAACAGTGACTTTCCGAGCGCACGACGAGAGTGATCGGCGTGAGACAAGAACAGGACGAGGAGAGAAAGTGCAGTTCATGGTTGATCCTTCATTCCGTGACAACCACGGGCCGTAGCATTATCAACTACGTGAAATGCTCTGCTTGTGTTTGCTGAAAGCTACATGTACATGACAACTGATCAGAGCCTCACAACAATGATGAAGCGACAGACGTCCGTAATGGACCATGAGAGAACGCTTTCAGTCCAAGCAGCAGGACTCCTCCTTCACTCCTCATCTTCTTCAGCAACATCCGCCAAATGTTGTCTCCAGAGCGACGCCATATCAACCTCCGCATCGCCAAGCTGGGTATCGAGACCATCCAAGTGAAGAGTGTTCAGATCATCCGTTCTACCCTCCAACTCGAAAGCTCTGAAGGTCAACTTCGGCTGACATGTAGCGAGCGACTCTCTCCGGGACCCAATCAAGCTATCGATGAACAGGTTCCGCTCGGCCTCTGTCTTCGTACCCAGAATCTCAATCTTTTCCAACGACTCTTCGAATCTGCATCGTGCAAGGCCCTCCGCGGCACGCGCCACAGCCCTGCAGCACCCTTGCCTGCAATAACAGTTGGTCACATCAATCTGGAGAAAGCGAAGAGCTGACGGCGGCGACCATGACAAGCTCCCCGTAGCATGGAGGAGAATCTGGGACCAGGCGAAGGAAACGTTCGCGCTCAGAATGTCGTGTGCGTACTCCATTCGCTGTTGCAATGTCAATGCGGCCCAAGTGGCATTGGGTACATTGAGCAAAAAGGTTGCCGGTTGCCGCAGGCTGTTGGCCCAGGTGAGCGGATTCGAAGACGGGGCCGAAAGCCCACGCATGTCAAAAGAGACGCTGATGGAGGTCATGTGCTTTGCTGAGAATAGGGAAAATGCCTGCCCTGCACCATCTGTCCACGGCTGTTCGAGAAGCAGACGGCACCTGGGCTCATCATTGACGACGATGTGATTCTCCCTGAAGAAGACTTCCAAGGCTTCCGCGCGCACGAGGCGATTGACCAGGAAAAGCTGCGACTGTATCAATATCCCACTCTGGAGAGAAAAACCAACGCATCGCACTGACCTGCCATTCAGGCTCAAAGAACTCTTCCATGTCTTTATATCGGCGGTCATGCGTCGGCCGAGGTTTCAAGAAATACTTCCCAGGAGCCACGCAAAGTCCCCATATCATGACCCTGATCTTAGCAGGCAGTCTCTCGAGCAAGCGGGAGGGCCTCGACACTGGTCTGGTCAGCAAGCTCTCATCGTCAAGCGCTCATCAGGTACGAGACTCACAATAGCGAAGACGGTCGACCTCGTCTCGCAGGCCATGGTTGTTTTCTGTGAGTTGCTGCTCACGCGCTTGGCTTTCTGAGAGCTGCTTCTGTAGCTGATAGATTCGGTAAGTCTGGTATCCGAACAGTTGGTGGAGGAAGTAGGTGTTGTCCATGTTTGTGAGTAATGGTATCTGACGATTGTTTGCATGTGCCGTTTGCGACGATGTGGGAATGCAGCTTGATCGAATGCATGTGTTTGCAGGTGATGTCCTCGAGCAAGTGTGAGGTACCGACGAGCGAGAGTTGGCAAGGGCAGCCACGAATTGGGATGTGAAGGGGGCGATTTCCATCGCCGGCATCTGTCAGGATCGATTGTCATTGCATCTTTGGGTATACAACTCCGGCGCACTGTGCTTCGCTAACCTCATTTATGACCATACAAGAATCAGCTTGTCATATGATGTCTCTCCCACAGACCTTTCGCCTGAGGTCACGAGCATCACTTCCCTCTCCTCCCTTTCACGAAGCCCACCAAATTCTCGATCACCCCTTCTAGAGCTTCCTTCTCCTTGAGAGCATCGTCTTTTCTTTGCAACCAGTACTCAAGCACTGTACTTGCTTTCTTATTGAGAATCTCCAGGGTGAAGACGTGGTCTTTGAGCTCATCATCAGTGAAGCCTTTGACAGCCTCTTCTGTGGTCCTGCAGATGAGCATGGCTGAATTCGCATCGAAGTCGGGTGGAGCTGGCGGGCCTTTGAAAGTCCCTTGCCGTTTGGGTCGTTTGGGTGCTCCTGTCTTCGAATCTATCGAAGTCGAGGAGTCGTTTGCATCGCCTTGTTTTATGCGATCAAGGGCGTTCGTTGATGCTCGAGGTGATGTGAGATTGATGTTTGGTAGCACGAGACGCTTTTGTTTGGATGGAGGTAGAATCTCGTCGAGGTCCACGGGTACTCCAAGAGATACCAGGAACAGTCGTCGAATCTTGCTTCGTGTCCAGTTCGGCGGCTGCATAGGCGGCGGTTGTACTAGTTGTTGCCAGAGGGAGAGTGATCGGTCAGAAAGAAAGGGTGAACTGTTGGACATGTCCAAGGGTGGTATTGACGAGGGCGGAGGTGTTGAGTCTGGGAAGATGGCATCAAGATATGATGTGGTGAGGTCTTGCAGTTCTGCTGCAGACAAATCCAGCTTGAGATCTAGAGGAGGCTGCAAGGGAAAGTCAGCTTGTTCAACATCTCCAGGATAGTATTTGTACGAGACGCTGATTCCGTGAGACTACTTACAAGGCCGGCAAGGACGCTTATACTGGGAGCTGTGGGTGTAGGTTCTGATTCAAGGGCTGCTGGAGTGGGAGTTGCCTCGTCGAAATCACCAAAGTCATCATCACCACCACCCTCAGCAAACTCGTCAAAGTCGTCTCCAAAGTCGTCGTCATCATCTGCATCGTTTGATGACTCTTCTTGAGGTGGAGGTTCGTCTTTCGACTTGCCCTCCCACATTGACCGAAACCAAGCTTGTCTGTCCTCTGGATCTTGCTCTACGTCCGACCCTCCCGTCGAAGACTCTCCGTGACCTTGTCCGCTGCATGTTGTCAGTATCTGCTTGTCCGGCTGCCATGCAAAGCACTCACCTACCATCTATCGCCTCAGGTGGAGCTTTCCTGACCTCATCGGGCTTTGCGTCCATCATCCTCTGCTGGTGTGCCAATGTACCTTCGACCTCTCCGTAATGTTGCTTGTCGCCTACCCGTTCCACAACAGTGCGTGGAACCGGCGAACCCCCAGGTGTTTGTGGTCGACTGTCGGCTGACAAGTGGGAAGCAGAGCGGCTCCTACTTGCTGTTGCGCTCCTAGAACGTTTGCCTTCTGGTACGATCTCAATCTCGTCTGGTACGGCGTCCCTCATGCGCATTTCATATGCAGGTGTGCCAGGAACCTCGCCATGCGCCGCCGAGTCGTCAACGCGTTCAACTCTTGTGATAGGGATGGGAGAACCGGGGTTCTCTGCGCTCAAGCGGTTGGGATTGGGGGTGCCTTCTGATGCCGAGGAGAAATGATCATCGGATGATTCTGAGCACATGGACGTCAGCATTGGCTCGGCCAGGAGCGCGCAAGCTCTAGACATACCAGAGACGACATCTTGCCCTTGTACGTCCTGGGTGTTAATCCGCGGAGGAGGAGGACCTGACATTGTGACTGGGCTATCGTCTGCGATATGAGATGCTTCAGTTGTATAAGAAAGGAATTGGGAACCGCAATCAACCGTGATGACTAGCGAGCATTTGGAAGCTCATCGAGGCGCAGTCGTCCAAGGGAGACGTGAGATCCAGGCGGCTAGAACGACAGGGTAAAGGAGTTCCTGCCTGAGGCATTAACAAAATCAAGCCCGTGCGTCCCTGCCACGTACCACACTTGTCTACTCGATACTCTATATTTCCCCAACGAAACCACCACTGGCTTCATCAAACACCTTCAAGCAAGCCTACGCTGAAAATTCTAGATCTCGTTGTTTGCCCGGGCCGGTCTTACTGGAGGCCTGACCGTCAGACCATCGCTTGACCTAAGCCTGGATGAATCGAAAAGGAGTATCCGATCGCGAAGGGTGGACTATCCTTATCCACGCGTTGCCATAAACTGCGGCAGAATAATGTCAAAGATGCGGAGTAGCACTCATCAGCACCGTAGAGGCTCATTGTCAAGCCACGCGGGTGTTGGCATTGACGTCTTGGGAAACACACCCAGCTTAATCTCTGGCATCGTCCCGCACCACCGCAAAGCAGCCGTTCCAAGTCTCTAGCATTTATTATTCATTTGCACAGCTATTTTGGCTCTTAGATCCGATCCTCCAGAATCGTAGATATAACAACATGCCACATTTCCCCCCAAATCGAGTCGAATGGTGGTTTGAGGTGACCATCATACGTTGACCAGCTCAGGCGGCATAGTGTCACCTCGCTGCTCGAACTCGTCTGTAAAGATACCAAAACCTACTCAGGCTCTACATCAAACTGCTTCGAAACCTGCTCATCATGACCCAAGCTTGTTAAGCGGAACCACCGCCATCGCCTTTCAAGCTCACTTGGGAGCGTATCGCCGCAGTCGAGCACAGGTCTGCTCGCATCGGCTTCGCTACTGGCTTGGATGGCCGTATACAACGCGCAATGAGCATAGCGCTGAGCCATCAAACGCATGTCTGCTCACGCGGATGTCCTTCTTCCATGCATGTCCATTCGCTGTGATCCATGTGTGAATGTCCTTGGGTGCCTCTAAAATCTTGCTGGCGACGAGCCAAATCGCTAGACGGCTCGCTAATCCGAAAACTCGAAAGTCATCATCCAAAGTTGCTCCAGTCCGCCTCTCGTCCATAGACAATCTTCCAACACTGCTGTGTATTCTCGCAATGGACAGGATCTCTTCCAAAGAGGATATGCCACATGTATTCCATGACCGTGCCGAGCGTCTCATCGTCGTACTTCGACTCCTTGATCAGCTGCAGAAATCGTTCATATTCTGTCTTTGGTCGTTTGAGAACTTGTTCTTTCGAAACTGCAAACTGAGCACAGCAAGGCGTCGCCACGATTGGCACTTGCTCTCTGACTTCCTGGACGGTCATATTAAAGAAGTCACTGTACACGTATGGGTACGCAATCTCTGCATGTCTTGACTGCTCTGGAGGGTTTCTGTTCAGCTGGATTTCAGCAGGACAGCCAGGGTCTCCTACACATCGCAGGTTGACGAATCCGCGATCCAGGACGGCTTCCATCTTCAGCTGATGGAGCATATTCATGGCATCGTAGCCCTTCGCGTCGTTGTGCCAGGCTGCCGGCCACCCGTTCCTATGCGCATGGATGAAGACTGCCGCGTCCGGGAAGGTGTCGTAGTGATCCACAATGTAAGTGAGATACGGAGTGGCCTCTTTTGCTTTGTTCATCTCAGTCTTGAAGCCGGTTGGTGAAGTCTCGTTGCCAGAAAGATCGACGGTATAGATTGCGCTTTGCCACTCTCCCAGCTCGGCCACCCATTCGGTGTCTTCCTCCGAGAGCTTGCCCATCACAATGGTCTTCCTGAAGGCGGTCTCTGAAGGCTCGGGAGCAGAGCTGGCCTCGCTTGGATCTGCATCGTCTGTTGCGCTTGGTCGCTCTGAAGAAGTCGATACTGCATCCGGTGTCCTTGTGCCCTCCAGGAAGATGTGATGGGCAGTCGTTGAAACGATCTCATTAATCGTAGGCGTCGATTTTGCTCCATGTTCGTCAATCCCAGGTGTGGTCTCATAGTTGTCATTGACATCCAATCCGCCCGTGCCACTGCCTTCCGGTTCATCCTGTGGTCGATATGGTAGATCATGTGCATGGGATCCAGCGATATCCTCGTGTGATGATCTCAGGAGCTCAGGATAAGGCCGTAGAATGTCCAGACTAGTGAGGGTGAAAAGAAATATCAGTGCCGCGAGAATGCAGCCTGCCACCCGACCCCATTGCTTCGCGAAGAGTAGCATCCTGATGTTCACTATGGGCCCAGATAGCTATGCCCACCTCCTCCGCCCTTATCACATCCTCTATGGTCGCATTGGTTGCCAAGTGAAGAAGAAAGCACGTGAAGACAGTGGAATCGCATGTGGAAACTTACCGAACGACAGAAGGAGCGACGACCGCTTTACATATCTGCTCCTAAAATTAGCGGCCTCCGTCAATGTCTTGCGCATTCGAGCGCCACATCGCGCCGCAACAATGCACGTGTGAAATAATGGCGGACTCCTCTCCAGCTGCTGTTGTCGACGTAATCCAGCTAGCCGCGAACGGCTTGGCTTCCGCGATCCTTGCAGATTGGAGAGGTGAAGTCAAATCCTTCTGGCCTCCGGTGGCTTGAGACAACCTCCCGTCCTGTTGATACAATAGAACGCGACTGTCACAGTCCACGAGGCTTCTACTCACGCAGCTGACGGCGAAACAAGCAACATAAAAAGCTGCCAAGCCATCTCAGAATTGTTTCCCAGGATCATCCGGCTGGAAAACAAAAGACATCAAACACGGCAATGCGGGCCACAACGTCGGACCGAGAGATTAGATATACGCGTCCTCGACGACACCTTTGACACGCGCCTACCTCGGTCTCACCATCGCCGCGAAGAGATGATTGAGGACGATAAATCGAGTGTGGAAGAAGGTCCATTTGCCGACGCACCCGATCGAATGCCTCTCCAACACCTGGCGCGAGGACTCCTGACCTTTGATCAACCAGAAACAAGAACACTTTGAAGATATGTCAGCTTTACTAACATGCCTCAAGGCTCTGCATCCCCAAATTCTTTTTCCAATTTGTACGCATAACTGTATCTAACATGGGTATCTTTGCTTCCTCACAGTCCCGACGAAACAACAACTCGCACGAGACGCAACGCCACGCTTGTACCCAGATCTTCGACCAACCCCTATATCCTCCTACGACAGCACATCCAGATGGTGCCGATTGTTCCAAGGAGTGTAAAAAAACCGCCCAGTGCGCCAACGACGATGCCAGCAATCTCTCCTTTGCTCAGACCACCTCCGCCCCCTGCTGCTTCTGTCGACGTGGCGGCTGCTTGGGCAGATGTCGCAGAGGTTGAAGTTCTACTGGAAACGGTCGTCGGAGCTCGAGCTGTCGACAAAAAAGCACTTGCGATGGACGTCCATGCCGCTATCGTGGTCGACGTGGCGCTGGACATTCGTGTCGATGCGGATGTCGCACTCGAAGCTACGCTATCTGGAGCTGTTTCCGGGAGACGACAATCATCGCCAGACACCTTGAAAGAACCATAGCCAGAGCCTCCAAATCCGGCCAAGCATTCGCTGCTGGCTTCAGAGTATCCACAGTCTGAGCTGCAAGCGAAGCCACCAAAATCGGGAAACATGGATAGTTCGACTGGACTTGTCAGTCTTCGAGCCCGCGATTTGAACCAGTTCACTCACCAGAACAGCCACTTCCCAGCGACACGATTTGGACGCCATAGACTTGGCTGGAGAATGGAATACAGCCTCCAACAGCTGCCTTGTCTGACGAGACAGTATAATAAGAGACCCTATTGCTCCCACAGCTGCTACTGGAGTACAGCGCGAGTGTCGTATTATCTGACTGTGCCAGAGCATAGCTCCAATAGATCAGGCACACTGCTAGTGTCCACAGCATTGCTGCTATTCCTTCTCGGCTTGGCGATGGTATCGAAATAGGATGAGTCGAAACGTCGAAGCTTGCCTGAAAGTTTCGCTCAACGTGAAGCTTTTGAAGACGCGCTTGGTTACACAGAAGCCTTGACGAACGCGCCCAGGCAAGCTGCGCCTACTGGCTGAGGCTCAGATATGCTAAGTGACGAGAGGGTGGTCTCAACCTGCGTAGTTTCAGGCTGGTGCCAAAGTCGAGCCAAGACGTCCAAGACGGCGCCCTCAATTGAAGACGAGGGGCCGCACGCTTTTTGCAGGCTTGCAAAGATTGCCTTGCTGTCGTGGAACCAGACACTCAAAGGCATCATTGGAATCTCAAGGAAGGTCCGCCTGTCAAAGCGACGTCGATGGCTCAGATGAAGTTCCAACAATCGGTGAGGATTTGGCTGCAAGATTGGGACGACCGCGATGATGATGCTCTCCATCGATAACACAGTAAGTCATGTTAATTGTCGTCCTCTTCATACTCCTCTGTCTGCCATCCCTTCTGGACCTCGACATTCGTCCTTTTGTAAAGACTACACTCTTGTTGACGTCCTTGTCTCGTGGACACTTCACTTGACAGCAACGTACTGCTCTGATCAAGGAACGAGTCCAAGAACCACCACCACATACCTTCATTCGACAGGAGTCCCAGTCTCAAACATTGCTATCCTGACAGCCTTCCAAATCGATGCAAGAGCCCCACCAAGAAAGAACGAATCGTTACAGAGGAGCCCTGGAGCGATATAGCGTCCGTCGAGCTCTAAAAATTGGAGAACACCTCCCGGCTATGGCAATGATGTAACCGATACACAAAACATCTCTTAAAACTCGACCGTTCTGGCCAAACCTTCCACCTTGCCACCATTAACAACAAACAAAGCCGCCTACAACATCGCCTCCGCAACAATGGGTCTCACAATCCACCACCTCGGCCACTCACAATCCGACCGCGTCGTCTGGCTCTGCGAAGAATTGGGCCTCACCTACGACCTAAAAAAATACGACCGCTCGCCTGTCCTCGCCCCCAAGGACTTCAAAGCCCTGCACCCCATCGGCGCGGCTCCCGTTATCGAAGACACCACCGCCTCCCACGGCGACATCAAACTCGCCGAAACGGAAGCGTGCGTCGAGTGGATCTGCAATGTCCATGGCGAAGGCAAGTTGCTGGTGAAGCCGGGGGAGAAGAACTATGCAGACTTCTTGTTTTATTATCATGTCACGAATGGGACCTTGCAGCCGGCAGTGGGGAGGGTTATGGCGTTGCAGATGAGTGGGATGAAGAAGGGGCAGCCGACTCTGGATCGGTATGAGGCGAAGGTGTATCAGGTGTTGGATTTGTTGAATCAGCGCTTGGGGGATGTGCCTTGGTTGGCTGGGGAGGAGTTTTCTGGTGAGTGGAAGGAATTGATGGGGGATTAGGGGCTTGGCTGACTTTGGGTGATAGCTGCTGATATTATGATAATTTTTTCGTTGACAACGATGCGAGAGGTAGGGCCATGGGTATTTCAAACCGGATTATGCGAATGATACTGACCATCTTATCACAGTTCTGCCCCATTGACCTGAGCGGCTACAAGAACCTCCTGTCCTACATTCACAAGATTGTTAAGCGTCCAGCATACCAGAGGTACCTGGAGAAGGGAGACCCCGACCTCGACATTGAGAAGTACATCCAGGGACCACCACCGCCAATCTTCCCAGCTTTCAAGAGCCATATGTAAACGACAGATACCTATCAAGCCATCCTATTTTGGAGCTCTTCGCCCTTGAGCCAGCGTTCCAGCTCTTCTGCTTGTTCTTGATACCATCTGCGAAAAGTTAGCCAGAATCAGAAATATGTCGAGCCTCGCAAGACCTTACCGATTCATCGTCCCCTCATTCACATACCCCATATGCGGACTCAGCACAACTTCACTCTTCGCCCAAGAATCCACACTCCTCCAAGGACTCTCCTTCGGAATCGGCTCCTGCCAAAACACATCCAACGCAACACCCTTAATCCCCCCTTCCTTCAACGCCTCAATCAGCGCCTCCTCATCAATCAACCCACCCCTCGACGTATTAAGCAACAACCCACTCCTCTTCATCCACCCCAACTCCCTCGCCCCAACAACGCCCTTACTCCGCCCCGAAAGCACAAGATGCAAACTGACCACATCCGCCGTCTTGAAAAGCTCCTCCTTGGAGACGGCCTTGAACGTCCCCGTCTCCAAGCCCGACCCCCGCGCCGCATCATCCGCCTTCTCCTGCGTCAGATTCTCACTCCACGCCACGACCTTCATCCCGAACCCCAACACGCCCACCTTCGCCATCGCCGTGCCCAACTTCCCCAACCCCACGAGCCCCAACGTCTTCCCGCCCAGCGACACCCCGAGTCCATTCTGCCACGCCCCGGCGTCGGTCTTCAGCTTCCGATCATCCTGCGGGATCCGACCGCAGAGACTCAACAACAACGCCCACGCGTGCTGGTTAACGGCGGAGTACCCCGGCGGAGGAGGCGCATCAAACTCTCCAGACGGCTTCGACGGGGAATCCCCCTTCGTGCCCGTCACAGGCACGCCTCTCTCCTTCAAAGCCTCCAAATCCAGTGCTGCGTTGCGGTTTCCGCTTGAGAGGAGGAGTTTCAAGTTCGGGAGTTTCTGGATCAGTTCTGCGGGAAAGGCTGTGCGTTCGCGCATGCAGGACACGATGGGGTAGGGCTCGAGGCGTTTGGCGAGGGCTTCCAGGCCTGCTGGGGTGGAGGGGTCCAGGGTGTCGGGGAAGGAGTCGAGTTGCAGGTTGGGGATGTGTTTGAAATGCTTGGGGGCGACGTCTGCGTAGTCATCGAGGATGGCGAGGTGGATGGTGGCCATTTTGGTGGTGGTCATGGGTCTTGTTGTTGTTGTTGTTGGGGGTGTGATGAGGGATCTTGTTGTGGTGAGGTGTTTACTGAGGGTGTGGAGTCTGGTCTTCATCGACGACGGCAATTCTTATAGGAGCTACACAGTCGAATATAATCAAGATGCATGCATTGGTAAACAAATCGTGGCTTTGCACCTCGTCGTCGTAATGGGACGGACACACTCATAAAGTCTTATCCGATGTCGACAGTTCCTACTGTGGGGCACAGGGAAAGCCGGCATCGGCAGTTGGATGAATGGTAAGCAAGCAAACATGTGATCGTAGGGGGATAGGGCTGCATCTTTTTGGAACATGTAATAATTCCTTCAATCAATCTACTGGTCACTGCTACTACTCGTCCAGATGCTCTCGTCGACTAGCCGCTTTGATCTCCCGCTTCATCTGCTCCAACCGCTTGTGCATGTCCCACAATCGCTGCCGGTCATGGCGAGGCACCGTCTCTCCCCTCTTCTCCATCGCCGCTTGTTCATCGTAGAGTTTCGCATAAGCCGGATAGTACTCGTCGCGGAACTTTTGGGCAATATTCACGCCTTGGCTGAATGTGATGTCGTTGATGATGGAACCCGTGCTCTCGCTGCTCGTGCTGCGCTCCAATGGCGCTGCATCTGTACTGCTCGTTGCCCCAATCGATCCATTGCGCGACTTCTGTGACTGGGACGAGGTCGATTCCGTCTTGCGGTGTTTGACAGCGTGACCATTCTCCTGCGATGTTGATGGTGAATCAACGGTCTTTCGCTTGAGTCCGTTTTCTCCCTTGTGAGTATTTCCATTGGCGAGCGACGACTTGGACGTGGCTGCTCCATTGGCTCCTGGCTTGTGGGACTTGACCGCATTCGCCTTGTGCTGGTCGCCGTTCATCTTGTCCGAATTCGAGGACAGGTAAGACTCGTTGCTTGTCACAGTGTCCTGTCGTTTTCTGATTCCGTTGGTGATACCCAGGCCCTTCGGAGTTTCAGCGCCCTGTCTTACTCGCTGTACGCCTACAGCGCCCCTATCCGAAACGTCAGAAGCCACGCGTGGACGGGCTGCCCCCAACGGCGACGGCACACTCGGTCTGCTTCCAGGTTTTTGTGGGCTCAATTGACTTCGATGCTGTGATGCTGGGGCGGAGAGTCCGTTTGGCGTGTTTTTGCCGGCAGTAGATGACTTGGTCCCTTTGGTGGCCGAAGATTGCTTCGAAGCAGGCGTTCCAGCCTTTGGCGTTGCCGCACTTTCTGCAGCGACCTTTGATTTGACTTTTGCCGCCGCCTCGCTGAGTGTCGAAGATGTTGTCGCGGTTTGTTTCTTGGCGTTTGCGTTTGCAAGGGGCTTGCGGTCGGCTGCAGCTGCTTTCGGCTGGCTGCTTGATGGTGCTGGCGTATTTCTCTCCTCTCCCTCACTCTCATCACTCGAGCTGCGCACTAGCTCTTCTGACTTGACTTTGGGGTTATTCCTTGCGATGGTCTGCTTCTTCCTCGCGGGTTTGCCCCCTTCTCGATCGCTCGCCGCAGCAGCCTCTTTCTCTCTGCGTTTCTTCTCCTTGGCATCTTCAAGAGCGCGTTTCTTGGGATCTTTGTTGGAAAACAGCTTCTTCTCAAACGACCCAGCCTCATTCTTCTTAGTGCCGACTTTTGGCGCGGATGAAGGACCCAGTCGTGGGGTGTTCGACGCACTGATTGCCTGACCATCCTCTGGCATCGGACTCGCGGCGAGATTGGGGGTGAGCTTCGAAGGTCCGCCACCCAGATGCAGCTTCGACAATATCTTTCCTTTGTCCCTCTCCTCCTCACGAAGCAGCATCTGCCACAGCTTCTCATCCTTGCCCAGCCGCATTCTATCATATGCTCTTATTGCGTTCTCAATTGCTGCGTCTCTTTCCTTCGTACTGTATCCAAACTTCCACACGTCCAAATCTCTGTACGATCTGTCGGTCAACTGCCACTTTCCTGCATCTTGCTTTCCAATCTTTTGCATCATCTCTTCAAGATCGCCATGTGGTATATGCGTCTTCTGTATAATATCTTCTGTCGAGAGCGGTTTTACTGCGAGTAGGTGTAGGAGCGGTGTCTTCATCGCCTGGGCTCTGGCAAACGACTCGCCTGCTGGGACTGATGTAGGTGCCGAACCGACGTGATGTGCGCCTCCGGTACCAATTGGGGGACTGGAAGAATGAGATCCCAGCAGACCCCGTTTCTTGGCTTGTTTCTGCTCTCGATTGGCATCCCATCGGTGCTTTGGCACAGCAACGAGATTGTTGCTAATGTTGACCGACTTGGCCTGCTTCTCCTGTTGATACGATGCCAGGCTGCTCTGCAGGGCGGCAAGCGCGGCATCACTACCCAAGCTCTGCTTCCGTTCGGGGACCTTCAGCTCTGCACGATGGCTGACAATGCCAGCAAAGTCGAAGTCGCTCAGGGAATCGGTCGATGCGGTGTACAATTCGTGTCGAAACGCTTCCGGCGATATTGTGAGATCGATTGTCCTTTTGCCGAGTCGAATTTTCTACAATGCAAGTCAACACGCTGCATTCGGGTTGGCATACTGTATCGATGGTGAGTTACGTACGGGGGCACTGCCCGTGAGCAGCTGCAGGCCGCCCTGACAAGAGGAGGCTTTCTTGACATCTTCGAGCAGGCTGTCGTTCAGCCTGAACAGAATGGCCGGATTCGTGTCGTGCTTGGGGTCTTGGTCGATAGCAGCGAGTCCATGGAGGGTGAGGCCGGTCGAGGGTATGGCTGATATCGACATTGCGGCTGGGGTTGAGGATGCTACCGCAGATTGACGCGATCAAGAGGATGAGGGGCGGCCCTCAAAGAAGCCATGTGCTTGCTTTGGTCGACGCCACAAACCTGAGCACAATGAATGAGCAGCTGGGGGTGGTGGTGACATGGTGAAGCATGACGTCCGGCTGAACTCACCCAATAGCGTAACGGCTACTAACGGAGATGTTTGCTACGGAGCAACATGTGGAGGGGGACAAGGCACACTGCAAGACACGAGAAGGCTTCACGGTTGAAGGAGCGACAGTAGACGCGGCAAGGAGTGTTGTTCGGAGCAGTGAGACAGCAGTGGAGGGCAGCAAGCGAGCCAGCAGACTGATGAGACAGAGAGAGATGCAGCATCGAGGTACAGGACAGTAGCGCAGTAGCGCGATCCAGTCCAGCGAGTGGAGCTGACACTCCATCCCGCACACAGGCCAGGGCGTGCGTGCGTGCGTGCGCGGATTGAGTTGTTGGCGATTTTACCCGCGACCGAGCCATGCTAAATCGATGCTCTCCCTGGTCAACCTAGATCGTTTCAAGAAGACGAACAAGAACAGACGCAGTAGAGAGACCGCATGTCCCTCTGTAAGAATCGTCTCTCATAGCAATTAAGATATCGAGACTCGAGTGCTCGGATCCCGATTTGGCTGCTGCATGTTCTTTGTCAGAGGCACGCATTATTCACTCCTCTCTCACACGAACCGGTCCTTCGCACGAGCCGTTCCTTCGCCGGAGTCGCCTCCCAGACTCCAGTTCCTCGTTCCTCACGGCCCACAGCTGTCCAATCGTGGCGGTACCAAGCCGCGGAGCCCAGCCCTCCCTTGCCTCGAATGCACCCTTCTTTCCTGACGAATTCCACCGCCGGGTCAGCCCATCCGTCGTATATGGACAGGCATGCAGCATATATACATAGCCAGGCGTGATGAGGGCGACAGAGCAACGCACTCGCCAGCGCCACTGCTCGGTGCTGCCACGAGGAGCGCACGGAACTGGCGACGCCAACCCTTTGCGGCGAATCCATCCATCCATCCCGTGGCTCGAGTTCAGTCAGCGCCATCGCATCCTGATCGTGCGAGGAGTCAGCACCATGGTGGGCGAGACGATCCCGGGGACCGCCTTCGTGTTGGACTGCATGTCATCGCCAAAATAGATCCTGCAACGACGCCCAGCACAGAACATTGACCGATACAGATATCGACATCAATGCACATAATACTCTACAACAGCCGCCTTCGCCGACAGGAACAACCCTCCCACCCAACAAGCGGGGCAATTGGCAACGCCATCCGCTGCCTTCAGTCGGTTCCGACAGACAGCATTCGACACTTATGTACGTCCATCCCACCTACTTACTTAGCATCGGTCCATTTCCCTCATCGTACGGAGAATCGCGGCGCCTGGTCCAGAGCGTCAAAATCTCGTTAACCACTGGACGCTACGCTTCGCAAAGCCGAGCTTGCCCTGGCCAGAAGACTGCGTGAACTCGCCAACTACTGCAGCTCCTGTCTTGGAGCCAAGCGTCATCAAAACATGTCTCACCGACATGGCCTCGATCACCTGCAGTGGTTTTCGGGTTCCTACATTTCACGTGTCCTGCTCATGACCATCTGCACGACTTTTGTGAAGGACTGGATCAATGACATCCGAGTCGCTCCCCCTTTTCTCTCCTCGATTCGAGGAGTGGTCTTCAGCAATTGCCACTTCAAACCTCTGGGTTTCAGTCATATTCCAGCCAAAGCCATATCCGCCAATGTATTCCCTCAGCAAACGAGGGTCTGAGTGCAGGCTGCATACGATGGGCGGCGATCGATGTCCATTGCCTCTGAAAAACTCGTATTGTAGGTGGTCAAGGTAAGCAGCAAAGTCGGGCGGGCAAAGGTCTTTCATTATTGGTATGGTGGAACTGGCCAAAAGCTTTCAATTTTCTACTTCAATTCCTCCTTTTCGGCTTTGGTACGAGATTGGTTGTTGATCTTCTGCATTGGACCCGACTCCCATAAACCTCATAAACGTCCAGTCCACATACTCCGGTTGACAGAATTCGCATTGGGCGAAAATATCCGGTACGTCGACCGGTCCAAGTCCATTGTCCAATTATCATCAATCTGATTCGCAGCAATGTCACGTTCAGCAGAAGAGAAGTTAAACAATAAGCTTGTTGATCAAGTCAATCGCAGGCAATGACGCCAAAGAACTGATGGGATCTACCTCACTGGAAACGTTTTGCCTCAGGCTTTCTCGGAAGGATTACTTGACCTGGCCGATGCACGATAAGAAAGATACGCGTGGCCACACCTGCAGGGATGCTCCAACGACCGCCGGTCTTGTCTATCTACAAGACATCTCTCGCCCTATCTCTGGGCATCGTTGGCCTGCTCACGCCTCCCGGGCGAGCTGTGTGAGATGAAGTATCATGTCAAGAACAACATAAGGATGATGGGTGAAGAATATCTGGAAAGGTAAGGCCTGGCTTCGACAACTTTCCTCGCATCTTCTTAGAATACTCATTCCATGACGATGTTCGCGAGGCTTGGCGACTTGATACGAGTAAAGGAAACGCAGGAGGATCGGGAGGAGGGCAAGACTTATGGACGATGGTCGAACGTAGACCTCGAACCGACTCCGCCAGAACAACGCAAATGGAACGCCTGGTACTTCTTTGCGTTCCAATTCAGCATCGCCTTCTCGCCGACGACGTATAACATCGGATCGACGCTCTATTCCATCGGCCTTACCTGGTGGACCATCGTCATCGCAGCCTTCGTGGGGACCTTTCTATGCTGCCTCGTTCTGATCTTCAACTCGAGAGGACCAGTGCTCTACCACGTCGGCTTCCCCGTCTACGCAAGAATCTCTGCTGGTATCTATGGCTCGCTATGGTTCATCTTCATCCGCGCCGTCGTCGCTATCTTCTATATGGGCACGCAGACCTACTACGCCTCACGCCTGCTGGATGTGTCGTTGAGATGCATCTTTGGACACAATTGGACCGACATACCCAATGGGCTCCCCGAGTCGGCGGGTATTACAACCTCGCAAATGGTGGCCTTCTTCCTTACCTGGGCGTTTCAACTCCCTTTCGCGTGGCTGCATCCTAGCAAGTCTGGACCTCTATACGTCGTCAAGTCGATCCTTTCGCCCATCGCTTACATCTCGACCATGATCTGGGCTCTGGTCAAGTTTGGTGGTGTCGATTTGAGCTTGGGAAAACACACAATCACGGGCAGCGCATTGGGCTGGGGCTTCATGCGAGCGATCAACACCGTCGTCTCCGGAGTCGTCCCTCCAATGGTCAACATTGCGGATCTCGCACGATACGGCAACCGCCCTGTACGCGACATCGCCCCTTTGACGATTGGACTCTTCATCAGCAAGCCGGCTGTCATTCTTCTCGGCCTCTTCACCACCGCAGCTGGGCTCAAGCACTTCGGCGTCGCGAATTGGAATCTCTGGGACTTCTACGGCTTGGTGCTGGACGAGTTCTGGGGCCCAGGCGCTCGCACGTTGGTCTTCCTGGGAAGCTTCATCCAGGCGTTTGCGACGATTGTCACGAATGTGTCGTCGAATGCTATTCCGGTTGGGTGTGATTTGTCTGGGTTGTTTCCGAAGTACTTCACGATCGTAAGTCTTCCGCACAAGCAGTTGCATGATCTTATACTTATGGTGGCTCTCAGGTTCGGGGCATGATCTTGTGCCATCTGCTCGTATGGCCAGTCGTGCCGTGGCTTCTCGTCAACTCCGCCCAGAACTTCCTGACGTTCCTGGGCTCGTACATCTGCTTTATCACACCTATCGTGTAAGTCTTCACTCGATCAAGGAAGCATTGACAGCACTGACATGTTCCATAGAGGTGTCATGATGGTCGACTACTGGTTCAGCCGAAAAGGCAACATCCACGTCCCATCTCTCTACCGACCCGAGCCCGGCTCGCCATACTACTACATCAAAGGCTTCAATCCCCGAGCGTATGCCTCCTGGGTCATCGGCGTCGTCCTCGTAATTTCAGGAATCTCAGGCGCCATCAACCCCGGCTCAATCTCGCAAACTGCCGTGAACATCTACAACTGTGGATTCGTCTTGTCGCTCAGCGCTGCAGCTATCTCTTACTATATCATTTGCAAGATCTGGCCGGTGCAGGTGTATCCGACTGGACGACATGAGCATGAGAGTAAGGATTGGGAGACGATGGTTCCAACGGAGGGGTTCTTTACGGATGATGATCCTCAGCCGGAGTATATTAGGAATCGCATGCTCTATGGAGAGGAGCCGATGGCGGAGATTGTGAAGGAGGCGGAAGGGAAACAGGATAAGTAGAAAGTAGACAGTACGGGTTTGGATCTATCATTTTGAGGTCTTGATGTCAAACATCTTCCCCCATCCCTTCACGATACTCGTCTCCAGCCCAACCATCCTCAACATCTCCCAGATCACAGTCGCGACCGTATCCGCCACGATCAACCCTGGATACTTCTCCTCCCAGACCGATACCCTCTGCGCCGACCGCAAATTCGTACAAAACGTCGACACAACCTTCACATCCTCATCCTTAATCCTCTCCATGACATGCTCCATCTGCCGATCAAGCGTCTCCTCATCCACATCCGCAAACTCCACATTGACCGTCCGTCGCAAATGCGACTCCGCCACAATCTCATACCCCTCCGCCGAGAACGTCTTCAAGATCGCATCCTGCACATCATCCAAATACGGCGTCACGAGCCCAAACCTCCTCTCCCCCTCACCCATAACTTCCTCCAACACATGACACAACCCCAACACACTCGTCGTCGCCTGCACGCCCGTAACCTCCTTGATCCGCGCACACAACCTCCTATCCGCTTCCAGGCCCAACCACCCCGCGCTCGTCCCGCTCCATCCTATCACGTCGACGGCGGCGTCTGCGAGGAGGACGGCGGCGGCGAGGATTTTGGTGTCGTCGAATTGCGAGAGGGCGCTGGGTGTTAGGGCGATTTGGGTGACGGGGAAGCGCGAGAAGTGCACTGTTAGGGTGGGGTGGAGGGGGAGGAGGAGTTGGGTTGTGAGCGGTTCGAGGGCGGTGTTGGAGGAGGGGACGAGGATGCCGAGGCGGAGGGGGCGGGTGCTTGGTGGGGTCATGGTTTTGGGGTTGTCTTTGGGTTGGTTTTTGAGGTTCGTTCGGTTGGACGGTGTGTTGAGCTCGGTCTCGTCAAGGTGATGTAGTCTTTGGAGCTGAAGAGACAGATGGTAGGATGAGATTGGTGTATACTTAACTTTACCCTTACGTTCTGTGCTCGGCCATCCTGATAAGCAGAGCATTGAAGCTGGAAGTAGGTGGTCTTCACGGCGAGAATGTTGCTGGCCTGGCCTATCTTTGGATTGGGTTCAGCGGCTGGCCGGCTAATTTGTCGGCTAAACTGCTGCATGTGACGATGGCTTCTCAAACAGAGCTTCAAGATTCCTGGCCAGCGTCCCCCATGAATGCGCCGGAACGACTCTCGCACCCGCCATGCTGTCCACCGAGCAGCTGCTAGAGAATTCGGCGCGCGACGGCACGGTAGAAGACTGGCCGAGAGTCTTGCCCGACATCCTCTCCCGTCTGCACCATGTACGTCCACCTCACGTGTGTCGCGTCAAGCTCCAAAGCCTATACTGACTGCCACCCGCAGAACGTCTACAACGAGTTTCCCTTACCATCCCTCCCGCTCCCAGCACCGCTACCGCCTCCCATCGATCCTCAAGTCGTCGCATCCACGCCGCCGCAAATACCCACCAGCGAGACCGAGACCACAGAGCAAGAGCTGCCAGACGCGGACAACGAACCACCTGCGAATAGTCAGAGCAGTACCAAGGAGAATGATGCGCCTACAGAACTCGCCGCGGGACGGCCACCTCCCACATCACATCCTGGATACCCGGGCTACGAGATCACTGAATCCCAGCGGACTGAGGAGATGCCTTCCCCACAGCCAATGACCGAACCAGGAACACTGCCTCCAGAATTGCTCAGTCTGTACGAGTCTTCAACACGGATATTAGAGTACGACTTCGCTCAGAGCCCACCCTACACCATCCAGCGGCTAGCAGAGCTGGTTCTGCGGCCTCGAAAACATTACCGCTTTCTACCTGCCTACTTACGCGCCCTCGATCGGATCGTTTCTGTCAGCTCTCCGGTATCAGACTTCCCATTGCCCACGCTACACAACTCACTCAATGGTGGCTTCCTGACGAATGGCGAGGCTCAGGTCAATGGCATCAGTGAAAGAGAAGGTCTAGGCAGTGATGAGAGTTTGGGTGGAGCACTATTGACACCAATCCCATGGTTGAGGAATCAGGGCAACATGTTGAATCCTTCATCATCCGGATCTGCGACTGAAGGCGAGCTTCACAGTGAGAGCACGGAGACCATTGTGGGACCTCATGGAGCAGGCAGTATCGAGACAGTGTCCGTCACGGTCAACGGCATACCCAGTATAAGCGCAGTCCCAACATCTGCGTCGTCGTCACCAATAGCTTCGCCGACGCTGTCAGAGCAGAGCGATGCTAGTACCTCGTCTTCTGCGTCGACAGATGCGCAGCTACGGGATCAGGGCGCCGTTACTCAAGGAGAGCTCCTTCGACAGGAGCAGGAAGCTGGCGTAGTGCCAGTCAACCCAGCTGGACATCCAATGACTCCAAGAAGAACTTTGATCGGCGGCGGAGCAGCTGCAGTGGGACGTGATGCACCTGTTGGTGGCTTGCCATCCGCGACCACGGAGGTGGCGATGGACGACGAGCAACCGCACGCGAGAGGACCTGAAGTGATCGGCATGGAAGACATGGGTCCGCAGCCTCATCCAAGCGAATCAGGCGGAATGCTTGACATGGAAGCTGCAGTTGGACGAGGGAGAAGCAAATCACCGCAACCGCCCCCGGCAGCTGAGCCGTCAGAGGTCAAGAAAGAAGACGAGGCAATGGAGGACGCCGGCGAAGCAGATTCTCAGGACGTTGAGAAGGAAGTGGAGAAACTCAAGGAGGCTATGGACCGGGAGGAGGCCGAAGCCGAGGTGAAGCGGGAGCCCGAAGGCGATGCTATGGACACGGGAGCGGACGAGAAGCCTGTCGATGCGGAGGTCAAGCAGGAGGGTTCAGACGATTCGAAGTGAAGAAGTGCTGCGGACATACGGTGCATGCTAAGTGCATATCATGAAGTAACGTGGAACGAGCTATCGGTCGCAAGACATACGAATGAGAAAAGCGGGTTCCGATGTTTCGAATTCTGGGAATTGGAATCCTGTTTTCAAGAGTTGGGAAGAGAGGTCGGGACTCGAGACTACTGAAGAAGACGCGAGGCTGCTCCTTCCTGGAATCTGGAAATTGAACATGGGAAACAGCGGCGAACCGTCCCACAAATAGAACCCGCCTTCCACTTGTCAACTCGTTTGTCCTTACACCACACCTCACAACACAAGTCAACACATCGCACATTGAGACCATCGATATTGCCAGCATCCAACCCAGTACAGCATCGCCATGGCAGAAACAACATCGCTATTCTTCACTAAGCTACCCCGAGAACTTCGTGATGAGGTCTATCGTTTCACATTTGGCGGCGATGAAGAAACGCCAGTAAAGATCATCCCTTTGTCACGATGGATCGAGAGAGACCGGATGGACAGGAGGAGCAGCTACCATGTCAGTACAGTGCAGTTCCGCACAATGAAGAGCGCGAGCTGAATCATCACTTCCCACAGCACACCATCAGACCAGCACCCGCTTGGCCCCTCGAAAAGCTCATGATCAGCCAGCAGTACTTCGTAGAAGCAAGCGCGGCATGGCTCAGATGCCACTCAATCGAGTGCCACCGCGACTTTACTGACATGATCACCGCCTCCCCTATCCTCAAAGGCAGTCTGACGCGTCTGACGAGCACATGGCAAAGAATCTGGGGGCGTTCTGTGGATTTCAATGTCTTGAAAAATTGCACCCAACTTCGTGAGCTCCGACTGCACGTTGCTGATTGCATCTTCGATCACGTTGCCACCAAGATGTGCTATCAAGATTCGTACGTGGAGGCAGACTACCAGGCCATTCGGCAGCTCAACAGCATCCTTGCGATTCCGGCGTTGGAGAGTGTGGAGCTTATACCCATGGAGAGCAAATTGGCGAAGACGGACGAGGAAAAGGAGATCTGGAGGAGGAATGTCGTTGACCTTGAGGCGTTCCTGAATCGGGCGGTGAAGGCGTTGAGGGAGGCCCCGAACAAGGCAGGGAGAGAGGAAGAAGCACCCAAGAAGGCCGCAGATCGGTTCTTGCAGTTACCTAAGGGGTTCATGCCGCTGACCATGCGAGCTCCGCCGAGACCATCACCATTGTCAGTGCCATTTCTTGGACTGTCCTCGACGCCAGGACCACCTTTGATGCCAGCATCAGCCCCGACGCGAGCACTACTCTCAACACCAGGACTACTTCCAGCGCCAGAGCTATCTCCAATGTTCGGACCATACTCACTGCGACCACTACCCTCAAGGCAAGTACGTCCCTCGATGCCAGCAAGACCGTCGATGACAGCACCACCCCAAATTTCAAGACTATCCTCGAAGCCAGCACCAGCACCTGTCGAAGTGCCAACACGACAGCCTACGGCAGCGATACCGCCAGTACAAGAACTAGCCTCGTCGTCAACACCACCTTTCACCCTTACAAAGACTCACGTGAAAGTACACCCATCGCCGAGCAAGGAAGTTGTTAAAGCCACCACCTCGTCCGTGTCTGGAGCACCAACTGTCGCCACTAAGAAGGCGAGCAATCTTCTGCAGGACAGTCATCGCGTTTCACTTGCAAAGTTGTTCGCCAATTACCCACTCATTGTCGCTCTAGCTATAGCCGGCTTCACACTCACGATCGTCAACACTATCATTCTGTTGGTCATTATCATCTATCAGACAGGGTCTTGAATTAATTGTGAAGTGGACCAAGGACTAGAGACTCTCGCTGCACATCTGCTGGAGCATCTTGGCTAGAGACAATGCAGAGTGAGACATGCCATTCGACACAACTTATACCATGTGGTCACTCCTATGTTCCACTGCCAACCTTCCAGTGAGTGTCTCAATCTGTAATTCTTTCATTCTGCTGCTGCCTGAGATCATGCTCCAGTAGAATGGCCATGGGGGTATATCAGGACTCATCCTCCTTCCTCTTCGCCCTCTAGTTCCAGACATCAACGAGAGTACACGAAACGAACAGCCCAACATCATGAACAAACCAAACAGAGCAAGACCCAGTGTCCTCGACCAGTGCCCGGTCTTCTGAGACAATCGCCTCTTCCTGGGTTACGTCGGAAATCGGGAGTGCTGGTTCGGCTGCATGTCCATGGAAGATGCTGCTAGAGAAGGCGTGGACCATTGGCTTGAGTGGTACCAAATCTGGCTCTCTGAGACTTGCACGCCGATGAGGAACTTCTCGATCACGCCCGCGCTTGTGCGATCGATGAGGAAGAAAACATCAAGAAGTTGGTGGACCACTACCGAGCAGATGACGATGTCTTGCATTCTACCACCCCCGAGGGTCGGGTCAAGCGCTACGCTCGGCTGCTGGAAGAAATCAACCTGAAGAAGATCAATGTTCGAGATAATGGCAACAGCATGGGCTTCGACGTCGTGCGCAAGCGCTTCATTCCGCGGGCTAGACCCGGCAGAAAGGGAGTGCTGAGTCCCACTGGTGGTCTAGGGGCTCGTGAAAGCAGTCAGTCTAGAAAGAAACGAGGAAGAGAGGGTGCAGATCACGAGAAAACAAACGTAGTCAAGAAGCGGAGAGTGAGCAACAATGGCTTTGTTGACACGACTTCCAATGACTGCGGTGATCTTCACATGAGCAACGATGACGAAAACGACGACGAGGATGATGACGAGGTTCTGCCTTACGGACCAGAGGATCCAATGGAGGCAAAGTCTGAGGACGAAGGCGGAATTCAACAAAACGACATGCAGCCACCTCTGGCGCAGGAAGGACTTCCTGTCCAGCAAGAACCTCCCGTCCAGCAAGAACCTCCCGTCCAGCAAGAACCTCCCGTCCAGCAAGAACCTCCCGTCCAGCAAGACCTTCCAGTCCAGCAAGACCCTCCAGTCCAGCAAGAGCCTCCAGTCCAGGAGAACGCTCCCGTTCAGGATGACCATTCGGTCCAGGTAGGCAACTCAGTTCAGGAGGACAATCGCTTGTCGGAAGCAGATAGAATGATGCAGCGTAAGTACCCACCTCCCTTGCCCGAAGATCATTCACTAACCATTCACAGTCAAGAACGCTCTCAACGACCTGTACTGGAGCGACTTCGCAGTTGGAATGCGGCAGTCGATCGACAACATCCAACACGAGGCCCAGGAAGCGCAGAAGAAGATGTACGCTCTGGAAATCCCAGAGGTTGTGGTCTCTGTCGGTACCAAGGTGGTGGAACTGTTCGATCGGTCTCTTACACGTGCAAAGGCTGCTGTGAGAGCTCAGCAAGATTTTGTTGACTTCATCGGACAGGGCACCATGTCTGACGACTCAAATGAAGCTCTTCGGCTGGGCATCGCTCCGTTGAAGATGTACATTAACTTCGTGGCTGACAAGGTAGACCTGGTCGAGAGTGCGATCGAACAGGTGCAACAGTACTTGGAGGAGGAGCTTTGAGGAGAATGGTGGGAGTCAGGTGTCAATTGGAGCATCGCTGGCTTTGAACATCTGATGTACGTAGACTTGGGAATGCCAGTGCTTTGGCTCTATTCATTGCTCTTTTCCTGCTTCATGCTCGTCAATTCGAACCACAGTGTTAGGCCAAAGGTTCTCCTCGTCGTTGAATCTGTCGTCGTTCTGAATTACCTCAAAAAGAAACACCCCTGAACAGCGCTTGAAAAGGCTCCATTGCTGTTCGCATGATACATCAGATCAAATCGACAAGAGAAATTCACCATTCTGCCCTTCGTCATATTCTTGGGCATTACCCATACCAACAGGCGTCAAGGGCTCTCGGGGTTGCGAATTGCTGGAGTACTTCACAACGTCAACGAATTCGTCTCGTTCCATCCCTCTGCCAAAACTTGACTTCAATCTCACACGACCAATCCACCGACATTTACTTTCGAGAGAGCCCAGTGGCTCTGGTTGAGACAACATGTATGGCTACGCCCTTTCGAAGCGAATATGAATACCCCTGAGCGCAGGACGTCTTGTGAGTTACGGCGTGTCGGATGGGTCACAGCCACTCAGCGCATATTGAATCCTAAGGAGATGGCCAGCATGTCCACTGACCTTACGGAAGGCATGAACACCCTCACCAGATCGGTCTACCACACTTCGCACCTCTGAGCATCAACAACCTCACGCCGTCGATGGTCACTTGCCAGACATCCGCTTGAGACATCCATAGTCTTCTCCGGTCGCTCATACAGCATTCGATTCTGTCCTCGGTCTCGAAGGTACTGTCTCACCTTCTTTCAAGCTGGAGATATCTATGCCTGCAGCTGTGCTGCCTGGTATGTCTCAGCGCTCCGAGGTTCTGGAAAGAGCTCGACGATATGTGGTTGAGTATATCAAGCACGGCATGCGATGCCTCCTACTTGGACCCTCAGATAACCCATCCAACCGACGAGGGCCCACCGTTAACCATGATCGATAGACCTCCAAGAGTCAGACCCGATACGATCGATGAGTGTCCCATATTTCGAACGAGATGGCTCTTCGTTGGCCACGACGACATCGATCGAGAATGCTGGTTCGGGTGCGTGTCTGCCAAGAAAGCCCGAGACGAGAATATCGAAGAGGACATCGACTGGTACTGGACTTGGGCTTCGAACGCTCGACCGGATCCTGCTGAAAAGATCAGCCCCTGCACGGTCACAAAGGAGGACCCGAATCTTACGAAGCTTTTAGACCAGAACAATATGGAGACGGACATTTTGTCGAGACTCTCTCCGGACGAACGGACCCTACGGTACGCCAGGCTCTTGCACGGTATCAACAGGGGAAAGTACAATGTCCGAGAGCGCTTTGACAGTGACAGGATGCAGCCTGTTGAAACTCCTTTCTTGAGACGGCCACCACCTGGCCCGCGCTCCAGTTTCACTCAGGACAGTGATCTCACGGCCGACAGGTCTAAGGGCAAACGCAAACGCGAAGGATCGAGATACGATGGATATGGAGACGATGACCAGGAGACCGCTCACCCGCGCAGAGCAAGCGCGAAGAAGACGAGGCGGGCCAAGGAACTGGTGGACGATGTAGAGTTCAGCGACGCCAGCTACTCCCCTGGGTATGTCAGCACATATCTCGACGATGATGAAGACGACGACGAGGGATTCTCCTTCCCTGATGGGCAGACCGTGAAGGCGAAGGACGAAGAGCCACTTGAAGGAGCAACAGATGACACGGAAGGCGTGAATGTTGACAAGCCCAATCCCTTGATCGCCGAACGTGCTGAGCAACGTAAGTTTCAAGTACTCCTGAGCTCGCGCATTGTACTGACAATCTTGTAGTCTTGAAAGTCCTCGAAGAGCTGCACGAAGCCCCTTACGCGGTTCCTCTGAGAGCTCAAATCGATAAGCTGCTACACGACATCGACGAAGCCCAGAGGGGAACTGACGCCTTGGACATTGCTGAAGTCGCTTTGCGTCGTGGTCGGCAGATGCTATCCCTGTTCATCGAGGCCGTGAGGTGGGCAACGAATGGCGCTAACTGGCAGGAGCGATCCTTCGTGGATTATCTCGAACTTCATCACTTGCCTGAAGAGCTCAAGGAAGCAAATCGAAGGCTCACGTTGGAGCTGAGGGGGTACGTCCGTATCGTTAGCGAGAAGATTCAAAGTGTTAAGGGTTTGAGGAGAGAGTTGGAACAAGCTGCTCGCGAGGACGAGGAGGAGTTGTAATCTTTTGATGTTCATACTCTCTCGTTTGGAAAGCATTGCGTCTTGTGGCGGGCAGACCTGTGTCTGGGTCGATCAGGAAGATTGAACAGGTCTTGATGGAGGAGAGGAAGATGGGCATGGAGGCGTATCTGGGGAGAATGTTTCGATGGATTGGCGAGCGTGTGGGGGTTTGGCGATGTGGGATGATGTGATCTGTATGGTGCTTCTTAGCCTATGCTTCCCCCGTACATACCCCTTTGTGTCCCGTAGACATCCGTCGCAGCTTTTTGCCAACGCACGGGCTCTACTTCAGGGTGATAAGTCCTCTCTTTTCTCAGCCGTTTCCACCATCTAGTTGCCCATCAAAGAAGTACCTCCTTAATCGCAACCCCTTCAGCTCCCACTCAACAAACTCTCCTTCTTCGCCTTCTCACTCTCCCTCAACTCATTGATCTCCTCCTTGCTCATATTATACGACCCGGCCACCTGGTTGAAAGGATTATCAGGATGCTTCTCAAACTCCTTCCGAATCTGATCGATCTTCTGCTGCCGCCTCAGACCCTTCTCATCCTTCATCTCTTCCAATCTCCGTTCCTCGTACTGCGCGTGCGCGGCCTTGAATCTTCGCTCGGGGTGTCGGTCGATCTTGTCCTTGTTGTCGGCTGTGAGGGAGAGGGCGTCGAGCGCGTTGTCGATGCCGGTGGCGTTGAGTGCTGCGAGCTCTTTCTTTGAGGAGGGCCCGTCCAGGCCGGAGAGGTCGAGGCCGCGGGATTTCTTGGGGGTGGCTTTTCCTTTGCCGCCTTTGCTGGGTAGTGATGCCTCTTCCTCTTTCAATAGTGCGTCCTTTTCGGCCTTCTTGCGATCGGCTTCCGCCTTTTTGGCCGCTGCTGCTTCTCTGTTGAGGGTCGGGTCAGCGAGGGACCCGAGGATGTGCGATCGTAGACTTGATCTTACGCTTTGCTGCTGTCCTTAGCACCCTTCGACCACTCTGCTGATTCTGCTGCCGCCTTCTTTGCGTCCTCTGCTGCTTTCTTGCCTGCTGCTACTTCCGCCTTCTTCGCGTTCCCCGCCGCCTTCTTCGAGTTCTCCGCTCCTTTGGCCATTTTCAAAGTTTTCTTGAGCAGCCGATATGTAGACGATGTATGTGCGATCGAGTTTGCGCAGGCTCGGGGCTGGAGGAAGGCTGGTCCAGTCGTAGGTAGTGATGTTTGGATAGAATGTTTTGGCAGTGACGCATCGTACGAAGTGGGCTGCTGCGAATTCGGCGAGCCCCGCTGCCACGCGATTTGACATGTGACTGCGCACGAGCCTCGCGTCCATGGATGGCTCTGAGGGAATGGACAAGCACTTGATAGAAATCTGATCTACGTTCTTCCATACAAAAAGCTATGATACAGCAGCGATAGACAATGTGCTTGTCCCTTTCAGTCGCCCCAACAAGCCCTTCTCGTCATGGCCTGTGGAGGGAGCCGCTCAGTGCGTATTATCAGTGTCACCAGTACCATTAGTCTCGATTTCTTCCATCACCGTCAATCGTACATCTCGTCGTCTTCGTCCAATTCGTCAGTAAGGTCGACAACACCTCCATGCATGTGAAACCCTCGTGGGACTTGCTCGCGCTCCAGCTGGTGCTCCAGCTCGTCCTCCACCTCCATGGCATCACCTTCCGTTGCGTCGCCTTCCACGCCTTTGTCATCCACTACATCCTCTTCCATCATATCATCGTTTCCACCACTCTCCGCATCCATGCTATCAGCTTGTACAGCAGAAGCCATGTTGCCCCAGGCGCTGGAACCCACCTGTGCACTTTCGCGTCTCTTTTGCTCTTCCAGCCGCTGGTGGCGCGCGGCGTGGTACTCCTCCAGGCCTCCTTTCTTTCCATCCAGCACTTTCAGTGCCTGCCTCCGTGCATTCACTTGTTTTTGCGAACGTTCTTCATCTTTGACTCCAACGAAAGCATTGTTTACCTCATGCAGGTCCAGCTGCTCGATTCGAGTCTCGGCCCAATACCACGACTTGCCGGCAGCTCTGTCAATCCGAGCGTCGTGGTCACGACTGTACCTTCTAGCCTCTTGTACACCCTCCAGACATTGCGATATGTCGGATGCGCGGAACTTGGTTGCGGGTGTTGAGTTGACGGCCTGGAAAGAGGAAGGGGCTACCATGTCAGTCGGCGTTGAGAACCAGGCTTTGACAGCCGAATCCTCGAGGCAGCGTCCGATGACTCTATGGTATGGGACTTCTAGCTTTGCCTTAACGTCTCCGCAGTCGACTGCGTGGAACCACTGTCCGTAGCTCTTGAACCAAGCGGGTAGACCGTGCTCTCCTGGCTTCGCAGGAGATTTGGCGATGCCATCGCTACTCTTTTTGGGATCCAAGGTAAACGCCCTCCCACATACGTGGAGGCAGGTCATATAGGGGCGTCCATTGTCGTAGTCGTTCTCAGACGCCTGGTCCAAGTTCACGAAGCGAAGGCGAATGGAGCTAATGACCATTACGTCTGTGACTGGCCGCTTGGATTCCGTTGGCGATAAGCGAACAACATCGCCCACCATGATAAACTCCGGACCGAGGTACACTCCTCTTATGAAAAGAGTTGCTTCAGGCCAAACGCCCTTGAAGCTGTACTTTCCGATCAAACTGAAGGAGCCAGCTGTCGCGAGCGTGTGCCTGACTGTGGCATGCCAATCTTGTTCAGGCAGTCCACCCATGCACTCCTTCCAGAATGAGAACGGTCGAATGGCATGCAGCGGCACGTATTTGTGCTGCTTGCTGTGGGGCTTGTAGTCATTTGACGGCTCTGACAGGGGCTCGATGCGAAATCCGGTGTAGGCGACATTCTGTTTCTTGCTTTTGGGAACTTCAGACAAGTCGTCGCTCCCGACTGGTTCAACTGGAAGCTGAGTGACGACTCCGGCCTCCCATTTCAACCGGTCTAGCCAAGAGCGCGAATCGGGATCCGTGCGTCGTAGGGTTTGCGTGCTCGCATCCCAAGCAATGGCCTCGCCGTTGGACACGCTCCGCGCAAAGAGCACTACTTCGCCCATTCGTGGAACATAGGCAGGTTGCGACTGCCAGTCTGTTAGCAAGCTTTGCAGCTCTTCATTACCGGCTCTCCAGTCTGGCGATAATTGATCGATGATGTTCTCCGATATGCCATTGGAACCCGCCTCACTGAGTCTGTCCAGTAACTTTCGGTAGACATCTGGGGTACCTTCCTCGTCGACGGGATTTCCACGTGCTGGCGCTGGCGAGTCGGAGTCAAGACGGCCTTGCGGAAGGCCTTGGGGGTTGTCTTTGCGAATGGCAGATTTAGACGAGCTGGCTGCTTTCGCGATCGGCTTTGCGACTGCGGGTGCGGGTACACTTCCAAAGTGTGTAGATCGCTCTGATTGACTGCCACTAACAATCGAGTTGCTCTCACTCTTTCTCTTGCCTTTGCCAATTCCAGTACAGAGTTTGCAGGGACAGCCGATCGTGCCATGATAGTCTTGCAAGTACTTGAAGTGAGGGTAGATCTCGTTCAGTGATCTGAACACACCATTCGGATGACCATACAAGTACCGGTCCACGTGCTTCGAGCCATCACGTTGTCGCTCAAAGCCTGCGAACCCAGTCGGAAGCCGCGCGAGTTTGTAAGTGACGCCAGGGAGTTGATCGCCTCGCTCCTTCATCCAGCGGTCGGCCAGTTTCTCAAGGAAGTATGTGTCGTTGCGAACCATAGCGGCCACACCGGGCTGTGCACCAGTGCCATCCGAGGATGGTACTACGTCGACAATCTGCACCGATGCCATGTTTGGGGCCTCGCAGATGTCGCATCAAAGACTCCAAGCAGAGATCAGCGCGATAGCATGTCGCGTGAAGATCGGGCCAGTGTTGTAGACTAAGAAGCCACGTCCTGGGGTTGACCTGTTCGCAAGGCTGGTTGCAGCGTTGGCAGCAGGTTGAACAGATCGTCGCGGTAATGGTCACTTCCACATGGCGGGCGCACGTGTTGCGGTTTGCGTTGTCGCGGGTTCCTTGGCCAATGTGTCGACGTATGCTGTAAGGCGGCAGGCCAATGAAATGTGTCGCCTGTGGATCGTCGACTGCTTTTGGAGTTGTTGTTGTCGAAAAGGTGAAGTCGAGTTCCAAGAATATCAGATTGGCGAAGTCGCATGGCAGGGGTGAACCGAATTGAGTTGAACTCTACTTTAGCGTGCACGGACACTAATGGCAATGTGCGCCGACTTGTCGCTCCAGCTGCTCATTCGCTCACTCTGTCATCTCGGCATCCAGCTCCTCTACACGTCTTTGGACCACCACTCCTCCAACTTCCCTTTCAAGTGGCTAGACGCCGCCACCGACAGCTATAGCTCCTTTACCTCTGCAGTATAGTTCACGCTATCGAACAATGAAAGCCCTCAAAGGCCCTCCAATCTCCATTTCTCTGTTTCTTTCTTTTGACCTTTGCGCGCTTGCGAACAATAGCTACTGATAACGACGGCAGAAGCAGTACAATCTTCCAAATCGCATACGGGCAGCAGCAGCACCAAGCATGAAAGATCAACCCGACACGGCACTGCGGACGCCCGCCAGCAGGCGAATCTCGTCTCCGGCCTCTCAGCGCCTTCAGTCCGTCACCGAGAACCGTCATCCGCGAGCACCGCCGCCGATTCCGGTAAAGAGCATTCTGCGGAATTCGACATCTACACTGTCATTACCGTCGAGCATCATCGTGACCCCTCCTCAGGATCACGAGAGCGACAAGCAGACGAGCAGTAGCGGGACGGCGGCAACAGGTGGAACAGCTCCACCATCATATCATTGGGTGCCCGAACAACGTGCCGTCGACAATGAGTCGTCGCTAGACAGTGGGCCTGTGGAGGGCGAGAAGCTCGCAGAGCTACGCAGAAATGGCGGATACAAGCGAAGGAATAAGAGGGGTGGTTGGTGGCGTATGCTGTTGGTTATTATCGTCGTGTGCATTGTTGTTGTTGGGCTTGCCGTTGGTCTAGGCGTAGGCCTGACTGTGGGAAGACGGGAACACGGATCGCAAGACGATGCTGGAGCGAACACATCGGGGGCACCTGGGAACGAAACTCAAGGTTCAGGGCCGCAGCCATTCCCACTCGGACAGTACACAATGCTCACGGCTCTTAAGAATGTCTCGACAGATTGCACGTCGAACGCAGAAACGTGGACCTGCTACCCGCGCACCATATACGATCCCTCAAATCCAAGTTCCGGTGGTCTAGCAACTTTTGACTGGATACTCACGAACACGTCTTCCATCTTTGCCACAATGGGCTCGGGTCCAACTCCAAATGAAGGTGTTCCAGCGAACATTTCGATAAGCTCGACAGACAACCCTCTGAGCATTGCCATCAACAACCAGTCCTTGACATACATCTCTTCGGCGTCAAACTCAAGCACAGCAAGGCTCACTTTCAGCTACACGATGGGAAAGTCTGTATTTCCTGCGACCTCTCTCACGGACAACAACGTCGGCACACAATGTTTCTTCAACCAGACCGTCTTTATAGGAACGTTATACCTCTCAGCACCACGAAACTACCCGCCAGAGGGCACCAACAGTAGCAGCGTGCAGTCCAGCAACATCCAATGGCCTTATGCTGTCGAAGTCACGCAGAGCAGCCCCGGGGGAGAGGACAGCCCGGCGTGTTACGAGTACATGAATGGGGTGAACCGAGACAGAATAACGACAGGACTCACGGCCCAGCCTCAGAACTCTCAGTGTTCCTGCGACTACAACAACTTCTGAGCTGGCAATGAATATCGGCGGCTAGTCTCTTTGTGTTTGATGAGTTTATGATGATACCCCAACACCGCGAAAGTAGTGTATGTAGCTAGTAGAAGACTTATGAAGAGATGCCAACGCGGCCCAATGCCTCTGAAGCAGGTACCGGGGATCGTTTAAAGGAGCATCCAGAGTCCCCTGAAGTCGGTCTGAGAGAGTTCGCGCTAGCGCCTAGCTTCCACATGTTTACTACTACTCCGCATCCAAGCCAGTGCACTCATGACCATACTCCCATCCCTCTTCAAACTCGGGCTTGACTTGTGGGGTCTCACAACACAAATACACATTGAACGACGTGCCAGCTCTGGTAGGGCCCTCACAACCATCGGCTTCAAATTGCCCAAGATTCGATCACAATGGAGCACAGCCTTGCCGAGGACTCACCCTCGACCGTATCAACAACTCAGTCCACGGTCTTCCGTCTCATGGATCTGCCACCAGAATTACGTGAGGAGATATATTACCACGCCTCGCCATCATTCCCACCTCTGGAGACCAGCAAACCAGACATCGCTCGAGTTCCGGCGATTGCACAGCTATCACGGCAGACTCGGAACGAAGCATTGGCCATCTTCTACAAAAACAGAGACATCCACATGCGTCTCCACACGGATGAAGATATCCTGAGTGCAACAGGCTGGCTGGACGCCTGTGCGAAGAATGCCGAACTATCCCACAAGATCACCATTTCCGGGCTCTTCACTCGTTTGAGCACCTTCACTCTTGTCATATCGTGCCAGAAGAAAGATCCTCAGTTTACCGTGGACGTTCAATCTAGCATCGAGGAGGAGTTTCGGGGAATCGTCAAACACACGAAGAAAGGTGTCCGCATAATGAAGGACGAAGTCTCGAACTACCTGGAAAATAAGACAGTGCGGCGTCCAGAGGACCGCAGAGGTCGGCTAACTGTGGGCGAGATGAGGTCCATTGTGAACATTGTGCGGAAAGTCGCAGGCTGTGGTTGATGTCGCGATGTGCTGGGATGACTGGTCTTGGATGAGAATCGACATATCGACTATCACACTACCTTGCTGTCATCAGTTGGTGGAGTGATTGATTGTATGCGTCATCGGCACTCAGTGAATCGGGTGACAGCAGATGGTATTTGGATAGTTTCAAGAAACGTTATTCGATTTGGAGATGCTGCGCTCCAACCTTCACCCATATCTTCACACATTTGTTAGCGCACAAGATGCACGCTATCTGCTGCACCTCTCCTGTGCACAGCGGTGAATGTTCTCGTCGCCTGTCGTCAACGCCATCCACGTTATCGCCTGTCAGCCTGTCACTGCAATAGGCTAGAGCGGGCGAAGGTCAGGATATCCTCGTAGACCTCTGAGTTGTCACTCGGGGTCAACCCGGCGGATTTCGAGTGCCGAGGGCCAAGCACGACGTCACTGGGTCAAGGCGTACTGAAATAAAACGGGCGGGCGGCGATCCTGCGAGAAGCTTTTACGAGTTTGGACGTCAGGAGCAAATTAATGTCGCTCGCCTGCCACCTATCACGGGACGAAAACACAGCAACCAGGCCGACGGTCTTCGCGAGGTGTATCCTGTTGCACAAATCTGTGATCTGAAAAGGCCATGTGCCAGAGCAAGCGACGGTGCAAGGTCATGCAGCGTCATGCAGCCTCTGTGATATGAGGTGTGTGGCCCGCGCACCGACGAAGCAACCTGAAACGCCTCACCTTCGAACCAAGCGGAGAACGAGATTGCCAGCGGTTCATCGGCGGTTGTTCACTACTCGAACTAGCTGTCTACTATATGCTGTACGCGGAAGGCAGTAATTAATCCAACTTGCCAGACTGAAAAGAGCAGCACCCTCGCGGCGCAGGACACGAGCCACCGTGGAATAGGCAAAGCGGCCAGTGGAACCTTCGTATATAGCGTATGCAGGCGTGCAACCTTACCGCCGCCCACCATCTCAAACGGAGCAGCAGAGCAGCCACGAGTTACTATCGCCAGTGCCCGCAACGTTCTTGTGGTTTGTCGTCCTCGTCCTCGTCGTGAACGCATCGCGTGAGGGTGTGCGCAGAAAGAGAGCCGGCGCAAGAAAGCGCGCGTTCATATCGTTTTTCTTTGTCAGGGCCAGTGGGGACCCTGTCGTCGGTGGTCGCTTAGGTCGCCGTGCCCTCACGCTCCTTCGCGCCTACATCACCTCCATTCGCACCACCACCACCACCGCCCCTTCCGCTGTCGACACCCCCTCTCTCGAAGACTTTGCCAGCAGGTACTCGCCCGCAGTACATGCCCCTTTCCCTCTCTCGCCGACGCGCCAGCTCGTCGGCACCCAGCCGCCACCACGACGAAGAGACCATCCCCCTACGGTCAGTCAGGGCAGCGATCCAAGCTGCCATGCCCTCCTAACCACCTGCGGCCCTCTTCATCGATATCTCCAGATATGCCGCACGAGGAGACCTCGGCGGCGGTAGCCAGCATACTATCCAATTTCGCGAAACAATACCAGCCGCTCGAATCCGATTCTTTCCCTGCCTCCGCGATCGCCAATGGGATCAAGGCCAACCGCATTACCTTGCCCGGCGATGATACGGTCGAGAAGCGCACGCTGGAGCGTGAGCTAACGTCTCTTGCTACGCGCATCCAGTTCCTCGAGGCCAGAGCCACCAGTGGCATCAGCTCATTACCCATCACTCCCAACGAACCTTCATCTTCAGTCTTCCCGTCAGACGGCCCTGCGTCACCGCGCACGTCTGCAGCCCTCAATCCTCGACAACGGTCAGCGTCATGGGTTAATAGCCTTCTCGCCAAGAGTGATGGGGAACCTGCCTCGCGCCAGCTCACTGAAGAGCAATTTTCGTTTTTACGAGAGCACATCGACCAGCAGGCGCAAGAGATCAAGAGCCAGAAAGACTTTATCGACAGCATCAAGTCACAACTTACACACCAACAAAGCGCAACCAAGGCCGCGCTCGACACCCTGGGCAACTCTCAGTCTATAGACCAGCTGAAACGCGAGATCGAGAAGAATGCACAAATCAACGCAACGTACCAGAAGGTGCTGCGAGAAATCGGCACAATCATCACCGCAGTCGCGAATGGAGATCTCAGCAAAAAGGTTCTCATTCATGCCACCGAGAAAGACCCGGAAATTGCTCGGTTTAAGCATACCATCAATACCATGGTGGACCAGCTGCAGGAATTCGCCAGTCAAGTCACCCACCTGGCCAAGGAGGTCGGTACAGAAGGTCGCTTGGGCGGTCAGGCTATTGTACCGGGTGTGGATGGTATCTGGGCTGAGCTCACGCAGAACGGTAAGACATGGCTTAAGTGCGATTGGCGTTATAGAGTATTTCTAACGTTACACAGTGAATGTCATGGCTCAGAACCTCACAGACCAAGTACGAGAAATCGCCGTGGTGACGACCGCAGTCGCGCAAGGTGACCTCAGCCGCAAGATTCAAAGACCTGCACGAGGCGAGATCCTTCAGCTCCAGCAGACGATTAATGAGATGGTTGGGCAGTTGCGGACTTTCGCTACAGAAGTAACAAGAGTTTCAAGAGACGTCGGGACAGAAGGTGTTCTTGGTGGCCAGGCACAGATTGAAGGCGTACAGGGAATGTGGAACGACCTGACTGTCAACGTCAACGCTATGGCTAACAATCTTACTGCACAAGTGCGAGATATCGCCGAAGTGACGACTGCTGTCGCACAGGGTGATCTCACGAGACAAGTAAAGGCACACTGCAAAGGCGAAATCTTGGCGCTCAAGACCACAGTCAATTCCATGGTGCAACAATTACGACAGTTTGCTCACGAAGTCACGAAGATTGCTCGAGAAGTCGGAACCGAAGGACGACTCGGCGGCCAGGCGACTGTGCATGGCGTAGAGGGGACTTGGAAAGATCTGACAGAAAACGTGAACGGCATGGCCATGAATCTGACAACCCAAGTGCGCGAGATTGCAGAAGTCACCACAGCTGTGGCTCAGGGTGATCTTACCAAAAAGGTTGAAGCCGAGGTGCAGGGCGAGATTCTTGCACTGAAGAATACCATCAACACCATGGTGGACCGCCTAGGGACGTTTGCGTTCGAAGTTAGCAAAGTCGCCCGAGAAGTCGGAACAGAGGGCGTGCTTGGCGGACAAGCAGAAGTCAAGAACGTCGAGGGCAAATGGAAAGATCTGACCGCGAATGTGAACACGATGGCGAATAACTTGACGGGTCAAGTACGCAGTATCTCGGACGTTATCCAAGCCATTGCACGAGGGGACATGAGCCAAAGGATTAAGGTCCACGCACAGGGAGAGATCCAGACACTCAAGGACACAATCAACGACATGGTGACACGTCTCGACGCATGGTCTCTTGCCGTGAAACGAGTGGCACGAGATGTGGGTGTCGATGGCAAGATGGGTGGGCAAGCCGAAGTCGAGGGCATCACCGGTCGTTGGAAAGAGATTACGACAGATGTCAACATCATGGCCCAGAACTTGACTTCTCAAGTGCGTGCCTTTGCGGACATCACACACGCCGCGATGAAGGGCGACTTCACCAAGATGATCAACGTTGAGGCGTCTGGCGAAATGAACGAGCTCAAGAACAAGATCAACAAGATGGTGCTGAACTTGCGAGAAAGTATCCAGAAGAACAATCAGGCAAGAGAGGCGGCCGAGTTGGCGAACAAAACTAAGTCGGAATTCCTGGCGAACATGTCTCACGAGATTCGAACGCCTATGAACGGCATAATTGGAATGACGCAACTCACTCTTGACACTGAGCTGGAGCAGAACCAGCGGGACATGTTGAACATCGTCTTTTCGCTCGCGAACAGCTTATTGACCATCATTGACGACATTCTTGATATCTCCAAGATTGAAGCCAACCGGATGATCTTGGAAGAAGAGCCATTCTCGCTGAGAGGCTTGGTATTTAACAGTCTCAAATCTCTCGCTGTGCGGGCGAATGAGAAGGACATCAGCTTGATCTACGACACCGACAGTTCTGTCCCCGACTATGTGGTGGGTGACTCGTTCCGTCTGCGGCAGATCATTTTGAATTTGGCTGGAAACGCTATCAAGTTCACGGAACACGGAGAAGTTCGCGTCAGGATCTTCTCAGACCACAGCGTCGTGTGTGGTGAAGGCGAGGTCGTGGTCAAATTTGCCGTCTCTGACACGGGCATCGGCATTCACTCCAACAAGCTCGACCTCATCTTCGATACTTTCCAGCAAGCTGATGGATCGACGACTCGCAAGTTTGGCGGTACCGGCTTGGGTCTGTCAATCTCACGGCGACTGGTCACGCTGATGCGTGGTAAGATGTGGGTTGAGTCAACGTACGGCCAAGGCAGTACGTTCTTCTTCACCTGCGTTGTGCGGCTGGGTCCGCACGATCCACAAAGGGTTATGCCACAATTGCAGCAATACCGCAGACACAAGGTCCTTTTCGTCGACAATGGATTCACCGATGAGCCTGACGACGTCGCCGAGAACATCAAGGCACTGGATCTGGTCCCTGTCGTTGTTGGCAATGGCCGGACAGCACCAGCTGAGCTCGATCCGAACGATTCGTATGACTGCGTCATTGTCGACAACAGTGAGACGGCTCAGAAGCTGCGCAGCCTGGAGCGTTTCAAATACATCCCAATCGTCATGTTGGCGCCCCAAATATCAGTCAACTTCAAGACGGCGTTGGAGAATGGTATTTCGAGCTACATGACCACGCCGTGCTTACCAATTGACCTTGGTAACGCGCTGATTCCGGCACTGGAAGGACGAGCGGCGCCAATATCAGCTGACCACTCTCGAACCTTTGACATTCTCTTGGCAGAGGACAATGCGGTCAACCAAAAATTGGCCGTCAAGATACTGACGAAACACAACCACAAGGTCACCGTTGCCAATAACGGGTTGGAAGCCTTCGAGGCCATCAAGAAGAAGCGATTCGACGTCGTTCTCATGGACGTGCAGATGCCCGTCATGGGAGGATTCGAGGCCACCGCCAACATCCGCGAATACGAAAAGGCACATGAGCTGGCAAGGTCTCCCATTGTAGCGCTCACCGCGCATGCTATGCTTGGCGATCGGGAGAAGTGCATCCAGGCGCAGATGGATGAATACCTCTCGAAGCCATTGAAACCAAACCAGCTCATTCAGACCATTCTGAAATGTGCTACGCTAGGCGGTGCGTTACTCGAAAGGAAAAACGACGGGCGAAGCAGCCTACACATCGAGGAAGAGAAGAATTCTGATACTAGCCCAGATCACAACAGGTTAACGACTCCCAAACGGCCAGGCATGGAAGGCAGAGGATACACGGAGAACGGGCCCTCTGGTCTGGAAAGTCCCGCCATCGTTACTGCCGAGCAGGAAGATCCTATGTCAAGAGTAAGGCCTTTCTAATATATCCGTTCTAATTGTGAAGACGTGACTAACAAGGCCGTGGCAGGAAGCACTAGTCCGCGCTCACAGTAGCTGAAGTCAAAACTCACGGACGACCACGTGAGACTGCGGCTTCAGCCCTACCGACAACGAATCCACCATCTACCCTTCGATCGATTAGCGGAACTACTACCACAACTTTTCTGGCTGTTAGGTAAGGTTGGCGATAGCGGGTATCATTGTCTGTTTGGCGCTGTTGTGTACTTACGTTTTGGTTTGGCTCACGACATTTTGAGGCGATCATTGTCTCTTTCTGCAGGTCTGTTTTGTCCTTTTTTGTTGGTTATTGCAAGGCGAGAGGGAGAGAGAGGGGGGGAAGGGCGCGGCCGTGTGGCTTTGATGTTGCAACTGGATGGAGAAACAATGCAACAACACGGCCCTCTCATGTTGTGACATGGCATTTTCGGGCGCTTTGTGAGCATTACTTGGGTTATGATATCCACCCTATATGGCCTCTTACTTTGACGGCGGCGGCGGCGAAAGGCAGTCCTGAAATCAACTGTGGTGTTCGAGAACAACACCCGTCTTTCAAGTCATTTTCCAGTTCAGGCAGTTCGTCGGCGACGCTAGTTGGTGATGAATGACATGTGCGGTCTGGAGATCATCATCAAGCCCTGGATAGACTATGTCTTCCGGCGACCCCCTCAGCCCAACTAGCACGTCTGCCGAACAAAATAGGGCTCGTGGGTACCCTTTTCTTATACGGTCAACATGGGATACGGGATGTGTGACAGACGGTGACCGCAGCGAACCGGTGGCCGATTTAAGCTTTCGCGTTAGAGTTTGGACGCAAACCTGGGACACTTGGCACTGCATGGTTCTGGGGGGGTTTCTGCTTTGCCAACTGCTGCGCGCCGCTGACCTGGTGATGATGGATCGACGAATTGGAGACGGCGGCGGGGCTGTTCAGAGCGGCGTTGTTGATGAGACAAGCACTGGAAGAGGAGTACGTGCGGACGGTGTGCATGCATAGCGGGTATGCTCTCGGCTAGCCCTTCGAGGTGTGGCCAGCTGGGTCAGTGGGCTCCCTGCATTGATCACTAAACACGAAATCTGGAGCTCCCACCCCATCCCCAACTTCACCTCTCGCACCCTGTGGTACCGCAATCTAGCTCTTCGTGACATTACAAAGCACGGTGTTGACCGATCGGAGGCGGCGAGGAATACATCACGGGCTATCTTCATCTTGGCTGATTCGAATGTCTGATTTGGATCTTTGATCTGCTTTGTTACTTACTTTGTCTCCACATTATCAGCCCTTCTCACCCGCACGCTGTCTGTCAGCCAACACACGAGATATAGTAGAGAGGGAGGATCTACTACTATTAGAAGAGGAGCTTGATTTGTCGACAGTCTTTATATTGAGACTGGCCCAGCGTAGCACTTTGCTTGCCACGTTATCCTTCTTGTTGTTTAGTATTTCTTGATCTCGTCAACATCTGCCCTTGTGGCTTTGGATTGTTTACTCACCTCACCTACCCGCGAAATACAAGACATGATGGATGCTGCTTCGAAGGAAGAGCCACAGACTAGGAAGCGAAGGTCGAGGACGAGCAACTCTCCGGACAATAGTGGTGATGATGGAAAGAAGCGTGGGAGGCCGAGGGTCGAGAAGCAGGATGAGTCTGCTGCGGATGTATGTTCAGGTCGTTCTATCTCTACTATGAAGCTTCATACTGATCCACCTCATCATAGCGTCGACGAACACAGATCCGCATGGCCCAAAGGGCTTACCGTCAACGCAAGGAGAGCACACTCGAAGAGCTCCGCAAGCGCGTGTCCGAACTCACCAACATGATCGAGCTCATGAACAAGGCCTTCATCGATTGTCGAGATAAACTCGCTTCCTCCGGCATGCCTGCCAACCAGATCCAAGACATGCGAGAGACGTCGATGCAGTTCGAAGCGCTGCTGAAGTGCGCGAGGAACCCTGGCGAGGAGTGCGATCCGGAGATCACGCAGATCATTCAGCAGAGCTCCGGCAGCAATGACGGCGATCAGAACAAGACGATGCAGCCGAAGAATGTTCCTTCGTGGATGGACGAGGCGGCTGTGCAGGCGGTTTCGAGGCCGAGAGGATCCACCGCTCAGGTCGGGATGGGCTACGAGATGTACAACGACCAAGGTACGGATGAGATGGACATTGACTATCTGGGCGACTTTGGACAGTCTCAGGCTATTGGTCCTGCAAAGCCGAGTAGCCTCAGCTCGTTTGATGCTTTCAGGATGGATATGCCCACCTCGATGAACATACCGGCTTCGCTTACCTCTCCGATGACATACAGCTTCCAAGAGACGACGTTCGGAAGACGACTGCATAGAGCGTGTCTGGAGCAGGGTTATCAGCTGTTGCTTGACCCCGACCGCAGACCTCATACGTTCGAGAGGGTCTTTAAGCTGTCGCTGATGAGCAGAGACAGAGCGAAGCTGACCACTGCTATGAAGGCATTGTTGGATAGAGGCCCCCATGAAAACCTGCATACCAACGTCCCTCTGATTCATGTCGGAGGTGCCGGAACGCATTATCCTCGTCGAGATCCATTTGGCAATATGCAGCCCAAGAAAGAGTCGTGGAATCTTGGCGTAGTGGGCCCGCAGACTCTGGCATTGTTGGAGAACGCGGCGCGGGACAACCTCACAACGGACATGACTGTTGACATCGCCGGGTTCGAAGGAGAATGGTTCGATCCGTACGACGTAGAAGGCTATCTTCACGAGAAGGGTATCTTCATCGATCCGTCCTCGTCATTCGCCGAAGCGGAAGTCTTCGTCTGGCCGACTGCAGGATCCACAACGTCGACGACGTTCTCCTCAGCGACCTCGCCCAAGACACCCGATGCGCGAAGCGCCAGAGACTCCGGCCCACCGAGACCCTTCGACCAGGACCAGCTCGAGTTCCTCTCCCGCTACGACGCACTGCCGGATGAAGTGAACGAGTTCACGACGATGAACCTGACAGATATCGGCTTCTCAGATGCGTCGACCGGCTCCTGGATGAACTTCCTCCAGCCTGGGCAGGGAACCAAGAACCACTCAGCGTCCGTCGTGGATCCATCCCTGACGGCCATGAATACGTGGGAAGGCAGCCATTCGTCTGAGTTCTTGCAGGATTCGTCGACGTCGCGGATGAGCATGTTCAATAAGCCGGTGAATGGCCAGGCGCAATCGCAGGAGAAGAAGGTCATCATTATTGATGTCAGCAAGTTCGTGAAGGGTGAGTGGAACCGATCTTCATGACTCTGTTGAGGATGTTGAGCTGACTTTTGCGGTTGTAGTTTTGACTGTGTCTGGTGTTTGCATTGGACGGGGTCCGGGGTTCAAGAGGAGGGATGTTGATCGGGCGTTGGCGCTGTCGTCGTTTGATGCGTTCTAGAGGGATCATGCGGCAATGGTGAGAAGGGTGTAACACTGAATTTGCGTTATGAGCGTGCAAGATGCCTTCGTGGTCTTGAAACTCTCTGGAAGCACGAGACCCGAGCTCGTAGCCGGGAATGAGGAATTTCAAGACAGTGTGTTAGCCTGTGTATTCCAAACACCACTCACACGATGAATTGCCCCGTTTTGCAGCATCTTCATCTTCGTTTCCAAAGTCGACGATTGCGAGTTGTCTTTGACTGTGAACGTTGTCCTTATCTACGGGGTACCATATCCACACTTTTCTTCCTCGGCCCAACCCCAACATCCAACCCCAGTCGCTTTCACATGAAAAGCCAGCACATGTCATCGCCGACTCCCTCACTGGCCGGACATCTCGCTCCATCCCCGATCCCAGGTCATGTGCGCGAAACATCCTCTCCCTCTCAATGAAATGTCCCGATAGCGTCGAACCTGATCCTCCGTTCGTTACATCACCATGGCGAACCAGTCCACCCTCCGCCAGCGGCCGCAAGATCGCTTCGCGCAGTACTTCGACCACTTCTACGAACGCCTACTTGAGCGTGTAGACCAGTTGCAAAAGCGTAGCCCGCTCGACAAACGAACGACTCAGCTCATCGCCACGCTCGCACTGTCTTTGACCATCATCACCGGAGGGTATGGAGGGTACAGATGGTACAGCGGCCGGAAGAAAGAGAGAGACTTGGGCCATCGACTAGTGAGACGGAATAGCGGGTTGCGAAGTAAAGATGGCACGCGAACGATATATGTGCCCTATAAGGACCGGACGAGCAAGGTTACCATACATCCCACCAAGCCCACGACGTTTGATGCGCACAGGAGGCTGTTCTTGAACCCCATGCGTCAGCGAAGTTCGGGGAGGGAGTTCTCGCTGGGCGTGCCGCCGCCGAATGTCAAGCCTGGGCTGAATGTTGCTTTCGTGCATCAATTCATGGCGATCATGCAAATCGCAGTGCCGAGGCTGGGATCGAAAGAGTCCGGACTGTTGACAACACATGCGTTCTTCCTCCTGCTACGGACGTACCTCTCGCTCGTCGTAGCTCGGATGGACGGAGAAATCGTCCGAGACCTCATCGCTGGTAAAGGCAAGGACTTCCTGTTCGGACTGGTCAAATGGCTTTCCGTGGGTGTCATCGGCAGCTACACCAACTCGATGATCAAGTTCCTGCAGGCGAAGATCAGCATCGCGTTCCGGACACGCCTGACGAGATATATCCACGATCTGTACCTGGGTTCGCATATGGCGTACTATAAGATGCACGCGCTGGATGGAGGGATCGAGCATGGCGCGGATCAGTTCGTTTGTCGGGACCTGACTCTGTTCTGCGATAATGCGGCTAACCTTTACTCGAGCTTGGGAAAGCCGCTGGTGGATCTTGTCACATTCAATTACCAGCTTTACCGTTCTTTGGGACCTTTGGCGTTGAGTGGGTTGCTTAGCACTTATATCGGGACTGCAATCTTGCTGAAGAAGTTGAGCCCGCCTTTTGCCAAGCTGAAGTCTGTTGAGGCTCGGAAGGAGGGCGACTTCAGATCATTGCACGCCAGGCTGATCGCCAACGCTGAAGAGGTGGCCTTCTACGCTGGAGGACCGATGGAGCATGGCCTGCTTGATCACGGCTTCAAGGAGCTCAAGAAATGGATGGAAGGTATTTACCGTGTGAAGGTGGGATACAACATGCTTGAGGACTTTGTCTTGAAGTACACATGGTCTGCGCTGGGCTATGTCATTACGAGTCTCCCGGTCTTCCTGCCTGAAATGGGTCTTGCGCCAGAACCCAAAGTGTCGAAGAATGTCACTCCTGAGGTCGCAGATACTGCTGAGGCAGGTGACAGGACTGGTTCACGGACGAAGCAGTTCATCACGAACAAGAAGTTGATGCTGAACCTTGCAGATGCCGGCAGCCGCATGATGTACTCCATCAAGGACCTTTCTGAACTTGCTGGCCAGACGAGCAGAGTGTTCAAGCTCATTAGTACTCTGCATCGCGTGCAAGCGAACGCTTATCAGCTGCCACCAAACGTCTATCCGGAACCTTTCAATCTGACCGATGTTGCGGGAACTCTCCACAAGGGTTATGATGGCGTTCGTCTTGAGCACGTTCCTATCGTAGCACCCTCTCCCTTCCCAATGGGCGGTGAGGAGTTGATCGACAACCTGTCTTTCATCGTTGGACCGGGCGATCATCTGCTTATAACAGGTCCTAACGGAGCAGGAAAGTCTGCAGTGTCTCGCATCGTTGCTGGTCTATGGCCAACGTATCGCGGCTTGACATCTAGACCACGCACCAATGGCCAAGACGGCATCATGTTCCTTCCACAAAAAGTCTACCTAAGCCCCGGTACTCTTCGAGATCAAGTCATCTACCCCCACACTGAGGTGGACATGAGAGATGCTGGGCGTAGGGAAAGCGAGCTGCAAGCCATCCTGGAGGAGGCCAAGCTTGGCTATATTCCCGAGCGTGAAGGTGGATGGGATACTAGGAAGATGTGGCAAGATGTTCTCAGTGGTGGTGAGAAGCAGCGTATGGGCATTGCTCGGTTGTTGTATCATGAACCTCGCTATGCTTTTATTGATGAAGGCACGTCGGCGGTGAGCTCTGATGTTGAGGGTATTTTGTATGAGACGGCAAAGCGGAAGGGGATCAGTAAGTCATCATTCCTCTTAGTGATGTGGATGTGTACTAACATCAACCAGCACTCGTCACGATCTCCACGCGAGCATCGCTCAAGCGGTACCACTCATACACTCTGACGCTTGGCCTGGGCGAAGAAGCTAACGAGTACGAATTCGTTCGCATCGGTACGGCCAGCGAGAAGAACAGTGTGCTGCAGGAGATCCAAGAATTGCGCGAGAAGCTTGCTCAAGTAGACGAGTGGAAGCAGAGGAAGGAGCAAATCGAGGAAGAACTAAGCAAAGTCTGGGTCGCCGGCAAGCAGGAGCTTGAAGCGCCGCAATATCACCAGGAAGAAGCAGCTACAACGTGAGGACTTCCCACGTACCTGACGCCGGCCGCAGAACGTGACCCGTTTCCGTGGATGAGTTCAAACCGGCATCCCCGAGACAAGACATCCTACAAGCACCTATAGTCACCTACGACACCTTGGATGGACGCAACAGCACGGAGACAACGCCGCGACAAAATTACAATCTGGCAGAGACTCATCAATATCACCGGCATGAAGAAGGCTGGCGGCGGCTCTGAACGCCTCCACCTACTTGCCCTCCCTCCCGAGATCAGAACAACAGTGCGTTCGCAGAGGTTCTTGTTGGCGTGGATGCTCATGATATCTCGGGGAAATAGATCTTCGAATACGCCCTCACCGAACCCGACAAAATCAAGATACGCCCAACCTTACGGCCGCCCGCTCTACTCTCCACCTGCCGGCAAACTCGCGAAGACGCCGGGCTGATATGGTGGGAGCGCAACCGGTTCGTCATCACAATCTGGAACTGCAACGCCAGCCTTCTCGCCGCCTTCTCGAACCTCCACCACACCCACCAGCGTCGGTACGATCTGAGCGGCCATCTAGTCTACCACATTGTCGTCGAGGGAGGAAAAGATTGGAACAATCTGGTGGCGTGGTGTTATGAAGTGTGGGCGAATACGATACCTGCATACAAGATGCTCGAACCGTCGGATGACTTTGAGGCGTTTGTGTCTGTGGCGACGAATATTGCCAAGTGGCATCGAGACAGGCCCTGGGAGGAGTGCTTTGCCACCATTGACGCGATAAGGTATGCGGTGGCCAAGTATGATCGGGCGTGGGCTCAGTCGAGGGATCAACACATGGGTAGGGGTTAGGGGGGTTGAAATGGATGACGTTCTAGATAGATAGATTGAGAGGTTTCTGAAGGCTCATTCTATTCTTCTGAATCCTGTTGTGGTTTGGACTACGCTACATGTACATATTTCTGCCGTGGCATCGAATGCGTCGTAATGAGTAGTAGTAGTGCACTTACGACTTGTAAGTGTGCATGACCTAGAGAGGAGAGCAAAGTCAGTCATCAAATTCCACAATCAACAACTCAAGGAAAAGGAGGAATATCACTCACATGAGCATTGCAATAAGCCTTCAGGCCCTCACCACCCCACTCCCCGCCAATCCCACTCTCCTTATGTCCACCAAAGAACGCCTGCGGCGTCGGCTTCTCCCACGAGTTAATAAACACGGACCCGGCCTCGAGACGCTTGCCGATGCTCTCGGCGCGCGCGAGGTCCTTGCCCCAGACGCAGGCGCCGAGCCCGGTGTTGGTGGCGTTGGCGCGCTTGATGACGTCCTCCTCGTCGGTCCAGGGGAGCGTGGGCACGATGGGGCCGAAGGGCTCTTCTTGCACGATGCGGCTGTCGTCGGGCGGGTTGTCGATGATGGTGGGTTGGACGAAGAAGCCTTTGCCTGGCTTGACTTCGGAGTCGCCGACGGCGAATTTGTAGTTGTGTTCCTGATGAGAGAGAATGGGTCAGTGTATTTGTTCTGTGGGTTGTGAGGTGGTGATACATACCTTGGTATCCTTGAAGTAATCCTTGACCTTCTCGTACTGCATCTGGTTCTGGATGGGACCGAGGAAGGCGCCCTCGGATGGAGGGCCGACGGTGAGGGTCTTGGTGAAGTTGACCATCTCCGCGAGCAACTCGTCGTAGATATCCTTGTGGATGTAGATGCGCTTGGTGGCGACGCAGACCTGTCCGGTGTTCTGGAAGGCACCCATCACGAGCTCAGGAGCGGTCTTCTTGATGTCGACGTCTGGCAAGACGACGGAGGCGTCGTTGCCGCCGAGTTCGAGGGTCACGCGCTTGAGGGACTGGGCGCAGGCGGCCATGATCTTCTTGCCGGTGGCGATGGAGCCGGTGAAGGAGATCTTGGAGATGCCCGGGTTGGCGGTGAACATTGGGCCTAGGTAGTCGTCGCCGCCGATGGCTTGGACGACGCCGGCTGGGAGGACTTCCTGGGCGAGCTCGACGACCTTGAGGGTGGTGTAGGGGGTAAAGGGGCTGGGCTTCACGATGATGGTGTTACCCGTGAGGAGGGCTGGGATGATTTTGCCGATGGAGAGGATGATTGGGAAGTTCCTGGAAGGAAACAGACGTTAGTTACACTTGAATTGAGTGTGTTTGTGTTGTTGGGCAACGTACCAGGGGCAGATAGCACCCACGACTCCAAGTGGTGTGTATCGTGTTGTGATGGTTTTCTCATCGTCCTCCACTCGATCCTCTGGAATGTCAAGTGTATCGTGGTGAGAGAACCACTTCAAGGCGTCAGTAATCGTACAATAGTGTCTTGATGTTGTATGAGCTCACCCCAACAAGGCCCTTTGTCTCCAACTCAGCTATTTGCTTGGGCTTGCCAGTCTCGGCACACAGCAGCTCAGTCATGTCATCAGCATGCTGGAGCAGGACATCCTTGAACTTGTTCAGGTATTCCTTGCGCTCCTTAATAGGCACGTTGCGCCAGGACTCGAAAGCCTTCTGGGCGACCGATACAGCCTCGTCCACATCTTTCTGGTTGCCAATTGGGACCGGCCAGAGCTTCTCGCCGGTCGAAGGGTTAACGCCGTGATGTACGTCCTTGCCGGTACGTTGCTGGCCGTTGATGATGTTGTAGAACTCGTCCCACTTGATCGTAGAGACCTTGGAGGGAGACATGGTTGCGGTTGGATACAATGTTGCTTTTTCCAAGAAGTACAAGAAGAGAACACGATTCTTGCAGGGTATCAAGGATTGAATATACAAAAGGAAAGAAAGCAAAACGTTCGACGTGTTGCGCCCCTCTCAGCTCTTATACCCGGATTACCTTGGGTAACGGTGGCTGCTAGCAGTCCAGCCCAGAGCTGCGGCGATGATGGTGAGGGGCACGGGGTGTCGTTCCAAAGACCCTTCAGGAAGCTCTCTGGCCCACTCATGCCACTCGCCCTATGCGACTCGCTTGCTTGGCGTGCAGTAGATTATCATTGATTTGCACGAGAGATGCCCGGGACAGCTCCTGGAGGAGGTGTCACAGGTGTTGTGCGTTCATCTTGCCGGGTGCATGGCCGCGTGCCATGCCGCTTGTGATATCATTGCACTCTCACATCTCATCGCGGCAGCGGTGGTCGTGGAGAAACGGATGGTCCTGTTCCTCGTTTCTGTGGACAGAGTCGGCAGTTTGGGGATGTGGAGGTGTTACAGACGAGTTAGGGCCCCTGCCATGTGGCGTCCGTTGTCATTCATGTCCAGGTTGTTTCGTAATGCCCTGCCTTCGAAATGTCTGGTGGTCCACGATGGAGGAACCGAGCCAATCGGTTGAAAGTTAGCGACTTCATCCATTGCCCTGGCAACATTCTCCGTAATCAAATACTACCTCTACGCGCACATCGACCGCAAACCCTACCTTCTGTGCAATTCATCGCATGGACAGCCAAAACGAGAAACTCTCCACACATTGGGCAGATGGCGTGGCCACGTCAAGAGCGGCCGAGAGACCTCGTTCGAGATCGACCTCCGTGATGGACTACCGCTCGAAACAGATTCTGTGCAGGGGTGCCTCTTCGAAGGCAGGCACTAGCGATAAGCACCACTGCTCGTCTCCGCCTCGCCTCACCGCGTACTGCTGTAGCTGAACAAGAAGTACGAAACATTTCAAGAGAGGCCTTATTACCAACAACATGAAGGCTTCGATACCGGCTCCGGTTCCTACGGCCGCATCCGATCCGGTGCCAATCACTGGCTGACGATGTTTAGTGAACGGCGAGCCAGCCGTAGCTGACCGCCGTCAGGACTGCCGCCGACGGGCAGAGTAGCTGTTTTGCATACGACTATTGCTTGATCTGGAAGTAGTTATGTACGAGTCGTTCAGCTGCTGATCCTACCGTCAGCGTGGCCGATGTTCTCGAACGTTGTTGTTGTCTGTGGCGCTTTAGTTGTCGTGGACGTCGTGGATGAGTAAGAGGAGAGAGTCTTAGTTCCAGAAATAGAGCAAGGACTCCTGGTGAGGCTCAAAGCTCCAGCCTCGAGGACAGTCTGCGAAGGCTTATCGCCAAGAAGCTTGTCCAAGCGCAGGAGGTCGATAGCGAGCTTGTTCTTCCGAGGTATGGCAGAATACAGACGCACAATCTTGAGATTCCAAATTCTAGGGTATCTTACGAAAAGGCCATCAATAGCCCGAGGCAATCTGTAAGCCATGGAGCTTTCTTATGGCTTGAACAGCCAATCCTCCCTGCTGAAAACAGACTCGAGTTCCACGCTACCAAACACGCCCACCGCCGCCAACAGGTCATACTCGCCCGCAAGGCCAGCAACGTCTCCTTCGTCGGCGTCCATATCTCTCTCTTCGTGAAGATCCCAGCTACCCTCCTGCTTGCCGTTGCGGGTGAAGAAGACCTGGCAGGGAATATTGACTCTGCCACCGTTGACCGGCGTGCCGAATGTCATGCCGATGCCGACCACATCGCCTTTCTTGAACGCTGACGTGAAGTCTTTCCCGCCGTAGCTGTTGTCAACATACCTTCTGCCGTCATCACCGTGGACGCCTAACGAGCCACGATGCCATCCTGGAAGTCGCCACGCAGGATAAGGAGGCGCCACGAAGCCTATTGCAATGCCAGACTCGACCTGCTTATTCTGATTGTAGCGTTCACCCATGGACAGGACCTGAAGTTCGAAGTACACGGTGTGAGGCTGACCGGTGGCGAGGGGGCTTTCAGTGTAAGATGCATATACTGGGACGTCCGACAGCATTATAGTATCACCAATTGCGGACGATGTTCGGACGTAGCTTCTCCCCAGTCCTGGTTGGTACTGTGTGACATCGGTGGTGTTTGGCGGCACGGTCAATCGAAGATCACCAACCCGTATCCGCTCGATGACGCCGGGAGGGTGTTCGGTTGCATTCCAAAGTCGGTTCTCACGACACCAAGCGTGCGCTCTGGCGGCATCGTCGTAGTCGGCATTCGCTGTTGGGCTCTTCTCATTCTGAGGGCGTACGTTCGAGAACGCAGGAGGCGGCCGCAAGCTGTCATCGGGACCCAGCCACGGGTCATATTCGGGCGGCGGCGCTTCAGAAGGATGTCCCGGAGGAGGACCTGGGGGTGGCTCATAGTTCATGCTCTTGGGAGGAGGCCCTGGAGGTGGTAGGATTTCATCTTCACTCATCTCAACGTCGCTTCCCATCTGAGGCGGCGCCGTCTGTGGCGATTGGTGCGAGCCATGGACCTTTTGGAAGGTCTGTGTAATGGGCACGTTGATACTCGATGGACGTGCCTCGTGAGATGCGCCTGAATTGCCTCCTCGAAAGGGGTTGGTAGGAGCGGCCTCGCGACCACGATTACTGGGTCCGCCTCCAATGGTCCATGAGGTTCGCTGTGGTTGTCGAGACTGTTCCTGTTGCGAAGACTGTCCAGGTCTGTCTACGGCGGATTGTGACTGCGTTCGAAAGTTGGGTGGCGGACCTGGAGGGGGATCGTATTTGTCGCTCATGGCGACTGCCTCTGGAGCGGTACGACTGGATATGAAGGTCCTACAGCTTTGCTTGCGCCTGCAACGCGAGATAGCCTGCTCAGAGATAGAGTGTCGGCACCCTGATGACCTCGGTCGCTCCTATGCTTCCAAGGTTCTGTGCGTAATTATGGACGATTGAGAGCGGCTGAAGGTGAAATTAGGCCACTGGACCGAGTACTTGCGGCGGTTTGGAGGATGAGGGAAGCAGAGGCAGGACATGTACAGCTCGGCGGTTCTCCTTCGGCGGTCGACGCGTCGTAGGTCCACAAGCTGCTTGCTGGCAACACGAGGGCAGGATATGGATGGAGAATTGGGCCGCAAGATCAAAGCAAGCAAGGTGTCCCAGCATCATCATCACATGGCCGTCACACGCATCAGGCCCTTGTCCCCGCATCCCGCGTGGCTCGGCTCGCTTGTTGCCGGGCGCTAAGTCTAAATTGACAGCTTCACTCAATCCGAGCGTCATCGTCGCCGCCGTCTGTCTGCGCATCGACATCAAGGCACTAGATGTTCCGGCTGTCGAGTCGTACGATATGTCGTCGCTGACAGCAGGCGACATGTAACAATACCGACAATGACACTGGACGAACCTTCTGTCCAGCTCAATGCCGAGCTGCAATCCTCGATTACACGCGCGCTCGCGTCGCGACGACCCATTCTCCACCATTTGAATGCCGACACGTCGTGGCTACTTCAAATACCTCGACCTCACAATGCTGTCAAAAGAGGCGCACGCTTCTACTACAATATTCTGATCGATCCGTGGTTGCGAGGCGGCCAGAGCGACGTGGCAACATGGTTTTCGCAACAGACGCATGCGACTGAGAGCGCCGTTCAATCTATCAAAGAGTTGGAAGAGTTGATACAGAGGAATGAAGACCTCACAACCAGCTTGCGGCCTGAACCTGGGAGCCGGAGGAATACAGAGTCGGAGGAGCATATTGGAGGCTTTGAAAATCTCATCGACGCGGTTGCTGTCTCTCATGAGTTTACAGACCATTGCCACAAGGATACTCTGCTTGAGATCCATCCGGATGTTCCTGTGTTCGCAATTAAAGAGGCCGCGAAGCTGATTGAGAGCTGGCGACACTTCAGAACAGTGACCACGGTCAATGGCTTCGGTGTGGACAGCGATACCGATTGGCGCAGTACGAGTCTGCCTCCACTCCCAGAATGGATAGGAATCAGCCGGCTGTTGCAGGTGGATGATGTGTTGAACTATCATGCCGCACTGATGATCACCTTCAACAATAGGCACGGCAATGCGCAATCAAAGCTTGCGAAAACCAATGGGTTTATGAAGAATGGCACGCGCAAGAGGCATCACTCCGCGATTGAGCCCAACGAGGACGAGGAAACCGCCGAGGCAGTCGTCTATACGCCACATGGTATGCATAGCGGGGATCTCACTTTGATACCAGAGGCACAGCCCTCGATTACCACGCTCGCGTTCTTGCACGGACTGCACAATGTACGAGTCGGTACGGCCAGCGGCAAAACTGCATTGCAGTCAAATCTCGGCGCTCATAATGGACTCAAGGCGCAGCGCATACTAAATGCGAACTACTGGATTGGCACTCACGACGAGATCAAGAAAGGAGGAGGGTTGGTGGCATGGTTTCTTCAAAGAGACGAGTTGACATTGAAAGATGCTTTGGATCAAGAGAGAAAGTCACGAAAGGATGGCGAAAAGGGCATGGCGAGGGGCGAATTGGGTAAAGTTCTGGATTCGTTCAATGATACCAACTGGTGTGACTTACGGAATGGCGAGAGCAAGATACTTCTATAGCATCGAAACGGGCAAAGACCTGATCAACAGTCAACGAGATGTGCCGTTCGCCATTCCGTCATTGTATTGTATACATCTGCATCTGCATTTAGCCCTCCGTAGTGGCTTGGGAGGCCCACGCTAGCCGTCTTCCCCACGACTATCGCAGTGTGTACCCGGGCTCTTGGAACGTTGACCACTGAATCCCTCTGCTGCCAAAACACCTCCAACGGCATTGGCGTCGCCCGCACGCCGCCCTGTGTCACCATACCGCCACCCGCATATATCTCGACCCTCCGCGCCACCTCGAGAATGACATCAATCACCTACAAGCACCAGCTATTGTCCTGCTATACCCCAGTCGCGATCCCTACGCTAGCGATCGTGCCCCAGGAATGAACAACTCGCCCTCCATCTTCACGCCTAAAGACAGCCTGGCCCGCGGCGCTGTTCGCCCTACCATCTCCTCGCAGCGCGCTCCGCGAACCTCGAGCCCCTTTCGCCGACAGAGCACGCCCGATTCTCTCCAACCGAATACCATCAAAGCGGCCGAGTCCGCTGCGCCGCTCGCTATAGCAGAAGGAGGTCCATCAATCACAGAGACAAAGGCTACAGGATCGCCAGCATCATCGCCAGGAAGTACAAATACAGCAGCAGCAGTGAGCCCGTCAATATGGAACTCGTTCGCTGAACGTACAGTTTCTGGACATCACTCTCAAGCACACAAAGGCCGTAGTGTCAGTCTCGGCGGCGAATCTGGTCCCATATCTCCCTTCTCGGAATTTCCTCCTCCACCTCCGCCACCACGTACACCTCCGACCTCTGAGCCTCGCAGTAAGAGGAAGCTCACACTTTCGAATCCCTATTCCAGTCCCGGGCCCACATCTGAGCCGGCGAGCAAGCGCCAGAAGCTACGCCCTCGGGCCAAACATACACTTGACAGCACTTCGTTCTTTCCCTCCGACTACAGCGCGTTAGTCCAGCCGCCTTCGCCTCTGTTCTTCAGCAACAGTCCCCGCCCTCGGCCGACGTTGCCACCGCGCTTCTCGAGCAGCGAGGCGGGGGCCAGGATGCTGAGCAAGGCACGAACAGAAGAGTCTCATGTCAAGACCGTCAGTTTGGCGCGAGGTACAGTCTCGACCCCTTCTGCGGGCTATCCACTTCCAGTAGGCTCTCCGCGCAATAGGAGTAGTGTGGAAAGGAGTAGCACAGGACGTAGTCTTAGTCCCGACGCCGGGGCAAGCAGCGTGAGAGATGGCATGTCGGGCGTAACCCATGCTCTGAATTCAGTGGGCATCATTGAACTTCTCGAACAAGATGAGCGACCTACATTCATTGTAGACCTTGGAGACAGCACGAACTATGGCCCTGGTCCCTTGCAGCTGGTTTTCTGCAACGTGTCGCTACGATCATACGAGGGCATGCAATCACTGGTTTGCGGCACCACTCCACAAGACTCTCCAGGCCCCAAGACATTCTTGCAATTCAAGTCTTGGTTGTTAAGTGCAGCTGTAGGCGGCGAGAGCTTGAATGTCTGTCTCCCGCCTTTCAACTACGCAACCATGACATGGAGCTGCTCGACTGTGCGTAAGAGGTTTAGAATCATTAGCGGGGCCTTCATCACTCCGCCAGCTACCTCCACAGCCGCCATGCGAGTTAGCATCCCGCCTGCTGAATCGTTACCAGACGCACTTCCATTACCACCACCCGCCGAAGCGGTCGACTACTTTGGCACTATCCCGGGGATTAAAGCCAGCACCCCTGACGGTTCAAGTAGCACAGTGACCGAAATCGTACCAACTATTGAATCTCGCAGCGCGGAGGTCGATAGACATGGCAACCTACTGCAAGTGCCTTCAGATCTCGACCTGTCTGGAGCAGTGGACCTTTTACCGAGTCCTAGAACGTACGTACAGCCCAGCTCTGGCGAGAACGATACTCCTGGCGCCAACTCTATACTTTCAAGCTCTACGAGCAAAGAAAGTCAAATCGCTAACGAGGGCGCTCTAAACAGCCAGATACCGATCGTCTCGTCAGATGCAGCGTCATTCGATTGGACTAGACTGCCGGTCACAGACAACATGCCAAGCCATATTCGCTTTGCTCGAAGTATTGATTGGGCATCTACAAGTCTAGGTCCAATCGAGAATTGGGTGAGTAATTCATTTCGCGGCATAGAAGATCTAGATGCCACTGAAAAAGACCCATCTTCATATATCAATCCCGAGCTGACCACTTGACGACAGAGCAGCGATCTCCGGCAGATGTGCAACCTCATCATGGCTTCACCACATCCAGCGGCGATGTACTGGGGCGATGACCTGATCGCCATCTACAACGAGGCGTACATTCTTCTAGCTGGCCAGAAACACCCAACTCTGATGGGCACAAGTTATCGTGTTGCTTGGGCAGAAATTTGGGATGAAGTGAAGGATGTATTCGCCAATGCGAAGACCACTGGAGAGGCCACCATGAAGGATGACGACTGCCTCTTCATCAGGCGGAGCGACTACCTAGAAGAGACGTTCTTTTCTTGGAGCATCATCCCAATGGTAGGAAGAGATGGTAGCGTCATGGGACTGTACAATCCGGCTTTCGAGAAGACCAGGCGCAAGATAGCCGAACGCAGGATGCTGACATTGAGGGAAGTTGGCGAGAGGACAGCTTCGGCACGCGATGTGAAGGCTTTCTGGCGGCAAGTCTTGGGTTCATTCGAATTCAACGAGTTCGACAGCCCCTTCCTCCTTCTATATTCGGTCTCCGATGAGAACGACAGCGACAGCAGCAGCATACATTCGAACTCTGTTCTTGCGTCGAGGCAAGCGTACTTGGAAGGCTCCCTCGGTATTCCAGAAGGTCATCAGGCTGCGCCAGAGCAGATTGATCTGAAGTCTGGCATGGAGGGTTTTGGTCCGGTCTTCAAGGAGTGCATGCAGTCAGCCAAACCTGTACTACTAGAGGTGGGAAGTCGTGACCTTCCTGAGAGCCTCATGCAGGGCTTGGAGGTACGCGGCTTCGATGATCCGATCAAGGCGGTAGTCGTGTGTCCTGTACACCCAACAACTGGAGAAAATGTGCTGGGCTTTCTAGTCCTGGGCGTCAATCCACGAAGACCGTACGACGATGACTACAGTCTCTTTGTACAGCTTTTGAGCAGACAGTTGGCAACATCTCTGGCGTCAGTGGTACTGTTCGAAGAAGAGATTCGACGAGGTCAAAGAGCAGCGAAGCTCGCAGCACTGGACCGCATTGAGTTGTCTGAAAAGCTGGCAGCAAGAACTGCAGAGGCTATCGAAAGCGAGACCAAGTTTACCCGCATGGCTGAATTTGCTCCGGTGGGAATGTTCATCGCCAACAGCTCCGGCACGATCACCTTCGCCAACGATACATGGTACGACATTTCTCGAGTACCGAAGAATGCAAACATGGCAGACACATGGATGGATGCCGTCAAGCCAGAGGACATGGAGTTGGTCAAACAGTCGTGGACTGACCTAGCCGTCAACACCCAGTCTGTGTCAATTGAATTCCGATTCAAAGCGAAATGGCAAGACAAGAGTGGCAACAAGGGCGACACATGGGTTTTGTTCAGCGGCTACCCCGAGAAGCACGACGATGGAGGTCTCAAGTCCATTTTCGGCAGCATGACGGACATCAGTCAACAGAAGTGGGCCGAAGGTCTACAGACTCGAAAAATGGAAGAAGCTGTCGAATTAAAACGTCAGCAGGAAAACTTCATCGATATTACAAGCCATGAGATGCGAAACCCGCTGTCTGCCATCTTGCAATGCTCGGACGAGATTGCCACGTCCATGACCAAGTTCAGGCAAAGTGGTGAGCGCGTCATGCCTGACGAGCTGCTCGCGAGCTGTCTCGACGCCGCCCAGACAATAAACTTGTGCTCTCAACATCAGAAGCGCATCGTGGATGACATTCTCACGTTGAGCAAGCTCGACTCGCAGCTCTTGCTGGTCACGCCCGTCGACGCACAGCCCCTGACCGTGGTGCAACGAGCACTCAAAATGCACGAGGGAGAGCTGCAGGCAGCCGATATCCAGATGAAGTTTGTGGTCGACCAGTCATTCCGTGATCTTGGTTTGGATTGGGTCAGATTCGATCCAAGCAGGGTACTGCAGGTGCTCATCAACCTCACCACCAACGCCATCAAGTTTACGGGAACTGAAAACAAGCGAACGATCACAGTCACCATCGCTGCATCGCTCGACAAGCCGAGCGAAAGGCCTGACGCCCCTGTGCGCTACTTCCCCACAAGAAAGAAGAACCAAGATACGATGTCCGACCAGGATTGGGGCTTGGGCGAGAAGGTCTATATTCACTTTGCCGTTCGCGATACAGGTCGTGGACTCAGTCCAGAGGAGAAGAAGCTGCTGTTCATACGTTTCTCGCAAGCCAGCCCTCGTACCCACGTTCAGTATGGTGGGAGCGGTCTGGGCCTGTTCATCAGCAGGGAACTCACAGAGCTGCAAGGTGGCGAAATCGGTGTGGAGAGTGAGGCTGGCAAAGGATCCATATTCGCGTTCTACGTTGCCGCCAGAAAAAGCACACCGCCTGCCGACCCCGCCGACGGCAGTCTGGGTGTCAAACGGCATAATCCTCCCTCGTCGAGGAGTAAGTCTGAGCCATCGGCACCTCCGAACCCGGGCAGCAACATCCAACGGGTGGAGGGAATCCAGCCTCAGCCGCCTGCGAATGGTGGACCGCCAGCCGTGAAGAAAGTCCTGATTGTTGAAGACAATCTCGTCAATCAGAAGGTGCTCCAGAAGCAGCTCAAGAACAACGGTACAGTGGTGCATCTAGCGAACCATGGCGGCGAGGCTCTCGAGAAGATCATGCAGTCCACATACTGGCGTGACAGCAAAGGGCCTGGGCCCAGGCTCGAGCTTGGCGTTGTTTTAATGGGTACGTTGCCATTCCCGAGCCGTATCTCATGCGCCAGACTAATGCTGAACCCTTTACAGACCAGGAGATGCCAGTCATGGATGGACTCACGGCCTCGAGACGTATCCGCGAATTCGAAGCCGAAGGCAAGCTGACCGGCCACGTCCCCATTATAGCGGTGACAGCAAACGCTCGTCCAGAACAGATCCAGACCGCCCTGGATGCAGGAATGGTGAGTCCTCACACCCTCAGATAACTCTCCACACCCTCCTCTTCACTTGACATGTCGAGCGTTACTCCATCGGGCGAGCCACGCACCGCTTTTCACCGGTCTAAGATCTCACTCGGCCTTCCTCGTATTCCAAACATCCATTCAAACAAGACAGAGGCAATGCAATGTCACAATGTCAGGCTAACATTGTACCGTTCACCACAGGACGCAGTCGTAGCCAAACCCTTCCGCATCCCGGATCTCCTCCCGAAAATCGAGGAGCTGATGATGAGATACCCCATGCCTCCGGCGACACAATAACGATAGGTCCGCCACCTATCGTATCGAAAAAGGTACATACATACATGTCCATATACACGCGCCCTCGTGCCGAGCACACACACCATTATTAGGGACTTCTTGCCACCATCACAAGGCAAATCGCATATTTCCCAACTCGAGCGAGCAGGCCGAATCGAACCAGGCGGCGACATTTCTCATTTCTCATTTCAAACATTTCCCCGGCGTTTTCGGAGGGACAAACAGACAGACGATCGATTGGATGGGCGATGCCCGGCATCGCACACGGGGTTTTACGAATACGGCAGCACAGAGCGTAGCACAGCAGCGGAGTTTTTTTCTTTCGTTCACACACTGGAATGGAGGGGAAGAGAGGAGGGGTTTCTGATTGGATTTGATATTCCCCCATGGTTTGCGGTTTTGGTTGGTCGAAGGAAAGGTGATGGGAGGGGGTCTTCTTGATCTGGATGGATGTACATGTTGACGGACTCTTCAGGGTTGATGGGCTTAGGGCAAAAGGCTGAGCGAGAGGCGGGGGGCTAGATATTCTTTTGAGGAAATGACTACCTTATCCCTACCTACCTGCCTAATGCTACCGCTGCCCTACATGTATCTCTGAACATTGTGTGGATGGTCTTGACCAAGACTAACATCGTTCGTGTCGACTCAAGAAGTAAAATGACTGGTCCAGCATCGTCAGTCATCTCTCGGATCCCTCGAGCGACCACGCCCTGAATCGTACACCGGATTGCTTGGACTGGTGCTAAGTATTGGGGATATGGTGAGTGGGACGAGGAGGGTGGTGTAGTGTCTCGATGGGGTTGGGTACGAAGGCTACGTCTTCTCCTTCTCGTCTGCGGACACGTAACCACGGACAAGAAGCACTTTCTAGGACAATGCACACGTGCTTGGTAGTCGAATCAACCAGTAATCGTGAGATGTCCGTAGTGCGCATGAGGCAGACCAGCCGACCCATTCGCAAGAGGAATGTCCGTTCACCTTCGCCTACGCGCAGTGCAGTGCGTGTAGAAGCTATCAATGCACTCGAAGCTTCGTTACCGGAGAGAGAAAGACGGGAATCTGTATGCAGCAGTAGGCACCGGCAGCAGGCAGGCAGGTAGGCACATCCACTCACCCAGCCGCGAGCGTACATACGTTTTGGACGGTCCATCCTTGTCCCACTTCGGAGATTTGGACTGGAGACACGGAGGTCAAGAGGGAGTGGAGACTCTGGGGAGGGAGGTAGGCACAGTAGCACCTCCTTTTCGACGCTCGCTCGCACGGCGGGATGTCGTTACCAGTGCGACGGGTAGGAGTGGAGGAAGGGCAAGAATCGAGGAGTCATTGTCTTTTGTCGGTTTGCAGGGGTATGGACGGAAGGACAATGGCCGATTGATTGATCGATCATATGCCATATTTAACTCTTCTTCATGGCCGTCTTCTTCCCGTGTCCGTCCCAGCGGTGTGGTATATGATGTTCCAGGCCTAGATAGATGAATGAGAGGTACGGTACGGTGAACGTGGGCAGGATGCATGAGTCGGGACCTCTTCCCACTCCCCACTCCCCGTGAAAGAGGTGGCCGGCGTGGATGGATCACGGATGTATGGCAGCACTCTCTGGTACACGAGAATCGTCTTTCCTGTGCAGTTGTTTCACGATGCACATGTGCACATGTGGCCGCCACAGTACCACAAGACTGATGTGCTGGGTTTCGGCGCCCACGAATGATGATGATGGGCCCAGAAGGCGTAGATTAACCCTTAATATGAATCGGATTCTTCGCCTGATGCGAGCGTGCCGTGGTTATAGCGACCCGTCGAGAAAGGTCACAGGGTGCGGGAAGTGCAGTGCGTGGCTGCTCGGTTTCTTCACGCTGCATTAGCCGTCCACTGTATTGGTAACGTATTCATCAATCATTCGACCGGGGCCAGGATGAGACCGTTGGAGAACGTGGCCTTGACAAGGTGAGTATGGATGGGCCGTTGGCAATAGATTGGGGCCGTCTCCGCGTGCGATATCGATATCGACATCGTCCTTCTCTTCTGAGCATGATCTCCATTTGGAGGCAGACGAGGTGCGGTTGGAAGGTTGAAAATGGACCAATTTAGTCTATTGTCGATGCAGATGCCACTATGCTGAAAGGGGGCAATCAGCATGTCGATGCTTCCTGTCAGCTTCCTGTTTGTGATAAACGCAAACCGGAGTCTGAATCCCCAGGGTGCATCATGCCCGGACTTGTTCCATGATTTCATGCTCATGCCTTCTCTGGTGCGGGCGGCTGCAGATGGGCAGCAGCATGGCGGCTTACCACGAGTCTCACGCCCTCGCCCTCTCGCTGACATGGCTGATCGGTCCCTCCACCATCCCGTAGGACTCTGACGCACTCTGTCGAAGCATGAATCAGTTGGGAACATCAGATCTCATCGTCCCCTTGCGTCGCGGAGGTCGGGCACCCGTAGGAGCGGAAAGGCACTGCTGAGATCAAGCTCGACCCCTGCACGACGTTGCACGGTGCCCTTGTGCTTGGAGCAGACAGGCGGCGGGCGACTGGCTCCATAGCAGCTAGCTGCGTCTCCAGGCGTGAGACGTCTGATTGCACGTCATCCGGTCGACAAAGTCAAAGGCGCAGGACAGCGTCTACGCGAGCGTTTCGCCTCGCATGAGGATTGCATACACCTGGCTGTTATTGCCTCGGCGGCAGGAGCGGGTTGTCGGTCGACGGCTGAGAGCTGGCCAGAGTCATGTCGCAGATGGGAGCTTTGTCATGTCGCACGCTTCATGCGAGTGATTGGGGCGTGGTTTTTTAAGCCGTGGTTGTTTCGACCGCGCCCGAAGCGAGTGGGGGGAGCAGGGCGACGGGAAGAGCTCGGGATCGGCTGGCCCATGCCATGTCCACAAAGACGAGTCGTGGAGCTGGCTTCGTTTCCGCCTGCGTCAGGTCTTGATCCACAGATCACAGATGTGGCCGTGGAGGATGGCTAACTTCACCTGGAGTCTCCAGCGCTCTGGTTCCACCAGATACCTGGGACAAACAGACGAATAGCAAGCAGACGCCACGCACACAACCGCCCGAGCTGGTAGCCACTGGCCGCTCCTCCAATTTCGAAACCACTCTACTTGCCCGAGTTTGCCGAGCGCGAGCTTGCGCAGCGCTGGATCGACAGCAGAGGTACTTGGAGCGGTGAAGAGGAGAGTCTGATGAGCGTGTCGCCGTGTGTGCAACGGCGGCTGCGATGCTGCTCCCATTTTTGCAGCAGCGAGAGGCAACCAAATCACCTGCGCGGATGCAGCACGCCTCATCGGCAGCGTCTGATCAGGTGTATCGAGACCACAGCTGGTCTGCGGTGGCACACCACGCCGGTTTTCTCCCGCCCATATGCCGAGTGCAGAGAAGGCAGACGCAGTAGCAATACTGTTCCAGCCGAAGCGGTGCTCTGCGCTGCTGCAGTACCACCCACACGATGGCGAGCTGCGGGTGCACAGCGTCTGTATCGCCTCAGCAAACTTCCGAGCGGTATGTACCGCTGTCACTGGCCGGCATGGAGGCGATTTCCTTCTCAATCCCCGTTGCTGGAGGAGGCATCGGCCACGAGCGGACAACGGAGCAGAACGCTTTACCGACTTCTGTGGGCAATCCCGACAGCGTGGAATGGGTGCAGTCTGGTGCAGTAGCGCCCTCCTCATCCCTGCCGCTGCACGACAAGGATGGTTTTCGGGGGGCGGCCACCAGGCCCAGCAGCTGACATGGAGCAGCGCGGGCAGCTCGCACACGCTCCAACACGACGCCGCACATTCAGACACGCATGAAGTATCGAAATCCCCGTGTACGTTCTACGAGGTGCGGTGGCCAAGAGGCCTGGGGCGTGTGGTGGTGGAGTGGAGTGGAGTGGAGGTGAAACTGCCGCCGAACGCTCTCTGTGCTAGCGAACAAGTCGCGGACCCGGCGACGTGGGTGCAGTGGGGCGCGCTAGGATTTAGTCTTTCTCGGGCAGTGCGCGACGATACGCCTCTTCCCTCCCGCCCAACCTTCTCGCGTCCGGGCGCTCCCAGCACAGCAGAGCAGCACAGCATGCATAGCGGCAGCAGGGTTGTCGTCGTCTCTGCCCACACTTCGTTCGTCCTCTGGCCTGGTCCTGACATAAAGGGTCCCCGCCCGCCCATGCCCTCGTCGCTGCTGCAGACCGTGTTTGACGACCTGCGGCTGTACAAGTTGGGTGGCGTGTTTTTGCTTTGAATTGTTGCTGCTGCTGCCGCTGCTCCCTTTCTGCTCGCCCACCAGCAACACGGCCCATTGCCTACGGCCTGCGCACTTCTACCGCTACATGACCGCCGTCGAGCACCGACACCGCCCGCTCGCTGAGTCCACTCCTCACGACCAGCGGCAGCTCATGTACACGTTGCAAGCGAAGCCAGTGCAGCTTTCCACGGCACCGCGTGCTGCCCATGCGACGACGATGTCGAGGTTGCCTTCCCCGTTCCGTACCAACAACCAAATCTTGGCGCTGACCCCAATGCTTCTTTGACAGGGTGCCCATAGCAGCTCTGCTCAGACCAGACGCGGTGGAGAAGTTCAAGGTTGACGACTACACCTACTACAACTTCCGCAACGAGACCTATCATTTCCCCGCTCAAGATGTAGGAACGCTCAGTCGGGTGGCAAACGATCAACGCTAACCACATTGCAGATCGAATATGAGAGGCTGGACATCATGCACCAGTTGATCTATGACATAGCACTGAACGGGCAATTACATCTGGCGCATCTGAGGGCGAGCCCAGGCAGGATTCTGGATATCGGGTTTGGCGATGGATTCTGGATGACAGAAATGCAACAGCAGTATCCGGAGGCCGAGGTCATTGGCATCGACCTGGACAGCGCCGTCACATCGACACCCGGCTCAAGACCTATGTTCAGATCTCCGGTCGACTTCAATGCCCCTCAATGGCCAGTTGAGGACTCGTCCGTGGATCTGGTCCATGTGGCTCAACTTCTGGGTTGCGTCCCCGACTGGCTCCAATTTTACAGAAAAGCGTACAGGTGATTGAAAGCATCCTTGAACAAATGCTCAACTCAATCGCTGACAAAGTCCAGGTGCTTACGTCCGGGAATCGGCCACCTCGAACACGTTGAGATTGATTGGGCCCATAGAACAACCGACCCCCAGTTCCCTGCTGAAGCTGCAGATCTCTACAACTGGTGGCACTGGATTCGACAAGCGTCTGAACTTGCTGGCAAATCGCTTGCTTGTCGAGACGACACTGAGGACCTGTTGGAGGAAGCTGGCTTCAGAGACGTGAGCCACAGGCGGATTCGGGTACCGGTCTTCTGGACCGGGAAGAGGGATCGCAAGGACATCGATCTCGCTCATGGCTACCAAACGGCTATGGGCCCCAAGAACTCCCAGTCATTCCACGGATTCAGCATGCTGCTCTTCACCCGGTATCTACATTGGACACCCCAGCAAGTCCGAGATCTGTGCGACAGGGTGCTCAAGATCATCGAGTATCGGCAGAGCTGTCCTCAGCTACATCAATTATACGTCAACCTGTGAGTCAGCCTTTTACCATAAAACATTGAGATTACTGACGTTGCTGGCAGGCACATCTGGACCGCCCGGAGACCTCAAACATGAGAGCGCCGAATACCCACAGCTTGAACGTTCCTTCGCAAGCCGGATGACCTATATCGATCTGCAATATCATCTTGCTGCCCAACCCAAAGCATCTCGAGAGCTCAAACTGGATGAATCCGAAGATTGCATGATGATACCCCCCTCAATGCGCTCGAAAAGCCTGGCGGAACGGGTCGAATGCCGATACCAGGCGCTCGCCTGCAGATTGCTTATTATGTCGAAGTCAAGCACGCTTCGACATCCGATAGGTTCTCTTCGCAAGCGAGAGAGGAGAGCACCTTGTTGACATGACTAACGTCCCTGCCGTTGGGCATCTTTTCACTTCAGCGAAGGCGTTTGGGGACCGCGGCGCCGACGGCAAAAGGCATATTCTTTCCCGGGGCGAATTGGGTTGTTGGGAACACGGCTTTTGGTGGCAGTGCATCTATATGCGCGGCGTTGTTATGACGGGGAGTGCTTGCTTCACGCACGTGGGAAAATGAGGAGTGGGTGTACCACTGTACCCTAAGTCCATGCGGCAGCGACTGGACTTCTGGGGTCTGGGGCGCGGAGACGGGAGTTGGTTCCTTGTATCCCACCTACCCTTGGGCCGGTAGGTTGGAAGTAGGATCGGTGGGTTGGGTTTTCTTGCATGCAGATACAGCGGCACGGCAGGCGCGGTTAATACTGTTCTATTCGGCTTTTTGTGTTGATGAGCGAGAGATGCTTTTTGGGTATCCCTGCAATCACCAGAAGAGGCGAGTCTGCTATGGCGACTCGTCTGTTTATACGTATCACAGTACCTTGTACCATCCAAGCAGGACGAGATCCAGGTCTAGGCATCGCCAAGCGGCAGGAACAAAATTTTGGCCTCATACATGTATTCAATTCTTATTGCCACCTCACTCGTGACGACGACCTAAGATCGCCTTTGCAGCAGGACAACATCTCATCAACGAGGTCAAAGCCACGAACAAGCATTCATGATTCAATGTATTGATGACTTTGAGATCAACAGCACAGCACAGCACAGCACAACACGCAGTACAGTAGACGCAACGAAGATCAATTCAACATCAATTGGTCATGATTGTGACTTCATGATCTTGGGCATCTACACATCGCGTCGCGACCAATAGCGACAAAAGCACGAGACCGGGGTTGTATGACTTGGCAGAAAGTCAAATTCCTACAACCTTGGACTCCAGGCTCCTTCAGGGGATATGATGTGATGGTTTGATTTGTCTGTTGAACCACTCAATCTACCATTCCTGCACCTCACCAGGCTTCGGCTTCACCGCGCGCACGATCTTGTCGCAGTTGAGGAGGCAGAGCGGGTCGAAGGCTTGTTTCATCTGTGTAGAGGGAGGGAGAGTTAGTTAGTCGACGTGTCCGGCAGCATTGGGGATGGAAAAGGAAAAGGAAATTGATGAAGGAGCTCACCTTCCGCATAAGATCCACCGCCTCCTGTCCAATCTCATGGGGCAGATAATCCCTCTTGACCAAACCCACGCCATGCTCACCCGTCGCAGTCCCTTCCATCTCGATCGCCCGCTTGACCATCTTATGCACGACTTCCTCCGCGACGTCGTGTTCCTTGTCGTTGTAAAGGATGATGGCGTGGAAGTTTCCGTCGCCGACGTGGCCGACGATGGAGCCCATGAGGCCGGACTTGGTGATGTCTTCTTTCGTTTCCTCGATGATGTCGGGCAGGCGGGAGATGGGGACCGCCACGTCCGTGGTCCAGACGTGATCGCTGTCATCTTTCTTCTGCGCCATTACGCTCCAGAGGGCTTCCTTTCGAGCGGACCAGAGCTCGGTTTGTTCTTGCTCGTTGCGGGCGAATTCGAAGGTCTTGCTGCCGGATTTCTTGGCGAGGTCTTTGACGATGCCGACGTGTTCCTTGACGCTGGAGGGTGTGCCGGCGAATTTGAAGAAGAGTGTGGGTGCTTCTTTCCATTGTCGAGAGGTGGAGCCAACTTCGTTGATACAGCGCATTTGTACGTCGTCGAGGATCTCGATGGCGGCGATGGGAACGCCTGCACCCACGACTTTGAAAACGCAGTCTGCTGCGCTTCGAATCGATGGGAAGGTGCAGACTGCTACGTTGGTGGTTTGCGGCTTTGGTATCACCTTGAGAGTAGCTTCCGTAACCAGACCGAGAGTTCCCTCAGAACCGATGAAAATACGGGTGAGATCGTAGCCAGCACTGCTCTTTCGCGGTCTCTGCTTGGTCTTGATGATAGTCCCATCGGCGAGGACAACAGTCAAAGACAGAACCCAATCCTTCATAGTTCCATATCGATACGCATTCGTTCCAGAGCATCCAGTCCCAACCATTCCGCCAATCATAGCACCAGGTCCTGGATCCGGTGGGAAGAAGAGTCCATGTTCTGCCAGTTCCTCATTCAGCAATTCCCATCCCATAGCAGGCTGCACGACAACATCCAGATCCTCCTTATGCAGCGCAAGTAGCTGGTCCATCCGGCTGAAATCGATGCAAATCCCACCCCTCGTAGCAGCAAAATGCCCTTCCAACGAAGTCCCTCCACTGTATCCTGTCACGGGAATCTTCCTCTTATGACAAATCTTCATGACCTCTGCCACTTCCTCCGTGCTGCCTGGTCTGACCACCGCAAAGGGAACATCTCCTTCTTGAATAGAGTATGAGCTCCATTCTGATCCAGCATGCGACTTGACATCTGCATCTTGTGTTGATATATTCTCTTCTCCCACGACGTTCTTGAAGTCAGCCCATGCAGCCTGTAATGTCGCCGGCGCGGTATCGTGCTTCGGGTCTATTACTCTCGAGAGTGGGAGTGTCGAATGTGGATCTTTGTCGGCGAGTTGCTTTTGGCCCAGGAACCAACCTCCAATTACGCCCACCGTGAGGACTACAACATAGCATCAGCTTCACTATCCACTTCAATCGCATAGCTTCATTTCTCACCAAGCGGCAAAATGAAACCCCCTCCCCCACTCCTCGCAGCCTTCTGGGCCTCGCGCTGCTGCGTGAACTTCGCCTGCTCATCACGCTCCCTCTGCAACCTATCAAATGTGCTCTGGTACAGCTGTCCCTTGAACGACTCCCTCTCCTCTTCAGCATCCTTCTTCTGTCCAGTGGCGTACGATCGCACACCCGCAAAGCTGTTTCTGCATCGGGAAGCTCGACATTGCTGGAGGACGGTGGAGTCGAGAAGCTTTCGCGGAGCCAGACACTTCGGTGCGGCCATGTTGGAGAGGTGTTAGGACCGCGGTTGTCGTGAAGGAGATGGCATTGCTTCCAAAAGCTGCATTTGCAAGCAGAGAGATTCCAAACGCCTGTCTCCGCACCGGGCACGACATCGCGGGATGGAGTGGTTCCAAGCTAGCGCACGGGCCAACGGACCTTAGGCAATGGACGGGCAATATGCCCCAAAGGCACTGCTACAACGCGGCTCTGGGGAGCTTGGGCCTGGCGATAGTGATGAGAAATCGCACATGTACATGTCGTTTGAAACAATGGACTGGGTGGTCTGAACTTTCGTACTCAATATCAATCATCACACATTCCCACATAACACATGTTCGCCACGTGCGCGTACGCACGTTTTCGAGCGCCCTTGAACTCCACCGCCGGCCAGCGCCTCATACATACAATCCATCACTGTTGCATTCCCTGCCCGCTATCGCCGCTGCTATTCCCCATGGGCATACCAGGCGGCTGCCCGTTGGACGTGAGTCCTATTGTGCCACCTGGAGGTAGAGGTTGTTGCGCCCCCAATCCGTTACCCGCCGGGCTGTTGCTGTTCTTGACATCGTCCCCAGATCGCTTCTTTTCCTTCTTCGCCCACCGAAGACCGCATGCGTTACAAAGCGTCTTGGGGCCCTTCGGCCCTTTCCTCCATTCAGGTGAATCCAACGTTCCGCAATCCGCACACACGTACTCATCGGCGACCTTGAGCTTCTTCTTCTCCTTCTTTGATCCCTCTCTATCCCGATCCAGCAGGATTGCTATACCGGCGTCACCTCGAATGAGCGCAGGAGATGTATCACCAGTCGATATGCCGTGACTACGCTCGCCGTCCCGATATCGTAGACCTGTGAGCAATTCAATGCCTTCCAAGTGCGTGCTGTTGGCTTCGTATCGTGACATCTTGTCTGCAATGCTGTCCGGCTTCTGTGATGAAAGTGCGCTGTCCAGGTTTTGCCGTGTGAGCGCTGTGTTGGATATGGGCGGTTTGGCAGGAGGCGGCATGCCTTGATAGTTGGGTGTAGTACCTGGCGCTTCTGAACTCTGCGTGTTTTCCGCTCTTGATGCAGCGACCTGCGACTCTGATGGCGTAGCCCCGGCTGCCGATGCCGCTTGTTCCCTGTATAGTCTATCTTGTTCCGCGTTCTCTTCCACCTCTTCACGCTTCAGCTCTTCGATGCGCTTCATTAACCTCTCGTTCTCAATCTTATGCTCCAGGAATGAGTCTAGAAGTGCCGCATTCTTCGTAGGGTACGGCCGCGCCATCATGAAGAACCCTCTGCATAGCCCGGCCACAGCAACCGATTGACCTGCTGGTGTTTGCCCGAATGTGGTCGCGCCTGGTGGTTCGGGAGATATGTGCGGATGTCCGTCGCATTCAAAGATCATGTACGTGCCATCGTCTTTCTTGAAGCGATAGAAAAACCGCAAAGCATTCCCACTTGCTATACTCTCGTTGAACTCGCGCATAAATATGCCACTGTCGTCCGGGTGTACCAACTCGCCAATGAACTTGCCAATGAGCTGTTGGGGCTCATATCCTGTGATCGTCTTACAAGACGGTGACACGTACAGTATCCGGCCATCGGGTGTGAGAATGTGCAAAAAGTCCTTGAGCTCTTCAATGATGCGCTGCGACCAATTCCGTCGCTTGGTAAACTCGGTGAGCGTGCTACCCGTTGTCTGAGGGCCCATGCCAAACCCCGTGGGAAGGGGTCCAGCGCCCGCACCTGTCATCGGCGCATCTTGTTGCGCCTGCTCCCTCGCTGTGTATCCGCCATTGCTGGTGACCATGGCCTGGTCTTGGTTTGGCGCGCTCGTGCCATTGCTCGCGTGCTGAGGCGTGATGGGGTTATAAGTCTGATCGGCGGATCCGGACAGGTCGAGGTCCAAGTCCATAGGCAGGCTCATGTCCATGTCCAGACCGTTCATCATGGAGCCATCGTGGCCCAGCATGGCCATATCGGCGGCGCTGGGCGCCATGTTGGGGAGGCCCGCATCGCCTGACGCAGGGTACAGCGACATCCAGCAGCACTATTTCGGCTTGGGAGGGCCAGCAGTCTCGCCTTGGCCTCGATCGAGCGATCTGTGTTGCGGCTGGTGAGACGACAAGCCACCGCGTGAAGATGAAGAACAGGGGAGGCGGCGCACTGCACCGCAAGTAGTTATCGCGAGGTTCTCCCACCCGATGATGCAGTAACCCGGCCTTGGAGATGCAAGTCGTGGACGGCGAGGGAGGAGTCGAACATTCGTGGTAGAGGTCCAGAATGCTGCGACGTCCGCAGGAAGCTCTTCGTGGTCGATGGCTTGGATGCTGTTTCAGGCCGTCTTCTTTCCTTGGCCGGGCATCGATGTCTCTGTGTTAGAGAGTCTCCGTGTCGTAGCGAGCCTTTCCCCGGAGACCACGACTACAACCGCCGGCCCTCCTCTGCGCCAGGGTCAACGGCATGACGGCAGTTGCTGGCCCACGTTTTGCGAACAAAATAGACACAAGTCCGGCGAACATCTGCAGTAGAAACTCAAGACAACAGAGAGAAGAGATGGGAAGGAATGCAAGAGAACGATGGTGGGCTGGGTGTCAAGACTGAGAACCGAGATGACTTTCTCATGGACCTATAAGGTGTTCTTGTTACTTGCACACTCAGATCCAACCTGACTCTCGATCGATTTCCTCCAAGCTGTGGATATCAGAGACCCAGCTTGCATGCCAATCGATCGAGCACTTTGCGTCAATGCTCGGCCACATGAAAGCATCATTAATGCATGTTGAAATGGTGCCGAAGCACAGTATCTGTGTGTAGTCTCGTCCTTCCCGGCTGCTCAAGTAGGAGGCATGAGACTGCCATCCCCCCGGTTTCCAAAACGACCAAGCTCTCCATCATGCTTCAGTGTGCTCAGACAGCGCGCAAGCAATGGAGATGGATATTCCACTCTGCGCAGAGCAAACGAGGAAGGGAGGTGTTCTTCGTTGCACCACTGTTGCATAAAATGTCCAGAACTAAAATTGGTGTAAATTGCATCACGTGAACTGGCGTACCTTCCCGCGTTTGCTGCCTGCTAACCGCGTCCGTTCACTTCCATCAGACGGACGCTTCTATGCACAATCACTGACTCCCACCATTCACTCGCTGGGCATGGCTGAGGGCGGGCATTTAAACCGCTTCCACCTCTTCGTCTGAACAACTTCCTGCCAACCGCTACCTGGAAACATCGACCATCTGGCAATCAACCCCTCATTCTCTGATATTTGGTCTCCACGTCTCTAGAAGCACTGTTCACGAAACACTATCGTCGCCAGAGCCTGGCTTTCCACAACAGTGTTACCCGCCATGTCCAAGATAGAGAAGCTTTCAATCCAGGGCGTCCGGTCCTTCGGGCCAAAGAAAGTGATGGCCATCCAGTTCGAGACGCCACTCACCCTGATCGTGGGCGTGAACGGTTCCGGCAAAACCACTGTCATTGAGAGTTTGAAATACATAACCACCGGAGAACTGCCGCCCAATGCCGCCAGAGGAGCTTCATTCATCCACGACCCCGAGTTTGATGGCGAGAAGGAGGTACTTGCAAAGCTGCAACTGCTCTACACATCTGTCAACCACACGAGGATTGTGTCTACCCGCAACCTTCAACTTACAATCAACTCCAGGGGTGCTCGAAGTGCCAAGCAGCTTGAAGGCACCATTCGAATGGTGAAGGACGGAGAGCGGAGCGCCGTGAGCTCCAAGACGATGGAGCTGAACGGCCTGATGCCACGCTCACTCGGCGTGTCCAAAGCGATTCTGGAATATGTCATCTTCTGTCACCAGGAAGAATCGTATTGGCCCCTTGGTCAAGCCAAGGAGCTGAAGGAGAAATTCGACCAGATCTTCGAAGCACTCAAATACAGCAGGGCAATCGACAATCTCAAGGTCTTGCAGAAGAATAAGCGAGAGGACTTGAAGACATTGAAAGTGATTGAGGACCATGCCAAAGCTGACAACGACAAGGCCAACAAGTCCAAGGGAGTTCGAAAGAAGCTGGAGACGGACATTCAAAATCTGAATCAGAGAAAGCTGGAGCTTGGCCAGCAGCTTCAGGAGGCCAAGGAGAAGGCAGAGGAGTTCTGGGAGCAGGCTGGCAAGGCTGACCACTACGTCAGCGAGCTACGAGGCAAGCGCATAGCGCGTCAGACCAAGGACGAGAGTGTTCAGAGCTTGCGGCAGAACCTGAACGAGATGTCCGATTCTGATGCAGAACTCCAGAAGATGTTTGAACAATACGAGGAGCGCATCGCGATGTACAACGCCGAGCTTGACGAAAAGACTGCGACTTACCATGAATTCACAAACGAGATCCAGGAGGCGAGAGATCAGGTCAACTCGAAGGAGCGTGAGGTTGGATCCTACGAGGCACAGAAGGAGAGCTACGACCGTCAAGTCCAGAGCCGGAAGCGACTTGTGCAGGAGACTGCACGCAGCCACGAGATCCGCGGATACGATCTGGACATCGACGATGATAAGGCGAAGACTTTCATGGAAGTCATCTCCAAGAGGGCTCGCGACCAGCAAGCAGAGTTCGAACAGGCACGTTCTGAGGCACGAGAAGAGCTGCAAAAACAGCAAAAAGTGCTCAACGGAATATATGAGCGCAAGTCGGCGTCGAACCAGAGCAAGAATACCGCCCGTCAGACAATCTCGACATACGACGGCAAGATTCGTGGCCTTCAGGCACAGCAAAACAAGATCGACCTTGACGAGGGTGGAAAGGCCACCTTGGAGTCGCAGCTACAGGAGACTCAGACCCAGTTGCAGCAGTCACGCTCCGAGCTGACCAGCTCCGACTGGAATACTGTCATCGAGAGCACCGAATCCGAGATGCGCCGGCTTGACGATGACAAGGAGAAGCTTGATACAGAATATGCGGAAGCCGCACGCCGCGCTGGCGATTCTGCACAGCTCGACTTCGTTCGAAAGGAGCTCAAGGATCGGGAGCGTGGCTTGGAGACCATGAAGAATGCCCACAACCAGACGATCAGCACTCTCCTTGGCAACGCATGGTCACCAGCCAACGCTGAGCGTGACTTCCAGCGTGTGCTCGAACAGAAGGGCGCGGAGCTTTCTGAGGCTGAGCGTCAGAGGAACGGAACTTCCCAAGAGCTCGACTATCTTAAGGCGAGGATCAAAGAGCGCGAGGGCGAAATTGAAGCTGCGCAGAAGGATATCAAGAACGCTACAGTAACGATCAGGAACGCTTTAGACTGTACCCCTGACGCCTACCTCAACGAGATGGAGCAGGTCGAGCGCAATCGTGACGAGCTCAAGGCGGACAAGGAGCAGCTGGACAAAGTACGCGAATTTCTCGAGTCGTGCATTACATCGGCAAAGAACACCAAGTCGTGCAGAATCTGTTGCAAGAAGGTTGCCACCAATCACGAGCTCGAGACACTGACTAACAGCGTCACGGCACAGCTCAAGAAATATCAGATTGCACAAGACACGGAACAGAATCTGAAGACGATCGAACAAGACCTGAAGGAGGGCAAAGCCGCCAGACCTGCATATGAGACCTGGGAAAAGCTTCACAGCCAAGTACTTCCAGCCAAGCAAGCGGAATTGCAGCAGCTCGAGCAAGACCACAAGCGTCTCACCGCGCAACTGGAGCAACAGGACTATACATTCGATGAGAAGAAGCGGGCAAAGAGCGATGTCGATGCCATGGCTCGGACGATCCAGAACATTTCCAAATACGTCAATGAGATCGCCAACTTTGAGGCTCAGGTCAAGGAGCTTCAGGAGAAGCAGAAGACAGCAGGTCTATCTCGTGGTCTCGATCTCATCGAAGGTGATCTGAAGAAGGTCAACGAGAACTTGAAGGCTCTCAAGGCTCGCCACGGCGATGCTCTGAGCAACCGCGATCGTGTCAAGGCACGAATCAACAACCTCGAGCTGCAGGCCAGCGAGCTCAAGGGCAAAGTTAGCCAGGCAGAGTATCAGCTGAAGGAGAAGAAATCTTTGCAGGCCCAAGAGGAAGAGTACAGAGGTCTTGTCGCTGAGAAGCGAGACGAAATCAAAGCCATCGATACTCAGCTCCAGAACTTAGAGTCTGAGCAGTCGGCCGCGCAAGTCAAGTACGACGACATCACCCAGCAGAGCGCCGATCGAGACCGAGAGCTACAGGACAAGGCAGGCAAGCTGCACAGCAGCGTGAACAAGCTGAAGATGGCAGACCAGGAGATCCAAGCGTATCACGATCGAGGAGGCGACGCACAGTTGAAGCGAGGCCGGCAGGAAATCGACACGGCAAAGTCCACGCTAGCCAGCCTCGTCGACACGCAGCGGAATCTCGGCCGTGAGATCAAGCAGCTCGAAGACCGTAACCGTGACCACGATGAGACAAAGCGAAGCATCGTCGACAATCAGCGTTTCCGTCGCGACTTGCGCCAGCTTGAAGCCCTTAACAGGGAGATAGCGGAGCTCGAGAGCCACAACGCTGAGGCGGACAAGGCGAGGTACGAGCAAGACGCCCGGTGGTGGCAAAACGAACGCAACAAGTTCGCCGCAGAAGAGGCTGGCGTCTCTGGACAGCTGAAGGAGGTCGACTCTGCCCTTGCTCAAGCCTACACAGACTGGGAGACAGACTACAAGAACGCTAAGAACAAGTACAAGGAGGCCCACGTGAGGGTGGAGACAACCAAAGCTGCGATTGACGATCTCGGCCGATGCGCAGGCGCTCTGGACAAGGCCATCATGAAGTACCACTCGTTGAAGATGGAAGAGATCAATCGCATCATCGCCGACCTCTGGCGCAGCACATACCAAGGCACGGATGTCGACACTATCTTGATCCGCAGCGAGAACGAGACGCAAAAGGCCAACAAGAGCTACAACTACCGCGTGTGCATGATGAAGCAAGACACCGAAATGGACATGCGCGGTCGCTGCTCGGCCGGGCAGAAGGTGTTGGCGTCCATCATCATTCGTCTGGCTCTCGCAGAGTGTTTTGGCAGGAACTGCGGTGTCATTGCTCTGGATGAACCTACGACCAACCTCGACCAAGACAACATCATCGCCCTCGCAAAGAGTCTGGGCGAGATCATCCGTCAACGTCGTGCTCAGCGCAACTTCCAGCTCATTGTTATCACCCACGACGAGGACTTCCTGAGAGCCATGAACTGCTCCGATTTCACCGACAACTACTTCCGCGTGTACCGGGATGGAGACCAGAAGAGTCAGATTGTCAAGCAGAGCATCTCTGAGATTGCGTGAGCATGAAGTTCGACTTCGAAAGAGACGGGGGATTCTGCCGAAGATCTGTCGCATTGCTTTTTCGACCTGTATTGTTAGCATAGCGTTCATCATCCATTTTAGCGAAGGCGTCACGGATATGGGACGCATGAGAGAGGCGTAGAGGAGACACATCTGCTCACATGATTGCAGCCGAACAAGGAAGCCGCGTTGCTTTGAGACCTTTCCATCGATTTCCTTCTCCTCTTTCAACTTTGACTTCTGTGTCACTCGCCCGCGTGCTTTACCCCACCACACTGATCTTCAGCAACCATGCCGTGCGTGCATATGTAGCATGCAAAAACGTGGCTGGGAGTTGCAGGTTGCCGACTGACCGCTTCCAAGAGGAGTCTGCATATGCATCCTTTGCGGCACGACTTCACCTGCTGCTGGTCTGCTGACAGATGGGAGGAGAAGAAAGAGGAGTCATTCTGTGGGGGACGGTTTGGCTGTTTGGATCGAAAAGAGCGCAATAAAATGGTGATGACGAGATTGGATGTTTCTTGACTTTTTCGCCGTTTCGATCAAAGCGTGGGACGGTTTATTGCTTGTGGAAAAAGTTTGAGATGGGTCTGTGTTTCGCAGATACGTGTACGCGTGTCGGGAGCTGAGTCAATGAGTAGTTGAGTTGTTACACGTCTTGCACAGGACGTCGTCCTTGCTTGGTGCATTCGTCTCTCTATGATGGCACCATGCGTATCACATGATGCTGAAGTAGCAGTGATGACTGATGGAGTTGTGCGGAGATGGCGGAGTGGAAGTTTTTGGTTCCCCCACCTTGCTTTTTTGGAGATGATGTTGGAGATGGGGAGAAACCGTCCCGAACAGCGTTCACAAGGCTGGCTTTTAGCGCTGAACTAACCCCGAAGCTAGAGCAGGAACGATGCCAGTAGTGAAATGGCGAACAGCGGCTGCTCTGCGAATCGTGATCCTCGGCGTGGGTTGGAAAATGAGATGAATTGTCGCGTTGTCTTTTCGAGAGAAGAGGCTCATCTGCGAATATCGCAGAATGAAAAGTCGGTCGAAGTGGCAGACTCGGGGGCCGAAATTGCTCGCATTGACGTTGAGATCGAAGCGTGGGCACGACGGGTGGGCGTCCGGGTGGCTGCTTCGAGGCGCTACTATAATTGCGCCCTCCGCCTCTTCCTTGCCTCGGATCTGGGATCTTGGACCGTCTGCGGTCTGCGCAGCGTTGTTTCGCCCAGGCAAATGCTCGGCAACCTGGGGCTTTGAATCGGATGTGGCTGTTGGGTGTTTCAACGCAGACGCGGGCCAGACACGCAACGTTGTCAGTGTCGTGTCTTGGACCAAAGAGGGCGAGAACTTGTTTTGGCCGGTTTTCGTGCTCTGGCCTAACGTGGAAAGCTGGACGTAGCCGAGGCGAACACGGCTGTGTGTGTCTCTCTCTCGCGCGGAACTTCATGTGCTTGCTCGACGCAAGGAGACATGTGACCGGCGGTGATCGCTACGTCAAATAGAGCCACAGCTGCTATAGCTCTCAAAACGAGGAACAGAAGAGGGATCTTCCTCAGGCTAGCTGGTAGGAGATGCTGGCGCCAGGCACAGGAGAGCCAAAACAGTCGATTTGGCGAGGTGATTGGTAGGGGCGACCCAGCCTCCTGCGCACCCTGGACTCGGCTCCGACGCCGATCTTAGCAACAGCTTGGAAGTTTGTTGCTGCCAGCGTGGCTCAACCTGCTTCCGTTGCTCTCCTTTTGTTCGGCGCTGTGCTGAGTTTCGCTGGCAGTGCACGCGCATCGAGAACGCTGCCACCACCGGGGCCCGGCCCACTCTCCCAGTGCCAGGCCCACTCTCCCAGTGCCAGGCAGGCTCAATGCTCACACACGTCCCAGACCGCCGAGTCATTGGCCAGGTCAGCAAAGCAACATTCGTTTTCCTCCTCTTTCCCCTCCCGTCGGCAAGTCATTCTACTACTCTCTCTGCGTGAAGCCGCTGTTTTATGTCCCGCGACCCCCAGCCTATCCACCTTCACTCACTTTGGGTTGGGCGCGCGTGAAGAGACATCCTGTCCGATCCTTGTCTCCGTCCATTTCACACACCCTCTCGCGTGCCGGCCTCGCATTTGCCACGTTCTCCCAGCAAAGAGATTGCAGGAAACCACCGCCCAGCATTCCGCGCGACCGTCCATTCCGACAACTTAACTCAAGCTTTTGCGTCGACGGTTTCAGCAGCTGCGTCTGTTGATCTGTTTGTGTTCGAGACGCAAGCTCGACGACGACCGCTCCTACTCTTTCCTTCTTCGTCTCACTTTGGTCCTGCCATCGTGCGATCAAAGAGCTCTCCAAACACCTTATACTGCAGCCATGCGTCTCAACAGCGCTATCGTCGCGCTGTGCGCGGCAGCATCTACTTCGGCAGCTCCGTAAGTCCTGTTCCATCGCGAAGATATGTGGTGGTCGCTCATTCAAGACAGTAGCAACTTCGTCCGCGGCGCAAGCGGCTTCAACTGGGGCAATGTGAAGATTCGAGGCATCAATCTCGGCGGTTGGTTAGTCCTTGAGGTCAGTACATTGTCTCGGAATTGAATGACGGGCCTCAATAGCTGACCTTGCTCAGCCTTGGATCACTCCATCCATCTTCCAGAATCTGCCACAGGACTTGAAGATCGTAGATGAATATACTTTGGGCCAGGCGCTAGGCGAGAAGGCATACGATCAGGTGTACAAGAACCACTGGGAGACGTGGGTGACTTGGGAGGACATCAAGAAGATCGCAGACTCCGGCTTCAATGTTATCCGAATCCCCATTGGATACTGGGCATACGACAACTCGGATTCGCCATATGTCAAGGGCGCGGCTCCTTTCATCGATGCTGCCATCGACTGGGCGCGATCCGTTGGACTGAAGGTGATTATTGATCTCCACGGCGCTCCAGGATCCCAGAATTGTTTCGACAACAGCGGCCAGAAGTGTGATAAGCCACAATGGACGACCGGCGACACCACCAAGAAGACCCTCGACGTCCTCCAGACTATCCAGAACAAGTACGGAGCATCGTCATATGACGATGTGATTGCCGGCATTGAACTCTTGAACGAGCCCTTGACCCCAGAGTTGGACCTCGACACCGTGAAGCAGTTCACGCGTGATGGTGAGTAGACTTTGAGGCGGTGGGGACGACTTCGTACTGATTGCAACCAGGTTACGGCCAGCAGCGAACCGTCAGCCAATCCAGGGTTGTCGTCTTCCAGGACGGTTTCCAGAACACCAGCGCGTACAACAACTTCTTGACCCCATCCGACAACAATGCCCAGTACGTCGCCGTCGACCACCACGAGTACCAGGTCTTCACTCCCGAGCTCGTTTCGATGCAGCCATGGCAGCACCGCCAGTACGTCTGCAACAACGCCTTCGTCTACAATGGCGGTGACAAGTGGACCTTTGTTGGCGAATGGAGCGCTGCCATGACCGACTGCGCACCCGCACTCAATGGTTATGGTATTGGCGCGCGTTACGACGGAACGTACCCGGGTTCGTGGTATGTCGGATCGTGCCAGAACATCAACTTCATCGAGACCTGGGACCAGCAGCTCAAGGACGACACCCGCGGGTACATTGAGGCGCAGATGGAGACATTCGAGCGATACACCGAAGGCTGGTTCTTCTGGTAAGCAGCATCAATACCTCCCTCAAATGGGGACTCGTACTAACCTTCAGCAGGAACTTCAAAGCCGAGCAAGCGCCCGAATGGAACGCCTTCGCCCTCATCGACGCCGGCGTCTTCCCCCAGCCTCTGACGGACCGCAAGTTCGGCTCCATCTGCTCATAGTCGAGCTTCACCCACTCGAACATAACGGCCGTCGAAACGATGAACTCGCGGCACTGCCCGGGCCAGGCCCCGCGATGAATGACACGACCTGGGTGGAACACATAATGAAGAACGCAAAAAGCAAAGAGACGGAGAGACGGAGAGGGAGATCCATACCATGACATACTGCTTGAGACATGTTTGTTTTTGGATGATTACCATAATTGGGCGACTGGCTTCTGATACCCAAGGGTCTCTTCTGTATGTCTGGTCCTCTAATGACGGTGGACTGGATTAGAGGCTCGCATTTTGCTGTACAAGCGGAGAAGTTTATTTAGCTGGCATCATAAAATTGTGCTTGTGTTTTCGTAAGTCGTAATGAAATGGAAAAGAATGTGCGATATGATGAATGATGGCAGTGTGCGTGTGAGAGAGAGGTGTCGTCTGAGGTGAGAAAGATTTCGTGGCGTCTCTCGTTTGATGAGCTTCGCTCTGCTGGCTTGCTTGGCGGTCGACATCACTTTGTTTTCTATGAAAGGTCTCATCTACTCGAACATTACAGGAGAATACATAAAGCGGCCGTGAAGGCGTCGATGATGGATCTAGTATACATTGACGCTCTCTCTTAGATACCGAACGCGACGGCGCCACCCAAAACAAGTCCAAAGACTACGTTTCCAACACCCCAAGCGAAGACCTTGTCCGCAGCACCAGTGTAGGCAGCTGGCGTAGCAGAGAGCGTGCTGCTCTGCGTGGTCGTCGCTGCCCCCGGTGTGCCAGTGACAGGCGAGCTCGAGTTTGCAGTCGTGGTTGGGGACGAAGAGATCAAGCTGGTGGCGTTGTTCGTACATGGCGCAGAACCAGATGGCTGGACCTGCAGACTCGTGGATTAGTATCGAATCGTCACACAGACCAAAGTACATTTGCGGGACCCTCGAGGGCCGTTGGCGTGCTTGCAAGCCTGGCTCACAGCTCCCTTCCCTCGACGACAGGCTGACTGCTCGTGACACGAGGACGACTGTTTCTACTACTAACCTCCACATATCCAAACAATCCCTGCTCCGTATTCCCACAGTATTGAGCTGGATAGCCCGGGCACTGCTGGCTACACCCAGCGGGACTCTGGATGTTCGAAGGCTTGTCGTTCGAGCACCAGCATCCGTGGCCTTGAACGATGGCGTACGCGTACGAGCCGTTCTGGCATTTCGTGCTGCAGTAGCCTAGGGTGTTGTAGACGTAGTCGCCTGAAGGAGGGTTGTTAGCATGAGAGTTGTTGGACTGATGTGGCTGGTTTTTCTGCCCAGGACGTACCAGTGTTGAAGCCTGTGCCGGTGTTCTCGTTCGAACAGTATCGGATCGATACCGCATTCGCGGCGGCGATGGACGTTGCCAGGAACGTGGCGAAACGAGTGAACAGCATTTTCTTTCAACGAGCGTGGGAGTTTGGTGATGAACTGTCGTCGTGGAGGGTCGAAAGCGAGCGTCCGAACTTATAGGCAACAGTTTGATAGTGGTACCTTTCGGATTTTCTCCGTGCCAAATTTTGGGAAGAATGGCGGGCTTCCGACTTTTTCTATTGTACTGCTGCTATTCTTGTTGGTATGACTCTGGATGGTGTCGCCCGCGGACGCTAGTTTACTCGTTCCTGACGCAGGATGAATCCTTCCGGCTCCACGGCAGCCAAGACATCTTGCTTCCAGGCCTTTAGACGTGCCCTGTCCATTGACAACATGTCTGCGCGTTGTTGCAATCTGAAGCTTTCAATACCTGCGTGGGGATGCTCGTACCTTCAATACCCTCCTCAAGCGTATCCACCTTCAAGGACCACCAAGAAAGTAGCCTTCTCCCCGGCCTCTCCAAGATAAACCTCCAGCTCGTCATTATTCTCCACCAACCAGCTATTCTCAGTGCCGTCCGCGTCTTTAACAATACCATTGACTTTCTTAACCTGAGCAGCACCAGCCTTGCTTGTGGCCGCCTTGTGCAAAGCCGGTATCGTTGGTGAAGCCAGTTTTCCAAGCCACATCCTGGGATGGTTGCCTACGACGCTTGAGCCAGGAGCCAGTCGGAAGTAGGCAGGTATGGGTTGTGCGGCATTCGTCTGAGGAGCAATGAAGGGACCGGCCGTCGAGAGTGCAGGGTCAATACCGAAATCGATGTTTCCAGTAGCCTGTGCTACAGTCGCAAGAAGGCCACCGTTCCGCTGTTGAGGATAGCCTCTACCCTCGACAGCATTTCGAACATTTGGCTCTTGGATGGTGGGGCTGGTGTTCTTCGCTGCTTCAGCTGCCTTCGCCTTCTTCGACCTCGGAGCGGTACCCATCCAAGCAGGGCCAGGGCCAGGACCGTAGTGCGCGTTCTTCTGTACGATGACTCGCTCCCCGCGTTTGTTCTTGTCTTCACGAAATCGCTTCATGGCGTCTTTGCCAAGCAGTTCGACAGCTTTTTTCTTGCCCGGGTCATTCTCCGCCATGATCTGTTGTAGCTTTTCATTCGAGGCGAACCAACGATGACGAAGCTCTTGGAAGTGATCTTCGCCGCTGACTAGTCGTGACTCGAAATTGTCGGCAGTCAAAATGTCATATAGGAGTCGCCGAATCTCCTTGCTTTCTCCAGGGTTGAGTCCGAGCATGTTGTTGGCTTGCGCAATAGTGATTGACTTGCCCTGGACACGCATTCGCTTCGTCACGTCGCAGCAAACACAGTCAAGGGCTATCGTCTTCTTTTCTTGGTCGGGCTGGAGTGGGTGCATCACTGCGCTAAGATGCATATTTTCGCGAATGAGCCGCTTCTTGCAATCTTCCCACACGCCTTCAGCGCACTGAGTCTTTTTGATGATGCCCAACTCCCTGCAAATCACCTCGAAATCGCCACGAATGGCCTGGTATCTCTCGTTCGAGAGTTGCAGGTACGCCTTGCATTCGTCCAGACTAGTTTCCGAAGCGTACCGCGGAGCCAGACCAGCTTCGTCTGGAGGCAGATGTCCGTAGCCTCGAATCCGTCTCCGTCGCTTGCGGTCTGACAACCTCTGATCGCTCTCCAGTTGAATCTCAAACAAACGCTGGGTTCGACGCGCCGCCTCGTCGGGGTCCAAAGACATATTAAGAAAGCCATCCTGTTCCTGTTGTGGGGGTTCGCTGGTGAGGTCGATCGCATCGTCAGGGTTTACATTTTCTGTAGCCTCTTCTGCTGCGTTGGATGTCCGCTGGCGCTTCTTCGGTGGGGCGTTTGGATCCGGCGGCTTGTATCCTTGGTCGATACGGAGTCGCAATCCATTCTGCCTCCACAGCTTGTTGAACACATGTCCTTTCAAATCCCAGCCTTCCTCAACAAGAATGTCCTTGATGTCTTTCTGGCTGATGTTCTGCTCCCACATTTCCTTGATGCGATTGCTCACAGTACGCTCATCTTCCTCCGACAGCTTGTTGATCCGCGATGGGAAGCCCCATATTCCAAACTGGCGCAAGAAGCCTTTCTTGCATGGCAGGTCCTCTTCGCTGACATTGAAGCGGTCGGCGAAGTACTTCGCGATCTCTTGGGCGCTTTTCTTCTCTTCGACGTAGAGCTTGTAGCTACGAACAGGTCAGTAATGGTAGGCGACTGGCCGGGGACAATCCACTTACCAGATATCTCTCTTGTCGCCCCAATCGTATTTGGATGGCCGACCGACTCTCCGCTTCGGGGTCTCATCCATGATATACGGGCAGTAGTGACTCGGCGTACGAGAGTTGCAGTCGGGACTGAATCCAGGCGACCGTAGTGACGAGGTGAAGTGGTGGCTGACGGAAGCTCGAGCCAAAAGTCACGTGCGAAGCTGGCATCTCTCCAGTTTTCGATTCGACCGCGCCACTCGACGCATTCACTCGCATTTTGACAGCACTCACGTATAGGAGAAATAGCAAGATCACATCGAAAGCAGTTCTCGACGAATGAAGTAAGAATCCGATACTGACTGCAGCCAACACCATCGTGCGGCACCAAGCGCCGTCTGCTGCGGCCGATCTTTCCGCACGCCTAGGTGGAAACTTCACCTCACCTTTCTCGCCATGGATATTGATGGTGGGCCTCAAGACCAGCACACAAATGGCTCAGCACTCGCTCCTCAAGCATGCCAGAACTGTCGGAAACAGAAGCGGAGGTGCGACAAAGGCCTCCCTATATGTGGGCTGTGCTCGCGAATAGGTCGAATATGCGACTACAGTATCGACTCGCAAGCTGCAGTCCCTTCCTCTGAAGAGTTCGCATCGCTAAGGCAGAAGGTCGCGGATCTCGAGAGCTTGCTTACCAGGACTGCGACCAACAATCTCAGCGCAACGAGCAATGGAAGCAACGGCAGTGTCCCTGTCGGCAGTAATGGATCATGGGGGAATGGGTTGAGCAACGGCAGTAGTCCAGCGAATCTGCTGTCCTTATCGCCAAACTCGAATCAATGCGCATGGCCAGGACCTTCGACGTTCCCCAGTCTATTCTTTCTGGACTCTGAGGCGTTTGAATATGAACGATTCCAGGTCCAACCACCGTACGTGAAGGTTCCTCCTGGTGCTTTGACGGCACTCGGCAGTTCAGCGGAGCTACGGCAAATGATCGAGTTATATTTCGAGACTGTACAGACCTACTTCCCCATGGTATCCAAGATCAGATTGTACCAGCACCTATCAAATCCGATGCACGAGCCTGGCGCCGATATGGCCCTTTTGTTCCTCGCGATGAAGTTGATAACAAGTGAGATACCTGAGGGAGCACCGCCACAGACACAACTTTACCAAGATGTGAAATCGTTCTTAAGCTATATCGAAGCTCAAAACGGCTATTCCATCCAGTTGATCCAGTCCCTCCTGCTGGTCTCTTTATACGAGCTTGGCCATTCTATCTACCCAGCTGCTTATATGTCCATCGGCCATGCTTGCCGTCTTGGACATGTCCTTGGGATACACGATCGAACCGCACCGCAGATGCTCCCTCGACCGAACACTTGGACTGAGCAAGAAGAACGACGGCGCGTTTGGTGGGCAGTGATCATCTTGGATCGTTTCATCAGCATCGGACATCGCCGCAAACCGTTTGCCAGCACTGACCCAAGCCTCGACGCCCATCTACCTACAGATGATAGTCATTGGGATCGAGGTCAAATGCTGGTGGCTGCACCATTGGCGTTGTCCGCGAGCTCGACCATTCGAGCCGCACCTTTCGCACGAACGTGCCAGGCCGCACACCTCCTTGGCAAAGTCATCCGGCATCTGAACGACAAGAATCTGCCGGCAGACTACAAGTTCAATGAAGCACTCCAGCTCCACCGCACTCTGCGGGCGCTTTGCGAAGTTCTGCCCGCTGAAGCGGAAGAGGACGACCCTACCGTGAAGCCAACGCTGTGCTCACCAATGGCGATCTGCTACTCCGGGCTACTTACGCTCTATGACCAGTATGCATGTACGGAGCGTGCAATGGAGAATGCCCCAGAGACACAGCTCGTGATGCAGAAGGAAGCTATTGATGGATTAGGAGACATCTCGAGCCAAGCAATGGACCTGGCTCGGAGGGTGCGTACTTTTGTCGATCGTGCAGGACTGCAGCGAGTGAGCCCACTTGTTGTCGACAGTCTCTATCAAGCGGCGGCGAATTGTAAGTCCAAGTTCCAACGTCTCGTGACTGCGTGATGCTGAGTCTTTCCACAGACGCATGGTACGTCCGCGAATCTTCAAGTCCCGAATGCGCCGAACGCCTCGCCGAGCTCAAAGAGATCCTTCTACTCCTCGACCGACGATGGAAAGTTGCTGGTCAGTATCTCTTTCACCTCAATCAATTCTGGGAAGGGTATGGAGGGGCAGGGTGTTGAGAGGATGTCTTGTGACCCTCAACACACGTTTGCGATATGTCGGGCTGACGCCTGCCACTCACAGGCGAGTATATCAAGATCATTGAAGCCACCGAGTTTCATCTTGCCAGTGCGATCAGGTGAGCCTCCCAGAGGCTTTCAAGATCAAATAAGTGATGATTGACGCCTTGTGAAAGTGAGCAATATATCGATCCTGACCTGCGGCCGCTCTGCCCGAAGTGAGAGTTGGTGCGGAATTCCCTGCAACACGAGCGGTATGAACGAGTCGGCATGAACTCAGACGAGGAAAATGCGCACGGAATCCGTGTGAAGTGGTTGTTTAGAATAATGCAATCTAATAATCCTCTCAAGCTCGGTATAATACATATGTACAAGAATACACACTCCAAGCACACCTGGGTATCTCTCTCCAAACAGCGTCATAAAGGTCGTAGGTAGTCATGAGCGATATGACGCATGTCCTCCTCCATAGAAGCTGCTGTTTCCACTCGTGATCGTAAATCCAACACCAAAAGCTCGTGTAACGCGGCAGTCATTTACATGAACCACATCGTATACACCACGCCAGCGACGACGACCCACAAACCACTCGTCTCGGCGAGCTTGAGACCAGATGCAGCGCTGTCTGATCCACCAGGTGCGGTTGTTCCGTTCTCCAAAGTACCGTTGATTACCAAAGTCTGAGTGCCGTTGACGTCTCCCACGCGTGCGATGGTGTTATTGTTGGCAACTTCGTTCAAGTAGTCCGTTGAGTTGCTAGGGTCACATCCGCACGACGCACGTTGACCGCATAGACATTCGATAGGATGAGACTCGTTGCGGTTCGCGGTCCTGTTGTAGTAGCCGTAGTAGCCAGGGTAGGAGTATGCGTATGCGCCGTAAAGCCAGACGCCAGGAAGGATGCCAAGCGCGGCACCACCTAACACATAGGGCGCGACACCACGTCCAGATCTTCCTCCAGACGCGTAGGGTACTCCTGCACCTCCTCCGTAATATGCGCCGCCGCCGTATCCTCTTGCAGTGCCGCTGCCCGCTGCAGTCGAGCCCCCTACGTTCGATGTAGTCGATGTGCGCCCAGACGACGATGATCCAGAGGAACCAGATCCTCGCGATCCACCAGATGAGGATGAAGAAGACGAAGACGAGGAGCTGCTTCCTCCGCCTCCTCGACCTCCACCGCCTCCACCACCTTTTCGCTTGAAGAGCTCTTTCGATTGTTCGAATGCGGCGTCGAAGGATGCGGGTAATGCGAGCGCGTGGATCAGGAGCGCGAAGTTGAAGAGCAGCACTAGCGATCGTAGGAGCTGCATGTTGTATGTCTGGGATGTAAAAATTATCTTCGTAAGGCAACTTGTGCGCCGGGTAGGTGTGCTGGCGGAAGGGTTGCTGGAAAGAATAGCAAGTGCAGCCTGGCGAACCTGTAATAAGGAAAACCAAGTGGCGATGATGCGCGCCTTGATTTGAGCCTGAAAAGCAAGGCGTGGCACTATGAGCAGTACATTGGTGACAGTCTCTTACACAGCCTTGCTCATTGGCGTATTTGATTTGTTGCAGCACAGCCGAGCTGAAGGTTTGCGAAGTCTAATGATTTCATAGCGCATCAACTGGAGTGATGTCCGTGGGCGCAGGGATCTTTTAGCTTCGCACGTGATGCCGTCTGTGCCACGATCTGGTAGATCTTGAACTGCGAGCCAACGACAAGCCATCTTCACGGTATTTCTCCACGGGGTCACGGCAATTCAGATCTTGGTACCACTTCATCGCCACATCCCGATTTCACTGCTGCATACTGTACATCCGCGCTTCGTTCACAGGATCGCGAACATGCTTCCTACGATGGAGGCGGGCGATGCGCCTGTGGTGCCCATCCTGTTCGTAGGCGACTCGGGCATTGGGAAGTCGACTATGCTATCGTAGGTGCTCACGGTCATTGCAGCAGTGCAGAATGGTAAACTATGAAGAACACAATATCAGACTGACCTTCCAAGCCGTCTCGCCGTTGGACACGAATGGAGGAAACCTCTTCCCCAACTACGCGACCTAGACCAGCCTTACTCCTTCAACATCAAGCTATACAATCGCCCATATCGCTTCGAACTGTATGATACCGCATCGCCGACGAACTACACCCTCCTTAGACCCTCTGTGCTTGTCATGTGCTTCAACATTGGAGATCCAGCGTCTCTGGAGAACTTGAAGACTTATTGGAAAAGAGTCGTTGAGGAACACTACAATTATGACGAGATGCTTCCCGTGATCGCGTTGGGACTACAGCGAGACGTGCGGAACAGAGAAGATTATGATGGGCATGTGCGCTCAATCGCCTCAGATACCGAGAACGGAACGGATGATGCTCCTCTGAACGGCAGAACATTTGTCTATCCACAGGAAGGTCTGAGGTTGGCACAAGAGATGCGATGCGACCGATACTGTGAATGCTCGGCTTTGACTGGTGAGCTGTGTCGGGAGGTCATCGAGGACATCTCGAAGACTGCGGCTCTCACCACGACTGAAGGCGGTGCAAAGTCTCAGGGGGCGCATTGTAATCTGATGTGAGGCAATGCGACATTTCGGAGTGCGAGTCTCAGCGCGATGAACTGGAATTGAGATCATTCACATCTCACCCGGCTAAAAAAGGCCGCTCATAGAACCTCGTATACTACGAGGCGATGTTGGCCGAGCACACCTTAACCGACGGCGGGTTCGAGCCTCTGTCCTGTTGCCACCAGCGTAGGATTTTTATCGTGGCTAACAACATAAAAGACAGAACTAATGCACGTGATACCCATCTCTAAGCGAGGACTTGGCTTCGATCTCCGTCACTGAACGTCATCGATCACTGCTGGCAATACCAACTCAAAATTGACGAAACAACAACAACATCGAAACACTCGCGACACGAACAGCATCATGGCGGATCAAGCATTGAAGATACCTGCAATACTGCTCTCGTTCGAGCACTTTCTCGGCGGACAATGTCGCATCACAGACAAACTCACTCCCTCGTTATATCGACGAGCAGTTGTGACAAAGGGAGCTGGAACAGCAGAAGCTCTCTATCCAATCATTCCGGTGAAGGATCCGATTAAGCACTCTCAGGTCATCGGCTTCTTGATGTGCACGACTGGTGCACTACTGGCTTGGCCCAAGACGAGAGGAACTATCTTGCCTCTCGGACTGAATACTTTCTTGACGTGCGCTGGTATCTATAGTCAAAGACGAATGAAGATGCCGTACTGGTTGCCGATTACGAACCTGATTTTGGGGGCTCTGGTGTGGTGGATCGAGAATCGCAAGGCGTTGTAACGCGTTGCGCGGCGGACACAATCCGACAGTTTCGAGAATCTTTATGAGGACTTGCTCTCCATTCAGAGTTGAAGGCATCGAATTCCGTGGCCATACGATCCCCAACCAAACCTCTCACACTATTCCCTCATACACCACCCTGTATTGGTGGTGGAACTCTTAACTCGCAGCAGTGCCAGCAACGGAGAGGACTTGAAGGAGTCATCTGGCGACATAGGGCATGCTTGGGGTATCGGTTTTAGATGTGGGAAGGCGAAACTACCGAGGCGCTGAATACTGTTTTGTGGATCTAGCAAATCCAGTGGATTGTCTAATCCTACGTAGCTTTGCGAGATCGACTTAGCAAATCCATGTTAGGAGTATTCGAGTGGATTTATTAGAGAGGCCCCCAAAGTAAGCGTCGGCACCGGGGGACGTGCTGTATCTATAAAGACACGCAAGGCGGAAGCAGGTTGTCTTTATAAAGACAACTAGATTTAGCGGATACAACTGCTTAAAAGAGAAATACCGAGATGAGTTTCTATAAATTTAGAGTATTCAACACGGATTGGATAAGACAGCTTATGACTAGGTGCACAGAGTTACAGTACCAGGTAGATTTATTAGCTAAATCCACGAAAACCATTCAGGGCCTGAGGCTATTACAATCGACAGTCGGATCACTCCACGCTAGCCCCTACTTTAACAACGACTCTGCATGGCAATGACTTGCGTTCGGTACTTTTACCAAACACTAGAGCTCTATTGGCTCTAATGCATGCAACCACAACTTGAGTCAGCATCGCGCCTGGAGTCTTTGACATCGAGGCTCTGCGGAAGATGAGAGATGGCGAAATGAAGACGCTAAGCTCATAGAGGCACACATGTCCCACTTGCGGCTTCCCGTGGGACTCGGCAGTGCGACATTGCTACCGGATGCGCAATGCCTTATTCTGGCAAGCATATGCCTCTGTCGAAAAGTACGTGCAGAGCGTCCTAACTGCAGGATAGTTGACAAGAGCAGTCGATTACCCTTTCGGGACAACACATATCCTATTGCGGCCCTTGCAGCAAGCTCAAACTCAATCCATCCCTCTTAGCTCTGCACGCTGTAAGGACGGCAGCTCTGGAACATAGACGCTTCTACCTGGAGTCACACTTTTCGCACGCTCGCGGCCGCTTTTGCCATTGTAGAGCGAGATGAAGTGGGCGATGGCGCGTTGCCATGAGGCGAGCGGTGTCTTGTCTGCAAAACTATTCGACAGTCGGTCGAGTCGTTGGACCACCCCTCGTTGACATAAGACAAAGGTGTGCCGCCGGGGTAGTCAAGATGCGACTCCTGCGTTTCCTCATTCCGCTCTTTGCGAGACCCATGCAATGACAGAACAACACAATACGAAATCTCCTTCTTCGACCCTCGATGACAAGTCATGCAAAGCTCCATCCACACGCCGCAGGTCAAGACGCAGGGAAGACAACTCTGAACCTAGCTTCTCATTCATCCATTTCACAGGCGAGGCATCCTTCAGACCGGGACGAGCCCAGAAGGCCGTACGCGCGCAAGCAGCGAGGGCTAGCTCAGATCGCAGACTGGCCACGATCGAGAGGAGACGAGAGGCAACGCGTGCGAATTCGGCAGACTCACGCGCGTTACTCAAGACTGCATCTGATGGAGTCCACGACAATCAGCTCTCGCCATTATCCCAGAACTCGCTCTCACCGTTGACAAGGGCGAGATCGGCTCCTCCCACGCTTCCACGAGATGGACTACCTAGTGGATTGGCTGCACGGGGCTCACTAACTATCGCGGATGACTGGACCTGTGATCTTAGCGGTATCGTGCAACATAGTAAGTCACCTTAGCATTTCTCTCTCTCGCCAATGCTGACAAAACCAAGCACTCCAACATGCCCTTCGAACGATGAGTCGACTACAGATACCCTGCGATACGAGCACATTATCACGGAACTTTCAAGACGCGGCTCTATACAGACACCCATTGATGATACAATGCCTAGAGCTGTTAGCCACAACATCCTCCGATCATCAGCAACGCCCGGCCATGTCACGGGCTATCATAGTCCTCCTTCGACACAAGCTTATCGTTGCTGTTCAAGCCATCATACAGGCGGATGTTGAGGCTAAGAAAGTATTGGCTTCAGTGGTCGCATTGTTGGCCGGATGGGAAGCGGTGAGTGAGTACATTCTAAGGGTCGATGGTGTGGCTGATGGATAACAAGGAGCATGGCGAAGAACACGCGTGCGAGTACCACCTACGCGCTTTGGCAGGCCTACTACCCAGCAGTAGCCAAAGCTGGGATCCAGACCCTTCCATGATCCATTCGGTCAACATCCCGGACTTCCTTGTACCCACGGTCACAGATTATATGCCTGCCGGGTTTCGTTTCTATCGATCGTCCAATCTTCTTCCGGCCTGCTTTGTCGATTCGATTCGCCACATGGAAAGCATAGGCCACATGCTAGAGACATCCCTTCAAGCTCGACGTAGTGCGTTGGCAGTACTTGCGTGCAGGCGCACAGACGCCGCGAACGACCGCAGTGGTCGGCCTGATCGACTCGTTGCTCGCGTCTGTCAGCACATCCAAGTCGCCGCAGCTATTCTAGCACTTCTGTACCGAGCTGGTGACGATGTCGATCAAGATCAAGACTGTCTGAGCGCATGGTACACAGAGAGTTCAACACTGGGGACGGACTCACTGTTTGGGACAGTTTACGACGAAGTCTTGATTTGGACGTTATGCATCTATTGCAGCGCAGTCAAACAGCCATCAGCAGAACAAGCCGAACTGCTCAGGGCTGCGCTTGGGAGAAATGGGATAAGGGACTCGGAAGCTCTTGAGATGCTGCTTGCCCGGTATGTAACTCCAAGAAGTCTTCTACGTCGATCTCGAAAGATATCGGGCTTCGTGTAGTTACATGATACCCACCGCGACTGGAAATGCCTCCCTTCACGCGTTGAGTCCAATGGCTTGTCATGTGCGTGTATCATTTTACTCACAGTTGGCATTCACACTCATCTACCCTGCTAGTAAATACTAGCAAACTCCACAACCCCTTTCGCATCCGCATAAGCATTAACAAACCCCTCAGCGAACCTCTCCTCCACACCCCTCCCATGCAAACAAGGCACAAACCCCTCCACCCCCACCGTCCAAACCGTCGTCTGCAAAACCCCACCACCACCAAGCTCCATCACCGTGCTCTTCGAATCCAACACCGCACACACAGGAATCGCAAGAAGCCAATAATCCTCCGGAAAATCCTCAGGATCCTGCTCCGGCTCCTCGACGGGTACTCCATCCTCATCCATCTCCATACTCGCGACAATGACATTCCTATGCTGGACTTCGAAGACGAACCAATCCCTCTGCTCGGGCGGTCCTTGGATGGCTGGGTTCTTGGAGCGTTCCGTGTCTGCGTCCGGGGAGATGCTCAGGCGGGTGAGTTTGACTTTTTCGAAGTCTTTGGCTTCGTAGCGGAGGGGTTGCATTTGGTTGTCTGTGCTCCGCAGTAAGATGTGTGTGAGTTCGGTCTGTGTGGAGGTTGTGGAGGCATCGTCGTCGAGCCATTCGCAGACGCGCTTGGAGAGGAGCCAGTCCCAGTAGACGGGGAGATGGTCTTGTTTGTGTTGGTCTAGGAGTTTGGCGTGTTCGAAGGGAGGTGATGCTGGTTGGGCTGAGACTGGTATGGGTGGGAAGAGTAATTCTTTGACGGCTGGCGGTGGAGCGGTCCGAAGGGGAACCGACGGTTGGATGGTGATGGTGGAGCTCAGAGGCTCGTCGCAGTCTGTGAGGATGATTTGGGGCAGCCATTCGATATTCCAATCCGGGGGTGGGTCATCCTCTTGTGGCGAGGCTTTGAAGAAAGGTGAAGTTGGAAAGCCTGGGCTCTCCTGTAGCGTACGCTTCTGGCCATGGACATCCCCTTTTCCTTCGACTTCCGCGCTGTCAACGGTCTCATAGGGTTGACCGTCTCCAGTCTTCGCAATTAATATGTCGGGCAAGCCAATATCCCGCTGTGGCCTCACCAGCTCACCGTCGCTCTCAACCAAATTTCTCATCGGCCGTGTCAGCGGTCGTAGCGGTGTACGTCCAGGCGGCCCCAATCCTCGATGCCCACGAAATCTGCCAACTTGTCCACCGCGACCCACCCTGACAGTAGTCACATCTCCCTGTGACGGCTGTTCTGGACCTGTTGTCTCTTCTCCACCATCATCGGCCTTCCCGCTGGCATGCAACTCCTTCATAACATCCATCCACGACCTCGGCTTCTGCGGCATGTGCCAAACCCGCACCATCTTATTCCCCATCATCCTCGATCCTGCATCGAACTCCAGCACTTTGTGCAAAGTGTTAGATGTCTTGAGGATGGTGGGCAGCTGTCTCAACCTGAACATCTCGCGCTGCACTGCATCTTCCTGGGCTTCTTTCGAGTTGAGACGCATTTTTGGTTGTTGTTGCTATGATAGAGAGGTGCAGCATGGGGTGGAGAAGGAAGTTGCGGTCGAGACATTTTGGGGGTTTGAAGAAAGAAGGTGTGAGAAGTGGCAGTCACTACAGGTGAGGTGAATGGACTTCACCTCTACTTCGCGCTAGTGAAGTCTACTGGGTGCCAAGCTTTCACATGTGAAAGCGCCCGCCTGTGCATGAACGCCTGGCGAAATGGACAACACACTCATCGCAAATTGAAAGATCTCATGCTTTATGCTATTGAAGAGCGCGATGAAAGCTGTGCTAAGCTATCCATTTCCTGCTCATGTGCCAGTATCAAAGACCTCACCCGGAGGCTTACCTTTGAAACACCTCAAAGGCCGCGACGATAAGCACCCGCACTGGCAGACTGGTTCTGCGCCTGTGCCAGTTCAAAGTTCAACGAGAAGTCATACCTCGCCTGCAAGACATACACTCCATCAGCAGGACCAAAAATCTGCTTCTCGAGACGTCCCCACTCTGGGTTGTTGATCCCATCGATCCAATCCTCGACCTCAATCACCACGCAACCGTACTTGTTCGTCACTCGAGGACGAGAAGAGTCGTTGAAGAAGCCTTGAGTCGATTTCAGTGGGAAGCTGCCGTTCATGTTGTTGCAAGTGTAGACTTGGAGTGCTTCTTGCTCAGTGAAGACGTCAACTTGGATACCTGAGTATGGGCTTGCAAGTGTGGCGACAGGGGCAGTGCGCCAGTCGTAGGAACTGAGAGCGTCGCGATTGGTGAGGTAGCAGTTGTCGTATCCGGTGCAGTTCGTGCCGCAGTTGCCGAGCAGGTCTGGACCGGTGATGTTGCTGCCGAGCTGCTTCGGGCTCGACCAGAAGTCATTGACACTGTACTTCTTGTTGGCTGAGACGTCTCCAGTTGGAATGAGGATACCATCAGCATCAATGCGTTGGCCTGCGTGCGGCAGATGCAAGGTGTGGTTCAGCGCAAGTGGCGTCGCAGGGTTCTGGAAGCCGTCCAACTGCCAATATGTGTGAGACGTGAGCATGATCGGAGTCTTCTTCGTGGTCGCCAGTGCATTCATTCTCAGGTACCATTGATACGGCGTGAGAGTGTACGTGACATAGGCAATCACTTCGCCAGGAAAGCCTTCCTTCCCATCAGGGTCGACGAGCGAGAATGTGATCGAGTCGCATGTGTGTGCGGAGACAGTCCAGTTGCGATAATCCCAGCCATCCGAACCACCATGCAGCGTGTCGAGTCCCTTGTTGTCATTGGCATCGGTATGGTAGGTGACGTCGTCGATTGTAAACGACGAGTTCTTGATACGGTTCGCATATCGACCGGGAACTCCATTCAGGTGAGGATGAGCTTTCGAGATGCTGTAGAAGCTGGCGTTGTCGAAGCCGAGGACGATGTCGCGCTCTACGCCGTGCACGTCTTGGATGAACAAGTTGGTGATGGAAGCAGCGTAAGGCATGAAGTGCGCTCGAATTCCCTCGCTTGCGATCTCATACTTGCCATTGTCGAGGACTTTGGAGCCGTTGCCAGGAACCGATGCGATGACGCCAAGAGGGAGTGCTGCAAGGGCGATGAGTGCTTTGAAGCCGAACATCGCGCAAGAAAGGCCAAGCGTCGAGGTATGCCGATGGTCGATGTGGTTGTTTGTCGTGAGAAGGCGACGTCCTGTCGAGACCTCCCGTCTTCGGCTGCTTGGTGTGCTTGTTTTGTGGCTGATGGAGCAGTGTTGTGCGGCTGCAAGGGGCTTATTATTGCACCACTACCCATGTGCAATCAACAGATTGAGCCGCTCATATAGCCGAGCGGAGCCGATGGTCGCACACATTCATCAGTCAAGTGGAGTAGAGTGCGCGGCTTTGCGTTTGTGAATATATGAAAGCCGTGAAAGATCGCCAACTAGAGTGCGGATGAGGCTGTCAGGTTGAGAACATGCAAAGCCCGTGAAACAAGGAACATCCTAGCCACTCCAAATTGCAGCCACGATCCCTGTACATTGAATGTCCTGTGCCTCTCTTATTCGTATAAAAGGTACGAACGCATACATCCCGGGACCTGGGACTGTAGCTCTATACAAGGTCAACAAGCACAGTACGCCTTGGTTCTACCAGCGATTTCGATAGCCCTACGGCTGCTTCAACCGCTTACATGGATATGTGCGACGCTCTGAGAACTGAGGGGTCAAGGGAGAAACTGCTGCGCGTGCAAATGCGGACGTGGGAATATCCTTGCATTGCTCATGGATCGAACTCATCGTGCTCTAAAGGGACATTGGTCTCATCGTCCAGAGATATCCGGTTAGGCCGAACAAGGGATATGATATCGTAAGCCATGGTCAGGATTGATATGCACCTGCTCAGTGCGTTAGTGGGAGCAACATCAGCAACAACATTTGCTACTCACCCTGCAAATGTAGCCACCAGTGCGATGAACGTGAATCCCTCACGGGCAGTAGCACCAGCAAGAGCAAATTCCACAACAGTGACGACGAACAAGCCGATTACTCCCACTATGCAAGTTGTTGTCCTCTTGATGCTCATGGACTCTTCGGTGGCAAGGGGGTCGAATCTGTCGAGCACGGCGATGCGGCTGTAGAGGAAGACGTTTGCCGCCGTGGCCATCATACCCTAAACCCTCGTCAGTCGTACCCAGCGTGGAGATATATCATGACCACATACGACTGCTCCAGTCAGCCAGGTAAGCATGGTTCTCCTCTTCTCGCCTTCGAAGTCATCGAAGTTGGTGTTTCCGAACCCGTTCAAGATGAACTAGCTCAAATGTCAGAAATGAAAACTTCTTTGACTCAAACAGAACATACAGCTCCAAACCCAGTGAAGAGGAGGCCAGCACTGAGGAGAATACATGCGGTGTGAGCTACATGTCGTTGGTTTTGGAAGGTGGTCAACCAGGTATAGAAGTCAACGGCCATGGCGATCCTCTCGGGAGCTGCTCTTGCAATCAGTGGTCTTTTGGATGGCTGTCAAACACTGGCTTTCACCATATGCTGTGACCGAGATTCGAGAAAAAGAACAACTCCTCTGGAGATGATATAGGAAGACAGGAGGTTGTTGGAGTTGGAGGTCGTTGTCGTGCACTCAGCCGCAGTGGCTATATTTGGGATGGCCTGACCAATCACCACAACGACTTCTGTGGGTCCATCTGATACGCAACTTCTCTACGCGAGCGATATCCGAACTCGTCGGACGTCGTACAAGACCTCACCGAATCTGCCAAATCATCAAACTCAGCAAATCCATCCGAGGGAACAGCGAATCAACAAGATGGCATTGTCTGATTTGGTGATAGTACCATCTTTCAGAGATGGCTGACTTCTGCAAAGTCGAATCGAACGAATATGACCAGATCCAGTGCTACGGATGCCGAGCGATAGGAAAGCTCTTTCTTGAGCAAAGGCGGGACGAGACGGCAGTATGTGGACCGATACTGTTTCATCGGAGCTACCAGGAGCTTGCCAAGTGTGCTAGTAGATCAAGATGTGCCGCTTGTCAGGTCATCCAGAGAGGGTTGCTTCTGGAGCAGATCACGGTCGAGGAAGCGGTTGAGATCAACGAGAGCCAAGGAGCAGTCTATGCCACGGTGAGGAAGCATGGGGATGATGTGCTTCTCGAGGTCACTCTTGAGCATACTGCTAATAAGTCCTCGACTGCTACCATCATCTGCACCAGCAATCATGAGATCACAACTAACATCCAAGGCGTCGTCAATGGAGCAGATTGGAAACAGCTGCGAGGTTGGCTCTCTGGATGTGACAACAAGCACTCTTGTCGAAAGTACAGATGGTCAAACAGGAATCCATCCTGGTTGATCCAAGTCCTGCCACGGGATCGTGTCCGACTCATCAGGGGCTCGGATGCGGGTGGACCAAATGATGAGCTTGTTGACTATGTTGCTCTCAGCTATTGTTGGGGTAATCAGAAGACCATCTCTGAGAAAGATCCCGAGGGCTGGGAGCGTGTCAAGCGTGCTCATACTCAGGTCTTGGCCAAGGATCATCCGGTCATGGAACGACTGCGTCCGTTTCCGAGAGATGACTATCCTGAGACCATCAGAGACGCCATCAAGATCACTGAGCAGCTGGGCTTGAATTACCTGTGGGTCGACAGTATCTGCATCCCAGAGCTCAGCGAATGGGACGTTGAAGCCACCAAGATGCACGAGGTCTATGGCAATGCGTACTTCACGCTGTTCGCATGCTCTGCGGACAAAGCCATTGATCCGCTCTTCACTCCTCGCGAGGCTTGGAAACATCCCGTCAAAGCATGTCGACTCTACGGATACTGGTTGGCGAATCGCGATCCAACCTTGGCGGAAGTCAGACTGCAAAACCCCCTATCTCGACGAGGCTGGATCTTACAGGAGGAACGTCTCTCCCCGAGAATCCTCTTCTGGTGCAGCCAACGCGCGTACTGGTCCTGCTGCGAGCGACACGCTACAGAGTCCCGACAATCAAATCTTCCAACCTCTCCGGAACAAGCATCGAACCCACCAAGCCGCCCGCAAGACTTCATGATGCTCAGCCGCAGCGGCGAAAGCGAACGCATGCAGGAAGAATGGCTCGACCTCGTAGCCTCGTACACACGCCGCAACCTGGCCGAGCAAGGCAAAGAAAAAGACCGCTTCAAGGCCATCTCCGGCCTCGCAATCCGCTACCTCTCATCTAGCAATCAAGACGCCGCGCAGCGCAACGAATATCTCGCCGGTCTCTGGCGCCAAAGCTTCGCCCGCCATCTCTCCTGGCGAGTCGTAGGCGCAGTCAGACCAGAAGAGCATCTCCGCTCCGTAGCACCTACCTGGTCCTGGGCTTCCCTCCCTCTCTCCACGGAAGTGAACCTCCGGCACGAGTTCCAACCCACCGAGCACTTCACCTTGCTCGAACCAAACCACATCGCACCAGAAGACACCCCCGCCGACATCGTCTCCAAAGGCGCCCTCATCAAATCCGTCCTCGTACAAGGCCGTCTGCGGAAATTCATCTCCCCAGACTCCATCATCGTTCCCTGGGACGCCGTAATGGAAACGCACTCAGGCCGCGAAGTCTTCGGCTTGCCGATCGATCCAGACCAATCTGTACACGCCAGGAGCCAAGATGGCAGGATTCTGGTGTATGAGGCTCATAAAGCTGAAGTCGTCGGTCAGCTGGACTACCTTGAGCCCGAGTGGGTTGCCGAGAAGGGAGATGTTAGTGTGGGTTGGAATGGCGAGATGGAGCTTTGGTGTTTGGAGGTCGGGCAGTCGGCTATGCTGCTTCTTGTAAGGATTGAGGAAGATGGGGATCGGTATCAGCGTGTTGGTGTGGCGATTGGGTATCGGAAGAACTTCTTTGATGGGCACGAAGTGAAGGAGATGGTGTTGGAATGATGGTAAGATCCAACGAAGAGAAGAGAGCCAATGGAATGTAATGGAACGAATTGAACCAATCTCATGTCATTTCATGCATTCATTCATTCATAAAAACTACACGCTATGCTTTTCCGCGAAAGTCCCGTACCCGTTCTTCCGGATCTTCTGGCAAGAACGCCATCGCTATGCTTTTTCTTGAATAGAAGCCATTCCAAAACGCTCAAGCCAAAACCAAAAACCAAACGCACCAGGACACACCCGCCCAGATGCACTAAGACCCAAAAACGCCTTGCTTCGCTTCAAAACCACATCTCTAGTGAATCTCACCATTTCCCGACCCGTACGCCATCTCCTTGAACCCCGGCGGAACCGTCCAGCCATGCGTCTGGCACGCGCGGATGTAGCCATTAGCCGCCTCCATGGTGCCGTAGTCCATCTTCCCGTGATGGACATCGAGCCGCGCGAAAGGCTCAGACGCAATAGCCATGCGGATCTGCATGAGCACGGACTCCATCGACGACACGGACGACCAGCCCGTGTTCGTGAGAAGCTCCATGCACATCGCGCCGCCCATGACGATGTGGCCGCCTCCGCCTTGCGCGAAGGTGAGGAAGCGAGGGCGGATGACGCGGACGTAGGGTGGGGAGAAGGGGAAGTCCTTGTTGAAGCGGATCTCGAGGACGATGCTCTTGACGTTTTGCTTCTTCATGTCTTCGGCGAGGGGCAGGGGTTTGTCTTTGACTTCAAAGGTGTGGAAGGAGTGCAGCTCGACGATCCATTGGTAGACGTTCTCGATCTTGTTGCCGTCAATGTACCATCCCAGCTCAGCCAGTGGCGTCGTCTCCTGCACCTTCAGCAAACTCTTCATCTCCTTCATGAGGTGCTTGGTAGTGCCGGAGACGGCGTAGGTCGGCATTGGCATGATGGGCAAGGAGCTGAAGTCCAGACTGCCTGGGACAAAGTCAGTCTTTGGGCCCTCGCGCATCTTGATTGCTGAAGACGGCTGGGCTTTGGATTGGACTGGTTCCGACTCCGGCTCTGGCGGCTCGTCGAACATAATGTCTACATCCTCAGCCTCAGTAACAACACTCGCTGCGTCATCGTCGTCAAGAGGAATGGGGTTGCTCTTTCCTCCGAAGAGCTTCAGCTTCTTGAGTGGGTTGGGATTGTTCGAATCGTCCGCGACGGCTATGCCACGAGCGGTCTTGCTGGACTTCACGGCCGATGCTGGTATGGCAATGGTACCACTCATACCACGAGGAGTTCTGCTGGGATCTTGTGGATGTGGGTTCGAAGGCATCTTGTCAGTGCCGAGGAGGTTTTGCGTTGGCGCAACCGAGACGAAGAGGTATCGAGTTTGAATCCAGTCTACAAAAGAAGTTAGCAAAAGCGTTCATATGAATGGGCATCATTAGTCTACGCACCGAGTTGCTGGACCACGTAGTAGGGCTGCTGACACGTGAACTCGGCAGGTGCGTTGACAATCTCGTTGAGAGCAATGGCACTGTTGATGTTGAGTATACTGCCGGGCCACTGCCCATGCCGCTGAGAAGGAACATAGCTCATGGAAGAGTATCCGAGAGATGTACCCGCTTCTTTGGCATGATAAACACCATCTCCATAAGCACGTCCGTGGTCTGCATTCTTGAAGTGGAGACCTTCTCGAATAATCATATGCCAGTTGCACAGAGGAGAGCCATGCCATGCGAAGATGGTGGGGTATTCGAGTCCCAGTCGCTTGGTGGTCTTGCGCACCTCAGTGATGAAGCGTTGCTCTTTGTCTGGTGCTCCCATTGCGAATCTAAACTGCATATGATCTTTCATGCCAAAGCATCTCTCTGCACTTCGATCGACACCAGAGGAACCTGTCTGCGCATCTGTTTGGCCGTCAACTTGCATGATACAGGCACGATTGCTTGCAATGATCCAACGTAGGAGGCTGAGTGCTGATGGAGAGATGCGTTCAACCCAGGACCTAAGCTCTGCGGAGTGACCGCGGCTGAGGTAGTCTTTCATCTCCTGGACCGTGGGTAGGGTGTCGAGGAGTCTGCAGATGGATAGAGACTTGCCCGTAGCGTCTAGATCTGAGAAGTCTTGATCATACACAGAGAATGTAACGGAAGCCCAGTTTGGCGACAAGTTGGCGGGGCTGACGGGTCTGGTAGAGGCAGGCGTCTGTGGCGCCACCGTGCCTGGGGGATGGCCATTCTCGCTGTGCTGCTGCTTGCGAATGTGAACCGGCTTGTCAATCGAGATGGTCGGGAAGAATGTGGTCTCTGAGACGCGACAGTGCAAGTCATGGTCTTCGACAGAGTTTGTGTTCAATACAATCCAACTGCCTCGCCTGACTGGGCAAGTCTTGGACTGATCGTAGAAGATGATTTCGCACTTGTTCAGATCGAAACCAGCGTCGTATTTCGGAGTCTCCTTTGCTGCCAATGCCTTCTGTGGTGGCGTAGGCTGACCGTACACACGACCTCGATAATTCGCAGCGCTGTCGACGACGTTGTATGCTTTGGTGTCGACTGGAGGTACTGTAATTGAGAGACCGTCTGGAAACTCCTTTAGCTTGCGAGCGGCGGCGCTGTTGTAGCAGAAAGAAATGAGCAAGTCCACAACGTATGGCTGGGCGAGGACCTCGTGCTCGATGCTTGGGCCAAAGCCGAGGGTCATGTACTGATACAAGCAAAGGCTGTCGTCGCAAACGTAGGGCTTGATTGCCTCAACCTCTGTGTCAAGCTTGCGATGGCAGACAAGGCAGAAGTCGGTACAGCGAACGAAGTGGCGCAGCAAGAATTGCATGGCAAGCAGCGGGAATGAGTACTGCGTCGTTCCCTTCTCGCTGTAGTGATCGCGGTTGACAATGTCTGGAAGAGCGTCGTTATGCGAGTCTGGAAAGTAGTACTGATCGGGGATGACGTCCGCATTTGCGCTGCTGGTTCCAGTCGAGGCTTGATGGCGATACCAATCTTCAGCACCCTTCCAGCCCATGCCTGCTGAACGGAATCTCAGAATTGGTATGAGTCGCTCTTGCAGGAGAGCAGCCAGTGGCTTTGAGATGAATGTCTCTCGGATTGACGGAGCGATCTCTGGCGTATCAGAATCTGGCAGGTTGCTGACGCTGACGCTGGTGCGATCCTTCTTCTGCACTACCGTAAACGCATTGATGGCTTCTTGGAGTGTCGGCTTGTAGTGCTTGCCGGCCACGACCCTCATGCACAGGTTTGGGACAAGTCGAATGCTGTCGTATCCTTGAAGCTCTTCATTGGTTTTGTATCCATTTGGGTACTGAATGATGAGGGTGAGGTAGTCGTCAGGCTCGACCTGCCATGCCTGCATAGCTTCTTCGGAGATGCCAAGCTTGGTCATGCGTATCGAAACCGTCACGTAGGCGTTGAAACCGGCGAGCAGGTGGCCGAGGTAGCCAACCTTGAAGCCAGCATCCTTGGCATTTCGAAGATCAGTTCGAATGCGTTGTCTGAATGCTCGTCCATTAGCTCCGGCTTTAGCTGAGGCGGGTGCTTGGCTGGCGTAAGCTGGGTTATGTGCGGGAGCTGAAATCTCGAAGGCCTCATGATCGGAGTCGTAAATGTCGTCTTCATCTTCTTCTTCGCTCTCGTACTTGTCGATCTCGTTGAACTGTGAGTCCTGCATGACAGAGTCGCCATCCCGGTCGAGTTTGGTGAGCGTGGCGCTGACGATGTCGAGCATTTCGAAGACCGTCTTGCGGTTGACGCCTCGAACATCGCCAAGTGCGGATGAGATCTCGGGAGAAGCGTTATCGTCGGCGAAGATCATGTACTCGTGTGACTTTGGATAGTCTCCCAGATCTGGAACCAGTGCGGTGATTTTGGCGGGTCCTGAGGGTAACGAGCCAGATGCTCCGTGGAAGAGGAACTCGATTTGGCCATCATCTTCACCAGCCTTGACGTCGCTGATGCCGAGTGGCAGGGTACCAGTTTGGACCTTGGCCAGATCGGCGACGAACTGCCGCCGAGGCATGGTGGCGAGGATGTGTTGTGAACTTGTGGGATGTGGTAAGTTGAAAGGTTGCAAGGCGTGAAGTAGCTGGCGATCTATTTGCTTCCTCCAGACGCAGCGGCGTATATGCACGCACCGTTCTTTGTGAGAAGTACGGGCCGGCCAATGTTGAATGAAGGCCAGCAAACGAAGGTCAGCGTGTGTTGGCGGTGGTTGTGGGTGGTGTTGTTGTAAGGTGTAGGTGCAGATGCGGAGTTTGTACGTCGCACAGAGAGTCAAACGGGCGGGTGGCTGCCTAAGGCGGCATCAAGTGAAGTTGGAGCGAGTGAAGAGAGAGTGACTAGCGCGTCACATGCACGGGTGTGACTGCCGCTGGTTGGTGCTTGATCGGTGCGGCCTCAGGACGATGCGATGCTGATGTGTGTGGGTGAAATAAAGGAACAACTGGCGGACCTACCAGTACAGAATTATCGAAAGAAGGTGAATTTCTGCCAGCTGCCAGCTGCCAGCAGCGTGAAATGTTGAGTCCTGCCTGTGGTAGCTTCTTCGGAGACGTGGTGTTGGGTATAGGCAGCCAGTGGCTGGAGCCCGAGATGTGCTGCAGGGATCATGGACGGGATGTGGCGGTGCATAATCTTAAACTGCATCGAACTCACTTCTCACACGTGACAGCCATCGCAAGTGAATAACACCACCCACAGACATGGCACTGTCCTCCACCAAAACCAGCACCTCCAAAGTCGAGCCCAAGTCAACACACGTATCAGACTCCGCGATCCAGCCTTTTCTCCAACCCAACTTCGACCCCGCCGAATACTTGAACAGCACCCTACCGACCCTCTCGATATCCACGACTGGCACAAGAGGAAAGGCTGTGCCATTGTCAGATCTCTCGTCCCAACTACAGACCCTCCTCTCCCAGCTCAATGCACAGACTTCACGGCTGTCGAATACTCTTACGCAGCTCACGGACGAGATCATCAGAAGTGGCAGCAGATTGGCATACGAAGTAGAGGTGTTAAGAGGAGAAACCTTGGGCTTGACAGATTCCTTCGAAAACGATCTCAAGAAAGACATTGAAACATTCGTCCTACCTTCCAGCAACACGGACGTCCACAATGGCGACCCAGCCGCCCCAGAAGACGAGAATACAACAACCACCCCCTCACAACCCCCCAACGACCCCGACTTCCTCACCCACCTCCGCGACCTCACAACCGTCCGCACGCGCCTCGACTCCGTAATCAAAACCTTCGGCTCCGCAATGCAGTGGCCCCTCGCCCCCTCTGAGCTCTCCCTGGCCTCCTCCTTTATCTCCGTGTCAGCGCCCGAGCCCGGCGACGATAACGACAGCCGCAGCCGCGAAGAGAAAGGGAAAGCGTACACCGAGAAACTCCGAACTGAGATAAACGACTTGCTCGCTGCAGGCGTGGAGGGTGTGGAAGCGGCGAACGCCCGCGTGGAGGAGTTGAGGGAGCTGGCGGAGGTGTGGAAGGGGACGGCGGAGGAGAAGGCGAGGATGAGGCTTGTGGATGCGTTGCAGAAGAGTGTGGATGAGAAGGTGAGGACTTTGGAGAAGGCGAGTGCGGATGGGGGTAGGAAGCCGGGGGTTTCGCCTGCGAGGGGTTATGATTATAGGTATGGTGGAAGTAGTAGTACGGAGATCCCCAAGGCTGCGAACGAAGGTGGGTGTGGATATGGATTTCTTCAGAATTTGAAGAATTTGAGGAATGATATGTATTTGGATTGAGAAAGACCAGAGATCTCCAAAACAGAGAGTGATGTTGACATTGCTTTTTCATTCCAATTCGTATCGTCAAAATACATTTATCGTAAACATCATATCACATCACCTCCCATGACATCGCCAACCCCGTCGCGCCCCATCACCAACCCCCCTCGATCCCCTCCTCTACGCACCATTCCCATTATACGCCAAATAATTCTTACTCGGCGGCAAAATCAGCAGTCCCATATTAATCTTATCCTTGGTACTCAAATCCTGAATCCTCTTGCACAGCGCATCGGGGGTCCTCGCGCCCTCCAATCCCAAAAGATACGCGCCCAGTCCAGTGATATGCGGCGTCGACATGCTGGTGCCGCTGATGGTGTTGGTGTCGTCCGGGCCATCGATCCAAGTGGACGTGACGTTGACACCTGGGGCGAAGATATCCACGAGCAGGCCGTAGTTGGAGAAGGAAGCGCGGTTGTCGTCGGCGTCTGTTGCGCCGACGGTGCAGACGGAGGGTTCGGAGGCAGGCGAGGATGTGATGGTGGGGAGACCGCTATTACCCGCTGCGACGGCGAGGAAGAGGCCTTGCTGGACGGCGGCGGCGGCGGCTTGGTTGGACATGGGCGAGAAGATCCCGCCGAGGGAGAGATTGGCGACGGCTTTGCCGATGCGGCCTTTGGCTTTGGCATCTTGGACGGCCCAGTCGATTCCGGCGAGGACTTGGGCGTTGGTGCCGCTGCCTTCGGAGGAGAGCACTTTGACGGCGATGAGGGAGGTTTTCTTGGCCACGCCGTACGTGTTGGAGCCTGTGGTGCCGGCGACGTGGGTGCCGTGGCCGTTGCCGTCGCGGTCGTCCTCGTCGGGAACGAAGTTGGCGCCCTTTACTGCTCGTCCTGTGAAGTTGTTAGAATTGCAACGTGGGATCATTTGGCGGAAGCGACGGACCTCCAAAGTCGTTGTGCTCAGTGTAGATGCCAGTGTCGATGATGTAGGAGAAGGTGCCTGCTCCAGCCGTGTCATCGTAGATGTATTCCGTCGCGCCCTTGTTGCGGTGCGAAATGCGTGCAAGACCATAGGGTGGGTTGGCCTGGACGGCATTCGCGTACACTCTCGTATTTGGCTCAATCGACTCAATGGCGGTGATGGAGCTCAAGAGGCTGACAGCATCGGTGACGGAGTTGATGGAAAAGCCCTTGAAGCTGCCGAAGTTGTATTGATGGCTAGGCTGAACTCCAGCAGCCTGGGTGACCTGTGAAAGCACATCGGCAAGGACAGCATTCTCGTTGACCTTGACGATCCAAGAACCGGCAATGTTATCTTCCTGGCGAGTCTCAAGAAGAACTGGAGCGGCCAGCGCAGTTGGCAAAGCCAGGAGAAAGTTGAAGAAAGAACGCATTGTTGGTAACACAGGAATCGATTGAAGTCTTCCAAAAGAGAACGGGAAGAGTGTAGATCAGAGACAGACAGGGAGTTGGACAAGGATGGATGCAACGAAATATATACCTACGTTGCCTCGCAGACGTTCGGTGATGCCCGTTATGGCCGCTGCATCTACCCTTCACCCAGCGGAGAAGGACGATCATACCAAGTCTTCAAATGCAGCCTCTTGAAGCGCAGTACACGTAAAGGTCGTGCAACCATTCGTTGACAGGCGTTGATCGACGGCAACGGTGCCTTGGCAAGGCATGTATCGAAACGAGGTATCGCGTGAGGTCGAAGGTGTAAAGACCCATTCTTCGAGATACCAATCCATACCGGGCGAAGATCTTCGGCTTTGGCGACGTGTTGGGTATGTGGGACGAGCAAACCCACCTCAGGTGGTGAAGAAAAGTCCCGAGGTCCATGCAGGCTGTCAGCGGGAGTCGCTCTAGTCAGTATAGCATTATCGTGGGAGCCACTTGGCGGCATGACGTTCTTTTCTGTATTCGAAAGGTGACAAGAATTGCCAAGTTGAGCGGCTGGCGCCAAAAGCCGCAGCTGGTCCACTGGTGTGTGGAGTCTGGCGAAGAAGCATGGCAGGAATCGCTAGCCAAGCTGAGAGCTCAGCGGCGCAGCTCTTTACCTTCTGCGTTGAGCGAAGAAGGGCCTGTAACGTTCAGAAGTGCTTGTCGTCCTCGAAAAGGTTGATGTCGCCACCTACGTGGGTTGCACTTTGTGTAACAGTGCAATGCAAAGGGGTGCTGCTGGTCTCCGAGGTTGGCGGGCAGGGTGTAACATTCGCCGGAATGTGGCTTGCGTTGGTAGTATTCGCCTCTCTTGTCAGGACACAGAGAGTGGCAATGTAATCGGTCGTGCCGTTTGTGGATGACTGCTCGGGTGTTGTAGGGCGTTTGAGCCAGTGCACTGCCTCCGGGGGTTGACTGTCTGAGCAGTTGTAGACCACTGGGAACTTTCTATCAGGACTGATTGCCTCCACCGCTCCGCTCGCAAGACTCGAATCGCTTTCGCCTTTTGGTTTCGATGTAGGATCCGAGATTCATCGCCGTCTGTGGAAGCTTCGACAAAAGCAAGGGCAAGCTTGTGCTGCCTCAGGTAGAAAGTACTGGTCCGAATGATTGCCAGGTTCGTCGATGAAGATTCGAGGTCCCGTGGTCCTGATCATGATAGAACACGTGAAATCACATCTGAGGGCGCCAGTCGTCAGTGTCGGCAGTCATGTGCCAAACGGTCTGGGTTGCCGCTTGCATAGTATGCCTTCCCAACACCAGCGAGTTCTCTTCGGCCAACTTGAACAGCGGGCATGGCCGTTTGCGGTGATCCATTTTGGTAATGCTTCGACGTCCCTCCTCGCATCAAGTCGCAACATATTTTGAACAGTCGTAGCCGAAAGCATCGAAGAGGGTGGGTGAGATGGGCTTCACCTGACAGACATCCAGAGCACCGGCACGCGGGCAGTTGATGTTGGTCGGCTACGCCTTTGCACGAACTGTAGAAGACAATCTCCTCTTCTACAGGCGAGGAGGGGCGTGGACGGCATATATGTTCTCCTCTCCTGCCAGGATCCGAAAAATACGAATGACAGCCCGGAAGATCGACATCCGAGAGACAAGGCCCATACAAGTAGGCCAACCAGAATAGATAGCGAAAGACCACATCACAACTGCAGTGCTGCAACTGCATATCGGCTGCTTTGGTGTCGAAGGCAATGGACGTGGAGATGTCGAATGAAGCTTGGCCGTTCGGAAAAGCATTGCAGGTGGGTATCTCTTAAACGACTATGCTCAGTGATTTCTTCGTTTGCTCATCGTCGTCTCCTCCTTATTGGTTCGCCACGTTCAGCACCAGGCTGACTTCATATATCGCTCATGCCGTTCTTCAAGCCGTGCTTGAGAAAGTCATCACGCTCGATCTCGTGTGTACCCTTGACACGCATACTCGCAACCAGACTAGCACCAGCCCAAGGTCCAAGTGTTTCGACACCTCGCACGATGCCTTTGACTGGCGCCGCCTTACCTTTAGCGGCTTCACGTTCAGCTTTCATCGTGACCGGATCCTTTATATCGTCATGAACACGGTCGGCATGGGGGATAGCCTCTTGGAGGGGCATCTTCAATGGTGAAAGCGGTATGCTTGACGTGGAGTCATTCAGAGACCCTGGGCGCAGGTTCGCATTGGCAGATCGTTCGTTGAGCGGCTTTTCACGTCGTGATTTTGCGCTCCCATAATTGGACACCTGATCCCAACCACGAGACTCGACCAAATGCTTGATCTCTTGTAAGAGCCTCCGCTTGAGACCAGGTATCTTACTGGCTGCTCCAGTAATCACGATGCGGCTCACGCAGGTCGCTCGAAGGTCCACAGGCAGCGAGAGAAGCGTGCGATATGCCAACAAAGGTAGCGATAAGTCGTGGTCGTCGTAGTCCTTAAATGCGCTTCCTGTTGCGAAGAAGGTAGTTTCCACAGGCTGAGTGAGCTTATCAAATGCAAGTGTTGTGTTTCTTGGAGGATCGCTGCCAAAGATAGGTAGGCGGACAGTCGATTCACTCTTTTCATCCTGAGCTTCCCGCTGTCGACACCATGCCATGCGCTGAGTTACGTCCTCGGTCTCTTTGAATGTAACTTTGAAATCCGAGAGCGATTCTGATCCAGTGCTCCGAATGTGCTCTTCGATCATGCTTCCAATCTCCCGTGTAAGTAACTTGCCACCCCTAACAGTGCTTCTCTGTGCCACCTCTTTGTATTCGCCAAGAGCTGTCACCATCGTTTCTTCCCAGCCAATGTCAATCACGAGGGCGTCTCGAAGTCCAGCACTGACACAGCAGATGACAGGAGTTGTCAGTGCCACGATTGAGGGCGGCTGGGTGAAATGGCGAAACAAAACTTTCAGAGCCATCTCAAGCAGTGGCGTTGGTAGCAGAGAGGGAATTATGAGGATAGCTTTGCGAGGCTTTGCATCCAGCTGTAGGTAATCTGTCTGTGCCTTTCGCAGGACGCGATCGAGCCTGTCTTCAACTAAGCCCAGATCCAAATCTCGCAAATCTGTCCTATACAGCTCATAGCCCGTTCCCCATTCTTCTTGCAATCGCCAATCACGCTCTTTCACAGCATACTGAGGGTCGTAGTGGCGGTAATCACCTGGTCTGCGATTGACCTCTGGAGTGAAGGGCAGAATGCACCTGGGTCTACTTTCACCCGCATGTCCTGCCGACAAATGTCTTGGACCCAGCTCGTAGATGATGATATCTTCTTGTTCGGTCCGAAAGCTGCCAGGACTCCCGAATTGCGAGGATATGCTGCGACCAAGGCTGGGAACGGTCGGTGTTCTGGGACTTCGACCTGGCGATTGAATGCTGTCTTTGAGTGCGGATGCAGTTGGTCTCGTGCGAGTGGAGGCACGTCCAGAGAAGTAGTCGCCGTTCGTAGTTGACGCTGCCATTGCGGCAGGTCTCTTAGAGAGTCTCGATGAGTGACGGTGTTGTCTCAAGATGCTACATGCTGTGTCTATCTCCAAGCTGCAGTCGGTCGAGTGAGGATGGTCCCGTCTGGCTTGACAAAGTCTTGGCAACGGCTACATTTGCGCTAGCGGCCGAGCTCTTTTTTTCGACGATTTGAGCTTCGGAAAGTCGACTTGCACAAGACCACCCACCTCCCATCACCGCATCCCACGGAACATCCATCGCCGCCAGTTCCTACACCCCAATAATACTCGCCGCAGTCTAGCGGCACACACGCGACAGGATGACGCTCTTCATCCTCACCGAGACTTCTGCGGGCTATGCCCTGCTCAAGGCCAAGGACAAGAAGCTGCTGAAGAAGGATGATTTGGCCAAGGAGACCGAGACTGCAGAGGGTGTCTGCAGTCTTCTCAAGTTGAAGCAATTTCACAAGTTCGACAGTGCCAGTGCGGCGCTGGAGGAGGCTGCGGCATTGACAGATGGCAAGGTGCGAAATTGAGCTTTGAAGATTTCGTGTGAAGCATCAACTGACAGATGAACGTTATAGGTCACGCCAACCCTCGCCAACATGCTCAACTCGATCAAGGAGGAGAAGAAGGTGTCTCTTGCTGTCGCTGACCCCAAATTGGGCAACGCGATTGGCAAGCTCCCAGGCCTTCAAATCACGCCCGTCTCCGATTCCAGCACTGCCGACCTCTACCGCGCTATTCGAGAGCACCTCCCTTCGCTCATTCCAGGACTCATGCCTGAAGACCTCAACACAATGTCTCTCGGTCTCTCGCACAGCTTATCTCGGCATAAGCTCAAGTTCTCCCCAGACAAGGTGGACACAATGATTATCCAGGCTATTGCTCTACTGGATGACCTCGACAAGGAGCTCAACACATACGCTATGAGAGTCAAGGAGTGGTACGGCTGGCACTTCCCAGAGATGGCACGCATTATCAACGACAACCTGGCATACTCCCGCGTTATCCTCTCCATGGGCTTCCGATCAAGCGCGAGCAACACTGACCTCTCAGATATCCTCCCCGAGGAGATCGAGGGCGCCGTCAAGGGTGCTGCTGAGGTCTCTATGGGTACAGAGATTACCGACGAAGATCTCGAAAACATTCAAGCGCTCGCCGAGCAGGTCGTAGGCTTCACCGAATACCGCCAACAACTTTCATCATACCTGTCCGCACGTATGCAGGCCATCGCACCTAACCTTACAACACTCGTCGGAGACCTTGTTGGCGCTCGCCTGATCGCTCACGCCGGATCCCTCATGAACCTTGCCAAATCCCCAGCATCGACCATCCAGATCCTTGGCGCCGAGAAGGCGCTGTTCCGCGCACTCAAGACGAAGCACGACACTCCCAAATACGGTCTCATTTACCACGCATCTCTCATTGGCCAAGCATCTGGCAAGAATAAGGGTAAGATCGCTCGTATGCTTGCCACCAAGGCCGCACTTGGTCTTCGTGTCGACGCTCTTAGCGACTGGGGCCAGGCTGGCGAGGGCGAGAAAGAAGAGCCTACCGAGGAGGAGAAGGCCAGTGTGGGCAATGCAGGCCGTGCCATGGTCGAGAGAAGGTTGCGAGGACTGGAGGGCAAGCCACTCAAGGCGAACACCGTTGCGATTGGGCCTCAAGGCCAGAAGCAGGAGCAGCCTGGCAAGTGGGAGATCAAGGAGGCTAGGAAGTACAACCCAGATGCGGATGGTCTTTCAGCAGACGCTAAGCCCCAGCTCACCAACGGCGACGCTTCGTCGAGCAAGAAGCGCAAGATTGAGGAGGTCTCGGAGCAGGCTGAGGCGGGCGACGAGGAAGACAGTGATGACGATGACATGGACGTGACCAACCTCGTGAACGGCTCTGCCAAGTCATCAAAGACTGAAGACAAGGAGGCGAAGCGAAAGAGGAAAGAGGAGAAGGCGGCAAAGAAGGCCGAGAAAGCTGCAAAGAAAGCCGAGAAGGAAGCCAAGAAGGCAAAGAAGGCCGAAAAGGAGGCAAAGGACAGCGGTAAGAAGCGCAAGCATGATGACGACGAGGAGCCCAAGAAGAAGAAGCACAAGAGCAAGGCATAGGAGGCGTGCTCCTTTGGTGGCTTTCTCGTGTGTTATGCATTTTGCTCTTGGCGTTTGGACGGCCGGATGATAGTGGGGTTTTGGAAGGCGGAAAGTTATGTTCGGCGCTCGTGGCGTACCCGATTGATGATGGGTCACAGGCTTTTCTGTCTCATGGCGATGGTCGAGGAGACCTGCTTGTACATTTGCAACGATGTGGAGAGGATGCTGCAGCTGTGTACAGTGTGGTGGATCCAATTGATGAAACAATGCTGCATCGAATGAAACTGTATCAATTCAATCCTCTGGCTCTTTTCCTCTCGGCCCTTCATCCGTGGTATACTACTAAGACTGTTGAAAAACGCCCACTGTGCCTTCTCCTAGCACTGTCATGCTCATGTCTGACGTGTGACGGTCCCCGAACGCCTCACTACAAGCATCACCCCATCCTCGACCGCTGAATCTCCTTAAGAAACTGCAGAACAAGACGGCAGCACTCCTCATGCGCGGCCTTCTTCCCAAACAACCTCTGCACCTGGCCATGAACCCCCGCAAGCCTAGGCTCGTACCGGATATCCTTCTCAGCGAACGTAGCAGACTCGTCCACGAAATGCCCATCTCCGCGGACGGTGTCGAACTTGGGCTGCGAGAAGCCCAACTTCCGGGCGAGATCGAAGACTTGCTGCGCGGCGGATTCTCCGGCTGGTTGCTTCTCGGGGGCGTCGCCGTCGGTCATGGCGTCTGGGTCGGGCGGTTGTTGTTGTGCGGAGGACTTTCGCCTCTTGGTGGGGAGTTCGGACAGTTTGCCTTGGGCGCGGAGCCATTTTACTGCTTCCATGGCGGCTGCCTTCTTGGCTGTGTCTTTGCGCTTGAAGGGGCCGTAGGATGATCCGAATGAGGGTGTTGGACTGTCGATAAAGGATAGTGCGCATTTGAATGATTGCGGCTCGCTTTCTTCGACGATGTAGTCGGGGTAATCCATTTTGTGCTGCTGAGCGTAGGCTTTCATGTTGTTAGTAGTGATCTTCAATCTCCAGTGCTTGAAGAGATCGACTTACAGTTGATGATGTGCAACCAATTCTCGTCCTCGATACCGACCGGTATCGATGCTGTGGCGCTCTCAAGGTCAGAGCTCTTACGCTTCTTGCGACCACCGGTCTCTCCTACGTTCTTGAACCCCATCTCGGACAACTTCCCCAGAGCAAGCCTGCACATGGCTTCCTTGGCGTCTCGCTGAGAAGCATAAGGACCAGCTTTGTCGAACTGCTGGCCTTCCACGAACAAGGTGACGTCGAAGCAGCCCTTAGCGACTTCTTCGAACCTGAATTCGTGGCTCAAGCCTCGTCTTTGGCACTCCGTGTTGAAGATCTGAGTATCCTTGCCATGGTTGCGATCGAGCCTTACCGGGACTATATTGCGAGTCGGCTGAGGAGGAGACATCGGCTTTGCAGGCGGGGGCGTGTATGGATTCTCCTTCTCCCAAGTCTCGATAGGCATGAGATCTAGCTTGCTGTTGCTGCTGAATGTGAAAGTTGAGTTGTCCATCTCGATGTCCTGGAGCATGGGCACGACATTGTTGCTGGGATGTGCCATTTGGCGAAACGGAGGAGGAATGTTTTCTAGGCCACCATGGGCTTGCAGTCTTGCTCTCGTTCGTTCAGCCGGTGTTGCTTGAGAAGATCGAAGTGCTCTGCTCTGTTCTTTGCCTGCCGGGTGTTCCGCATCAGGACACGGTCTATTTAGCGCGAGCAATAATACCGCGTCTGCACACGTCGGAGTTAGGCTTGTGAATACACGGTGTGTGCAAGATTCGACAGCGTACACACGTGTACAGCCACAGTGTCCACTGATGTGCACACACGCGCGTCGGTTCTGTTTCGGATAAGTGGTTTGCCCACTACCCCCTACGCATATCTACTTGGGAGGTACCTCACAGCACGTGATTATTCGCGCTATGTACACAGTGGATTTGCTCCAGAAAGTACACACACTCTGTGCCCACAAGCTTGTGGCCACTTACACAAGGTCCCTGGCCACTCCGACTCGGAGTTGCCAGGTATCCACAGGCTGGTCAGCCCAGATTGGGATTCTGAACAATCTGATTCGCTGCACTCCCTGAATTCTGTGGATGTTTGGGGAGTCTACTGTGGATATTTGACCACTCCGATGCTTGTAGACGCTGTAGGAAAGTACAAATAGAGGCACGTTCCCTACAGAAGAGCGAGATTTATGATATTCCTAACATGCAGATCTGCACCGTAAATCGCTTGGGCCAAGACAACGCCGTTGTTACGCGCGGGATTTTGACAGACAACTAGGCTCTAGCTCGACTCGATGGACGCTGGGTGAGGATTTAAGAATTTGCCTAATCCCCTTAGCATCCCAAACGGTCGCAAACTTGAAGCTCTTCAGACAGCGTTGTGACAATCATATCAACGCAAAGCGCATTCTTCTACTTGGATTTCTCGAAAGCCGCAAAACAACAATGGCTGTAAACATGCTCAAAATGCCAGCAGGGCTTTCTAAGCCGGACACGATCTTTCGCAATCTTCGACGAATCACTTCGAACTGGAACGTCATTGTATTCATCGTCAATCCTGCCTTTGCCGGGCTCGTCTACATATATCTCTGCTTGCACCTTGCCGAAAAGAGCATTCTACCTCCTCGCGCACGATTCTTTTTGGGATTCATATACTTGCTCTTCAGTTGCGGATTGATGTACGCAACGAGCGAGGATATCAAATCTCGCTTGCAGGAAGCTGGACATACGCAGAGAAAACCCCGAGGGCGGGTGCTCAACCTCTTGCTCAACTACATTATTTGTGGAGCATGTTTTTACTGGGTCCAAAGTTGGGATACGGCTCGTGAACAGAGCGGGTTTTGGACTTCTGTGCACATCGTGGTCGGTGGACTAAGTCTCTGGTTCGGTCTGTTTTTGGTACTTCTTGGGCCAACGGTATGGTTTACAGTGCCTGTCGAAGGTGAAGAATGAATCCGGAAACGAGGTGTTGTAAAGGAGCAAGAAGGACACCCATGCGTGGCTTCGCGTCCTGAGTGTCTCTACACAGTCGCTGGGAGGTACTATCCTTCTGATCGAGCGAATAACAGTACCCTCGTGCGCATCCTTCTGAACCCCAGTTTTCAATCTAAGCCATACCGCAAGGATACCTTGACTCAAGTGGGACCCCCGCGCCTCGCTCTGGTGTATCCGTCGTGGCCGCTATCCAGTCCATACATCCAGGGTGATAGTCTAACAAGCGGCTTATGAATGTGTCGCTTCACAGGCTCGATGAGAAATGACTGGAATAGGTACATGATTACAATAATGGAAGGTGTTGGGTGAGAACTGGGATAGAGCTTCTGGAACGAGTAAGAGTTATTCAAACTTGTACAAAGGAGTGACTACATTCAGACAGTTTGGCAGGCGACTAGTATCACCACCAGCAAGAAACCGCGCCCATGTTTGCCAAGGCCGTTTCCAAAGCAGTTTATTAATCTTCCCTGTTTGATCTTCTTGTCTTGACACCATTATTAGCAGCCGGAGCAGATGCAACTGTCTCCACCAGATATCGGGAGCGGGCATAGAAATATCAGTGTCAGGGTCACTGATTGTAGCAGATACGAGCAACGGGATGAGCGCTGTGATGAATTTTGAGAAATGCATTTTGGAACGAGTCGTCTTCAATGGTTCTGAGTCAAGAAGATTGTTGAGGTGGGATATTCCTTGAGGTTTGATCGAGTTGAGCTGTAAGTCAAACATAGATGTTCTGGCTGGGCCTTTATGTTTCCTACCAAGTTGTGGTCACTGCATTTTTCTGTCTCGATGATGCAACCACGTGACATAGTAAGATGCAGCGTGCAGTACTATCGTAAATGCCTCACTCTCATGTCGAATTGTTATGTTTAAATTGCTATGCTCTTCCGAAATTGACTTCAATTCGCCAATCGCTTTCACATGTAGCCTCGGCTTCTCTACTGAACCTGCTCAGTAGGTATGGACTAAGCCAGTAAGGTTACAATATGATGTTTGCTTAACCTCATCGCACCTGTCTAGTGTATGGCACAGTAGTATACTTCATTAGAGCTAAGGGCAAAACGAAAAACTAGCTATGACAGTCCTAGCTCCAATAAAGTACACTACTGTGCCATATCTAGTTGATTGCAATGAGGTCAGAAATTTACATCATTAAAAAAGGAGAGTGAATGCAGTTGCTAGAAAACATAAAGGCCCAGCCAGAATGGCGATGCCCCTTCTCGACTCAGCTCAATTGAAACCCAAGAAACATTGCATCTACACAAACTTCACGACTTACACGGTAGCACATCTGCTCTTCCACCTCGAGACTGTCTGTAGCTAACTTCCGCACAGCTATGAAGCCATCTGTTTTGATCAGCACGCTCCTCGCCATCTTGGCTAGAGCTGCCCCTGCACCGGTGCCGGCTACAGCTGACGAAGACTACACCGTCACTGTCTACCAAGACAGTGCCTGCACAGTCTCACAGTTCTCCAATACGTTTTATACCGACGAGACTTGTTACCAGGTGCCGACGTTTGTTCGCGGCAAGTACGTGATCTTTCGGTACACCTCGAGCGCACCTGGCGCTCTAGAATTCTACAGCAATGAAGGCTGCTCAACTCCTGTCCATGAGGTTTCTCGCGGAGCAGGAGGGTGTACCGAGATGTCTGACGTAATCGCATCGTTCGAGAGCTTTTGATTTGGATGTACGAGAGAGGGGAAAGAAAGTGAATAAAAGGAAGCGTGTTATGTGACGAACGGCAGGTGGCCAGACGACGAACGCCTTGGCAGTAAATGACTTACTCAAGAATCGAATGTAATGATACTGCGAGGTAAAGTTCTTGCAGCCCTCTTCTACGTCTGTCTGTAGGCCCTAGGCTTCTGCCCGCCGTTGTTGATTCACGCAACCAATGTACAGATTGTTCATGATGGTAGGTGTGTCTGATCGATTTGGTGAATCGAAGCTCTCGTACAAAGGACCCGAGAGCTGAAAGTACGGGCAACGTGGGAGCAGATCGCGGCTTCTAGACAATGCCAGTTGCTGATTGATACCAGGGTGTGTCGGGAGTCATCCGACAAGGCTCTTGCGTCTAGTCAGTCTTGTGGAATTAGTTGATTAGTCAAAGTTCCATGGCGTTATCTATTATGGAGTAGTCGAAGCAATGACATGGAGGTGAGGTGAGATGAACGAGATGAAGTGCGGCTGCAATGCCAAGAAGCTTTAAGCTGCATCTCTGCTACTAGCCGTTGACTGCTGCTGAGCTTGGACTGCAAGGCGGCCTCGGCGGAGCCAGGGGGCGACGAAGTTGTTGTCTTGCAGAATTCGACACCTCCTGCTCCGTTCTTTAAGTCTGTTGGCAGTTTACCGTATTCACCAGTCCGCGAAGAAGTGCCTGTGTCCTTCACACGTGGAGCGTATGCGCGGATCGACACATGAGGTCCTCCTGCATGGCGGCTTTGATCCGATGCAGCTGTGGCACCAGCGCCGATGCTTGTGCTGTGGGCATCTTCACTCCCGTCTCGTGAAGGCACCGAAGACGCTGGAATCAGCTGTCCATTATACGGCACCAGCATTGCAGATAACAGCTCGTCGATGGCCGATTGTTGCGAGGAAACCGGGAAGTCGCCGTGGCGGTCCATCGCCCAAACGCGTCGCGTCCCCGGAACTGGGTCCGCGACCGAGCCAGAGGGAGTGATATTGGCAGCGGGAGAAGTGTTGATGCAGAACGAATGATGATGGCAAGGAAAGGTGGAGATCTCAAAGGCAGACGCGGCGCCGCTTGCTAGGCATCGACACCGTCAGGGCATGAGCGACCTCGACGAGATTCGGTGAAAGCGGGCGTTAGCCGTGAAGCGTGAAAGCTGAATGAGATTGGTGTTGATGTCAACGATGGCGAGAAACACCCCTCATGAAACGTGAAAGCAATCTGATCGACCGAAAAAGGAAGGGACGATTTGGAAACGCACAAAAGCCGGCTTCACCTGCACTTCACTCTCCGCCAAGCTTCACATGTTTTCACATCACCGCTGTGAAACGTATGGTATTGAACTGGCTGTGCATCTACTAGTGTCAGAACTATCTAATCACTTCTTCGGGCTTCAGATTCACAGGCTCCATGTTCCATGCTGTTCCCTCTTGAGACCGGCTCAAGCGTCAGCATCAACGTTATTGGGTCAGCTCTCGTCCATCTTCAGGCGAATGCATAGAATGCATCCAACATTGAAGCGAGCCCAGTTGGAAAACTTGTTTATGCAAGGGCGTTGCCACAGTCTGAAGAGGAAAGGTATGCGCCGCGAGCGAGGTCGCGGAAGGATCACCTTTAAGTAAGGTCGATGAGAAAAGAGGCGCAGGAACAAGGTCACCACAGTGGGGTTGCTAAACGAGACTCCTCATATATAAGATGCACGATGCTGCCATTCCGACTCCCAAAATTTAGGGTATTCACTCATAAACTCGTTACCATCATGCTTTCCTCCCGATGCCATGCGAAACCTCTAGCAAAGACAGAAAGCCTCATATACCCATCGCTCACTGCTTGCCCGGCTGCCCAAACTCTTGGTACTTGGGTGGCGCTGAAGACCCAAAGCCTACAGGCTGGTACGACTCTTGTACCGGCCGGAAGCCACCTTTGTCGTTCGACACGCCCTGAGCGCCTTGCGCGTTCTTGATGTCTTCTTCGGGGACCACGCCGCCATCACCACCTCCAACGACGATTTCGCCGCCGCCTCTGACTTTACCAATGACCATGCCCTTAGCGACTGATTTGATGACCGCACGGCGAGAAACACCGGCGACGTCGATGTAGACGAGACCGACATTCTTGACACCACCAGCAAGACCTGCAGCGATCGATCCCGCTTCCTCGCCGTATCGATGTCCGACCATATGGCTCGCCGCTGCACCACTGGTCTCCAGGAGAGTCTTACCGCTCGTGGCAATGCCGTCCATGACGGTACTGAATGCGATCATTGACTTGTTCAACAAGCCTGGCTTGTACTCGTCCTTGGCGAGAGGCTGACCTTTCTCGTCATAGCCTTTGTGTGATCGGTCCTGTTTATGGCCCGAGGCTTTGGCGGCAATGTTCTGGACGGTGTTCGTAATCTGCCCGACAGTCTTGCTCGACAAACCTGCGGCGCCGCTGGTGAAGGTGTGGACTTTCCTCACGCGCGAATGTGCGGCAGGTGAGAACTCGAGCGGCTTATCGAGCGGCTTGGTTTTGCTGCTAAAGTTCTCTGCGCCGCTGGTCATCATGTTACCGACGTAAGAGCTGCCAGTGACAATCAGCCGCGAAGCCGTCGCAGCCCGTTGGACTATGCTGCTGTCCTTGTATGCAGGATGCTTGGCCATGCGCAGATAGTCCTCTGACACTGGACGCACTTCGATGCGCTTGCCATCCTGGCTGACCTGAATTTCGACAGGATCCTTGGACCCCGCCTTCAATTTGACGTCTTCGATGACTTGTGCGTCGCCTCCTAGTTCTCCAACAACGGATCCGTCATCTTCATCGATCAACACGATTTCTCCATGCTTCCTGCCGGTCTTGTCATCGACCGCGTACTTTCCTCCAGGTGCGTAGTCGGAAGGATCGTACTTGCCCTTGAAGCTGGGTCTCGAAGGCATCGGAGGCCTCGCGCGCTCCAAGAAGGCGGTGCACTGAGCCAAGATGGTCTCAAAGGTGTCAACGTCTTCCTGCGTCACGCCGTAGCCTATTTGTGGAAACTCGATGCGTGTAAAGACGCCAGCGTTTGGGCCCATATCCCATCGCGGAATGAGGTAGCTGCTGGGCGGTTGGTGGTAGATTTGTGTCGTCGCTGGTAGGGGGAGGTCGAGCTCTGGTGGTAGATTGAGGTGGAGGTAGAAGTCTTCATCAGGGGCGTCGTTCTGAGGAGTCGTGGTGCTGAGGTCGGCGAAAGGCGAGCTGGTAGGGACCATCAAGAGCGAGAGCGTCTGTGGGCCAGATGGGGTGAGCTCGTGCTCCTGGCCATCTTGAATGTGGTATGCCTTGATGCCCTTGATTGCGTAGAGCAACTTAGGATCGTGGTGACCGGCCATTGGTTTGGATTCGATGTGTTGAATCGTTAGGGTCGTAGGCTCTGTGCGTGACGTTTTGTGTTCAATTCGTAGGACTGCGGGCTGTCAGGGAAACAGCGAACCAACAAGGGAGTGAGAAGGGCCGTCAATGTCAGCGGTCAAAGAGAAGTTGGCACAGAAGAAAAACAATTGCGTGTAGACTCTCCCCCCGACCAACTTTTGAAGCACAAAGACGTGCAGCTCTCGTGCCCCTCCACTCGGCGCCTACATCATCAACACAGCCACGATTGCTTGTCTTGGCGACGACACGGCGCCTGTGTAACAAATCGAGTGGTCGTTCTCGCGCCCATGGCCCATCGACGCGGCTACTGCACCGCCACCGCTCTCGTCTCGCTGCAGGTGATATCCTTCTTGGACGCCACCGTCAGATGAATGGTGTTGGGGAGAGGAAGCGCGAGCGCGAGGACGTGTAAGCGGCCAAAACTCACTGAGCCCCACATGACTCGCGCGAATCGCGCTAAAGATTTACGGAATCCAATGTCACTTCGCATGTGACTTTGCTTTCTTCAAATCCCACTTCCATCGAACAGATCCATCAACACAAACAGCTCCAGTCCCTCTTACGGACATGCCAATGCTTTACACATCAGCCCACAGACGCAAAGTCGAAGGATTTGGATGGTCTCAACCCGCTCCGTGAAGGGCAAGCGCAAAAACAAAAACACACCTCCAACGGCGGCGAAATAAGATACCGAGAGACCAGCAGACCGACGATGCCTGCTATCTCACTAGGACCTCTGAACAAACCGCTTCGGTTTATTCGTCGACAGCTGCCTCCTATCAACTTCATCACGATCCATTACCTCTACTTCATCTCGACATGCCTGGTCAGTGCCATCATCCTGTGGGGCTCTGCTACCCCGGCGCATAGCCTGGCCTTCATCGACGCTCTCTTCCTGGCTGTTAGTGCCATGACATTGGCTGGATTGAATACAGTCAATCTTTCGACTTTGAACACGTTTCAGCAATTCTGGCTCTTTCTTCTGATCATTCTGGGCTCTGCTATATTGGTTAGCAGCGTTGTGGTGGGGGTGAGAAGGGCTGCGTTTGAGAAGAAGTTCAAGGATATCTTCGAGAACCGCAAACACAAAAGGGATCGAAGCTGGTCTAGACGTGGACGAACGTGGTCATTGAGCAGGAAAACCACTGAGGTTCAAGAGGGTCCATCTCCCAGCAACGACGGGAAAGACCACGGCGACTCGCAAGAAACGAACCACGAAAGCGATCAGATCGTAGGGGAGCGATGTGTCACTCCTCCCGCGCGGCGAGGCGCACCTGAAATGAATGGTGTTTCTAGTGAAACTGGCGAAAAGCTCAATCTCGATCGTCCAGACACTATGGAAGAACAGCCCGAAGAAGGGGGCTTGCAACCTCACACCTCCGCTTTGCAATTCAGATCTGACACTGTTTTTCATCGTCATCATGGCTCGCAGTCTCCGGTGTCGACAAGACGACGACCTCATGCCATGTTCAATGTTCAGGGTGTTGGCGCAAGGCCTTCGGCAAGCCTGGATCTAACGACCGCTGGACGACCGCCCAGCACAGTGCCGTCTGTGCATCCTGCCAGCCAAGGCGACATCAGTCGATACTTTGAGAGCATGGAAGGGTGGATCTCGAGGAATAGTCAATTCCACGGACTCACTGACAAAGAGCGTGCACGCCTTGGAGGCTACGAATACCGCGCCGTGAAACTGCTCTCGTGGTTGGTCCCAGCCTACTTCGTTCTGTGGCAGCTGCTTGGCTGTCTTGGTTGCGCTGCATGGATTGCCAACAACAGACCTGACAGTGCTCGCAGCAACGGCCTGAACCCTTGGTGGGTTGGCGCATTCAATGCCGTGTCTGCGTTCAACAATTCGGGCATGAGCCTTCTCGATGCGAACATGACCGCCTACCAGACCGGTTACTACTTGCTCATCACGATGAGTCTCTTGATCTTAGCTGGCAACACGTGTTACCCGATCTTTCTCCGTCTTATCGTTTGGACAATGTATAAGATTGTGCAGCGTTTCGAAGATCGATCTGAGGATTGGCGTGAACGAGCTCGCACGCTGAAATTTCTACTCGACCATCCTCGGCGCTGCTACACAAACTTGTTCCCCAGCCAACATACCTGGTGGCTGCTTTTGTCCGTGGTCACTCTCAACAGCATCGACTGGGCGGCCTTCGAGATCCTCAATATCGGCAACGAATACATTGATGCATTTCCTGTCGGAGTTAGAGTCATCGATGGGCTTTTCCAAGCCTTTGCCGTTAGGAGCGGTGGTTTTTACGTCGTCATCATTCCAAAGGTTCGCATCAGTCTGCAGGTCTTGTACGTGGTCATGATGTACATCTCGGTCTATCCAGTGGTCATCACCATGCGCAACTCGAACGTTTACGAAGAGCGCTCGCTAGGTATCTACGCCGACGATCAACCTCAAGACGAGCAAGCCCGCACTTCTCGACAAACTGAAAACCCAGGATTTATCCGCCGCCTCACCGGACATCTCGTGGGCGGCAATCCTGGTACAAAAGAATCCAACGGCACCTTCGTCCGCCAACAGCTCCGCGCCCAGCTTGCACACGACGCCTGGATCATCGTCATCGCATTATTCCTCATCATGATCATCGAAGTCAGCTGGTTCGACCGCGATCCCGTCAACTTCAGCGTCTTCAACTTCCTCTTCGAGATCGTGAGCGGCTACGGCTGCGTGGGAATCTCCGTGGGGATTCCGTGGAACTCGTACAGTTTCTGCGGGACGTGGCATACGTTGAGTAAGCTGATCTTATGCATCGTTATGTTGAGGGGACGACATCGTGGCTTGCCTGTGGCCATTGATCGCGCAGTTTTATTACCCGGGGAGGACAATGAGCAAGCGGAGGAAGACGATGGGCGGATCAGGATGGCGAGGACGATGAGTCGTGGACGGGCACTGGAATCGCCGTTGCCGCGTGATGCAGTTTAGGGAGTTCGATGTTGTGAGGACTGTTACTTGAGCGTTGTGCTTGCATTGATTCGGACGATACCCCAAACGCGTTGTTTCGAAAGTGCTGATAGTATATATAGTCGACAACTCCTCCAATGTACCGCATCCAGAGCCAAGGATGGATCGCGTCATGTCAGCAAGCAGCCAACCTACCAAAGCCTGTTGAAGCTGAAGGTTTCTCAGATCCCGTTAGCCTTGTTGAGCCCTATCCCTTGACCCCTAGAATGGAACGCTACTTTTTCGTTCTATAACAGAGACCCAGCGTGAGCTACAGCTCTACTCAAGCTGCACTACAGACGGCCGAGGCTGACCAAGTAACGTTTACTGATCTCCCCATAGCTCACGCCTTTCATTTCCAACATCCTAGATCCACATTCTCTTCCCATCGTTACTACTGCTATTCGCTAACTTCACCCTCCCTCCACAAAACTCATCTCCAAGAAAATTCAAACCATGGACCAATACCCCCCCGGCCTCCTCCTCGAAGCCGAATCCTTCACCAACCTGGGCGGCTGGACCCTCGACTCCCAATTCCAACTCACCATGGGCTCGCCCTACCTCCTCGCGCACGGCAACGGCACCCCCGTCGCAGACGCATCCACCGCAATCCCCATCCCCGAAGCCGGCGACTACAAAATCTACGTCCGCGCCAAAGATTGGGTCCCCGGCCATGCCCCGGGGAGGTTTCAGGTTCTGGTGGATGGGAGGGGTTTGGAGAGGGTGTTTGGCGCGGATGGGAGGGATTGGAGTTGGGAGTTTGGCGGGATGGTAAGGTTGGGGAGGGGGGAGGTGGAGGTTGTGTAGAGGGATTTGACCGGGTTTTGTGGGCGGTGAGATGCGGTGTTTTTTACGAGGGGAGATGGGACGCCGCCGGAGGGGGTTGATGGGGAGGCGATGGCTTGGAGGAGGTGGTTGCGTGGGCTGCCTGCTGAGCCTGTGGATGGAGGGGCGTTTGATGTGGTTGTTGTTGGTGGAGGGTTTGTGGGATCTGCGGCTGCTTTGACAGCGGCTCGGTTGGGGACTCGAGTCGCGCTTGTGCAGGATCGGCCTGTGTTGGGAGGTAATGCTAGTGTGGAGATCGGTCTGTCTCCTAGGGGTGAGCAGGGTGGTCTGGTTAAGGAGCTTGTCCAGCGACATGAGGATGGTGATCTGGTCGCTTTGCGGTTGCTCGCGGCGGAGAAGACGGCGACAGTGTTTCTCCACCATACGGTGTACAACGCTACGACCAGCGGTTCAAAGATTGTGTCTGTTGATGCACGAGAGGCTCGTACAGGACGCGAGATACGTCTTTCAGCTTCGACGTTCATCGATTGTTCCGGGAAGGCGATTTTTGGGGACTTTGCCGGCGCAGAAACGCTCTTCGGTCGGGAACCTCGCTCAGAGTATGGCGAAAGTCTCGCCCCGGTTCAGGCCGACAAGATGCATCACGGCAACACAGTCTTCTTTCGAACCGGCGAAGCCGATCATCCTGTACCATTTCCGCCTGTTCCCTGGGCGACAGAGGTCGCTCTCGACTATGCGGACCTCGGAGGACAATTGATCACTCCAGGCTTCGAAAACGGTCCAGGGCCTAAGGTCATTCCCGCTGATTGGAAGCCTGATCCCACCGTCTACCGTCGCATGTACAGACCACATACGCACTACTGGGAGTACGGCCAATGGCTCGATCCCTACACTCAAGCAGAGCACATCCGCGACCACCTACTCCGCGCCATCTACGGCACTTTCTCCAACGTCAAGACCCTCGAGCCTGAGAAATGGGCGAATCTCCAATTCGAACATGTCGCCTTCGTACCTGGACAAGGGGAGTTTCGTCGGTATAAAGGACCTCACATCTTGACGGAAGTCGAGATTCGATCTCATCGTACATTTGAAGATAGTGTCGTGCAGAATGGCTCAGCGTTTTGCTTGCATTATCCTGGCCATAAGAAGTACGACTTTCGGCTGAACCATTGGGTTTGGGATGAGCGGGATGGGAAGCCTTTTGACGTTCCCTTTCGGTCTTTGTACTCTTCGAATGTTGAGAATCTGATGATGGCGGGGAAGCATATCAGTGTTTCTCATATTGTTGGATCTTGCAGTAAGTTTTGCTCATATTTGTATCTGCTATTCAACATTTTGACGAGTCTGCAGCCAAGTTCATGGGTAATGGAGCGCAGCATGCAATCGCAACAGGTGTGGCAGCGCATCTTTGCACGAAGCACAAGACGACACCGGCGGGCATCTACGAGCGTCATTTGACGGAGCTGCAGAGTAAGGTGGCGGAGGTTGCTTCGCCCAGTGGCCAGCGGAGTCATCTGTAAGCTCACCGGAGCAGTGTCGACTGTAGGGAGAGTCGTGATCAGTAGAATAGGTCAATGTCCTGCCATTGAGGGACGGACGACGGGTAGTGGCGCGCGAGGGCCTTGGAACTGCAATCAACGTATTCCCAGCTGGTAAGCGAAGATGCCATGTCCTCACAATACCGTCTTGTCCATTGCGCAGTCGCAGGAAGCATTGCAAGACCAGAGAGTGGATTACTGGTGCAAAGGAGGAGAAATTGGAGTGAAGTCGCGAGCGGTGGTAATCGATAGGGTCTCGGAAGCAGCCGATTGGCTAATCTAGATGGGTGCTAGCGTCTCGCGGAAAAAAGTGCATGTGCTGATAGGAGAAACGCGAATGTTCAGTCGTGTGCCATCCCATCTTGACGTCTTGCCTTCATCGCCTTTCGACTTTGTATTAGTATTGGCTGGTCCGGATTCACTCATTACCAGACGGCGATTCTGCATGATACCATTGACGGCTTGAAGTCATGCGCAGAGCCTTCCAGACCTGTTCAAGGTCCATACCTCGCTCCATCACTTCCCTCACAACCAGCCGAGCAGCCCAGCAGTGTCTGAGGAGTTCGCCCACCACACACAACGCCGCATCACGAGCACCTCTCGCAATCCGAAGCCTACATCAAACGACAAAGCTTAGACAACAAGCAGCCACACAAGAAGCTGAATCGAGCGCTGCAAGTGGCAATGCGACCATCACGAAATTTGAAGAGCTGGAGCAGAAGGGCATTGTTCACCCCAATGTCGTTCGCACACTTACAAAAGAGATGGGCTTGGAGACAATGACGGAGGTACAGACTGCGACCATCAATTCGGCATTGAAGGGCACCGACATCATCGCTCAAGCGAGGACTGGAACCGGAAAGACCCTGGCCTTCCTGCTTCCCATTCTGCAGCGCATCATTGACGTCGATCCCAGCCTCGCAAATCGGACCGGAGGCAGACGAGGGCCTAGGACGACGGCAGACGATATTCGAGGGTTGATCATCTCGCCAACGCGAGAGCTGGCAGAGCAGATTGCGACGGAAGCTAGGAGGTTGACGAAGAACACTGGTGTCATCGTGCAGACTGCAGTGGGTGGTACACAGAAGAGTGCCGGTCTTAGAGCAATTCAGCGTGACGGATGCCATCTGCTTGTGGGCACCCCGGGCCGACTGAAGGACATTCTCAACGACCCGTACTCGAGAGTGGAGGCGCCAGACCTTTCAGCGCTCGTCTTTGACGAAGCGGATCGACTGCTGGACCAAGGCTTCTGGCCAGAGATTCAAGAGATCATGCACCGACTTCCGACCTCCGCCGAGAAGGATCGCCAGACTTTGATGTTCTCGGCTACTGTTCCAGCGGAGGTCGTTGACCTTGTCCGACAGACCCTCAAGCCAGGATTTCAATTCGTCAAGTGTGTCAGAGACGATGAGTCTCCAACACACGAGAGAGTCCCACAGAAGGTTGTGAGACTCAATGGCTTCGAGAATGCGCTGCCTTCATTGATCGAACTCTGCACGAGAAGCGTCGAGGAGGCCAAGAGCGGAGCCAGCAGACCGTTCAAAGCCATCGTCTATTTCCCAAGCACAGCAGAGGTGTCTCTGGCCTCAATGGCTCTGGAGAACCTCGCAGATCCCAACGCCGAGCGCGATGCTTTTGGCGGTGGATCCGGTCGCTCGCACCCTCTCAACCCAGCGCGGATTTTTGAGATCCACGGAAAGCTTACGCAGGCGCAACGTACTCAATCATCAAACAGCTTCCGCAACTGCGAGTCTGGAATTCTGCTTTCTTCGGATGTCACCGCGAGAGGAATGGACTTCCCGAACGTCACTCATGTCATCCAAGTTGGACTGCCCAGCAGCCGTGAACAGTACATCCATCGTATTGGTCGCACTGCCCGTGCCGGAAAGGAAGGTGAAGGCTGGATCATACTAAATCCTTTCGAGACGTCAGAAGCACGAGGCCGCCTCAGAGGACTACCTCTTCAAAAAGACGAGTCGTTGTCCATCCCGTCTTTGGACTTGACTCGCGCAGCAGATGTTCCGGCCCAGGCTGGCAAGATCTTGGGCATGTACCAGAGAGCGATCCAACGAGTACCGATGGGCGAGAAGGCCAAGGTGTACCTTGCACAGCTTGGTGTTCACCAATTCGTATCCCGGAAGGAGCAACTCATCCAAGCGATGAACAATCTGTCCCAATTCGGCTGGGGCTTGAGGGAGCCCCCATCAATTTCACCTGCGCTCGCTTCGAGGCTTGGTCTTCGTAACCTTCCCGGCGTGCGGATAGGAGACGATCGCCCTCCAATGGACCGAGGACGCATGGGCGACAGAATGGATCGTGACGGCGCATTCGGGGGCCGCAGTAGTGGCGGACGAGGAGGCTTTGGCGGACGGAACGACTTTGGAGGACGAGGAGGAGGGGGTGGAGGCTATGGCAACGACCGACCCTCGTACAGAGGCGGCGGCAGAGACCGGTTTGGAGGCCCGAGAGCGATCAACGACGACCCATTCTCATGATTCTGATGTCTTGTGTCGATACCTCTTTACCGCATGGCGACGGCGCTTTTCTGGGCTGGGATGTCATCAAGGTCGGCGAACCTCGAGGGGTAGAGTGTAAAAGTAGTGTTTCAGTAGAGCGTGTGCATTAGAACAATCTCCAATCAGATACTCATCCAAGAAGTCGATGCCAGTGGAAACCGTTCATCTTCCATAACAATGTCACTACCGTCCGACCTCCTCGCTGCCGTGGTAGGCAACTCCGACGCGAATGAAGCTGCTCGGACTTAATCTAATGTTCAAATCCCGTGCCTGCCACGGGGCTAGAAGGCTGAAAGAGACGGGAACAAAGAGTTATTGGCCGAGTAATGAACAGGATTACTAAGCCACGAGCTAAACGTCTAAAATCCTTACTACTGTAATATAGTAAGATAAAGGAGCGAACGTACCTAAGGTCGTATTAAGTACGATATAGGAATTTTACCTACTTTAGTAGTATTCTATAGCTAATAGAGAAGAGAGTCGAGGAAAAAGTACTAATACGATCGTAATTTAGTCCTTTTGTTTCCTAGAAATATATAGGATTTTAATTACTTACTCCTCTTAATATCGCTACCTAGTAAGAATTCGTATATATATAGTTATAATTATTATATATATAAGCCGTCTAGTTACGCGGAGTAATTAGTAATTCTTTTACTACGTATAACGGTAGTAACCGTCTAAACCTAAAATATAGAGTCGACCGACTAAGAACTTATAACTTAAACCCTCGGGTAGCGATAGTAGGTAATATAGCGCCCTACCTTTTATATTACTAAGACTAAGACTAGTAGTCTTCTATAGTACGTTAGTCGGCCTAAGAACTAAGTTACCGTAGGCCCTAACTAACGTATATTTACTTTATATATACTCGTACGATATATTAAATCGGCGGGATACTCGAAATTAATATTTTCCTATTATATCGATATAGATTTATATAATTATAGTACTAGTTTAGCCGATTAGTACGAGCGCGTTAGCCGCTTTACGTCGTTAAACTACGCTAGGAAAGCTAGCTAGAGCTAGAAGTAGACGATATAGATACTAAGTTAAGTTAGATAGTTCGATAGATCTTCGGGTACTAGAGTATACTTTTCTCTCTCTATAGGACTAAGCTACTTACTTATAGAATTAAGTTCCGTTATACGCTTAAGTCTATATATAGTATAGTAACCCGATATACGTACTTTTCTAGGTAGTATACTTAAAACTACTACCCTATCCCTATAATACCTAACTCCTATACGCTCGCCTCCCGTAAATATACTATTTAAAGAAATTACTATTTTAGCTACTTTATAGCTCTCGCTAGTAGCTTTCCTACTCCTAACGCTACTCTAGACTTTTCTAGGTACCTTTTATATATTAAGTATAATAAGGCTTACGATATAGTAGTCCGCGATACTACTCTAGACTTTCTAGGGTATCTATCCTATATTAAGTACGATAAGACTCGTAATAATAAGTAGTCTCGATTATAGCTCTTCTAGTCGAGGCTATAAGTAAAGTAGTAGAGTAAAGGATTTAACGTTATAATCTAATTAAACTTACTTACGTTCGTAGATTATAGTCGCTTATAATTAAATATTATATTATTTAAGTGTTTCTAAGCTCCCGCCTAAACGAATTCTATTAGCTAAAACTCCTATTATCTAATTAAGTTTATACTTTTTTAACCTATTTAACTCTAACTAGTTAGATTATCTATTTTAAGTATTCTAGATATAGTCTTACTAGATATATATTAGGCGTCCCGAACTTAAATACGTTACGATATTAATAATATCGTCTCTATACTAGCGAGCGATACTTAAGCGACCCGACGTTATATTCGATATAACTATCTCGAATAAAAGTATACTTTTTAATCTTTCCCTAGGTATACTCGAACCTATTAGAGTATTAATCGGAATCGAAAATCTGTACTTTACTACCCGCGACACTCCCGTCGTTTCTTGTATTAGCTATACGACGAAAAAAGTTAAAAGTAGTAGAAAGCTAGGATTAGCGAATAGATTTAGAAACGACTATATTATTACTCTCCGATAATAACGAACGAACGGACTCTAAAGTAATCTTTAGGCCTAAATTACGCCCTTAGTATTTACTTTAGGTAATATTATAGAGTTTAACTACTACTAATGTCCTAGTCCTAATGTTTAACGTATACTACTGGCCCTAGGGCACCGTAAATGCATGCTTCAGAATACACTCTCACTATTGTAAGTATCCCCCCCCCCCCTTTTCCGCTAGTAGTCTGCTTATCTACTTTCTATAGCCCCTGGGAATGATTTCATCGACCGCGAATACAAGTTGATACAGTTCAACGGAACTCTGGATTTCCCGTCGCCATATAGAGGTCCGCCCTCTCCAGCTGTAGATGATGCATAGCAGAAATTGATCTACAGTATGTTACCCGCCCAGAATGTCACCACACCTACTGCAATACGCTGATGACTGCGATAGTCCCGCCTATGGCGTTAACCAAGGATCAAGTTACGAAATCGAAGTTGAGACTGGACTCCGTCCGATACCCTCCTGAGATCGGCGAAGACCTCTACATGGCTTCACCCGAAGTAACCCATCAGCTTCACTGTCTAGTAAGAGCTGCGATATATGAACGCCAACGTGACCAGCAGTTAACGCCCTCTAGAACTTTCTACGTAAAGCAACATACGGAGAATACTACAAAGACAAATCTGGAGAATGGACTGATAGCCCCGCTACGACCCGAATCCACCTGGGTAATACTGCCCGTCAACATGGTTCCAGGCAAGTCTGACTCGGAAACAGATCACTGCATTGAGATGCTTCGCCAAGTTCTCATGTGCAACGCGGACGCGGGGGTCCTCACTATGAACTGGGTTGAATCGCATTCACAACCGTATGATAGCCTCTCGGAATCAGACTCGAGGATACGGCAAAGCTAACTGCGCATGCATTACAGGTACCCCAACTTTAACACATGGCACAAGTGTCGCAATTTTGACAGCGTCATGGACTGGGTGCGTGGTTCGGCTCTTCAGCTCGAAAATTCGGAAAACGCGACCGTTTGGCCGCAAGTTCCAGGTTCTGTTGTTCTTGCTAGACCACCGTAGCAGAGTGCGACTGCTCATAGTTGGGAAGCATCGCTGAATCGATGAGAAGCTTTCTTGTCTGAACTTGGAGAAGTCTGGAAGTTGGTCGATAACGTCCAGCATCGTTCTGCCACTCGTCTCAAATCTGCGTCGCCACTCTGACCGCAGAACGAGTCCTTGTTGATCGCACTGGTTTCTCGTTAGGACCAGCGTATCACAACTTACAACCAGCTGTTCGTTAATCAAGCGAGATTGGCGCAACGGATTCGCCATTTCCGGTAGTGAGAAGGTAGTGTCACGGACTTCGACATTGGTGATGCCTGTCTGCTACTGTTTCGCACTGGCTGCTGTCCCCAGACACTGGCTCCTGATCCTCCTTGACTTTTGGTTGCGCGAGCTATGGCAGCACTCAAGAGGCTAGCGCACGAGTTTGACGACGTCGACATGGTATGGCAGACGACGAAATACTCTATTGCGGTCGTTGGGCGATGACCAAGCGGAAAGCTGTTCTGTACAGCGGATTGCTGGTGAGTACAGCCTCATGACGCCTCGTGAAATCTTCGTAATCCGCTTCATTGGCAAGGAGAGCGTCCGCGCTAGTACCCCCCAGATTGTTGATGGCTTGAGGAGGCAATTTTTCCAGGAATCGCGAATACTGTGGGGACGTGCGGACCTTCAAAAAAAGGGGCTTCAAGACCCCGTATGCCGTGGAGTGCCATTGATAGAGAATGTCATCGATTTTGAGGCTGCCATCGGCTTGGCGGGTCACCGGATTGCACCAGTACGCAACGTCGCGAACCCATGTAAATCCGGCCTGATGAAGCCAACCTGCAAGTCTCACGGCTGTTTCGGGATCCAGGCCCATGCCACTGTATATGGCATGGGTAATGACCAGCGCTTCGGCAACTGTCCGATCGTCCGAACGACCGGTATTGGAGTTGATCATGTCGGCTTCGAAGAGTTGGACATATCCGCCAGGGCGTAATAGATTGAACATCCTTCTGATATACGCCGCCCATTTGCCATTTGGGACTGCACTTATCATCATGCGAGAGTTGATCAAATCAAACTGGCCAAATTGCTCGGTCAGCTTGCTCATTCCAACTTCATCGTTTAGATCAGTCACTTGGAAATGCACTGTTGCGTATGCATCCTCGTGGCCCTTCCAATGTTCGTTCTCCGCGATATCGATACCAACAAACTTGACGGGTGCTGGGACGTCCATCTCTTTCAATGTTGCTGCAGCCTCGTGACACCAAATGCCTGTGCCGGTTCCGATGTCAAGGACTCGACGAATTTGGCCAGATTGGATGGCAGAACCCAGTGCAGGGCTGAGTAGATGTCCGTCCACGACATGACGGAAAAAGATGTGCTGTCGATCGAGGCGCTCTGCCTCGCTGGCCGAGTGTCCCATCATGTAATTGGATCCATTTTCATGCTTGGTCGACGAAGCTCTGGAGCCTTCGGCCATAATTAAGAGTGGTTGGTGCAGACTTAATGTGAAGAGGAATATTTCAACTGTCCTGGTCGCCTCGCGAAGCAGAAGTGGATATGCTTCATTAGGTCTCCATGGCGTCGAAAGCAATGCTGTCTCTTCCACTTGCAAAGCGCTACTGGCCGGGATTCCTAACAAGGAAGTCTGCAACGGCCACTAGATCCACCGCGTATTCGGTGTGTGGTAGGCACGTGATCGCGATACTAGAAATAAGGCATCGATCTTGCATTGAAATTTTCTACGACGTAACATGCTCTCCTTAGCGAGTGGGAGAGGGGGTATAGTATTCTAGTGTTAAATTAGTAACACACAAAAAGGTCTTTAATACTTTATTACAGATAACGTTTAAGATATCTTATCAACTACACTATATACCTATAGCCCCAAATCTCATCTCATTTCAGCTGTGTAATGCGAAATTTTTGGACACATTCCGATTATCTCATACCATCATAACGTAAAGAACTTCTCTACCAACTGCCGTCTGACATCCCCGCACAGCTTCCGTCCCACATTCCACCGCAACCAGGGAAGCTCCAGCAATCGTTGCGGCTAAAGCGGAGCAAGCAGCCAGCAGAGACCAGAAGCACCGTAGGATTCTTCCCACCGCAGGTAGCTATAGCTACAAGAATCTGCAAACACCGAGCAGCGGCGAGGGAGGAGAAAAGATTACATATTCCTCAGACCGTCGTTGGCTTTTCGAAGGACTGTTCAACTCCATCACCACTTTCGACCCATCACAAGCGGAAGAAGATTCATCGCTATGGCACCAGTCACGGCTTGGGACCGGTTGGTCCGATACGTTTCTGCAAAGGATGGCAAGGTCAGACTCGGCGAGCCCATCGTCAGCGACTCCAAACCGGACATCGATGCCCTGGCGCAAAAGGGCGGGTTGAAAGTCAAAGTCCTCGAGGGCCCGAACCCCATCGAAGCAAAGCAGACGGGCGAAGAGGACGAAGTCAAGACGTTGCTGGGTCCGCTGACGCCGCAGGATGTCCCGATTGTGAGGTGTATTGGGTTGAATTATAAGACGCATAGTAAGTCTGTTGATCAAACCTCCCATTTTCGTCAAAGGCGAAAAACTCCCGTGCTGAATTGTGTTGATGTGATCTAGTCCTCGAAACCGGCTTCGACCTCCCCACTAACCCAACCCTCTTCCTCAAATCCTCCATGTCCGTCGCCGACACGCGCCAGCCGGTCCCCATCCCACCCCTCGGCCAGCCCAAATGCGACTACGAAGGCGAACTAACCATCGTCATCGGGCGCGACGCCCTCAACGTCTCCGAAGCCGACGCCCTCGACTACGTCGCGGGCTACGTCTCCGGCAACGACGTCTCGTGCCGCGACTGGCAGATGGACAAGGACAAAGCGGGCATGATGCCGCAGTGGTCCTTCTCCAAGTCCTTCGACAAGTACGCGCCGCTGGGGCCCGCGATCGTGTCGACGAAGGTGCTGGGGGATGCGAAGGGGCTGAAGTTGCAGACGTTTGTGAATGGCGAGGAGAGGCAGAGCTCGAATACGAGTGATTTGTGCTTTGGGGTCAGGCAGCTGGTGAGCTTTTTGAGTACCGGGCAGACGTTGCTTAAGGGGAGTTTGATCATGACGGGGACGCCGGGTGGGGTGGGCATTGGCATGAAGCCTGAGCCGAAGTATTTGAGGGATGGGGATGAGGTTGTGGTGGAGATTGAGGGGATTGGGAAGGTGGTTAATAAGATGGAGTTTGTGAAGTAGATTAGATGTAGGGTGGGTGGTGTTCTGATGAAGGTATATAGATGTATACATCTGTGGCGAAACTTTATCCTCCAATCTCTTCGACCAAGCGCACCTAGCCAAAACCACGATGTTGCTACTCAATATCGCTCATCAGGATAGGTACCGCTCAAACCGCCCCTCTCTCGGCGGCGTCACATCCAAACACGTCGATCCTGCTCCAAGCCATCGAGATTGCCCTCGATGTCATTCTCGCTGGAATTGCTGCTCCGCTGCTGAACTCGAGCCAGAACACTGTCGTGCCTGACGGCAGAAGTCGTCTCCATCACGGCGGCCGCTCTGACAGGCGTCATGCCGACAGTGACCTCCGGGGTCTGTTGCGAGGTGGACGAAGGGAATGTATGACGATGAGGATGGCGTTCTGGAGGAGCCAGCGTCGGACTTGGATGCACGGCTGATGGGGTTGCTTGGTGGGTAGATGTTGTGTTTGACCGTCCGCGAGCGCGCCGAGTGGACTTGGCGATATCTGCTGGCGTCTGCGGCTGTTGGGTAGTGGGATGACTGTCGTTGTAGACGGGTACTCTGGGGGTGACTGCAGCTGCGAGGCTTTGTACCGACGGCGTGAGACTGCCCGTGGAGTGTGCTGATTTGGCTGCTGACGATGTACTGGCTTCGGGTGAGAGTAGTCTCGATGGTCCTGATCGTAGAATAGGGGTGCTGGGTAGTTGAGGTGAAGACCGGACGACTGGTGAAGATCTCGGCAATGGTGAGGATGGCACTTCTGGTGATGGTAGGGCCAGTGCTAATGCAACTGGATCTTCGATAGTTGGATGTCGCTTGTGAAGCGTCCAAGTGTCAGACTTGGGTGATATTGGGGAGCTGGTAAGCGGCCTTTCGACGGTAGTCCTGCCTCCGACGTGCCTCATTAATGGCTGTGACGCTATTTCGTTCTTTTCGACATGATCATAATCTTCAAGATCATCCGTGGGATCCTGTGTGAACAGATCGCCACTGAGAAGCGACGGTCGTGTTCGGCGTCCAGGAGGACGTTCAAAAGAGCGGCCTACAGAGCGCGGCCGAGTTGAATATTTGGCATACTTCTGTATGATACGATCGAGAGGCGAATCACGCTGAAGGAACAAATCATCGATCAGCCCGCTTGGCTCACTGACAGTAGCCCCCGACTTTCGAGCTCTTCGTGCTGGGACGTGTCCTACATGCTGGGTGCCGCTGCGATTCGATGAGAGCGAGCTGCTCCTGACATGGATATACGGCGCCGATGGTGGCTGGAGCAAGTTAGGCGTCGATCGGCTGCTAGTCGACGCAGCAGGCGATACTGGCCTTCGTCCATTGTTTCCAGGCACAGTAAGGTGCGTTGACGACCGGTTCTGCTGACGAGCTTCTTGACTGCGCCTCGAACGCTCAAACTCGACCAAGTGCTGTCTGGAGCTCCGGCGGCGTGGAAATACGACTTGTCTCTGGGAGCCACTGTTACGCCTGGACGCGAATGCAACTGCCGGTGGCCGCACGGCAGGGTACCTGTCAAACCCGAGTAGCGGCCTGTGCAAAGCGGTGTTCTGGTCGTTGTTTCGACTTCTGCGGCGTGCTTGTGGTCCATCGGAGGGCACGAGCGATATAGAAGAGTCCGATATAACACTGTGGCGTTCAGCGCTACGTGACGAATGTTGGGTGTTCCGCTCGAAAGATGATCGTATGCGTAGATTTGCTGTGCTCTGTTCTATCTGGCCAGTGGTGGTAGAAGATTCTATAACCACACCACTGCTCTGGTCCGAAAGGCTGGTTGTTGAGCCAAATCTGGTTCTGGGAACGAAGACCGGTGCTCCAGGATCCAATGGCGGGTATAGTAAGGTAGGTATCTGAAGCTGGTGTATAACTGGCGGTGCGGCGACTGCTCTTTGCTGGAGATTTGAAGTTACAGGGCGACTTCTATTCAGCTCAAATCGAGACCCATTATTATGCTGCTGGAAGTGTCGTGCTTCCACCAAGGCTTGCAACAGGGGAGGATCTTCGTATATGGGAAAGTCCAGCTCTGGCGGTGGCTTTGATGGGGATCGTGCTGGACCTGGTGTACTTTCGTCGTGGATTGGTTTCTGAGGCGATGGGACACCTTGTCGGGTGGTTGCCGAGTTTGAACTGTTACTCTTGTCACCAAGACTAGGCAGATCGAGTCGTCCAGCTGGGGATGCTGTATTGCTGTGCAGGGCAGGATCATCATCCTCGGTTGCGTGAACGGTTGCTTGAGAGGAACAAGAATCTGCTCTGTGGCGCCCAGCATTGGCAGCCGCGGGTACGAACGCGAGTCTCGTCTGCCGTGCAGGCCCCTGACCAAGTCGAACGTTGTCGGCATCACGGCGAGCAGACTGTCTTGCTACCCATCTTCGGTCGAAGCTGGCGAGGTCGGCAGATGTGAGGTTGATTCGTGAAGGCGGGCAGGTCAGCATCTCGATCCAGCAAAATATTGTATCCAAGAGAGGTTGAGATGGCTACCCAACGCCTGGGAGTGTTTGTCGAGGAAGCTGGCCAAGTAGTAGTAGAAGAAGGTATTGCAGCCACAGATAAACAGACACACCATGATTAGTGCAGTGGACCTTCTTCAAAGGTCGCAGTCTTTGATGTATGGGAGTTGCGAACTGCATTGCAGAGGAAAGAGCAAATGCAGTGAGAGGAGCCGTGAGTAGAACGAGATGTTGGTGCTTCGGCTTAGAGCGAGAGTTAGGAGGGCTCTCGAAGTCGGAGAAGAGAATCACTGCGTTCGAGCGACGGCTGTACAAACCTGAATTGCCTCGCAAGGCTGCATCTATATACAGCCAGTTACAGACACAGACTCGCGGAGATGTGAAGAGACGCAGAGATCACTCTCCGATGTAGTCCGTAAACATGAGGTCGAGTCTTTCATGTGAGATTCGCGCTGCTGCTCACACGTCTTGGGGCATCCCTGCTTGGCGAGCTATATCAGCGCATGGCGACCGATCGTGACATTGCCCTCAAGCGTCTTAATCAGGCCGAACAGAACGGGTCCATAGCAGGCAGCAACCTTGACAGCCTCACCAAGCAGCAGCTGTACATGTACGCAGGTACAAGTTGCGGCGCGTGCCAGGTGTCCAGCGGTCGAAGTTGAAGTCGATCATCGCCATATCCCCGGCAAAGGGCCAGTGGGTGCGTGAGTGGTCGAGGTTTGGCCCCTGGCGACCATTCCGTCAGCGGCGGCGGCTGTCACAGTGTTGGCCTGAAACTTGGCATTGGCAGGACTTGCGTCGTCACCTGAGGCAGACGACCGCAGCGAGTATCAAAGGCTGATGAGGCGGAGGTGTTAAAATAATCTCGAGCGACTGAGGCAGCCTGGACTTTGCGCGAGGCGTGTCGTAATCCGCCGCGGCGCAGACACCGACCGCGTTCACGACGCCCAAGCAAGCTCCTGGACTCCTCCTCCGACCCTATCGGCACGCACTCACCACGCCCTCCACACCACCACCTCCGCCCACGACCACCCGCATACCGCTCGCCTTGTAATGCCGTCTCGGCACGTCGGTCGCTACTCCCACTCCCGCACCTCACCGCGGCAGCTGCTTCCCGCCCATCGACGGCCAGCGCCAGCACAATGAACGGCGACCTGAGCCTGTCCCAGTCGCTGGGCGGCCTGCGCATTGCCAATCCGGACGACGAGCCTCTGCAATCCCCCACCTCGCCCACCGTCCCCAACGCCCGCCCGCCGCCGCCCTCGTCGCATTCATCCGAGAGCACCGTCACCGAGTCCCATCGCCCGAACCTCCTGCCCAATCTCTCCCACGAGAGCGACGGTCTCGAATCCGGCCTAGGCTTCAACCCCGACAGTTACGACCTGCAGTCTTCCTCGTACGACCTTCCGCAACCCTCGACGTCACCCAGCACACAGCAGAGCGACACCGCCCAGCATCGCTTGAGCCATCGATCCAGTATGCCATTGACCCATCAGGCCCAGCAAACCGGCCAGTATCCGAGCCATTCCTCCTCCAACTACAACCTACCCTTCCGTAATCCCAGCGTACAAGGTGCATCATCACGGCCGATAAGCGGCATGTATAGTCAGATGAACAACTCTTCCAGCTCCGGCGTGTCGGGTGTTTCGAACCCAGGATCATACAGATATAGGGAAGACGTGGCCACGGCTGATGGCAGCTTAGGAGGTCTTGCCAGAAGTGGGTCACGGTCAGCAAGACAGGTTATGGGGTCTGTGCCCCAGAGGGATGCAAGCAGAAATTATAGGCAACCGTCAACAGCGATAAGCAGCGGAAATGGCAACGGACCACTACCGCCGCGAAGGAATTCCAAACGAGGAAGAGCGACTACTGCAGGCTCAGCATCGACGGGAGGATACGATGGAGGAGATCAGGCATATGCAGGAAATGCCCCCACACCACGCACGGCAGAAGAGTGGAGGGAACGAGGAGCGGCTGTTGGAACACAGAGAGAGGTCGATGCATCTGGTCAGACGACTGTGCGGCCGATCAAGAAGGGGGTGAAGGACTTCAACTTTGGGCGAACGCTTGGAGAAGGTTCATATTCGACTGTCCTGGCCGCTACCGACAGGCAGAATCTGAAGGAGTACGCCATAAAGGTCTTGGATAAACGGCATATCATCAAGGAGAAGAAGGTGAAATATGTCAACATTGAGCGTGACACCTTGAACCGCCTGACTGAGCACCCTGGCATCGTGCGGCTATACTACACCTTCCAGGATGAGCGCTCGTTATATTTTGTCTTGGATCTGGCGTCAGGAGGCGAGCTTCTGGGGGTGTTGAAGAAGCTGGGATCCTTTGACATTGAATGCACACGATTTTACGGCGCCGAGATATTGGATAGCGTGGCATACATGCACAGTCGAGGCGTGATCCACCGTGATCTGAAGCCAGAGAACGTGCTACTCGACTCGAACATGCATGTCAAGATCACCGACTTTGGCACCGCAAAGATACTACCGGACCCTAGACCAAACGGTCGAAATGTCGTTGGAGAGCCTTCAGGGGACCCAACAGATGGCGCCGAGACGGACCGAGCAGTGTCCTTTGTGGGAACTGCAGAATACGTCAGTCCAGAACTTCTCCGCGATAAGAACGCCTGCAAAGCATCCGACCTGTGGGCATTTGGATGCATAGTCTATCAACTCTTGGCAGGACGACCTCCTTTCAAGGCACCCAACGAGTATCTGACCTTTCAGAAGATTTTGGCGCTCGACTACTCGTTCCCAGACGGGTTCCCTGAAGATGCTCGTGATTTGGTGGAGAGACTACTGGTACTTGAGCCATCGAACAGGCTGCCCGTGGAGCACATCAAGAGCCACAGGTTCTTCGATGGCATGCAGTGGGGCAAGTCGCTCTGGAGGCAGAAGGCACCGAGGTTAAACCCATACGTAGCACCTGTCGGCCAGCGTCCGCCTATTCGATTGAATGGCCCGAGCAAGAACAATGGCAGCAGCAACAACGTGATGGCAAATCAAGGAGCAGCTGCAGCCATGTCGAATGCCGTAGCATCTGCGGCGCAACCGCCAACGCAACCTCAACCTCAGCCTCAGCCTTCAACACGAAGACCACAGCTGCAGAATGTAACAGAGCTTCCACCGCCGAGTCAGCTGGACATTGAGTGGTCACCGGTCCTTACGCACAACAACGAAAGAATACTGAAGCTCGGCAACCTGATTGTAACGACTTCACCTCAGGCGTCAAGCCCCAATGGCAAGAACGGCGAGCCGCAGACGCCTTCGGAAAAGCCCAAGTTCTCACGCTTCTTCACGAGCAACACCACCAAAAAGCGGGAAAGACTGGTTTTGATCACATCAAGCGCGAGGCTTGTGGTTGCTGCAGCTGGTGGAAATGAGAAGAAGTCGAAGCTGGAAATCAATCTGACTGCACACGGATCAACATGCAAAAGCTGTGTCGATGCGAAAGGACTGACATACTGGTCGATCGATACTGTAAGTGGTCGTAACTCACACTTCTAGATTCATGGCTAACAGTCCATCGCAGCGAGACAAGCATTACACATTCGAAGATCCGCGAGCCACAACATCTGACCCCGCTGGCAGCAAGTACAGCACACAAGAGTGGCTTGATGCCGTGGAGCAAGCACGAGAGTTCGCTCTGGCCACATCGATGAGCAACAGCTACTCGGGCGACTCGATGCTGAACGATCTCAACACGTCAGCGATGAGCAGCCCAGCCGACTCCCTAGGCGGTGACGCCGCCATGCCGATGAGCGGCCCCAGCACCAGCGAGCGATCCCACAACCTCCGCCACACTTTACGCAAGAACCCGGCGGACGATGAAAGCAGCCTCAAGGGCCGAAAGCGCTTCAGCAAGAGACACAGTCGTAGCGGATTAGCTGCAGTGTTCTAGGCGCGACCTGCGCGCAGACGCGGCGATGATGGTGGATTCCTGATGAAAGAAGTTGCACCTCCTAACCCTTGACACCCGTCATCAACATCATCATCACTACTATCAAAGCCCGCTTGTATGGTTGCTTTTTTTCCTCTATGTTTTGTTTACAATCCTTTACGTTACGACGATTTACGAAGAATCCCCCCGCCGTGTTGTTTCTCAACCCTCTTAACGCAGCGAGTCTCTTGTCACTTACTATCCCCCCATTTGCATTGCGTCGTTGTTGTTGGTCTTGTTGCTACATGGGGCACGGAAATTGAGTTTGAAAAACTTGGGCACCGAACGAGTTGTAGCGAGCGAGCGAGCGATTGATTGACTGTGTGAGAGAAGAGAGAAGAGCAGAGGGAGAAAGATTTTGGGGCGTCGAATCCATCAAAAACCATTGATACGATTGATTGATCCCCCATTTTTTCTTTGAACTTCTTCTGGGGTTTTCGTTTGTTGAGGATGCATGTGTTGGCAGGCTGGCGGGCTAGCTGTAGAGGGAAATCTGGTAATATGCAGCAGGGGGTATGTGGTTGGAAGAATGGCTGGGCTTGGCTTGTGTGGACAAACTTGTAGAATAAAAGTGGAAGAGACACCTGGATTGATTGATTCTCTTGGCCGTCCGAGTTGAAAGAGTCTCTTCTTGTCCCGTCACATCGCATCAGTTTTCTCGGAAAGAATATGAATGGACTTTGACAGACAGACAGACAGCAGGAGACTACTGCAAAAGGTCCACCCTCCACGTCGACCTGTCAATGTCACACCGGGATCCAGGGACGTCGGAGATCTCCTCATCACTCTCGTCGATCAAACAATACATCAAATCGTAAGATTGCCGCGGCTGCATCGGAGCTGTTCAAAAAAGAATCAACCCAATCCCCCTTTCCATCGTAATTCATCATCTCCATGCATTTTCCGAACATCTCTCCCTCTCTCCGGTAGCACTGAAAGAGAGCCGGAGTCTGGGTGATTCGTGATGTTGGTGCAACCACACACCACCGCTTTTCGGCTTCGCTTCCCACGTGGTGGAACGTACGCTGCTGCAGGCTCTTTTCGGTGAGTAGGGATGATTGGAAATGTCATGCCGAGGATTCCACATTCATTGCACGGCAGCTTTTGGGAGGAGAAGGAGAGAGGATGTGGGTAAGCGGTGGGAGGGAGGATGTTGGTGGGTTTTTGGGGATGTGGAATCGGACATGAGAGCGTACTATCTATCGCCATTGCGGCGTGGATGGATGGAGTTATTGTTGTCGTCCTGCCTTTTTCGGGAGTTGTCCCGCAGATAGAGACGACGAGTCCTGAAGAGAGATCAGATGGCCGGGAGGGGCACAGGGCAATTTAACCTCACACTCTCGTGGCGCTACGCCCATGCGGCACGCGATTGGGTGAAGTCTAATCGCCCGCCCTCGTCGACCTCACCCTATCGACTCCCCAAGCTTCATCCAATTCTCCCACGGCCTCGACCGAACTCCCCAATCTCTTCCTGCCTTCCCCCCGCGCGCCATTGTCGTTGGTCCCTGGATCGGTGACAGTGTGACACCTCGCGTGCGTGGTGAAGAGGAAGATGGCTTGTGGGCTTGTTCGCGCCCGCTGGCCGACTTCACTAGGTTCTGCTTTGCCCTCGCAAGCAGCAGCAGCGCGGAATCGTCGAATCAACGGACTTCAATCAGCTGCCGCGTCGATTCTGGACGGCTTCCTCACGTCGCACCGCGCCGAACGGAGAAGATGCAGAACCCCCTGGTCGGCCGGCACCCCAGTCAGCTGGACTCTTGGAGGGCCCTCACTTGCCCGTTTCCAGCTCTCAGCTCTGGAGCCGAAAGTATCACAAGGCGTCTTCGTCTTCTCTTGTGGATTCTCTCCCTCTCTCTTTCGGAGGCGTGGAACGCTGCACCAATCCATCGCTTGCATGCATGTGCATGTGCATGGCCAGGCCCTGGGCGCCACCAGTGCTGCTCGCGTGTACACCGTAACTTGTGATAGGTCTCTTGTTGGGGGAACCTCGATCCTTTCCCGCTTTCTCTGTACCGCAGGACGAGAAGTGTTGTCGCTTTTCACTTTCTCCTCTCTCTTCACTCATCAATCTCTTACGAAAAAAGACGCTTGTCTTGCCGCCGTCCCTTGTTTGCTTCACTGTCGCGTCATCCACAGCCCCCCACCTCACGGCTTCACTCACTGTCACCTCTCGCTTGACCATGTACAGTCTCCCCGGAAACAACTCCATTTCGAGAATCGCAGTCTTCACCCTAGCATGAACACCCCAACATTAATCACCACCAACCCGGACATACAAACATGGCCTCGCGCAACTACGCCCAGGTCGCGCCCACCGCGGCGACCATCGCCCTAAACGCATACATATACGGATACGGCGGCCACTCCCTCGTCACGCCTCACGCGGCCTTGAAACAACTATGGTGGACCAACGAGCGCATCGACGCCAAAGTCTCCCGCGCCTTCGTCGTCTCCAAACTGCGCGGCGAAGAGCGCGAGTTCCTCGACCGGCCCCTGGCCTTCGGCGAAGGCCTCACCGACGACACCTACATGGAATGGATCCTCGACCGCGCCAAACGCCTCTTCCTCATCCTCACCGAGATCGGCGTCCCGGACCAGATCTTCGGGTGCATAGACGATTCCTGGGACGACGACGACCTCCCCATCCCGCTCGAGAACGTCTCGAGCTTGGAACTCTCCTACGAGAACGACGAAGCGCTCAACAAGAAGTTCTACGACATGCAATTCGTCTACCTCTTGCGCGAGCTCAAGGAAGGCGCGCATCTGGACTACGGCCCCAAGGAGCACATCCCCATGGAGCACGTCAACACCGTCCCGCCGGCGGTGTGTCTGCAACCCTACGACCGCGTGCATTTCCCCGGCCGCTCCGAGGACGTCTTCATGCGGCGGAAGTTCTCGCTGACGGACCGCGACACGGGACAGAGCTACGACGCGGATTTCGCGCGGGATGTGCGGCGGGCGAAGACGATGCCGCACGAGCATGTCGCGACGACGTGGGCGTCGTACACGACGGAGAATGCGGGGTTTGTGTTGTCGGATTTCGTCGCGGAGCATACGCTGGCGACGTTTATCGAGCATCGGACGCCTGCGCAGTTTATGCGTGTCGCGGCGACGGAGAGGCCGGTCCTGGTGATGGAGTGGATGCATTGTCTCGCGGATGCGCTCGCATCGCTTCATCATCGAGGCGTGGCGCATACTCAGATCCGGCCGTCGAATATCTGGATTACGAGAGAGAATAGGATCGCCTTTGCTGATATTGGGAGTCTCGCGACGTTCCAGCGGGGGAAGAAGTTTCCCAAGACAGAGGCGTATGATTATGCGGCTCCTGAGCAACAAATCACCAAGACGCCGATTACGCTGAAATCCAGCCCGCCGCCCGTCAGCAGCATGAGCGCATTCAGCAAACTGCGCAAGATGAGCGCGCAGTCGGTTTCCGACACGAGCAGTTCCACCAGTGGTTCCTCGGGCGGCAGTAGCACAAGAAGCAATAGTTTCTGTGTCTCAGCCAGCCCCATCACCCCACCCTCATCCGGAAGGTCCAACAGCATCACAACCATCCAAACCGCAATATGCCCATCCATCAACGGAGGCGGCGGTCCCAAATCCCCCAGCAGCATCCGCAACTTCTCCCGCCACCTAGGCGTCCCCTGCCACTCCCCCACCATCCCCACCGGCCCCTTCTCCCCCACGAGCTTCACCAGCGGCAGCATGCTCCTCCCGCGGCCGACGACCATCGAGCCGGACAACCTCCGCGACCTCCCCACCGCCGAGCCCAGCATGTCCGACATGTACTCGCTGGCCTGCGTCTTCCTCGACATGCTCACCTTCCTGCTCCGGGGCAAAATCACCGACTTTGTCAAATTCCGCAGCACGAAAATCACCGCGCCGGGGAAAGCTTCCTCGTCCGGCGGTGGTGGTGGTGGGAAACGCTACCGGACGGATACGAGTTTTCATTCGGAGCCGGATAAGATCGCCGCGTGGATTGGGGTGTTGGAGGAGGATAGTTATCGGCATGGGATGCAGACTTTTCGGGGGGTGCCGGAGTTGTTGCGGCTGGTGCGGCTTATGATGGCGCAGAATGCGACGTTGCGGCCTACGGCGCTGGAAGTTCGGGATCGGATTCAGGAGATTCTGGTGGGGGAGTGTGGTGTGGAATCTTTGTGTTGCGCGGGACGCGAGTGGGCGGAGATCCAAGTCAATGAGAAAGATGATGAGAGTACGAGGTCGCCGTTTAGGAGGGATGAGCTGAGTATCGCGACGGGGTTGTTGGATATGGCGCCGAGTGGGAGTGGGAAGGGGAGTCGGTGCGCGAGTGCGTGTGGCGAGATGGCGGTGGCGTCGGATCATATGAGTGTTTTGTCGAGGACGGAGTCGAATTTGACGAGTAGGAATAGGAGGAGGAGTTCGGCGAGTACGGCGACGGCGAGGTTGAGTTCTTGGAGGAGTCGGTTTATGAGGTCGGGATGAAAGGAATGGTCCATGATTTGGCATCTCGGTGGAGTGGATGGTGGGAAAAGAGTCGATACCAGTGGCCCGAAGGGTTGGATAGGAGGGCATGACCAGGGCGAGGGATTCGGGAAGCCTTTTCCGTCCAACTTTTTTGTAATGATCCTTTTAGAACCTGGACAAAAGATACCCTCATTATGGCGAGCATTGATTTATCCTCCATCCACGATATCAGTTCCTCGTTAGATCCGGTTCGCACAGATTCGTCAGCGGCAGTCCTCACCACAAGATCGAGCCAGTGGAACGTCGTACAAGCCGGAGTGATGGCATCTTCGCCCGTTCCAGTCAACGAAAGAGGCTGGCCCATCATCACACATACCCACCCATGCCATGCATCCCCCTCATCCCAATATAATTCTCCATGATCCACACGCCCCTCAAATCCCTCCGAAACCTCACCTCCCCCAGCGCCGCCTGCCCCATATTCTCATAAACCAAATCCAACTCGAAATGCACCACCGCCGTTCCCGCGCCCTCATCGACATCCGTCTCGAAATGCTTATACTCGCACCGGAACCCCGGGTGCAGTGCGTACCAGTGCTCGAAGGCTTTGAAGAGTTCGGCGAAGGTGAGCAGTTTTTCGTGCGCGTCGAATTGCGCGGTGAAGGTGGGCGAGATGTGGGATTTGTAGAGTTTGCCGAGGGGGGTGGTGCAGGTGAAGTCTCCGGCGTTCAGGACGGTGGTGCAGAGGCGGCAGAGGGATTCGAGTTGGGAGGGGGAGCTGGATTGGGGGTTGGAGAGGGGGGTGGGACATGTTTGTGTTTGTGGTTGGTTTAGGGGAAGTGTTGCGATGGTGGGTTTTGGACGACATGGGGACCTGAGGTTGGAGAGTACGGCTGTTCCAGCAGGAGACATCCGTTCCTTGGTGATCCGAATCAGGCGGAAGTGTGAAATCTTGTGACGATTCGGGTGTTACGATGGCTCGGACTGTCCGGCTTCTGTTGGTGGAATGAACATTTGCTGTATCTCAGGCGGTTGTCGTCGCTTTCATATCCCGGCATTACAGTGCGTTTGCTGTGGGTAGTTCAGCAATCCAAACGCTGATGTCCAGCTGAGGTCAACAGACCGAGAAGGATCCAGGATGTTGTTGGTAGTAGCGGGCTGGACCGACGTAGTGTTCGAATCGGATCTCGATTCCATGGACGGAGCTGAGTCCGTGGAGATCCGTCCTCGTTCAACAGACCTGGCCACGTTCAAGAATCGTGAAGTAGGAAACCCCAAGGCTAGTGCAGGCAGGTCGTCCAGACAAGCTCATCTCCAAGCCTTGAAAATGTTCATCCAGGGCTCAAAGTGGCTGGAACAGCGCTCGTATCGCTCTCAAGCTCCACGCCAAGCTCGAGATAGCGTTTCACAGATTGGCGGTAGGTTGTAGCCGCGAGGGGTCATTGCGCCAACGACGTTGAGTTTGGTTGACAGGCGGGTGGTAGCCGGGCGTGTCGCAAAGATTTCCTTCGTGACACCACCTGCGCAACGACATCGCCTGTGTGTGTGATTACCTGTTTGACGGATGGTCAAGCCAGTGTTTGATGTGCTGTTGCGGTGAAACGGCGGGAGTAGTGGCAGAGATTGGGAGGGTGGCGGCGATTGGGATTCGGGACTAATGGGCGGACTAGACTCGACGTGCTATCGCTGATGAGCGGATAGGCAGGTCGTGCAGCTGGGAGATGGAGCCAGCAGGTTTTGGGTGGCTTTGGCGGCGTTTGTCGTCTGCCATTGGGTTGGTGGGTACTCTTCTTCTACTTCTTGAATCTTTTCTCTCTTGTCTATCTCGCAGCATCATCGACTCTCGTTTCTCCCCACCAGTCGCTCGCTTCGTCAGAGTTCGCGCGAGTCCAGCCGTTGGGATAGTCTATCTCATCAGAATCATCGCCGGGCAGAAGAAGGTGTGAGTCTGTCTCGATCTTGCAGTGTTCAATCCGCCTAGACTGACACTTTCCAGCTATACTAGCATCGCCAAGCATACACACTTCACCTGCAGCTTCCTCCACCGGCACTTTGGCAGTCCACAGGCAGGACCTCGTCGACCACGAGATTCTCCATAACACTTCCTCGACCATCCTCACCCGAACATCGACATCCCCATCCGCCACACACTCGCTTGTTTCCTTGGAGCTTGGAACCAACTCTTGACACATTCTTGGATTCTTGGTCTCATTGACTCTCGCCCGCCATGCTGTTCACCACCACTATTCTTGCCGCGCTGGCTGCTGCTCCCGCCCTCGCTCTGCCCACCATCGAAGCGAAGGGCTCCAAGTTCTTCACCAGCGACGGAGACCAGTGGTACATCAAGGGCGTGGCATACCAACTGACTCCCGACGACCCCCTCGCCCAGGGAGACCAGTGCCAGCTCGACGCCAGCTTGATGAAGACGCTCGGTGCCAACGCCATTCGTGTCTACCACGTTGACCCCGCCGCCGACCACGACGCCTGCATGAGCGCCTTCTCCGATGCTGGCATCTACGTCTTCCTCGACCTCGACACCTTCTCCACGTACGTCCTCCCCGACAACCCATCCTGGAACGACACCCAGCTCCAAGCCTACAGCAAAGTCATGGACGTCTTCCACAACTACGACAACGTCGCCGGCTTCTTCGTCGGCAACGAAGTCCTCACCACCGGCGCCAACTCGATCGCCGCCCCTTACGTCAAGGCCGCTGCTAGGGACATGAAGGCCTACCGCGACTCCAAGGGGTACCGCAACATCCCCGTCGGCTACTCTGCCGCCGACATCGCCCAGCTGCGTCCCAACCTCCAGAACTACCTCGCTTGCGGATCTAACACGTCCGAGTCGCTGGACTTCTTCTCCTTGAATGCGTACGAGTGGTGTGGTGAATCGACGTTTCAGACGGTATGTAGACACCCTCTGACCAACATCGTCTTCCTGCTAACAATCCACTCCAGAGCGGCTACGCCGAGCTTCAAAAGAACGCCTCCGACTACAACATCCCCATCTTCTTCTCCGAAACAGGCTGCAACCAACCCTCCCCGCGCAACTTCGGCGACCAATCCGCCATCCTCGGCCCAGACATGGCAGACACCTGGTCCGGCGCCATCGTCTACGAATGGATCCAAGAAGCCAACGAGTACGGCCTCATCACCTACAACCCCTCCTTCGACACAGACCCGGCCAACTTCGCCGTCAGCGGCACCCCGACGCCTCGCTCGCCGGATTTCGACAACTTGAAGAGCCAGTGGGCGACGCTCTCACCCACCGGTGTCAAAGCGGCGGACTACAGGCCGAGTCTCACCCCGCCGCCCTGTCCTGCGTTCACGAGTGCGTTGTGGGAAGTCAACCGCGATGTCGCCCTCCCGACTCTGAACCAGAAATTCGACGCGCAGGTCTCGAGCGCAATCAAATCCGGTTCCGGGGCAGTCCACACTGCGACTGGCACTGGGACCGGTACAGGAGGCTCTGCGGCCGCGGAGAGCACCGGCGATGCGGCTTCTTCGGCCAGCTCATCGAGCAGTTCGTCGTCGGGCCAGCGTGCTGTGGGTGTGGAGTCGCTTTTCTATACTGTTCTGAGTTTGGTGTTTTTGTGGTGATTTGATTGATGTGGTGGAGGGAGATCCACATGCGTGTTGTTTTTTTAGCGATTGGGGAATGTGCTTATATGGCATGGTATGGTGTTGCATTGCATGTGATGCTTGGTGTGGTGTGCACAACAGAGTATGAAGAAATGGTTTTAGATGATATACTTAGAGTCTCGATGAACATGAAAATTTGGAAAATGGTCAAGTCTCTTTTCGTGATCGTAATCGTTCCTCGTCATCTGCATCTGCATTGACTAAAGCCAATACTCATCCTATATACAATACAGTAGAGCAACAAGAAACAAGAAAGTGGTATCTCACCCCCCAACATCCACAAAAAGACCTCCAACCCCCTCTCCAGCACCATCATCACGCCCCCGTCAAATCCAACACCTCAATCCCACTCTTCCTCCACCCCGAGACCTTCGCCTTCCCCTGCGTCATCTTCCACCCACTCCCATCGCCCGTCATATCGATCGTCTCGGCGTCGATTTCCTTCCACGTGCCTGGGAGGCTTTCGCGGAGGTGGATGCGTTTCTTCTTGGCTTGTTGTTGTTGGCGCGGAGAGCGGCGGGTTGGGTGGGTTGTGGTTGTTGTTGAAGAGGGGGGTGGTTTCGTTTGCTGTGGGCGGGAGGACGGTTTTGCTGGTGGTCGTTGGATAGGGGCGGGTTGGGAGGGCGCGATAGGTTGCGGAGCCGCTGATGTAGGTCGCGAGGGTGGTGGGTCGTTTAATCTCCGCATGGGGATTGGCGGGAGGAAGTTCTCTGGACTGGAGAGGGAATCACCTGCATTCACGCGTGATAGATCCACCACGTCTGGCGTCGAGGGTCTTGAGTTTGGTGTTGGTAACGGGAGATCCAAGTCTTCGCCGCGTACAGGCGCCGTCTGATGTCGTTTGAGAGGCGCTTTCTTCCTTCGCTTAGTCACTGTGTCTGGGAGCTTCCCTGGCGAGTAGTCCAGCGAAAGCCTGGCAGTGACATCGACCTCGAGTGTTGTCTGGATTCTGTGATTCTGTGGTGTTGGAGTGAGCGCTCGTGGAGGCTCGGGGCGGGCGGGTGTCGAGGATATGAGATTGATGATGTCCGGCTCTGATGCCTTGGACTTCCTTGGTGTAGGGGAGAAGTAGGATACGATCGACTTTTGGCTTCGGACAGAAGACGGCACATCTGACGAACGCCTCTTACGGCGCTCTGGTGTCTTTTGGGCATCTTTCTGTCTCTTTGACTGCGCCGCAAACTTTGCGAAGGGCCTATCCTTGACAGGCTTCGCTGGCTGCCGATTCGCCTTTGGCGTTAACTCTTCATCGAGGGCATCTAGCTCTGCCTGGAACGGTAGAACAAAGCCTGGTACATCTGCTGTCACCTTGTCGGCACCCTTCTTGGAAGCTTTCGGCTTCTCCCCCTGAGAGTTACCACCGCCCTCCAATGTCTGCAGTGGCTCACGATCCCTTGATTTCTTGGAAGGCCCCTTCTCGGCCTGCAAAGACTTTGAAACGGCCGTGAACGCTCTCATGGCTCCTTCTGGCATGTCATTGGCCTTCTTCTTGCTGAGCTTCTTGCCATGGATGTTCGTCTTGCCGGCAGCTGCAGCTCTGGCCTCTCTTCTTTGCTTGAAGAATTGCTTTGGATCTCGCAAGCTACCCTCGTAATCCTCAACCAACAGCGGACATCCGACTTGGAGAAAGCTATGCATGATCCAGATCTTCTCCGGCTGGTCTGGCTCGTAAGGCTTAGCTGTACGCTTCTTCGTAGGCGATGCCGCCGACGGTTCCTCCTCATCAGCAGCACTGCTAGAGATCGGAACGAAGTCATTCTCGGCATCACTAGGATCGTCAGGAGCGCCTGCTGGGATGAAGTCGTCATCTTCGTCCTCTATGCTCAGATCGATCGGGACCAAGTTCATCGGAATGAAGGTGATTCGATATTCGAGCTCTGCATCAGTGGTATTGTGATTTCGCTTTCCGTGAATTGCTGTCACGTACTCGTTCTCTCGCTCTGCCTGGGCATCTTGACTGAGCTGGAGATTCTCATCGCCACGCAGTCTCAATTCCCGTATCAGCATCGCTGGAGCAAGATTGCGAATAAACTTCTTTGCACCACTCAAACACCTCCAGTCAAAAGCGTCGGCTGCGAAGGAGCGCAAAGCTGGAAAGTCGATATCTTGGTCCCATTGCAAGCCTGCTCTTAATCTAGCCAGCTTGTCAGATGTAGAGAGGCAAGGATTGGTGTAGTATCCTAGTACCTCCCGATCTGGAAAGTCCTCTGGTATAGTCAGTGTCGAGTTCTTTCTTGTGAAGAATTTGGATTCGTTCGTGCGGATCTCATGTTGCAGACGTTCTCGCCAGGCCTTCAGCCCTGCAGTATCCTTCTTCCTGACCAATTCACACATCTCTTTTCCAAAGCCTGCTCGAGCTGCATCACAAGCTACCTTCGGTCCGCATCCAGGAATCCCCTCCGTGATGTAGTCGCCGCCGCTCATGAGCGCAACCAAGATCATGCCCTCGCGATCGAGGCCACTCTTCTCCTTTGTCTCATCTGCTCGGTATACATTGACATGCGTCGGGCTCTTGCTGCTGTTTTCTGAAGTCCAATTCCGTAAGGTAAGACCCGATCCAAACATCAGGGTATCCACATCCTCACTCAACACACCATCGACAATGCCCTCTCGCTGTAACAGCGCGCATTCTGCTTCTGCTTCACCAGGCGCAACATGCCACGGAAACCCAAATTCTTTCAAGAGTTGCTTTGCCAAAAACTCAGGCACACTTGCGACTCGGACGCCCGGCCCGCCGACTTTCTTGTTTCGCTTGAAGAGGGGTTTGTTCGGTCCATCGAAGACGAAGAGCGGGTGGATGTTGAAGCTCAGGAGCCGTAGGAGTCGGTAGTAGAATGTTCGCAAGGCAGGGTTAGAGCCGCCTTTGCCAGCCTGGATCTGAAAGAGCCAAATGGATATATCGATCGCTAGTCGGAATGGTCGGTCGTGGGCAATGTAGTGGTCGGAGGCGAGTTTGACCAGCGATATCCTCTGGCCTGAGCCGATCTCCTTGAAGATCCCATGGATGCCCATGGTTCTCCCATTCCAAGATCAAGTAGCATATGTTGTTGTCAAGTCATCTTCGGCATATTTCGTCCAGACGATCTGCGTCCAAGAAGGCGTGGTGGTGTCACGGTTCGAAGTGGGTTGCGCGATACACTCACGGGGGTTGCTGTGACAACGTCGGCAAAATCGCGCTAAGGCTACCGTCTTCACGTGGTGTGATGCGCGACGTGATGCGGGTATCATTAATTTCGCGCCCGCCATGGTTCGCACATGAGTGAATGTTGACGACGGCAGACAATGAAAGGACACTTCAAAGACAAGTGACACGACGACTCGCATCATCCCGACCACATTCCTCTACGCCGCGGGAACGAACATGGCGCCAGCGAGGGACAGCGCATCATCTAGCAGAGACACTTCGCCAGATCCCATCACCCTCCCCTCGTCACCGATAGTCGCGCGTTCAGATCGCAAGCCTAGGACCAGCCTCAAACCATCCCCGCGCAAGATGAACCGACGAAGCGCGACGCCCTCCAAGTCGGTCATCCTGGATACCCCGAGAGCAGGCAACGAGAGTCCATGGCGCATCAAAGTCACCGTCGAGGCCGAACCGCGAGACGGCAGTCCAGGCAAGAGGATGACTCGAACGACCTCTGTTCCGCTCAAGGAATCGGGCAGCAAGAGATCCAGCAGTCCTTCAAAACGAGGCGCGGCGCAGAACCCGACCGGTGGGGTCAAGAGGCCTGGGAGGAAGCGCAAGGGTACGCCATTGAGGGATACGAGACCAGCGAGACAATACCATGAGCCGGAGCCGGCTACGGAGGAAGACGACGCCATGCCGCAAAGATCGCATTCGCCAGCTCGGCGCGCATCCGGGAGACTTGCACGATTGAGCGCACAGCCTGGATCTGCTCGTTCTAAGCGTCTGAGCTATGCGCGCGACGAATTAGATCAAGCACTACAAAATGCCGTTGGGTACTCTGACATGGATACAAGGTGCGATGCGCCGGGAGAAATGACCACATCCAAGAACGAGGACTTCAGCATGGTCTCGATGGAGTCGCTGCAGACCGCCAAAGAGATCAGCATGTCGAATGTCATGCAAACTATCCCTGAAGGCGAGAAGTCGGCTGCAAGCGTCTCGTATATGGCTTCATCTCCGCCGAAAGTACGCTATCCAAATATTGAGCGCAAAGCTGACAGGGCGAGGTCAAGCCTTGGGCAGTCGGTTTCGAATGCATACGATCCAATGAGTTGGAAGCCGACTCCAGCTTCGACCAAATCCACATCATCATCGGCAAGGCAACAACAAGAACGACGCCTGGAGAATGAACGCCAATGGCAAGAGCAGCGCGAGTCTGTCAGCCAGCAGATTGACTATGCACATGACGAAGACGTTGTGATTGTGGATGATGTTCAGGACGATGTCGACGACGATTTTGAACAGGATGTCGCCGGTGACGATGCCGACGACGATGTTCAACGGGATATCGCCGGCGATGATGAAGATATCTGGCAAGACGAAGCTTCGCGTTCAATAGAAGAGAATCAGGGCAACCAGTCCAGACGAGGTGCTGTGGATCAGCAAGAGCGCTCGCCGCAGGTCGAAGACCTCTTCGCTGGCCAGCCACTGAAGCCACTACGGGCTAAGATCCCTCGAACGTGGCGTAGATCGTCAGGCATGGATTTCTCGTACGTTGATTCACCAGCACATGAGCATGTCGAGGAGCATCAGCCTGAGGACGAGGAAAACGAGGCAGAACAGATGGAAGAAGCGTCTGACCAGGAGCCTGACGAGGATCTTGATGAGGAGCCAGCAGCAGGTCACGCCGAAGTACAGACGCAGGACCGCCGACAATCCACTGACGGCAGCGGTGTTCTCACTCCTCCAAGCACAGAGGATAGCGAGCAGTCTGATGACGATGTCAATGAGGATGCCCAGGAAGACGAGAGCGAGTTTGAACCGGACGCTGAGGCGACGAGAATGGCAAACGTGGCTGACGAAGAGGATGAAGTCGCAAGTCCAGGATCTGACGACAGCATGTCTAGTCCCGATGGCGAAGATACTGGCAACTTCTTCCAGACGAATCTTCCTCAGGTCTACCTTAACGAGAGACCACGGCGACGACCGCCGAGGCAGAAGACAATGGACTTGACAGAATTGCTCAATCTCGACAACGTGAACAGTCCAGCCAAAGCAGCGGTCACTGGTTCAAGAGCCGGTGCTGCCGGTAGTCCCAAGGTGCACAAACCCTCGGTGCAGACCAACCATAGTCCACCACAGTTGCGACCATCCGGTAGCAACATCAAGACGAACGAGCCAAGCCGAGACAAGGTTCTTGGTAGTCCACTGAGAAAGAGCTTACTGAGAAGCAGTAAGATGTACGGAAGCCCTGCAGGTGCGACTAGGAAGCGTGACAGGCCTACGTTCTTTCCAGTGGGAATGCGGAGGCAAGAAACGAGTCAACTCCACTCTGTACACACAGAAGAGGGTGATGTCGGCAACAGCTTCGAGAGCAAGGCCAGTGACCAGAGACAACTTCTTAGTGAAGCAGATATCGAAGAGCGGCGTTCCAAAGAACATGATCAGGACGAATATGAGGAGGACGAGGAGATGGAGCATGACGACAAGCCACAAGACTCGTATCAGCCTTATGTCGAAGATGAAGAGATTTATGAAGAGGAGGGTCGGGATATGACACCCGACGAGGAAGAGTACTCCGAGGAAGAGATCGCAAACCCAAGTCAGAGTTACGAGGAGCGCCTCAATCTTGACTCGCCACAAAAGGTCCACGTCAACTTCAACGACTCCAAGACCGCATTATCCTTGCTCGTCAACAAGAACAACCCTCGCCTCTTCAATCCTTCGACTGTCTCTCGATACCCACCCATAACGGAGCAATTTTCCAGTCACCTCGACTCTCCTGGCACAATAACACTGGTCGGCAAGAAGCCCACTCAGCAACCTCAACAGCCAGGCTTCTTCAGCCGTCTATCAACCACCTTCTGGAACGCCGTAACACGCCCACCAGTCTACGCAGAAGAGAGCATCCCAGCTCAGCGCCCAACTCAACGACCATGCCAGCCTCCAACTCAAGTCTCCGACCAAGAAGAATGCACCAGACTATTCCCCTCCACCCTCCGCACCCAAATCCGCAACCGCTACGGCGTCGTCTCCGAAGAATACCCCTGGACCTTCGCCCACATGCGCACCCTCCAGCGCATGCTCAACTCCCTCACCTCCAATCGCACTGACAGCATAATCCCCCGCACCGGTCGCCTCCCCTTCTACCTCGAAAACCTCATCGACACCCCACAAACCGACATCACCGGCCGCGACTTCTTCTTCGAATACGAGCACACTTATGTAGTGCACTCCTTCTTCCAAGTCCTCGTTTCGAAACACCTCATCGACGCCATGCGGAGGGGCGACGTTGAGCCTTTGGGCGATGCTTGGTCGAGGACGATGAAGGAGGCGTTTGGCGAGCCGGGCGATAGTGTTGTTTTCACCACGGAGGCACATGGGAAGGAGGTTGCTGGTTGGGTCAATTCGCATAAGGGGAGGATTGGGATGCGTTTTGTGGTTAAAGCGTTGGGTACTTGTCTTTTGCATAATAAGGGGTTGGAGGAGAAGTGGGGGATGTCGTTTGAGGAGTTGCAGAGGAGGGATTTGATTGGGAAGGAGCCTCCCCGGAGGTAGGAGGGATGTTGTTTTGTATTGGAGGAAGATGAAGGGGCAGCTGGCGGACTGGAACTGTTGTCCATTTTGGACATGAGCGACGAGATATGATAGGAACGAAGACTTGAATGAACGAACGATGATTTTTGTTACCATGTACTCCTATCGCCTTATCATATACCCTCACTCTCTCCGAACGCCACGCTAATATCAAGAAAACCCCGGCCATACATCTACCCATCAGCACTTCATATCTCTACTTCCCCTCCTTAAACCCCTGCACCCTCCTCAACCCCCTCCCAAAAACAAACAACACCCCGGGCCCCACAACCCCCAACACAATCCCCACAAAAGCAAAAACACTACACCCCAACCCGGCCCCCAACCCCCTAAACATGCCCTCCGCAAAAAGCGGAAACACGCCCCCAAACACAAACACCACCATCATGACCCCACCCACCGCACTCAATCCATGCTCCGGTCCGTAGCTTTCGAGCACGTAGAGCGTCGTGGAGATGTAGGTCGTGAGGGTGGAGAGGGCGTACAGGGCCATGGCGAGGATGGGCAGGATCCAAGGGATTGAGGGGCGCGCCGTCCAGCCTAGCATGAAGAGGGAGGCGGGGAGGAGGATTGATGCGGGGAGGGAGGGGTGCAGGCGCCATTCGGGGGGTGGATGGTTTGAGGGGGGGAGGAAGGTTTTGCGTTTTTCGAGGTTGGTGCCGGGGCTGGAGGGGCGGTAGGTGTGTGGTTGGGACGGGGTGCTGGAGACGAGGGCTGCTTCGGTGGCTTTGATGTTTTGGCTGTGGGAGCGGGTGTGGTAGGTGGTGGTGGTGGTGGTGGTGGTGGTGGAAGCGGCGTGTTCCTGCAGGGCGTCGTAGAGGGTTTTTGCGAGTTCGACGCGGTCGAATTTTAGTTTGTAGCCTTCGAGGGCGATGCAGAGGTGTGCGAATTCCAGATTCTGATTCAACAAAACGAGGACCCTTTCGGGCATGATGTGCTTCCCGTCGTTGGTGGGGATGCTGTTGATGTACTTCGCGGCCGCGACTGCGAGGTTCACGTTCCTCTGTGGGTCGATCTGGGACGTCTCGAGGTTCTTGTAGCCGGTTGTTGACAGGCGGCGTATAGCGTTGAGCAGGCTGCTTCTCCTTCGTCCTTCTGGCGGGCCGACTTGGCTCATGCGGATGTGTTCGTGTGAGGGTCTTACGATGCTGAATCTGTTGGGTCGACTTGCTCTGCGGCCGGTTTGAAGAGTTTGCTCCTCTTCGGTGGCTCGTGATTCTTTGTAGCTTGTCACACGGGGTCGGTGGATGAATTCGTTGTACAAAACGAGAAGGACCAGAGCCATGATCACGCCGACGCTCATTCCAAGGAAGGACAAGCCCTGATGTCCTCTGTCGAAGTGCTCGGCCTGAGACAGTACTGCTGGGAATGCCGTGTAGACCGCATAGAGCACTCCGAAGTTGAAGGCTGCGTACAGTCCATAAAGGGCCACGATAGGTTCCAAGAGCATTTTCAGCGGCTTGACGAAGATCATCGACAGGGCCTCTCGATCCAAAGGCGCTCTTGCCGATTCACCACGCTTCCTTCTCAAGATCGCCTTCTTGGATGTCTCTTGCATGAACAAGACGGGCAGTAGACAGCCGCCAAGAGCGCAAAGGACGACATACTGTGTCCATCTCCAATCCTCTTCCCAGCTAAGGTATGCGCCCAGAACAGGACCCAATGTCGAACCGAGAAAGGCTGAGCTCACATATGCTGTGAGAGGCAGCACCTGGTCATCTAGGCTCCAGAGATCACTGAGCGTCGCCCATCCCATGTGAAGTGCAGGTGCGCAAGAGACGCCTGCGAGGAACCTGCAGAGTAGAAGCCCTGGCAGTACTTGCACGAGGCCGCTCGCGAGCATGAAGATGGCATACAAAGGTACACATATCATGTACACGCTCTTGCGGCCGAATATCTCGCTTCCCAAAGTGCTGAGGTATGGTCCAAAGGCCAAGCCGAAGACGTATAGCGAGAGCGTCAACACCACCACAGTCGACGAGGTGTGCAATCTCTGAACCATCGTATTATGCGCCGGCGTAACTATCGAAGACCCAAGCGCAAAGACCCATGCAAGAGCGCAGGGAATGATTGTGTGCATCCATTTCTTAATCTTGCTCCAATTCTTGGGATTCTGCGCGTTGATCTGCCAATGCAGGTCGTCATGTAGGTCGTCGTTGGATTTAGGTATGCGAATGCTGAGTTGGGGTTGTTTTCGTGTCGGCGCATTTTGCTGTGGTGGCCGAGGCGATGGTATCTTCGGCGTCGGACAGACTGTCGTGGTTGGGCTGACGGAGAAGACCGATGGGGTATGCGTGGTGTTTCGTGGTGAGATGGATCTTATTTGGCTCCTTCCTGCATACGACGACCTCCTCGAACCCAAGGTCTTATTCTCTATTGAGTAGCGTCGCTGAGGTCTACCCGTCGGCAAGGCTTCTGATTTCGCTCGAGCAAGGCTGGCTGGCTGTGGTGCTGACAATCTTGTCTTGTCGGTCTCAAGATTGTTTGCTGTAGTAGCCGTGCTCGCGGTCCGTGGTCGCGACGAGGGTGTGCTTTCCGCTGTCAGTTCCCTCTCCGTCACTTTGGCTGCTTTGTTGGCTTTCGACATGTTTGGTTTATCAGCACACAGCAAGTATCCGAGCTAGGCTTCCAAGCGGTGCGCGCAGATTCATAGTCTTGTACCAATGTTTTGTTTTCGATGCAAGAAATCGGAGATGGTCAGTGTAGGCAAAGCAATTGGTCAGGACGCAAAGGCGAGTCAAGGTGCAGAATTGGGAGGAAGATGAGACCAGAGATTGAGTCTTACCAGCGAATGCCTCTTACCGTTACCCCAGATCCTGGCTGACCTTTCAACGTCTCTTCCAAGAAACGCGCTGAGGGCTTTGTCTTTCTGAGCCGGGCATACGGACGTGCGACGCGGAACGGTGTTGACAACGAGATTTGCGACTTGGCATGACACAGCACGGAGGCGGCTGCGTGCAAAATGCATAGGCCATGAACGATTCCAGTGCCCAGAACGAGCAAGACGTTGGAATATCTTAAAGATGACCGAAAGGGGTGTTGGCCACGGCGTTTTTATTTCTGTCAGCTGGAAAGTGGGAAGTGAGGTTGAAGTAGAATTAAGGTTTGGACGCGCCATCCCCAGGAGATTTTCTGGAAACGGCTTTGTTCCTGCCTCTGTTTTTCTCCTGTCAGCAACATCATCACCAACGGCCGATCGAGATGGACTCACGCGTCTTGCCACGATGTCGAGAATGGTCACGCCTTGAACGGAGGGCTCTCATCTGTTGACCGAATCACCGGCGAAGGCGAGGCAAGGACTTCATCTCTTTGTGGCTCTGGCCATGAAGTTTGAGAACCTCACCTGAATAGGTGCAACATTCTTGGTGACCAACACGCGCTCAGCGAGACACCAAGAACTTCATATCCTCGTCGTCTTCATCTTCCTCTTCCTCCATCATCACGACGCTCCCTCGTGTGTGATGTCTTACGCTCTAGCCGCGATTTTGTCCATTCTCACTGGGACGGCCATTGTTAGAACACCCATTTGACGGTTGGTCTCGTGCTTGACCGTGCGTCTTGGTGGAAAGGGAGTCATCCCCAACCATCCTGTTTCGAAGCTCATCCCAAGCTTGCTCCCAAGCTGCGTTCTTGCCTGACAATTCGGCATCAGAAGGGCTTTTTCTTGCTGCTGCGAAAACTTCGGACCGTCGTTTGTCATAGAATGCTATCATTGTCGCGATTTGAGGATCCCCGGCGCCTTGAAACGGCTTCTTGGCTTGAGGTCGAGCGTCGTGTTGAGGGTATTGCGGTCCCTTGGCTGGATTCTGGTAGGCAGTTGGATAGACAGCCTTGTTCATTCGATGGCAGTGGACGCATCGCAAAGGAGGTGCATCTTGTGGCAGAGGTAAGCAGTCTCCGTATCGTAAACACTTCTGCAAATTGACCGCCGCAGTTGCACATTGCACCACACACTCGTTGACTGAGATACAGCATGAGCAGGTCCATTGATAGTACTGACACATCCTAGAGGTCTTCTCAAGTAGCGAAGTCAATCTTTCCAAGCCAGGATCATCAGTCAAGATGATGGTTTAAGTAAGCTCTTCAGCCTATGATGAAAGAACCGTGCGATTTTCACTTCTTTCTACAACAAGACAGGTGACCGGCCATTTGGTACCGGTGCCATCTTTGCCAAAGAGCACAAAGCCTTTCATATCTCAGTCGAAGTGAATGTCAGGCTGACAAAAGACACTGAGGATTCCAACTTGCCTTTCGCGTATGTTTTGGTCAAAAGTAGCCCAATCAGTAAGCCAAGCGTGAGGAGAAGAGAAGGTCCTGGTAAGAAGGTACATTGGTAATGTCTCGAAGCGTATTCTCCGGCCAAATTATTATGTGAGACAGTTCTTGCTGAGTTCCTGGATAGATCCGATCGTGGCCACTGGCTCCGTTTTGGTTTTCTCTCTCTGGCATGGGTGTTTTGGGGAAGGACGTCTGGATATTGGGGCTCGCGGATTCGTACATGGCCCAGCCAGCGATGATCCTGTTGGCCATCCTCCTGTGAAACAAGCAACATGCTGACGAATAGCAAAATGCGAGACAGCTGGGTGGTGTGACTCGACAAACCTTGAGGTGATTTAGCTCGGCGCTGACATGCAGCTTTTATGTGCAGCTTGCAGATTCGGCCTGCTGCAGCCGAAAGTAGGAGATGGGTAGCTGGCCGCACAGTGGAAGGGCGTCGTCTGCATCGAGCGGTGGGGAGGTCTCGGGCCAGAGGTGGAGGAGGAGGTTGTCGAGCCTTGCACAGTCACGTTTCAGTACAGCATTCAGACGAAGAGGAACCGGCGACGAGAGCGCGGCCATCTTGCGGAGCGGACTCCGTCTCCCTCGAGTGATCTTCTGATTAAGGCGTCTCGCTCCCGTGATCGGCCAAGAAGGAAGAGGGTTGCGGGCCGCTGGAAAACGAAAGTCTCTGCGACCACGTCCTCGTCCTCGCTCGTCGCGTTGTCCTGTCCGAAACGAAACAGTACATATGCAAGACGCTCAACAGCGGCGGCGATGGAGAGGACAGCAGACCAAACCGGTGACTGCTGCGACAGAGCGGTCAAGAGGGCATGCCTGACTGACCAAGAGTTGGCGACGCCGGATGCGAGCCTGAGAAATATAGCAGCAGCAGCGCACGCACGGGCCGCCTGCCAGGAATCGCTGGCGGTCTGGGTCTGGACCTCAAACGTTCGTGCAGCACACATATCTAGTTATTCCGCCGCACGCCGACTCCAGCAAACGGAACACCTGGTCGCCCTGCTGCCCGCTGTTATTGCTGCTGCTTCATTTTCGTGACTGCCCGCCTCCGCCTGCGCGTGCTGGACTCTGCGTGTTTTGGATGCGTTGAGGCCCGGCGGCAGACCTCTCACCCTACTTACCTACATGCGCGCGGTGGACAGCGTACAGAGCACCCTCGGCCTGGCAATCGTGGCCGCAGAGCGTGTGACTTGCAACAGCGCACACGTCCATGGGCATCGCCAGTCAGGCGGCGGTTTCGGATACGGGCCAAACAGCATCCACCGTCGCTGCTGATGACTTGCACCTCCTCGCCCGTTCACCGCACGATGGCCTGAAACAGTCCTCGTGCTTTGACTCCACCACTGTCCTTCCCTCACTGCCCGCCGTGCCCCTCGAGACATGTCCAGCAACGACACCTCTCCCCGACGACTTCGCCCACTACTCCAGCATGAATCTGATCGTAGGCGGCGCTCTTGCTCCTGTCCGCTCCAGCCCACCGCGACAAAGCCACCCCCGACCGCACCCAGGCCTGAGGCTTCCGTCCTTTGAAGCCCTCGGAATCGCAGCACCGCATCCTGATCGCTTCGGCCGGCTTGCTTTCAACTTGAACGCTATGAACGGGGCGGCAGCAGAGTCTGTCGCCTCTAACAACTCCGACTTCGATCTCCTGTCAGCGTTCAATGCCACTCAGATATCGCCCATGCGACTCAGACATCCACTCGACGCTAAGATCGTGCTTGGTAGCAGCCGCACCATAGCAACGCCTATTAGACACGATGTCGCAACTCTGACTCCGCCAGCCGAGACTGGTGAGATTCAGCAGAACCCTATCGCAGCGGCATTCATCTCTCATGCGACCATGGACTCGCCTGCCCCTGAACCTGGAAACTCAGGCTCACACTCGCCCCGCGAGACTGAACAGAGCCCCGTACAGTTACCTCCCGGCTCTCACGAGGAGGATCCAACAACGCCAAGACCGTGGATCGCTGGTGCGTTGGATGTAGTGCGTAAGTGAATGAATGAATGAATGAGTCGTGTGTAGAACTCACATCTGGCTCTAGTGGCGAACCTACGTTCAGCAGCCAGCCCTGGCAGCGCTCTGAAAGTGCTCTCTCATGCCCTACCTAGCCCATCTCCGAATGGACATGTTTATACCTCCATTGTTGGAGCCATCCATTCTTCAACACCTGCGCAACCAACCGTGTGGATCAACCTCTTCCACGCCATCCAGGGACGCTTTAATCTGGCAGATCTTCCAAACTCACCGCCAAGTACGCCAGGTCCACCAATTGGAGGAGACGACTACTTCACTCAAAAGGTCTTCGACTCGGCTGTATCGATATCGGACTACTCAGAAGATCTCTCCTCCCTACCGCGCTCACCCCGCCCTATTGTGCCGCCATCCTCGATCGATGTGTCGGTGGTAGAGCGATACATCCCACCGACAAGCTCGAACGAGTTTGCAAACATGTTCAATCCGAATGGACCGTCGATACTGGTGGATAGGCTTGTGGAGCTATCACCAAACAATGGCAGTTTGGTATTCATCTATCCAACACGAAGAGGCGCGGAGACGTTCATGCGAGAGTATCTTGGGCCCATACTTGAACCCTTGCTTCGAAGCCTTCTTGTGGTGAACAATCTCTCTTCAGAACTCGGTACACGATTAGGGACGATGGCAGCAGCCGGAAGCCTGCCGGACTACGACCAACTACATCGTTCGATGTCCAGCTTGTGCAGCAAACTGACGCAACGAAGCACAACGATGCAGCGATTCCACGACCACAAAGCCTCCTTCTCCCTCGTCCATGCATCGAAAGAGGAAGTGCACATTGATCGAGAGACATGGCTGAAGGAGTGGTGGGTGAAGCAGGAGAAGCCGCGCATACGCGAAGCCATGACAAAGTATATCAGGGAGGCCCAGAAGAAGAGTAGTAACCAGGATGTCGAGAGGGCGGTCACGTCGACAGAGCTCATACAACAGCTCTTAGACGGCGTCAGCAAGAGACCATACCCTTCAACGCAGGACGCTCTCAGGGGGATCGAGGTCAGCGTTTTTGTGATTAAGCGTTCCAGCTAGCGAGCATTGCATGATTTCCATGATAGCGTTTATGAAGGATGAGTGAATGAAGCGAGGGAGAGATGTCGAAGACTTGGAGGTCCCCGGGGACGGCGAGCCTTTTAGCCTCCTATAAAACTTTCTAATACCCACATCTAGTTTGTCTTCTACTAGAAGTTCAGTCTGGCTATGCTACGTTGAAGACAGTACTGGTAGAGTCTTGACCCGAGCGATGCCCGAAGATAGCTCGCCTCGGCACAGCGCTGACGTTGGCATTTTGATTAGAATTGGCCACACGCCCTAAACCGCTGGCCGCTGTCAACCTTCTACAGAGGTACGAGCACGCAAGAGCTTTGCTTTCCAAGCATCTTGCCTCTGATTGGCGCTTTTTGGTCTGCTGCTCTTCGAACCCTCTCGTCCACCTTGCTCGATCGAGCGCATTCGGTAGAACGGCGATGACGTTGACTGGGCCTTTTCAATGCTCGGTTTACAAATGCAAGTAGCGGAGGCATGTACCTCTCGCCATCGGTAATCGGCAAGAAGGTAGGTATAAGAGTCGCCTTTTGCTAGTATTTCATTGTTCGATTCACTTTCGCATCCACTGCTATACCTTCACATCAGCCACGGACTACCTCACCATCAGGACGCAACAGCAGAAACACATCACCTCCATCATGTCGACCCAAACGACCATCGAGACCCAACACAAGTTTGATGTGACGAACGACATCCCGATTCCACGAGGCGAAGCGCATTCCTCTCTCACCTTCTACAAGTCACCCGAAGATGGCGCCACGCCATTCAACTACGTGGAAACGGCTCCCGAGGGCATGCCACAACGCAACTACGGAGAGCACACACGCGAGATCACAATCCAAGACATCCGAGGGAGAGAACATGAGTTCGACATGAACGTGAACGGCTTCGGAACCGTGTCAGGAATCGAGAGCAAAGAGAAGGACTTCACAGACGACGAAGCCATCAAGGAGAACTACTACCCCGAGGTTGAGAAGTTGCTTTTGGATAACGTACCTGGATCGAACCGCGTCTTCATCTTCGACCATACTGTGCGAAGAAGCGACCCCAACGCCAAGCGTGCGCCAGTGAACAGAGCCCATATTGACCAGACGACCAAGTCAGCGAGAATGCGGGTCGACTACCACATGGGCGATGAAGCAGAGAAGCTCAAGAACGAGCGAGTACGCCTCATCAACGTCTGGAGACCTTTGAACGGACCTGTTGTTGCCTCTCCTCTTGCGTACGCCGACTCTCGATCAGTACCCGATGAGGACATCGTTCCTGTGGAACATCGCTACCCTCACAGGACTGGCGAGACCGCTGGTGTGAAGTACACCCCCAAGGGCAATTGGTACTACGTAAGTTCATCACCTCTCGCGATGGATCGTTGCGAATGCTGACATATTTCACAGTGGAGCGGCATGAAGAACGATGAGCGTATCTTCCTCCAGTGCTACGATAGCAAAGACGGTGCTAGGACTCCTCACTCTGCGTTCGTCGATCCACGAACGAAGCCAGAATGGCCAGGGCGTGAGAGCATTGAAGTCAGAGCTTTGGTCTTCGGATAGACGTTTCCAAAACATCTTCTCTTTGAACGTCTTTGCATGCATTGAGGCTTAGCGACTGTATATGAGGAGCACAGATACTTGTATTGATGAATGGATGAACGTACCTATAACGCCTACTTTTCTTCACTGTCAGTCTGTCCGACTCTCCAAGCATGTGAATCGCCACCAAAAATAGGCTTTGAGGTGATCGGCAGGCGATCTGGATCGCAGCGGCCCGCACAGCGTGCCCAAACCAGGTGCTCACGCCCAAGCGCTGTCCCACTCTGACCACGGCGAACTCCCAGCAGTGACCAAAGAGAGTCTCACTCGCTTTCCTTTCTGCGCACCACCGGACCATGTAGACACTCAACCTACCAGGCCAACGAAACAAACTCTGCCAGCCTCTCTAATATCGCCAAAGGAAGATGGCTGCAGCTACCGCACCCTCGTCGGTGATCGACTTCAAGTCCCAAGCCACATTCCCGATCCGCTTGGGGACGAGCGTGTTGAAGCCCTCTACGCCGGCGCGGTTTACGAGTGTGAGGTTCAATCATAAGCCGAAGTTTAAGGGGTCTGGGGATGTCAAGGCTGTTATAAGAGAGGGCGATGGTGTTGGGGAAAGCAAGCTGTTGCTGGAAGACGATGCAGGCGAGTACAAGTACGCCGGGAGACATGTCCAGGATGAAGACAGCTACGTGCTGGTGGTGCGTGGACAAGGCAAGGAGAAGGAGATGGTGCTGGAGCGTATGGGCAGCAGTCATGGCTTCAATTTGACTAGTACGCCTTCGCAGAGCGATGCCAAGGTGTTGGCGGACAAGTATCCTCACCTACCCCAGGATGATGGCGATGAGGTAGATTTGTTTGGAGATAACGACGAGGATATGCCGCCCGACGAATCGAACCCATTCGACTATCGACACTTCCTCAAAGCCGAGTTGGAGAAGCAAGAGACCGCGAAGGAGGCTGCGGAGACTGCCCGAAGTTCGGCTGGGACACCACTCGCGCGGAGCCAGGCTGTGGCTAGCTCTACGCCCATGAGCAAGCCTGCGAAGCCGGTCAAGAAGACTGACCCGAAGCCGCAAGCAGCCAAGAAGCGCAAGAACGCAGCGGCAGAGAAGCCCAACCCCAAACGCGTCAAGGCTGGACAGGAGCCACCGGTCGCTGCGGAACCGGCTAAACCGAAGACGAGGCCAGAGATCCCGAAGATCAATCTGGATCGCAAGGCTTCACTACGGAGACCTTCGCTTGATGATTCTGGAGAGCTGATACTAGAGAACGAGACTCCAGTTACGGAGAAGCCGCCTAAGCATAACGCCATGGCACTGGCATTGTCTGGTCAACTGGGAGGAGGGCCCATCAGTTTGAGATCAGCTGCCAGCAGTCCTGGGAGCCATATCGACGCATCTCCAGCGCCTCAGAGACCCGAGGGCATGGACGAAGAATACGTCTTCGAGTTCGACGACAGCCCAGAGCCATCTAAACCAGACGATCACACTGTCCCCGAGGACGATGGGGACGCAGACGCGGACGAAGACGAAGATGACGCCGATGTAGAGGATCTCGAACTACCTTCTCCCGCGCAAGGGCAACGAGCGAATGCCAATCCGCCGGCTGCTACTAATGGCGGGGACGATGACGACGATCTGGATGCACAGCTGGCTGCGGCTATGATGGAGGAGGATGATGGTGGGAATCAGGAGAGCGAGGAGAGTGAAGAGGAGTGAAGGGATCACGGATTTTGGACACGGATACCAGACGGGCATAGGGGCGGCCTTCACCTGGACTGCAGCCATCGGCCTCTCTTGCATGAGCCATCAGCGGGTTGTACGAGACGGGCGTACCTGCGTTGGCCTCTTGACTGGAAATGTATATGCCTTCAGTCGGCATAGCTCTGGCATCTCCCAGCTCCTGGCCAAAGCTACATGGGCCTCTTGCATGAAAGCCTGGCAATCCAAGACCAGGAAGGAGACTGTGACGATACACCGGCTCCCAATCTATACCTCACATTTCTTGAACATCCAAGATCTACCTACGGATGGGGTTCTAACGAGCAATTGTTGACAACAGCCAAGCTATACACGCGGGCATTTCCCTCGATGCTTTTTGGATCGTTACAAGCTCTTCAGGGTCCGACGTCGCGTGTTGAGTGTCTTTTCAGCCAAAACCAGAGCTTCTCTGGAAATGACGACGAGTAAAGACCTCGGTGGAGCTCCGAGACTGTGGAATCCGCGAGCCCTACATCCTAAAACCTTCCTCGCTGTTTGACCAGCGGGCGAAGATGGGATTCGTACAAACAACGGAGATACATATACGTAGTCGGCGAGACTTCACTTCGGACTTGCCGGTCTTAAGACTAAGTCGTACGGTGCAATGTCCTGCGACATGATGGATGCACGTTAGGGCCAAGAGCATTTCAGAAGGTACATAGACCTCACTTCGACTCGTACAATCAAAGGACCTATATCACAACATCTCATGTTCCGAGCAGCAGCAACATCCTCCCTCCCAAAAACAATGGCCCAGCAATTCGCCAACAAGCAGCCTCCAGGCTTCCGAAACCACATCCAAAACATCGCCATCGTCGGCGCCGGCGGCTCCGTAGGCAAATTCATCACCGAAGCCCTCCTCTCGCAGGGCAAACACAAAGTCACCGCCATCACGCGCCAAGACAGCGACAGCGTCCTGCCCCAAGGAATCCACCATATCAAGAAAGTCGACTACTCCTCCCAACAGAGCCTCGTCGACGCCCTCAAAGGCCAAGATGCCCTAGTCATCACCCTCAAACCCATGAGCCCGCCCGACACGCAGCATAACCTCATGGACGCGGCGGTCGAAGCGGGCGTGGAGTACATCATGCCGAACGAGTACGGCGTCGACGCGAGCAACAAGGCTTTAGCCGAGGAGACGATGGTCGGGACGGCGGTGCGCGAGGCGAGGGCGTACGTGGAGAAGATTGGGAACGGCAAGACGTTCTGGGTGGGTTTGGTCTGTGGGTTCTGGTATGAGTTTAGTCTCGCGGGGAAGGAGAATCGTTATGGGTTTGATTTGGGGGAGAAGAGCTTGACGTGGTTTGATGATGGGGAGACGAGGTTTACGCAGAGTACTTGGGCGCAGGTAAGCCTCCATTTCCCTCCCACTCCTACCTCTCCAAAAGTTCCAATATCACAGTGCTGAACGCTTGCTTGACACAGTGCGGCCGCGCCGTCGCCTCCCTCTTCGCCCTCAAAAAACTCCCCGACAACGAAACAGATCGCTCGCCCACCCTCTCCCAATTCGCCAACGCCCCCGTCTACATCTCCTCCTTCACCGTCTCCCAACGCGACATGCTCGCCTCCCTCCTCCGCATCACCAACGACTCCGAAGCCAACTGGACTTTCAAAACCGAGTCCAGCCGCGACCGCCACGCTGACGCCTTGGAGAAGCGCAAACAAGGGGTCCTGGCAGGGTTTATCAGGACGTTGTATACGAGGGTTATGTTTCCCGGGGGTGGTGGGGATACGTCCGGGAAGGTCGTGAATGAGGTTCTGGGACTGCCTGTAGAGGATTTGGATGAGGCGACGAGAGGCGCGGTGAGGTTGCATGAGGAGGGGTATTTTGAGGGGAGGGCGGCGTAGATGTATTGTTGATGTTCTTATATTGCTGGTGTTTCCTTTAGAAGATAGGGTTGACTTCTTTGGATTGACTCTATTACTTTCTGTATTTTTGATATCTTTTCCTCAAAGACTCCTGCTCCTGCTTCCTTGACATTGACAGTCTAGATCGTCCAATTGCATAATCCATCCCTCCATTCTATTCATGACTCCGTGCCCTTACTTTTCATCTACACACTCCCCCCAAAAGTCTCATCAATCGGCATATCAAACACCCCATCAAACGTCAAATCCTCAAAATTCACATCATCCATACCCACCGCCCCCGTCGCCATCCCAGCACCTCCATCCCCCGTGGTCGCAATGCCACCCATATCCGCATTCATCCAATCCATATCCAAATCCGCCATGACCGGGTCAAAAACCGGCTCGGCTTCCCCGCTGGTCGCTTTGATCAAATCCATCATATCCTCGTGGCTGACCGTCCCGCCGTCGGGGAGCTGCCAGTCCGTTTCGGCGGCGGAGTAGTCTGGGAGCGGGATCTGGGAGGTCAGGGCGTCGGAGCTGAAGGGGAGGTGGGAACCGATATCGCCGCCGAGGAATTCCATCATGGCGCCTGTGCTGGTCGTGGTGGTGGTCGTGGGGATCTCGCTGATTTCCGGCAGGGACGTCCTCACGGGCGCGGGCATCATGCCGCTGTCCTCCCATGCGGGAGTCGTGGTGGCGAAGAGCCTCGCGCGGTCTTTGGGCAGTTCGTACTTGTGTCGTGGGAGGTATCCGGGCCATTTCCGTCCTCCTAGTTCGGGCATCTTCTCTGGGGCTTCGGCTCTGGAGAGCGCTTCCAGGGCTCGCGATCGTCTCTCTGAGCTTGTGCACTCGGCGTGGGATAGAGCTTCCAAGCCCTGAGTTCGGGCTCGGGCATTGCTGAGTTGGACGTCGGATTCCTGCCAAGCGCAGGAGGTGTGCTGCTTCTCTTGGTTGTCGAGGGTTGTCAGGGCTCGAGCGCGGGCGTTGGCGGCGGCTTGCATGTCGAACATGGATGAGCAGGAGCCGGTGTGTTCGTGAGCGATGGCTTCGAGATCCCAGAGCGTGGCGAGTGCTCGATGGCGGTTCTCTGTGGCGGTCGCAGCGGAGTTGGGCTTGATGGCTCCAATCGTTCGTAGTGTCGTCAGCTTTTCTGCGGCGTCTGTCGAGAGCTTTTCGTTGCACCATCTTCTCAGCCTTGAGCCCGGCGAATTCCCACCGTCAACTTTGCTGACGTCCATCAGATTCTCCGAGCACTTGGTATGTGGACAAGACTGATCGCCATTGTACAAGACGCCTTCAGTCGCAAGTAGCGAGTAAACCTCCTTCAGATTCTCCCTCGCCTTCTGGTACGGACCTGGCCTGGTAGCTGCGTCTGCCATATTCCTGCCGGTCTGATCCTGGTTATACGCCTGCAACTGCACAGTGAACGGGATTCGCAGTCCAAGATCCGTGTATGTCTCAAGATCCTCTGGGATCTGGTTTCCCTGACCACCGATCGCCGTAGGAATGAAGTCCAGGCCATGCGCCTTCTTGAACAGGTCGAGCCACTCCGGATTGTCGGCTGCCGTCTGGTTCCAGGCATCGTCCGAATCGTATAAGATCAGACGTGCTTGACGTTGCAGGTCCTCGTCGGACAAGACGCAGCCCTTGTCTGCCATTTCCTTTGCATACTTGCCGAGTCGGACGGTGAGAATCTCCCAGCAAGTGGCCTGGAACATGTTAGATCATGAAATCTATTCCAAAATCCGCCATACATACCTTTGTGTTGTTAGACTGTCCCCAAAGCTCACTCACTTCCCACTCTTGGTGTCTTCCTTTGCACTCCTGGGATCCAAACTCGGGCGCCTGGCGCCACGTTGCTCTGTTTGTAGCAGAGAACGGGTTGGGACTCGCAGCCTCAATTCCAATAAGATACGGTGGCATCGCATTCGTGACTTGCGCCGCAACCGCTGGATCCAAGCCTCTGCATCCCTTCCATCCAGACATGCGATCGCCAGCCTTGAAATGCGCGGTCAAGTGATCCACTCTCTCCTGCCACACCGTGAATCTCTGCGCGCAGAATCCACACCTGCTGTTGATGTTGGCGGCGATCGACTTCCAGCTCTCCATGGCTGGGGACATCTCACAACCGTGCATGAGCCTGAGATGCTGCCTCAGATGGTCCTTGCGGTAGAAAGTCCTGGCGTCTATTCCTTTGTCCTCGCACTGCCGGTGGTTGTGCGATTCGATATGGTCGCTGGAGGGGTTGTACAAATCGCAGTACACACACTTCTTTTCGCCAGATTCTTGATCCGTGATGACCGGTCCCAGAGGTGCGCAGATCCATTTCTCGAGAGACAGGTGGAGAGACTTCTCGTGCCGGGTCCAGTCGTACTTCGACTTGAAGGTATCTGTGCAGAACGTGCACTGGAAGATGCGCTTCTTATCATCGATCAAAGACTTGCGGGCGGCGCTCGCAGGCGCTGGCCTCCGCCTTCGTCGACGATCTTTCTTTCCAGCCAGACTGGAACTGAAAGAGCCGAACGAGCCATGCGTAGAGTGCGAGGAGTCGTTGGAAGCAGAGAACGCCGCGCTCGACGCAGAGAGTGATGAAGTCTGGCCAGTCTCCAGCGAGGTCGTAGACGGCGCCCTAACATTGGAGAAGCCAGATCCATTGCTGGAAGCCTTACGCCTTTTGCTCGATCGACCATTCGTAGAAGGCGACCGCGAGACTGGATCCTCAGGGAAGTCTGTGTTCGCGACGGCGATGGCGATATCCGTGATGGAAGCAGGTTCGTGTTCAGGTGGAGAGTTCTTCCATCTTTCGAAGGGATTGAGCTCGTCCCATGGCTTGTCCGGAGTAGGAATGTCAATAGCAGCAGTAGTCGGTCGAAGACTCGGTGAGCTAGCGAGCCTTGGTTTCGCCTTTTCTGTAGCCTTTCGTCGACGTCGCGCATTAGCGAGCCAGTTGGCGATTTGACTTGGCTTCAGTTCAGTCTGGCGTTCGAGCTTCACTTTCTCCTCTTCGGTTGGGTACGGGTTGTCGGCGTGGGCATCAAGCCAGTCTCGGAGAGTCTTCACGGCATGTCGAGGAAAGCGGATGCCGTTGCGCTTCGAACTGCCTGGAGCATCATCTTTGAACGGAACAGACGGACCATACTCGAAGCCTTTCGATCTCAAGGTTTTGATGCCTGTAAGAGTGCCATGCTCCTTGACGGTATCCTCATCCACGGCATGCAGTGTGTCGAGAAACGTTCCAGAGTTCTTTTCGATATAGTTAGTCGCCTCAAGTGTCTTGAAGTGGCTCAGGCTGCATTCTCGGAACAACGTCGAACACGGTGTACAAGAGTTGTCGTTTGGTAGTCGATAGCATGCCAGCCTTCTGGATCGGCAGTAATCGCATGGTGTCTCATTGCGAACGAAGCGAGGGATCCAATCTGGGAAAATGTCAGAGACAGTAACATCACTCAAATGTCGACAATTCGTACTTTCAGTCCTCGAGTAGTCTGGTTCTTCTAAACCAGTGGGAGCCTCAGTCGCATCAGTCGCAGGCTGTGGGATGTCCCAATCTCCCATGAAGCTATTGCACCAGCAACTAGACACATGCACATTAGCATGACATGATCTTCAAGTAGGAACTTCAATCGCATACTTCGTATCGTCGCCAGGGTGATCCGGACAGTACCCTAGCCTCGCCGGATCCGTCGCAACCGTATTCCCAAACAACGCCTCATCACCACCGCCAAAAGCACCCTCAGGAATATCCAACAACTGCTCGAAATCCGGCTGAGCAACAGCAGCAAAATCACCCTCGTGCTCTTCCATAATAGTCGTCATATCCTCAACCCGTCAGCGACAGGGCGCAACAAGGCGTCCTGCGGAAAGGCGTGAGTAAAGGGCGTGGCGTGAGGGAAGAAAGAGGAGACCAAAGGGCGTGAGATTTGACAACAATGGCCCACGAAACATTGAAAAGGGAAGTCAGAAGTCAGCGGCTGGTTTCTGCTTTCTTTCTCTTACCTTCTTACTACGCCTTCTACGACCACTCGGGCTAGACCCGCGAGGTGCTGTCGGGTGGCCCTTCGACTCATCGCCCTCCAAGCTCCTCACCGCGCCAGTACATGCGCGCCCTACGCACTTCCTGAAGAGAAAGGTCGAGGTGCACTATCGGCCCCCCAGCCCAGGTGGCAGAATTTGTGGGTCGGCGCCGACGGCCATTCTCTGGGGCTGACGACTAAGAAGTCGAGAATGTGTTGTGCAGATGTTGTTAGATGGCCCAATGACCGGCAGACTAGGACGACATCCATGCGGAGGAGCATTCCGGTCACGAGGTCAAATACTATTGTCCTAACACGGCAAGCATGAGCGTTCAAAAGACAGCAGGCTGAATCGACTCTTCGAAGCAAGGCTGAACACACCCACGACTTTCACCACCACAGGTGCTTCTCACTCTCAGCTCTCCAGAGAAAAGTCCGGTACAGCGTGCTGCCCTACCTCCAAACGCCCAGATTCGCTGAGTAATGGCCACATTCAAAAAGTATGTTACACGGCGCACGCGACGTCGAGATGGAAAGAGCCGTGAGAAGAAGAACACACCTCCCGTCGCCCGCGACGCAATAATTCCTGAGTAATACCCTTTTGTCAACAGGCTATGTTGCTCTTGAACTCACGGCTAAGATGGAGCTGGTATTATTGGATCGGCATTGGAGTCCGCAATCGCCCGGGATAAAACTTCGGTGTTGTGGCTTTCTATTCCGATGGCTGTCTGCCTGGACAACGGATGGCATGCTGCTGCTACATGTACTGCGAATGCGAGTGACGACAATGGATCTTCACATGTTCCGCGTATACCTTAGCTTCCATTGCTTCGCTTCGAGGCACAGAAGGAATGCTGCTCGTGACGCTTTTCAATGATAAGGACGAGGGCTTCTCACTGGAGAAGCCTGCAGTGCAACCACATCTTCTTGCCAAAAATTCGTCAATACGTCAGTCATACAAATGGGTATCTCGTCATCACTCATATAGCTGTATCTGCTCCTTCCCACGCAAAACCTACCGCATGTCAAGAGAAGCAGCATTGCGGCTCATCGTAGCGTCTGTACCGCGAAGCCCCATCTTCTGCATCCCTTCTCCAACGCCATCGTAAACACCAGCGCTGAAGCCTTGCACGAGATAAAGGCCAATCTCCTTCATCGAGTCGCCGACTTTGCCGTCGTTCATCGCGCAGATGCTGGAGGCCATGGTGATGGTGCGCTTGCCCATCATGTCTGCGGCTATGACGCTCTGTGCGAGTACTCTGTCGCTGATCTTGTGCTTGCGGTCGAACTGGTACGCTTGCCGGAGCAGCAGCTGTAGATATGGCAATACGAACGATACCGTCAGGAAGACGTATAACGTGATCTCTGCCACACATCGGTGTAAAGTCGACTGCCGACGTTGAGGCGTAGTCGATTGCCTGGCTCTTGCTCCAGATCCTTGCTGTATAGCGATCCGCTGCTCTTCGATCGCTGCAGTGCCCATAGCCGCTGGTATCGCCTCTTGTATGCTCAGTTCCTCGTCTTCCGTAAGCTCTGCAGGTAGTCCACGTAGCATGCATGCCACACCGTCGATATATTCTCTGCGCGTAAGCCGTGTACTTGAAGCTGTTGCATTTGCGTCCTCTTGCGCTGCGAGCGATAAGAGTGCAAATCCGGTATTTGCATATTTCCACTGAATACCGCTTTTTGATTCGGACCTTGTGTTCGTTGGTGTGGTGCTGCCAGAACTGGAGTGCCGGCTGGGCGCAGCACTCATAGGAAACGAGCGGAATGCTGGAAGCTGTTCATCCGAGAGGTCCATCTCCTCGACATTCGACTGATAAGAGGGCGGTGGCGTGACGCTGTCCATACTGGCTTGGCTAAGAGGCCGAGATGGGCATGTTGTTGAAGGGGCGGATGCGGAATGCGATCGTAGTCTCGTGGGAATCTTTCGCAGGAGAAGCGAGGGAAGCAGATCGAACAAGAGCAGCGACGGACCGTTTGTGGAGTCGTCGCTGGCCATGGCCGTCTTATACTGTGTGACGATGGCTCGAAGGCCTGACCTCATCGTCGATCTGTTGGCGATAAAAGGACTGTGCTAAGGACTGTAGACCAACAGCATGTTGAAAGGTATTGAGGAAACGATGATCGTGAAGTGATATTGGAATAGTATGAGGTAGGAGAGGGGTGACGAAGAGATATTACTCGCAGGAGATTTTGAGAGGTTCCCTTCTCAACAACCCACTTTCACATGCCAGTCGACAGCCCACCCCACGTTGGGACTGTCAAACCTTGTTATTGGCGTCAGCCGGATCGCAACGGACCTATCAGCGCCAGAGAAATCACTGCACGTTTTTCGCGCCTCAGGCATTCATCGTAGAGTTATCGTCCGAGCTACGATAACCATGTGTCTGACTGGGCTCGAGGCCATCTTCAAGACGACAAAATCCAAAGAGTCTCTTTACAGCAGTTGCAGCAGCGGTCGTCCGATTTGATATTTCGCGACACCCGGACAGTCGAAATCGACGGGCTGGTCTTCTTGTGGCGAGAATGGCGTCTCGGCGTGATTACCTGCTGTTGAATAGGCGATGCAGGGAACGCGGCGGTAAAGGTTGCCTTCAGAGCTCAACAGACCTTCAGGCATCGAGTAAATTAAGCAGAATCCCTGGCAAACCGGACACTCCTTCCTTGTTGATCGCAGACACTGGGACAGCGAACAGAGTCTTTCGCCAGCCATTCTGCTTTCCGCTCGGGTGCTGTTCTTCTCCTGATTGTACTTTCTGCAGGTAGCTTTGCAAACTCTGGAAGTTTTCCTGCGTTCCAGGAAGGTCTGCCTTGGTTGCAACGACAAGCCATGGCTTGCTGCTGATGGGTGGAAGCGCTATCGCTGGTAGAGATCTCCCTGCGGGTGGATTGAGTACGGCCCCGTCCACAGGTTCTGGGTCGAAGCCAGGAAATATTGAACTTTCAAACGGCTTGAAAGCCATAACGCCGTCTTCTTGAGGCTGTAGACGCTCCGTCTCAGCGTTCAACGCTTGCTCACGGAGCTTCTCGTACTCGCCAACCTCTGTCCAGAGATCTTTCAGAGCTGCAACGGCGTCGCGAGCTGCCAAATCCACGACGAAAGCCAGAACCGCCGCTCTTTCCACATGGCGCAAGAATCCCAGTCCTAGACCCTTGTCAAGGTGTGCACCTTCGATAAGGCCTGGTATATCGGCGATAGTAAAGTTTGTTCTCGGCTCCTGACGGCGGCCTTTGGTGCCCAAGGACGGTCGACCCGTGTATGAGTCCAGCACAACTGTGCCAATGTTAGGACTCAGTGTGGTAAAGGCCCAATTGCCCACTCGTGTTCGCGAGTTGGTTATGGCTCTGAGCAGTGTCGATTTCCCGGCATTGGGGAGGCCAACAAGCCCCACATCAGCTAGCAGCTTCAACTCCAGCTGCAAGCTAATGCGCATCCCACTCCCTCCTTTTGTCGCGAATTTGGGCCGTAAAGCAGTCTTCGACACGAAGTGCGGGTTGCCGAGTCCACCCATCGCACCAGCTGCCAAAAGTAAGGGTGAATTCATAGGCTTATCGAGATCGAGGCGAACAGGTGCAGCAGGCTGTAGTGAAGCCAAATTGTTACGACGTGGTCGAGGAAGCGGAGGTAGTTCGGCCACGCTGAACGATTTTGGCAGAGTGCCAGGGTATATGAGCCACTTGTCGCGCTGGAACCCAGCTGGCAAGTCTCCGGCATCGTCTTCTTCTTCGTGAGAGCGACTGCCATGACGGCTGAAAGCACTTCTTTCTCTTTCATCTTGTTCCAGCGGATCCACGCGCGATACCTCCCTGACGACCGTCCCCACGGGCACTGTGATCAGGACGTCTTCGCCTCTTGCTCCTCCTTTCAGACTGCCTTGACCGTTCTTGCCTCGCCCAGCCTTGAGCATGCCTCGCCTTGCGAGCTTGTGCAGGCTTGTCTCACCCCTGACAGCCTGAATGTAGACATTTCCCCCAGTACCACCATCGCCCCCGTTGGGAGGGCCATTGGGGATGTACTTTTCGCGCAGGAACGAGATGCAGCCATGGCCTCCACCGCCAGCGCCGATGGTGAGCGAGCAGGCATCAGTAAAGGGAGCAGCCGAATAGTCGGTAGGCGCTGGGTTTAGATGGTCGAATTGATGCACGTCCACGGCCGAGGCATCAGTAGTTTGACATCGAACTTGACTCCGCAAACGCAGGTGGGAGCGAGTTAGATGGCGTAGCGTTCGGAGACTCGGCGTCCAGGACCCATCCAGACATGGATACAGAAAGGGTGTGAGGGTGGTTGAAAGCGGCAGCCTGCGCGCTGCGGTCGAAGGAGACATGCAATCTGGTGATGAGGATGGAGACAACGCGGATGCGATCTGGCGAATCGTGTTACAAGGCACGTGTTCGGGTCAAAAAGTGGACCTCCGCTCGGAAGTGAATGAAGCTGTCCCGAACGAACTTGGCACTTTCTACAAACACAACATCGACAAGGCGCGCACATGCATCACCAAAGACTCTTGTCTCGGCATAATTCTGGTCGGGCTGTAGCAGTTCATGGTGAAAGTCTGCTTGACCGCAACAAGACGACAGTGAAGCCCAGTATCTACAGAGTCTTGGTCAGTACGGCTACAGCCTAGAGCTCTCCGCATCCTCCTCCTAGCGATATCTCTTTCTTTCGCCGAAAGATATGGCCGAGGGATGCGCAGTCCGTGGATTCCAGCGGAGTATGCCTCAAGATAGCCATCACATGAAAGTGTCGTCGAAACAATTTGATTGCCTTGCCACTCACTACGACTACCGCCTTCAGATTCAATGGCCGATCCACAAAAGCCCTGCCGAGGCTCGTCGCTTTCGTGTGTACCCCGCCACCAACGAGAGGTTGCAGACGACGCCGCAAAGAGTCAAGCCGCTGATGAAGTCCACGGAGTAGACTTTCGTGGCAGGAGCAGAAGAAGATCACGGGTGTATAATAACTTGTGCGTGTCCTTCTTCTCGCAGTGGTCGCGTCAAACCACAGAGAACCTTTGCCCCAAAGCTCTCCCTCTCCCGCCACATTCGCAACCATGAGCAGACTATTCGTCACGCCAGCATTGACTGGAGCGCTGCTGTTTGCGCTCACTGCCTCGCCAGAGAGCTTCAGAGAACCTCTGCTTGCTCAGCTCAAACAATACTTGTCCGCCACGAACATCGCGAGGACAATCACCGCGCTCAAATGGCTGCTTGCCATTGGACTCGCGAGCGATGCCCACGCCTGGCTCTCTGAGTTTGCACAGAACAACTTCCGCCTCCAATCAGAGAAGCACCGATATGACTGGCCAAAGGAGATCGCAGTGGTCACAGGAGGCACTGGTGGTTTCGGCAGCCTCATGTGCAAGGAGCTGGCCGAGAAGGGCGTCAACATTATGTGTGTCGACATTCGCGACGACCTTCCACCGGACATGAAGAACAACCCCAAGATTCACTACTTCAAGTGTGATGTCACCAACCGACAAGCAGTCGCAGATATGGCTCAGCAGATCCGCCAACGACACGGCAACCCAAGCATCCTGATCAACAACGCAGGAATCTCAGGTGATGGCTCCATGTTTGATCAGACCCAGGATTCGCTGGAGAAGATCTTCAAGCTCAATGTTATCAGCCACTACTACACCGTCCAGGAATTCCTGCCAGCCATGGCCAAGAACAAGAAGGGCCACGTCGTCACGATCGCCTCGGTTGCTTCGTTCGTCAGCCCTCCAGGTCTCGTGCCATACGCAAACACCAAGGTCGCGGCATTGAGTTTCCACGAGGGTATCCAGCACGAGACCCGTATCTTCCACGATGCACCAGAGATCAAGTTCACTGTAGTCCACCCAACATTTGCGGCAACACCCATGGCGGCTCCTTTCATGGATGATCTTGCTGCAGCCAAGGCTAAGGTCATCAAGCCAACGATGGTCTCCAATGCGGTCGTGAAGCAGGTCCTCAGCGGCCGAGGCAAGCAGCTCATTATCGCTCCTGGCACTCACCCCGTTGTCTACCTCCGAAGTCTGCCATACTGGCTCTCAAACTTGGGCCTGAAGATTGCCGATAGCCCAATGAAGGTAAGAAGTGCTCAACACATGGATAGAGATGAAAGCTGACAGTTGACGACAGAAACAACTCATGATCATGCAAGAGAAGAGAAAGCTCAGGCAGAAGCAGTAACGAAATGACCTCGATTTGTTTGGATTTTATGAGCAAGAATCAGGCTATACTCGGCGGCGTACGTGCTGGATTGTAGAGTATAGACCAAGAGCTGCAATGATACATTTGGATACCCTGCCAGCCGACAATCCGTTGCCCGTCCAGATCCCAGACACCTTTGAGTGCCGACGACGCTGGGACGTTGCTTGGTGACGTGGTCTCTGAACCGTGGTTTATTTCGATACTCATTGTTGGTAACATCCTTCCGGAACGTTTCTCGATGTTTCGGATGCTCGCAACGGTGCCGTGAGGAAGGGCATCCTTTGGCGGTAGGATTTTGGCAAACGACATCAGCCATTGTAATACGTCGATGTTAGTATCCAAACGAGAAATGAATCTCTATCAAAGTCGAATGCTGTTGTTGAAGTGAGGTCGTAGAAAAGTGCCAGGGTTGATTGAGAACCGAGGTTCGCCCTTTGAAAAGAGAAGGCGCGAGACTTCACGCTTTCAGCCCCCAACTTTCCTCACTCTCCACCACCTCATCAGCTCGAACGATGCCAACACTCTCGGCAGGAGTCATGTTTCACCGGCACGACCCCAGAAAAGAAAAAAGCACTCGAAGATATCGCCGTGCGCAGTCAGGCGGGAGGCTTCCCATATACAATTCTCGTCCCAAGATATGGGGTCCCGCAGCTGCGGCCAACACAGCCACCGGTTCCTGCATGCGCTCTGCACGCCGAATACCAATTTTGGATCGCGAGAGCTGCAAGCCCGCGTGGACAGGCAGGCATGGCAAACGGGACTGGAATCAGGCCTTTGTGTGCCCCCATCAGAATCGTCTGTTTATACATTTTGTCGAGGCTGAGGGAACCACTCTTCCTGCTACGTGCGGTGTTGGTGGCAGGCCTTTCGCAAGGATGATGCTGCTGCTACTATACAGCAGAGTTCCCAGCATCTCGCCTCGTAAGTCTTACACTCCTACTCCTGTACTCTACATGACGACGATTTTCTGATCTTCACGTGGGCGAGATTTTTCTTTTATTTCCTTGTTTCCTTCTGTCACTCGCTTAGCCGCAATACGAGAAGAGATGAGTTTGGTTCGGAGGGTCTTTCTTTCTGCGCTTCTCGCAGGGTTGGGAACGAGGTCGGCAGCGATACCCGGTGAGTTGAAGTTTGGTTCGTTGCCCAGTCAGATGCAATCGTTCAACTGACTTTTGGTAGCGCGCTTCAGCAACATTACCCATGTTTCAGCGACACACCACACGTCTGCTGCCACTCCAGCGTATAGCGAAATCACCAACGCTGCGAACTCCTTATTACTGCACAATGTGGGACAGCCTCCAGAAACTATACCTGCTTTCAACCCGATAGCGACGAACTTGGAAAACTGCCATCAGAGCAGGACAGAAGCAGTCGATCACAACGTCAATCCCACGGCCACCGGGGCATCAGCCTCACAAAGCTCGACAACTATCCATGCTTCCAACTTGGCAACGGGCTGGAACGCTTCCGAGCAACTGGGCACCGCCACTCACGGACGACCGCTGCACCTGTCAACGTTGCCAAAAAATGGCCATGCGTCAGCCTCTCACACCAGAGTGGGCTTAGCCGCTATACTTTTAGAGCCCGCCACAGTTACTTCTGTGCATGTACCAACCCCACAAACCACTCCTGGCGGCAGTGAACAAAATGTAGACCCTTCCTCCCTGTCGTCTGCTACTAGTAAACAATCACATCACACGACACCTGGTCCTCTTTCTCAGACCGCGGTCTCTGACGGCCGCAGACAAATGGACAACGACAACGACGATACGAATAATGCTATTACGACCGCTAACACACGACCAACCTCTATCATGGTCAACGACATGGATTCTAGTGATGGTGTAGGGAAGCTGGTCTCTGCTGTTGGAGATGTCGCCACCCTATCTGGAGCAGATGCAAAGGTCCTTACTCAAGCTCCCACAGCTTCAGCAGATGCTACAAATGCTCTGGATGTGCTGCTGTCTGCTCTACCAAGCAGTGTAGCGGAATCATTGGAGTCGCAATTCAGCGCCACTGCCACCGAAGTCTCGACAACGAGGCCGAGTTCGAGACCTACGACCAGACCTACGACCAGAACGAGGCCTGTATCAACGACCTCAACTTCAGCCTCCTCAATACCGACATCGAGCTCATCAACAATCACATCAAGCTCGACAACCTTTACAATAAGCACACGATCCACAAGCAACACGATCAGCAGCACCTCCTCCTCTCCAAGCTCAACATCAACCAACGCACCCCCAACCGACTCCAACTCCAGCCGCCTCGAAAACAACGCCGTAGCAGGCATAGCCACCGGCGTAACAGCCGGCGCCGTCCTCATCATCCTCGCCGTCGTCTTCTTCCTCCGCCGCCGGCAACAAGGAAAACCGTTCTTCGGCCCACGAGCCTCCCAACGCTCCAAGACCAGCGGTCGAGCATACCCCGAAATCGCCTGGCTCTACGATCCCGCACCCACCCCGCCCAACGAACCCTCCTCCTCGCATCACCAGGGAGAGGAATCCGCATCATCTCTCCTCCCGCAAGTGCGAGAACCGGAAATGGCTGCCATGGCCGCGGCGCCGTTGGGAAGCAATCCTTACCGAAGTCCTGAGCTGAGACCTGCCGCCGGGCCCGAGAGTCCTCTGCTCCCGCCGAATATGCCTGCCGCGAGGGATGAGAGCCCTGGTGGATCGCCGAGTGGTTCGCCTAGGAGTAGTTCGCAGAGTCCGAGGCGGTCGGCGAGGAGTTCGGTGAATTCGAGTGCGGGCGATGGGAGGAGGCCGCTGCATGCGATCTTTGAGGAGGGTCATGCTCAGTGATGGATAGAAGAGCGGGGATACATTTTGGATTCGATTTGATAGCGTTTTACAGCATGGCGTTGGTGGTGTTAGCCTCGATCAGAGAGACTCGATCAGAGAAAAGGACTCATCGTTACATGGTTTTGAGAAGGGAAAGAACATTGCATTCTTGTGAAGGAGTTGTTGGCATACGATACCCCATTCTTGTTCGTGTAATGGCTGTATATATCACGATGTACTTTATCGACGATTACAAGTCAAAGGCTCATGGTGGAATGAAATTTCATGTCTTAATGGTCATAATGTGCTGCTGTCTACTACTGCTGATAGTAGTACAGATGCAGCTGAACTGTCAAGCTACTTTGGATGTTGTGCTTCGATCCAGTCTCGAATCGATCCAGCCCAATGGAGCAAGTGCTGGTTACCAAGAATCTGTCATCAATGGCGAAGAATCGCTCTTTCCTTTCTGAATCCACCCAACGCCAACGCCAACGCCTCCCACAAAACGCAAACAACAAACACAACCCCCTCCCCAAGACGTCGACGAAAACCACCTCTCACCCCCCTCAATCAATTCAACCCATTCGCCTCCCTCCTAACCTCCTGCAACCGCCTCCGATGCCTGAACGGATCACACATATGACAAAGATAATCATCCCTATCCAAATCCTTGGGCACCGCCTCCCCAATACAATCCACATGCTGCCACACGCCACACTTCTCATTGTCGCAGCCGACCCAGTCGCGGTCGCGCAAAGGGTTCTTGTCGTCCTTGGTGTCGCCGCAGAGGCAGCGCACGACGTTCTGCTTGGCCAGGTCGTCTTTGCTGAAGTTGGCGCGGTCGTAGAATTCGGGGGGGAAGTCGGGGTGGTGCGTTTTGCGCGCATGGGCGGCGAGGAGGAGGGTGTGGCGGTGCGCGGAGGCGGCTGTGGCGAGGGGTTTGGATTTGGGGAGGATTTCGCCGCGGGCGATGCGGTCGAGGAGGGTGTTGGCGGCGGTGGTGGAGGATGGTGCGGTGGTTGAGGTGGATGTGACGGAGGCGGTGTCGTCGTTGGTGGTGGTCCGCTGGCGTTGCTTGCCGGTTGCTTTGACGCTGCGCTTGACGGGGCTACCGGTGGTCGCGGGCGTCTTCTTCTTCTGACGAGATGATGATGAGGACTTGGTTTGTGATGCGGCGCTGGTTTTCTTAGGAGGCGATGCCTTGAGAATCAGCTTGGGCTTCTTGACCGCAGGCCTCTGGTCTTCCGTGTCGCTGCCACCATCTGTTTGCTGCTGGTCGGCGACGCTCGAATCTGGTCGAGCAGAGTCAGGGCGTGGCACATCAGCGGCGGTGATTTCGTCGTCGTCGTCGTCGGGGGCAGCGCGCTTCTTGGCGTTGGCAGGCGACTTGACAGTACCCTCGACTGGTCGGCCAGCGAGAGAGGAGGCGCCAGTCCAGCGCTGGCTGCGCTCTGCTGGCTTATCTGAAGGACCTAGAGATCCATATCTCGACAGATCATCGACGACTTTCAACACATAGGCTGGATCTGGCATTTTGCTCGCGCCCATTGGAGGGTAGGCAGGTCTTGCAGTGCCGACAGAAGCCATGGCGCTCGTCGCAAGTGGTGTCAGTAAGTGGTTCGTCGTTGCGAGGTTCATGGGATTGAAGTTGGAGTGCAGCTGGTAGTTCGCATAGCCCGTTTGCTGTGGGTAAACAGGGCGAAGTTGCTGGCCTTGATCACGGAACGTCTGGCTTTGAGACATCTGTCTGGGCGCGTTTGAGACAAGGCGTGCAGCTGCAAGGCGTGCCATTGTCGCAGAGGCTGGGTGGGCAAAATAGTTGTTTGGTGACAGAGGTTGAAGTTGATCGATGCTTGTCTGAGTCGGTGGTGGGGATTCCGTCTCCGTCAGGACAGGCGCAGCCAAAGTCGCGAATGGCGAGGTGACGGGAATGACCGGAATCTCAACTCCTGGGTGCCACTCTTCGGTAGGGTATGCAGAGAAGTTGTCGATGGTCTCCGTGTTGGCGGTGGTCGGGTAAGGAAGCAATGGTAGTATTTCGTACTCGAGCTCTCGGCGACGGATCTCCTGAACAGAGAGCTTGGCGGTCGACTCGAGGCTGAACACCATGTCGGCATCCCACCTCGTGCTCTGAGCGAGCTTTGGCGCATCCTTGTAGTCTGGATACTTGCCGAGGAAGCCGTGACGACGCTGCATGTACTCCGTGTTGGTGTACCACTCGTTGATGATGCTGCCGTCGCCCTCGAAGTCTTGGACTTCGCGCAAGGCGTGCTCGTCGCGCTCGTCTTTGCCGTCGGCCATGAAGCGCACAGATGACATGTTGGATGCGATGGATGCGGTGGGTTGGTAATGTACAAGTTCTTGTTCGAGAGTTCGAGTGATGTATGAGTTTCGGTGGGTCCAGCCAGCTGTGACACGGTTCGAGTACAAGTCAGATGAATAACGTTCTTAAGTTCGTTGGTCGTGAGTTTGCTGTGAAGGTGTCTGCAGTTTGTTAAGACGAGAGAAGTGTTGTCTCTTTCTTGAAGTCGTCGCTTGTAAATGAAGACGAAAGTGAACGTCGAATAAGACAATAGGAAACGTGTGTGACAACAATAGAGGTGAGTTTCATGAAAACAATAGGATTTAGGTTTCACACCTCAATAGCAAGTATTCACTATTGTGGAGCAACAATAGGAAGTGTGAGGTGAGGTTAGCTTTTGTCACGCGGAGGTGGATGAAGCTCGTACGCGAGACATACTTGCGTTTGAAATACTTACGTTTAGAGGCGTATATCTACGGTCGATTTACTGCTGCACTCCTGACACTACGCTTCAATGTTGAATCTCCCAAACGTGTCCTCGGCCAGTCCTTGACGGCGTTCGTCGCAGTTGAGTCCAAGCGCCGAGGCCGTTTTCTAAGTGGTCTTGCCAGTGCCTGCCAGAACCAACCGCAGGTCTGGCAGTATGAAACAATTCAACATCATGGCTCGGGTGATTTGTTCTTTCCGAGTCGCGCGTGAACTTCGCCTCGATTTGATGTTTCCGACGGTCGACCGTTCAAGGCCTGCTGCTCTTGGATCTGCTGTAAATTGAAACTGTAGGTTGCCCTGGCCGACGAATGCCCTCGTGATACGATTTCTCCCACTTGAGTGAACATGTTTCCCCCGAGTGGACAGTTTGAGCAACTCATGCGTGCATCTTTGAGGTGTAGCATGCATCGCGGTGTTTTCGGAGTGCCAGTGTGCCAGTCGGTAAGACTTGGGAATGAAGCAGATCCCTCGCGCTGGATGTCGGCTAGTTGCGATGACCTGGGAGCGCCCGGAACATCAAGCCTTACTGATAGTCATTACTCACATGGTGTCCGAACCGATCCTTGTCATGGCTCCCTCGATATCCGACCACTTGTGCGAAGAAGTCTCCTCATAGCTCAACGCATCTCTTTCCAAGTCCCCTGTATTCTTCTATGCAGTCTTTCCACAGCAGAATGGTGAGGTAGCGAAGACAAGGATCTGGTCAATCGTAGCAGGGGCAATTCGACGTTGGTTGGGAGAGGTGACATTTCCGTGCTTATGGTGCTGGAGCCGGTGAGGTTAGCTTCGTTCACGTTTCGCATCGGATGAAACTATGAGTCTCGGACCGCATCTGTCAGGCATCGGAACAATCCATGGTATATCGGATGAAGGCAAGATGGGATTAGGTACCAGGTGCTGGTGAAGTTTGGCATCTGGTGAAGTCTGCGTTGACGGGCGTTCCCGCTCTGGGCATTTTCCATTGCTCCCGATTTTCAACGTTGAATGCCGCAGATACGACAAGGGATGCCAGTCGTCAGAAAAGTCAATTGTGAGGACACAAGCGAGGGCGAAGAGTGAAGATGGTTGCGACGACAGACAGCGCCGAGGAACAATGCAGCAGCAGAAGGAGAAGAGGAAATGTCGTCCGACCAAGCTCGCCCAGACCGAAGAGAGTTCGCACCGCTCAGCGCTCACCAACAACACCTGCAACTTCACTCACCAACAACACGCCTTGACGAGCCACGCAGGAGTGCACCGTAGTAAGCCATCAACCCGAGCTGCTTGTGCGAACATCGCTGTCTTTGGCACCGTTGTACGCAGCCTGCAGTGCTCTGCAGCATCCGTCGGCTCTACCAGGTTGCACAACTGCCGTCTCATGTCAGGACGTACGCGACAGCCCGTCCAACGCCTCCCGAGGTCACCATGCTATCGGCAAGTGCAATATCACACAGTATCTACCATGAGTCTTTGAGGATACTCTGCTTCCAACAATTGCCGAGCCACGTACCCGCTTCGATATGGAGGCCCCCGCAAAAGTACCCCAGCATTTGACAGGCCTCTCCACGATCACCCTCACGCTAGGAAACATCACATCGACGCCAATCCGTCGCTAGCGGTTTCGGCAGTGCACAAAGCAGCTTCGCGAAGGCCATTCTGCAAAGCTGATCAGCAATTCCACCCGATGCAGGGCGAATCAGAGCCAGACAAAGTGCGGAGCACCGTCCAGACTGTCATAGTCCTGGGCCCCCAACTCTAGCCAAAACGTGGAGCAGACGATCCTCGCCTCGCGTGGCGATGAGTTAGGCTGAATGCCACAAATACCTTCTTGTTTGCCTACGCTGGGCGGACACAAGTCACGCGGTAGGGGTCCCGCCGGGTTCAGCCCGTGCCTCATGAAAGTATGTTTTAATCAAGTAAGCTGCATCCTGGCGATACACTTCTCTCTTCCCTGTACAGAGTTCAACGCACTGATAGCAACTCAATTTTGAACTTTGCGTTGCTATAAGTATCTCATACCTCCTTTCCAGGTTTGTCGGCCCTGAACCTCGCGTGTTGCCAACGACAACCTTCCCTCCTTGCCACGAGGGCAGCACATCTCAGGAGTCATATATAAGACCCGCCACCATGGAGATGAACGCTGATGCAAGAGTAAGCCAACATGAAGCATCTTCACATTCTGTTTGGCATTGCGCTCACACCTGAACCACAGGAACTCCGTGAACTGGAGAATGAGCTCAATACAGAGATTCTTCCTGGGACGGAGGTGATGGCCGACGTTGGGTCGCATCACTTCGTCAAAGGCAACAAACACGTCCTTGTGCCACAGCCATCCGACGATCCGCACGACCCTCTGAACTGGAGCACGTTCTGGAAGTCTATGTGCATCATAGCTTCGACGAGCGTATCGTTCACGCAAGGCTTTGGGCCATTGGCGCTGGCGCCTATGTTCCCGTATTACATCGAAGAGTTTGATTCTACTCTTGCATCGGTAGGTGGATAAATCTGCACACTGTATCTGAAAGCAACGTTGATCTGAAATGTTCTCAGGTTGTCAAGTTCACCGGCGTAGCGATCTTGGTCCTCGGATTCAGCAACTTCATCTGGTATGGTCGTCAGACGCCGCTTTCGAGTAAATGCTAACGATATCAAGGGTGCCGCTGAGTACTTCATTCGGACGACGACCAGTCTACATATTCTCGCAACTCGTGTGCGTAGCCTCGTCGATATGGCGCGCAAAGGCGCAAACATATGGCAGCTTCATGGGGGCATGCGTACTCAATGGTATTGGAGCTGGTCCAGCAGAGACCATCCAACCCGCAGTTATTGCAGACATCTTCTTCCTGCACGACCGTGGCTTTTGGAACACCCTTTACTGGGTGGCTTACATGGGCAGTCTGATGGTTGGACCTGTATGATCGCCCTCTCTTACTTGCTGTACACGAACATACTAATACAAGTACAGATCGTCAGCGGCTCTATGAGTCTTCACGTCGGCTGGAGAAACTTCTGGTGGTTCAACACAGGACTCGTCGCTCTCTCACTGATCATGGTGATTTGTACGTCCAAATAATGCCTTCCCCACTGCTCAAGCGCTGACACCAAACCACAGTCATGTTCCCAGAGACAAAGTACCACCGACGACATCCAGACGAAATCGCAGCCAACAACCGCAGCGTCTCGCCTCAAAAGAGCTCCAGCAGCGGCGACACCGTAGAAAACACCGAGAAAATCGGCTCCATCGTCGAGACCCAAACCAACGCTGCTCTCACCCACATCGACACGGCCGAACGCGACCCCTGGCTCGGAAAAGGCAAACCCAGCAGGAAACAATGGGGTCTCTACACACCCTGCGCAAACCCCCTCAAATCCATGCTCATCGACCTCTGGATCCCCTGGAAGCTCTTCATCTTCCCCATCGTCGAATTCTCCTCCTTCGTCGTCTCCTGGACCTGCAGCTCCTTCCTCACGATCAACCTGACGCAGTCGCAAAACTTCGCCGCGCCGCCGTATAATTTCGACTCGCAGAGTATCGGGTTCATGAACTTCGCCATCCTTATCGGCGCTGGTATCGGTCTGGCGACGGCGGGTCCGTTCTCTGACTGGGTTAGTGCGAGGGCTACGAAGAAGAACCACGGGATTCGTGAGCCGGAGATGCGGTTACCTGCTATGAGTGAGTTGAAAGCACAAATCCCCATTCTTGCCCCGCGAGCGTTGACTGATATATTATCCCCAGTCCCCTACGTCCTCATCATGATCCTCGGCAACTTCATCGTCGCCTTCGGCTACGACCGCAAATGGCCCTGGGAAGCCATCGTCATCATAGGCTACACCTGCGCCGGGATCCAAGTCGCCGCCCTGCCTGCCATGGCAACGACATACTCCGTCGACTCGTACAAACCCGTCGCGGGAAGCCTCATGGTCGCCATCACCGTCAACAAGAACGTCTGGGGTTATGGCTTCAGCGAATTCATCACGCCGTGGGTGGAGAAGAGTGGGTTCGTGCCGCCGATTATGACGAATATGAGTTTGATTACGTTGTGGTGTTTGTGTGCGGTGCCGATGTATTACTTTGGCAAGACGTTTCGAAGGTGGAGCAGCAATGATTCGGTGCATAGGATGTAGATGTGAGGCCTCTGTTGGGATTAATTGGTACTGGGATGTTTTGGTGATGTCGTAGTAACATTTGGCCCGTGGCGTACGAAGTTCATGAAGTAACATTGATCCCTATCGTTCATTCAAAGACTGAAGAGACGAACCTCATCATCCCAATCCCTCCCAGGCGCTTTCAATCGCAAGCTTACTTCCCCTTCGCCCCCGCCTTCATCTTCGCCATCCTAGTCCTCATCCCACTCAGAATCTCCTCCTGCGGAAACGTCTTCAGCGCACTCGGATGGCTCCTCACAGCCTGCGCCCACCTGCTGAAATTCGGCAGCTTCTCCAATTTCGAAATCAGAGACTTGGGCAGGAACTCGCCGTCCTCGGCGATGAGGAAGAAGCGCAGCACGAAGGGCGCCGCGATGACTTCGGCGAGGGTGAATTCTTTACTGCCCTGTAGTGTACTGTTAGACTGCTATTTGGTGAGACAGGATAGGAATGGGAAGACTTACGCCAAAAAACGGATCCGCGTCCTTGAGCAAAGGCTCCAACTCCTTCTCAATCGTCGCGACCCACGCATCGACTTTCTCGTCCTTCTCCGCCCCGTCGTCGAGCAGCATGATGGAGAACCAGTTCGAGCCGACTTTCGTGCTCCAGGTATCTACGAAGAAATTGAGGCGCGCACGCCTATACAAAACGCATCAGCCTCATCATGCCTACTTCCACATAGAATCCTCAACCTTCGCTCCGGCTTAAGGACCACTCACCTCAACGGCGCCCCCGGCGCCTCCCTCGTCCCGGGCAAAAGATGACTGGGGAAACTATCCATCAAAAACTGCGCAACAACCGCACTCTCCGTGACAATCTCCTCATCATACACCCCCTCCACCGAATACTTGATCGAAGGGACCAAGCCCCTCGGGTTGATGTCCAGGTACCATTGGGGCCGGGGGGTGTTCAGGTCGATGAGGACTTCCTCGTAGGGGAGTTTGAGTTCTTCGAGGGTGATGTGGGCGCGGTGCGCGTAGGGACAGCCGTGGTTGGTGTAGAGGGTGATTTTGGGGGAGGCTACGGCGTGGCCGTTGGTAGCTGTAGCAGCAGCCATTGTGTCGATGAAGGTCCTTTTCTGAGTGATGGGTTTGCTGGGAAAGTGTTGAGAGATAGCAGCAGCTCTATACGTAGCTCTGAGCATGAAAAGAGCAAGCAAGCAGTCAAATTATTCGGCGCCGATCGACGTAAGCCAGAAAGACTGCCTTATATGAGCTACTTGGTGAGAAGTGTCCGAAACGGCGACATTGTTGCTCCCTACGCCGTATCTGGCCTTACCAAAGCAAGGGCGGACTTTCGGCCTTAAACCACGCGAGGGTCGTGAGAGCCAATCGATCCGGCAGCTCTTTGATCCTTGGAGCGTGAATGCGAGGGCTACGTGTCGTGCTACAAGGCTATATACAAGGGCAGAATCATAGTGATGACAATCGTAGGCGAGACTTGTTCTTCCGGTGCACGGAGACATTGGTATGCTAGTGCAACGGTTTCTTCACATGTCGACCAAGATGGCGTGTGGGCGTGAGAATGTGGGCAGGGAAATGAACAACGCTTTACAGTGGACGAGCTTTCTTCCATCTCGTTGTTCATTCTACAATAGGTGGGTGAGAAAAGCAGTCGCTTGCTCATTCCATCATCAACCCAGTCAATATGCTTAGGAGAAGTAGTGCTACAGCTCCAACTCCATGCCATGTCGAAAATCCAGCGCCAGTGTCTTCGATTATGCCAGTCTGAGGGTGTCGATGAGTAGCATAGGTTGTGTGTGGTGATTGCCCCCAAAGCACGTGTGCTGTCAACGCTCACGATTCAGTCTTGAATTCAGTCTTGATGCCAAGTCGGTTCCACGTGAACCTCGGTCGAATCGCTTAGATAGCGACGGCCTCAGCCTTCTTCTCCTCTGCATGCACAGTCTCAGGAACAGTTGGCTCCTGCTTGGGAGCGGTTGGGAAGTCCGAGCTGTTGACTGGTGCTACCTTGTCGGCGGTCTCCTGCTTAACAGCACCCTTCTCCACAGCGACCTGCTTGCCCTGACCGATCAAATCTTGCGCCTTGGCAGTGTACTCCTTGATCGCGCTCTGGCTCAACTCCACCGTCTTGTTCGTGTGCTCTGCAACAATGCCTCGAAGCTGGCTGGCCTGCTCAGAAGCGATGTTCTGGGCGTTGTTCAAGTGGTGGTCGATGAACTCCTTGTTGCTGATGTAGGCAAGGGGCACGAAGTAGGCGGCCGTGGTGAAGAAGAGAGCAAGACCCCAGGATGGCATGATCTTGATGAGGAAGTACGAGAGGAAGGTGGTGACGAATGCCTGGAAAGTAGTTAGCCTGGAGTTGGAGCTTCTCTCAACATGACAGCACTTACCAAGATGGTGGCGTAGATGTTCTCGGCAAAGACAATGCGCTGGAACTCGATAACAAAGAAGTTGATGAGCTCTTCAATGTCTCCCAACACAGCCTCGAGAGTCTCGCGGGGGAAGGTGTAGTATCGCTTCGGCCTCATCTTGCTGGCAATACCCTCACCGAGGACGAGCTTGCCGACAGCCTCCGCTGCTGCGGTACATCCCAACAGAACGTAGAGACCCTTGAGCGCAAATCTAGTGACGGGGAGGTAGCGCGTGGCGAAGATGAGGGTGACGATGGTGACATAGCTGATAGCCGTGGCGCGCGGGTTCTCCCAGGAGAGCAGGTTGTAGAAGAAGGAGTGGTAGTGTGTGAGCTCCTGGCCGTTGGCGGTCTGGGATTGAGGCGTCTGGCGCGCGGCGGCGAGGTTGGTGAACTCGGTCTTGGTGGTGTCGGCCTCGACGCGAGCCTTGTCCGCCAAGGGGCCGTTGGCGATGGACTGGACGGTTTCGGAGTTCTTGATGCTGTCCATTGTGGATTGGGCGTCTGTCGGGAGGGTTAGGATCAATAGACCTGATTGGGGCACTCAGGCGAAGTGCAAGGGTGGTGGTGATACTGGAAGCGGTGTCAGTCGGTTGTGCAGAGCGAAGGGGGAGAAGTGTGTCGAGGTGGAGTTGTTAAGAGGAAGAAGCAAGCTGTCGGGAAGCGACGTGTCGTGGTGTTGTCGACAGCAGCGTGGCCAGCTTGTCACTTCCCTGCTCTTGCTCCTCTTTCTTCCTTCTCCTTCAGGCAGCATTACACCGCAGTGACGAGCTGGCGCGAATGCATGCGAGATGTGGTGTACGTGGTGAATGGCACCTACCTTACTGTTCAGGATGGCGTTCTTGGTCTGCTCGACCGATCCGTTGCCGTTGGAGGAGGTGTAAGGGTTGAGGTCGGGGTACTGCTGTTGTTGGGCGCTGGTCTCTGCCATTGTTCGTGGGTGATAAGGGGAGCTCTGGGGGTTGGGATTTCGCTTGTCACTCGTGGCCGGCGTGTTTGCAGGCGGATTTGAACAAACTACTCGTCAGACTCAGGTCGGATGCAGGTATTCGGTGCAACAGATCCAACAGCACAGGCGGTGACGAAGATGGGGTGGTGTTGTTTGTGTAGAAGTTTCACAATATTGAAGCCGCTTGTGGTGGATCCACTTCACGCAACCCTGAACCTTCTTTGTCGTCATTTCTCGCCCATGCGCAATTCTGAACCGGTTTCCCTCCTCCACCACCACCACCACACCTCACCTCCTGCCGCTCGCTTGTGGCTTTGGCTCGTGAATGATGATGCACAACTTGATCCCAATCACGAGCGGCAACTTGTCACGAGACCTCCAACGCCGTGATCATTCGTGTCAAGTTTGGCGCGTCTCGGAAGGCCGGCACGCGACCCTACCTTTTCTCACATGCCACCACCTCCTCACCACGACTTGGCCGGTCAGCACAGCAGGACAACATGACCACCGACGCCCACTACTGCACTCTCACCAGCGGCCTCAAGTCTCGCAGCATGAGCACTCTAATAATAGCTCAGGCATCAAACTTATCATCCCGATAATCCGCCAAAGCAGTGGCGACGGCACAGCATCATCGTGCAATTCAGCTTGTGCGTGAGGCTGCGTCGCCACTGGCAAAGACAAGTATATATCCACGTCATCTCCTGTTGTCAGATTTCAGTCACCATTTCCAGCTCGCAGTACTTCGCTTTCAGTCGATGAGGAACATCCCATCAGCGGATGGTGGCACTCACATGAGCAACCTTACAGTTGAAAGCATTCTCCAGGACGAGTTCGAAAACGATCCAAACCTGCAGCCTAAACACATACGCCACGACTGCGAATGTAGAATCGTCGAAGCACCCCTCGATGCAATCACCACGATTGTCGACAGTGGAGGCGTCCCCATCTTGAATCTCGAGCCAAATGGTACCGACAAGTTAGGACTTGTTGCGAAAGCAGTTGATGGCACTACCAAATATGTGGCCGTTTGGAATCGGCCTGACGACGAGTTTGCATCTTCCAAGTACAACACGATCACGACCTGTCAACTGATTCGACTGGCCGATCGGCTGGGGGCGCTGCATATGAGAGAGGGAGGTGTGGAGATCTGCTTCTGGATGCCAGCGCTGTGTCTTCCATCAGACCTGGAGAATGAGGTTACAGTCCCGCCAGAGGTCTACTCAAATGTATACGCTGTGCTCATCATGGACTCTGACTGGCTGTCGCAACTCAATACTGATGCAGACGAGGAGGCTGCTTACCAACACGTCCTCAAACTCAGAACGGATTTTGCAGAACTGAATCAGGCGAGCAGGCTGTTACTGATTGGCCCTCTTGGTTTCCACATCGAGGTGGATATCAAGGACGCAACCGACAACACCTCATCCCAGAAGGAATGAAGCAGAGCGATCTTTGATGGACAGCGCAACGACATGCATTCTTGGTCTCGTTAAAAGCTTGGACGCCATATTTACTGAAGGTAATCTCCGTTCGTCTCCTTGTGGACCATGTCAAACAGCGGTTTCGCGCCGAACCAGCCAGCGCGATGGGTTCCAACCGTCTTGTATGTGTACGCAGCCTCCTCGCTACCGATCGTGATCGGCTTTTCACCGCGAGACGCAGCGGCCGCCTCAGCCATGAGCTGCGAATGGCAGCACTTCTCCAATGAAACGAACCAGAAGACGGCCTGTCGCGCATCAGCCCTGTCCAAGGAATTGGATGTACGTCTCGACTCACCTCTTCAATGCTGTGTCCAACGGTCAACAGGCCATGGTTCTGCAACAACGCAGCCTTCTTGTTTCCCAAGCACTTCGCGATATCCTTGCCCTCCTTCTCAGCCAACACAACGCCATTGAAGCTGTCATATACGACATGGTCGTCGTGGAAAGCGCAAGCATCTTGCGTGAGGGTATCAATCTTGCGACCCAATGTGCACCATGTTCGGCCGTAGATCGAGTGGCTGTGGGCGGCGCAGTTGACGTCTGGGCGAGCGGAGTGGATGGCGGCGTGGATCATGTACGCGGCGGTGTTGAGGAGTCGGCACTCGCCGCCGTCGATGACTTGACCGGAGTGGTCGACGAGGATGAGGTCGGACTTGTTGATCAGACTGAAAGCGACACCGAATGGGTTGACCCAGAAGCAATCTGGGTGGACTGGGTCGCGGAGGGTGATGTGGCCGGCGACGCCCTCGGACAAGGTCAGCTTGTACGGCAGTGTTCAAGAAGTAGTAGTATACACACCTCATCGAATCCATACTTTCCAAAGATGCGGAACGCAGCAGCGAGTCGGCCCTTGAGATACTCTCGCTCCTTGTACTTGTCGTCGAACTTCGGTGGTCTGTCGCACTACATATCAGCGGACCGCACCCATCCACCACATCTAACGTCCAGAGTCCATACCGAGGGAACTCAATCATCTTGCCCTGCGCAATGTTCTTCTTAACGCCCGGCTCCAAAGGCGCCTGTCCATCATTCACAGGCACGGTATGACCATTCTCAGCCACACCGACCGGCGAGTCTTCCGCGTGAGGTGCCATCGTAGATTCGGGTGACAGATCTCAAAGAAGTGGAGTACAGTAGAGAAGAAGCAGAGACCAGAAAGAGAGAAGTATACGAGACAAGAACAGATGCCAGTGGCAACAAGTATTCCACAGAAACTCAAAAACCCTCCCACGGCAACGATGGCAAAAACGAATCCGCCTATCCCTCCCCAAACCCAAAGCCTACGGCCACACGCCTCTCGCAAGCACGCAAACGATTATGCCCCGGTTAGCATTTGGCAAGGTACTAATCGTCGCCCTATCGCTGGCCAGCTCACATCATTCGGCGAACGGACGGCAAATCTTCCAAGGGAAGAAGGGACCCCGCATTGAGGGAAGTGGGGTCAGAAGAACAATCGATTCCATCACTGCTGCTGCTCTCTCATTCATCTGTCTGTCTGGATGGCTGGTTGCATGGCTCGCTGATGAAAGCACGGAGACCTGCCCCCATCGTTGGCATACGGTCTAGCATAATCGAGTCAATACAATCACTCATCGGCGGCATTCTCACGCTTCAAGCATCGATCAGTCGCAACCATCGGCAGTCATTCACGAACCCGACGCCGACAAAGTTGTATCCATACCAATGCCCAATCCTTCGGCCGACCCACGAGAATCGCAGTACAAGTACCAGTACCAGCAGTGGTGATATAGCCGAGCTTCAACTCTCGCACATTCGTATCCGCTACCGGTAATCTTCGCGACAAAAACGCACGTCGCATAGCTCGCTCTCCCTCCAATGACAGACAACGTCCTTGGCTACTGCATTGAGAAAGGAAGGGTCGTAGTAGACCGATGCTGGCCGAGAGGGCGGAGAGTAGATGTCAACAACAAGCTCGACGTTCCGTCTTCGTCAGATTCTGACCTGCTTTCATCCTCAGCATCTTACCCATGGGGATGTTGACGTGGAAAGGCAAATGGTGAGAATGAAGTCAGCGTGGATGATGGGCAAGGCAAGTCATACGAGATACGAAAGTGCTACCTATTCCCATAGAACACGAACCATTCAAACCACCGGTGACATCCACCGTAGTTCGGTGTAGCAGAGACATCCGGGAAGACTTGTCTAAAAAGTCTCGTCCATGTCATTGTCGAACTCGGCCGATTCCTCCAAGTCATCGTCCTCTTCTTCGTCTTCTTCGTCGTCCCCCGTGTACTTCGATTTCGGTGCAGCCGCGGCCGCACGACGAGATGGTAGGATAGCAGGCTTGACTGGACTGCTATCGTCCTCATCATCATCATCGTCTAGAATCTCGTCCACGAGGTCGTCATCAGCCTTCTTCGCCTTGACAGCTTCCGCCTTCTTGGCTGGCACGGAAGCGCCAGATTTAGCCTCGTTCGTTCCACTCGCCTTCCTCTTTGCCACCAACTTCGCCGCAGGTGAGAGCGAGAGCGGCTTGTACGCTGGAGGAGCCGCGGCTGGAGCTGAAGCCTTCTTCGGCTTCAGAGTGGTAGACTCCTTTACTTTGAGCTTGGACGCAGCAGTCTTCGCAGGCTTAGGAGCTGGCTTCGGCTCGTCTATGTCCATCGAGTCATCATCTCCCAGAGGCATCGCAGCGCGACCTGTCTTCTGAGGAGAGCTCTGAGCCAGCGCAGCCCAGTTTGACTCGTCGCCGGAAACGGAGGCTTCGTCCTTGAATAAAGTGCCCCTGCTGGACTTCTGCTTGAGACCATGGCTGCTCGAAGGCCGCGAGCCCGACTTGTGGAAGAGACGTGTCGATTCGTCGTTGCTGCTGCCGCCAATTCCCTTTGGCACTGGAATTTCGTCCAGCATGTCCGCATCCGAAGACTCGTCCTCGTCGTCAGAATTGACCCTGTACGACATCTTCTGCGCGGCAGCTCGTGCTCCACGGACAGGGGCGGCTGATGGCTTGGGGGCCTCCTTAGCTACAGCAGCGAACACATCCTCTTCGTCGTCGTCGTCATCGATGGGAGTGAACTTCTTTGGGCGACCTGCCTTCTTTGCTGGTGCAGGCTCAGCATCATCATCGTCTTCATCCTCTATGACCTTCTTGGCACGGCCAGGCTTCTTGACGGCTGCAGGCTTCTTGTCATCAACATCTACTGGATCCTTGCCCGAAGAAGATGCAGACTTGAAGGCATCCAATGTAGTCTGCTTGCTGGCTGGCTTGGGCTGCCGCTCCTGTTCAACACCATCCACTACTGGATAGACACCGGCCGGCTTTGAATCTGCCTTCAATGCCAGCAGTCCTGCCGCCCCCTTCGACTTGGCAGTGGTCTTCGGTTTCTTAGGCGCGAAGTCGTCGTCAGAGAAAGCATCGCTGTCGTTGGCCTTACGCTTCTTTCCAGGCTTGCCTCCTATGCCAAGCTTGGCAGAAGCGCGGCGGCCCTTCGACCGGATCTTCTTCTCACGCTTTGACTCCTCGTCGAGCATTGCATTCCACTCCTCGAGCAGGGCATCAAGGTCAGTCTTCCACAAATCCTTGGGCGATTTTCCTGTCAGAACCGTAATCTCATCCTCCTTGTCACCAATTTGCCTCAGCAGCTTCTCGACACGCTCCTGCGTCAGCGACCAGATAGCCATGCCAAGGAGGTAATCGTAGTCACTGGCACCGGCCGCTGCCTCGGCGTCTTCTGAGTCGTCGTCCTCGTCTTCTGCTGGTACGACAGGCTCGAATTCGCCCTCCTTCCGGGCATCGATGACCTTTGGGAAGCGGGTGAAGCCCTTCTTTTGCAGCTCAGCCACAAGGACAGTCTTCTTCTTCTTGCTAACGGTAAGCTCGTTGTCGATGATCATCTTCACAAATCGTGCTTGATTGTTCAGCTTCTGCAGGTCGCGCTCCATCTCGTTGAGCATGTGCAGCCTGCGCAGCTGATACATCCGCAGACGGACGTGGTAGAACTCCTCAAGCATGTCCATAGGAGTGCCGTACTTGTGAATCCTGCCATGCTCATCGAAAGCCACAAGGTTGGTCGTTGCTTGCGTCTTGGAAAGCTTGAACGCTTCCTCGAACTTGTCCTGGTGCTTCTTGAACTCCTTTTCCTCCAGCTTGATGATGAAGTGGACCTTCTCGGGAGTGTTGTATTCGGTGTAGTCCTTGATGAAGGACGGTACTTTCTCTGCTTTGAGAATATCTTCCAGCTTCTCCTTGAATTCTTGCGTCCAGTAGCGGACGGGAAGCTCGGTGATCTCGACTTCATTGTCGCCGGTGGCATTGATGGTGCTGCCGAACTTGAATCTCTCGTCGCTAAGCTGCTCGGTCTCGCCGGTCCATCCACGGTACCACGGCTTCATGACAGTCATCGAGTCCTTTGAGTCGCCTTCCATGCGACGCTTCAGATTCTCAATGACGTCTTCCGGGCGGTAGTTGGGCACGGAGGTACTCCAACCAGTTCCAATACCGTCGGCACCATTGATGAGAACCATTGGTACAACGGGGACGTACATCTCTGGCTCGATGGTTTTGCCGTCGTCGGTGTTGTACTTCAGCAATGGCTCATCAGCTGGGTGGAAGATCCGTCTAGCCAAGGAAGAGAGCCTCGTGTAAATGTAACGAGGACTGGCAGCATCACTACCACCCTGCAAACGGGAGCCAAAGTTACCACTGGGCTCAAGGATGTTCATGTTGTTCGAGCCGACGAAGTTCTGGGCAAGTCCGATGATGGTCTGCTGCAGCGATGTCTCGCCGTACGGGTAGGCTGTCAGACCGGAGACTGAACCAGCCAGCTCCACCACCTTGACGTCTTTCTTCAGATTGCGTCTGAAACAGGTGTACATGACCTTGCGCTGACCAGGCTTCAGGCCGTCAATGACCGAGGGAATCGAGCGCAGATTGTCTGCCATGGAGAAGAGGATGAGCTCCTTGTTGATGAAGTCGTCATAGGTGATCTCAGCGGTTCCAGACATATCGAGATAGGTGCCAGGCACGAAGTTGCCCAGCCACGTCTTTCTGGCATCCGCCTTCTTCTTGGAGAATGCCAGATCAATCAATTCGGCCTCTCCATCTTGAATAGCATGGAACTGCTTCAAGTGCTTGTCAAGATCCGCGAAGTACACTTGGGCATCTCTGGTATCCGAAGTACCCAATCCCTTGAAGTATTTGTGGTCCCAACCCTTCTGATGCGACGGTTCTTGTCTCCAAGCCTCGTACTGTGGCATCGTGAAGAAGTCGTGGTGAGCTCTGGGATTCTTGGGGTCTCCCTTCCAGACTTTGACGATGGGTGTGATGAACTCCATGAGGAAGCCTGGAAGCTTCAACAGAGACGGGAATTGGACTTGCAGGAAGTTGATGAGCAAACCCTTGATGTGAGAGCCGTCGTGATCCTGATCCGTCATGATCATCAAATGTCCATACCGGAGGCCTCTCGTATCAGTGTACTCCTTCTTGTGTTGCAGACCTAAGAACTTCTTGATATTCTGGATCTCCTGGTTCTTAGAGATCTGATCAATGGATGCATCGCGGACGTTGAGGATTTTACCACGAAGTGGAAAGACACCGAAGAGGTCAGGGTTGACCACAGCTCGACCAGCCAGAGCCAAGAGCGCGGCAGAGTCACCTTCAGTAAGGATCAAGGTGCACTTGTAGCCGTCCTTCGTGCCGGCCTTGTTGGCATCCGTGAGCTTCGAGTTGTTCATGCGCTGTCTGCGGTTGCCATCTGACTTTGCGAGTACCTTGTCGGCCTTCTGTTGAGCGAAGTGAATGATGTTTGTGACCGCCTCCGTCTTTGCGATAGCCTTCAAAAACGTCTCGCTGACCTGGGGCTTGCTGCCAAATGCGCTGACCTTGGTCGTAAGCTGCTCCTTCGTCTGAGATGTGAATGCTGGGTTCACAATCAAGGCGTTGACAAAGAGGAAGATGTGGTTCTTGATCTGAGCCTTCTTCAGCTTGACACCGCCCTTGTTCTTCTTGTTGACAATGTCTTCAAGCTTGTCGATGATCTGGTCGGCAATGTAGTTGACGTGGGTACCTCCAGATGTGGTCGATATCGAGTTGACGAAGGACACTTGTTGGAAGGACCCATCTGAGACAGCGAATCCGATCTCCCACCGCTCATGCGGATTGTCCGTCAAGATGACTTGCTCTGGTGCTGTGCCGTCATTTGCAAGATTCTCAGTCTTGATGGCTTTGGTGTACATCTCCATGTACTGCTTGAACTTCGTGATCTTGATGCGTTGTTGGTTCAGATAAACCTTCACGCCTTTGCATGTACCGGCCATGTCGTAGACTCGACGCTTCACAAGAGCCTCGAAGTCGTCGTCCATTTTGTCCATTCCGAATTTGCTAAAGTCCGGCTTGAATGTGATTTTCGTGTAGTCGCTGTCTTTGGACTTGTCGATCTTGGCCTTGTCCATGACACTCATGTTCTTACGCCACGTCTGCCGGTATCGCTGCTTCGTCTTCGAGTCGACCGTATCCAGATCGAACTGGGTGCTGTAGATGTTGGTGAGCTTGGCACCGTATCCATTGCGTCCTCCGGTAACTTTGGCCTCTTCGTCATCGTAGTTTGACGAGGTCAACAGGTGTCCAAAGATCATCTCTGGGATGTAGATTCCTTCCTTGCCATGAATCTCGACCGGTATTCCTTTGCCGTTGTTTTGGACGGCGATGATACCTTTCTCGGCGTCCACCCATACCCTCAGCTCGTTCATGTTCTTGTCACGCTGCTTGTTGTCGGCAGCATTGACCAGGATCTCATCGAAGATCTTGTACAGACCGGGCACAAAGCTGACCTTGCGGTTCTCCATCGTCTCGGTCTCAGAGTTGAACACCCATAGCTGCTCAGTAGTGCGTTCTACCGAGCCAATATAGGTATCCGGTCGCTTCAGAATGTGTTCCAGCTGCGTAAGCTTCTGATATTGTTCAGTTGATCCGCCCTTCTTCGAGCCGCTTTGTGCCACCGGTACGTCCATGGCGAAGCTCTCGTTCTCGACTTCGGCGAGAGGCTTGCCAGAACTCTTCTTGGGTGCAGGTGCCTTCTTCTGCTTCTTGCTCGATGGAGGGGTATTGGACAGTAACGAGTCGTCGTTCTCTGAGGCGTCGTCCACGTCGGAGTTCTCTTTGTCAGACTCGGGTTTCGCACGCTTCTTGGGCTTCGGTGCGGCCTTTGATGTCGTAGGCGCCTTCGTAAGTTTCGTTTGTTTGGGCGCCTTTGGCTTTGGTGCGGCGGCGGCTTTCTTCGCCGGAGCTTTGGCCTTCTATAGATTTGTGAGCATGTGATGAAGTGAAGTGAAGAAGATCTGTAGGCAACAGCTACTTACTGCCTTCGGCTTCTCGGGCTCGAAGTCGCTCGACTCGACTTCGAAGGCAGACACTTCCATGGAGTCGTCCATCGCGAACGAGTGTGCGCGTGCGCGCCAGATGGTTGAGTTCAGATTAGTGTGAGAGCGAGCGCATTCGCAGTGGTTTCATGGATGACCACGCGATCGAGAGTGTTTTAGTGAGTTTGTGTATGAGGGGCGGCAGAGAAAGAGCGTGGCAGGTTTGTTGATGTTGCTACCAAGTGCCAGTCCAGTCTGTTTACATGAGCGGGAGTAAGCGAGCCGCTGGCGCGTTTCCAGGGTTTAAGGTTTAAAGTTAGCGTGACGTGGGGTCACGGCAGTCACATGCTTCACATGGACGGCAAGTGAATGTTGTAGGTCTCACTAGTCTCTTGCCATGGGCCCGGTAGCTCTCAGTTTGCCGGTGAAACGGTTGTTTTATCGGTATTCGTCACGAACACGTCAGGCTTGTCGCGATTAACCATTGCCCATGAGCTTTGTTACAATCAGACTTGGGAGCCTTTAATTCACTTCTGGCGTTTCAGATGTGACGGACAACAGGCACATCGACTGCTGCATAGAACGTCAGTAGCCAAGTCATGTTAGCCAAGGCGTTCCCCAGTATCTCGAATTCTAGTCATCAGCTTGACGTCTTGGGATCTTTGGAGATGCTTCAAAATTGATCGGTGAAGCCTTGAAGTCCTGGGACAGCCCGCTCTAGGACCGTCTTGCATAGACTCAGGCAAACCAGGTAGTTCTACATTACATACGAAGGTTCGACAGTGTCGAGGGGAGGGTAAGTGTTCATCAATGTCAAGAACCAGCGAATTCGGGCTGAACATCGTACAGGAATCGTAGGTGGTTTCGACTGGTTCCATTCATACACCTGCTCTTTTCTCTTTCCACCCCAAACCTTGAATACACACTTGCGTAGCACTTTTACCACCAACGCCTCGCTAACTCAAGCAATAGTCCATGTGTTCTTTCTGAAGCCGTGTTCTGTGCCCTCAGCATATAACCCCATCATTCTCGACCTTGATCTCCTCAACTCCCATCCCGTCCTTCGTCTTTCTCCTCTTCTCATTCCTCTTCCTCCGCTTCTCCTCCCTCTCCCTCTCCGCCTGCTCAGCCGCAACCTGTATCCTCGTCCCCAAATCCACCACCTCCCTCGCCTTCTCCTCCTCCATCTTCCTCTTCAAATACTCAAACCGCTCCTTGACCTCATCCAACGTCGCCCGCCTGACCTCGCCACTCTCGCCAGTCGCAACTAAATGCTGCCTGCTGTTCAGATGCTCCACGAACTGCAGATTGTCCTTGAACGTCAAATCGCAAGCATTGCAGTAGAAACCCGCACTCTTGCCACGCTTTCCTTGTCCAGCACCGGCTGCTACGAGCTGGGTCTTGCCCACTTGTTCCGCGACGTTGAGCCTAGCCTTTCGCGCCTCTGTGTCTCGTGCATCTTCGGGTGTTGAAGCTCGTCGGATGTACTTCTTGCCAGCCGCGGCGGCTTCATGTCTTGCTTTGGCTTCGTCTTTGGCCTTTTGGTCGCGCTCGGCCGCCTTCGCGGCGTATTCTTCGCGGTCCCATGTTTTGCGGAAGGAGGTATCGCTGGCGGATTTTGCGCCGTATGCGCCTTTTCGTTCGCTCATTATTGCAAGGTGTGGTCGTTGAAGAGCAAAGTGCTGGTGCTTCGAAGAGGAAAGACGTCGGCTGGTATTACAGCTACGCAGCAAATGCGTATTTATCAGCACTCGTGATTCTCCTTACGTCCCGTCTCCCGCAACTTCCCATCTGAATCAACCACATGTACTCAGCAGCTCTAATAAGACTTAACCACACAACAATCTCTAGACCCAGACTTGAACAGCAGAACGCTGATTCAGATTTCCATGCACGTAGGGCTGGCAGCTGCCGTTCAGCACATATCATTCGCAATGCTAACCAGATCCTCGCAGCTGACCGACTCCTCAACCCCGGCTGGCCATCCTAATGTTGATCTGATACTCGCGGCATGCTCCGCCAGTCACGTCAAGGATTTCATATAGCGTTAGGGTTATCGTGCAATGCTGTCAGATTCTATACAATGTTTCCCTACTGACTACAGTATATAACGTCCTGTTCCACGAGCCTCAACGAAAGCTTCACAACAACCGACAGCACAGTTCACAATGGCGACCGTCACAACATCAATCAACTACATGTATCCCTTTGAGGATACAAAAATCCAACTCTCCATTCGCCAGGCTGGCTTCAGGCGGCAAACATTCAACACTCAACCAGCCAAAGTCCACGACACCAGAGGCCACGAAGACGACTTCACTCTGGATACACACGGCTTTCAGATCATCAAAGACTCCTCTCCCTTCCCAGCCAGCACCTTCGACTCAGATGACTTCATCAACACAACCTACGCCGACCACATCACCGACCTTCTCAAGGACTCTCTCGGCTGCAGCAGAGTCTACATTCTCGCGACCAAAGTCCGCGAAGTCACTTGGAAGGACGCCATCACCGCCGACAACGACCTCCCGGATACCGACATGTCAGCCGCTCAAAATGGCCATATCCAATTCCCCCACGTCGACTACTCGTATGACGGCGCGCCTCTCTTCGTCAAGCGCCTCGCCAGCCAGCCCTTACCGCCAGACGCCCTTATCTCCAAGACGCTCCCCGATGAGGAGACCATGGGCATAATCCAAAAACACCGCTGGGCCATGATCAACTACTGGCAGCCCATCCGAAACCCCGTCACGCGCGACGCTCTGGCCGTGTGCGATGCGCGAACCGTCCCGGAAGACGACCTCTTCGAGGATCCGCCCGAGGTGATTGAGAAAGTGAAATTTTTCGGAACGTGGTATATGAAAGCTCCGAAGAACGACGAGCATAAATGGTATTATTATAGTGACATGCGTACGGACGAGGCGTTACTTATCAAGTGCTTCGATTCTAAGCTTGATGGGCGTGCTAGGAGGGCTCCTCATACTGCCTTCACTGGTAGCAAGGATCATGGCCCTGTCCGGTCCAGTGTAGAAATAAGGACATTGGTCTGCTGGGAAGATGAGGATGTGGAATGAGCGTGAAGTTGCATGTGCTGTATGTTCATCCCATCAAGTAGCCTAACCACACCTTCTGTTCACGATCTACGCAATACGAAAGACCCACTGCTATCCAGCCCATGTATCATCATCCGAACGCCACGCATCAAAGCAAAGTCATTACCCAACAATCTGAATCCCTTGCACACTCTCCAAAGCTCTCATCCCCTCCTTTTCAAAAGTGCTGACCATCAGCTCACATCGTCTCCTCAGATCCTCCTCGCTCTTCTCAGCGCGAGATCGGATCCACTCCTCCACCGTCATCTTCTTCTCCGGGCTCTTCAGGTCTCCAGCAGCATCCAAAAGCAGCTCCGAGAGCTGACCTGGCTCGAAATTCTCCCCGTTTTCGGACACATGAGCTGGCACAAGAGCGATGTCCGGATCGATCGCAGTCCAAGGTTTCGATGAGGTTAGGTGAGATATTTGCTTGCTTGGGCTGAGCATCGTCTTTCCTGAAGAGCGATTTGGAGTGCTTGCTGCCAAGGGTATCTTTATGGTCCTGGTCGGGCTTAGGACGATAGCTGGTTGTGCTTGCTTAGCGGACGGCTCGATAAGCGATGAATCTCGGTTCTCTTTGTCGCTGCCGTTTGGACTTGGTGTCATCTCAGCTTGGGGGCATGACTGCCGTGGTGGAGAGATGTGTCCCTGAGTCGCCTTGTCATCGTCTGCCTCCACCTCGTCCTGCAGCTTCTGAAGCTCTGCACTGTCTTTGCTGATTCGACCGGACAAGGGAGAAGGCTCGAACTCGTTCACTTGCTGTTGCTCTTCTTGAACAGCTTGTTGAGAGGCCTGCTCAGCGGCAATGCGAGCAAGCTCCTGCTCAATCTCCATCTCATCTTTAGCAAGATCCTCGGGCTCCTCTACTGCGTCGACGCGATCTGCTTTGGCCTTGGATGAGCGTGACGAGCGTGTCGTGGAGGCCTTCTTGCCCTTCGCCTTTGATTTGGCCTTCTTCGCTGGTGCTTCTACCTCTTGAATCTGGCTCTGTTGGGCTTCGGTCGTGTCCAGCTCTATTGGATCCACTTCAGGAGCAGCCCTGGAGTCTACGGACGACGTAGATTCTTTCTTTGGTCGCCCTCTCTTGCGCTTGGCTGCTGGCTCTGGAGCGGGCTCTGGGTCAACATCAACGTGAAGCACGCTCGAGTCAAGGACTGGATACTTCTGCGATCCGTCCGACGATCTCTTGACTCCACGTTTCGACTTCGTTGGCTCCGCATCGGGCGTAGACTGGTCACCTGGTTCGAAGTCGTCTGCCTCGAAGTCGTGTTGCATCTCAACCCAAGCAGCTGCCGATGCATTTGCGGTCTGTTGGATCTCTTCAGCTTCGAACTCAGGTTCCGGTTCTTTTTGGGCTTTTCTAGTTCTTGTCGGCTTCTTAGGTGCGACCATCTCGGTTTGGCTAATCTCAATGACCGAAGAGTCGATTTGCTTCGATGCGCGAGTGCCGCGCTTAGGCTTCTTGCTCGCTGCAACAGGCTCTTCTTCCTCAACATCTTGATGAACATGCGCTTGGTCCAGGTCCGGGTACTGAACGTCTTCCATTGATTCTTCAGTGGCCTTCTTCCTGCCCTTCGTACCCTTTGCTGGGGCTTTGGCCTTGGCGCTCTTCTTCTTGCCTTTCGTGGCGCCAGTTGCTGTTGCATGTGATGCGTTGGTTGCAGTCGTAACGTTGCTATCGTCGACGTCTTCAAGTGGATCAACATAGCTTTCTGGCATGCTCGGCACCTCGCTCATCGCACTCATTGCGCTCGTCCTGCTTATCCTGCTAGCCTTACTAGCAGTGCTGGCTCTTGCGCCCTTGCTTGTGCTTTTGCTCTTCTTGATCTTGCCATTGGCAGCGTCAACACCATGGAATTGGCCCAGCAGCTCAAAGTATCTGCACGCAGGCTCTCGTCGCTTGTGTTCGGTGAAAGGGTCGTCCTTTGGCTCCCAACCATCCAGACTGAGGCCACAGTAGAAACAGGTAACTCCATCGACACCGTCTCCCTCCTCAGTGGACGGATCCCAACACCAACCAGCCTCTACCATCTTCGTGATCTTGCATTTCCATCCCTTCTTGCTTTCGTGTGGCCATCCTTCTCCGGTCGCGAATGTAGTCTTTCGCGCGATGATCATCTCTTCAGCCAGCGGATCTCGCATTTCCGGCTCTGGTTCGTCCTCGCCTCTGAAGACACTGACAGCCGTTGCCCAGGGACAGCCGTGCGTGTGGGCGAGATGCTCTTGAATCGGCACATCTGTCTCCTCCCATCCGTCCAGTCGGACGTTGCACATAAAGCACGTAACATTGTCGGTCGATTCCTGGTCGGGTCGGTAGAAGAAGCCCGCGCGAGCGAGCTGTATCACAGTCAGTATTGAACATACTATCGCATACTCCGTCGTGGCCTACCAACACAGGCTCGGGTTTCTCGTGCGGCCATTTGCCGGTGTTGCCGGCCTTCTTCTTCGCCTGGCCACTGGCCTGTCGCTTTCGAATTGGTTGTGCAGTCTCAAAGGTTCTCAGTCGTGCCGAGAACGGCTGCATATCCTGGTGCGTGGTGTCCATCTTGTCTACGCGCCGGGAAATGGTGTTGTCGTGGGTGAAGCGGGTTTGTTGACATTTAGCTCGAAAGCGGAAGCCAGCGACGCGCTAAGAGGCGCAGTCACGTGCGAGAGAAACAGCAGACGTCAGATCGGAGTTTGCGTGGTCTCGGCTCTCAGCGGGCAGTGAGCAACGAGGGAAGCTTGCAGTTGCTTGCATCAGCCCGAGCGATGAACCTTTGGTTGGATTTTATTCCCAACTCCTTTCCAGCACAGCTACTCTCCAACAATGAACTGAACTGGACTCCTAACTACTGAAGACTTCAGCCATGGCGTTCTTGCTGAATCAATCTTTCCGTTGACCCCTTTGCAACCCTCCCTTTGAATGACCATGTCGCTACCTAATAAGCTGGCTGTAGGTTCATATACCCATTCCCCAACATGAGAAGCAATCTCGTTGACGGTCTTGTAGTCGTCGCCGGCCTTCCACTCCCTCGTCGGTGCACATTCCTTTCTCCTCGGCCAGGCAGCATGGAACTATCGGCCCTCCTTTCTACGACAGTCCCGCCAATCCCGAGCACTCTCTGCAACACCGCTCCTCAGAGAACAGCAACTAGAGCAGAGCTCCCAATCCTCAGATCAAGGACCGCCGCCTTCAAAACCGCAGCAATCGACGTCGGCAGATCAATCGGCTGGAGAGGCGAAACGTAGAGAAAAGACCGCTTCACTTGATGACAAGAAGTCGGGATGGACAGATTCTGCGGTGGCCGACAGTACTGCAATGGGCAGCGAGAACCAAAGCCTGCCTCCTGGATGGGAAGAGAATGCCGACTATAACGTTCAACGATTCTCAGATCTGCCGCACAGATTCTTCGGGTACAACCAGCACATCAAGATCAATGAGGATTTCAAAGAATCTCTGCGACAAGTTCTGTGGCAGTTCAGAGCGCCCATACGATATGCATTTGCCTATGGCTCTGGAGTCTTTGGGCAGAAGTCATCTTCGTCGAGTTCACCAAGCGACTACAGTCCACATCCACATCCTCCAAAAGCAGTGGAAGAATGGCAGAAAGGAGGCGCAAAGATCATAGACTTCATCTTCGGCGTGAGCCACACCGAGCACTGGCACAGCTTGAACCTCCAGCAACATCCAGAACATTACTCTGGTTTGAAGTATCTCCCCTACAGCTCCGCTGCTGTCTCGTGGATGCAGGACGGCTGGGGTGCGGGTCTCTACTACAATCCATACATCACAGTGAACGGAATCATGATCAAGTATGGTGTCGTCAACCTTGACACTCTGGCTCGCGATTTGACGGACTGGGACACGCTGTACCTTGCCGGACGTTTGCAAAAACCAGTCAAGATCCTTCGAGACGACCCCAGGATCCGCCTTTCGAACCAGGTTAACCTTATATCGGCCTTGCGCACGGCGCTTTTGATGCTCCCAGACAAATTCAACGAACGACAGCTTTACGAGCGAATTACCAGCTTATCCTACCTAGGGGACCCCAGAATGCATTCGCTGATTGCTTCTGAGGCTCCCAACAAAGTTTCCAACATTGTTGGCGCACAATTGCCAGGCTTCCGACAACTCTATGTTCCACTCATCGACAACTTGCCTAACGTTCACTTCGCTGATGAGCGTACACCACGTTCTCTTGGATGGGAGAAAGAAGACGCCATCCGCCATACGGGTACTATCACACAGCTGGACGATGTTCTAGGCGGTCAAGATGGCCTTGCCTTGACACAAGACATGGATCCTGTCAAGCGTGGCAACATGGTCCGTCGGTTACCGAAAGAGTTCCGCAAAAAACTTTATTACCAGTACAAGAAGAAGTTCGGCATTCCTGGGAGCGCGTTCAGTGATATCTTGGAGGAGACCAAAGACGATGATCCAACTGGCTTCAAACGACGAGAGGGGGGTGATTTCGAAAGGAGAATCGCCCAACAGGATGACTTGCCCGAGGTTATGGCCAAGTGCGTTCAAGGTACCGTTAGCTGGCCGGCCACGATGCAGACCGTCAAGGGTGTCTTCACATCGGGATTGACGAGGTCGATAAAGTACGTGCAAGAGAAGAGGTCCAAAGGCAAGCAAAAAGCCAAGGCCAATACCGAAAAGGCCGAGAGCACGAAATCAGACGAGGCCAGCGTCAAGTCCGAGTCATCCTCGACGAAAAGCGAAAGATTTTGAAACACGACAGGCGGCGGCGCCCTGATTCTTTTATGCATAGCGGGGGAGTATTGGAGGCTGGAAGAACCAAAAGAGGAAGTGATGCCAGGACAAAGGCACTGCCAAGGGGATTGGAAGTCGACGCCTTTGCTAGGCTCGTTTCTTGTGTAAATACTTTTGAAGATAACGAAGGCAAATGCCATTCAGCTGAATCTAGCTCTGCCGATGGTGTGGGCGATGCTCGTGATGAGTGGTGGTCTTCTCATGCAAGCTAACGGATGGCTTTGCATGTCGCCCTTCTGCAGCGCCCTTCTGCAGCGCCCGTCTGCAATTTTCACCATACATGTGTAGCACGAGGCGCTCGAGCACGTGGACCACCTGCGCACGGCATTTGCCTGGGAGGGCAACAATGTCACACCATTGCGCTGCATGTATTCCCGATGACCGCATCCACGACGCTTTTCTGTTGCTTCTGGTACCAGGTCTAAAGCAGCCATCCGTCAAGGACATCGCTTGGTGGAAACGAGTACTGCTTTTGTGTCTTTCAAGCCAACCGCGAGCAGGCAGTGTCAAAGTACCATCGTGAATCGATCGAGCTACCGAGACTGCCAGCATGTGTTGGCAAGGCAAACATAGCACCCATCTCATCTCCATAAAGACGCATTACCGAACCAGCAGGAGCTGATATCGACGTGCATGATCAGCCGCACGCAACCGCCAGTTCCAGGACCATCCCGTGCTCAAAGTTGTTTGCACTGGTGTCCGTTTGTCTGATGTTGTTTTCGAAAATAGGAAGAGAATGGTAGGCGGTGATCTGGCACAATTAATGGCGAACGAAGCCATCATCCTTGCCGAACCATGTTTCTGCGCTAATGCACCTCCCCGCGGCTCATCCTTCTGGGTTGATCGTTGTAGAAACGGTTCTGTTGCTTTCTGAATGGCAAATCTTGTCGCGTACCTCGTCGGACTCAGTCGGCCATCATGGCCGTCGATGGCAGAACAAACGAAGTACGAGTTGGAGACGAACATCGACTGGACGCGAGCGAAAACAAGCGCCAAAGTCGACAGCCTTGTGGAGGCGGGCCAGGGCATACCCGGCGCCATGTTATTCTCGGACGCGATTCGACGAAGGCCCAGCTGAAACAGATTGAAGAAGGGGGGTCGTCGAGGAGTCTGGGCAATTAAATGCCTGCCAGACTTTCCTGCCCCGTGCACGCGACTCTCACCTCATTTGCGACGCCTGTATCTACTAGCTACCTACATTTGTTTGCAACTGTATCATCTCTCGTGGCCATATCTTCCGGTTCCGTCGCCATGTCTCGCGTAGACGCCTGCCCCTGAACGTCGAAGCGAGCTTTGCCAGCGCCCGCCCGAGGGGCTTGGCAATATGACTACCGATACTAAGTACAGAGAACCTGAGGAGAGCGATGATGATGGTTCAGGCTCTCCATGCGAGGATGATCCGTCTGAGGAGTGCGAAGATGATCGCTGTGCTGGTCCCGAATTACCGATTTGGCATTGCGTAGACTGCGACAGCTCATACTGCAGGTGAGTGCTGAAGAACAGGCAATTCTTGGGAAGGGCGATATTGACGACGCTCTCAGTGACTGTTGGGGTCGGCAAGGCCCTCACAAACCGAAGAAGAAAGGCCGTGATGGTGTTCCACATGAAAAGACTAGCCCACATGTCGTTCGAAGGCTGAAAGGAATCTTGCATCCGACAAGGAACCCCCAGGAAATCCAGAAACGTCATGAGGAAGATGAGACGACAAAGTGGTTCGGCGTGTCCAAGGACCATGCTGGACGACCTGTCTTCGAGGACTATGGCCGGTATGCGACTCTCATGTCCAGCATTTCGCCAATTGAGAGCATGGGCAATCGGTATCCCCAGATTGTCTCGTTCATCGGGATCACGAATGCCGGAAAGTCGACATTGATCAAGATGCTGGTGAACCACGACGCTCAGAGTGTGAATCCCGAGAATCGAGCTATGTTCCCTTCCCCGGTAGTTGGGAGTGTGGTCAACGATACTCTTCCCACTTCCGGTGATGTACATCTCTACGCCGATCCAGCAACCCACGCAGAGCAGCTGCCGATTCTGTACGCGGACTGCGAAGGCTTCGAGGGAGGCGAACGAGTACCTCTAGGGGCTCGTGCACGGAAACGAGTCAACTCGGATCCAAAGGAAGGCCAGATAGTAAAGCCGGCCAACATCTATTCCCGTCCGATCGAGTGGGCCAACAGCGAGGAGTCTCGTCAGCGGGAGTACGCAGTCACAGCACTGTATCCACGACTGCTCTACACATTCTCAGACTGCGTCGTCTTCGTCTTACGGAACCCGAAGACCTTCCAGTCGGCCGTGTTGACGAAACTGTTGGACTGGGGTGCGAGCTCGTTGGAGAAGTCCATAAACCAGCCTGCTCTCCCCCATTGCATCGTTGCACTCAATGGCACCGACCCTGGTGTTGAGGATAAAGAATGGGATGTCAACTTCGCAACTCAGAGCTTACTATCATCCGTAAAAGGAGCGCTTGACTATGTTGAAGGCGTGCCTCGTTTCAGAGAGCTTGCAGAGTACTGGCGCAGCCTAGGCAAGCACATATACTCAGTGGAAGATCTGATTCTGCGATACTACAGCTCCTTCAAAGTCGTGCGAATCCCCAGCAAACCACGATATACCACCATCAACGACCAGATTGGCAAGCTACAGCAAATCATCAAAAGCAACTGCGAGGAGTCATTTCGAAATAAACGACGAGCACGAATGTTAACCAACGCCGACGAACTGAACGTCTACCTACAGAGTGGTTTCGACCACTTCACACAGTATCTGGACATCCCTTTTAATTTCATGAGAATATCTCTCCTGCGTAACCCCATCCCAAACGATTTTGGCGGGCACATACTACAACTTTGCACGACCATCAGCTCCCAGCAACCGAATCACCAGCACGGCCGAATAGCCTGGATCTTCGAGAAGCTGAGCGTGATGCTGGCGTCGTGCGTTCTACTCGATTGTGCTCGCTTCAGGAAAGGAAGAGTGGATGAGTTGTTCTCGAACTATGAGAAGTTCTTCGACTGGGCTATGGGAGAGTACCTCGAGATGCACTATCCTTGCTCGTACATCAGTCCAGATGGCACTCGGCAGTGTATGCTGGTCAAGGCCCGTCATCAGCCGAAAGGCCATCAAGACGAGAAGGGAATCATCGCTGCCGGAGACTACCAAGCAGCCTTCGACGCAGCCTTCTTGCCACAGTGGAAGTCCCAATTACGAGCGGCCATAGGGAGCATACAGCGAGACTTCCAGTACGAATTGGAACAAGTCTCACACAGCGCAGACGTGCCGGCAGTGCCAGAGGAGCGAATAGCTTTGGATCTACATGGAGAATATCTCAACCAGTTCTTTGAAGCAGTTGGACCAGCCTCATCGATTTGCAGCCACGCGACGTGTTTCTGCTGCTTGATGGATGTACCAGAGCATCCACTGCCTTGTGGCCATGTCTTATGCACAGCCTGCATCAAGGCGTACGGAAAGCAAACGAAGTCGAACGTGGTCGTTCCATGTTGCCCTCTACACATCGAATCGACAAGATGGGCAAAGCCAACCATCATCAAGTTCAAACCACCCGGCGCCGGTGTGCGCATTCTGTCTCTGGATGGCGGCGGTATTCGTGGCGTTGTCCAGCTTGAGGTATTGCGAGCGATCGAACAGGCGCTTGGAAGCCATCTTCCTGTACAATCGTTCTTCGACTTGATCGTCGGAACTGGAACCGGTGGCTTGATCGCTGTTGCTCTTTCGATGAAAGACCGGACCGTCGACTCATGCATTGACATGTTCGCTGCAATCGCCGAGCACGCTTTCACCCCTCGAATCAAGGGCATACCGTTCATCAGCCAGATCGCTCAAGTCTTTGGAAGCGGACCAAAGTACAAGACCAAGCCATTGTATGGTGCTCTCAAGACCGCCTTCACCGATGATGACGATCTCTTCGGACCAAGCGACAAGCGTCGTAGTGGTGCTCGTGTTGCAATGACGACCACGAGTGCCACTGGCCAGGAGACGATCCTGCTAGCCAGCTATCGGAGACCTGAGGACCTCTTCCCAGCATACTCGTTCGAACGACCGCATGATCCCAACATGGAGTTGAAGACGCATGAAGCCATCGCCGCAACTCTGGCGACTCCAGCATACTTCAGGCCGTTCGTATTTCATGGAAAGACTTATCTCGATGGTGGAATCCGCAGTGCCAACCCAGCTTTCATAGCAGATCGAGAACGTAGATTGATCTGGCCTGACGTCTCCGAGCCGGACATGTTCCTCTCGCTAGGGACTGGTCAGAACAGAATCACGGTGCTCCAGAAGCTGTCAGAGAGGCAGCCGTCCCAGACTGGCCCAGAGATAGGAGGTCCGAATTCGAAGAAGGGTGCCTCACGCTGGAGGACACGCAGAACCGACGATGTCCTGGAGGCTGAGCTCGCATGGGCAGCTTTCCGCAACTATGCTGTGAGGGAGCGGTCAGAAGCAAGAGGAAGGAGATTCATCCGCTTCAACCCCGACTTGGACCGTGAGCCACCAACGGCAGACAGCAAGTCTGACATGATGTCCCTGCAAGTCAATGTCCGGAAGCGTCTTCAGACGGCCCATCGACAGGCTGCTCTCCGGAATGTCGCACATCGACTGGTTGCTTCAAGCTTCTACTTGGATCTGCAATCCAAGGCCACTGCAGAGAAAAGCGAACAGATATGCACTGGAGTCATCACCTGTCGGTTCGAGGATGGCAGCATGGAGATGTGTGCTCTCGGCAAGGTCCTGGAAGACCAACGCAGCGATGACTTCGAGCCCTTCTTCCTGCTCAAGCCCGATCAAGATCAGGAGGATGTTGCTTTCAGGATCACACTCACCAAGAATGTCATCCGTGGCATGATGCAAAACGCCATCTTTGGACTGCCAAATCTCAGCATCCCTCTGCGAAACGAGAGCAAGGCTACATCAATCAACCTCTTCTTGTCGCCGCACGACGGCCTTGAGCCGAATGGCTTTCCAATCAGTGGATTCCCGAGAGTCTTGCTAGGAGAGCAAGCGGCTCAGAATCCAAGACGGCCAACTCGAACGAGCTCTGAGCAGCAACTGCGAAACCCACTGCATCGTCTGAGGTCTGGCGATGGCGACTCGATATCTCTCAACGGCCACCCGATCTCGACCTCTTTCACCAACAACAGCGAAGACTCCTGGCATGACACTAAGCTCTCGCAATCTTCAAGTGGAACACAAAAGTCGCTTGCTGACCTAATAGCACAGCATCAGCAGCAGAACGGGGGAAGCAGCATCAAGGGGAAGACTAACAGGTTCTGGACGTACATCGGCAACAACCACATGGCCCAACACCCAGAGATGTACACGTCCGAAGAACTCGCCAAGTTCGGCATCGCTGCGGCGAACGGAATGAACAAACCTCTTGCAGAGCTCCCGACCTCCGCGAACGAATCGTCCAACTCGTCCGAAGCCACGAGTATCACCGCTCTGCCTTCCTTGCGCTCAAGGCACGCACTACCAGCCGAGACCAACAAGATCCCCCAGCAAGGCTACTCCGAACTCGAAGCCCCTGAACGCCCAACCACCACTGACAAACCCAGCAGCCAGGGCGAACACCGTGAGTTCTACGCTCTCGCCCGGGAACATGCCAGATCACAGGTTGATCTCTCGCAGCCGTTGTCACCTACTAAACCCCAGCACCAACACCCCGCCATCACGCTCAGACCCGCCACGTACGTCCCCACAGGGGTGTCATCATCCAACAATAACAACAACAACAACCACAAAAAGCCCACGACCGGCCAACGTCTCGAAATCCCCAGCATGTGCGAGACGGAATTCGAGGAGGACTCAGATTGGGTGTCGACATACAGTGGAGAGGAGGACAATTGCGCCGAAGCGCACGTCAGTCCGGTGATGCAGGTACGCCACACCCGCAGTACGATCGACTCGATTATGAGTCTGTATCGAGAGAATGGGATGGTTAGTTGACGTTTGGGTGTGTTTTGTGTGCGTTTAGTTTCCGTCTGTGTTCCCGAGCCGTGCGAGTAGTAAGGGGGGCTTTGAGAGGGGCGCGTTGGAGAGCGCTATTGAGGATAGTTTGCCGGATGAGAGGTGAGTTCTCGGCTATAGACTTTTCTTTGTGGGCGAGAATGGAGAGACTGACGAGTTGATGTGTAGTACCGCCACAGCTCTCGATCGATGGCTCCAGTCTCAGAAGAGCACCAACTCCCTGAGACCCAAAAACGGACGCTTGAACGTCGTGCAGGAAGAAGTCGACGAATGAGGAAGGAACGAAGTCCCCTCTTTCACCCCAACCTATATGTACTTCCAACGATACTGGGCCCGGATCCAATGAGCAAAGCCCAGCACTGTTGGTCAGTCCAGAGTTGAACCCTTCAAGATGTCCATATGACTGATATCGAGACACAGGTCTAACGGTTATGATTGCCGCTTCCCAAGCGGCAGAAGCGGGTTCGACTCCCGTACAGTGCAATGGACGCACACGCATCGTTTTGCTATTTGATAGGGCGTTGGGTGATATGGAGGGATGAAGGGACGTCTGAAGAAGGACGGGGTGGGAGGCTTGTTTGTTCAATGGAACTTTTTTGATGGGTTGCGTAAATCTGATTCTTTTTGGTTTGTGTGAAGAGATACCTTCGACTGCTTCTATGTACATTCGATGCAAATATGTGCGGAGTTGAATGTAAAGGTGAAGCAGAAAGAGTCGCTATGCCATATCGTTGAATTGTGCGCTTCTTATCAAATCTCGCAAACCCCCCCTCATTCATGTAGTAACGCCGTCTATGATCGCTGAAACGCTGAATCTTCGTCTTGATCGATCGTTCGTCATGCTGTCGTAGATCATGCATGCCCTCATCGCACATCGTATGTCTCTTAGCCTCCAACTACGCCTTCATAAGCGCCCTGTCGAACCCGTATCATGACCTTCTATAATGCCCCGGCATAGGCACCGTCGGTAACGGCGGCGTCCTCCCTCCACCCCCTCGACTCCTACTCCTCCTCCTCGCCTTCCTCCCCTGCTCCTTAACACCCATATCCACACTCTCCCTCCTCTCCTTCACGGCCTTCCTCGCGCCCTCCTTCGCCGGCGCCCCAAACCGCGGCTCCCGAATCGCAGGCGCCTTATCACTCGGCAACCCAAACTCCACCAGCCCGAAATAGTAATCCAGCACTTCCGGGTAGCGCAGACAGGAGGTGCGCCAGTCTTGGTCGACGCCTTGTTGGAGGATGGTGTTGGCTTGCTCGATTTGCGAGTGGATTAGTTGGAGCTGGGCGGGTTGGAGGGGTGGGCGCCCGTTGTAGCGGTGGTAGAGGGTGTAGTAGGGGAGGGTTTGGAGGTAGTTTCTGTGGGCTTCCATGCGCATGGAGCGGAGCGCGTGGAAGGTTGTGATGATTTGGTTGCGGGCGTGGTTGAGGATCCAGTCACTGTTCATCCATACTATCAGCGAGAACTGGCGCGTTGAGCTTGGGGGTGGTGATTGGGGACGCACCGTATCCTCTGATACCCTTCCCATCTTTCCATGGCCTGGTTCAGCGCCAGCTCTAATCTCTGTCCTTCGTGGGGACATTCTGGGAAGGGCGGGGCTCCGCAGATGGCGCAGCTGGCTTCCACCTCCACCGGTCCTGTGGCCATGAGGCCGACCATCGACCTCGGGGTATATCACCTTCCTCCGTGACTCCTCTGCGCCGTCTTGTGTCCAGTCGGTATACTCTTCTCTTTCCGGGACAAGTCACGGCCCTGAGCTCCTCCCAGCAAGAATCCGTCAGAGCGCGCAGCGAGTGGTACGATCAGGTGAGGTGAGGTGAGTTGTGGATATGACGAATAACAGCAGAGAACAACAAAAGCCACACAATCGAAGCCCAAAGACAAAAAGGTACAACTCGGACTACTTAGCCATGGGGTATCCCTCATCCGCAGAAGTCAGAGAAGCACAGCACCAGCCGGCCGCATCGTCTCGCTCACCAGCAGCCGACGACCGCCCACAACGCAGCAGACAAGAGCCAGACACTAGTACCTGCACCTTCGTGTCTCCATATAACGTCGTTGCTTTTGGCGGGCCATCCGACCCTCCCAAGCTGACGTCCCGATTGGGCTTCGCTATGCAAGTATGCGTTGGCGTTGGATCCCTATGCCACTTTGATGAGTGTATCGTGATGGGTTTGATGGGGCCGCCAATGGGTTCTTTGATGGGGTTCGCTGGCGAGTACTGGCTTGTGAGAAGTCATGCTGGGGAAGCATAGCAGTGTTTTGAATGCTGTTGAGACGTGAAGGGAGACATGTCGTTGAAGAGGACGTTCTTGGCATTGGGAGGAGCCGAGGTCAAGAAATATGGCACAGTTTTTGCGGGAGTGTTCTTTTGGCACATCTGGTGCCTCCGTTCCTTTCCTCTGTCTATACACTGTCGAATAACTAAACTAGTCTCATCATACCCCCATTCGTAGCTCATATCATCGATGCATTCCACCTCAACTGTGAACAGGAGGGATTCCTTAAACGCCCAAACACCTCGCTCAAAAAGACTTTTCCCTAACCCGGCCTGGGCCCCATGACAACTATGTCGTACAGGCACTTTTTGCAGTACTGATGACTGCTTCCCCGAAATCAGAAAGATATCAAACCCAACCGAAACACCATAAGCATGCTCGTCATGCTACACATCGAGGAGAGACCGGCCTGTGATCCCCGTTCGTGGAAGGGGGCTTCGAAGAACGGGCCGAGTTCTCGAAGGAGGTCGTTGATAACTGAGGACCTGCAGTGGTACCAGCTGGCTGAGCATTCAATACTATCGTCGTGTTCGTACCGCTGCCTCTGCGTTCCTCGGGCGGCGTCGCGTCTTCGGTCTCTTCCGGTATAGGCGCACAGTATTCTTTCAGCACCTTCTTCAACTGCGGCCGGCGGATCGGCTTCGACAAGAAGTAGTTCATGCCGGAATCAAGACAATCCTTCACATTGCTCTCTTCAGCGAAGGCCGTCAGGGCGACGATTGGCGCTTGATAACCGATTTCTCGGATCAGCTTCGTACTTTGAAGCCCGTCGACGTTTGGCATCTGCACGTCCATGAAGATGAGGTTGAAAGGATGAGGGTCGTCACCACGCATCGACTCCTTCACAAGGTCAAGAGCTTCTTGGCCGTCCTTAGCGATTGTGACATCGTATATGTCCTCAAGTTTGAGCATCCGAAGAACGACTTCTTGGTTCACCTTGTTGTCCTCGGCTACCAAGACACGGATCCGCGCGCCACGTGTTGCTTGAGAAGCTATCTGTTGCATGGCGGCGGGCTGAGATCCAGGCGATTCCATAGGCTGACTGGCAGCAAAGAATGGTTGGCTCAGACCTACAAGACGTGGTTGTGAGTCACTCCCCATGCTGCCGTTGACTGCTTGTCGTGGAGGTTGATGTAGTTCTGGAGGTGTCGAAGCTTTTTCGTCGTATTCAGGGGGAGCATGTCCAAGCAACCCTTCGATATCGTCTATCGAAGATGTTCGACTGATACTGTCCATGCGATCCACGGCAGAGCTGGCCGAACTGTCTGATCGAGTCTGAGTATGTCTCAGGGGAATCTTCATGGTGAACCTGCTTCCCAATCCGAGCGTGCTTTGGACTCTCATTGTCCCACGCATGAGGTTTGCAAGCTGCGAGCAGATACTGAGCCCGAGGCCGGTTCCGCCAAATTTCTTGCTCAAGCTGAGATCGCCCTGGACGAAGGGTTCAAAGATCTTGTCCAACAAAGTGTCTGGGATGCCAGGCCCAGTGTCTGCCACTTCGAACTCGAAATACACATAACGGCCGGGAGGTGGCGACGATGCTCGTTCACTTGCTGACACGCATGCCAGAGCGTGCGGCTTGTCTTTTGCGTTGATTGCGTTGGCCGTATGTATCTTCGAAATCGTCGACATCCCGTCGGACGCTCTATGCCGTGATGAGCGCTGTCTTGATTGCCTCGAGTTGAATGATGACTTGCGGCTGCCGAGATCGGGAATTTCTGGCAAACATCGAATAGTCAGAACAACAGACCCATCGGCCGGGGTGAACTTGAGAGCATTTGACACCAAATTGATGACAACCTGAAGTATGCGATGAACGTCGCCCCACAACACCATGTCTCGGATTCGCCCAGTGCCTGGAGGGCCTTGCTCATTGCGCTCGGGCTTTGAATCTTCGTTGCCAAACTGGTTGATACCATCAAAATCCACCTTCAGCTTTATGTTGCTCTCTTTCGCCTGCTTGTCGAAGATCGCAAGAGTCTGCGAGCTGATATCGCGTAGTCGAAACTCTCTCTCGTCCAGACTGAGAGATTGCCCGACTTGATTCTTGCTGAACGTAAGCAGGTCCGTCAAAAGATTCAGCAAAAGGTCTCCACTCTTGTAGATGATCCCCAAGGAGCGCTTCAGGCGTATTGGATCGTCCTCCTGCATGCAGACTGCGCACATGCCGAGAATCCCATTTAGTGGCGTCTTCAGCTCGTGGCTAATGTTGGCAATAAAGAGCGTTTTGCTCTCGTTTGCGGCTTCTGCGGCCTTCTTGCTCTGTTCTAGTTCTGCCGTTCGTTGTTGTACGCGATCCTCAAGCTTCGAATACTGCATCATGAGTTCGTCTGACATCTCATTGAATGTAGACGTCAGCTCCGACAACTCGTCACGAATCCAATACTTTCGTTCCTTGACCTTTGCAGGAATGCGGAATGCTCGCTTTCTTCTCTCCTCGCGCCGCGCGTTGTAGCTTTCCTGACGTTTCTGTTTCCATCGCGTGATGGAATGAGCGAAGGTGATACCTTCCTTTCTAGCCATCACAACAGTCTCTTCTTCGTTTGGGCCGTCATTTGTCGGCGCCATCATGGAGCCAAAGCTTGAGCGACTCTGTGACCCCGGGGGCTCGACGGACCGTATAGTGGCCTGCCGCAACCTCACGATAGGTAAGCTGGCAAAATGCGCCAAAGGGTACGCAATGACCGCCATGAGTCCTGCTGTTGCAAAAACACAGGCCAGAATCACGTCCCTGAGCTGATTGATGGGCTGCCACACCTCTTTCCGTGACAGCTCGACAATAACGACCCAGTTGACGATGGAAGTATCAGCCAGGGCGTAGCCAACGGAGACTGGAACTTTGGCTTCGTTTTTGGCCTTCACTGTCCCTCCAGAGTTATCGGATGCGTTGCGAGCGGCGGCTTCCAGGGCCTTGTTGATGACAGGGTATTCGGTAGAGTTGAAAGCTGCATTGGGTGTACCTTGCACATGGTTTGGATGGCGCGAGTGATACGTATCGTTGAGAGGAACGATGTACCGAACTTGAAGATCTTGCTGCTGATCGTGTTCTGCATTCTCCATCACACTGCTCGCGAAAACGTTGGATGAATTGGCCGGCCCCAAGATCAAGGTCTCTCCAGTATTGCCGAGTCCCTCGCGAGAGTCTATCACCGCCGAGATCAACCTGGCGTCCATGGCCACTGTCAGCCAGCCCAACAGGTCCGTAGTGTTTGTGTTATTCACGATCGGCATTGTCAGCGAAACCATGGAAAAGGTGTCATTGACAGGCCAGGGTCCTAGGACCAGCGTGAAGGTTGTGCTAGGTGATCCAGGTTGCAAAACAACATTGCCGTAGGAAGCTTCGGGGACGGAAACTCCCACATCGTTGGGAGCGACCGAATAAGTCAGATTGGGGTACAGTTGGGTTGGATAGCCGAGCTCGTCATCGCCGAGCGTGACTTGTGATCCGTTTGGGTATTGGTACGGAAGTGGGATCTCCCCCATGATATTCTGTGCCGTGGCATTGAGCAATCCATAAGGACCACCGACACCTGTAGCATTCTTTCCGTACACTCTAGCCTGCAGCAAGAGTGATTGTCCTTGGGAACTCTCGCCTCCTATGGCAGCTTGCAAGTCTGCTAACGAATTGGCCCAGTTCTCGGATGTGTTGTTACCAACATCGTTGTACCGTTTCAATGCATTCTGAATCAAAACTCTTGAGCTGACAAAACCAGCACTCGTCTGCATGACATCGAGGTTGGAAGCCAGCTGGGCGGCTTTGAGGGACGCTGTCTGGGCAAGGCGCTCGGCCCGTAATCGGAGGACGAAGTTGTGTGTGGTAATCCATACTGCGATTGAGATGACGGCAAGTCCAATTAGTGAAGCAAGAAGTATCAAGCTGCCGAGCTGGACTCTGATCGGGATTCGCATGGTCATGCACAGTCCTGGCCGGACGAGGTAGGACGTGCAATGCCCTCTGATTCAAGCCGCGAATGGCGAGATGGTGAATGTTCGTCGAACATGCAGTCGTCCGGTCAGGCTCCCGGGCTTGCACGGCCTACCCTTGGAGTCTGGCGAGCAGGCCGACGTCTGCAGGGTAGCGAATGTCGCACGCCAGACGAGGGCGATGTCATTGGTGTCACTGGGCTGTTCGAGAGACGGAGTGATGTGCCATGAGGAAGGGTAGTGAGAAGATCGGTGGTGTGCCCTGCTCCGGAGGCGCGGTAACCTCTCGTTCAGGTCCAGCAGCTAGTTTCAATAGGCGTGCATATGCGGCGGCAGCTCCAGTGCTCGATTCGGCGACGACGACAACACTTGTAGTGGCGGCAAAACGGTATCGATGGCTCAGTGAAGTGTTGAGGATCGGAAAGGTAGGTGCAGCACAGGGGGTCGGTAGCTGGAGAGAATGGGTGCGGTTGTTGGAGACTGCGGAGCGAGTGGAGTGGGAGATACCAAAGCCACGGACCACATGCAGCCCACACCCCGGATCTCTCAGGATGGGCCAGACCACATTCCAGCCGTATACACACATCAGCTTGCTGATAACTTTTGATTATACTTTCCGCGTCTTCCTTGAATGTGATATCGGTGCATGGAAGAACGCTCTTTGCCACTGGCGCTCGCTGCCTTCCCTCTGCCGTCTTGTTGGTTCTCAAAAACAACGACAGAGTTGCGAATTGCCTGTCGCTGATCCTCCGCAAGAGACTAGAACTACTGTAGACGGTCGGCTCGCCCCGTCTCGCCAGAAAACCTTGCTAGGTGGCGTGGGATCGCTTCCTCAAAAACGTGGCCACCACAGCGTTGAATCACTTGAGCGCCGGCTGCAACGATGGCGTTTGAGAAGCGATACGGATGCCATGGAAGTGCTCAGAGCTGTCGAGAGACCCGCTTATTGCCTGGTCGATCTGACTGCAAACCACCTGATGTGAATCTTTCCGTCAGGCGATTTCAAGAAATCAACCGTGAGAAGCGAAAGCGAGCTCATCTGTATAATCTTACCTCAAACTTCAGATTTAGAACAGGACCATAAACTTCTCACATAGCCCATCCAGACCGCTGCTTTTCGCCCTCTTTGCGCTCCAAGTCAGGTCATACAGCTTTCATCTTGCAGATGAGATTCATCATCGGCGCGATCACCTGTTTGACAGCTGACGGTTTGGTGTAGCTGATAATCCGGTGAAAGGTCATGCCGTACAGCCCCGAGAACCCAACGACACGCCACAGAACAGATGCGTCCATTTTGCCGAGGGCCGCAGTCCGCCAGGCTGCACAATGCGCGATTCATGGGACGACCGATAGTGGACTCCCAAAGCAGGATGGAATTTTCGCTTCTTAGAGTGTAATTCAATGCTTCCATGGTCTCCATCCTCGCCAGAACGCATACTAGCAGCCTGCCCACAAGTGGTTTGGCGGACCGTAGAGAGAACGCCCGGTTGAGCATGAATTGGACGCACATGAGCCGCTCAGCTGCCGGAGGCTCTGTCATCTTCCAGTTCAGTTCCCAGTACTTGGGTCAAGAATGAACAGATGAGGGAAAGTTAGCTCAATGCTCCTGGATCTGCTTTTAAACCTTTCCATGAACCAGAGGGTTGTCGAAGGCGGTACCTATGGGAGGCGCCATCCATCTATAAGGGCGCTCAAGGCGGCACTGGTCAATCAAGATCACTCAATTGATGTGACGATAGCGCTGAAAGTACTGTATGGTAGCAGTGGACGTCCCATCTCCGTCACTTCTTTCGAAGCAAATTCAAGCTGTTTCATCTGTCCTGGGGTAAACGTCGCCAGATTCCACCACTTGTGCCATCAGTAGTCGTCATCGTCGGTGGCAGCATGTGAGAAGATGTCGTTGATGGAAATCTTCACTTATCGCTGCTGAAGAAGGAAGCATGAACTCGTGAAGATTGTGACGAGGGGAAGGCGTCACGTGCGTCGCCAAAGCAACCCAACGTCTGTGCACGGACCACTGCCGCAACTCGTTTTTTGATTCCGCTGTTTGACATCAACCGACGTACTCTCACAAAACACACACTCACATCCACCACCAACAACCTACCCCCACCCGACTTCGAGCGCACCAAACACATCCGCGACACTCGGATCCTTTGCAGCACGAGCTCGACAGACTGACCACACCCACACACCACGCGACATCATCAACATGGCGGAAGCTCAGCAGACTCCCACTTTCAAGCTCGTTCTTTGCGGTGATGGCGGCACTGGCAAGGTAAGTGACAATCAGGCATCGATCTGAGTGTAGAGATGTTTTGGGATTTACAGCTGACACAACCTTATCATCCAGACCACCTTCGTCAAGCGCCATCTGACTGGAGAGTTCGAGAAGAAGTACATCGCCACGCTCGGTGTCGAGGTTCACCCTCTCGGCTTCACCACCGTAAGCAAAAGCAGAGAACAAGTTGAATGAGACGGGCACTAATGGATATGTAGAACCTCGGCCAGATCCAGTTCGATGTCTGGGATACCGCGGGGCAGGAGAAGTTCGGTGGTCTCCGTGACGGCTACTACATCAACGGCCAGTGCGGTATCATCATGTTCGACGTCACTTCCCGCATCACGTACAAGAACGTCCCCAACTGGCACCGTGACCTCGTCCGTGTCTGCGAGAACATCCCGATCGTCCTTACCGGCAACAAGGTCGACGTGAAGGAGCGCAAGGTCAAGGCGAAGACCATCACCTTCCACCGCAAGAAGAACCTCCAGTACTACGACATCTCCGCCAAGTCCAACTACAACTTCGAGAAGCCATTCCTGTGGCTCGCACGCAAGCTGGTCGGCAACCAGTCTCTTGTAAGTAGGCGTCCATCTATCAGCCAGGCATCTCAGCTAACTTGTTTCAGGACTTCGTCGCTGCCCCAGCTCTTGCCCCACCAGAGGTCCAGGTCGACCAGGCCGCTATGGAGCAGTACCAGAAGGAGATGGCGGACGCGGCTCAGATGCCACTGCCCGACGAGGACGATGCCGACTTGTAAGAGGTGTCTACTACAACTTACGATGTCATGGCTCGAGGAGAGGTTTAGGACGAGTGGAGGTTGCACATAGCGGGCCAGTGCTCACACGAGCGAGCTCCAGCTGAAATGAAGGTCATACGGACCCGGCGAAGGACATGGCTAGCGGTTTGTGCTTTCTACTTCAAGCTACTTCACGATGAACGAGAACATTACACCCCATGTTCTCCTGCAGCTCACACACGGGCTCGATCTTGCAAAGCAATGGCGCTCACGACGCCATGCTACATGCACGATCTTTAGATAGACGAATCATCAGTACCCCAAAAAGTTCGTTGACACGAAGCAGGTTCCGTTCCTTCCCTGCACCTTCCACAATCACATGAAGCTGCAACGCGTTCCTGCCTCGCCGGGAGCCAGACAAGGAAGCCGCAAATTCTCCACCGCCATCATGCAATTGGCTTCAGCGCGACCTCGAATAATCTGAACAATCCTGTATTTTCGCGTGCACCACACAACTGCCATCTCAACCTTGATTCCGTGGGACACACTTCAACTGCTACCACCCTCAAAAACCTCGGAACCGTCGCAGCGCCAAGATGGAGGATGGTACTTCGTCCAAACTCATTCCCACGTTGGGTACGCAACGCCGCGGCAACCATGGCGCTCATCTCACCGATAGCATCAAAGGTAGGCGTATCCTCCAGGAGCTGCAGAACCGATCACCGCTGAACATATCCAGTGGCCCCTGCTGTCGAGATTCATCATCTTCGAAACCTCGAGATCACATTCCACCGCACCGTAAGAGTCGCCGACGATGGCAAGACGAGCAGCCTGCCTCCAAATCTGGGCCGATTTCCCATCTTCAACACCGCCGACTTCGACCAATTGCCAGCTGCCATGGCTGCAAAGGGAGGATTTCTCATCCCCATGTATCAGCGTGAGGTGCGAGCAGCAGACCACCTACATCCTCATGCATTTGAACACTGACTAGCGAGTCTTGGTAGGCCATGTGGATGTCTTTCCGCGCTACTCGGCCTTTTGCCATCAAGGTCTACGTAGGAGGAGTCAATGCTATGTCAGGCGAGCCCGCTACAGAGACGCTTGCCACCCTTCAGCGTCGTTTCCGGCGCATGCAGCTGGGCAAGAGCATTCAGGACTACATTGCTATTCCCAAGCAGTTGTGGCTTGATGGCATTGCCAGTGAGGATGGCAAAGTTCGTCAGTTCGTGGCTATGCCGGTGGAAGAGGGTTACTCCATCGAGGCTCAGATCACCGGACTGGACATGATCGGCGGCATCCAGATTGAGGTTACACCCTCGAAGCAGAGACCCGTCTTCGAAATCTTCATTAAGACTCTCACCGGCAGAGTTTTCTCCCTGAACGTGAGAGCTGAGTACATCATCGAAAAGGTGAAGTCGATGATTGAAGACAAGGAAGGAATACCAGTGGACCAGCAGCGCCTCATCTATATTGGCAAGCAACTCGAAGATGGTAAGTTGGAGGCATCTCTTTGCAAAGCGCCGCGCTTACACAATGTTTCTCGTATAGGTCGCACCATTGGATATTACTGTCTGCTCGAGGTAAGAGCATCTGAAGAAACATCACAGTACGTGGTAAAGGTGTCTGACATTCGAAATAGGGCAGCACCATTCACCTTGTCCTTCGTCTTCGCGGGGGTGGAGATCCTTCCAGAATGAGGGATCCGAGTTCCACAATGAGCGTCTCCGCTGGAGGACTTATCCGTCAGACAATTGTGAAGGACTCATACCATCCGGAACTCTGGAATCCGACGAATGGCTCTATCTTCAATGTCCAGATTTTGAACTCCAACACGTTCAAGCAGATCACGGGCATGGATCCTCCAGAGTCGCCCATCTCGGCGCAGACGTATGCAGCGTGCGGCGCTCCGTATTTCGAGGTCTACGATGAGAAGCCATCCGGTATCAAGGGTGATTTTGAAGGTATCAAGTCTGTCAACGAGCAAGATGAGGGCGGCCAGCAAACCGCCGACAAGGCGAAGGCTATTGCGGATGTCTCCGAGGTCGCGGACAGACCTGTCGTCCTCCTCGACGATAAGGGCTCGTGCATCGAATTCCGTCCTTTGAAGAAGATGGAGGAAGAGGTTCGCCGGCGCCTTGGTGATATGTGCATCTAAAGCGCTCCAAGGGAGTAGCAGTGAAGCATCAACAATACAAGAGGAGTCGTATGTTTGCTTTGCCACCTGGCATCCCCTGAGACCTGCAGGGTCACATGCATGCAACGCTTTTACGTCCACGGGTAGCTAAAGGAATGGATTTGCTCACAGTCTTTGTCAGATCGACGTTCACATGACGCGCGCAACATCCTCTTCACGTTGCTGCTCTACCTACTCTCCATGTCGACCTGGTTTCTCCGAGCGTCATCTCGCACGTCCGTAACCACCTTTCACGCGCGGGCACACACACATAGCGACGTCCTCGAACATGAAAATCAGCAACTCCAAAAACAAAAGCCATGATCCTACCGACCAGAAACATGCAGTCTGTTCAATCACAGACTCCATGATCGAGTAAAATACTGACTCGTATAAACAGGCTGATGACCAACAAACATGCTACTTCTTCAAGCTGCCGCTAGAACTCCGCGAGGATATCTACAAGCTGAGTTTGGACACATGCAGCGCAGTGGGCGACCTTGTCAATATTGGCCGTGGCGAGTGCAACCAGCAAGTCTCTTTCACGGGGGTTGTGATCAATAAGCCACCTCATGACAGACACGTACTGCCACCACTATTACACACCTGCCGCCTGGTACGATCAGAGGCTGCTCGGGTGTGGTTCAACCGCAACCGTTTCTTCATCTTCGTCCACAGCCTGGATGCCCGACTTCTGTACCAATGGACGAAGTTCAGTCGGGCACTTGTGCCTCCACCAGCCAAACCCGCTCACGGATCCGCTCATAATCCAAGATTGGAGGTCTACAGTGCTTTTGGCGCATACAACTGGGCGAACGTGCTGCAGTGGTGCAGATGGGTCCATCAAGGCAAGCTGGAGGTTCCACAGGAGCGTCCATACTACCAAGGCCAGCATCTGGCGACTGGAGCACTTCAGATCGCACACAGCCATCGAGGGAGAAGCTGGGAAGAGTGTGAGAAGAGTCTGGCGGGTTTGCGGATGGCTCTTGAAGGCTGCTTCGAGAAGGTCACGATTCGTTGAAAGCGGATTGAACTGAGCTGTGTGCGCAGGTCATCCTCAAAGGCTATGGCATCATCGAGAGATTGATTAAGCAAGCAAGTCAATTGGGGCTTTGGTCAGAGTTGGAGCGTGATTCGAGGTGTGAACAAGTGCAGTAGCAATACAGAACGTCGTCTACATGTCTACTCACACTCTCATATGCTAAAGTCGTGACTTGATACAACGACTTCAGACCAAACCCAATCTCGAATTTCAAGCTCCATCTCCATCTCCTTTCAATGCACGCAGCATCAACCATCCACGCGACCACCCCAATGGCGACCACCCCAATGGCGACCACTTTCCTTCCACAGCGGCTAAGACCCTCTCTCTTTTCATCATCAGACGCAGCGTCATTCGTATGTCGAACATGCCGCCGCAACGCCGCAACCTCAAGACGGACGCGAAAATCACTCCGAGTGAAAAGCGACCCATCCTTCGCACCATCACAAACCGAAGCACAAGACCACATCATCTTTAATCCTCCATCGAGCGCGCCGAACGTGTACCACACCCCGGCGAAGTTCCTGCCCAAATCAGACCCCCGAAGAGCGCTATATACCGCCGCCGCCGCAGCAACAACACCAGCCGCGGAACCCTCCAAACCACAAGGCATCCTCGCCTCGATAGCGCAAGAACGCGCAGCGAGCACACCGCCCGCCTCCCAACTCAAACCCGTCCGACCGATCTACGAGAAGAAATACCATCTCTCGCAACAAGATATCGATGAGATCCGGCGGTTACGAAAGGACGATCCGCGGACGTGGACGCGCGTGAGGTTGGCGGAGAAGTTTGATTGTTCGCAGTTCTTTGTCAGTTTGTGTTGCTCGGCGCCGGAGGTTGCGGATGAGAGGGAGAGGGAGTTGGAGAGGATTAAGAGTAAGTGGGGGCGGAAGAAGAGGGAGGCGAGGGATTTGAGGCAGGAGAGGAAGAAGCTTTGGGGGAGGGATGTGTGAGGGTGAGACTACACTTGATAGTTTGTACCCTTCAAGAGCTTGGGTGAGCTGGGATGGGCATGCCAGGATGAGTTTGTAGTCACGAGCTGCTCTACAATGGGAATGTCGACCGCCGAGAATCGGTGCTGGACAGGAATTCGAACGAGGAGCCCAGCAGCCGTCTACGATCGACGTAAGATGCATAAAGATGAATCCTGGCGTGGCAGCGAGGCACGTGTGGCGTGTATAGAGAGAAGACCACATACCTCGCCATCCCACCATCCCCCTGTGCTATACGAGAGACTGAGTCTGTAAGCTAAAGACATGTATCTCATACGATGATTGCTCACGGGGTCATCTATATCTACCATATTCAGAGTCCATCTTCCATCTACCCTGCCACGTTCTCAGCAGTCCTCTCCCCATTAATCCCCACCTTCCCTTCCGCCCTCTCCTCAACCTTCGCCGGCGCAGCAAACAACTTCGCAATAGCCTCCATAGTCGTATTCCCACCACTAAACACAACCCCCAAATTCCACCCTTCCTCCCCTCCCTCCCTCTCCAACATCCCCCTAAACTCCTCATTATACAACACAACCGCCAACGGCACCGCAGCACTAGGCTCAATAAACACCTTCGCCCTCTCCATCGCCAGCCTCAGCGCCGCCTTGATCTGCTCCTCACTGACACTATAGATCCCCTCCAATTTCTCCTTGTCGGTGATGATCGACCAGGGGATATGGCCCACGGGCGTTCTGAGTCCATCTGCTATTGTTAATGTCTTGACTTTCTCGACTCGTTTCCCGGTCTTGAGGCCTATCTCGGCGTCATTCGCGCCTTCGAAATTGGGCTCTGCACCGAAGACTTTTATGCCTGTGCCGTGCATTGCGGTGCAGATGCCGCTGAGCATGCCGCCGCCGCCGATGGGGGCGATTATCCCATCCAGTCGTTTCTTGCCCTGGATACCCAGTGATGGATCTTGGGCGATTAAAGCTTCAGCTTGAGCCTCCAGCTCCAACGCCTGCGTTCCCTGCCCAAGCATGATATCCGGATGATCGTACGGCGGCACGAGAGTCGCTCCCGTCTTCTGAATCACTTCCGCCACAACCGCCTCCCGCTCATCGCTGGTCGAGCCCGAAAAGATAATCTCCGGGCCATGACTCCTCGTCCCGGCGATTTTGGAGGGCGTGGAGATGGAGGGCATCACGATATACGCGGGCACGCCGTGGGTTTTGGCCGCGAAGGCGAGGGCTTGCGCGTGGTTGCCTACCTTGTGGTATCAGAACCTCACAAGAAAAGGAGACAGGCGATGGAGGCTGTATGTATGACTTCTTTCTTACCACTACTATGCGTCACAACCCCCTCCCTCCTCACACTCTCCAACCCCTCCTCTTCAATCAACCTTCCCAACGCATGGAACGCCCCTCTTGCTTTAAAGGCCCCGATCTTCTGCTCGTTCTCGCATTTGAAGAATAGCCGCACTTTCGGCTTCGCGGTGCCCTTGGAGGGGATTGTGTCGGGCTGGCCGTCTGGTCTTTCACACTGCGCGGTGGAGGCGATGCTGTTGAGGGTTTCGCAGGTTCTCACGGGTGTGCGGTGGATGTACGGTTCGATGCGCTTGTGGGCGGTTTGTACGGATTGGCGGGTTAGTGGGGGGCAGGTTGAGGGGTTCGCCATGATTGTTCTTTTGCACGTATTATTGGGTTATGAAGAGGAGGGAAGGAGTCATGCGACGTTTGAAATATTAATGTAGACTGCGAATGGTGACATTGGTGTTCGGCCCGGTCGATAGGGCGTCGCGACATTGCAACTTTTGTTCTAGGAGGATTCTGGCTAATCTTTCTCCCGGGCTTTCACATGCTATTGTAAGCGTTGCCGTTTTCTCGGCGCTTGCAGGTTGAGTGAATGATTCAGAAAGTTCTAGCGACGACTAGCATAGGTCTCGACGCTCTTGAGTCTCTGGAGATCTTTGCCGGTCCTCGAATTTCCAAGTCGCCCCTATCTCTGTCGAGTCGATGGCAGAGATGATAATGCAGTCCAGCGATCGGCAGAGAGACATTCCAACATCCTCGCACCATCCCTGCAATACCATCCACTCCCTCCGAAAGCCACTCCCCTACATCATCCAAACCCTGCCCCCAAACCCCTAAACACACCCCCTCAAACACCCATGATCCCACGCAATCCCCCCAAAGAAAACCCAAGCCACAGCAACAACCAGCACCGGCCTCAACGCAACACAGAACTGCTTCGTCCGGAACGAACTCGTCTCAGCATCGACGATACCATGCTGAATAACGAAATTCACAAGCCCGCCCATACTCGTCGCCACCAAGAAAATCACAAACCACGTCCACGCCTTGCAGGTGTAGCGCGTGGGCGAGTGGCCTTCGATGATGGTGGGGCAGTCGTAGGTCTTGGTGGGGTTGAGACTGGGGGTGTCGAGGAGGATGATGGTGATGAAGAGGAGGAGGATCCAGATGGCGAGGGCGATGAAGGAGCCTGGGTGCTGGGCGAGGAGGGTGCGGAGGTGCCGGCGTTGTGGTCGTTGGCGGGCGGGGAGGGGTGTTCTGATAGTCATGTGGGGGTGAGGCTGTGCGAGACGCTGGGTGGGTTTCGACGTTTGAGATCAGTTGGCTGGTGGGCATTGCTGGATTTCGCGCTGCGGCGATGGTTGCTGGCGGGGCGATGGGGCGGTTTTGTGTCTCTGGGACTGGCTCTGCTGGCGTCTGTATGGCAGCGCTGTAGGGGGGCAGAGAAGTCTGCGAGGTGTTGTTTCCCCAGTTGGACGGCATCATGACTATCTTGATGTAGTCGAGCGATGGTGACAGTAGACGGCTAGGAAGAGTGTCTGCAGGGCGGTAAGCAGTATGTATTCTTCGAAGTTTTCAACAATTTGCAGCACTTTCTTTCGAGAGTGGATCGGTAGGACGCGTGATCAGGAGGAAGGTTGTGGTAATTCTTATTTCGATTCGCTGATATGGGCAAATGTGGTTGAATGACTTACTAAATTCGCGGTATTGGTCGAATTCTTCAAGCCGCACCAGGCTCTCGGTGCTAGTATGTTGGCAAACCAGGAGGGCACTTGAGAGTATCGGTGAAAGCAATAAGTCCCAACTGTGCTGACCTGATGGTTCACATAGCACTGCTTCATGATAGAGACTGCTCTCGACCATGATGCCGGGGTGGTGTTCGGATGAGTTCGTACGTCTGGGGCATAGAGGAAGGCGTGCGCATTTTTGACTTTGGGAGGAGCTGATATTTTTGTACAGGTATTTATGATACATGCTGCCGCGATCGCCAGAGAGAATACGTGCCTGATCAACTCGATGATGCGGGCCTCTTCAAGATCCAGAGCGTGCAGAGCGAAGTCTTGTCCCCTCGCCGCCAGCTATCGCATTCATGAGAGGTTTGTCGTTTGGTGGCCGATGCCATCGTCCGTAGAGCTTGGTGAAGTTGGCTGGTCCAGAAGTGGGAAAGACGCTGTTATAAATCGGGTTGCTGGCGTTGTCGGAGACGAAGTGCACAGTCTCGTAAGAGTTGGTCCATCGCGAGTGGCGTTAACCCCTATTTATCTTGCGCAGTAGGAGAGTCTGTTGACTTTCCACACCTGATGACAAGCAACCAAAGCACTGGATCTGAACTGTCGCCAAGAAAGCCTTTGCAAATCTTGAACTGCCTAAGCGTCACGAGGCGGATTATATGTGAATCTCTACCGAAGTCTCGATGATCCCGTGATCCATGTTCAGAGGGGCGTCGAATGGAGTTGAGAAGACTCTTGATATGGTCGTGCTACGCTCGGTCGTTCACCCTCCTATCGTTCAAAATGTACGGTAGCTCCCACGGCCTTGCATCCTTGGTGTAATCGCCATCCATGATTGGAATTTGAACGCCTTTCTGCACCATCTCTGTGAACATCTCTCGTATTCCACCTGCTGCGAGCACGCCTCGTGGGCCTCCGATGCCTTTCTCCCACCACTCTACATCTTTCCTCAATGCTTCTGCCAGAACATCTGCAAACGGGAGGACAGGTGCCACCTTTTGCACCTGGGAGAGGTCGCTTCGGAGTACGCCATCGGCCTCTTTCTGATACTCGTGATATTCCGATGAGTCTAGTGCCATATACGTTTGCGAGGCGAGGCGCACAAGGGTCGAGTCCACGTCCGAAAAGTTTGGACTTGCAGCTGTTCTATCTTCAGAATCGGCCAGGCCTTTGCTTTGCAGGCATTGCTGACCGTTCAAACCGGCTGCGAACTTGGCCGCGAACGTCATCCACAATTGTTTCATGGCGCCAGTCTCCTCCAGTGGAAGATCTTTCGGTGGCTGCCAGAGCATGCTGGATTGTATCCTGGTTTGCATCGAATAGCCAACGTGACCCGCTGCGCAAGCGTATCGCCAAACGACCCTAAGCATGTTGTAGTGCTTCTGTCGCCAAGCAATTATGAAAAGAATCGAGTATGTGATGTGGTCGGGAGCGATGGCTCCAGGCTGCGATACTCGAAATCGTTGCAGTATCGCAATTGCCGTGGCGGGGTTTCGAGCGCGGAGAGCGGATGTCAGGAAAATGTTCAAAGTCGATGTTTCCGGCGCAGCCATCTGATTCTTTGCACGACTTCTCTTCTGATATTCTTGAAGCATAGTGAATGCGTCGTGGACTTTTCCAGCAGCAAGTAGGACGCCAGACATGCGGTTGACGACGTTAATGCTGAGCCATTCGAAACCGGATTGCCCATATGATAGGCCAAATCTGTTATCGTAGAGCCTATAGAACGAGTCAAGGTCGCCTTTCATTGCCAGGTGTGCAGTCAGATCATTGGTTGCCGAGTTCGCCGCGATCAACGACGCAGCCTTGTTGTGATTTAGAAGACCTTTCCTCCTCATTATCTCCACAACAGTCCCGGCCTCGAGAGGAAAGCGGCGAGACATGAGATCGTGAAACAATGCCCAGGTCACGGGCGTTGGTGGGACTTTGCGATCGATCATGAGTTTGAGGATGTAGCTGAAGTTGGACACATCACCTGCTCTAGCCGCGGCGGCCAACAAGACATTCCAGTTTGACACGACAAATTCGTAGCCGTTGTGTTCCAGGAAATTGAAGATCTTCCGGAAAACATGGTACTTGCTATGCTTTGTCAGATACTGGAGCGCTCGGTCCAGTGTTGAGGCGGCTAGATGTTTGATGGCTGCTTCGTCGGTGAGCAGAGTTTTGAGCTCTTCAGTGACGATGTTAATGTGACCCACGTGAGAACTTGCGGTTTTTTTGTGGTGTGACAAGCGCTGCATCACTAATCTCGGCCGCTTCTCTGTGAGACGTTCAATGTAAAGGGTCAACTTGGCAGTCGTCCAGGACGCCGGGCGCTGAAGAAGTCGTTCAGGGGAAATCGAGGAGTCCCTTTTAAGGCGATCTACCACCCAGATAGCACGGACAGGCATTGCAGGTTTTGTCAGCCGATCTGTTGAGTCTGTGACCTGGTCCAGCGCGTTCTCAAGTCGCTCAATTTCGGCTTCGGAGAGAGTGTCTTGTTCGTCCCAATAGCTCTTGTCTGGCGAGCGTAGAGAAAGATCACCAAGGTTCCGGGTTCGCCCATCTCCTTTTGGGTCAACGACCTCGACGTACCGCGGAAGAATTCTCAGTGCAGCAGCGTTTTCTTGTGCTGTGCCTAGAAGACTTATTGAGGAAAGAAAGTCCTTATTGCGACGGGATGCATTGCCATGCAAGGCACCTGTGCCGATTTGCATATGACTTCCTGTTCGCTGCATGATGTCCAATATTGCGGCGCCCACATTGCCCTTGACTCTGACAGATGCATTCAGTGGCAGATCGACCGCCTCCAGTGTTTTCTTGAAGTGCTCTTCGCCACTGGGAGTAGCATCTTCAAGCAGGTACAGAACCTTGCGCCAGTCGTCCGAGCTGGGATGCAAGTGTCGCTCTTTTTGTATTTGCCATCGATGAAAGCTCTTCCGTAGGCGATCTTGCTGGCCGGAACGATATGCGTCAAAGTAGCGTACCTTGAGCTCGTCACCACTTTTGACACGGTATGTTCCATCGATTGGCCTCTTCTCTGCCGCACGAACAACATCCTCAAAGGGCGTAGATGCTTTCCCATTGGAGTATACGGGGCGATGTAGCGGGGCTACAGGTCCTTCCACACGGCGCACTGTCATCGCTTCGCTGCCATCGCGGTCATGCTCGATATGAGCAAGTCCTTGGTCTTGGGCATCCGTCGGTGTTTCTCGCGCTTTGTCGCCCTCTCCGCTCTCCCCTCTTTTCGTCCCTGCGCCCGACGTTTCATCTCGTCCATGCCCCAAATCAGTGTGAAAATGACGAGGCGATCGAATAGGTCGTCGGCGCTGCGATGGAGTTTTGCTAGTGTGGAGAGCTCGTCGACCCAGCCCATGATTTCCTTGGCCAGGGAACCAGCCTGGCTCGAAGTGCGGTAGGCGCCATTGTTCATCAGGTTGCCGCGACTGATGGCCATCTCGCGGATCTCCTCTATGCGTGCTTTGGCTGCTGTGAGTTCCGCGGGAGTGGTCGCGTGCGAGGTCGGGGGAGAGGCCATGTCTGGGAGAGGGGGGTGGATTGCTGTTGACGCCGATGGACTTGATGATGGATCGGAGAGGCCTCTTCAGGGCACCATGGCATTGCATCGACTGGCGTTCATCATATGCAGATAGGGAGGGCCGTGGTGGTGGTTGATGGACTGGTGAGGTGAATAAATTTGGCCCGCAGCTCTCCCGAGTGATCGGATCGGCGGTGGTTTTGACGTGGAGTCACTTGCGGGCCACCCAACGCACGTCCCGACGCGTCCTCAGCGCGTCTTCCCCGTCACCTCAATCCTCTCACCTCTCCCGCCAGCAACACTCGACTCCGCCTCTGCCATTGCCACTGCCAACATCCTTCTATTGCATTGCAGTCTTTTCACGAACATGCCAGGACGCACTATACGCTATTAAATCGATTGCGACGACACTGAACGACGAAACCCAAGAGAAAGAGCGCATCCGCGGACATCACGTCTCCACCAAGGCGAGTCCTACAATGGCTTCCAATATGGCCTCGTCGCGGATGCCATTCGAGGAGGACGACTCGCCAACTCCATCTCCAGTAAAGCGACAAGTCACAGAAGTACCATCGAAGATTCTTGGATCTTTAGCTGGCACCGCCGCCGATGATGAGCCATCAAGTTCACAGCCGGACCCCAACGAAGACCCAGATGAAGCTTCCGATCTGGACATACGGCGGCCACTGGGGAGAGCTGCCAGACGCATGCTAGGCGGAGATGAAACCTCTAGTCCCCGTCGAGACGTTCGTGTTCAATCAGCAAGCGCGAAAGGTCAGCAGAGCGATGAGGAGGACCTTTACTCTGCTACTCCTCGAAAGGAGAGAGAGTTCAACCCGCCTTCAGTTCCTGCCAGTGAGGCTCGCTCTGCGCTTTTTGTGAGCCCAGCACGTTCGGCACAGGACGAGAGCGACGAAGACCTACCTCGCAATCCTCTGGCTAACTCCAAACTCGTGGCTCTTGTAGCCGAGAAACGCAAAGCACGTATTGCCAGAGAGGCGGAAGAGGAACAACAACGACGCTTTGATAATCGCAACACCTCTGACCTTCCTGACGAGTTGCTGGGCGGCTCCCAGGAGGAAGATGTCAACCCTGATATTGAACGTATCATGTCCGATGCCGCTCCTCCCACTCGAAAGGCCAGCAAGAAGGCATTACTTGAAATGGAGCGAGAGACCCAGCGGATGTCCAGACAGCAAGCACTCGCACATCAGATGAAAGTCAAAAGAAAGTTCACGACCTCGGACTTGTTCGCTCGACTCAATTATCATCCCGATGGAGAGCAAAGCGGTCCAACGGTCCGAGATGGAGACATTTCCGCGTCATCAGTTCCTAACAGCGACTCTGCAGAGAGCGTGCTTAGAGAACCTCCCAGCACACCTCCGTCGAGCCCGCCAACTCCTTTGGATCGGGTCCGAGCACAGGTAGATCAAGGTGCTTTGAGCAAACAAGTGCCGGTACGAGAAGACAGTCTGACCAGCCTCACGGATGTGGACGACGAGGAGCTGCCGGACATGGCCCAGATTCTCAGTTCCTCTCGCGCCGCACCGACGAAAGACGGCCAACGTGCCTCGGAGCCAGTCCCAAAGAAAGGCCTTAAGCTGGCGAGATTGGGCAAGAAAGCAATGGGTGTGCACAATGATGAGAGCGACGACGATCTGGAGATTATCAATGACTTACCTGCCCATTTGAGGGTCTTCGATAAAGTCAAGGCCGTTTCAAACCAAAAGCACCATTCTACGGCCATCCACACACTTAAGCACCTTGCGCATATCGGAGCAGATGCAGCACCATCACGACGGAAGAAAGGCCCTTCTCGGATCTCAGTCAACCCGCAAGTGCTCGAAGCCCAGCTTCGAATGCGTGCGAAGGAGCAAGCGCGCGCTCAGCAACTGGAACGTATCGCAGAGCTGAAGGCAAAGGGTATTGAAATCCAGACAACAGAGGAGCGCGAGCGAGAGCAAGAACAGTATGAAAACTTGCTGGAAAAGGCAAGGCAGGAGGCTGTTGATCTTCGTAAAGCCGAGAAGGCGGCTGCCAAAGGGCTGGGCACAGAGGAAGCGAGAGTGCTTGCCAGTGATGATGAAAGCGAGGATGGTGATTACACTGACGCCTCCGAGGATGAAGATGAGCAGCTCGGAGATGCACACGACAGCAATGACCTTGTCGATGATGTTGCTGACGAGAGCGAGGACGACGAGGGAGAAGGCGAGGATGAAGTTGAGGAGGAGGATGAGTTGGCCCAAGAAGAAGAGCAAGCGGATGAGCATGAATCCGCCCAGCCCACGACTCAACAGAAGGATGAGGTCTCACCTTTCCCTTTGACAACTCCTCAGGCCAGCCGAAAGCCTCGAAAATCACACATCATCATGGACGACGAGGATGAGAGCGACGCAGAGGTCTTGCAGGCCCTACCTGCGCTGGATGCCACTGAGGACGACGATCCTTTTGCGGCATTTGGATTTGGCGCTGCGAAACCTGCAAGCTCCCTGATGAGTCCGACACAGGCATTCAACGCTACCATGCAAACCCCAACACAACTGACGCAGCAAGATTCTATGGACGTACTGAACTACCTTGCACCGCCGACCTCGTCATCGCTGCCATCATTCGGAATGCACATGGATTCTCAGACCCAAGACGAGAGCCAAGGTGGTGTTGTACCTGGTAGCCAAGTTCCAGAGAGCCAGCAAGTCAACCTTCTCTGGGAGACTCAAGCACCCGAAACACCTGTGCCGGGCTTGCATCGAGAGGGATCAAACACTACTCTGGAGACACCAGGTTGGCAGCCAACGCAAGACGCAGGCCTGCCTTCGCCGTGGCAAACGATGCCTGGCTTGAGGCGCGAGAACACCATGGAATCCATCCCCGAGCACGACACCCAATCGACTGTTCGTGTTCGTATCAGTGAATCACCAGCACCGCAACCTGCCCGTAAACGCCTCATTCGTGGCCAGAGAGCTGTGGTTGACTCGAGCGATGATGAGGAAGAGCCAAAGTCCACAGTTGTCAGCAGCAAACCAGCAAAGAAAGACGCCTTTCGGGAGATGGCTAGGAAACGCAAAGAAGCCATGACTGCAGCCGAGCGCGAAGAAGTGGAGCGCGAGATGAAGCAGATGATGGAAGAGCAAGCCGAGGAATCCGAGGATGAATATGCAGGCTTGGGAGGCGACGACTTCGTAGCACCAGAGACCGAACAGGACCGCGAAATCATTGACAGCAGTCATGTCGATGTCGACGAGCGGCAACTGGCCGCATTGTTTGCGGAGCGTCAACGAGTGGCCGACGAAGCTGAAGCTCAGAAACTGTACAAAGACATTACCACCGGCGGTCTGAGGAGGAAGCAGGCGAACATGTTCGATCTTGACGAAGACGAAGACGATCTTGCTGTTCGCCGACGACAAATGAGGCAGCGTGAAGAGGCCCGAAAGCGAAAGCTGCTGTTGCAAGATGACAATATTGCTGGACTGGCGGAAGGAAAACACAGCAAGGGGAAAGATGCCTTCCTCAAAGCCATTGCGGATGACGATGAGCGAGACGACGATATCCTGGAGCTATCTAACGAGGACGACAATGATGCATCGGCGACACAAAGTGACAGCCAGCCATCGCAACAGGCCGATGATCCCATCGGCCCACTTCGTCAACTCAGTGGTAACAAGCGGCGTCTCGAAGAGGCTCCAGAAGAGCGTCGTCTAGCCAAAGAGCGTCGTACACAGGCATCCGCTTTCAGAGCCCCGGCCTCTCTAGCAGAAGTTCGTGAATCTGTCAGCTTCCTACTGGACGAGCCACATGCACCGACTGTTGGGCCTACGGTGCTTCAGTCAGACTCAGAATCTGACAAAGAAGATGCGCCAACTGAAGAGCAGCAGTCAGTAGACGATGAAGACGAAGTTGAAGAAGAGAACAATCGCCAGAACGACGGTGGCTTCGCATCCGACAGGATAGCAATGCCGCCTCCACGACTGCCTGCTTCCCAGCGACGCACTGCTGCTAAGCCATCCGTCGTTGATCGGCTGTCGTTGAAACGAGGCTCTAGTGCCTCTGATAGTGCACATGCGAGAACAGCATGGGCGGCGCCAGCGAATGGTGGATTCAAGGTGCCATCGCTGCTCCGAAGGGCCACCACCAACACTGCGCTCAATGCAAACGAACGTGGTGTGTCTACTTCGAACGGGATTTCGAAGGACAATTCCAGCGTCAAGATGGGAGGCACGAAGAAATCGTCACTTGCATATCAAGCACTCGCAGAAGAGCGAAACAAGATCGTGGAAGCGTCCACGAAGAAGCGGGACGAGAACCGAGTACGCATCGCGAAGTTGAGACGTGCTGCTAGCAGTGGCTTTGGAAAGGACATGGGCGGTCGTTTTGAGTAGGAGAGTAGATTGATGAAGCAGCAAAGATTCGCACCAAATGACGAGACTGTATCAACACCGTATCAGAAAGAGGTCTGCGTCCCACCTCGTCTCGTACAACCTATCTCTGACCCGCAGTCGTCTGCAGTGATGCGCCTTGGCAATTGATATCGAAACTGTTGTTGAAACGGGAAGGATGCTGTGTGCGATGCACTCACTGGTCACACGACAGCTGATCGAATCGGCCTTGCATGACTATCTCAGACCCGACACTATGCGATCGTCTGTATTGCCTTGTTATACAATCTCGTCGGCCTCACAATCCACAGCATTGAAGTCCTCCAAGCCTCCCAATCCCTCTGGCGAACTCCGAGGTCCCCACCCTCCAGCTTCCATCCGCACTTGGCTTTTCTTGTCTCTTGCCTCTTTACGCCTTGCCTCCGCAAATACCAAGATCCAGGACCGCTGCTATCACTTGGCACGTGTAACGTCACCTTCCCTCGTTGACTCCAGTGCCATGTCGTGACAGCCCCTTCCAACCAACCATGTCGTTTCGTCGCCTTGACAATGGGAGGGAAGATCGTCTATCCTGCAGCGGACATGCAGGTACCACCAAGGAATTTTGCGTGTGTGGCGAGGAGGGTTCTTGTTTGCGGCGATGGTTCGATGGGGAAGGTGGGAGTGTGAGGGAGGAGGGAAGGGTGAGTGTTTTATAAAAGGGACAGCCTTCCACCTTGATGGTGCGTTTGAGTAGCCAGCCTTGAGAAATTCTTATTTGCCATCTCTTCGCGGACAGAATGGTTCGTTCTGCTTATCTCTTCTCCGTGGCGGCTGTTGCGGCGGCTATCAGTGCTACCGATGGTTTAACCTCTCGTGCTCTCACGGAGAGACAGGACGTGAGTGCTGCTGGCAATCCAGGATGGGGTGGGGGCGGATGGGGTGGAGGTGGATGGGGACCAGGCCACGGATCCAAGAAGCCAAAGGTCAACTCAAAGAAACTGCAGCAATCGATTCGCGAGAGTGCGCTGTCGAAGAAGGCTAAAGAGCTGGAGGAGGCGGCCTACAGTACAAGTCAGCGCAACCGTGTGTTCAGCTCAGAGGGCCATTTGAATACTCTCGATTTAATTGAGGGATACCTCGACACCGTCAGCGACTACTACACCTACCGCCGACAACCGTTCGAGGCACTATACTCCCAAGCAAGCGGCAACTTCTCGGCCGCCGAGACAACCTACACGCCCATCATCTTCCAGTACTCGCCCTCCGGCACCGCCACCGCCCCCTTAGTCGCCGTTGCAAACGAAGGATGCGCAGCAGAAGACTATCCAGCCGAAGTGGCGAACAACATCGCTTTGATCGTTAGAGGTACCTGCGATTTTGGTCTCAAGTCTTCACTGGCCGGTGCTGCGGGTGCTGTTGGAGCTGTTATCTACAACAACGCCCCTGGCTATATCTCAGGTGGCACGCTGGGTCCTCCTCCTCGACCGGAGGGGGAGTATATCCCTACTGCTGGGATCTCGCAGGAGAATGCTACGGTGTTGTTGGAGGCTTTGAGCAATGGGGAGGAGGTTCAGGGTGTGTTGGAGGTGGAGAGTATTATTGAAAATAGGACGACGTGAGTCGAAACGTTTCAAGCTATACGTATTGCCTTACTGACAAGACGTAGATACAACATCATCGCCGACACCAAAGGCGGCGACAAAGAAAACATCCTCGTCCTAGGAGGCCACTCTGACTCCGTCTACGCCGGCCCAGGCATCAACGACGACGGCTCCGGCATCATCGGCATCCTCGAAACCGCCCTCCAACTCGCCAAATACTCCACCAAGAACGCCATCCGCTTCGCCTTCTGGAGTGCCGAAGAATTCGGCCTGCTCGGAAGTGAATACTACGTCGCCAACCTCAGCCCAGAAGAACTCCAAAAGATCCGTCTGTACCTTAACTTCGACATGATCGCATCCCCGAACTTCATCTACGGCTTGTACGACGGCGACGGCAGCGCTTTTAACATCAGCGGTCCCCCAGGTTCTGCTGAGGCAGAAGCCTTCTTCGCGAAATGGTTCAAGGACCAAGGCCTCGCCACCACCGAAACCGACTTCGACGGCCGCTCAGACTACGGCCCCTTCCTCGACGCTGGCGTACCCGCCGGAGGCATCTTCACCGGCGCCGAAGAGCTCAAGACAGAAGAAGAGGCTGCACTGTTTGGAGGCGAAGTGGGCGTGGCGTACGATGTCAATTATCACCAAGCCGGAGACAATTATACAAACCTGAACTTCGAGGCTTTCGTGACGAATACCAAGGCTATCGCAGCAGCGGTGGCAGAGTACGGCAGTTCTTTTGACAGTTTGTCGCCGAGGAATGCTACGGCCACGGTCAAGGCTAGGGGTGTACATGCGCATCCGCATGAGAGGAGGCAGAAGGCTAAGCATGTACATCATACGCATGACTGTGGGAAGGCGCCGAAGGTGTTTATTTAGAAGTGAGGTGGGTAGGGAAGAGAGGGCGCTGTTGGTAGAGTCTGATGAATCCTGATGAATTCAATTCGTGGTGCTATCTCAAGCGGATCAATTCGTGTTCGTGCGTCATTCTAGTCCTCGTGTGCCTTGACGAGCTCGCACATCTTGAGAGCCTCGCGCCTAACGTTGCCAGTCATCTTGTCGACCTCCGCAGACCTCATCTGGCGGACCCGATTGATCTGCTGAGAGACTTCCTCCAGTTTGGCCTTGATGGTCTCCTTCTGAACCAGCAGCTTTATCTCCTGTTGCACGAGAGACTGGACCTTGGTGAGATCTCCTGGCGGCACGGTAGGGCGTGGGATTGCGGGAGAAGACATGGTATTGACGGCCGGGGAGGAGACCTTGCGGCGAGGGCGAGCCTTTCTAGCCGCGCTTGACTTCGCCTTCGTCATGGTATCGGCTGTGGCACGCGCATCCTGTTCGATAGGTTAGTAACGTTGTATGCAACGGAGATAGATAGTGGTTCTTACAGAGGTGAGGCCGGGACGATAGAGCAGGGGAAGGCCCTCCTCGTTGAAGGCCGGGGAGGGGACGCCAGCAAAGCCAGACCACTTCTTTGCGCTTGCCATCTCCTTCTCGGCATCCCCGGCTATGGCATGAGTCTCCTATTCGATCAGTCAGTAGCTGTATGTGCAACGGGGATAGATGTCGGTTCTTACAGAGGTGAGGTCGGGATGACCGAGCAAGGAGAGGCCCTCCTCCTTGGGGGCTGGCGGAGGCGCTGGGAGGGCGGCGGGGGCGACAGGTGAGGGCTGCTTGGGCGCTGGGACTGCCCAGATTGAAGCGCTGAGTCCGACCATTGTGTGTGAGGTGATGTAGTAGTTTTGAAAGCGCGAAGAGTGAGGTTGGGTTGCAGCGTGAGGTGGAAGAAGTGTCCAAATTCCAAACACAAAGGCGGTGCGCGTCTTTAGCGCGGCAGCTTGGCCGAAGATGTTCCTTTTAGGAAGGCACGCGTGAGTGAAAGTAGCTTTCAAGTGCTTGGACAAGGCTTACCACTTCAACTTGTCCCCCTGAGAACCGTTTCCACGACGGTTGGAACGTCGTAATGGTTGAGTTTCTTCTGGTACGCCTCATTGAGACTCAACCTGGCTACTTACAGTCAGTTCAAATCACTCAATCTTCGCTACAAAGAGCCAACACTCACCGAACAACCAGATGAAGAAGTACATCACCATCTCTTCCAGCAACGACATATCCTGCTTCATACCAGCAAGCTCCTGTGCCTTCTTGTGCACCATCGCCAGTCGTGGTCTGCGAATGTCCGAGTACTGCTCCAACGCTCTCTGGATGCTCTTCGATGACCTGACGGTCAGATAATGGTGCAACAGCAGAGCCAGCGTCTCGCAGTCCTCAAGCGCCATACTCGCTCCCTAAAGAACATTAGCTCGACAACACGAACCCCTGCACGACAACCCACCTGCCCCGAAGATGGCTGCAAAGCGTGAGCAGCATCGCCGACTAGTACACAACAGCCTTTCTGCCATGTCGGCAGCAATGGCGTAGTAAAAGTCGGATACAAAGAATCGACGCGGACATCGCGTACGATGCTCTGGACGACCGGGTCTTTCCACTCAGAATGCCGCCTCTGAAGCTCGCTCTTTACGCTCTCCAGATCGATATGGCGCCAATCGTCTGGACAATCCCTCAAACTGTGAGTAGACCACCAAGTCGCGGTATCGCCATGCTTGCGCGGGCCCACGTCTGAGCTGGAGCAATAGCCATAGCCGAAGAAGCCATTGCCACCATTTACGACACTTATATAGGCGTCAGGAAGGGCAAAAATATGTGATAGGAGACACTCACTTCATTTGACCGTCAGGAACATTCTGGAGCAACGAGCTTGTGACGAAGCCTCCGGTTCCGATGAGGCCTCTGATGATCCATCAGTTGTCGCGTCGCTCAGACATGACATGTGCATTGCAACGTACTCATAATGAGGCGAGTACTCATATCTCTGCTTCCCCTGACCGCCAAAAAATGCTCTACGTCCGATTGACCAGATCCCATCCGCAGAAACAACCAAATCAAACCGCTCCGTTGATCCTTCCTCAAAAACCAACCTCGAACCAGACGCGTCGTGCGCGAGCTCGACATCGACAACCTTCCGTCGCTGAATGGCCTCATCCGGCACCCGCTTCCTCAAGATCTTCCAAAACGCGTCCCTCCCGATCATCACGGTCATTTCGTCCTCGCCGCCAGCAGGGATCTCAGCTAAGGTCCAACCGCGGGAGGAAGAGAGTTTCCAAGAGGTGATAACATGTCCAGATTGCAGGACTTCATCGTAAAGATCAGGATCAAGACGTTTGAGGACTTTTAGACCGGTGGAGCTGAGGCCGATGCTTGCCTGCAAAAGGGGGATTCAGCAAACATAATCAAAGGGAGACGCCTGCTATACGGACTCACGCCTATAACAGACGCGTTGTACGTCTCAGCATTTTGCTCGCCAGTGGAAGATCCTGGCTTGATCTGGCGTGCTTCAAAGATGACGATGGAGTGAATGTCGGTGAGGCCGAGTTTGCGGAAGAAGAGGTATTGAGAGAGACCGGAGATTCCAGCTCCAACGATTGCGATTTCCATATTGCTGAATCAGTTGGAGTCTAGAAGAGCCATTTTCTTGGTATCAAATGCCATCGACACGGCTGGCACTATATGCCTCCGGAGGGAAGAGAAGCAAAGAGCTAAACGAGCGGATTCGCATTCGCGATCTCCATGCCTTTGCGGGCGGCCTCATGAGGACATCAAGTTTTGCAACAGGAAGAGGTAGCCTACGAATGACCACTGATTGCATGAAGATTGCAGCAATAGGTACAGCGGTATTACAAGATATTTTCCTCAGTGAAACAGAGTGAAGGAGCTCAAGATGAAGGAAGCTGAAGCGCCACTTCCACCCGAAGTCCAAAACAGTAAGGACCCGAAAAGCTCAAATGTACAATATACATCAACGAAAAATCGTTCATTCATCTTCTGGCTCCCATCGTCGCATCGCTTGAGTTAGGCGTTGCCCTCCTGAGCCTGACCTTGACACCATTCTTCGGAGCGACAACGACTCGATACCCCTTCGTCAGATTGTCTTGTCCTTCAGGAGATTTCATTTCGGAGAAGTGTTGCATCATCCGAGCGATGAGGAAGGATATCTCCGTCATCGAGAGATGTTCTAGAAATTCCCATATCAGCAATCGAAAAAATCAATGAGGTGTGAAAGTGAGACTCACGACCAACACAAACCCTCGGCCCCATGCCGAAAGGCGCATACTCCGGCCCAAACTTCCTCCCGATCCACCTCTCAGGCTTGAAGTCCCATGCGTCCTCTCCCCATTCCTCTTCCCTTCGATGAACGAGATAGATGTTACAAGTCACCGCTGCACCCTTCGGCACCGCAATCGGGCGTGATCCATCGTCTCCACCACCTCGCGGCAGAACGGTATCGCACTTGGCATTCCGTCCGATGTTGGCGAGTAAGGGGTACATCCTCAACGTCTCCAGAATCACATTCTGCATCATATTGCAGGATTTCAGATTATCCCAGGTCAAATCCGCACGAGGGTTCTCCTCCGTGCCGAATTTCTCTACGACTTCGGAGCGGACTTGCTGGAGGATGTCTTGGTGGGCTTCGAGTTGCGCGAAGACCCAGGCGGCCATGGTTCCCGTCATGTTCTGGCCGGCGATGAAGAGGTCCATGATTAGGTTGCGGATGTGGATGGGATCGCCGATTTCGATGACAAGGCTGTCGATGAGGCCGTATTTGCTGTCGGGGGAGTTGAGGGAGTCTTGGATGGATGGGGAGCGTTGCATAGCCCGTTTTATGAGGTCGTCGGCGAAGTCGTTGAGGGTGTTGCATGCTTTACGGTACTGCAGGCAATGTTAGTGATCTTACTTCTTCAAGGCTGTAGAAGGATCGATGTATACCTTCAGTCCATCCGCGATCCAGTACTTCGAACCAAGCTTAGACCGCCACGAAAAGTAATTCCGCACGACTTCATATGCCTCTCCATACGTGTACTTCGAAGACCGCTTCCCAGGCACAAGCCCAAACTCCATCATAGCAGCCTTCATCCTCGCATCTCTCATCCCAGAAAGCTGAGACTCCGCACTAGTCCCCAGCAAGAACGTCGTCGACATGTCCAACGACAAGCGATGGAACAGATCCAACAAATCAACTTCTTGCGTCCAGCCATCATCATCGACAGGCCCGATAGCATCGAAGAGCAGTTGAATGTCTGTTTCGGAGTTGCGGACGTCTTTAGCTCGCTTCGTGAAGATGTGTCGAAGGATCATCTTGCGGTTCTTGTGCCAAGACGCTCCTTCCGAATTGAGTAAGCCCTCCTGAGCTAAGGGGTACATGGTCCGAGCACGGGCTTTTGAAGGTCCCCAGTGGCTGGCGGACTTGTTCAGGATGGCGTTGATGTTGACAGGGTCGATTGTGTGGATGACGAGTGGAACTCCGTTGCGGTTGTGGAGAGCGTGGGTAGGGCCATATTTGCGGAATTTGTTGGCGAAGACATTATCGAGGAGATCACCGCCAGGGTATAGCAGAAGCCCGAGCTTGTGTCTGAGGGTTCCAAGGAATGGTTTTGGTAAGGCTGTAGCGGGCGCACAGTGTTGGCTTTCAGCGAAGCGTCGGAACTCTTTGCTCTGGGCTGCTGAACGTCTCAATCGCAACGCCGAGCTTATGATCCATGTGACGAAGACCGTGAGGCCAATGTTCCAAATGGTCACGATGGCGTGCTAAGAGACCTTGTCTGCAATTGCGTTGACAAACATTGGCACAGTGAGTGAGCAATCGATGGTCAGTGACGTGGGTGGATGGGTTTGGTGAAAACGAGCCTTGTGAGAATGACTGCCACTGACTTGAGTGGCGCTTGCTGGCCACCGTCCCCTGCTATTTGAAGTCTTCACAAGCTTTCACATTCGTATGTTTTGCTATTGCCTCTTTGAGACGTGAGCAGGCTGCTCTTTGTTACCCATACCGAGGCCTACCACTTTTGTCAGCAGCCCTGTCTTTCTTCGTGAATTTGAAATAGAACGATTGCCATTTCCGACCGTATGGAACCAACAATGACGCAGTTCTATACAGATCTGACCCACATGACTGACGATGAAGGTCAATTGTACAAAGCCATGTCGTGAGCTCGTGTGAGTGCCGCGGGATGCGTGAATTGGAATTGCCATCTGACTTGACATATAAGTGATCATGTCAACCCGCCCATGCCATTTGCATCGATTTTGTGATCTTGCTTGGACGCATAGAGAACTTGACTGCGCTTCGCTTAGCCACGATCAAAGCCAGCTCACGGAACGCTGGTTTTCCGGACGGAGCTCCTTCCAGATGCATGCTCTAGAGATGCTTCACTTCTTGATACCAGGTCTCCCGTGTCGCGTGGCCATGGACGAAAGTCCAAATGCGATACAAAATTGCAAGGCTGTGTGGGCGGAAAGACAAGCTGCCGAACAGGATTGCAAAAGTGTTCACAAGATCGGCCACGCCATTCCGACCAACAAGGCTGAGACCAGGTGTCGTCAGAGCTGCGAGGAAACATGGCGAAGACTTAAGGGAAGGTGAAAGGAGTGAGGTCGGAAGAGCAGGTGACGTCGAGATGTGCCTAATTCAGCTTCCAAACCAGGACACCAGCCGATGGGACATCGCCCTCTTGGCCAACGAGCAGATCAGCGTCCACATCCGGCGGAGTCTGAGGCTCCAACCCATAATTGATGGCCCACAGCAGATCTCCTCTTCTTGCTAGCCGTAATGTCGCACCAAGGTCATTTTCCTTTCCAGCAAGTCGTCCAGTGAGATCTCTAATACCAGCATCGACAGCTACATCGCCGAGATAAGAGACGAGCAAGTCGACAGGTGGATTGAAGGCCAGGTAGTGCAGACCATCATTTGAACATGCAGCGGGCTGGCCAGAGCGGTGTCGGGAGGTTGAGGTTATGGTCACATTGCTAGTGGCGTTGCCTCGAGTGCACACAACTGTTTCTTCCCAAGCTGAGATATTGTAGTTGGAGCCCTTGTACGACACTCCGCTGTTGGCGTACGAAGGTGGAGTCTCCACACGTGTCACACGCAAAGGAAGGCGAGAACGGATTGGACCAGCTGATGGGGTGAGGCCAGGCGTGTATGCAAAGTTTGGCGTCCTGTCGGCTGTGTGTGGCCCAAAGACAACGGGGCCGGAGAAATTAGCAAGCGCAGCATTGAAAGCGTCCGGTATGATTGGCAGGGACGGCACGACAACCATCTTGTAACCTGCAAGACTTTGCTCGGCCGATACCACGTCAATGCTGAGGCCCAGGCGGCGGAGAGCGCTGTAGAAGCTATGCACCACCGTGGTGTATGCAAGAGCGGTGTCTGTATATGTTGCATCTTTGACAGACCAAACGCCGCTGTACGGCTCGATAGTCCAGACCCATTGAGAGGTGTAGTCGAATACAAGCGCCACGTCGGCCTGCTGTTCAGTCGTTGCGGCATTCTCAGTGCGGAGGAAAGAGAGGTCCTCCTCAACTGCTTGTAGCTCAAGAAAGCCTGCGTCTTCGCTGTCGTCTGACACATGCAACCCAGAAAGTGTTTGCTCCTGTGCATATGGAACTTGTCGCCAGCGGAAGTAGTTGACCATGTCCCCAGAAGCTGCGAACGTCTCATGCGTCCACAAGCGGACCATGCCATCGGCGGGTGAAACGCGGTATTGGTTCCAATTCAAGACACCGGGCTCCATTTCCATCACGCCGAAAGGACCTTGACTCTGCCCGTAAGCGGCTCCAGACACGCCACGATAGATACCGTGATTCAAAGCCTGCAGGTCAGGCACGCCAGTACGTAGATAGTCGGCCAACTCGTCATCAGACAATGGTACAGAAGAGGTACCAGCAAGGGCGTACGAGTCGAAGGTCGAGAAGTCGAGCCCTACTCTACGGTTAAAATCATAATGGTCGAAGTCAGTGAAGAGGACCATGAAGTTTGTAGTGATGGCGTGGGTTGGTGCAAGCTCCCTCAGGATATCGACCTGTTCCTTGGCAAAGTCGACGACCATATCGGAGCTGAACTTGTACCAGTCAAGCGTGTGGGCTTCGTTCGTGGTGTAGACCTCCAAAAAGGGAGGTTGAACGGTGTCGAAAGACTCATACTGTGATGACCAGAAGACTCGTCCTTGAGCGTCGTTCATATTCTCGATAGTTGTGTACTTGTTCTGCAGCCAGGACCTGAATCTTATGATGGCGTTGTGATCATAGCTGCGGACAGTACCGTGACATCCGAACTCATTGTCTAGCTGCCAAGCGACGATATCAGAGCTGTTCCCGTAACGCTGTGCAAGCTTTCGAGTAATCTTCTGGCTTTGCTCCCGGTAATCGAATGACGAGAAGCTGTAATGCCGCCGAGAGCCAAACTGCAGGGTGGCATTGGTCACGTCCACGAAATTGACATCGTACTTCTCCGTGAGCCAGTTCGGTGGAGCAGCTGTTGGTGTGCCAACGATGGCTTTGAGCCCGTACTTGTGGAAAAGATCAAGCGTCTTGTCTAGGAGAGTGAAGTTGTATTCGCCTTCCCTGGGTTCTAGAATAGACCAGTCGAAGTCATTCACACGAACGAAGGATATGTTGTTGTCTCGCATGCGGGCGACGTCGGATTCCCACATCCACTCCGGCCATTGAGACGGATAGTAATCGACTGCGAGATTCATGCCGCCAGGCCAGCGGTTCGCATCAGGACCCGAGGACCCATTGCCAGTCGCTCGTGAGAAGATGGCTTCACGCTGCGTTGCTGTGGACAGGACTGTTGACAAGAGAAACGATAGGACCAGCGGAGCACGCATCGTGAAGTTGCCAAACGAATTTCCTTGCTTGCACGCTTCTTCTGTGCTTAAGTAGTCGATACATAGATCCCCTGGAGCAGTAGTAGTGCATTCATGCGGGCAAGCAGTTGGAGAAACTCCACCGCCTCCGCATTGCCTCAATTTAGCCGGTCTGTTCCTTCCTGGGGGTGGTCACGGGTGTCGAGTCCGGCATCCATGGCTTCGCTCCACAATGACACAAGTCTAGTAGACCGGAGAACCGCCTTCGCATCTTGTTTACAGCAGGTATTGCGGCGTTGCTCGCTTCGGCGGAACTGGTACCGACGAGATCGTCCTGCCACGACTGCACGACTGGGGCGAATCGCCGGACGGGGAAGGACGAGCGCTGACGACTTGTTGCTGCTGGAGTATAATGATGGAACTGTTTGGGGCTTCTTGAGCACGATGTATATATATGTCGGTGTTGTGAAGTTGGAAGTCTTGACGCGTGCCGGAGTCAAACGTTTGCCCAATGTTTTGTCCATCGTGGATCTGACCAATGAGGTGGATTTGAGCGTGATATCCGCGCGAGCACAAGGTATAAGCCACAGAGCCACAACCATCGAGTCAACTCACTCTTCGTGGGCGTTGAGCTCTCACTCCCCCTTCTCGACTTCACAACAAACTCCTAGACAACATTGTCAAGAACCGTCAAGACCACGCCGTATGCATTCTCGACACCGAACGCTCCACTTTGTTTTTTGACTTAGATAATAGACTCATTGGAGTATTCATGGGCGGAAAACCTGTCATGGCAATTCATCAACAGCAGCACAGTACAACACCTGTCTACGAATTGACTTCGTCGAGCTTCATCTACCCGTCAAGCTCTTCGCAATCCCCCGCGCCAACAAGCCAGTGCTAGGTGAGCCATGATGCCACGCAGCTGAGGTATGGTGCCATGGACGGCAGCAACTATAGATACCGAGCAGAGCCGCCATGAAGTTCATTCAAGACCGTAACTGCTCCAATCCCCTCCACCACAATGTCCGCAGGCACCCTCTACACCTTCGTAGGCTCCGGCAACAGCTACAAAGTCCGGCTGCTGGAGAAGCTTCTCGGCATCGAGCTCAAGCACGAAGAACTCGATTTTCTCGCCGACGAGCAACATCAAGAAAAGTTCCTCAAGATCAATCCTCGCGGGGAAGTGCCATGTCTTGTAGACGGCGACAAGACATTCCACGACTCCAGCTCTATCTTAACGTGGTTGGCGGGAAAATGGGGCGATGGAGGGAAAGCTCAAGGTCCGTCTTCGTATTGGTCAAGTGATCTTTATGAGCAGGCGCAGATTATCAATTGGGTATGATTCGATACAGTATCCACGCAATTCTCCATCTCTTCCTGTCCTGATCTCTACTGTTTGCAGCTCTCCTTCGCCAACAGCTGGGTCCAGTATGGCGTCTTCACGAACCGGGCCATCCTCTCCTACAATGGGCCCTACAACGGCCTCGGCAACAATCAACAATGGCCACAATCCAAACTTGACGTCTTCCTCGAAGAGGGCGAAATCCGCGGAAACTACTCCCTCAAAGTCCTCAACAGCCACCTGACCGATAACGACTGGCTCGCCGTAGGGCGCCCGACGATCGCGGACATCAGTGTCTTCGTGTATGTGGCGTTGGCACCGATGGGGGATATCAGCCTGGAGCCGTATCCGAAGGTGTTGGCGTGGATCGAGAGGATTAAGAAATTGCCCGGGTTCTTTGCGATTGAGGGGTTGGATCAGCCGTTACTGCATGTGCAGAGGTGGAAGAGTGCTGGGAGGACGGAGCCGAAGAACGTGAAAAAATAGGAAATGTTTTGGGCTGAGATTTCTATGCGATATGTGAGCTACCATCTACATTTTCGCCTTGTTCAAGCTCAGAAGCACCTCCTGTGCACCCCTTTCGCCAGATCTCACAGCACCTTCCATATATCCCTTCCACTCATACGCGGTCTCCGTCCCAACAAAGTGTATGCGGCCAGCAGGCGCCCTCAGAACATGCTGGAACTTGGTAAAATCACCAGGTCCCATGACGGGGCATGGACATCCTTGGCTCCACTGCTCATTCCGCCAAATCTGCTCTTCAACATGAATAGGCTCCTCAACACCCGCGAAGCTTCCGAAGAGCTGCTGGATCTTGTGCGTAACAGCATTTTTGCGCTTTTCAGGGTAAAGGGATGCCCAATCTCTAGCTGGACCTCCGACCATGAAGCAGGTTAGGCTATAGTGGCCGTCATCGTGAACGCTGGTATCTCTGGTGACGCCGAAGGGCCCTTGCGATGACTGAGACATGCCAGTCAGACCGTGTTTACGCCACCATGGTGTTCGGTAGAAGACGATCATCTTGCCGTAATCTCCGAGCTTGGTGGCTTTGGAAAGCGCATCTTTCTCTGGTAGTGGAGGGTCGAAGACGATTTCTTGGTACAAAGGCGTTGGAACGGATACGATGACTCGTGAGGCTTCGAAGACGCCTCTGGCGGAGACGACTTTGGCACCGCCGGGGATTTGTTCGATCTTCCGGACGGGAGACATGAGGACAAGAGACCCTGGACTCAGCTCCTCTGCCAGACCGTTGCTGAAAGATTGGGTGCCTTGCTTGATGCGAAGATACTGTCCACCATCTTTGCTGTCTGACCGCATCTGCATGTAGCCACCTCCTGATTTGCAATAATCGAGGAAATACAGCGCACTCAGCTCAGAAGGCTCGACGCCTAGCATCGCTCTGGTTCCGACGCTCAGAGCATTCAAAGCTCCTCGTCCAGCTCCGAGTGATTTGAGCCATTGCTCGAAAGTGATGCTATCAAGCTTTGTACGCAGTTTCTGGTCCTGTGCAACCGGGTCGGAGATGTCGATTTTTTGACAGGTCTGTTCAAAGATATCTCGAATTCGAAGGATATCGTCAATCTCAGCCTGGTCTGTAGTGTCGGCATTCAGCTGTCCGTAAGGATGGGTCTTGTGTGAGCCGATACCTTCGTCACAGACGATACTGCCGCTGGTGTTCTGCATAATCAAATCAAGTCCGAAACGCTTGGCCAAGGTGTACATTTTGGATTGATTGGTGTCGTTGATCCATGCTGCCCCGACATCGCAAACGCTGCTTTGCACTGATCTTGACCATGTCTTGCCGCCGACTCGGTCTCTCGCTTCCAGCACTTTGACTGACAGACCAGCTTTTTGCAGTTCAACAGCTGCCGTCAATCCACTCAACCCAGCTCCGACAACCACCACATCGACTCGCTCTGTGGGATACTGTGGAATCGCCGCCGTGGCCTCAATCTCGAAAAGAAACTCAGGCGCCGCCAGCTTCTCCACAGGAACAAGCGTAGACCCAGGTCGATGATCACCCAAGAACTTCATCAAGATCGGACGATGTCGTGGGTTCTTCGAGTCGTAGTTCACGATATAGTACGTCAGCTTCATGATATCTTGCACACCAGCTCCAGCCGCCTCCAAGCATTTTCGGAGATTCTCGAGAGCTTGCTCGATTTGCTCGACAGGGTCTGCGGGGACACTGCCATCTGCTCTCGCTCCGATCTGGCCTGCTGTCGTGACGATGGTACACGGTCCATTAGTATGAGCGACGTGGGAGTAGAATGGCGAGGTTCGGATGTTAAATGGATTGAACTTGACAGCACCGCTGCTGGGCTTGGGTGGTGGTTGGACCATGTTGACGGGGGCGATGACTGGGTTGGTATTCACCGATCAGTAGTACAATGGCTCTTATAACTTTCCCACCTCGTACGATACGGTTGACTCGATCGGGATGTAGCAATCTGTCCTCGTGCGTGAAGGGCGTGAAGCATCCTGTAGAAAGTGGAGCTCTCGAAGGATTCAGAGCTATCTCTAGAACGTAACCCTATATTTACAGTGGGCTCTCTCAAACAAGTCATCACTTGCGGTGACATCTAAGCAAGCGCCGGGCCGTTGAGGTGAATCCAAGAAAGTGTGGTCCCCTCTTAATGCCTCAGGCAGCTACAAGGCAGGGATCTCTCAAAAGCTGTGGACGATCAACTTCAGTGCGAAGACTCTGCGGGATTCTGAGAATGGGGTGGGTATATCTGAGCTCGAGGCAATTTACATAGAAAGAGATATCACTACTCTATTGAAACATATCCTACATCACGTTCACTTCGTAAGCAATGTCGCCCCTCTAATATTGTCATTCCTGACCTCAGTCCCTAGAGTGCCGGTTTTGAGGTAGCAGCTCTTCCCTTTGAGCGCCACAGCTCCACACCCTGATGTTTTCGCACAAGCATTGAGACAATCCTCGTACGTGGCCGTGGTGACCGCACTCGACGTTCCTCCGGACCGATCCCAGCCGCACTCAATTCTGAAGCGAGCACCTGTTGTAGCCGTCCATACAGTGTCGTCGGATGAAGGACACGAAAGCGGAACTCCCGAGGTTGCATTCGTTTTGGGCACGATCAATGTGCTATTCACCTGGTACATTTGCAAGGCGCTGCCTGCTCCACATAGGGTTGAGTTGTCGCCAGGGCATGCAGTGTTACATTTTGTTTGTGCGAGGGAGGGGCTCTTCGTGGTGTTGAGAATGTCTCCCATCCAGCATTCTTGCCCGTACTCAAGACCCATGAAGTTGTATGTGCGACGTTTGGCCTCCGCCGCGCATAGTTCGGGTGTCATGCTCTTGTTCGTGTATACCTCAGTCAAGGCACGATTGGCTGATTTGTCCTGGAAACAGCCCAGTGAATAGTATATACCGGCAGTCGGTGCTACTGTTGGGCCAGTCTGAGTCGACGAAGATGAAGTCGAAGTCGAAGAGCTGGTCAGCGACGTTGATGAGGTCGTGGATGCGGATATAGTTGTGGAAGTGCTCGTCGATGACACACTGCTCGTGGAGGATGTACTGCTTGTGGAGGATGTACTAGTAGTCGATGAAGTGCTGGACGACGTGCTGGACGAAGTGCTCGATGAAGTGCTCGACGATGTGCTCGATGAAGTGCTCGATGAAGTGCTCGACGAAGTGGTCGACGAAGTGGTTGACGAAGTGGTTGATGAAGTGGTCGATGTAGAGCTCGACGAAGTGCTGGATAAAGTGCTGGATGAAGTGCTGGATGAAGTGCTGGACGATGTGCTGGACGATGTGCTCTGACTTGTGGTCGATGACGATGTCGAGCTCGAGGTTGTACTGGTAGACAGTGTCGTCGAAGTCGAAACACTAGAAGATGCGGTGGAGGAGGTACTAGTCGTTGATGATGTCGACGTCGAAGAATCCGAATTAGAGCTAGACGATGAAGTCGTTGTGGAAAGCGTCGTCGAGGATGTTGTAGATGTCGATCCGACCACAACTCTAGCTCCCCATACTCCGTTTGAGACTGGAGCACCGATTCCCTTCTTGAGGTAGCACGCCGCTCCAGACAGCGCTAGCCCTACACAACCAGTCGTTGTTGCGCAGGCGTCGATGCATTGATTGAGGCTGTTGTCGCTCACTCCCACGGTTTTCAAGTTGTTGCCTGAATAGTCTTTGCCGCATTCAATGAGGAACGTCTGTTGGTTTGAAACGTACGTAGTGCCATTCGAGTCTGGGCACTTCAACGGAGTGGCTGATGGCGAAGTCGAAGTCGATGTTGTCGAGAGTGTTGATGTAGTTGTCAGCGACGTGGATGATGAGGTTGTGGCAGTGGTTGATGTCGAAGAGCTGCTGCTGGAGCTGCTGCTGCTGTCCACAAGTTTGAAAAGAGTCAGGCCGTTCTCGCCGCCGCAGATCTCTGAACTGTTCCCTTTGCAAGTCATGCTACAGCGACCATCTGTCGTAAGCACTGAGCCCGAATCAAGGGTATCACCGCAGTAGCACTCTCGTGCATATTCGGTCGCCCAGTAGACAGAGCCGCTGCAGAAATCGGCGCACATCCTGCGAGAAGAAATGGTCAGCGTCATATGCCAGAGCACGACAAGGAGCACTCACCTGTTGGTCATGTTGTCATCATCGTATTTCGCCTTCGCTGTTAGTGCCCGGTTCGGAGGAACCTCATTGTAGCATCCTTGATATTGATATGAGCCAATCCTGGTAGATACCCCATCGGTCTCTGAGGGCTGTGCTGTTGCTGAACTAGTCGTACTTGAAGTCGCCGTCCCCGTCGATGAAGAGCTCGAGGAGGACGTGGGTAGCGTTCCTGGGAGTTGATAGACTTGCATCCTCGCCGAGCCACCGCAATACTGGCTATTGTTACCTTTGCAAGTCATGCTGCATTGTGAGTCGTCGGTCAGATTAGAGGTAGCTGCAATGGCAGATCCGCAGTAGCACTCTGAGCTGTACTGAAGGCCCAAGAGGGGATACGAAGAGCCACAGAATTTTCGGCAATTGTCCACGGTATTGAGAGCACTTGTTTGGCGCTTGACGTTGAACGTTTTCACGTTGTTGCTCTCAGCGTAACATCCAGCGTATTGATACGAGCCAGATGACTTGGTCAATGACAACGGAGGCCCTTGGAGTACGCCGTCCCATTTAGTCGTGTCCGCGAAAAGCGATATCATATGTTGATTGTGCGCTGAGCCGTCCCCACCGCAGGTGTGGTTGGTGTCTCCAGTGCAGCGATAGTTGCAGTCGTCCTCGATGCCTCGACTCAACGGCAGTGCGTTTCCGCACCAGCATTCTCTGCGAAAGATCATACCCGTGAAGTTATATCCGCCGGCTGCGCACTGGCTGATGCATCGAGAGGCCGTATTATTGTTATCGTCGTAGTAGACTTGGGTGGCGAGCTGCCGTCCTGGTGTTTCGTCCTGGTAGCAGCCAATGTACGTGTTTTGTGCAGTGCCATTCGGGAACAAAGGTCCCACCTGAGGCGATGCAGCAGTGCAGTCAAAGGTAAGAACGACAGCTCCTTGATCCGTATTGGTGTTGATTCTCCATCCAGCCCCAGCTTGGGTCGAAGGAGTATTGACTTGCCTCTCCGGCGGTGCACAGAACAGTGTGGCATTGGCAGATTGGCCAGCTGGAATCTGTGTTCCTTCCGCGAGATCGATGCTGTTTGCGGCTCGCAGGTACCCTGATACCCCGAAAGGAGGCTTGGAGACAGTGAGACCAAGCGGAGAAGCGGTTGACGAGCCATTGTTCGTGATTCGCATCACCAGGTTGAGTACCTGACCAGGGAAGACGTTGCCAAAAGTGAAGTTTTTCCCGGGTGTGTACTGATCCCAACCAGTACCATCGGCACGCTGAAATTCGAAGAGCGCTCCAGGTGAACTGCCAGTCGTTCCAAATACATCCAGGACTTTGCTGCCGCCATCAGTGGTGACTTTGACGAACACGACATGATTGCCGGCAGACGGCGGATTGTAAGTGATTCCTACTGCCTGTCGACTGTTGCCACTGATTGTGGACGGAATGTTGGAAAAGGTGAACTGGGCTACTTGTTGACCATCCCCAGTAGTGTTGGCTTGGATCCATGGACCTGTCTCTGACGAAGTCGAGAACTGCACATTGGTCACATTCAACGCAGCATCGCCGTCATTGATGAAGAAGACGCTCTTCTGAATTGGTCCAGCGCCGATGGTTGAGTTGAATGTTACGGTGATTGGTTGAATGCCGAACAGAGCGGTAGCCGAGTTGGCCGTACCAGTCAGTGTCACAGGAGTCTTGGATGCCGATCCAGCGACCTGATTCGTGGTAGAGATGACTGCGTCGCTCGAAAGAGGACCTATCTGGACTGGGGAGAAGCGAGCTCGGAAAGAGAACGACTTCCCAACAGCAACGTTGAACGGCACCGTTGGTAAACTGTCGAGGACGAAGTTGGGATTGCCCGAGATGTTGAAGGCAGTAACAGTGGTGGCGACAATGGCGGTACAGTTGATGGTGAGCGCATCCGAAGTACCGTTGACAGAAGTCTTAGGAAATGCGACAGGCGAGGTGCAGTTCAAGGGCAGGTTGACAGGGGAGCCGTACGCATACAAGGCACCTCGAGCACCAACGTACGCCCTGGAGTCGCCGAATGCAGGTTTGGCGAACTTTCCTGGACCTGGTATATTGAAGCCTCTGACCAGCTTCAAAGGACTACCATCACTTGGTGGTGTGGCATCATAGATTCGGAGATCCTGGCCATCAACGTCGGTCGTCCAGTACAGTCCAGACCCAGCGCGGCCATCGAGTGAAGTTGTGGTGCCGTGGCCGACACCTAGAGCTTGAGCATTCTTCTCAGCAGCGGTGGTGATCTCTGTAATCGCTCCATCACCGTTGCTTTTGCAGCTGAACTGAAACACCCTCGTCTTGTAGTTTATGACGTTAACGTAGATATAGTTGCCCAGAGGCATGACACCAGAAGCAGAATAGACCGAGTTCTCGTGCTGAAAGACTGCGATCGCCGCATCCAGTCTATTGGCGCCTTGTTGGTAGCCTCCCAGATTGTCGACATTCAAAAAGTATGTCTTCCCAGATTTGCCAGTGATCACTCCAACGCGTCTCGAATTTGGACACGTGAATGTAGACGGTAGCAACTGGAACGGAGTTGTACCAAGATCTTTGTCTGCGCCGTCGAGCTGCGTCTTTTCCCACGGCATGAAGAAGTCCACTGGTGACATTGTGCCGTCGCTGTTGACATTCATGTGAACAACGGCTTCTTCTAAAGCGGTGGGCGGGTTTCGTCCAGGGACAGGATGGCCATCTGCTGGAAGTTGAGAAGCATAGCCATTTCCAGTGGAGAAGAATAAGCCTCCTGCCCCGTCGTAGGCCAAACCACCACCACTCATCCAGACTCCGCCACCAGAGACAGTGTTCGGTTCCAAACCACCTCTGAAACAACAGTCAGTATGTGATTACCTCTCTTGTCCAGCTTGAAGGCTTACTGTGTTGCATAGGCTTCTACGATCGCGCCAGTCGTTTTGTGAAATCCAATAATGGCGCCGGTGTAATTGTACTGAATACAATGAGAAGCCCAACCAGTGTAGATAAAGTCTCCCACTTGCAGCAAAGCTGGTCTTTGATGTTGGTCACCTGCGACGAGCCACCGATTTTGGTTGTTGCGAAACACAGTATGGTGGACAGGCCTGGGGAAGTTTGGTGCTTCAGAAAGGTCGGCCGTGTCGATGGCGTGAAAGTAGTAGCGGCCATTCTGTCGACCTGGCGAATTTGAAGGACTATAGTTGCCAGATTGGAACTGTTGGGACGTCAGAAACATTGCAAGCTGAACAAATCCATGCACCAAACACTTACGTCGTCAGTGTAAGTCTTAGAGGTCAAGTACCAATATCCGGTTGACGGATCAATCACTCCAGTCCCAGATACACCCACTGCTGGAGCAATGTCGTTGCAGTCTGGAAGATCGGTCAGTCAGAGACAAATGTACAATTTGAAGCATGACTTACTGCCGAGATCTGCAGTTAGGAAGGGGACACCAATATTGCGAGTCTCGACAATGTCTCCAGTCTTGGCGTTGATCTTGTAGAGATTGTTCTGCGTAGTTGCGACGAAGACATATTGAATACCATCGCCAGTCGTGTAAACCAAAGGTTGTGACAAGACTTGCTCCGCTCCTATCCCATTGAAGTTGCCCGGAAGCTTAGCTGTCCAGATATTCCCAAAATCGGCGCTGGCAATTGTTCGAGGGTCGAGATTGTGGTTCGTTTCGTAGTTGGATCTGGAAGTATCGCCTCCCCTTCAGGCCACAGGTTAGCGAGCTTTCCATACACGCGAAAGGGGAATATCGTACCAAGTGATGGTGTCTGTTTTCCCCAGAGAAACAGCAGACTGAGGTAACGAGAGGAATGCCAGGCAAGTTGCCAGCATCGCAAACATTGAGGTCGCCATGCTCCTGGACAGTGAGTAGATGCCTGCAAGCCCAGAGGCATAGGCAAGGTACTTTTACCTGAGCCATGAGTGCAGTCATGGCCGCCTGGCCACACTTCGAGAGGTCTGTTCAGGTCGCCTCAATTTTCCAACGCAAGTCCAGCCAAGCCACCAAACTGCTCTCGCTTCGAAGAACGAGTACCTGGACATAGTTCCATCATACAACGACTGCGCTTCCTTCTCGAGCCTGCAAGATGGCGCCCAGTCCTTGTTACCCCGAAAGCCGGCATCGGCTGTCCCGGTCACAATGTCTAGAACTATTCGCCATGGCGTCTAGCTACGTGCGCTACTCATGCCAGAGCGCAAGTATCTCACGGCGGTAGAAGCAGGGCAGCAGGAGGCTTGAAAATTCCCCGAACCTTTCAGCCACAAGTGACTGCATGACCGGGCTGGACGAAAGCGGGTGTGACAGTCTTGGCCTGCAGCCTTGGCATCCCGAATCGTCTCAAGCCCCTACAAGCCTCGTCACTGCATTAGGTTTGCGTTATTTTGAACTGGCGGATTCGCCAGCGCTCCGGGCCAGAACTCTCTGGAGCGATACTTGGGTACGTTCGACAGACTGTCGCGTGCGAAGTTTGGTTTTGTGGCTGGCTGGTAGCAGTCGTGGACACCCTCGCGCTGGCAGACCTGCAAGACTATTCCAGTTCTAGTGGTGTATTCCCATTATTGACCGTTGCCTGAGGGCCCTTGTAAACCCTAGTCACACTTCTAGGAGTCGGTGTAGCCGCTTTTGTACTGTTTGGTAGACGAGCTACCGAGTTTCTCAAGCTGCCTCCAAGCCAGCCTCGTGGCGAAGTTGATGTCGAAAAAACTCATGAGTTCGATGGCTGGCGCTCACCATCGAACTGAGCCCCGTCACAATGTCTTGTAGTTGGCCCAGGCCGTCTTGGAGCGCTAGAGCCATTCTCTGCAACTTTGACCGACCGGCTTCTCGAACATTCTCTGTTTTGGTGCTGATAGTATGATTGGCCATATTCCTCTTATCTTATGCGCAATATACACGTGCAAAGTGCACCTATATCTCCATGGAAAGCCTTGGCAATGTTGCGGTCGGCAGCTGATGCGCAAACCACAAGCAGAGTGCTCGGCGTCGGTGCAATGTAATCCATTGTAGAGAGAAACAGTTGCTAGAACACCTCTATATTGTAACTCCCCCTCCGGCCAAAACACTAGATTCTACCATGTAAATGCGGTCAATCCCGGGTTCAAGACAATGGGAACCAGCAAGTGACATGAAACCAACAGTGCCAGCGGAAATATAGCCGTGAAGTTGTTGATGTTCCATGACCACGGGATGAAAGGCGCCGTTGCGACGATAATCATGCCAACGATGACACAGATGCAGAACAGCATGCTCCACTTGAACTTGCGGAACACCTGGGGTACTTCTTTGAAGAAGTTGGTTCGAGTGACCTCTTTGGCTGTCGCGCCCCACTGTTCAAGCAGCGTTAGAAACTGAACAGGTTGTGTACTGTTGGGACTTGTGACTCACCTGCATGTTGATTTCAAACATGTGCGAAAGCAAAGCTTGGCTGATGAACAGACTGATGCCTCCAAAAAAGCATGCGAACATCAATGCCCAAGCGAAGTTTTCGTACAAAGCAGAGAAAAACGCCTTTTCTCCAGACCGGTAGCGAGAGACCGCGAGACCAAAGTTGGCTGCAATAGAGAACACAAAAATGACGCTTAGAAAAATTTGCCAGCTGTCGGTGTACCATCGATCCAGATAACCGTTGAACAGTCCGAGGGCGATGTAATTAGTCATGGTCATGACCCAAGCAGAACCCAGAGCGTAGTAAGTCCCGATGTAAGAGATGATGCTGAGTTTGGAACACAGTGGGATACCGGAGCCAAGAAATTTCCTGAACAGGGGCGTGAATGGGCCTCGAAAGATCCAAAATCTCAGTGGGTGGAACATAAGTTCGTCGCAGCCATAGGCGTACTTCTCCCAGCGAGTAATCTCGTCGTACACGGTAAGGGATACGCCTTCTTGAAAGCCGTCACCGAAATACGATGCGTAACGAAGCTGGTAGCCTTGAATCTGTAGGCGAAGTGCCATGTCAAAGTCCTCGGATACTGAAGTTTCAGACCAGTAGAGCTCAGGTTGCACAGACTGTTCGTCTTCGAAGGCGACGTGTTGCAAGGCCGACCACCGCAAGATAGCATTGTGTCCGACAAATGGCGCAATGTCTCCAGCTGCCACACCGAACCGGATGCTCGTGTAGATAAGCCGGGTGAAAAACGCCATGCCATTCTCAAAGAAGTCGTGTGAAACTTGCATTACACCCGAGGCGAATTGGATGATTGCGACCGTAGGAGATATCTCCATCTCCGAAACTGCATCTAGCAGACAGTCTGATGGAATCCGCGTATCTGAATCGATAAGGAGGATGTAGTCGCCAATGCGAATGTTCCCGGAAGCCCATGCCTTGGGTTGGTCATCTGGTTGTTCGGCCAGCATGTCTTGCAATGTCCGCTCATAGGCAGCGGTCTCGTCCACAGAGGTCCACTTCTCGTCTCGTTCAATGCTTTGGAGTCTTTCTTCTAGTCGATTGGAGAGGTTCAAAGCATAGTTCATGTTTGATGCCTTTTTGAATTTGCCTCTTCGCTCAAATCCTGTGCCTTTGGGATCGTGCGCAGGGCGTGCTATCCAGCCAATATTATTGTCATCATAGAACTGAGTTCGTGCGAGGCGCTGTTCTTCATAGATGACTTGAAGTCCATCATCGTTGACGAAAAGGCTGGCCGAGCCTCCTTGGAGCTCATACGTCGATATGGCCTTTTGAATAGAGCGTACTGTGGGCTTGATAACAGCGTCGAGTCCTTCTTTGTATACCGGGCATTGGATTGTGACATGAGGAAGCTCCTCGCAACGAAGCCGTGGGGCTTTAACAGCAGAGAAGTTCTGAGAGTTTTCGTGTAGGTGCTTGACAGGACCGACGAGCTGTGCGATGGTACCAACAACGACGTAGGTAAAGAACTGCAGACTTTGTCAGCTTATTATTGTAGGCTTGAGAGGACAGCGCATAGTTACTGACCAATGTGAGGATTGCCATGATTGGAGTTATAGCGATGAAGGCGAGAGACTCATACCGTCCCAGTACGGTCACTTGTTGGAAGATGCTCTGCATCCTGCGCCCGAACAGTACCGTCAAAAGACAGAGACTGCAAGCACACATGATGGCATAGTAGTACTTCGTGGGTCGCACTTGCTCTGACAGTGACTCTTCGTCCAGCTCAGTAGAGGATGCATCCGGCGATAACAATGCCAGCTTCTCGTCGAACCCACTTTCAAGGTTTCGAAGTCGCCATACTACCCGCAGCAGATCTGTTTCGATCGATTCAATGCGGGAGATGAGGTTAGATGGATCTTCATCCCAAACAACCAGGAGGCTTTCACTCCTCACAAACGCCGCATATTGATGCTTGCGTGCTCGAGACAGTCCAGTGAAATTGTCCACGATCTGTATTCTTTGGTTGTCTTTGATCGGAATGCCTGTGTCGCCGGGGTTCAGGCTGTCGACAATCGTGCAAATTACCCTGCTCTTGACCGTCATTGCAGCCTATGGAGCAATGTGTCAGCGAGTCTGCTCAAACCATAACAGAACATACTGCACATACCTTGGTATTGAGCGACATGACTGCTTTTTGAAACATGGTGCCTTTGAGGCTGATGGGCAGGGCGAGGAAGTCGTTGTTGGTTCGCTTCAGGATGACGCCTTCGGTGGTACCCGCAACGTCCTGGATCCACATACTTGTGCATTGTCTCTGGAATAGGTAGCTGACGATGATGTCGCGCTGGACGTTGTCGTTGTAGATGGTGTCTTTGCTTGTCATGGAGACATCGCTGTTAGATGCCGCGGATGATGACACTGGGACCGCGCCAGCGTCCTCATCTATGCTTGCCGCCGCTTTCTTTGGTCTGAAGTATGATCGTAGTCCCATGGCTGAAGGTGTGAGTTGCACAGGCGGACAGCAAGGAGGATGAGACTTGGTAGAAGGCTAGTTGATGGGCAGCGATATCAACAGTCTTGACGCAAGGCACATGTCGTAGGACCACCTTGAAGAGCATGCGAGCACCAAATCATGGCAGAGCCTCAGCGGCGAGCCCGGTTGCCATAGCTCGCGTGTTTGGCTACAAGCAAAGACAGACCGCACCGGTCTTGGGCCAGGCGCACATGGCTGCGCAGGCCTGACACAGCCAGGCCGGCCATTGAGGCGTCCGTAAGTTTGGGAACTGAACGACGTTCTCGGACTGAGTCGAACGACAATGAGGCGACTGAGACCAGGGAGTGGGATCCAGAATCCAGAGTCGCTCGGTGCCCAGCCAAGTAGATTGCAGACGGCGTTCGATATGGCTGGCTGAGGCTGCCGAAACGTGGAAGACTGTGGTCGACCGAGAGCAGAGTTCTAGATAGGTACAGGTCACTGTGAGGGTTTGGGATTCATGCCAAGCATGGGTCAGTCACGCACTAGTGTAAGAGAGGTGAGGGTGGCCTTGGTATTGCTACTGGTGGATATGCCATGCAGATGGCACTTACCGTGGCAACTGTCCAAGGCGCCGGATCGATTGTCGTCCCATTTTGGGGGTTGGGTCCGAACTTGGAAGGAGGGAGCTTGTGCTTCTTCTGGCCTAAGCAACGAAAGGAGAACATTGAAGGATGCTCGGCAGCTTGGCATTTCCTTGGCACATCCTGGACAGCCGCGGTCGAATGGGCACGCGATTGCGGCATGGCGTACATGAGCGCTTGCAGAGACAGCACTATTGCGAATCGCGCGTACACTTGCATCGGTCGTCTGGCCCGGCGGCATTTGGTGCACTTGGAGTACCGCATTTCGCTGCCATCGGTTGTGCCTGTCAGCAGTTGATCAGTGCATTCGTCCTTGGCGTATGCAAGTGAGTGGCACAGTAGTAAGGGCGCGAAAAACCGCCTCGCCGGCTGTCAGACGTAGCCAGTACGGAGTAAAACTTTCGCGACCATTGCAACGATAGATATTGCAAGGATGAGATGAGGACATGGCTGTGACGATGTAGAGCCTTGATTTTCTCAAGACGTGTCGTTGGAATAGAAATGTGGGAGCGCGGAAGAATGGCCCAAATAGGTATAGTGGCTTCGGCACTTGATCCCGATAAACAAGCTCAGGGACGGCAATCTCATCACATCGCCAAAATCTGACATTCATGACATCGCCAATATTCGTAACATACATGACACCCATGACACCCATGACACCCATGACATTGATGACATCGACGACATCCACAATGCGCCCGTCATCAACACTTCTCCCACATCTTGACCGACTTGACTTGCATATCGCCATTCTTCTGCCACGTCGGGAACCACTGGTCGCGAGCCTGCCAGAACTCCTTCCGAGCGATGGGTGAAGCGTCCGCCCACGGCTTACTCCCGGCACTGTCCTTGAAGTAGCCGTTGGTGCCGCCTGCCAAACATTAGCTTGAGCATCAGACCGCGTTGTACTGGCCAAAGAGGCGACTTACCCACTGCGACGTTCAAGATCAGATAAAATCTCTGGTCGAACGGCGTGCTCAACCGCCCCGTGGTCGACCATGGATCAAGCAGCGAGGTGCCGTTTGCGTTGCTGGCTGGATAGTGTCCACGGTCCCAGAAGCGCTGCGTAAATGGCACGTACAACACCTGCAGCAGGACCGAGTCGACGTAGGTGTAGATGTACCTATCCGTCCACTCCAGGCCAAACGTATGGAACTTGTCGCCGAACTCGGAATGCAGTGCACTCAGCTGGTTCCAAGTCTGCAGATACGAGTCCATCTTGCTCTCCGGGCCCCAATGCAGTGCACTCGTGACCATGTCGTTCCCACCACCGGGCCCGGCATTATACGAGTAGTTGTTTCCCCGTGTCTCGGCAATGTCAATCTCTCCAGAAGCAGGCCAGGAACCGTACGCATCATCGACGGGTAACATCCAAATGGCGGGCCATAGCCAGTCACCTTTGGGCATCTTGGCCGTGACTTCGACCCTGCCGTACTTGATGGACACGCCCTTCTTTGTGTTCACTCTTCCAGATCGGACTGGAGGCACGATGGTACCATTGGTGACGTTCGTGTGGGCGAAGCAATCGAAGAAGGCAGTGCCCGTGCAGCTGGACCCGAGGTCGATCGTCGCACCATCTGTCTCGACAACCTTCTGATCTTGTAGCCCAGGCTTAATGTGCAGCAACCCGCCATCGACAAAGACAACGTCAGCATCGTCCGTGGTCTGGTCGAATGCACCATTGCCGTAGCCGCCCACTTGCTGCTCAATCGTCCAAATGTTGGGCGATAGGCGGCCGGAAGAGAAGTCCTCGTCCAGGATTGGGCAGAATTTGCCTCCCGCATGCTGGCTCTGAAGTCCCAAATAAATGAGGACCCCAGTAATGCAGATACCGACAAAGATACCAAGACATGGGATGAGCCAAGTCTGCTTCTGGAACACACTTCTGTTTCGGCTGGATTGCAAAGCCTTCGGACTCTCCAAGTCTTCCTTTTTGATGCGGCGAGAACGGAAGTAGAGATTCCTGACCTCGGCGACTTCGACCACGCCCGATTTGAGCTTTGCGCTGCCTTGCTCGTGCTGTCTTGTTCCTTCGATCCAGCTGTTGGCGCTTGACCTGGACGGACTTTCGAATGGATTTGGCCTCTCCAGCGGGGTGACAGGAGTGCTTGGGGCATGCGAGTCCGCAATGCTGTATGTTGTGGACGAGGAGATGTAATGTGACATCTTGAGTGTGTGCTGACCGCTCACGGACATGCGAGTGTGAGGGTGGACTATCAGCGAACATGTTCAACGACGTCTATTCTTCGTCCCGGATTAGAAAACTCAAAAGGACTTAATGCCATGCGGCAAAGGTCTATCAACATCTGGAACGCTAGTTCGACCGCACGTGGCGGACAATGGTGCATCAGATTGACTTCCAGGGCCTGCTCTCTATCGCTGCTTGCATGCAATCCATGTTGATAGTGTAAACAGTATGGTGCTAGTCTCGGCCGCCGGTACACGGACATTTCCAGCAAGCCACAGGCCCATTGCCAAGGTACGCCAAGTGATATAATCACCAACCGGCATACCGACAGTTCGGGACAGCTTCATGCAGGTGCGGTGCATGAATCACATACACGACGAATACCAGAAAAGTCAACTGGGCGTTCCGACGTCTTGATCTGGCCATTTGCCGCCTGCATAACCTTCATGTGCCGGCAGCCAATCAACATTGTGTGGCTGGTACTCATCACTACAGCCTTGCGACTGCGCCCTGGCCCGTAGGGTTACCTTTGCCAGTCATGTACCATGACGGCTTCTGCAGTCCAACAAGGTGCTTGGTCAATGCCAACTTCAGCAGCCACGGATCATGACGGATCAGGAAGCACAAACCTCGGCGGCCTGTCGCCGTGCACTGTCATGGTTTCATCAGTCAGCCAGTGTCAGGGTACTGCAGTACCTCCGGCTAGGACTATGTCTCAGCCCACGCCTCGCTGGCTTGATACTGAGCAAGATTCCCTGGCCAGGCCCCAATACTTTCCTTAGCCGAGTACCAGCAAGAATCGGGCTGCTGATGCTCCTCCCCAACGATCCTCAAGCGAATGGTACTGACACGAGCCGGCCGATACCAAGACGCCAGCTCGCTAGACCACAGGCAAAATATCCGATCGGACTTCCCTGTAGCAAGCCGCAACCTTCGGCGCGACACACAGCTGTGCGGCCTACGGCCAGTCTATGGACTCTTAAACATGGCTTGTATGGCGCTCCGTGTTCGCCGACAGTCGCCAGGGCGCAGTCCTCGCCTGATCGAGGCGTCGCGAAGCACTGGACAGACAGCTCCTCATGGGTGCCATGTGGCCTCGCTGTCGCCGTGTATGGCGTTTGTGGATGCCAAAACTCTCCGTGTGGCGTGAGGTGTTTCGCTTCCCTACCACTGCATCTGGCCTCTTTCGATGAGACTGGTGACATGGCCAATGTGTCGAGTCTCTGGCTGGAGCGGTCTTAGCTACTTTCTCATGGAACATAGCGACATGCCCTCATGGACGCGAACACTTCAGCCTCTGCTTGGGAGCTGAATCTGAGCTGTCAAAGCTCATCAACATTGGAACCTCGTGGCTGGTAGGAGACTTGGAAGGCCATGGGCTTGATCATACGACGCTTCTACGCAAGCCACGAGGCGAGAGCATTGCTGCGCACCATTGAAGTATATAGTCCACAGGTGCGGGCTGATGCAGCTGCTTGCCTCTCATACTCTACCATCCTCGGAACCACGTGCAATACTGGCATCTTCATCGTTTTAGCCTACTGGCAAACTCTTTTCGTTCCATCTTCAAAGCAACCTATAAAAATGCACATCAAGTCGCTTCTCCTCGTCCCGGCAGTCTTGGCCCTTCAGGCAGCTGCAGTCGCATTGCCCCAAGACGATGGAGACGTCACCATCGGCGGCAGCGATGCGACTGGCAATGAATCAGCAGATCTGATAGCCGCCTACGAAGAGGTCGAAGAGCAAATCCCTGACCCTGTGGCAGCGCCAGTCGGAGCCGGAAGCTCTGAATTGCCTGAAAACACAGACGACATCGCGGATGCTGCTGCTGAAGATGCGGTCTCTGGCGGCCTCACGAAACGCGGCTCTTGCAAACAACAACCTTCCAAGTTCACCAGTGGACCCGATGTGTCGACTCTTTCTTCTGAGCAGTGGGAAGGCCTCAACTACTGGAAGACCACTTCTCTGAATGCACCAACCCCGAACGGTTATTACCAAGTCCGGAGCTGGCGAGCCTTGAATGCTAGTGCCGAAGCTCAACCATATAGAGGCTACACGAGCGACTTGACCACGTACGACACCAACAAATGTGCCGCCAGATGCACCTCGATCTCAGGCTGCAACTCCTTCGACATCTACTTCGAACGCAACCCCAAGGTCAATCTCGACAAGACCAAGTGCCCGACTTCCGATGCCCAGACGCTGGTCAAGTGCGCTTTCTATGGCAACCCCCTCGTCTCTTCCGAAGCCACCAATGACGGTCAGTACACCGGCAGAGACTTCTACACATCCATTGCCGGCTCCAACGCCTACACGGTCATTCCTCCAACCCCAGCGGGGTTCACCGGCCCCGTCAGCTTCGGCGCATACACGATCAAAGCACCCCAAGGTTCAAACACCTGTACGTATACCCAAGAGCAGAAGGTACCCTATCTGTTGCCTGAGACATGTGCTAACCTTCCCCCCTTCGCTTTTAGATATGGGCATCCAGACGTTCCCCGGCGTAGGCTACGACCCACAGGTCTGCGCGGACGCGTGCAACGCCAAGAGCGACTACAACCAGCGCCAGGCGGCCAAAACCAGCAACCCGACCAACTACCGCAAGTGCCGCTTTTTCGACGCTTATGTGGCGTACAAGAATGACGAGAACCCGCTCTTTACTTGCACTTACTACACCCAGGGATACGGCGCAGGGTATGCGACTAATCTCGATCAGTATAACGGCGATGGAGACCACTTTACTCATGGTTCGAGCAACGGGTATTACCTTGAGGAGAGGCAGTAGATCGAGGCGCAAGTGAGGGTTGGGGGAGGGGGGAACTCGAAGATCCTGCAAGATGATGCTGTTTTGACTGCGTCTTTTGTTGATTCAGGATGTTTTGCTTTGTTCATCGCGCGCTTGATTTAGTTCCGTGGTCAGGTAGAGAAACGGCCTCGGCGTCGAAAATTCGAACTGCAAAAAATTCAAGTTCCTGTTCGTGGCAAAGTGAGCAGAAGACAGCGTAGTGAAGTGAAGTGTCGTCGAATTATCTGCCTCAGGCACCCACAACGCACGCACCGCTTTGCTCACTAGCGCGTGCACGGACGATTTCTGAGCTTAAGTACTTTCGAATTTCCGCTGGACACCCACTTCCTTTCCTCTCCATACTTACCTTGAGAGGGTGCGCTCGCTCATGAATGGGTTGCACCTAGCCACGTCTCCTGCATTGCACAGCGCGGTGAGAAGTGGCTACAAGTCTCCTTCGGGGGCCTTGGTCTCGTAATTTTTGATGGCTACCCACCACCACAACAATCCTTTTCATCAGTGTCGTCGCCGGCGAGGCGTGGCTTGGAGAAGAGTGACGGTATTGACCGACCGACCGACCAACCTCCATCACGTGTGATGAGGTTGGCCTGCCTGTTGATGGAATGGACGTCGAGCTCGATGGCGCCCCGGCGACTGGCGGTTCGTCGTCGCTGTCGCTGTTGTTGTTGCCGGGTCGCTGTCGCCAGGTCGTTGTCGACATCGAGCTGCGGCCTCACCGGCCACCTACGGGCGTCAAGAGCACGGATTGAAAGAGCACGGGATACGTATCAGGAGCAGGGCCTACATTGGATATGCTTGACCTCAACAGCTACGCGCCATCGCCAGCGCTGGAGCTCATGGTCGCTGCGGTTCACGGTGTCGAAGGGCGTATACGGACGTCGAGGCTGAGCATGGAAGCATCACCGAGGGAAGGCTCATCGAGGGACGGCTCATGGTCGGAGAGTACTCATCAAGACTTCTACTCATCATCTGAGGGTATCCGGCCAGTTGACTGAGCCGATGCTGGTACTCGCATTCAACGAAGTAGAAGCTATCAGCAGCTTGCGTGAGCCGAAGATGCACGGAATGTGGTCACAACAATGACTCTGATGGCGATGGCGATGAGACAACAAAGGACATCGCGTCCAGGAGGAAGACAACATGAAGAGCCCTAGACTCCAATTCATTTGTGACAGAACTACTGAGGTGATTATTGCAAGCGATCGACTGCCTCCTGTTCAATATCCAAAGGTCTTCGCGCGCCTGACCATCAGCTGAATCTCCGATCCGCCCTTGACCTTCCCAGCGGTCGGTGCAATGGCCTTTTTCAAGGACCAACCCACCATCACCATCCGCATCACGCCCTCGGAAGCCTCTGTCAGAAGCCTCTCTGCCTGCGCAATCGCCATCTGCAAAGTGACCGGGCCCTGGAGGATCGAAGCATATGCGTCGATGCCTGCCGCATAGTTGACCTCCGCTCCAACACCCACAGTCCCGGCAAGAGCGATGACGGGGACACCTCGAATCTTGGCGAGACGAGCGACTTCTCCTGGAATCTTGCCTTTGGGGGTCTGCTCGTCAATACCGCCCTCGGCTGTGATGACCAGGTCGCAGTCGCGAACAAGATCGTTGATGTTGAGGAATTTGGTGATGATGTCGAAGCGCGGGTGGAGGGTCGCACCGATGAGCTGCAGCCCGGCACCCATACCGCCTGACGCTCCCATTCCAGGTTGGAAGGAGATGTCTCTGCCTTTGACGCTGCTAACGACTCGCGCGACAGCATCCATTGCTGCGGAGAGCTGGTCGACTTCATCTGGAGTAGCTCCCTTCTGAGGACCGAAGACACGAGCAACGCCTTTGGGACCACACAGCAAATTGTGCCAGTTACAAGCGACGTCGATTTTGACATGCTGGAGTCGTGGATGGAGGCCTGAAAGATCGACTTTCGCCAGATCTGTCAAGGAAGCACCACCGAGTGCTTGAAGAATTTCTTCACCATCTCTTGAGAAGAACCGCGCTCCTAGGGCCTGAGCCATCCCGATACCGCCATCGCATGTGCCAGAGTCACCGCACCCGACAAGGATATGTTCAGCACCGTCATCCAGAGCGGCCTTGATCAACTGGCCAACGCCGAATGTGGTCGTGTAAAGCGGATTGCGCCGGCCTCGTGGGACCAGACTGAGTCCTGCTGCTGCCGCCATTTCCACCACCGCGGTCTTGGTCGATACCCCTCCAAGGAACCCATAGTGCGATGGAACAGGCTCTCGGACAGGCCCAGTAACTTCCAGACGACGAATCTCTCCGCCCGTCGATGCCACCAGAGCTTCGGTAAAGCCTTCACCACCATCAACCATGGGAGCTTTCTTGATAATGCTTTTTGGTTGAGCTCTCAGAATTCCTTCCTCGATGCAATCTGCGACCTGTCCGGGCTGCAGACTTTCCTTGAAGCCTGATGGACAGATCAGAATATGCGGCTCATGGCGCACTGGACTGATCCTCTTGATAAGGGTAATGCGGTCGGCCGGAGTGATTGCAACGCCCATCTTGAATGTAGCGACGGTAATGATCTGAAGAGCTTGGATGAGAGTTTATGGAGGGACTTGGAAGCAGTGAGCTTTCAGAAGCGAGTGTGTTGCAAGCGAGTGTTGTTGTGGACGATGTGAATGATGGAGAGAAGTATATCAGTAAGGGTGTCCTGCCCTTATATGCATCGTCCTGCATTTGACAAGACAGCATGTCTTTTAGCTCTCCTGGCCATTCTGCTGGATACAGCTACGCTCGCACAGCCTTGAGACCTCTACCCGCCAGGAACTTGGGCAGCATGCTCACCAATGACGTCCAGCCCGAAATCAACTCGAAAGCATCGCAAGTGCTCGATCAGCTCCCAGAAACATCCAAGAATCTTTGAATAGCTCTGCTGTCTACGGAAACCATCCATCTGGAGCCACGATATGCAGGTCGCGCTCATTCCACATGGCAGCTACCTTTCGTGACGACTGCTCTCGTTCTATTCTGGCATGTTGACACACGACAGCATGTGGTGGCTTGTTGGACCTGCATCTGCCGTGGACTTCACACCGATGTGTCACGAAGGCTGTTTGCTGGAACTCTAGGCCTGAATGAGATAGGACCAAGTGAATATCTGAGAAGCTGTCTCGCCATGTCCATCGCGGCATTCCATGGCGACCTCAGGCTGTGCCAACTTGGCAGCTTGATCAACGCCAGTGACCAATTATGGATTCTTTGTCCTCGCGTTTCAGACGGCTTTCTGCCGTGGCATGGCCGTCATCGGCGCAGCGAGGACAGACGGCTGGCATACAATTCTCTTCGGTATGGTAATGCTCGTGGTTTCGGATGCCAGACTTCGACCAGTCACTGTGCGACCGCCGACACTATCAGATTTCATCAGCGCCTCTCGTGCGACTCCACGTGTCAGAAACCCCAATTCAGGTGGCGAAGATCTTGGGAAGAAGAATCTTGGAGCATTGGCAAAGCTGCTGCCCAGCCAACTCCGCCACCAGGCACTCGTCAACTCCGACATCACCCGCTTTGACAACACCGTATCGTCAAACACCTGCGAAGACGATTACACGAGATGATAGCAGATACTGCTCACAAGACGAATGTTCACCGAATTCATGCGAAGATGATCAATGCGACATTCGACTTCGTCCAGTGGGACCCCTAATCTTCGATAAAATTCTCTCTTTAGGACGTATGCAAGTGCGGCCACTCGTCCGCTCTCACGCTTGTCGATATTCAAAATAGGTGGCGCTCCCATGACAGCCATCTCAGTCATAGCCAAAGTCTCGCCCGCATGGCCTTCGAACACTCAGACCCTTCCAGGAATGTGTCAAGCCAGGAGAGTCTTGGTGCTTAGCTCGACCGTACCTGCTCACGCGACAGTCTTGACCTGCAGATCCCCAAGGCATTCCCAAGGACCGGGCGGGCGCAGTGGATGCGTCCACACACAGGCTGAAGATGAAACAATAGCTCATCTTGCATGCTGCAATGTCAGTTTCGACATGCCGTCGGATCTGCATTGGACGTAGACCGCACTGCCTCAGGCGTGGCGTTTTCACCAGAGACGTCCACGTCGACGCCAATGACTATGAGGTAGGGTCGTCAAAGGTATATGTTGATACGGAGATGGCGATAGGATGCCTTAACAGCACCTTTACACTCGCTTTTTGCAACACGTTCGTTTCATCTTTCAGGCCATGGCACATATGCAGGAGGGTACGGATTGGTCTCCCCGATCTATAAGCTATTATGAGGACGATCGTCTTCGCTCTTCCGAGGAAGCGCATTCGGAGACGTCCTACGATGATGAACGCGACGACGATGTGCCCGACATGGAGCAAGGACAACAAGGCTACCCACCGGAACTCATTCGCCGCAGTACCATTGAATCGTACGTCGACGACCCAGATGAGGATGAAGACCATGGCGTGACACGGCACTCTTCACTCTCCCTCTTCCATTCCGGGTATAGGGAAGAGCCATATTGGGAGCGTCAATTACAAAACATACTCCCGGCGCCAGCTCGTGTGCCCTCGAGGAAATACAACGTACCAAGTCGGCAGGCAACGTTACTACAAACAACTGCAACTGAGCCCCCGAAGGACATCAACCTGGTGACATGGGACGACAAAGACGATCCCCTCAATCCTCACAATTGGCCGGCTCATCGGCGATGGACGTCGACCGTACTGATTGCGCTCTTTGCCTTCATCGCTCCAATGGCGTCGACGATGGTGGCACCGGCGCTAGAAGTGATCTCTGACGACTTTAACATCGAATCTGACATCGAGGAGTTTCTCGTGATGTCCATATTTCTGCTGGCTTTCGCGATAGGGCCATTCCTTTGGGGTAGGTAGTCTACGCGCCTCTCAAGACTCGTTGAGCTGATGGGATACTAGGTCCATTGTCTGAAGTCTTCGGTCGTGTGAGAGTCATGCAAGGTGCCAATATGATCTTCCTCATCTTCAACACTGCTTGCGGGTTCGCGAAGAATAAGCACCAGATGATGGCTTTTCGCTTCTTGAGCGGTATTGGTGGCAGTGCTCCACAAGCAGTGCGTTCAATATGATCTCCAGCAGATATGACCGTCGCTGACTTTACCGCATAGATTGGTGGTGGTATCTTAAGCGACTGCTTCAAGGCCGGAGAACGGGGCCTGGCCACTGCAATCTACAGCCTCATGCCCTTCCTCTCCCCGGCCACAGCACCCATTATGGGCGGTTACATGACTCAATACATCACCTGGCGTTGGGTGTTCTGGGCAACAAGCATCTTCGATCTTGCAGTGCAGCTTGTATGCTTTGTCCTACTACGGGAGACACACCATCCAACAATCCTGGCCACCAAGGCAAAGAAGCTCAGAGCCTCGACCGGGAATAAGACCTCCACACGAAATGGCAGACACCCGATCATTCGATGAAGAAAATCCTCATGAAAGCTCTCATCCGACCCTTCATCATGCTCACAACTCAACCCGCGCTACAAGCCATGGCCCTCTTCAGAGGCTATCAATACGGCCTAATGTACCTCGTCTTCGCCACCTTCCCCATGGTCTTCGAAGAAGCCTACGACATGGAAGTCGGCCGCGCCAGCCTAAACTACCTCTCCCTCGGAATAGGCTTCATCGTCGGCCTCCAAATCTCCGGCCTCATGCAAGACAAAATCTACACCTGGTGCAAAGTCCACGAAGTCGACCCTTCCTCCCTGCGAAACACCCTGCAATCCTGGAAAACCTTCCGCAAAGGCAACGACGCCACCACCGGCCGCGATAGCCTCCTCCCCCTCTCCACCACCCCCCACTCCCCACACACCATCCCCCGCAAACCCGTCCCCCCACGAACCACCCCAGGCGGCCTCCCCCGCCGCACCACCACCACCCTCGACGACACCAAATCCCTCCCCGAATACCGCCTCCCCCTCGTCCTCCCCTTCTCCCTCCTCATCCCCCTCGGCATCTTCATCTACGGCTGGTCAGCGCAAACCCGCACGCACTGGATCGTGCCCAACATCGGCTGCGCGATCCTCGCCGTCGGCCTGATCGTCTGCTTCAACTGCGCGCAGGGCTACGTCGTCGATACGTACACGACGTACGCGGCGAGCGCGACGGGCGCGGCGGCGTTTGTGCGCACCATGTGTGGATTTTCGTTTCCGTTGTTTGCGCCGGGCATGTATGAGAAACTGGGCGTTGGGTGGGGGAATAGTTTGTTGGGGTTTGTGAGTTTGTCGTTGGGGATGGTGGCGCCGGTGCTGCTGTGGAGGTATGGGCCGTGGTTGAGGGGGAGGAATACGTATTGTGTTGGGTGAGAGGGTTTGGTTTGGGTTCATGGTATGTTAGCTGTAATAGTTACACAAGGTATATATCCAGTGCGCTTAGGAAAGGAGCATGTTGTTTGTGAGGACCAATCGCAGATCCATTATCAGACTGCACACCAGCCGTGAAAATCGGCATGTTCTTGCTGATGGCCTCTGCTTCTCCACGCCGCTGAGATGGCCTTTCAGAACAGAGTAATACTCGCAATAGTCATCCGTCATTCGTCGTCATCATCACTCTCACCGTCCGTAGCCACATACGTAATCGGCTTAGTGAACAGGTACCTGCTTTCAAAGAACTTGGAAAGCTGCGCCTTGATGTCTCCCTGCCATGCACACTTCATGTCCTCATAGACGGTTTTGTGGTACTTGGATCCTTCGAACTCAATTTTGTGGTACTTGGATCCTTCGAACTCAAGCATCTGCAACTCGAGATTGTCGGCGATCCACAGCAGAAGATCCTGCAGCCTACGTGAGGCACGTTCGTATCGGCATTTGTAGACGAACTTGGTGAGGCTGACGTGAACGACAGAGCTGCGATGATGGAAGAGCAGTGCTCTGACCTGGTCCCACATGATTGGGTAGTAGCACCTTTCGATACATATGTGCTTGAACTTGCCAGGCGGGAATGTGGCGATGAGTCGACGCATATCCACGTATGAAGGTACCGCCAAGCTCGTCAATGCCGGAAACCAGTTGACCACGGTGTCTTGCAAGTGCGGTTCGCTCATCGGAGGCAACCAGCGGTGCGCGTGGTCACCTAGACCGATTGTGTGGACGTGCGAGAACGGTCGGAGAATCTTGTGTTGCAGATGTGGAAACCACTCTGGATCCCACTCGGGGACCTGTTCTTCGCGCCGCTTTTCGTATGAAAAGAACTTGTCCATTGGAAGATGAAGTTCTCGCAGCGGTACGCACGAGTCGGCGATGGCGAGCAGAAGGTTCAGCGTGCTTTCAAGGCTGTAGTATTCAAGCAAAGGCACATCTACAACCTTGTTCGGCACATGCATTGGCCCGTTGAGGTATCTCTCAAGACTTGTGTTCCCATGGAGTCGACCAAAGGAGGATCTGCCCTCATCGAGCTTTAAATACAAGTGCTTAGTTCCCTCCGTAGATGCAACATTGAGCAGAGCTTGCTCCAGCGAAGGCCTCATAGAGTCGGTCAATTGGCTTCTCGCCTGCAGCCAGGCCGCCCATACAGCGCAGTTGTCCCTTTCTCAATCGTTTGAGCTGTGGTCTTCACGCATGCAAGGCGAAGAGCACACTGCCTTCGGATCAGGGCCCCAATATCTCTGCTCGAGCCATGGCATGCTGAGAGTCAGCCTTGACAAGGTCTTGCACATGCGAGGCGTAGCAGTGATGTGGATAAGATCCTCAAGTGAACCGACAGTGATGATGTGGTTACGGTCTGTGAAGTATTCGTGCAAGAAGGTCCGATCAATGCCATTGTGTACGAGCCTTGAGGCCTGTCGTAGAGCCAACAGGTCACTTGGGTCGCACTCCTTGGCGATCGCTTCCAGTAGTTCTTTGGGCAAGCCAGGTAGTGTGTTCTTTCCGATCACTTCGGGCGCAGTTGCTGTTTTCTGTGGTAACGACATGGTGTTGCAAATCGTAGTGTTTGGTTGCCGATTTGCGAGAGAAAGGTTTGGGGTTAAAGAAACATCTCGGCGACGTTTGCTGGTGCATGCAGGAGACCATGCATGTCACGCTCCCATGTGATGTTGCGGGCTCGTGCAGGTGAGGGCGTGACAATCCCTCATTGCCTTGACATGAATCACCAGACTCAGTCCAAAAAGCCCAACTCGTCATCAATGACCTCTTTCAAGCCTCCCTTGATCTCCCGGTGATGACCACTGTTGGGCGGCGGCCACTCCCTCGACTTCTTCCTGAGACCCTCCGCATCCCGTAGAGCCATTGGCAGATCTTCCAGCTTCCCATGTATCACGTACTCCTGCTCGGCCAGAGCCTCTGCGAGCTCTACTTGGTGGTTATCCAGCAATTCGCAATTCGGCACGACAATAAGCGGGACTGAGAGTCGGAGTGCATCCAGGATCGTGCCAGAACCTGCTTGCACGTTTAGCATTGCTACTAGATAAGTTTTCATGCCAATTGAACACACCAGCATGGCTGATCACAACACCCTCTTGTCCATCTTTCCCTCCTCTCGCTTGCAGCATGTATTTGGTCAAGCCTGCCTTATCCAACGGAAACCCATGCACCTGCAACACGCTTCCACTTTCTGTATTCTTCGCCTCTGTGACGCATGTATTGAACAGCTCCTCTCCATCTTGCCCGTACTGAACCAGCAACTCGGTGTACCCTTGCGAGTCGAGAGCTTGGAAGAAGTCGGCGGACAGGACAGCTTTGACGAGGCCGCTGAAGGAGGCGGTGGCGCCGATCGTGACGAAGCAGGTCTTGCTATTTGACGGCATGTTTGCGCAGATTTTCTGTACTACATTGTTGGTTGGAGATGTGGAAGTGGGATGTATGTCGTGCATGTGGTCGACATGCGGCGGCGGCTCGGGAGTGAGCACGGGCCACAATTGGGATTGGCGATGGAAGGAGGAAACGCATTGAGATAGAGAAATCATCCCGTGATCTCATCATGGCAACTCCAATGAAACGAATATGCTGCCAGGCAGCGCGGGAAGCGTCAAAATACCGATCTTCCTCTACGACTCGCACGTTCCTTGCAGAGAGCAGACAATGCCAGAACACGCCGTCCCGAACGTTCACAAGCACTTCGACCGCAGCATTCCCCCGAAGGAGGGGTGCGCCTCAAAACAACCGCCGCCAAGATGAAGAGTCTTTCTTCGAGAAAGAGCACGAAGAAGTGCTGGAGGATGAGCCCGAAATCGACGGCCTCATTAACGAATCCGAAATCTCCTCCACGGGATACGCAGAACTCGAGCAACACCGCGAACTTCGCGAGATGGTCCGGCTTGCAGCATGGGAAATGCCGCTGCTGAGCTCCCTCTCGAAACCCTACGAACAGCCAGACCCAAGCCGACTGCCACTACGATGGCGATATACGACATACTTCGGCGAGTCGCATCCTGCGAGCAGGAAGGTGGTTGTGGAGTACAAGATAGCAGATTTGGCGCACCAGGGCTTGAAGCAAAAGCATTTGGATAAGCTGCGGAAGTTGGTTGGCGCGAGATATAATCCTGAGACGGATGTGGTCAAGATGAGCTGCGAGAGCTTGGAGACGCAGGCGCAGAACAAAAGGTTCTTGGGAGATACCATTGAGAAGTTGATCGCTGAGGCGAAGGACCCCAAGGCGGATACTTTTGAGGATGTACCTTTGGATACGAGGCACCACAAGTTCAAGCCGGTCTTCAGGTTCCCTGAGGAGTGGAAGTTGACGCAGGAGAGGAGGGTAGAACTTGAGGCGAGGCGGAGGACATTACTGTTGGAGGAAGGTCAGCGTGTGGAGGAGAACAGAATAGTGTCAGGTATGGCGGCGATTGAAGCCGAGAGGCAGTTAAGGTTGAAGCGAGTCGAGGAGCCAGTCATGGTGGAGGCGAGGCAGCCATTGGCAAGAGGCAAGCAAGGTCGGAAGGAGATGGGGCAGACAGCGGGTGCACAGAGATATTGAAAAGGAATGAAGCATGTACAGTAAGCCAGCCAGCAATTATCGTTCTCATTTCATGTTCAGCAAAACTTTCGTGGGTATCTCTCGCTTGTTCGCAGCAGAAGAAGCAACAGCAAAACACCATCTGTCTCGCAAAACAGGAACCAAGACCCATCTCTCATCTCTCAAAACACAAAAGCAAAAGACCCCTTCTCACGAGAACAAAGGAAACCTCATCTCTCATGCCATGCCAGCCAAAAATCTCAATCAACTCTGCTCTTCTTCGCCAACGGACTCTCATCGCACTCAGCCTCACTCTCATGACCATCCCGCTCGTCACGACGAACATACGTCTTGGTACCGCCACCAAACACCATACCACGACGCATCATGGGAGGCACGTCGACCAGCGTGTAGGCGCTGCCGGGGGTGGCCGGGGCGGTCGTGCCGGTGCCGTTGGCGAGGGCGGTGTCGATGGAGGCGGGTCGCTTGCGCTTCTTGCTGCTCTCCCCGATTGGCGGTGGGGGTCTGTACAGCGGGAGGTCGCTTGCTGGGCGTGGTAGATGGATGCTGGGCGGGGAGGCAGCGAGAGATTCGGCGGCTTTCTTGAAGTTGAGCTTGAGCGTGGGAGGCGGCCTCGCGAGGAGCTCGGCGGCGCGGCGGGGGTTGATGGTGATGGTGGGCGACTTGCGCTTCTTCGGCGGCGGTGAAGGAGAGGCCGAGGCCGGGAAGCTCACGCCGTCGACGCTCGCGACCCAGCGCTCGTAGTTGGTCGAGGGGTCGTGGACCACCTCGCCAGCGGCGGGCTTGTGGAGCAGAAACTCGATGGGCGGCATCTGCACCATCGAGTCTCTCTCGACCTCTCCTTCGATCCAGGGCACGACGGTGGACACCAGGTAGTCGAGCGACTTGTTGCTGCCGGAGAAGAAGGCGTCGATGTGCTCGGCGTGCTCGACCTTCACCGCGTCGACGAGGCTGAGCGGCTTGACCTTGCCCTTGGCGCCCAGAGCCGGCTGCACGGCGACCGCGGCCTTCGCCTCACCCGCATTGCCGCCATTGCGGCGCAACGCGTCGTGGTAGAGGGTCAGGCGCTGCTTGGCCGGCCGCTCGAGCTGGATGGTGAAGGTGGCCTCTGGGCGCCACAAGCGGATGCGCTCGAGCTGGGCCTTGATGTGCTCGAGGTAGAATTCGCACAGGGGCTTCGGGCCGGCCTTCTCGGCGGCGTACTTGCTGCGCTGGTATGACTTGCGGCACATCTATCATTGCATCGTTAGCATGGAAGGATGGAGAGGAACGGGGATAGATGGATGTTATGTTACCATGTGCCAGACATCGGCGTGGATCTCTTTCGTCTCGCGCTTGTTGCGGCCGAAGAAGTCGCTCACCACTTTGCGGCCGTACTCGGCGCGGGAGAGGTAAGTCTGGCCCGTGTTGCAGGACCGGTCTGCGCATCGCCAGAGCTCGGTGCTGGTCTGGGCGGCGGCATTGGTGTTGGACTGCATGGTCGAAGACATTTTTGCGGGGATGGGATGATGGTATATGTGGTCTTGAAGTGTTGAAGGTCTTGATGGTACCGCTTGATGGTATGGGTTGAAAGTTGGCCAGCAACTGTATGTCGTAAGGTTCGAATCGGTGTTGCTGTGTGTCGGTATGAGTGGGTATGGTTGGTATCGATCGAAGAGAAGTTTTGAAGTTTGGATGAGTGATCAAGGAGTTGGAAGACTTGTTGTTGTACAGAATGTGTTCGTTCGTGTCGAGAGGAAGAAGAAAGTCTGGAAGAGCGAGGCGAAGAGGGAAATATTTAAGCTGGAGGATACTATTGTCAGACGACCTTGAATAGCCAGCAGACCGTGTTGAATAGACACAATAGCAGTCGGGCCGTCTCAATGCGTAGCTGCTATTGTGACTATTTTGTTCAGACAAGCTGGTCATGCAGACTGCAATCGACAACAGCCGAATGGCAGCAGGTCCTATTGTTGGGCCGCACGGTCATGCACTGCGGAATAAGCCAATGGCTACTATTCTGCGTCTCATATTGTTAACCCGCACGGTCACGCACCCGACAATAGTCCAATGGCTCCTATTCTCCAGTTCTTATTGTTTGCCGACGTGGCCGGCTCAAGCCGAATCGGATGACCGTGCGGCGGCCAACAGCCAACAGCCAACCAGGGCCCCCGAAGCTTTCTGCCGGTGAATGACAGCGGACGGGCACGTCAGGAGTCTTGCGGGATGATGTGTCTACAGTGTGTCCCGATGGCGGCCGAGGGTCATATGTAGTCAGAATTGACAGTGTTCACGATTGCAAATGCGCATAAGATCGAGCCAGCAAACAGTGTCGGGAGAAAGGACGATATTGGATTGAGCAGAGTGGATGGCGTCAGGGAGTCGCCCGGACCTCGTAGCCACAAGGAAACTCCAGGATCAAACTCTGCACTCCACCCAGTTCCCAAAATCAGTCTCAAGGCCGTAAATGTGTATTTCAAGAAGGTATGGAGGAGTTCGCGATTTGCATGTGAAACGTGAGGTTGAAGTGAGGTCAAAGCTCGGACTTGGCTCCGACCAATCACAGCCCACACTGTTTCAGGGGGATGAGCAGTGCAAACGGCATGCTAATGCCAACCGAATTGGATATGCTGCGGTGAGGTAGAGTATATTGCGATAGATACAGTACTTTCGTAAATCCATTGCCCAGGAAGTCCGTAACGGCATTCAAGTCCGCATCTTGCCAGCAGTCAGTAATTCTCTCCGAGCAACGGACGTCATTGAACGAGAGCGAGAAGTCTTTCTTTGTATGCCATGAAAATGTGTGCTTTTGCGGTTCTGTTGCTACCCATGGTCCTGCCAATGCAACGTACCTTATCCCACTCCGATGCCAATCCAAAAAGCCATGTGGGTATATAGCCTGCCCCTTTCCAAGACCGTTATGTTCCCAAAAACGCCATCGCTAAAGGAGACCCATCGCTTGGTTATGCCATCCCACGAAAGAACATGCACAAATGAGATAATCGAAAGGCGATACTCGCAGTTCGTGTCCGCCCTCTACCCAAAGGCCTGATCAATCCAATTTTTGGGTCGCCTCATCTCTTTCATGAAGCCCGCCACAGAGTCTGGCGTCTTGGCTTCTCCACGATCAATCGGTGAAGCTGGAGAGGTCAGTCCGGAAGAGTACTGGTCGCTGTCATCGCCATCTAGACCCGCTAGTCAGCTGTCGCGCTGCCGTGATCGTCGCCCAAAGCGTGCTGCTCACTCATGTCTTCCGGTACAGGATCCACAATCTGTACACTGCGTCGATTGCCTCTAGCACCAGTGGTGGTGTTGACCAATGTTTCTCCCTCCTCCTGGTCTGGCTCTTCAGTTACGCCATCAAGTGCTTTGGCTTTGCCCTTTCCTTTGCTCTTGGCCGTCTTCTCAGACGGCGTTTCTGAGGCCGTGGTATATCGATCCAATTCGCCATCATCTTCCATGATGCTGTCCTTGCCTTTGGATTTCTTGGACTCCGAGTCGTACCAGACGCTGCTCTTCTTGCTGGGCGCCTCAGATGCAGTCTCAAATGCAGTATCGTTACCATGCTCAGCGTGCTTGTGAATTCCCTGGGCGCCTTCGTTCGCTTTCTGCTTGTTCTTGAAGCTCGGTACATCGTGACTCTCTTCCTCGCCATTCGCTGCAGTAGCGCCTAGACCTTTGATGTCGGACCAGTACTCCAGCCTTTGAACCTGCTCTTCGGCTGCGTGCACTGCTTTCAACAAGTTCTCAGCATGCTTCGCCTTCCTGCTGTGCTCTGTCTGCTGCTGGTCGTTGTCCTCATGTTGGTGATTGGCCAGATCCTTCTGCTCTTGGTGAGCATCCTCGTGTCGTGAAGTGAGGTCGTTCAGCAGTTGCCGCCGTGACGACTGAAACATGAGCATGCCCATTATATCCTCCATCCGATCACCTAGATAGAACAGCTCATCACCACCGCCACTGGCAAACTTCTTGATAGCAACAATCTTCTCCCTGTCAATCGTGGATCTGCGAAGAGCCAAGAAAAGGTCACCAATGCTGTTGATATCCATCTCCTCGATATCGAACACCGGGCCTTTGACGAGCGCGGCGGCATTCGACGATGCTTGTCCGCTCACCAGCGACTTTGGATGAATCGTAAAGTAGTCAGACGTCAACTCGTGACCCTTCTCCTTGGTGTGATGCATTGTGTCCTTTCGCTTCCGCATTCTCAGCCAACGCCTTCTCCTGACAAAACTGTGGAACCAAGGATGATTGCCATGCCAGGCAAACGTAGCGCCTCCTTTTCCAACGAATGCAAAGCTATACTCCCAACCTTCTTCATCCACATCGCGCGACATGTCAACGTACCAACTCTTCCATGCCCATTCCCAGCTCGGATCGGGTACTTGCGCGTTTCGGATGTCGACAGCACTCGTCCTGAACTGACCGTTCTGCCATGGCCTTGGGTCGCTTGGCAGCAAAGAGTTGGAGGAGTATTTTGGTATGCCGAAGAAGAACATGCCCCGCTGGTTCTCGTATAGCACATCTACAACGATATCGTCGGTGTCACCTTTGCCCAATGTCTTCTTGCGCTGCATAAGCGCCTTCGCTCTCGTTTGTGCCCGCTCCAGATAGCTCTTCTGCGCAGCCGATGCCTCCTGACCCACTTGCGGAGTATTCACAGTGTCTTCGTCTGGCGGTCGAGCACCATCCTTCACGTTGTACCGCTCCTGACTGTACTTTGCATACTTTTGCCGTGCATACTCTTGACGAACAGTCTGCCGAATGGAATTGTTGGTCATGCGTTTGTAAAGTCCCGAGGACGCTCCAGGCGTAGCTGCTGCACCCTCATTGTCACTGTTATGGGCATCAGTACCGAAATATGAAGGAGTTCGCGAAATTGTGTGGTCGACGAGGGCGATGTGGTGTTCGGCTTTGATCTTGGTTGGAGAGGGGATGCGGACGAGGGAGGAGGTTTCGCTGGCAGACATAGTGATATTACTGAATAAAGTATACTAAAAGAGTGTATAGAAGCGGTGAGGAAGAAGCATCACCTGTCTTTCGGCGTAATGGGAGAAGAGATGATGTCGCCGTAGTCGCTCGTACGGTGGCCAAGGAGGACTTGAGGCAGCGAGGCGAAGTGTCTCTTCTGCGTCGTCGGTGGCGTTACGTTTACGGTGGTGTCAAGCTCTGAGCTTTTGTGGTCGTCCTTGGAGCTGCTCGTCGCCGACATCATCGTCCTCTGGCCATTGCCGTAAGAACTGAAGGCGGTATGCGAAGTGAAGATGTTGTTGCCGTCGCCTTTCACGCACGCGCGATTCGATTCAAGCAAAGTGGAGAAACGACGAAACTCAAAGACTCAGCCACTCTTGCCACTGACCATGCGGTCGTTCCTTCTGTCTTGGCGTGGAGAAAGCTGGCAAAGCTGGCAGCCACAGTTGTTTGCATCATCGGGCAGGAGCTCAACACGAGGCCATCAGCGGCAGCTGCGATTGGTGACGAGCTTGTGACTGCATTGAGCTCGGTTGTCATGGCGCGCATGCCGCTGTCCTTTCTTCTGATCCAAACTTGCTGGTAGGTACCTGAGCACTTCGTCGTCTCACCCGTCAAGTCTCCATCTCCTGCAACAACACTCCCCCTACGCGAATCACATCGAACCACCCGCAAACATGTCCAACCGCGCAGTGACCTACGGTGGTGTCCTCCTGGCCGCCGGTGTTGGCTACTACTTCTACCAGGCTGGCGGTGACCCCAAGGTCGCCCAGAAGAAGGCCGAAGGTCTGTCTCACGCGCAACTCTGTTTCCATCTCCTCTAACACCTCATTCCCACAGCCGACGCAACCAAGATCTCCAACGACATCCAGAAGCAACTCCCCGGCTCCGGCAAGGAAGCCCAGAAAGACGCCGAGGTCGCCGGTCAGCAGATCAGCAGCAAGGTAAACGAACTCGCCCGCGACGCCAAGAGCGAAGCCAACAAAGTCGACGCAAAGTTGGACCAGTACCGCAAAGACGCCGGCCAGCAGCTCGACTCTGCCGCCAAGAGCGCGCAGAAGAACACCAACGCTGCCATCGACTCGTTTGATAAGAATGTGACCGAGGTGAGTGAGAAGCTGTTTTGCACACCTGGAGGAGAAGGGCATAAATGGGCGGGAGGAGAACACGCCGACTCATGAGTCGGGATGCGAAGATGTATATGCTGACGTTATTGGCAGGGCGCGGAGAAGGCGAAGAAGGGCGTCTCCAGCTGGTTCGGTGGCTCCAAGTGATTGCGATGAAGTACGATGGATGGCGTTATGACTTATTGAGAATCAAAACACAGTACTGCTAATTGCATAGTCGGGGTATGGCCTCTGTACAATCCTGAAAATGCATCCTCACTTTCGACGGTGGTTTCTTGACACCACTGTCCCCATCTTGCACCGTCCTCTACTCAGAACGGTCGACTTCTCGAATCTTTCCGATCTTCTACATGCGATGGTCCTGGGCTCTTGTTCTTTTGTACTCACGAGAACAGGGCGGCATCGAGCTCAGAGTTGAGCATCGTTTCTGAGGTCTGAATCGATATCGTCTTCCAGTTTCTCCAGGTGAGGGAGGTCCAGCAGACGACACTTGCATGTCATGATATGGAAACTTACTATCATTCTTGTCTCGTGCTTCCTGTCACATGTGTGGGTGCGGACAATTATATTGACATTGATCTCTACCCTCTCTCTTTCGTCCAAAGCCGAGCCTGATGCTCATGCGCAGAGGAAACGTGCCGATTGGTCATTCTCGAATCCTAGCCTGAACGACCTCCCCATCTCATCTCGCACAGCCACAGCCACACTTCCTCTCCTCCTCTCCAACACCACCCACCATCCCCTAAAAACCCAACAACAACCAAATGTCAGAAACCACCGCAACAATCCCCTCCCTCTCCCTCGGAACCGGCCACAGCATCTACAAAACCACCCTCCTCCCCGCCATCCAGTCCGCCCAACACTCCGTAATCCTCATAACCTGCTTCTGGTCCCGCTCTCGCACGCTCGACGCCCTAAACGAGACCCTCCTAAAACTCTCCAGCTCCGCCCTCCAGCGCGGCGACGGCAAAAAGATAACCGTCCACATAGGCTTCTCCTCGTCTTCTCTCTTCCAGAAATTATTCCACACGTCCTCGGCTGCGGGACAGGTGTATCCGCCGGAGGTATGGACGAGGAAGTTGGGGTTGCTTGGGGAGGAGGATTTGGGCGGGTTGGAGGTGAGGGTTAAGAGTGTTTTTTTGTGGCCGTTTAGTGTGTGGCATCCGAAGTTTGTGATTATTGATCAGACGCGAGTCTTTCTCCCTTCATGCAACGTTTCGTGGGAGGATTGGTTTGAGGGGTGTGTGGAGATGAGGGGGCCGATTGTGGAGGACTTTGTGAAGTTTTGGAGGCAGAAGTGGAGTGGTGGGGAGGGGGAGTTGGGTGGGAGTGCGGGAGATTTGTCGAGTGTGGATGAAGGAATTCCTGTTCAAGGGGATGCTGCTGTGAGGTTGAATGATGTGCCTTGCAAGTTTCTACCTTCGGCGCATCATCGCAATCCCAACTTTCGACTCCCGTGGCTGCAGTGCGCTCCTCCGCCAGCGACGACTCTCAACCTCGAACTCTTGAGACTATTCACTGATGCTAGAAAGGAAATTTTTCTACAGACCCCCAATGTCACATCTCCGCCGGTGCTGAACGTGCTTCTGGATGCGCTCAAGCGAGGCGTGGATGTCAGAATCACCACCAGCGAAAGACTCATGATTCTGGAGCAGCTCGTCACTGCTGGGACCACCACCGCCCGATGTGTGAGATGGCTCATCAAGCGCCACCAGAGATTGTCCAAGCGAGGCCCTGACGAGGAAGCTGGACTGATAAAACCTGGCCGTCTGCATATCTCGTATTACCAGCCCAAAGTCGTGACCAAGAGCAGTATCACTGGAGGTGCGGAACCTGTCCAGTCGCATTTGAAGTTGGCGGTGGTGGACCGGCATGCGATCGTCTTTGGAAGTGGCAATATGGACAGAGCTTCGTGGTACACCAGTCAGGAACTTGGAGTCGGCTTTTATTCCAACGAGTTGGTTGCGAAAACCTTGGAAAAGCTGGAGGCGGCCTTGGAAGGCCGCAGAAAGCTCTTGTACGACAGTGAGGGCAAGTGAGCGACCAACCCACCATTTTGAATCAGAGCTGGATCATCGCGTGTGACCCTGAGCTGCCTCTAGATCATCACTCGGCTCATCGGTATATCGCTCGGCCTCTTCCTCGATGTTCTCGACAGGGTCTGTCTCGGGGTCCAGCAACGGGGCGCGGACATCTTTGGAGTCGGTAAAATGAGTGAACAAGCTCATTGCAAGTACGCTCAGCCCGTGCACCAGCGTGCTGCCAAAGACTACGAATGAGATGACCGGCCAAACTGTGGCGATTGCGATTTCACGGGATGTCCACGGTTCGCCATATGTCGGAGGATGCGCGTCGGGGGTGCTTGTGCCATTTTCCAAGACAGCTCGTGCTTCAATTGCGAGGAAGAGCGCGCCGAGTCCCATGGGTCCTGTAGAATGTTAAGAAGTTGGCTTCATCGGTGCTTTCAGATGGGTGCTTACCGAAGTGGCCGCAAAAGACGGCTTCGCGGAGAGTCTTGATGTCTGGGACCTGTCTGGAAGTCAGTATCTGCATCGCACTTTCAATAAAGCCTGACTGACGCACCCAACGATAAATGGCAACCATAACGGGTATTCTCCTGAAGAGCAGAACCAGGACTAGGAACGTAAGGAGTCGACCTGGTGTGATCCAATCCATGGAGTATTGAGGGGTGAACTGTTCCCACGGCATGATGGTCCCCAGGTAGACGAACATTGCGCTGTTCAACATGAGGTCGATGACATTTGGAAGGTGTGCTTCTTGAATCTTTTCCGAAAACCATCCGTCTCGAGCGAACCCGTATCCAGCACCAAAGGCTACCAGGAAGTCGTCAGATCCGAGAGTTGAGCCCACGCCGACGGAGAAGATGGCCAGTAGGAGATAGAAAACCACAAAACCTGCTCGGTCGACGTAGTCCCTCGAGTCGCTGAAGCGCAGGATCTTGTTGAAGGTTGTGCCGATGACGAGGCCGATAAAGGTGCCAAAGACGCACTGCCAGAGGATTGTGATGAGGAACCAGTCCTTGATCGCTATGCCGTTGGTGGGTTGTGTGAGGAAGTAGAGTCCGAGGTATAGGAATGGGAATGAGATCCCGTCGTTGCATCCAGACTCCGCGGATAGCATATCCCTCAATCTCTTAGGCAAGCGCTCGCTGAACTGGCTGTTCGAGAGGATACTGGCGGCCAAAACCGGATCCGTAGGCGTCAGACATGCCGAGATAACCATCGCCGTGGGGATATCAACCTTGAAAATAAGCCAGCAGAACAAGGCGCAAATCACCCAACCAAACAACATCACCGGCCCCAACATCATCCCCACACTCCGCCAATGCCTCCCCGCGTAGAACTTGGGCAACTCCACGCCCACCGCAAACACCTGAATCCCCACAATCACCCTCGTCGCCTCCTGCACCACATTATCGCCCCAGCCCCAACCCGCATGCCCCGGGTCCGAACCTCGAAAGTCCACGCCCGCGCCGCATCCTTTGGCGGAGCAGAAATTTGGCGTGATCCAGCCGAGACAGTAGGGGCCGAGCAGGATCCCTACGAGGAGGGCGATGGGGGGTTCGGAGAGGTGTAGTCGGTTTCGTAGGAAGTTTGTGAAGAGAACGTAGCTGATCAGGAAGGAGGAGAGGAGGAGGTACGAGATGTGGGGTGGGGTGGGTTCGATTTGGGACCAGACCATGGTGTGTGGTAGTTCGGAAGCGGCTGGGTTTGGATGGTGGTAGAGAAGTTGTTAGAAATGCTCGCGTGGCGGCGATTAATATGTAATGGCCGTGAGGGTTCGCTGCATGGTATGCTGTAGATGTCTAACTTGTATGCAATTTATCGGAGAGTACGCGAGCAGTAGTCAAGAGGTAGGAACTGGTGGGGAAGATAGGAATTAACCAAGTGCAAATGATTTGTAGATGGAAAAATAGGTTGACGAATTCTTGGAAGGTTGAAGAGCCATGACGCGATGAAATGGCTCGCCTAGGATTTTGGTGCCCGCTGGGAGCTTGTGAAAGCTTGCCGGTATTTCGCGCATCATCTCACCTCGACTCTGCATTCTTCTATTATAGAGAGTATGGGTGTACCGCCTTCAGTATGGCTACTCGATGTTCGAAGATATCGCTTTGCCCGGGTGGAAGTCGGTTGCTCGAGCACAAAGAGGCTGAAATGATGACGGACGGTCAGCGAGATCCAGGACTTGTGGCGTTCTCGCTCCAAGATCGAGATCGGGCTGAGCAACTGCTTGAGGACGATGCAGTGTATCGAGTATCACAGCAGCTATGGCCGAATTCTATAAGCAAGTAGTACATGTAGTAGTGAACGGAGTGCGATTTAGGTGCAAAGACAAGCCTTGAACTAGTAAACTTTCTTACCTAACGCTGTGGCGGCACAGCGGTGTCTTCGACCTCATCTTGGAGCGGCGGGGTTGATGCTGGCCTCTGAACAGAACAACACTACGCCTAGAGATGTACATACGAAGGAATTCAATATCAGAGAGCGACCCACCAAAAGGTCACCAAAGGCATGTCAGTCCGCGAGCGAACATGTCACACCAAACGGCTCTGCATTAGCGAGTCTCACAGCACAGCCTCGCCAAATCCTTCAGCGGTATATTTAGCGAGGGGTCTCACATCCACCACATATCATATGATCTCAGCTACTGCCCGCACATCAATCATGGACCAACCTCCTCCCGCCAGGTGACAACAACATGTCGAAACGCTCCTTCATAACGAACATCACCCCGCTGCCGGCCAGCATCTCGCGAGACGCCGCTGTCGCCCATCTCCACGATCACCATGCCATGATCCAGCTGAACCCGCTGGTGCTGAGACACGAGATTACCGATCCTCCTCCTAATGCAGCACCCGACGAGGCCCGCGATGCGATCTGGTATGAGATCACGGATCGTATCAATTATCTCCCTGGAGGAGCGGTAAAAGGCGAGGTGGTGTACAAGGCGTGTTTCTACAACCTGCCCCGCGGGTTACAGACGCATGTCTTTGCACCCGGTGGTGTGGATATCAAGAGCAAATGGAGCGTAGGCGGGTCGATGCCTGGTGAACCGAGAGAGCCGGCGGAGCTGGGGGTCGATGCTCCAAGAGATGGACTGTATATCAAAGAAGAGGTGGATCTACGATGTAATGTGTTTATGAGCAATTTTGTGAAGCGTAATCTGAAGAAGTCGCATCTGGTTGTTGCGGATAAGATTGTGGAGAGGGCCGAGCAGATACAGGGAAACATGAATGGGCATAAGCAATCGCTATATGAACGCCCTACGTCGCGGACTATCGAGCGGGACATCGGATTCAGTCAAGAACTGGCACGTACAGCTTCCTCGGGCTCGAGTGCCGGTCCTTCACAACCAAACATCCACTACTCGTACCCACCACATTGCGCCTGCGAGGGAACCATGCACAACCCGAGCTGCTCGTTCTTCCACCCGGACGATGTCACCCAGGTCGATGTGTTTTCTCGGATCCACCAGAATAAGTCGAAACCTTACTATGCCATCTCCTTGCCGTCCAACTCTTCTTACTCCCAACAGTCGTCCACCGAAGCGTCTCCTGATGTCGATGATCGCTATCCTCGTGAGCTCGTGGGCTCGCCGGCGCGGGATAGGTGTCTTTGTACAGGAGGACTACACGAGGAAGGCTGTCCTGCGTATCCTGGCTTGAGAACGCCGCACTTCCCTTCGCCCTTGACAATGCCGACTAGTCCCGCGACTTCGATTCAGCAATCTCCTGCGGCCTTCTGTGGCTTTCCCTCTTTGGCGGGTGCTGCTGTGAGCGAGCATTTGAGATTACGAAGGCCGAGCGATGTTGCTGAGCTGGCGGCTGCTCATTCTCGATCGGCAGAAGAGTCGCCGATGGATGGAGACATGATGCCTGCACCACTTCGTTCGTCATAGGCGGGTGGGAGCAGACAAAACGTGCGACCCGTGGAGTTGGGCTGAAACGTCGACAATTCGCAGCATCACTACCTCTACATCGGGCTTCGCACGCTATCACAATGGCGCGCGAAACTCGTTCAGCACTCTCGGCCATCGACATGTCTCGTCCAGACGTTAGAGACAAGCGTTTGAAAGATGCCGCATTCCACGCCCAGCCCTGGCAGCAAGGTGGAATGCAACCTGCAACAAAGCCATTCTACCATCCCACGTCACCACGAGGTGACTAGCAACGCCCTTAGCCAATCTGGGTTGTTCGTTGGACTACCACTTGGAATGCAGTGGGCTGGGAGGCGCACTTACAATAGCTATGTGTCGATGGTATATCTCCCAGGTGACCACCTTGGCTCTTTGCGGTATGACCCCGAAACTTTACACCAGCTGAAGTGCTGTTCCTCTCACCTACGCCCCGACGACTTTGTTGTTGCCCTCCTGCGAACCACTACTCCCCCACAACTCGATCAACTCCCCAGCTATGGCTGTAGTCGATCGAAAGCCGAATTACCACGTCCGGCCAACCAACAAAGAGCCTGAGTGGTCAAGCCTCTGCAACAATGTCTTTGACCAATACCTCGAGAGCGACGACCTCTTCGACTTGGGAGACATCAAGCATGAAAGAAGTAGCTCTGACGACTCTGGCAACCTCTTCGACTTCTCAGGCTCCAGCGAACAAAGCCATCAGACATCCGCTACCTCGCCTAATCCTTCCTCGGGCAGCACACTTTCTGTTCAGAGCGTGGAGACGGAGGCCAAGCAGCCCAAAGCGAAAGTCCCGGGTGACTTTTGGACGAAGAAACTTCGTGCTTTGGAGCAAAACGCTGCAGAATGCGAGAAGAGACAGCAAAAGTTGAGGTCTACGAAGTCACATCCCGACTTTCTCAGCCTTGGAGGGTACCCTTCGCCACCGGCCCTACCACCATCCCCTACCGGCCAATCATACTCCACACAGCGCCGGACATCTCGCGCCTTTGCTGCAAACGGAAACAAGACTCCGACCCAGCGGAGTGTCACCAATGTTCGATCAGTCTCACGTGGACGGCCGGTGGGAGTGACGAAGCAGCCTCCAACATCAGCATCAGCCTCTATCAATCCCTACGCCACGGTTCGCAATAAACCCAATGCCTCGCCGTCCAAGATGATGAACCCCTCACGCTACCGCGCAGGCGCCTTTAAGGATGTGTGGGCAGAGCGCATCCAACACAGCCCCAAGAAGTTTGAGATCAGGTTACCTGCGTCGCAGACGTTCCCAGATTCGCCGCCGCCTTCGGCCAGGTCTTTGCAAGATACTTTCGCTGCTTTCGGTTCACCGATTGCTTATGGACCGCCGGTGCCTGGATGCGACGATCAGATTTCACCACTCGCGAGTACTTTTCAACAGGCTGCGAGGATCCATACGCCCATTGCTTCGCCCTTGCTGAGTCCTGGTGGGCATGGATCGCTGTCTTACTTTGATCCGGCGCCGCCGTTGCCAACGAATCCCTACACGACTCAGACCATCCCGCTAAATGATACGGCTCCTCTGTGCGATGATGTTTCGCTGGCGCCAAACAGGATCCAATCGTTCGACTTTGGCTTCTCGAGTTCGCCCGTTGGCGACGCATGGAACGCAGCCCCCTTTGCAGAGCCAGCATCAGCTCCCTTAGCAACCGGACCTTTCACCAACCAAGACCCGTTCGCAGACCTGAGCAACGACAACTTCGGGCTAGACATCAGCTGCGATCCAAACCTGGTGTCCAATTACACAACCATGCCGGACACCTCCCTCATGCCAAACCCCTCCAGCCAATCCCCACCCCTCTCCGCCCAAAGCCCCTTCTTCGTCCCCTCAATGCCCAATGGCCTCCCCCTCCTCCCAACCCGCCAACACCAACCCCCCATCAACGGCCTCCCCACAACCCCCCACCGCCGGCACTACTCCCACAGCCCCTCGCCCCCCGCACCCGAATCCCGCTCCTGCCGCCCCTCCTCAAACAACTCCCGCCACAACTCCCGCCACCGCCGCACGAAATCCACAAACTCCACTACCCCGCGCCAACCCGCCGGCGGCGCCCCCGGCGGCGGCTTCGTCAACTTCACCCCTTCGGATAGCGGCAAGATTCTCAATGGCGTGGCGCCTTCGGGGAGTTCGAAGACTAAGGCGCGGAGGGAGAAGGAGGCGGCGGATAAGAGGAGAAGGTTGAGTCAGGCGGCTATGAGGGCTGTTATGGAGGCGGGTGGGGATGTAGAGGCTTTGCAGAAGGCGGGGTTGTTGGGGAGTTGAGACTTGATGGATGGGTGGATGGATGGATGGAGGGGATGGTGTCGTGTTTATAGGGGTTGGTGGTGGTTTCGTTGTGCGGGGACGAGATGGGGTGAGTGATGGGGTTAATTATTTGATACACGATGAGATGGGAGATCATACAAATGAGTGTTCTGAAGTTATTTTGTCCCGTATTTCTACTTCGTTTCGTCCGTGTTCCTTAGCTCCAGCTCTCTAGCCAGAGTCTCAAGGTGTGAAAGCTGCACTCTACCCGCCGGCCTGAAAGCCGCAGAACCCTCCCGACGTCCACGGTCTGTCTTTACCCGGCAGCCACGACAAGGATGAAATCATACCAAAACCTTTACACGAATGCTCGACACGGCAAAGAAAGACGGGTGACGGTTTATTCATCCTCTCATCGTATAGATAGCTTTGGCGCGACCTTCGCTAACCACTTTCCCATCCATCAACCTCAACCCCCCCTCTCCCTCACCCTAACCCTCAACTCGGGCTTCTCCCACACCAAAAACACCTTCTGATCCTCATACCACCTCTCCTGCCCCCCAAAGACTTCGAAATCGAAATGCCAGAGCAAGCGACAGAGGATGAGGCGGATTTCCGCCCAGGCGAGACTATTCATCGAACACTCGTTAGCTCATGCACACTCCATGTACAGCTCTGAAAGACGAATGGAGGGATGGGAGATGCGTACTTAACCCCGATGCATGAATACGGCCCCAGACTAAACGGCTGCAGAACATCCCTCTGATCCCCTTCCCATTCCTCTCCGCCCATCCAGCGCTCGGGGATCCACTCTCCGGCTCGCTTGAAATTCGCTTCGTTGCGATACGAAGCCCACTGCGGGATGCCGACGTACGTGTCGCGAGGGACGAAGTGGCCGTCTATGACTGCCCCGTCCGGGGGTGTGCGCCGGGTGAACTGGTTGGCGCCCGGTGGGTACATGCGGAGGGTCTCCTGGAGGATGGCGTGGAGGTAGGGGAGTTTGTTGGGGGTGAGGGAGAGCGAGGTTATGGAGGTGTGGGAGGCGAAGGTGGTGCGGATGAGGTTGGTCAGGCGCGTGAGGTGCGAGGGGTGCGTGGTGAGGAAGAAGATGGCGCCGCTGAGAAGGGTGGCGGAGGTTTCGGAGCCGCCCAGGATAAGGCTGTGAGAATGGATTAGTATGGAGTGGAAATGGGGATGGAAGACGCACATGGTACTGTTGGCGTGTAGCTCGCCTTTACTAATGTGGTCTTCGCCTGAACTGAAACCGCCTGATTTCTGAGTGATGCCGTTTTTCAGGAGGAGGCCGATGAGGTCGGATTTCTCGGTCTTCTGACCCTGCTCTAGTCTTTGCTCTAGCCGATTGTAGCTCAGGCTCTGATGCTCCGACAATGCAGTGGCGACTTTTTTGGGAGTAAGATATGGCATGAGGGGTTTCATCCCGGGCAACCGCAGGAATATCCCCATGAAGACTTGCGCCTTGATGGAATCGGTCATGAACGCCACCCAAGGGTGCATTGCTGCGTTGTCGAGGCAGTGGAAGGATTCGCCGAAGACGAGGTATCCAGTGATGTCGAACGTGGTGTAGTTGACCCATTGTTTGATATCAATGTCCTTTCCTTCTACGACACCCTCCTTTTGAAGCCCGGCAATGAGCTTGTCGATGAGCTCCGTGAGTACGGGTTCTAGTTCTCGCACAGAACGTTCACTGAAGGCACTGCTTAGCATGCGTCGTTGACGAGCGTGCACGTTGTGATCCAGAGTCGATATCATGTGGTCTTCTGGCATGCCGAAACTGTGGTAGCTGTGGAGGATCTCTTAGTGAATAGTAGATGATCGACGGCTATCTGGCACCCACAATCTCTCATCTTTGCTCAATACCTCTTTCTTACCGCCCAGCTGCTTCTGCACATGAAGTGTGCCATAGATATCGCGAACGGCCTGTGGAGAGCTAAAGATGAGCTCCTTAGGCGTGATGCGGACAACGGGACCATATTGACTGAAGAATTCAAGGAATTCTTGGTGAGCGGTGCCTTTCACAATGGCTCGTTGGTAGAAGAGTTCCGAACATGCCCACAGCTTAGGACCTGGAAACTTGGACAGTGGCGAAAAGTATAAGCTGTATATGACGGTGTAGGAGATGTAGACCAGCGGCGCCACAGCAAGCAACAGTATGAGAGGCCCGGTCGGGCTGACGTTCACAAGCTGTTGAAGATTGGAGGACTCCATGTTCACGGCGGCCCAGAAATTGGGGAGAGAGAATCAGGAAGAATCGGCGAGGACGACCGCAGGTATGCTTTTGACCAACAAACCCCCGCGAGGGTTCCTAATACGCTCCGTGTACGCGGACCTTCCTGGTAGTAGGTGAAGCTCGAAAATCCCACGAGCAGACCTGCCAATCAGATGGGCCGTGATGTGGTATGCCAAGCTCAAGGCTGAGGTTCCCTAGCCCAGAGGTTGCTGGGTAGGAAGACGATGACCAAGAGTGCATGAAGCGCTAGATCCTTCAGCTGGGGTTCGATGTTCCTGGGCCTTGAACGTCACCACAAGCTCGTGCTATGTAGACGAGGTATATTCTGGACCAGCTCCTCGCAATGGAGCCAGGGCATGAGAAGATGTCGCTTGGGGCTGATTTGCAATCTCATTTCGAAACTTTTTGCTTTGTTGAAACGACAGTCGACAGGAATGCTCAGTCAGGTCTCCAATCAGTCTGATGCATGAAGCTTCTGCGTCGGCCGGTGGCCAAATCGAGCATGATCTTTCTGCCGTTTGAAGCGGTTGAGTGATTTCTGATCGCGCGTACGACACCTTCGACTAGCTCTGATGTGGGAGTTCTCGCCGTCTCGTTTGCTGACAGACTGGAAGATCTTGAGGCCGTCGGCCTATCTCTGAAGTCACCGGATTCTCTCCAGGATTGGGCAGGCTGTGTGAATGACATCGGCCTGTCTGTTGGAGGTGATATTGGAGACGGAGTTGGAGAATCCATAGGCTCAGTCGAACGCCCGAGGACCGTCCAGTTGAAGCGACTTGGGGAGCCCTTGATCCCTGTATTCTGGAGTTGCATCTCGACAGCTGCATGCACGGGATATGCTTCTCTTAACTCTCGCGACTCGGCTGCTGGTTTCAACAGATCTCCAGAAACGCTGACGTAGAGTACATGGCCTGCAAAACCGACGCTTTTCAGAGCAGCCAAGAAGCCACAGGACAGACCTAGCTCGTTCGCGTGGCCGCGGAGGTCGATCAGTATTGTGGTGATGTTCGCGGATCGTATCAGTCGAGCCACGTAGTCTGGTGACGAGAGCGCCGAAGAAGAGGCATTAAGTTGATGAGTCCTGGATGGCTGCGCTCCATTAGGCGAGGCCGGCGAAGACTCTTTGCTCAGGACAGTGTCCGGTCTGATGGAAAGGGGCGAAAGCGAAGTTGCTGATGGCAGTGCAGAGCGCAGCAGCGCAATCAGTTCCTCGTCCAAAGTCAAAAGCAGGATGCACCTGGTGGCAATTTGGAGTGATGTGACTGAAGGGCGTGGCGTTGGAGGGTGATGTGCCATCCCGATGACCCATCCTCCTGGTCAAGGGCAGACCACCAAGAACGGTGGCAAGTTTAGACATTTTAAATGGACAATGTCAGTCTCCACATGGTAACACCATTATCAATCACTCATCAGAGGGCGGAAGTGCTTTTCAAAATGTTGTGCGGCGCTTGGCAGATACCACGAACATCCGCACGATGCTTCCGCACGATACTGCCGCGTCCGCGCCCGTACGCGGGCAGCCCTGAAGCATACCATTGAGGCTGTGCAAGGCAAAGTGACATACCCGCCCTTGCCCCGCCTAGACGGCCAAGACGAACTGGTCTGCCGGTGGTGAGAGGGATGACGGAATTGGGTTGGTTTCAGAGATGAAACTGCGGGAGAGAGTGCCCCAGAAGGGAGAGGATCAAGTAGGATCAGAATGGGCGGGCTAATAAGTCAGCCGCTTGGCGAGCAGTCATCGAGCATGAGGGCAAAGTCTGGGACTCTTGACCTGATGCGTCTCATCTCCCGACCATAGCGGACCAGGCTGTCGGTCCGGACATAGGAGAAGAGGCCATGTTTCGCCCGTCTTGGCGGGTGATGTGCAGTCGAGTAGCGTGGCATGTGCGGGAGGTGACGGTCTGGGATAGGTGAAAGCCAAGATAGGGTAGAATCGACCGGGCGAGCTGTCCAGTTCAGCTGGCCTGTTCATGCAGTCGACAGTAATCACAGGGAGCGAGGGAGCTCAGCCTGGACGACACGCACGCCTGTCAGGTACAACAATGCATGTGAGTGAAGGAGGAGTGAGGTGAAGGGGAGGGCGAGACGGGCTGGCCCAATCACAGCCGAGCAAATGTTGTGACGTCTTCGAAGACCACCGTAGCCGAGCTTCACTTTCACTTTCTTTGCCATTGACTGCCCTCTGCCCTCTCCCGCGCATCCTACCTACATCCACCCCCATTACAATGGCCTCAGCACGTGTTCTGCTGCGGTCCGGCCGCATGGCCATGCGCTCCGGCGTCAGACCTCTGTCAACCACGCCATCGAGACTCGCCGTCCCCTTGAACGAGCGAGGCAATGACACTGCCCCCGAATACCGCAAGTACCAGATCGAGAAGCCGCTCAACCCGCACATGACCAACACCAACTCGACCATCTCCAACGAGATGCCCAGCATCGGCGAAGATGGACCGCCCCCAGAGATGATCACCAGCGTGGATGGGAAGTTCGTTCCCAAGGACTCCAAGCCCGAGAACACGGAGAAGATGACGGGAGGAACGCAAGAGCCAGCGCCCAAGTCAGGTCCCAATTCAGAGCTTGATGTAGGTGAAATCGAGGGCGGCAAGTTCAGGGTCGAACCCCTTCGCCGCACTGGCGAGGATGTGAACACAATGCGCGCCCGTCTCCTATGTAAGCCGCTTCACTGTCACGAGTCCTCTACTGACGCTGATGCTGCGGAATAGATCAAAGCCGGAAAAGAGGCACGCTAGAGAGCGATCTGCTCCTGTCCACCTTCGCCGACGCGAACCTCGGCGTGATGACTGCAAAGCAGCTGCAGCAGTATGACCTTTTCCTTGATGAGAACGATTGGGATATCTATTACTGGACGACGCAAGAGGCGCCGCCCACTTCAATGGCGTACGCGGAGGGCGCAGGGCCTGGTTTTGCTGATCCAGAGGTGCAAGGGAAGGATCCACAAAATGTCAAGCGTGCGCCAGATGGAGGCCCTGTTTCTGATACCGATGGCTGGAGGGTAGGCAAGCCGAGAAGTGGTGAATGGGCACAAACTGTTGGTACTTTCAAGCCTGCCTATCGTCCAGTTCCAAACCGGTGGAAGAGCAGCGAGATTCTGTCCATGCTGCGACAGCATGTCAAAGACCGCAGTGCTGGGGGTGCTCAAATTATGTCGGGTGGACAGGCGGATGTTGCTCAAGTTCATCATCCTCGAGGTGGTGGGTTGGGTTTCATGCCTGAGCTGAAGAACTTTGACCAGTGATTGCATCTCCTCTTGCGACAGATTCAACTGTACATATATCCTGTACCAAAGCACAAGTCTCATCACCGCGCACCACGATGTGAGTACATGTATTCCTCCATTCACAGGCACGTCGTCGAATTCTCTTGGCATGAGGCGGTATCGACTTCCTCATTACACTCTCCGATAAGCTCTTTCTCGCCAACCCGAAGTCATGGTTGCCATACGATCCATCAGCCAGCTCTTTCCTACTCGCCCTTACCGCACAGATCTCGTGCCTTCTGCTTCTTCCTCAACCTCGCTTCGTCAACAACATCACATCTCTCCGAGCATCCGTTCTCCGTCACCTCTCTTGTTGCCTCTCTTGGAGCTTGCTTGTCTCTCACTGTGACTCCATCAGATCATTCATCGTTAAAGCAAGCAACTTGGCGGGCAGCATCATCACCACGACCGACCTACCTGCGACTACATCATAGACAGCAATGGCTCTCAACGTCCCCGCCACTGCTGTCAACGCCAGACCTCTCACTCCCCTCAACCGCTCGCCGTCGGCATCCAGCCTGAACAAGCAGGTCGAGCATGATGATGATCTGACTTCCACCTCCGCCAGACCATCTCGTCGCAACTCTGAGGCCAGCATGGGCAAGCCCGGCGCATCGACTCCAGTCAGAGGCATCTCTCCAGCACCTCCATCTACATCAGCTGCTCAGACCGCCCCTTCAGCTCCTGGCACCACCGGCACGATCGCGACTGGAGTTCCTCCCTATGTCGCCGCAGCTGCTGAGCAGGCCGCTCTCGATGCGCCTGATGACCAGTGGCAGCAGCAGCAGCCAGATCCTGCCAAACCAACGCGTGCGTCGACTGCACCGAATTCAAAGACCACAGCCGGAGCAGATGCTTCTCAGCCCACGAAGACCGGCCCAAGTACATCTACTGCTGCCGTGGACAAGACACCAGTGCCTGCGACTGCTACTGGGAAGCCGACTTCGAGCCTTCCAGCGTCGGCAGCGCCAGGTGTTGATATCCAGCCACAGCAATCGACAGCGACGAAGCCAGCGACACCTGCACCATCGTCTACCGTGGCGCCTGCAACAGCTGCGGCGAAGGCGGCGAGCACTCAGCCTGCCTCAAGTCAACCGACCGTGGACGCATCGAAGCCATTCGCAGCTGCTCCTCCACCCACAGGCCCACAGTCTGCTCCAACTTCAGCGGCTGCACCACAACAGGCCGCCGCACAGCACGCGGCAGATGCAAAGGCTTCCGCGCCTGCTCAGACTGCCACCACGGCCAAGGATGCAGTGCCGGCCATCATCACTCGTTCGCCAACTGCAAAACTACCTGCGAAAGATGCCTCTCACGATCAGCACCTCCACAAGCCTGATGCACGGAAGAACACTGTGAGCTTGTACGCTGGCAAGAACCACAAGCAGACGGACTTCAACACTGGGCCGCTTGCAGCCAACAGTCCATACTTCAAGAAGATGCTAGCTGAGGACGAGGGACACGATGGCTCGTTGGGCTCTCCTGACCAGGAGACATTCGAGGATGCCGATGAGTTCTCGATGGCATTGATGAAGCATTGGCTCGAGAATAACCACAAACTTCCTGGGCCGCATGACTTTCACTCCCTTCAACACTACCTTGGCTTGTACGTGCTGGCAAAGAAGTTCCAGATAGAGCCGCTGGAGAACCAAGGTAGGTCCTGACACATACCTTACCTGCGAAGCTTTTGCTGACTTGGCGCAGTGATGGACCTCACGCGCCACTACTACCGCCGCGAGAAGATGACAGCTCCAGCTTTCCGTCTCGAGTACATCTACACGTACACGCACGGACCCAACCTCATGCGCAGCTTCCTCATCTCGACCGCGGCTTATCGATGCCTCGTTGAGCAGACTTCTGTTCCAGGGGTCTACATCTCTGACTCCATTCGAGGTGTCTTGGCCAAGAACAACGACATGACCATCGACCTCGCTGAGTCTGCTATCCAGCTGCACAAGTCTGGACTCCCAGACCCGCGTTCTGGTGCCGAGTGCGCGTAGCACGTGCATGAGCAGACCTCGCCTTGCGAGAAGCAATTGGCAGAGCCTTGGCAGAGTGATGGCCAGGACGATGTCTCGGCTGATGGAGGATCTGTGGGTGGTGACATGGCTGACGATCCGGCAGAGGTGAGTGCTCATTCGCCGATGTATCTGCATGCCACATTGTAACATCTTTGTGTAGCCAGCGCCCCCTGCCGTCGAGCGAGTCGGTGCCACACCCGTTGTGGTCGAGAAAAAGGAAGAGCCCAAGAAAGAGGAGAAGAAGGTCGAAGAAGTCGAGGTTGTTGAAGCGAAGCCGAAGGCCGAAGAAGTCAAAGTGGTCGAGACAAAGCCCAAAGCCGAGGAGGTCAAGGTGGTCAAGAAGGACGACGTGAAGCCAGAGTCCGTCCCTGTCGTTGTCGAGAAGAAGGTCGCGGAGAAGAAGGTTCCCACGAAGAAGAGATCTTTCCGGGAACGCTTCTACCTGTACCGCACCAGCACGGCCACCGATACCACCAAGACGACGGACACGACGAAGAAGACCGGCTTCCTGACGAAGAAAGTGTCGAGCGGAAAGAACGTGATGTTGTATCACGTCGTCAAGTACAAGTGAGTTGGTCGCTGAGTGTCTCTGCGAGGAGCATGGTGCTGATGAGGGTTTCAGGTTCCACAAAGCTTTCAACTTTGTCTACAAGAAGCATGATGTCCCCGAAAACCCGGTGTCTTCTGCGGCCTCGGTAACGTCTTGTGAGTACCTTTGCGGAGAGGCTGCCTTGGTGACCAAACGCTGACCCTGCCTGTAGCCCCTTGGTAGATATCGGCCTAAAGGCAACCCAATGAGCCTTCTGCAGCTATTGAAGGAGGCATTCTGGTGGAGGATCCTTTGCGTGGCGACTTGTTGTTGGTGTTCTTGTCTTGTGCATGGTTGGAGGCCCGAGATGAGGCAGATGGTCTGAAGAACCTGAGATTTCTCCCGTCACAAATCCTGTGTAGTGTCTAAATCAATCCATCAATCTTCCTACCAATCTTTCAATGGTGTCGAGTTGGCAGTGACCTGCAAATACTTTTGCGAAGGAGCACAGCTCTCTATCGTATTCTCACTCCATTATGCATACAAGTCAGCTCATTTTGGTCCTACCCATCCATCCCGCGCCATGCTGCCCACAGAACCCACAACCACTCTCTTCCTCCTCTCCCTCGACCCCTCTAGATCAAATGCTTACTCCTAAAATACGCCCTCAAATACACAATCTGCCACACCCCCAACGCAACCAACATCCCCATCGTCCCAATCGCAAACCACTTAACCCGCTCATTCGTACTCTCATTCGTATCCCTCAACTTCATCTCGCGACTCCGCAAATAATCCATCTCCTCGACCAGCTCTTTCGCCTGCTCGCTCATGCGTTTCAGCTCGACTTCCACCGGTTTGAGTTTCTCCCCGGCTTGGATCGCGCTCCAGTCCTTGGCGTCTGCGCCGATGTCGATGTCCAGCTCGACCGAGCGCGAGGGCGAGATGACGGCTGTGTGCGTCGTGAGGATGTTTTCGAAGCAGACGTCGAAGGCGCTGTCCGCGTGCGAGGTGAAGGCGTAGCGCGCTTCGCCGGCGACGTCGCGGGGGCGGGCGTAGTCGTTACCGACGGCGTCTTTGATCTACACATCACCCAATAGTTAGCATTGGTTTACCAGTAGCATCGGAGCGGTTTTCAAAGCTGGTTGACGGAGTGATCGCTGCAGCATTTCTGCGATGTAGAGGGTTCATTCATACGTACATGCATATTCAAAGTCTGCCCATCCCCCCGATTCCCGCTCACCGTCGCCGTCACGACGACGAGCTGATCCTTCGCGACGAAATTCCTTATGCAGCGTTCTTTCGAGGCGGATTCGTGGCCCGGGTGCGCTTGGATTTCGAATTTGAGCGCGGAGACGAGGGGGAGGAGGAAGGCGAGGAGGAGCTTGAGGGCTAGCATTGTCGCCATCTTTTCGTCGGTGGTGGTGGTGGGGTGTACGGGAGAGGTGGTGGGTTGGGTTTGGTACTCCTGATGCTGAGGACACGGAGAGGAGACGAGATGAGCTGGAGTTTACGGGTCGCGTGTCAGGGTCTGCGTTTGAGGGAAGGTGGAGCGAGAGCTCTTGGCAGTGTCACGTGTTTGGATGGACTTTCACATGCAAATGGACGCTAGTGTCACTTCGAAGTGATATGATTGATTTCGATATCTTCATGAGAGTCAGATTGCTGATTGCCGAAGGGCGTGGTGTGCAATGTCGTTTCTTTTTGAATTTTTGCAGATGAAACTACTTCACCATTTCGCAACCTGTACAGAGCAAAACGGAAATGAGAACTGAAAGTCATCATGGTGATCCAACATACCTTTCGTTTAGAAATACATACCTTAGCGCCTTACCAAAACGCCATTATTCCCCAGTATCCGAAACAAAAGATCCCTCCCAAAAATCCCCTTTGTGCGACAAATCTGTTCGAGTCAGTAGCACTAAAGCTCCGCAACAGACTTGAGAGTACCACCTGTCTTTGTCTTCGGTAGAGTACCATACATGCTCGGCGGAGGGCGCGACGGGCTGCTGTTCGCAGACGACGCCCTGGATGTGGACCTAGAAGATGCCGCTGAGATGAAGTCAGTCATGTTGCTCATGCTCCTACCTCTGAAGTCCGTGGTGATGCTGCTGGCACGGGTGCTTGCAGCAGAGCTGCTAGAGGAGGATGACGAAGAACAAGAAGAGGCCGAGGACAGAGAATGCGGAGAGCACGTCGAAGAAGAGACACAGCAGAAGGAGGCCTTGCACTGGCTGCAGAGTGTGTTGACAGAGGTGATGCCATAGTCAACAACATCCCAACAGCCTTGGCTGAGGCCAGACTGGCTGGTGGCGCGAATGCATGGCTCACCGCCGACGAAGCGGGCCTTGCCGTAATGGCCGCACTTGTGGTAGGGGGTCTCCTTGTAGCACATGACTTGTTTGGTGGGAAGCTACACTTGCGGTGTGGTGGTGTGGGTGAGGCTGCCGGAGCCTTGAGGGGTTGCAAGTGGAGCTAACAAGTCTGTGCTATACCAAGGTCCGCGCAGCAGACCGAGGCAGGCAAGGAGGTGGAGCTTGGGAGTCGGGAACGGGGGGTGGGGGTTGGATACTATTCGAAAGGGACGGGCATTTGCTGGCTGTTAAATACTTTTCTGCCGAGTCGATTCGAGAGTGACAATGGCTTTGTGGCAGGCTCGGTTGAAAAAGAGGCTCCTGCTGACAAGTCTGTAGGAACAATGGCGGAGCGAACCGACATAAGGATCCTTTGTCCATTCATCATTGAAGCGTGGCCGGTAGACAAAGGGCCTATCTCTTCGATGCTCTTTGCCAAAGAGATCTGCCAGTCTGCACAAAGCCGAGTGCGCTGCTTCTTTATCAAGCATGAGAGGCAAAAATGCGACAATGGCCGATTGTTGTTGTTCGGCTGCTGCTCTGATGTTCGAATTGAAACGCCTGCTTTGACATGCGAGGCAGAAGCGGTGAGTCCATCAGGCGCCACAAAGCCAAGAAAAGGAGCGATCACAGCACTGCTTGAGGAGTCCTTGACGGCCTGCAGACATTGAATTGCGCGCAACAAGAAACTTCAAGTTTCGCTGCATACTACCACATAAGCTCTACGGCAGTTCGACTACAATGATCTTTTCTCCCGCTCCATCACAGTCCAAGATCTCAGTCATCTGGAGACCAGCAGATTCGATCAGCGCACGCCACTCCGACTCCGTACGCTCTGTAGCCGACAGGCAACACATCATGATCATGTCGACACCAACTTCATACCATCCGGCGCCACGATCTGGTACAACGATTTCGTTGATGAGGATCCTGCTGTAGCCCTTTACAAGAGCATCTTTCTGGTTGGTCAAGATCTTTCTGCACTGCTCATCTGGCCAGTCGTGAAGGACTTGGTGAAGGAAATAGTTCTTGGCTCCAACGACAGGCTGTGGCGTGTAGAAGTCGTAGACTTGCCCGGTGACGTTTGTGGCAAGCCTTGACTTGCCATCCTCGATAGGCCCTGCTAGGTCTTGCACAATGATTGAACCTTTCAGATTTGGGTACGCTCGAGCCATGGCCGAAGCTTCTGCACCATTGGAGCCTCCTACATCCACAAAGAGTATTCCATCAGGCTCTGAAGGCTCACCCAGGAGTTTCTGAGCGTCCACTGTGTTGAACCAGCGGCGAGTCATCATGTTCTTCGCCGTCATGTGTCTGGTATTATTGCTCAAGTCTCGGGCGTTATCTGGATCCGCAAACCACTCGAATGTGGTCTTCTCCGTCTTCTTCACATGTCGAAAGACAGTGTCATTGACGTGCGTTGGTTCTTTGTAGTTCTTCTGGCTGAGATATTCTGGCAGCGCGAGCGAAGTGGCTAGGCCGATCTCGAATTGATCATAGATCAGGCCCTGGAAGTTGTAGTCGCTCAAGACTTTAGTGACCCCGTTGGCAGAGTATTCGTGAGCCCCAGCCTCGTCGACAAAGCCATCTGCGGCCAGGACCTTGAGCAATCGACCTGTATTACATGAGTCTCTTGTGTTTTCTGAGTGATAGGTAAAGTGTACGTACTCAACAGCCGAGTTTCCATCCCGGCGGCTTGCGCAAGCTCGTCAACGCTGAATGCTTTGCCATCGGCCTTGGTCATGAACACGAAAAGACCTGTGTTCACACCCACTTTGATTGCACTGAGCTTATAGATCTAGGGCGAAATCAGAACGACGGCATCTTAGTACGAGCATTATGAGCGTACATCAAACCAAAAGGTTCGGCAGATCTTCTCTTCAGGAGTCTCCAGGGATCTCACTAGAGTATTCGCCAGCTTCAACTGGCTCTTTCGATCTGCAACGTAAACGCTGTTGTCGTTCGTCATGATGCTCATGCTGGTCTGCGAACTTCCAAAATGAGTGAAACTGTGCCTTGTTCAAGTGTGCTCTGCGTTGGGCCAGTGCAATTGTTAAAACGCGAGCTCTGGCACGTTGTCCTGAAGCTCTCGATTACTCTCGTTGTGAGATTACCGTCCCGACATCCGGTAACGACAAAGCCGCCGCCTCGACGACACCGAACGATCAATTCCTCGAGCGAGAAAACGTTCGGCGGACGAGCGACCAACCAGAACAAGGCTGTGTGCTCCGGCTATCTTTCCCAACTCGTATCTAGTACTTTCCATCAAGCATTTTCGATGAAGCATTGGCGATGCTGACACAGTTCGTTATGCTGGTAGCGCTCGTTCAGTGGAAGCAAGAACGCAACGTGAGACGGACAAATTTCAGCGGCATATGTAGGAGCTTGAAGCCCTAGGTCTTCGTGCAGAGGGAGTACGACTAGCCCAAAGATTGTGGATTGCTAATTAAACTTCGCCTAATATTCTGGCAGTGCAACAGTCGATGCTCTGGAGAACTCAATCTAACTGTTTGACAAGTTCCAGCACAGAATGCTGGCTGCCCCTCGGTGTCTTCACTGCAACAACTTGCAGACCAACGCTCTCCATCAAAGCTTTCCACTCCTCCAGCTCACGCTCTTTGGCGTTGAAGTTCTGTTTCATCACCAAGTCTTTCTGACGGAGCACTGCCTCTTGTTCCAAGGGCATCATTCCGGGACGTGGCAAAACCATGTCCATGACAACGATGCGGCTGTCTGGTCCCATTGATGATGAAATCTGGGACAGGATCTTGATGCATTCATTATCGGGCCAGTCGTGCAAGATCATGCGTAGCAGGTAGACGGCAGCACCTTCGATAGGTTGCGGCGCGAAGAAATCGTGCTCACGGAACTGGAGTCGTTTCTGCATATCTGCAGGTAGGGAGCTGGCTCGTTTCTTTGCCGTTGCGATTGCAGCCGGGAGATCTTGAATGACGAAGTCAAGATCCGAAAATTGCTCTGCAAGGGAAACAGATGCGTCGCCCCCTCCTCCTCCGATCTGGCAATCATTGTCAGTATTGTTTGAAGTGAAGCGATTCATAGAATACTGACATCGACCACGGTCGCATTGCCCAAAGATGCCCAATCGAATCCTTCTCTCAGCAATTCCACTCTCGTTCCTGCTTTGTTGGCTGCTTGGCTCTTCATGTAAAGTCCAAACTCGTTGGCCAGATCTGGCGACACGTTGATGTGCTCGAAAAAGGACAGATCTGTCCCTCTCGACAGCGAATATGCGGTTTCATTCTTCTTCTCGGACTCTGGCCAACGCTCGGTTGCTTTGACGAAATTTGCCACGGTCGGAGCGGTCTGCGTTGCCATGTACATCATCCAGTTGTAGTAGTCAGGAACCGTCACAAACGAGGCCGAGAGTTCAGAGTGTTGGATCTCTCCTGTAGACGTCTCTCTCAGGAAGCCATGAATCATCGCCATCCTTGCGACGGACTTGAGAGTCGGAAGCGATACGTGGGACCCTTCGGCAAGTTTCTCGTAGGTGGTCGATTTTTCAGTGTCGAGGGGAACGCCAAAGACGATTTTGAAATGACACAGCCAGTGTATGCAGACAAACAGCTGCTGCGAGATTGCGAGCCGGAAGATGAAGTCACTCGGTTGCACGGTCTGCCGTTCGAGCTCTTTGAATTGGTTGCGTAGACGTGCTTGTGCTTCAGATATGGCCAATTCGTGGGAGTCGCTTTCAGCGCTTTCGATTGAGATAATCAGATTACGGCAGCTTTCTTCGAGCTCGCGCGTCAGCTCCAGCACCTTGGAATGCATTTTGATGGGAACAAAAGATCGAAAACTGTATGGGATCACAGCTTGGTTGCAGGATGGAAGTCGTGATAGCTCACTGGTAGTGAAGTGGAACTCAAGGGGCCATTCTTTGACAGATCTGCTGGTAAGATCAGACCTTGGAGTCCATTGCTCAATACCATGGCACTCGGCTGTCGTGTTCGAGGAACGTCGGTGAGTTTTGCCGAGCACGATGCGATCCAGGCGGTCGATGACTGTGAAGCCAGACTGTTCCACCAACCGGCCAACGAGAGACCAAATCAGCTTCAAAGGATCTGCGCTTGCTCATTCTCACCGATGGCTGCTCTCTTCTAAGGTCCCAAAGGTTTTTGACAAAGAAAGCACGGTGCGTTCGCTAGAAGGTCTTACTCGCCGTCCAAGTGTCAAATCTGAAAGTTCGTTTAGATCTGGATCACAAGTCGGTTGAAGAGGCGTCGTTGATACTCGACTATTTTGAAGCGTGCCTGCTTAACAAAGTGCTTTCGATAAAGAACCTTGGAAGCTGCTTCAAGCCTCTAAGTCGCCTCTTGGGAATGTCAAGTCTGGGAGATTTTGACTCTGATCACTTGTACCCCTTCGGCTTCCAAATATGCTTCGATTCAGTTTACAGGTCTTGGGCCTCGCGTTGTTGCTTTGCCTTGTCGTTCCTACTCTGGCGTACATCTTGATCCGACAGAGAGCCGAATACCATTTGAAAACCATTGCAGGGCCAGCAGGGAATCTTCTCACTGGCATAGGCATCAGCCTCCCATACAGAGCCCACAATGTGATGCGACAATGGGCTGTCGAGTATGGCGAGCTGTTTCGCATTCGCGTCGGATGGTACAATTGGGTGGTCGTCAACAGCGCAGAGGCCATGAAAGAGATCTTCGATAAACAGGTGAGCAAATCTAGAAGGGCAGACAAATTCGGTCTAATACTTGTTCTAGTCTTCATCGACATCATCAAAAGTACCTGCGCCGATTGGACACGATATTATTGCCGGTGGAATGAGAATGTTTACAATGTGAGCTCTCCGGTATCTTCTAACATTGCATGGTCACACTGACACTGTGATCGTGATAGGCCTTATGGACCGAAGTGGCGAGCGTATCGTACCATCTCTCACCAGCTCTTGTCTCCAAAGATGACAGCAACATTTCTACCGTGTCAGGCGTTTGAGATAAAGCAGCTCGTCCATGATCTTGCTCATTCCAAAACGCCTGAGATCGATCCACATGAACACATCCGCAGGGCTTCCTTCTCAATCATGATGACAGCCACATATGGTCGGCGTATTCCGACCTGGGATCATGAAGACGTCCATCACATGCTGAAAGGGAGACAAATTCTGGGCAAAATATCGAGACCTGGGGCATTCATCGAAGACGAAATTCCTCTCTTCGCATTACTGCCTACCTGGTTGCAGCCGTCGATGAAAACTGCCACACAACTCGCGGTGCCTGTTCATGCGGCCAAAATGAGACTCTGGAATATTCTTAAGAAACAAGATTCAGAGAAAGCTGCGCCTCCCTGCTTTGGGAGGGAATTGATGACCAGCGAGTTCAAGGCTCAAGGACTTACGGAAGAGGATGCTGCATGGATTGCCAGCGGTCAGATCGTGCCAACATATGCGCTAAAGTTCACAGCTAACATGAGACCAGGTCTTGTAGAGGTCGGCTCAGAGACTACTTCCATCACTTTGACGAATCTCATTCTATATCTCGCTGCAAATCCGCACACTCAAGTACAGGCAATAGCAGAGCTATCAAAAGTCGTCGGCGACGATAGGATGCCATTATTCGAGGATGTTGCTCGACTCCCGTACATTCGTGGGTGCGTCAAGGAAATGCTTCGACTGCATCCAATCCCTACGTGGGGACTGAAACATTACACAGACGGTTGGTAATTGCGTGATTCGATCTTCACCACAAATTCTTACATCCGAGCAGGCGACATAGTCTATAAGGGCCAGGTCATTCCGAAAGGTACCGTTGTTCTCGGCAATACTTGGGCCGTTCACTACGACTCTTCACGCTACCCTGACCCTACTGCATTCCGTCCCGAGCGCTACGTCAACCATGACAAGTACTCAGCCGAGTATGCCGCTATGTCAGATCCATTGCAAAGAGATCACTACGCTTTCGGTGCTGGAAGACGCATCTGCCCAGGATCTCGACTCGCCGAGAACACGCTCGATCTTGCATTGGCAAACATTTTGTGGGCGTTTGAGATCAAACCGCCAACCGATGGTGTGGAAATAGATCTGACGGATGACGCGTGGGAAGAGACAGCCTTCCGTCCTCCAAAGCCATTCAAGGTTCGCTTTGTTCCGCGATATGCAAAACGGCGCCGGCTGCTGGATGAAGCTTGGGCTAGCGCGAAAGAGCAAGGCTACGTTCTCAAAGGCGTGCACATCGACGAACAAGGAGCTAGTGTTGTATAGAGCAAAGTTGTGGGCATCAAGCCAGAATAAAATCGATTGCGATAGCACAACTTTTGTCGTATATTGGTGCTAAGTTGCCGGCGCCGTATTTTCCAGGCGTGGTGCGTTATTCTGAGACCGTGCACGCAGCCTGATACAAGAAATCCCCACTAAATACGATATTGGGTCGAGTTTAAAATGTTCGACCGTAACACCCATCATTTGTCAATATCGAGCGTTTTCAAATGAGAGAGGATGGGAGTAGAGTCGTTTCTGGATCATCTACCGAGGTTCCACAGGAGATACAGCAATCTGGATCTGACATTGCGAGATCTGATGGGAATTGACGGAACGGCCGTAACATCCTACGGATCTTGCTGATGCCGCAAAGCTGACAGGATTAACGAAGTCTGCAGGAGATTCAGCCCTTTGTGCTTCCACGTTCGTCCCAATCAGTGCATTGCGTTACCACACCCTCATCACCGAAGGCGGATCCTTTTCCACCGAATGGTGCGATTCTGATTGGCTAATACTGACCGATGGCTTTCCAGGTTCCATTCCTGTGATTCAGATCGAGGGAGCAACCTGGTGTGGCAGGCACCATCTGGTGCATCTCGCCAATCGACCGAATCCCTGGATCTCTTCACAACCCCAGAGTTTCGAGTCTTGCCCAAAGCGTGTTGTCAATTACGCAATGGTAGTTGTCCTGCCTGAAAAAGAGAACGAGGCACAATTGACCATGTTACAGGTCAGGTACAAGACACATGATGTGTTCACTCACTCCATCACGTCTGTCCATAGCACTGCGGACTGTTCAGGTCTGCCGTACTTCCTATCATTAACCTAGCGCCATGCTGTCGCTCATTCGCGAGACTGTTTTCGGCCGCCTCCTGAGACTTGCTACTAGCAAACGCTTTCTCCGATTCGAGGAAGAGGTTGATCCTGCGCTGTGTGTCGCTTTTTTGACCGGTTCGAGAAAGCAGAGTCGGGATGCACACTCCCACGAAAGTCCGGCTTCTGGAGACGAAGAGGCCAAGCAAGTGAGAGAGAAAGAAGAGAGGCCAACGAACCAGAAAGATGTTTCAACAGCCGACGGAAAAAGCAAACAGGTCCTAGTCGACTGGTATGGGCCTGAAGATCAAGGTGAAAAGAGCATTGATTGAAGCACCGCACAGAACACAGCTGATCCATCCTCAGAGAATCCCAGGAACTGGTCCGAAGCTAAGAAGTTCTTCGTTACGTTTGAGATCTGTTTCCTCACAACTGCTATATATTCTGGCTCATCAATCTACTCTCCAGCTGTTCCAAATGTCGCGGAGACATTTGGCGTCTCGAACACCGCCGCTGTCCTTGGCCTCACCTTGTTCATTCTGGGATACGGGCTTGGCCCGATGCTATGGTCGCCCATGACCGAAGTACCTTTCATAGGACGGGGTCCGATATACATTGGTACACTGGCATTGTTTGTTGCACTGCAAGGTGCTACATGCACTGCCCGCAGCTATGGCGCCTTGATGGTCTTAAGGTTTCTCACCGGGTTCGTCGGTTCACCAGTTTTTGCAACCGGGGGTGCAACATGTATCGACATGTACAAACCGTCGAAGTCAGCTTACGCGATCTCGATATGGGGCATTTCGGCGGTCTGTGGCCCAGCAGTCGGTCCAATTGTTGGTGGGTACGTAACAGAATATGGACCTATCAATGGAACATTCAAAGCTCCATGGGAGTGGCCAGTAAGAAGATTCTATACTTCTTGTCCTCTGAAACGAACACGACGCTGACAGTGTACTCCAGATGTATACTTTGCTTTGGCTCAGCGCGGCTTGCTTGATCTTGCTCTTCTTCTTCCTGCCCGAGACAAGCTCCAGCAACATCCTTTTTCGTCGAGCGCAGCGACTACGCCGAGCTCAGGCGTCCGACCAGATCCCTGGTGATGTCGAGCTGGTGAGTCAAGGGGAGCTTGATGCTGCTTCTATGGAGACATCTGAGATCGTGAACATGTGCCTCGTCTATCCCTTTACACTGAACTTTACGGAACCCATGGTGCTTTTCTTGAACCTCTACACTGCGCTCATATATGGTACGTCTGCGGTTCGAAAAGGCTCCTTGATTTGGGCAAAGCTTACTTGACCTAGGTCTTCTTTACATATGGTTCGAGTCTTTCCCCATTGTCTTTGTGGGGATCTACGGCTTCTCCCTCGGACAACTTGGATTGTCTTTTCTTGGCCTCTTTGCTGGGATCGTTGTTGTCGTCCCACCATTTTTCTGGTGGCTACGAAAATACATAGAGCCCCAGTTCGACGAAACTGGGCGGGTGAGTACTTTTGGAACGCGTTTTGGCGAAAGAAGTATTTGGAGTAACGCTCCCCTTTGCAGATTCTTCCCGAGAAACGTCTTCCAGCCTGCTGCGTCAGTGCTTTCGCCATCCCAATGTGAGTCGGCGGTCTCTTGAAGCAGTTCGAGCCTAGGAAGCTAACTCAAGCGACTGCCAGATGCCTCTTCTGGTTCGGATGGTCCGCAAGACCTGACGTCCACTGGATTGTGCCTATCATTGGGACTGCCTGGTTCTCCTTGGGAGCATTTCCATTGTTCAACTCGATCTTGAGCTATCTCCCTGACGCCTACCCAAATCATGCGCCAAGTGTTTTTGCCGGCAACGATCTGTTCCGCAGCTCGTTTGGCGCACCATTCCCACTCTTCGCCGGGGCAATGTATGACCAACTTGGTGTTGCGTGGGCAAGCAGTACACTGGCGTTCATAAGTATAGCCTTCATCCCCATCCCATTTGTGCTGTTCAAGGTACGTACAGGATGCATTCAGACTGTCAAATTCCGTACGGCATAGTGTTAACGAACAAGTAGTATGGCCCCACGTTGAGGAACAATTATAGCAAGATCGCTCGGAAGGACAATTGATTCCCGAGTGGTGCAGGAATGATCACTGAGTGAAGGTGGCATGCAAGCCCCGTGGGAGCCTTTGAACTACACGTGGACGGAGAGGGCTATAACATGACCAATTTGAGGTGGTCAGAATAGTGTAAGAAGTAGAGCACAAGGACGGAAAGATTTTGGAATCATTTAGATCGCTTTTAAAAATTGAATCATACATTCGCAACTTGGAACCACCAAATCTACACGAGTTTGCTTGATTGGGAATGCTACGTTATGCATTAAGAAGTAGGAGACGCGTCCTCGTAACGGTATGACAAATGTGCACAGTCTCGTCACAATCGAGTCTTTCTGTAAACCTCGCAGGAGAATATGTTCTAATACCATTACTGTAAGTGATGAGGTTATGGGACTTTGATCAATGTAAATGCAGCTGTACTTTCGTCTCTACGTCGACTCCTGCTCACGAGAGTGCTGAGCAACCCATTCCCGCAATTGTTGCCCATTGTCCTTGAAGGGTGTCTCTACAGCATGCCAAACAAGAAATATCTCGCCCTCGTCGCTGACCATGATCATGCCGGTCAAGGCTTTTGCACGCTTCATAGTCGCCAGCGCTTGCGGTGGCGTCTGGCAGATTGGTCCGCCCACGTTGAGGGAGGTGTTGACCGAAACTTCAGCCCCCAGCCGACGGCCCATGGCCTTGAGATACTCGTAGACAAGCGGGTTGGTCTCGGGCTGCACAATCTGTATTCGACACGTACCATCCTTGTGTACAACAGATGGGATTTTCTGATATGCTTCCGGACGAGCAGGAGTTGTTAGTACCATGTAGCGGTAAGCATTGTAGTTGTCATCTGCAGCGCCATCGGAAAGCTCAAAGAAACGGTCAGCTTGTTCAGGTGTCACCATGGGTGCCAGTGGACGGATAGCTTCGCGAAATTTGACCCTTTCGTTGAGAATTCGTCTTGTGTCCGGGTTGCATGGATTGGCGAGGATTGAACGCTGGCCAAGAGCCCGAGGACCTGTCTCAGCCGCGCCTTGATACAAGCCAAGAACGCCATCGTGTGCCATGATGTAAGCCATGAGGTCGGCAACACTCTGGCGCTGGCTTGCATTTGAGATGTTCCCGAGCCGCTGGAACTCGATCTCTGGATCGTCGTTTACAGCTTCCCGGATCGAATTGGCTTCTGCGGGAATGCCACACCAGGCTGCATGCTGTAGGCCTGGCCCAAAGGGGACATCAGCCCGCAGAGCCACGCTATATGCGGCCCCCATGGTAACACCAGCATCGCCAGTAGTAGGCGGGATCCACAATTTAAGGCGTGTATCTTGGTCCAGATTGCGTTTATACCATTGGCGATCGAAGTGGCTCAATAATTTCATGTTGGCGATCCCATTGAGCGCGCTGCCACCACACATGACGAGTTGATCGCTTTTCGTGCTGCGTATCAGATGGTCAACGATATGGAAGATGCCATCTTCGAAAACGAGCTGAGTGGCCGCCGCAAGATCAACACGGGCACGCGTGATATCTGAATGTTGGACTGATTCGATATTCAGGATGGCGTCTGGATTCCACATCCGACTAGCGGGTATGGGTGGACCAGTAATGGCTTCCAGTGCTGGAGTGTATGGCTTGAGCTCACCGGCATTGTGCCAGTTCGCTATCTTGCGATTCAAGAGAATTCGTCCTGCTTCGCCGAACTGGAAGATATCCCTTAGACGGCGATAGTAGGGGTTTGTATGCCGATCCTGGTCGCCCCAAGCGACTGCGCCCATGTAACGGCCTTCACTACTCAGTGGAGTCCAGCCGCCTTGTGTCGAGCTCAGTGTGGTATAAAAGATACCGAGCGAATCCGCTATGCTCTCATTGCAGTAGAGCTCGCGTAGTTCCTTGTTCTGAGCTTGATAGTGGGAGATGGATCCTCGATCGCCGGATCCGTCCACCACAGCAACCACTGTTGACCGGTCGTTCTTGGCAAAGGGAGAAGCAGCATACGCCATAGATGCATGATTCTCGTGGTGTGGAAGCATGATCAGCGGCGGTGTAGTTGCAAGGCCGAGCTGACGTCGAAGCAGATTTGGAGCACGAAGAGCTTCTCGACATCGCTCAACGGGGTTCCACGTCGTGGCAGCTCCTGGTCTCATAATGTTCAAACTACCTGGTAAGCCCTCGACCAGACTGCGCGTCATCAGTACTTCGGCTATGTTGTAGTCCCAGCTCGTCGCCCAGGCTGCGACCTGCTCAGGTTTGACGCCCAAAGTTTTCAGACGCCGCTTGAGCTCGTCAATGGACTGCTCAGGATAGTCCTCATAATGCTTTTTGCCGTTGAACCGCTCCTCTTCGTCGTTGGATAAAAGCCGTATCCCACCAGACTGTGATACCTCCACGAGTGATGCCCCTGAATTATGTCCAGAGATTCCTAACCCAACAATGTAGCAGGTTTCGCCGGAGCGAACTCGGCGTTGAACGTCGTCAACGATCTTGAGACCGGTGGTTGAATCGGCAGAGAACATTCCCGCATTTGCATACCGACGGGAAGCAAAAGGCTTCCACAGCTGAGCGGCCAAGCGGCCCAAGACAGGATTGCGAACACCATACATGGCTTCTTGTCGGGAGCGGTTCCAGAGCTTGTAGGAAAGTATCCCAGGATTGAGAAGCCAAACTTGTGATTAAAATTTAAATATCGACGATTATGTCGGCCGTGAACATGGGGAACGATTTTCCTACACAAGGGAGTTAGCCGGTTGCTATCACATTCCTTTGCAAAGGTTGAGTTACACGAGTATCAAGCACCGTTCGTGAAATGGAAGTTGTCAATATTAGACGTCGTAACGCTGAACTTTTCACGCACGGGTAGTACGTTGCAAGGCTTGCCAAGGCTTCAGCTTGCAGACCGTCATGCGAGGGCCACGACAGTGCCATGTGGACGGCCAGGCGATGTATGCGATGCAGGCGAGATCATCAGGGCGAAGGCGTGGTGCTCGCCTAGCGACCACTCCACCGTGGCTCGGCTTTCAAGGAGAAGGATTGTGCGAACAACGAGCGAACGCACCGAAATGGTATCCTGGAGGCGACTATCGTTTGAAAATGTCATCTTCAGCTCTTTTACATGAACTCACCGACCGGCGACCGTCGAATCATACCGAACCGCAACCCTAACCCCTGATACGCCATCCTCTCGATCTTGATGAACTCTATCTGAAGTTCGAGCATCTTTCGTGCGTGATGCCTTTAGCTGCATTCAAGCATCCGACCCTAGTAAGCGGCAGACTCCTCACTTTCGTTTAAGCTGTGTAATATCCAAATGAGCGACTCCCCAACGAAGAATTACATTCCTTCAAAGCCAACAAGTTGCCGATATATCCGTAACCTATGATGAGCAGAACGAAATGCAAGACTGGAATGGGATTAGTAGAATGAGACGGATCAGTGCCCTAGAAATACCCTATTCGCCCTGACCTGTTCGATCCATTCGACCTCCTCATTGCCCTCAACAAATTAGACCCACCGACAATTGCGTTTTGGGAAACATCTTTGGCGCCAGATTGCACCAGATGCGTGTGGCACTATGAACTTACTTTAGAGTACCGTCTGACCAGGTGGTAGGATTACCTGTGGTATCCATATCTCGGTAATTTTGTTTGTTGTTTGTTGGGGCTCACGAAGACCTGTTGGCCGAACATGCATTAGCAACATGACTGCATTAGTGCAAATCTTTTGAGAGCTCTAAACGATCGTGGCTTTTGGGTAGTTGCTTTGCACGCGGGAGACTGCTCTGCTCAGATTTCGAGGGCTTGCTCCGAGGCGGAACCTCAACAAGGCTCCGCTGAATTCACAATGCCTTCAAAGTGAAGTTTTCCGACGGCAAATGTAAGTTGTATCGCGAGGATTAAAGTAAGTTATGAATAATGGAAGTCATTGTAGATGGGCCAGAGAGGGTTTCATAGAAATGCATTCATGCTCAGATTTGCAGGCGAACGTTGTCTCCTTCCTCAAGATCCACCCGCTTCTCAGTCAGCACTTCCAACGGCATGGGAATCGACTGCTCGTGCTTGGTAGGCTTTAGAAGCAGGTCTTGTGTATGCTTATGTTGCCGATATTCTTGAACATTTTCCAAATAAACATCAAATAAGTAACTGGTGTCCATGGGGCCGCCTTTTGCCTCAGGGTGGAATTGAGTACTGAAGATCGGTCGCTCTTTGTGCATGATACCTTCGTTTGAGCCATCATTGAGGTTTCTGAAATACTCGCAAAACTCAGGAGGTAACGTTGTTGCCTCAACAGCGTAGCCATGGTTCTGGCTGGTGATGTGGCATCTGCCCGTGCTTCGACCCTCTTTGTCAACTTCCAGAGCTGGGATGTTGTGCGCGCGATTCCCGTATTTCATTTTGATGGTCTTTGCTCCGGCAGCGATTGCGAGAAGTTGGTGACCCAAGCAGATCCCCATGATGGGGATTTTGTGATTCAGGTTCATGAGATTTCGAAGATTTTGGCTTGTTTTGCTGCATTTTGTAGGGTCTCCTGGTCCATTTGAGATGAAGACACCATCGAAGTTCTCAGCCATTTGATGAATAGGATAGTCATAGGGCAAGCAAGTAATGCTCGCACCTCTGCTGACTATAGATCGAATGATGTTTTCTTTTACTCCGCAATCGATCAAGGCAATGTGAGGCGCGGCAGTATACCCAGATGGAACATAGTAAGGCAGTTTCGTCGAAACATTCTTGACGAGTTCGGTGTCAGCCGAATCTTGATATTCATCGCCCCGCACGTGGTCTCGTCCGACTGTTATATTCGCGAGTGAGGACCCTCGTTCCCGGAGAAAGGTAACAATCTCTCTGGTGTCAACTCCAGTGACGCCTGGCACACCCTCGCGAGCGCACCACTCCGACAGACTCTCCACGGCAGACCAGTGAGAATATCGATGAGCTAAATCTCCAACCACTATACCAGACGGGTGAATATTTGTGCTTTCGAGGTACCTCAGAAGTCCGTACTCGTCCCTGGCAGACGAGCTTGGGACTCCATAGTTTCCAATCAATGGCTGAGTGAAGACCAGTATCTGGCCCCTATAGGAAGGGTCGGTCATAGATTCTGGGTACCCTACCAACGATGTGGTAAAAACAGCCTCGCCACTGGCATCGGAACGCGCGCCAAAGCTGTTTCCTCGAAAAGTTGGACCTCCTCGTATCGAGAGAGTAGCTGGCTCATAAGAGGGTTTGCCTGAATTCGAAGTAAGTTGCGGTATGAATCGGCGTACATCATCGACCACGGAGGCTTTATGCCTGATCTGAAGCCCGAAGATTCTGGGAGGCGTGAACGCTGGCGAGAGAGTTCGCGAGAGAAGAGCGGTGGCACTTTGGTGTAATTTCGTCATGTTGACCACTCTCATCAGCGTACAGATACCTGCCTTCGGAGGCCCAGGATGCAATCTACGATTCGATCAGTTAGTATTGTCGTTAGCCATACTCAAGAGGGCGCTTGGCCGACGATCGGCAGGAAGTAGAGACATACTGAGGCTACTGAAGGTATTACACGAGCGAAATATCACCTGAATCAAATCACTTCCTTGTACAACGAGGGTAACAAAGAAGGGGACGTAGATTGTGCCCCTAGATGCAAACCTCACGAGTGATCGCATTCCTGCATTGCTCGGTCAGATAGCCCGTCCCCATCGGCGTGTTTCGTCGGCTTTGAGATCTCGACGCTGGCCTTCAGATGACACTGCCCGAGAAGCACATGACAGACGCGTAGAGATACGCGGAAAGATTTTCGTCAGATGGGGCATGTGAAAATAAAGGACATTAAACGGATTTTTTTTTTCAATATAAAAGTTTCTATGTTGCGACTCGATAGTAAACAGGGACCATGTACGCGCAGAGATTAAACCCAGTCACTCACTGGCCGGCCTCATCAGCTCCTTCGTCTCCTGAAGCTTTGCTCTCATTGCGAGGCAAGCTAGATCACACCAGCTCATTGCAATACTTATCTCCGTCTTGGAGTGCTTGCGAAGCACCGTAATCATTTTTTCAATAACGCCATCAACTTTGCGCATCTCGATCAGCAGCAGCTGGCGATGAAGTGCAGCCTGATCTGTGTCGTCCAATTCGAAAGAGCCGACTCGTAAAAATGTCGAAATGAGTTTAGACTTTGATGTCTCGTGGTCATACGAGTCAACCGAGCCTGAGCGTTGCTTCAAATTTGTGGGTAGGATCCCAGGAGTGAGGAGTCGGTGTGCAGCGACCTGGTACCAGGCCAGGACCTTATAAATAATGGAGAAGTATAGCATGGCTATGTGGGGCTCTTGTGTGCATTGGCAGTCTAGTAATTGATTCAGGCTGTCCACTGCACTCTTGTTGCGCTGGAGAATGCTGTCGAATTGGAAGAATGGATCCTGACTAAGCTCTGGCGATAATGATGATAATGCTGCTCCATTTGAGCTCAATTGCGTCGTGTCAAGCGAGGTAATAAGACTGGCAGTGCAGTTCAACTCGCCCAGTATGGTGTATGCCTCGCGGTCACAGCCATGGACTAAAGCGTTCAGGGGTGCGGGCACATTCGAAGGCGGACATTTCCCCGGAGGGCGGTAAGGAACGCCCTCTTCTGCCAGTTTCTTCGCTTCAAAGCTGGCAGGAAACGCAACCATGAGCGAGGCGTCATCTTGCAGATCCATGATCTGTTCTTGATTATGGGTGGCCATATCACCCAAAGATTGAAGCATCTCGAACGGATCCAAACCGTCGATCATGTAGTCATCCCATTCATTGTGAGAACCTGAAAAATTGGCCGAAGTTGGTTCCTCAGTTGTCCAGTCGTTAGGCGAGTTCTGTTGTAGCCCATCAAGATCTGACGCAGGATGTGGTGCCAGATACGCGGTCAAAGAACTTCCAGCCTGCGGTTCGTTTCTTTTCCGAGACCCTAGCGACGGTCGGCCGGTCTTCCGGGAAACGCTGTAGATACATGCTTTGCCCAACCCAAGACAACGTTCGCACGTGGGCTTCTTCTTGTCACACTTGACTTTGGCCGAAAGGCAATCATCGCACGATAGTCGAAGCTTCGGTGGAGAAACAGAAAGCATGATCCTCTACGACTCGGAAGAAAGGGGTGGAGCAAATCTACACCTGTGTATAAGACTCCAGTCACTTTTATATACGCTTTTCTCAACGCGTCTCCAAGCCTGGTAGTCGCTCGATCTAACATCGAGGCGTGCATATAAGCCAACACAAGTTCGCCAAGAACCAACACGCGGAGAATCCTGATCGATCTGAGGATCGTGCGCCATGCAGATTGAGGCGTCAGCTATCATGCACCTGAAGCAAATCGCGCGAAGCAGCAAACCAAATTCCTTATGCAACGCGTTAGCGAATCCGCTGCATATTTCAGCCCTCACGTTGTAGTTGTGTCGGCGAGGAGGGCGTATTCGTCTGGTGAGTATCAGCCAATCGGCCCTTCGACTGCTTGCGTCAACTCGTGAAGAAGGATTTCGGCTGTTTATAATCCGCTTGACTTTCAGCTCCACTACGAGGCTGCTCACTTCATTTTTGAAGGAATGTGGTAAAGTGCGAATACAGACATGATTGCGATGACACTGAACGTATTAAGCTTCGTCAAAAACTCATGAAAATTAATACAAATAAACAACGTCTTGATAATTCGATCTAGCGATCGCTACAGTAAAGGGGTTCTCTCACTCTCAAGGTAAGCAATCCTGTGCTCTCAGCATTCCGGCCGAGAGCATTTGACAAAGAAACGAATTGGTAAATAGGCACGTTCTCGGTCAACGACAGCGTCCCTTAACCGATAGGCCAATCGACCGGTCGAAAGCATGGTGAAGACAGAGGCGACATGACGGAGGTTTGCAATGTCAACCGTAGCCTTGTTTATCAGACTGCGTGTGCAGATCATAGCAAGTACTTACCGCTACTGTGAACACCTTTTGTCTTTTTCCAAATCGGTGAGACTGCCGGATGCTTGAGTTTTGCCTACATCGACTAGTACTGAGTACCTCCCGCCCTCTTCGCAGAGGCGATGCACACCAAGCTCGATTCACATGCCATGGGAACAACAAAGGTGGTTTATGTTTTTGGCGACCAGGCACTTGATACATCTGCAGATCTCTCCAGAATCTTGTCTATCCGGCAAGGGCCTGTGACGCAAGCCTTTATCGAACACGCTCTGCAGACCTTGAGATTTGCGGTTAACGCTCTACCACACTCAAACCGTGTCAAGATCGAGCGCTTCGCCGACGTGCAAGATCTCATTACTCAGAAGCGGAACGGCACCTTGCATCCTGCCCTTGAACAAGCTTTGGCTTGTTTTTATCACTTGGTTTCATTCATTTCGTAAGTTTCCTCCTTTGACCAGTGCTCAATCTTTGAACGGGTTCTAAGTCTTTTTGCAGGCATCTCGAGCGCGAGCAGAAGAACTATCCCACACATTATGACGCTATTTTGGTCGGCTTGTGTACAGGTACCATCGCAGCTGCTGCGATCAGCGCCTGCCGGACTTTGACGGAGCTGCTGCCAGTTGCGGTGCACGCTGTCAAGGTAGCATTTTACACAGGCTCTTGTGCCGTGAACTTTGGAGATATTTTATATCCTCCACGGACCAACGAGAGCCTCGCTCATTGGTCTTTACTTCTTCCTAACCTGACATCCTCAGAGGCATCGTCGATGTTGCAGGAGTTTGCTCGCAATGGGGTAAGCTGATCCTGAGGAATAGTTGATGCTTTACTCACAGTGATCAGGGCTTTCCACAGACCTCAACACCATGGATCAGTGCCACTGCAGAACACAGTGTCACCATCAGCGGACCACCAGACAAGCTAGGAGCCTTCCACAGATCAGACAGCTTCGCTGGTCGCAGCTCCGCACTATTGCCAATTTTTGCGCCTTATCATGCCCCTCCCATCTTCGATGAACGCTCCGTCGAGTCCGTACTTGAAGAGTCAGGTACAAATGTGCTCCCTGGGCGGGACTCACTCGTCCCTGTTATCGCAACTTATGACAGAGATTCAAGTTGGGGAGATACCTTACTCTCAACGATGCGAGTTGCTGTGGCCAGCATCTTGAGATACCCGTTGCATTGGGAAAGGATCATGGAGTCTGTGGGAGCACAGCTGAGTTTGTCAGCCCACGAACGAGTTGAGATCGTTGGAATCGGCACCAAACAAGCACAGGCTCTTCGAAGTCACATTTTGAAACTCGGGGTGGTCCAAGATGTTGATATCGAAAGACTCACAGTCCCGCTGGAAAGCTCAGAGACCAACTCTGGCCCGAAGCAGGAAAAAATAGCCATCATTGGCATGTCGGGCCGCTACCCTGAAGCCGACGACTGCGACGAGTTCTGGAGCATCTTGTCACAAGGACTCGATGTCCACAAACCAGTGCCCGATCTCCATTGGAGTAAGGAACACGTCGATGTCACAGGAAACAAGAAGAATACAAGCGCAACTCCATTCGGCTGCTGGCTGAAGAGCCCAGGGATGTTCGATGCCAAGTTTTTCCATATGAGCCCAAGAGAGGCTCCTCAAGTTGACCCGGTTGGTATTATCATCTGCTTTTATTTCCGCATTGCTGACGTAATTACAGTATGTGGACTGGAAATAGTAATATGTAGATCTGTAGCTAATGTGAAATCTATGTAGGGCACAACGACTTGCTCTGTTGACAGCATACGAAGCCATGGAAGATGCAGGAGTGACCCCTGAATCAAGCGCTTCCACGCAAAAAGATCGCGTGGGCGTCTTTTACGGGGTAACGAGCAACGACTGGATGGAAACTAACAGCGCTCAAAATATTGGTATATCTTCACGTTTTAGGGTTGTCCCAACATACTGACTAGTGTTATTAGACACGTATTTCATTCCAGGAGGCAATCGAGCTTTCATTCCCGGTCGGGTGAACTACTTCTTTAAGTTCAGCGGTACGACTCGCCGCCCTGTTGAACTTTGCCATACCTATTGCTGATCATTATCAAGGCCCATCTTACTCTGTTGACACTGCTTGTTCTTCTAGCCTCGCAGCCATCCATCTCGCATGCAATGCCCTCTGGCGCAGAGAGATTGACACTGCAATAGCGGGAGGCACCAACGTTCTTACCAATCCGGATTTCACGTCTGGTCTAGACCGGGGCCACTTCTTGTCAAGGACAGGCAACTGCAGGACTTTTGACGATAGTGCTGATGGGTAAGTTCAGTTCAGACTTGTCAATACATTCAGCTAACCGGTCTCCCAGCTATTGCCGTGGCGAGGGTGTTGTCACGTTCATAATGAAGCGTCTCGAAGACGCTCTGGCTGACAACGATCCCATCCGAGCTGTGATTCTCGGGGCATACACTAACCATTCAGCTGAAGCTGATAGTATCACACGACCGCATGTTGGCGCACAAAGACAGATCTTCCAGAAGATTTTGCACGACTCTGGAGTTGAGCCAGGAGACGTCAGTTATGTTGAGGTACGAACGTCCTTACCCCTTGCCATCGATTACGCTCACAATGTTCTCCTTCTTTTCAGATGCACGGCACTGGAACTCAGGCTGGAGACGCCAGCGAAATGCTATCTGTGCTTGACACGTTTGCACCCTCAAAACCCAAGCGAAGAAGGTCCAAGGACCAGTCGCTGTACATTGGGTCGGCAAAAGCGAACATTGGTCACGGAGAAGCTGCTTCAGGAGCAAGCAGTCTGTCTAAGGTGCTTCTGATGATGAAGCACAACACTATACCCCCACACTGCGGCATCAAGACCAGGCTGAATCGAAAGTTCCCCAAAGATTTGAGCGATAGGCAGGCTTTCATCGCCGACAAAGCCACTCCATGGATGAGAGAGACGGGGACGTCCAGACGTGCTTTCGTCAATAACTTCAGTGCTGCAGGCGGTAACACTGCACTGTTGATCGAAGATGCTCCACTGAGGACCCAAGATCATCCTGATCCGAGGACTTTGTTTCCGGTTTGCATCTCAGCGAAGACAGCTTCCGCGATGGCCAAGAACCTGAAGGCCTTCGAAAGGTATCTGAACGAGACATCCACGGAGAGCGACTTTCTCCAAGACGCTTCCTACACGACCACAGCACGACGGGTCCATCATCCACATCGAGCTCTGATCATGGCCGCAGATACTGCGAGCCTCAAGAAAGGCTTTGCGATCGCAATAGACCAGAAGATTGGCTCTCACAGAACAAAAGCAGCTCCCAAGATCATCTTTGCGTTCACGGGGTGAGTTAAAAACCCAATGAGCGCTAAGAATACAAGTAGCTAATCATTCGGTGCAGTCAAGGATCTCAGTACGTCGGCATGGGCAAAAAGCTCTACGACACTTTCAGTTCCTTCAGACGAGATCTCGAGCAATTCGATCACATCGCACAATCACATGGCTTCCCATCTTTTCTGTCGGTCATCGCCGAAGATGGAAAGGATCTCACAGCCGTCAGCCCAACGAAGACTCAACTGGCACTGACATGCTTGCAAGTCGCTCTGGCTCGTTTATGGGTCAGCTGGAACATCCAGCCAAGTCTGGTCGTTGGCCACAGCCTTGGAGAATATGCAGCCCTCTGCATCGCGGGTGTCTTGTCGATCTCAGATACCATCTATCTAGTGGGGTCCCGAGCACAGCTGCTGGAGACTCGCTGCACAAAGTACTCCCATGCCATGTTGGCTGTGAGAGCTTCTGACACAGAGTTGAAAGACATCGTCGACAACGACAAGATTGAAGTGGCGTGCATCAACGGGCCCTTGGACAGAGTCTTGAGTGGTCACTCAAGTTCGGTCAAGGCTATTCAAACGACTCTGCAGAAGGCGGGAATCAAGAGTACCTTACTCAAAGTACCTTTTGCATTCCACTCTGCGCAAGTGGATCCAATCTTGGACGACTTTGAGAAGATCGCCCGAAGTGTTCGATTGAAAGAGCCGAATATCACTGTCTTGAGCCCCCTGAAAGGTGGACCGGAGAGCACTTTCGACGCCAAGTACTTACGAGATCACTGCCGTTACACTGTCGACTTTTCAGGAGCGATTGAAGGGGCTCACCAGAACGGCCTCCTGCAGAAAGGTCAACCGGTCCTCGAGATTGGGCCCCAGCCTGTGGTGTCCGGCATGTTCAAGACAATACTGGGCGACGAGATCAGTACCCTCCCTTGCCTGGCGCAAAACCAGGACTCCTGGAAGCTCATGGCCACGGCTCTCAAGACACTGTATGAGTCTGGCCACAATGTCAACTGGGTGGAGTACAATAGAGACTTTCAGCATCGGGTCGTTGAGCTGCCTCATTATCAATGGGATCTTCAACACTACTGGATTGATTATGTGCATGACTGGTCTCTTCGGAAAGGTGACCCGTGGCCAGCTGCTTATGGCAGTGCTTCGACTGTTGGACCTGTTCAACCACAACAAAAGTCTCCAGATCCCGTGCTGGAGCTCTCGACCACAGTACACAAGGCCAGCCCCTATGCTGACTTCAAAGAGACTGGACGCATGATCGTGGAGTCTGATATCTCCCGATCGGATCTGTCTCAGGTTGTGCGTGGACATGAGGTGGATGGCTTCCCTCTCTGCACGCCCTCTGTCTATGGCGACATTGCTCTATCTATTGGTCGATTCCTGGCGCAAGTGAGCAGCATCTCCCTCGACAAACAAGTCACCGTCGTCGCGGACATGAACATCACGGCGGCTCTCATCGCAAAACCCAAAGGTCCACAGATCTTACGCACGACCGCAGTCTGGGATGCGACCACAAGCGTTGCCTCTTGCAAGTTCGAGTCGATCTCTGACACCGGTAAAGTCACCAGCGAACATGCAACATGCAACATCCGCTTCACTGAAAAGGCTCAGTTGCAAGACGACGCTGCTGAGACGAAGTCGAAGATCAACGCTCTCCGCAAACGTCTCCTCGACGACAAGGCCTATCAGTTCAACAGGTCGATGATCTACAAGTGCATCGGAGCCCTCGCAAACTTCGATCCAAACTACCGCGGGTTGTTCACGATCACAATGGACAGCAACGATCTGGAAGCCTCTAATGTGGTGGAGTTCTCCTCTGTCAGCGCGAAGGGTGACTTCCACACCCATCCAGCCTACATCGATGCTCTCAGTCAGGTTGGCGGATTCGTCATGAACTGCAACGACCAGACGGATCTCAGTAAGGAAGTCTTTGTGAACCATGGCTGGGGATCATTCCACATGGTGGAGCCACTTTCGGCTACGGAGAAGTATCAGGCACATGTGAAGATGCGAGAGACGCCGAACAAGCTGTGGAAGGGAGATATTGTCGTTCTCAGAGGGGACAAAGTCGCCGCGAAGTTTTGCGATATTGCTCTGCAAGCGGTTCCGAGGAGACTCCTGAAGTACGTGCTGTCGAGAGGCGGCGGCGAGTCTGCAGTTGCTGCCGCTCTCCCAGAGCCTGTCGCTGCGAAGCCGGTGTCGAAAGAGCTTGAGATGGAGAAGGCTGTTCCGCATCTGCCAAACGGCTCGCTCGCACATCACGACGCTCCGAAGCCCACCGTATCGCACACCCAAGTCAAGCAACCCAGCGCCAAGGCGTCCAGTAACCTCGCTGTCAAGCTCTTGGATATCATCTCCGAGGAGAGCGGCATCTCAGCTGATGAGTTGACCGATGACCTCGCACTCCAGGAGCTGGGAGTCGACTCGCTTCTATCCTTGCTCATCATCAGCAGGATCAACGACGAGCTCGAGATCGACCTCGATCAAGCCAAGTTTGCTGAGATGTCGACGGTCGGCCAGATCAAATCATACGTGGCCTCCTGTACTGGTCGTGATATAGAGCCGAGCCTCGTTCAACACGAGACGCTCGAGGGATCTCAACAGATGAACTCCACGGACGCCGCTCCACTGGACCTAGAGAGTGGAGATTTCCCTCTCCTCCAGACGACGGGCTCTGCATCAGACTCTTCTGCTGAAGGGCATGACTCCGGCAAAAGCCTCGATTCCGGGCCAGCCTCGCCGCCAGACACAGACTCGACTGGCGCAACGACACCATTGGCAGACCTTGAGATCCTCAAAGACTCTACCACGAACTCCAAACCCTCTCAGGAGCGAGCAGCCCCTCCAGCTTCGTCAGTCATCATCCAAGGGAAGACCCGTAGCGCCGGCAAGATTCTCTTCCTCCTGCCCGATGGATCAGGTTCAGCTCATTCATACATCGACATCCCCAATGTGCATCCCGACCTAGCGATCATTGGTCTCAACTCGCCTTTCCGTGGCGATGCGGCATCCATGAAACATTCCTCACTGGAGAGCATCGTACAGAGCTACACAGCAGAAATCCGCAGACGCCAACCAAACGGTCCGTATCATGTCGGCGGATGGAGCGCAGGCGGTATCTTAGCCTACTGTGTGGCAAAAGCGCTGATCGGCGAAGAAGAAGAAGAAGTCGCAAATCTTTTTCTCATTGACTCGCCGGAGCCGACAGGCCTCGACCACCTTCCCCAGCGCTTTTACGACCACTGCCATGCGACAGGAGTCTTTGGCAAGAAAGTTCCAGGCTCTTCAGGGACCGCCTCGCCACCGGAATGGCTAATGCCTCACTTCGAAGCCACCATCGATCTGCTGCATGACTACAAGGCTTCTCCCTTGCTCAAAGGGCAGGCGCCCAAGACGTCGCTCATCTGGGCTGCGGATTGTGTGTTCGATGGCGTCGACTTTCCGTACATGCCGGACGCCGCCGCAGAAGATCAAGACGACGGCGAGGCTGTGAAGTTCTTGACGGAGAAGAGGACGGACTTCTCAGCCGGGTATTGGGGTCGCTTGTTCCCTGGAGGACAGGTCTCGGTAGAAGTGGCTAAGGGTGCTCATCACTTTTCTCTGATGGTATGTTTTGATTTTGTCGTTGGTGTTTCATTGCAGCTGACGTATCTTTCTAGCACGAAAACGCATACATCCTGGCCGACTTTATCGACTCTGCTTTGTTTGAGTAAGAGATTCGAGAGGGTCTCGAAGGGCTGTTGCCAGCTGGAAGGCAAGGATGTCTTCCCTTGAGGGTTTGGGACGTGTTGAGAATGGCGTTCGTGTTCCTACATGGTTACTGCCTGCCTTTCGGTTACCTAGATACATTACATTGACAGTGCGTACAAGAACTATCGATCTATCCTCTCTTTCTTCGAGGGCTCAATCGTCGCTTCACACGTCCGGTAATAGACCTCTACAGTATCGGCCATCTTTGTTGGAAGTTTTCGGTGCTGCAAGGTTGCGGCACGACATATTGTGCTGGGCCGCAGTGACTGTACGCCCGGTCCCACTTCAGCATCATTTCTGGCACTTCACATGACCTCAAATCCTTGGTTGGACTCTTCAGTTTCCAATTGGCAGCAAGGCACGCCAATATGGCGGCGAAACATACCAACACAGCCAGCGTTGGAGGCGCAAAGTCCAATCTCCGTTATAAATCAGTTCCAGTATTAGACTCCAGATGTCATCGAAGAGCCCGTGCCGCGCGGTTGTCAACGACAGTCTGTGCCTCGTGAGGCGATGCTGTGCCCCGATCGAGCATCTTTGTCCACTGCTTTGCCGCCGGTCGAAATCTCCGACAGGTCAGATTTGGATCAGGCCACGAGGACGCGCTTACTGGTCTTCTAACATCTTTCTGGAAGACGTATGTTCGGGCCCAAGGCTGAGCGATGTTCGAGTGTCGGTCATTATGGCCGTTTTCGAGGTCAGGCGTGAAGTCTTCACGGGCTCACGGGCTGAGCTGCTTGGCATTTGATTATGAGATTGCGCGCCCGATACGACTCTCGAGCCCTGAATACTTGGCTCGTCTTGGAGATCCCATACGCCGCACAGCTGAGCATGTTGTGAATGATGATTGCGCGTGGTCGTCATTCGCCATGAGTTCCGTCCTAGCCGAAAGTGCCTTCATAGTGGTTGCAAATGCTTCCTTCGCAGGTTCGAGCATCCAATCCGAAGGGGTTTCGCCGTGCCGCACCAACAAGGCACAAATTAGTTCGCGGTGAACAGGCAAGTTTCTGCGTTCAGTCATCATGTAACCTCCAGGCGGCCCTATGCGGCGTTGAGGCACGGAACAGAACGTGGCTCTTCGGAACGACGAGACGACCAGTCGCATGGAAACAACATATTGCGAAGGATCTCTGCGCAGGAGCAAAATGGTCCTACCGAGGTCATGAACCGCAGAAGACAAGACCGCGGAACGACATGTCAACTGTCAAGCAAGAAGAGGTGAGGTGCAGAAGTCCAGAGGAGACATCTTCTATAATTAGGGTCATTAATTACACTTGCAGTAAATTAGCTGTATTTATCAGTGCCAAAAGCGGGCGTTTAGCTGTCTATCGGTCCGTCAGCCGTCTTCTAGCGGCTTGTCCATTCCTTCAATCTCACCCACCTCTCGTTCGCAACCACGCCCGAAATCTGCGCATGGGAACGAAGTCCGTACGGATGTCACCATCATCAACGATACGCCTCACACCATGTCATCGAGTGTCTGGCACAGCAGGCCAACAAACAAACAAGGTCATTGTGATAGGGGCTGAGCAGGACGAAGCTCCCGGCCTCTCTCCCGCCCCCTTCCCAACCAACATCCACCGAGTTTCACCTCGACCTGGATCATGAGCGCCGCACAACACGGCAACTCCCCATCTCCACCGCGGACCTCTTCAGCAAGCATGGCCACCCGCTCTTCCGACCCGCCTTAGCAAGCGAGAGGGATCAAAAGACGCACGACAGGGTTATCTCGTCCGGTGCCTATTCTCAGCCAACAGCGCTTCAAATCTCACTCAAGCTCGCTGTCAGGACTCCGCCTTTGCCTAACTAAATTCAGCAATCACCTAGGCGTCCCAGGCAAGGTCAGAGGGAATGCGCAAGCATCCATGTCTGCAGTGCAGTGCAGCATCGCCCGTCGACCATGTGCCGCCGGGATTAGGCTTCGTCGTTGCAGCACGCCACGAACGGCGCCGATCACTTTCCCTTCCTTCGCATGGGTCTGGGCGCTGGCACATGGCTTTTTGCTAACGACACTCTAATTTTGCGTTTAGCACGACGGATCTGACGCTTAACGGCACAGTCCAGGTCTTGGTTGTTGCGGGAAAGGTATGTATATAATCCATCTGCCCTCTTCATGGTTCATGGTCATTCCCAGCATTCGATAAGCGGGACAAGAACATCACCTGGAAGCATCAAGTTCGGACGACTTCATCTCCCCTTCCCTCTCCATTCCTACCATCTCTGCCTCTCCACAACAATGTCTCCTCTCCTCCATTCTCTCCTGGCCATCTCGGCGACCATCTCAACCGTCAACTGCATGCCCTGGGGTTGGAACCACAACAGCCCACTCGGCACCCCAAGCCTTCCCCTCGGCGATGTCTCCAACACCGGCGCCAGCCCTCTCCCGACCCCATCCAACAACCCCAAATACATAACCCTCGGCCTCGGCTTCCAAAACTACACCTGCGGCCCAACAGGAACCTGGATCCAATCCGTCCCCTCCTCCGGCGCCGTCGCCGACCTCTACGACATCTCCTCCGCCGTGAACAAATACACCCACGACAGCTTCTCGCGCACCACGCTCCAGGCCTTCGAAGTCTGCATCGCCGCCACACACTGCACGCCCTCCCCATCCAACTCCTACTGCGGCGCATGCCACACCATCGCCGCGGCAGTCTTCCGCCGAGGTCTCGAAGGCTTCCACTACTTCGACCAGCTAAACGGCGCTCAAACTCCCAACTTCGACCTCTTCGGCGGCGGAGACTTCCTTTCCGCGAAGAGAGCGGGCGATGTCAAAGCCCCAGCCGATGCGTACGATGGCGAGAACGGACTCGGTGCGATCGACTGGTTGTATCTGGTCGACAATGGATTCGGGAGGTCGCACGGTCTGAAGAGTGTCTATCGCATTGAGACGGCAGGCGGTGTGGCTCCCAAGAGCTGCAACAAGGCGGGCGCGCAGTTGCAGGTTCCTTATGCAGCGGAGTATTGGTTTTATGACTAGAGAGAGTACGATGATGTTTGCATGACTGAACGGCTGGTAATAATGATGACTTCTGTACAGGGCGTTTTGGGGGCTTCCGCATTTCTGAACATATGGGAGGCGTTTTGATGGTGAGTTGGGGTTAAAACTAGTGTTTTGGATTGATACCCATCAGCGCGACTGTTGGCATTGCACATGACAGATTGTCCAAAGGACGAAATGACCAAAAAGCACATTCTATCAATACCTGCATCTTCTACTGTTTCCGCAACTCAACTACATATCACCTCGTTCTCCATGTCAAAACTTCAGAGTCCTTCCACCAACTCCCTCACTGCAGCCAGAACCTCGACAAAGCAGAAACAGATTCATCTCAACCGTCCCATCCGCCTCAGACGTCCTGTGTACTGTGTTACAAAAATGTTGGTGGCGTCCCCCATTCCACAGATTCCACACTCAAGAGCCCACCAATCAGCCGCAACCAACAACTCCCACCAAGCACAGAACACGCCGACAGACAGAGGTCCATCATGCGAGCACCGGAAGAGCCGCAAGCTGCGAACCGTCCGCGGCTTGCATCCCTTTCAAAAGCTCAAGATTTTCCTATTCCAGGAGCTTGGAAGTGTTGGTTTTGCTTTTTGGGAGTTTAGCGTGCGAGTGAGTTTGAGGGTTGGGGGTTTGAGGTGGGTGTGGCTTGCAGCTGGGAGAGAGGGAGAGGTGGAGCTTTGCTGCATGTGGTGGAAAAGGTTGTTAATTTGGGGGGGTTATGGTTGGGTCCTAATGTAGGTTAAGAAAGTGTAAGTTGCAGAGCTCTCTTTGAAAGAAGTTGGGAGGGGAGTTGTCGCTTCGTGATGCAGGTTGGACTTCTGGCCATGGCTAGATGAATCCGACTCGGCAGGCTGTAGATGCCCGGGCTGGGATTGGCTTCCGCGCGATCGTGAATCTTGGGCGTGTTGTTGGTCTGTCGAGCTTCGGTAACTCGCTTGCCCTCGCCTCGGCCGTGCCCATCGGCATCTCCTTCGCAAGATGCACCACCCACTTGCCCTCCCTCGCGGACCTCGCTACGCCGAGATACTTGTACGACTCATCCGTGATGAGGTCAAATACTTGGTTGAGCTTGCAGGGACAAGACTCGTCGTGTTCTGAGAGAACGACGCTCCGGTGTGAATCGAATTTGTGCTTCTTGTCGCACCCTCCGATCCACATCTCCCCAAGTGTGAGAGCGCCGTAGCCTGCTGGCCCAATGAGGATCGCGCGGTCTGTGCTGTCACCGACCTCAATGTGAGTGAGCGATGACTTTCGCGTCTTCGTCTTCTCGCTGGGAGACGTGGAGCTGGCTCGAAGGTCTTCCCCATTTGCTGTGACTCTGGCGTCCGCGGCGAGATCATCGTTGAATCTGAGCCATTGGACGAGTCGGCTGTTATCACCTGCCCGGTCTGTCTCTCCTTGATTCCTCTCTCGATCGGCTTTCTTGACACGAGCGTGATGGATGGAGAGGTAAATGGTATCTTTGCCGTTCAGAAAGTCGATCTCTTCTGGAGTCTTGCTTTGCCTCTTTGTACGACTCTCCCTGAACACATTAATCGATGGCATCTTGAGCGAGCTCAGTCGAGATCGGACAGTTGAAAGCGCCTTGGAAGGATCCACGAACGTGGATGTGACCTTTTCGACGCTGGTACGAGGGACCGTTTGACCTAGAATGCCACGCCTAGGCCCAGCGCTTTCATTCTTGGGCAGCTTTGGCAGAGGCCTCAGCTTTGACTTTTCCGGAATTGGGGGTGGACTTGTCTCTGTTGTCGCAAGATCGATATGGACGCTGGAATCCTTGCCTGACTGGACTTCAAGCTTTTGCTGTTGTGCATCAGGTTGCTCCTTGTTGACAAGCGAAGAGGATCTCGGTGGATATCGTGATGGTGGCGCGGCTACGATATTTCGCTGGACAACTTCCACAAGCTCGCCTGATGGGGCATTTCGAGGACGTGTCCGGGCTTTGAAGACTTCAAAGTCCTTGTCTAGCTCCCTGATGGAGTAGACACTCTCCTCGTCTTCTAGTCCCACAACATCGTGCACAGTCTCCTCGGCCTTCAGTTCTACAGCATCATGTACTGTCTCATCGTCCTTTGGTTCAACGACGTCGTGTACTGTCTCCTCGTCTTTTGGTTCCATGATATCGTGCACAGTCTCCTCGTCCTGCAAGTCCACGACATCGTGCGCAGTCTCCCCGTCCTTCAAGTCCCCGATATCGTGTACACTCTCCTCGTTCCCGTTCTCAGACAACAAGGTTTCCCTAAAGACGACAACGACTTCTGGGTAGGGAGGCCTGACCTCTGAATCGCTAAACGGAGAGGCATCGTGATCGACAAGAACGACTTCTGAGGAGGCAGGCGTCACCTTCGAATTCTCCATCGTGGAGGCGCCGTGATCAACGATAGTCACCTGTGGATCGCAAGGCTTGGGCGTTGAAGACCCGGTAGCATTCTCGTAATGCTTTTTGAAGATGTCGGCGTCTTTGTCTTTGCGGACGTCTGGTATGCAGTGTTCGAAGTAGGTCTCCTGACAGGACCGAAGAATTGGAGCAGGCGTTCCGCTCTCTTCGTCCCGTTCAGATACGCGCAAGAGTGACTCGGTAGCTTGATAGGGTTTCCACGACCCTCTCAACTTGTCCCTCATGTTGCTCAGCGACATTGAACGCAGCAGGGTCGGCGTGCGAAGATGGGGGGTCGATAGCGACACGCGGACGGAAGTTGTTCTCATCGCGATGGGCTCCTTCGTAGGACGAAGAGGTTTTGTGGTTGTTGGACAGAGATTGTACGGTCGGCAGAGGGTGTGTCCAGTCGTTTGATGGTAGAGATGTTAAAAAGAGGAGGCATTTAAAGGTCGCGTGGACTGAGCACGTGCTGGAGCAAATGTGTCAATGGCAGGTGATCAGATTAAGGACGGTATTGGGCGTCGTAGCGTTTGCGTGAGTGGCCTCGTGACGGTAGGTGAGCATATGAAAAGCTGTTTTCGCGCGTATCTGCAATCATCTCTCGTCTGTTGGCCAGCCCGCATTCCATAATCATTCTTCTCCCTGACCACTTCTCATCTTTAGCCCGAGGATCTTGTGGTCATCATAGTGCTTCGTGGCCTTATATTGAGGCCTGTGGATATCAAGCAGCTTCTTCTATAGCGCCAGCCACCGAGCTAGCATGGAGGCGAATCGACTGCACTTGGTCGTTGCTCTTGTCTTCTGCCACAGAGGCGAGCTGATCCATCCAAAGCCGCGGCCTGTGATGTGGGCTGGTACCATTCTTCGTAGAACGTGTATGCGAGCCCTTCTTGTTCCCATCGTATCTTCACGATCCGTTCAAGACGCGCCCTGCCTCTTTCGCTCCAAAATCTCCAGTCGCAACCTCTCGCCAGCAGCCTGAGCCTCAATCATCCTGCCCACGCCCGTTCTCCATGTCTCATCCAAGCCTTGCATCTCGCCGGCCGCATTGTGTTGAATGGCCCGTCGTGCCTGCTCTACCTGCTCTTGATCCAGCTTGGCTTGTTCCAACTCCTTTTCCAAAATCTTCAACGTATCTTCCAGCTGGCTATTTCCGACCAACCAAGCATTCTTTCCGTACGTCTCGAGCAAGCTTAGGTTGATCTCCCGGCCGCGCAGATATTCTGCGCTTGCATATGCTTTCGAGAGTGAGGACTTCCAGGCATTCAGGTCTCCTTTCGCTGGAGGATCGAGCAGTTCGTATCGGCTCAGGTCGAGGCCGCCGTCTTTCGGAAGGCCTGAAGCAATGCGCTCGTGTTCGGCGGTGATGAAGTCGGAGAATTTGCTTTCGCGCTGCGCAGGTATTGAAGGGTGCAACGTGTTGGCGCTGGATGGGTCCAACTCGGCCTGGATGAGGGTGTTGGCAGCCTCGAGTGCTTGCAAAGATGGCGCTTCGTCGATGTAAGGCAGCGCATCGGCGGCGCTCTGAATGAGAGGCATCTTGGCTGGATATGGCTGTTTTTGGTGGTGTCGCAAAGTCGTGAAGTGAAGTTTGAGGTCGTGGGTAGTTTTCAGACCGGCTGAGTGCAATTGGGAACCTCGCAATGACGCACGCTCGCCTCGCCTCCAACATTGACCAGGAAGCACCGAGTATCAAACACCACAACCTGGCCATTTCACGCTCACGCGAGCGGTGTCCATCCATCTTCTTATCTCTCAGCTCGCCACGTCAGATAGCTTTGTACCTTTACCCGGTCAATCGCCCCATATTCCACCTGCAAATCCCGCCTCACTCCGGATCCCCCAACAGCAGGGCTTTTCATTGATATACGCCATGGTCTGACATCGGAACTTATCATCTCCTCATCTTCATCATGGCTCGCACGCCTCTTCCAGTTCTGGTAGTGGCCGTCCTGGCCTTCGTCGTCCTGGGCACTTTGAACGTTCTCCACCGATTAGGACCTTCAGTTCTAGACCTCTGGGAAGACGCTCCTCAGTTCAACCTCCACTCGGTTCAGGAAGCCGTGCAGAATGTTGACGAACAGTATCTTGTTGGCGTAGGAAAGGGCGACATCACTGGACCCGTCGTGGAGATCAATTTCATGGGATATGCTGATCCTGACCAGCTGGGCACTGGATTGAGACAGCGACTATACTCTCGAGCCTTCATCATCGGCCATGTAGATCAACCCAAAGATCGCATCGTCTACTTGGTGCTGGACACACAGTCGGGCGACACTGCCGTGCGTCATGGCATTCTTGACGCTATCAAACATCTGGGAGACGAGTATGCCGTATATGGCCAGCAGAATATCGCCGTGACTGGAACACATTCTCACAGCGGCCCAGGCGGCTGGCTCAACTACCTGTTACCTCAGATTACGACAAAAGGCTTCGAGAAACCATCTTATGAAGCTATTGTGGAAGGCGCTGTTGCCTCTATCAAGCAAGCTCACGAACGATTAGCCCCTGGCTACCTCACGGTTGGGTCTGTCGATGTCAAAGATGCAAACGTCAACCGCAGCCCGTGGGCATACCTGCAGAACCCTGACGAAGAACGAGAACGGTACGAACATGATGTCGACAAAGCTATGACTGTGCTTCGCTTGTCGCATGCGACAGACGATGGAGAGAGCGATGTTGGCATACTCACGTGGTTTCCAGTCCATGGCACCAGCATGCTTGGCAACAATACCCTCGTCACTGGCGACAACAAAGGTGTCGCTGCGAGGCTATTTGAGCAAGCTATGAACGATCCAGAGTTTGTTGCAGGCTTCAGTCAGGCGAATGTGGGCGATACCTCGCCGAACATCTTCGGAGCTTACTGCGAGACGGGGAAGCAAGCTGGTGAACAATGCGACTTCAAGACTAGTTTGTGCGACGGCAAGACTCAGCCATGCCATGCTCGTGGTCCACACTGGGGTCGCAATGATGGCGGCACGGCTTCCAATTATGAGATCGGCCTGCGTCAGGCGGACGCAGCTCGCAACCTGTTCAACGATCGAAAGGCATTCACTCCTGTCTCTGGTCAGATTGTGAAGAGCATCCATCAATTTGTCGATCTCAGCGACTATCACTTTACTCTGCCCAACGGCACACATGTGCGGACATGTCCTGCTGCCCTGGGATACTCCTTCGCCGGCGGTACTACAGACGGACCTGGCGCCTTTGACTTCAAGCAAGGTAATACCGGCGATCCAGACGCCAATCCGCTGTGGGCCGCAGTCAGCAACGCGTTACACAAAGCGAATGAAACCCAAAAGGCCTGCCAGCGCGAGAAGCCGATCTTGCTTGATGTGGGCGAGACGAAATCACCTTACGACTGGACACCCAACATTGTAGACATCCAGCTCTTCCGGATTGGGCAGCTCTTCATGATCATCTCTCCGGGCGAAGCGACTACGATGGCAGGTCGTCGATGGAAGGAAGCTCTGGAATCGACCGCTATCGCCACCTTTTCAGAACTTGATTCTGGTGATCGGAAGCCGGTCGTTGTGCTGGGTGGTCCTGCCAATTCGTATACTCACTACATCGCCACACCTGAGGAGTACACCGTCCAGCGATACGAAGGAGCTTCTACGCTCTATGGACCCTGGACACTGCCTGCGTATATTAACCTTACCCTCACATACCTCCCCCGCCTTGCTGGCGCCGAAACGAACTGGCCACATCTACGCCACGGTCCAAAGCCGCCGATCAACGTGAACAGGAGTCTCAACTTCATCACTCCAGTCATCCAAGACACGGCTCCCTTCTTCAAGCAGTTCGGCGATGTTCTTTCCGATGTAAATCCAACTCCATACGAAGCAGGAGACGCCATCGTCGCACGTTTTGTCGGTGCAAACCCACGCAACAACTTCCGCCTTGGAGGCACATTTGCCGCAGTTGAGAAAGAGAATGCAGACACAGCCGTCTGGGAGCAGGTGAGGGATGATGATGACTGGAGTCTTGTATATGAGTGGAAGCGTACGTCGACGCCTCTGGGGTTGAGTGAAGTGACGATCAAGTGGGAGACGAAGTGGGAGACTGGGGCTTGGCGAGAGGAAGATGATGATGCTGAAGATGCAGGAAAGAAACCGCATGGAGACCTGCTCGTCAGGGATGGCATTCCCCTCAAGGGACGATATCGATTAAAGTATTACGGTGATGCGAAGTCGGCGATTGGTGGCACGATCACGGCTTTCGAGGGCACGAGTGGGGAGTTTACGATTGAATGAGGGCTATGATACCACAGATGCAGTTATGACGAGGTGAGAGACAGCATGGATATGGCGCAATAGAAACGGGCCATCTGACGAAAGATGTCATATCCTACCCTACCCTCCTCTTGTTGGTGCGCTCAAGGCAGAACGAAATGACACCATCATCCCTCCGATTTCCAAAGCGACCAAACCCTCAATCGCACGCGAGGTCGCATAGCCAGCTCGCGAGCAACGGGGATAGATGTTTGGAGTGAGGAGAGAGTTTACCAGAAAACTCACAGCCTGCCTCACTACTTAGTCAAATCCTCCACAGCCCTCACCGCCTGTGTGTGTTTTGCACTCAGCGAGCAGCAATATGTATGATATCTCAGCGAAAAGATGTTTGTCCAGGCTCAGTGGCACGGCGTCTAGGTCCTAGTCTCGCGCAGTATTCTGGAGAGACCGAAATGTCGTCACATCCGCTGGAATAGTAAGAGGCGCCATGACCGCTCTACTCAATCCATAGCCCACTCCCTCACCTTCCTATCCGCATCTAGACTGACAAAGACCCTCTTCCCGTCCTCTCCCTTCAACAGCGCACATCCATCCGAGTACAACTCCCCTTCCGTCCCTTTCGGCCTCTGAAATCTCCACTTCAGCCCCTTCGCTCGGTCCCACAGCAACCAGCTATTCTCCGCCGCTTTTGCCACTAGGACATCTTCATCCAACCATTTCACCGCTTGAAACTCACGGAAGATATCGAGCATACATTCCCTCTTGTCCTTGCCGCTAGAGGGATGGGTTACGACTGCGGAACACTTGTTGGGAGATTCAGTGTCGAAGGGCTCCCAGAGGAGGATCTGCGAGCCGGAAGCCAGGGCTATGGAGTTTGAGACGGGGTTCCAGGAGATTGTGCGTGTCCAGGAAGCGACTTTGAACTCCTCACATGAGGACAGAGAATGTAGTTTCTCGCCTGTGGAGACGGAGTAAATTGCGACGTTGTCTGTCCCCGAGAGCAGGATGTATTCACTATATGGGGAGAAGGCGCCGCTCCAATTTTGGACTTTATTCTTGGGCTTTATGGTGTGGAGGGTAGTTGGGGGTGAGGTAGAGGTATTCCACATGCGGTAGGTACCATCCCAGGCGGCCGAGGCGATGATTGAGGAGTCAGTCGGAGAGAAGGAGGCCCACATTATGGCGTCGATGTGTCCTTGCATAATCGCAACAGGGTCGATTTTTGGGTTGAGGATGGAGCGGACGACGATTTTGGGGAGTAGCTCGGCGGGGCGTGTGCCGGATGGGGTGCTCTCGTTGGAAGTCAAGGCGAGGATCAAAGTGCCATCGGGAGAGACGGGGTTGGAGTTGAAAGATCCAAAGGAACCCTTGAAGCTTAGGAGGGACGATTGGCGGTTCTTGGTGTCGGCGGTCTTAAGGGCGTCGAGGAAGCCTTTGCGTAGGTCGGCGATCGCTTCGGTGGAGAGGTTGTGTTGATTCGAGAGGTCTTGCGATATGGTGGTTATGGCTCTGTCTGCGAGAGACCCGACTTCGAAAGGTGTGGTAATCGTGAGGGACTTTCCTTCATGATCAAGGTGCCAGATGATGATTGTGTCGTCTTCTTGCTTGTACGCCCCATGGTCCCCGGCACCCTGCGAGAGAAGCAAGTACTGCGCATCTTGCTGTTCCTCCGGTACTCGTGGCGCGAAGAACATCGACGACACAGAACCCAAGTGTCCCACAAGTTCCCCTCTGAGCTCCTTATCCGCCATACCGTAGACACGAATCACCTTCTCGGTAGATATAGCTATGAGCTTGCCGTCAGGGCTGACTGCCATCTGATCATCATGAAGGAATGCCTCATCGCGATCGTTGTCGACCAGCTCCATGCTCCGATGTTCTTTGCCCCATTCGAGAGGTCCCCCATCCGTCACTGGCGCCCACTCTGGCGTCTTTCCATCTACCTCCCATTCTTTCTCGAGTTCCAGCACATATGTCTTCATAAAAGTGTTGGTGTCCATGAATGCCGGCTCGTCGTTGAGTCCTGGGTCGAAGACGTCTTCCACGACTTGCAGTGGATTCTGTGCCATAGGAGAAAACGCCCAAGCAGCAGTACTCGCGATGAAGAAATGCAGCAAACCCAACATACTGCTCTCTTTATCGTCTCTCAGGTCTGCGATGTGTCATGGAATGGGCAGACTATCCTTGCGTAGATATGAAGGCGAATTCAGCTACATGAGATTAGGCAGAGGATGGCTCACCGGTACGTGCAAGCATCGGTACTGCTTTGGGGCAGCCCCACGCTTCGCTCTCCTCGCGAGTTTGCGATTAGTCCAAGGCTGTCAGAATCATGTATACCGATCTTATACCTTTCCCTGGAGAGGCACCTTCATGAGTGCCATTGAGTTTATTTCTGTGCTCATTTTCTTCGAAGGATCATGGAGAGATCGTGCATATAGTCAATTCTGAAAGTTACGGCGCAAGAGCAACCTTTGGGTTCACCGGAATTGCAGGCATTTTAGGGTGCTGGAAGTAATCACGTCAAGCAAATTGCAATAGAACGTCTCAATCGTCCTCAATGTATCTTTCGCTGGCAATAACATTCGGGAGGAGTGGATCAGCGGCGCGGGAAGTTGGTCCACATTTCCGCCCCAGCCAAGCTTGATCCAACCTCACCTCTTCACCTTCAACATTCACTTGGCCTGCGAGCAGCGAAATCTGAGTGCCACAATACTCCATGCAACTGCCGAAGATCTCTCTCGTCTCATTATCGGTTGTGTAACTCTTGTGAACGTGAAGGACGATCCCGAGCATTCTTGCTGCTCAAATTCCTCTGCAGATTCGGTGCGTTGCTCAGGTGACGGACCCTCGTTTTGCGTTTGCAATCGCCTCCAAGAAGATACCTCGCGGCAAGTCCCTCTACCCGTCATTGAGCTATTTTGTATACTTGCGGTCAAGCTGAAAGCACGCGTACGCTATTGGCCGTGCTGCTTCTTTGCCCAACTGCCTCTTGCTATCTTGTGCAATACATCATACAGACATTGCTGGCGCAGAAGAGGCTCCGACACACGCCCCTCGATTCGTCGAAGACTGCAGGAACCATGTTATAGAAGTGGTTGTCGAGACAATGCAGTCTCCACCTTCTTGGTCCGCGAATGGCATGCACTCAATTCAGAGCCCGTTTGCGGCGGGCGACGCGCCCTTTGCACATATCGAATGTCAGATGTCTCCAATGCTTTCCTTCGATGGCTTCTAGCTCTTTGAATGTGATGATGCAGTCCGTCCATGATAGCGGCGTGCGCCCGTGTCACGACCAATGTGCGGTCTCGTGGCGTGAATGGAGAAGATCGAGCGGTCGGCGTAAGTACGCGCCTATGCAACTGTCAGTAAATCAGATATGCACCTGATTTACATCCTGGCCGCGGACGAGTGAATGCCCAGATCAGTGTCCTACGCCCCGACCTTCGGCTTGCCACGGCTGGACGTGGCTGTCCTCCTCTCCGGCTTACCGGCATCTCCCGTCTCCTCCGGTTCGCCGCTCGCATTGTTGTTGACACGTCGTCGGCCTGGGCACGGGCACGGGCCACCCACCGGACGCATAAATTTTTTCTTTCCGCCGCTCTCGACCTTCTTCTCAACATCCACAAGACACCAACCACCACCCACACACATCCAACATCCAACATCCAACATCAACATCAACATCAACATCAACATCAACATCAACATGAGTATCAAAGGCGGTAACCCCCATCTCCCCTCATCTCTCGAACAGCTTACTTCATCTCAGGTGTTGGGTGGTCGTGCTGGGGGGCTCGTGTTTCCCCCGGCCCGGCCGCCCGCGCCAAAACAAGGTGCGAGCCGTGTGGATGATAGGAGATATACTTCCTAGTCAGAAACATCGGTGACCACCAAGCCACGTGGACGATAGGAGATTATACTTCCTAGTCGAAAACGTCGGTGACTTTTCTTCAAAACTCTAACCAAAGCAGCAACCAAAGTCGCTGAAGCCCGAAGGCTTCAGCGACTTCAACAGCCAAAATGATGAGACCGCTGAGGGTGCCCAAGAGTGATGCCATTATGCTGGTCTTCGTGACTGGTGGTGATGATCTCGCCCTGCTTGAAGCATTGACTTCGGTCGGTTCTTGTAGGTGGGTGCTTTGAAGCTCTGATTGGCCCATAAAATCTTTTTTCATCAAGAGAGCATTGAAGAAGAAATAACTTCCGCGCCAAAACAAGGGCGATTGTTCGGTGACTGCAGTGAGACGGCAAACGCGCATTGCTGACTTGGAGGGGCAAGAAGCTTCTCGAAGCAAACACATTCAAACGCGATGTCATTGCGGGCTCATGATGAAAGTAAGCCTTCCAATGAAAGCTGAATTCTAAATCAAGATTGAATCAAGTATTTCGCCGTAATTTATTAAGACACTTACGTGCAAGTTCTTTAGCGGGTCAATTGTGCTTTCCGTAAAGCGCTTACTTGTATTCATTAAAGGGCTTACTTATACTTTCATTAAAACCCTCATTTGTACTTTCATTGAAGCGCTCACTTGTACTTTCATTTGAGAGCTCGTTCGTTTCATTAAAGGGCCCACTTGTGCTTTCATTGAAGCCTTCACTTGTATTTTCATTAAAGCCTTCACCTGTGCTTTCACTTGTGTGTCCGCTTCGGGAAGGTAGGTGGGGCGAGCCGCGGCGCTAGCGGCTCGGCAAGAAACGGCGCGCCTTTCGCGACCTGGTCTCTTCCTACAAACACACCCGAAATTCTTCTTCCTTTCCACCACTCCACCACTCCACCCCGCCACACCACCATCCACCACCAACACCACGACCATGGCAGACCGGGAGGCCAAGCGCCAGGTACGTATAGCAGCCACAAGTTTCTCTTGGCGATGCTAACTCCTCGTAGGAGCTCAAGAGGCAGAAGCGCGCCCGCCAAGCAAAGCAGCGTAGGGGTGATGACTGGGTGCCGGAGGAGCAATTCGTACCGCACGCCGAGCGAGAATTCCAGGCCCAGTCGAAGCATGCCGCGACATTCTGGGAGATTGCCACCACTATGCGCACCGTCCCGAATGGCCTCCATCCAGACGCTCTCAAGGCCAACCATCCCGAGATCTTCGCACTCCTCTCCACCGGCAATCCGATCACTGTCTCAAGGAGCATGCACCCCATTCAAATCGCCGCCATCTGGTACCTGGAGCTCGACAAGAAGCACTGCTTCAACACCTTGGAGAAGGTACCCTCAGCATGCTACGCAGCGGCTGTCATGGCCTCGTACAACTACCTGTGTGACAACAACAAGATCGATGTCACGCCAGCTCTACTCATCCCGTACGCCATTGCCTGCAATGAGCAGCAGTTCTTCCCAGACAAATTCATCTACCGCGAACGTTTCATCACGCTGTGGATGTACTCTACCGGCGACATCCCCCAGTATGGCAAGAAAGCATGCGACCGCATCACGATGGCCGCTCGAGACTTGAAGCGGGAGTTGAACCAGATCGATGGCCCCGACCCATTCTCTGCGATGGCACAGGACCTTGAGGAGGTCATCAAGGACGAGGTGGAGACGGGAGGATTGGACGACGAAGGGGAAGAGCTCGCGGAGGAGACGGATAAGGAGAACTCGGTCCTGCGGAGCCGTGGCGACGTGGACTTCAAGATGTATGATGGGGAGGATAGCATCACGCCAGGCCTGTCGTCGCAGCCGGAGGATATTCGCGAGGCATCCCACCACAACTGGCTTTTTGGGATGTTGGAGTACATGGAATCACGACTTGCTGAGCTGCAGAAGCAGACCATTAACCGGGATGATGAAGCCATTATGGTGCTGAAGGCCAAGCTCATCCGATTCTGGGAGGTCATCAGCCTCAAGCAGATGGCACAGGAAATGGGATTCGAGCAGTTTGCATGAGCTCTCTCCGTAGAATCGCAGGCACACCAAGTCACCAAGTAGCTTCCTGGTAGCATAGCCAGAGAGACAATCGACGGGATACTGGGTTGGTATCGCGTACACCCTAAAGTAACTCCCACCTCGATATCTTACTTGCTCCATCACCTGCTTCTTTACTTGCTCGTTTACTTGGTCCTTCACTTGGTTATTGACTTGAACCTTCACTTACTCCTTCACTTACTCCTTTACTTGCTGGTTTACTTGCTGGTTTACTTAGTCCTTCACTTACTTCTTCACTTACTCCTTCACTTGCGTCTTTACTTGCTGTATTACTTGCTGTATTACTTACTCCATCACTTACTCCATCACCTGATCCCTCACTTACTCCCTCACTTACTCCCTCACTTACTCCCTCACTTACTCCCTCACTTACTCCCTTACTTAGTCCATTACTCCTCCCTCACTTACTCCTTCACTTAATCCATCCCTTACTCTCACTTCCCCGATTACTTGCCCCCTCACTCAATGCTTTACTCCATCTATTACCCGATCCATCACCGGACCAATCCTGGCAGATGTCCCCGAGACAACAGGCCTGGCCATGCCGTTTTTGTAGAGATCAAATTATTGCGTGAGGTGGCGACGGACTTGGGTTTTGAGGAGTTCATCAACTAGGGAAATGGACTTGGAGTTGAAGGACGGAGAGGAACCTTTGGAGCTTGGAAGAGACGATTGGCGATTCTTTGTGTGGGCGATCTCTGATAAAACATGTCCGTCCGTGGCATTGAGTTCACTCTCGTGCTTCTTCTCTTTGAGAAACTATGGAAAGTGGAAGGCGCACCCGGCCACGCGAGAGTGGTGCATATTGTCAAATCGAAGGCAGCTCCACGCACCGCACTGATCGCGAGAACGAGAAATAAGGTAGTCAGATCCATATGCAATATCGTGGTACCTGTCTCAGGAGAAACATCTCTGTCCGTGACATTGAGTCCGCTTTCGGGCTTCTTGTCTTCGAGAAGCTGTGGAGAGTCGTGCATGTACTGAAATCGAAGGCTGTCCGCCGCTTGACTTTGATCGCGAGATCGAGAAGTAAAGGTAGTTAGATCCATATGCAAGATTGTGGTACCTGTTTCTAGAGAAACATCTCCGTCAGTGCTATCAAGTCTACTATCGTGCTTCTTCTCTTCGAGAAACTTTGGAGAGTCGTGCAGGTGGTCAAATCGAAGGCAGCTCCACGCACAGCTGTAATCGCGAGAACAAGCAAGGTAGTCAGATCCATATGCAAGATTGTGGCACCTGTCTCTGCAGAGACATCTCCTTCCGTGCCATTAAGCCCATTCCCGTGCTTCTTCTCTTCGAAACACTATGGAGATTCGTACGTGTAGTCAAATCGAAGGCAGCAGCCCCACGCTTCGCTCTGATCGCGAGAACGTGCTTCGTGCAAAGCTGTTAGGGTCATACAACAATACAGCATCTTTCTCTTCGGAAACGTCTCCGTCCATGGCATTGATTCTATATCCGTGCTCCTTCTGTCTGAAGAAGCTATGGAGAGATTGGGCATGCAGTCAATGCCAGCAGTTGCGATAGGAAACCGTTCGTTCGATTGATGATGCTTTCCTAAGGTCTGAATCGTAAGGTCCCTCTATATCATCCTTCACCCAAACGCCTCGCTAAACGCAAAAATAGTTCACCCTCTCGAAAACCCAGAGTGATCGCAATCGAATGTCGTGAAACGTCGTCTTTTCTCCGGCTCTTCTAGCCGTATCGAGGAGCTTGCGAAGGAGCATGTTCATGCTGCAGCTCAGACGGCTGAGTTGGCTGAGGATGCTGAACTTCTCTCGAGTTGTTGTCGGGGTTGGTTGGCGATGAACCAGTATCGGCAGGCACTGCTTGAACATGGGCCTCGGTGTAGTCCGGTGGCTTCAATCCAGCCTGTTCTCTAGACAGTGTCTGAAGCGGCACAGCAGGCCCATTTGTAACATTTTGCTGACCAGGTTCTCCCTCAGATGACTTGGGCACGTATGGTGGTGGTGCCTCGCCAAATTCGTTCAAGCCCTCCTCTCTGCTGTGATCCGCCGACCGCCATCTCCCCTGCCAGTATCGTCTCCTTGCTCGAATCGGATCCCACGTATTCAGATCTCGTTGCAGAGCGCCTTCCCTGCTCTGGCGTATGATCATTCCGTACTTCTTCTTTCTCTTGTACATGAAATATGCCGCAAGGGCTGCGAAGCAGACCACGAGAGCGAGGAAGACGAAGTAGTAGTTCACTAGGCTGACGGTGTCAGACTTTCCCTGATCGCCGTCGTGAGCTTGATCTGAGTGGGTAGGCATGCCGTCGGTGGTCGAGGACGTTGGCGAAGACATAGGCGAGCCGTCTTGCGCCATGCTCGGTGCGAAGAAGATGGTGAAAAGGACGAGGAAGGTGGAAGATAGGTTGTCCATGTTGGCTGATATCGAAGGGGTGTGGCACGGAGTAGAGGGGCTGCCTCGAGCGGCACAGGAGCGAGGGGTATGGAGTAGATGTCGCACAGGAGGTGTTGCTGCTGCCGGAAGCGCTCGAATCACTTCCGGAGAATGGTTCGGACTTGGAGCATTGCTGGCCAGATCGGTCGTTTCACGGTTCCATGATGTCGAAGTAGTAGATCTTGTTCTGTTTGTGTGACTGTTTCTTTGGTTCAGCTTGTCGTTGCGATTGTGGTGGTGTGCATGTGCGTGAAAGGAGGTCTGGACTACTGTGGACATTCACCCGACGACGCCGCGTGCCTGACTGATCGGCAAGGGTCAAAACCTAAAATCCGCGATTAGAAGCGACGGCACGTGATGTGTTTCACCCTAAAGTTGTTCCTTCATCCTTCCAAGTTCGTCGGCATTATCATCACAAACACCACCATCAAAAGCCCTCAAGATGCCGCGTGCAGTAGCTGGTATGATATCTATTCAGACAATCATGGAGAGAACAGTGTATAACTCTTCGGCAGGTGTTCTGGTCAAGTGCGACTCCTCCATTAAAGCCATCATCATGCGTATCAACACAGAGAACAATCACGAGATCATCATCGAAGACATTGACGATGAGCATGTACTGGTCAAGAGCCAGAGACATGATGACTTGAAGCGGCTGCTGAAGGAGGTATGACTTCCCCTTGCACTGCTACAAGATCATCGGCACGCTGACCAAGTTTGCAGGCCCTGAAGGACACGGTCAAAGAGCCAGAGGAGAGCTCTGAATCGGAGTAGATGATGTGTTCGCACGACTCTTCTTCAAAGCCTCAAAGAGCTCTTTAGCAGATCTCAAGACCTGGCGCCCAAACACAATGTCTCCAGAGCCATGATGGCGGCGACATGGACAACACTGCAGTGACATAGATGGGCGATGCAAAAGCAGAGAGCAACGCCATCATAATGCATCGATGGCGGTCCACTCATGATTTGCCGAGGCGTGACGATCTGGCTGATAACTTGCGGTCAGTTACATCCAACTCGGCAACCAAAAGTTCGAAGACCGCACCACAAAACACCATTGGAACCTTGAGGCGACAGCTCCTTGCAAATGCCTGAACCAAAATGGATGTTTGGAAGCGCGTCGAGCGGTTCTGCGATGCTGAAAGGACGAGGCAACGAAGTGCAGGGAACGGGTGGAGAGAGATGTGGCCCAGACAAGATTACTCAACAAGGAACATCCTATTCCAAGAACCATCGGGACAAGCCGACGTCACTTCATTGCATTACCAAACTATGGCTACTTGAGAGCACTGCACGGCGACCAGAAGTAGCACTCATGCATCAGCAGAGTCTGGCATACCGGTCTTCTGGCCAGCGCCACCGATTGGAGACACCCAGCTCACACGCTCCTTGGCATACAACTCGACGGCAGGCGCAGCGCTTTCAATAATAGTAGGGTCGTCCATCACGCCGACCTTGAGGATTCTGGCATCGCCAAAAGTCTCACCCTGTCTCCAGAGTGTAGAGCCGCAGTCGCCACAGAAGCTGGAAACGCAAAGTCAGCTACTATCTCGGGCAGAACGGGACAATCGCAATGTTTGGATATACTTACTAGCTGGTGATGCTCTTTCCACTATCCGCCTTCTTGGTGATCTCTTTGGGCTTGCCCTTCAGGAGGGAGAAGCCATCGCCTGGCACCTGCGACGAGTCAGCTTTGACGATATCGCCATGTGCAAAGAAGTCCTCGCTCACAATGATGTTGGTCGAGTATGTCGATCCACTAATCTTACGGCAGTCCGCGCAATGGCACAGCGCTACGACACAGTCAAAACCTCTTGGAAACTTATTCGATCGGGATTCCAACCTTTGGCCTGGACATCGCCGGTGGACTTGATACGGACGTTTCCGCAGAAGCAGCCTCCTTCGTTAGACATCTTGACTTCGATACTCTTGGAATGTGATTGGGCAATGAACTCTCAAGACAAAACGACCTTGATGGACAACTTTACAGCCTGAAACCTTCCAGACAACGGCCTACTTATACCTTCTCGACGGCACCTCTCCAACCTTCCGACACACACACTACTCGCCATGCTTTTACTTTTTCCGTCCTCAAGCCCCCTCGCTGCGGGGCAATTCCAGCACCATTGACATCAGGGCCCGGCTGCCTTATCGAAAATCTTGACAAATACCGAAGCCGGCAGCTCTTCAGCGAACGAGTGACAGGCCATGCAACTGGAAACAGCTGGTCTGAGCTAAGAGATGATCGCCCGGCTGGTGACGAAAGACAGCTGGCTTTAGGCTCCCGTCGACCACGGAAAGATTACCGCTGCAGCTGGCGGGCAGCTGGAAGCCGAACGGATGGAGGGGTATGGAATAGGAAGTTGGGAGGAGCTGGGGGCTTGTATTGTTGCCCTCAGGCTTTCTACACGTGGACTGTGTTCGGGTGTAGAGTCGGCCTGGGTGGGAGGCCGTGATTTGGAAACATCGGGAGAGTGAGCTTATCTTGCAGCGGTGCGACCACTTGGCTGCGAGTGCCGAAGTCGAGGTTTGCGATCACCCAGTACTTGAATATTGCTACGAAAGCGCATCTCTGCCAATTATCCGCAGCAGCAGCACATCAGATACTCACTTCAAAGATCTCGCTTCATCGCTGCAGCCTTTCCTTTCGCCGCTCTCCTCTTCTTGATGGGATGCTCCGGCTGCTTCCAACTCGGCTGATCAGGATCCAATCCCACCAAACAATTCACCGTCTCCTTCCCATCACCAGGATCATTGGTCTCATCCCCAACCGGACTCCTCCACCGTCCCGTCAACTGCACATACGAATCCAACGCATCCACAAGTTTCCGTCCTGCAACTACCGCCTCCGCAGCCCTTGCATGCGAAAACATCGTCAACAACTGCTTCGCGCCCTCCCGATCTCCAGATTCAATAAGCAGCCCAGCACCCTTCTCCACGACGTCGATATCCGTGCGCGAGGCGTTCTCTAGCCCGTGCAGGATCTCTTGCACGATGGGGAGGTAGGTGTGCGGGTTCGAGCAGGTGTAGTAGAGGAGTTGTTTGTAGATGCGGCCGGCGAAGTGGGTGGCTTCTTGGAATTGGTAGTCTGTGTTGAGGAAGGATGAGGAGGCGCCTGTGGTTAGGTAGCGGTGTTCGGCGTATTCTGGCGGGATGCTGTTTACGCCTAACCAGTAGGGGTTGAAGGGGGCGGTTACGGAGCTGGTGGGGGCGTTCCAGATGCGGAGGAGGTCTGGGGGCTGTTAGACGTTTGTGGATGGGAAGAGGTGGGTTGTGGGACTTACCTGGATCGATGTCATCTTTGAGGGAAACGACTTGTCCGTATCCTGCTTCGTCGTCCGAGATCCGGTAGTCGCGCACTCGCTCAATAAGCTTAGCTTCTGTCACGGGCGCCATCTCCAACGTAGCATTCTCAAGAGCTGCTTGCGACATGTACTTGAAGCCACCATCACGAGCGGAGTAGTTGCCCTGCAACCCATATACTTTGAAGATGTTGAAAGGCTCAGACCCCTCAGGATCCCACCAGCCCTGCTCAACAGCGAAAGATACGATGTTCGGCGAACCTGCGTACTCGCTACTGGTCGCAAAATCCGCAGGAAAGTCCTCAATGTAGCCTGGATAGGACACTCGCACAACATCTGATCCGAGTCGTTCTGCAGCCCAGAGTTTCTCGCCACCGGGAAATTCCCAAACTACCCAGCCTTCGTCCTTGTCGACGATGAGATGGCTGTTGCCGCCGTATGTGGCATAGTTGTACTTTGAGATCAGATCGCCAATGATCTCGACGCCTTCGCGTGCTGTGTTGGCTCGTTCCATCACGATGCGGGCCAAGTCGGAGTAGTTGACACCAGTCTGGTTCTTGGGCGTCATGTCGACCAGCTCCGTTCTGCCGTCTGCCCATACTGTACAAGAAGATCAGTGAATGGGCCGAACCTCCACATATCAGTCTCAACATACCATCTCTAACAGCCACGCCCTTCTCATTCAACCCACCATTCGTCAACGGAGCAGGAAACCCTTCGAAATCGGAATACTCCATCGACATATACCGAAACGTATGATTCACTTGCGGGATTTCAATCAGATATCCGGGCAACACTGCATCTTCCGTCACACCAACGGTAATCGTAGCATTCGCTGGATGGTCCTTGGCTGGGAAAAGCTGCAACCAATGGCTCGAGACTTCCTCGCCGGTTCCGCCAAGCAGGACGCTGCCATCGGCCGTGAGATCTTTGCCGACGTAGAATGCATAGCTGGCGATGGTGGGTGAGATGAAGAGGAGTGAGCTCAGTGCCAGGAGTGAGGCTCGTGGACTCATCTTTCTGGTGGTCCTCTGGCTGTGGATGTGGCCGGCGAAGAGGGAATGGAAAGATCCATGATGGTGGTTTTTGGCTGAGATTGTTTTGGCGACTTCGTGTCTTGGCCGGCCGACGTTCTTGCTCGCCGAGCTGCAAGCACTTGCTGCGAGAGGGAAAGCTCGCTGGTATAAGGCGTGTGGTCTTAGCTGTGGACGTCGCACAGAACTGGGTGGATTCAAGCCGGCTAACGTGTGTACTTTGTGGACGAAATGTGAAACCACACAGCCACTTCACTCCTCTGTCCTCGACCTAAATATACATACGTTGCTTCAAATGTGGCACAGCCCAACATTGCACTGTTTGTTGCCGCTTTCCGCACCATGTACCAATCCCTTGCTAAGCACAGTCATGGGTGGCGTATCTAGATACACCACCGTACAATCGAAGGTAGGTGCACCAGAAGATGTCTCGATCATGGCAGCAAGGAAGAGCACACAACGAATACCACACCGACTCGAAAACACCGCCCATCTTGGAGCAGTTGACAGTTGTCTTCAGCTCACCCCAACCGTTTGATCTTGCCCGCCGACTGCAGCAATGCCTCAGGTTCTGTGAACTTCCAACTTGCATACCTAGAACAGACAGCCCTCGAACGGCTGGGGCCAATCGATGCATAGCCGGTGACTCAAGCCTGATGTTGGTTATGTGGCTTCTACCGCCCATGCGGCACGTCCCTCGATGCCTGCTATCTATATGTGAGTGAGCTCCTTCTTCTCAGGCAGACAACTCTACTCTTCCCCCAGCAACAGCACACGATATATTACCACCATGGCACGACTCCCAACCAGCCACACGCCCCAACTCGAAGCGCCGCCAACGAATCTCCCATACAAGTCCCACCCAATCTACCACCTCCGCAGACTCCTTCTGATTGTATCCCTACTCGGCGTCTTCCTCTGCTTCATCTCCGGCGACCCATACGCCTTGACCATCTTCTTCGCATGTGTCTTCGTCCTCGCCGTCAGCATTTTCTTCGTACTGTGCGATCTCACCGCCTACGCTCTCAAGAAAGCTCAGAGCCCCGACCATGATCCGCAATGGCCCAAGATCATCTTCATGGTCGGAGATGTGATCTTGGCGGTGGTGTTACAGTTTGCATTCTGGACGGCGATTGCTACCCTTGAGAATCGAGGGCCTTATTACGGGTCGACCACTTGTCCAGCGTATGCGGCTTTGACGCCGTTGATATGCTCGTGAGCTGCAATCTCGTCCGTCTGGTGATGCGATCTTCTGCTGACGCTCGTAGGATCCTCCACGCAGTTTCTTTCTGGAAGGAGCTCATGGCTCGCTGCGAGAAGAAGTGGCTCCTGCGACTGTCTCTCGAGCCTTGCCCTCGCTGTGGTTACCACGAAACTGCAGAAAACGAGACAGACCAGCAAGCTCGGCAACCTCCGCCCTCAAATACATTTCCCTATGTCGGGCCCTCTGCGTCCTACCAGCCGCCGACTGTGACCACACCCACCGTTTCCGACAGTATGATGGAGGAAGGGCTTCTGATCGGGCCAGAGCTGACCAAGAACTACGGCGCGGTTGAGACTACAGAGCCTACGGTTGGGGAGCCCGCCGAAGTCGTCGTGGGAAAGGGCAAGAAAAAGAGGGTCGTTGAAGGCAGCGTTCGGAAGGACGATGCTTGAACGAAATCATGAATCAGACACGGGTACTGGCATCACTGGAGTCACGCGTGAAAGATGGAACATAGTGTGGAAAGTGCTTTTCATTCTGTGCTAATCTCCGTAGGGCATCCGAGGCAGGGTGTGGTATAGTAGTTCGCTCCAAGTAATGTGAGAGACAATGTATCTTGGGACTTGTCATCTGCTCGCCGCCGCTCTGTGTAAGGTCCTTTCCCGTAGCCCATCTGAAACTCAAATCAAAACTTTTGGTTGGCGGATGCCATTTCGACCCCGTCGCTGCACCTCCCGTCGTCTTCCCTATGGAATATCGTCGTCATCGTCCTCGACCCCAAGCCACGCCGTTTGACCTCCGTGTCTCCTCTCCAAATCACTTAGTTCTAGAGGGACTCTCGACAGACAAATCGTCGGCAACCCCCTCGCACTCGTCGCCTCCCGCAGCGCCTCGCGCAAAAGCCCTAGCAACCCGCACATCTCCTCCCGTAACGACAGACCGACCCTCACGCAAGGCGACACCCTTGGCCTGCTGCATCACCCCGGTAATGTAGCCCTCCATAAACGCCTGCATGGCGTCGAGCGAGGCCTCTGGGAACTGCAGCTCGACGTTGTGCTTTTTCAGGATTTCTTGGACGATGGAGCGGAAGGCTCCCTTTTTGATGATGAGGCTGTCGTTGTGGGGTTGGTAGCTGTTGTCGTTGATCGAGTCGCTGTTGACGTCTGGTGTGGTGGCTTCACAGGCGTTAGTATGGAAGCTGCATGTGCTAGTTGATTTTGATGGACTCACTTGGAGCACTTGGGGCCTCTTTTCCGCCGCGTCGGTGTCGGTCTTCAGTGGGGAGGGTGCAGAGGTGGCGTTGGGAGTGGTCTTGCTCATGACCAGGTTGTAAGGAGCATGGCGTGGGGTCGTCTTGCGCGCGGTTTGCTCTGAATTCGTTAGTCGGCGATCTTTGAGCGTTGGTCTTGAAGGTCACTTACGGGTGCGAGCCATGGTGCTGGATGTCCTTGGGTGTGTTGGTGATTGTGATTTGAAGATGATGGAATGATTTGTCAAGGTTGAAGAAGGTTGAAGGGAAGAAAATGGCTTTTGTAGAGTGAAAGGCGTGATCGCGCCAGCATGTGATTCTTCGTAGAGGGCGAAAGCAAGTGAAGCAATTCAATATGGTCTCGTGGGCTGCATTTTTGACTCGTGAAGTGCAAGCTCTACTCAAAGCTTCTTGCTCACTTGCTAAGCACATGTCATCTCCTGACTGCATGCCCTACCTCAATCTCTCAATATGTAAAGCAGCCTGTGCTGTGTTCGCCGCCTTTCCTCGCATCAATCTTCATCTCCGCTCGCTCGCTCCTCTGCCAGCCTTGAGCAGAAGCTGTGCCATGTCCATGCCCTTCTTCTGGACAGTGAGTCTCTTGTCACGGATGGCGCAGGAATTGGCGAGCGAGAGGTGATTCTCAAGGAAGGCCTCCGCAGCTTGTCGCAACGTGTCGTAGGCGGACTTCTTGAAATGGGTGCCCTTGACATTGAGTTCTCCCAAGATCTGCAGGACAAGCTGCTCGAATCAATCTCTTCGGATGATGGGACCACCTGGGCGGGCCTCACCATTGCGTACTTCTCGCACCTCTGCTTGCCAATTTCAGTTTGATGGCGTTCAGAAAGATCGTAGGATTGCTGGTACTCACGACCCCTGAACGTGTACTTGAATGAGTCTTTGGTGCCCTTCTTGCCCAGCTTCCTGATCGTGCTTAGGCTTGAGCCTTTGGCTGAGCCTTGCTGAGAGTGAAGGCCATATGGGCGGCGGCCAGCGCGTGCGAGCTTCTGGGTGGCCTTGTCTGCTTTCGTTAGCAAGTGTTGCAAACGTTGGCGGGAAGAATGCTTACTCGTGGGTGCCATGACCACGGCTTGTTGTTGAGACCAGTGTTCGAAAGATCAGTTGTTGTTGATTTTAGGCTGATCTTGGAGATGTTGATGTTGAGGTAGAAGTAAAGGTAGAAGTCGAAGTCTTGGTAGCAATTCTTGTCATTTCATTTCACTTCACTTCACCTCACCTCACCTCCCTCCACCGCATTTGTGTGTCCATGGCATGTGATGCATTACCCTCACTAAGATTCAGCCTCAATTGCTCACGAGAACCTCCACCCCATCCTCGCCAACACTCGAATCAGTGCCCTTCAGCTTCTCAATCACATCCTGTCCAACCTCCCTACTCGGAGTTCCCATATACCAAGTCCGGTCCCCTTCCTCCTCACCATGCGTCTCCAAGTCCCATCCATTGCCAAAATACCCGAACATGTCCTCTTCGTCCTCATATCGTAGGTCAAAATCCTCAAACCGGGGCGTCTGCATGATCTTCAGGAACTGGCTCCTATCACCCGGCCAGAGTGAGGGTGGCTTCGATTTCCCGTCGTTGCCCTTAAACCACGCCACGCAGGGCCCAGTGATTGCTGTTCGCTTCATCCAGGCGTTGGCGTGGCGGACGAAGTGGTCGACTGCGACATCTTTGGGTTTGACGCTGCTAATATGATCAAGCTGCATCTTATCGATCACTTTGACGATGTATTCCGTGAAAGCCTCAGAAGACTGATAGAAATTGCCTTGTGGTAATGGTCCAAAAGCGGATGCTGGATTGAAGTAATTCGGCATGCCTTTTTGCATGCAGGCCATGTAAACAGGCGGTGAGAGGAGGTTCTTGTACTTTGTTGCGATGTCTTCGCCGTTGACGGATCGAGGGAAGCGCGGCATGTGTGACTGATCGTAGCCCGTTGCTGCGATCACCATATCAAGTGGATGCTCATTGCCATCTGCATCTAGTATTCCGTGCTCCGTGAACCGCTGGGGAGGTTTCAGGAAGACGGTAGTCTTGGGGTGGCTGATGGCTTCAAGGTATCCATAGGAGAATGTCTGTCTTCTGCAACCGAGAACGAAGTCGTGCGGAATGATTGCGTCGAATAGGTCAGGTCTAGAAGCCAACTTCTCTTTCATGTATTTCACAACCAACGAGTGGACTTCCTTTGAGGTTTCTCCGCCATTGATGAGGTATGGGTAGCGTTTGTTGAATCCATCTTCTATCGCCTTTCGATACGCTACGTAGACGTCAGAATCCTGTAATAACTTCTTCTGCTCGTCGCTGTCTTCCATATCGTCAGCCGACAGACATCTGTGGGTTTTGTAAACCTACATTTGAAGTTTGCACCCCCATTGGCCGAGAAGGCTTGATTTGGGGGCGGTAGAATGTATGTCCTGTTGCGAAACCATGTGTATAGCTTGCTCACATCATTGATGATGTTCGGTGCTATTTGCACTCCGCTACCTGCCAAAGATCAGTCCCATTCGTTCACGAGTTCCCAGATTCTTACATCCATATCCCACCAAGGCTACCCGCTTATCCTTGACAGTGGTATCGTCCTTCCAGTGTGCAGGATGGATCACCTCGCCTTTGAAATCTTCAAGGCCAGGCATATCATTGAGTCGAGGGTTGCTGTCCACGATCAGTGAAGCACGCCATTGTATGCTGCGAGACGCAAATACCTGACAGGACCATGAAACTCCAGAAAGAAGTCCACCACATCATCAAACTCGACACCAGATTGGAGATCTTTGACCCTCAAAATCCACTTGCAATTTTCGTCGGTCCAAGCAGCTGAAAGGATCTGATGTCGCAGCTTGATGGACTTGTAGAAGTCATTCTCTCTGGCGACCGTCTTGATGTACTCCAGATTCTCCGCCGCTGGAGCATACATCTGGGACCAGATGTTCGGCCGCCATGAGAATTGATAGACCATGGAGGCAATGTCGCATCGGCAGCCGGGATACTTGCTTGTCAGCCACTAGATATGGCTCGTTAGCAGTCTCGTCGTATTATGCACATCCGTCAGTGGCACTCACAACACCACCAACATCGTCGTTCATCTCATAAACGACAATGTCGACGTCTTTCAACTTCTCGGCTGAGTGCAGAAACTGCAATCCCATGATACCTGCTCCGAGCACACCGATCCGGACTTTCCTTCTCGTCCCGTAGAATCCATTACATATCTCGACATCTGTTCGTCCGAAAGGATCAGCGAACCCTTCATAGAGAAATTTCGGAATGTATTGCTCGGCCTTGGGATTGCGAAGTGGTTGGCTGTTAGTGTAGCGTGACGTTCCTGACATAGTACCTCCTGCCATGGCTGCTCTCAGATACAAGTCAAGACGGGAGGGGCAGTCTTGCACTTCACCCACTTTCTTCCAAGCATGCAAGTATGTATGTGAGCTCATCGTCAGACTGCTCACCACTAAACGATTGACTTTTACGGCAGGCCCACCATGAAACCACGATTAGCATCGCCGGAGAGGTACGACCTACCATGCCATCGTCTGGGACAGCAGTGCGTTGTACGACCCATTCATGAGAAAAGCAATGCGTGCGGTACGGGCGACATTCCTTGTTCATTCAATCGCCTTCATCATTGGTCGGGATATTTCGTCAAACCCGTGGGAAAGATGTCGCATCAGAAGCATATATCTTCAAAGTGGTGAGCTCAAGCGATGAATTCGAGCTCAAGATGACAATGCGTCGAGCATTATTGTCGCAAGTGGACATGTGCGTTTTCATCGTCGGAAGCCAGTGCTGACTGGTCATCCGCAATAGCCTTATAGGCAACGTCGTCCGGAACAGGTGGAAAGCGAACCAGAGCTTGCAACAAGGACTAAGCCTGTACGCATGCAGTCGGATGGTAAGACCAAGTGCAGCAATTCGGTGTCGGCGATGGATTTCGTAGAATCTGGCGATGGAAAGAGGTGAGGTTTGTTGTAGACTCACCACGTGCCTTTCGCCCCCTTTTCGTGTCGCCGCTAATCGGCGCATTGACCCGGTCACGTCACGCCACAAACAACGCGTCTTCGAACATCAGACAACCTTTTTTTGTTTACAACTCTCCAACATCGCATCAGCAGAAGGAATAAAACCACAAAAGTGCAAGAGAACCATGCCTCAATCAGACTGGAACCGCCGAGTCCTCGCAGAGCTCAAATCACGAGCAAACGAACAACGAGAGCCGGAGCCAGCATGGCTGTCCGCCGCAGCAGGGACAAAACGCAAGGCCACCGAAACTCCCCTCGACCCAGCAGACGTCGACGACATCAGCCTCGACGGCATGCCCATGGACGCAAGCTGCAACCAAGTCCGGGGCAAGATCCGACGCTTCCTCGAGGCCGGCGAGATGAAGAAAGGCGAATTCGCAGACGCTCTGGGAGTCAGTAGCAAGAGTCTCAATGACTTCCTCGGGAGGGGTAAGGGCCCTATGGATGGCTCTGGGAGTGCGACGTATGGGGCTGCGTGGGAGTTTTTCAAGAAGAGGGAGATGGCGGGGATCAAGGCGCCGGCGGCGAAGAAGGCGAAAGCTACTACCGCTTCTGCCCCTGTGGCTGTTGCTGTTGCTGAGCCGGTCACCGATATCCGTGGTATTTCTTTGAGCGGCGAGGCCTCCGACTCTGTGCCCGTTTACGATTCCTGCGACGAAGTGCGCAAGAAAATCGCCGCCCATCTGCTTAGATCCGGCGTGACCCAAGCGCAGTTCTGCCGGGATCTCAGTGCGCAATTACACACTGAAGTGAAGAAGATTCAGAGCAAGCAACTTAGCGATTTCCGCAGCAAGACTGGGGCCACGTCGGGGAATACGTCAATCGTGTATTACACGGCGTACTGTTACTTTGAGAAGATGCGTTTGGCAGAGGGGAAGCCCAAGTCGAAGCATCGGGTGGGTATGGAGGGGACGTGGCCTGGGGGTGTTGATACGACGAGGGTCAGGAATCAGTAAGTGATCTTCCGTTGTTGCGAATGCCAGAGTGGGTGTCGTTGACTGACGAGTGTTCGTAGTGCATGGTGTCCCCAAGGCCGCCGACCCGTAATGGACACCTACGGCAAAGTCACAATCAGGTAGACCACACCACACCACACCGCATCCATCCACGAAGCCCCTCTTGCGTCTTCATCTTTGATCTAGAAGCTTTGTAATATCACCATTAGATACGCCTTGTACGACCTCACTTACCAAAACAGGAAGCTTGAAAAGCTTCGGACTTGCAACTCCTTCACAACATCCTACACTCACAACCTTGCCAATGCAACCCCATTACGACTCCACTGACGACCACAACCCATCGATCAATGATGAGTCAAGAGCAAACCCTTCAAAAACCACGCCATCACCCTCGCACAAAGACGATAGGTACTCGCGGCCTGAGGCTCCAGGCAACCACAATTTACCTATTCCACCCAATCAGATGAACTCCGACCCTCTCACCTACTCTTCATTTCCAACTTGTTAAGCATAACGACGCGAGTTCGTCGTACGAATCGATGGCTGGATTGCGGCAAGTCGTAGTCGTGGGTGGTTGATTGCGTTGGTTATTGTTCAGCTTTGAAGAATGATCGACTGTACAGCTGGCTTGCGAGAGGTACGGGTGGACTTCGTAGATGGACACGTCAGAATGGCGTCTCTCTTCGCGTGGCACGGGGAGGGCGAGCTGAGAAAGAAGAGAGATAACAATCCTAACACTTACTTACTTTGCAGTTCATCTCGAAGACACAGAAAACATAAATACTCCTTCCAATCACCACCACTCATCCCATCCCGTCTCATCAACACCCAAGCCCATCCACCTACAACCACTTCCAAGACAGCAGCAGCAGAAGAAGCGAAAATGCCCACCGACTCCAACAACAACAAAAACTGCTCCAACATGACCGACTGCAAAGACTGCAGCTACTCGTCCAATTGTTTGTCTCACTCCACTTCCTCTTCTCTTTTCACCACCACCCGCAACAACCCCCTACCCTACATCCACCGCCTCCCCGCTTACCTGGAACAGGCGTACGTCCCTTACCCAACCCATCGAATCCACCGATCACCCCTAGCGCTCGAGGAACCACCCCTTAGCGCTCGAGGAACTGACATCTTCTGTCTCTCATATCCAGACACGTTGCACCCGCGTCTCGCACAGCTCCAACCTCATCGACTGCGTCGACTGCAGCAATTGCAGCAACTGCGTGAGTTTCATTGAGGCTTGCTTCAAAGGGGTTGGTTCGCATGACTGATGAGAAGTGGACAGACGGATTGCTCGGGATTGAGTCATGCGAGCAACGAGCATGGGGTTCATAAGGATGGTAATGGTAATAAGGGGGATTTGAAGTAGAAGGCTCTAGAAAGCGGATGAGCGTGCGTTACTGGTAATGGTAATGGCGGAAGGGAACGCACGCTGAGAGAGATGAGCGGACTTGATGGGTAGCATCCCACGAGATTTTGTGATTGATGAGTGAAACTTATGAATTATGTAAAAACCGCTCGCTCGTTCGGCGCAGGATATCTTTGGAGGATTGAATTGAAGAGAGAAAAAAGACATTTGTCAACTAGGCTTCGTTCTGTCTGGGTATCTTCCTCCTCGAAAAAGTCTTTTCATCAAAAAAGTAAAGTAGTCATCGTCGTGAAGGGTCGAACTAGTCGTGGGGTTCCAAGAGAGGTCGCCAACGGTTTGTGAGAGCTCGGTATAGTGAGGTCTCTCATGTTCGAGCCGTCCCAAGCGGGCTCATGTGATCCAAATGAAACGATATTGCAATCATGTGTGTAGCCTGTGCGTATGATCCAGCCGGTCAGAGTCCGCACGTGCCGGCCTTTCAAGGTTTGATCAAGTCCATTGTGTATTAAGGGTGTCATGAGTTGAGAGCAATTGCTTCTCGCTCTTTCCCGTTGAGGCCATCGGGCTCGCTGACGGTCACAGTGCTGGCCACGATCGAGCTTGCATCTTCAGGGTTGACTTGCTTTTCCTGCTCGGCACCAGCAACAGTCGATCCCTTTTCGTTCAGCCCATTGATGCCAAGGCCTTGCTCGTCGCCCGATTCGTCTCCCGCGTCAAGCTCTGCGCGGCCATCGACGGTTTCTTCCTTCAGTGCTGGAGGACGTTCGCGCCTAGCTCGAGCCTTCGAAAGACTGATGGTCTTCTGGTTGTATGTCGTAGTGACCACGCCAGTATCGTCTCTGTCGATTGTGGCCTTCATGAGAGCGGCCATCCAAAGTCGTCCTTCTTGACGAGAGTTGACGGCGAAGTAGTGCACAGTCGGTTTGGTGAAGGTGACACCCTTGGCCAGACCAGCCTTGGGCGGTACAAGCTTGAAGATGAAGGTGCCTTCGTCGTCTTCATCGTTCTTCGGGGGGTGATTCCTGAGGTCCTGTTGGGCGATGGTAGGGAACGATGCAGTAGTGGGGCTAGAAGGACTTCCTCCAGCTCCAGTGACTGTAGCAAGTACGCCGGTGAGCGTCTCGTTCGCCGCGGGAAGGACTCTATGGAAGGAAATGTCGATGAGGCCCTTCTCCTCCGTATCGTCAGTACTGTAATAGTAAGACAAACGGCGGCCTCGAAGAATGAACAGCCGTGTCTTCCAAGTAGCCATCAAGGACCCGCTCTTCTTCTTCATCCAGCCAGAGTAGTCACAGGTCAGCATCTGCTCATGAGGCGTCTTCTTCTCCAGACCACGTGTGTACGCCGAGGTAGTCTTCTTTGACTTTGCTCGCGGTCTCTTCGTGCTAGGAGGTGGCGGCGGCAGGAGATTGTTGCCAGAACCCGTTGATTCGCGTGTAATGGCCGTATCGGTTTTTGTGATGTCCAGGCTTCGGTTCTCGGTGCTTGGCGTAGATGAGCCCGTGCCTGTCCGTGTTGGAGAGCTGACTTTGATCGGTGACACCACCTTCTCGTCTTTGGTGATCGCATCACTTATAGATCGCTTTCCGGTGAATTTGGCCTTTGCCTGAGAGAACATGCTGAGGTTGATACCAGAAGGACTAGGAGTGGGCTTCTCGCTAGACGCCTCGCTGGCATTGTCTTCAATCTTAGTCGGGCTTGCAGCGATTGCGTTGAGCGATTGTTTGCTGTCAGAATCGAGTCTCGTCACCACGGGGCTAATCGGACTGGCTGCCGATGTTTTCGATGAGCCGTTAGCGCCTGGTGTGGTTGCAGATCTATAGCCTCCAAACTTCTGCTTTACCGCATTCATTGCGTTGACGTGATGCGACGATGGGACAATCGGGCTGACGGGATCTCGGTATCCTTCAGTGTCAGCGATGAGCCCTGGATGCGCGCCATTGCCCAGAACGCTGCTGTTTCTTGAATGGACTGGGCTGATGGCGGCCGAATTGCGCTTAACCAAGACACTCCTCCTGTTGCGTGTCTCGGCTTCGTTGGAAGAGAAGTAGCCACGATCAAGGTCGCTTGGGGACGAAGGAGCCACAATGCTGGACTTGCGCTGCGGAAACTGCGAGTCGTAGCTTGTGGTGTGTCCATGCCGGCCATTAACCGGCTGTCCAGGTTGCCATTTCTGATCGATTGACGGCTGCTTCCTGTGGCTCAAACGATTTGCACCGTCCGTGGATGTCGAGTCGATGCTGGAGTGTCTGCGAGAGTGGTTCATGTTGCGAACGCTCTGCGCAGATGGTCTAAAGGTGTTCTCTGGACGTGCGGAAATCGCCGTCATACTTTGAAGTGGTGATACGCCCATGCTATCGCGCTTGCCCATGGTCATGGACGGTGTCGCCGAGTGCGAGATGTGGCGTGTTTGTAGCGTGCTGCTCCTAACCGGCATGGGAGGGGCAGTGTCTCCACTCGCTCGCTTGGTGGTAAGTGCTCTCGGCAGAGAAGGAGCTCCAATCGTCGAACTGCGGTTTCTACCCGAGTCGAATTTGTTGCTGTCGTCCTCCAGCGGGAGCGAGTATTCTGAAGCGCTTCGTTCTGCATCCTGTGCGGGTGAAGACTTGACTTCGTCTTGTAACGCTTTGATCTTGTGCCACGTCTTCAACCTTCGCCCCACCGAACCAAGCTCGAACTCCTTGATAAACAGGCTGTTCTGATCCATTGCCAGCAAAACCTCCCCACTGATCTCTTGCTCGATGAACACTTCGCAATGCGCCTTCTCCACACCGTGATCCTCGAGGTATTCGGCCACACGTGCTGGACTCCACCCCATTACCTCATCTTCACCGTGCGTAGCTTGTTCTTCTTCATCGGTCTCATGGCCGGCAATATAGGATTGGCGTATAAGTGGGGGCTGAGATGAGTAGGCGCTGCTCACGGTGTCGCGTTTGTTTCCGTTGGCATAGGATGCGCGCGGCGACTTCATGTCGGTGATATGCTCATCGATGACGGAGAGCGTCTCGCTCATGACCGGGGAGTCCGAGGTGATTGTGAAGCTTCTCGCGCCTGCTGTTGCGGGACCGGGCAAGGACGTGCGCAGGACCGTTGACGCTACTGGAGGCTGCGGGCTCATGACGTCCGAATCGCCCGTCTGAGCGGCGGTGGGTGCGGGTTGTTGCGGTTTGGACGAAGCAGCCAGGGCGGCGACAGCACCCTGCGCGGCAATGAGCGGAGCATTGTTGGAGGCGCTATTTGGGCGGAACTTGTTGGGCGTGGTCAGCGTACCCTTGGGGGCAGGTGTGGTATAGACTGCAGATGTATGTCAGCGCCATGTCCCACGCTGCCGTCAGCGCATGATATATGCAGAGTCGCGTACCTTCAGGGAACAGTCCGTTGCCTCCGCTGGTCAGATTCCGGCCGAGGAACCAGCCATCGCCAAAGTCGTCATCTCTATAGAATGTCAGGCTGCGCTTCCCACGTGCCTTGTCCCAATTATTGTCCACCATACCTCTCGATCAGTTCCACTCTGTCGCCTTTGGCCAAGGTCAACTCGTCGTTGCTTCTTGCGTGGAAGTCGTGCACGACCAGCAGGAGCGTGCCGGGCACGGCCTTGCTCGTGCCGTTCCTCGTCGCCATGGCGGAAGGCAGATCGCGACTGGGTCTTGCGCGGCGTCGGCGGCAGCGTCGGCGGTGGTGGTAGAAGTTGTGTCGGCAGCGGCGGGGCAGTCAACACGGTCGGCGAGCTACTGCGGCAGCTTGATGACCACCATTGCACGTGCAATCAGATGGTAGCGGTGGCGGCGGATGGGTCGAGACGGCGATGGGCAGGCGGGTGTTGTGGGCGACTGTTGGCGTGCAGGGCTGCTTGCTTGCTTGTTGCTGGGAAGAAGCAGGCGATGTCGATGGGGCGAGTACGTGCCAGCCGGCGATTGGCGTGGATGTCTTCAGGAACACTGGCGTGGTGCAGCAGCCAGCCAGAGCGGCGAGAGCGGGCCGCCGATGGACGAAGGGTGGTGAATATTAGCAGAGATGCTCGCCGGCGATCAGCAGCAGCAGAGACTATAGGTGAAGGGCAGCATCGTCCTGCTCATGCAGCACCTGACTACGGGACTATAGCAGTAATAATGATGAATGCGCTGCGGAGAGTCAAGCAGTGCGGCTCGAATCTGCCCCGTCGGCTGGACCCATCGCAGGATGACTTGCCTTACTCGCGCGATCAAAGCTTAAACAACGTGGTGGAGATATGGATGGGGATGTTTGTGTCTATTTTGCTTCCAGCAATTGGCACAGAGTTTGGGTGGCAGTCTGTTTAAAGGCTTCAATGCTCCCGGCTGAACTTGTCGCCGCGGAATGCGTTCTAGAAAACGACGAGGAAGAATCTGTTGCGAGCCGTCACATTTCTGCTGAAACCGTCAAAGCGTGCGTGCCTCTTTCCCCAACCGTGGGCCAGCCGTGGCACGTCGATCATCTGGCACAGACGTCGCGATTGCGCTCTGCTTCTTTCTGTAGCTTCTACACGCAATATCTCCTTGCGCTGCCAATAAGCAATTCCACGGGTACATCTCCAGGCCTGGACACTGTTTTCGCCAACACGATCCAAGAACCGCCGAGACAGTCAATCTCCGCGACAAGAGTACGTTCGAAAGAGTCGCGGCTAGGAACATCCCCTGTCACGACCCTACTTCCTATGTGAGGCTCAGGGCGACTTCGATTTCTGATCGCATGCCTTCCACCCACCACCGTCCCATGAAGGCGCTACGAGAGACCCCGCGAAAGCATTGTCGTCGGCGATAACGGTCCCATGAAACGAAGGCGCATAGACGGACCCGTCACCTCGAACCAGATCGCCGAAAGCAACAAGACGCTGCAGATATTGGCGGGCAGACACAACAGATGGATGACGGGACATACCTCTCCACCAGCTCGCGGAGGAGAAGATCAAGGGCAAACGGCGGCGACAGGGGTGGAGGTGACCACCGCAGCGGCTACCCACAGTAGCGGGACCAGGTCAAACGCGACTGCCACTTCACATGTCGAGAGTGAAGCAGGCACGGCCGCCGTTCCTTCTACAAACGGCAAGAGCGTCATGTCAAACGGCGGCCAGCAAGTGCAAGAGCGACCTGCCTCGACGACTGCCACCTCAAATGCGAGAGCGCCCCCACCACCGCCGTCACAAGCAACCTCAACACGACCGGACCTGGTGCAGTATGAGGCGCCGCTGAGTGCAGTGAACGCATCCGCTCCCACGGCCTTTCCGACGCCAGGTGGAAGTAACGGGCGGAAATCGGTCGACGTGATGGCCAGGCAAACCGCCCAACCTTCGCTTCCCTCGCCAGCTTCCAGCGATGACTCTCCCACCTTCGCCGCCCAAGCACTGCGTCGAGGCAGACCGTCACGCAGCTCCATAGGTGCCATCGCTGCAACATCGCGGTCTGTGGCGAATTCGCCAATCGTACCGCATCAACCAAGTCCTCTGCAGCACAACATGCATGTGCCGATGCCAGGACCTGGCCACCCTCACCCGTCTCCTGCCCCACCAATGCCTCAACAATTGGCCCAGCTTAACCACATCCAGAGTCCTATGTTGCAACATCACCAGCAACAACATCCCCAACAACATCAGCAACAACAGTACCAAGTGCACCCAACCCATCGGCACTCAATGCCCAATGGAGTGCAATTACAGCAAGTTCAAGGTCCAAGCCAACCTATGCGCACGCCCCCAGTGCTACCCTCCAATGCTCCATCAGCTCGCCAATTAGCGGCCTCTCGAATACCGGCCCAGGATCTTCTACGACAGCTCGATGACAAGGAGGCAGAAATGAGGCAGTCAGGCACGCTCTCCCCAACAGACAGTGGCCGCATTGCACTTCTGCGGGAGGCCGTACAAAAGAACGACTGGTTCTACCAGGTGCTTTCTCAGCTCTTCTGTCTAAGAACAACCAGCCCTATGTTGCTACCTCAATCTGTTCGGGATGCTGACAGCAGGTGCTGGGACTACTTGGACATCCTCATCTGCCCAAACGACTCCATTCATCAAGGTCTCGTCGAATTCTTCGCCCACTTCCCCGAGTCCATCATGGCAATCTACTCGGACCGAAGCGATGCTCGCGATATCTATGATATGAGAGTGCAAGCAGTCAAAGCCTGCCTAAACAAGCTGCCAGATAACTGGGACAACGTTGTTCGCGCCTGCAAGAAAATGTGCGCTCCGCCGTTGGTGCAGGATCTTCATGATATTCTCAACTTGAAAACCCCTGTTCTGCAATCGACCGCTTTCAGGGCCATCGCGCGGATGCTTTACGGAAGCGCTGACTTGGACTCTAAGGGTGTTCAAGCCATTGAGAATTTCCATCATCTCGACCAGGATTCGTTCTACCGTTACAATTACCGCAGAAGTCCACACGAGACGAAACAGGCTTACAGTGTCCTCACTTCAGTCTTCCAGTCATTTCAGTCATGGAAACAGCACTTCCACGGCCATGCACCTAATCAGCGCCTGCCTGATTTCCCTTTGCCACAGCAGGCAGTGGAGTTTTTCCAACGGTTGCCACCAGGCATGGTGTATGCACAGCAACCAATAGCCCATGCTCATAGAGCATCTCTGCCGCAAGCGCAGATACAAGCGGTACAGCAGCAGCAACATCGAGTCTCAACACAGTTTCAGGCCCCAAATGGTCGGTCCAGTCCACTTCAGCAGCAGCAAATGCCCGCCCAGCTCGCCCAGCTGCAAGCCCTCGGAGCGCAATTGCAGGCCGGTCGATCTGGCATGCAAACCCCTTCGACCCACATTCAAGCCCAGGGTCCGAAAACACTCTTCCCACGCGCCGAGGAACAACCACGACCTCAACCAACGAACCCAGACTGGGCTCGAAGCGGCTTACACCAATCGCATCTTCGCAGCCCCGATCTTGGTCCTGTCGAACTCAAGCCTGGCGCTCCTCGGCTCTACCGAGACGTCGTTGGCTTTGGCGTCCCTCCCACGAGGCTTAAAAAGAATGTCTTCATCGAGACTGTCACATTCTCAATATCTCAAAAGTCCATGGATAGGATCGCGAAGACAGAAACGCCTCAGAGTATCGGAGGACCCACACGTCGGCATATTTCAGAGACTTCACTGCTGTACCGGCTTCGATGCTCAATGATACCGCGAGGGGGATTCCGGAGCGAGGGAGCCTGGGTCACTGCTGACAACATCTGGCCTGATGACATGTATTTCGAGCTCAATGGTACCAAACTCGAGACCAGGCGGAAGCTCCACCATGGGCGATACCTCCCAATCGACTTGACTGCTTTGGTGCGGCTTGGAGAGAACAAGCTTCGATTTGGCAGATCTCGCAACAAAAACGAGTATCGGATGTCGGAATACGCTCTGGCCATTGAGGTTGTTGGAGTGACGACCCATGAAAAGATCAAGGACAACATGCCTCGCGTGTCAGCTGCAGACTCTCTTTCCGCGATCAAGAAATCTTTGTCCGGGGCAGGCGAAGACGACGACGACGAGTTGGCAGTCACCTCGAGTGCGTTAACGATCAAGTTGTTTGATCCATATTCTGGATGCAAGATCTACGACATTCCAGTGCGTGGGAAGGATTGCTTACATCGGGACTGCTTTGACCTGGAGACCTTTCTCGAGATGTGCAAGCGTCAAAACCCTGGAGGGCCAACAGTGATCGATTGCTGGCGATGTCCGCTATGCCGTGGAGATGTTCGACCTCAAATGCTCGTCGTCGATGAGTTTCTCGTCCAAATTCGTGAGGATCTCGAAAAGCAAGGGCTGCTGAACACCAGAGAGATTATTGTGAATGCGGATGGATCGTGGAAACCAAAGGCAGAGGAGAGAACCGGCGTACGGTCACCAAGCTTGGAGCGAGAGGAGAGAGGCAGCATGGCTAGATCAACATCTGCTGCTGCTGCTCCTCCCGTACCCATAGACGTGATTGAAATTGATTGAGATCACAAAAGAAAAACGGCGTTTGGGGGCACAGATGGAACATAGGCCTCTGGCGAGGCGTTCTGCGATTGGGGATTGGGTTGGATAAGTCTTACAGTGTTTTTACTTTCATGCTCTAGAGATACCACTTTGCGAGATGGCTTTCTGGCGTTAGGGGAGAAGCATGGTATGAATGTGCAGAAAGGGGATTCCGGTCTTGCTGTTGGCTTTACGTATATATACCCAAGAACAACAGAGCTGTGGAGAGGGCAATTCCCGGTATCAATTGTCTAGAAGAAGCAGAAGTCTCTCCATTTCCCTTCCACTGCCTCTGAAGTCGTCGTTTTAAGATTATGGCCCGAGCGTCACTTAGACTGCACCTCCAACCTCGAGCTTCAAAGTTGCGCTGGATGACTTCGACACCTCATCAACCGCATCCCCTTCGCCAACAAACCTTGACCTCGACGACAATGCTATGGCCGCAATAATGACCTCACCATCTACGAATCCACGAACCCCCAACCCCTCCGCCTCACCGCTCCCCCTCTCCGCCAGCCAAGAAGCCCAAGTCCGCGAGCTATACTTCAAACGCGTCCGCCAGAAATGTGCCGACGAAGTGCGAGGTACGTCTTCCACCATCCATCCCTCCCTCACAACCCACCCTCAACCAACTAACCTCTCCGTAGATTTCGCCGCCTGCTGCACCCACCGCACCTTCACCGCGACCTTCATGTGCCGGCGCGAGCAAAAGGCCATGAACAACTGCATGATGCAGTACGCGACGCAGGCGGAGCAGGATGCGGCGCGACGGGAGTGGTTTGAGACGATTGATAAAAGGAGGGAGGAGAGGGAGGCGAAGGAGGTGAAGAGGCGGGAGGATGAGAGGTTTTGGAGGGAGTGGTGGGATAAGGATTTGGGGAGGAAGCCTGGACAGGGGAAGAAGGAGGAGGGGGAGGGGAGGTAAGAGCTGGGTTGTGGATTTGGGAGGGTTGGAGTCCGCGCTGCGAGTTTGGTGGGATTATATGGGCGTGTCTGTCTGTCTATGGGGCGGTGAAGGTGATCATTTACATCGCCAGCCCAACACCGACCCCTTGGCCTCTAGCCTCCACCATCTCCGGCTCGACAACCACCGAGCGCGCAATCCCAGCTCGCGCCTCGCGCATCTCCCTCTGCCGCGCCGGACTCTCCCTCGTCATATAACTCGGCGGCGCCCCGCCCTCCTCCCTCACAGCCTCTTCATACGTCGGCGAAGGCAACGCGGGCGTCTCCGGCGTCACGGGCGACGGCACAGCCTGCCAGTGCAGCAGATCCGGATTCGCGCGCACGCTGTTCCGCCAGCGGCCGTACGCTGGAGGGGGGTTTGGCAGCTCTTCGGCGTCTTTGTCCCAGGGTTCTTGGGAGGCCATCTCTGCTCCTGCGGTGGGTTGGGCGGGGAGGGGGTCTGCGTGGATGCGGATGTCGTCTGAGGAGAGATGGACTGGGATGGGCATGTTCGGGATGAAGTCGCTTTCGCCGGTCAGTGTGGGCATCGCACGCTGCTGCTGTTGTTGCGGAGGGTGTCGATGATGGTGGTGGTGCCGATGTCGGCGCTGATTGCCATGTCGAGAGACTGCTATGAAGAGCGGTTGCTGTGTTCTCGATCTCTTGCTCATGAAGACAAGCTGAATGATGGAGTAGGCGAAAACGATCGTAGCCAGACAGATCCCAAGGACGAATAAGACGTGAAACGTCGTAGTGAGACCAGACGCCGTCGTGGCGATGGTGACATCTACACTCAAAGCATTAGCATCCATCACCCATCCCATCAAAGTCCTCATCGGTATAGAACGTACAAGTCGCAACAAGCGCAGCCAACAACAGCGCCGCCAACAAACACAACAACCCCCTCGACCCCTTCTTCGCCACCACAGCTCTCTTACTCCTCCCCTTCCTCGTCCATCCACTCGCCGCACTGCGCTGTTTCCGTACCTGTCGTTTCTGCTGCGAGAACGTCGCCAGCGAAGGATCGCTTAGATCCGGATGATTGAGGGCTGCGACGGCGCGGGTGTTGAAGAGGGTGGATTGGTGCGTTGACTGGATATGAGGGGCGGCGTTTCCTTGCGGATTGATGAATGTTGTGTCGAGGGGACTGGAGGTGTAGTGCGTTGAGGAAGGGCTTGGGAGAACTTCCGCTTGCTGCTGTGTTTGTAGCCGTGGCGAGGGGCTTGGGAGGACTTCCGGCTGATGCTGTAGGCCATGTGTCTGGCCTGGTGGAGGATACGTCGGCGTGGTAGGCGAGCTCTTGACAGATGCGACTCCGCCAAAGACCGACGTGCGAAGGAGGTTGCGGACGTTATCCTGAACTCGCGAGAGTCGTGATGGGCGCTCGTCTTCCAGGATGCCCGCTTCGAGGGCGCTGGAGTCGGGGAGGGGGGAGTGCATCGTGTTGCGTGCTTGGATGTCGATGGTTGGGGTCCTGATATCTTCTTCTTCGACGATGACGATCTTGTCTGTGTCTTTCCAGCAGCAGAGCAGAGATGGCGTCCGTCCGAATCTTTGAACCATTTGAGGGTTGGGAATTTGTTCTGCTCTGATCTTTCTCTTCACGCAGATGGCATCCCTTGGATCGGGCGGCGGAGCGGAATGAGCTGATAGAGAAGGATAATCTGAACAGCAGGTGCAACGAGGGAGGAGATTGCAACGCAAGGCACACACATGCACATCCAACACGAGAGAAGAAGAAACAACGAAAGACGACCCCTTCAAGAAATACAAGAGTATGCATGAAAAAAATAAACAAACCCCATCTACCCTCCAAGATCCATCCCTCTCCACTCCCTCCCCTTCGACACAGCAGCCTCGAGACTCTCCCAGCTCATCACCAAACGCGGTCGCAAGCCCGTGGCCCAGCCCGCAAGACGTGAGGTGAGTTTGTACCTTACAGAGAACCTCGCCGGCAACCTGCAGCTCCGCGCAGCCTATCGATTGCAGCAATACCACCCATCAGCAGACACACGCCAGGTCGCACCGCAGTGCTTGCGTCGAGCAAGGGCATCCATCCAGGCGGATATGTCGTTCGTCTCCGAGTTTCCTGCATGTTCGACGGTCCGTCGCGCTTTCGCGGCCGCATGCGAAACGGGGTTGAGGGGGAGTCATTGTTGATGTTTCAGATGCGGGTGTTGGGGAAGTGGTGTAGGAGGAGGTGCAAGAGGGTGTGAAGTGTGAAGTGGGAGCTCTGGCACTAGCGGGGCGTTTCGTGTTGCAGGGATTTGGGCTGAGCGCTTGCTGGCCAATCATGGGCTTGGGACGGGGATTTCTGAGGATTGGTTATGCACGATGCACGCAAGAGTTCGGTACCTGAGTGTTTGTGTGTTTGGGAGGGTGTGGAAGGGTGGCGGTGTGTGGTGGACAATGGGTTTGTTATTGGGCGTGTTTCAGCTCAGCCGCGAGATGATGGGCATGAATTGCGTGGGATATTTCTGGGGTGGTAGGTATATGTGTGGCAGTTGATGGGGATGTGAGGCGTTCTGGATGTGGCGTGGGTCGCATTGGGTGAGGTGAGGGGTCCGTTAGGGACTTCAGCGATTTGCACTCATGTTTGCAAAAGAAGGTGGCTACAGCGATGCAAGCCTCTCTTGATTGCGTTACTCAACTTGCGTGTTGTTGGAGCCTCATACCAAATCAGCTGCATCAAATCGTCAGCTTTATACTTCAGCACAGCTGTCCTCGACTGCTTACCGATCCTTGCTCCTGCACTCGACTGACAGTGTTCCCTCATGCAACTGAACATTTGATTTGCTCTGCACTTCACGTTCAGGTGCTCCTCAAGCTCAGTCGCCGACTGATAAAGCTACAACACTTCATCGTCCTCGTCACCACCAGCCTGAACTCTGTCTTCAGCATGCTCGGCGGTAGTTTGCTGATCGTCATCCCACGGGCTGCGATCAGACCATTCTCCATCCGCGAGTTGACCCTTGAAGAACAGAGCGTTTGGCGGATAGTAGTCCCTGAAGTACGCCGGTGTGAGCATGTCCACGGCCTCGTCCATCTGACCGGCGCTCGCTTTCTCGGTGGCCTCAGCCAGCAGACGGAGGATGACGTGAAGATGGTTCATCTCGAGTGCCTTCTTGTCAGCACGGGCAATCAAAACGCTGCCCACGCTATCCGAATACTGTGTCTGGCTGTCTGCGTTGCCACCCATGAGCGTGCTGGCACTCGGGTTCGGATAGAAATCGTCCGTCTCCTTGTAGCTGTATCCGTGTAGGGTCCTCGCGCGGCCGGTGCGAGGCAATGGCTCGTATCGAAGCATTGACGGCCGCATCTTGAGAACGAGCAGAGGAATGCCAATGCAACTGGAGAACAGGCTGTTCTCGGCTTTAGTGAAGACGTCGTGGGTGTCGAGCAGGTTGTACGTGGAGAACTCTCGGACCTTTGCGCTCTTGGCGATCTCGCCGCTGCAGGAAATGCGGATGGCCTTGATGCGCGACATCTTGCGTGTGGCTGTGTCTTCAGCGTTTGTGTCGGTGGAAGTGAAGCGAAGCAAAGACAGAAGAGGCCACAGAGAAAGCGGGAGTCACTCCTGAAGTCGTTGTCGTGCCTTCCTTGGACGTCAAACGGCAAAGCCTAGCTCAGAACCTTATTCCCACGTCAGTCGCATATACCCTCACTGCACGCCCACATCGCTCACCTACGCCTGATGGTGGAAATGGAGAGACGCTCCTTGAATCGGTAGTCTCTCATCCATATTTGCTGTGGAGACATTTGCGATTCATCCTCGAAAGGGCTGTCGCGATCGCTGATGCAAGAAACTTCGCGCCTGTGGAATCGTCAGCAACATGTGATCTTCACGACCAAGTAGTCAACTCACAGCGAGGCGGTGACATCGTCAATGTTGAAGCCAAACTCCTCGAGAGTAAGTTCTTCATCGTCGGGATGTGCCCAGCGGCAGCAGACGAGTCTCCCACCGACGCCATCATCGTTCCCTGCAAGGGTGGCATCCATGAAACGAGCTGCTTCTGGGACGTCTTCGGCCGTCAACTGTCGATGGCGAGAGAAACCGTTGATGCGCCTTGCGTGATCTTCTTCCATGTCAATAATTCGTGCCAGGCATGCAGCCAGAAGGTCTGAGTCCATCATGCTCTCCTGAATGTGGAGTCTGCTCGGTATCATAAGCGCTCTTCGCCGGACTGCGGAGTCTCGACACTGAGAGGCAATCAAGAACAGCGGCAGGAGCACGCTATGGCTGAGGGAGAAGGTGCGCAAGGGCCCGCCTGGTTGACGCGGCTGATCCAGATAGTTCTCATTGCCTTTAAAGACATGCTCCAGATATTGCTCGATCAGCCCAAGGATGTGAACATACTGAACTCTGAAACGATCCCCAATTGTCTCGGTCCGATCGTGCCATGTAGAGGCAAAGAACCAAACCACAAAGTACTGAATCTCCAAGAGTAGGCGAACTTGGTGGCTTTCGTGCTGTGGATCGGTTGGCATGGATGCAAGAGCCGAGGACCAAGCAGCTGCGGAACGCTCATGCGCATGCATCTGATCCAGTAGTTCTGGCTCTTGACTGAGGTCCAGAAAGCGACAATGTGCCTGCAGAAGACAATTGATTTGATCCTCATCCAGACGCGAGGTGTCGACTTTGCGATTTAGCTCGACCTCAGCTAGCCTGAGGAGCTTCCCTCTGGCGAAGTATCTTGCACTTGTCAAGGCATCCAAGTGAAGTTGGGCCTCTTCTAGGCTGTGGAAGACCTTGGGTAAGGGTGACAAACCGAAGCCATCGTTTGGCGCCTCACCGACAGAAGCGCGAAGAAACGGTTCGCTTTGCCCAAACATGGTGGCGTCGCCATCGAGGCGCACATAAATCTCGGTGAGCAGATCCATGGTCGAGCGTGGTTCTGCTTTGAGTTTGATCCTGTGAAAATGTCAGGGTGTTTGATTTGACCTGATAATGTTAAACTCACCTTCTAGACTCTGAGTCCTCTGGGACTTGCCCATGCAAATGCTCATACAGTATGCGGAGGCCTGTCCGCAAGTGAAGAATGCCCAGGAAGTTATTACCATGGAGCAGTTCAAAGCAGATGAACATCAGACACGCTAGTAGAACGACTTCAACAGAGTTTCGCTTGATCTCGTTCCGGCTCTCGTTGATGTACTTTTGGATGTGGCCCACGGAACGAGAGTACTGGTCCATAGCGAACTCAAACTGGACAGGCTCATAAACTGGCATGACAAGTCCCGCAGGCCTACCCGTGCGGGCCTGATGCATAGATCCGACGGCGACAATAGCACATGTCAAAGCTGGCTCTGAATGGCTGAGCTGAATGGCGACCGTCTCCCAAGTGGTTGTAGTCGCACATCCTGGCAGGAAGTATAGTGTCTGCTTGCGGAAGAAGTCAAATGCCTGTGCTTCCTAGAGGAGTGTTAGCGCTCATGCCAAAGGCTTAACATATGGGTAGCCACGTGGGCTAGACCTACGACCGCGTTCATCCCAGCCGGGAAGGATGCTATAGGCCTTGGTACACTCTGCAACTTCACAAGGCTCTCGTCTTGTGGCAGCAGCGTTCTGTCCTGGTAGCTCTGACCCTGGAGCAATGCCAAGCTCATCTCGTACCCCAAGCAATGACGGCCAGTTGAGGAGCACCTCCGGCAAGCAGGGCGTGCCTCATCGCACTTGATTCGTCGTATTCTGGGAACGAGATCACTATTGGATCCTCCAAATCATCTCAGACTTTGCTTTACCTGCAGGTGCGACAGCCAGTTCGCGTCTTTCTGTGATGCGAATCGCTTCAGTCAATATGTGTGTTGTCGAACGGCTTCGACAGAATGGCAACTCACGCATGCTTCACTCGCTTTCGTGCCACGGGAACGGTCATCTTGGATGTGCTCAATCTGCATCAACCTGAAGTCGTGGCAATCCATTGTCGCTTGTTCAGAAGCCATCTTTATGTGTATCATTCCAGCTGATGTTAAAGTTCACGACAGGAGAGGCTGAGGCAGAGAAAGCGCATGAGCCACTGTTTCCTGGTTTGCCAGAGAACGAACGAGCCAATCACATTGCGTATAATCGACCCACCCTGGAATGGGATTTGACGACATCCGTTCCAGATCCATTGAACTCAAAATTCAGGAGGGCTCTTCCAGCAAAGACTTCCCTTTCCACTCCATTATGCAACTCTCGCCCAAGGAACAATGCTTGTACGGCCGCTTGAATCAATATCCAGGTGGCAGTGACGCGCACGGGACTAAACGACAGCCCTTGGTCTGCAGCCACACATTCTCCTCGACCTGCCCTATGGCGCTATTTCAGCTTTAGCGTCTCTGGGTCGAATAGTCGTGTAGGGTGCAGTGCCAGCGCCTGCTATAGAAAAGACCTCGAAACTGCAACATGTTGCGATCGATGTTGTTCAGTCCCTCGTCAACCGAAAGATTCGTCATCTCAATCCACCATGCCAGGACTGGATCAGCAGATTGCTCACAGAGGACTTCTATCCATCAACCGTGACGAGAGTGCCGTGCGGTACCAAGTGCTCTCTACCACCCCCTGATGCATCCGCCCAGCCTGGGATATCTTGATGTCGAGGCCGAACCATACCATGTTGGTATCTTCGAAACGACGGGCCTTGGGAATCACCTTCCGAAACCCGGGCATAGCCGCTTGAGCGGACCCTCTGGCCTGAATCTATGGGAAAGGCTCACTGTCCAGTATTCTGGCTATGCTTCCAAGTCTTCGCGGCCAATCCTCCGTTCGGCGTGGTTTGCAACGACAGCAATTCCTGCTCTTGATTACGCCACCATCACCTGGGCCGGTGCGACCGCTGAAGACCGGCAGTCGTTGACATGGCGTGTGCCAGCAGGATAAGATGATCCAAAATCGAGCAACGACAAAGATATAGTGAAAGATTTGCCGGATTTGTTTGATGCTCGATACCAAAGCCGCAGGGGATGCAACTTCTTTCACAAGCAGCCACATGTGCCGGATCCTTGACTGCGACGTTCGTATCTGCGGGTTTCGCAGCACACAAAAAGCCACGAGATCACCCCACAGCGGTGCCTAATTTGGGAGTGAAATGAAGGCAGGATCAATAAAGATGGCGATGAGCCCTCACCATCGGCGTTGATTTCGGGGCCCAGTGACGAAGCAGGGTTGATGTCAAGTTCTATGCATAGGCATGACGAAGCATCCAAACGACAATCGCCAAGAAGCTTGAAAAAGGACCAAGCGAAAAAGCATAAAGCGATGGCGACGTTTTGCGATCAGGCCATAGCTGGGACAAGACGTCCACCAGCAATCGTGCTGCACCATCCAGGTAGTCGATTGTCGGTCTCGATGGGACAACTCGTCGAAAAACATGCGAAAGCTCAGCTGAACAAGCGCTTGACCAACACTTTTCATCGAGCTGGGGGTACCAATACCGAAGCAGCTCCCTGAGACACAATCAACTGCCGACCAAGCTCAAGGCATGGCTCGTACACTGGTCAGTAGCTTGATGCCAAAGTCTGGCCAGGCCGGCTGAGTTCTTGGACGAACGGCTGAAGTCTTGACGTCTGCAGGCGATGGAGGGAGCGGTGGCCGATGTGCGCTACAGAACTATGATGTTCTACAACTTGCCGATTGGTCTACCACGACAATGGACGAATCACTTGGTTGATAACAGAAGCACGGCAACCATGAGGTTCAAAGAGAGTTGAGGATCGACGCTTGCATGCTTGTTGGACTTCATCATGAGGCCCTACATCTCTGATCCTTCCCTGTAGTTATTTGCGCTACTCGTCGAAGCGTAAAAGGGCCGTTGGGTGGTGTGTCTCGGTCGGCAGAGAGACGCCAGCACCAGAAGAAGTCCCCTAAGCCAGCCCTATGTAACGATGTTGGTGTCGACGAATCACATCGGCGTGTATCTGTGCGGACCTTCACGGACATAGAGCGGCCTTCCGTACACAGCATGGCTGTGCCAAGGTGCCTCGTAGAAAGCGGCATCCCGATCGACTAGCTGAACCTTCCAAGAACATCCACTACGGGTGGAGCCGAGAATCACTCCTGACTAACCAGGCTGAAAGGATTCGGGATCTTGCACTACATTGCCTCACATCGGGTTTTCGAGACCCCCAATGTTGGTAGGCAGCACAGTTGCTCAACAAGAAGACTCCAGCGTTCAAATTACTCAGCCTCGAGCCATCTCGTAAGCTCGTTGGACCGACTTCAGCTCGTATCGGAAGGTGAAGTCAGAACGTCTCGGCAACTTTGAGCATTCTTCTTAACAGGAGCCTCCCCTGAGCTGCTCGCTCGCTCCGAGAACAGAGACGAGGCTTGATCTTTTGCGAAACTCGCCACTATGAACACGCCGCGAAGCAGCAACTGCGACCTTGCAGCCAAGAAAAGTAGGGCTACCTCATGCACAAACTGCAGACAGGTCAAGGTGAGTGTAACATTGCCAAATCACAGCTCTTGCAATACCCCACTGACATCTCACCTCAGTTGAAATGCGACCTTAAGGAAAAGTACCCGTAGGCAATACCCATCCGAATACAGCACTTTGTGCGACAGCTTATACCTTCTAGTAATCCATGTTCACGATGTGCTGCAAACCGTCACGAATGCCGAACCGATGCCTCTTTTAAACGAGTTCCAGCCAGAAGCCGGATCAAAGATCTCGAAAGCCAGATCGACCAGTTGAAACGTGACCGCGCCTTTAGCCAAGCGACTTCAACGACTTCAATAGAGCACACGCCTGAACTCGAACGTCGAAGCTCTGAGAATGGCCCTGCCAACGACCACTTGACAACGTATGCCATCTCCGAAGTGCTCTCTCGTGGCTCCCCGAGCAGTTCTGATCTCAGTCGGACGGAAACACGGTGGCTCAACCTCGTAGAATTGGAAGAGCCATTACACTTCACTCTTGGAGGGATCTCGATACCGTTCGGACACGCCGTGGAACTCTTTCAACATTTCGAACAACACTACTTCCCTCACTTTTGCATACTCGAACCCATCACCTCGCTTAAGCGGTTATTCGAGGAGAGCCAGTTCTTATTCCGGGCCATCATTCTTATTGCCGCTCGAAGTCACGAAAGGCATGTAACACTGGTCGATAGCTGTCGACCCTATCTCGACAGACTCCAGTTGACCATTATCGCTGAGGCTGTTCCATCGCTGCTCAACCTACAAGCACTCTTACTACTTTGTGCTTTCCCTTTCCAGGAGTCATGTCCTCTGTACAGAGATTCCGGCTGGACGCAGCTGGGCCTGGCCATTAATGTGGCGAGACAAATGGGTCTGGACAAAGGCAAAGATGAGGCTCTCTATGGAACTGGAACCGTACCGGACTCTTTGAACCGTCACGCTCGTCACTACCGGAACATGACCTGGATGAAGTGCTTTGAGCTGGATGTTCAAATGAGCTGCTGGCATGGGCATCTTCCTTCGCTTGTTGGCTCACAATTTGTGAGGGTCACTGCGAACTTCTGCGAAACAACACCATCACATAAATATGCCGCCGTGGTAAGCGTGGATGTCGAGCTAGCACAAGCCCTTGCAAGTCTCGAAGATCCTGCCCAAGCGCACAGTAAACCTGTACGGACATTCGTGGAGAGACTAAATGTAGTTAAGACCAGGTGGTCTGCGGCATGGACTCTGGACGCTGAGCTTGAGCTGCTGATTGCAAAGTTGTATCTCTATGGTGCATATCTTTCTGGCCTGGAGCTTGCACCTAGAGGTGATGATAGCTTTACCTCAGAAACACTACAGGCGACCCGGATCATCGCAGTTCAGTTGGCCTCGCTCATCACCAACCTCAGCGCAGATGGCCAAGCGAATGCGCTCAAACTTGGCTTTCTCCAAAATTACGACCCTTTCCCGGGTCGTCCCAAGCACCACATGCGAAGCGCATTCTACACGGCAATTGTACTGTTCAAGTACCTCGACGACGACCACAGAATGACCGAAGAAGACAGAGAGACAGCACATAATGCCTTTGGAAGACTCTATCAGATGTTCTCGACTTGTTCGTCAACCAACGGCGGCACAGATGCCATGAACGCAGCACGCACACTGCAAGTGATCGGAAAGGCCATCGGGCAAGGAAGAGGGCACCTCAAAGCTCACGTCACGACAAGAATGGGTGCTTCGTTGGTGCACAACGCTGTTTGGCTTGCGAGCCAAATACAAGCCCAAGAAGCACAACAAGCGAACGAGAACGCCCTTCGAGTATCGCCTTTACCGCCGAGACTTCCAGCATCAGAAAACGCTTTCCTGATCCCGCCACATACGCAGCCATACAACGTACCTTCTGAAGGCTATAGTAGTTCGAACTACGCCGCCACGACCGCTGCTTTCGAGGATGCCATTTTCAGTGCGCCAGTATGGGACGGCACAGCAGTCAGTCTGCCAAACCCAGATTTTGCGGGCTATGGGGTTTGGGATAACAGTCTGTTTGACAATTGGCAAACGAGTATGCCGTATCCGCCTGGAGTTGGTACCTGTACATAGATTGATACCCGAACATTATTTGACTGTAAAGTACATTTCGTCGTTTCAGACAACCATTGCATCCGTGCTACCTTCAAACAACTGGAAACACAGTTTGACTGTGATTGGCGCCTTTGAAGAATACGATTATCAACCTGAATCTCTGACATTTCTCTAACACCCCGTCATCGCACAGATGCCTCTTTACACCTTTGTCACCGGAAATCCCGCATCAAATCCCGGACTCTCAGCCTTGCCACCTCCCACCTCCCACATCCAACTCCCACTCGCTAACTTTCACTCCATGTAACCACACTTGCAGACGTCACTTACTGAAAATAGCAAGAAGCAGAAGGATTGCTGGCCGTCCCTCGAAGGGCTCTCGTCTACGGGCAACTTATTAGCGTGAACCATTCGCCACGGCCCCGAAACAAACGCATGCGCTTCTGCAGAGGAAAGTCAGCAAACAGAGTTTGGGTCTTCCTGATCCTTGAGGAGCCACGCCACGTTTTGTGAGGGAGCCCTAGGTGTTCCATGACTAACGTTCAAGTTGATCTAGCTGGATGTGGAGAAGTCTTTTCGGTGCGGAGTGGAGGCGGTTTCCGGATTTCGCAGTTGTGGTTTTGCTGGCGGCTTGCTGAGTTTGGAAGCTGTGCGCTTTTTCCACGACTTATATGGTACTAGCGAGCGAACATCAGTCGCTTCGTGGCTGCTTTGGGTCAGTCGGGAGCCTACTCTTTGTCAAGATCTTGCAGGTCCGCCTGATGAGAAACTGTTTCCTTCCTAAAGAACTTTGTTCATTTCCCATCCGTACACTATCTGAGTGAGGATGAAACGCTCCCGCGAGTCGGCACCAGAATGCGAGTGCCAACCCGCCCCCTCGATCTTCAGACTCTAACCAAGGCACCCGAGCCTTCTTTCCTGCAGGATCAAGAACGTAGGTGAAGGCCGATCGCTAGAACAGTTCCACGGATCAGACCGCGAAGTTACTTTTCAGCTCCGGCACTGGGGACAATAAAGTCCGGACGGCATCGAGGTCACCGTCGTTAAGATTTCTGATATGGCCGACAACCTCGTTTCGCGCGAGCAGCGACGGGACATCATTAATGGGTGCTGGGTGCTCGTGTTCCTCTCCTGCACTCCTTCCGTCAACCTGCTCTTCGTTCTTGGGAATCTGGCTTACACGAGGTCATGCCGTCGGTCGAGTACTTCCAGCATGGCGTTTCGAATTCGAATCGATCTTCTGGGCCATCTCTTTGCGGTTCTCGTCGCTCGACTTGGGGGCTTGCTCGTGCAGTAATCAGCGGTTACGTTGCCTCGTCACAGTACTCGGTGATATGACAGGTCTCCTGGTGCCTTCCATCGATTGCTCTGAGGTCCTCCAAGTTCAAGCCTCCGCCCGAGGCCATCTTCCTTTAGACTATGGGTGAACATCGACATGATGTGCAGGACGGAGTTGGACATTGCCACAACACCTCCTTCCCAAATGTGAGATTTTAAGGCGATAGGGACCTACCGGAATTATATCGAGCTGCCAACGATACTATTGCCAGCGGGATAATCGGTTCCTCAATGCAAAACTCTCGGTGTTGTCGGGGCGTTGAGGAGAGAAGATTCCCAACTCCAAAAATCGGAAGGCCGGGTCGCTTTGCAGAATCCTCCTGGCGACCTAAACGTACAAATCTGCCACAATCGGGTTTCAAACTTTTCCGAATGGGGTGCGCGGGTGCGACAGCTTCGTCGAAGAGCTCCAGCTTCTGTCTGCCACTGCACTCAATCAACATATTCTTAGAACAGACATGTACGAGCGAGCGCCTCCTCGCCGAAAGAAAACGGACATAGTCCGTTCGCGTGGCGGATGCAAATCCTGCCGGACAAGGCGCACAAAGGTGCGGTGAACATTCACTCGCGAATTTTTGACGCTAATCTCTGATCTCTTAGTGCGATCAGCGCAAGCCTTCCTGCGGCACGTGCTTGAGGTTGAAAAGGTCTTGTGAGCCGCCATCCCCAAGGCTGGAGTTTCGATATGTCCAGCCATTCTCCAGTGGGCCAAGGTGGGAATCGACTCGCGACAGAGATGCCCTCACTGTGCCCCACTTTGACGTCGGTGTCGAGACTGTCGAGACCATCTGCGAGCCACCCTCGCGTACATTTGATGATGTCTCTGCTTCGGATTCCAAAGAGCTGGACGCCGACGAAAATGCTCTTCTTCGCATGCCTTCGACCTTATCGCCGCATCGGGATTCCCTCGCCGCTGCGCGTTTTTATCTGAATGTTTGGAAGGCACAATGTCTTCCGACCCTTCCCGCGGAACTCCATCATCTCGAAAGACTTGCATATCGCTCCTTCGTAATAGTCGACATGATGACCGCCCTGTCAGCATGCCGTCTTAGTCGAAATTTGCCTCAGCGAAGGCTGATACGCCAATCTGCCAGCAGCCTTGGATCGTCTTTCCGGCCGGATAAGGAGCACGAATCACTTGGTTGCCAGCATTATGGAGCTGTGATACACCAGGTTGCCAGGTGGGATAATAATGAGTTCGCCACGGATCCCGTATTTGGCCTGACATTCATGGTGATGTTCTGCTTAATTGCGGCATCGATGGGTAGTTTTGCCGAATTCCGGCTTCATTCCAACGCTCTCAAGAACCACATCCAGATCCACGCTTCTGACCTCATACGCAACGGCTTAGGGTTATTGGCGACGTGGACCGACGTAGAGATGCAGACCTGGTGGCGGCGAGCGTATTTCAGTCGACCAAACTTCCACCGCCACCATGGCAGTCTATCGTTAGATCCCCAAATTGAAGCGGCCCTCATCACAGCTGGAAAACGTCGAGCGACAGTTTCGGTGATCATCAGCGAGTCTCATCGCCTGAACACGGCAGCCATTGTTTCTTGCCGCACGTGGGAGGATGATGACGGCGAGCGAGACAACATACCGTCTTGCCCAAGTCAGGTCATGTCGATGGGACACTACACGAGGCTGCTCAGTCTAGAGTCGGACAAATTGGATGCATGGCTTGCTTCCGTACCTCTATTGGAGCTTCCTCTTTCCACTCCAGTACCCGAGCAAACTGTTGCTCAGATAACGCACGGCGGGTTGTTCGTTGAACCATTACGATTCCAGACCCATGACGCGGCCATGAACTTTGCGTACTACGTTGTTGCGAGAATCATGCAATGCAGTGCTCCCTTGATGGCTCTCGATACCAATGAGTGTTCGTTCGATCTGGACGTGGACTATGAAAATACAGAGTCGTGGGTCCTTACGCTCCTTCGAATCGCTGCTGGACTGGATTGGAAAGAGTGCGTTCGCACAAATGTCTTCACCATTGGCTTGACATCTCTTCTTCTCGCCGCTGCACTTCAATCTCGCTCTCTTGCAGTCGGCGAGTGGATGCACAACTGGCTGGAAGAAAGACTGACCGGTGATGCGTTTGAGGAAGCCAACTTCCCCATCTTTCAAGCGCTGGACATTCTTCGTTTGATCAATCGAGAGAGGACCGCAGGGTGGGACGTTCTGGCCCTGTTTCAAACCGTGGACGACGGTGGCGGTAAGGGCAAATTTGGCTCATATCATAGCCAGGCGATTACCGCTCTCTGGGTTTATGGAAGATGTCGAAAGACGGAGAAGTTGTGTGCGTACCGTACGAGTATATGAGCATGAGAAGAACTCCATTCGCGACAGGCAAGCCACGTGCCAAAGACATCAAGTGGATGAGGTCGTCTATACTCCCAGATCTGTGCTGGAAACCATTTCTGGTTAGTCTTGCGAGCCGTAGCCTGATTGTACCTTCCAAATTGGGAGCGCGGGAACGATACATTTTCTGAATGGCGCTTACCCCATCCTCAAGAAGATGCGTCTCAACGTGCAAGCATCTCACTCATCAAGGCATAGCCGTCGAACATATAATTCGGACCGCGGTCATCGCCAGACCTTCTTGCTACTTGCAACAGCACCGGTCCTCTCTAACTTCGCCAACCTCATCCAACGCACCACTCGAACATGTCTCGAAGCGGAGTCTTTACCGATCGAGCACCTGTTCTCCGCCCTGGGGTATATACTCCTGCAATCGTCCCCAATGGCTTCGTTTTTGTGTCCGGGGTGTTGGGTGCCGACCCCGACAGCAAGAAGATCATCGAGGGGACCGTAATCGATCGCTTCGTTCGTCACACCTTTCTTACATGCCAACCTGTACACTCGCACCTTTGAGAAATCACATGCTGCATGAACTCTGATAATTGCTGGTATTGACCGTTTGTGAACAGCACCAAATCATGCGGAACCTGGACGCCGTCCTGACAGAAGCGGTTCAAGCATGAATGATGTGGTGGAGGTCAACGTATTCTTGACCAATATTGAGGATTCAAACGACTTGACACCCGAACATATCAAATATTTTGGCGAGCTGAAGCCAGCCAGAACGTATGTTGCTTCTCCCGGTCTTTGCCGAACCAATCTGCTGACCTTGAACAGGGCAGTGGCTGTAAAGGAATTGCCCTACGGATCAGATATCGAGATCAAGTGTGTTGCGGTCCAGAGCAGCCGTTAAAGGCCTTGCCATCCTAAATTGACGGTCGGACGACAGTTCTGGTCTTCCCGAAAGTGTTTAAAAGTATGCAATCCTTATCTCTAGAAAGTGGCATCTGTCCCTTGGTTCATCCAAGTGAGTGAAGATTACAAGATCACCACCCGCTCGCCCTGATCCACACGTCTACAATATTCTGGTCATCTTCAGATTCGCTATCCACTACCAAATACCATTCATACAATGCCCCTGTCACACAGGCATGATTCGGGAAGATCTGTACGCTATCGCCCACTTCAAGGGGAATTGGTGAGACCATGCCATCTTCCGAAGGTTTATCCCAAGCGATGATGCAGTGTTCTTGACTGATGCGATCAATGATCAATCGGTTCTCCAGGTTAGAGCCCAGTTTCGTTCCGTTCCGACGGATGGCACCCCAGCCTCGTCTCGAAGCACATGGCTCTCTGCCCAGGCCCAAGGTTCCAACCGCCAGCAGTGCTTCGGGCTGGTTTCGTTCGCCGTCGTTGTACACGCTGCAGACTTCCGCAACGACAGAGATGGCGATCTCATCTTCGTACTCGCCTAGTATCGCACCTCGGCACTGCGTCGAAAGCTGTTGGATGTCTAAAATGGAGTACACACCGGCATGAAGCTCGAGCTTCGTTCGAAATCCGGCATGCTGATTTGTGCTGATCCCATGCATAATCTGCCGTAGATGCTCAGCTTCGTCGCTGAGCTTGTCCGTTCCAACAAGTGCTTCTACCGAAGTCACTTGTGGTGAGGCACCAACGCTTATGGCAAGTTCTCTGTCTGTTCCAAACGAGCTCGAGTGCTGACGCAAAGCAGCCAGACAACCATATATTTCGCCCTGGAGATGTCGCATAGCTTGTTCAGGGGTCGACCCGCTATAGCTTAGGCTGCTGTGAGAGTACAGTCCAATGAAATCGGCTTGTCCTGATTCTTCCAGCTGAATCAGTCTGGTGATGAGGTCGTCCTTGTTGACTCCTGCTGGTGGAAGACCGGCACGATGATACCCTGTGTCAACTTTGATGAAAACTCCGGCTGGAAAACCTGCTGAAGAGGCAAATTCAACAAGGTGATCGAGTTGGGCGGGGTGATCGATCAACACAGAGATGGTGCTTGGGGCGATTTGGCGTGCAATTGCAGCGAGTCGCTGGGCTTGTGATCGCAGAAGTGGGATGCCATAAAGAATGTCGACTGTGCGACCAGCAGTCTGAAATTCATACACGAGTGGCACAAGGTGCTCGATCTCGGGGATAGTTGATGCCACCAGCTTTACGGACTTGCTCGTCTCCCCTGCTTGTAGCTGAGTGCCTTCTCGAGTCTGTCTTCTAGTTAGCATCAATGCTCGCAGCCTTATCACGGGAATGTCATTCTTGCCTTGTGACTTTTGACATGAGCCCGAAATTCCACGCCAAGTGCCTCGATGGCTTTCAATAAAGAGTCGCAATGCTTCTTCACCTTGGTCTTGTCTAAGACAACCGCCGGTTTGGGAACCTCGTTGATGGATCTTCCAACGTAGAACTTCCGCAGCTCATCAATCGGCGGCGCGGACCTTTGGGGAACAGACATCGTGGGCGATTGGACCACTCGAGCAGTCTCGATCTTCGTATGCATCTGCTCACAGTCATATATAAGTTGTCCAGTCGTTGTCCACATCCAACGATTGGCCGGATAATCTTTTACACGTACAATTCACTTGGCCGGAAGCGGTGCGCGGAAACGAGCCAGGCTACGACGGCAGGGGCAATGAGAGCTTCCAGGATCGGTAGCTCGGTTACTGGCTTGACTTCATCTTTTTCCTCCACTTCACGTACATCACTAACCCAATTCATCAGATAACGGACAAATACATCAAACCATCTTTTTGGTCATGTCATCTCCATCACTGTCATCTCCATCAGATCCAGAGCTTTACTGGACGAAACCCACACCTCACTCCCCAAACTCTAAACTCCCAGTCCTCGTCTATCGAAACGTCCTTCCCGGAGACCACAGCGTCGAATCAACTTCGAAAGCCTTTGAAGATAACCAATGGAGTAAAGGAGGAGTCTTCAAGCATGTCCCTATAGCACATTTCCACTCAAATACACATGAATGCTACGCGGCGATCCGTGGTTCAACGAAATGGGTATGTGTGAGGCGGTCGCCGATCAGATGGCTTGGGGAGAGCTAAATCCAAATGTCTAGTTTGTCTGCACACCGAGCGTGATGCGCAGATACTGACAAGTGCTTCTAAAGCCTCTACGGTGTCGGGCCGTTGGACGACCAATCGGCCGGCATCACCTTTGACATGAAAGCCGGCGACATCGCTGTTCATGCTGCTGGTGTAACTCACAAGAATCTGGAAAGTAGTGATGATTACGAATACGTTGGACTATACCCAAAGGTGAGCAGACTTGCAATGAGCCTCAGAGCTCCAACTCAGGTTTACAGGACGCACCGCACTGGGACAACAACCTTTGCAAAGCCGACACGGATGAGACGAGGTTGAAAGCGGAGGCTGCGAAGGAAGTTGCAATTCCTGACCACGACCCTATCTATGGACTTGATGGGCCATTGCCCAGGATCTGGAAGAGTGTTACGTAGCCTTCAAATCCACAGCGATGGACATTCATGGTCATGTCCTTCCTACCGACAAAGTCCAATATACCAAGTCCAATATACCCACTCGCAAGCCCTAAAGAAACATGCTCCTGCAATGCGCGGCCATCCTGAGTCTTCACTCACTCCACTCAGTCAAACCCATCAAGTACGACATCATCTTTCTCCTCCTCATATCTGACCCAATCCGCCTCGTCCTTCTCCCAATCCGAATGCACATGACCAGCCATGCACCTAACAGCCAACAGAGCTTTCTCGCACTTCTCCCACGGCATACCAGCATACGCAGCCACCATCTCCGTGACCACCGCTACAACAGCACTAACACTGTCATGCTCCACATCATATCCCTCTCCCCGACTACGTCCTCCATGGATCTCCCGCGCCCACTCCATCAAATTGCCCCAATGTCGCTTACCAGATTTCGATAGGAGAACTTCAACGCAGGAATCATCGTCTTCGTACTTCTGGGCAAGGCGGTAGAAAGCCCCGTAAAGACTGGCGTCCAAGTCGATGATGCGGGTGAAGATGGTATTGCGGAGGTAGAATATGCCGGCGCTCTCGTTGCGGATCTGTCGACATGTTTGTGGGAGAGTTGGGGGTTTGAGAAATGCGTCTATTGTGATTGCGTCGTCCTGGATGAGGACTTCTTCGTAGATACGGTTGCGGAGCTCGGCTGATAGCGAAAAGAAATTGGTTGGATGGCGTGGTTCTTTTTCACAGCCCTTTTGCGAATTGTCCTTGGAGCTGCCGTCCTGGTCAAGCGTCATGCTGTTTGCGTCATTTGAATCCATCTTGGTTGCAGCCTGATCGTTGCCCCAGGTGTCGTTTGGGAGTTTATCGGCAGACAGAATGTTCCTTGTGGAATTGCAAAGGTCTACGAGGGGGTATTCGTACTTTATGAAGCGTGGAGCTGGCGAGTGCGAGTCATCCTCAGCGCTTTTCATTATGGGAAGACGCAGTTGGGACGCAGCTGCAGAAGCCCCCAGCCTTCACCGGTTCATATACTTTGTTTTGGCTACTGTCTCATCCTTTCAACGGGTTCGTGAGACAACCTTGAGGAGTTTGAGAGGCATGGCGGGGATTGTTACTGGCTAAGAGAATACAAGGCTATCATTGTTAATTGTTTGAGAGGGGTTGCAAGAGATCGCGCTAGGAAGTCATAGACGGGGTAAATCTGCGTTGTTCGGTGTTTCTCCTTGTTCAAAGCTTCCTCACGGGTACAGCCCGAAGGTTGGATGCTATGGTCCCTGGACTTTGAAGGACGTTTTGGAGTACGTATTGTGAGAAGCTTGCATTGTCCAGTCGAGACTTGTTATCGATTCGAAGTTCAGCGTACTCGTTTCTCTTCTTCAACCGTCATCTCATTACCTCACACCTCGCTCTATGCAATCAAATGGGGGAATAAAACACCGCAGAACCCACAAAACCTTCATCCAAAACCTCGCCACCCACCTCAACCTCTTCCCATCAACCAACCCACCCCCTCTTCTCATCCTGCCTCAACAAATGATCCTCCCCAGCCGGCGGAGGCGCATACTGCGGCCTCTCAGCAGCAGGCGGCGGCGCATCCATCGCAATAGCATCCTCATAGCTCGGCGGTGCATCCCCATATTCCTCCTCAGCCGCCATACCAGGGCGAGCAGGCAGATGAGGCGCCGTGGAACCTTCGGCTTCGATGGGAGTAGGAGGGATTTGGTTCGCGCCAAAGTCGGGATCTTGTCGACCTTCCATTTTGAGCTTTTCGTTTACAGGGGCGGCGGGTTTGGTTTTGGCGTTGGCGATGCGGGCGAGGAGCTCGGGTGGTGGGGCGATGCCGGAGAAGACGAGGATGTTGAGTCGGAGGGGGAGGACGACGTTCTGTGGCTGCGAGAGGGCATGTTAGCTGGGTCGTCACATATGACAGGATACTGGTGCAGTTCTCATCATCTCCCTTACAATGCGTCGAAGCTGCCCAGGGCGTACCTTTGCCGAGCTGCCAGCATAACCCAGTCCTACCCGCATGTCTAGCTGGTACGAGCGCTCGATATTGCAAGTCTCAAAAGTTGGAGCGACTGTGTTGGGTAATACCTGTTCTCGCCAGATGTTGTTCAGCATTGCTTCTGATTCTGTGCCGCCTGTCGGAAAGTTGATTGGAATGCCCATGTTACTTCTGCTCAAGATGATCCAGCTGTTGCTTTCAGTCCGGAAGACTTCGTGTGCTCGTACTTTCGTGTGCCCGATAAGTGAAATTTGTAATGACTGGAGATAGATCTGATCGTTGAAGTCGCTCATTTTCTTCACGAGTAGCCTCAATGGGATGTCGCTGTTGCAAGTCAAGATGGCCGGTTCTGGTAATCTCGCATCGACGCTGATCGCAGGTGTCTGGCCAGAACTAATGGGCGAGTTCGGAACGCTGGAAGACTTCTTCCCAAAAATGCCCTTCATCTTCTCCTTGACCCCGTCATCGCCAAAAGAATCGAACTTGTGTTTCTGCCGAGCATATATCTCGGAAGAAGAATGCAGCGGCCGTGGTGGCTCTATCGGGAAGAAGTTGAAAGGCGCATAAGCTCGCGGATTCTCCTTGAATATCGAATGTCGATTGACCGTAACCTTGACAAAGTACCTGATCTCCGCCTCTCCGGGAAACCCGCTCAGCGTCGGCGGAAGAGTCTTCTTAACATGTCTCGTAGCCGGCCGAGCCTCCAGGCCAACCATCATAGGCATCTGCTGATTCGTAGAGCAGGTATTATTAAACGGGATCTTTGTCTTCACAGTAAGCTTCTTCCCAAGTTTCCTCTCCATGGGAATACAACCGACCTTAAAACTAAACGGGTACTCATGCTGCCCCTGCGGCAACGTATACGACGCCTTTCCACCCGCCTGGCTCGCAACCTCACTGGGCGGGAAAACCGTCTGCACGCGATACAAAATCTTGTGATACTCGACGAGGGGTTTCGGTCGCTCTCCAGGCTGATCCGGGCGACTCATGAGCCGGGTCCGAGACTCGCCTTCCAGCTTGACCACGATGGCGGAGACATCGGCGGACTTCACACTGCGCACCACGACGCGGCCGCTAATGGTGTCGAGGTTCGTGAAGGAGACGTTGCCGGGTTGGTCGAGGATGACGCTGGCTTGCATCGAGGAGGCGCCATAGAGGCCGTTGGTGAAGGCCGCTGGGTTGATCCCGCTGGAGCTGTACATGAAGATGCGGCGGCTGGGACCATGCGGTAAATATGCGGTTTATATTGGAGCGCGGAGGTCAGATGTCGTCGATGGAGTTTGGAGGCTAGTTTGATGGGGTCAGGATCGTAGCGAAGTCTGAGCTTGGCAGAAGGAGTTGGCGGGTGCTGGGGTTGCTTGGCCGGGACTTTTGAAACGAGGTTGGTGGCATGGTTGTGCCTGTAGGGAAGCCGCCGCTTATGACGCCACTTCTTCACGATGGGCTATAAAACCATTGCGGTCCGCTGCGGATACATAGCCCTTGAAATCGGTATTGCATGCATCTTCATCTTCTTCACCAACAATAATGAATGGCCAGTTTTCGAGCGAGGCGTACTCAGCCACACTCCACTACGCATTCGCAGCACTTCAGCTTGACAAGGACAGCTTGGAACGAATACGATAAATCTTGGAAGAGGTATATGTTGCGATGAAATGTTTCCTTACAATCTGATTAAACTACTAAGGCCGAAGATGTTCTGCTGGCCTTTCGACTACACTCTCCTCCGCCGATTACTTTGTTCAAATCCGAAAAGACCCACTCAACTCCTCGCTAACTCTCAAAACATATTTCCGATAGGGTATCTCTCCAAGAGCAATCTATACCGTTGGCCGTATTGCCGAAAGAAGCAAGCATCGTATCTGGTAATCGTGCGTGCAAGGAAGCAATCTAGAAGACCGGAACTCTGGAGTCGTTGGCCTGTGGAGCAAAGAAAGAGTAACCCGGTGGGGCATCATCTTGGACTGGAGCATGGCTGCCGATGCGGCTGCGGCCAGTGAACTGCGCATCGGGGATGTGGACCGTTCGTGATTCGAAGAAGTCGCCTACATCCTCGTCGTCCATCTCCATCTCCATCCCGGATGCGATCGAGCCGCGACGGGGGCTGTCGCCGTTGCCAGCTTCGTAGGCGACTTGAAGGGGGACTTTGAGGTCGACGGTGCCGCCGAGGCCTGCGGTGTGGAGACCGAGTTCGAACTTCAGCTGGTAAATGCGAGAGACCAGGCAGGAGTGGAAGGTTGGTACGAAAGTCTTGGTTGATGGCAGGTTGATTGGGACCAGGACTCTGGCAACGTAGTACGACTTGCCCTTGAAGTTTGCGCTCGCTTCTGGTGCTTGTCCCATCGTGGTCGAGGAGGTGGAGCAAGCCGAATCTCGTCGAACCTGGTCGTTGCCGCTGTGCCTGGTCCACTCAACACCAGCTACACATCTCGATGACAAGCTCAATTGCTCAGTGTGGAGGCCTTGAGACAGATCGAGGAGGGAAGCCTGCTTGGTTGGGTATCCGTGGCGAGCGTTGCTGGCGAAGAAGGTGCAGACTTTCAGTTTGGTTGCCAGGCTTCCAAGACGAGGTGGTGGACAGTTCTCCTCGTAAGGGTCGAACCGCAGCATGATCGTGGCCATGGCAGGCTGCTGCTCTCCGGCGCTGTGCGCACGAAGACGCATTGACGGGGGCTGTGAAGCCTCCATCACAAGTGTACCAAGCTTCCCCTTGAGCATGCCCTTCCTCATTGACCTCTCTTTTCGCATAGTGTATTCGCTGTCATCGCTGCTAACATCGAGGGGCGGCATCTCATCAGTTACAGGAAGCACTCGCAGTCTGCGAGCCTTGCTGGCGACAGTCGTGCGAACGATGTCGTCTCCGTGCTCCTTGTTCTTGGAGATCCTCGCAAACACGCCGTACCGAATGCTGGCCATGTCGGGGACCATATCATCTGGCGTCTCTGCCTTGGGAGCGGCGTCTCGGTCTCCAAAGCTGGGTGGCAGTTGCAAGTGGGCCTCTCGCAGCGAATCGCTCACGACTTTGTGCTGGCATACTCGTGGGAGAAGCTGCTGTGGAACAACGAAGAGGAAGGGAAATTTATAGGTCTCGCCTGCTTTGAGCACATAGTCGTCGGGATAGTGCTGGTGCATGCGAGGTTGTTGAAGTTTGAGGAATTGATGGAATGCTTCTGATCGTCCAGAGATGGCTGCCGCTGTTGTGAGGCGTTCGACATAGGTCCTGGACGTTCCGACGAATTCGACGTCGATCGAATCAAAGCTGGTATCAACGGATGCTGTTATCTCAACAACGCCCTCGATTTTGTCTAGAGTGGTGTAGACGCTTCGTCGGTTGTTGAGGTTGATTCTGATGTCAGACTTTTGCGCCTGGTAAAGGCCGCGCAACCTGGACGGCATGGTCAAGCCATCGATGCTGGATGTCGAGGAGAAAGACATTTTGGCGGTAGCGAACTGGAGGTCGCGTGTTCAAACAAAGAGCATGCGACGTCTCTTATGTAGCCAATCACTCGCGCTCGGCGATGTCGCAGCTACCGTAGACGACGACGACAATGCGGGGGCAGCTGTGCGAAGTTTCTTTGGCGATACAGGTGGCGTGAGGTCGATCTGGGGATGTCTTGCTTTGTTTCTCCGGGGAGAGGACCTGTTTGCGTTTCGACGAAGGGGTGTGACGGAAAGTGTATACGGAATCGCTTACCGAGGAATGGACGCGGCGACGAGCTTTATTATAGCAGAGCCATCAACGTTGGACAAAGCGGCTGCCACCTCCTGCACCGGGAACTTGGAAGGGCGTGTTGAGTGCAAGGAGTTGAGTCACGGCGAGCTTCCTCCATCACGGCATCGCCATTGACGCCTCTCGCCATGGAAATCGTCCATGGGATTGGTCGAGACCCACTGTGATTGGCCACTGTCACCACAACCCGCCCATCCTGGCGCCACAAACTCGTCCCACAGGGTCCCCATCTTACTTTCTAAGCAGCTCACTACTGGGTAGGGCGTGAGACAACGACAACACCTGTTCCCCTCCACGATTTCCAACTCCGATGCTTACCTGAGCTGACAATTGCTCAGCACGCCCTTTCTTTCCTCGTTTGACAGCGCCTTTGTTCGACATGCTTTGCAACTCCCATCGACTGTCACAACAGCCATTTTGCAAAGCCTTTCCATGGCCGCACCACGGACGTCGCGATGGCCTTGATTGAGCCGCCAGCCATGGCCATCCAGTCCACGCCATGGTGAGGGCAACGCGTGTAAGGACTTGCCATGAACGGCATACATTTCCATGCCCAAACGTGTACGTTAGGCGCAGACGAAGACAGCGTGAGAGCACGACATGTTATGTGTCATGGGCGGACGTGTAAAGGAAGACGACACGAACCCAACAAATCCAGATTCTTCCAAGTGGGCCTGGTGTGCCATCGTGAGGGCTTGGGGAAGCAGAATTTTCAACACGTGCGTTTCTCGCGCGCTATTCTTGGGGTTGGGCGGTTGTCGCTACGGCGCAATTGGCAAAAAAGAGCATTGCATGTGCTACACGGTCTAATGATGCCACGAGGTTCGTACGAACGGCGCGAGAGGCGAGGAAAAGTGCTGCATGATGGTGTGAGATTTTCTTCCTGCTTCCTCTCGGCAATGGAGTGCGACTGCGGAATGTCGGAGTGAACCCGATCGGCCTCGGAGTTGGCGCAAGGTTTGGGGATCCTTCACTCACCATCTCGCAATCGTCCTCTCCTGTTGGCTCATCATCGCATCACACGCCCTTCGGTGTAGTGTGTACATGTACGTACCGCGCCATCCTCACTCCCATATTATTGCAGCTGGTTGGGGCAGGATCGCGGAATGAGCCAGCTTTCCCCATTTCCCCATCTCGTTGCTCCTTGCATCTCCTGGCGATCTCCTTCCAGAAGCGCTAAAATGCTCACACCACAGCGCCATGGCGGGGCCAAAAACCCACTGCCGAACCGAGGACATGCAGGCTGACTTCGACGATGGGAACTTGCTGTCATGCTCTTCCAAAATACAACACGCAGAAAGTTGTGACAGTCTCAGGCGAATATCCTGGTATCACAACTGCATCGCCAAAAGTCTGCCATCCCAAACGACCAGTTCAGAAGCTCGGTTTGTTATCAGAGTTCAAGAAATTCTACTCGCTTGGTCTTCTCGATCACGATGCTCACAATGGTTCAGTCTCAGTCTAGCAAGCAGACACCAGGACGAGTCTATCTTATCACAAGACATATACGACACTTCCACGAATGCAGCAGCGATTGACCGCCGACACAGGAGCCTCGGACAGTCTGCTCATCAGGATGCAAACCGCGCGAAGGTCTTTCCCCAAGAACCATCGAGTCGACAGTGGCACCATCCGCCAGGTAGCGTAGGGATACCGCACGATCTCGACGGTTCATGCCTCGTAGAAGGTTTCTTGTTCATCCTGCTTCGACTCTACTGCATCGGCAACAACCTCGATGAAATATTCTGGGGACGTTGAGCAACAAGGCGACGGGCTTATTATCCTTCATAGAGATCTGGTCGTCTACGTGACAACACAGCCAAGCAACTACGATCTCGCACCCCATTGAACGATGACTCGGATCTCTGGTTTGACTCATTGACTCGATGCATTGGTTTGCCATTGGCAGTCTGCCGTTGATCCGTGGACAAGGGCAAAGAGTAGAAGCACATTGGAAAGGGCCCTGAGATTCATGCCTGAGGCAGAAACTTTCTGACTCACTTTCGTTGCCTGCCACAACAGCTATCGATACAGCTCCTCGACCACCTTGACCGGTCACTTGCATGCGAATGCTGTGAACGTGGCAGCTCATTGTAGTCATGACCTCCGCTCCAAAACTTGATGTGTACGAGTACAGCATTGCTGTCATCGTCCCAAAGTGGCAATAAGGCAAACGCCAAGCCGTACAGGCAGCAAGGCGCCTGAGCCTGGTATAAGTATCTTCACTGCTGAACTTCTCTCTTTCACTCTATCATTCTTTATCAAATCGACACCAAACTTCCATCAGATTACAACCGCACAGAGTGCGCAAAACACAATGTCGCTCCACAACCATATTTGCGGCTGCTACTTTACACTCAACAACTACCGTCGGAAATATCTGCCTCAGATTCGCCTGGAGTCGCACACAACAATCAGCCCCGTGGCCTTCACGACTGAGCTCACACAAACTTTCTACAACCCCACCAGTGAATCAATCAAGTCGCTAAGATACGCATTCCCGCTCTACGATGGAGTCGCAGTGAATGGATACAGCATCAGCTACGACAACAAGACCATCGTCGGCGTGGTGCAACAAAATGAAGATGCCAGGCAGACCTTTCAGGCAGCAGTCGATCGAGGGGAGACCGCCGGCCTCCTGGAATCGTTGCCTGCGGGTGTGTTTGGCGTTACGCTTGGGAATGTTCCCGCGAACGCGGAGATCGTGGTCGAACTCACATACGCTGGCGAGCTGAAGCACGATGCTTCGATCGACGGACTACGATACAATCTGCCGACATCGATTGCGCCCCGATATGGATCCTACCCTGGAGAGCTGCTACAGTCAGATGCCGTCAATTCAAGAGGCATCAGCATCACCGTCGACATCGACATGGGGAAGTCTGCGATTCGGCGAGTACAATCGCCGTCCCACCCAATCGCACTTTCTATGGGCGAGTTGTCGACAAGCGCAAAGGATAGCAAAAACCCACCGCCCTTTTCGCCATCGCAAGCTTCGGCAGCATTGACACAAGGCACGACAGAGCTCTCTGGCGACTTCATTCTCCAGCTGCTGATCGACGACATCAGCAAGCCCCAGGCGATACTCGAAGTGCACCCCACGCTGCCAGCTCAACGAGCGATCATGACCACGATGGTGCCGAAGTTCACACTGGAACCGGCATACCCCGAGATCGTTTTCATTGCCGATCAATCAGGCAGCATGTCAGGCGCGAAGAACGTAGCCCTTGTCAAAGCCCTCAAGGTCTTCCTGAAATCGTTGCCTGTTGGCGTACGCTTCAACATTTGCGCATTCGGCAGTCGACACGAGTTCCTCTGGCAGACATCACAGGCGTACAGCGAGGCAAACGTGAAGACGGCCTTGTCGTTCGTTGAAAAACTCTCAGCAAGCTATGGCGGCACAGAGATCTTTCCGCCGATAGAGGATACCTTTAAGCGACACCTCAAGGACATGCCTCTTGAAGTCATGCTCCTTACCGATGGCGAGGTCTGGGCCGAGGAAAGACTCTTTGGCTTCATCAACGACCAGATTAGGGAGAAGAAGGTCGACGCTCGTGTCTTTGCGCTGGGAATTGGGCAGGACGTGTCGCACACTCTCGTCGAAGGTGTAGCCCGTGCCGGGAATGGCTTTGCTCAATTCGTCACGCAGAATGAGGATACTGATCAAAAGATCATACGTATGCTCAAGGGTGCCTTGTATGCACATACGAAGGACTATGAGCTCGAGGTTCACTATGCCGATGAAGAGAAGATGCAAGAGGATGATGACTTTGAGATCGTGGAGAAGGTCAACGATTGCCTGGTGATCAAAGACCAACCTCCTGGAGAGAAAGCGCCGCCTGCGGAAGTGAAACCACAATCATTCTTCGACACCTCCGCGGACCTCGACAAGCCGGCCGACAAACCCCAAGGAGCGGACAGGTATGCTCATCTCCCAACAATCGACGAGCCCAAGGTTCTACAAGCACCCGCCGACATCCCGCCACTCTTCCCCTTCAACCGCACCACAGCATATCTCCTCCTCGGCCCAGACTCCGCGCAAAAAGATGTCAAGTCAGTCACGCTACGAGCCAAGTCGCCACAGGGCCCACTGGAGCTGAACATCCCCATTCAAGGTGTTCAATCTGGTACAAGCATCCACCAGCTAGCGGCCAGGAAAGCTATACAAGAACTGGAGGAAGGCCGTGGCTGGTTACATTTTGTGACTGTGCAAGATGCAAATGGAGAGGTTGGGATCAAGAAAAAGTATGAGAGTCGTTTTGACGAGATTGTGGAAAGGGAAGGAGTTCGTCTCGGAGTGAAGTTCCAAGTGGCGAGCAAGTGGACTTCTTTCGTTGCGGTTGAGGACCACGAGAATGAGACAATGCAGGAGGAGCAACCCCACTGGGAAGACGTGCGATCCTCTCAACCACGCTCCCGGGCAGGAATCAAGTTCGCTGCGAGACGTGTCTTGCCGCAAGGTGGAGAACTGGCAAGTGCTCGCCAACCCAGTGCCAGAGACGGCTGTGGAGCAGCGGGCTTCGGACAGAGACAGAGGGACATGGCACGACATGCACCGGTCGTGACACCTTTCGCACAGGCTCAGCAACAGAGGTCGTACCAGCCCGAAGCATATCCAGCAAGCGGAGGACTCTTTGGTCAGGCACAGCAACAGCAGCAACAGCAGCAGCAGCAGCAGCAGCAGCAGCAAGCATACGGATCAGCGGGAGGCCTCTTCGGCACACAACAAGCCATGGGACAGAGTAACACCATGAACTTCTCTGGTGGGAGTCTCTTCGGGAACGTGGCCGCCTCTACTCAAGCTGGATACGCTCCTCTATCGGTGGACGCCCTGCCAGGACAAAGCTCACTGTTCAGCGCCGCACCACCAACCCAGCCCATGATGGCGAGGAGAATGGCTCCAACAGCATTTGGAAGCGCTTCGTCTGCAAGTACAGCCTCTTCATCGGGAGGTGCAGGTGTCTCACGCTTCCTGCGAGAGGAGGAAGAGGACGAAGACGAGGACATGGGCTACGGTCTCTTCGATGCCCCTGGTGAGATCACTCCTGCTCTTGCACTCGCGCCCTCAGTCTCGATCTCCCAAGCTGACATGCAGCGCTACGCAGATGAACTGCAACAATCTGCATGCATGCCCCTGCCAGACGAAGACGACGACGACGCCCTTGACCTCTCGACCGCTCCAGCTACTGCAGCTGCTGCTTCTCCTCCTCCACCGCCAGCCCGAAAGAGAAAGTCCACAAACAACCCCCTCCACGACCTCATTGACCTCCAAACCTTCTCTGGCTCCTGGTCCTGGAACGAAGACGTCTTCGCCGCCGCTGGGTTGGACGTCAACACTGTGGACATCTCCAAACTTGACAAAGACCCGGATGTCGCTGCCACAGCGCTGATTGTGGCGTATTTCGAGACGAAACTGGCGGGGAAGAGGGATGTCTGGGAGATGGTAGTGTCGAAGGCGAGGAGTTGGTTGGCTGTGCAGCTGGGAGGGAAGGGGAAGGTGGATGAGGTGATGAAGGAGGCGGTGAGAGTTATTGAGAGGAATTAGGAATGCGGTGGGATAGGGGTTCATTAGTGCGAAATGATGGAGTTTTGAGGTTGATGTAGCTAGTCACGAATAACGAAGAAATCTTTACCAAGATTCGAGATTTCCACGCTCAGCGGAAGACATTTCCTGGTTGCACAGGCCTGCGCATTTGTCGAGGACTCCACAACATGCCTCTATCGAAGTGAGTCTACATCTGGATCCCGCCGACAGAAATTGCAAGTGGATGCCGAAGCTATCAATGTGCCGTTTCAGGAAGGTACGTGGAGCTAACATTGCACAAATAATATGGACTTCGTGTGACATGCCGTGAATCCTCTGAGTAACTAAATTGAGATGTTTTGTTTTGGTCGAACAACGTGCATCTCTATTTCCTTTTTCTCTGCGATCCGTCGACATGGAGGCAAATTGCTTTTTGGACTGACCACTTACTGAAGCATTGATCTGGAGACTCCCTGGATTGCAACTCCCCACCAATGTCTTTGAGCCTTCATGAAAATCCTAGAGATGCACATCCCATGAGATACCTCGACCACCTAATCAACAAGACAAACAATCTTCCCCGTCGTCCGATTCTCCTCCAACATCAAATGCGCCTCCCCAATCTCCCTCCAACTCAACACCTTCTCAATATGCGCCTTATACTCCCCACTCACCAGCCTCGGCTTCACCTTCTCACAAAAAAAATCCCTCAACTTGGCTTGATACTCCAAATCCCGACTCCGCAAGGTCGAGCCGACGAATGTTGCTCTTTTGAACAGGAACGCGCTGATGTCGGTTTTCTCGGGGAGTGTGACTCCGCCTAGAGCGCCGAGGAGGACGACGCGGCCGTCTCTGGCCACGAGGGAGAGGTTGTCGGCGAAGTAGGCTGCTCCGATGAAGTCGATGATCAGGTCGACGCCTTCGTTGTTGTTCAGGCGGCGGAGTTCGTCGGCCCAGGAGCCGCCTTCGGTGCCGTCTGCTTTTGGGTAGGATTTTGTTGAGTTGACTGCCGCTGTAGCGCCGATCTTGTTGACTACGAAGTCGCATTTGGCGTCTTGTCTTGTTGTGGCGTAGATTTTGGGGGTTGGGTCAAGAGCCCGGCAGAGTTGGATGCCGGCGATGCTGACTGACGAAGCGCCTGCGTGCCAGAGGACGCTCTTGATTCGAGGCGACCATTCTCCTACAAGGTGCAATGCTTGGAGAGCAGTCATCCATACCTATAGACACATGAGTGATCGCCTCGAAGGATGCTGGAAAGAAGACTTACCTCAGGAATAGCCGCACACTCCTCCCAGCTCAACTCCTTGGGCTTGCGCACCAGCATCTTCTTGCTCACCGCCACATACTCAGCGTATGCTCCACCGTAGGTCAGACCAAACACCTCATCGCCCTTCTCATACCCCTTGCCACCAGCATCATCGCTGCCGACTTCCTCGACCGTTCCCGAGAACTCGAGTCCAAGGATCTTGCTAGCTCCGCGTGGCGGAGGATATTTGCCTTCTCGCTGAACGGTGTCCGCGCGGTTGAGACCGAAGGCTTTGACTTTGACGAGACATTCTGTTGGCTTGATCTCTGGTTTGGGAGTTGCGTCGTTGATGAACAACGCCGAGGCTGGGCCAGTGCCGCCTTTGACCTCTAGTGAGTTGTTAGTATGATGATCAGACTCGTTTCTTTCTCAGGATCTCAAAAAAGCCACTCAATCTGATGTGAAAGCTGATGACCGAGGTATGGAGCGGCGTGGAGGTACATACCAATAGCTCTCATTGTTGCCATTTCTTCTATGGAAGCGAGGTAAGCTTCTGCTCACAAGCCGAACACGAGTATATTCTCGAAAAAGGATTGAGCGCTTGGGAGTTTGTGACGCCTTTGAAGGGTTAGCAATGATAAAAGCCCGGCAGCAGCGTGATGTACATGTAGGTAGCGGACACAGTGCGGAGCTAGGAAGGAACGAGCTATGTGGAAGAAATGCGTCAGCTTGTTGTCAGGCTTAATTCTGACAGTCAGAATGTGGGCGAATCGTGCAAATATGCTCTGGCATTATTTAGTCACAATGTTATACAGCTTTTGAAGTGGATCTTCAGTACGAGCTTGCCGTTGCAACGTAACATCGCATCAGACTGCTTCATTGACAAGAACCCAGCCATCCTCGTTAGCAGTCTCCTCGGCCTTCATCCTCTTGAAAATCTCGGTGACAGACTCGACATTCGTGGAACTCTTCATTGCTTCGAGATAACGGTAATATGAAGTCGTGGAAGGCATTGAAAACTTGTGGGGTATCATAGTGAGATCGATTTGCTCTGCCGAGAGAAATGGAGAACGAGGCGGATCAGCCATGTAAGGTATGATCCGTTTCATCGCTTCCAGCCAGTCGAAGGGTTTTTTGCACTCGAACGTAAACCTGACATCGCCTGTCCATTTGGCAGCCTGGAAATCGACCCAACCTTCCCCGTCAGCGTTGCTGTTGAGAAGAGTTTTCTCATGGCCAGAAGGAGTATCGCTGGGTTGCTCTTGAAGCTGGTAGCCGTGCGTGATGCTCGAGCGGGTGAGGTGAATCGTGACTTCGATACTGGAATCCAGCGAACAGAGATCGTAGAGGCGAACTGCCTCGAGAATCCGAGGCGGCGCGGCAAGGAACGGCGACAACCTGTCGAGAGGCAGTTTAAAGCGTTTTAGAGGGCCTTCAAAGCCTACGCCATGATTAGCAGCAGACCTACCAGGCCATGTAGCGTTCGAAGCCCACCTGCAACGAGCCACAGGTGTTTCTGGCTGTCACTCTGCAATCCCCAGTACACCGCTGTGCATCCTTCAATCTTGGCCAAAGTCTCCAGTGTTCCAAACAAGGCCGCTTTATTGTTGCGGGCTTCTACACAACGGGCCAGCTCTTCCGAAATTGTGCAATCCAACAAGACAGCTCGAGACATCCCCGGCTAACGCAAGGGTAGAGGATTGGGAGACTCAATGGCAAGCGTGGAGTGGAGGAATGAAGCCTGGATTTAAGGTAGCCAAGACAACCTAACCAGAGACATAGATATTAGGAGGTAGCAGCCTGGAAGGCCGCAGTGACCAGCTGGCGTTTGACCGGTGTAGCAATCCTTCCAAGGGACACGAACTTGAGTCAGCATCTACTCAAAGTGAGGCCTGAACAAGGCCCTGCGACGTTGTGGGCAAGGATTTAGGTCACTGCCACCTCGAAAGCAAGCCTGAGGTGTTACGTTGTAGACGTTGGCGATGAGCTTGGGTTCAAAGTCTTTGCCGGTGAGCGGATCGATTATCGGCGTGCCCTAACCTTATCTCGTGAGGAATGGCGTGTCTTTTTAAGGTTCCAGAAGATTACGTGTCGTTGTTAAGGGCTGTTAATTACGTGAATGGAAGAGCAAGGCTTCCAAGGTTGTATCGACTGAAACTCTTTATTCATCGAAGCCTGTTTGGTGGTATCCTCTTACTTAACCGAAGAAATGAGACGACCTCCATCGAAATGTATGGTACCACCAGCAAGTCCAACGAACGAATAAATGTAAGCCGCGATCTCGGTGTCGCTGCGCCGATGATGCAAATCGATGAGCGGTTGCATTTCACTCATCGTTACTCATTAGGCCATGCAGCTCAAAATCTTCAGCTTTAGCAGCCTGATGATCTGCAGAACTGGATGTTGTGGCGTAACCAGTGGTTCGTGGCAAATCATCAATAAGGTCCACCGGCTGCTTTCCAGTGTTTGATGAATTCTTGTTTGTCGAATAAAGATGCAGTAGTATGAGCACAACTAGAACCGGGTCATTGGCGTGCGTCGAGGCAGCAGGAATGGAACGTTTGGACTTACAGAGGAACAGGAAGAACGAGCCGCTGGAGAGGACAAGGATGTAGGACACGGGCGGTACGCCAGCGTCTGACAGGGCCTTCATTTGCTCCTCGGTCGCCCCCATCAACAAGAAGCCAGCAGCGCAGAGGAGAAAGGGCGGCAAGTACTGGAAGCTGTTGATCTCCGTATGACCACCTTCGAGGTCAATAGGGGTTGTTCTGGCTTTCAACACGAAAGCAATCTCAATGATGCGAGCACCACCAGCACTCATCAGGATGTAGCCGAATGTCGAATGCACAAGTCTGCTCATCATGAGGTCCTGAGGGTGTGCGCCCATAGCCCAGCCAGTCAAAATGATAACGACGGCAGGAATCAAGTTGCGCTGCGGTCGCCCTTGCCGGTCTCGCGACAGCCACATACCAACAAGGCCAGCGGCAAACCACAGAATCCCTATGCTGGTGTGATCGAGATCGTTCTTAGCCCATGGATGACCCCATCTGTGCTCAGTGAAAGTGTTGACGAAGCCCCAGAGTGTTATGATCAGACTATCCCAGAACTCCTGGCTTCTCCGGGTTCCTGCAAGCCACGCCTGACCATTGAGTAGAATTATAGTGAGCATGATGCCGTAAGCGATGAATGCGGATCCCATGATGAAATGTGCTGCACACTGCCCGAGATGATCATTTCGACAGAAGCCTTGGGAAGCGATTCCACCTAGCAAGAACTGTGCCCATATTGCTATTGGCATGATAGCTCCAAGTATGCCGTGTCCGCGAACAAGTTGTCTCCTGATAGCATTCAAGAAGCCTGTCCCGATGTGAATCTTCAAGTAAATGCCAACTCCAGACTGGACAATCATCATGAGCATCAGAGGGGTTGCAAACTTCGCATGTGCGTTCGGTCCGAAATGGGCGCCTTTGTGCAGATATCCCAAGGAGTATCCCACTATTGCTAATGTTGTTGCTACGACTTGTACTGGTACGTGCCATCGTGATCGCACCAAGCCTAATACCATGCCAGTCGGGTAGAGCATGCCGCAGGCGAAGCCTTGCAGAAGTATATGTATCCACATTGTGCTGTGTAATGGCGCATCTGATCTCGCTTCTCCTTCCGGTGTTTGGTCATGGCCGTCTTGTCCCAATGCTATGCTCGCACAAGACAAAATCATAGCCGCTGTGATTGGGGTCATTCGTCTTGCCTGGAGGGTGGCCATGCTGTGTGGACGTCTTCTGTGGCAGTTTCAAGGCTGCTATCGTCGGGACCACCAGGCTGTGGGATGCCAAGGCTGTGTTCAATGAGAACATGTATTTGAAGTCGCTCGATGCCAAACTCAACAACGGTAAAGAGCAGACATGGGTTTCCAAAGAAGAGGACGTGTGAGAATTGAGTCGTCCTTATCATCAAACTGACACTTGAAAAGGTCCCGTGAAGAGACTGGATCCACCCTGTTCGACAACCCATTTTGGTATTACTTGGCTGCCTGGCGATCGATGGCGTCGCACTGACATTTGTAGGAAGAAACTGCGCACTCACACGAGTTCTGACACTCGTCGCCTTGCCCGTACCCGTATCGACCAGGAACGCTGCAGAACTTCTTGGTATGAAGATCAGGGCAGGGCGCGTTCCAGCCAATAGAGCTTCGCCCAGTCTAGAGCTGATGTCCAGTCGCAAAAGTAGCCCTAGATGCGGTTTAGCGGAACGGTCTTTCTGGAACGGCAACAGCTCCTCCCTAAACGGGGAGCAGATAACCCTGCACGAAATGAATCAGGTCCCGAGGTGCGGCACTGGCCGGTAGAGTACCGCGGCCTGGCGCCAAGCATCTCCTGACTTCATTCCAGCCCTCACAACCTTCCATCCCCTCCCACGCCCTGGACTGCGCGACAACGAGTGTAGTTCACCGTACGAGTCACCACACCGTGCTAATCTCAAGGCGCATGGCTTGCGGTTCCTGGGTGTCGTTAGGCAAACATTATCGATTATAAACTGCTCTGTATCGTATCGAAAACATCGATTCAGTGGCCACGGACAGATATGGACCAAAAGCCATTCCTCCATCATCAACCAGCTGCGAGATACACGTAAGATGGACGGTGCGATATCATACCAAACACCAATAACTCTAACTCTCGGCAGACCGCGCCTACGCCCCCGGAGCTTCCTTGTTGCAGCGGCTTTGTTATTGTTGTTTGGATACTATGTATACGGTCCAGCAGCGTCGTCGGGACAGAGTGGCCCATCTCCTGTATACAATCATGGGTGCGCCGCCCTGGACCAGAAGCAGACATGATTGAGACCTTTGCTGACCCTCGTCAACGGCCGACAGATACTCAATACGGTACTGGCCTGGCTGGTCTGGTCTGAACCACATCATCTTCTTCGGCGACAGCTATACATCGACCCGATTCTTACCCCGGAACGACCCACCATCGTTCGAGAATCCGTTTGGGAATCCTCCAATCCCCGGCAACGTCAGTCAGAAACGACCGCTGTGGTCCGACTTTGCCGTCATGAAATACAACCAAAGCCGACTCACGGCCATCAACCTATCTTGGGGCGGCGCCACGATCGACGATGAACTCCTCGTCCCTTTCATGGATGTCATCGAGGGGCTGAATCGACAGGTTGGCGGCCATTGGAGGGACAAGTATGCTGGGGGCGGGATCGATGCGGCGAATTTCCACTGGCAATCGCATGATACACTCATTACTTTCTGGTTCGGCATCAACGACATTATTGCTGCATTTCATTGGGAAAACAGAACAGAGGTTTGGCAGAGGGATCTGACGACGTATCGCGAGAGCATCGTAAGTCCGGGCAATGCAGGCCTTGTCTGTGAGATGGCGTGCTTAGACTGCATGAACTCACACCTCTACAGGAGCAGGTATACCAGGGAGGCGGCCGCAACTTTCTATTCTTTAACGTGCCGCCCATCGAACGTGCTCCTATCACCCTCGCCATGAACGAGGACCTCCAGAAGAAGAAGGCGATGCAGGTCGCCGAGTGGAATCAAGAACTCTTCAACATGGTGCACGACTTTACCAAGCTACACAACGACACAACGACGTTTTGGTGGGATACGTACAAGTCATATACGGAAGTCCTCGATGACAAATGTTCGCATAAACAAACGTGCGTCCTGAAGGAAATGACGGGATATTGTGTCGATTGTGAGTTCTGGGCATGAAATTTGCAGCGGCACGATAAAAGGCTAACTTTTGGGCCCACTAGACGCGAATCGCCTAGATACTGATTTACTGGTGTCGGTGAGCTTCCACGAGTACAGCAATGCGTGTGGGATCCCTCGCTGATCTTGGTCATGACAGTGGGATCAATTTGAGTCCGGTTGCGCGCACCCGCTCAAGGATTACTTCTGGGTAGGTCGCAGCTTATACCACAATGTTCTAGGATTCAGCTGATCCGCTCTGCCTGCTTTTCCAGATGGATATCCTCCATCACGGATACCACATGCACGATGTAACTGCACAAGGCGTCGTTCGGATGATGACTCAAACGCCTCGAAACTACTTCCCGCCGAGCCTGGGATCGATATCGGGCATTGGCCCGGGTGTTGGCGCTGGGTGACCACGTTACAACAACATCGTTGCGCCGAGGCCACCCCACGGAACTTTGTATAACCATTAATAAACGAACTATCAGAGGCCCGTCTCTATGGTCTTATCCCGATCGACTCGAACAAATTATCAATCAAAACCTCCATGATTGGAGTAAAGAGCGAGCATAGCACAGCCAGTACAAGAATAGTCAGCGCATAGAGAGATAAATGACTACAATCCGTCCTCTTCCTGCGACAGAGACGCGGCAGAGGCGACCAACACCTAGACAGGACTGGAACTCTCTCGTCACCGGCTAGTGATGCTCTGACAGCTGGATTCGGCAGACCGCTATCTTGGAGAGTCTAAGCTGTGCAGTAGAAGCGTTGTGGATTATGTATAGGTGGATTCGTGTTGTTGAGACAAATGAATAACGTACTGTTCGTACGTGGTCTGTTCGTATAGAAATAAAATTGAGTTTCTGCCGGGCAAATAGTCGTGCGAAGGCAGCCGAGCGGTAAGGATCGTCGGTTTGGCCTGTGTATGAAGAATCTACGACACGTCGAGCGACACTTCCGCTATCTCTATGTATCTACTTTCTTTTTAATTCCATTTCTGTTAATTACGCTACAAGTACTGCGCCCACTTCCGGACCATCTGTTTCCTAAGGCGGAACACCCGCTAGTAGTATAGCCTTGTAAGGCTACGTGGACATAATAGACAGTACTAATTATATCACTCGATCGTTATCTCTATTTTCCACCCTGGTTCTTCTACTAGTTGTCTTTCCTATGGACCAAAATCGTTCAATCCTGGCTTGTATCGACAACAAATTTTGTCTAATCACAATATCAACCAATCCCATCTGTTGATCCGTGTAGAGAAAGATTTGTATTATTTGGATGAATATACTTCTACATGATCTTTCTACACCACGACGCCAGAAAAGCTAACCCAACTGCGAGAGCTGCAGCCTTGCCATATACGACGACATCCGCGACGATGTAGAATGGCCCCACCGTGCGGTCCCATTCGGATTCGGAGTTGGCAATAGGGAACTGCACTTCTTCGGCAGGAATTGGGACATCAAGGAATCGGCACAACGGTTCCCAGCCCTCCTTCACATTGAAAACTAGCAGCCTCGAAGGTGGCACGAGCGATTTGACCTCCTCCTCATGTCGCCTCAACCAATCCAAAGCCGTCCGCGTTCCATGTATGTGATCAGCACGCAAGGACTGATACATTTCCGCGCCGTTCGCCATACGTTGATCGATTCGAGTGCGCGAAGAAGTCGGCCAGCCGAGAAAGAAAAGTTTGCGGTAGAAATAGCTGGACCATGATCGGGGAGGCTCGAAGTAGAATCGCTCCCATAAAGGAATAACGGTACGCTGCATACTACGCCACCACTGCTCCGGATTGTCGCGGACGGTGAGGATGACTTGGGCATCTGGATAGGCTTCGAGAAGCTGGCGGATAAATAGGCAGGATGGAACATCCGTGACGGCACCACAGTGTCCGAGCAGTTGGTCCCAGTCCTGACGCTCGAATTTTGTGCCGGGCACGTGGTTATGATGTGTGTCCCACGCCTCGTTCCACATCTCTGCGTCTCGTGGATTGATCGTGAGCAGTGAGGTGTAGTGGTAGACATGTCCAAAGCCAAGCTGGTCGAGGGCTATGCGTAGAGAACTCGTTCCGCTCCTCGATGGGCCGAAGGCTAGGATGCGTAGGGGTACGACGCGATGACATTTACGCCGGTCAATGCCATTCCAGGAGCCATACAGAGTTGTCGTGGAAACCGAAAGCTGGTTGGAGCCTTGCGGCTTCTCGTTGGAATCATGTTCCTCTGCCATAAAGAAACAGCTAAGGATATCCGCTCCGCACTTGAGGGTATATATACCGACTGTTTCAAAGAAGGAATGCTGATGCACGTGTACTAAAACGGTGACGTGGCTGAGTAGTATTGTCTTTTGCGATTTTCGCAGGTGACAAGGCGATTATCTCACTTTTTGAGATCAGTCGTATCACGGCGCCTAATACGTCTGCCCGCGACCCTCCGTGGTAGGCATGGTCGAAGAAACACCTCGAACACGCTTTTAACATGAGGCACCAACAGGAGTCGGTGACGACGAAAGCATCATAGATTGAATCTCCGGCAACACGAATATGACGACCGAGCCCAAACACCACACTATACTAGATCTACACTTCTTTGGAGTCTAACGCCCAGCATGACTACCGAAACACAAGCGCTAATAACCCAAGAACACAAAACAAACACTCACACTCCCCCTACAGCACCTCCAACAGCTCCCCCCATCCCACCAACAACCTCCGCCACAGCCCCCGTACCCCCGTCCCTTTCTTTTACCATAGTCGCCCACGACGCCAATATCAAATCCATCACAGACCTATCCCCATTCACAAAAACTTCCAGTCTAGCCTCTCGTCGTCGCCGGCAACCCCCAGACAATTTACCCCTCGCCAGCACCATCTTCCCATCCCTCAACTCCTCGCACCCCCCACTCCCAGGCCGCCACTTCCACTTCCCACAGGGACTTTTGATATCTTTCCCGTACTGCATCCCTTCCCAGCTTTGCTTGATCTTGATCTGCTGGTGGCCGTGGAAGTTCTTGAGAGTGGTGGTTCCGGAGAGGGAGGAGTGTTTGTAGGTGCAGATTTGTTGTTGCTTGGAGGAGGGGAGGAGACGGGAGAGGGTGGACTTTGTGATGGTGAAGCGGGCGATTTCGATGTTGGAGATGTTGGTGGCTGTGATTTGGTCTTGGGAGTCGGGGCCGTGGAAGGTTAGATGAGCCGGGGCTTGGCGCTGTTTTCTTGTTTTGAAGAAACACATGGTAGTGGAAGAGCAGGTGGTATTGATTTGGTGTCGGTCCGTAGTTGAACATGTCAATAGTTTCATTGCTGTTACCCTGGCCATATATAGGCTGTCAACATATGTTGTCGCAAAAAAGCCCTCGAATACAGTTTAGCGGGATGATGTATGCCTTGACCTCAGCCTCACTGCATCGAAAAATATCGGCTTTATGCAGTTTAGCATCAGTCTTTAGACTCATGGATAAGTAAGAGATGCTCTCCTAGCAAAGATCACCTTCAATGTCGTCCGGAGGGTCGACGAGTGGGGCATCGCACGTCGCGGCTGTCGTCATGGAGGTGCGAGCCTAGTTCAGCCTCGTCGCTTCGTTTCCTGCTGCCTGTAACGAACACGTAGCTTCAGAAACAAGGTCCCGGGTTCCTTTCAACCCTTCATGGATTCCTACGTGCGGCTGAAGATAGGTCGTAGTTTTTGCGTAGTGCTCATAGTGACGACACTTTCGAGGCGATGAATGATCGTTTGAAAGAGAAGAAAGTTTTGAAAGGCTTCGCCACTCAGATTCTCAATACATTAAACATTTCGCGCGATTATCGACACGCAGCACACCACTGCTACAGTAGTGCCAGCGCTTTTCTCCCAAGCCAAGTATATACACGAAGTCGTCAAGAAAGAGTATCACCCTACTCGCCAATCTGGCCCCGAACAGCACCAGGAACAGCGACCTCAGTATGCACATCCGCGAAAAACGCATGAGGGTTCTGTTCAATCTCCGAGACATGGAAGTCCCTGCCCGTGTCCACACCAGCGGCATCCAGAAGACCCGTCGAGAAGGGGGCCTTGAGACAGCCCTCGGAGATGCGCTCGTGCTCGCCTACGTAGGCGGGGTTGGGGAAGGCAATGCGCGGAGGGCCGGACTGGCCACGGGCGGCCTCGTGGATGTGGGTCGAGGTGGAGGCAGGGGACTGGTAGTCTGCGGCGCCTAGGCCGGCGAGGACGATCTTGTAGCAGATGAAGTTCTCGTGGGAGTTGAGGGCGAGGTCGTAGTAGCCCATGGCGCCTTTTTGGCCGCCTGTGGGCGTGGTGCCGTTGACGACCTGGTCGGGGGTGGCGATTACGTGGAAGGTTGAGGTGAACTTGGAGTAGTTCTGTCCTCTTGTCAGCGATGATACTGTTGGCTTCTAGGGTGGAGGGTCTTACGGGCTGGTAGCCGCCGGGAGATGGATAATCCTTTGGTGGCTGAGCGCCAGTGCCTGGTGGGTACTTGACGTTGTCGAAGTCGACCTTGCTGTAGTCTACATTGCTGTAGTCAACCTTGTCGAAGTCCACTTTGCTGTAGTCGACGTTGCTGTAATCGACCTTGTCGTAGTCGACCTTGTAGTCCGTGGGAGCCGGAGCAGCAGCAACAGCTGCGATGAGGATGGAAGATGCGACGACGAAGTTCTTCATTGTAAATGTTGATTTGTGGTGTTGGCGGCCGAAGCGAGTGCGATGTGAGTAACGATGGACTTTTTATTGATATTACAGGGGTCGTTGATGGACCAAGATCGAGGAGATTTATTGTGACTTATATGTTCTTTGGAATGCCACTTCGCGGGAGAATTTCATTACGCAAGGAGTCAGGATTCGAGGCTTGCATCGTGTTGGTGTTGGCAATATGTTCGCGTTGTGCGGGTTTTGGTGAGCGTCTCGCGCTGGGCGTCCCCTTCTGGACGTCTCGTGCTGGGCGTACCATAACAACAGAGGCTTCCGCGTGGCGATCGCGAAGACAGTGAGGAGAAACAGGTAGGAGTCAGGAAACCAAAGGTTCCGCGGTGGTGCCAAGCAGCTAAGAGTTCTTCGAAGCTCGATGTAGCACAGCAGAGCGTCATGTGAACGTGCTAGCGGGTGGTGTCTAGCTATACATGGCGTCTTGGCATCAGCGACCAGATTCAAAGTAGACGGACGGCTCACCAAATATTGGCATGGCAAGAGTGGCAATAGCTGGGCAGTCCGTCGTCTTGGGTAGAACGCAGCGCCGCGACGGTTTGTGAGGCAGTGAAAAGAGAGCGTTCTCGGTCTTGGATCCAGGTCGTCGGAAAGAGTGCATCCGGGATCTTGGAAGCGAGTCATGAGTTTGTCGTCGCCAAGTAGTAGATGTTTTTACAATGGCATTCCTTTCGAAGTTCTTCAGAGGAAGAGAAGGCTTTCATGGCCTTGTCTGTACGCAGTGATGTGATGGCCAGCATGTATCGAACACCCGGCATGTCGTATACTGGGTGCTGCGAAGGTCTCGCGTTGTTTTTGTCGCTGCCAATCACCCTGTTCACTCTCGTTCGCTCTCCATCTTGATGCTTGCTCCGCCGAAGCCTGACTTGACAGCCGCCGTGTGCACATCACTGTTGTCGACCAACCAACCCCCTCCCACTACCAAATCTCCAGCAGAAACAAGGCTTCTCACAAAGTGAAGTGACCATCACCCAATGCCCGGCATCTTCCGAAAACGCTTGGCACTCGTTCAGCGCCAGCATCCTCCGACGACACCTCCCAATCCAAAGCTCCAGCACCACCTCCAAACACCACAACACCTCTCTATACCAGCCATTGAGTCAACATGGTGAAGCCAATCACTGGCGTACGCATCTCCTCTACAATGACTGTGCGCGGCGCATGACTGACAGCGTGGCAGATGCTCCGCAGGGGCCTTGTGCTGGATCTTTCCGTTGCTTTCGGTACGGATATCACTCACGACTCTGGGACGGCATCAAAGTGAGCATTGGGATTCTGACAAAGTGAATTCTAGGTCTCGGCACCGCATCCGGATATCTCTGGTGGTACGGTACGTAAACGAAGAAAGCGATGCCCCGACAGGACAGGACATCACACGACCCTCCAAACACCCCTACCCGAAAAACCGCCTCCACCACAACGCAGACCGCCGCGCGAGTACTAACGTATTCACAAAGGCTTCCACGTCCCATCGGTCCGCAAGCGGGATCTTTTCTACGCCAAGTTGGAGGACCAGAGAGCAGAGGCGCTGGGCCAGACGGGTTAGAGGAGGACGAAGCAGAGATGCGAAGGAGCTGTGGCATGGGATAGATAAGAGCAAACACCGAGGCGAGGCGAGTGGAGGAAGAAGTGTGCGGCTGTACATATACCACCAAGCAGCGAATTGCGACAAGCACGTGCGGCACGCTTTTCTGTTCAAGTTCACGGCCAAGATATTCTCATTTGTCTGGGGCTCTAGCATCTGATTTCTACACCCTGCCGGCTGACGGTAAGGTACTTGACGCCTTTGTACGGCCTGATTTCCGCTCCCAGCCCGCGGCTCTTCTTGGTATCAACCAGCAGACTTTCCACCTTCAAGCCGCTCGCCAGCCAGCCTTTCAGGCCGAAACTCAGTGTTGCTGATGTGGGCATCAAATCCCTGTTTCTCTCTGCTTTTCGCGAATCTGTACCGTTGGCTGGAGAATGCGTAGGAGCGACCTTCTCTGACTGTGATTGGTATGCCCCAGGCGTATCTTCATCATAATCGTATGTCGTGGCCGTCATGCCATTCGTGATACCCATATCCGCGTCTTCGTCTGACAGCATACCCTGAACGGTGCACCGCAATACGGCACCGCCTGGGCCGAAGTCCTTGGGTGGTATCTTCCACTCCACGGTCCCTTCAGCAGGATTCCAATGCGCCTCGCCTTTGGTTGGCCGCATCTCACTCACATTCCTTACGTTCGGCGGTATGGGAATATGGATGGTCAAATCTTCCAAGGCCGGGGACTTGGAGTCGCCGACAGGAGCCTGTCTGAATCCACCACGTCCGGATCCAAGATTCGATTGCAGTGATGCCGTAGCAGCTGATCTGGAGCTGGAGTCTGGTCTCGCCCGAACCTCGAACTCTGTACCAGAAGATCCCAATCCGGTCGTCATTTCAATATTTGCAGGAAGGCTCAAGTTGCTTGAACTTGATTTCGTGGTCGTGAGAGCAATATCCGGACCCAGCAAGTCTGTTTCGTACCCACAGAGAGCGAACCTGCCATCTGGTGGTACAAACGATAATACCCCGTCTTTCTTCCATGTATTGAGCCTGACACACGGATGGAAGACCGCTCGCTCCATGACTGTCCGTAGTTGGTCACCTCGCGAGCCCATTCCAGCTCCTTTCCCGCCAGTAGATAGACTCAGAAGCAAATCAGGCACGCCACTGACCTTCGACGTGAACGCAATGCTGCCATGTGCGAAAGCCGACAGCGGTCGTCCAGAAGGTGCGAGCGTCACAGACAGTGTTTCCACAATATCCACATACAGCTCGTTACTGGTATGCCGCACATTGCTTCTGCGCCATGGTATCGCAGAGCCTTGACTCGTCTGAGACTGGGCCAGAGGTCTGGCCAGGCCTGAAGCTCCAACTGGTTGTAATCCAGGACTTCCGCCTGGTAGTCCAACTTTTCCAAGTAGATTGTTCAATACGCCAGGCCCAGTCTCCACCACATCTCTCAACGCATTCGCTTCTCCCTGGCAGATAATACCAGAATCGGCCATCTCGGCCGCGACTTGTGCGACAATGTCATAGTTGGCGCTGAGCTTTGTTGCTATCAATGGACTTCCAAGGAACTCTTCCAATGCGTCTGCGAATCGGTGAACGAACTCGAGGACGAGTAGAGGCTCAGTATCGTTCGGTGATGGTGACAGGAAAAGCAAGTTGTCCTGGATCACGGAGAAGACGGTCGTCGGCGGATTGGTGGAGGTTATGTAAGTGACGCTAGGTCTCGGTGAGGACTGTTGGAGGTATAAGGGAAGGAGAGTCGAGGGTGGAGGAGGCCGTCCAGTGTAGACATGGTTGAAGAGCAGGTTGCTGGGGCGTGTCAGTACCTGCTTGCGATGGCCACTCTGCATGTCGACTACTTACGTACTTGTGCTCGTCGAAGATGTACAGCGCCTCGATTGCGCTCATTGTGGTCGAATGCTATCTCATGTTCAGGCGGTTGGTTAATCACAAGCGCAGGCAAGACGTGGTCGTGGACGTGAATGGCTTGGTGGGGTCCAAGTCGCTGGAGAAGGCGGCAAGTCGAAGCGAGCTTCACCAAACATCGCTCAATCCAGCAACTTGCGACAACCACATCCACACAACAAGACATCCTCCCCGCGCCAGCGAACTAACTGATTCGATGGAGACGAAGCTGTAGGAGAGAACATTTGATCCTATGCAGCCTTGACACTCGCCTCCGACGCCACGCCTTCCGCCATGGCTCCCCAACCATCACCTCCTTCGACCCATGCTGGCGTCAAACGGCCTCATTCTTTCTCTACCATATCCGGGCATACTCCGCACAAGAAGCGCAGAGTACATCATGCGCTACACCACGTCCAAGCCCGACCGAAAGATATCGAACCGGCGCCGCAGGACCCGGTCTTCGCCCAAGGTCAATTACTGAAGAGCATCGGCGCGGCGCTGGTGATGGCTGGCTTTGATTCTGTGAAGCCGAGTGCCATGGAGATGTTTCGGGCGCAGGTGGAAGAATGTGAGAATGGGGTAACGAAGGGATGGTATGGGATGGGAAGACTAACGGAGATACAGACATGCTTCACTTCTTGACACACTCGCGGATGGCCATGCAAGGCGGCAGACGGACGACACCCACCGCAATCGACTTCGCCTCAGCCCTCGCTCAGATGCCAAATGCTCATACAGCTTCGCTCTTGAAACCGCAGCTCAACCTACGACTCCCCGACGACATCTCGTGTCCCCGGATACTGGATCCAGACCCAGCCCCTCCGCCAGCGCCGAACTTCTCGACCTTACTAGAACCTCTCATCACTCCAGACCCTCCATCTTACATCCCCAATCACTTTCCGCCTTTACCGCCCCAACACGCGTGGAAACAGACACCAGTATATCCAGAGCGCGAAAAGGATGCACGAAAGATGCGCGAGAAGGCGACACAGGAGGGAATGCTGGCAGAACAGGCACTCCGGAAGCTTGCGGCGGCAGCAAAGAGTGGTGCAATGAATGTGGAGAAGAGAAGAAGCAGTGTGCTGAGTGGAGAGGGCAAAGCGAGAGATCCAAAGTCACACCATAGAGCTGGCAGGAAGGAGCACGAAGACACATTTGCGGACGTGCTGAAGGACATAGGCGGTTCAGACGAGGCTATGGACCTTGGACTGGATGACGCCGCAGAGACTGCGAAGGAAGGCATGGATCTGGGCATGCCAGAGGGCGTTGCGGTGAATTACGATATGAGCCACTGGCGGCATGGTGCTGCTAGGAGAGCAGCGAGGGCATGAGGCTATGCGGTTGTTTTAGCGGCATTCATTGATTTCTGAGTCTGGTTTGCAGTACTGGTATTGCATTTTAGCGTGGCGTTGGGAGGAGTGTCTTCAGCATGCGTGTAGTAGTCGCAGCGGCGGGTGAAGACAGCGAGAGTGCCAGTCGATATTTTCTAACACCTCCATCGTTTCTCCTTCATTCGTATAGTCTTCTTCACCTAGGCTAGAAATGTGCCTCGACGTCTGAGACCGATCACGTGCCTTCCCTCCTCAACCTCACTTCACCGATCATACTTCCCCTCCCAAGCCGTCGTCTCAACCGTCATCCCATTCGCGCACCTGGACAAAGTTCCTATCAGCATACCTCCACCACACAATCCCAGCAGCCCCCAACAATCCCAACACCTCCACAGCATCCCCAAAGAAAAACCGAAAACTCACTGCCGAAACAACCTCAAAAAGGGCTGACACACCACCCTCGACTTCGGATCCTCCCTGGGTCCCTCCAGATCGCAGTGGTACTGGATCAGTTCCCGCAATTCGCACTTCGTGAGGTCTGAGACGGCCGGCTTGCGGGTTTTGCCGGAGGGGAGGTGGTTGATGCGGGAGGCGAGGGAGGAGGCGGGGAAGGCTTCGACGAGGGGTGGCATTTTCGTGGTGGTTTTTTCGGTCGAGGGGTTTGGTGTTGGGGGGTTGGGGTTGGTGGTTTTGGGGGGTCAATTCATGTTTGAGGGATGCGTTGGGGGATTGGTTCGATGAAAGTGGGATGAAGAGGGGAGAAGATGGGTGCAGAAGATCTGGGGAAGAGGCTTTTGGCTGAGGTGCAGGTGGAGGAAGTTGGGTTGGATGAGGTGGGTATCACGAAGTCACGTTCACCCTCCTGATTGAAACTAATCACGACATAGATCCTGAGTACTCTCCGACTAGACGACGCATCTACACGATCATACTTCGGCCTTCCCACCCTCGATAGCCTGGTCCAAACAGCCATAGACCTCCGAGCATCCACCACCAAAGCCCAACCTACGGCACCCATCATCGAACTCACATCCACGAGCCCAGCAAGCGGAAAGACGCACCTCCTCTACCACCTCACAGCCCTCGCCGTCCTCCCCACCAGCCTCGGCGGCCACCAAGCCTGCGTCGCCATCATAGACGCCGACAACAAATTCTCCATCCCGCGCCTCGCCCAGCACATGGCTCGACTATGCCACTCCAAAACAACATCCCCAGAAGCCCTGCAAGCCACAATCACCACCTCCCTCACCCACATCCACATCTTCCACCCGCAATCCCTCCCCTCAACAATCGCCACCGTGCAGTCTCTGCAGAGCTACCTCTTCAACGCCAACCGGCACCACTCCTTCGACCGCGCAGTTGCTTTCATCGCACTCGAATCCGCTGCGGCGTTTTACTGGCAGGCGAAATCCGACGCTGAAGAGGCTTCTTTACACCCTTCCTCCGCGCAGCCGAGTGGGTACGTCCAGTTGGCGGGTGCGCTGAAGAATGCTGGTCGGATCCTCAACACGCCGATATTGTTCACATGCTGGGATATGAGCTCTGCCAAGAAGGGCTCGTCCTTCGGCCAAGACATACGATCCTATCGCTCCTCTCTGCCGCCTCCATGGCAGACACTCCCTACGTTGCGGCTGGTGGTAAGGAGGATTCCTGTGAGGAAGTTGCCTGTTGAGATTGGTGTTGAGGAGGCTTTGAGGGAGGGTGAGATGCGGCAGAAGGTTGTCGAGCTGGGGAGGTTTGAGTGTTTCGTGAATGAATGGGGTTTGGACGAGCGGTCGATGCAGAGGTTTCAGGCGAATGGCGGTGGGTTCGAGTTTCGGATTCGGGGGGATGGAGTCCATTTCGATGAGGAGAAGGATGGATAAGTTGCTCGAATGAACTGCTCGTGCGGCCAGATCTTGACAGCCTGGCTGGGTATCATGCTTCAAAACAAAACCCCTCCCTTCCTTTCACCCCTCTCCTCAAAACCAAGCCAAAGTCCACAACGCCGGCAAATTCGGCCACCGATCCTGCCACTTCTCCAAAATTTCCGGCACCCTCTCGTCAAACCCTCCCCTCGCCCCCGCACTGCCCCTCTCAAACCCATTCGCTGCCCCGCCCCCCTTCACCCACACATCGCGCTCCTCCCTCGCCGCGGCATTCAACGCATCCGCGAGCTCCAGAATCGCCCGCCCGCCCACCAGCGCCTCCTCGTGATTATCCTTAATATCCACATTGAACACATGCACGGGGCGATTCAGCGGCGCGCCGCGGTTCAGCAGGTCGTCGACCACCGCGTCCCAGCACCGCTCCTCGCACGTAATCACCACGTCCACCGTCCCGGACTCTGTGCCGAAGTACCCTTTATCGTCTTTATACTCCGCCTCCGCGCCGCCCCCCTCGGTCCCTTCTTGAACATGCCACCGCTTCCCCACGCGCGGCACGCCGACCTTCCAGTCCTGCCAGCGCTCCGGGCCCCATTTGACGTTCTTGTTCCGCTCTAGCATCGGCAGGATCCCGTTGGCGTTGTAGAGCCGCTGGTCTTTGGAGAGGAGTTCCGAGTACATGGCTGCGTAGGAGGTGGAGTTGAAGTTGTAGACGTTCGGTTGCGAGATGCTGGGGCCCGGGAGGCGCACGAGGGAGCCGGTGCCGAAGGAGATGGTGGGGTAGGGCGTTGGGGCGGTTGTGAGGCGGAGGTGGGCTTCCATTGATCTGGATGGTGTATTAGTATACCAGTATACACATTTCATGCTTCAGCGAAGCATGTGGACGGTAAGACATACCGATTGTTATTACTCGCACACACCGTACAAAACCGCAACTTAAACCCATCATCCTGCTTCTCCACGCTACTGGTCTTCCGCTCATCCTGTGTTTTCTCGCCTGCTGCGTCCATTTGTGCCATTGCCTCGTGCTCTTCTTGCGGTGGTTCTTCTGGTGGAGGTGGAGGCGGCGGCGGGGGTCTTCGGCGGGGATCGGTGGACATGATGTTGTTTGGTGGAGGTGCAAACGGCGACGCGGATGGGTGCAGCGGGAAGGCGCGCTAACGTGAAGTGAAGTGAATGTGCGCGTCTGTCGATGGAGGCTTGCGGGGCGTCTCGGTCGTGGATGATCGGGTAGGGTCGCTGAGCGTTTATGAGGTCCTGTACGCTTTCTCTAAGACTTCGGAAGAGTTTTGGTGGTTGAACCGCTTTCTAGAAGTGCTGGAAGCTTTGAGGATTGGAGAAAGAACAGCTCGCGTGCTGAGCTCGAGGTGAAGAAGCACAGCTTCGCAAAACTGCAGGTCTGCCGAGGAGCTGCTCCACTTTCACATGTCAAAGTTAACGACCACCTGCATGAGGGGCGACAGTCTTCAGATTGATATATGCATAGAGAAGAGTAGCATATATCCTCATTCCTTCTGTCTCAATTCATCGCATCGTAATATCAACATAAGGTGGTATATCATCCACAAACGCTCAATCCAACTCCTTGTCTCTCAGAACTGCCGTCGCAAATCACTGCATGCCTCAAAACCAGTCGTTCATACCCATTCCCATCCCCATCCGTAAATTTTGTGCGCTTGTATTGTTCCCCATTTCAAAATTTTGGCCATCCCAGTTCGTGGTCGTGCCCATGTTGATCGCGCCAGAGTCAACGTCCATACCAAATTGCCGCACAAGCTGATCCCAGCTCTCCCAATTTAGATCGCCCGATGTGTCCATGATGTTGCTAACGTCGTTGTCCAGCGAGTCGATGGAGTTGATGCGCATAGATCCATCGTTGGCCATAGTTGTGTTCTGGTGATTGAGCAGATCGGGGGTGTCGCCAAAGTCGATGTCCGTGCCGCTGAGGAAGTTCTGTCCAAAGCCTGGCGCGGGTTGTAGAGGTTGGGGACGAGGCGCAGCAATATTTCCAGGCATTGAGAACTGCATACCATGCATACCCGAGCCGAGAGTATGACCATTGTTCTGTGCTGGTGGTCCTTGAAGGATGTCTGAACTGAGTCCAGCTGTCTCCATTGGATCATCGGTCCCTGCTTCAGACAATTTCGGCGAACGTAGAAGCTCGTGCTTGTCCAATGGCGCCTTCCCATAGCTAGGTCCCTCTGTGAAGCGTAGTAACTGGGCTGAGCTCAGTGGTGCTCGTGTCATTCGTGGTCTGTGGGGATTCCCGAACATGGGATTTTCGTTGGGGCTGTAGGTTCTTGTCGGTGGGTTAGGCAACATGGCCTTACTCACCTGCTCTTCTTGCAAACCTCTTTGCCGAGCCTCTTTGGCCTTCTTGTACAGCTTCTTGAGCGGACGCCACAAATGACCTGACCGTCCCTCATACTCAGCGTTGTTCGGATCGCCCCACCGACCGTCCCTGGTCTTCTCAACTGCAATCCAAGCTCGCTCCACAAGGTCGCCTGTGGTCCGATGGCATAGCTCGGACAGGGTGAAAGCCAGAGCATGCCATTGCATGTACGTCTTGAACAGCCATCCCCACTTCATAGTCCTCGCCTCCGTCTCCAGCAGGATGCTGTATTCCATGTTCTCCAAGCTGGTAATGAAAAGCTTCTCTTTCGTCTCGTCAGACAAGCTGGCGCCGCCATCGGCTCGCTGGAAAGGGTGGTACACCATTAGCCACATTTTGCTCATCATCAACCGTGCGACGGTTGCCGTCACCCAGAACAGCGGTACACTCATATCGCAGTGCTTCAGGTAGCGATCCTCCAGCCTCTGATGGCACTCTGTTATCCACCTTTCCTTGTCTTCCAGTGTCACCGCCGAGAAGTACTGAGTGCAGGCTTTCGGCGGTCCTGGTGGTATGTAATTAATGCGTCGGAACGTATTTGCAACCTCGAACCTCAACAAGCAGAAAGACATGTCTGTGCATCCCTGTCTCTCTGGCGGGTACTCCTTCATTTGCGGTGTCATGTCGACATCGTTGATGTTGAGCGGCATCTTCGTGTCGAACGACTGCTCGACTATAGTGGGATCGCAGCCGTGGTCCTCGCTTGCTCGCGTGTCCAGTATGCAGACCTGCCACCAAAGTCGTCTTCTCATCTCAACTTCGAAAGGCGCCAGACCAAAGTGCGAGCCATCTCTGTGGATTCCGATGGTCTGAGCTATCCGTACGACAAGACCAGTAAGAGTCCAGATAACACGGGCATCGCTATTCCGCCGGAGACAGATCAGGAATATTACGAAGGACTGAAGTACGACGATCTCCTCTGTCGTTAGAAAATTCGCTCTTGCCAGAGCTTGCTCGACGGCAAATCGATACCGCGTGAGTAGAATAGGCTTCTCTTCACCAAGTTTCAAGAGACAATCATGCGGTGTAAGACTTGTGACAGTGCCGTAATATACCGCAAAGAGAAGGCACTCAAAGCCCCTGGATAGGTTCGACAAATGTGATGCTGCGCTGAGCACTGTCGGCTCGAGGGTGGGGACATGAAGCACTTTGCATAACGGATCGACTCTGTCTTTGTAGATGTTCCAGTATTCGCAGATCTGTCCCGGTAGCGGATGAAGGTTTAGGAGGTCGACGTTTTGTGAGCTGAAGCCAAACACGAATCCATGGTGATTGCTCGGAAGTTGGTTTTGCGAGGCAGGGGATGAACCAGCATTGTCCTCTTCATCGCTCGACTGGTTGAGAATACCCTTCAGATCTTCAACTTCATTGCTGAGATTTGCCCAGAAGGAGTTGTTGATGTATCGCGACCTGCCCTCATTGACTACAAGTCTGCCGAATCTGTTCTCAAAGCGTCCGTTGGTGTGCGCTTCGACCCATTTCGTCTTTTTCTGATGTTCCTGCTCAGCGCTGTTGGACACGTCGCCGTTACCGTTGACGCCATTCGTGTTCGATTGTCCATTCACTGGTTCTCCGCCGCTCGTCGATCGTCGCCGCTGTTCTGAGTCGTCCTGGTGTGTTCCATTCTCTTTCGCAGGCACCTCGACTCCCATGCCCTTAACCACACCTTCCAACCTTCGGAGTCTCTCCAACAGCTCTTTGTCACGACCCTCACCAACAACCTTCCTCGACTTCCGTGGTGCTCTGCCCGGTGCGGGAAAGACACATTCGATGTGGGCGCGGTTACAGTTGCTACAGGGATGCAGCTTGTCGCACTTGACTTTCCTCTTGCGACATGTCACACACGATCTTGGGTTCAAAGTGCGTCCATGCGCGTCTACCGTCGGTTTGGTTGGGCCGTCTGGGGCATCTTGGATGTGCGCATCTTCTGGCTCGTTGCCGGAGGTGCCCGATGCGCCTGAGGGAGTCTCGGTCGAAGGAGGGAGTCGAGGCAGGAAGTCTGAAGGGGCTAGGAAGTTGGGCGCATTGCTGGATGCCTGGTCGGCGTTCTCAGCGCCCACACCGTCCGTTGGCGATGCGTCTGAAGTGGGAGAGGTGTTGTCGTCGGCCATGTGGTCTTCGTCCTAGGGCGGTCCCAGATATGCGGTAAGGGAGGACGACGCTACGTATTCCACATCGACAGCTTGGTGTATCGCTGGTGGTCGTCTGGTGCAGGAGATCGAGAGCCACTTGGTCTCACGTTCGTCCAGAAATGAGGGCAGTTGTCGCGTTAGTAATGAGGAGCATCCTGGAGGACTGCATCATGATCCTCCTCTTGGCGGTGGGATGCGCTGCAGGGTTCGAGAACGGCATACACGTCCGGGCCCGATCGAACGCCGACTTCACCTCTTCCATCGTCTTGTCTATCTTGACACTTCTTCTACAATAACATCAAGACATCATCTACACGGACACAATGGATATTATGCTTTCTACAAGGAGACCCAAGGACATGTTCCGTCGATACGATGGGACAACGAGCAGCTGCGGATGCCGGCGGAAGTTGCGGCATCTTGGTCGGAGCGCTTGCGGCAACTCGTCTTGATTGAGGCTATTACACAAGGCTGTACCTTGATGGGAGATATATGTCTTTGGCCATTTCAGTCACGACCCCTTAGAATATGGCTCTCCGTACTGGTGGTGGTGCCACCTTAAAGGATAGCATCCCAAACACACGCGCATGCTGCCGCTCCAACTGGAAAATGCATCGCCACTATCCACTCGCGAAACCATCGAGTCATGCTGTTTTCGGAATTCAATTAGTCCGCCAGAAGCAGTGCTCACATTTATATCCGCGTCCATGAGGCGACGAGGGCACGCAATGATGCTTCCAGAAGGACTTTGAGGTTCCACTGACTATCTCGAATTGCAGTCGCAAAACGTATTTCGAGCACCATCTAGACCTATACCGCCCTCGACTTCTTTGCATGAATCGCTCTCAGTTCAGCACCACTGCCGGCTTTGTTGATCGATTTTCCCTGCCCTGAATTCTTTGTGTCCATCGCCTCAGCCATGCGTTCTTCTACCCAAGGTATGACTTCTTTGTCGCCACACCAAAACAAAGTGCGGACCACAGCCAGCCATGGCGGATGCGGCAACTTTCAGTCAAGATCCACAGTTTTGCGCATAGCGCAATCATGAACAGACTCACGAAGGAAGAGAGACAGAGGCTGTGGACACACGTATATCGAGCTCTGGAGGCGCCAGCTGGACTGAGGCCCAGCACAGATTCGTCCTCCGGGACGATTGAGTCTATAAACAGCAACAATAGCAAATTCTCAAATCATCCAGCGCCGGGCCCAAATGTCTCAACCCTCGAACTGCACCATACAATCCGAATCGACTATCCAGCACTCGAGATTCTCACAGATCCGTCCGAGAGAGGTGTTCTTCACCGACCTCTGAATGTTCAGCAGCGATACCAACCCCTACCACTGATCGCCGACGACGATGTGTACTCTCACGCCGGTCGTGACAGAGCACCTGCTACTCAGTTCTTCTCCTTATACAATGCCATATCTGATCAGCCCAACCGCAGAGACCTGTGCAGATTTCTCCAATCCGATGTACGCGAGGTCACGAAGTTCCACGGCAAGACAAGGCTTTCAGTCGTGCTGTACATGACGCCGAATGACCTGAGCTTGATGTTTCGAGTTCGCCGCAAGACAACGTACTTCCTCAAAGACGGATATGAAGATGTTGAATCACAAGATTACAATTTGCCATACGATGAATTCTTCGCACATCAAGGCGAGTCCCAGTGGTTTCAGGACATCTTGCATCTAATCACGATGAAGGACGATCGCTCAGCTCGATACGTCCAGTTCAAGCTTTGGATGTTGGAGGCTCAGGACTTTCCAGGCGCTGCTGATCTGTTCGACAGATTCTGCAGAAGCTGGAAGCCTCGTCGGCAACCGGATTACGAAGTCTACCTCAGCAATTTGATCACCGAAACCAAGCGGCCTTCAAGTCTGCTGAGCACCAAAGTGTGCAAAGTCTGCCGGAAGTCTTTCAGCAAAAGCCATCCGCCCGCAGCTCTCCCTTGCTGCAACAAGCTCGTGGCGAAGTCATGTCTGGTCGAGTGGTGTCAATCCTTCAACTCAAAGACACTGATTCCAAATTTTTCTGTGCCATCGTGCCCGTCTTGCAAAACACAACTGTTCACAGACCCAAGGACTGTTGAACACCTCAAATTCGGCATGCTCGCGGACCAATACTGGATTGACAAACGATTTACTCAATGGGAAAACTTCGAGCGGTCCTGCGCTGACCTCGACAAGCATCACGCATCTCGAAACAACTCCCAACTCACCATTAGCCCGCTCGCGCTGGCAATGACCTGGCAGAATATGTTACACGGGACTACAAGACACGATGATCCAGCCCATCTCCAGCCGCATCGATTCCCCGAGTTTGCAATTTTCGAAAAAGAAATGTTCACTCACCTGCGCCAGTTGGAAGGTGTGACATGCATCGTCTCCAACCTCTATCGCCACCTCACGACCGAGATCGAACGGGAGTTCAAGTCTCGCTTCCGCCAGAACGGAATGGATCTCTATCTCCCACCCGGCTCACGAGGCTGGGTAGGCAATGAGCAGATCCGAGACTTGATGTGGCGGGATGGGTTTCTGGAGTTTGTGATGAGGGTCTTGAATCGTACGTTGCAGTTCCATCAGCTGCGGCAGTGTCGGTGCCGGATTGAAGCTGGCGTGCATTGGGAAGGTGGAAGGCAGTTTTGGAATCCGGATGTTTATGCACAACGAAGGTCGGAGACTTATGCGAGCGTCCTCCAGTGGCAAAATAGTGGGTCGGGAAGGAGGTATGTGAAGACATTCCTCGAGAGCGAGCAAAGTTGAGTGGCTGGCCTGTGGTGCTGGTAGCCATGGGGAGAGGATATGATGTTCGGTCACGCGGCTTTCTCGGCCTGATGGGATCGGTCTCGCATTTTCCTTGCAATCCTATGAAAATCCGATCTCTTCCGTGATGGCCTCAGTCGAGAGACGGTCCTTTGTTCACTGTCCTGCATGATGACCTTGCCTGAAAAAATGTTCTTTGTCACCCTGAACAATATCAAGCAATCCAAGCATCTACTATCAAGACTTCCAACATCGTTCTCAGCTACACCGACACAAATTCTGCATTACAAAAATCACCAATCAAATCCTCCTCCGCATACAACAACCCAACCATGAAACCCAGCACCCTCCTCCCCCTCCTCCCCCTCGCCTCCCTCACAACAGCCGACACCCCCTGCAGCCTAACCAAAAACCCCGGAATCCTCAACGCCATAGGAAAATTCTGCCAGAACCAAGGCCTCGTCGTGCCCTCCGCCTACGCGGGCAAAGGGATGGGTGGAGCGTATGATGGCGGGAGTGTGCAGATTAGTGGTACGTGAGTCGTTGGTGACAGGTGTGTTGGAGGAAGAAAGGGCTTTGCTGATGATGTGAGGTTTTGGGATACAGGGAGTTGTAGCCCGCCGCAGTGGGTTCCGCAGGAGTATTGTATGGCGCAGTTTAGGGGGATGTGTGGGAATGGGAGAAGGGAGAGGAGGTTTGGGAGGGGTGGGTGTCAGACGTGGGTGAGTTCATGGGAGAGAAACTACTTTTGTATACGAGTAGGATAGTAGAGCTAATGAGTTTTTTAGAAGATTCATTATCCGACGGAGCGCAAGGCTGGATGGGGTGGGAAGAAGATGGGAGGTCAGCCGGCGCCAGGGAAGCCGAAGGGTGGTGGGCCGGAGAGTGTGACTGTTAATTTGTAGATCGAATGAGGACATGAGGAAGAGGGAAATGTTGTGTCAGTGCGGTGTGCAAAGGCTGGGAAAGACACATCAATAACAAACAAGTTGCCCTTGAGAACTGCAAACATGTGGAATTACCCCTGAATCCCTCCTATTACACCATAACCCAACCTCCTCAGTCTCTTGATTCCAAACTGAGCGCCTCACACCCCAGGCGGTGGCGTCTTGGGTCGTCCAAAAATCTCCCGCCACACGTCCTGCCGCTCTTGTTCGCTGTTGTGCCTCCAAGCTTTCCACTCCTGAGATCTGCTTGCCTTGTGGGCAAGACTTCCCGGCGCTGCTGGTACCGGAGCCAGAGCCAAAGGCTGCATGTTGCGCAACGATTGTCCTATGGCGGTCGCAGTTGTGGTGGTAGTCGGTTGGAGGGGGTGTTCAGGCTGCGGCTGTGGAAAGGTCTGTTGTTGCTGTTCCTGCTGCTCGCTGTCGATCTGGAGTTGTAGTCGAACACCATTTTCTTCGGGTTCGTTGCGTGTATCGATTCCTTCCATGCCGTCGTCCATCTCTTGAGAATGTTCCTTTTTGTTTTCGTCTTGTGCACAGTCAACGTCTTGAGTAGAACCGCTCGCTGGAGGATGTTCCTCCACCGGAGCTTGTTCGTCAACCCTCTCAACCAAGAGGCTTTCCTCTCCGCTTCCAGCACCATCGCCTGCTGCCTCTCGAATCTGATCTGTCTCATCCAACAGATTCTGATCCTCCGTCATCTCAACTTCGTCTTCGTGTCCGTCGCTATCATCTTTTGCCTCCTCTCCACTACCACCCTGCTCAGATTCTCCATCTTCCTCACCAGTTGCAGAGTCACTCGGCTCTGTTGTTGGCTTTTGCGGGTTCTTGGTCTTCGCACCGGACCCCTTTTTCTTACCGGCTTGATTCGATACCTGGTTCCCTCCTCGTGCAGTGGAATGCCCTCGTCTCTTGGTTCCGGACTGTGGCGCGGTCGCTCCCGAAGCCGACGCTCTTATTGTTGATCTTGTAGAGACATTTGCACCTCCTCCATTGTTTTGATGGCGACTGTTCGTTTCGGGATCGTTGTTGTGCGAATGTAATTGAGCAAGCAAGCGAGCTTGGGTGATGTTTTCGGCGGTGTCGATGTCGCGCTTCTGTTCGGCTTTGGTTTTATGCGTGGCCATCTTGTGGTCTTTAGCGGTGTTGCGGTCAGACATGTCGAACGTTGGCGTCAAGTGCTTGTTGTATGTTGTGGTGCTGTTGTTCTTGAGGATGAAGGTGGTCATTAAGTAGATGCATATTAGGGCCCCTCCAAGGTCGTGGATGTTTCCAAGACCAGGCAGTTATGCCGTATTGTCTCTTGTTGGAAACGTGTTCAAAGTATGTCTCAGGAATGCCGCTGCACGCTGATCTGAACTGTTCGAAAGATCGACGCGTGTCGCGAATGACCTTTGTCCAGTGGTTGACGCGACTCAAGATCTGGCCAGCGTTGTCAATGCGACTTTAGCAGTCTTCCTCCATGCAGGACGTGATAGAGTGTCCCATACTGTCGCGGATAGTTATGCTGTCTCTTTTCTGCCGCCAGAGTCAGCGCAAGTCGCGCCTCGTACATGGTGTCCTGATTGCAAAATCGCTGCATCGTTATGGCCTGGATCCAGTGGCCTCGTGATGTTCTTTGCTACCCGCTAACTCTGAGCGCTTGTCGATGAGAATATCCCTCTACCTGGACGATTGTGTGCTTGATCGCAGCTTGTTGCGACTGTAAGAACTATGTTGGCGCATCTGTGAAGTAAGGTCGTTTCTACCTTGCAAACAGCAGTGCGTGCACTTGGAGCTACGGCGTACCTGCCTGGCTGGAGGCTTCTCAGCGTTGGCCTGGCAAGCATGTGAGCCTAGATATGTGATTTGCAAAACTGCTACTTCGCCTTCGGGCATTTGGTCGATTGAAACAATGAGAGAAGATTAGCTGGCCCCTAGGATGACACAGTTAAAGAAAGTGGCTTTCAATTTTTTTGCCTTTCTGTCCGTTGATTCATATCCCTTATGATAGACATACATTTCATGTTTTGACCAGGAGGTCGAGAGTTTGAACCTTGGCCTGGGCGCATGAATCTTTCATTGCAATGCATTTGGGGGAAATGACGTACATTTTTGGTCTCGCTGAACTGCGTCGCGGCCCTGCACTGTCGTACACCGCACAACTACCCTCAGACGCTTGAGATACATTGATCTCCTTCGCCCAGACTCTGGCCGCCTCGCCCACGTTCAACGTCCTCGCCAAACATCTAGGAGCAAAGCAGTCACCGTTAGGTCGTCCAAAAAGTTTGACCACAAGATGCTAGGCAGCACCGTCAAGGCTACTGTCCCCACGAAGCGCTAGGTCTTTGAATTTATCGTCGCTTTCGTTGCCGTTGGCACGCATGTTCTTGGGCATTCGAGAAGCCCGAACGATCTCAGCAAAAGTAAATCGCCGTGCCGAGCGCAAACGTTGATTTCGAATTCCATACGAGATATCTGCATCAGCATGGCTCTCAGCATCGTTCAAAAGAATCACCAGAAGATAAACATTATTAGCATTGACATTTGACTTCCCTTGAAGCAAGTTTGCGGAGCCCGTGTCGGCTGCCACAAACCAAAGCTTTCATAGCGGTACTCAATGAACATGATGCACTGGTCTCTTTGCGTCGCCTTGTGCACGTCAAATGTGCTTTCAATGAGTACAATGACATTCCATTTCTCTTTCACGAAGAGGTGAAGTCGGCATTGACCCCTGGAAGCTTCCTCCGAGACCGGCATCGCGAATTGGGAAAGCGGATCCCACGAGCCTGGCTTGCATGCACGCGCTCACTGCCGAGCAACAACAACATCCTACTTGCTCCTTTCTACGCATATTGGAACGATCATGCGGTACACCTGAGTCGAGTAACGATACGAATTCGACAGCCTCAACGAAGCGCGAAGGAGACTGCGTTTCACAGCCAGACGAAGACGCCGAGCTGCTACCTCCGGCAGACTACATCGATGTACTCGCTCGTGATGGCAAGGAGACAAGGGCACCCTGCTCTGAGTACTGATGTGCGGCTGGTACCAGAGAATCTGGCAGGCTGAGGTACAGTTGGACCGGTGAAAGAGCAGCACGAGGCGCACGCTGTGCGACGTTACCATGTGTGCTACTTTGCAAATCCAGGCGATGGCCTTTGCCTCGCCGTCTTCTTGCGTGGCTGTTGATCTCGGCGAAAAGCTGAAGACATTATTGAGACGCCCTCCTTTGCTACAGCCTAGCTACAGAGACAATACTACGGCGAGGCTGATCGCTCTAGACTATATCAGATTTGCTCACCTACTGCTCCCGATCGATCTTGATTGTAGTGGCTGAACAAGATGGCAGAAACAAGCAACAACACAAACTCCGAGCGTCGACGATCCCAATCTACGACTGCAAGTGCTCATAATGACATGGAGTACATAGTACTTGACGATCTGAGCATCAGGAGTCCACACGAGCCGCCTTTCGCTTCGTCACGCCCGCAATCTTCCATTCGGTCAATTTCGAATGCTAGCACGTCCGCCTTTAACGCAGTCTCCCACTACCCGGCTCACGAGGATGATCACGCTGCCGAAAACACTTCGCAGGAAGAGCCTCTTGCAGGACAGGCTTTGTCTGGCACTACTGTGCCCGCCAACTCCGCTGTTCGCCGTCTTGGACGATTCGCGCTTGTAGCTCTGCTCTGTGCGCCATTGTTCACAGCTGGAGCCTTCGCTTTTATAGCTTTCTTGTGGTTCTCCGACTTTCACAATCACACTTGGCACAACTGTTATCGTTCTATGCCTCACGACGTACACGCTACAGTTCTGCTCTACAATCTTGCTTTCAGATCTACGACTAGGGACGTTGCCTGGCCTCCCAACCCAGAGTGTAATCCAATACGACTTCGACTATCCCCTGGATGACACTGTCGACGTCTATCAGAATTCGTCAACCAACAGGACCCTACCGAGCGGATGGTACAACTATGGAGTTCCGCAGTACACTCTGCAACCGCGAGAGCCGACTTGGATGAGGAGTCCTCCGACATACCCAGCTTTTGCCGAGTACGCTCGCCCCGCTGCAAAGAGGGAGGGAATTGAAGACACTGGCTTACTGGTCCGAGCGTTGCTGCCCTTTCCAGACGCACAGTCCAGAGAGAACATCCGTAACTACACAGGGAAGGCATTGGTATTGGATTCAAGGGTTTCTTGCCAACGCCCTGAGTTGAGCGACCTGCATTTCCTCTACCAAATGGCAGGCAACATGGTGCGTATTGTGACGAGCGGAACATTTGCCCCGTCGATGTTCGCCGAGCGTCAATGGTCGCCGTCTCGCTCCATTCCATTCGAGTGCTCCGTTTTCGTTATTGGTGAAGCCATGGAGGATGAGGCACCTCCCGCGGTGTGCCAGCTCCAAGAAAATTCGATGGACTGGCTTTCCGACCCAGACACTTACTATTGGGGTAATCGAGGAGGAGGCTTGGTGAGCGAGTTCTCAAATCTCACCAACATGACGCAGCTCCATGAGTGGGCGACTGAACTGCACCAAGAAACGTTCATCACGTGGGGCACGGCGTTTTTAGTGTTCAACGCCACGAGTTATGAGAGTCAGGCGTCTGGTAGCACGAACTACAGCATGAAGGACGATGAAACAGCCCGACTTCGAAACAATGGTATCTGGACAGAGGTTTTGACTAACACTGGCATGGCAAACTTCAGCGTATCGTTGTGTTATGCAGCATGGGATACGGCTAGAGCCGATGTCAACATCTTCAGCGAAAAGAATCGCTCTGAACCTATTTCCCTCTATCAAACGGACGTTTCCTGGCAGTTTGGCTTAGGAACCACTTTGGAGGCAGACTACTCCGTTGAGTCTCGAAATATTCTGAGTCTCGAGGGCAAGGACTCCTGGATTACACACCCTGACGATGCCCTTCCGTTCAACTTGATGCCTTTCGTTCAGAACTTTGGCGATGCAAGCCGGAGCTTTTCTCCGCAGCGTCTAGCAGCGTTCCATATGCAGGGGAACTGGACTACTGTCTTGCACGTCGCTACACCTGGACAGGAGGACACACTGCGTATGAGCAACGGTGCGGTGGACTACGAAAATCCAATGACCACCATGGCAGATGACAACATCGCCATCCTGTTCAAGACTTTCTGGCTCCAGAGTTACTCGCTAGCACGCACTCTGTCGTCGATGATCACGGTGCTCTCGAGTATGGCGTATTACGACCAGATGCCCCGGTTCCGGAACATGGCAGGCACGACGCAGGTCTTCTGGGTCAATGTCGTTTATCCTCAAGCTCACACTGGCTTCGTTGTGATTGCAGTAGTACTAGTTATCCACAATGTCATTATCGGACTTGCTGTGTTCTGGTTCCTCACCCATGCTGGATCAAGTCTGCTCGGCAGCCACAGGCAGAGCGTTGCTCAGGTGGGGACCACTCAAACTACGGAACTTCGCTTCAAGGGATACGATGCTAGAGATAGGGACGTCGACAAGTTCTTGAAGGCCGCGGGAAGGGAGAAGGAAGTCTTCAAAATGCAACGCCAGATGTCTCCGCAGTCTTCGGTTGTCGACCTTGTGCCTCACGCTGCCGAGCCTGGACAGGACAGCGATGCTCGCAGTTGAACGAGGTGTTGACAAAGTTGGGGAGCTTGCTTTGGAGCACACAGGAGTCTGAATACGTAGCCTTCATATACACAGCATGTGGGTAACCTCTATGATTGCGAATTGCGGCAAAATTGTTTGCGTCACTACATCCATGTCGTCGATCAGCTTCCCAAACACGAATTCAAGAATGGTAAGAACGAAGCGCCAGATTTCGAACCTTTGACATTGTATTTTTGCCAAAACAATGGCTCGTCTATGTGGATGGGTCTAAAGCTCTCTGTGTACACACTGCTATACAGCCATGTCTCTACTACTGCTACTGTTTTAACTACTGTCTTATTACGACAAGGCTGTATATTAGCAGGCTAGTATCTGTTAGATAGCTCTCTCTTCAATTCAAGCAATCTTCGATCATCAGTCTATTCTTGACTTAGTACCTTCGTTTCATCGAGTGATGTCGACCACATTCTCTGGCTCGGGCGAAGTGCCTCCGAGACCGGCCAACTCAAAAGGGCAGGTGGGTGGAGCGATGACATGGATGCAATCGATTGACCTTCTTGCGAGCTTCATGCAGAGCTAGCTTCGGCCAAGAGCATCCTATCAATCGGCCAACGGAGGCCCAGGACGATGCACTTCTTCGATCGCGCAATCCGTGAGTTCAACTCTTTCCCAACGTTTGTAGAGCAAGAGAGAAAGAGACTTGCTAACAAACATGGAGGAAAAGCGCGACGTAGAGAAGATGCCGAGCGAGCACACGCCGCTCATCCAGAGCGTGCCTGTTGCGGACCAGCGTGAACGGTATCCGCATACGAGGGTGATTATTCAACAAGGCATTCGGTGGGATAAAATAGCTAATGAACACAGCTTCGCCGGTATTGTACGATTGCCCTGACGACCGTCCCAATCCTGATCATCGCCCTTATCTTCCTCGGCCTCGCTATCGGTGGAGGCGCTGGGTTCTTTGGAGGTCGCGAGACTGAATACACAACACAAAGCTTGGTGGATGAGATACCTCACTCAGCATGGCCAGAGTCGGAGGGCATCACGTATGACGAGCTCAAAAAGACACTGCTCAGTACACCAGATGGAAAGAAAGCAAGAGAATGGAGCAAGTACTACACGGCTGGACCGCATCTTGCTGGCAAGAACCTGAGCCAGGCGGAGTGGACAAGAGACAAGTGGACGGAGTTTGGAGTCCACCAGGCTGAAGTCGTGGCTTATGATGTCTACATCAACTACCCGCTCGATGCAGGATTGTTGCTGTTGAAAGACGGCGAGGTCTCGTTCAAGGCAACATTAGAAGAGGACATTCTGGACGAGGATCCCACAACAAGCTTGCCAGACAGGATCCCCGTGTTCCATGGATACTCTGCCAATGGCAACGCAACGGGCTCTCTTGTTTACGCCAATTACGGCACGTTCAAGGACTACGAAGACCTGGTCAACGCCGGCATTGATCTCAAGGGCAAGATCATTCTCGTCAAGTACGGAGGCATCTTCAGAGGCTTGAAGGTCAAGCGAGCTTCTGAGCTCGGTGCGATTGGTGTCGTCATGTACAGCGATCCAGGTGATGATGGAGAGATCACTGAAGAGAATGGCTACGAAACATACCCTGATGGACCTGCGAGAAACCCCAGCAGTGTCCAAAGAGGTAGCTGCCAGTATCTCTGTAAGTGACACGAGACTACTTGCACTTCCCAAGACTAACGCACATAGCGTTCGCCCCAGGAGACCCGACCACCATCGGCTACCCCTCGAAGCCCGGCGCTCCTCGTCAATCTGTTGATGGAAAGATCCCTGACATCCCATCGGTTCCAATCTCGTACAAGGAAGCATTGCCTCTTCTGAAGGCTTTGAATGGCCATGGTCCCAATGTGTCCTCATTCGGAGATGACTGGCAGACTGGCGGGCTGCAATACAAGGGCATTGACTACAACATTGGTCCTACTCCAGATTCGGTCACTGTCAACTTGTTCAACAAGCAAGAGTACGTTACAACCCCTCTTTGGGATACCATTGGCGTCATCAACGGCACGATCTCCGACGAAGTCATCGTCGTTGGCAACCATCGTGATGCGTGGATTGCTGGTGGTGCTGGCGATCCCAACTCTGGCTCTGCTGCTCTGAACGAAGTCATTCGCTCCTTTGGAAAGGCGCTCAAGGCAGGCTGGAAGCCTCACCGCACGATTGTGTTTGCCTCGTGGGATGGTGAGGAATACGGTTTGGTTGGCAGCACTGAGTGGGTTGAGGATTACCTGCCATGGCTCTCGGGCTCCACAATCGCCTACATCAACGTTGACGTCGGTGCTCGTGGACCACACTTTACGACATCTGCCGCACCAGTCTTGAACAAGGCCATCTACGAGGTCACCAGCCAAGTTCCTTCGCCTAACCAGACCGTCCCAGGCCAGACTGTCCGCGACCTCTGGAGTGGCCATATCAGCACTATGGGCTCTGGCAGCGACTTCACTGCCTTCCAAGATTTCGCAGGCATCAGCTCAATCGATGTCGGCTTTGGTGCTGGACCCAAGGATCCAATCTACCATTACCACTCCAACTACGACAGCTTCTACTGGATGGACACATATGGAGATCCAGGCTTTGAATACCACATCACGATCGCAAAAATCATCTCGCTGCTAGCTGCCAAGCTGGTGGAGGAGCCAATCGTCCAGTTCAATGCCACCGATTATGCGTACGGTCTGGAGAAGTACTTGGAGAGTGTCAAATCTGCAGCCGCAGAGTCTACTCTCTCAGCCGATGTTCCTGCCGACCCATTTAAGAAGATCGAAGAAGCCATCTCCTACTTCCAGGAAGTGTCCATCGAGTTTGACGCCAAGGCTGAGAAGCTAGAGCAGTTGCTGAACAGCGACGTGTCGGTCAAGACCAAATCGAAGTTGTACAAGGCTATTCGTGGCTTGAACACCAAGTACAAGTTCCTTGAGCGACAATTCCTTCATGGCGCGGGCCTGGACAGCCGCACTTGGTTCAAGCATGTCGTCTTTGCTCCAGGACGATGGACGGGCTATGCTGGCGCTACCTTCCCTGGTCTTGTTGAGGCTTTGGAGGATCACGATGGTGAGGCCGTAAAGAAGTGGGTCGGTATCATCACTGGCAGAATTTACAGCGCTGGGAAGCTGTTGCTTGAGAAGTAGTCGGCGGCGTTCTATAGGCTGCTGGCAGCCCGTGGTCTGCAACTGTAAGATTCGCATGTCGTATTCGGTAGCTGACGGCAGATATGGGTGGAAGGACCTCATGATGAGATGATCTTGACGGCTGATTGATGTGACAGTGTGCCATATCACGCAATTATGCAGCTCTTGCACCCAGCTTCCATGCTCTTTTCCAAATCAGACTCCAGCACGGGAGCCCTCCCATGGGCTTCAAGAGTGGGCGGTGCCATTCATCATGGCTTCGCTTTTTGCACCGTGAGGCGCTGCTTGCATGTTCGAACTACGGCGTCGACGACTGAAGTAGGCAATCTCCCGATATTGCGGATTGTCCTTCTCCACCCACCACCTGAGAGCTGTTGACGGTAATTCGGCTGTCGGCTTGTAACTTCAGATTCTGTGGCCTCGGCGACGGCGACATGCTTGAGACGGCGATTCTGTTGAGCCGAACAGACCTAGTCGAACAGAAGGAATGAGGGCCTGAACATCACAGGATTGAAGATTTTTCTCTCTGGGGCCGAAACGATAATGTTGCAGAAAGATCACGGCGGGCTCTGCTCCATGACCAGCTTTGCATATACCCATTTAGGTGTAGACACCTAAACCGGCAACATCGGCGACGATCGTATGGAGCCCCGAGAAATGGGTCTGGTTGTGCCTTGCATTGGTGCGTCCGCTGGCGTGCTGATGGTCTGGATGAGTGCAAGCGGAGCTTTTGCTGCATGACCACAAGGCTCCAAAAAGGCATCCTTAAAGCAATTTTCATTGAAGGAGCACGTTCCTGGTAAATCACATTAGATACGAACGCTTGTCTGGTTGATGATCGGCAGGTCCGGTTGGCTGGGAGCGAAAGATTGCCTGGTTCAAGCTAGCCTTTCGCGTTCATGCGAAGTTTGCAGGAAGCAATGACAGATCTGAGATGGCTCAAAGAAATAGGCGTTTCACGTGCGCTCACGAGGTTGCTTCGGCGCCATGCGGCCTTCAGCATTGCGATGGGGTGCCAATCGCATTCCGCCGGCATCACATGTCATCGACGGCGAAGGCGGCCCGGGGTGGTCTCCATGTGTTCGGACCGAAGTTCCTTTTTGACTGTTCGGGCTGACTGACTGACCTCTCCGTACGTACTTTCGATGGGACGGCTGCCAGATTGAGAGGCTCAAGCTAATTGTCATTACTTGACGGACCGCATAGAAGTAAAGGCGTGGGACGTTTATTGGGTTGATAGTTCTGCACAGACACCAGATGGGCCCCGCCGATGCCTCATCTTTTTAGGGCTACAAGTGAGTGAAACACGTTGAACTCTGATTTCGATTCTTCTTCATTAAAGAGCACGACGGCTCCAAAGAGGTCAACCGAACCCACTCGTAATCTGTACGAGCAGCATTAGAAGAAGTCGTAAGCGGGAGTGAATGCTCCAGAATGCCTCTCGCCTACGCCGAGATTGAGCTCTATGCAGAGCTGAAGAGCTTCGCTCGAACCCCATTCGCTCGTTCGTCTTCAACCTCATGCTCACACTCACGAGCTTCTTGCCCGTGATGACGATGGCAGAGAGCCACGTGGGACCTGAAGAAATGTGCACGGCTCAGCCTCCGGTTGGTCACGACTATCACGAGCCGCATGTCGCCTGTCAGAAGAAACTCAATCCTCTTGCCCGTTGCAGGATCCGCGCCTTGGCCTCCTCGGCTGAGATCAGAAGATGACCTCTGTGGAGCACGATCAAGAAACACACTATCAAACTTTGCTTCCACGGTGCATAATCAGTGAAATGCAAGCAGCTGAGTTGAGTTGCTTCGGTTGCTGATACGACTGCGAAATGATGTCTGGCCCAAACGATTGGAACGCTGCCGTCTGGATTAGCCGTACCCGCTGCAGCTTACGACTACAGTCAAACCTGGATAACGCAATATTCCGTAGGAACATAACCTCTTTAACGCTATACTTTCAGCTTCAACTTCTAAAATTCGGTGTGAACCTCTTACCTGCCTATATTGCCTTAACCTGATCAATTTATTGGCTAAACCAGGTAT